CCCTAAGCCCTAAGCCCTAAGCCCTAAGCCCTAAGCCCTAAGCCCTAAGCCCTAAGCCCTAAGCCCTAAGCCCTAAGCCCTAAGCCAATGGTTATCGGAGACCATTTCGAAGTCATCAATTTTGACGTGACACCCCTCGGGGAGTATGATATCATTTTGGGCGTTCCTTGGTTAAGGAAGCACAACCCCGACATCAACTGGCAAACCAACAACATACTCTTTCGATGCGACTGCCGACAGACGAGCGAGAGGTGGACCGGATGCAGACCAAAGACGCTGAAGAGACTTAGCCAAGGGGAGGCAGGTACTCATGGAAACCCTCACGAAGGAGAACTTAAGAGGAGTTTTCGGCCAGGAGGCAGGCCCAACAAGAAAACAACCGATATCAGGGACATCGCAACGACCGAACAACGGCCGGACATGACAGACGAGGAACTCGGAGAATACGTCCTCGCCAGCAATGAGAAAACATCCCTTTACGCCACGGGAGCGCCAGACGAAGAACACAGGATCCCTGAGGAATACGCGGAATTCCAGGACGTGTTCACGCCACCACCGGACGGTAAGCTACCAAAGCATGGTCCGTTTGACCACGAGATCAAGATCAAGGACGGCCAGGAACCAAAGTTTATGCCAATTTACCCACTGTCGCAGAAAGAGTCAGCGACACTGGAAGAATACATCAAGGACAACCTCAACAAAGGATACATTCAACACTCGAAGTCATCAGCAGGATATCCGATCCTGTTCGTACCCAAGAAAGGAGGAGAACTCCGAATGTGCGTTGATTACCGACAACTCAACGACGTTACCATCAAGGACCGGCATCCATTACCGTTGATCAGCGAAATCCAGGACGTCATTCAAGGAGCAACGTACTTCAGCAAATACGACATAACCAACGCATATAACCGACTCCGGATCAAGGAAGGAGACGAATGGAAAACGGCATTCAGGACCAAGTTCGGACACTTCGAATACAACGTCATGCCGTTCGGACTCACCAACGCACCTGCATCATTTCAACGCTTCATCTTTGATGTGTTGAAAGGATACTTGGACAAGTTCGTCATCGCGTACCTCGACGACATCCTCGTGTTCTCGAAAACGGAGGCCGAGCACGTTGAACACAACAAACTGGTGTTGCAACGACTAAGGGAGGCTGAGGTCACGCTCAAACTCAAGAAGTGTGAATTCCACGTACAACAAACCAGCTTCCTCGGATACACCATTAGTCCCGACGGACTCGGAATGGAACAAGACAAGGTCAAAAGTATACTTGATTGGCCGACCCCGACATGCGTCAAGGACGTACAAAGCTTTCTTGGACTCGCCAATTACTACCGAAAGTTAGTCCCACAATATTCGAAACATGCAGCAGGACTTTACCGATTCACCAAAAAGGGTATACCATTCAAATGGGATGACGAAGCAGAAAAATCATTCACCGCACTCAAGGAAATGTACAATCAGGAGGCAGGAAAAGCCATTGTCGCAACATTCAATTACGACGCACCTATCATCATGGAGACCGACGCATCGGACTTTGCGCTCGGGGCTCAGCTCATGCAACCAGGACAAAACGGCAAGCTCAGACCTGTCGCTTTCTGGTCTCGCAAAATGATACCGGCAGAATTGAATTACGACATTCACGACAAGGAACTGTTGGCTATAGTGTCAGCGTTTCAAACATGGAGAGCGTACTTGGAAGGAGCCAAGCACACTGTGATCGTTAGGACAGATCACCACAACCTCACCTACTTCACGACGACGAAGAAACTCACACGACGACAAGCAAGATGGGCAGAAACATTGGCCCAATACGACTTCAAGATTGTGCACTGCAAGGGAACTGAGAACACAGTAGCGGACGCGCTAAGTCGACGCCCAGACTACGAACTCGGGACCAAGGAGGCAGTACCCGCTATCCTAACCACGGACAGCGAAGGGCACATCATATATAACCACCAAATCCTCGCAGCAACCAGCGAATTACAGAACGACGAATGGCTCGAGAAAATTCGAGAAAACACGGCAAACGATGAGTCACTTCAGAAGATTCTAGGCAACAACACTGCGCTAATGCGTAATGGTCTAGTCCATGTCCATGGCCTGGTGTATGTTCCTGGGAACCTCCAAACTGAGATCATCCAATTGCACCACGACGAACCCACACAAGGACACCTTGGCATTGAGAAAACCATCGAAAAGATTACGCGAAATTACTACATTCCAGCACTACACAGAAAAGTCAAAAAATACATTCAACAATGCGACTCATGCCAACGAAACAAAGCATCGCGACATGCACCATACGGAGAATTGGAATTGGCAGAAGTACCAAAACGACCATGGGAATGGATTACAATGGACTTCATCACGAAACTACCCATTTCGGAGGGTAACGACATGATCATGGTAGTCGTCGACCGACTGACTAAATATGCATACATGATACCAACAACGGAAACCATTGATGCACGACAAATGGCCAATATATTACTCAGATACGTATTCACCAATCACGGAACACCGAGCAAAATTACCTCGGACAGAGACAAGCTGTTCACATCCAACATGTGGCAGTCATTGACGGACCAACTCGGCATTGAGCATAGACTCTCTACCGCGTATCACCCGCAAACCAACGGACAGACTGAACGAGTCAACCAGACTCTGGAGCAATACCTTCGACACTACGTAAACTACCAGCAAAATGACTGGACAGGATTGCTACCAATGGCACAATTCGCATACAACAATGCAATGCACGCAACCACAAAGGAAACACCATTCTTCGCAAATTATGGGTTTAATCCCACTATTATCGGAGAACCAATCAGAAAACAACCGCTCGCAGAGTCATCTCGACTACTGGCGACCGGGTTGAAGCAACTTCACCTACAGCTTTCAAGGGATATCGAGTTTCTCAACATGCGCATGAAATTCTACTACGATCAATCGCGCCAGGAGGCGCCGGATTTTCAAAAGGGGGAGAAAGTTTACCTCTTGCGACGCAACATTCGCACCAGACGACCCAGCGCAAAACTCGACCATCTCAAATTGGGACCATTCGAAATTGCAGAAAAGAAAGGATCACTCAATTATCGTCTAAAGCTACCTGATAGTATGCGACGCATCCATGCAACATTTCATGTCTCGTTACTGGAAAAAGCACCCAAAAACGCCGAAATCGCTACCGATGTGGAAATCGAGGAGGAAACAGAAAACGAGTACGAGGTCGAGGAAATTCTGGACACAAACAGAATCAGTGGAAAGCCTCACTACCTGGTGAAATGGAAGGGATACGATACCTCGGAAAATACATGGGAACCTATCGAGAACCTAATGGGCTGCCACCAGCTGGTTCAACAATTCCACCAACGGGAGACGGGGAATCGCCGCCCAAGCCGGAGACGTTCAAACCATCCCAGAAGGACGAAGGGAATTGAGCAATCTCCTGAAACATCTGATCAAAGTTCGGATTCTCAGCAGTAGAAGCCAACTGCTGAACATCGAGAGCAGAGGAAGCAGCCTGCTCGGGGGACGTCGCCTTTTCATCCAGGATTCGCAACAATTCGGCATCATTTTCCGACATTTTGAAACCCTTTTGCTTTAAGAAAGCCATTTGCTTACGCAGCCGACGCTGCCTTGACATGGCCTCCTGATATTGTTTTTGTTTATTCAACAACTGTTGATGCAGCTCCGCAAGGCGAGACTGCAGATCGTTCAACTCGGGTTCCAACAAATCGAGTTCATCTTCATTCTTTTCAATATCGGAAGATAGTTTGTCTTCCGCACGACGCAACAAATCCCATTCGCGACCGGTGTGGAAATCCCGTTTGCACACCCGGCCAGCACGAGTGCATGACGCACATTTCGAATAACGACGACTCCGATCCATCACGCACTCTTCGTCGGACTCGCGGCAACAATCACAAGGCACCGAAGCAATAAAACTATTGGCAATAATATACTCGGCTTGACGAACGCGACCAGCGACTTGGTCACGACCAACGGGGAGCTTGGGAATACCTTCGAGGACAGAGTCAGCCTTACGTTTAGGCATGATGGGGGAACATGACGGAGGGGAAAAACACGAAAAAACAGAAAAACAGCGCACATACCTGAGGGGAAGTCAGCGTTTAAATCCTTTGAGGACAAAGGACAAAGAAAGGAGGGGATGATGTTACGAACCTCAAAGAGGTGCGGGGGCCGCAGCTATTTGAGGGGCAACCATGAACCAATCATTCCGCGGACGCCAGGCACTAGCGTCCTCACGTGCGTTTCGGTATACTTGGGCAGGCCTCAGAAGGCCCCAAGGAGGCTCTCCAGACAAGGGAGCCAGAAGCGACCTACATGCAACCGTCACAAACAATACCCGCTTATCCAACGTAACGGTTAGCGCAACTCAGGAAACGGCCACCACGCACGTGACCAAGGTGGTAGAAGGGTAGCTGGGTATACGGGTAGAACATGCCAAGAGTCATCTACCATTATACCATCTACCGCCATACCACACATACCATCAAGGAGGACTAGATATATAAGGACACTCATTTCACTATCATGTATTTAGTTCTTCGCGATCAATTGCACATTGTTACTTGGTTACTACCTTTGGTACTTTGCACTTCACAGTTCACCCTCAAGACAACCCAACCTACAAGTAGGGGATTCGCCTAGTGGTAACACTTAGTGATTGACTTACTTGGCGCGCACTTCTGGCACGTTCTGCAAGATACTCAACAGGACCCGAACCCGACGTAAGGCTTTGCATAGCAACGGTACGGTTGCGAGATACTCTTGGAATCCGCAGTGGGGACTAGGCAAGTATAACCCGTGGACATCCTAACTCACAGTGACCAGTCGGCTACGCGTAACACACGGGGCTTCATCGCTAGCTGATGGTAGGCGGAGTATGCTTCCGCCTTCCGATTCGGGTTAGCGAACACACTTCGCAGGTGACTAAGGATATCTTCCGCATCCTCGTATGGCCTGGTGGAGGCTTCATCCATGCGGGGGGCAATATGGAGCTGGGCTTTGCCCTCGCAGCGACTCTGTACATAGAGCTTTCGATGTACTGGTTCAGGATAATGGTCCGCATTTGCGAGTAGCTTCTGGCGGATCGTTGTGGCCCAAGCTTCGTATCGGACTTCCTTCCCATCGCTAAACATTGGTGCGTCAGGCATACGAGCAGATTTCCTCGGGACCGCAGCTTCCATACTCGGTGTGCTCCGGTTCTGTAGATCGAAAAACTTCATAGCCATCTCGTTCTGTTTCGCCACGGCTGCTTTCTCTGCTACTAGAGCGGCTTCGAGGGCGGTTTGAGCTCTGTTCTGCTGCTCGATTGCTCCCTGGTATTGGACTAGGGCCTCATCGTTGTCGTTCTGGAGCTCGATATTCCGTGCCTCGAGTTCGTGAAACTTCTGTTCGAGGGCTTGGTACAGCGTCGAGAGCTTAGCATACCGATCTTTCTCTTCGGTGTTTTCGAGTCGCCTCGCGACCGACGACGAGTCGAGTCGGAAGGAGATCAGGCGAGATGCGTGTCTCGGTGTGGTATCGTCATTGCCAGCGGCAGTGCTGGGCGCGGGATCTGGGTTCGGAGAAGCCATCCTAGCTTCTCGGCACGTTCGGCAACCGTGGTTCGGGATCGGGATCGGGATCGGGATCTGGAGCGAGTCGGGATTCGGTGGGGTGGACCGGTGCCAAGATACGCGTTACAGGAACGCGCCTCTGTGCGGCCGGCGGTCCAGAAATGAAAGTAAAAAGAGACTAGTTATTATGTGACAGTAGGCTATTCTTGCAAAAGAGTCCAATTCGACAAGATAACTAGTCTAAGGAAAGGAAGAAGAGAGAAAGAAAAGAAAGAAAACGAAAGAGGCGCGCAACAAAACAAGTCCCTCGTCTCTCCTCCTCCTGTCACATGACCTGAATCGACTCACCGCCTGGACAGGCCTGGCAGAACCCACCTGCAGTGTCACAAAGCCGAGCACATCGAACACAACAGGAAAGTGTTGCAGAAGTTGAGAGAAGCCAAAGTCACTCTCAAGCTCAAGAAATGCGAGTTCCACGTCCAAGAAACCAGTTTCCTCGGATACACCATCAGCCTCGACGGACTGGGCATGGAGGACGACAAGGTCAAGGCTATTCTCGACTGGCCGACACCCACGTGTGTCAAGGACGTTCAGAGCTTCCTCGGACTAGCCAATTACTACCGAAAGCTCGTTCCTCGATACTCCAAACACGCATCAGGACTTTATCGATTTACCAAAAAGGGAGTACCGTTCGAATGGGACAACGAAGCAGAACAAACGTTTCAGGCGCTCAAAAACCTATACCGACAACAGTCAGGAAAGTCAATTTTGGCAATCTTCAACTACGACGCACCTATCATCATGGAAACCGACGCATCAGACTTCGCGCTTGGAGCACAACTCGTGCAACCGGGAGAAGACGGCAAGCTCAGACCTGTCGCCTTCTGGTCTCGAAAAATGATCCCAGCAGAGCTCAATTACGACATTCACGACAAGGAACTGCTAGCCATAGTGTCGGCATTTCAAGTCTGGCGAGCCTACCTGGAAGGAGCAAAGCACACCGTGATCGTCAGGACGGATCACCACAATCTCACCTACTTCACCACGACAAAGAAACTCACTCGACGACAAGCCAGATGGGCAGAAACATTAGCACAATACGACTTCAAGATCGTCCACTGCAAAGGGACGGAGAATGCAGTCGCGGACGCGCTTAGCAGACGACCTGATTATGAAATCGGAACCAAGGAAGCAGCACCTGCTATCCTGACGACCAACAACGACGGAGACATCGTCTACAACCACCAGATCCTGGCAGCAACCAGTGAAATCCATGATGATGGTTGGCTAGAGCGAATCAAAGAAGCCATGACAGGGGACGAAGCGATTCAGCGGATCCTGCAAAACGGTCTTCAGGAAGGACACATGACCCAAAACGACACCGGCTTAGTCCTGGTCCACGGGTTAGTATACGTCCCAAAGAACCTTCAGGACGAAATCATCAAAGCACACCACGATGAACCAACGCAAGGACACTTTGGAATTGAGAAGACAATGGAAAAAATATCACGCAACTACTACATCCCGAGCATGCACAGAAGAGTCAGAAACTATATTCGACAATGTGACTCTTGTCAACGGAACAAACCAGCACGACATGCACCATATGGGGAGATGAGGTCGCCAGAGACACCGACACGCCCATGGGAATGGATTACAATGGATTTCATCACCAAATTGCCAATTTCGGACAACAACGACATGATCATGGTAGTCGTGGACCGACTCACCAAGTACGCATACATGATCCCAACAACAGAAAAGATTGACGCCAAAACCATGGCAAACCTTTTGCTCAGATATGTATTTGCAAATCACGGAACACCGAGCAAGATTACCTCGGACAGAGATAAGTTGTTCACATCCAATATGTGGCAATCATTCGCGGATTTGATAGGCATTGAGCATAGACTCTCCACAGCCTACCACCCGCAGACCAACGGACAGACAGAACGAGTCAACCAGACTCTGGAGCAGTACCTACGACACTACGTGAATTTCCAGCAGAATGACTGGGCGGGACTGCTACCCATCGCACAGTTTGCGTACAACAACGCCATGCACGCGACAACCAAGGAGACGCCATTCTTCGCCAATTATGGGTATAATCCCACAATCATCGGAGAACCAATCGGCAAACACTCGGTAGCAGATTCATCCAGACTACTAGTCGACGGATTAAAACAGTTGCACCTTCAACTGTCAAGGGACATCGAGTTTCTCAACATGCGCATGAAACACTACTACGATCAGTCGCGCCAGGAGGCGCCGAACTTCAAAAAGGGGGAGAAAGTTTACCTCCTACGACGAAATATTCGCACCAAACGACCCAGCGCGAAACTCGATCATCTCAAACTTGGGCCATTCGAAATCGATGAAAAGTTGGGACCAGTCAACTATCGCTTGAAACTACCGGACAGTATGCGACGCATCTATGCAACATTTCATGTCTCGTTACTCGAAAAAGCCCCCGAAAACGCCAAAATCGCTACCAATGTGGAAATCGAAGAAGAGACGAAAGATGAATACGAAGTCGAGGAAATCCTAGCAACAAACAAAATCAGCGGAAAACCTCACTACCTCGTGAAATGGAAAGGATACGATACCTCAGAAAATACATGGGAACCTATCGAGCACCTGATGGGCTGCCACCAGCTGGTTCAACAGTTCCATCAACAGGAGAAGGGGACTTCTCAGCGGCATTCCCAAACAAGGAGCTCTCGAGACCGGCCCAGTCGAGAGAAGGATCATTCAGCAACTGAGTCAGAGTAGGATCCTCTGACGTCGCCGCAAGGAAACGACCATCGGTCGCAACAGCAGATTGAGGAACCTCGGCAGCGGCCCGAGCACTCTCTGCTACACACTCTTTCTGCTCAGACACAGCACGCTCTTTTTCAAGACGCTCGCGCTCTTCAGCTTCGCGACGCTCCAACTCCTCGAGCTCGCTAATCTCTTCATACTTACGGGCAATGAAGTCACCCGCACGCTTTTGAAGCAGACGCCTCTGCTTACGCAATCGAAGAACCTTAGCCAACAACTCCTCTTCCTCAGACTCTAGGGAGTTTTGGAACTTGATCAACCGACGCCATTCAGCATCCGAGAATGTTGACTCTGGCATCTCACACTTAATTTTCCCACCACCACGCACGCAGTTATTGCACCTCAAAGACCGGTCGGAACGGATGCAGGTCTTGTTGAGGGAAACGCAACGACGACACGGAGTCACGGATTCGAAACCTTCGTCTTCGATTAGCTGATGAAGCTTGCGATGACCCACGGAAAGGGAAGAAGACATGGCGACGCCGCAGAAAACAACAAAAAGAAATAAGGACTTACCAAGGAAGGCGCTCGGCACTACTTAACGGTCTTCGAGGACGAAGACTTGAGAAGAGGGGGGATGATGTTACGGGACACTTAGGCACACCACGCTAATGCGGGGAAGACGCACTAATAACCAATCAACTTGGTGTCAACTGGCGAGGCATCCACGAATGACTGAACCACAGAATTACGAAAACATCAAGATCACGTGATGTCCCATCCCATCGTGGGATGAGAATCCATCCCATCGTGGGATGAGAACTCATCCCACCAGGGGATAGGAAGGACTGGATATGTAAGGACACTCATTCACCGTCATGTATTTAGTTCTTCGCGATCAATCATACATTGTTACTTGGTTACTACCTATTGGACTTTGCACTCTACGGTTCACCCTTAAGACAACCCAACCTACAAGTAGGGGAGCTCATCTTGTGGTAACACTTGGTGACTGACTTACTTGGCGCGCACTACTGGCACATCCTGCAAGATACTCAACAGGACCCGAGTCCGTGTAAGGCTTAGCACAGCGACGGTACGGTTGCGAGATACTCTTGGGATTCGAAGTGGAACTAGGCGAGTACAACCCGGAAGCAGCTCTACTTACAGTGACCAGCAGGCACCGCGTAACAATGTGGCAGTCATTGGCGGACCAACTCGGCATTGAGCATAGACTCTCTACCGCGTATCACCCGCAAACCAACGGACAGACTGAACGAGTCAACCAGACTCTGGAGCAATACCTTCGACACTACGTAAACTACCAGCAAAATGACTGGACAGGATTGCTACCAATGGCACAATTCGCATACAACAATGCAATGCACGCAACCACAAAGGAAACACCATTCTTCGCAAATTATGGGTTTAATCCCACTATTATCGGAGAACCAATCGGAAAACAACCACTCGCAGAGTCATCTCGACTGCTGGCGACTGGGTTGAAACAACTCCATCTACAACTGTCAAGGGACATCGAGTTTCTCAACCTACGCATGAAATTCTACTACGACCAATCGCGCCAGGAGGCGCCGGATTTTCAAAAGGGGGAGAAAGTTTACCTCTTGCGACGCAACATTCGCACCAGACGACCTAGCGCAAAACTCGACCATCTCAAATTGGGACCATTCGAAATTGCAGAAAAAACAGGACCGCTCAATTATCGTCTAAAGCTACCTGATAGCATGCGACGCATCCATGCAACATTTCATGTCTCATTATTGGAAAAAGCACCCAGAAACGCCGAAATCACTACCGATGTGGAAATAGAGGAAGAAACGGAAAACGAGTACGAAGTGGAAGAAATACTGGACACAAACAAGATCAGCGGAAAACCTCACTACCTGGTGAAATGGAAAGGGTATGATACCTCGGAAAACACATAGGAACCTATCGAGAACCTGATGGGCTGCCACCAGCTGGTTCGACAGTTTCACCAGCAGGCGAGGGAGAGCCAGCGACATCGCCCAACCAGGAGGGGTCCAGGTCGGCCCAGGAGAACGACGGATCATTCAACAACTGAGTCAGAGTAGGATCCTCTGACGTCGCCGCAAGAACACGGTTGTCAACCAAAACGGCAGATCGAGAAACCTCGCCCGCGGCACGAGTACTCTCTGCCTCACGATCTTTTTGCTCAGACGCAACACGCTCTTTTTCAAGACGCTCGCGCTCTTCAACCTCGCGACGCTCTAACTCTTCCAGCTCGGCGACTTCCTTGAAGTCCCGTGCGATGAAATCACCAGCACGTTTTTGCAACAAACGTTTTTGTTTTCGGAGACGAAGGAGCTTGGCTAGAATAACCTCCTCCTCTTCCTCAATTTGATTTTGGGACTTCACCAAGCGACGCCATTCCGCATCAGTAAATGACGGGGACGACATCGTACACTTCACACCACCACCAGCACGCACGCAATCACCACAACGGTCGGAACAGTCGGCACGAATACACACTCGCTTCAAACGAACGCAACGTTCACAAGGAATCACGGATTGGAAGCCTTCGTCCTCGATTCGACGGGTCAAGGCGTTTTTACGAACAGAAGCCTTGGAAGACATGGTCAGCAAGATGGGCCATGAAGAAAAATTATGAAAAAACAAGAAAACAACGCTCGAACCTGAGGGGGGCACCAACGTTTAAATCCTTTGGGGACAAAGGACAGGGAAGGAGGGGATGATGTTACGGACCTCAAGGAAGCGCGGGGGCCGCAGCTATTTGAGTAGCAACCGTGAACCAATCATTCTACGGACGCTAGGGATTAGCGTTGTCACGTGTGTTTCGGTATACTTGGGCATGCCCCAGGGGGCCCAAGGCAAAGACATTCAGGGCAGGAGCAAGAAACAGCCTGCGGCTAACCGTCGCAAACAATACCCTATTACTCCATGAGACGGTTAGCGCGACGCGGGAAACGGCCACCATTCTACCAGCACCGAGATTACGCCCTAAATGTGGGAAGCACGGTAAAAACCCCACGTGACTACATCCTATCAGTGATAGGATGGACTCATCAGCGATGAGTTCTGGCGCATCGGCGATAGGAAGGACTGGATATATAAGGACACTCATTTCAGCATCATGTATTTAGTTCTTCGCGATCAATTGCACATTGTTACTTGGTTACTACCTTTAGTACTTTGCACTTCACAGTTCACCTTCAAGACAACCCAACCTACGAGTAGGGGATTCACTCAGTAGCAATACTCAGTGATTGACTTACTCGGCGCGCACTTCTGGCACGCTCTGCAAGACACTCAACAGGATCCATCCCGCAGTAAGGCTTTGCGAAGCAACGGTACGATTGAGAGATACTCTTGGAATCCGCAGCTAGGATCAGGCAAGTATAACCCAAAGTTATCCTAACTCACAGTGACCAGTCGGCTCCGCGTAACACATAGACGGGAAGTTGACTTCGATGAAGGAGACTACGTGTACCTTTCTCTGAAAGGGTTGAAACAGGACCGCCCGAGCCTAGAACTATCGGATAAGGCAGCGGGACCCTTTGAGATTATCAAGAAGGTCGGGCACGCATTCGAGTTACGCCTACCAGCAGGGTTCGACATACACCCGGTGTTTGCACCCGAAAAACTGCGACTTGCCAGGAAAAAGACATCCGAGCCACTCACCGGGCAGATAGAGGATCCACCGCCTCCAGTCAAGGTTGGGGAGCAAGACGAATGGGAAGTGGAAGAGATACTGGACGTACGCTTGCGATACGGAAAACTGCAATACAAAGTGAAATGGAGAGGCTACGACGACGAAGATAGAGCCTGGTACCCGGCTGCTAATCTATGCAACGCACCGCGAAAATTGGAAACATTCCATGACAAGTATCCAGCGAAGCCGGGACCTCCGAGACGGCTGCAATACTGGAAACAATGCGCCTTAGAGGATGAGTACCTTGATGAGCATGTCGATGACGGTAAACCCGTTCAAAGGGACTGAACGGATCTTTGAGGGGGGTGATGTGATGAATCACATGACCAATCTTTTCGTGTAGTCCTTTTCACCTCTTGTTTGTTTTCTTTCTTCTTTTCTTTTCTTCCCCAACCTTGTTGTTTTTAGATCAAAGCGAATCGAATTTTATTTCGAAAGAACTTCCTCATCACATACTGTACTGTAGCGGTCCGCAAATTCCGCCAAGGCCCAATAGACCAATTAACAGAAGATGGCTCTCCAGAGCCTCCTTCCCCAGCCAAATAAAAGAATACATCTTCCTAACACACGACCAAAGGCCAACGGCAGTCCAAATTTGAACCATGTGACTGGTTTAAAGAGGGCAGAACCTGGCACGACTATCGCATTGTCACCTCCGTTTTCGGTTGGCTTGGGCTTGTTGCTCACCGAATGGGTAAATGCATCAACGGCCTCCATAATGATCTCCACTGTTAACCCAGGTTGACTCAGAAATGGCGAATGGCTCGTTTGCAGCTCCCGATGCTCCACACTAGCCCCCATCCCTCTTGCCATGCCAACTGACATGCGCTGGGCCAGAACTGGTAATCCTCGGTCCTCCACAGTTCCGATGTACCAAGATGGCACGTCTTTCCAACCGGAATAACTGTATTCGCCGCCTTCGAATAATGCCTTCAGACTCTGACTCGTAAGGTGAGAGATCCAGTACGTTGCCTCCTTCTCTGGCAAATCGTGGTAGAATATTTCTTGTGGGGAAGCAACAAGCTCAGCGTAGCCGGTTTGGTCATTCACACGCCAGGAAGGCGGCGGACGACCGAAGAAGGGATCCATAAAGGACAGCCCAGTCAAGCTAAACCCAGAGGCTATGAGGATCAGCCCACAAACGTACCCCGTTTGACTAGTATCAGCGTCCTTTGGCTTAGCGAAACCCTTGATAGCGCTGTTGCCCACCAATCCGCCGTATGAGTGCGCAACAACAACGACATTGCGCCCGTCCCTTGTCTCGGCGGAAATCGCATCCCGAGTTGCGTCGAGATCATCTTTGAAAGTCGCTTCAGGATTAAAAGCAGTTGAGGGGAGAGCCACTCTGACACATCTGAAATTGGGCTCCAGGAGCTTAACGATCGGGTCGAAGCATATAGGTCTATGCCAGGAGCCATGGATGAAGATAAGGCTCGGTCGATTCGACATGATAGTGGCTTGTGAGAACAATTGGTTTCAATGTCCTCTGAGGTGATGCAGGAATAAAATGAAAATGATCATGTAGATTGTTGAGAACTTCAGTAGAACCTATCATGGCACAGCTCTTGCACCGTCGGGGAGGAGTCGTGTGGTGGATCCGAATCAGGTTTGATCCTAGGGGCACATCAAAACGTGGACAAGGGTGTCTTGACTTGCGTGAGATCTGCGGAGTGCATCGACGCGCACTAAAGTCGTAAAAGTCTTGGCAGCAACAACAGTCAGCGGACGAAACGCCGAAGGCTCCGCCGAATGTAACGGGGAGCTTGTTGCACTCACACATGGGCTGAGGGCCCCTCGGACTCACAACCAAACGGTGCAGGGACCAGGGTAATGCCCTGTAAGATTGTGCATAGTAGACTTCAATAACTCTGTGTGTGCTAACGTGATTGTCCAAAAACGACGTGCCGAGGGAACTTCGGAACTTTTGCCAAGACTTGGTCATAACGAAGCAAATAGGTTGGCAATTGCTTGTTCGAAGATATCCCAAGATCTGGAATGAGAGCATGTTGTTTCGCCATCACATACGCGTTCACCTACGAGTTGATGATTTTCTGGAGTTTCAAAATTGTGTCCGAGGTCTCACCAAGTTTCAGGATGTCCTACAAGCCTTGGCATGTAGACTGGGAGTTTACATTCATCGACACAAGTCGTACCCCACAAGAAACTCACAATACTTAAACGGTATTTAGATATTAAAATAAGTTTCATTGATTCGAGACATAGACATTCGTGGATATCAAAAAATGTCGCATGAAAACCTAAGTGCATTAAAAATGTTGAAGTAATAACCGGCGCTTGGCGTCGGCCGAAAGTCATGAGATTGACAAGATCCGTAGCAACGCCATCCAAGAGAGTAAGAAAAGGTTGGCCCTCCTAAACCTCCTGCTGGGTAACGGTGGGCTGGTTGTCCTTCTCACCACCAAGTCCAATCTCAGCAGCGAAGGTCCCGTGAGGCTTCCACTTGGCCGAGGTGCGAGGAGTGGTCTCCTCCATCATCTTGTCCACTTGCTCGAGCGTCAGACCCTTGGTCTCGGGGACGAGGAAGTAAGTGTAAACAAAGGCACAGGTGCAGAGACCGCCCCAGATGAAGAAGACCTTGGCGCCCAGGTTGCCCTTGTCGGTATCGACCATGTATGGGGTAATGACCGCAATGATACAGTTCCACAGCCAGTTCGAGGCGGTAGACAAACCGACACCGCGGGAGCGGATGGGCAGAGGGTAGATTTCACCGATAACGACCCAGGCGCCAGGGCCCCAAGTGCTCGCAAAGAAGAAGATGTAAATGCAGATGAACGCGATCATCGCACTGATGGCCTTGGGGTTGCCACCGTCAGTGACACCGATGATGGCGACAATGAACTGGCAGATGACCATGCCAAGAGCACCCCAGAGGAGTAGGGGACGACGACCAAGTTTCTCGATGGCATAGAAGGAGAAGGGGGTAGACAGGACGTTGACAATGGTGGTGATCATGCTCAGCAGGAAGGGATCCTGGATTGTGCCCAGCTGCTTGAAGAAAGTCGTTCCGAAGTAGAAGATGAAGTTGACACCGGTCCACCTATACATGATTAGCTGTCATTCAATGCCAACGCAAGAAGAGGAAAAAAGAAGAATGAGACATACTGTTGCATCATCTGGAGCGAGGTACCCAGGATTGTGCGACGGAGGTTACTGTTAGGGTGCCACAGACTACCCTGGAAGCAGCTCAGCCAGGTAGTAAAGTAACCGCCCTGGGGCATGGCCTGCATCTCGTACTGGTTGTTGGCATCGATCTCATTGAGCTCCAGCTCGACAAACTCCGAATCGGCGGGCTGGCCACGGATGCGGGCCAGGACCTCGCGAGCCTTCTCCTTCTGACCCTTGCGAATGTAGAAACGAGGAGACTCGGGGAGCAAGAACAAGCCGATGGCCAAAATGACAGCCCAAAGCATCTGCAGAGCGATGGGGATTCGGTATGCTCCGGTGTCCGGGCGGTTCTGAGTGCCGTAGTCCACACAAGAGGCCAGCATCAAACCAATGGTGATGCAGAACTGGTAGCCCGAGACGATCGCACCACGGACTTTGCGGGGAGCAATCTCGGACATGTAGAGCACGATGATAGCCGAGACAAAACCGATGCCGAATCCAGCAATCAGACGACCCGCGACGAGAAGTCCCAAGGCGTTAGCGGCGGTCTGGAGCACCACACCGACGATGAAGATCAAGCAACCACAAATGATGGTGGTTCGACGTCCAAACCAATCAGCCAGATCACCAGCAATCAGAGCACCGAAGAATGTACCGGCGGACAGGATAGAGACAATTAGGGACTTGCGGGAGGATGCGACCACGAATTGGTCAGGGGGAGTGTTGTGGCGATCCTGGGTGAAGTTAGCGTTGGTCTCAATTTGTCACGGATGTATTCCATAAGCACTCACAAGACCCTCGTACTGCTCGATGAAGTGAGGCATGCCGAGGACACCGCTGATGTAACCGGAGTCATAACCAAAGAAGATACCACCAAATGCAGCGAAGGCACACATGAGGTATGCCTTCATGGTGACTGGGGCCTCGACGCGCTCAACGTCGGCAGGCCGAGAAAGAACGGCTCCACCCGGCATAGTTGCGAGTCCAGTGAATCCAAATAAAGTAGTGGAAGGCGTTGCTTGTCTAAGTATTTTGTAGTTGGATGCTTCAACCTTAGAAAGTGGGATGGCGTGAGATGAGGATAGGGAGAGGAGAAAAGTCAGAGACAGAGGGGAGGAAGGTAAGTTTTATAGTCCGGGGGAAGTGAGAGAAGTGAGTCGTTTGCTGTTTCCCCAGATCACCCCATGGTCCCGAACTCATAGAATTGGAAAGAACTAATCACGGCACGAAAAAAAAAAAGAAAAAAAACAAACTGTGACCCAACCTAAACCCAATTAGGCTCGTATGCCATTATCGGCAGGCTGAACTCGGCTGAAATGAGATTTTGTGTAGCCAAGTCGGCCCTGAGTATCTAGTCAGAGCGGAACATAAGACCACACGATGTGAAAAAAAAATACGCCAACTGATGGTAAACCGGGGAAATGCTGCACGGACTAAGCCGTGAAGTGGAGAATTGTCTGATTTGATTGGTCTTGCTACAAGCATTTCCCCGTTCAGCCCTTGGGAATTTCGTCCAGCGAGGGTCAAAGTAAAAGGAAGCACATCTAGAACCACCAAACAGAGCCTCGGGACGAGAAACCGGAGGATGTCCACTTCGGGCCTGGGGGCCCCGCGGGGGTACCGAATGCTGATTGGTTAACCACGACGATTCATGCGCCACGTGCCTCCAAAAAGGGTTCTTTTGTGGGGGTCCCGAAGGAGTTGGGTTTGCCCGTCTTCCTTTTCAGGCATAGGCGTGTTCTATGCTGCAAGTGACTCTGTGCATTTTTAGTCCACGCGAATATTGTTACTCTCTCTCTAGTTTCTATTTTCAGCAGATGGAGGTCAAAAATATCTGCTAGGTGGTTCTGTCCTTTTGCTTATCTGCTGACCTCAAGCGAGTCGGGACTGTGAATCCCCGGAGACCTCTTACAGAAACTCCATCCTCGCTAAGATCGATGTCACGTTGAGGGTACGGTGTTTAAAGCACAGACCTTAAAGTACGCCACACAATCACACTCTCTTCCATGTACACAGTATGCCAAGGGAATGGGCCAAAAAAAAGAAATGGAAATGGAATAACATTGTTGAGTGAAGTTGAGTCGGTGACAGCTACAGCGTACAGGGTTCGTTACTACTAGAAGTAATAGTATTACATAGATTCCCAGATCGACTTACACTAGTCTGATCACTTGCAGTTCTCAGGGGCAAAAATTCTGATCAACGCTGTCAAAAATGGCTCGGGCATTGCCGAGAGGTGTATCTCTTGGAAAAGGTCTTGGTCACGGGAGAAAGTCAGCCAGACCAGTCAAATTTACCTAATCTACTTTTACTTTTTGTTCATCTCCGCTTCTATTTGAGATTCGCTTTTATACGTGGAAAAAATATTGGCGGTCTCTCGTGTTTGTGGCTTTTTCTTTTTCTTTTTTTCCCCATACCCGAACTATCGCCACGTCGATATCGGACTATTGTCGGGATGTTACCCCTTGTCCATTCGTATACTGCATCTACTTGTTTCATGTAGACCTAACTAATACTTCAAATCCCCGTCCCCTGTTCCTCCTGGCACCGAATGTGACAACTGTTGTGGAGTATGTCGTGTGTTCTTCTGGTCGGCTCCAAACATCCATGTCGGGTTCCTCTCGGTGCCACCAGTGACCCACATTCAATCCTGGGGACCGAGATCTCTGAAATTATGGCATTTCCGACCGAGAAACGGCGTTACGGCTTGTCTCAAGAGCCGAGGAGTTATTCATCCCCGGCTTTGCCTCCGGTGAACACTTTCGGCGAAAGATACATTTGATTATTTGAGGCACACTAAGATTTACGTAGATGTTTAGATCCCGCATCGATCTCGGTACCTTCCGAAGGTATATGACCCCTCCATTATGAGGGAGAATGGACCAGCTCGCGGGGTTTTCTGGGGAATCCTACCCTAAGAGGTGAAGTGGATTTGACCACCGGTGTAAACGTGTTTTCCAATAATACATTGCGCTATAACCATACAATTGCCACTTTCCGAGTCCAATATAATAGGCGCCACTAGGGCGTGATTCGTCCCCCAAGAACTTCCTCTTACGGTAGTCAAAACCTGGCAAGATCGGACTGGATTGGTTCGTCTCGGCGGACTCGAGGAGGATAGGGATTGGACCGCAATTCCGGGGGTTCACTGCATCGAGGTAGTGTTCGCTTGCGCACGGTTCGACTTTGAGCGTTCGCTATGTTGTACATGGGCACTAAATCATGAACTACATGTGTCACTGCACGTGGGTACGGAGTACAGGCGAAATAGATTTTCCATGAGAAAAATGCATGTACCAATATTGAAACTGCTAATGCTGATATAGCTGTATGCGAAGCATAATCTAACTAGGTCTGGCGGAGCTAGGTAGACTCTCGTGGCTGGATATCAAGACCAGCCAGCCCAGTCTGTCGCCAATCTTCAATCTCTTTGACAAAACTTCGGATCCCCTCTCCCCATATGCTGAATCGTGCGGCAAGCAACGCTACCTCCTCGCTCAATGCAAGTCCCTCCCGGTTATAATACCCTGGCGTACAGTTTAGTATCCCTCCCAGGGCCGGCGCTCTCATCAAGACCTTGAGAGACCATTCTTGTTCTAACTCGGAGCTAGGTTCAACGATAAACCTAGCACTGGTGACTGCAGGGCCCCGCGACTCCAAGATCGACTTATGGGTTTCGGAAATGATGTGAGCGACGTGAGTGGCAAGCTGATCGAGAGTATAGACCTGGTTTGCCGCAGCTCCCGCTTGATACGGACCCGCGAAAAACAAATTCGGAAAATCACGCGTCATGACTCCATGAAGTGAACTCAATCCAGTCCGCTGTTTCTCCTGTAGGGTTTTGTTCCCACGTCCGGTGACGGTCAGCTCCCCGAGATCAGCACTACCCCCGAGCGAGTAGCCAGTCGCGAAAATGATCCCGTCCAGCTCATACTCCTCATCCTCAAACCGGATGCCTCGTTCGGTCATTGTGCGAATTCCCTTTCCGTTGGTGTCCACCAGTAGGACATTGGGTCGATTGAATGTCGGGAGAAAGGTGTCACTGAAACACGGTCGCTTACACCATGCCGGATACCACGGCTGCAGAGCTCGAGCGGTATTGGGATCTGTGACTGTCATTTGCACACGACGGCGGACCGCCTCCTGGCGAGGGAAGTCCAATTGATGCATCCGCGCCATATGGTCTAGTTCAAGACCAGTAGGCCCTCCGACCAAGACGCTCAAGGACTGCATCTTGGTCCATCCGTCGTCGACAAAGTCCACCTCTGGCAGGGGGTGCTCGTTCGAGACAAACGCATTGAAATTCTCCATGCGCTTTCTTTGCCATCCAGGGCCTTCGGTTTGGGTCATCTTCCCCCACCAGGCGAGATCGGTTGAGGAATTGTCTCGTGCACTCACAGCAGACGGTGTTCGCTGGAAGACAACCACCTTCTTTGCCCACAGGGAAAGATGTGGGATGGCTTGGACAGCAGATGCACCAGTTCCAACAAATGCAATAGTCTTATCTTGTAGTTTGTGCATCGTGGGGTCAGTCGGGCTCCCGCCGGTGTAATCATAGTCCCATCGGGAGGTGTGGAACACCCTCCCCTTGTATGTCTGATGGCCCTCCAACTTTGGTACTTTCGCGGAATCAAGTAACCCAGTTGCCATGATAACAAAGTCCGATGTCAGTGTAGTAGCTGGCTGTCCATATGGAGTGATGTCAACTATCCACTGGCCATCGTGGTCCTTCCAAGTCAACTCCTTGACCTTCGTGTTGAACAATGCCCGGTCACTCAGGCTCCATTTATTCGCAATTCGGTTCGCATGGTCTTTCAGTTCTGGGCCTGACACGTACTTCTGCGAGGGAATATACTCGGTCTCCTCCAGCAGGGGCATGTAGGTGTAGCTTTCGATATCACAAGCCAAGCCGGGATACCGATTCCACCACCATGTCCCTCCAAAGCCTCCAGCGGTGTCCACCAGCAAGATATCCGTTTGACGAACAAATCCCGATTGAAGTAGTCGCACGGCAAACAGCAATCCTCCAAAACCAGCACCGACTATGGTGACTCGGAAATGCTTCTGCTGAAGTAAATTGTTATCGATCTCGGCATGTTTTTGTGAGTACAAATCAACGTTATCGGTCAATTTAACATATTGAGAAGGGCCCGCAGCTCGCAGACGCTTCTCGCGTTCTTGCTCATACCGAATCTGCGTCTCACGAAGATCACTGTTGTTCATGTCGGCGGCTTCGGATACTGGCGTGCGAGTCGTTTCCGGTCCAACAGATTCCACTGTAGTCTGAATGGAATTAGAGTCTTGGACTGTTAAAGAGAATCTGGATGTTATAAGCGATGAGGGAGACCTAAGTTATACGGATCGGATGTAGGGTGAAGGTCGACGTGTTGAGTAGCAGAACCCGTTTGTTGTTTCACAGGGAAGTCGCAGGCCGAGCAACTTCCCACACATCGTGACGGGGCCTTACTGGAATACAACTCATGTACCCGTCTGATTCTAATACGTGGATCAGCTTTTATTCCCCATGCCCTCCTTGTCAGTGGTCAACAGTTGCCCATCATTAGTGCGTCGCCCTTAGATCTCGATAGGACAGCCTCATACAACAAAGTATGGCAACACGCTTGATTGACAGGAGATTAATTTATGGAGTGCGGTAAGGGCTATGCACTCGCCTACATGGGTTTATAGCAGAAGACGCCTTCCGCTGCAAGCAGCAAGCAGCGCTAACCAACTGGGCATCTTCCCCGTTTGTCCATGGTAAAGACCAAACGAGGATATGTATACAGTAACTTGAACGGAGCAAGAGATTGCCAATGCCGAGGGCTGCGAGGTTCCAAGACCCGTTCGACCCTCATGTCAGCACTTAAATCTCCCAGAGCTGTCGAATAGGGGCTTGACTGTAGGTACCTTATATTTAGAGTTGAATTACAAGTAGGGCTAAGTCTCGGCAAATTAACATGTGAAAAGAAAGTCCCAACAGTTTGGGGTCTTGGAAGAACTGCGAGTAAGGCGCAGCAATCCCATCTGTTGTCACCCTGACTTTCATTCCCTCGGCGCCGAGAAAGTCGGCTATTTCTAGCCCTGTTCCTGTGTAGATTCTATAGGCTCTGTCTCATCTTATGAGGTAGGTACAATTACCCCAGCACATGGGCCATGGGGCACACTACGGCTATGTGCTATTCATCAAAACGTAAGTTTATGAATTCAAAATCCACATTGATAGAGGTAGTCTGCCAAACTGGCCCTGGCCTGGCTATATTTCACTTGTTCACTCAATCGCAATATCTGCACAGGAGAGGTAAATCTGACCTGTCTGGAAAGAGTTCCACTTCCAGGAGATCAAGGTATGGTTTGAGATATAATCAGGAATCTTGATCTTCTTCGACACAGTATAACCACCGGAGATTGTTGTGTCGCAAGATCCAAGGTCTGAACCGTCAACGCCTTGGCATTTGGTGTCGTTGAAGCCATTGCACGTGAACCAGTCGTTGCGCTGGCAAGCCGCGCCTTCGTCACAGTCAGCACTATAACCGCAAGTTTGCCCATCAACATCAGTGCACTCGAGCAATCCTTCTTCGAAGCAATCTTCGGCTTCCTGCTTCTCCGCATCCGTGGGGAGATACTCGGGATCCAGAAATTTGTCGACGATGTCCTGGTTTTGGCAGATACGGTAGCTGAACATGCCACCGTGGTCACCGTTGTGATCAAGGCACCACACCACATCGACCACCTCGCCAGCCTTGTAGGTGGTGACCACATCAGAGCCCCAGCTCTTGCCTGGCTGGTTGTAGTCAACGCTCACTCGAGCATTGTATCCACAGGGTCCGCTGCGGCCCACGGGTGCTACATCAAGATCTGGCCAGGAGGACACTGGCTCGAGAATAGTGCACTCGGGGCAGGTGTCGGTGCCAGCCTATTTTCAATCAGTCGAAGTTATATTGGGGGAATTCTGAGTATATCCCATGTTCTGACCTTGAACCCGAGTTTTGTTCGGCTGTCTGGTTTCCAAAGGTAGCCATGTCCAGCAACAATGGTGGATAATGAGCCAACAAGCAAGACTGCGGTAGCTTTCATCGTCTATGAGGTTGTTTCGGACTGTTCAAGATAGGTTGTTTGAGACCAGATACAGAGCAGATCGAGTGCTGGGAATGTCTTCCCTTAAATCCTCATCTCCTGCTATTATATCCTTCAAACCTACTCCCATGCTGGATTTGAGCTATTAGGACCTAAAGCGTCCTTTTGCAACAGGGTACGGACATGAAGGCCAATCACTGAGGCCTTTCTCCCTGGTTGGATTAGACAGTGAAGAGATCGTTCCACCATGGACATTGAAGTGATCAACGTCCACCCTACCAGGTCAAGGGGCGATCGTTCCTGCAGAAGGAATGATCCGAGATTTACCCGGCCCCAGGCTGGGGCCCGGGAAATGGAATGTTTCATGTTGCCAGCCATAGGTGGTCCGGGCATGGAAACGGCAAAATCCCCGCAACATGCGAAAAGGTTGAGCTTGGCTGTCCTTGGCTGGTGCAATGCCCGATATATTTCCGCTCCATACGGAGTATGCATCCCGAACATCCTTCAAGCCAATACCTATCACCTACTGCCCGTGTAAACTGTAAATAAGAAGACAGTAGACACACATGATGCAGGCAATTTGGCAAAGGCAGTGGCAGATGCGAATCTTCGGCCCATCCCGTAGTGTCAAGTTGTCACCTGGCAACTACGTCAACTTCTACATGTGATCCCTCTGATCACCCTCGTCGATCAGCGCGGGAAATTGGTTTCTCCGCTCACCTGTCATTGCCCCCTTGAGCATCCTTTCCATCTGTGATCTGAACATCCAGACTGCATCCTCACGAAAACATTGGATGACCCTCAATATGGGTGAATTATCATCGGTCCTCCTCGCAGCCGCGATGGTGGCGGCCGGGGTTCTCTCTGCAATTTGCGCCACATCACCCACCCCTGCCCCAGCACAGAAATCTCGGCAGCGAGACCGCCTCGGCATAATAGCGGGGACTTTTCCGATTATTGCCCGTCGAATCGCGCTCATCGTTGTCATGTATCATGCGCTGTTGGTGGTCATTCCGCATTATGCCCCTGGTCGCATCTTACAGGTGTGTCCGCAGCCTCAAAATCTTCGCCCGGAACTGTTCACATGGAATATCTGCTCAATCACATCCCTCCTCCTGGTCTACGTCGGTGCATACGTGCGCCTCTCGGCTTACGGTGGACTCGGCAAATTCTTCACGTTTCACCTGACTGTTCCAGATCATCTGGTGACAACGGGGATTTATCGCTGGGTCCAACATCCCAGCTATACAGGAGCGGCGCTGGTGGCCATCGGAATCACAGCTTTATTCACTCGCTGGGGATGGCACACCCGCTTGCTGGATCCCCGAGTCAGTTCTTGCTCGGTGGCAGGGGTGGGGATTGAGCATCATGGTAGGGGCCATAGGACTCGGGCTCGGGGCATTGGGAATAAGAGTGCGGGACGAAGAAGGCATGCTGAGGCAGAAGTTTGGGCAGCAGTGGGAGGAGTGGCACCGCTCAACTAAGAGATTCATTCCAGGTTTGCTCTGAAAAATCTGAGTCTACATCTGACTAATGTACATATCTCCCCTGCTCGGTGCCGTCCTAGACTTTTGTAGGTCGCCTCAAAGCAACGACCTCCTCCAGCATAGGTGCTAACTTAGCAATGCAAAATTATCATTGTAGGTAGCATCATCAGATCACCTGGCCTGTTTGCTATATTGTTTCTCGTGCAAACTGGGCTCAACCTCCTCTCTTGTAGCCATAGCGTGCAGAGCGTCGAGGGTGATATCAACACGTGGACCGGTGAAATTCTTTCTTCCATCCACAATCCACTGGAACACAGAGATCAGGATGATGATGGCAAAAGCCGCAATACAGTAGTCTAAGTTGTTCGGTTAGTAAACTGGCTGTCATGGACATTCAAACAGGCAGGTACTCACTCATACTGCTTCCGGTGACAGTACTTGAGGGAGGGAATACAAATAGGACTGTTGTCAAAAGAATATATGACAAAGCAATCTAACATGATCAGCAGGTATTCTAGCATAGTCAAGCCTCCCATGATCGCAACATACCATATCGACAGTCCATCCCAGTGCCCGGGGCAATTGCCATTTCCTCTCGGGAAGTGATCTCCGTCCCTGGAGGCAATTGATCGCAATGGGAATTCCATAGGACAAATCAAGGGCAACAACCGAGGCCGATATAATCGCGTTGAAAGCACTAAACTTGGGTCAGTGACCACTTATGTGTCAACAATGGGCAGCGGCCAATACCTTGAAGATCCCAGAAAGATGCACCCGAATGCGATTACCACAACGACGCTCAGCATCAATGCGTTGAGGGGCAATTTGAGTGTTGGGTGAACTTTAGCGAAGAATTTGGAGGCAGGAAGACCTCCATCTCTGTGAATAATTAGTACTCGCGTTGAATGACGTGAAGCAGATCACATACCTTGCGAAAGCGAAGATCATCCGGCTACTGGTCGTCATGACACTGACTATAGCAAATACCAAGCAGACCAAAGGCAACCTAGAATCTAGAGTCAACGCAGAAACTCGATATAAGAATGGAGTTGCCCACGTACATCAAGAGGCATATGGCTCCGATGTTGTTTTTGGTGGCATCGATCAGAATCTGGAGGAGAGGGCCAGCCGCGGAGCTTGCAACCGTTTCCATGTTGCCAGCGACGAAAAGCAAGACTATCAAGAAGATAGAACCAGTGAATACACCAATGCCGACGCAGGTTACCATGATTCTGGGCCCCTCAATGTCCGCATTTGGTACCTCTGAGCGCGCGATGTGTCAGTTTCCATGTTTTCATCCCTCCTGTTCATGGCTTACCTTCAATCATGTGTGCCACTGCATCCTAGATGAAGTTAGCCGGGCTGATTGGGGTCTTCCGGGTGGTCTTCGCCGACTTACAAAGGCCGTGACACCAAGCCCTCCTTGAAGCAACTAGAATATCTGTGAGCCTCGCTGCAGCATCGTAGATCTAACGGACAACATACACCTAGAAGCCATGCAACTCCGTCGGGCCCTAGTGGCAAGAGTTAGCAAGATGATCTTAATGGACTTCTGGATAGCCATACAGCCTGTCGTGTTAACAAAATCACAGAACACAAAGCTACATGTATGTCAGTTGTCGTCATTTGAGCCCACCCTGAGGACTTCATACTAAGCTGAGTTATAGTTGGGGGCGGCGCATGCGAGGACAGTGATAGATACAATCACAAATCCTCCAATCGACCACATGACTAACCATCGTTAGAGATAGAGACGAGATGGGCGAATTTAACTCACAAGCACCGCGATAGATCATCGGCAACGCGGAGTTCATGAAAGCGTTGATTATGAAGGAACCGATGGTCAAGCCGATGTAGATCAGGAATTGATGCCAGGGTTTGGGTACATAGTTCTTCATATGCCGTTAGATTGGGATAGGATATTACTCCAAAGAGCCTTTCTCACCTCGTGGAGAACGGAAATAATTCCAACAATAAGCTGGCTGGAAAGAAGCGAGTTCGTGGCAACGAGAGCAATCTGTCGGATATTAGATCCTCATCTAACACAATACCACATCGGATGATTGTCTTGCATACCCAGCCTGCCACATTAACCCATCCAGTCACCCATGAGAGAATTGGAACTGTACTCGGCCACGCGACTTCGATCCGTTAGCGTCAATATCGACTGGTCGTCCGAGGAGAACATACTAGCTAGCATCCAAATTCGCGTCAGTCTCGAGGCCTAGACCATATATCTCTGGCAGGCATGTAATAGCTTACCTGCAACCCAATGATATTGTCCACCGGCTCTGTCAGAAAATCAGTCTGTGGGACCAATCTCAGGAATATTAGACCATACGTCGGATACGCCGAGAGAAACTCAGCCAAGGAACATGCGATGCAAAGGTTACAGAATCCTGCAGTCACCAACCCTACAAAGCGCATGTTAATGTAGTCTCACCTATTAGAGACAGGCATTTTATCAATCCACTTACCCCAAACCACACTTGTGCTTCCACCGGAGGTGAGACTGATCGACAAACTGGCCGAAAGTGCAGTCCACGACTAACCACATTAGCTCGATGATATGCCGCCATACACGCCAAACCTACATTGAGAACTGCAAAGGCCAAACCAAGCATTGACCTGGAACCGTCAGCATCCAGTCTTGCGCCATGTTCATTTACTTACCATGTCGAATGACTGCGTTGAAGTTCAGGCCGATGGCCCATGGCGGCCAGCTTGGCATCATCGCCTTCGAGTGGAATTTCTTTCATTGTGAAGTAAATCCTAAATTCAAAATCGCGGAGAATGGCTGCAGAGAATGCCAAAGCTTGGGAGTAAAGCAGTATAAGTACTCCGATGTGCTCCTAATATGACTCCGGACAGGCTCCGATGGGAGAGCATGCGGGGAAGCTATGAGGTAGCATATCAGCCCAGCTGAGTAGAACATAGACATCAATGCCAAGCTAGAAAGGCTTATCGTCATTGCACTAGCCCTAAAGTGCTAGTCTGTTGATATCTCGGCTCCTCTGGTCGAAAGCCGCATGGACTTACCCGACATCGTATAGTGTCATTAACCCTGCGAATCAGAGAATACCTGAAGGGGGCAATCCAAATTTAAATCCCATTTGCTTGAAGGAATGTGTACGATATGGAATGCCATTTTCAATTTTGGTCAGTCAATTTGTTCGCTATCTCTTGCATCCACAGTGCTCTATCCACTCTTTTCTCGATGCTGACAGCCTCGCTTGCTCGTGATAACCGCCTACCTATCATGTTGACAGTTTGACATTTCAGAATAGAAAACACCTCATGGATACATCTCTCTCCCCTGTGATGGCTTTGACCACTGCTGAAGCTCTACATGATTTCCATCCATCATCTACGAGATATAACGGGACTGACTGCTTAACAATGGATCGATATATTTGAAGTTGTAATTCATATATACATTCATGTAAAGTCCGAACTCCCCAGAAAACGCTCATGCATCCCCGACGCCAGATGTGAGCTGCGTGCCATTTCACGAAAACCAAGCTCATAAATCCTCATAATACACGCAAGTCAGGCAGGAAAACAATCCAAAAGACACCCATTGACCCCAAGACGACCAGCATCTCGATGGGTCCGCTGTCATTCAACGAACGTTGTAAGTGTCGAGGGCTTGCTGAACATCATGAAGACTGTTTTTGTCGCCGTATGCATCCATCAATTGCAGGTTTCGTGCCAGACGTTGTTCTTCCTCCAACAGAGACATTTGCTGCCGCGACTTAGCCTCGATGTAATAATTGTATACTCCGAAACCTGCAGAGAAAGTCAGTGTGATCCGTATAGATGACGTTGTCAGCGGATACTAAGCGCATACCAAGACCAATCGTTGCCATCAAAGGAATCAGTCTGTAAAAGAAGTTAGTTCCTCGCGGGCCTAGAGAAAAGCGGCCAATTTAACTGACATGCGGGCGTTCCGAGGCTTAAGACTCGGTCCAGTTGGGTTATTCCCATATGACTTGTTTGTACCGATAGCAAATTGAGACATTGTGAATATGGTGAGTATAGTGAAGATGTTGAAGAGTATAGATGTGGATATTGAGAACGTTGAAAGGAAGTCAAGGAAAGGGGCATCGGGGGAGCGGAAGAAGCGGAAGAAGCGGAAATGCGGGGAAATTCATGACGTGGGCCGAGGATGTCACGTATTTGTGAGGCGATCAGGCCACTTCATCATATGGCTCAGGTACTAGCTGGTGTGTGTAGTTCCTACAATGTACACAGTCTATTGACAACGTTACAACATATAAATCGTCGAATATCTTCTTCAATTAACTTATTCAAAATCCTCGGATTGTCCCGCCCGGGGCCCCGGTGTATCCACATATCCACCCGGAAAACATCCCGGACATCGGGTCAGTGTTCACACCTCCGCCTTTGCTTACCACACAGATCCTCGATTGTCACTACTATCTAAACAAATGGGTTTGAGGCCAACTCAATGGCCATTGTTCATAGGCGCAGGGGTGGCCGGACCCTCCGGGGTCACATAAGCCTGGCATGGCTTGTCAGCGTTGATGTGGGAGATTCATCCAACCTCACACTTACCTTGGTCATTCCACCGTCGACGACAAAGTCTGTTCCATTTACAAAGCTGCTCTCATCGCTGGCAAGGAAAACCACAGCGTGAGCCTGCTCAATGGCCTCACCGAACCGGCCGGTGGGGAAGTGCACCTCCCTACGGTGTCGCTTGGCCTTGTCATCACCGAGCCAGTCCTGCAAAAGTGGAGTACTACATTGTTGTCAGTTGGTGCTAAGAGAAAAGCAGGTAAAGCAACCTACTTCAGAGGGGCGGGGCAAAGAGCATTGAAGCGGTAGCCCTCACGAGCGTGAACAATGGCCAACTCCCGAGTCATGGCCAGGACCGCACCCTTGCTTGCTGTATAGGCCAGCTGAGGAGTAGCAGCGCCCACCAATGCGACAACGCTAGCAGTGTTGATGATGCTGCCACGAGTCTTCTTGTGACGACGCAGACTGAGGACGGCGTGCTTGCTACCGAACCAGACACCCTTAACATTGATGTTGTGTGTGAGATCCCAGATCCTCTCGGGGGTGTCGATGGCATCAGCATCGTCGGCATGCATGATTCCCGCATTGTTGAAGATCACGTCCATGCCTCCCCAGCTATCCTGTGACTCGACCATTGCTTGTACGTCCGACTCCTTGGACACATCACATCGGATGGATTCGACCCGAGGGGCGGTGGGCACTACTTCCTTGACCTTGGCCAAGGCCTTTGCAAGAGCCGGCTCGGAGACGTCGGCCATCAGGACGTTGGCCCCCTCGCGAGCGAATAGGATACTGGTTTCAAGACCAATGCCACTGGCCGAAGTCCGGAATCAGTGAGGATCTTGAAGAGATTGCTAATTAGGAAGACGAAAAGAAACATACCCGGCGGCGCCAGTGATAATGGCATTCTTTCCTTGGAGGCGTCCTCGAGGGGTAGTGGCAGCCATTATGAGATATCGTGTAGCTCCTGTAGTTGGACAGGGGTATAGATTAGCGACGAAGGGTCTAGATTAACAACGAATCAACCTCAAGGATCACAACGTCATTTGATATTCGTATACAGTGCCTGGGTCACTCACAGAAACCGAGAAAATAACTGAATCAACGAGAGTTGTCAACGCAACCGAGAATGTGTTTGCTCCGAAAGTATACGCGGGGCAGCGTTCACGGGGTGGATCCCGTTAGGTAAGCGGTGACGATGTTGACCCGAAGCGGTAAGGCGTCCCCGATAAGGCATTGATAAGCTTCCAAGCTTGCGCAAGTGCGCGGGCACAGTTGCTCGGAATCACTTCACCTGACGGACAGGATCGACCTCCTTGATTGAACGAAACGTTACCTTATCTTTCGGATACTCACCGCACTGCTCTCTTGTACCCCCGTTCTCTTCAACCCCCTGAACCTTCGTACCCGAACCTTCTCCTACCCCTGGACCCGATCTATCATGTCGGACCCCACATACACCGAGGTCACAGCCGAGAATGTCGCCGAAGTCCTCAGGGATGACACGAAGGTGAAAGTGGCAGGCGTGGATATAGATGGTATTCTGCGTGGTAAACTGATGAAAAAGGATAAGTTTTTGTCCGTCGTCACTGAGGGGTTTGGATTCTGCTCCGTTATCTTCGGCTGGGATCAACATGATGCGACGTATTACAAGGAGCTGGCCATCAGCAATAAAGAAAACGGATATCGCGACCTTGTCGCTGTTCCAGACCTCCGCAGTTTCCGTCGCATTCCATGGGAGAATAATGTGCCCTTCTTCCTCGTCAGTTTCCTGGATCCAGACACGAGGGAGCCGGTGTGCGCCTGTCCACGAGGATTGATGAAGACCGCAGCTGCCAAAGCCGAGGCGGCAGGGTATCGGGCCATGGCAGGAGGTTAGTTCAATCCAGGGCCCCGCTTATCTATGACACGATGGCTGACAGACTCGTTCTATCCAGCTGAATATGAGTTCTACCAATTCCGCACTCCGGGTGATCATGTCAGTCCTGAGCGGGCAGCATCTGCGACAGCTGGTTTCCTCAAGTCAAATCCAGCGGATGCATTGCCTTCGATAACTGAAGGCATGTTTGGCTATTCCATCACGCGTCCCCTCCACAATCAAGATTACTATTATGGCATATTCGACGCCTGCGAGAAGTTCCGATGCGACATCGAGGGGTGGCATACCGAGAGTGGACCCGGTGTCTTTGAGGCTGTGAGTGACGTGAGAGAGCGCCATGGGTCACCTTTGGGGCTGACATCGTCATAGGCATTACAATTCGGCGAAGCAAAGGATATGGCCGATAAGGCAGGGTTGTTCAAGTATGGCGTTTCCCTCTGATCAGCTCTCCTTGCAGGCCTTTACTAACCAGGTTGCCTGTACAGATACGTCGTCAAAGCATACGGAATCAAGCATGGCATCACCCCATGCTTCATGGCTAAACCCCGACAAGGCCTGCCGGGAAACAGTGGACACATGCACATCTCACTCGTCACCGCAGATGGAAAGAACGCCTTCATTCGCGATTCACCCGATCCATCCCCGCTCTACCCCGACATCGCTCATCTCTCCGATCTGGGTCGACACTTCCTGGCTGGTCTTCTCGTCGGTCTCCCGGACATCATGCCGATCTTGGCCCCGACCATCAATTCCTACAAACGACTGGTGGAAAACTTCTGGGCGCCTGTCACGGTCTCGTGGGGTCTGGAGCACCGAGCTGCCTCTATCCGCCTGATCACTCCCCCAACAGCAAGCGCCAAAGCGACTCGATTCGAGGTACGCGTGCCGGGTGCGGATACCAATGCGCATCTTGTCCTGGCGGCTATTCTGGCATTGGGATGGCGAGGAGTGGAACAGAAGCTCGAGATTCCCGTGCCGCCTCTAGCCCGCGGTGAAGACATGGGTGGCGCCAGCGACCAGGGTGCGCGGTTGGCCAAGTCTTTGAAGGAGGCAATTGTTACATTTGCACGACCGGGGAGTGTCGCACGGGAGGTGTTTGGCGATTCATTCGTTGATCACTTCGCTGGGACTCGGGAACACGAGGTGCGCTTGTGGGAAGAGGCGGTTACTGATTGGTATGTGATATTGTCTACTGCGACGTTGATCTGGAAGCTGACTTCACTGTTTTTCCAGGGAATTGAAGCGGTACATTGAGACCGTGTAATGTCGTGTTTTGACTCATGGCTTTGGCTCGATTCTCCAGAGGATTGTACATAGTCGCATTGGCTTAGATGGGGTTGTGTAGCGCGTAAGGGAAAGTAGTACACAGTATATTGCAGGAATCCTATCCAAATACATCGGACCAAATATCGAGTGACTTTCCAACGTTATATGAAGCTGGTCAAATCTGGCGGTCCCAGCGTCACATGCGGTCACATGCCGATGAGCTTAGGATGACCGCATCGACTCTCCGGGACATTTCGGCTTCGGATATGACTTTTGTGAACCCTGCTAGATATGGGAGATTCTGAGACTTAAGCCGCGGCTCATTGGAGTTTCGGAGCATACTGCCAGGTGGCAGTATTCTGCAGCCGCTTTTCTCGGGTGTAGCAGGGAGGGAAGATGAGAGATTGTCTGCTTGTGGAGTACTAGAATTAGTTATGTTAATTGATCGCAAGAACGATAATGTAGAAATAAATCAAGCAATAATCATTAGCAAGATCATTTCATAACAAGCATGAATTCGAATTGAGGCCCGATAAGAGTCGGCACACGGCGTCTCCCGGTTTTATTCGGGGTAAAAGTAGCTCGATGCCGAACATTCAACCTCGAGCTTTATGGGGTAAGCTGGCCAAATAAGGAAGAAAAGATGGGGGAAGCGGGAAAAGTCGGCCGAGAGGAAGCTACAATTGAGTTTCCCGCGGGAAACTGGCCCGAAGCGGTGAAAGCAACGGTCAAATGGGCGGGACCCAGTTCGGCTTATCATTGGAAGGCCCAAAAGAGACAACCGCGGCACTTCGGTGACTCTGACGTATTTCACCTCCCTCGGGCAGATGGGGATTCTGCTCATTTCTATATAGTCAACTGATCTCCTCTCACTACCTTCTTTTTCTTCTCTCTTTCCTAATTGAATTTTCCCTTTTCTTCTAAAATTGTACTTGAATGGAATACCCTTAGTATATACTCACATCTATACATCTCATCTACATACCGTCATGTCTCACGTCGAAACACAGCTCAAGGATGTCGCCATCCTAGGCGCCATCAGCAACGATGCTCGCAAGATTTTGACCAAGGAGGCATGTGCCTTCCTGGCTCTTCTCCACCGTACCTTCAACCCTACCCGCAAAGCTCTCCTCCAACGTCGCATTGATCGTCAGGCCGAGATCGACAAAGGCACCCTCCTCGACTTCCTTCCTCAGACCAAGCACATTCGTGAGAACGATGCCTGGAAGGGAGCTCCCCCGCTCCTGGTCTCGTTGACCGCCGTGTCGAGATCACTGGTCCCACCGACCGCAAGATGGTCGTGAACGCTCTGAACTCCGATGTCTGGACTTACATGGCCGATTTCGAGGATTCAAGTGCCCCGACTTGGGACAACATGGTCAATGGCCAGGTCAACCTGTACGATGCTATCCGTCGCCAGGTCGACTTCCAGCAGGGCGGCAAGGAGTACAAGCTCCGTACTGACCGCACCCTGCCCACCCTGATCGCCCGTGCTCGTGGCTGGCACTTGGATGAGAAGCACTTCACCGTCGACGGTGAGCCCATCTCCGGTGGTCTGTTCGATTTCGGTCTGTACTTCTTCCACAACGCTAAGGAGCTCGTCGCCCGCGGTGCCGGTCCTTACTTCTACCTGCCCAAGATGGAGTCTCACCTCGAGGCCCGTCTGTGGAATGACGTCTTCAACCTCTCCCAGGACTACATTGGTATGCCCCGTGGTACTATTCGTGGTACCGTCCTGATCGAGACCATCACTGCTGCCTTCGAGATGGATGAGATTATTTACGAGCTCCGCGATCACAGCTCCGGTCTCAACTGTGGCCGCTGGGATTACATCTTCTCTTTCATCAAGAAGTTCCGCCAACACCCCAACTTTGTCCTTCCCGATCGCTCTGACGTCACTATGACCGTTCCCTTCATGGACGCCTACGTGAAGCTCCTCATCAAGACTTGCCACCGTCGTGGTGTGCACGCTATGGGTGGTATGGCCGCCCAGATCCCCATCAAGAACGACCCTGCCGCCAACGACAAGGCCATGGAGAGTGTCCGTGCCGACAAGCTTCGCGAGGTGCGTGCCGGTCACGACGGTACCTGGGTTGCCCACCCCGCCCTGGCCGCCATTGCCTCCGAGGTCTTCAACAAGCACATGCCTACACCCAACCAGCTCTTTGTCCGCCGCGAGGATGTCAACATCACCGCCAACGACCTTCTCAACACTAACGTCCCCGGCAAGATCACCGAGGATGGTATCCGCAAGAACCTGAACATCGGCCTGAGCTATATGGAGGGCTGGCTCCGTGGTGTCGGCTGTGTGCCCATTAACTTCCTGATGGAGGATGCGGCCACTGCCGAAGTGTCCCGCAGTCAACTCTGGCAGTGGACTCGTCACAACGTGACCACCTCAGATGGCAAGCGTATGGACAAGGCCTTTGCCCTACGTCTGCTCCAGGAGCAGGCCGACAGCCTGGCTTCCAAGGCTGGCAAGGGCAACAAGTTCCAGCTCGCTGCTCGCTACTTCGCCAGTCAGGTCACCGGTGAGGACTACGCTGATTTCCTGACCAGCCTGCTGTACAATGAGATCTCCTCTGCCGGCAGCGCTGCTAAGCTTTGAGCGGGCCGTGATTTTATGATGATGAATACCCTTGTTTCTTTTTTTTTGTCTGTCTGCCTTTCGAAAAAGGCCTGAACTACCATCTGGAGTTAGCATAGTTGTATAACAATTAACCAATTTCAACATTCATTTCACTCACATGATTCTTACCAGTAAAGCGTCTACCTACTTGATAATGTTTCTTAAGACTATGGAGGAGATCATGTTTTGGGGGTTTGAAGATATCTGGTTCTTGCCCGAGAAAACACTCCAGTTATACTTGCGTCGGACATTCGACTCCCGTCGGCAACTCCAGGTCGTGGCAGAGGACCCTTCTCGCATCCTTGTTCTGTGAAGATACCTTGTGCGGAGAAGTATTATGAGGCTGTGATTCTTTAGCTTTGCCGTGACTACGACTCTTCTTATGAGACTTATTGGATGGCTACTCATTATTCTGTGCTATATGGTGGAGTACCTATGTGGACGGTACAAATATCTTGGTTACAGAAAGTTTTACCATGTCCTCAAAGTGGGAGATCCTCAGATGTATTCAATACAGGATGAGCTTCGACACGGTTTGATTGAAGAGCGTCGTCTCCCATCGGCTCCTGGGCGGCACGCTTGAGGGGGTGAGGGTCTTACGTAGGTAACGTAGGTATCCGTAGAAGAGGGGACGGCATATACAGATCAGTGATCAATATTTAAAGAAAGCTATAGTCGACTTTAGATACAGGACCTAGCGCGAGGACGCAAAAGAAAGGTAGCTTCCTCGCGTTCCACAAGTGCACACGTCTAGAGGAGATGCCAACCCAACTTCCCTTTTGTCGTCCTTTTTTCAACGTTCAAAGGCCAGATTTACGTCTTCTCCGAATTTCCAACTTTGCGAGATCGTGTGCCACTTCAAGCCCGGGCAACACCGTTGATGATCTTAGCCAGATCTTCCGTGTGATCCTTCTCGTTTATATTCCACGGGCTGTACTGTTTCATCTTGAGAAACGGTAGTGCAGGGCAAGGATATCCGGTCACTACCAACAGAAATCCGTGGTTGTCTTGCGATACAAGCAGACATCTATAGAAGCTGGTCAGACTCTCTATTCCGGTAATGGCATTTCATCGAACTTACCGAGGGGAGGGGGGAGCGCTCTCGCTCATGCTCGAGGTCATGCATTAGCCATGCAATCATCTCGCCCGTCTCTTGCCAACGCACTTCCGGTCGCCTTTTAGGTTCCGAGCGTTTGGCTTAACCTCGGCGATTGCGAAGACTTGGCCGTTCTTCGCCCTCAAGCAGCCATCCGTGCGTGCAGTCATTTGGTTATCACCAAAAACTACTGCGTCAAATGGTGGGCGGTCAACCTCCCGCTGGCACCGCACGTTTCGCGCCTCGGGTATGTAGATCAACAGTGCCTTTAGAAACGGCAGCAGGGCGTCATTGACGATCTGTTCGTCCTTGGTTGCAAGTTGCAACCTGTACTGAGGTACTGGAACTGGTGGACCAATCGCTCGCTGCCGCTGATATCCCTGACTGCGAATGCAATGGCGATTGGCTGTCGGATCCTGACGCCATGCTCACATAGCTAGGCAGGGGAACCTCGCGCCGTTGGCGGGCGGTGGCGAGCGACTGTTCCGTATCTACGGAATCAGACTCGAGGCCTGCGCTCAAGGTGGCGGGCTTAGCATGACCTTCTGCTGTGATTTGCTGGCAATAGGAAGTACCCAAGCTCCCGGCGGGTCACCCCTATGTTGCCAAGGTTTCGAAAACGATCCGGCTATGAAAGTTCTGCAAAGAGTCGGAGACCTTTTCCATGATCGAATCGTCGAACCCAGGAAATTGGAGTGTCGATTGTGGGAGGGTCCAGAGCGCTCGTATTGCAACGAAATCCAACAGACTCAGTTTTGACGCCTAGTGGATATGTTCCAACTTCCAAGTCATGGAGACCCAGACCGGCCGTTTTATCTCCCAAGCTTTTTGCAGCCTTTGCCCATTCACTTGGGATTGTCGGGACTTGACATAGGGAGCGGTTGGATGTTTGGTGAGTATGGAGAGATGCTTGAAGAAAGTAGATGGATTCATGGAAGTGATCTCAGATGCGCTAAGGAGGAGAGAGGAGAGAGAAGGAAACTAGCTTCTGGGGGGGCTGATATAGTTATCCGTAAGAGTACCTAGCTGTCAGGTGATCGGGTTCCACGAGTGCTGACAGGGGGCTCCTTCCCCAGAACGCATTCCTTACATCTACAGATGGAAGGTGCAGACCTACATCTCCAGGACTGTGACGTATGTACCTTACGATCAGACCTGAGGCACATATTTGGTGCCTGAGTGGCCGAAGATGATTCTTTTGAAGGTTCCTTGCCATTGGGAGTTTGAAAGTTTCACATGCTCCTTGTTTCGACCTCTTCATTGACACGGAAACAAACAGGAAACCATCAGTAAGAAGTACATTTTGAGCTTGTCCGTTCCTCAAACTAGCATCTAGATACTAGCTAAGGATCAATATACTCCCTAATCAGGCAACTCAGATATACTCCCAAGCAGCAGGCGCAGTGGAGTTGACAGAAACAGCCAGAGCATCGAAGCCGAGGCAGTCATTGACTTTACCAGAGGGGACCGTGGCATTCTGCAAAGCAGCATAAACCTGCCACTTTGGGGCGGCAGCAGCGCCCCGACGGGAACGACGGTATCCGGAAGTGCCATTGGTAGTAGGACAGGCCATGAAGCCAGAGGCTCCCTGGCCACTATAGCTCCAGTGACCGAAAGAGGCGCCGGGTTTGTATGCGAAGGGGCCATCAGAAGCGCCGGCGGGCTCGTAAGCGGAATGGGGAGTGGTGAAGCGCAGAGCACCCTTAGGATCCACGTAGATGGCTTGACCACCGGGAACCTTGACATCCTAGGTATGGATTAGCAAACGTGGGTGGATGGCTCGATGCCATGTTGATTTTTCTGAAGTGCTCTTACCAGGAAATGGCCTCCAGCAATCACAGTCTGGTTGGTCTCAGGGACACCAGGAACGGGAGAGTAACTGTGGGCATTACCACCGAGCCAAAAATAGCTGCCCGCGGCATTCAATGGCAGCAAGTGAATGGGTGAAGCGGAGCGAGCAGAGATGACGCTGAAGGGAGCATCGGAGTTCTTGCTATGGGAGCCGGGGAGGGCAGCCACCAGAGGGGCGATAGCGAGAAGGGCAGAGAACTTCATTTTGAGTGGAAGTGGGTATATAGTAGGTTATATTGGAGGAAAGAGAGATATAATCTATGGAGAGGAAAGATTCGAGGGTTGCAAGTAGAACCGGTCTTATACCAGACGGGGACATCGAGGATGCCTGAATAAGTCCATAAGCGGACCCAGTTCCATATAAATTGGGTGATCGCCATGGCTGAAGTCTGGTGGAGACAGTAACAAGGTAAAAACAACCATTGAAACGGAGGAAATTGGCCAATTCACAGTCGGATTGTGCAAGATATGTGGAGTAGAAGATGGAGTCCAGAACACATGAAGGAAAAAGGCCGAACAAGACAGTAGTAGATCAGAAGAATGACAGCATGCAACTGGGCAGGATCTCCACTTCAGATCGGACAAACATAGCCTACATAGCAGGTTACCTTCTATTCACTTGTCGTTGATCCATTCTCTTCGTTCCTGGCCGAGACCCGCCGAGTCGATCGAAGACCGAAGTAGATGTCACTCCAATTGATGATAACATCGCAAGTCCTCGATGATCAGACTAAGAAAGCCATGGAGCAGGTACAACGAGGTCGAAGAGGACAATAACAAGAGAGAATAATGAGCTCACAGGGACGCCAACTCAGGTCCACAAGATCCACAATGTCTCACATTGCATTTGCATTGCGCGCTACTACCGTGTATGGTGTAGAGTGTAGACCAACGATGTACACAGTATACAACACGATCTGCTCAATGACAATACGAGTTACGGAAATTTCGGAAAGATTGTCGACGAGACTAATGAATCCAGACCTTTCTCATGAAACTCGCTGGAGAGAAAGCATGTGATAACTTCAATCAGACCAAAAGGGAAATCTGTTGATAAGAAGATAAGTATGATGTCATGTGACCATTTCCCAGTCACGGACACCAGACTCTCCCTTCGGACACTTTGAGAGATCCTGCAAAACAATGGAAATCAAAGACTGAATGGCTTCCTTACCTGATCTGGAAGGAGCCTCACGCCCGGCCAATCTCTCAAAATCCAATCGCCCCACGCGTCGCTTATACACGTCGCTACAGAATCCACCGGCCGAACAGTCAACGTCGGAGAGCAGCTGGGAACAACACCAGGACTTAGACACACCATCCAGTGGAGATGAGTCCTCCGATCAGACTAATATCAGACTTCTACCTTTGAAAGAAGACAGATCTCAGGATCCCCAACCCTCGAGCTCGAAAACGAGCGACGTGAATTCTGTGCCGATCGATGTCCCCGATGACGAGCGTGATGTGTCGAAGCGCATCGAAGATCTCCTTCGAGCAGATCGCAATCTACTGTCGGACTCGTTCGCTACGGATCTGGAGGAAGGAGACTCGGGCAGAAGCTCTCTGGTGCTCGGTGGACGGTACAGTGACGATTATGGCCTCCCACCGGACAAGGGCCTGTTATTGAACCATAGGAAGAGCCAAGAGGAAGATGATACAAGGAGCTTTGGCTGGAGGTCGCTATTTCGCCTCCATTCTTGGTGGAGTGTTTTGAGCTTCTTCATAATCGCCCTGGTGGTGGTGTGGGTTGCGATCAGAGGCCTGCCCTGGTCCTCTGCTGGAGCCACAGGGAATGAATTTGTAGGTTGCCCTTTTGCCGCTGGATAAGATGTGGTAAATTCGATACCAGGTATCTGACAGTCGCAGCAAGCGGTCTCTTGGTATCCTACACCTCTTGGCGGAACGAGCAAACAATGGAAGGAAAGCTATACCAAGGCCCAAGAGATGGTCAAGAAGATGTCACTTCCCGAAAAGGTGAACATCACTACTGGTACAGGCTGGCAAATGGGCCTTTGTGTTGGGAATACTGGTAACATTTTGAATTCATCCCACTACTTTGCGTCCGCCCACTGACACTGACATTTTGCGCAGGACCTGCCGAACTCGTTAAATTCCCTTCCCTCTGCCTACAAGACGGACCGCTTGGACTTAGATTCGCCCAGAATATCACAGCATTCCCGGCGGGAATCACCACTGGCGCAACTTGGAATCGCGATCTTATGCGATTACGAGGCTTGGCCCTAGGACAAGAAGCACGGCTGAAAGGGGTGAATGTCATCCTCGGTCCATCAATGGGGCCGCTCGGCTTGATGCCTGCTGGAGGTCGTAATTGGGAGGCATTCGGTTCGGATCCAGTTCTGCAGGGCGTGGCTGCGGCAGAGACCATTCGCGGTATCCAAGAGAACGGAGTCATGGCAACCGCAAAACACTTTATTGGAAACGAACAAGAACACTTCCGTCAGTCATTTGAATGGGGTATTCCCACTGCTCTTTCATCGAATATTGATGATCGGGCACTACACGAGGTTTTTGCTTGGCCCTTCGCCGAGAGTGTACGGGCTGATGTGGCCAGCATTATGTGCTCCTATCAAATGGTCAACAACACCTATGCTTGTGAGAACAGTAAACTTTTGAATGGTCTGCTCAAAGACGAGCTCGGTTTTCAAGGATTCGTGCAGTCGGACTGGCTGGCCCACCGTTCAGGGGTCAATAGTGCCATTGGAGGCCTGGACATGAGCATGCCTGGCGATGGCCTCCACTGGGCCGACGGTGTTGCACTATGGGGCAGCGAGCTGACTCGCGCAGCTTTAAACACATCTGTTCCCATGGAGCGTCTGAATGACATGGTCACACGTATCGTGGCCGCCTGGTACCAATTCGGTCAGGACTCGTGGGAACGGCCAGCTCCAGACGGAGAGGGCGGGCCTAACTTCTCTTCGTGGACGAAGGAGCGAGTGGGACACTTATATGAAGGCTCACCAGATAAAGATGCTACCGGTGTGGTCAACAAATTTGTCAATGCACAGGGGATAGGCCCACACGCCCATTCTAATGTTGCTCGCCAGGTTGCTGCGGAAGGTACTGTGCTTTTAAAGAATATAAACAATACCCTTCCACTCCTGCGCCATGACTCCATTCCCGACGGCAAATACCGGGTCGGTGTATACGGCGAAGATGCTGGCTCCGGCAAAGGACCGAATGCCTGTCCTGACCGAGGATGCAACCAAGGGACCTTGGCCTCTGGTTGGGGAAGCGGCGCTGTCGAGTTCCCATACCTAGTCAGTCCATGGGAGGCACTTCAGTCTGCGTGGTCGAAGGACTCAGTTGACGTTCAAGGTCACCTGACAAATAATGTGGCCGTCGAGGACCTCGCAGACCGGAATTTGTGTTTGGTCTTTGTGAATGCAGATGGCGGCGAAGGGTTTATTCGCAGTGAAGGCGTTGACGCTGATCGGAATGATCTATTTTTGCAAAAGAATGGCACTGAGTTGGTAGAGGCGGTAGCGAAACATTGCGGTGGTGGTGAAGGTAAAACAGTGGTCGTTGTACATTCCATTGGCCCTGTTGTGATGGAATCTTGGATTGACCTTCCTGGTGTGTACGCTGTGCTGTATGCCAACCTGCCTGGACAAGAAAGTGGGAATGCTCTGGTGCAGGTTCTGTTCGGAGACGTCGACGTGAGCGGACGATTGCCATACACCATTGGTCGCAGCCTAGAAGACTATGGCCCAGGGGCGCAAGTGCTGTATGAGCATTCCGGCCCATCCGTTCCACAGGTCAACCTCGAGCAGGGTCTCTACGTCGACTATCGTTATTTCGACAAGTTCAATGTGACTCCGCGGTTCGAATTTGGCTTCGGTTTGTCATACACGACCTTCAAATACTCTTCACTCAGCGTCGAGAAACTACAGGAGAGATCTCAGCTGCCTGCTAAGCCTCCCGCTAATGAGGTTAAGCCTCTCGCTTATGAAAACAAACGGGATTCCCCTTCTACCAGTATTTTCCCACCAGGGTTCCGCGTTCTCCGCAAGTACATATACCCCTACCTCGACTCTCTGACGGGCACTGAACCTGGACCGTACCCATACCCCGAAGGATACAACAAGCGCCAGAAGCCATCCGCTGCAGGCGGCGGACCTGGCGGCAATCCCTCGCTCTATGAACCTATGCTCGAACTTTCTGTTGAAGTAACGAATACCGGTAAGCGTACCGGACAGGATGTGGTCCAGGTGTACGTTTCCTTCCCTGAAGACGTCGCCGAGCACCGTGGACTAGGCTGGTCCCGCGAGTCGATTGAGTTCCCTGACCGAGTCTTGCGGAATTTCACTAAAGTCTCCATGCAACCGGGTGAGACTAGAACTGTTCAGATGACGTTGACGCGGAAGGACCTCAGTTATTGGAGCGTTCGGGCGCAGAACTGGATCCTTCCGGAGGGAACAATCCGTATCTGGGCTGGGCGTAGTTCTAGGAATCTCCCACTTATGGTTGAGTATTGATCGTTGTGGCTCCGATTATGGATTGACTCATTTGTACGTACTAGGTACCTATAATTAGCTAACATGGAATAGGCAACGAGATGTATAATCTACCAAGTACTGTGAAGCAGGGCTTTAATGAAACATCAATCGAATGAGAATATATGAACTTTTGCTTTCGCTTAATAGATGCACTGAAGTATCTATTCAAATCATGTACAATACTGGCGAAGGCGGCACGTATCAGAATCTATGCCGTAGAAAGAAAAGAAACAAAACGCCAAACACCGTCTATCAGATCCAATGCCAGACCAAAACATTAACATGGTGCTCATGATGCGAGGAGATAATTGCAATCGGTCTCCCGGCCATTACGAATCATAATGTTGTAAAGCGTGTCTATTCGTCGTCGGAGTCCGCGGGCTTGGGAGTACCCTTGGGGGAGTTCAACTGTAAAAGAAAGGTATTAGCATATTGGAAGGAACAGAAATGTCAAGGAACGAAAACTTACCCATTCAATGTAGCGCAGACGACGGCGGATCTCGCGCTCCTTCTGCTGGGCACGAGTCATCTTCTTCTTCTTCTTAGCACGGAACTTGAGGTCACCCGCGCCTTCATCACCAGAGTTGACAGCTGACGGGGCGGCACTGGTAACGGCTGAGCCAGTGGCAGGAGTGCCAGGGCCGGAAGGCGAGTTGGCAGCGCTGTCCTCGAAGCGGTCAAGGCTGACAGCGTTGTTGGTACGGCTGACGACACGGCCGTCGGCGATGTGCAGTTGCTCGGGGCAAAGGGCACCCACGAACTCCTCGTTGTGAGAAATCATAACGACACCACCCTTGAAGTCACGAATGGCAACAGCCAGACCACCAAGGGAGTCACGATCCAAGAAGTTAGTCGGCTCGTCCAGGACCAGCAGATGGGGGTTGTTCCACATGGCACCAGCGAGCACGACCTTGACCTTTTGACCACCGGACAGACCGGAGATCTCGTTGTGGTTGGCGATCTCGGGGTCCATACCAATGTCCTCGAAGTGCTTGGTGATAGTCTTGGGGTCAAGGACACGGAATCCCAGACCCTCACGAGAAGCCTCGTGATCGTCGAACTCCTGAACCATCTTGAAGAAACCGAGCTCGAGCAGAGTCTCACGCGAGATCATGGTGTTGTACTTGGGGAGAAGGCCAACCCACTTGACCTCATACTGGAAGGACTTCTTCCACTTTTGACGACCAATCAGGGCTTCGATGCGACGAGCACCACGGCCATCGCCAAGATCGACTGGCTTCTCCAGCTGGGCCTTGTCGGCCTCGGTCAAGATACGGGTCTGCTTCAGGAACACCTCACGGTCATCACCGTTGGCGTAACGCCACTGGAGGTACTGGCTGGGCGTCTTCTCCAAGTGCATCTCAACGTGCTCCAGAGCGTGCTGCTTGATGTAACCGATACGCAAGTTGGGGTGCTTCTCGACCTTTCCGGTCTGAGGAATGGTCTCACCAGTCAGGATCTTGATGAAAGTAGATTTGCCGGCACCGTTGCCACCGATAATGGCGACACGGGACGAGAGGGAAAGAGACAAGGAGGCGTCTTGAAGAGATGGGCGGGAAGCACCAGGGTAGGTGAAGGAAACGTTGCTCATACGCATAATGGCACGAGTTTGGGACTTGATACCAGACAAAATTCCAGGAGGGGGGAACTTGAACTGCACATTGGAGGCAGACAGGGTGTAGTAACTCTTACCCTCGGGCTTCTGCTTGACGAACTCGGCAAGGTTACCCTTGTAGCAGACAAGCTTCTTGCCTTCATAGTGGTAGATATCTGTACAGACTTCATCAAGGAAGCCAGAGTCGTGACTGACAATCAAACTGGTGATCTCGGTGTGCGACTTCAGATATTCCTGAAGCCACTTAACGTTTGCCACATCCAAGTGGTTAGTAGGCTCGTCCAGCAAAAGCACATCAGCCTTCTGGAGCATGGCACGGGCCAGGGCCAACTTCATCTTCCAACCACCGGACAGAGAGCCCACGGGCTGGGACTGGCGACCCTCGGGGCCATCAGTGAAACCGAACTCGAGGAGAACCTGAGAGATGTGTTCATTGCCTTGGGCAGCGATCTTGGGGTCCTTGGCAACGTACTCGAAGATGCTCAGGTTGGCATCCTCGCCCTGGTTGTGCTCTACGAAGCAGGTACGAACCACATCTTGCGACGGGAAGCCCTCGAGCTTCTCGTTGGCGATACTGCGCATGAGAGTAGACTTTCCGGCACCGTTGCGGCCGCAGAGACCGTAGCGGTGGCCCTTCAGAAGACGCAGGTTGGTGTGGGACAGCAGCAGCATACCACCGTAAGCAAGGGAGAAGTCGGCATTGACAATCTCGATCTCGTTCGGGTCGTCCTGGACGGGCTTACCGAACTTGATCTCATCCTCTGCGACATAGTGAGCCTGAACAGCATTGGCAACGGCCTCGGTGTCTCCAACGAGCAGACCACGGAGGTAGGGGGCAATGCAGCTGTGGATGCGGTCGTGCATACGGCAGTTGATATCCTCACGGACCATGCTGGCAATGAAGGTCTTGGCCATATCTTGCAGCTTGGCATCACCAAAGCCGCCCAGGCCGCCCTGCTCCTTGATCTGAGCATCCAACACAATGAGAACCTCCTCGGGGGTGATCTTGGTGATGGAGCCAGAGGCAAGTTTGTTGTCTCCCATGGCGGTCTCGATAACGTCGAGGGCACGGGTGGCGAGCTCACGGACCTCGGGCAACGAGGCACCTTCCTTGACCGACTTCACACCGGGCTGGAGCTTGGGAAGGAAAGTACGGGCCTCAGCAGGATCGTGGACGAGCTTGGTCAAATTCTCCACCACAACGACAGTCTGGCGAAGGGTCTCTTGGGGAGTGGCGGGGGTGTTGAGGGACCGTGCAAGCAGAGGGGTCAGCATGGCCAAAACGGGAGATGTGACAATGGCAACGAAGGTGGTCTGGGACAAAGCGTGGATCGCCTTCTGGAGAGTCGCAGCGGAGGGGTTCTCCATAGCCTTGATCAGGAGAGGAATGCGGGGAGCAACATCGTCATTGGATAGCAGGGTGGTGAGAGCAGTCATGGTCTTGACAGACTGCTTAGCCACCTCGCTCTTCAGATCATGCATGCCGGACTCGACGATAGGAATGAGCTCTTTCAAGGTCTTGCCCATCGCATCGCGCAGCAAATCCTTCTCGCGTTCTTCCTCCTTGGAGCCCTTGCCCAATTGCGCCTTGACAGCCATCTTCTCGATGAGCGAGTAGGCGCCAACGAAACCTTGCCACTTGCCGGAGCCCTTTCCAAGGTAGCGCTCGAGGGCAGGAAGCAGGCCGTTGACCATAGCCTCGGGGCTCAGGCTTCCGAAGAGAGCATCGATGGCGTACTTGGCAGCATCGCGCACAACAGCACCCTTATCGGCTAGGCCATCGAGGGCAAGATCAAAAACACCCCCATCGTGCAAAAGGAAGATGGCCTCACTGAGGGGAAACTTGGGGGGGAAGCGCTCGAACAAAGCACCCAGAATGAGCATGGCACTCTCGCGCTTGGCTCCGTTCTTCTTATCGGAAGCCGCCTTCCGGGTCTCGGCGAGAACATTGTAGTCCAGCAGGCCGGCGGGGCCGGTGCCTTCGATGAGCAAGTTGGTCAAAGCATATGCGCCATCGAGGGACTTCTGGGAGGATTCAGATGTGCAAATAGTGGTGATAAGTGAGGAAATCTCTTCGGCGGTGGGGGGAACGCCGGAGGAGCCCTTTGCGACGATGGTCGGCATGGCGTGAGTCTCAGAGGGATCGACCGTGTGTGGCATCGTCCAGAAGTTTGAGACTCGAGGGGTCGAGTGTCGATATCAGTGAGAGATATCGAGAAGACAAGAGCAAAGATAGGAGGCTCTTGATTATGAGAGAGGGGCAAATCGCCCTAACGAAGATAAAGGATTCTTTCTGTTCAGAGCACGAGCAGCAAACACAGAACAGGAAGAGATAGGATTGGGTAGAATCGTAGAATATATATAACACGATTCTTTGAAACCCAGGAGAACCCTAAACAACGAAAGGAAAAAAACACAAAGAGGGGAGAGTGGTCTTGAAGAAGATGCAAAAACAATCTTCGCCATCGCCGATTGCTGACCCACCCGCACCAAATTTTTTTTTTAGCTGAGTCATCCACCGAGCGGGGCAATCCGGTGCCGCCCTGGGGAAATTCCAGAAAATCGACTAACCCGATTTGTCTGATTGGGTCACTGACATTTGTGCCTGATCTTTGATGCCTTGCTGCCTCAATATCTTGGCACTTCCCCTGGTGCCTTGAGATTATGGCAAATGCCTCAGGCCACATTCACACGTCATGAGAATCACAGGCCGACAGACCGAAAGTCAACTTTGTTCCGGGTAAATGGATCTTCCATTGAAAGCCTAAGACTGCCTTCACTGCTTCAGGGACAATCCCGGGGCCGATCTACGGAGTAAGCTGAGAACAGGACTGGATGATCTCCCTCAATCCGAGGGCCTTTTACCGACAAGATAAGAACATACATGTATAGATATTGTCTATTGTATAGGTACGATCAAGATTTAATAGGCAGATTACTCTATGAACATTCCTCAGGTACAAACCATGAAGCCATCCCAAACAACGTGATCTAAACAACGTGATTTCAGCCGGCCGCATCGGCCGCATGCAACCGCCCCGGGCCTCGGTAGACAAATACCCCTGCCCCCGCGTTCAACCGACTCGCTGGCTGAATATTCGGTCGATCATTAACTCACAAGTATCTTTTCTCTTCCTTTTCTCCTTCTGTGCCCTTCTATCATCACCAATTCCTCTCAACCTCGCTCAATCGCTGTTCAGCTTCATCCCCATTTTCCTCCCCGCAGTTCAACTCTCCCGCCCCCGCAAAATCCACCCCCGGACCCCATCAACACCGCACACAAAATGGCTCTCAGCTGGAGATCTGCCCGCCATGTCTCCAAGCTTGCTCAGGTGAGTCTAACTGGGGATCTTGCATGTCACATGGTTATCTGACTCTCTCCAGGCAACACGCCCTGCTCTTTCCGCGCGTCACTATGCGACCGCGGAGCCTGACCTGAAGGCCACCTTGAAGGAGGTCATTCCCGCTAAGCGGGAGCTCCTCCAGAAGGTGAAGGCCCAGGGCGATGAGGTGATTGGTGATGCCAAGGTCAGCAACGTCATCGGTGGCATGCGTGGCCTCAAGGCCATGCTCTGGGAGGGCTCCGTCCTCGACGCCGAAGAGGGAATTCGTTTCCACGGCAAGACCATCAAGGACTGCCAGAAGGAGTTGCCTAAGGGTACCACTGGAACTGAGATGCTGCCCGAGGCCATGTTCTGGCTATTGCTTACCGGCCAGGTGCCCTCCACCGGGCAGGTGCGTGCCTTCTCGCGCGAGCTGGCCGAGAAGTCGCACCTTCCCACCCACATTCTTGATCTGATCAAGTCTTTCCCCCCCAACATGCACCCCATGACCCAGCTTTCCATTGCCGTGGCAGCTCTGAACACCGAGTCCAAGTTCGCCAAGGCCTACGAGAAGGGTATCAACAAGGCCGAGTACTGGGAGCCTACCTTTGATGACAGCATCTCCCTTCTTGCCAAGATTCCCCGTGTCGCGGCACTCGTTTTCCGTCCCAACGAGATCGATGCCGTTGGTACCCAGAAGCTCGACGCCGCTCAGGATTGGTCACACAACTTCGCCGAGCTGCTCGGCAAGGGTGGCGCTGAGCACAGCGACTTCCACGATCTGCTCCGTCTTTACCTGGCTCTGCACGGTGACCACGAAGGTGGCAACGTCTCAGCCCACGCCACTCACCTGGTCGGCAGTGCTCTGAGCGATCCCTTCCTCAGCTACAGCGCTGGTCTCCTGGGTCTGGCTGGCCCTCTTCACGGTCTCGCCGCCCAGGAGGTCCTCCGCTGGGTCATTGCCATGCAGGACAAGATTGGAGTCAAGTTCACTGATGATGACGTTCGCAACTACCTCTGGGAGACCCTTAAGTCCGGTCGTGTGGTTCCTGGCTACGGTCACGGTGTCCTCCGCAAGCCCGATCCTCGTTTCGAGGCTCTGATGGACTTTGCCGCCACCCGTCCTGATGTGCAGGCCAACCCTGTGTTCCAGCTGGTCAAGAAGAACTCCGAGATTGCTCCTGGTGTCCTTACTGAGCACGGAAAGGTATGTTCCACGTCTCTCTTCATGTAATAAAGACTCGTTCGCTAACTTCACATGTTTCCCACAGACCAAGAACCCCCACCCCAACGTCGATGCCGCCAGCGGTGTTCTCTTCCACCACTACGGCTTCCAGCAGCCCCTCTACTACACTGTCACCTTCGGTGTCAGCCGCGCCCTTGGTCCCCTTGCCCAATTGATCTGGGATCGCGCCCTGGGCCTGCCCATTGAGCGCCCCAAGAGCATCAACCTCTTGGGCCTTGTCAAGAAATAGATCTGATATGGTAGCCTGGCGCGACCGTATCTCATCGTTCTTGGTGGATTCAATGAAATCAATGTGAAGCGAGCTTTGTGTCTTTTTATTATCGTCGTCTTCCTTAGTGAGACCTTCCTCATTCTCCATTTGATCTGATAACTGTGCAGTATATAGACTTCTTTTACAAAAGTCTGATCAATGAATCTAATTTCCAAGATTAAATTATATTCTACCTGAATGCAAACATGCGAATGATGGACATGAACACTATGTCCGAGTATATTATTGGTTCGCTAACGCTCAGCAATCAGAAGACGATGGAGTCCATGCTGGAACATAGAATATAGTTCAAATATGAAATATCTTTCAGTGACGGTCTACATCAACTCCCAACTCACAAGCGAGCATTCCCACTCGACAATTGCTCCCACTCCTTCTGTCCATACGGTGAATAAAACTGATCACCGGGAGCCATCCACATGAAAGTATCATCTTTACCCTCAGGGGCCTTGGTGCCGATCAACGAAGTATCGACGCCCTCAGCACGAAGTGGCACCTTGTTTTGCTTATGATTGTGGATATGGGTGGAATTCTCGACGATGCGAAGGAAGACCGGAACGGCATATTTGGGCAGCTTAGACCGTGCGTATGTTGCGAGAGCTTTATAGTCGAAGGTCTGGCGTGCTTCCGGGATGATCTGGATGGCTGCGCAGCCGGCGCGGCCCTCGTGATTAGGAAGACGAACACCATATACGTTGGCCTCGGCGATACCGGGGAACTGGCCTAGAACTTCTGAGACCTCGGCGGTGGCCCTATTCAAGACACACGTTCATTAGCTTGCTTCGGAGTTTCGCTTTAGAGGACCGTCAACTTACACGTTCTCACTCTTCCAGCGGAAAGTATCGCCAAGTCGGTCGAGGAAATACCATCGACCATCGCTCTGGCGGCGTAGAGCATCTCCTGATCGATAGTAAAGATCACCCTTCTTGAAGACATCCCGCAGGAACTTCTTGTTTGTTGCCTCGTCATTGTGCCAATATCCTTGGAAAGCATCCTCCCCCGGGACGTTGACAATGATTTCACCACCTTGGTCATATGGCGAGCGAATTGCAAATCCGGTCTTGGGATCCCGAAGGATATCACCTGTCTCTGGATCTATAGCAACGGGAACGAACACATTATGCAAGATGCCACGCATAAGCAGACCGTGGTGGCCCACACAGCCCGCTGTGAAAGGACCGCGGTTGTAGTTGAAGAGACCGAAGATGCCCTCTGTGCTGTTGAAGAACTCTCCCACTTCCGGCACGCCGAACCGTTCCCGGAACTTATCCCAGACATCCGGTCGAAGTCCATTGCCGTACATGCAGCGGACCTTGTGGTTGCGGTCTTCTGGTGACGGGGGCGGGGCGAGCAAGTAGCGAGCAGTCTCCCCAACATAGACAAAAATGGTAGATTCCGAGTCGCGCACATCTGACCAGAACCTGCTGACACTGAACTTGGGCGCGATCGCAATGCTCACACCCGCTACCAGACAAGCAATCATGCTGATTGCCGCAGTGCCATGGTACAAGGGCATACAGCTGTACCAGCGATCACCATTTGGACCAGGCTTGTCTCCCATCAGTTGAGGACGGATGTAAACAGTGGTATAGAGGCGGGACATGGTGAATGCGCAGCCCTTGGGCATACCGGTGGTACCGGAAGTGTATAGCAAGATAGCCGGGAACTCGCCAGTTACATGCTTGCTCAATTCCTTAGGTGGCAACGCTGTCGGGAAAGTGCGAATATGCGCCTTCAGGGTGTCATCCAGAGTCATAGGCTTCATTCCTAGACCAGTGATAGCATCCCAGCACTCTTCCACGCGGGCCCGGCAGCCGGCGTCTTCATCCACCAGGAGAATGGCTGCGCCACTGATCTTCAAGCAGTGCACCAAGGCATCGCCTGTGAGATTATAGTTGATTGCGGCGGGTGCACAACCAATGCTCCAGAGGGCAATCCATGCAATGATAAACTCAGCCCTATTTTGGAGGTAGACGGCGACAAGATCCCCTTTTTTCACACCCTGGGATAGATAGAAATGGGCATGCTGGCAGGCCTGATCCAAGATTTCTCGGTACGTATATGACTTCTCCCGAGTCCAGAGACAGACCATATCGGGGTATTGCTTCACCGTGGCCAGAAAGATGAACCATGGATTGCCTTTGTGTTGGCTGACTGGAGGGCTGTCAGTACTCAATTTCAAAGGTCATGGTAGTAGATCCATACCAGCAGTGGCATATTCGCGCTCGGATTTTCTCACAGCTAGCAAGCCGGAGATATCTTTCTGCAAGTGGAATTTAGCATTGAGATATGCTGCGACTGTAGTCCCACCCAGGAGGGCAGCGGCGGCAGTTGCTATAGAGCTATTAGTATTGTTTACTCCGCATACCTCCAGACTCGGACGTACCTAGATCCATCTTGCTCCCGGTCAATGATCCTTAGTTTTGTATGGACCACGTTGTATAAATGATTGAAGCGTTGGGGTGTGAGGACTGAGAGAGCAAGGAGCAAGGAGCAGAGCAGCTTAATGTTAATGAGCTTGCCCGTGAGGGGATCCCAGGGGATCTGGCTAATTGCCGCTAACCGACCTCGGTTCAAGATACTTCTCCGCACTTTGGAGATTAGCCTGCATAATTATGCATTGTTATGCACATTCACCTCTCATTTACGGCTCTTATATCCAATCATCTTTCTCAATAGTATTCCAGTGTCAATATCGATTTAAGGCGCCTGGATTTTCCTCCAACGGTGAAAATGCGGGGTGTCGAATTATACACAGTACTAGTAGACCTTGGTTGTCCTAGAGTTGATATGATTCGCTGGTCAACAGGGACATTTTCAGAGCGTAAACCAGTTCTGATGTACATTATTTACTCTGCTATATGCCCTATCTGTTCATCATCTCCTTCCAAGGTTGCCGGTGAGCGTATTCAGTCTCATCGAATTGTGGGAGATTTACTTGGCAATGACGGAAGATATGAAACTATGACATCTCCATGGCACAAGAGGCCATGATCCAATAACATACTGATACTATTATATGCACCAGGTACAATGTTAATTGACTCATAAGGTCTGAATATGTTGAGGGCTCAACTGTTTATATATTGGCACGGCGATGACCCAGTGAGCTAAAATTGGTTTAATATGAGGGAGTTGTCATTGGTGGAGATCTTTCAAGTGGGGCTGAATAAACATGCGTGGATCCACGGATGAGCGACATGATGAGCTGGTCAGGGGAGGTGGAAGGCGGAGATTGATTTGATGTAGGGAGACGGCAGAAAGAATTGAAATGGATTATGGAGTAAACGCTATGATAGCATGATAGGTGAAATCACATATACACCGGATTTTAGACCGAGCCAAATGGCTTTCCCTTTCCGCTTTAGTGCTCACCCCTTGCCGCCTTTTGCTCACTGAGTAAAACTGAGCACGTCCCTGAGTATTACATAATCATTAAACTTGCTCACTGAGCATCGCCTGATCATCACATAAGCCGGATGAACCCGCTCACTGAGCACGACCTGATTATTACATAAGCTCAAGGACTTGCTCACTGAGCGAGACCTGAGCACTCTGATTTGCTCACTGAGGAGCCTGATCCCCCTCACTGAGCGTGACCTGAGTACTCTGACTTGCTCACTGAGCGTCACCTGAGCAAAGTTGGAGAGCGGCTAAGTCAGCAGCTCACCTCAATAAAATGCACCACGCTAGCCCCATCCCAATGCAGTCGTTCATCCAGCAATCTTGACGGTCGTCCCCTCAATAAAAGGCTGGCGTCATATGGTTTGTAAATCCAATTTAGTGTTTTATTCTGATTCTTTTTCCCTCTTGATTCCTAACGGACTATCGGCTGCCGCCACTTGCTCCTAGGAACAAAGGAGTACGAATTCAGCTCTAGCGACCTGGACATTCGCAAAAATATTCTAGAGCGGTCATGCTACTGGATGATCTACCTGCCCATGACAGAATTTGTGGCCCCTCATTTACCTGGTATTCTAACTAGCACTTAGAAAATCCCTCATCATAACTAAATAAAGCCTAATAGGTCTTCCTAGGAGCTCCCAGACCCTCCGTGCCACGACAATATGATTGGTGAGATGAGTATAGATCCTAGGAGCTCAAGTGCTGGTGCCCATTGGAATTTGCGGGGACTGTGGCCGCTAATGCTGAGAGTCAAAGTATATAAAAGAAACACTGATCCCTCCTAGAGTGAACATATCCAAGTCCCAAGCATTTCTCCTCAAAACTGCTCATAAGTTCAAGCGACCGTCGGCATTCCGGGTCCTGTCTCTTTCCAGCCCCTCAGCCAGAGCAAAATCCTAACTATTGTGCGGATTTTCTGATGCTGCAAAGAAAACCGCCAACCTGGTAGATATCCAATTATTCCATCCGATTAGAGTTGCAAGACCATTTCTTGCATATTACTGAGCTCTGAATCTGTGATATATGGCCAAGACCTAATGGGAAGACGTAAGTGACTCTCACTATTCTACCAGGGGGAGCGCGAGAATTTGCAGGGGGCCTGTGGCTGACTGAATTTGGTAGCGTACAATCCATTGAGATTTGAGAGAGAACAGATCCTAGCTTGATCTTTCGGTCTGATTACACGTACTAAATGAGAATTGATCGGACGAGGGTGGAGCACAAACGCCGAGAGCATCAAAAAGGAACCCTCTATACCTGACAATCTCCAAGCTGCTCGCCGCTTTGCCTGGCGTGGGAAATAAGCTGAGTTTTGACCGAGAAACGAGACCGGGCTCACCGCTCCCACTCTTCACTGTACTGTTCGATCATGCTCCACGAAGCAATTCTCTGATGTGCCTGATTTCAGGACGAGATATTTGATCTTTCCTGGGTTACATATCACAAACACGTCGTTATGAACTCAGTGGCACCGTCATGGGACACAGGTGTACTTTCCTGTTTGTCGTGAAAGTTTTTGGAGGTTGCGGCTCAAGGTGACATAGCTCCATTCAATAAAGATCCACTTTACTTGCACGTGCTCTTTCTGTCATTTCCCGGACGCGAATGGTGTGCTTCACCCGATCCAACAATAGCCCTTCCACGCAAGTGAGTTTGATCCGCGACGCCCGTTCTTCTCCATCAAATGCCAGGCTGGACTTCATCTCGTATCCCTCGGGATGAATCACCGAACTTCTTGAACTACTACGATAACAAATATCCTTGGGACAGCAAACCGGTGGATTTGTATGGACAAGCTGCTACAAAAAGTGAGTTTGAGGACGATTCAACAATAGCCCCGTTGTCTGACCATTTCGGTAATCAGCTTACTCAAGGCTGTTCTAGGCTCGTATTCTATACAATTGCTCCCTGTTTACCGAGGTAAGGTAATTACAGAAATATTGCTCCATCTGCACAGCCACCGCTTAAAAACAGATAAGCCACAATACTCAAAGCACCTGTAATTTCCGAGATACATGAAACTGGTTGATTCTGTATGATACCATTATCGTATGGTGCCCGCTCCGACGTTGGCTAGCCATACTTCCTTTCGGAATTTGATACTTCGACGTGTTATTGGGATCTTCCGGAGCTCTGCATGGGAGGACCTTTTCTATCATATCTTTCATAACTAACATGGATATTCCATCTTGCGGGAAAGAGGACGTATGCCTCCTGATATCCGCTCGCCCATTTCCGCTGTACGCGCTACGCTGGTCGTTCGATTTACCTCAGGTGTTACATAACGGCTAGAGTCTCACTAGTCAGCCTCCAAGATGATTGTGCTGGTGGCTGATTACCTTCCAGCGCCATCGCGAAATACTGCTAATGCAATGATTCCTGCTGTGAAATTAACGACTCGGTATTCTTTTTAATCAACGACAGAAACGAGAGGTCAACACAACAGCCGGGTCTAACCAGGTTGTGATGAGTTATCGCGGAGCTGCTATCAGCCGCAAAGGTGGCGTGAATAAATTTGTTGAGGTGACATATATGAAGCCTACATTGTGCCCTGCCACTTCTTGTCGCGTTATCTCTAAGACTATACCCACGTACAGGTCGTCAACAGTCGTCGATGCTACTGGGGACAAGACAGCCAAAGATCACCGAGAGACGCGGTGGCTATTTTTTTTCAAAGGCTCAGATGCTCGCCATTGGGTGGAGTGCCGAATGTCCCTGCTGTTCTGCTACAGTACAAGTAAAACTGATGACACCCCGTCAAGGATGTCATCTTATGCACCTCCCAAGCTGTATGTTTGGGGAGCTACCACGACCAGCCCAAAGCAGTGGAGTTCAACTCTCACTTCCCGCGATACTCGCGTGTCGTGACCCAACTTGTCAACGGTATTCAGGATCTTTACCCGCGAAAAGAAAGTGATAGTTTTGGAGCCATGTGGGAAAACTAGGAATGAGCCAACAACGAAATGATTAAAGATAACTCAGGGTACACCTACCTTCGCCCGCGGAGATACCCTTGTTGTCAAGTCTTTGTCTTTGCTGTTGCTGTTGGCCATGTCCTGCCTTCTCATCCGCTACTTCGACATCGTCCTCCTCTGATACGCTGCCTCCCCTGTTCACGCCCTCTTCTGATTGCTGATGAAGTATTTGACACTTCAGATTAGTGTTGGCGGTTTATATCCTCACTTTAATCATTTCCAGTAGGTGGAAACTTATATTCGCAATAATAACAACGATTATGTGGTCATGATTTCTTTGCACTGTGAGGGCTACCACAAGACGGGATATATTGACTTCCTGATTGGTGATAGACAAAAGCAATTTTGCTCAACATAGCAGTGTCTAACCGGACGCTTCTTGTTTTGGTCCCAGATCCCACAACCCGGTCAACTATTACCCTGGAAAGTATGTGTAAAAGATACGTGGAGTGATTCCAGAGGGGATCCACTTGACATCCCCATTCGTCATCCGCCGATTAAATTATATATTAGACGCCCCTCACGAACTTCTCTCTGGGTAAAACAGGCCATGTGGACAATTTAACAAAATTTTAGCCCCACAAGGCTCGGATGGTCATATATCTTTCGTGCATCGACTTGACCATTGTGGGCAAAATATCGGAGGCTGGAACTATCCCTGACCACCAATTTAGTTCACCAATGCCGCTCACCGGGGCCACTAGGCTCGCTTACCCGGACGTCAGGAAGCACTTAACTCAACACAGTAGATAGAAGGCTCGCTGGCTAAGTGTTGTTGGACAATCCGCCGGATGATTCCACTTGACCGTTTGTTCTTGACCGTTTGTCTAGCAATAATTCCCTGAGCTCAGTATCTCCCGATATCATCAACTCAATAAGGTTTGAGTAATTTCACCCATTTCCACAACCAAGGGCCCCTCTCCCTGTCATTTTTCTGAGTGTACCTCTTCGGGGAAATAAAAGGAAAAATGAGAGAAAGAGAGAAGGTAATCTTAGTTAGCAGGTGACACGGCCGTTGAATATGGCCTATGCTTTCCCTATGTACCACGCCCCACCAGGTGTGACAGTAGGCAGTTCTTGCAAAAATAGTCCTATTCGACAAGATAACTAATCTAAGGAAAAGAAGAAGAGAGAAAGAAAAGAAAAGAAAGAAAACGAAAGAGGCGCGCAACAAAACAAGTCCCTCGTCCCTCCTCCTCCTGTCACATGACTTGAGTCGACTCACCGCCTGGATAGGCCTGGCAGAACCCACGTGTAGTGTCACATTTCCCCCCCCAAGATTCGCTCAGTCCCGTTGAGCGACTTTGCCATCATCCTGGTGCTCATCTGGGTACTCATCCTGCAGGGCGCAGTTTATCCAATGCTGCAATCTCGCTGGAGGGCCCGGTTGCTCGGGTATTTCTCATGGAATTCCTGCACCTTGTACGGCGCATTGCGTAGGTTTCCTGCAGGATACCAGGTGTTATCGATGTCATAGCCTTTCCATTTGACCTTGTACTGGAGTTTGCGGTAGTACAGGCGAGAATCCAAAACGTGGCCAAATTCCCATTCGTCTTCGCCGGCTACATTCACAGGAGGTTCCGGATCTTGAATCTGGCCGGTTAGGCCTGGTTTACTGGCCAGACGGAGCTTCTCCGGTGCGAAGACAGGGTGGATATCGTATTCCGGTGGCAGTCGTAATTCAAACGCATGGCCCACCTTTCTTATGATCTCGAACGGCCCAGCGGCTTTGTGGGAGAGCTTTTTGCTGGGCCTCTCCTGTCGTAGGCCTTGCAAGGTGAGATAAACGGAGTCGCCCACGTCAAAATTCACGCTCCTCCGGTGCCGATTGGCCTGGGTTCTCTGCCGGTCTTGTGCTTTAGCCATCTGCTCCTTCGCCGTTTCCCAGGCATCGTGTATGCGCTGGACGTAGTTCCTTGCTTCCACGGTTCCCGGCTGGTCCTGGGCAGTCGAGTCCTCCGAGTCTTGCCAGTCGAATGTCATTCTCGGTTCGTAACCTCTCGCGACGAAAAAAGGAGACATGCCAGTAGACGCTGATGGAAGGGAAGCAGCGGCAAGATTGATCATGGGCAACCACTCCGACCAGTCGTCTTGATGGTGGCTAACGTACGGTCGCAACCTCTGTGTGATGTACTGGTTTGTGATCTCAGTCTGCCCATCCGTTTGGGGGTGCCGAGCCGTCGATAGCTTCCTCTTAATTTGCAGGATACGACAGAACTCCTTCCAGAAATCAGAGACAAATTGTGGCCCTCTGTCAGATACCACGGAATCCGGGATACCACTCCATCGTAAGATATGCTTAACGAAGAGTTCCGCAGTACAATTCGCATTTACCAGGAGGGCGCCATTTCCGGCAACCCCCCACGTTTGGTTTAGCGACCGTCCCGTGCCGCCCTGTTCTGGTTTAGCATCACCTCATCGGGTATGATGTCTCGCGCTATCCCCCAAAGGGAACTGCCGCCAGTCGCCGCCCTCGGGAGCCCTCGTCAACTATATAGTCTAGACGGTGCGTCGCTCGACCACCTCTCTCTCCTTTCCCACGGCCGTACGTTCTCCTCAGCTCGCGAGCGCGGACGCCACTGCTCCGGTCCCCTGCATTTCGGAAATGACCGTTCCCACAAGGAGTACTTCGCCCCCTTCGCTCCCCACTCGTGTCACTGCGAAGTCGCAGGCATCCACCGACTGATTCGACATCCGCCGCGTGAGATACTGATCTTTCATAGATGTAGGCATGCGACGTGGCTCGCGAGGTGTCCTCGCCTGCCTGGGATTGGGCAGCAGATCATGTGATTCTCGGGCACCTTGCGACCGGGACAGTCCCGCCTTCCCCCTCACTATCAGTCTCGTCTTCAACAACACTTCCCTGACTGAAAATAAGTCTGATTGATCTGGAAGTCTTAAATATTCCCATTGCATCCGCATTTGCATTGGACAAATTTTTCGGCGTGCCAAGCTTAGCGCTTCAGGGCTTCCGCCTTCCAATCCTCCCAATGGAAATCATTTGTGATGCCCATAGCTTCCAGAAGACCGGCAAAGGGCCCAAAAATCCGTTCTCATCAGTAAGTAGTAACCGCAGCAAAATCGGAATCTGCGGATGAGTCGGCCACCTACCCAAGTTACTTTAGTCTAAACCGATAATGAGTAAATGGGGACTTGGCCCAGGTACAGCATGGATCAAAATCAATTTCACCACTTCTGTTCTCTTTGAATTGAACAAGGGTGGTGAATTGAGGGAGTAAGGAGGCTAAGCATAATTTAGTGCAGTTGATGCACCTATGACATTAAAAGTGATGTCCCGTTCGAAAGCAGCTAACGCCTTTTTTTGCGTGAAGCGGGTTTCCTGACCTAGTTTAGATCATTGTGGAGGCAATGGGTGACCCCAGTGAGGCATACGCAGTGAGTGTTCTTTACAGTACGTTCATGCTTGACTGACTCATATATCAAAGGGGGTTCTGCCCTCTTTCCGGCCATACTGCTTCCTGATGCTACTTTAGCTTCAAAAACCCAGAGATTCCGGTTGCAAATTCTTTTGGCCTGCTCAATCATGCATTGTACAAGACACTGCCTATACGACCACACGAACGCAAAACCTTCTGATTATATCTGTGGCATCCTGGAGCGAGACGTCCGCTAGTCCTGCTTCGATATTTGGCTGCCCATATTGGAAGAAAAACGTTCCCATTGATTAGCCCCGCTAAGCTAAAATGTACTTCAAACTATCAAAATCGATTTTCGCATTTCTCTTTTCCCTGAACATCGCCGCTGTGGCGCATGGAGCTACTACAGCCGATATGCTGAACTCTCGATCTGAAAATAAGTACCACATTGTGGTCTACCAAAACGACAGGTGCACCGGAGAGTCGATCTCATACTTGGGTGCTTCTGGGGAATGCAACACTGGACTGGGCAGTGGCGGTTCGGGACTTCAACTCTTAGCCTTGCAGAATGGCGGGGAGCTTGTCTTCTATGGTCAACCGGGATGTCCAGATAATGAACGAGTCGGCAGTTTCATCCACGACAACCAGACTGCCCTTGGCTGCAAGTCATTGAACGGAAATCCCTTGTCTTTCAAGTTTTTTGGCGCCAGAGGTTTCAGATAGCAGCTACTTTAGTCCGTCTCTTCAGGGAGCGATTGAAGACCCAGCCCACAAAGCTTTGCCGAGCAGAACTAGTTGACGGTAACTCTGAATCCTGGTTAAACTTTTTGTAAACTAAAGGTGTCTTTTTGGTCTCGAAAATGTTACAGTATGCTTTAGTCACAAACACAATGTTAAACAAAATGGTCTTAAACAAAATGGTCCTCAAGTGAGATTTCTTGATATTTGGCATTATAGTGATAGTAAACGATGAAGTGCATAGATTACGGAGTTTACATGTAATTTTGCAATATCGGCTATATGATTTTCTAATTTACAAGATGTGCAGCGTTGAGTGCCAATTAGGCCAGAAAACGACTGGGAAACCAAGCAATAATCGAGATCGTAGGATGCTAGTGACTGTGTTGATTGATTGGAAATTTGCATTTTGAGCAGCAATACAAATGGGAAGAACCGGATTCATCATTAAGTTGAATACGTATATCAGCCTGGAAATTGTTGGATTGTTGTTACTCATTCCTCGTATCTATCTGGTAACGAAGACATACCCTTGATTCGCTTATCCCCTTTGCTCACCCAAACCCAATATCTCTTGCTCCCCTCATTATCTTGCTGCAACGCTTCCATATGTTCTCGTATCTTCCTACGGAATCCTCTTATCTTCGCTTAGCGGTATGGTCTTTACCCTTCAAATTCTACCCATTAACTTAGTTACATTAACTTAGTTAATGCAATCACACTCCAGGAAAAGTCGCCATGTCCTTGATTAGGTATCTCTTCCATGCGCCGTATCCGAGAATATCAGATTGTTTCTACCAGAGAGCAATTCGGGGGGCAAGATCAAGATAAACTTGCTAGCGTCGTACTTTGGTGCGGAACTGAGTTTGAGAGGGCAGAGTAATGCTTAGCGTAAGAATCTACTCTGCGGGCCATGCTACGAAAGATATGGAAGATTCACGTCTGTCTGTAGGAAATTACCAACCCTTGAAGATGAAGGAAAATCAACGTATTTTAGTGCTCAAGAGAAGGATGTGATCTATCCCTTTCGTCGCAGGTTTTGGAAGGGCACTAAGAGCTATCACATGGTTGGGCCGCAGCAGAGGGAGGGGCCAGGCTGATTCAGAACCGCTTGGCGGATAGCTCTGTACTTTGTCTAGTAAAGATCAACCGACATGTGATCAAAGCCGTTATCTAATAGTCTCTACCTATTTCGCCCCTTTCTCTCTCTCTCTTCTTCCCCCTCTCTCTCTCGTGTGTGTGTTTAACGCCGCTGGAAGGGGGATCGGGTGCTTGAGGTGACTTCACGCGACCGGCCATTTGCTTTTTTCAAATAAATACTTTCTGTGCCCGTGAAGTCTGGCTGGCGCATCCCCTAGGTCACTGGTCTATTCATAAGACGCATAACATTAGAAATTTTGACATTCGCCATGTTGTCGGGTTTATTAATCAATGGGTATTCAACCAGTGGGTGCCTGGTGCCAGTGGTGCATAAAGCTAACACCAAGACCCTGTTTTTGCGAGGAACCATGCCATCTCGCCCAACGCAATAGCGTTTCTGTATCGTCGAGATCGCAAAGGCCAATATGATCCCGGGAGACGTCCCACAAAGAATATCGGTGCAAGCATGAGATCAACATGTATATGCAAAGCATCCAGCGCAGCGCGAAGACTCTCTGCTAGAGTTTTCTGTGAGCGCTGGTCACATCTCGATGAAGATGCCATCTAGTAGATGCGCTCAGACGAATGTAATCGAAGGTCACAAGATGACAGCCGTCGCCCTACTTTGGAGTCGACTGCGGTAGGGTCCGTTAGGTAGTTGAATTCGATATTTGTTCGCAGATTCTCCCTTGGCGGGTAACTCGGTTCTCTCGGATCTGCTGCATTCTACCTCGGATGGCAGCCGCGCTTCGGGAGTGCACGCGGTCGCTTCGATCAAGGTCACGCTGACTTAGAGCAGAGATGAGCTGAACGATTATGATGCCTTGGGCAGTTTTCTCCTTGAACCTTAACTCCCAATAGTGAGATTTTACTTGAGAAAGCATCTCAAGGCACTCACTCTTGTCCATATCGGGGAACCCAGTGATGTGAAAGCATCTTTGTTCGGGAATAAATGATAAAGGCATTGTTTGATTGCGAGCGTACAGTTTCTTCGATAGTTCATTAAGCATTGACTGGCCAATTTCACCGTCCATATCTCTTATATTCGGAGCGGGTCTCTTCATACTGAGGTACTGTCATGTGCACTATGTCAAATTGGAACTGATGCGAGGAGGGCAGAATAGAGTGTCTGGTCCCGAAGGGACAAGCTGGCCTTTTTATGCGTCCAAGAAGACGGAAAGAACAGGCAGAATCCTTGGGATCCCGGGATCCCAGGCACTGCAAACTAATGAAACACCTTAAGGTGGTATAATCACGTGGTTGGAGGTTCCGTATATTTGCACAACCTTCCCCACCCCCATACCTATGTTCTCATAACCCGTTTTCCTCTGATTTTCGCGGAGTGGATGGGTATCGTCAACCACGGAAAACTCTGCGGCCCGACCCCTATTCACCCCACGCGGATTCTTTTGGCTTCCCCTTCACAAGATAAGAGGGTACTGACACCGGACATCACGAGAAGGTAGAAGTCCATCGTCCTAACTGCTTGAAGAGAGTAGTTATCTGGCGTGCTCGCCAGGGGCCGTCGACATGGGTAGAATTCGAAAACAGGTTACCCCATGGACGCACACGGCTTTCTTTCCCGGCGCCCCACTAAGATCGCGCTAAGCTGAATTCGGGCCATGGAAAAGTCCCCGTCTTTTTTTTTCGATGTACAGTGGCGTTCGTTTAGTTTGAAAACCCCCTATGGATTACATAACGTTGACTAACTAGATCTGGCATGAAGGTGTCATTCAAGCCTGTGAAACGCCCAATTACATTATTAAGCCAACCCTACCGCAAAGTTCCATTACGAGGTCCAGTCACGGGCCAAAAACCGATGTGGCCACCAGCGTGGTCATCTCAGTTTGGTTGGACTTTGCGGGGCACGAGGCTGAATTGCCCCACGGCCCCCTCAAGTAAATCCGGTAGAACAACTGTTTATGATGTCATTATCATGCACAGTCACCGACGCCGTTTATGAGATCGTAATGAGTCGTTCCACTGTGGTTTAGTGCTTCGAATTAGCGGCCTCTTGGTGGCTATCGCAGGCTGGGCAGTCAAGCATGAATGTACAATCTCTGCCTTAATCTTCATGCTGACTAGCGTATGACTGTGCATTAGGTCTGGCATCGAAGGAGCGACGTGTCCGGGTATAAGAGCGTCGAGATTCATGGTTTTGTTGGCGCATTCATTTTCATTAAGGTCAATCATACTCGGACAAGTGGGTAAGTTTCCTTGGCATTATGCCTTATCGTCACATTTGCCACCACCGCCCCTAGCATCAAACATTTAACGGTTGCCCCATCCCCAATACATCTACTGTCGGGTTCTTTCGACTACCTTTCTTCATATTCAATTTATTCAATTTCCGTTTCTTACACAAAATGCAAAGGCAGATCGCTGGAACGCTAGACGTTCGTTTTGTTGATCGTATCCAACAAGATATCCTTGAGCATCGAAACGACAAAGAATACGACATCTTGTACTTGACCCCAGTACCTGATTCAAATCACGATTTTCGTGTGCGCATCGAGGATTTTCGAAATCTCGATTTCGACCACTCTGATCAGTGGTCTCAACGTTTCAGAACCGCTTACGCCCATATCAACCAGCGTCACCCTCTTGGAGTGCCGTTTATCGTCAGTCAAGTCTGCAAATCAGGATGTACTCGGGATCATTCCAGAAACTAGCCGTCGGCTTCTTCCTAAGTGCCGCTCTGGTGCAAGGAGCGTCTATTCCATGCGTCGACCAGCGTAGCAACACCAGTGCTTTGGATACTCGAGCTGGAAACGATTACCGCATCGCAGTCTTTCAGAATGGTCAATGTACCGGCGAGGCTATCCCTTACTCTGGTGATGACGAAGATTGCCACAATGGTCTCGGCGCCGGCGGTGCCGGACTCCAACTCTTGGCTCTAGATGCTGACGGCATGCTTGTTTTCTATGGTGCGGCTGATTGCCCCGCTGGCCAAGAGGTCGACACCTTCAATCCAAATGACGACCAGACCGGAACGGACTGCAAGCCTTTGAACGGAAACCCTGTTTCGTTCCAGTTTATCAAGGTTTGAAGCATTCAAGCTCCTTTGTTGTCTCAATTGGTATGGGAATACGAGACAAGGCAAATCTATGTACCCAGAGCTTTTTTGCAGATTATTGAATTAGTTCCGTTCCTATCCGCAGCTGTGTCAGCCTTTCAAGACGTGGGTGAAGTGGTGACAGGCTTTCTATCAAATCACGAATAGAAACTAATGTTAGGTTGGAATGGAAATGCTGTATTCCGCAGAGAGTCTAATAGCTTCTAGATATTGGTGATGAGAAGGCTGTAAAGCGCTGAAGATAGTAGTGTATAGAAGTTCCTTATAAAGTTTATATAGCATAAACCTAAACGGTCGTTCTAGAATTGATAATGGTGTATTCATACAATAGGTAATGATTATTAACGGTATATATCAACATGAATTAGTGTCCTCTTGAGTACGGACCGAGAAACAAGGCGCGAGGGTCTGATAAGTCCATTATATTCTCGCATATCACGCTAATCTGTGAGGGGTCAGGGTAAATAATGTCATCCATCCATTGTGTATTATCTGGGGGCCAGGAACGCCTCGACCGGCACGCGCAAGTCAAGAATTCCTGGGGAAGATAAATATCAAGCACAGAATCCAGGTCTACACCAGGGTCCGAATTGCATCGGATGCGGCTGATGATTGAGCTTTTTGATTGGTAAAACGGTGCCTCTCTATTATCACTCCTACTCTAAAATGACCCAAGATTTTCTACCTGCTATGGGCGGAATTGCCAGAAACGAAACATGAGCGCGATCGTTATTCGAACATTCATTAGGCAAATTGGCGAGATTGTAGTTGTTTATTGATATTTTCGAACTATAGGAGGTAGATGGTGGACAGATGATACCGCGCGAACAGGTCTCGCAACTTTCCTATCCAAAGGTGATCCAAGCCTCATCTCAGGGGCTGCAAAATTATGACGTTCAAAGGCGTGTGACCCTACCAGGGAATATTGCGTAATCTTTTGGGTCTCCGATCCATGCCGAACCAAAATCGTGGTTTCCACCAATCGCACTGGGCACTACAATTGGGGACCAGCAATATGGGGCCAGATGTGGAGAGTAACGTGACTGACCTCATATCAAACGTAACATTATAATTCGTCCATGCTCTAGGATCAAGACACAGTAATACAGTAAATATTAATGAGTCAAGTTCTTGTCAAAGCGTGGTTTGCGATTCAGGCCTTCGAATGGTGAAAAGCTGCGGCCGTAAGGGCAACTAACAACAAACACGTCGCACTTGCACTGGCACAATTGCCCGCCCTTAATGGCCCAAACTTGAAAGATGGGGCTAGTCTATAATCGGTTGGCCAAGATGTTGATCCCTCATCAGGACCTGGTTTGTATGTGACGTCGTATCACACCAGATTGGTCAGGTCCTGCATTTTTCATCGTAGGGCCGCGGGTGGACGAGGTACTAATTTCCATGCGGATCTGTCCACGGGGTGATCGTCCATGCTTGCCCGGGTGAAGAAAAAGGTACCAATTACCAATGGTTCCTGTGCTTTGGCTTCGTACACCGAGACTTCCCACTCATAGCTCCTTGAAAAGGATTCATTGCGTCGAGTGGAAGTAACGGTGCTTGTTAATGAAGTGAGTATTAGGTGCTCCAATAGCACCTCCCCCGAAGAATTCAGCAAGGGAATCCTTCTTAGAATAGGTTTCTCCCGCCTTTAGCTCAGGAAAGTACTAACCACTGTACGTTCTCCTCATTGCTCGGCCATCCGCGCTGCGCAGCATAGAATTCGCTCCGGTCAAATTCGAACAAAAAACGCCACCACTGGAGTGCTAATGGCGATGCCCTCGTCCAAACTCTCTGCTCTTCCTGGGTCTGGACACCCTGGAATGCCGATCCGTCAACCGAGGCGGGTCCTTGTTCAAGTTTCCAAGGAAGACCAGCGACGGCAACGCAATCGACAGGCACAGCGTAAACATCGTGAGTTCTTCCGTTATTGTCGCTCTTGGCTGAATTTCACCTCGTGGGCAAACCTCATCCGGGATCTGCAGGTGAATCTGTCAAGGCCCGATTGGAAAAGTATGATCGGCTGCGACAAAGTCTTCAAGACCCTGAAGATAACATCAACCCCTCGACACATTTGGCAGACCTGCCGTTAGGCCAACAACAATTTTGCCCGTCGCCATCAGCCAGTGTAAACCCTTGTATGCACTCTCCATCGATGTTACCAAGCCTTTTTCCAGAAGTCGAAGTCGATCAACCGATAGACCCACAGTTCGTGGAACCTAATGATCCTCTCTCTCACCTGTTCCTTCCCTCAGCAGAATATGCCAAGGGAGTATACAGTCCCTTGTCAACAACACACGATGGAAACTCTTCAACAGTGAGCTCTCAAGTCGAGGAGCACTATTCAGTGGTAATTACCCTTCCCTTGTCTCTCTTTCTTCCCTCATCTTCTAAATTAAACAGAAAACCAACCAGGGAACAAAGGCCGTCCCTCTTTCGGACACTTCGTTTCCGCATGAGCCGAGCCTTCTATCCCCGTCATTGGAATTTGAATGGAACGCTAGGGCATGCGATGGGCAGGCTTTCGGCCGAACTTTGTTGCATCAGGGCGTGATTCTGAATAGCGAAGAGATAGTTTCGTTATTGCTGGCTCATGTTGCAGACGTAAAAGCTCGGGACAACGACGGACGCACGCCTCTTCACGTGGCTGCCGCTCTGGGATACGCAAGGGTAGGACGCTTGTTGCTCATGCATGGTGCTGCGGCGACAGTGTCCATGGCGGATGGAAATGGGCTGACCGCCATGCACCTTGCGGTTCAAAACGGACACGTTTCGATGGTCGAGGCTTTGGTCGAATTCGGCGCTGACGTAAATTTGCGATTCTAATTGGATGAACTGATTTTAGAAGGGAGCCCTCAAGCTAACTGCACCGTCCAATCTCTCATTTGAATTCTTGCCTGCTTTTATACCAGCCTCAGCCTCTGGAACCTGTCGCGTGTATCTCTTTTTAACGACAGCCGTCGCATGCTCGGACGCACTTGTCGCGTGAATAAGTAGAGGATCATATGGCATGTTGGACTTGATGGGATGAGACTCTGGCGCATCCGATTCAACTAAAGAAGGTCGGATAGATCTGAAGCGGGAAGCAGTCATGTTGGTATTGCTGGCGAGGCGATGAAGAATTTTAAGAAGAAAAGTAGAGGGAAAGGAGAGCGGGAAGCGTGAAGGTTGTGTCACAGCTTCATCAAATGTGACGGAGGGGTCCACACAGTTACGAAGGCGACCAACCTACCTTCACCGCTTCTCGCGCTGGGGGATTGGTAACGGCCCATAGGGAAGCGCGGAAGAACATTAATCCCCGCACAACAAAGAATGATAATCTTTCCATTGAATCGAGACTTTCATCTTTCCATATATGCACGGGGAGGTCAGCAACGCCCATTCATTGTGACACAATCACACCTTTTACCATCCATGGACGACTCAATTCAACAGTTCCGCAACCGCATCCTGGATCAAATTCGAGAAGTCTTGTTCAAGTTGCCTGAAGATGATGTCACCGGAACGATGCGAATACTTGGTGATACCTCAAATAGGATTCTTGATCCGAACAATTATCTAGAATCGATACGTCCATATGCCTTAGCGGTGCAGGATAGCCTCTGTGCGCGCCATAGGAATAACACGACTCATTTGCTTGCGGTCACGATTCACCCCGACAAACATTCCTATTTCGTTGATTGCAACCAGTGGGTGTCCTAGTGAATTATCTGATCATCACTCAATAAGCATCCGCCCACAAGATGATTCACTGCATCTTGATCTGTTCGCAGGTTTTGGATCTCTTGGATGAACCGCGATATCTCCTCCAACGTACATGAATGCCTTTGGAAAGAAACTGATATGAAGAGGGAAAAAGATAATAGTTCGATTTCCTTGTAGTTCCGGGGTACCGATAAATTAAATAGTCGTGGTGACGTATCATACAAACAGAAACATTCATTTACGGTACATTACATACGGTCAATACTTCGTAGGTTACCTGTCCAAGTGTGGCGGTGCGAGCTATGTAATTGCAATGTAATTTCCTTCTGCAGTGTGACAAGCTTGCTGTAATCGGCTTTCGTTAAAACACGTTGCAGTTCACTCGCCGTCCTCACGCAGTGCGAATATGATCAACTTCAAATCTAGCACAAACAACAGCTCCATTTCAACTAAATGATTTCCGGAAAAGCCACCTCGCGGGATTGATACAAAGATGTGCTTCATATTTTATTTCGCTGCAGCGACGAGTGTCTGTCATTGGAGTCTTGAGTGGTGACATTATGGCAAAGAGCTCAGTCTGTACTAATCTCGAAATGTAAATAAACTTAACTTATGTACAAGCAGGTTATAGTTGATGCAAAGCATAATGCGCGACCAATAAAAAATGTCTTAGCGAGCATAGTCACGACGGGCCATTCGATTAGCCCGTGATCTGGTGTATCGCCGAGGAAGCTCCATATCATTCCGCTCTGTCGCAGGAAGGCCGTATCTACGTGTGCGAAGAGAGGCCCAATCTGCCTCAATGTCAGGTTCTGGCCCTTGAGCTCAAGCAGCTTTCGCTTTTCTTTTGTGGTAAGCTTCCGCCGAAGCTTGCGAGTATCAACCGGATGACCCAGAAGCGGCTGTGATCTTGCCTTTGCTCTCGTGAGCGGTCTGCAAATGTTGCTAACATCATCTTAATCATTACAAGAGGGGTTACCGTCGAGCCCTGCCTGCGTATGAGGGTGTTCCTTGCACTTATCATCTACCGCGACAGCTGTGTTGCTGGAGGGGGTAGGACAATATGTTTCCAAAGCCCTACCAATGTTGTCATTGACTTCATTGGTACAATCTTCACGAGATAGTTTGGCAGGGCTCGGAACAGGAGGTTTTGGGTCTATCGTGTCATTTAACTCCTTTGTCTCGAGTTCACCCAAAGAATGAGCATTCAGCTGAATAGGCTCCTGGTCGTAACCCGGGCAATCATCCTCTATGTTGAAGCCGATAGGGACGAGAATTCTAGGGTCAATGACATCAAGACCGGGCGTCGTTGGCTGCGAGCTGAGGCGTGAATCGGCATCTGAGAAGTAAGATGCAATTGAATTACTCCTGCTGCTCGCGCTGGCCCTATCACTTCTAGCAGAGCACTCAAATCGTCTTTGCTGATCCTCGACAAACGAGAACCGAGCCGGTTTGGTGATACAAATGTGGTTCGAGGGGTATTGCTGAGATTCAGGGCGTGAAGGCTGGTATTGGAAAAATCGGGTTTCCTTCTTCCGCTTTTTCTTTGGCTCCATTGAAGTGTATTTCGATTCCACCTTGGAAGTAGATGGCAGGCCATGATTGTCAGTCCGAGCTTCTTTGGCGCAGCTTTCGCTTCTCTTCTCATTCCCTTGTTGCTGCTCCCATGGGAGAGCTCTTTTTCCCCCACGTACGCAGAGTACCTTTGTAGCCTCGTCGTCCTCATTGTCCGCATTTCGCGATTGCCAGATACCCTTTGCCAAGCCATGTACATCATACAAGTGATGGCAGAAATCATGCGCGTTGTCAAAAGACCGTGGACAGCCACACAAGGGATCTGTAGCTGGCCATTTCATCCCCTGCAGATGAGTTTCCTTGATATGGTCCCGAAGTTTCTTGCTATGGCACTAATAACGAAGCCTTTTCTCCGCATCAAGAGACTCATCAAAGAGGCAACATGGACAATAACCCGGTCGGATGACAGTATAGCGGTAAATGATGACTTCGCAATGGAGCCTCCCCCAAGATAGCAAGTGTTTCTCACAGTGTTCTCGCCATTGGTGCTTTGTATGAAACCATTCCATACATTCGTAGCAGAATTCCATGTCGAACTTCCTCACTCCAAGCTGGGAAGCTTTATCGCGGCGGACGCATTCATGGATATGTCTACTCCGGTTGGATTTCGCCAGCCTGCACAAGTTAGCGATTGGTTTTCAATACCTGGAAATAGGTACTCACGAGTCAACGTCTTCCTGGCAGCTTTCAATCGGGCATTTGCCATGGATAGGTGCTTCATTCGGTAAGTATATTATGTCGTATTCCCGCGAGCACTGCTTTTGTAGGTCCTTCATGAAGAGGAGCTTCTCGTCAAATGACATAGGCTCTGTGGACGACATGATTGCCGCTAGGCGGCCAATTTCGGGCATAATAAGAGCAAGGGCACGTGTGCAAGCATTCTTTTCTGGGTCATTGGGTGATTTCTGCCCTTTTGATAAAACCGTCCAGTCTCTCCTGTCGCGAACCCATTGGGTCCGGTAGTTTGTAAGAGCTGAAAGGCGGAGGCGAATATGGGTATCCCTGTATTGTAATCTCTCGTAATTTCCCCTCTCTTTGTCGCCTATTGCATCTGCCAAGCCAATGTGGCTTTTTATTTCGGCAAGTTCATCACTCTCCAGGACAGATTCTTCGATCCCAGCGGGCAGATGACTAGGCAAACCGGTTTCACGGTATTGCTCATGGCCTTGCCAGTATTCGATATGGCGATCGTCTCCCTTCTCATCAAGAACACAGTCAACAGTATTAATGGACGAGCAATGGGCAAGATAGCTCGTTGGGTAGGTTTTCCCATCTTTATGACCGTATAACTGTGAAACTAATGCTGAGCCGTATCGCCCTATGGAGAGTAAGTTTATGTCCCAAGAAGTGTAGGATATCAGAAGGGCCTTACCATCAACCTTTTTTCCAAGTGCTCGGCGGATATCATGTATTGTGGGATCTTCCCAATACCCTGCTTTCCTGAAGAGCTGGCGAAGGAATAGTAGAACCTTTCTGTCGTCAACACCAGATCCTGAGCACCTTGCCCAGTCACGTTCCTGAATACAGGCTTTTCCTTCGCGTCATCCTTCCAGCGCAGGGGAATTTCATTCTTCCCTTCGGGGAACTGCTGTTGGGCCAAGTCTTCTATAGTGTTGATTCCGTAAATTGCGCCTTGGTCGATGGCAATGACGGCAAGAAGCAGTCCCGATGCAAATTGAGGCCTGCTGTCATCACGGATGCCTATGCCAAAGCTGTCGAGCGAGTTAGTGTTTGCGAAAAGAAAAGGATGAATTGGCACGTTTTAGGAACGAGGTAATTGACTTACACGGTGTACTCCGGGTTCCTATTTTTTTTGAGCCACTGTTCATTGACTCGCCACCCAATCTTCCATGGCTCGTCAGAAGAATTAGAACGAAATAAAACTAGGTCTATGTGCTGTTAGGTGTCAGTAGCCTGAAAGAACATGTGCATGGGTTGATGTACCTTATAACGAAGACCTCTCTGGTGTCGATGTTTATTTATGGGAATGAATGCCCCAACCCTTGCACCAGTGAAAAGATAAAGCTGTAGGGCGAACAAAAGGAAGACTTTCATTGTTCCGTGGATGAAGACAGGATCATCGACCGTCCAGAGTGAAGATACGGCGTGGAGGTAGTCTGTCTTGGTGAAATTGAATTTGCCTTTTTCCATGTTCACGATGACTTTCTCTTTGGTCAGAGTTGCTTTGATCCACTGCGATATGGTCAGCCGCAAGCATCCAAAGCAATCGCAAAACGGACTATACTAACCCCGTAAGTCTCTACACGGTCCTCTAGAGGAACCATGTTTCCAGTAGCTGTCTCAAAGCCACCGAAAAATCTCTCGGCGCATGCCAAAGTCGTGACGGCCGTGGGTCTTCCTTCTGGGTCGAGACGCCCTTTGGTAGAATGCGCATACCACCGAATAAATTCTTTGATCAGAGTAATTTCGGGTGCCAGGCATCCCTCTTCCAGCTCATAGCCTTCAGATACTCTTCCACTTTCAATCAGAAACCTAAGAAGTCAACAAACACGGAAATTGGGAAAAGCGTTGCGAGGCCACTCACTCGATCCAGAGCTCAACGTACTGCCGGTGAAGGGCTCTGGACTCATCGGTCCGCTTATGCTTACCACGTGTAGCATCATCCTCTCGGTGGGCTTCCGGTTGGAATCCAGTTTCTTTGCGTCTCGCGCGGCGCCGTTCCCTTGCTAAATCGCAAGTCTGGGGCTTTATACTCATGATCCAGGGTTGGAAAAGAACGTTTATACACTGGAATAAATCATGAAGAGAATAAAGGAGGTAGTGAGCTGCAAGCCCTTGCGAAGTATTTGTGGTTGACTACCCATGGGGGATTTCGCTGTATTTATAGCTCGACTGGATGTTAATTACCTCACACAAGCCATCCCGGCCATAGCAGGGATTGGGCGAAAGGCACAAGCCATGTAATTTCACACGTCATCATCTCTCAGAGGGCATACGAGTGAATGACTACCTGGGGCAGGGGCTATCAACAGAAAAAGGATGGTCAATGTTAGGTGGATTTTTAGTTGCTGGCGCTAGCATCACAGAGTAGATGGCTAATAAATGATCCACATGTCACGTGGTTAATTTGTTCTATCTCTGCCTTTATTTTCAGGCTGCAGAGTGTGCACTCAGGCCGTGCTCACTGAGCATACCCTGAGGGCTCACCGAGCAGACCCTGAGTACTCACTGAGAAGACCCTGAGTGCTCACCGAGCATAACCTGAGCATTATTTTTACATTACTAAGCATACCTCGAGTAGCACTGAGTAATCACCCTGTGCTGTGAAATACTCAGTGAGCATGACCCTGAACCCCCTCATAAAGCGGCGGCACCCCGATCGGGAAATGCGCATCCGCGGCCTAAAATCTGGTACATACAGGGACATATACTATGAAGTATTGCCTGGACAAGGGAAGCTAATTACAACTTACAGTCAACCGTAAGACGGTTATCACCGGACAATCTGACCCGAGTCCCCGAGTTAAGGATGTTGGGAATGAGCCAATGGCAAGATCTCAACACATTCCTTGATGACATGATCGAATAACGTGAAGACCGCTGCAGGGGTGAAATTAAACTTCCCAGCCCGCTGCGTTGCTACTCCACATGCGTGAATCTTCTCACTGCCCCTCTTCGAGTCATTCTGGTCATCCTTCTATACCCTTACACCCTCTCCTTCCTATCCTCCCCCAATACTCGCCATGTCAATTTCCATTCGCTCATTGCCACTGACATTGATACGGTCCTACGGGACCGTTCAAGGTACATCCGCTACATCATTGAACAGCCAAATCCCCATAACCCTGACCAATGCGACGAGTGCTACCACACCCCGAACCACCTGGACTCGAGATGAAATCAAGCAAATATATGAGACACCATTGCACCAACTCACCTATGCAGCGGTAAGTGGAACTCATACCCGAGCTTGATACCAATCTCATACTAATTAACCTAGGCCGCCGTTCACCGCCGCTTCCATGATCCCGCCGCCATCCAAATGTGTACCTTGATGAACATCAAAACGGGTGGCTGCAGTGAAGACTGTTCTTACTGCGCCCAATCCTCCAAGCACAACACAGGCCTGAAGGCTACCAAGATGAGCCCCGTCGATGAAGTCCTCGCTAAAGCCCGCAATGCAAAGGCCAATGGTAGCACTCGGTTCTGCATGGGCGCCGCTTGGCGTGACATGCGGGGCCGCAAGACCAGTCTCAAAAACGTGAAGCAGATGATCTCCGGAATCCGCGAAATGAACATGGAGGTCTGTGTTACCCTGGGTATGATCGACGGCGATCAAGCCAAGGAGCTGAAAGAGGCTGGTCTGACGGCATACAATCACAACCTCGACACCTCGCGTGAATTCTACCCTACCATCATCACCACTCGCTCCTATGATGAACGCCTCAAGACACTCTCACACGTGCGTGATGCCGGTCTGAACGTTTGTTCGGGTGGCATCCTAGGATTGGGTGAAAGCGATGCCGACCGCATCGGTCTCCTACACACTGTCTCCAGCTTGCCCTCCCACCCCGAGTCCTTCCCTGTTAATGCCCTCGTCCCTATCCCCGGTACTCCTCTCGGTGACCGGAAGATGATTCCCTTCGACCGCTTGCTGCGTACCGTCGCCACTGCTCGTATTGTCATGCCCAGCACCATCGTCCGTCTAGCTGCCGGTCGCATTGCCCTGACTGAAGAGCAGCAGGTTGCCTGTTTCCAAGCGGGCGCTAACGCTGTGTTCACGGGTGAGAAGATGCTGACCACTGATTGCAATGGCTGGGAGGAGGACCGCGTCATGTTTGAACGCTGGGGATACTATCCCATGAAAAGTTTCGAGAAGCCAGAGGTAAAGGCTACTGCTGCTGCTACTCCTCCGCCAGCTGCAAGCCCCGAGGCCTCGGCAGCGCAGGTCGCAGCTAGTTCTTAGACTTACAGTTATACTGTTCAATGGAAATATAAGTCTGCAACATACGGTTTTGCATATTCCCTCGTATGTGTCAACCTTTTCTTTGGGGGCTTTGGAGGAACAGGAATCATGTAGCAGATCGGCGTCCCCAGCAATGGGCAGAAACTTTCACGGATGGTGAGGACTAGATGGTGTACTGGCAGAGAAGATTTCGGCAAGAGCTTTTCCCTGTACGAATTTCCATTCTCACGTTTGGCATTCCCTGTCTCCGATCAGTCGGTCATTACCCCCGTCTATCCCCGCGTTACTCTCGAAATCGTCATCTCATGAGATCTAGAAGCCTGAGCGAATGCCCTAAAAGTGTTGGGAATACATAGCCAGCTGACTTGCGAGTGGTCGTCCAGTTTGGCACCAAATCCCATACCGAGGTTGAACCTAAGTGCGCAGGGTGGACAGATCTTGACTCACGCCTTTCGCCTCTATCATTGGGCAGAGATCAATCTTCACATTCATGATCGCACTGCTTCCCCTTTTAGATGCAGTGGCGCTCCTCTCAACTCCACATTGACGCCTAAGCATTAGCCGATGGCGGTCTCATTGTGCGGAGAATTTGACATGTGGGAAACGCCGATCTTCACCAAATCGACCTCTCTCGAAGATCATCTTGTCTAATCTAATGAGATGTTTAGATTTGGTTGGGGTAAATTGATCCACACATTCAATATCGTTGACCACATGCTGCCCAGTGTACTCATGGAACTGATATAAACAAGGACCCCCCGCCAGACATGGCCGCCTCCAGAGCCATCCACCATGGATTCCAAACCCCCAAAAGATTCCATGCGATCAACATGGCGTACAGCTCCTCGCAGCGAGTGGAAAATCCACCACTACATGTTGCATGTCTTGAACGCCTACCCTATCGACATAGACAAGGAGGTGCCGGTGCACAGCAAAGATGAGAAAGTGCCATATATGCCCCAGTGGTCTCTTCACCGATGGGTGCTGTTCTACGCTGCTGTTCCCTTACTCCTCCACGAGTCCTATATGGCCTTCACCGGGCGCAATGTTGGCCCAATCGCCGCCTTCAACTTCTACCTCTTCGCCTTCAACGCCTCAGTCATATACCAAGTCCACATCCTTCGCAGGCTCGGCCACCAATACGGCTTCCTAGATGGCGACAAGCACGAACGCGACGGAGTCCCCGATGTCGGCGTGTCTAAAGTCGTAGCCTCAGTATATAAAACTACCGGCTCACGGTTGATCCTCTCAATCTTCCTATCCTACAACCAAACCCAAAGACCCTCCCAAATGTCCTGGGCCTGGCTCCCCCTCGAGATCGGGCTGTACGGCATCGTCCTCGATTTCTGGTTCTACTGGTATCACCGACTGATGCACGACGTGAGCTACCTGTGGAAATACCACCGCACCCACCACCTAACCAAGCACCCAAACCCATTGCTATCCGCCTACGCAGACCACGAGCAAGAATTCTTCGACATGGTCGGCGTGCCTATGATGACCTACTTCAGTCTAAAACTAATGGGATTACCGATGGGATTCTATGAATGGTGGATGTGCCATGAGTACGTGGCGTTCGCGGAGGTATACGGTCACAGCGGGCTACGGATGCACATGACGGTGCCATCGACACTGAGCTGGCTGTTGCAGATGTTTGACGCCGAGATCGTCATTGAAGATCATGATCTGCATCACCGGAAGGGGTGGCGGAAGAGTCACAACTATGGCAAGCAGACGCGGCTGTGGGACCGGATTTTTGGGACTTGTACCGAGCGGATTGAGTCTGCGGCGGGAAATGTGGATTATGAGAATAGGGCTACGATGCCCTTATTCTAGATTGATGTTCTTTGATTGGTCTGTGTTATAAGCATGATGATGAATATTGAAGGTGACTGTCGTTGCCTAAGGTCATCCTGTACATAGCTCGCCCTTAACCCTAGGGCTGATTGTCAGCAAGTAGAGCACTTGTGATGAGATACACTTAAGCTCAGAACAATCTGTTTCTATTATGAATTGATATTGTGTAGGGGTTCAAGTCTAATAACTCATCAAAGATTGCTCCTGGGCTCAGTCACAGACTGGCCAGCACCTGTGATAACTGAAATCCCAGCATCCTTCTTAAAGTCCGGAGACTCGAAACTAGGAGATTCAGCACCTTCAACAGATGTACTAGTATGTACACTCCGAGTATCATCCAGAATGCGATCAACGCTACTGTCCTCAACATCGGGGTCGAAGCCACGGGCGTGGGGTGACTCTTTAGCCTCCTTAGGGCCCACGGATGGACTGCCACCAGCTGGCGTACTAGGTTCATCGGTATGCGTGAACTTCCCACTGGAAATTTTTCGCACAGAGGAAATCACCAGGGGACGGATACAGGGGATAGAGGAGGTGATGATGATAATGACGTTTTCGATGTATCCCCAGCGGATGAGCTCGATGCCGCCAGCGGCACCCATGTTTGTAATGCTGGGCACAGAGTTGAGTTTGGTAGTCTTGATAATGGACGCAACCATAGCACTGGAGCTGTTAGTATATCCAATGCCATTGGGAATGGGAAACTTACAAGACACCCAGACTGAGAAGGATGATCAAACCAATCTTGATCCTCAGCCTCAAATTCAAATTCCAGAATACCACTGCGGGAAAGACAGCCAAGAACAAATCCGTAGCTGAGTTGAATGTGTTGGAAAAGTATGCGAATCTAAACACTGCATCGGAGTCACCGCAGCTCGTTGTGGCCGCGACCTCTGCGTCCCAGAGCGCAGCAACATCGCGACAGATGCTCAGTGGTAGCACTGCGGATGCGACATTGGCGCCGAACTGTATAATCAAAACAGTCCAAAGGGCGGCCTGGTGATACTTGTTCGTTCCGAGGAGAGGAAGAAGGTAAAGAATGAATGCGGAGCGCGCGAAAGTGGTGCTGAGTGTGACGAGTGGCACCTGAATCGCGATATACTTGAGGACATCTTGCAGGTCCTTCCGTGGCATGCTATAAAGGTCTGTCCCGAATCCATGTTTGACCGATAAGGACAAGAATACTGTCGACGCGATAGCCAAGAGCTAGAACAGTTTATAGTTAGTATATGAGTAATTTATACCCCGACGAACAAACTGGGAAAACCTACCTCGGCGAGAATCATCAAGCCATCGTCAATACCAACACGTTTGATTTGAAATTTGGCAAAGACTCGTAACACCACAATCACCGCAGCGATGACCACTGCCACCCAGATCCCCTTTTCCAGGGCTGGGCCAAGAGTATTCGGCGGCATGTCGTGGTGATGAAACGACTATGCGATCACTCTTGTAGATATACTACCTCCCTGGGCCTCGGCAGCCTCCGGTCTCCGGACTGGCATGGAGATATGGTTTAACTTTCGCACGTCCGGAATTGCCAAAGCCCATGGATTCTTTTCGCCAAGACAGAGCTTTGATAAGTCGACAGCCAATGACCAGCATTGTGCTCCTGGAAGCCTTAAAAACGATCTAGATGGGCCATGGATAGGGCTGAAAGAACCGTGGGTCCAGGCAAACTTACCATTTTTGTCCAGTTTCATCTCATTTTCTCGCCCGAGTTCCCAAGTGCGAGGCAAAGAGATTTCTCATCCGGTTGCTTTATCCGAAACTCACGAGTGTTTCTCTCGCCATCTCTGACATACGAACCAATGTGACTAACCTCCAACGAGACGAGACTGAATTTTCAGTCGTATGAATGCTTATGCAAACTTCCAGTCCTACATTTATTCATGACCATGGCTGGCACCTACGGGTAGATACATGGACGCAGTGCGACGACATCCGCCACTGGGGATAATAAGGCTCGCCGGCGGCCGGATAAGGCTTGGTGGCGTCGGCGAAGCGTCGGCAAATCCTCTGATTGGCTATGTTATGACGAACTGTGGGTCAGATCTCAGTTTCTAAGCTTCGTCGTTCCGAGGCCTCCGAAGAGACGCCGATTTTAGGATGAACTTTTGCATATGATGTCGATGGCAAAGACCACCATGTGTCCTGGAAGTTGTGTGTGGCAATGGGATTTATTGGATGTCTACTAGTATTGACTACAGTTCGGCTGGTGGCAGATCTGAACTGCCGATCACTTGCGAACCGCATGAATCGTGTCCGCCTCGGCTCGACCCCGATGAGATCTCCTTATCCACCCTAACCTCACTAGACGGACTGGGGAACACTTCCGAGGGCTGCGAATTAAAGAGTACCCCAGGTCAGGACTCAGGAGAAACAATGCTGCGTTCCAAATAAATAAAAAGGGTGATCAACACATCTCCCCATATTTTCGGCAATCTCACCCCTTCCTCCATTATGAAGTGGACATTGGCTTTCCTGGCTTTTGCAGCAACGACCATTGCCTCCGATTGTCACTGTTTGCCAAGCGATAGCTGTTGGCCTCCTCCCTCCGCTTGGGACTCGCTCAACGGCACTGTTGACGGTCGCCTGATTGCGACCGTTCCTATCGGTAGCCCCTGCCATGCGCCGAACTACGATGCCGCCGCGTGTGCGGCCATCAAGGCCAACTGGACCAAACCTGAGATTCAGTAAAGTAGTACAATTCGCTCAGGAGATCGCATCACTAATAACCAACCAGTTTCGACTCTTCTTCGTCGGTGATGCAGACGTATTTTGCCAACCAGACTTGCGATCCCTTTACTCCCAAGTCCAAGCCCTGCCATCTCGGCAATTACGTGAATTACGCCGTAAATGTCTCGTCCAGTGACCAGGTCATCGCTGCTGTCAATTTTGCCCGTGAAAATAACATCCGCTTCGTTATTCGTAATACCGGCCATGAGTAGGTTAACATCGGTGCTTTTCCCCTGTTCCATACTGATAGACAATAGTTACCTCGGTCGTTCAACCGGTGCAGGTGCCCTCTCTGTATGGACTCATCATTTGAGCGATATCGAGTACCTGGACTGGTTTGACCCGACCTACCAAGGCCCTGCATTCAAGGTCGGCGCCGGTATGGTTGGATATCAGATCCTGGAGGCTGCCTCTGCCAAAGGCCTGACAGTCGTGACTGGCGAATGCCCTACAGTCGGTCTCGCTGGTGGCTACACCCAGGGTGGCGGGCACTCCGCTCTCAGCACTAAATTCGGTCTCGCAGCCGACAATGCCCTGGAATTCGAGGTTGTCACCGCTGCTGGCAAGCTGGTCAAAGCTTCGCGCTCCGAGAACGCTGATCTTTTCTGGGCACTGAGCGGTGGTGGCGGCGGAAACTACGGTGTTGTCATGTCCATGGTAGTCAAAGCACACCCAGACGCGCCCATTGCCGGTGCCGCTGTTCAGTTCGGCGCGGCCAACATCACCACCGATACCTTCTACGAGGCGGTTTCTCACTTCCACGCTCTGCTACCAGCCATGATCGACCATGGTGTCACCGTCATCTACCAGATGACCTCGAGCGCATTCCTCATCAACCCCGTCACGGCCTACAATCAGACCACCGATGATGTGAAGGCCATCCTCAAGCCCTTCCTTTCCAAGCTAGAAAGCCTCAACATCAAATACAAAGCCAGCTTCAGCTATTCCCCATCTTACTACGACCACTACAACAAATACATGGGCCCCCTCCCCTGGGGCAACCTAGCCGTATCCACCTTCCAATACGGCGGCCGTCTAATCCCGCGCCAAACCCTCGAACAACACCCAACCGACATGGCCTCCGCCCTGCGCAACCTAACCCAAGCCGGCGTAATCGCAGTCGGAGTCGGCATGAACGTTTCTTCTCCAGACATCTCCAACGCCGTGTCACCAGCTCTGCGCAACGCAGCAGTAACGATGCAAATCGGGACATACTGGAACGAGACCGCGCCATGGTCTCAGATGATTGCAGAGCAGCACAAGATGACGGACGAATACGTACCGCAACTCGAGGCTATTACCCCGGGCAGCGGCTGTTATCAGAATGAAGGGGATTTCCGCCAACCACATTGGAAACGCACTTTCTTTGGGAGCAATTATCCCAGATTGCAGGGTATTAAGAGCAAGTGGGATCCTTCTTCTTTCTTCTATGCTCTGAAGGCTGTTGGGAGTGATGTTTGGTCTGTATCTGAGTCCGGGCGGATGTGTCGTGTTTAACCTAGTAAATATAGGGGTTGATTCTCTGGCAATGCGATATGCCGATGATATGATCGATGGTAATGCAAAATATGCTCAATATACAATGATCTATATGCAGAAATCTATAAACAATGAAATGCCCATACCGCCTGGAAACAACATGATAAACAGTTCACAATCGACAAGCTCACACCTCGGCATTGCTAGCGCAAGAGAAGCTGTTGCTGGAGGCATTGTCATGAATAGCCTTGCCAGAAACATACAGACCGAGACCACACATGCAACCACCAATCAGGACGATACACACATTAACAGCAGTGAGCGCAATCTTCCGAGGGGAAGAGAACCATCTGCCCTTGTTGATGTGCAGCCAGTACACACCACCGAGACCGTAGCTGAACCAACTAGCGAAAAGCGAGCTAATCAGACTCAGCAGGTCACTGAAGACCGGAATAGCATCGGCAATGATCCAGGCGATAACCCAGCATGTAAAGGCAATGGCAACCCAGGAGCCAATGGCGACCAGATCACGCTTGTGCATGCGGTCAGTTCCGCGGAAGATGCGGACGTAAATGTACTTGAGACCGATGTGGCCGTTGACGACACCAGCACCAATGATCTATGAATGTCAGCCGCTGACTGTGACTGGGGCAGAGTGAGTGGAACTTACAGTTGGAATGGCGATACCGTATGCAACCTTCTTGAGGACAGGTCCTGCAGATCCCAAAGCGGGGGACATGACCTCCTGGCCAACGTAGTAGTAAATTACGACCGCAGCAACGGTGTAGAAGATTATCTCGAAGGACTGCAGCATGATCAGAGCCTTGGGGAAGTCTCTCGGCTCCTCCATCTCAGCAATCAGACCGAAGAAAGCAACATGGGCGCAGTAGGCAAAGACAATGTTGGTGACGGCGCTGAAAGCCCGGAACAGATCGGTGTCGATAGTAGCTCTGAGATTCTGACCACCGGTGTTCTGGACGCCTACTGCAACCATAGTGATGATGACTGCAGTCAGAATACTGACGAAGGCTATACGCGACAGTTAGTACAGATTCCCAGCGATGGCGCAACGAAATGTACATACACATGCACGAGATATGGGTCATGTTCTTCATGGTGCGAGGCAAAGAGCAAACGAAGCAGATAACGAATCCGACGAAGGTAAAAACCATCGTGCAAGTGCCGTGCTCCGTGACAGTGTTCATCATCACACTGAAAGTCAGAATGTGACTTCCCATAATGAAGATCGAGAAGAGCAGCTGGCCCATACCAAACAGCTCGCGTCCAAAAACACCGAATAGAACCTCGCCTGCATCGCCCAAGTTTTGAATGTGGGGGTAGCGCATGCGGAATTGGAAGATCGTGTATCCAGTGTATGTAGCGAGAAGTCCGAGTCCGATGATCAGGACGAGAGCCGGGGCAAGACCAAGCTGGGCCAGGGTTTTGGGCAGAGACAAGACACCCAAGGAGACGGATTCGGCAATCATGACTATCCAACTGTTAGTGTCGGCTCGAATAAATCGATCGAGATGTAGGCTGCGAGTATGCTAGCACTTACACATTCCGGTTTGCCTATCATAACACGATTAGCACATATTGCTTGACTCCAGGTTTCGATAGCGACTTACCACCACTTCATAGTCTTATACTTGACCTCCGCACCCTCCTCATCACCAAAAGCATCCTGATACTGAGGCGTCTCATCGAGGAACTTCTTCTCATTATACCCCGACTCCGAGTCAGCCCGGTCCTGGTATGGGTTTACTGCGTCGTGAATCATGATGTGCGTAGATCCGTCAGGAAGAAATTTGAACCGTGAGCAGAGGAAAGGAATCAATGTGCTGAAGAAAAATCCTCCAAAGGTGGAGCACCCGCAACCGAGACAATGCCCCAGCTTATGTTATGGCACATTATGGAGAGGACGTGGGGACTCTCGGCTCCGGGGCCCGGCTGTCGTGGAATGGAATCATCGAGATAAGAGTTTCCACTGCGTATTCGCATTACTGAATACTAGTTTTTTCAACTTCACACAGAAAGAACGCTTGGAAGCCGAGCTCTACTGCGTACATGGAATTAAGCGTCTCAGGGTCCACTGGTCGATGCGGAAGGTGGGGCCCATGTGGTTCATTCCAACGTCAATTGACCAATCACATTCTCGGCTTTGAATCTATTATCTAACAAGAATCGCCAAGCCTTCACCGGATTCGGGTGGCCGAGGATAACCGATTTTTTCCGCGGAAAAAGTTGCCATCCATGTGGAAGTTTTTCGCCATCCGCCATCTAAGCCTTTCGGAACCGGATATTCGAGGTCGTTACTGGAAATACCTTGGAACAATCTTGGACCTTCTAGATTGGGATGATATGACTGTGATTGGGTAGAATGATATCCCGTTCCTGTATACAACTACCATTTCACTCCACTCGGGCTTCTTTGGGTCCTACCACATGGTACAGTATGATAATGCGCTGAGTGTCTGGTGTGTCTGGTTGTCATGTTATATACAAGTCCGCCACTTAGACCAACGCCGAGCGGAGAAGCCTCTCCAACTCTCGAAGTGACTCGGGTTTCGACGTCACACTGGACATCAAATAAAGAACGTTTCCAAGAACGCGTGAGTGAACGTTGAACTGATCACTGCCAACAGCCAGCGTCTGCTGTAGTCCCTTAGCAACGTTAGAAGTATAGCCTGCATTATTGTCAGTCCTATGCTCCCAACTTTCGATCTCAGTCACATACCTCCACCATCCGCATCACGAAGCGAAATACTAAGCACAGTTCCAATGGCAAACACACTCTCCACCGAGTCCGCACAGGACAGATCCTGAAGCAGACTGTGCGACCAGACACTCCACACATCCGGAGTCGAAGCCGCAGAACTCGACGAGTTACTTCGCCAGTCATCGCGGTATGAATCCCATGATCCATCCGTGTGCAGTTTAGCCATGGTCTTCAAGGAATCCACAGCAACCGTGCAGCCAACAGCATGGGCAGTGTAACTGTGACCATGCAAGAGAGCGTCGCTCTTCTCTGGGCTCGAGAATGCATCAAAGATCTCCTCACTTGCCACAGTAGTGCAGAGCGGAATGAGCCCGCCGGTGAGAAGTTTGGCGTTCACGGCAATGTCGGGGTGCACGTCCAAGAAAGATGCGGATGTTGGACGGCCGAGACGGTATAGACCGGTGAAGACCTCGTCGAAGATAACTGGTAAGCCAGACCACGATGGAGATTGCCGAGATGCTGCAGCGGTAGAGAACAACTCGGGATGTTCGCGGACCACATCCACTAGGCATCTCTGGAAGAGGGGATCACTATGCAAGATAGTTAGTAAGATTATTCAAACGGATATCCGCGGTAACTCAGGTTTACCAGAAAAGCATTCCACCTGCACCAAGAATAATGGGTTCCAGGATCAATGCCCCAAACTTCATTCCTTGACGCTGCACCAGATCCTCGATGGTCTGACGGATATAGTGCTTGTAACGCTGGGCTGTAGCAGACTCCAGTCGCTGGCTGAGATCGAAGACCGAACCCAACGAGGTAAAATTAATATTCTCGCCGAGGTCTGCCTGCAGCTCGCCCGGAATCTCAACTTTCCAAGACCCGCCGACCATCTTGACCAGGGGGAAGTCGAACCAATGTCCACGACCACGGTACCACTCAACCTTTTTATTGTAGACCGATGGCTCCGAGCAGTCCATCACACCGATAGTGTCACCATGATAGCTACCCTTGAGTCCGAGAATGCCAATCTGTTCCTGGCTGGCATCCCAGCCATAGCGGTCGCAGGAGGCGCGAAGGCCCATCTTCACCGCGACTTCCATCCCGGTACTTCCATTATCAGTGTAGAAGACTTTGGCAAGCCGCGGGTTTCCGATAGTTTGCAGCAAATTATCTGCAAGCGACAATGCTGGCTCATGGACGGCCCCAGCGAACATGACATGTCCATACCGACCGGCGGCGTAGGCTGCCGATAGTGACAGTTCCGGGTTACCATGGCCCAATCCTTGAGTCCACCAGGATGCGGAGCCATCGAATGTCGGGCGCAGTTCGCCCTCGGCTTTCTCTGATCTGTTGTCCAATGTTTGGAAGTAGTCGTCGTGTGCCGAGTCGATCACGGTAATGTCCTTGGCCGTCATCCCTTGATGCTGGGTAAAGGGGTACCATATCAGATCATGAGCACGGTCGGCCATCTCTTCCAGACGCTCAACACGCTGAGTGTTATTAACAGACATTTGTTCCAGCAGATGGAGGATCTCCGACTCTTTAGCCGACTTCCGGTAATAGTCGAGCATGGCCTCTTCGTCCCTCACTCGGGCATCGGCATCCAGCTGGGATGGCCGAGCTGGAGGCGCCGGTAACGACACCAATGGAATACTCTTCTTCTGGAAGTATTCCCGCAGATACTCATGGTTTTTATAATAGTTGTCGCGGAACAAGAGAACCGATGCAACATCGTAGCCGCGAAGCAACAGCGACTCATAAGCAGAGATGGAAGAGGAAATCCCCCCTAAACGAGAGTCTGCCACCAGCACAATTGGCAAGCGAAGCGGTCGATACAAGTCTGCTTGCGAGTTGCCATTAGGGCCTGGGGAGTGTACGCCGCCAGCCGTCTCCACCAAGGCAAAGTCAACATCCGACCGCGCCCAGCCCGACAACGTCTTGTGTATTGAGGCGAGCAGATCCTCATCTCGGATCTACACCGTCAGTTCTGTAGCTTTCTTAGGATAAGAGGACTTACAAGTTTATTTTTAGCTGCCAAATGTGGGCTCACAGGTTCATCGAATTGGTAGAGACATTTGGCAATTGTGCCAGCCCCATAGCGTTTCAAGTGGCTGCGAGTGCGACCGTCAGCGATGAACCGACTTAACAAGTGGCCTACTTAACTGGTCATCGGCATCATCTAATGCCCCCGTTGACACAGGCTTGAGAAATGCTGCCTGGCTTTTCTGTTGAATGGCATTGCACAAGACTGTCGAGACAATTGTCTTGCCCACGTCCGTATTGGCGCCATAAACCTGGTGGGCGCGTAAATTGCGCCAAAGTGCAGCACCGACTGGCATGATGGAGGTAGGTTAATGGGAGATCAAGTGACTCATGAATTGTTTGTAAAGATTTACTGCCTCAGGTGTGACTCAGGTGACTTGTTGGGTTCAACAGTCAATTGACTTTGATGAGATCGTTGTGGTCCTGGTCTGGTCCCTGTGGAGCGCGCCGAGCACGAGCCGTCGAGCACATTATTAAAGTGGATGTCACCTCAGATCCCCCTACGATCCCCCAATGCCCCCATAATTACACCTCTCATTCCATAGTCAACAGACAACAGTCAACATCATGACCTCCCCAACCCTTGTTGACTCTCTCTCCGCCGCATTGTCGCGTCGAGAAGCCAAATCCGCGCGTCGGAGACTGACCGTCTTACCCCGGACGGCAGTGGATTTCTCCTCCAACGACTTCCTCTCTCTATCAACCTCATCAGCGTACCGAGAACGCTTTCTAGCACATCTAAACAACACCCCACCATCATTCCCTCTCGCCAGTGGGGGTTCCCGACTATTAGATGGCAACTCAGCGTACGCAGAAGAGCTCGAGAACTTCATCGCGACATTCCATCAAGCTCCCACAGCACTATTATTCAATTCCGGCTACGACGCCAATGTCGGCGCTCTCTCCAGCATCCCCCAACCAGGCGATGTAATTTTGTACGATGAATTGATCCACGCCAGTATTCACGAGGGCATGCGTTTGTCGCGAGCTGGTCCTCGAAAAATGTTTGCCCACAGTTCACCAATTGGTCTGAGGGAAGCTCTCCAGCCACTGATGGCAGAAGACCCAGCAATTAGGAATGGCCAGCGCAATGTCTTCGTGGTCATTGAATCCATCTACAGCATGGATGGCGACGTTGCACCCATCAATGAGTTCATCGCCGTGGTGGATGACCTGCTGCCTCATGGCAATGGGTATTTCTACGTCGACGAAGCCCATGCGACTGGTGTATTTGGACCGCGAGGGGCTGGGGTAGTCCAGGAACTTGGCGTACAGGATCGTATGTTCATTCGGGTACACACGTTCGGCAAGGCATTAGCCAGTCACGGAGGTATGGTTGGATTTTCATATCCTTGGGAATATTGGAACTGACTTTTATCCAGCGGTCGTGCTTTGTGGACCAGAGACGAGAGACTATCTCATCAACTATGCCCGAAGCTTGATCTATACCACAGCCCTAGGGTTCCCATTCCTAGCGGCGATTCGCACGGCATATGAGCTCCTATCGTCTGGAGAAACCGAATTAGTCAGTCCAATCTCTCTTTCTCTCTCTCCCTGGCTAACGAGGGTCATAGTTACAACACCGGCTCCAGCAATTAATCCGTCATCTCCGACAACAGCTCGACGACCTCCATACTCCACAGTCAGTCATGTTCGAAATCGATCACTTCCCCACGTCTCCCATCATCTCTCTTCGCACATCGCACCCACGACAGTTAGCCAGTCTCTGTCAATCAAAGGGTTTCGTCGTTCGTGCCATTATGCCGCCGACCGTTCCCGTGGGAAAGGAGCGGGTGCGGGTATGTCTACATGCTGGGAATACGGAAGTAGAGATTGATGGATTGGCGAAGGTGATTCAGTCGTGGCTGGAACGAAGCCCGATAACAGAATCGAAACTATAGGCGGAAGTTCCGTTCAGTAGTATACAATGTCTAGGTTCTTATGAGAAGTGATCTTTTGACTCATTCTGAGAAGTAGATGTCAAATAAATTCATGAAATTCAGAAATTCAGAAATAAAATACTTGGTATCGGTCTAAAATGGAGATACGGACATATGAGTAAGAACTGTAAGATCCCGGGATCATACAAGATGCACGCTAAAGACACAAATCAAACCATAGATCGCTCATCCTTCAGATCACTGGCCCCGGTGCTAGACCGGTCCATAGTGGTGTACCGGCTGAAATCCGGCAGGCCGCGACGTTCGGCAGCGGGATCCACACCCCGAGCAGCAGCCTTTCGGTCCTGACGACGGAAATAGATCCGCTTGCACCACTTCCAAGTCTCAATGCCGAGGAAGAAAAGAACAGTCTCAACGAACACAATACCCCATTCCCAGGAGATACCGGTGTGCTTGAAGACACTGTGATTGATGACGGGGATGTAGAGGATGGGGAAGGCAAGGACGAAACCAGCCACGATGCCGAAGAAGAGGAACTTATTGCGCCAGATGTCATGCATCCACTGGGTATAGCGTCTCTTTGAATCGGGCTGCATCTGGAAGAAGCTGCGGCGGAGATGCATCATCTCCCAGGCGAGGAACAGGGCAAACCAGGTCATACAGGTGAAGGTAGTGGCGCGAGCCCGGAACACAGTGTCGCAGTCGTGGGGTTTACTCGGGTCGTTGTAATGTGTGTTGCAACCTGTACCGAGATCCCCGTTGCCCCAACGGAACAAAACGAGGGCAAAGGCTGATAGACAGAGAGCCGCCATCCAGACTCCGTAGACGAGAGTGTCGATGATGATTTCCCAGGTGAAGATACCTTGTTTCTACAGCGAAGTTAGTAATTGAAATGTGATAGGAAGGGGATGAGAAGAACGTACACTTTGAGGTGGCCGATCCATGACTTCTGGAGCAGCGATTTCCATTCCCAGACCCATATCAGGGAGACCAGATGTAATCATGATAATCCAGATGATTTCCACAGGGGCAATAGGGAACACAGATTGGTTGATCTCATCCTTGAAAGCCAAACCAATGAGCAAGGTCAAAGCCAGGGCGACGTTTTCCGCAAGAAGATGCAGAACGAACTTCTGGATATTGTCGAAAATGCGGCGACCCTCTTCAATACCGTTGATGATCGAAGCAAAGTTATCATCCGATAGAACCAGTTCGGAGGCATCCTTGGCCACATCAGAGCCATTCTGGCCCATCGCAATGCCGACATCAGCCCGCTTCAGTGACGGAGAGTCGTTGACTCCATCACCAGTCATAGCGACAAAGCATCCGCGACGGTGGAGTGCATCGATCATGCGAACCTTGGTGTTGGGCGCGCAGCGAGCAATAACCAATGGGAGCATAGGCAGATCGTCAATCTCGTCTTCGGTCAGTTTGTCAAATTCAGTCGCGGTCATGACCATTGCAGCGGCAACGTCTTTGGCGATCGTATCCATGTTCGAAGGGATAATTCCGACTTGCGCGGCAATTGCGCGCGCGGTGCCGGCATGGTCACCGGTGACCATGTGCACGGAGATACCAGCCTTGTAGCATTGGGCAATGGCTCCTGCGGTTTCAGGGCGAGGAGGGTCGTAGAGGCCGATCAAGCCATAGAGAGACAGGTCCTTCTCAACCTCCTCCCTGGGAAGAGGCTCGCCACCTTCCTTAGTGCCAGCAGTGTTCTCGCGGCCTGCCAGAGCAAGCACACGCAGACCTTCGGAGGCCAAGGCTTCCATATTCTGCAAGATCTCATCCTTGATAGCATCGTCAATAGGCACAGGCTCCGAATCCGCCTTCCATTTGATGGTGGTGCAAGCCTCAAGAACACGCTCGACAGCACCCTTGGAGAAGATCATCTCGCAATTCTCCCCCGAATCCTCGTCGCGCTTAGAGAAAATAACCGACATCTTCTTCACACTGGAGTCAAACGGATACTCGGCGCGTTGATGCCAGATAGGCTTCTCGCCTTTGGTCCAGCGATCCAGCCCCCAGTTGAATCGAGATGCGAAGACCTGAATGGCGATGTCGGTGGGTTCGCCACGAGCTTGCCACCCATCGCTCTCGGTTTGGTGGAGATGGGCCAGATTAGCCATGGAAGCGACATTGAGGAAGTCCTTTAGCTCAGTGTTGTCCTTCAGCAAGTCATCCGGTGACGATGCGTTGGCAGTCGTGTCCTCCTTCAAGTGGAGAGGCGCCTGAGGGATCAAGCTTAAATCGCCCTCATTAGGATTGAGAGGCTCGCTCGAAGCACCAACTGAATAAGTTCCAAGCGACGGAATCCACGCCCTCTTTGCTACCATGCGGCCTTGGGTCAGAGTGCCAGTCTTGTCCGAGCAAATGTTGGTCACGGCACCGAGGGCCTCCAGAGAATCCAGTTTGCGGACAATAACGTTGCGCTTCACCATCTGCTTCGTTCCAACGGCCATGGTAATTGTCAACACAACCACCAAACAGGCTGGAATCATGGCTAGACCCGTGGCGACTGCATAAATGATGACCTCGCTAACACCGCGCCATTGGTTCGACCCGGCCACGACAATCGCAAAGATGACCGCAATGCCAAACAGAAGGAGCGCCAACTTCGACAATTTCTGCTGCAAAGGTGTACCCACGTTGGTACCCAGGAACCGTCCGATAGCATCCGTGGTGGTCAATGTCCAAGCCTGGATATACCATCTTTTCTTGGTCTCGCCTTGCGGCCCACGTTTAACCGGGCGACGCTTCGAATCGCCTCCACGAAGGGCTTCGGCAATAGCTCCGATCTCAGTTTTCATTCCAGTTGCGATGACGACACCACGTGCACGTCCTCGGGTCACCGTTGATGAGCTGTAAGCGATGTTGAGTCTGTCACCAGGCCCGGTATCGACTTCAAAGGTAGCGTCACCGTCCTTGAGGACCGGGAGAGACTCGCCGGTTAGAAGGGCTTCGTCGGTTTCGAAATTGAATGCTTCAACTAGTCTGCAGATCGGTTAGTCAGGATACATTCTGTTCGAGGCTGCATGGGAGGTACATACCGGACATCAGCAGGAACGGTGTCTCCCACTTTCAGTTCGACCATATCACCGGGGACAATGTCGTTGGATGGAATGGTAGATGTTTTGCCGTCACGTGTAACGACACCAGTAGGTGAACTAAGGGAACGAAGAGAGTCCATAGTCTTCTCCGCTGCGTAGTCCTGGTAAACACCGACAACGATGTTCAACCCAATGACCGCGGCGATGAATCCTCCTTCAATCCAGGACTTGATGCCGAAACTGACAGCCATGGCGATGATAAGAACCTGCAAAGATTAGCATATATTACTTGTCAATCCTCTCCACTTCAGTACTCACCAGCATCATAGCATTGGCGATCTGTCGAATGACAATCTTCGCCAGGGAGACGCCTTCATCTCCCTGCAGCTTGTTCTCGCCATATTTCCCCAGACGTTCTTTGGCCTCTGTTGTCGTCAGACCATTATCAAAGCTAGTACCGAGTTCACGGATGACATCGTCATAGGTGAGGCTATGAGCAGGCTGGGAAAGAGGTTGATGGGTGTCGGTGGGACCTTTCTGGGCCTGGGCCCTGTCCTGCGACATATCGAAGATAAAAGAGTGTGTCTAGTGGTGGTGAGGTAATAGATGTGTGTACTTTCTGATAGATCAAGAGAGTCTTAGGGAGGTATCATGTAATATGTATCTGCAAGAGAATGAGAGTCCATTCACAGAATCACTTGAGATACAATTAAAGAAAGAAGATCGTTTCCCAGTTCCACTGGGAGGGGGATACAGGAAAGTATAAATAAGAGTGACAATCTCCGTCGAAGGCGTGCATCAGCCTCCGGTATCTCCCCCGAAATCAATTGAGCCCGACCATCCGGGGAACCAGCAATGTTCCAAGGTTGGGAAGATCTATTGACCAGTCACAATCCTTAACCAGCTATCGTTATGAATTATTCTTCTTGGCGCATAATTCCTATCCATCCGTTTTCGGGGGTGTGACGCAAATGACTTCTAGGCGATGGCTCGGTAACCACGCACGCGATCAGTGCCCGTGATCTTATTGGTGCGGAGCGGTCTTGGCGCTGTAGATACTGGATAACTCGGCTCGTTTGCTTTGTTTAGCCAAATTCCCACGGCTGGGCGTCTTGGCTCTTGGCCCTTGGCATTACTTGGCACTCTGGGCCTGAGAGTTCCTCCGGTTCAAAGCCACTCACTTCGCCAGGGCTATTTTGACTCTCCGAGTGGGAGGTAAATTGATTGAAGCGTCGTTATTGCCTTAGACAATGGGCCACCAAGGGTATTATAACTAACTTGGGACACGGTGCCTGAAATCCCATTCCCCCCCGAGTGATCCGATCTAGGTCACACTGTCTTACCTTACAGCCATTACCCCGTTGTCATTGGGCGATACTTGAATTATTTTCCCCAGTCTCGTATCGCTCGTTTGGACCCAGCTCCATATGACCCTCCACTCATGGCGGAACACTCCATGCCGCGAGAGGAGATCATTGGGGTTGTGATTGGGGCCGTGGTGGTGTTTTCCCTGATCAGCGTGATCCCAATGTGAGTTCCAGTCGAGCGAAAGTCTTGGCCGAACCTCCACATTATGCAGGCGAAATGTTCTGGAAGTTCTGACGTGCTTATCACTGATTTGTGTGCATTCCTTAGGTTGATCATGTGGTATCATCGACGACGAGCTATACGAGCTGCCCGCAACCAAATCGCTCCAGCAGTCTATCAGGTACCTCTGCAGACTGTGATGGATCGATGGTTGGAAGAACAGAACATTCCCACCAATGCTCAACGATACGGCCAAGACACTTGGTAAGTCGACATTCTTTTTCCACTTCCGACTTCCGGTTCCCCTCATCAAAACCTCTTGGCCCTGCGGGTCAATGATGTAGTGTGGGGGCGATAGGGCTGGGCGCTGGGTCCCTTCTCCCTATGAGGATCGACAGACCCTCGCCGAAGCGGCTTGAGCAATGAGGTTTCTGGGCAAGGCAGTCTCGCCCCCCGCCCGATAAACCCAATGCCAATGCCGCTATGTTCCTGAATTAATTCACCACTGTCTTGGCACGAGATAGCAGGCCGTGATAAACCGGACTAAACGAGTTGTCTGAACCTTCTAGAATCAAAACATGCTAACAATTACCCCAGCCCCATCTGTCTCTCCGCACTGTCGTCATCTCCCTATCCCTGCTGTCCCGATCCAGCCGTTCTGGCCCATCACCAACAATCCGACTTATGCGGGGCGCACCATCCCCCGGAGAGCAAAATCCTCATTTTGAACCGATGCAAGCATGCATTTCACCTCGCATGTCTCAGATCCTGGTTCGAATACCGTCGATACAAGTGCCCGATTTGCCAAGCTTCGTATTCGCCCGATGAGGAGGCATGAGCATGATTTCCATTTCCGGTTTGAGTCTGCTATGGGTCATTCTTCGTCGTGGGCTGACGATTGAACATGTACATTGGTATGCTGGCATTGACTTTGTCAGTCGTGCCTTCAACCATGCCCTTCTTTTCACTTTGCTTTTAAGCTGCTCTTCTGCTTTAAGATATCCCTCATGTGGCACGAAACGTCGAAGTTCTTGAAGTTGCTACTGTCTCAGCTTATGATCCGCAGACAGTTGCTAGATTAGCGAATTCAGACAATCGGTATGGTTTCTTTTGGCATCAGAAAGTAAGGAATTTGATGGGCGTGAGTATACCAGCGGTCCACCACAAAAGCAAGTCCAGTGTAGACAATTAGTAGTTTGTACGTACATGATGAAGCTGGACCCAACACCTCAATAATTAGAGTCAATCCAGTCCCCATAATCACTCCCCAGAACCGTCTTCTTCGTGACTCCCGCTGAAATAGCCGAGGTATACTCCCGCTTGGAAGTGTTAGACCCATCTCCAGAATTATTATACTCATAATACAATGGCGTAGCCCCATCAGCCATTGTTGTCCATCCCTTGGCATTGATCAGACTACCAAGGTCGGAGTTCTGATATATCACACGAGCGAGGACTCTCCACGGCCGACCAAAGTAAACGGTCCCATCAAGGCTAGTTCCTGCCGCAGCCTTCACATTGCAGTGATCCATTGCATACCAAGCGGTGTCGCTGGTTGTCTCGCGCGAGCTGGCGGTGATGGCGCCCGGTCCATTGGAGACGATATCGCATTCGCCGAACCAAGCGGAGGCATCGCCGAAGATGTAGTCCACAGCTCCTGGATATAATTAGCATGCCGAGACTCGATAGCCCATTCTAGCCAGAGGCTACTTACCCTCAATCTTGCAATTAGAATAATACTGAGTCCCCGATTTAGCATACAGGGTGTCCTGATATCCCGAGAACTGACAACCATAGAATCCAAGTTTATTCGCATTGCCAACCAGCCTTGGAGAAACGTAGTCAGTAAATACCCCCACACCAAGAATACAACGACTCACGCAACAGCCTGGGCACCTTTCCCATAACCATTAACCACGTTGATGTTGTACATCCTAAACCCAGCCGTAACAACATTCACAGTCGCACTCTTATCCAGCGAGCCAGCCTCCGGTGAAGAGATAGTATGCGTAATAGTCACTGTATTCTGCTTATACGACCCCGTATCTTCAGTCTGGCCGTAGAAGGTCAGGGCACCGGCATATTTGATAGTAAGCTGTTCCTGGTATGTGCCACTTGCGATGTAAATACAAGCTGCCGTTGAGGAAGTGCCGAGGGCGTCGAGTGCACTGGCGATAGTTGAGTATGAACCGCCTGAGCCAACTGTTAGACAGCCGGATGGTGCGCTGTTCCTGCTTGCGCGAGGGGCTAGTTCAGTAGGTGCACTGATGGCCGTCGTGCCGAGGGATAGGGCTGTGAGAAGGAGAGTCCGTAGATGCATGGCGATATTTGTTACCCGGGACAGAAGAAATAGTAGGTCAGAGTATCTGGACCCTAGGAGCATTATATACGATGGCTACGTAGTATCTAGTCGAGCTTCGTCAGAAATACCTAGAGCATGGAAATATTCGTAGGAGATACAGACTGTGGGCCTTCTCTCCGGGATATTTCCATAACTGGAACGCTTCTTCATGCAGGGGTATATGCACGTACTCGACCGGGAAATGTCTCGGAGAATTGATGCGAAACTCCGCTCTTTTGGCCATTCTTTCGGTCATCCTCTTGACGGTTATTTTGCCGAATCCACCAGCTCTGATGTTCGCAAAGAGATCTTCCTCGAATGGCGGAGCCAGGACTAAAGAGGAGACGTTTCAGGTGGTGTCGATTCTCCGGATAGATTAAACAATCACATGTGAACTTCACTAGGATCGCATGTATAAATGTACGCACTAATATTGTCCTCCGGCACAAGGGAATGGCCTTTGACACCCTCAATTGACTTCACAATGTCTCTAACATCCCTCTCAGCCTTCGCACTGCTCGCCTCGGCTTTTGCCCTACCAAGCACATCCCTCGATGCCCGCGCCTCAGCCTGTACACCGACAGCAGGTGGTTCTTCCTCGATTGACGATGTCCCTGCTATAACATCAGCTATCGAATACTGCGGCAAGGGAGGCACCATTGTCATTCCCGCCGGCACAACCTACTATGTAAACAGCGTCCTCGATTTCGCAGGCTGCGTGGGCTGCGATTTCCAGCTAGAAGGACTCTTGAAGTTCAGCTCATCCACAGACTACTGGGAGGGCCGGACAGTAATGATCAATATCAAGAACATTAACGGAATCAAAAACCGATCCCTGACAGGGAACGGTGTGATTGATGGCAATGGTCAGAATGCGTATGTCTTCTTCAGTGACTATAAGACTAAGTATACTCCGTACTAATCCACCCACCTATAGATGGGATCTATTCGCCGAAGACAGCAGCTACGCCCGCCCAACCCTACTCTACATAACCGGCGGCTCAAACATCGAAATCTCCAACCTCCGCCAAAAGAACCCACCGAACGTCTTCAACTCCGTCAAAGGAGACAGCAAGACCGTAAACTTCACCAATCTCAAAATGGACGCAACATCCAAAAACGACAATCCCCCCAAGAACACAGACGGCTTCGACATTGGCGCCAGCGCAGACGTGGCAATTAGCCACGTGAACGTGAAAAACGACGACGACTGTGTAGCATTCAAGCCCGGTGCAGACGGCGTGACTGTGACGGACATTACCTGCACCGGAAGTCATGGGCTCTCAGTGGGATCACTGGGGAAGGCATCTGACGATGTGGTGAAGAATGTATATGTCTCCGGGGCGACGATGATTGCGTCGACCAAGGCAGTTGGGATCAAGACGTACCCGTCCGGAGGTTCTCATGGGGTATCAACGGTGAGCAATGTTACTTTCAGTGGCATTGTGGTTGATGGATGTGACTATGCGATTCAGATTGAGAGTTGTTATGGGGAGGATAGCGAGTATTGTGCGGAGAATCCTGGAAATGCGGATTTGACGGATATTGTATTCGACAAGGTCAGTGGGTCGACAAGTGGGAAATATGATGCTGTCACTGGGAACCTGAATTGCGGTTCTGGGGGAACCTGTGACGTTAAGGTCAGCTCTTATACGGTCGAGGCGCCTTCTGGCAGAAGTAAAGTGCTGTGTGCCAATACCCCATCCAACCTGGGGGTGAGTTGCTCTCCGGGGGCTTCGGGTTGAGAGGGTTACAAGGTGACTCCATGTATCAGCGAGGGAAGAGTCAGAAAATCTATGCCATTTTGCGGTATATAAAAGTAATTGTTCATCATACACGTGTGATCTCAAAGAACACATCTAGTCCATCCATTCAAACGTTTATTTAAGAAGAGGCAATGACCTTGTCCTTGACGTAGAGGTCGACGTACTTGTCGACATCGTAGTTCTCAAGCTGAGGGCGGTCCCAGCCCACCTGCAGCAGCTCGTCGACGCGGGCCTTGTCGAAGTGCGCCTCCAGGTGACGCTTATACTTGGCCAGAATCTCGGGCTTGGCCTCCTCGCGGCGGAGACGGTGACCCAGAGGAGCCTCAACGGCGATCTCCTCAAGGACGGTGCCGTCATTGAGGGTGACGGTCAGAGCGTTAGGGATGGTACGCTTGCTGGGGTCATGGTAATCAGCGGTGAACTGAGTGTCCTCGACGCAGCGGATCTTCTTGCGGAGCTCCTCCAACAGAGGGGAGGTGGCGGCCTCGGAGCCATCGGCGTAGTCGCTGGCGGTCAGACGGCCGAAGACGAGCATGGTGGCAACCATGTACTGGACGCAGTGGTCACGGTCGGCGAAGTTGTCCATCTCCTTGAACTGCTTGTCAATGATGCGGATGCATGCCTCGTGCGTGCGGTTGGTGATCTCCTTGATGTCCTTGGCGCTCTTGCCCATCTCGGCGAGCCTGATGTTGATCTTCTGGGCACACTCAATGGCGGTCTGGGAGTGGAACTCGGCTATTGGATCGAAGAGTCAGCGGTCGTTACTTCCGATGTTATATCAGATTTGGCGAAAAAGACGGTTGCACTTACCAGGGTAGGAAACCTTGAACAGAACGTTCTCCATAACGTAGCTGCCGTAGGGACGCTGGAACTCGAACTTCTTGCCCTTGAACAGGACATCGTAGAAGCCCCAGGTAGGGGCAGAGAGAACGGTGCGAAGACCACCCTCACCCTTCTGGACCTTGAGGACCAAGTTGACAGCACGCTGGCAAGCGTCACCGGCAGCCCACGACTTACGCGACATGGTGTTGGGCGAGTGGCGGTAGGTACGAAGAGACTGGCCGTCAACCCAAGCCTGGGTGATAGCGTCGGCGGTCTGTTGCTCGGTGAGACCCATCATCTTGGAGACGACAGCGGTGGTCGCAACCTTGACAAGGACAACGTGGTCGAGGCCGACCTTGTTGTAGGAGTTCTCCAGGGCGAGAACACCTTGGATCTCGTGGGCCTTGATCATGGCCTCCAGAACATCGCGAATCTTCAGGATCTTGCCGTTGCCAAGGTTACCACCGGCGCGGTTGGTGCGGGAGATCCAATCAGCCACAGCCAAGATACCACCGAGGTTGTCGGAGGGGTGACCCCACTCAGCAGCCAGCCAGCAGTCATTGTAGTCGAGCCAACGGATCATGGCACCAATGTTGAAAGCACCGTTGACGGGGTCTAACTGGTAAGGAGTACCGGGGACACGGGTACCATTGGGGACGACAGTACCCTCCACAACGGGGCCAAGGAGCTTAGTGCACTCCTTGAACTTCAAAGCCTCGAGACCACAGCCAAGGGTGTCAAGGAAGACCAGACGGGCAGTGTCGTACTGTAAACAGCAAATTAAAGATTAGCTGGTGCTTTGTGTGACCCACGCTCAGCTAACTTACCGCCAAATCAGAGTCCACCTTGTAGCCGTGGATGTAAGAGGCCATATCCTGTATTTCAGGATCGTAGGCCCTATCGGTGGGAACTGCCGGAGCGGCAGACTGACGAGCGGCCATGGTAGAGAAGCGAGGAGTGCGAGGAACAGAGAAACGGGGAGTGATGAAGGGGGAAGAAGCCAAAGTGGGCAGTCTGGAGATGCGGGCCAAAGTGCGGGGAGAGGTGTGGGTCAGGCGTCTCACTGCGGGCAGGGACATTGTGAAGGAAGAAGAATTGGGAATAGGATCAATTACAAGATCCAACAATTGATGAGAGGGTCAGAGATTGGGGGGGAGGAAGCTATTTAAAAATAAATAGGACGAATGGAGGATGGGGTAAGGGGAGGAAAAGCCCGGGGATGGATTCCAAGCTGACTTCATCCTGCCGAGGGTCGGTTAAAGCCGGTTATCACTTCACCTATGAACAGCTGTCTTTTAATGCTCTCAACCATAATTAATAGTATTTAGACCTAATAGATAGAACCGTTTCTTTTTTTTACAAGCTAATTTGGACCGTATATGGCTCAATTGACCAAGTTGATGGCTATATGACTGTCTGTTTGGCTCCCTGAAACACAAAATCCGAATATCGGATCTAACTTAACCTGTGAACAACAGATGACAGCTACAAGATGCAGCGAAATCGGAACATAGGCTGTACGGATACACAAGAAAAGGCACAGTGCAACAAACATGGAGAGCAAAGACCTATTCAGATGGAGCTCACGCCGACTTCACAACCCCTTCGCCCTCGGCTGATCTACGGCCTCCGGGCCTCACATGCAGATCAGCGGCCCTTGAGCTCCGTCCTCACATCCTCAACTTCCTATCCGTGACCCTCTCTCAACGATTTCTCAACGCTTTTTCAGGCGATTGAATCAGTAGAAGGTTCCATTGGCCTCATTAGTGTCGCTCTCCTTCAAAGATCGAATGATCTCGCCAATGATGGCCTTGGCGAAGAGTGGGGGGACGGCATTCCCAATCTGCTTGCGCATAAACTTCCCAGTAAACTGGTAGTCTAGAGGGAATGTTTGCAACAGGGCCATCTCACGACTGGTGTAAGGACGGGTCCCCGAAGGGTGGTAGTTAAACTCGCCGCCGCCACAGGTGATAGTCTTCGCCAGACCATTCGCACTGAATGCTTCATGGTGGCACAAAGCCCATCGTTTCAAGGCCCGTTCAACGTCGTGGTCCTCGGCATCAGGGGGAATATTATCGATGGTGGAAGCGATAGTCGCCCGGCTCAGCAAACCCCGTTCAGGCGAGCCATGAGTAGGCGGAGCGAAATGCGGCAGAACTTCACCGGGTCTATAGGCACGTGGTTAGACACAAGAGTACAAACTTTAGATGAATCAAGCTTCTTCCACTTCACTTACCCCGCAGCAATGAGAACCAATCTCTTGCGCTCCTGTGGCACGCCATATTCATCACAACCCAATACCGCCCAACGAACAGAGTATCCAAACTCCACCATATCCAGCACAACCCGGTTGAAGACAATGGGGAACCGTTGAGGCAAACCCATGGTCTCCTCTAGGGTCAAGATCCGGGGACGGGCTCCTCGGATCAAGCTGCCGGCAGAGAATACACAAGCAGAGTTCGCATCGTCGCGAGCGCATGGCACAGTGTGGGCAGGGGACCAGGTCTGGCAAGGGGGTGAGCAGTGAGCGATGTCTACTCGCAAGAAGTCCCGATCGTTGGTGAGGAAGCTGAAAAAGTCGGAATGCTCAACCTCCACATCGTTGAAATTAAGCTGGTATGTTTCCAGGGCGTATTTGTCGATGTCAACAGCCCATTTGATCTTCACACCGGCCTGTCTCGCCCCGCAGGACACACCACCGCCACCACAATACGCATCACCGAAGGTGTATGCACGAGACGGGTTAGTGAGGTCAATGAACCCCTGCCGCTCAAGATCTAGGGCCGCTGAAGACGCCGCGGCCTCTCCGAAACGCACAGTGGGACCTCTCCAGTTATGGCGTAACTGGTGGCCTGAGAGGCCAAGCCCGGGGTCTGACTCGGAGAAGGTGAGCCATTCGATTGCGCACTGCTCTGCAGTCAATGGTGAATGTCCTTCGACAATAATTACTCCAGTCTGACGGATCGTGAGCTTCAACCGGCAGGTCAGCCTTCCTCTTTCCTCCGGCGGGATGTTAGCGAAGTCAGTGCGGAAGTTGGTGAAAGCAATGGATACAATCCGCCTGACGCGCTTCAAGCTGACATGATCGGTATTCTGGGTGAGCCAGATCAATTCATTGTGCACTTTCGGGAGATAGGTCTTGGCTTCTGGGTGCGTCGTCCGGTAAAGACGCCGGCCGAAGAAGCGCACGTCGTCTGTTTGAGGGATTACTCCCTGAAGCCGCAGAAAAGAGCCGTCGTCGAGCTCCAGAGACATCCCGGCTTTGTAAACAATACCACCAATTACAACTTGTGTTTCATCCAACTCAGGGGATGAGCTGCGGCTGCTGGATTGCTCACCTCTGGACAAGCGGCCTGAGCTCGAGTTGTCACTCGATGAGTCGTCGGCGGCGGTTGTTGCGATATGTGCCATGTCCGAGGTCAATTCGTCAATGGCCTTTTCAGCCTCACCTTCCTTCGTGAGGTCGATGAAGGTTTGCACATCACAGTCCAGCATGATGATGTCGTCGTTGGCTATACTGAGGTCGCTGCTCGTTATTTCCGGTTCTACCGAGCTGAGACTGGTGGAATCTCTGGAGGGGGATACAGAGACTTGAGACTGATCGGCGGTATCCGCCGTATTCTGAATCTTTCTCACTGCTCTGATATCTGTCATGTTGAGCAGGCTTGATTCACCAGATGGGAAAACGGAGATGCGAGATTCACCGTCGATCTTCGCTGCATTATGATCGTTTTCCACTTCCATGGTGTCTGCTGTGTCGAGCGCGATAGTTTCACCGATGGGGGTATGGGAGATCCGGGATTGATCTCTGCTATCTGCCATGCGCTGTTCGCCGCTTACTGCTCGAAATCCTGCTACGTTCGAAGCAGTTGGGTCGCCGAACGGGGACACTGAGATACGGTATCGATCTCTGTTGTCGGCCATTGGGCTTGACGGGTGATAGTGATTCAGCTCAAGATAAGCAATATAACGCAAGGCTCGACGCGAAGCTATGTGCGCAGTACGTATAGCCGCAGGTATGATCCCAGTTTTCGGGTAATCCAACAACTCCGTCAACTTACAACGATTCGGTTGAGTTTAGAAAGAGAATTGGATTTTTGCGAAAACTTCTATACTTAGCAAGCAACTGATGAAGCAAATCATCTTCATCTTCCGTATTTCTATGCGCCGAACAAAGCAGATATGGAGCCCTAATTTGTGCATCATGAAAGGCTGAAGTATTGAAAGACTGATATAAAGCCATGGTCTTCATGAACTTCACTCAATATTAGCACTATAATCATCCTGGTTTGTCCATGCCTCCTTAACATCTCCATCTACGGATGTACACAGTACGGGGGATGCATGTCAGTCGGGGTATGCATGTCAACTCACGCTAACCTTGTTCGGGATGCTAGGGCATGTCAGCCATGGAACCTTCCAAAATTGCGGGGCATGCTTAGTCATGACCCAGTCATCATCCCGAGGTCGGCGGGACTGGCAGAAAAAATTGATTCTGTGGGGCAGCACCACCTCCCATACACAAATGTCATGGACATTTTCCCTCTCTCTCCTTAGGATGGTTATTCATTCTCGGTGATGACCATTCTCTGAACTTATTTCTTTCTTTTACGTGATTTGGTTTTGGTAAGTCTCATTATTCCCTTGTTTCCAGCTTGCTTCCAAGCTTCCCTCCCCTGTCTTTATGATGAATTTTGGTTTTTTATAGATGTTAGACTTCCTAAACAATTGTTGAGGAGAAACACCTGGTCTGATTTGAGACACTGCAATATCTCTTTGTACTGTGAATGCAATGGGCGAACATCGATACTGACTTCCATTGTCCACTCAGAACCCTTACCCCACGTCAGGATGTGTGGTATCATTGCGCTGATCCAGGCGAACCCGTCATCCGCGGCTGCCGTGGATCTTCACGAGGCACTCTACCTCCTTCAACGTGAGTTTCGGTCCGAAGTCACATAACTGCGGCTGTGAGACTAATCGTTCCGGTGTCACAGATCGTGGTCAGGATGCAGCCGGTATTGCAACATGCGCGTCAGGGGGTCGAATCTACCAACTGAAGGCCAACGGCATGGCTGCCAAGGTTTTCCAGGACGGTGCTAAGGTCGCCAATCTTCCCGGCTCCATGGGTATCGGTCACCTGCGCTACCCTACCGCCGGATCCAGTGCCAACGCCGAAGCCCAGCCCTTCTACGTGAACAGCCCTTACGGTATCTGCTTTGCCCACAACGGCAACCTGATCAATGCCCCGGATCTTAAGAGGCACCTTGATCTCGAAGCCCACCGCCACATCAACACCGACAGTGACAGCGAGCTGATGCTCAACGTTTTCGCCGATGAGCTGAGCGAAACTAAGAAGGCCCGTGTCAACCACGAGGATCTCTTTGCTAGCTTGAGCCGCATGTATAAGCGTTGTGAGGGTGGATGGGCTTGCACTGCTATGCTTGCTGGTAAGTCACGAATTATGTATGGTCCCGGTATGCAATACTAACTCACATATCAGGCTTCGGCATTCTCGGTTTCCGTGACTCCTACGGCATCCGCCCCCTCATTCTGGGTTCTCGTCAATCTCTGGATGGACCTGGCACAGACTACATGATGTCCTCTGAATCAGTTGCTCTGGACCAGCTGGGTTTCACCAACCACCGCGACATTCAGCCCGGTGAAGCCGTTATCATCGCCAAGGGTGGTGAACCCGTCTTCCGCCAGGTCGCCCCCAAGAAGGCATATGCTCCCGATATCTTCGAGTATGTCTACTTTGCCCGTCCTGACTCCGTCATGGATGGCATCAGTGTTTACCGCAGCCGGCAACGCATGGGTGACCGTCTCGGTGCCCGCGTTCTTGAGGTTCTGGGTCCCGATGTTGTCAAGGACATTGACGTTGTCATCCCCGTTCCTGAAACTGCGACTACCTCCGCGACCAATGTCGCGCTCTACTTGAACAAGCCTTATTGCCACGGCTTCGTCAAGAACCGATATGTCTTCCGCACGTTCATCATGCCGGAGCAAAAGACCCGGCAGAAGGGTGTTCGCCGCAAGCTCAATGCCATGAAAGCTGAGTTCAAGGACCGCAACGTCCTGTTGGTCGACGACAGTATTGTTCGTGGCACCACGAGTCGTGAGATCATCAACATGGCCCGGGAAGCCGGCGCTAAGAAGGTTTATCTTGCCAGTTGTGCTCCGGAGATCACACATGCCCACATCTACGGTATCGATCTTGCCTCTCCTCAAGAGCTGGTTGCGCACAACCGGACCTCAGACGCCATTGCTAAGCACATTGGCGCGGAGGCGGTCGTATTCCAGACTCTGCCTGATCTCAAGGATGCCTGTGCTGAGGTTGCCCGCGAGAATGGTCAGCAAGAGCCCACTAACTTTGAGGTCGGTGTGTTCTGTGGTAGTTACATCACCCCCGTTTCATCCGGTTACTTCGAGCATTTGGAGTCCATCCGCGGCGAGGGCCGCAAGGCTAAGGCTCTCGATAAGGCCAAGGAAGCTGTCTCTCACGGCGTTGCCAACTTGACCGATTTCCAAATCGCCGCTCACGGTGTTACTATGGACACCAACGGCAAGATCATCCCCGCCACTGATGATCAGTCAACTATTGCTGCTGCTTCCAAGCACACCAACGACGCCAAAGATCAAACGAACCCGAAGGTCGCTGATCGCATGGATATTAGCATCCACAATATGGCTGACCATCATGAGGCATGACTATGAACATATTCTTCAGTTTCTATACTTTTTTATTTGCCGTCTCGGCAACTTGCATCGGGTGTCTGGGCGTTTGTTTGAAGGAGCATTGTCATATGCTCCACATGGTGGGCGGACATTTGACGTCATCTGTGGAAATGCATTGAAAATACCAATACCCTGTGTCTCGAGTACACTGTTTTGATAATTCATAATGAAGTTAAATGATTGCAATGTTGAAATGCTGTCGAATTTGTGCTGGTCTATGAGTATTCCATGTCCCAAAGAGGAAGGTCACGTGGTATTGATGTCCTCTGGTTTATGGGAAGATCAACTTGTAAGTATATCTACGGAGTACAGCGAGGTATGAGTAGAATCTGAGAGAAACTGCTCATGATAGATCGGATAATTCATTGTAATCGAAGCCTGCACCGTTGACATGGTCGACTCATAATCACAATACATTTGGCAAGTCGTGTTGAGTACGACAGCAACAGCAGAAGAAGCAGCACCATAGCAAATAAATAATGATACAGTTAGTAATATATTGGGCTGAACCCATTCATCGGCCCCATAGATCGCTGCAATAACGCCCGAGTTCGTCTCATAATTTCGTGATCATAAATTCGTTCATTCATCACTCGTTTCGTCGGAGATCGACTCTTCCTCAGTCTCCTCTTCGGAGTCCTGCTCCTTTCTCTTGCGTTTGCTATTCGCCTTCTTCTTAGAAGCCATGACCGGCGCATTATTCTTGCGTTTTCCATCGCGCACCAATAGGTGGTCAATAACACAGCCATCCTCCCAGCCGGCACTTGACGCACCGGTAGCGGCTCGGCACCTGGGGCAGCTCTTTCCGTGACGAATGAAAAGCTGATGGAGCGAGTACTTCAGGTGATCCGGAATACGCACTTCTAGGTGGCTGAAGGCAGTGACCTCATTGGCGCGAGGGGGAATCCATCCCAGCCAGCGACTGATGCGGAAGATATGCGTGTCGACGGCGAAACAGGGCCGCTGGAGGCAGAACAGGATGACGCAGGCAGCTGTCTTGGGGCCAATTCCCGGATACTTGATCAAATCAGTCATGGCTTCTTCGGCGGTGAGATTGTGGAGGTGGTTGAGGGAAAGGAAATTTTGGTCTGCACAGGCAATCTCATATTGTTTGTCCTTTTCAGCCTTTTCAGGCAGCAGGTTGGATGCTGTGTCATATTTAGACTTAGAATCATCCAGCAATGCGGCTCGACGCGCCTGATTATCCTCATGGACTATGTCAAGAATCGCTTTGAGGTTCTTGCTCTTGATGTCGGCCAAACCCCCACTCTTGATCGCCTCAAACACATCTTTCACGGTAGCCTGGCGCACGGCATCCCAGTTGACGCTTCCTTTGCCGACGCCTTCTGATAAAATGCCAAATCGCTTGACAAGCCCACTGAAAGCCTTGGCAGAATTGTTGCCTGTGGTGGCGCCGCTGAGAAGTGTGCGGATCAAAGCATCTAGAACAGATGGGACCTCACCACAGCCGGTGACGGTCAATGAGGGCTCAGGGACAGTTTTCGGAGCAGTGACTACACCATGGATGCTGGAAAGCAGCCGATTGACCTCTTCACACTCCTCGGGAGTTGGCCGGTCCAGTTCTGGGAAAGGAGAAACACCAGGGGTCAAGCCGTAGGTATTCTTCTTTGACTTTCGGCCAGTTTGGGATGGCTGGACCTTTGCTTCTTGCTTCAGAGGTGTGGTAGCTATATCCACGGTGCTTTGGAGTTCAGCAGCCAATTCCGCAACCTGGTTTCCTTTCGGTGATTGGTCTTCCTTGTCAGATGCAGCAATTAAAACAGCAGGCTCTGTCGCTGCGGACAATGGCGATGGCACAGACCCTAGGTTGTGAGGGAGTTCATCAAACAAGGCTGTGGACGAGGAGGGATTCTCATGCTTGATTGCTGGCTTGGAGCCACGCGATCTGCCCTGAACCTTCGCAGCTGTTTTGGGTGCATCGAGAGATTTGGAGCCAATGGAAGTATCAGTGTGGTTGGGACGCTTCCTTTTGGTCGTCTTGGGAATGTCTTGTGATTGTGTGGGAGAAGGCTTGCTTTCACCCACTAAGGTCAAAGCAGCAGCAGCCCGAGCTGCGGAGCGAGTTATGCGGCGTTCCATTGCGGCGAGGCGGCTCAACCCAGAGAGCACACAGAAAAGGACGTCGATTCAATGAATTCCATCCATCAACAAAAGATGCTGCGATGCATCAATATCAGTCTGATATCCGGTGGAAATCAGATGAGTCGATGATGTAGGACAGTAGGATGAACTACATGAACCAGATTCGATGCGACCAATCCTCGGGGTCAATGCGCTTATCGCCTTATCGCGATATGAAAACAACCTTCCCCCGTTCACCTCTCCAGACACTTTCCCCAGATCAATTGCACTCGCCGCCATGGAGTTTCTGGCATTGCCGCCCTCGCTGCAAGCCTTTCTGGAGCATCGCGTGCCTCCCGAACTACTGGAGTTTACTCCGTACATTGGAGTCGCGCTCGCCTCCTTGGTCGCAGTGTACGTGGGGTACCTCTACACCAAGAGCTGGAAAGAGGCAGCTGTTGATTTCAATGTTCCTATCCCTTCTGAGGTATGCGACAATGCGTCCATCAAGACATGGGGTGAGGTTCAGGGGCAGCAGAAGATGGTGTTGGAGGATCAAGCTAAAGGAGTAAGTCGACAGGCCCTGTTTTTACTTGGGATCATGCCCTCCGTGGCTGCTTTTCTGGTGCTCGAGCTAACCGATGGTCAATCACGCTACTTAGAAATGGAACAGTCAACTTGTCATGTCCTACTGTCCTGCAGATGGGAGAGTGCTCGGTAAAGGGATTAAACCCGCCACGGTTGACGACGTCAACGCCGCCGTTCGGAATGCGAAAGCTGCTCAGCCGGAATGGGCAAAGACTACTTTTGCGGAGCGCCGAAAGGTTCTCCGGACACTGCTGAAGTATGTGAATATGATTGCGTCGCGCCTTGGACCGGACAAAACACCTGCCTACGGACACCCCCTGAAGCCTGTCGCCTGTCTAACCTCCCGCAGATACGTTCTAGACCACCAAGATGACCTCGCTACCGCATGCTGTCTGGATACCGGCAAAACAAAAGTTGACGCTTGTTTTGGCGAAATCCTTGTGACGGTGGAGAAGCTCAAGTGGACAATTGACCATGGCGAGAAGGCACTGCAACCAGAGCGGCGACCGACCAACTTCTTGATGATGTATAAGAAGAACGTAGTCAGATACGAACCGCTCGGGGTGGTGGGTGCCTGTGTCTCCTGGAACTATGCCTTGCACAACTTCATCGGTCCGATCATCAGTGCGCTGTTCAGCGGCAACGCAGTAGTCGTCAAACCATCTGAACAGACCGCATGGTCCACAACCTACTTCCTCGATATGGTTCGCGGCGCACTCTCCAGCTGTGGCCACTCACGCGACTTGGTCCAAATGGTAGTCTGCCTGCCCAATGTTGCCGACACATTCACCTCACACCCGGACGTCGCGCATCTGACCTTCATCGGATCCCGACCCGTCGCCCACAAGGTCTGTGAATCCGCCGCCAAGGCCCTCATCCCCGTCTGTGTTGAGCTAGGCGGCAAAGACCCGGCCGTGATCCTCGACGACTCTCGCACTATCCGCAATATCTCCTCCATCGCCTCACTCATCATGCGCGGTGTCTTCCAATCATCCGGCCAGAACTGCATCGGCATCGAGCGCATCATCGCCCTCCCAGAAGCATACAACCGACTCATTGAGATCGTGACCCCACGCATCAAAAAGCTCCACCAAGGTTCCATCCTCCTCGACGCCGAAACCCCAGACGTAGGCGCGATGATCTCACCCGCCTCATTCGCCAACCTCGAAACCCTCATCAACGAAGCCGTGCAGCAAGGCGCACGACTCCTCGCCGGCGGCACCGAATACAAACACCCAGTCCATAAACACGGTCACTACTTCACGCCCACGCTCCTAGTAGACGTGACACGGGACATGCGCATCGCACAAACCGAGCTCTTCGCCCCGATCTTCCTAATGATGCGCGCCGAGAGCGTCTCTGACGCAATCGCCATCTCAAACTCGACTTCCTACGCACTAGGCGCGAGTGTCTTCGGCCACCACCAACAGGACGTAGAAGCCTGCGTGTCACAGATCACCGCCGGAATGGTCTCCGTCAACGACTTCGGAGCCTATTATGCGACGCAGATGCCCTTCGGTGGCGTTGGCGGGTCCGGATATGGCCGATTCGCCGGCGAGGAGGGACTGCGCGGTCTGTGTAATATCAAGTCTGTTTGTGTGGATAGATTCCCGTCTTTGATTGGCACTGGTATTCCCCCACGCTTGGACTATCCTATTCAGAACCGGGAGAATGCCGCTGATGCTAAGGGGGGAGTTGCGGCTTGGGAGATGTGCAAGGGCGTTGTCGAGACGGGGTATCAGCCGACGCTTGGTGGGCGTATTGCTGGTATCTTGCGATTGTTGGGGAATATGTGATTGTTTGAAGTTGAAGATGCTTGATAGGTCTGTACATTACAAAGTCATGATCAATATAATACCGATCAATATCATACCGTCGCATGGCTGAATATTCACTTGAAGAGCAGATTATTCTTTCTGATATTCTAAGGCCGATGATAGGTTCGGATCCCCGTAGATCTTAAGGGTATAGCGCTAACAACACAAAGTCCTGAAACGATTCATGTCTCATGCAGGAAGGCCAGGACCAACCTTCCTCAGCCAATGACCTTCAGTCCGGAACGAGCTTTCCGGAAGCCACCTAGACCGAAAAAATTCATTGTAAGGTCTCTGACACTTCTCATAAAAAATGCGGCCCTCGACCCGAGAGGTGTTTATCAGACCAAACTGGAACATCTGAGACCTAGCAGTGAGCTGTAAGGGCAGTCGCAGCAAGAAGTCCATTAACCACTTCGCAAACGCGGCGTAGCGCCCGTAAGCGCTCGGATCCTGCCTGCCGAGCTCTATATAATCAACAGCCCACTGCCTAATCTCAGACGAGTCTGTGGGGAGCGACTCAGTACTGGCGCGAAGCAGAGTTATGAAGAACTCATAATTGAGATTTGGATTGTCGCGGCCGGTACGGGTAACAGCGAGGAAATGTTCGGACGGAAACGTATAGCGGGTGAAGCGCGTTAGATGCTCAGGCTTGCAACGGAAGACATACTCGTCTATCTTGAGAAGAGATAACATAGCGCTGTGATTCTGATGGTGGATGGCATTCTGAATACCCTGGTTCAAGGCTTTGCGGTCGAGGTGGGTGAAACACGACGGCAATAATTGAGTCTTTCCATCGATCAAATTACACGAAGTCATGCGCAGCATCTCTAACATCGCAACATCTCCCGGTGTGAACCCATTGCGGCGGCCACGCAGGAGATGGGGTGGGAATTCAACAAGGAACAAGGCAGGGAGGAGAGTGAAAGTCTCGGTATCCGGACCAAAAAACTCAGTCTTGACCATAGGAGTGACATCGAGCTTGTAAGTATGGACAGACTGCGCTGTGATATCCTCGGCCTGTTTCTGCTCTGGCGGGCCCCTCCCATAGAACACGCGGACAGTGTCATCCTCGCGCGCTAGGAATTTCTCAAAATCACTCTGTTGGTCTTCTATCGTTATGATGCCAGCTTGTGTCCACAGACGGTGAATCGTCAACAACTGCATTGTCGGGACCTGCTCAGACAGGCGCTCCAATGTACACCATCTGCATTTCAAGATATCCTGTTGTAGCTGATTACGCTCGTCAATGACCAGAGGCACGTATTCAAGCGGCGCCATTAGACGGTCGATGAACTTGTCGCGAGGTCCATCGAAAATCTCGTCACCCCAGAACGCGAGAAGGATGAGAGCGCGATATATGTGTTCACCCGAGACTGGCCGGGATAGGAATGGCGATGCTCTTGGGAAATTGAGGTTGAGTGAGTGTAGAAAGATTTGCTCGATAATCTCGACGGGGAGGGCCTCAATGAGAGACAGTGTTCTGCGGGGTGTATGCGGACGCGAGATGGCGGGTTTAGGCGTGGAGGGACGATCGTACGGGCCAGACCTTGACCGGGAAGATCGCGAAGACCTGGATGAACTGCTTCGAACCGGCATCTTGAAGACGCGCTCTGCTCGGCGCTTCGGCCGGAGAGTGGGGGTCGAGTCTGAATTGCATGTCGACTTGGGCCGAGCAGGCTTGGTCCTTGTTACGATTGTATCGTCCGCTTTCGGTGGGCTCATGGGTTGGATCTTCTGTTAGTTTCTGCGGTTATATCAAGCTCTGAGATTAAGCCATATCTGATCTGTGTATGGGACTGCTGTGTTCTGCATGTAATTGCAGCTGGCGAGCGAGTATCAAGGGTGTCAAAGTCGTCGAAGTTCGAGTTATCGAAGTTTATCGATAGAACGTTCCACCGTCTGATTGGCGGAAAAGAGACCGACGCTTTAGGGCTTGCTGGCTTGGCGGTGCAAGGGATCACATGGCACCACGTGACTGTTGCCCGCTCTATCACCGGATTGGGGTTAGTCTCATATCAAATGATGTCATGCATAATGACAAGTTGAAGAAGGAAAAAGGCATGAAGAAGAATTAAATGGCATCCCTGGAGACAACATGGAAACAAGTCAAATTTCCTAAAATACTTAACCGTGTTTCATACTCAGCGATCGATTTAAAATAGAAAATCCCCACCAGGCTCTTATTGCAGTACTGTGTAAAATCTGAGTCTGTGCCTTGTAAAATCAAGGAACCTGGTCCTGGCCTTGATGACACCACATGTCTTTCGATAGCAACTTCCAAGGTTCCTTCCTCCCCAGGGCTGAATTTTCTGTGTCATAGCTTCCCAACACGACGTCACTGGCGTTTTCTTGCTTTCAAACGTTCCTTCCTCGTGATCTCTGCTTTACCTCTACACAAACGCAGTTACCCAGTCTATCATCACCTCTTTCGATAACACCACTTACGTATCTAACCAGAAATTTCCAGACCAATCTCAGTCGTCATTTCCCATTTTACTTATTTAAACCACCTTCGTACCCAACTACTCTTCTTCACTATGCACCCTTTCAGTGATCCAACAGTTCACACACACGCTACCTCCAGTACCGAAGCTACTTATTCCACCAAACCAAAATAAATCATACCTCAAATCCAAATCCACAAGATTCAACATGGGTGCCGTCGTCTCTTGCGTACGCAATCCCCACACACCCCATACAACATGAGCAACCCCGCTAACATACTTCTAGATCCAAAGCGTCTTCCGCGCAATCGGCAGCTGCCTCATGGGCATCGTCAATGCCATCGGCTCCGTCTGCCACGCCATCATCAGCGGCGTTGTCACTGTCATCGATGTGGTCATCTCCTGCTTGACCTGCGGCTACTGTGGAAAACGCAGAAGAGGTCGTCGATCAGCCGTCTGATAGCAGACGGCACAACCAAGCCGTGTCTACACACGCGATCGCCAGTTCAATGAATGAATGAATGAGGGATAACATGGCTGGTTATGGGATTCTACGATTGTGATGCCAGCGCGGATTGTCTTTTGCTTTTCTGTTTCTGTTCGGAGTACATACCCCCCGAGGCGCATTGTTATCGGTTGTGATGAAACAAACTATTGTTAATCAAAATATGGGTTACGACATTCTTCTTCTGGCTTTTCATTTTGTAGATCGATATCTAAGACATGCTAAATACTGTAGTATGATCATGAATTTAGAAGGCTATGGCCGAGAACGTTGTCGCCCATCTGTAAGCTCCACGTAATAAATTAACTCCTCAGCACAGTCGGTAGGGATATCGCCCCAGCGCTCATCGAAGATGAAATTCAGAAACGGATCGTCAGCTCCGCTCCCATACCGTTGAATAAGGGTATAATGTAGAGGCCGTAACGGCCAGCGAGCAAGGACACGACAATTCGCTGCGCGGCAATAGATACGCAACAGCCGACGGAAAGGCTCAATCATACGCTTGCGGATAAGACGAGATGTGATCTCCGAGGAACGCTCCGCGCTAGCTTCGTCCTCGTCGAGGTAGAAATCAGCAGCGAGCAGCTGCAAAAACTCAAACTGTTCATCTGACCACGGCGCGCGCAGAACCTTATCTGGAATGCGCCCAGGTCTGATCCCCCCAGAGCACGGCAGACGGAAAAGATCATTCTCATAGTAGACCTCATTCGGTTCACGGATCTGGACTGCGCCAAAGTGGAACCAGATTGCAACTTTGCGGTCGACGGTTCGGGACGAGGCCTGCGCTTCATCCACCAGACGTGCGGGGATGACTAGATCCCCTTTTCTGCGCCGGCCGAATAGAGCCTTATCACAGGCATCCAGATTCTCGAAGTACGAGTCCAGGTTCTCCAGCACCGCTTTGTCATCCTCCTGAAAAACCAGATCGGCGCATTTTCGCCGGATAGCGTGGACAACGTACTCCCGTTGACATTTTCGAAGTAGAGGAAGCGTGAACCACCGACATTCCAGTAACGTCGTCTGTAAATGTTGGCGCTCTTCCCAAGACAAAGCCCAGAAGTCCAAGGGATGAGGTAAGAAGTCTGGGGTAAAGAAGCCCTCTCGAGAGCCCGGATTGGGACTGCTGAAGGCTAGCCGAATGAGCCAGGTATAGATCAATGGCGTGGACAGTGCACGGCTGAGAAGTGGTGAAGCACGCGGGAGGTTGACTTCCAGGCTATGGAGAAAGATCAACTGCAAGATTTCCACGGGCAGGGACTCCAGGCGCGAGGGGTCGGCCAACGGATCGGATGGGCCTGGGCCCATTTGCAACAGTGCAGTTCAGAGGTACCTTCTCCAGGACTGTTATGACTTCGTAAGAAGAAGATGGACTCTGGTAGATCAAGCGGGGTGCTGATGCTTGTAGAAGAGGGAGCTCTGTCGAGACGATATGGTTCATCTCAATGGAAACTCGGTCCATAGGGTATCGACTGCAGTCTTCTCATACCGTTGTCCTTGTGGGCTTGGGTGACGTATCAGGAGCGTATTTTCAATTGCTAGCGTCTCCAATGCAATCTCCAATCAAGGCAATTGAAAGAGAGTCGAGGCCCGACACCGTGTTGGAGGGGTAACTTGGTGAAGTGGGCACTGAGTAACTAGACTGAGGTTAGTTGCGTGTCTTGGCATGGCCAGCTGCATTGGGAAGTTCCGCTTCAGCGGTATTATGTACGTGGCTCAGTCTTCTGGGCTATTAGGTACCGATGACTGACTGGAATATGTTGCCGTTAAATAGTCTGGAAGGTTGGAATATCAAACCTTCAAAGGGTGCTCAGAGCGACTTGGGCACGTCAGATATATATCCCGGCTTGATCCACCGGTCCGGAGAAGCTCAGGTAGGTTGCATCCTGCCCGCATATCACAGGTGTTCAGGTGTTAGACTATGTTGATCATGATATGATGCCCGAACTATAGCCCATTGCTTATACATTCTACGACCATTGAAGAGTCATACAGTCCAGACAATAGCTCTACGGTAGAGATATTGATGAACGCAGAAACGGAAGATGTATTGTTTCTATACACACCCCCGCCCACCAAACTATCGGAGGTATTTGATCATATATCGGCTGGATAGCTATCTTCTGGGAACCAAGAGAAATGATCACGTAGTGTGATTGAGCGAGGGATAACAAGGCGGATTGTAGGCCACAAGAGTCCACGCTTAAACGGCGGACAGATCGCCGAAGCGCTCCTATAGAACATATTAGCACCCGAACCACGGACACAGAAATGCTCAGCACAGTCAACACATACCTTGTAGCCAGGGGGCATCCACTTGCCCTTGGAGACGAGGGAAGCAGTCTTCTCGTCGATCTCGGGCTGGGCAGCGGCAACCTCGTCCTAAAAAAGAATGACTGTCAGAAACAATCCTCCGATACCATCCCCAGCAAGAAATACGTACAACAGTGAGATCCTCGAAGGGACGAGCGGTCTCAATGTTCTCGAGGGTCTTCTGCAGGTTCTGCAGCTCGGCCTCAACCTTGCCCTTGGTAGCCTCGGCGTTCTGGACAGCCTGGGCCTCGAAGGCATCGATAGCCTTCAGCTGGCGGCTGACATCGTAGGAAGCGGGCTTGAAGTTCTTGAAGTGGTTCTCGATCTCGTCGACGATGGCCTGGTTCTTCAGGATGCCGCGGTAGTGGCTGAAGTCGACGGTCTGGGGCTGCTCAGAGAGAACGGTGACCTTGCGACGAGCCTCATCGTTGCGCTTCTTGAAGGATTGGAGGGAGGCGGCGGTCTGACCGCGGAGGCCGAGCGAGGTCGACACCTTGGCCCAGTCGATCTTGAGAGCGGCGCTGCGCTGTTTTCGGGTGAACGGGGTTAGCGGGTGTCATCCAGATGGGGTGACAGGGTTTGGCCATGTCGGTGGGCAGGAGCGGAACATACAGCAGCCATTGTGACGGGTATGATAGAGGTTGGGGGTGGGGAGAGGAGAGGGGAATTCAATGTGCAGGGAGGTGCCGAACGAGGAGCGACCCGGGCAAGGTTTGGTTGTTCGTGTCACGTGATGACTATTCCGGAATCCACCGTACATGCATACACAGTACACAGGTTGTAGAGTCGCTGTCATTTAATGAAAATATGCAATAAATTAAGGGGAAAAATACATAAAGCTACTGGTCATAAGTATTATGTATATGGAAATGTAAATTGACTCAATCGTGGTTCAATAGTTTTTTTGGGCTGAATTGTGTACACTATAGGCAACAATACGCCAGAATCTTCGTCTAGCGTCGCGACCCAAGTCCCTCATAGAACCTTACTTCCGGTCATTCGTTATATGCTGAGAGCCATGATGGAGTTGACAATATCGTTGTCGTTCTCCCGGAGAGCCTTGACGGCCTTCTTGCGGGAGACGTTTGCTTGTGCCATGACCAACTCGACATCCTTGGACTCGAGGCCAGACTCGTCAACCTCCTCACCATCATCCTCCTCGTCCTCCTTCTTATCCTCGGTCTCGGGGGCCTTGCCCTTGCCGAGAACCTCCTCGTGGTCGTGACCGGCGTGGTCACCGGCGGCCTCGGAGGCAGCGAGCTGCTGAGCGGCGGAAGCCTGGGCCTGGGAGTTCAGGTCCTCAATCTTGGCCTCACCGAAGATGCTAAAGAGGTGTCAGTTAATGTCCTTCATATGCCATGACTGAAATTGGTCCCACATACATCCAGCAGTTGCTGTTGGGGGAACGGTAGACCTCGGGCTGGTTAACAACGAAGAGGATCTGGAAAAACAACAATTAGCATCTTCATATCAAATAACCTAATTTGATACATCGTAGCGATGGTCGTTGCAGTTGATGATATCGACCAAGTTGCACTTAGCGGGGTAGAAATCTTCACGGTCGCGGGAACACATACGTTCTTGGGGCGGCGGAGGGTGACGCGAGTGATGCCAGGGACGAGCTTCAGACCGAGCTTGCCAATGGCCTTGCGAGCCTTCTTCTCACCACGGGAGTGGATAGCGACGGCGGCACCGGCGGGAATGTTGGGCTCATCGCCAGCCTCGGAGCCAGACTCATCAGAGCTCTCCTCAACGGTCTTGGGGACCTCATCATCGACAATTTCTTCAACACGGGGATCAGCCATTTTTGCGGTTATAAGGGGCCTGGAAGATGATCAGAAAAGAGCTTTTAATTATTTGACTGTTCGCAATGGCGTGAGATTGTTGAAGGTGAGCGGGCAAAGTGGGAGAGTCGGGTCAATTTTCCCCCCACGAATCGCACAACATTCGGGAAAGGGCGAAATTTTCATGTTGAAATGACGAGAATTCGATCGAGTAAATAAATCTACATACCTGAGAGGTAGATATCAAGCTGTGGTGAATGGGGAAGGATTTTGATGAAGTTGAAGGTGTGTAGCTGTGCGTAGACCGGACCCGAAAATCATTAGCGAGTTGCCCACCCCAGACTCGGCCTGCCACACATTGCCCTATGGAACTACATCACCAATACCTGAACTTACGGTCATTTATAGATCGAGAACTACGAGAACTACAAATAACTATACAAAATTACAATACAAGACCAAGTCATTATTTACGCATCTGCTCATTCTATTCTTTTGTAGAGCCAGATCTGCCCGTAAATTGGGAAAAAAAGAAGTCCAGAAACTGGAGGTAAAAGAAAAACCAATGACAAAAAGGCCCCTTTGCCGGGATATCAAGGATTTTGAATCATTTTTGCTGTTCATTTGATAATGGTATACAGCGAATTTTGCCAGGAGAATACCGGCAATGGAAACCCTTCCAGGACACCTCCTTCAACCCATGCACCGAAACCTCGTAATCATCTATGCCTTGGCAGAGGCGCGGACCTTAGCGTGAGACTTCTGGACCTCGTAGCGAGCCTGCAGTTTATGTTAGTTGTCGATTCGCAAATTCCCAGATTATCCGGTCGGGGCCTAGGCGCATCTGCCAGCAAACAACCCCATCTCCATCACGTACCTGCTTGCGGAGGCGCAGAACCTTGAAGCGCTCGAAGTCGGAAAGGTTCTTGCGGCGCTCGGCACGGTCGGTGCGCTGAGCGAAAGAGCTCTTGGCCCACTTGCCGTCAATCTCGTTCTTAGCCCAGAGCTTCTTCACGGGACCGGTACCGGCAGCACGGGGAAGCTGGGGAATGGTGAAGTGAGTGAGGGTGGCGTGGGCGAGAGGGAGAACGTGACGGGGCACAATCTTCTTCTCCTCGGTGGAGGGACCGTCGACCAGGACCTGAACAGAAACCGCAAGTCAATAAATTGTTCCGATTTTGGATCTCCGAAAATCCGATTTCTCCAAGAATATCACGATTTTCGTATAAAGGCGATTCCACATACACGGCGGTGGTCCACGATCTCAACGATGGCAGCGAGCTTGCCTTCGTAGGGGCCGCTGCGGATCAGCACTAGGCGGCCAACCTCGACCAGCTTCCACGAAGCGACCTTGACATCGATATCGGCCATGGCGAAATTCTGGGGAGAAGAAAATTCAGCGTCGCGAATCTCGTAGTTTTGTAGTTGGCACACTCACGGTCGACAGGGGGTATAAGTCGAGAAGGGGTTGTCGAAAGAGTTCAATTGTCCAAGAGTTGTCTCGAAATTCGGATGTGCCCACACTCGCAATATTCTCGCTTAACCGGCCAACCGCAGGTCTAGGGCTCGTGCTTACCTCAGCACCCGCAACAACCATTTTCCGTAGCCGTGCTTTTATCGCCTTTTTTTTCGCTGGAGACTTTGTTGATCTCTCCAAGCTCTTCAGCTTTGCAAAAGACTTTAATGACGAGTCTGCTTCTTGTTCAACCGCCATCTGCTCATGGCTAACAGTTACTGATGGTAAGCTCATACCCTCCTCTTCCGATTCTCCTCGTCCTCATATGATGCGGTAATTTGCGATTGACGCAATGTCTGTGAGGCCCTCGCCGGGGTTCTCTATACAGCATTGTCGTATGATATTCAATTTCTTACATATTCTGATATGGATTATTCCACTCTCATTACATGCTATGAATTTCTTGAGAGACATCGTGCTAACTGCATTGAAGATTATAGGACTACATCACATCATTCCCGACAGCTGTTCAGCTCTTCATCCTCCACAGGGTACGTTCATACTATCAGCACAATCCCCCCGTCCGATGATTAAGAAACTTTATCACGCCTAGATAGTAATTGAGCTTCTGCTATGATATTACCATAACTACCAAGATCTCTGAGGACTTTTATCATGCACATCATTGCTTGACATGTTGGTTGTGACTAGTCGCTAACCTTCTAAAGAATCTAGGATCTCTTATATCAGATTGACAGCTCGCTGTCCCGAATAGACAATGCAATTAATATACTTACAAAGACCCTCTGTCATCTCGTAGTGGCTTGAAGCTGTAGTATTCATCTCGGATGTAGTTAAGCTTTTGGTATCATGCTCCACCACAGCTCGTTACAGATGCAAATAATTTTGATTACAATAAGTCGTGCTATATCGTTACCTCGGCGCAATACCCAAAGACCCAGATCAAGCCATTCACTTGTTGCATGCTATGCCTTCCACCATTTATATCACCCAGAGAGCAAGAGAAATAACTTCGTCCCCTTCCCCATACCCGACTATGACGACGCAGATCCGGCAGATGCCGCAGATGAGGGTCCCTCACGACTGAGCACCCACATGAAAATGAACTGGACGGCGTAAGAGTACACGAACAAGAACTGACCGCGTCGGTTGCGCTGCGATCGAGCTACAGCCTGCATTGAGCCGGCATGCATGGCGGAGTCGGTGGAATCGGGAAGCAACACATATTTCAAAGAGCGAAGCTAGAGTTACAAGGATTAGCAACTGCGGAATGCGCTTCACATATGAACCAGAATGATGGGCCACTCACCAGGAAGAATGCATTCGCCAAAAAGGTGTACACAAACACGGTCCAGCCAACCCAACCCCGGGTTCCTTGTCCGGGGTTGAAGATCTCGGATGCCACCATAGTGACAATGATCCCGACAAACTTGTAGCCCGAGTAGGCCACCAGGTCCAGCAACTGCGAGTCGTTGTTGATGCTCAGGATGTAGGTAGCCAGCTTCAGGCACAGAATTTCGAAAGCAATCACCGCAATGGCCGTGGTAGTGATCGATCCCAAAAGCTCCGGGTGGAAATCACCTCGGAATCCAGCCAATAAGACAGAGAGCAGGATGTATGTGACCAGAGCCATAACGGGGATATACATGTCGGGGGAGTTCAGATCGTCACGAGGAGGCAGGAACATGGATGAATATTGCTGCTGCATAATCTGGCCACTCGGTCCGGGGGTAGATGATGCCATTCGGGCCTGCTGTCGAGACCAGGGTTTGTGCCGCCAGGGAAAGAGAACAAGCAGCAACTTGTTCAGAACGTAGGAGTTGGAGACGTTGAAGTAGTGTTTGAGAGCTGGTATAGAAACATAGCGATTAAACTGTGAATTGGGTCAGATACAAGCTTCAAAATCAATTTGCTCCGAGACTTCATACGTTGCTTTCCATGTACTCTTGACCAGCCGCCATTGCACTCTTGCCGACCTGAAAGCCCATCTGCGCGGTGGGTTCATTCATGAACCCTCCAAATCCAGGAGCATAGCCTCCGCCCTGAGCCGGCGACGGCTGATATGGATTACCACCATATCCACCACTTGGAGTCTGCTGAGATGGTGGTGGAGGTGAGCGCATCATGGGCACTGTTGAGACATGTTGTGGGACGGGGTGGTGAAGGGGCGGCGATTGCGCGGGCGGCGGAGCGAAAGAGCCCCGATACATAATGCAAACCTAATTGACGAAGGAAAGTAGAAGGCTAAGCAGCGTGAGATTCAGTGGCGAAGGTGTCGGCCTGATTGTGACGTGGTTGGAAGAAGCAAGGTCGATAGAGCGTGAGGTGAAGTTGCTAAGAGTGTTTATACGTGGCTGAAGATCCGGTCCCGCTTCCGAGCTCTCGACTTCGCCCGTTCCGCCACCAAGACACACCCCGTAACCATTCTGCTTCTCCACATACCACATCGCTGGACTCAGAATGTTGGAAGCGTTTGAAATCTTGACAGCCTCGGGCGTCGTGCTCTGGTCCAAGTCCTACGCTCCAGTGGGCGCACATATCATCAACAGCCTCATCAACGATGTCTTTATTGAGGAGAAAGTGGTGCCCCAGAGTCCGGCAGCTGGAGTCTCACCGGCTTACAAGAAAGAGAAATACACACTGAAGTGGAAGAGAGTTAAGGAGTTCGATTTGATCTTCGTGGTACGTCTTGTCGCATGAGCCTCGATGCTTCCCACTAACACTTGCTTTAAACAGGCCGTCTACCAATCGCTGCTACACCTTGGCTGGATCGACAAACTTCTCGAGAATATTTCGACGATCTTCATCGACCTTTACAAGGACCAGGTTCGGGGGAATCGCGCGAGAATTCAGACCTATCGGTTTGACCAATACTTTGAGCAACAAGTTCGGGAGCTTGAGGACAGCCGTGGTAGTTTTGTGGAGGAATATGTGCCAGAGACGGGCGAGAAGAAAGACCCACTTGTTTCATCGGACAATGGAGGCCCTCCACCGCCATCGGCGCCTGGCCTGGTGAAAGGTATGGATGTCTGTACCCCAAATCTCAAGCGCGTGCTGACAATTCCAAAGCGCAGCCAAGAGCTGCGCTAGGCGGGGCGACCTCGGACGAGGGTACGCCACCATCTACACCAGATATTTCTAGAACTTCCACTCCCCAAGGCCATCTTCTGACTGCGAAAGCCGGACCGGGAGGTCGCGGTTCCCGCCGTGCCCGCAAGGCTGCTAATTCGAGCGCCAACGCATCATCCGGTGATGAGGCCCGGAAGGGGAAGCCCGTTAAGACTCCCGCCAAGAAAATGCGCAAATGGGATGCTAGTGGGATGGCAGATGAGGATGACGGAGAGATACTCGACTATTCTGCCCCCGCAGAGGGTGATGCGGCCGTACCGGCAGTCGAGGCGGTCTCTGCGGAGGATTGGGGTCGCCGAACCGGCAAGGGCGAGTTTGTGCTCAAGGAGCTAGGCGAGGAAGTTCAGTCAATCTTGGACCATGCTGATGCGGAGAAGTCCAAGAGTACTGCCTCGTCTGGTGTTGTTGGGTCTGGATTCAACGCCATTGGTGGCTTCTTCCGCAACGTTGTTGGTGGCAAGGTTCTGACCGAATCCGATCTTCAGAAGCCTCTCAAGGCGATGGAAGAACACCTGTTGAAGAAGAACGTGGCCCGCGAGGCTGCTGTCCGTCTCTGCGAAGGAGTCCAGCGTGAGCTGGTTGGAAAGAAAACCGGCAACTTCCAGAGTATTGACGCTGCTTTGCGTGTGGCCATGGAATCCTCGCTGCGCAAGATTCTCACGCCGACTTCCTCTTTGGATCTGTTGCGCGAGATCAACGCTGTGGTCTCTCCTACTACCAACCAGCAGACGCCTCGCCCATATGTCATGTCTATCGTCGGTGTCAACGGTGTCGGAAAGTCGACCAATCTGAGCAAGATCTGCTACTTTTTGCTGCAGAACAAGTACCGTGTTCTCATTGCCGCCTGCGATACTTTCCGTTCCGGTGCCGTGGAGCAACTCCGCGTGCACGCTGATCGATTGAAGGAATTGAGCGTTCGTGAGAATGCAGGCGACGTGGAGATTTACCAGAAGGGCTACGGCAAGGATGCAGCCAACGTCGCCAAGGATGCTGTTGACTACGCCGCGGCTAACAAGTTCGATGTTGTCTTGATCGACACTGCCGGCCGCCGCCACAACGACCAGCGGCTGATGTCTTCACTGGAGAAGTTCGCCAAGTTTGCTAACCCAGACAAGATCTTCATGGTTGGTGAGGCTCTGGTTGGCACAGACAGTGTCATGCAGGCCCGTAACTTCAACCAAGCCTTTGGCACCGGCCGGAACTTGGACGGTTTCATCATCAGTAAATGTGACACTGTTGGCGACATGGTGGGAACTTTGGTTAGCATGGTGCATGCTACGGGTATTCCTATTGTTTTCCTGGGTGTTGGACAACATTACGGGGATCTGCGTGGACTCAGTGTTCCTTGGGCTGTTGATTTGCTGATGAAGTAGAGTTAGTATACCCACTACATGTTCTATAGCTGCACGAATGTACATCCTTTGCAAGTCCAGTCCCTGTCGTAACGTTACTATTCTTAAGGTTCTCAATCAATCGCCTCATAATACCGAGTCTAGTCACATTTTCCGGTATAAGACCATAAAATAGATTTAATAGAGTACAGGGAACATCGGCGGTGTTGCTTTCCAAGGTTTGTATCAAACATGATGGAGAATCTCACGCTGCTGTGGCTTGAGATTGCCTCTGAGGTGGCGGTGGACTTGGGCAGAACGCAACTAGCAAGTGGCATTGGATCAAGTCTAATTCTCTGGAGTTATGTTACTGGTACCCCGATACTCCGTTGTATCGAATGAACAACACCACCGTAGAATCATGCCCAGACATATCCTTGGTCAGTGACTGATTGGATGGATTTGTTCCTCTTCGTCGGCGTCTTTGCCGAACGCATCTCGGACGCCACATGGATATGGCCCTTTGCCGGAGATTCACATGGTCTCTCTTTGGCAGCGTGATGCGAGTATCCGCAACCCTGCATGATTTTCACCGACTCAGTCATGGTTGCGTGAACACGTTGGAATCGAAGCTGCTGGCTAGACTCATGATGCTCAGCTGGCCGCCAGACTGAGAGCGTAATGGCGTTTTTATCAGCGCTCAATTTGACAAGCAGGCAGATCAAGATTGTGGACTCAGGATGTTCAAGCCAGTGGCGAGCAACTCGTATGAGTTCCGACGCGAGTATCCGTAATCTTGCCGTCCATCTTTGCCATATCCGTACGCATCTCACGCACTTCTGGACCAAAGGTCTCTCCTGAATATCATGAGACACAGAGGTACATGATGGCTCCAGTCCCGCAAAAATTTGCTCCGGGTCTTCGATGGTATGACGTTCGAACATGATGACCGTGTGACGATATGAAAGAGAGCCAAAGCCGCCTGCCGCGCCTTCTTGACGGCTATACTCTCTGCTTGGAGCCATCAGGTACCTCTGTGTCTCATGGTATTCGGGAGAGACCTTTGGTTCAGAAGTGCGGATATTGACCTGATGGAGACAACGGGGGGTTTTGTCGCGTGCCTGGCGTATGTGGTAGATTGGACCACGGGAGAATATTCGACCCTCCATATGCCTTTGTTATCGACGAGCTGTCTCGGGAAGAACGTCTCGTTGTAGTTGCTGATAAATATGGACACACAGCCTAGCTTTTGCATGTACTCAATTGGCTGGGCGAGTATTTTTCTCTTAGCTCGTGCTCGACCTGACCCTCCAGGATGTGATCGTCAACCCACGGTACCTTGAGCTCCCCAACGACGGAAGCTGGACAACCGATCAAGGTATGGACTCCCTTATGCTCAAGTCGGCTATGGTAGGAGATCTGGCTGTGAGTCTATAGTAAAGCGAATTAGTCGAATGTTTAAAGCAAAGAGAGATGCAAAATGCATAGAGATATGCCAACGTACTACTTCCTCGAAGCGTGAGCGGTCAGTGAGAGCACGGCCCTTGACGAGTCTTCAGGTTGTTCCAGCGCATGTTGTTGCTTCTTGCGCTTTCGGACGGTCGTGGTCGATTACAGCCTCACATCGGCGGGATAATTTAATCCCCACTGTGAGGGGGACGAAGGATATGACATGGCTGTTTCGGCGATGTTCGCCAAGGATCCGAGATGTACCTGCAGCGCATGTCTAATGATATCCCAGAACAAGTGGTTTATCGAGGTAATCGGCGACGATTCCTCATTAGCTCCCAGGACGAACACATGCACCGTTCTGACGCTGAACTGCTTTGTTGTTGTTGATGATTCGTATAGAGGTTATACAGGCGAACGATGGATAACCAAAAGGAAAATATAAATATATGAAGAAGAGAGAAACAGATCAAGGAAAGAGGAGGAGAGTCAATACTTATAGGAAAGGCCACATGATACCAGCTGGGTTGCAAGAGGGATGTGGAGTTTGACATCTTACGCAGTCCTATGACATCTGCATCAAAGACTCATAATCACATGATATCATACACAAAGGCTGTCTAATCTATGCTCTCTTCAATTTGAACCAACTCCCTACTGTCCCTTTTCATACGGCTCAGGAGAAAACACCTTTGCCAGGCGGAAATGCAACAAGTCCCGAATAACCTGTGCAGTCTGCTTCAGATTCCGCTTGACAATCACAGCAGTAGGAAGCGAAAAGAGCTCATCAATCTCCTCAAGCGACTTGTTCTTCGTCTCCGGCATGAAGATGATTTGGTACACCCAGCCAAGGGCAGCAATACCACCATAGAAACCAAGCGTCAGTCCAATCCGCTGCATAGACTCCATCATCTGGGTGAAGTTGTACGTGACAATGAACGAGCACAGGAACAGGTTGGCGTCCGCGGTCGTCATACCATACGAACGCAGGTATGTCGGGAAGACCTCTGACGGCACGACCCAGGTCAGACATGCGTATGCACCGAAGAAACCCATGTACAGAATGATACCAGTGAGATATACGCCTTGTGCGGCTGAGGGATATTTATCTGCGTCGATGGTGTATCCTGCACCAACAAGAACAAGACCGATGAAGAATCCGGGGAGCATTGCATTAGCCCAGTACCGACGACCAAACCGCTCCATGTACAGCACGGCCGGGATGGCGCCGATCAGTAGCGATCCACCACCGACAAGAGACATGAAGACGGCATCCTTGTCGCCGTACCCTATTGCCTTCATCAGAGTCGACATGTAGTACATCACCGCGTTAACACCAGTGAATTGTCCCAGGAAGATCATGATATTGGCGTACACCATTGCGCGACGTGCGCGTGGCACAGTGAAGAAGTCCATCCATGGGTACTTCTTTGTCTGCGCTTGCTCCTGTCTCTCGGCTGTGACGGCCTGTCGCATTCCAAGGAATTCATCTTTGGCTTCCAAGTCGTTGAACCCGCGGATCTTCTTCCACACAGCGTACGCTTCGATCTCCTTGCCCTTGTGCATGAGGAAGCGGGGGCTTTCGGGGAGGAAGAGCATTCCGACGAAGAGGATGGTTGAAAATACGAGTGAGGAGCCGAGAATGTACCGCCAGTTTCCTTCCACGCTGACGAACATTGCGGCTACGGCGTAGCCGAGGACTTCACCCAAGGCGATGTTCAGTTGGTAGAGGGAGACGAGGTTACCACGGATCTTGCGGGGGACTATGGGGTGTTAAGGTTAGTGAATATAGGGAAAGGTAGGGAAAGGAGTGCTTGGGTACGTACCACACTCCGCGACATAGACAGGAACGGTACCACCCTCCAAACCGACACCGGCGCCGAGAATGAATCGACCAGTGAAGATCATTCCAAAGTTGATGGCGCCTGCCTCCAGGGCGGCACCAATAGTGTACAAAATGCAAGAGACAATGATCGCCATACGACGACCGAGATACTCATTCGCCGGAGAAAGGAGAAGAGCACCGGCAACGGCACCGAGCGGCATGCCGGCGTTGACTAGACTGTTGTCCGCTGAGGTCAAGTGCAGATCGACAGGTAGGTATAAATTTGCACCACTGATGAGCGACTGGTCAAGTCCAGACAGCATACCACCCATGGAAGCAAAAGCAACGAGGATCCAGGTGAATTTCGCCGGGTCGGTCAAGGTCATCTCGAAGCGGGACTTGGGGAGAACATGCACCTGCTCTTCGAGCTGCTGCAATTCGAAGTCCATGGCAGCTTCGCGCTCGTTCTGTAGCTTTTGGTCTGCCACATCATCCATCTCGAAGGCGACGGCGTCCTTCTCTTCATTGTGAAGGTTTTGCGGCGCCTCCACGTCTTTGAGGTCGGCCATTATAAGCAAGACTCCTTCTGAAGGGATATATGTGAAAGGGTTTACTAATGTGTATGAAGTATAACGGTGGGGTCGAAGTGTCACTTCACCCTCTGCCAGGATAGGAGGAAAAAGACGATGCAGGAGATGGCACGACCTGTATAGGAGGGGAAATGCAGGGCTATTTGAGGCTACTGCCGATGCCGATCAGAACGATTTCTCGCCATGACGCCCAAGCTCGGCGTGGGGTCAAGTGAAAAACAAAGTAAAAGGCCCGCGTGGAGATTTGCTACAATTGGTCGACTCGTGTGGCCCAGACTAAGTTCACATGCAGTACTCCGTATGCACCGCTCCGTACTTTCCCATGTGTGTGGAGAGAGGTGGGGAACCGGGGCCAACCAGTCTGGGGAGATCAGTTGGATTGAGAAGAAGAACGAAGACGCAGGCTCACCGGGAGGCGAAAACAGATAAGCATGCAGAGACGCACTGCATGACAGGGATCAAGAATGTAGACGACAATATCACGGCCCGGTTGAGAATCACATCTGGTCTTCGGGCGAATTGCGTGCCATGACTAAAGCTTATGTTGTCTGTTCCAGACAGTCAATGCGTGAATCCACCCTCAGACCTCAGATCGGCAGTATTTCCTCAGAGCATGGCCTTGTCGCTCTGGAACATTCCCGGCTGCCCGTTGATGTTGTCGGCTTGTGTAGCCGTAATGTCCAACAGCCAACTACATCCTACAACATGTGTTGTAGACTGAGCTGGATCCGGCAGAAGACTGTCCCGACGATCCCCACCTAAAAACCAGCTAAGGAACTAAAAGCCCATCTCTGCGTGTCGGAATTCGAGCAAAACCCGGGAGCTGATGGAACAACGCTAGGACCTGCAAAGCAATCGGGCTGGGGTCCCCGTGGAGAGAACTGCGAGACATCGGCGACACCTCGGGGAAACCAGAAATGATACTACGTACCTGACTTCTTGGCCCTTGGGATTTGTGTGATGGCATCAAGTTTCGGACTGTTTCCGTCACAGCAAGCGTCTTTTCGGCCAATTGGACGTCCCTAACTAGCGGGGACACACAGGAAACCAACTTCCGAGTGTCTTCGGGGGTTCACGGCCAAGCAAAAGGTAAACACGGGAGGGCCCCGTCGGGGTCGGGAAATGCGGGATTTTCCCCAGCGCAAGCCGAGATGGTCATTGGCTCTTTCATGGCGTGCGCCAAGCAATTCCTGGCTATCGCATTGACTCGGGTTGGAAGAGGTTTGATCTACCCGGTCACCTACCCGGTTATTGTATGTCTGAGACTGGTATTGATGTACTCAGTGTGAGATACTATTCCGTGGATTGAGTTTGAGCAGAGAGACTCAGGTTCATACTTCCCTGTATCCTTGGGGGAACATCCAATTGAATGGATCTACGGGAGTACATAGATTGTCCTTAGAACATGAGAATTACTACATAGTAAGAGAATAAGTGCACTAATCAAGCATTTGTTCGCTTGTTCTTCTTGACGAGAATCGACTCTGCCGCTAAAATGTGTGTACATCAGACATAGAACAGATAACTCCCGACGCCATGCTCTCCACCACGCTGTTGTATGAAATGTAAACCTTCTCACTCTCAACGTCTTGCCGGGTATCCAACTGGCTTGCGAACACTGGCATCCACATTGGGACTAGGAGATCTTCCTCCCTGCAATCTGGCCCGTAGTCGCTCCTGAGCCGAACCCCCACCTGATCCAGCACGATCCAGGTTCGGACGAGGGGCCTGCTGCGGTCCAGAACGCTGGCTAGGCAATGGCCGGGCTCCAGCTGGATGGGGTGAGCCCGAGCCAGGCGAATGAGATTGAGAAAGTGTGATGTTCGGACCAGGCGAAGCCACAGAACCAGATGGAGCGCTGTGGGCGGCAGCGAGCGGCGGTGCTGTACCACCACGTCCGCGCCGCAAACTGGCAGTCTGGGTATTGGGCGACTGAGACGCGGGAGAATCACCCCAGAGATCGCTCAGACCACCGCTACGGCCGGAGCTGGAGGATCCTTGGCTGTAGTTGCTGGGTAGTTGTGAAGTCGCGATCTGGCGGGTGGGTGTCGGAGATGGGCCCTTGGGGTCCTGTGGAAGCCATGGTGGGAATGGACGGCCCTTTTCGGAGTAGTAGGCCCGCAGAGCATTGGAAATGTGGGAGCAATCTTCGTTGTCTGGGTCATCACCCTCGTCGCCAAGGGTAATGGCACGGCGAAGGTTGGTGAGCCGGGAGCCCAGGGTAGAGATGGCGGAGGAGGATGTCAACGATGAGAGGTACGAGGTCATCTTGCTGCAGTCGAGTGATATGATTCTGTAATATGCGGTCTACGGAATGGCAGCTCGAATGCGGAGTGGGGTTGGCGTGGAGCTGGAGCTTTCACCGTGGGGAGCTCAACGCAAGGTACGTAGGATTGGAGGATTGGAGAGGGATGCAGATGATGCTATCGTGATATTATTAATGGTTGTATTATCAGAAGAGCCGGCTCCTGAGGCGATGTAAAGTTGTTCAAAGGAAGTTGCAATTGAGGAGTCTGAGGCAGAGACGGCGTTAGGTGATGGTTGCCACGTGATCACGTGTTTCACATCAACGGACCATACGGAGTTAGTCCAATCAATGTCTTGAAGCAATTCCATGACTTATGCACAGTACAATTGAAGATTAAATATACATGGATTGGAGGAGATAAAATCATAGGATGCAATAGCAGGGTATGATGCCCGATCACTAGCACAGAATATAAAACAAAGAATGAAAAGCCCAAACGCCATGCAAGATCAGGTAAACTTTTCCCAAATCCTCTAACGACAGAATCATGCCATGACCTGGTCCTTGCCGGCACCTTCGGTCTCGTATTCGATCTCGATGCGAGGGCCCTTCTTGCGAGGCTTTGACTGGGGAGCAGGTGCCTTCCGCTTAGCACTAGGCTTGGGCTTCGTCTCACTCTCGCTAGCAGACTCGTCATCCTCGCTATCCTCATCCTCATCGGATTCCTCATCGTAGTCGCTGGAGTCTGCCGAGTCGACGCCCAGCCAGTCTTCCATATCCTCGAGGTCCTCCTCTTCATCAAGGTCGCTGACATACTCGACCTCACCAACACCCTCTTCCTCCTCCTCTTCGATCTCCTCGCCATCATCCATATCCTCATCACGCTGACCATCACCGGCCCGCTCAAGTCCGCGAAGGACCTTCTTCCAGATGTTCTCCTCGACGTTGAGTGGACGATCACCGTAAGCACCGCTGCGCAGACGCTCGATAAGCTCACGCTCAATGGCTCTCTCGACCTTGGCCGCGGACTCGGCCTTGCGCTCACGAGTCGCCTCACGACGACGGACCTTGGGTGCCAGCTTGGGCACAATCTTCTCTCCAAGACGCTCGTCCTCCTTAGCAATGTTCTTCATGCGGATGTTGACCTGCGTCAGGCGGGTGAGACGCTGCTTGCACTTGTGGGTCAAGAATTTGGGCCAGTAGATGAGGCGCTCGTCGACCTGTTCGAGGGCCTTGGCGTAGTTTGATGACAGGCGCACACGCTCCCACCATTTGCTGGGCATGTGGGCTCGTTCGACGGTCTTCATATACAGGTACATGACGCCGGTTTCGGGATCAGTCCGAACCGTTGCATAACGTGAGTTGGCGAGCGGGCAGGACTGGCGATTGCACAGACCGCTGACATTGTATTCATTGCGACAGAAATTTTGATCCTTTGTAGTTCTAAACGAAGGGTGAAGGTTAGTCGAAGGTTCGTGTTTTTGTCGATGCAAATTGAAGATCGAAGGATCTGCTGGCTGGACACCCAGCGGTTAGGGAATGAATACTCACTTGAGTTTGTAAGAGCAGAATTGCTGGTTGATAACCTGCCAGACAATTTCGTCGGACATGATAGGCAAGGAATTGGCAACCGTTCAGTGGTTGGTCCTGGAGTCTATGTACTGTGTAGCAGATGTTTGACCCCGAAGAAAAAAAAAAGAATCGATAGGCGTTGACCGCCTGCCGAATAAGACGGTCACGTGCTGGCTTATCGATTAGGTATGCGCGGGATGGGCCATGTCTTGGCATCGGTTCACTAACCCACCATCATGTTCCATGTTCCAACTATCCTGCTGTACATGGTGGTCCTTGAATAGACGTAAGACATTCATGAAACGCTCGAAATACACCAGTTGTGATGGGGACGTAATTGATTCTTCTCGACTATCATGATGCAATCAATAATCATGTCACAGGTGTCGCGGCCGGCCGAGCACATCGCACGATTTAGGTTACTTAGAGCTGACAGGAGCACCATATCTCGAATCTTCGACAATAGGTAGCTAGGTACCATTCGAATTAAGCCTCAGTTATGGACTTGAGCTGAACGGGTCATATAATGCCCGAACATACATACTGTGAAAGTAGCCAAATGCCAGGTGAGATGTACAAGGGGCCCAGAGTAGCTATAGCAAGCCACGTAATACTGGATCTGTAGTATGAAAATGAAAGAGAATAGACGAGTCTAGATAACATATAGCCAAGATGCTAACAAGTCCAACTCTATCCACGGACCTTCCGATAGCTTGGTGGGTGCCACGATTGTTTGATCATCTTACCCGCCCAGACAGGAACCAGAGACACAGCTAACACAGCGAACACACGCCACAGCCAGTCGAGAGTGATGACGTAACTGAGGTCGAAGTACTCGCCTAGGAAGGGAACACTACCTGCGTATACAAGCAGGGTGCCAATCAGACAAAAGATCATGACCGGGTGCCAGGTTGTGACCGCGGTAGCGACCATGCCAAGTTCATTGAGAACAAGGGCAGTGAAAGAAAGACTGATCAGACGTGGCCCTGTGATGGTATCCAACAATATCTGGGAGAGGCCTTGGATCACTGCACCCTGGTAGACAGAGATGAAAATCCAGCCGAAGAATGAGCGGTAGCTCAAACTCTTCCCTGCTTTCAACTCTTTGTAAAGCTCGGGGTAAAGATTGGCGAGATGCTCATCGACGTCTCGGTCAAAGGCGAGCGAGAATACCGGTGCGTTCGTGTAGACAGTGGCGTAGCCAACCATGAGCCAGTTGATGAACAAGCCCTTGGGATCGAAATGGCTGGCAATGCTGTACATGGTTTGGCAAACACTGATGATCAGGCCACGATGCATGATAAATTGAGCCAGTTTGGCAGACCGCTTGTACGAGTTGCGGCCATGCCAAACTAGTAGCTTGGTGATATGATGGAACTGAGTGATGCTGAAATCGGCGGCGAGAGATGCCTGGCGGCCTTCTTTGCCCACGATACCAATGCCGACGTCGGCTGCCTGGATCATCGAGACATCATTGCCACCGTCTCCGATGCAACAGACACGTTTCTTTGTGTGTTGGCGAATCAGGTCGGCGATCTCGGCTTTTTGGGTTGGGGAGCATCGGCATGCAATCACGGCGGGCAGTAGGACCGCGACAGAGATGAAAGCTGTTTTAAATTGCCCGAGCATCATGTTCAAAGATTCGCCATCGATCAACAGACAGCAGTCGGTTTTGTTGCGCAAAAAGTCCAGGGCCTCTTGGGCAGTCGACTTGTCTGTGACTTTGGTGACAGTGTGAATGTACTGGCCCCGGAAAACCAATTTGGCAGAGATAGCGACACATCGCGCTGTCTCCACCTTATCACCAGTCAACATCCAAATCTTGACACCGGCATTGCGTAAAAGCTCAAGGGACGGTTTGACGTCGCGCTGTAGCCGATCCTCAACGCCAGTCACCCCACAAAGATCTAGATCTTGCTCCAGATACTGGCTCACAACCTTAGCCATTCCTGCATCTCGCCCCTGGAAAGACAGGGATGCCTCTTTATACTTGGCAGAGAAGGCCCGGTATTGTTGCGCGGAGATCCGTTTGCGCCCGACAACGAGAGTTCGCAATCCTTCTCGGGCCATATTCGTAGTTTCCTCATCCAGCCAGTCATTCGCCGCCACAATGGATGTCATGACGGTGTCTGCGCCCTTTTGGTAGAACCAAATTTCGCTATCGTCTTTGTCAAGATCAAGGGTATTCTCATCGTGCTGGAACTGGACGATGATACCCATCCGTTTCGTTTCAGACGTAAAGGGAAAAATGTCAAGGATGCGGACGCGGACCACAACCTGCTTGGAGTCGGTGGATTCCAGGGCGATGGTTTGTCTGTCGCGATACGCTAGCTTTAATCCGACCTCTTCGGTATACCGAATGATAGCGATTTCATCGGGCGACGAAGCTTGATAGCTCGTCACCTTCTGACCATCTTCTTCCTCGGTGGTTGGTGTGACATTGTGGCAGAGAGCAAGCGCTAAGATAATGTCCCGGACGCGGGAACCGATCTCTCTTCTTGTCCGCGGAGCAGTAGCATGGCCTGCTTGAGTCCCAAAGGCAGTCGAAGGGGTGAGTAAGGTATCGCCCGCGGACGCAAACGCTTGACGAATGAATGAGGCGACCTCTTCCATTGCCTCATTGGCGTATGACACGGTACCAACGTGTATCTTTTTGAGCTCCATCTCGTTCTGAGTCAAGGTTCCGGTCTTATCTGAGAGCAGATACTCGATCCGTCCCAGATCTTCTGGAATTGTGCTGGTGCGCACAACCGTCCCTGGAATGTCTTTGTCCCGTTCGATGAATCGCCCGTATACCGACTTGGCCATGTCCAGATTGACTCGAAGACTCATGGGAATAATTGTGGAAAAGAGAATGAGATAGATCATGATAGCGACATACCATTTCTTGTCATTTGTCGGCTCAAATCCTTCCAATCCGACAAGAACGATGGAAAGGGTAAGCGTGAGGGCACAGAGAATTTTGGTAAGGTTGTTGATTTCGCATTCCAACAGGCCAACCTTCGAGCGGGAAGCGGAAGTCGAAAGTGCAGCCCGAGTTTGGGATCCTGTGTAGATGATGACAGCGTAGGTGATGGTATTAGAAGCAAGAACAGTATTGGCCCAGGCGGTGTTGTCGATGGTCAGGGGAGCGGATTGAGTTTCCCCAGATACAGGCGTTTCTGCATTGTTCAGAGACCCCGAGGTTTTATCAACGTGAGCATCATAGAACCCGGTGGGAGGTCCCAGACCAATGGTCCCCACAAACTCATTCACTCTCTTGTCGGGAGCACTAGCAGTGATCTGTAGGCGGCCAAAGTCGTTCAAGGACAGCGATTGAGATAACACAGAGGGCAGGCGGAGCTTCCAGTCAGTTTCACCGTCCAATTGGTCGGTTCGAATGAACGTATCACCTGCAGGCGAAGGTCCAGCAGCATCAACAGCCTCAGATGCGGCGTTGGTTGCAGATTCGGATGATCCCTGGCCTGATTCAAGCAAGTCGGAAGATGCCTCTGGAGCATTATCTTCCGCCACTGAATGACGAGGCGAGGTGGAGTCATTTGATATGCTCTTCAGAATCACCACGTCGGCTGGCAGACGTTGGTTCTTGCGGACTCTGAGCACATCGCCAACCTTCAAGTCCCGTGACTTTTTTGTAACTTCCATCGCATTAGATCTTCCTAGTGCGACGACGCAGAATTCCTCCGCATTGGCTTCAGCATCTCGCCGCCGCCGACCAATGTCATCGAGTGCCTCTTTGCCCAGCGATATTGAAACCACAAAGGCCAAGGGCGCAATGTAAGACGACATGTAACCAATTCGCAACACCGGAATGACCTGTGACAGAGCCACAAGCAAGAAATAAATGTTGAAGAAGAAGGAGAATTCGTTATAGAGAGTTCTTGGTAGGAAACTCCAAGGTGTGTATTTTGCGTTCGAGACCACATTGGCCGGATACTTAGTCGTCTGGTACTGCCCGACAAGGACTTCACGGGGAGGTTGACTCGTATGGTCGATATCATTTGATCCGAGTCGAATGGAACTGCCCTGTAAGAAAGCGGGAATTTTCAACACCGGGAAGCGAAAGCGGCTGCCTCTTTTGAAGGTGTCATCTTTGAAGTGGCGAGTCGAGCTTCTGCGATCCAGGAGCGGTACATCATCGTCTTCCAAGTCCCCAGAGCTCGCATGTGAGCCGCGCAAGCCTTGTCGACCCCCGTTCTCTAACAGCGCATCGGTATCCTCCTCCAAGTCTGCACGACCAGACGCACTGCGTCGCCATCGACTTCCCGCCCCGACGCGCAGGTTCCGCAGCGCGATGCCCGGCCCATAACCTTTATTGCGGCCAGTATAATCGTGTGACCCACGAGGCTGTTGGGGTGATGTTGTGCGCGGGTCAAGTTCTTCCAGATCCAAGTCGTCATCCGAGTCCGAGGTGTCCGGTGCATCAGGGTGGTCTAGGGGGTGGAGGTAGTCGGATGAGGAAGACATTCTTGGAAACTGGGTATAGTTCCAACCAAATCAATTGCTGCTTGGATGTAAAGTAATGCCTCTATGCCTTGCATTGGAAAGAAAGGCTCATCTCAAGTATATGTTGTCATATGCGGTGGCATTGATCGAGACTCATGTGCAGCATGACGACGAAGGATTGTAAGGATGCTGTGGAGGTCGCAATAGAACTGAGACGTTCGTTTTGTGTTCAATACAGCCAACACTAAGCTTATAAAAAAGTGAGCACCATAAAATTGTGAACTGCACTGAATCCCGATAGACGACTGCCTTCGCGCCACGCGATCACATGAGAGCATAACTCGCGATAACTGGCTGATGTAATAATGCACCCTTTTTGAGATTAGGCATAAAATCCGGGTTATCAGTTCTTCCCGATTACAGTTTTTGTTTTTCGGCCACCTCTTCTCTCGGTTACTCTCTGACCAAGTTCTCCGTCTGCTCAGCCGATGTAAACAACTCGTCTTGGATCTTCTCAACAATGATCGTGTCATGTTCTCGTCAGGTGATATATCCAGATCTCTATCGTCCTTCTCCTTTGCAAAGGATCTCAACTATCTCAGCAATCCTACTCGCTGCTGAAATTTTCTCCAGAGAAGGACAATACAGATCTTGATATACCGTGTATCAACCGACGAGGAGATCAATCATTACATCAAGAATATGGCACGATCATCCTTTCACGGCATGGTTGAAAAGATCCAAGACGAGTTCTTTACACGGCCGAGCAGCAGTCTGAACTTTCGCAAATTTCTTTCCAGATCGTCCCATCGGCTTCCCATCCTCCACGCATGCCAAAGTTCTTCAGCAAATTGCCCTACAAGATACCGAAGAAAGGGATCAAATCCGCTGATGTTGGGATCCTTCGGCAGATATTCGCATTGTGCTGTTTCCTTTTGCACTTCTGGATTTGCAGCTGAAGTCTGTGTGAGCCATATCATGTAGAGGGATAGAAGTGCGTTTTTGGACTTTTTGGAGCCGCGGAAAAGGCTTCGGCGGATATTGGTACTGTGTTGTTTCCTTTCCCACGGCTCCGAGAGAAGGCGAAGTTGAAAGCAGAATTTGGTGAGTATAGCAACGGAATGCACCCTGGTCATGGCATCGACAGCCAATTATTCCACCGAATTGAAGACGAGGTTGCGGATATCCATGCTGGCATCCTTGATAGGGTGCCTTCCATTGCTATACTCGCCAAATTTGCTTCCAACCTCGCTTTCCATTTGGTGCATGCCATGAACCCGTTCCTGATCGAATTCCTCAACCCCTTTAACTAATGATTCACCGGATCCTCGAGACAAGATATCCAGGGGTTTACTTTGGGACCTTTATTTTCAGAAATTTGTGACATTTCCACCACCAACCGGTAGAGGCCCTCAATATCTAGAAGAAATCGTCGCCCAATTTTTGATAATTGGTTGTCGAGAAAATGTAACTTAGAATTGCTGGTTTTCTTCACGAAACTTTATGTGCGGCACATACATTCAGCTCTCAGACCTTATCACATGATCCAAATGTTCTGCCAGATCTTTGACACGCTAAACCTAATCGGCTTGCAGGCGGTGGATGCCCAAATCGACCGCCTTTTGCAGGGGATGATGGCTGAGGGAACTGAGGTAAGCCCCGGGGCCCCGGGGACTAATTAACCATAGGCTGGAATCCCTTCGCTGGCGCATTCGAAGACTGTCCGATCCCACTGCTTGGGGACTTTTTCGCCGTCATCGATTGATGAATTCATGATTGATTTCTTCACTTGATTCGTTTCTTTTTAGTCTGTTTTATACTTACATCTTTTAATGGATTCCTAAGCCGACGCCATCGACCCCCGTTTTTACCTACCATTGTTGATCTCCTGAGGCGCCATTGGAGACGTGTCAGGTTGATTCCTCCGGACTGCAACCCCCAACTCCAGTCACGTTAGCAATCGAGAAACACGCACATATGGCGCATCAAGCGACCGACAACGACTCGGAGTCCTGGAATCCGGCAATACGGCCTGAGAATAACAATGCTCCTGCTACAATGACATCGACCGAGGGCGGGTTGTCGGATTTGATTGCGGCGGACGAGCCGAAGGGCAAGTCCTTAGGGGATGTTATGTCGCCACAAAGCGAAGATCTCTCTGCCTGGGATTTGTCCAATGAGGCCGATGTGAATCAGCCTCGACACACGAGCCTGGATGTGGCAGTGGACAATGGATCACCAGTGGTAGACCGGGGCACGTCCTTGACCACCGACTCCGTGGATAAGAACAGCCAAGTTTCCATTGAAATGCCTGAACCAGTTCCTACCCATACGGTGCCCTCCCTAGATACCGCGGATGCTGCCCCAAGCCCGACCTTGCCAGATATTCCAGCTGCGCAGGCCGAGGCAGTCCAGAACGAAGCGCCTTCGATCGAACCTGGAGATGATTCTAGTAACATTCCCATAACCGAAGACCAACCACCCTCTATTAAAACAGAACCCGCTGATACTACGCCTCTCAAAGTCGTGCCTGAGTACGAAACCGTCCCGGACCCGACAGTCACGGGCGAGAGTGCATCACCGGAGGAGGAGCAAACAAGGGCACCAGAAACTGCGTTGAATGCGTTCGAGCATGAATATACTACCGAACCCATCCCCACCGAAGAACTTTACCAACAAACCAACAAGAAAACCGTCGATCATGAGGACGCCTGGACCAGTTTTGAGAAGGATCTTGGCAATACGTTGCCCTCCACCGGAGATATTACTGCTCCTAGCACAAACGGGCTTTCTATGTCGGCATTGGACTCGATTCCGGATGAATCCCAGCATAATAATGGGCCGACTCTTGTCGAGGGGCCGCCGGAAGAAACAACAATTGCGGGTACTCCATGGGACGAGGCAGAAAAGGTTGCTCCGACGGAGAATGAGCAGCTTGATTCCAGTACTCGCTCAGTAACAACTAACCACGAGAATGATGAGCCAACCCCAATAACAGCGACATCTGGTCTGCTCAATGACGTCCAGTCAGATACGGCCACAGCGGACGCGGGTACAACCTCTCGGGATCAGACGCAATGGGCAAGCAAGGCGAGAGCTGAAGTGGATTCCGATGAAGATGACTTCTTCAGCCAACTCAACACCCAGACAAAGCCTATCTTCGCGCCACCAGAAGCCGAATCCAGATTTGAAGAAGGTGTTCCGCTGTTGGAGGAGTCTGCACCAACTTCACCTCAACGTCCACTGGTAGAGGAGAGATCCATTGGCGAGGTGTTTGCCGACAATGACGACGACGATGCAGCAAGCTTTTTCAACTCTGCTCCAAAACCAGAGGCTGGATATGAAGGTGGTGATTTCTTTGGCTCCTCGCCGAAGGATGAGACTCTGGAGGATCCAGTCGTCCATCTCACCCGAAAGAGCACAGCTCAGGCTTTGGAATCGGCTGGATTTGCTCTTGACTCTCCAGCCAGCGACGCCTCGGCTGCAGCGCAGTTTGAAGAAGCCCTGAATGCTGCGTCGACGGAACCCAAAGCAACGGCTGAGCCTTCAGAAGAAGAGCTGGCTGCACGGTGGGAAGCAGAACTGGGTGATTTGCCAGAAGACGACCTGGCGGCTCGTTGGGAGGCGGCATTGGATGACGATGATTTATTGCTGGAGACCGAAGTCACGCAGCCCGTGTCTGCACCCGAGACCATCTACCAAACGCCTGTCCAGCCTACCCAAAGCAGTTTGACTGCTGGCCTGAATAGTCCATTTCAAACTCCTGAGGCCTATTCTGGACCAAAACCCATTCCTAATATATACGCACCTCACCAACCGACAACAAACGACCTCTTGCAGGGGGTTCCCTTGCCAGGTATGGCACCGCCAAGCACCGCAGCCATATCATCATACTTCTCACAACAACCGCAGAACCCCGTGACAACTAGAGGAGAGAGCTTTGCCGAGCGCTCGAAACAGGGTTACAAGTCTCCTTACGATCTTCCGGATGATATTTCCCTGCCTCGAAAGCCGGTCGTCACACACAGACCTGTTCCGCCCACTGTGGCTAGTATGCCTCCACCCCCTCGCCCAGCGGTTTCTGGCGCATCGATTCCTGCGGCAGCTGGTTCCCCCCCCTGCGGGAGTTCCTCCCCCAGCTACCGCTCCTCCCGCGCCGAAGAACTTTTACGAGGAACTTCCTCTGGCGCCACCTAGATCAAGGCCTGCCAGCTCAGGGCGGTATACTCCTAATGCGCAGACAGTGCCGGCAATGACTGGTTCGTCCCTCCCAGCTCCGCCTTTGGGTCAATACGCACCACCTGCACCACCACCAGCCTCGCAGCCTGTTGGACTTCCTATCCAGCCCACACTCCAGCCGCCTAAAACGATAGATCCGTATGCTAGCCTAGCTTCGAGTGCGCCTGCCGGACCTCCTGCGGTTGCGAGGTATTCTCCGCAGCCTCCCAGCTTGCAACCATCGGCTAAGCCACCTTCATTGCCGAGATATTCCCCTGCCCCCCCTCCTATCCCAGCGGCTCGCAGTCGTTACGCGTCACAACCTTTGAATGTTCCCGGCCAGAACCTACCTTTCCAGCCACGGACTTCGAGTCCACTTGCACACCACGAGAAGGTTTCCTATCAGCCCGATCAATCACAAAATCCACCATCGCTCGAGCCTGCGATCGATCTATCTCCGCCACATGTTCAAGAAGCTAGCTTTGGGCAGGCTCAGCCCAATGTGCCGCAGCATCTCAATGGCCCTGCTAGCCAAGCACGAAGGGAAAGTACTGGCTCGCCTGCGCAGGCATCTCCGCCTCAAAGTCGGTATGCTCCTCCGGAATACATCAATGAATTCGCCCAGCGTCTTGCACCGGCTTCGCAATACGCTGCCCCTCATCCGGCAACCAATGGGCATGTTTCTCCCCCACCAAACGATGTTCAGATAGCTCCTCTCCGCAGGTCTCAGACACAGTCACCTGGTCGGGACATGCTGAGCCCACTTTCATCTGGACCAAGCATTGACACCCTTCGGCCGGCTTCAGTTAATACTTCAGGCTCACCGATCAAAACAGTGAATCCGTATGCGCCTATGCAGGGTGCTGCTCAAACTCGTGCTCCGACCCAGCATTTAGAATTCATCGCGCCCAATGATGGACAGGAGCAAGACCACTTGGAGCGGTGGAAGGGTGCACCGATCTTCAAGTTCGGGTTTGGTGGCTCAGTGGTGTCTTGCTTCCCTGGCCACGTTCCTCGCTACTCTGCTGGTCAATTGGCCCCGATGATCCAACCCACTCCTGGTGAACCAAAGATTTCTCTGCTGAGTGAATCCTTGCCGTCGGTTGATACCGTTGTCCAGCATCCTGGGCCTCTTAAGTCAAAATCAAAGAAAAAGGACCTGATTGCTTGGCTCACCAGCAAGATCGCAGCCTTCGAAAATTCTAGTCTTCCCAGCTACGAGCAAGTTCAATCTGACACGCACAAACGCTACGAGGAGAAGATCCTTCTATGGAAGGTTGTCAAGCTTCTGGTAGAGAATGACGGTAGTTTGGACAGCTCCCCTGAGGTTCAAAAGTCTCTCCGCCATGCGATTTTCCCCAATATTCCAGCTCCAGACGCAGACGGGTCATACGCTAGTACGTTGGCCACTCCAGGAGGATCCACCTCTTCGGGAATGCCAACGCAAGCTGATGCTGTCGATCCCCAATGGCTGGAGGAACTTCGTCTACACTTGATTTGTGGTGATCGCGAGAAAGCCGTCTGGGGTGCTGTCGATCGACGCCTCTGGGGACACGCGATGCTCATCGCGTCTACCATGGACAAATCTATCTCGAAACAAGTCACGCAGGAGTTTGTTCGCCGGGAGATCAGGTCCAAAGCTTCGAATACGGAGTCACTTGCAGCCCTCTATGAGATATTCGCTGGCAATATTGAAGAAAGTATCGACGAACTTGTGCCTCCGTCTGCGCGTGCAGGCCTTCAACTCGTCAACAAGGCTGATGGCCAGGGATTTGTTAAGAACGCACTCGAGGGCTTGGATAAATGGAAGGATACTTTGGGGCTGGTATTGAGCAACCGAAGTTCTGAGGATCATCAGGCCCTTCTTGCTCTTGGTCGCCTGCTTACATCTTATGGACGGACAGAAGCGGCTCATGTCTGCTACATGTTCTCGCGTGCTGCCGTCTTTGGTGGCGCCGATGACCCCCAGGCCGACATCACTGTCCTTGGTGCTGACCATTTGCGTTGTCCTTCATCCCTGCTTGATGAAGATGGCATCTTGTTGACTGAGGCTTACGAATATGCGACATCTGTTCTTGGGAACTCCCCGACGGGCCATCTGCCACATCTGTTGGCATTCAAGATCTTTAATGCCAGATGTCTTGTCGACCGTGGTCGTAATTCAGAGGCGCAAGCCTACTGCGATGCAGTGGCAGCGGCGTTGAAGGCAACCACCCGTCCTTCTCCGTACTATCACCAACATCTGTTTGCTGAAGTTGAGGAGTTATCCGCGCGTCTGCGCCAGACAACCAGCGACAATGGCTCTTGGATCTCGCGACCGAGCATGGAGAAGGTCTCGGGTTCGATGTGGGCTCGTTTCAATAGCTTCGTGGTAGGTGACGATGGTGACGCTGCATCCACTGGATCTGGCAAAGGTGGTGAGCAAGCGGACTTTGGTCCTTTCGCAAACGTGGCTGGGACCCCGACAATCAGCCGATCGCCCTCTGTCTCCGATATGTACGGTTCTTATCCCGGAGCCGGAGCGCAGCCTATCCCTGTCAGCGGCCCATCGAAGTATCAGCCATCGAGCCAATATGCGCCCAATGCGTCACCTGAGCAGTACAAGGGTCGATCTTCGATGGATTCTCAAAGATCTGTTTCCTATTTCCCGCCCATTGGACAACGCCGCAGCTCACAAGAGATGTCGCCTTCAATTGATCACCAAATGTCTTACGGAGCTTCCATGTATGGGTCGCCAAATGCATCTGGGTATCAACCGACTCCGCCCCAGTCATCATCTTACGTTCCTCTTGCTCCGGTAGAAGAGGCTCTGTCACCCAGCGAGGCTGTTTCGGCCGCACCTCCTGCGGTCAATGGCCTCTTCTACCAGCCCCCAGGGCAGCCTACTGCCGCGTCTGTTGAATCCCCCTATTACCAAGGGCCTCCTGGCATGCCAGTCGGTGCGTCGGGCCCCGAGTCATCCTCCGCACCCCCGCTGTGACCTCGTCTTACGAGCCAGTTGGGTTTGGTGCAAACACAGACTATGCTCCCCAAGAGGAGCAGGATCTATCTCCTGCAGAAGAGCAGCCAAAGAAGAAGTCAATCATGGATGACGACGATGATGATCTTGCAGCCCGGGCGGCAGCTCTTCAGAAGGCCGAAAATGACCGCAAAGCCAACGAAGCTTTCGCCAAGGCAGCTGAAGAAGATGGTACGTATCGAGGATTCTCATTACTCTATCCACCCGCTAACTTGACTTCTTTTGCAGCTAAGAGAGGACCTTCACAATCTGGCAAGAAAGGCTGGTTTGGTGGTTGGTTCGGCGGAGGCAAGAAGGAGGAAAACAACTCCGGTGGTGGCCCTATCAGGGCCAAACTTGGCGAAGAGAGCTCGTTCTACTATGATAAAGACTTGAAGAAATGGGTCAACAAGAAAGACCCTAATAGTAGCGCGCCGGTTCGTGCCACTCCGCCACCTCCTCGCATATCCGCGCCCCCAAGTCGAAACGTGAGCTCAAGCAGCATGCCACCAAATGGCGGACCTCCAATCTCCCCAATGCCCTCTGGTAGCCGACCTCAATCTTCCGCAAGCGCTGCTTCGCCCCAATTGTCCTCCAGCCCAGGTATCTCTGGTCTCGCGCCTCCGTCACTTCCTCGGTCTGTCTCTACGGGAGCGGCTATGCCTACGCCTCCTGGTAGTTCCAGCGGTCCGCCCCCACGGCCGTCTTCATCTCTCACCCATGCCAGCTCAATTGACGATCTGATCGGTGCACCCCAGGCGCGCAAGGGGAACACGGCCCGTGGCAAGAAGAAGGGCCGTTACGTCGACGTGATGGCCCAATAGTCGGAGTTCTTCATGGACCACCGATGTTTGCTTACTGGTCGTCCGACTGGCTGAGTTTTATAATGTCATTTTCTTTTGTTCTAATATGTGTTTCGTTCTTATGTCTTTTATTTGTCTTCCATGATTGCTTTGACGAACTCCACCCTCCCCTTGAATAATACGACTCCCCCCTGTTGTTGAATTTGTCATTGCCTCAGCATCTTGCATGTGTCGTGTCTCAGGTTCGGCAGACACGACATCTCTCTGCATCTCGCTCACTGGACTCCATTTCAAAGCCTTGCTTTTGCACATAGCTTGATCTTCGCTGTTCTTTGGCGCGACCTCATCCATGGAGTCGAGGGCTCGTCCTCCTGGCATTATGTATATCACCCTCCTCCGCTGGGATTCTTTTGATCTGGAGGTTGCTTCTTGCATGCCTTGACATGCACTGTCTTAGTAACGATTTCTAATAACGCATTGAGACCTTTCATGTCTGGATTCTTCGAACATAAACATCGTAGCTGAAGTTCGCTGTATCATGTGGTGAAGGAATTGATATAATACTGGTGTGCGTTCGTCGTTAGAACACCAGCTGCCAAGGACACTCGGGCAATTTGGACTCACAGTTAAACAAGATTCGGCCCCATCCTGAGTGCTCGGCAGATAGACGTATAGAACCAGTGCCATTTCATTGATGAAACCTAGCCAGAAACCGCGTCAGCACATAGCCTAGTATACCGAGTGTTCAAACTTACAAGCAACGACCTTCGGACTGAGTCGCCCAATACTAAGTACCCGACTCCAATCCTTGCCATCAATCCGCACTTTGGCCCAACCAGACTCATCACCCTCCCTCGCCTCACGCATCCGATTTTGCTCACTCGGAAGCTGCGAGATCTGTTCCTGTGACATCTGCTCCGGGTCCAATGGCGGGTTCACAAGATCAGACCAGACACTCGCAATACGCAACTCATCAGTGGCAATAGCCAGACGTAATGAGCCATGCATGTTGGCAGATAGTTCCAACTTGGGAGACGTATTAGTAGACAATGTCGTCGCAGCGGTGCTAGCACCCGACCCATTGAAGGATGCCGAGTGCATACCCGGCGCGTCGAGCGCCATGACCCCCGGCTGGCGACTTTTCGTGTCTGTAGAAGCGAGTTTCGTGAAGCGATCGGAGATGCTCTTCAGCTGCGCGAGATTGGGGAGGATGATGTGCACTTCTGGGTCTGGGCAGTGCGGCTCGTGAAGGCCTTCGACTGCTGCTTCGTGGAGAATCTTTATAGGGACTTCTTGGGTGATACATGTCTGGCGCTCGCGGGGTCCTCGCTCCCCTGTTGTGTCGCCTGTCGCTGAATTCGGGCGATTATTGACGCCATTTTGGTCATTGTTTGTGGCCAAGGCCATGTTTCCGTCTGTCCATTCTGACGAAAGGACTGTTAGGGCTAGAAGTGGGGTTCTGTCTTTCTTGGTTAGGCGAAGTTGCGTATGTGTTGAGCCCCAGGAGGAGCGCAGAGCTCGGTTCAAGACGCTGATGTTGACTTCGATATTGATGGCGTCGGAGTTGGATTCTAGCTCGTAGGTCGTCTCATCGAAGATGGTGCTCTGGCAATCGTCAATATGCAGATCATGTAGCTGTTAGGGCTATGCATACGACTGGTATTGAGGCCCATACTTGGGTGCCTTGGTCGGGAATGATGGTAAAGCGGACTACCTCGTACTCCAGGCGCATCCAACATACCTTGCCCAGAGAGGACAGGGATGCCGTCAGCTCTGATATGGTGAGATTCTATTCCTTTATCTCTGTAAAAGATTGACTTACTGGAGAATGTCCTGCTGTCCTTTAATTGTGTTCGAAAGCGCATTGTGAGTTGATGGAGGGAGAAGGCTGAAGTGCTTATCGCGCAGTCCCATGCTTATCGTTATCGACCACGCTGGTCCAATCTGTCAACGCGTTACGCAGGTGGAGCTCATCATGGAGCTCACCTTTCTACATCGCTGGTTTGAAGAAAAGACTGTATTCTATGTCGTCTTGTCGCATCTTGCCTGCGGCCCTGCATCATGTTCTGCCATCTCTTAGTCAAGAGCCAAGTTCCAGACCTGCTCCCAATCCAGATCTATCTTCTGCCGCATTCAAATCCAATGAGGCTTCAGGTTGAGGCTCTCCTCGAAGTTCAATCTCGCGTCACTGGGATTCCCGAGGCGTCTGTATGCCCCGACAGTGGACAGAAACGACGCGTCTAACGCGTTTTCATTCCGGGACTTGGCGTCTCGGCCCTTGAAAAGTATGCCATCTTCGTGCATTGTGAGTATCTTCGGGCAAGCCCCCATGACGGAGCCTCGGTAGAGCGACCAATGTCCTTGAGACATTCTACTTCAATCAGTCGCCACTTTTTTGGTAAGTATAGATTGCCTTCCTTCCCAATGCTGACTCTATTTGAGGCACTACATCGAACACTTCCACCCCGCGAACGTCAAAGTCCTTGGTCCAGCGCTACAGAACGCCGCGGTGGATGGATTCTGCTCCACGGGAAACGAAAGTGAACGGCATTGGCATTGGACTCTGCAGCAGTGAGCTCTACAGCGGCAAATCACCGGGGTTATTATTGAGAATGACACGACTCGGTCCACAATGAAATCCCATAGGGTTTCCTTCCTACCGGTCTTCATTTGGTCCGGAAACTTTTATTATTGCTGGATTTGAAGTCTCCCCTGCGCGTCAGACGACGTACATCACATACACGCAGATCGGTCCCTCCATGGCCTATCGTGAATCTCATTTCAATATGGGCCCATGTATCGTGAATAGTTCTTCATACTTCTTCAACTCTTGGGTGAGCTCTGCGCCAATACCTTGCAAAAGCTCCGGGTTCTCGTGAAACGCCTTGCATGATGGCCCACTGGCTTCTCAATGCATACCTGAATATCCACTTCTTCTCTGAAGAATCTCGGGGATATTACTTTGCCCCTACTGGGTAGCCCTACTCGCCATGGGTTTCGAGAACGCCATGGCATAATGGTTGCAACAAGGGCTATATAGCCAATTGATTGAATTCATATTGCTCTATCAATGAATATCTAGTATATAGGAAATAATTGGGCTCATATCATAAAATTTTCGTAGCTCCTTGCATTCATAGATTGAATCTGATTGATACTATTCCAAATAGCCTTTAATTTCCGCCAGATCGTTTGTATTTTGGGATACAATCTCTCTCTGTATCATTCTACATCCAAAGGAGCTCCAATTGATTCCCTATGAGTGTAAATTAGTCCAAATGAAGAAGTATAGGTACCTCCGTTGTATGTAGGCAATAAACGCGGATCCCCCGGCATTCGAATGGTTCGTGTCAGCAGCTCCACTCCCCCTGATCTCCACTTCTCGTTATTGACAAAATACCCAACTTCACAAAATCCTCCGACAGGGTCATAGCTATTGTCAATTGTAGAGCAGAAAGCCGGTCTTCCTGTTCTGTCCGCTCATTTGTGCCCATATCTCCGCACTCCTCACTTCCTCTCCCAACTTATTGTACCTCGACCTCCCCCGTCAACTTCGAACTCGACCTATCCTTTTTTTTCTATTTCTTTTCGAATCTCCTCTCAAGCTTCTTGCTGTGCCAAGTGCTGCATTCTGTTGTAACACGCGTCTCAGCATGCGGGTTCGGCAGTCCTCTTTCCCACCCTCGTTCCGACCTCCGTCACTTACATGCCATCCTCGAGTCAGTCGAGGCTCACTGTGACTTCTCTGACTTAGCTGGAACATCCTTCGGCATGGCAGCCAGTCGAATAAACCCTAATCGGCCCTCCATTCGCCTCTCCCCCGTTCATTCCCGACATAACTCTCGTTCAACTTCACCGGAAAGAATCCCTAGCTCCATATTCCAAAAGCTTGACCCTCTCCTCAGCAACCTCTCCCCCGAATCGACCCTCGAAGCCCTCACATCTACCGACGCAGTCCCTTCGAACGAACAAGGTGTCCGTGATATACTTTCTCAAAGCATCTCCCAAGTGTCGCAGACGGAACGCGCCCTAGGGATACGCGCCGCGGTAGCTGCCCAAAACTTGAGTTTGTGGCACAAAGAGGTTGTATCATGGCAGTGGCCAAACCAGCAAGATGCAAAGACCGGAAAAGGATTTCTTCCTCCGCGTGAGTCAAACCATAAGGGGAATCCATCCCTTCCGGGCCTTTTATCTGCCCCTCGCAACCCGGAGGAGAGCTATTATGGGAGCTTGCCAGCCAGCGTGGTCGAGCAATATGAGAGTAGAATTGATGAGATTCGCGATGCAATGGAAGATCTCAACGTGGAAGAACTAAAGGAACACGTTTTGAATGCCCACATTCCATCCAGATCTCGACCCTCCTCTGCCACAAGCTGTTCATCCGTACCTCCGCCGCTCAGCTATGTACAGCTGAGTGACTTCACAGCTGTCGTTACCGCGACTATCCTACGAGCCCTTCCGTATCTGTCACGATTGAACGCCTTACTCGCCACTTGGGACGTTCGCCTGTTTGTTTTGCGCCAAGTTCCTGGTCTGCTGAGAGAGCTGACCTTGACCCGATCTGCCCTTGACTCCGCCTCCCGTGCCCTACGAACCCCACATTCTTCTATCACCGGCTCGGACCGATACCCTGATGCATCCCTTTCCGCCGATCATGTCAACCTTGAGTCCGCAGTTGTGGCTGTCGGAAGGCGGATGGACCGAGTTCTGGATGCGCTGGAAGGTCGCCTGGACTCTCTGCCCGAGCAGTGGATCGATGATCTCGAGTCCATCGAGTCTGATTTTGCTGCGTGGGTTGTGGAGGCTGAGCAGTACAAAGTTCAGACCGAGTGGTTCCGGTCCAAAGCCGAGTCTGAGATGGCTCAGGCGCGTGCAGCCGACCAGCTCCTAGTTACAGAGTCAGTGGAGCAAATACGGCAGGACTCCTCAGCGTCCGAGGCAGCTGCCCAAGAACCCGCGGGGCATGAGTCACTCGTCTCCCCTGAGCAGGCTGTTGAAAGTGAGACTGAATGTCAGTGCGGTCCTGAACTCCCGTCTGTTGAAGCCAGGGCACCGAGTCCACAATATGTTCAGCACGCGACGTCTCCTGATGAGTGCCTCGGTGGGAATACTCTACCAGATCTCAAGCTCCCAACGTCTCTGGCAAAGCCTCAGATTGATAAGCCAAAAGAGAACCTCACACCTTTGCCAGTGGCCGACGATCTAGAGACACCAACGCAGTCCGATTTTCCGCCAGCTCCTGCGATCAGTCGCCAGGCATTCCCAACTCCTGCGCAGACGCTTTGTGCGGATGACTGCGACTTAGAAAACAAAGAAAACGTTCCTCCGTCAGGTTTCCAACACCCCGACGGTATGTCGCCTGTCTGCCAGACTCCTTCGACAAAGTCCAGTCCCTTGTCTGAGCATGGAGCTTCTGCAGCAGGCTCTTCCATTCAGCCTGTCACTGCATCTGACGCTGAAGCTCAGCTCTCCGGGGATACTGCTTCTGTTTTGAAGGGCGCTACCGTAGAATTTGATGTTTGTCTTGATCGCGAAGAATTGCCTACTGAGACGGCAACTGGGTTGGAGAAAGAGAAGCAGTCTGTTGGTGAAACCCAAGCGAACACCCACTCCAGGTCCACCGAACACACTCCCAAGACTATCTCGAGTGTTGGCCAACGCTCCAGATTGCCAGCCAGGTCAAATAGACGGAATGAGAGTGATACTCCGGTAGCAGCAGTTATCTCTCCGGTATCCACGCCGAACTGGTCGGAAACCCGACTGCCGCAATCGCGACAATCTGTCAGGGGTTCCCAGATCCCCATGGCTGTCCCGTCACCCAAGCCAGGCTCAAGCTCTACCCCCATCAAGTCTCACGCCTCGAATGAAGCGATAGCAGACCCCTCTCAGCGCACTGTCCGCAAACCATTACAGAGCCCTATCAAACTCTCCAAATCCCGCCCAGTTGAGAAGGATGCCAAAGCACACAAAACAAAGCATCGTCGTGGGACATCTAATGGGTCTGTGGGGTCTTCACTTTCAGGTCGTTCTTCTTTGATATCCAGTCCAGAGGTGCAAGCACCGCACACTGTGTCCTCTAATGTGACATCACTCGGGGCATCACCTCGTCCTGGATCTTTACATCGTCCCTCACATGGGGACTATACCTTGAGAGAGGATCGTCTACGTCGTCTGGAGGATCAAAAACCTGATCCGCGAGTTTCATTTCAACAAAGTCGCACGGTCAGCCTGCCTCTCGAGCGGTTCATCAATGAACGACTAGAGATGGGCCTGGGACCCGAGTCGGCGCCAGATTTGGCTGTTGTGAAATCGTCTACAACACGTTCTGTCACATCTGCCGACTTCCCTCAACCGCCTAAGGTATGTTGAAATGATTTTACGTTCTTGTATCCTCATCGCTAATTGTTACTCTAGTCTCGGGCCAGAAGCACACGAGATCTTTCTTCGGCGCCCATTCCACCCCGGGTCTCGCCACTCGCCGTCCTCAACTCTGCCGAGGAAAGTCTGCAAACGACTTGCATTCTCAGAACGAGAGGTCAAAGATTGCTCAACAGAACAAAACGACATTCGGGATGAACTCTGCCCGAAGAGCGATTGAACACCTTACGCAACCCAGGTCTCTCCGCCTACGGCAGCGACTGACTGCTCATCCAAGCCTCGAGAGCCTGGGTATGAAGAGACAAGAGCTGTCATATGTGGAAGAACATGAATCTGAATTGACAGATTCCGGAAGTCGTGCTCCTTCGTCACACTCCAAGCGTCCCCGAGACCAGCTCGACGAAAAGATCAACTCCATCTTGAATTCATTGCCTGGTCACATCCATCTGGTCGATTCCAACCACGAAGCAGACACATCATCCTCATCGTCTTCCATGGATCGCCGAAGGCGATACCGATCCGAGTCACCTACCGTTCCAGCTCGCAGCACTACCCCTGCGCCTTCACTGACTCTGATGCCCGCTGCCCGGAGACGCCAAAGCCATGCATTCAAGACGGAGGACAGCTGTGTCAAACTCTACCACCTCCACCACGGCGGCCAGTCGGCGCCGACAAAACTCTTTGTTCGTACCGTGGGAGAGGATGGGCAGCGAGTGATGGTTCGTGTTGGCGGTGGATGGGCTGACCTCGGAGAATACCTTCGCGAATATGTCATTCATCACGGTCACCGAAAGGTGTCTGAAACCCCCCGCGTGGAGGTTCAAGGCATAAATCCTCGTCCTTCTCCGCCATTTGTCTCTCCAAGCTCTTTATTAACCCCGGCACCCTCAGCCCTTCTTTCCTCTGGCAGAGCTACCCCGTCGCGATCACCATCAGTGCTGAGCAGTCGCGCACCTTCCTCTCTAACCGTTCGCAAGAAACGACGGGGCTCAGCCGCCTCGGAGATCATGGCCAACAGAGCAGTGACAACAGGTCACATCTCTCACATCCCCCACCTCTCCTCCTTTACCTCACCCCCGCCTCCTATCTCCCACCTCCCTTCCTCCGCCGACAGACGTCTTTCCGTCTCCTCCGGTTACTCGATCGGTGACACCCATTCCCCTGCTCAGACCGCCACTGCCCTCGCCAGCGAACCTCGCGCCACCCCGCTGGGCTTGGCTGGTCCCCGGCCACGTGCTCGATATGAGTCCATGAGCCCAGAGGGTGAAGCCTGGGTCGCAGACGTCCTCCAAAAGACCCGCCGTCCCAGCTCTCACGCCCCTCAGTTCGCGCTGAGTATCCCACCAGACCACGACGACGATCGATCTGAGTTCGACGGTCTCGGTCACCACCTACCCAAAGTCCGCAGTATCGGTGACATCGGCTCTACCGGTACAAGCCGACGAGTCGTGCTGAAAGGTCTTGGAGGTCGCAGATAGACATCCTGCCATCCTTCACATGCCCTCTGGTCCTGTGTTTCCTTTCTGTCTGACTGTGCATTGGGTCTGCAGTAAAAAAAATGTTTTATTCTTCGCGTTACCCTGGCCTTTGAGCACATGAACATCTGGCAGTATACCTCAGATGGCGTGTTTTGTTCATATTTTTCGGGTTTTATTCTTCTTGCATCAGCGTGGCGAATTGTGCCTTTGTGGGATTTGGTGTCGTGTTAGAGCTCAATAATACCCTACATTCTTATCTGGTTTGAATGATATTTGCATTTCTATTCTCATCCTTAGCTCTTCCAAGGCGAGCCATGATTATATCATTAGTATGCCCTTGTCGAGATGATACCTAAAGGTTATGGCAATCTTAGGATAAGTCAGATCTCTACGTTCTAAGTTAATAAGACGAACACCTCAGCTGCCCGTGTACGTTGTAAGACATAGCGGAAAGAGGGTTTCATTTCAGAATAAATAGTCGCCCAAAAACCCTCGTCATGATCCTTAACTCCATAAGCCAATTATCAGGAAGAGTATACATAAGGCAGTCATAAATCATGGATCATTAGCTAGAACCTCAGAATCGAACAGCAAAGGCGGATGATTTCGAACGAAACGTCACCGATCACGAAGTCTGTTGGCGTTTCCACGGGATATCTTTACGGAATAATTCCCGTAGCTCGGGAGAAATCACCTTCGGCTTACCAGCGTCAATTGCCTTTTGCAAAGACGAGCCAGCATTAACCCCGCTGCTTGCACCAACAGCCGGAGATTTGCCCTTGCTGCTATCTGAAGCATCGCGGGAAGGTGCACCTGGTCGACGCTGGGCGGGTGCAGCGGGGAAGTTATCCTTCTTGTCGATTGCTTGGACTGAACGCTCGAAGCGGTGGAAGAGCGATTCGGCACGAGTGAGAATGGGTACGAGATCCATTGTGTTGGAGAGTTCGTTGACTGCGAGTGAGGTTAGTAAAGGGAGGAACCCAATTGTTCATGTCCAACATACTGTATTTGAGCACTTCGTCGAAGTGCTTGAGATGATCCATGATCACATCGCGGTGCTTCTCGAGTATTGCTAGGGCAATAAATAGGTGGAAACTACTGGAGAAATAGTCGGTCCACAATGTCTCCCAGAGACGCAGCACATCGCTCCAATCGAACTCGCGCTTATACCACACCAACAGCATGCGGAAGAAGAAGAAGAAGTTAGTGCTGTCAGCGGACTGCAGATGCAAGTAAAGCTGCGGATCCATGAGCTGGACCAGGTGATCCAAGGCCAGCAGCTGGCCACGCATTCCCGATTGGTCTCGGAGGAAGTTATGTTCCTATGGCGAGATTAGTAGAGACATAGCAATTCGTCGTGTAGAAACATACCATTCGATCCATGAACCCGACAAACGCCCAGAAAGCCACGGCATCATCTTGCATCACTGCATAGATCGGTGCTAAGAGGTCGCTCATTCCTTGAACATACCCAAGATCCGGGTTAAACTCATTGTACGTCAGGAGCATGTCCTTCATCTGCTCCAAGTGCACATTGGTGCCCGTCTCAGCGAACGGAGAATCGGGATCGGGATGAGGGATATCCTCGCCCGCGAATAGCGGAATAGTACGGTCGGTGCGGTGAACATCCTTCTCTGTATCCAGGTGTTAGTGGCCGATATGAATCGCGATACAGCGTGATCCTACCTATTCGGTTCTTCTGCTCTTTCCAATTGTCAAACTGCTCGATCGTGGAGTTACCCTCAACCATTCGCTCCCACCATCCTGCTTTCAGTCGAATGTATTCATCGCGCTTGGAGTTCATCATCGCCTGACGCTCCTCGCGACTGCTATCCCAGGAATACACCCCGAGCAGGAAGAGCCAAGCCTCCTTTCGGACGCCATCATTGGGATCTAAGCCTCCGTGGAAGATCCGCTCCTTGACTTCCTCCACAGTCACTTGAAGTCTACCCGTTGTTGGGTCGAAGAAGCCCTCCCACTCGGCCAGTTGGAGAACCCGGCGTCGCTCTTGCAGAGCCAGATTGCCGGTCTCCAACTCCAGAATCTCAAAGTCGCCGACCGAACTATTTTCCATCTCCAACATATCCTGCGCAGTCCATATGCGCTGGTTGCGGTCTTTATCACTCTGCTCCGCAACACTCATCGCCCAGCGAGCCAGATAGACCCGGGCGCTGTCAAACTCGTCCTGCAACGTCTGAATCTCCGGGTTTTTCATCAGACGGCGCATTTGTGGCGGCATCCGCGGGTTATCCGCGACTTCGTTCACCGTGCGACGGGTGAACGTGGTGATTTTGCTCAGTTGCTCCAGCATTTTCCACCGAGTTTCTTTCAACGTCTTCATGAACGGATCCATGGTGGCATCGGGCGGTGCAGCTCGGCTGGACCCCGGGGCGGCAGCTTCGGGCTGCGCCTTTGCCGGGATGGAATTATCGCCATGGCTCACGGGCCGTCCAAACGACAGCTGGTCCTCCTCCGACGGGTTGATGAGATAGACATTGCGGTCCACTGCGGAGCGCTGCACCTCCACATACCTCCGCAGCCACCGCAATACCTCATCGCCACCCCAAAACAGACCTCCCTCCTTTCCGAATGGGTCGAAACTCTCCTTCACTCTCTTCTTCTTCTGCAAGATAGTGGACTCGCATTCGTCATCGTGGAAGAAGAGCGCGGGGAAGCCATCGCCTGCGCGGGTGTTGATCACCACACTCCCGAACCACCATCCTAGACTCGGCGGTCGCACTAGTAACGAGTATATCTCTGAGAGTGGGATTGCAAATGCATATAAACCGATGGGGTCTTTGTAAGTAGTGGTGGTCGGAAGCGGCGGAACGAGGTATGTCTGGCGCGGGGGCGAGTCGCCTTCCGAGAGATCTACTTTCACGTATGTATCGTAGGCTTCCCCGAGGGATGATTCGGGCACCCATGCGAGGAGGTAAGAGGGGGTAACGGAGTTCTTGGACTGAGGTGGAGCATGTGATGCGGGGACGGGTTTTTGCTGGATGAGGGCGATGAAGCCAGGGATATTGTCTTTGGAGGAGGAGGTAGGATGGACATAGACCTATTTCTCGTTAGCTCTTAGTTCATCTCCTCGTTCAACATTTGCTGGTTTTAAATCAGTGGGTAAGAAATAGCTCACTTTGCTTTTGGAGAAGAGCAGCTTGACCCCTCTGCTCTCGGCAGTCTGGGCGATGGTATTGTATTCATCTTCCTCTTCGTCACTCATGGCGTAACAGGATGGAGGTGATGGTGAAGTAGGAGGTGTGTAGTTGACTGAGCCCATGACGAGTGGACTTGTTAAGTTGTCGCAACTTGCAAGGAGCAAAAGTCACGAGCTTGGAAGTTGGAAGCTGACGACGTAATCGATAAGATAGCAGCCTTATGAGAGGGGTCTGGACTCTGGACTCTCCTTCTCCTACGTATATCTCTGTCAGTATCTCTTTTCTTTTGATGATATGAAGTCAAATGTGAATCTTTTGTGCTTGCTTTTGTTATGCTATGTTCACTGCGTACGATGCGCTTAGCCTCTCGCCACCATCCCATCAGGCAGCCGAATTCATGACAGCCTCAGAACAGGTTGACATCGATAACCTCTGTGATCAAGCGCTTAACATCTTTTTAAGGTCAAATTTTGCTACTTGACAGTTATAACTTGTTGATAAGTAGGTTTTTCTATGGAGGCTTTATTCAAGGCTGCATCAAAGGTTGCCCAGGCCACTACTGCAGGTGCTCTCAAACAGCTGCTCTTAAACAGCTACCCTCCAACTCAAACCAGGTCATCAAGACTTCCACACAGCTCTTATCTATGTTTGGGCCTCCAAAGGCCAGACCTGCCCAATTCTCTGAGTCACTAGTTCACACGGAGTGCCAACTGACGATCCGCTGCGACATCGACGGGACTCGATAACTAGTTTGGGAAGTGATATACAGATCCTTGTACATCTCACATGTTTGACAATCGCGGGTATAACCTCTGAGGAGTTTAGGGCAGACCATGGATATAAACATGCACCTTCTCCTTTGTCGCATCAACGCTCAGCCAACTGGTAGATACATCATGTCGGAGCTCGCTCGTACCTTACCCGCTTCCTGGTACTGCAGTCAGCCGCTGTATCAGTTAGAGCGGCGGGCAGTCTTTCTTAAGGTATGTCACGCGTTATCCTGGTAGGTTTCAATGAGGCTGAGATATGGTCCAGTCCTGGTACTTGCTGGGCCCAGTCACCAGATTTCAGGTTGTGGGCGAGCATGTGGAGTATGAAATTGCACAACAGACCGTCTCTGCCGTTCGAATTTCAGGGAGAGGCTCTGAACCCCGTCGCTGAGGAGTTACAGGTGGTTTGTGTAAAGACAGTATGTCTATCTTGAGTGAAAGTTGCACTTTCTCTAAATGACTGTGCTAGGGCAAGAAATTGCGCAGCCATCTCACGCCAACTGGACTACTCTTCTCCACTGTATCCGACGATGCACCCAGTTTCCAAGACTTCTTCCCAGAGCTCGAGGAGCTACTCGGCAAAGTTGATTTCAGGAAGCTGCCGCACCGGCGGAGCATCAAATACGAAGGACAGTTCAACTGGAAGACCATGTAAGCTTACCTGTGTTGCTTTCTCGGTCGGAGTTGATGTTCGTAGGGTCGATGGATATCAAGAATGTCTACACTGCCAGTACACGCACCCCTCGTTTTCCGTCTACTATCCCCCGACCTTTTACACGGTGCGCAACAAGCACAATTTCTCGCAGCATATCGCTGACCCGAAGAAACCGGACGATGGTCTCTTCCTATACTTCTTCCCCAACTGTACGCTGAATGTCTATGGGGGTGGCATGTCCTCGTTCAGAGTGTGTCCGACCGCTGACCCGCAGGTTACCCGGATGGAGTTTGATTACTATCATCTGGAATCTGGGGACAAGTTTGAAGAGTACTTCAAGTTTGTGCGTCAGGTTGCGATGGAAGACTTTGAACTCTGCGAGAAAGCTCAGAGTAATCTGACTAGAGGGGTTTATCATGAGGGGATCCTGAACCCGGAGAAGGAGAACGGTGTCTCTTGTAAGTTGTTCTGCACTGCTTCGTGATATTGGGCTGATCCTGATTCTGTTCTAGACTATCAGCAACGTGTGTTTGATATGGTCTGCGAACAACATGAGTCTGACAAGAAAGCGAAGGTAGCCAATAGGTCTGGATTGAGAGGGCATACTGCATCCTCTATTGCACAGATGGAAGCGTAGGTGGTAGCTAGTAATTAGGGCCGTATCAATCCATGAGATCTGGACAAAATTCAGTATGTTGTTCCTTGTAGGAAGATTCAGACGGAGAGACCAACATATCGGTCAGCGGAACAGCTGCAGACAGGAAATTTCAACCTAATCGGGTAATAGCAGGGGTACAGGGGTGTATCATGTGCAAAGGTGGAGATGAAGGTGCTTTGGCCTACAAGTATATCAAGCTGTCCATACCTACCACAACCCACTTCATATCCAATTCTGCAATCGAACATTATCTTAATGGAATCCAATCCAAGATCCTTCTTCCCAGCCTCGCTACTTGTAGCTCTAGCGACAATCATCTTTCTTCTCCGAGTATGGCCCCGACTTTCTCATACGAAGATCCCCAAAACATCACCTGCAATCAAACCCCCAAATCCAACCCCAACAGTCTCTAAAGAACCAGACATCCCAGAAGGATGGTGGGCCAGTCGAAATATCTTCGAACTCGAACGCCGCGCACTTTTCAGTCAAGTAATTGCCCAAAGCAAAGCAGATAATTCCCCAACCAGTACTAACACCCACTCAGACATGGCTGTATGTCGCCCACAGCGCACAATTCACTAAAGCCGGCGCATATCAATCATTCGATCTAGCCGGCTTTCCAATCTTCCTCATTCGCGGTAAGGACGGCAAGATCCGCGCTTTCCATAACGTCTGTCGACATCGCGCGTATACTATTACCAGGAAGGAGAGTGGTGCGTCGACGGTGCTGGGGTGTCGATATCATGGTTGGAGTTATGATACTACGGGGAGACTGGTGAAAGCCCCGCAGTTTGATGGGGTCCCCGGGTTTGAGAAGGAGCGGAATGGTTTGTTTGAGGTTCATACTCAGACGGAGAAGGGGTTGGTTTTTGTGAATCTGGTTTCTGGGGAGCCGGCTGCGTTTGACGACATGGGCGTCACTGGGATGGGGGGAGCTAGGTGGGTTGCTGGTCAGACTTTGATGGGGGTTTTTAATTGGAAGGTCGGGGCCCTTGGTAAGTGATTCCCTCAATTTATAGGTGAGGTGAGGTTAGAGCTAACGTTGTAAAGCGAGAGCTCATCACTTTGATGTCTTTGCCAACCTAAATCACGGAGTATCTGGAGTATTCAGGTCATTTGTCAAGAAGCTTGCCGTACCTCTGCGAAGAAGCACTCGAAAAGAATGTTTCTTGTATCCAACTACATTCTTCTATTCGTTAGAAGATGGCTTGTCCCTGGCTATGTCCTTTTTCCCAGCTTCCCAGTCAAAAACACACGTTCGCTACGACCTCTTCTCTTGCTCCAATGTGAGTGAATCTGAGGCACAGAGGTTGTCCGAGGTGTTACAGAGCGCGGTGAAGAAGCTGGTTGGAGAGTTGGAGACTGATTATCAATCTATATTGGACAAGCAAGAGTGTGTATAGGTTGTTATATGTCTGGCTCATGGACTGATCCTTTTCCACTAGATTACCAAGCGAGTTCGATAGCACAGGTAAGTCCCTCGTCATATTTTGATTTCTCTGCTAAGTGGATTCAGTCTCTCGTCAAATCTTGAGTCGACTGCAAGAGCATACGAAGCTCGAAAGGGCCGAAGGAGGTCAGATCCTCCCAGCCATGCACAAGCCGAAGGGAAGCACACTCTTCCAGCAAGCAGATCAATGTTAGTGTGTAATTTTTTACATTCATACTTTGTCTCATACTGACTGGAGGCAGTGTGTAAAGAGCTAGACTGTCTTGGTGGAGATGCTTCAGGTGCGCTGGACTGGTAATTGATGCAGCTGGAGACGATTCTACTTGACTGAGACGACACAGATAGTTATTCAGGCATAGCTATTGGAGATTGGCATGGTGATGTACATTCATGCAAACTAATGAAAGATTCGAGTTATACAAGAGACACAAATACACAATAGGACTCACTCATTCTATACCCCCCAGCCAAAAGATCGCTTCCTTCCACTCCTCCCACTCTTCGTAACGATATACTTCGAATCCCTCATCCTCCCAATCGTACTCGGTCTCCCCCCACTCTTTGCAGCAAGATAAACAGGCCTATTCCTCCTCATCTCCCTCCTAAACGCCTCCTTCGCCTTCGAATCCCTTCTCACAACCCCTAGCAACGGATCAATATCCCTCATATCAATCGGCACATTATCATCATTCATCTTCTGCAATTTCTGCCCCAGCGACGGACTATCCGGAAACCGCTTCATACACTCATCCAACAAGGTCCCACTACGAAGCTTCCTCGTCACCGTGCCCATACTATGCTTCAATATCGACACATTGTGATCCCTCACAAATGCTTCAAGCGCCAGATACCACCCGCTTCCAGGCCAATCGGCCGGTAAACGGCGAACGAGCGCTTGCATCTTCCTTACAGCGAGAAGCTCCATAACGCCCTGCGTTGGCTCGACGCTACGGCCGTCTTTCAGACGACGTTTCTGGGCTGCCAGGCCATCGGCGATTTCGCTGCCGATTACCTTGCCGTATTCAAGTGTGAATAGGTCGGAGGGGAGGTGGGAGAGGATGGTTGCGAAGATCTCCCCGCTGCACATGTGGGAGCTGCGTGCTGCACAGATAAGTGCGTATCCCTTTGGACCGCCTGCTAGTCTAGGTAGTGTTGGGTCTATGTGTGCGCAGAGCCAGGCGATGGAAGCTGGTTCGTCGAAGCAGGCGGCGTACATGAGTGGATTCATGTTTTCCGAGTTGCGGATGTCTGGTGTGAGCATGGAGTATTTAAGGAGGAATTTCATGAATGCTGGACCGGCGGGATTGAAGGCTGCAGCGATATGCCAGGAAGATTCTAGCTGGCCGCCTAGCTCGTGGTATTGATGTTTAACATTCGCGATATTGATACCGTGTTGGTAGAGGGCTTTGGCTACGCTGACGGGTGCGCTGGCACAGAGTTCGTGCATGGCTGCATCATGGAAGATCTTGCGCAGTTCCTGGACTGGCGTGAGACCGACTCGGCTTAGTCTTGTGAGGACGGTTTCGAATTGCGGGAATGCGTCTATCCCGGCCAGAGAGAGGAGGATGTGATTTTCGTTTGGTTCTCGGATATCTCTGCAGTTTAGCAGATGCTTAGGATCTACCTCGTTGACCAGGTATGTGAGTAATTTCATGTTGAGACCATTCAATGCAGCCTCGATCCAGTTTCGGCCTGACTGATCATATCCGCTGCATTTTACAATGTCCCAGTCGATCAGGAATTCCAGGCATTCAGAGCATTCCCGTGCAGCATCGTATGCAGGGTGGTTGTCTGTTACTGATGCAGCGCGTTGCGACAGATGGGCCATTGCCTCGTCGTAGTCTTTGTATGAGCGGATCAGGGCTCGCATCTTGCCCAGTGTCTGAGGGCTTTTCAACCATTTGCTCATGCTTGATCTAAGAGCTCCTTTTAATAGTCCGTGTAAAGCGTGGATCTTGCTTGCCTCCATGTATCGGACGGGGAAGCCCACGAAGCGGTCGTATATCGTTTCGAGGATTTGCTGGGGAAGTCGGGCTAGAGGTAACTTGGTGGCCCATTGGATTTGCTGGGCTGATGTTTTCTTCTCAATACTTGACCAGGCGAATACGCCTCCTTTGATACTTCCAGATTGTAATCGGTCGAAGATGACGCCCCAGACTGCTGGTCCCCAGGCGTCTAGCATTGCTACGTCGTACTTGACCATTGTAGAGAGGTGTGAATCAGTATGAGGTTGGGAAGATAAATAGGATTGACCAGTTAGTTATATTTCCTTTGCTACAGACTTGAGATGTTTCTCTTTGAGGTGAAGAGGATAAATTTAGACGTTTCATGGCCAACTACAAAGGATATGCTTAGTCTTTCATGCAAGAAAGACCACTCTGATACTCGAGGGATATCGTTATTATAAAAAGGCGTTGTAATCGTTACTACATACTTCACAGTAAAAGTCATGAAGTCGGTCTATTCTTAGAAACGAAGGTCCGCAGATCGGAAGGCTGTGCGTTCGTATTCTTTCTTCCTCATATCAGGTCTTTTTACTTCTAGAAACGCTCTTCGTATAAGCGGGTTCGGTCGCAGAATATTTACATTTGTGGTTTAGCCCTTGTTCTAACGAGACAACAATTCCATCACTGATGAAGAAGAATGAAATCCATAGCTCAGTAAAGTATGCCAAACTAAGCGGCATTATCAGCCTGAACCTGAACATCACCAAGCGTAGCCCCCATAGCAATCTCATCATACCAAATCTCCCTGGTCCCCTGCGACCCCTGCATACCCCCATCATCATGCCAACCATTCGCATACAATCCAACCCGGAACTGGAACGCCCGATCATCATCAATGGTAGTCGCAATCCCCTGCTTATCAAGCACATTCTTCCCATCAAGCGACAACTTAAAGCTCCCCGACTCATCCGACTCCCAGTTCGCCTCAATCTCCACGCGATGCCATTCCCCGGTGCTCACCGAGCCCAAATTGTCAAAGCTCTCCGTCTTCTGCTCACAGATCGACCCCTGCTTAACCCGCGAGTAAAGCTGATCCCCTTCCAACCAGACCATAGTGCCAGGCATGTAATCGTCGCAGCCGGTATCGCCGAAGTCGGCGATGAACTGGGCGATGTTGTACGATTGCGCTGGGGAGGTCTCCCAGTCCTCTGAGAGACGGAAGGAGAAGCCGTAGGCGCCTGTGTCGCCGCGCTTGTAGGCGTCATTCTTTACGACTTCGGAGTGGTAGCGGCCTGAATAGGAGGAGTCGTATGTTTGGGTCATTTTTAGAGCGGTCGGGCCCTTGTAGACGACGTTGGTTACTTGGTCGACGGTGCCTTTGTTTTCCTTGTTCATTGAGTCCCAGCCATCGGTTGTGCCTGAGTTGTAGAAATCGGCGGCTTGGGCCGTTAGGCTCAGGGCCAGGAGGGTTGGGAGTTTGTTGAGCATGGTGGATAGACTGATAGTGTTTGATAGAGGTTGGAGGATTGGTGCTGGTTGTTTATATTTCACTTCTCTGTGATCTTCAGGAGACTCCGTAATGGATGTTCATCTGGGGATTTACCTAAATGGGGATAGATGAAACGTAGATGAATGATATTCATGGTAATACTCCGTAGCTTATGTTTCGTGGTCCTGGCTGTGAAGTAGACATAGACCTGTAACTCTTTTAGGAAACTGATGAGTGAAGATCGTAGTATTAAGTCAAGCCAAGGTAATAGTAGAGGGAGGTCATACCCCAAGGTACTCCCACTCCACTTTTCCCGCCCCCAAGTTCTCCTCTTCTCTTCTGTTAGCTGTGAAGTCATGGCCCCAATACAAATTGTATGCTTCTTCACGGGGGCGGGACGTATGTGGGGAGTGGGGGCGTATGGGGGTGTAACCTTAGCTCGTGTCGATCGACACGAGGATTACGGAGTAGCCTTCGCCTATTCAAGGACACGAACATAGATACGATATGGCTATCGTAACATAGTATAAATAGTACTGTTTAGTCTGTGACTACTGTCAAGTTTATAGTTAGGGCTTTCTCCTCTCTCCGACTTCAACCTCAACTCAACTGGGGTCTGGGATCTGGACCTTTTGGCCCCAGATCGCCGACACAATTATCAAATCATCCAACTGCTGTGTAGCACTGCAGATCTTTAAAACGATCTCCATAACATTTCCTTTGTTGCGTTTCCTCACTGCGCCTTGCAAGAACCACAAACTTCAAGCTTCTTTGTTATATGCAGCCACAACCGGGGATGAACTACTTTTACAAAGAAACGCCCCGAGTCTAGTCTTCTTTACCACCCCAATCAATAGTATGTGGTGATCTGCTGTCCGGTGACTTTGGAGGATGTAACATGCTAACAAGACCTAGACCGGCCAACAATGCCCCAGAAATAGAAGATCCAGAATTAAGGCTGAGATATGGCATCCCCTCTGATGATTCTGCCTCTTCGGCTTCGTCGCAAGTCCCCTCAGAAGAAAGGAAATCACCGGCCGCCACCGCTGAAGATAGAGAAGATAACTCCCTCCGAACCTGCGACAGCCTTCCGTGGCAGCATGTCGAGTCTGTCGAGTCTGTCGAGTCTGTCGAGTCTGTTGAATGTAACGAGTCCCAACAAAGAGCTACCAACAATGCCAGCGCCGATTGAGGATCATTCTGGAACAGCGTCCCCTGCGCACGCCGAAACTAAAGAGAGCCAAAAGCCAAGCCAATCAGGAGAGTCCAGCATCAAAGAAAAAGAGATCTCAGTCGGGGAGATCGGGGACCCCTCGTCTGCCTCCCCGCTGGAGAATCGGGATGCTATGATTGACCTGGACTCCCAGGAATCCGACGATCCTGAAATCTCCCCGTTGTCGTCTGGACCGTCCCACCAGCGCTCTGCATCCCGTTTGACCCGCTTCTTTCCAGAGCTGTCTTCGCACTTTTCGGTCATCTCCCCGGTCAGCACTGGCTCCAGTGCAAATTCCAAAATGGACCGTCCGACGAGGCCGTCCTTTTATGAACGCGAGCTGGAAGAACGAGTGCAGAACTTATATCGCAGCTCGACCGACGCCGCTGTAGATGAATTTGTCACTCCACTGGCGACCTCCAACTCCTCAGAGGAGGTCTTGGACTGTGCTTCTTCGTGCTATAGTCGTCGGACTTCCATCACCACCGTCGACAGCGAGTTCTGGGGAGAGGACCCACGCTTCCCATACAAAACAGCAGATGCTTACTCCGTCTTCTCCCCCGTTGCAGCGGGCGTCTTCGACGATGCTGCTTCTGCTCCCTCGCGTTCGGCCTCGGTATCGCCGTCCCGCCTGCATAGGCCACACCCCTCGCAGCTCCGCCCAGGCCCAATCAGAAAGGTGTCCAGTGACAGAAACAAGCCATTGCCACTGGAACCCTCTCCCGGCAGCGTAGCTCCCAAGCGCTACAGCGACTCCCCTCTGTCGGCCTCGCGCGAATTACAAGACTGGTCAGTCTCGCCGCAGCATTCCGCCATCAACGACTGGAAACATGAGTTACACAAGCATCCGAATGATTACCACCGCCATTCACGCGGACACAGTCAGCCTCCGCCTCAGCGCCAGCCCCGTGCCCGACGGTCAGAGTTGATGGTCGCTGGCCATCGCGCCCGTCATATCGCGACTTTATCGCGCGCCGCCGAGGAAGTCGAAGATGCCCTCGCAGGCTTGACAGATAAAGACTGGTCGCAGAAAACGCTGCTTATCGTCGACGGGCCGCTGCAGATCAGCCGCAATAACGGCGACTTGGTCGCTACCCGACCCGCGCCTCTTCCCCCATCGACGAAACCTCATTCACAAGCGCGGGCGACCCGAGCGAGCTGGAAGAAAGATGCTCGGCTCAGCAAGGGCCAAAGTGCGACCAAAGAAAAGAGTTTCCGACTGAGCATGCGGGAGTCGCGAGATAAGCTGTTGGCCGAGGCCAAAATTCACGCGAAGAACTCCAAGGAGGGCATTTCCAAAAAGGATAAGAAGAAATCCTTCCTGGGCTTCACTCGCAAGAACCAAGTCGACGCAATTAGCACGGGCTCACGGTCGGAGGACTCTCTCCACACCGTTGCATCTTCACATTCCGCCGAGCCCCAGGATCCGGCCCCCACACGCGAGCGCGACAGTCTACTGCTGAAGCTACCCCGTCTACAAACAAACGACCTCATTAGCACGCCCTTCGACCACGTCGAACAAGTTCCGCTGTCCAGCTCCTCGGGCCCGGAAATACTGGAAGACGTGGAAATCGACAAGTCCATCACAAACAAACTCCGCCAGAGCTGGGCGTTGGTCTCCACGGCACAAGCGAGTAGCATCAAAATTCCAGAACAAATCTATGAGCTCCCTGCTACGCCGCCGTCGCCGACGTCGGCACTTCGAGCAAAGCAAATGGTCCAGCCCGTGGATATCCCGCTGCCCGTGGACATGCCAGTGGATCTGATCATGTCGATTATGGAACACGTCGACGCGCTTGACGATCTATTCAATCTCGCCCTGGTTAACAAGAAAATCTACACAGCCTTCAAGCAGCGCGAGTTACCCCTGATCAAAAACACCCTGTTCAAGATGTCCCCGCCCGCCTGGGAACTGCGCGAGATGAGCCCCCCTGGGAAATGGAATGGCAGCTCCTAGTCGATCCCGACTCCCAAGTCCCCGAATACACGCCCACTGTCTATCTACAGCGCTACGCACAGGACATCTACACACTAGCGAAGCTAAAGGCGCTGGTTTTGGCGCGATGCGCGCCCTTCCTGCGTCGCGATACAGTGCGCGGACTGGCGGGCATAGACACCAAGCGCGCGGAGGAAGTCGACGATGCTTTCTGGCGGGTTTGGAGTTTCTGTCGGATTTTCGGATGTGGGAAGGGACGGGAGAACGATATTGCCGGGCAGATGGATTGGTTGAAGGGTGGTGTCGAGGCTAGGGGCCATGTTACCACGGCGTCGATGACACAGCCATTTGGTATGAGTAATGTCCTCTTTGAGCCGCCTGAGGGGTTCGGACGGGGGAATCTGTCTGGTCTATCGCAGAAGCAGATGTACGATATGACCGAGATCTGGACTTGCATGGGTGTTTTGTTGCAGCCGTTACATGGGAAGTGCGTTGAGGCGCGGGAGGTTGGCATCTTCGATGGAATGGATATTCCAGAAGGTGATCTAGTGCGCGAGGAAAAGATGCTCGGTAAGTGCAGTCCCTCCATCCCTTCTCCTAGTAATACCAACTAATAAAAAAACAGAAGAATGGACCTCCTACATCCTAACCCTCGGCCTAGGCGCCGTCCTAACCCTCAGCGCCGTCTGTCCAGCGGACACAACACCAGCAACCTTCCAAAAAGCGCAATCCATCGGCCTAACAAACTGGGAACTAACCGAAACCGAAGCAACACGCTCCTCCTTCCTCAAAGAAGCCATTTCCCGCGCCTACGAACTCCAAGAACGAGCCCTCAACTCCCCAGACCTATCACCGCAACAATCCCAAACCCCCTCCCCAGTAAAAACAACCGCCCAAAGCCAACGCCAACGCCAAACAAACCTCGCCAACGAACTCCGCACCCGTCGCGCAACAAACCAAAAACCAGATTCATCCACCCGCTTCTCCTTCTCCACCGAACGACCAATGTCCGAATACAGCGCCATCGTCCACAGTCTAAACAGTTCCCGTCACCCCTCTTCCATACCACCAGTCCCAACCCTAGTCCTAGATCGATCCTCAACTTCAACAACCGACACAGCACCACGAACACCAACCTATGAACCCGCAACTGTACCTGTATCTATACCAGCCCCGCTTCGACCACAGGTCCTAGACCCAGTCGATCGTGCAATCGATATGATAGTCAATGAGCTCGGGTTTGGAGCTGAGGATGCGAAGTGGGCGCTTAAGATTACGGATACGGGCGAGGGGATTGATGCGCCGGCTGCTGTGCAGCTTTTGCAGAGGCAGAGGAGGAAGAATGAGAGGAATCCGGGGAATGATTTGCTTTCTTCTGTTATTGAGCGGCAGAAGTCGCTGGATTCGGGGTGGAGATGGGCTTGATTTTCTTTCTTTCTGTTTCTTTTGGCGGGTTTCATTTTTTTTTTTTTTTTTTTTTTGGTTTGTTATGATGTTTATGCATTGCGTACTATACCCTTCTTATTAAGTCTTTGCTTTGTTATGTTGATAGATTGCTGAATGACTTTCCATCTATGTGTTGGCCTGATTTGAAGCAGAGGGTTGACCGTGATAACCTGGCTTCATATGAAGTGAGAAGTGTGGTCTACACTTAATATGCAAGGTAATCAATCAATGTAACTCTAGTCTCTTTGAGCACATCCGTCACAACTTTCGGGCTGCTGCCCGGAATACTTCGCTAGCACAGCAATAATGTAACAGCATGGTCTATTGAATAAAGGGCTGGTGTATAGTCAAATGCAAAGGCTGGAACGAAAGAAAAACATAAACTCGTCACATCATGGCACCAGTGTCAGTGGTCTTGTATATCAAGCCCCATTCGGTGCTTCTTCATCATCCGATTTGTCTCCGTCACTATCCTCGCTCCAGCCTTCTGCTTCAAGCGAACGACCGCGGATGCCAAAGCTCATGATAAATCCAATGAACGATACAGCGGCAAATACTCCAAAGGCTATAGCCTCTCCCTTTGGTTGGATCTTGGCTGTCAGCGAAAACAGTCCTCCGGAGAGGAATGGGCCGATCGAACGTCCCGCGGCGGAAAGAGTCTGTGCAAGACCGTTCAGTGCGCCGAGGACGGCGTGGTTGGGTGCGGAGTTGGTGACCTGGAAAGATGTTAGTTTTGGCCCGTCTGTATGATGTGCAGTGTTTGTCTGTAAGGTTTCTTACCAAAAGCAAAGCGCTGGTCAGTCCACCCACGGAGGCAATGGTCTTCACTAGCAACACAAAGCAAAGTTCGACAGCCATGAGGGCCGACTTGCCCGTCAGACCCTTGCCATTCCTGCTCTTGTATCCAATGAAAGGCATCAAGACGAAAGAGACCACGAAGCCAAAGAGCCCGGCACGGTATGACCATCGGTTGCCCATCTTGTCCCGCAGACGGTTAAAGATACAAATCTGGAAAATGATTGTGACCACACCAGCAAATCCTTGAGAAAGACCAATCTCGGACGGGGTGAGGGACCTTCCAGCCGGAGGCTTGGCCTGTGCAAAAATCGGAAATAGCGAGTTGAATGAAACGTTGCAGAGTGCAAAGATCAAATAGGTCAACAGAAGTAGAACCGTATCCCGGTTGAAGACCTCGTCATACGAGAGTTCCTCGTGGTGATTGAGGATACTGGATACCTCCGACGCAGAATCCAGGTCGCTGTCATGGTCCTCCGTCTCCACGTGGTCATGGTGAGAGGCTGTCGGGGCAACCTCAACATATGTCGGATGACGGGAAGAACCGGTGAACTGCCACAGCCACGCAAACAAGCTGCGCACCTTTTTACCGATCTTCGGGATACTGTCTGCGTCTTCCAAGCTCTCTTCCAGGAAAATAGCTGTCAAAACGAGGTCGATCAAGAGTACAAGCGCGGCCACCAGGTTCGGTGCAAGGTAAGGATATGGATTCTTGTTGCCCGTGAACGGATTTGTCTCAAAGACGAGAAGTCCTCCTACGAGGGGTCCTGTAATACCTCCGATGCCGTATAAAACCGGCAGGTAGGTGAAGGCCTTGGACTGGTTGCTTCGGTCGGTGATCTCTCCAAGGCAGGTAGACACCAGTCCCTGGTTCCCGTTGACCATGCCCATCAAAGCCTGCACGACAATAGCCTGGGCGAGGGTCTTGCAGAATCCAAATGCAACAAAGCAGGCTGCAGTCAACAAAGTGCCAAGCAGGATCACGGGCTTGCGACCCACGTGGTCAGACAGCCAACCCCAGAAATAATTCGTGGCGAATTGTGCTAGCGCAAAGGCCGAGGCAATGGTCCCCACGTATACACCCACTTGCGTGCCCTCCACCTCGGGGAATGACGATGCCATGTCGGGCAGGTACGGACTGATCGAGTTCAACGCCGTTTGTTCGGCCAATGCAATCATCGCCAGCACTGCCATCTGCCTCCTTGGCAGCGGTGATGATTTTAATCGGGAATCTGCGGCGTCATGGTGGGGATCGTAGGAACCGTCCGCGGAGGACTCGGACTGGCCGGAGTTGGGTCGTCCGCGCGATTTTGGCGGCGGGGTATCGAAGGTCTGGTAGTGCTGCGTGGAGGAGCGACGCTTGAGTAAAGCCCGGTCGTGGCCTGTCATCCTGGCGACAGACCAGGGGAATCAGATATTGAAGGAAATCTTGTCGGGGCTAACCATGCGATTGGGGTTGGTCGGGGTGAGAGTAAAGGCGCAGAGCTGTCGCGTGGGAGTGACGAGTATGGTTGTAACCTGCACCGGTATGTTTTAGGGTCAATTTCTGACACAATATAGGGTGGTTGCAAGTGTTGGAGGAGTAATTTCCGAGAGAGTAATTTGTTTTGAAAGCTTTGGATGGCTGGAGTTGGTGGAAAAGCGCCATCCGCAATCCGGATCAGGGAACACAAAATGATGATGTAAGCGGCCTGGGGGTTGTCATGTGTTCTAGCCAACACGACCAAACACGACCAAACACGACCTCAGCCTTGAAGCAGTGCAATTGATTGGGTTTGATTTGCAGCATGCACTTGGTCTTGTCGGCTGAGGGCGAGGCTGGGCAATGGGCATAGTTGGCCCTTGCATGGATGTGTCGATCTTGTGCTACCTGTGTCTTTTGTTGCAGTTCGTGTCGAGACTGCCGAGGCTCGAGTCTCAAGGCCTACCACATCCATACACGGCAATGAAGAATGTACCAGCGCTCTATAATACCGGGCAGGTGAGAAATGGGCATATTCTTGGGCGAGTCTGTACAAAGCCCAAATTACAGTTTGTAGCCTTTCATTGCATATATCCTCCAGCTCAGTCTCTACATAAATGTGCTGCTGCAACCCTCTGATCGATCATCGCTGTGAGAGAGTACTTTCATACATGTAGTGGGTACATCAAATGAATTATCGTGCACGCCTCTCGGCAGTCATGGAACTATGAATGCAGCCTTGGAAGATATTTCAGGTCTACATGCATTTAATCCGGTCAACTACCTAATACGGTCATGTGCTTATATATCCCACCGAGATATAGCCAATATCAACATAGGGTCAATATCAAGCTTGAATACGGGGATGACTTCTGATATTTGCCTTTGCCCCACGAACACGGCTCTTGAGCACAAACTACTTTTATTTCGCAGAATAAGACAGATATACTGCGGAAGGATGCAGAACGGTGTTCGGTATTCCAGACGTTACCTGCTCATAAGGCCACAATCTCCCAGTTTCTTCATCAACCAGCCAAGTGGCCGAGCAGTAACTCAGCCATCTTATCTTCCTTGGTCTAGTGGTGATGATTTCCGCTTGTCATTAAAACCGATAAGCGCGGGAGACCGGGGTTCGATTCCCCGAGGGAGAGATTTCTTTTTGCTCTTTTTGGACTCCTAAGATCTATGTCATGTTTATCCTTTTGCCTCATTGAATTTGTTACCCCGAGATATACCCGTCTTGTTCAAAGCAATTACTTCCATCGATTGCTGGTGCAGAGAGTGCCCTTTGGATATGGCCAAGACCGAACGAAAACCTTTAAAGTGGAGCCGAGCCCTAAAATCCACATGCAGCCCCATATATCACAACCAAGCAGAAATCTTCATCAAGGCCGGCTGGCCCAATGGCAAGGCGCTTGACTACGAATCAAGAGATTGCAGGTTCGATCCCTGCGTCGGTCAATTTTTTGGATGATTAGCATCATTTTGATACTATCGTTGGCCAGTTTGAGCCCAAAGTGATCGGAATCTATGTTTTTGGTAAGGGTGTTGATATAGACACACCCTATGATCTCCGTGTCAATAAGCGTTAGCCGAGCCGAAGGGTTACACAGTACTGTAGTATGAGAGCCCAGTCGACTGACGCGGTAGTGATATCCCAGTGTTGGAGTCCTTGTTCACTTACTTATACATGGGGCATTTGGAAGTCCTGCCTCGGACTATTAACTAACACTTCAGCCGGATTGATTATGTGATTATGTACGAAATAATATAACTAATAAGTTATGTACAGAAACCCCTCCCGAGATTCGCAGCTGAGACGGCGAAACGTCAATCAGTCAACCTCACAAGGATAAAAAGTCCTCGCGAATCGACGAAGAAATCCCATCGACGAACGGCATCTCATCCGCCACTGACACACCCAAGGCCCCAGCCTGCCAACTGATTGTACACATCAAGCTCCCACCCTTGACACTGATGACATTAAAGACGAGTGGCGCACTGGGCACATTAGCAGGCTGCGAGAACACCATCTTGCTAACCTGATAATTCCGACTCAGACCACCATCCTTGTCATCAAAAGCAAGCAGATTGCTCAATTCATACGAAGAGTCCCGCTGCTGCCCAATCTTTTCCGATGTCCACTTCCTCATATTAGGGACATATCTCAGAAGACCAATAACTTGGTCCTGCAGCGTTGCAGCGCATGCCGCGAGATCTTTGGTGATCTTACTTGCAGCTGTCCACATCTCCTCAGAGAAACCAGGCTCGGCGGCATTCGGTATCCTTGGATGCACCGCAAAAAGACTCGACACATAAAGACCCCACGTGAGGCTAGGAGTCCCTACAGATGCCCGCATATCAACTGGAGTCCCCGAGGCGAAGTTGGTGATGTCTGGGGAAGGGATGGCCTTGCTCAGCGCGCGCAAAATCATCTGGTGGAGCACCCCGGTGAGCTTAGTGTCGTGTGCTCTTGACAAAGCCAGAGCCTTTTGGACCAGCGGTGCCTCAATTTCAAGGAGTTTCACTCTGCTCTGGAGTGCAGCCGTCGGATCGAAAAAGATGGGCGAGCCAATCCAAGTGCCGGCATCTATTGTGCTGGCAGAAGCGCGGATCCCAAGGAGCTTGCCTAGGAACTTTGGCAAGTAAGCTGCAAACAATGGCTCGAGGAGGAATCTCCAAGATATGGGAAGTCTTTCTTTCGTATCAAACGGCGCTGGAAGCGCTCGTGTTGGTGGTTTCACCACAAAGGACCCATTCTCCTTTTCATCCGGGGTCTGGCGCCATGCCTCTAAGAAGCTATGATGGAATGTGACTCCAACCATACCGTCGCCAAGAGCATGGGAAAATGCAAATGCGACGAAGCAGCGCTTCAGGTTGGAGCCTAGCGGTGACGCCAGAGGCAGGACGACGATTCGCCAAGGTGGAATATTAGCAGGCCATGGTCGGTCGAGTATGGGCAACAGGGCCTTTTGAATCGCCGCGTTATCGTTGCTGTTACTGGTACCTTCCTCGTGAATGATTGAAATATGATCGTGGAGATCAATACGGGAAACCGCTTCAAATGCTGGCTTCTCGGTATGTTTCTCCTTGACAATCACATTCAGGTACGGATGTTCCTCAACGCAGCGTTTCAAAGGCGCAAGAAAAGACTCGACTGCCTCGACATCTACATCATTTGCAATCTCATAGACTGCGCCTACGACGAGAGCGTTGTAGAAGCCGAGGTCTTCACGACTAATTGTACGGCGTTCATTGGGACCTGAGATCGGTTAATGCTGAGAGAATCCAATTAAGGAGCTGGTACTAACTGGCAAGTCTCATGAACGTTGTGGGGTCCGACATTCCAATAGAGACCACGTGCGTGCAGCGTACGAAAATGAATAGGGCGCTGATCACTTGGCGGTTAAGGGGTACATCTCGGTATAACTATATTCCGGCCGTACTCGGTTACGGCAGGCAGCCGCGTTAGAGCCCGGCAGGCTGCAGCCCCGCTGGCCTGCCACGGGGCATGGGGCCGTACTAAGCTAAGTCTAGGTGCTAACCTGGGGCTAGGCTGCTAGCAACTAGTACTCTTTCAGTTTCCACTCCACTCGCAGTAGTGGGTTGAGGGCTCACAAGAGCATCAACAATGTCACCTGTAAGTCATCATTTCCAACCTTCTCAGGATTCTGACTAATTTGAATAGATTCATCGAGACCCGGGCTTGACCAGCTGTCCGAGAGACATCTTATACTCGATATTCGAGTTATTGTCACCGAATGAATTCTATGCACTATGTCTCGTTCATACCAACGTTCGCGGGGTAGCCGCAAAATTTCTCTACGAGAATATTCAAATGATCTGGGAGCAAGAGAATGATTATGATCCTCCCCCAGTCACTAAACTTTTGCGAACTCTGGTGGCCAGGCCTCATTTGGCTACTCACATCAGAAAACTTCAGCTCACCGGCCTACCAACCAAACACCCCGCACTCGTGAGAACCATCCGTCTCGTACCCATCTCTCCTACTGAGCTGAGCGAGTCTATATCCTTCATTCAAAAACTGGGGTCCCGTATAGCGACCTTTGGATACAAGAATTACAGCGAGGCAGACTCGATGCGGTTGTCGCACTCCTCCTAGCCCAAATGCCAAATCTCCAGTGTCTGCGCCTGGGGCCTGCTTTGACACAGCGAAGTGAAATTATCGGGATGGTTCTTCGTTCCGCCATCTTCAAGCCCGTAGACTACGGGCTACCGGACTTTCGGCATCTCCAACATGTGTCATACCTCCTCAAAGTAGGACGTGACTACGCGCGCGACCACGAGGTCAAAAACACCGCTGACCTTCTGCCCTTCTTCTATCTATCAAATGTCAAAAGTCTCTCGCTCGCCGTCGACAGTCCTCTCGCGATAACGTGGCCAAAGCCAAAATTGCCTATCCCATCAAGCCTCACATCGCTCGTTTTCCACACCGTTCGGGAGAACCATCTCAGGGATCTACTTTCAATCACGCCGCATTTGAGATCATTGCAGTGGAAGTTCTGGTACGACAGCGGTCTTCTCGATGCAGTCAATTCACCAATCGTTGACCTTGATCGGATTGGTGATGCGGTATCTTGTCTTAAGGACACTTTGAGTGACCTGAAAATACTAGGCGAAGTTTATTTGGGAGGAGACGGCGATATTAATCTCCCTGCTATCAAGACAGAGGGCTCATTGAGTGCAATGGTCGTGATGGACAATCTGAAGACACTTCAAGTCCCATGGGCATTCCTGGTGGGATTTGCACTAGACACGACGAAACGCCTGCAGGATGTACTCCCAAAATATCTTGAACATCTCACCATCACCTGGGATTTGTGTCTACAAAATGATGAGGACGTGGTACCAGATTGGCCTCAGTTCGAGTGGGCGGATCACCACATTATGAAGGTGCTAAAATCATGGCTCGAGGACCGAGAAACGTTCACGCCGAATCTTCGCAGGATCACTTTGGGACTAGTTAGATACGAGACTGACGAGTATGACTGGGAACCTTCGATGAGGCAACGGCTCGCAGAGCTGGGTGCTCATGCTGGAATTGTGTTTGACATAATATTCACAGACGAAGTGATTCTCCCAGATGAAATGTGACTAACATAAGTAAACAGGCATATAAGCCGAAGTCGACAATGCATGATTCGACATTTCTGCACAGCCGTAAGATCAAATTCACCCAAAACAGGCCAGAAATATCTACACTGGAAATAGTGATAGCATCACTACCAGGATGTCATGCCTCCATCAACACGAATATCAGCAGCTGTGATATAAGAGCTCTCACTGGAAGCCAAGAAGCAAGCCACAGCTGCAATCTCCTCAGGCTGAGCAATCCGACCAAGCATAACCCTCGACAACACACCCGATTTGAAACCAGGGTCTTCAAGCAAAGGTCTAGTCTGAAGAGACTCGACAATACCCGGCGAGATCGAATTCGCCCTGATTCCATGAGCTCGCCCTTCCATAGCCAACTGGCGAGTCATAGCAATCACACCACCCTTAGCAGCCGTGTGCGCCAGGCCCGGCACCGGAGTAATAGCGATCCAGCCGTTAGCCGAGCCCACATTGATAATAGACGCGGCAGACTCTTTAAGATGTGGCCAGGCAACTCTCGAGAGCAAGTAGACCAGACTCAATTCCTGGTCAATGGTCTTGTACCAGGTGTCATCTTGGAAGTCGTCGATCCAGGCCAGATAGGCCTTTGAAGCGTTGTTGTATAGGACATCGATGCGTCCGTAGGTTTGGATAGCTAGACTGACTAGTTTCTCGCAGTCTTCGCGCTTGGTGAGATCGCATGGAGACATGGATATCATTTCTCCCCCCTGGTCTTGCACGGCTTTGATCGTTGCTGCTTCGCTTTCGGTGTTGATATCGCAGCCCACGATCTTGGCGCCTTCTTGCGCGAACTTCAGGGCTGCTGCTCGTCCCATGCTGCCGCCTGTGCCGGTGATGAGGCAGACTTTGTTCAGGAGGCGCTGTGACATGACTGTTGTTGGGCTTTTGTATGTGTAGAAGGAGACTATAATGAGTTCTTTCGGTGAAGGAGACGGAGAACAGAATCAGACAGATGAGGGGACCAGAATTATTCATGGATGAAATGGAACTTGCAACCCTCATTTTTGGTAAATTGGGTATATGGACTGGGATATGTCTGACCTTCAATGATAACTCTTCAATCTTGTTGGTTTTTTGTTTGCTTCGCTTTTGACTTTCCTCATATCGAGGAAGCGCCGCGCTATTATCGCGCTAAATGTATTAGGTGCATATTTTAGATGTACGATCATGGGTTCGATCGGTTTTATACGACAATCGGGCTAGACGGTTGGTTCTCTCTTCTCTGTATTTGGAATCATCAGACATGAATTGTGATAACGGCTGCGGCGCATGTCCGTGGACTTTCCCAACTCACATTGACCAGCAATGAATCTGAGCGGCGGTTGTTTGAGGCGATTGGTTTCGGTTGGGGGTTGGTAAAGCACATTGCCAAGGGTTGGCAATGAGAATAATCCGGATCGCCAGTGAGTGAGCATATGTATCGGTTTTATAGACTCAATCGGCCCAGCCTCCCGCCATTAGACAGACTGCAGTAACTATGGTATGGTATGGCATCCATTAACGTCCGGCGACCGGCGTTGCAGGAACTATGCTCTGGAGTGAACCCCGAGATGGGCAGATGGCTGCCCGATCGGCCGGCACACGGGAGTGCTGCCTAGTTTGGTATAGCACCCAGGGATGAATCGGCCCTGTTCAGAGATCCATTTCCCTTTTTCGAGGTTGAACATGGGTGCTTCAAGCAGCATGAGATTGACAAAGAACCATCAAAAGCAGATACCCAGGAAATCGCATTGGGTTAGACTCTGACAGGGATATGATCGGATATCCCGGCTTATTAGCACAAATACCTCGATAACCTCGCATGATCCATGATCGACATTCATATATCCGAGACAAGATCACAACGAAATCTCCCTCGGAAGACATCTCATTCGGACAGAAGACGTCAGTCGACTGGCAAGGCATGGGCACAAGAACATAGCCTTCGCTGGAACAGACTACAGAGAACTGCAGACCTCAAGCAAGACCAAGGAAACTCTGTGCGATAAAAGCACCGCAAAATCCATGATCGACTACGAAAGCTGCTAGTTATCAGACAAGGGTTCCGGGTTCGAAACAACGCAAGATGTGGAAATCCTGCTTTTACGATGATTTCTCTCATGCAAACCGGTGAGCGATGCTTTCTATGCTCAGCGGTTGAGTCGAAGTCTGGAAACCTGAAATGTAAGGCGTCAATAAGCCACGGTCTATCAGCCACGGAGGCAAGGCACAAGAAAGTCATTACAGTCATCCTTAGTCGTCGCCAAGGTAGGAAGATGATGAGCTCAATCCCTGGATTCACGTGTAATTAATACACTGATCCACTTGTGAATGTTCACATCACGATGACACGATCTGTTCACCGATCCACTTGAGATACTCCACCGATCCAGAAGACATCCATGGATCAATCCATGGATTAATAATCCTAGATGCGGTCTTAGAATTTTCTTGCTCCCTCCGGTTTCTTTTCTCTCTTTTCTCCCACTCTACTTGTCTTTTCCTTTCTCTCTTCGTTTCTTAACATCTCCTTGTCCTCTCAACTATATCGGCAATGTCCACCCCCGAGCCGAACAGAAGGGGTGGACATCCGATATAGTTGAGAGGACAAGGAGATGTTAGAAACGAAGAGAGAAAGGAAAAGATAATTCCGTGGGAGCCCCCGCATGCGGAGACTCCTTTGTCTCGCGGGGAGACGTGGGACGCGGGGCCATGCGGGACTGTGGGGAGCCGAGGGGTTTATCAAGGGACCAAGGGTGGCGACATCGATAAAACCAGACACCTCAAACCACGGATATCGAACTGAATTGATCATTGTCAATTGAAGAGGGAATTGGGAACATGGTAAGATCTACTTCGTCATTGAATGACTTTACTATCTAACTGATGGAACCAACCAGGCCACGCAAGCTAGCCAAGGTGCTTCAATCGAAGACATTGTCGCCATCGGTCCTGAGTCGGAGAGTATACAGGTCTGGCGCGAACGATGTGCGATTCAGACTGCATCCCAAATTCGTCTTGTCAAACTGGCACATATGAGATATCAGCATCCTGACCTGGATGAGATCACTGTTTTTCTTCAGGGTAAGTGCAAGGAGCTGCCTGTCCTAAGGTTATATTCCTTCAAGGCAATGGCTGATAGATTCAGACTTTGGTATGACTGTTGCAAAGCGGACCGAGGAAGAAGCTTGGTTTCGAGGTTACGGAGTAGATCCCTATGTCTACTATGCGAAAAAGGGACCAAAGAAGTTCCTCGGTGGGACGTTCGAGGTTGAATCTTACCAAGACCTTGAGAAGTAAATATCTCTTACACTTCGGCATGCGATATCCGCATACTGATGTTCTTAGGGCAACGAAACTACCGACAGCCGGCAAGGTCGAACAACTCACGGATGCTCCCGGTGGGGGCCATATGGTGATATTGACAGACCCCGAGGGCTTCCCAATGAATCTGCTTTTCGGCCAGACTCCAGCGACTCCAGGGCCCTATCCCCCAATCCTTGAAGTCAACCATGAAACCGAAAAATCACGCATTCGCAGGTTCCAGCGCTTTCAGCCAGGACCGGCTGCAGTCCACAAGGTCAGTCTATACTCGTACCAACATTGCAAGATCAAGGCTAACTGTTAGCTAGCTGGGCCACTACGGCGTATGCAGCACCAACTTCGAAACCCTTGTCGAATTCTACACAAAGAACTTCAACCTCGTCCCCACAGATTTCCTCTACATAGAAGAAGCAGGAATAAAAAAGAACGTCGCTGTATTCGCCCACATCGACCGAGGCGACCAGCCCGTCGACCACCACAGCTTCTTCATGAGCTCGAATCAGACAAGCCACGTCCACCACTGCTCATTCGAGGTGCATGACTTTGACATCCAAAAACTCGGACATGAATGGCTTGCCAAGAAAGGTTACAAGTCGGTTTGGGGTGTCGGTCGACATATTCTTGGATCCCAGATCTTCGATTACTGGTGGGATACAACGGGCAATATGATTGAGCATTATGCGGATGGGGATTTGGTGAATGATCAGACTCCTATCGGGTACGGGCCGGCGGGTGATGAGTCTTTGGCTGTGTGGGGACCTGAAGTGCCGTCTTGGTTTTTGCAGTGATTTGTTGTGAAGACATGGGATTTGTATCTTTTCAAAGATAATAACAGCATGGCTCATTTAGCTACGTTGAAACATACCTATACTTCGACATCTTCTCATAGACCCGCAAATTTAGCGGATGTCCTGGGTCAGGGCCCCAGGGGTCACATTCTACAGCTGGCTCCCCACATAAAGTCAATAAGGAGCCATGACTTGAACGAAGACTCAAGGATATTGGCCAGTTGGCTGGGTTGAGGAGGATGTAGGGCATCTGGGGAATGTGGGGCGCGGGGGAAGTGGGACGAGAGATTGGCACGCTGGCACTACTAGTGAGTAGTGGCACATATCAGTTCCATTGAATGTAGGCAGATCATTCATCATTGGTCCAGGGAAGAAGTACAGAAAAAAGAACGACTTCATTGATCTCATAGCGAAGTAAACCATATGTATCTACGACCACCCGGTCCACCCCTCCATAGGCAGCGGCACACCATCCCATTCATTACCATGCATCATAACGCCCCCAATCTCCTCCTCACAAACCCCATTCAAAGTCTCCTCAGCAGCACCCCAGCCCATAGCCTCAAGCTCTCTAACGAAGAAATCTCGCTCTTCCTCCACCAACGACGACCCCTCCTCACCACCCATAACATCCTTATACTGCCTTAGATGCCACCAATGCGTAAGACCGCGCAAAGCCTGTTCCAACGGCAACGCCTCCTCAACCTCAGCATCAACATCAGAGCCAGCGAGCCAGTCATCGCGCAGCTCGGGACGACAATAAAGGTAAATAGCGGTAATAACGCGCATGTTACTCTGACGCCACTTGCGGCCACAGTAGGGGACCTGGGACTTGAAGAGTTTGAGGGTGTAGAAGCGGAGGTGGGGGTCTGGGATTTTCAGGCCCTTTCGGAGGATGTTGCTGGATTTGTATTGAACGAGGAGGAGACACCGGTGGGCCTTGTCGCGGGTTATCTTTTGCATGACGTGGAGGTAGTTGATGGCGGAGAAGAAGTTGCGGAAGGAGTAGAGTTTGATGGGTTCTTTCGGGAGGGGTGCGGTTGGGTAGCCCAGTTCGTCGACTTCGGGCCGGGTGGAACGGGTGATGCCGTTTAGCATGTCTTCCAGGTTGTCTTCTTCGTGGAGACCAGGCATGCTGCCGTTTGCTGTTGGGTCGGGACGGAAGCGGGAGATTGGCGGAGGCATTGCTTCGTCTTCACTTTCTGTGTCGCCATCTGAGTGGTCCTCGTTTAGAGGGTGATCTGTGTTACTTTGGCAGAAGTGGAAGAATCTGGTTTGCGTGAGTGAATTATTTAGGCGAGGAGTGATGTTGGGGGACTTACGATAGGTCTTCGCGGTCGTTCTTATGTGCCACCGCTTGATCGACGTCTTGATGCGCAAACATCTTGAGAATCAAGGGAATGTAGTTGGAGTCAAGTAGAAGCTGTGTCATGTATTCAAATTTCAAGATATCTGGATGCGTCAGCAACGGGTTTTCATTCAAATACCTCGCGGTGAAACTCACGAGATCGCTTAAACCACTTAAGAAGAAGCAAAAGAGTGCCAGACACGGCTTTACCCGTGATCTCGCGGAGTCGGATGTTGTCCAGCTCATCGATGGATCCATCGGAAAAGAGATCGACAGAGCTGGCCATGGAATGACCGTTACTGGTACTCTGGCTACCAGCCTGGTTGACCACTGCACTGACATTTGTCAGGATGATCTTCAGGAACACGATCGTGATGGATTGAAGGTACGCCAGGGTTCGGGACTGGACAAAAGTAAGCAAATATCAAGCTAGGACACGAACGCTTGCACTCACATAGAATGACTCAACCGCATCCAGACGCCGCTGGATATCAGGATCATCTGTCTCTTTGACTACTGGTTTTGGTGCGGGTTCAGACTTCGTCTTCTCCTCATCGCCCGACAAATCCAAATGTTCAAAGTCGTCCGGTAGATCATCTGAGACATTGTCGGGGAAGTGAGCAGCATCCTCTGAGTTCCATCCCCGATCATACTTCATAAAGTGTTCACGCTCCTGCCAGAGCTGCCGCATCGCACGGGTCATCTTGACATGGGTGGAGAAAAGCTTTCCGGCTTCAATGATGGACGCAGGAACATCGCTGCCCTCCCATTTCTTGCCAACCAGTGCGTCCTGGCGTTCGGTGGTACCCTTGCCGCCAATGCGGTTGCTGGAATCATCCAGGGGTGGATACATAAAGGGGAAATTTTGGTTGGTCTGGTAATTCTGTTTCTTAACACCTTTCCCTCCTGGACCGGCGGGTGACGGCGGTGGAGATGGTGCCGGGGTTGCGATGTGAACGGCCTGCTGGAGGATAGAACCATTTCCACCGGCGACCGATGGGCCAACACCACAGAATATACCATTGGATGCGTTCGCTCTAGCTGAGTTATGCGGAAGAGGTGGTAGGATGGAATTGTTCTCCAGTTCCAATGGAACAACAAGCGGTGGAGGGTTGTAGGCTGGGTATTTGGAGGTTATTTCCTGGCGGAAGAGATGATAGTCCAAAGGAGACGCGTGTAAGAATGGCGTTCTGCGTTTTGTGTCATCCTTTTCAGCTGAGAGAGCAGGCTCAAGGACTTCCTTTGCGCGCTTTAAATCATCGGCCCCGCCAAAGACAAGAAGCAGGGACTTCCAGAGCAACAGGAGAATCCTCGTCAGCGGGATATTAGCAGACTCATCCCATCGCAGCCGGGCAATGATCTCAACGATAGAGACCAGAAGATTTGGCGATGAGTCAGTCAATGCATCGCGAATCGAGCTGCACTGAGGGTTTCGCGCCTGTTGTCTGCGGCCGACTTCCACGGCAAAGTACAAAGTTGTAAGTACCAAGTTAGCTTCACGCTCCGGGGCAGCGATATCGCCCGGGCTGAGTCTCTCGTAGTCGATGCTTGAGTCCGAGCCCATTGCCGAGCGGGATTTATCAAAGAGGCGGCACATATACGCCACCAGAGCGGTCACGCCGGAGCATTCCTGGAGGAGAGAAACATTCTCCTCGATGCATTGAATCTGCATAGACTTCTGTAATGGCGTTTCAGCCGCTGTTTTGGAGTCCACGTCTGACGGATAGTTGGGCGCTACTTTTCCACCGGTGAGACCCCACACACCAGTGACGACATAACAAACGGTTTCAAGGGCCTCCAATCGCACAGAAACTTCCGAATGCTGCAAGTCCTCAATCATCCGAGAAATGAACAGGTGCCGTAGATCATGGGATGCATCGAGCCAAGACACCGCGGGCGTACTTGACTGGTGTTGCTGGCAAAAGGCCGGCCATTTATGGTTAAAGGTGGTTTTGGTACCGGTCAACATGACACGGTCAAAGTCATTGTATTGAAACCATTCGTCGAGCTCCTCAGAAAAACTCTGCGCATCGGCATATTCAAAAGCATAGGCTGGTTGCTCAATTTTGGGCATATCGCTCACCAGCTTCCGCAGCTCGGATAAGCTCAGCGAGCTCGTTCCTTGGCCCGCGTTCTCCTGAACTGGAGCTGGCGGCGGTGGCTGCAGAGGTGGAGGTGGAACTGAGTTTTCACGACGAAGATCGGGTCGCTTCATGGACCTTTCGGGGGCAGAGGGCGCCATCTCAGGGGCGGGTGCGGCCTGAGAGGCCTGTTCCTGGCGGAGCCCCCTCAGCCACCTCTTCCATAAGTTGGTCATCTGAAACAGGCGAGATATCGGTTCCTGTTTGATCGATCTCATCTGCCTTGACGATATGATGCTCCTGCATCGTGGCTTCGGGTGCATCAGAAGCTGCGTCCATTATCGGAGACTTGTTGGGTTCTGTGTTCCTGGCAGAATGTTGTGTGGGTGGATCACCAGGTATCAGACACTCCAGGCATCGGGTCAATGAGCAACAAGGAGAGTAGAACTCAAGTTAGGCTCATACAGATAGATCACTACACATTGTTCCTCTTGTCTCCGCAGTGCATGAGAAGGTTGACAACTGCGGTGTCGATACGGGAGACAACCACTCACGTGACCACCATACAAAGGCTTTGTGTGTCTTTTATCCGTCCGTTATTTACGCATCAAGTACTAATAACAAATGGGAATAATTTGCTTTGAGATAAGTGAACAGGAAGTAAACACTCGCTCGCTACTAGTGCAAGGTATAGTCTAAAAGGCGCACCGTCTATTCCGATTTCTTTCCATTACTGAGACCGCGACGCTTCAACCGCTGGGACTCCCAACGTTGCCAGCCGGCCTCAGCCAAGTCCTCACTAACGACGAGATCCCGGACTCTGATCAGCCGGGAGATAGTCGTGTCCAGGGTCCATTCGATCCACTTAGACCGTCGGAGCAGGCTAGTGATCATGAACCACCCACAGGCGCATACGAACCCAGCAGCACAGCCGGCGAGGACTTGTTTCGGGGTATGGTAGTTGAGGTAGATGCGGCTAGCGGCGACGGCGGCGGCTCCAATGCAAAGAGCCAGCATAACCAGGACTCGTAGGAGGACGGCGACATTGGGGTAAGAGCTAGCGGAGGCTTGGCTGTGACGGAAGAGGAGGAAGAACGTGAGGTACACGGAGAAGAAGGTCATGAACTGAGCGTGGGAAGAAGGCATGCCGTACCCCTTGCCGAACATCTCTGTGAATTCCATGTGTCAGTTAAGCCATCCATCAGGGCAGGTAATTGATACCCAAGGTACCAATGACAACTTACCTTTCGGTCGCTCTTCCTTGATGACGCGTTTCAAGACCAAATTCAAGACTTCACTCCCCATTTGTCCCACAAACATCATGATCACTTCTACTTCTCTTGTTGACCAGATCAATGTTGCATAAGAGACACATAGTGCCTGTGGGACCAATGCCATCCATGCTGAGGCATAGGACAGTTGGTCATTGGGGTTCTAAACACCAGTCAGTGAAGCTCAACCGCACAGTAAAGTGATGTTACACACGTAATGAACATGAGTCAGAGACAACGAAGCTAATGGTGTATCTTCCATGGTTGTGTAAAGTATGGGACAGTGAGAAGGAGCAGGAAAGAAAAGGAGGGAAAGAGTGAATTGAAATTTGGAGACTCGAAGTTTCAGGGTCAAAGTGTCTTATGTGAGGAGTCCGTGCTTTTTTGACGATAAGGGGGGCCGATTAGGAGATTAACCGATTAGGAAAGTCAACACAGATTGGGCGGGGAAAAGGAAAAAGAGGGAAAGAAACAAAAAGAGGCGGAACACGTGAGGCAAATATTGATGTTTCCAATTGGTTTTCTTCTGTTTTTTATGAATTTTTTTCAGTTACTGCGTACTGTGTATTTGGGTCCTTCTTAGGTTCCAAGGTTCCTCTCTGAATTCTTTTCTCTTTCCTCCTCCATCTCTTCCCTCTTCTTTCTACATCTCCCACTTCCAAACCATGACGCACCTGTTCTCTCCTCTTACCCCCGATTCTCTATTACATCATCTGTTAGACCCCTCCCGACTCTACGCTGAATATTGGCCAGTGGAAGGAATACTCGACATACCTTGATCTGCTTTTTGTTCGTCACAATTTCCACCAGGGGTCTCAATCGCAACGCTGATTCGAAGTGAATTCTGCTGCAGGAGAGGACCCCCCCCTCATTCGTGCCCGATCGTCCTGAAGAGACAGTTCAACTGGGACCAGTCACTAGTCTTACAAATACCCCTTTTATTAATTCTGTTGCGCCATGAGCGGGTAGCCCTCGAAGACAGTGCAGAGGACAGTATTGTCCCTAACTTGCGGTTCGACGACAGCGGGGTCCAACCTGCAACGCCCCATCAACCCGAGAAATCTTCGCAGAGTGATCACACCCGGTTTCATCCCGCCATGAACGAAGAATCCGAGTTCCCCGAGGATGAGCGCTCGGTCGAGCTTTCCTCGATTGTCGCCATCTTCCCCGAAATACAGATCGATCCTTCCTCGCCCTTCAAAGCCGTCTTTGATCTTCCAGTCGCACCTGCCGTTCCAACCTCGGTTTGCTTCCAACAGCCACGGGATGCCACACTCGTTGCCACTTTTACCCCTCCGACATCCTTGGATGAGTCCAAAGGGGAGTTGAACCAACCGCCAGTCAAAGATGCCCATGCCCTCACACACCTGCCTCCGCTAAACCTCGAGATCGAATTGCCTGAGGGCTACCCAACCGAGAAGCCACCCACCGTTCGTCTAAGCACCGTCCCTGCATGGCTATCGCCCTCAGTCATTGACCGATTGACCGAAGATTGCCGCCGACTTTGGGAGGAAGGTGGAAAGGATCTGGTCGTCTTCACGTACATCGACCATCTCCAACAGCTCGCGGAATCAACCTTTAATATCCAGGATGCATCTGGCGAAATCTTCCTTCCACGGGACCTGAAAGTTGGACTCCTGGATTACAACAAGAAAGCTGAACGTGAAACGTTCGAGCAAGGAACTTTTGAATGTGGGGTATGCTTGGAACCGAAAAAGGGATCCGTTTGCTATCGGTTGCTTCGTTGTTCCCATGTCTTTTGCATTCGCTGCTTGCAGGATTTCTACAACTGCTGCATCACCGAGGGCAATGTTGACGGGGTGAAGTGCATGGCGCCGGATTGCGAGTACAATAAGAAACCCGCGGCTGCGCCAGGTGCAGCTGACACCCCGCCTCGCAAAAAGCGTGATCGTACCCTCGGACCCAGCGAGCTTCTTCAGATCCCTCTGGCCCCCGAGACAGTGCAGCGATACGCCTATCTCAAGAGGAAAAGGAAGATCGAAGCCGACAAAACCACTGTTTATTGTCCACGGGAGTGGTGCCAAGGACCTGCACGATCTAAACGACATCCTAAGCTAGATGACCCATTGTCAGATGAGTTGGACAGCTCCGACGAAGAAGATGCCGCGGAGGCCCGCAACGAAAATAATAGCGGGGAGCTCCCTCCCATGGCGGAGCGTGTGGCAATTTGCGAAGAATGCAGCTACGCCTTCTGCTCAGTCTGTCGAAAAGGTTGGCATGGTGAACTGGTACGCTGCTTCCCTCGCCGCAGCAATGGCGAGCAGACCGAGGAAGAGAAGGCAACTGAAGAATACATGCGCCTGTACACGACCCCCTGCCCAACTTGCAATGTGCCTTGCCAGAAGCAAATGGGATGCAACCATATGCGATGCTTCCAATGCGACACACACTTCTGCTATCTTTGCTCGGCCTGGCTGTGCGCAGACAACCCATACAGACACTTCAACGATCCGAAAGGCCAATGCTACAATCGTCTCTGGGATCTGGAAGGTGGCGATGGCATCAACCCGGACGGTGCTGAGGCCCTCCACCGCATTCCAGAGGCACTTTTGAATTTCGAGGATGACGGACCAGTAGTGGTCGTTCCCGAAGACACAGATGAAAGCGATGATGACCGACCTGCATTCGAATTTGACCACGATGAAGATGATGATATCCACCGACACCCACCTCCCCCGGCTCCTGTTCCACCCCAGGTCAACCGCGGTGGTCACAGACAGGGCCGACGTGATCACGCAGCCGCTCGCGCTGCCGCAGCCGAACGCCAAGCTCAAGCTCGCGCCATGGCAGAAGTACGAAATCGCGAAAACCGGGACGCCAGGCGACAGGCGAGGCCCCCTATCCGGTGGGCAGATATTCCTCCGCGTCCTCTTCCGCAGCGCGGGGATCCACGACACCCCGTTCGGCGAATTCACAATCCGCCTGAGCCATTGGCCGGCGAAGATGGCCGTCCCATCGATTGGGAGGTTGTGGGTTACAACCAAGTAAGGGGACAGGTACACCCTGGTCTTCAACGATTTCTTGACCTAGTGGCAGACGACCGCGAAGATGAATGGGACAGCGACGAATTGGATGACGACTTTTAGAATGAGGTTCCGTGCCTCATTCCACGCTCAACGACGTACAACATGATTCTTCTTTCCATTTCAAAAAGCGTCTTAATGACATTGATGCATTCAACGAATTCACGGTCTTCTCTTGTATTTCTTCTTCGTCCCACCTGTTTTGCTTGGAACTCTGATTTGTCCCTTGCCTCTTTTTACTGTTTATCTTTACTCGCTCTACTCTTTGCTACTTTCACACATGCGCATGGTATTTCTGTATTGACACTCAAGAAAAGTCATATACTTTCTATGCATATAGCGCCTTATTCATGACCCTCAATCCAACATTGATTTCGTTGCATGTCACTAGTCTCTCTCAAGTTGACATGGGACTGTATTTACTCTCACCGTGTTCGACTTAGGATCTGTGACGTCCCTAGCTTTGACCATCATCGTCCAAATACAATAGTGCTAGATGGCAATTTCTAAAGCTTGATCGTATGCGTTTGAAAAGCATACAGAGCATGAGCCCACCTACTCGTACTGCGTACGGTACCTTTGCCCAGTCTCGGCCATTTTAAAGTTCGACGAACGCCTGTGGCACGTGCGACCTTGAAAAGACAAACCTTGTTCTTAACTTCTGGGTGAGTGAGACCCCGAGTTTAAGCTTATTTTGCATCGGACCAATCACATGTCAGCTTGGCTGAGCCTCAAGCCACAAGTATTGCGATGCCGAACTTGTCTCTCTACCTTTTCTGCTGTTATATGCTGTTATAATTGGAAATTCGGTGAGATTGCTTTCTTTGATCATGATTTCATATTGTTCAACCTTTCATCTACTCTGACATGCACGTTTACTAAGATATCATGAGTAGATATCTTGGTTGGTTAATGAATACGCCTCTTGCGCCAATGATGCAAGAAACGCAGCCCAGTTTCACCGCCATTACGGCGTTACGCCCTCCAGTCATACCAGAACTCGTAGCTCATGACGGAGTGGTCGTAGAAGAGCAGAAGCAGCCTGTAATGGCGCGAGGGGGTGACACCATGCCAGCTCTCGTGGGGACGATAAATGCCGGAGGCATGAGCGTGGATCTCAGGAAGTGTCCACTCCTTAGCCTTCACTTTGGTTCCCGTGCTGGAATCCCCATCCAGGGAATTAGCAACGTTGCCCTCAAGTGGCTCTGGTTCGTATGGCCCATCTTCCTCGGGATGCAGCATCCGCCATTTGAATTGGACCGGATCGCTGGGATTGACATCCCGGGGGATGCAGGGTACGTCCTGCGGCTTCTCAAATCCAGGCATGGGGGCTGCTGCAATACCCATGAGAGGCGGGGAGGGGGTGTTGTCTTCCCTCTCCTGGGAGAAGAAAGGGAGTAACCAGTCGAGTCGGAAGCTATGGCCAACTTCCTTCTGCCACGTAAGAGTGATGATGGCCGCTGCACCAGATTGAGTCGCTGCAACGACGATGCCAGAATCTGGGAAGTACTTGACCATATTGATGCGGTCACAGAGGACTGTCTCGCATACGTCTGTTAAGGACCTAAAAGGCTTCCGAGAAACTGATCGCGGACCGTCGCTGTCCATCGGATAAGGATCTAGAGTGATTTGACGTTGAGAGCAGTGGAGAACAGGAAAAAAGGGGGAATTGACAGCTGGGTGACGCGTTAGCATATCTGTCAATGCACCAAGGTATCATCCACTTACGATGAGATATCTCGTATTCACGAACATCCCTAACATCCGTAGGAACACTCCACAGTACATCATGCCCATTTGCCTCTTCAACCAAGTTCGTGACACCACTCTTGGCGCGAAAACGACACGGTCCGGATTGTTCGGGCAACTCAGAGTGTAGAGATTGAGTGTTCGCATCACCGCTGTCATTCATGTTCTTAGCCCCATAAGTTTGTTGCGTTGCACTATGTCGCTCTTGGTCCGATGGTAGGGGTGCAGATTGGTCACAAATAGATGGATCAGAAAAGAAATCCTCAGGCAGAATTACACTTGGTTCTGGATCTTCCGGCGATCCATTGATCATGGACGTGGTTTTGACAAGTGCGGCGGCTTGCGTCACGTCAAAAATCAACTGATCGCCGATCACCATTGGCTGTGGTGCACATCCACATGCATCATGCATTGAGAGATGATGTTGAACTCCGCAAGGATTGATGGGCAAGACGAACCAGCCCCTGTCATCTCTTTCCCCCGCATAATCGGATATTTGGACGGGGGCCAGGTCATCCCAGACCCTCCATATGAAAACCCTGTTATGAATATCTGTGCTGATCATCCACAGACCGTTAGGATCCAAGTCAAAGTTGGCAAATGAAACACATGGTATGTTGTCAAAATGGCCCGCGTAGCGGAGCCGCAGGTTGCGCATTCGATGGTTGGGCATGGTCTGCTTCATGTCCTCCATACGTTCCGCAGTGTCAATTGATAGCCAAGTGGAAGAATCCGAGGCATTAGAAGCATCCGACATTGGTGTGTCAGAGCTCGATGAGAGGGTGCTGTGGCCACTGTCGGATTGGCTGTCCACTAAGGCAAAGGCAAATACTGTGATTATGCCTGTGTTCGCACTAACTGCAATCAAGCGAGCGAATTTGTGAGTAGCCAAGCCCCACGCACTTTCCTCAACACTTTCTGCAAAGAAAGGTCTGACTTCATAGTCACTGAACGGCTGGGCGAGTTCGCTTGCGATACACCGGTTGATTGCCGAGAAAATGGCCTCGACCTCATAACCGGTCACATTCCCAGAGTCTGTTGCTAATAGCAAGACCTCATTCAAACCCAGATCATCTACAATGATACTATTGATAGCGTGGGGATTGTTCTGATCAATGTATCCCTGGGCATCGGGTTCCTTCAGCACCGGCTCGATTATCATTGCGGGCTCGGAGCCAAGAAGCTGGCGGGGACCTTTCGGTATCCATACATAAATCTCGTCACGATGAGCTGTGAAAAGGAGGTTTCGACGTTGTGAAAGAGCCGCCTTTCCAAATCAGTGTTAGACTAGGAAGACGGGATGCCATGAAAACAGAAATAGACCAGATGTAGGCCAGCAACAGGATCAAGAAGCAACTCACCAAGTTACACCTCCAAGTAGCTATTGCTGGAGGGGCATTACCCGTACTTAAACATGGTCAGTCAGAAACACTCGAGTCGGTGCACACTTCAATACTCACAGAGGGTACTATAGAGAAGTTAGTTCATGATTCTCGCCGATAAACTTGGGATTGAGGGACATACCCGTTCTCTTAGAGATTCCACATTCAAGACCTGAACGTGGGGCCGATAATGTGGAAGTTCTACGTCAGGCACTGATGATTGAGCCTGCTCATCAAGAGAAGTAGAAGCCATTGGGTAAGCTGAACGCGCTCATACACAAAGCTTAATGCGTTGTTGGAGGTCTGAGTGGTAGAGAAGATGAAGCAAAAGAAGTTGTTTTGTCATTGCCTTTAAGGGGGAAGTCTTCGCGACCATGACAGAGTGGTGGGAAGTTTGTAAATAGAACATGATCAAGCTATGGAAAGAGCTACTCGTTTGACAGCGGGAGCCAGGTGCGAGCTTCCGATGGTGAGTTGACTGACCGCCCTGCTTGATGCGGGCAATAGTCGCATATAATTGGCCAATCTAGAGTATACCGCCTTGATCTCCGCCTTTTGGACCTGTACATAACTTTTGAGGTCATTCTACTATACAGAACTTTCCTCCACGTCATAGATAAAAAATGGAAAATTGAAGTGACGACCTAATAGAGTAGAGACTAGATATCATGAAATCAGAAGATTGGAATCATGTCTATGTCAGACGGTTAAGTAAAAGTTTCCTTTTCTGCTGGCAGAAATCAATTACCACTCCGCCGGGTTGGATCATCGCCCTGCGCACGTGCCAAGAATACGTGAGGCTTAGGCTTCCTCCTGTCTGAGTACTACCTCGAAGACATTCACATCCTCACATCCCCACACTATGGATTTGGTCGCTAGTGTACGCAAAGAAGGCAGCCGGTACGTTGAATTTGTTGTAAATCTATGCTTCATGTTGAAAGGTCGCTAATCTCCTATGACACAGTGGTGGCCGCAATGAGTTCAAATGGTCCGACGTCCAAAGCTCCGTGCACCGCGAGAACTACCTGGGCCATTCTGTGATGGCGCCAGTTGGCAGATGGCAACAAAATCGTGATCTAAACTGGTATGCCAAAGCCGATGAAGATGAAGGGGAGCGGCTTCGCAAAGAGCGAGAGGAAATACAACGCGTCAAGGAGGCCGAGGAGGAAGCCATGGCTATCGCCCTGGGCCTGCCGGTGCCGCCAAAATCAACAGAGAACGCCAACATGGTTCCTCTAGGAGGTGAAGGTAGCAAAGATAGGGTACCGAGAGAAGAAGAGATGCCAGATGCGGGGGCTAGGGACAAGGAACACCGCCCCAGTCACAGACACAGGCGCGAACGGAGCCGAAGCCCACGCCGGGAAAGAAGGCATGACCGCGGTGAAGACTCTGTTCGCGACAAAGAACGGAGGCATCGTCGACATCACGATGACCGGGAACGCCATCACCGTAGCCATCGTCACATATCCCGATCACGCTCTCGAGGTCGAGACCACCACAGACGCCGTTCAGTCTCCCGATCCCGGAGTCGACCTAGTCGTAAAGACGAGGAGCACCAGCGGCGACGACGCATGGAGCGCAGCTACTCGCCAGCACTTAGCCGACGGCACCCAGAACGCAGACGAGACCGAGATGACCGCCGCAGACATTGAGCTACAAACCAGGGATATGAATTAACTGTATTAGCTTGGCGTTGGAGGACTGGATTTGACTGTCGGATAAATTTTCTTAGGTATCTGAATGACCACTATCTAATTTACGCGACGGACTTATTTCACAATCAAAGCCTCATAGCTCACAGCTCGTCATGAGTGGTCTGTGCGGTTGCGACCAGATCCGGCATCGACATCATATTCACCACCATACTGGTCCAGCCGGTAAAGTGCTGTGTCCGCTGGCCATTGCCTGACTCTGGGTTGTACTGTTCCCAGGCGAAGCCAGTCTTCTTCCACTCTCGGAAGACATTCTCGACCAAGTTCTTCCGCAAGCTGGAATACATCTCCCGTGCCTGTTCCTGGTGAGGACCAGAAACAGTGGCAGTGTTCTGTGAAGGGTATGTTAGAACTTGCACGCGCACAAAAGGAAACAAAACAGGGATTTGAAAGCACTTACATAGAGATTCTTCAACACCAAGTAGTTGATGTTGATCCAGACAGGGCTTCTCCAATAGTTCTCATCGGTGCCATAGAACTCGTCGTTTTTGCTCAAACTGCGGATACCGTAGTCGCTCCATAGTTCCTCAGGATCACTGATCAAGTCCAACACGGCCTTGAGACGCGGGCTATCAGGGCCCAGCATGCCAGTCAAGAAGGGGAAAATAGAAATGTAGCCCTTGTGGCAGACGTGAACACTCTCTTCATACTCATCAATAGTCGCATCGCAGAAAGTTTGTTCCTTCTCATTCCAATGCAAGTCATCAATGTTACGAGTAATAGCTGTCTCGTAGTAGGCGAATTGCTCAACATCGTCCTCCTCGCCGAGGTTCTCCGCAATACGACGCATAGCGCGAGTCATCATTCCCATCCAACTGATCAGATCAACGTGCAACTCACCAGGGTGCGGCGGTTGAGCTCGGGGATAGTCATCGATACCAGAAGTGAGAATGTGCTGCACAGAGCGTCCGCGCCAGCGGTATCCTTCCTTAGTCGAGAATGCTTCGCGGTCATACGACTTGATGTCACCACGTTGAGTGGTCCTGTACCAGTTGTAGTGTTTCTTCAGGAGCGGATAGAACGAACGCAGGTATGCTTCAGACAGTTCCGGGTGTCGGACAGTCGCAGAACGCAGGCTCGCGGTCGCATCTTGGTTGTCCAACGATCCAAACTCGGTGCTCTTGTTGGTGTTGGACTTGACTTTGTCCATGAAGGCTTCCAGGGCCATGAACAGAGTAGGCGGATTGGCGTAATGGGGATACTGGATGGTGAACTCGGGAGGAACTTTGCTGCGGGCCTCTTGGCCGAGAATCTGTTCACGGGCAATCCATCCATCCTCGTCCATAAGATGGAACCAGCTCTTGATGATCTCGAGCCTGTGAAAATCAGTATTGAGCTATAGTCAACGAGTAGATCAACTTCGGGGTAGACGCACGCAAGATCCGTATCATACTCAATCACAGGCATCAGATGGAAACCCTCGTCCCAAAGGAACCCTCTGGGGAAGAACGGCCGGGAGGGAACGCAAGTAAACAGATCCTTTGGACCTTCGACAGCAGGCTGCGCGGCAGCCCTGGCTTCAGCGGTCTCTTCCCAGAAGCCTTCATTCTCCTCCTCATATGCAGGGTTCGCCGAACGGTCCACGATATCATCACCATGGAAGTATCCAATGCCACCAATGAGGTTGGACAGCATTGCCTTGGAGAATTTCGAGTACTTCGGGGAGTCGAATGGCGCCTGCGGCGCCAGAAGCTGATCGAAAGTTTCAGAAAATGAGGCTGAGGCATCTTCAATTTCCTTAGTGAGGATCTCCGGTGTCAATGGTTCGGGAGCAGAGTGAGAGGAGAACAGGACATCAAACTCAAATGGACCAGTGAAAACCTTCTGTACGAGATGAGCGTTGCCTTGGCCAGGCTTGTGCCCGACGGTAAACAGCTGAGCCGGAGGAGGGACATTCTCCTTTCCATACTGCTCAAGAGCAGCATCAACCTCAGCCTTCAATTGGGTGTAAAAGAGCCCCTTTGCTTGCCAAAGTTGCTCCTCAGGGAAGGTAATGCTGCTGACAAAGGTGCGATCCAGTGGCTTGTCTGTGGAGCTGGGGTGATCGTAAGTGGGATGCATGTTCGTTCCCGGTCCATTGGTGACATCGATGGAGAAATCACCGAGCTCCGAGGTATATCCTTCCAGTTTGACATTGCCTCCAGCACCAGCAGATCCCGATTCGGAATCAGCGCTCAGATGTCCAAATCCTTCGAGGGTGGAATAGAAAATCATCGAGACGGGCTGATCGGGGTCTGCGCCTTCTCTGGGTGTACCCTTGACTCGGAATCCCCAGCTACCTCCGTGCTGGCCGCCAGGAACCTTGATGAAATCAATTGTCAAGTCCAAACTATTTCCAGCATCATGGATAGTCTCTCGCCCACCCTTCCGGATATCGTACTCGTCCCAGCCATATCCCGCCATCCCCTCATTTTGTTCGCAGGTGTGTCTAAAGTCTTTCGTGACATCAGCTTCATAGTCAACCTATATAGCCCATTGACCGAGATCGCTTACTTTGTTGGGTATTGGCGTAGTCGTCAACTTTCGCCCAGATTAATCCCGCCGTGAGACTCTTCGGAATGCGAGGACGCACTCCGAAGTAAAGGTTCGACTTGTAGGGACCCCATAGCAGGGACTGGTTGCTGGCGCGTCCAGACTCTCTGATCAAGACGGATACATCTTTAGCCTCTTCGCTTGCAATAACCCCGATTGCATAAAGAAGCGATGTTAATAACACCGAAAATCTGAGATGACGCATTGTGTTGCCTCCTCAATTGACTGTAGCTGTCCTCTTGAGCTGTAGGTGTACCTATCATGACCGCCTACTAGATTGGGACTAGCGTCATGTGCGTACCGCAGATTGCGATATCCACTTTTCCCTCTCCGCTTTTCGTTGCTCTATCACATGATGACATCTACACTTCCTTAACCTGTGTCTCGTACCTATTCATGGATGAATTCAACGTTATCCTTTATGGGGGACTTGTGCTGGCTCGACAGTTATAGACACCACACGTGACACTATCAAGTATTTACTTTACATGAAGTCGCGTGGATCCAGAGATCTAATGTTCGCGCTCTTCGCCTTGCCTTCAAATATGAACTCACTCATGAGCTTTCCTGTGCCCGGAGCGTTCTGAATACCCCAGCAAGTATGACCGGCTGCAAGGTACAGCCCCTTCACATCAGTCAAGCCGACTAGTGGTCCAGATCCAGAATCACAGTTTGGAAGATAACAGGCCTGGCGAGCGCGAACCTCACCATCGCGTAGCTCGTCAGAAATGCTGCCCACCTGATCTATGATTTCCTGGCAGCGTTGCTGGTCCACCTCAACATCTGCAGAAGTCTTAGGTAATGGAACAGTCCTATCTCCCTCGCCACATGCATAGACAGTGGCATCCGGACGTGCGTAGATCTCCGGCGCAGCAACTGTTGGGCGTGACTTCTTTCCCGGGTTGAAGTTGGCCGGGATTTCAATATTTGTGAACAAGCAGTATGCACTGACTGGTTGCTTTGGCTGAATCACCACACTGTGGGCCCGCATAGCTGAGATTGGGACTTCCGGGAGGATACTCTTGGTCCAAGGCCCAGCAGCAACTAGTACATCAGTAGCGGCGACGGTTTTTGTTTCGCCTGATTCTTTGTCGGTATATGTCACCGATTCCACAGAACCCTCTGATCGGGCGATATCTGTAACCTGTCCAAGAATGATGTTTACACCCTTTTCCTGGGCAAGCTTTGCAATGGACGTAGTGAACTGGTAGGGGTGCACTTGGGCAGTTTCACCCGGTCCGCTCATACTTTCATAGGCGCGCAGAAGGTCCGGCTCAATCCAATCCAAGTCTTGGGGAACTTTGGCAGCCTTCAACTTGGACAGAGCCGCTGCACTGCGTTTTTGGAGAGACTCCGTTCTCCCACCCTCCGCTTTTCCGGCAGTGTTTTCAGCGAGAGCACGACCTTTCACAATGAGCTGGCCACAATTGACTTCTCTGTATCCCCATCGGTTGGGGCCATCGTGTTCCTTTGCGAGTTCCGCGTGAAGTTTGTAGCTGAGACCGACGATGTTGCTCGGGAAAGCCCATTGCGCCAGCATACCACCCGCCTTTCCTGATGCCCCGCCTGCTATTTCGGAGGCTTCAATGAGAGTAACCTTGTGGCGGGCGGGATCGTAGGACGGGTGTCTCGTGAGATAGTATGCAGAGCAGCAGCCAATGATGCCACCACCTACGAGTGCTCCGGTCAGCAAGTTGCGATAAAGCGCGCGGGGTACCAAAGTCGCAAAACAGCACGTTCTTACCAATGATAACAATCTCACGGCGATCTCCTGTTGTCGACATCTTGAGTTTTGGCGCTAATTTGGGAGCTAAGGATCGTAACGAAGCCACTTTGGAGGGAGTTGCAGTGGGCAAGTTTTGACCGCATGTGCGCGTTCCCATAGAGGCCTGCCTACGTCACTGGGTCCAGTCAGATCTCGCATCTGCGACCAAGCCCACTACAGTATGACCGGTTTTCTACAGTACATCTTGGACCAATCGGGGTTTCAAATACTGTTTCTGATCACTACACAGTAATGTTTGGACTAATGGGAATGGTAGTATTTCCGCAAAGGCTTGGGCCATAAAATAGGAAAGTAACTCATCAAGCCAACTAGAACCATGCTCCGCAAATGCAAATCGTGTCGAGGATTGAAAAGAAAAAATGTCTAGTGGTATCGAATACACGGAAATTGTGAAACCATGGTCGTAGTCTGATAGCGGGGATTCATCGTGAGGGACTGAGAGGCCTGTTGAAGCCACCTTGGCGATTCATGTACTGTCGGTACTCGATCTTCTTCTCCTTCCGCACAGCGTAGATCTGATTTCCGGGAATTTTGGAGTTCTTCGTAGTCCGGAATCTGGTGAAGCCCATGGCCTTTCGCATAAGCGCTTCCATTTCGTCCTCGTCTGCATCTTCTTTGAAATCAAGATCCATTGCGTCCTCGGAGGGGCCCGGTCCTGATTGTGCGCCAGCTGTCTTCCGTCCGCCATCTCGTGATCGGGGATCTTTGCGGTCACCTTGACGGTCGCCCCTTGGTCCTCGAGGTGGTGACCGAGCCTTCGTGCCATTGCGATGCGGGGATCGAGAGCGTGAAGGTGCCCGGAACTTCACATTTTTCGGTGCAGGCCCTAGAAAGAACATATCAGTGAGATGGCAGGACAAATAGCTTCCATCAGCTGAGAAATCACCCACCTCGTCTATCGTAATTGCGCTCCCGACTAATGCTCCTCTTCCGGTCCGGAGCCCCACGCCCATCCTTATCTCCATCTCTTCGGTCCCGGTCGCGACGATCTCGAGACCAGCTCCGTTCTCGCCTTCCGTCATTACGTTCTCGTGAGCGAGAGCGATACCGGCCGTCGCGTTTGTCCTCTCTGAGGGCTGGTGAGCGTACGCGGCCGCGGTCTGATGCTTGCTCGGGTGCACGAGGCCTCTTATCATTTGAATCCCACATGGCTGAGCTGCCAACTCGACGAGCACGCTTTGCAGGTGGCTCTGCCATTGTTGAAGTGGCTTGGTCTGGTCTGGGCGTTGCCCCGTACGGCGTGGGTGTTTGGGCGGCCAAGGATCGATGATGATGATTTTGCTCGAATTTTGAAGGTTAGAGCAATTGAAGCAGAGTGAAGGAGTAATAGAGGAAACGCTCGTATTAATAGGAGTGTAGAGGGTATCAAGTTGTCGCAATGGGTGAGTCGGCCTGAGTCTCGGGTCCAAAGAGAAGTTTATTCCGGTCACGGAGAGAGACCAGTCGCGCAGCTTGTGACATGGCTCATGACCGCTCCATAGACAACTTATTTCCAGATCTTACATTGATCCAAGCGACTCGACAATTGCATTTTCTAAGGGCTTCCCGGCTTGGTTGCTCTGTCAATGTTTGGTTTACTCATTGTATCGCATAAATATTTGAATCGCGCTGACTGAAACTCGGCACTATCTTGTCGACTCAAAGGAGCTCTTCTGGCAACTCACTTTTTACATGCACACCTAGTAATCCCGAAAGTCTTCCTCTTTTTACATGCTTGTTGTATATTACAGGCAGATGTGTGGGAGGACAGTACTTGTGATATATTGTTACCTAACTTACTAAACGAAGGAGACATAACTATCTCACGAAAGGATGGAACTCAGTGTTCAAATGCTACTTGAAATCGTCAGGTTTCAAAGGCCCATATCAAAGTATGCTACCTATGGATGTATTTGTTTCTATAATTTTGATCTGTTGGTATGTATTCAGCTCTCCAGATACCTTCCATAGGTATGGCTCATTGAGACTTGGAAGTACGTTCTAGATCATCCATGTCTACCACACGAGAAGAGAACAAGCTTCATACGTCAGTTCAACCCTGATGTTGCGCATATGTATTCCCGTATTATAAGGGGATGATTGAGGTTAGAAGCAGATGTTGGTCCATATCGCCAGGAGTTCATGGCTGTAGGTCCTTTTTTCACTGGGAACAGAAATCTCCAAGATGAGAAAATGTGACCTAATTGAGGTCTCAATTGTCTATACCAGACATACTCTGCGTCAATCAAAAACCGTTTGTAATCCTCTGGGGCTGACTGCCATGGTTGGAGAACTTCATATACCGGTTAAGCATCTTAGATAACCGGCTAGTTATGCCGTTCGCAGTCCAGGTACAGCCCCCAGGCGACAGGAGATATGAGCTACCACCGCTCGGCGCTATGGATAGTATGTAACACTAACATCATACTAAGGCCCAATACGAGGCTCAGTTGATAACGACAAAAGCTCCCAAAACAAGACAGGCTCAGGGACCAGGGTGCTGCAGTCCGCGGGCCGACCCGTCGAGCCTCAACTTTAAATTCCACCGCGAAATTTTCACAGCTCAACCCCACTTCCTGTGTGCTCGTCAATCTGCGTCTTCAGAAAGGCATTGCCCGAGATCAGTATTCTATATTGAAAGAAAAATGGCACCTGTCAACCTTTCACACAGGCGAACGCATAATCTGCTCTTGATCTCGAAACTCTTGAGCCTGCGTGACACTGCATCGCCCCTCACACTCGTCTTGGACTCTTTAGAACAACCAGCCACACCACTGCTGAAAGAATACATCAGACGTGCGAAGGTAGATTATCATCCATCATTACCAGAAAGCGACATTTGAGTCATCCATCCTAGACTGGACAGCCATGCTGACTAGTCCGATAGCTGTCTAAAGTTCATGTCACGCTCATTGCTTTTGAGACGCTAAAACAACCCGAAGGGGTCGATGCCTTTATATCCACTCGCCGCAAGAGTACTGCCGATATAGCCAAAGAAGTCAACGCGGCTTATCAGCCCGCCGCAGCTTCCAACCCCTCGCGGAGTAAGCCTAATGCACTGGCCCCGCCCGTGATACTCTACTTACTGGGTTTATAGGACGTCTTATTCTTATTGATTCAATTAATCCTCTTTTGAACTCAAAACGAGTTGAGCCTGGTTTCCATCTGCCCTCCTTCCTCGGCTCTTTCATTGCTCCCACGTCCGCATCGGCCAAGGTTGATGCGTCACTCGTGGTGACATATCATCAAGATGTCCCCGAAGCTCCGCAGCCAAACCCTTACACGCCATCTCCCATCTCTGTGCTAACATACCTTGCTACGAGTATTATGACCCTCCATTCATTCTCGCATGTTCTGGCACAGAAAGCTGCTCGCGATCGCAGCCTAGCTCCTCCAGTCTTTGGGCTCGAAGAAGAGCAAGAAGGTATCCTGCTCAGCCGTCTGGACAGACTAGCCGGCACCGGGACAGCAGAAGGGATTGTCATTGAATTGGAACACAGACGAAAGAGTGGCCGTGGTGTTCTTGAGTGGTATCTCCTGCCACCTGCGTCGCGGTACTCGCCACAGCATCTGAAAGAGGTTGTGACCTTACTTGATGATAATGTTCTCTATAATCCTCCCATGGAGCAAGATACCGCCGCCGGCGACGAGGAACCAACGTCGACCTTTGAGCTCGGTCTCACCGATAGACAGAGGCGCGAGAGAGAAGGCGTTGTGTTGCCGTACTTCGACGCACAGCATGGCGATGGCCCAGGCGAGGGAGGTCGAATTCTCTACGATATGGGAGAAGAAGATGATTTCGACGAAGAAGAGGATGAGATTTAGAGGGCATCAAATAAGATACGTGTTCAGCAAATCTCTGGATTCTTGATTCGGCGGATTGTAACCCGCAACCGCCGAGGTATTAGCTATGCATACATTCATACAGAAGGGAAAGCCAAGGGCATGACCACGCGGAGCAATGATTCAGAAGAATCGCCAGAAAAGAAGAATAAGGATAACAAGCCCGACGCCAGCGAAAGGTCCATACTGCAGGATAGTTAGCCAATCAGTCAGGGGACGGCCGGCGCAAAGCATAGACTCACCTGCTTCAACATCAATTCCCAGTTGATTCGTACAGCCGCCTTTCTGTACTTCTTGCTGTCCTCACGCAATCGACCCGATAGTTCGCCCATCCGCTCCAAGCTATCGCCTCGGTACAAAAGGTCCTCGATGTTCTTCGTCATCACCTTCGTGACATCACGGAGCTCATCGTTCAACTTGTCGAGGTTCTGAGATGCGCGACTGTCCTGGTACAGTTTCTTTGTGCGCTGAATAAAGGTATCGAACTCGACGAAAGCATATGGACGGAGTGTGGGTGAGAGGTACTGCGAGGGGGTATAGGTTGTCGTGAATTCGGAGGCCACATCAGCAAGATAGGTGAAGGCGAGCTTGCGGGGGTAAGACTTGTCGGCAATGCATAGGAAGCAGATATCGTCCTGGATTGTGTAGCTACCAACCAGTTAGAGACCTGCATTCTGTGTTCGTGTGTTCCTTTGCTCCTTCTTTCCCTCGTTTGATGGGCGGTGAACCTACTGTAGACAGTACTGGCCAGATTCAATACTGGCTTGTGGTGCGGAGTTGCGATTTAACCGCCGAAAGATCATTTTCGCTTGACTTTTGATTTCAGCAAGCTCTGATTCGGCCTAGTGGTGGTGTCATAAGCTCGAGGTCCATCCAGATAATCACTGTCACATCATACCTGCTCATCGTCGACCGATGCGGCCAGCATAAGGCCTAGTTGAAATGAACATCAGCAAATCAGATCTCTCAACACCCCCAAGGATTTCCTCACCATCTAGCCTTGCAATTTGGGTTGACCGAACCATCTCGAAGACGTGAAGTATTCGGTATTCGTTGCGAAAGACAGAAACCTCGGCTTTGTTTAGCTGTGAGATGGCCCCGAGAAGGAGAGCCGCGAAGGCGGTGGCGAAGGAAGATGCGGCAGATTCGCGACGTACGGGGTAAGCTCCGCGATTACCTCACTTTCTCTTTAACGGACGTTTTATGATAATGTGCTAGTCGCCTTGAGGTTAGTCCTGCCAATGTAGGAGGACACTCGGGTCTCGTCATGTCGACCCCAAATGAAGCGACTCCACGGACTCGAAGCGCGAGAAAGCCTGGTCGCAAAGCCAAATGGAGCGAGGAACAGCTGTTGACTAGCGACAAATCCCTCCTCATTCACCTTGATCTGGTGGTATGGAAACGAGAACTCCATGTATCAGAATGTAATGGCTAATAGCTATCTTGAATTTACAGAAACTACTCGCACATCCAGACGCATGGAATTGCCTCGAGGAAAGCGAGAAGCGCGAGATCCTGGATCTGCTACCTCCAGATGTACATCCGGAGGCACAAGCTATCCAGGACGACTCAGACACAAAAATACCACCAATCCCCGACTCCTTCACCCGATATTCCAACAACTGGAGAGATGGCATTCGACAGTTCCAAATCGACCTCGAAAACGGTCGCTACGACTCTGAATGGCTACATCAGGCCCAGGAAGCCAGACAGCAACGCGAAAATGGCGAATTTGACGAATTCAAAGAGCGCGAATACGAGCAGTTTTGGGGCCAAAAACAGAACGTTAACTGGAATGCAAATGCTGGAGAAAGTGCGCGTGTGAAGATGAGGACCCTTATCGATGAGGGCGTTATCCAGCTGGGCGATGTTTGGAGATTCACCTATGTGTATGGCAAGGGCGCAGATAGGATTGTTATTGATAAGGAGACTAGGGTATGCATCGCTCTGATCTCGCTTTTGGCTGCGCCATTTGCTGATTGCTACAGATTCATGAAATCAACGGGGCGAAATTGACTTTCGCGATCCCAGCTGGCGAACGAGTCTTTCTTCGTGATACGTCTCGCAAAGACGAGCACCCGTCGACGCCGGAGAAGGGAAACAGTAACATGAAATTCAATGTCGACGAAGATTTACAGCCAGTGGCATTGCCTTCGGGCGACGGGGATATGAAAGTTGATGAAGATACTGAACCACAGCAACTGATATTACCTCCGAGTAATGCAGATGTGAAAGTCGACAAAGACACACAGAATCGACCACTTACTCCACCTCCAGATGATCAAAAGATGAGAGGCGAGGACCCAGCAACACACATAAACACCACGTCTTCCACCCCCAGAGAGGCAGAACTTGATGTCGCTCATGTGTGCCAGGAGGTTCCTCTACTTCAAAGCGATGAGATGAACATGGGCACCGACTCAAATACACAACAACTCGTCCCTTCCTCCAACAACGAAGAGAGCCAAGGAGATCCCCCGGAATTCAGGCTTGTCGTCGTCAGCCCGGGTTCGAAGGACCAGGCATCGAAGCGCACGATTCCTGACCCCGAATCCCAGCCTCCGAAACGCAAGCGCGGACGACAGCCCAAAAGATCAAAGCAGCCCGTGTCCGACCTGCCCCAGGAAACGACGGTGAACCAAGCCGATGAACGAGACAAATCGGAGCCTCCTCTCTCTGTCACGTCCATATTGGAAGCCAAGATTGCCGAAAGCCAAAGGGTTGCTGCAGAAACTGCACATCCGGAGCATTCGCACCCAGTACCTTCTCAACAGGAACCATCCTGCCTACCGTGCTCCGCTCCCGAGTCCCCGCGACCTGAGTCGCCTACCCCAGTAAAGGAGCCGTACATTGCTGCCGTCAATACAAACCTCAAAGCCGATACCACAGAACAAGCTATGACGCTCGATTCATCCATGGCCCAGTTCGATACTGTAATGCATGGTGCTGAGGTAGATCACCATGGATTTGGACCCGACCCAGCTACAGAACAACATCAGGACACTATGGCACAGGCCGATACTGCCATGCCGGCTGCTGATGCTGGTGTTGAGGCTGATCAACGTGAGCCTGATACGAACCCAGTTACTGTCCAATCTCAAATCTCCGATGAGCCAGACGAAATTGTCCCCGATATCCCAACACCACAAGCACTCGTCGTGAAGATCCTACAGATTGATGGCCGCATACGGGACTGGCGACCAAGAAACTCCTGGAAAATAATCCGATGTTACCGAGACAACCAGGACATGGGGAGTCTCTCTGACTTGCGAGAGGCTTGGTTCCTTCAATACGGCGGGGAAGTATAGATGGCATCCACCTGTGGCATGAATATTCGGATACATACTCTTTGACCATTACTCATATCAGCCTTGCTTGCCTGTGGAGATCAGAATGGAAAGTTCCCCGCATTCGAGGTGGTTACTTAGCAAGCAATGAACAGATGATGGGTGATCTCCACGTATCTGGCAACTGCTATACCAATACTGGTTCAGCACATGAACTTGATGAATACCATCTGGCAATGATTGTTGGGTGCAGACATGCAACCACATGTAACGTTCGATTGAGTGATACGAGAGTCCACACAAGCTTGGGACTCTCATAGATACTTCATGAGAGCCCAGTGGGTATTGAAATGATGGTCTCCTCTATGAACTACGGAAGGCTCACCTGATCAGTGGAGTCAGCCATCTTGAAGCTGCTTGGTGCTAGTGCACAGAACGTAAAAGAGCAACAGATGTTGCAGGAACTGTTTCAGAGTTGGTGCTGAGCTATCAGCAAAAGAAAAGAAAAAGAAGATGTTCGCTCCCGGAACACCAGGACCAGAGACAAGGGAATGTTTTTGATAACAGAAGAATAAGAAATAAGACACGAAGAGAAAGTGTCTGAGGATCAGAGCCCACAGTCGAGCGCAGTATAGAGCAAGTTCACTTTCAGGGATCGTGTGATATTCAATTAGATAAACAATGTATAAGGCTAGCACTGCTCATTCATGCATCGAAGGCCCCGGCTCCGAGTCCGCCGCTACATCAACAGCGAAGCTGGCCTGTATAAAGTCCTCGAGCTCTTCGCTCACAGTCTTGAGCTTCTCTTTGACACTCGCAACACCTTCTTGTCCAACAATATGTCGGGAAGGGGGGTTCATATGGCCACCAATTGAGGTGATGGCAAATACTGTTTCAGATACCAGCACTTCAAGATGTGCAGAGCTTAATGGTGGGTGCATGGAAACGACTTCCGGCACGGAGAATGGGCCATCCTCGACAGTGTTGACTCGTGCGTTTTCATCATTTGCTCGACTCGGCGTGGCTGGACTGGCAGATGAGGTAGCAGCATCAGGTAGTTGGGGAACAAGGTTGTTCAAGATACCGCGGAAGAGAGGTGCTTGGTTGTTGGCGGGTGAGTAGGCAGGGAAGATTGGGGGGACGCTGGTTACTAGGTTGGTAAGGATGCCAATCTCAATGCTGCATTGGATGATGGTGAGTTTGAGGTTGAATGGAGCGATCTCATATGCCAGACTCTGTAACGCTGATCAGTTCATGCTACGCGGGCCATAATGTCAAAATACGCGTTGAGTGACTAACATCACAGAATCCTTCCAAGGCCCAGCCTGCTGCGCAGTACATTCCTAATCCGGGTGTACCAATATGCGCCGCTGTATATGGTCAGAAAGAGGCTCAAAAGACGGTGAAACGACTGCCTTACTGATGCCTGATATTATCATTATATGCCCTGAGCGCTCTTTCCTCATATGGGGAAGCACGGCCTTGATGATGTTGAGAGGACCAAAGTAGTTGACTTCGAATTGATCTCGCACAAGATTCATTGTTTGGGTTGAAGCGGAAAGCTCCTCGACTGTACCGATGAGGGCTGTGAAGCGGATCAGTATATCTATTCCTACCATGAGTACCGTTAAGACTGGGAAGGTGTACCTTGACTGGTACAGCATAGAAGTATGTCAATCCTTCCAAATGTTGCGGCTGCATCTGCGACGACCGCTTGACATTCTCCCATCATTCTGTATTGCAATCCTATCAGCCCTTGAAATATTTTGGAACATCAACTTCGATGTTACGAAGTAGTAGCGCACCGGATATCTAGCGGAACTGTCTTCATGCGCTGCTTCCAGCTATCGCCGTGTTGCTCCACCTCAGCGAGGAAGGCATCGAACTCATCGCGGCGACGCTCATCCCGATCCAAAGCCGAGTGTGCTAGACCGAGAAATGCATAATCCCCATGTGCAAGGACCTGGCGCGCGACAGAGAGACCAATAGGTGAATCCCCCGCGGTGATCAACCATACTCGCGGCTCATCATGCGATGGGAAATGCGCGCGAGCATCGAAGGAAGGGAAATTGTCCATAAGGTCCAACACCGACAGCCAAAAGCGCTACCCATCCCACTAATGCAATCCAATGGTCGGAACAGACAGACAAGCGCATATATGAGTGAAGAGGATGTCCGGAGCCCTTGGGAAGGGCAAGTCAATGCCAAGACCGCGTTCCAAAGTTCCCGGCCCCAATGTAATCGCGGGCTAATCTAGCGGCTTCTACTGGAGCTGGCTTGCTGGCCTCTTTGTCTTCTTTTCCTCATCCCACACGATGTCTGAACAGAGGCCACGCAGACAGGAGGAGTCCAGCGTACGTATCGTCTATTCAGTGTTTCATGCCGATTTACTAACCTCTCTTAGTCGGGCTTCAGAGGTGCTCTCCAGGGCCTTGGAGTCTTCTTGCTGGCCCAATTCGCCATCAACCAGTGGATGGGAAGCAAGAACACGGCCACTCCCAGTGTGAACACTGGTGGTATCCCCGCCTTTGCCGATCGTCCTCATCCTAGCGAAGTCGCCGAATATAGCGCGCTCCCCGAAGTCGTCGCGCCAATCTGGCCCCTCGACAGCGCAGTCGATCTCAGCATCTACGTGACTCCGTCTATGACTGTGCCGAAATTCAAGTCGTCAGACAGTATCCTTGTGTTGCAGGAAACAAACTTCACCATTGGAAACTACAGCGACACCCGCGAGATCGACACCACCATCAAGCTCCCGAAGCAGGTCCAGCAGAATGGAACTCTCTGGGCTCACTTCTTTTTGGGTCGTACCGGATACCAGTTAGACCCTTCTGCCAAGGGCTATAGTACCGCCGATGCTGTCCATTTCCTCCGACCTCTGAATCAGTATCTTCCTAAGAAGAAGACCAAGAAGCTGAAGAACCTCTTGTCGGGCCCCGAGGATGGCGATGACCAGGAGGAGGATAACACCCCGGCTGTGACTACTTCGTCCTACTACCACCCCAACTTTACTCTGTCTCTGATACCAGACTCTGGAGTTCTGAAGATGGCTCAGATGAACCCCGCCGCTCGCCAGTATGTGCAGCTGGAGCGCACCGGCGCCCGCGATGCCACTGGAAAGAATGGATGGTATTATCCGATCGCTTTCTTCAATACTTTCTGGCAACTGAAGACACACATGACTGAATTGAATTCCACTGTCGAATCTGTGCCGCTGCGGATTACCGTCAACAACATGGCGAACTGGAAGTTCACCATCATCAGCAGTATTGATGAGGGCTCAAAGCAAAGCGCTCGCCAGGCTGCCTACGGTGGTCCCGTTCCCGGCGGCGGTGATGGAACTGAATGGGAGATGGTTAAGGAAATTCTTCTGGACACAAACATCTGGCTCCTCGCTACCACGGGTATCGTCACCGTCTTCCACATGCTGTTTGAGACTTTGGCCTTCAAGAACGATATTGTAAGTCGTCTCCCCGCCTGTAACATATGTGGTCTGCGGGTTTGCTAACCCTACCATCTTTTAGGCCCACTGGCGTAAGAAGAAGGATGTTGTTGGTACTTCAGTCCGAACAATCCTCGCAAATGTCTTCATGCAGGCTGTCATCTTCCTCTACCTCATGGATAACAGCGAGAACACTTCTTGGATGATTTTGGCAAGTCAAGGATTTGGTATTCTGCTGGAATTCTGGAAGATCACTAAAACCGTCGACGTTCGGTTGCGCCCACCCCCGGCCAGCTCCCGGTGGTCGTTCCTGCCATATGTGATTGTCTTCGAAGACAAGCACAAGCTCACCGAGACCGAACAGAAGACCAAGGAGTACGATGAGATTGCTTTCCGCTACCTCTACATCGTAGCTGTCCCTCTGTTGCTTGCCTACGCCGCTTACAGTTTGATTTACAACACCCACAAGTCGTGGTACTCTTATGTGATCGAGACACTGGTCGGCAGCGTCTACGCATATGGCTTCCTCATGATGGTTCCCAGTCTTTACATCAACTACCGGTTGAAGTCCGTTGCCCACATGCCCGGCAAGGCCTTGACCTACAAGTTCCTCAACACTTTCATCGACGATCTCTTTGCGTTCACAGTCAAGATGCCTTGGCTCCACCGCCTGGCCACCCTTCGTGACGACGTCATCTTCTTCATCTGGCTCTACCAAGGCTGGAAGTACAAGGTTGACTACAAACGCGTCAACGAATTCGGCCAGGGAGGTGACAGTGACGAGGAAGAGGAGGCTACCCCTGCCGAGAACGAGAAGAAGGATGAAGTTGCCACTCAATCCTCGTCCACGGCGACATCCAAGTCGGCCACCCGCAAGAGAAAATGAACGGTTAGACGTGCAACCCATGCCTTTGCATCTTAGTCACTTGACTTGGTTTCCCTTTTTTGGATAGGATTCTGGTGAGCGTCAGATCGCAAATCATACACTGTTCTAGTAAGAAATCTTCAATCTCGAGACTTTCTATTTCAACTAGGATTCCTCAAGATTATTACTACTATGGTATATTTTTCTTAAAGTAAATTGAACTGGGATTGGTTGACGCAACGGTGGCATGAGAATCTGGCCGAGTAGCTATGGCGTGGATAATCATACAACATGGCGATCTATGTTCTCATCACCTAGGTTTCTAGAGCACGGAGAATCACCATAGCATTTCAACCTATTTCAGTGCTGGCTTATGCTGGTTTGTATGTTCTTAGTCGGGAGAAACTCAAGAAAGTTCAAAGTAGTCAAGTTGTTGATACTACCAGATTAGGTTTAGGCCCGTTTCCCATCTTCTCGCGCCTACTCCGTCTTCTAACTAGCTGTTGGACATACAGGTTGCCCCAAAGCCATCAATACATACTTTCTCCTTCAATGGATCATTGAGATTTGAGAATATTGTCTCATCGAGAAGAATTGTCCATTTGTTCACTCGGTGGTGATACGTGCAACCGTGAAAAAAGCGTGCCATGACCGACCACACGTGCTACTGTGTATTATCACCCTACTAAGAGTGCGTACGAACTGGAAAACACTTCGTCCCTGTACCTATCAAGAGAAAAATTACCACAAATCTTGTGTCAATGGATAGTGCGGCAGGTAAGCTATGCGTGTGTCTCTTACTCGGATGATGCTAACAGCTTTGCAGGTAGCAACAAGCCAACCGGCCTGCTCGATGCGATCGAGCACCTAGAGGCTGGTATGACCAAGTAGTCTGAACATGGCAAGAAACATTACTAACAAGTAATAACAGTTGCTTTTGTCCCGCCCAGGCAAAGGTACACAGACGCCAGTCTGCTAGCCAAAACAATCGCATCAGACGCGTACGAGAGCGGCATTCCGCAACCCATCCTGGCCCGTCTCCTGAAGATTTTGACCACAAAAAATAGCCTCGACCAAGGAACAATTACAACTCTGATCAAAAACTTGTATCCACTGGAGAGAATTGCGTCCAAGAATGTCACTCAAGTGGTGTGTTGTCTTGGGCCCAGCAAAAACAAACCGAGCCACGCCACGCAGGCCCTGCTATTGCGCTGGTTGATTCTTGCATATGATCTTTTCGAAGATAGGACGCATCTTGCCAAGCTATATGCAGTTCTTTTCAATCATTTGGATATGATCAGTTTGCGGAAACCGCTATGCCACCTTCTGTCGATTATCACAAGACGAAGACATGTGAAGCCATTCCGGATTCAAGCCTTGATGGAGCTGATTCAGACCGCTGGCGGCGAGGAGAAAGAACTCATCAGCTTGCTGAGGATTTTCAAGAACTATTATCCTGAGATCATTCTTGGTCACTTGGGCGGTTCGACAAGGAATGCTCTTTTCTTCAAACACCCAGACCCTGAATGGTCAAGCCATGTGAAGGTGCTTCAAGACCGGAACTTGGAAAGAGCACAAGCGGATCAGGGATCGAGTTTCCAAGTAGTCCATCGGGGCACTGTGAAAAGAAGCAGGATTGAGGTGGTGATCCCAACTCTACAAACTTCGCGGGTGTCTCACAAGCACACCTCGCTCGAGGAACTTCGTGATATTGGTCATTTCGTGGATAAGCTTGACAAGATCGAGCTACCAAATCAGATCATCTCAACTTTGGGCGATGCAATGGCGCAAAAGTATCTCCATCTCGTCCAATCCGAGCTAGCACACCACCGTCTGGATGAGTGGCTGAGGAATTTCCTGGAAGACAAATTAGAAACACTGCGCGAGGACGAGGACGATGAGCCTGAGACATTGTCATATGTGCTGGAGTTTTTCGGTGGCTATGCTTCCTATACCAAGGTAAGTCTTTCGGAGTGCTTATTGTTAAGCTGGGAGCTGACAACTCCTTAGGACATCCCGTCGTCAATCCGTGCCTTTTTGAAGTCCTATCTGCAAATATGGAACGGTAAAGATAACCGTGATCATGTCTTCCGGCTTCTCCAGTTCATTCCGATACAGTCACCCGAAATCCTCATGGCTGATTTCTTGTTGCCATTGGAGTCAGCTGTGCTAGACGAAGGTCTTTCTTCCAGGACAGCATTGCTCGGTTTCTACTCAGCATTGATCGGTCAATGGGGCGTGAAACTTCGATCGCAGCAAGATACAACAGGAGAATCACTCTGTTTGAGCCAAGTTATTGTTCATGCCGAGCTTCTGGCATCTTCGATTCTGGAGTTTCCGGTGGAAGACGAGGACAAAACTTCCAAGCCAGCTACAGTTTCTGTGCTCGGTTTCTACAGAGCCCTCTCAGAAATATTTTCTCTCGCACCCCTAGACTCTCGTTTTCGACTCACCCTTCCGTATGCGCCAACCGTATACACACTCGCCTTCACACCCAGCGTCGCCGTGATCTCAAGCCTCACCTCCATTTTGGCTGTATACAAATCTGCATTTGAGGCCTCTCTGCACTCTGAGGTGTTACAGGCCCAAAATGCCCCAGCTTATAGCACGGACCTCGTTGGTCGCTTCAACGGGTATGTCATGGACTTGTGTAATGCACTATGGCGCAACCGCGCACTCAATACTGAAGACCCGAACGCACGCGGTTGCCTCGTTCCAGCAACGACCACCACTGCCCTGACAAACTACGTCAAGGATGTGTCCGAAGCAGGCAAACAATATGACCGCGAGGGTGCATTCCACATTACCCTTGCATCGATATTCTCCCTCAGCCACCACGCCGCATTTTGCAACTTGTCTGCGGCCTGCTTCGTGGATCTAGAAGACCAGCAGGTTGCAGCTCAACGTCCGAGATTGAGAAAGCCAGTTACCCAGAAAGTGCTGCAGGCACTTGAGAAGGATGGCAGTGCGAAGATTACATGGCAGGAGTATCGCGTGCACATGCTGGACTGGTTGGATGCTATCGGGTGCAGGGGTACCGGGAATTTGATGAGAAGCACGATGAAGGCCTTGCGCAAAGAGTGATAAATATAGCGTACAGTAATTTGATACCAATGTTCTCATAACGCCATTAAAATGCTTCGTATCGGTATATAGATATTGTACAATGCTTGGTCTTAGTCCCGAGATGGGCCTCGCTCCAGCCCGATAGACGAAAGCGTGACGCCGAGAGCTCAGAACTTCTCCGTTGAGTTCAGATAAATATCCTGTACACTTGGATCTTCTCGCAAAGCACTTAGGAGATCTTCAAGGTCTTTTGTCTGTTCTTCGTCCTTCACCTCCACCATGCTATCCCGGTTGGGATCCCAGAAGATCTCCAGCTCCTCAATACTGAGACCCGACAGTTTCGCAAATGTCTCACCAACAGTCTTCGTCTCGGATGGGTCGGTCAAGATCACGAGGCGACCTTTATCATCAGTCGTGATGTCCGCCGCTCCCGCTTCAATTGCCTGGTCCAAGTAGTCGTCTGCAGTGGTATCACCTTTCCCCTCCATGACGACCCTCCCTTTCCTTTCGAAGAGAAATGTCGTCGGTGTGACAATCCCTCCATTATCTTTGATTATGTAGCGGATGTCCTGCAGCACGCGCGCCTTCTGGTCGGTTTGACACTCCACAACTGCGGCCACCGAGCCAGGAAGCATGGCCTCGATCGTCACAGATTCCAATGCCTGGCCTGAGACACTGAGCCCTTGTCCTCGTGCAATTGCTGCCTCGATAATTGTTTTCGGGATGGACGCTCGTTTCGCATTCGACAGCGCGAGGGCAAGACGGGGATTGTACTTTACGTCGGCTCCCCACACTAGGATAGAAGATTAGGATCTAGCATATGCGAGCAAGTAGACATATCACATACTCTGTGTAGCACTGGCAATTTCCTTGCTAACCATTTGGCGTTCCCTGCTCTTAGCCTTGTCGTTTTTGGCCTTGTCATGCTTAATCGTCGACCATTTATTGTGACCGGAGAAGGCGGCTGAAGCAGCGCTGAAGTGGCGACCCCCATGGGTAACAGAATCAGCCCAGCGGGTCTGCCGCAGCAGCCTGCTAAGACTGAGAGCCATAATGCTTTTGCTTCTAGACAAACGATGTGATCTAACTGATCTTCATTGAGATGCCCGGGCTCGGGCACGTGTTTATCCGATATCCGCGGGCAGTAAGGCCACACGATAAGAACATGGGGTTGACGCAACCACCGTGAACTAAACATCTTAACACTTTCGTTCATCTTATTGTCTTTCTAATGGGGCAAGAATTATTCTAGTTTCACCTCATGGCTTCCTCCGATACAGCCCCAGCAACCTCCCCTTCCCAAAATGGGGTCCCGGAGCTCGACATCCCCAAACTACACGCCCTCCCCTCCGAACAGCAGGAGCTGTATATGCTCACGTTCACCTCCGAGCTAGTTCAGTACATATCGGGTCTGGAAGCTGCAGAGGTCACATTGCAGCAAAAGGATCTCAAAAAGGAATTGTTCAAGATCTTAAACCTCCCATCACCGACCATTACTCGAGTCCTCCGCAACAACCTTGGGCGATGTTTTGGTGCAATACTCAGCAAAGGGGATCGCGGGATCCTTTTCGAAACACTTACCGATCTGCTCGCAATTCTAAACGCTGGTAAAAGCGAAGCAGAACTCAAGACAAAGTTCGCTGCGGCGCATTGTTTAGGAGAGGTCTTTGCGACAGCCGGCGAGAGCGCGTTCATGCAGTCCAGCGTCGCGAGTTCGGCCACACTCAAATTGCTCAAATCTGCAAGCAACCATGCCGGTCTAAGAGGAGTCATCTTCGCGGTATTGCGCAAGATCATTGTCGGTATCGGGGTTCCGATTGACGAAGGAACCGCCCGCGATATCTGGAAGCAGGCTCGGACCGCTGCCACTGGCGACAAATCTACATTCGTTCAAGTCCAAGCGTGCCGCTGCCTGGAGCAGCTGATTGCCACGACACCTTTCTTCGATAACGCAAATGACTTCGATCACGTTAAAACCTTTGTATGGAAGGTCATTGATAGCCCTGCTGCGCCGGTGCGGCACGCCATAGCTGCGGTGCTTGGACGGGCATTGATTAATCTACATGCTAGAGAAGCGCACACCACGGCTGCTCCGAAACCAAAATCCAAGAAATCGAAGCGCATGTCTAAGAAACCTGGTGTAGGACTTGGAGACGAGGAAGAGGCGGAGATGTCCGAGTCGTCTGTTGCCCCCAAGAAAACGGACTCCCGTCTGTACTTCCTTCTTCCGGATCTATTGAAGCAGCTTTCGTCCCAGTACCTGAAGAGCACCACCTCGAACCGCGCACGCGCGGGAATTTGTATATGCTACAAATACGTTCTGCGCAACCTGGGGGACAAGATTGTCGAAGAACGGTACGGACAAATCGCGACCAATCTGCTCGTCGAGTTGTTGAATCATCCAACTGTCACATACAACCGTTTCCGTCTACTCATGACTAGGAAATTCATCAAGACTATCCTTGAAGATACCATTGGACAGGAACTACTGCGTGAGAACAGTCAACTTAATGCCGCCAAATGGTTGATCAACGAAATCCTCAAAGACTACCCCCAGGTCGTCCAGGAACGTCGTGAGCCAAGCAAGTACACATTGACATGTGCGGTCAGCGCTCTGTCCTCGTTGATCTCATCCCTTGGGTCCGCCTTTAGCGTTCACGCCGATAGCTGCCGAGAGGCCCTGCTCCAGGTGCTTCCCCACCCCAGTTATACTGTTCAAGTTCACGTGGCGCATTGCATGCGCAACTTTGTCCTCGCCACTCCTCATCATCTTCTGTCTTGTGTAACAATTTGCATGAACAGTCTGCACAGGGAGATTGGACAGCTCGGTACACCGCGCCAGTCACCTCGCCGATGTGTTGGCTATGCGAATGGGCTATCTGCGATGCTCAGCACTTCTCGCCTGCAGCCACTGTATGGAGCAGTGGATGTATTTGCGCGCGTTTTCACCCAGGCGACCGATCTTCTCAAGACGAGCAGTACTTCTGAGCTTCGGGTTGCGAGTATTCAAATCCAGGTAGCCTGGATTCTGATTGGAGGCTTGATGCCCCTTGGACCAAGCTTCGTCAAGACACATTTGTCTCAACTGATGCTTCTCTGGAAGAACGCACTTCCTAAACACCTCAGCAAGGAGAATGCTGCCCAGCCAGGCACCCTCGAGATCAGCTTCCTGACGCATGTGCGGGAGTGTGCATTGAGCTCGTTGCTTGTCTTCATGGAGTTCAACAGCAAATTAATTACCTCAGATGGCGCAAGGAGAATTGCTGCGATGTTGCAAAATACTGTTGACTTTTTGGATGACTTGCCTAAGCCGAAGGCCATGGAAGATCTCTCGCAAAGACTGCATCCATCACTGCAATTGCAAGATTACACTACTATGGTGCGCCGGCGTGTCTTGCAGTGTTTCACGAAGCTCGTGCATGTCCACCCACCCAGCCATGGAGACATCATCTCTCGTTCTAGTCTTCTCAGCCTTGCTATCTCCTCATTTGCAGACCCCGATGCCCAGTATAAGCACCTGGAAAGCTCTATCTCCGGCTCAGCTGGGCAATTCGACGGTCTATGGGATTTGTGTGACAACTATGGGTTTGGTGTGACCGGACTGCCACGAGAATACATTCGGGCTACATTATCTGGCACTCAGCAAGATGACAAGAGCCCCCCTTGGTCTGCACTGGATTCCGTGGACCAAATCGTGGACGACACCTTGAATTTCCCGATTTGCCAGGCCAGCGAACATGACGCGGTTCTTTTGTACAGTTTGCGAGATGGAGACGAGCCTGCCGTTGATCCCCCAACGACTGGAGTTGTCAACTCAGCAATCGAGCTTTTCTCCGTGGCCCTCGCTCTTCATTCGCCCAAAATCCAAGAGAGCAGTGTGGAACAAATTGCCACCTTCCTCACTTCTCCCGGTCTGCAGAGAAACCCTGGCAGAAAGGCGGCGTTAGTTGTCAATATATCTGTCGCACTTCTGCAGACTCTGAAAGTCGCTGTTAAGGAGACAAGCTTTGTGGCTGGCAAGCTGAACACGTCGACCGACAAAATCTTGCAGGAGCTTCTCCAGACGTTCATTCTGGATGCAGACCCTATCGTGCGCACGATTGGTGTTGAAGCATTGGGGCGACTCTGCGATAGCGCTGGAAACACGTGCACCAATACCCAAGTCAACTGGCTGGTCGATACCATTGTTGAGAACAGAGAGCCTAACGCTAGGGCTGGCTGCGCTGCCGCCTTAGGATGTATTCATGCTCAGATTGGTGGAATGGCAGCTGGACTGCACCTTAAAACCATCGTTGGCGTGTTGATGTCTCTGTGCAACGATCCTCATCCTGTGGTTCATTTCTGGGCCCTCGTGGCTCTGGAGAGGGTTGCCAACTCTGCTGGCTTGACATTCTCGCCTTTTGTCTCCGGTTCTTTGGGCATGCTGGCCCAGCTCTACAACGCCGATACCCACAACGAAGAGGCAGCCGCGTTGGCGACCTCCAACATCGAGATGTCATTCTTGACACCCGTCGTGATCAGCAGATGTGTGGACTCTCTTATCAACGTTCTCGGGCCGGACTTGCAGGATATTTCTAAGACACGGAATCTGATATTGACGCTACTTCGACAATTTCAGCTGGAAAAACACCCAGCATTGGTCACAGAAAGCTCTAAATGTCTGGACCATTTCTCCATGTATGCCTCTAGCTATGTGGACTTCGCTGCATACGTGAAGCGATTGCAGACCGAGCTTCGAGCAAGCAACTTCCTGATGCGAGATGTAGCCGTCCGTGGGCTGAACAACCTGATGAAGCGAGATGCATCCTCTGTCATACAGACGGCTGGTCAGTCTCTGGAAGATGACATCTGGCTCGCATTCGACGAAGCTCCAAACAACCTGTCGCTCAAGTCAATGATCCAGGACTGGCTACAGCAGAGTGCTTTGACTGAGACAGAGTTGTGGATTCAACGTTGTCAGAATATCATGACCAAAACGCGCAACAAGGTGGAGGCTGTGCCCACTGCAGCTGCTCAGAATACAGCGGCAGATATCGCCGATGACGAGGTTGCCGGTTTTGCCTCAGCTGCCGGGGAAGGCCAAGGCGATGTCGCGAATGAGGGCGTATCCGGCCAGGAATTATTGAAATGGCAAACTCGCAATTTTGCCATGAGCTGTCTCTCCGAACTCCTGGCTACGGTGCAAGAGGCAATCCTCCCAGACTCTGCCATCCCAGCGGAGCTAGCTCTCCAGAAAAACGTGGGCGATATTGTGAGAATGGCCTTTTCAGCATCTACCGCTAACGTCATTGAGCTGCGGGTCTGGGGATTGAAGATCATCGACCAGGTTCTTACCATGTTTGGCAAGACACCGGATCCAGACTTTGCTGAAGCCTCCCTACTTGAGCAGTACCAAGCCCAGATCGGCTCTGCCCTTACGCCTGCGTTTGCCGCTGATTCTTCTGCGGAGCTGGCATCAGAAGCCATCAATGTATCTGCTACTTTCATCGCAACAGGAATTGTCACAAACGTCGATCGTATGGGGAGAATCCTGAAGCTTTTGGTGCTGGGCCTCGAGAATTTCGCGAAAAACCCGGAAACCACCGAGATCGGTGATCTCAAGGGTCTGAACTCCAATGCTCGTGTGATGGTGAAACTTGCTTTATTCTCGGCCTGGGCTCGACTCCAGATCGCCAGCATAGACCATGAGTATTTGAATCAGGTAGTGCAGCCTTATATCGCGAGACTCACCCCTCTATGGCTTTCATCTCTACAAGAGTATGCTCGGCTGCGATTTGAGCCAGACATCTCCGGTAGCTTGGGGACAACCTCGAGCAGTGATCTAGATGAGGTGTATGCTGCGTTGAACCGCGAGACGTTGTTGAAGGTAAGCTAACCTATGCGGCTGTTGTATCTGACAGATGCTAATGATATACGTAGTTCTATCAAGATACTTGGTTGTATCTGGTTGACGCAATTGCTGGCCTTGTTGAGAAAGATATCGATTTCGTTTTTGATGCCTTGGATGGCAAGTTGCAGCTGCCCGAGCCCAGAGGCGCTGAAGGCGAGGAGAAAGAAGAAAAGCCCATCAAGGAGGAGGAAGGGAAAGGACACGACATCAACTACCGCGAGGAGCCCGTTGCCTTCTTCTTTGTCTTGTTCGGATTGGCTTTCGAATCTTTGGTTGATCAAGGAACTTCAGCATCACAAAGATTGGAGATTCTTCAAGCTCTGAAACGAATCCTGCGCCCAGTGATCTCTGGAAACGCGATCTATCAAGATGCAATTTTCACAGAGACCATGGACAGTTTCGACCGTCTTGTGTTGACAGAGGCAACTCCAATCCAGACCGTCATTGTCGAGATTGCCCAGAACCTGTCATTAGATCATCCCGCAGCCAAGGGCGACCAGGAGCGCAGCGACCATCTTTCGGATGACATTGAACAGCTTTTCGAGCTCACAAGAAGCATCATTCTCGTTCTCGCTGGCATGCTTCCCAACCTCCGTGAATCGACGCCGCTCGCTCGCTTCAATGTCACGTCGGATGAGTCTTTAACCCTCATTCGACTGGCTCTTCGTTCCCTCGTCGATGTGGCCTCTGTCTTCCCATCTATCATTCGCAACGACCTCCACGCTTGCATATTACACATCTTTTCCACTATCCTGGCAACTGGGATATGCCAATCGGGCGTTGTTCCCCAGGCCCTTCCGATCTTCAGGCAATTCGTTCACGGCATCACACCTACGACCGATTCACCTCAAGACCGCGAAGTCGTGTCCTTCCAACTCCGAGGATGTCTCACACGTTTCCTGACCATCCTCACTATCGCACAGCGACGAGAATCCGACACCTCTGTTCCATGCGCCAAGAACACGCTACTAGCCATCACCTTCCTGCTCACAGCCGGCGCACACGTCATCCCACCCCAGGAGCCAGTCCTAATCCGAGTTCTGAACGAGCTACTCGATTGTCTCCAGGACGTCGGTCTCGCCACCGTGGCAGCCAGCTGTCTCCGTTCCATCCTCATCAAGCCAGGACCCCGCTCCATCACAGACGAAGTAATCGCCCGCTACCTCGTCCCACGACTAATCGCCTTCATGATCAGCTGTCCCCTAGACAACGGCGATATCCCCAGCGACCCGGAGAACTCTCGCACAGTAGTTGCCCGCACTCTCGTGGCATGCGTTTCCAACGGCACTTTCCCCTCCGAATCACCAGCCGCTATCTCCCTCGTCATGTCCGCGTTGCTGGCGCGTGCCAAGCGTGAGGGAGAGACTGTGCACAAGGAGTCTGCGGGTCATCTCCTCGAGCTTGCGAAAGCCGACCAGCTTACTTTCCGCGCGCTGGTCGCTAGTATGATGCCGGAGCAGAAGGCGCTCCTAGAGGAGGTTCTGCGTAGTGCCGGTATTGGTGCTGTTGCTTCTAAGACTGGTGTTGAAGAGGTGGATAATACTCCACAGGCGGCGCCGAGTATAGCATTGCGCATGGATTTCTAGATTTTGCATACGGTATAAAGATCAGATTAATGTTCATGAGTCAGTTGAATGAATTCATATTCTGTATACAATTACCCGCAGTCTTAGTGATCATGGAAGTAGATGAAGCACGGTACACCCTCGTTCTGTTCAGATTCTCGATTTGAATGTGGCTTGATTCTAATGTACATGTCCGCAGAAGGATCGCGCTCTTGTCTATATGGTGTTAATACAGCGTGTGTTTGGACAAATGAAAGACAACAATGTGTGCTCGATGCTTATAAGACAGGGGGAGAGGAGGATAACAAATGGGAAACGCAAAGAAAATGTCCGAGGCGTCAGAAATATATGCGGAGACCTAACCAAGCGATTCTCCAAGATGCGCTTCAGGAGGAATGTCTGCTTGGATGGCAGCATCTTGGGTCGATCGTGTTTCAATGACAGCTTCTTTAGTGACGACCGGCTTCTCTGCTTCCTTGACTTGCTTGGGCTCCGGGCCCTTGCGAGTGGAGGCATACTTCAAGAAGACGATGATCATGACTATTAACATTAGTAAAGAATCAACTGAGGAGAAGAGCTCCACTTACAAGCACAGATAGCAACCGTCGAAGCGGCACGCCTGGTCAAAATCCATCGAAGACCTTCGATCTCGCTCTTTCCATCACTGTTAAGTGACACGGTGATTTTGTAGTTCAGCTCCTGAACAGAGGTATCGATATGCCGCTGTTGCTCCCGTGTAGTCATCTTATGATCATTGAACATGCCCTTAATATCGTCTCTCAGACCAGCAAGTTCCTGGCTGAGACGTTGCGAAATGATATCCGTTTCGTGCTGGATCTGCGTACGCGACGAGCGCTGATGCTGTATTTCCGAGTTGCGGGCTGTCTGAAGCGACGACTGGAGCTCGGAGCAAGCTGCTTTGAACAGATATTCTTCGTTCTCGACGTCGGATTTGGAAGTGAGGGACTGTCTGGCCAAATCGAGATTATTCTGCAGGATAGCCCGCACGGCCTTCATGATAGTAGTCGAATGATCCTTGCTGAACCCTCCTTTTGTAAGATCCTGAACCAACGAGTATGTATCGAAATGGTGCACATAAGGTGCCGGGGACAAATGTGGGGGGCGGTTGTCGGACCCGGGGGGTCCTCCGGTTGGCGTTAGGTAGACAGACGGCGAGGGCATATGAAGGACATCATCGAAGGGAGTCTGCTTTGCGAACGAAGAGGTGTCCGCACCTTCTTCCGACGAGCCTCCGGAAGGGGCCGATGGAGTAGCCGAGACCTGTTCCTTTTCGCCGCCCTCGGACTCCGTTGGCTTCTCCTCATGCGGTTCCCGGTCTGTAGGAGGGGTGTGTTGGTCCTTTGTTTCTGGTTCATCCAATTTATCTAGAGCCGGCGTTGCGGAGGTATCGGTCTCTGCGGTGTCTTTCTCGGGTTGTCGTGGTGGTTCCGGCTGTGATTCTTCCGGCGCGGCTTTCCCCTGCTCAGATGATTTCAAAACCTCGTTTCCATCTTCCGGGGAACCTTGAACCTGATCAGGGGATCCCTCTTTTCGACCCAGCGGGGAGGTGGCACTCGGTTCGACAGCTGGACCATAGCGCTTCTGATAGGAATCGCGCTCGCACCGACGGCTTGTATGGAACCGATGATTGGTTTTGTACGGAATTCGCAGTGAGCGGTATGTGCTGGGTGCGCATGATCGTACTGTTCGCATTAAATTCGGATACAGAAAGGGCAGCCTAGGGGTGGCCATGGTGAAAGCCAGCATATGAAGAAGCTAACTTCGTTTCCCGCGGGGATTAACCAACGTCACTCGGGCCCGCGGGCGGGTACTTGATGACTAATAACAGCATCAAGCCGGGCCTAGTTAGATGTTTGTCTTGTTTGTCTTTTGGACATGAACATGAGGAGGCCTACTTTGAATTTCTGCAGCAGACAATACTGTGCTGATACCATTGAATAGAATGGAAGGCAATTTGTCCATATTGAATCTCCGCATTCGCACTGCTATTGTGTAGACTCAGTCGCGGTGTGCCTTTGAGGAAGTTGTCCAGTGAGCATTGGGCCTCCAGGACTCTCAGTTTCATATGGTGGTTACTTACTTGTAGTACTGGTTTCTTGTAGACAATGCCTGTAGAGTGTAGACCATGTGCTCGACCTTAAGTATACCCAGATTAATGATTATGACAGTCAGAAATGTCGATACGAAGTTGACATCTTGATTTCGAGATGCCATCCATGGATCGAGTGTGAATGGGTCCTCCGCAGCCAAGCCTGGTGGTAAATGTATCTTTCGTATGGGAGTAGCATACAAAAGATACCTGAAGCTCAATTTGTGGTGTAAGGGGGGGCTCCGCTTCCTAAATCGGTTAGTGGCCCGTCAATAATCACGTGCCCACAAATGGCTATATAATCTTGCTCGATCCCCCGAACTTCCTCTTCTTTTCTTTCTTCTTCAGCTCTCTTTGCCTATTGGCTTAGATCAAGTGTAGTATCTGTTCTTTTCAGTTTAATCTCTGAAAGTTTCCGTCTTGGAAACACTTTGATTATTCCTATTTTTGGACCCCGCGACTTGGCCTCTGTGCTTGCGCATGCCTCGTTGCACAGTGTCATCGGGCTTACACTGCCCCCGATCGACGCGACCACTTTTTCATCAACTGTTCGGCTTGTCCGGGCGCTTGGAGAAGATGTAAACTTTATCCTTGGTCTCAATCCTATTGTAGTGTACATAGTACGGGGTATATCGTAGCGTTGCCGTCGCGCCTTGGACATGTTGAAGCATCTCACGCGGTTGTATTGATGCTCTTAGGGAATCTGACATTGAAGCAATGAGTACACACTTTTGAATCTACCCACTTTCCTATCCCCTACCTGTTGACGACCGTTAAGCAAACGGCTAACCCGACAGACTGTCGCCTCGTCCTTCACTGTTGCCTCTTCTCTCCATCCACTTCGCCACCAGGTTGCATGATCAGCTACGCAGAGTCCAGAGTCACTAGCCTGATCCTCAAGCCTGCTTTCGCAGAGACTCCTTAACCCCTATCGACACTTGAATTCGTGTGCCACACAACACTACTATCCAACCTCCCTTGGCCCCTTTTCTTCTCTCTGCTCACCTCCCTCATACTCTCAGCAACATTCGTTTCTGCACGTCTTCTTTTTTTTTCCTATTTTATCCCTATTATGGATATCCGGCAGCAGTTCCCTGATGTGCACTGGGTCTGGAAGGGAGCCATCTCCTTTGTCTATGAGGTCCATCCTCGCATTGTCGTAAAGGTCCCAGAATCTGGCGACTTTGAGAGAGAGCAATTTCGGAAGGAACTCAAGATCTATGAGATCTTTTCTCAACATCCGCCCTGCCCTTCCATAGTACAGTGTTTCCTCTACGCGGACAACGGGATCTTCATGGAGTACATGCGAGGTGCGACCCTCATTGGTGTTTGACAATTGTGTCTACTAACAGCCTCATTAGATGTAACCCTCTGTTCGAGAATACAAAATAACCATACTCGCGACCAGCAAACAGCTGTTGTTACTAAAGTGGAGAAACTGGAACCTCTATCCCTACGAAAGGAATGGATGAGCGACCTCGCTCAAGCCGTTGCTTTTCTAGAATCGCTTAGTCTCGCACATGGCGACCTACGACCCGAAAACATTTTACTCGATCGCAACCGATTAAAACTGTCAGATTTTGATTGTACGGCTGAAATTGGGTCGGATTTTGAAGCTTGCATGGCCCCGTATGGACGAATACTCAACAGCGACGAGCAGGATCAAGGACGACGTGGGAGTTCCGGTTTCCTAGGTCCTCGAACCGAACAATTTGCCTTGGGCTCCTTGTACTACCTCATAAACTACGGCTTTGAGGTTTACGGAGATCGACGTCTTACCGAGGATCCTAAAGAGCATGGACGCAAAGTTGTGGAGTTACTACAGAACATGGAATTTCCGAAGTTAGATGGTGATCCGTTAATTGACGACATCATCATCAAATGTTGGCACAACAAATATGCCACGATTGCGGAATTGGCCGCACACACCGAGACGCTCCTTCCTGGAGGAAACAACTGGAGAGACACCGAAGCCGAAAAATTATCCACCCCGCAATGGCGTACGGTTATAGGCCGCGTTATTCGCGGTTTGTGGAAATGTTTCAGATCTTGGTGGGTTTTCGTGCTTTGTGGCACCAGAGAGGCAACCAAGCCTGAAGAAGCTAATGGTGGAGAATCGGATGGCTATAGCGGTGGCATCGGACCACACGGCTCAGCAGAGGATTTCTCTTCGAAAAAAACATTCTGTCAGAACCTGGAGAAGTGCGGACTTCTTCATATGCTTTCTTTGGGAGAGCCAGAGCAACTTGGATTCAGTATCGAGTGGTATAGACATTCCACAAGTTGAAGCAAATGTTCAGCTGCAGATTTCGACCATGGAGAAATCCAAAGCGTTGGCTAACAATCAACAAGGTGGTAAAGCATAGTTATCACCATGAAAATTAGTAAAGTAAAATGAAGGCTTATGCACAGAGACGAAGCTGCGACTGGTTTCGGTTGGGAAAACAATAAATTAAGTTTCAAAGTAGACAATCCTGGCGATCATCTGATTGATATCCTTCCTAACCTAGTACTAGTAATCCCTGTCTTGAGCGGGTGCAGTAGTAGTTATTATTAGCCAGTATCGACTGAAGGGGTCTGGCCTAGTTTACCCCGCGGCCCGCCCCGTCGGCCCGTCAGCATAGTTATCTTCTCCTCTGTGCTCTGCTCTTCTCGCAATACCTAAGTTCGCCATGGCTGATCCTGTTTCGATCATCTCACTAGTGGACCTCTGTCTGAAGTAAGTCAGAGTTCAGACTGTGCGTTTGCCAATCATTATGCTAAAGTGCCAATAGATACGGTACCATTTTCGTTCAGAGATGCTCTGCATTCCGACACGCTCATACTGAGTTCAATGAGCGAAGAATTCGAATTGAGAACTACTGGCTCCGAACCAAAATCCAATTGGAGGTGCTGTCGAAGGCCGCCAAATCCGGTTCTCTTGGTGAGGAGTTTTGCGCCATTCAACACGAGACATTGCAGCTCCTTCGTTCAAAGCTCAGTGTAGCGGTTGATAATATTGAATCGGTCTTGAAGAAAATTGGCCCCGAGAATGACCAAGTCCGGGTACAGCGCTTGAAGTACGCCTTGGTTCAGCAGAAGATCGACAAGTCTATCCAGGAGCTGGAGCTTTGGCAGCAGATCTTTGATCCATCGTGGTATATGATACTGAAAGCTGCAACACCTCAAATAGACGACGCTCTAGATTCGTATCGGAATGCTTCATCAGAGGCCGTCAGTGCGCCGGTATCATCAGCTCAGTCATTGAGAACTGCGCTTGATCCTGCTCGATCGAGCAAAACACCCATCTGGTTGTCGGAGGATGGACTGGAGAATCTTCGCTTTGAGCATATACCCTTATCCTCAGCAAAGGAGGGTAGAAGGGATAATACAGAAAATTCACTCATCATCGAAACCATTCAACCCATCCCAGGAGCTAACGCCAAAAGATTCGAGAGAGACATCAGAGATCTCGCACGCAAGCTTGCTCATTCCAACCCACTTGAGTTCGGCCTACTGAAGTGCAAAGGTGTGATTAGACATAACAGTGGCTCAGCTGCCAAAGGCGCCCCGGCTTTCACGTTTGTCTTCCGCTTACCCCCGGATACATGAAACCTTGCAGTCTTCGAAGATCCTTGAGTGACCGCCGCCAACCAGACTCTTTATCAGATCGGTTCAAGCTGGCCAGGGACTTGGCAAAATCCGTCGGCTCCATTCATACATTTGGTTTTGTGCACAAGGATATCCGCCCAGAAAACATATTGATCATGACGAAGGATGCGCCATCATCCAGTGCAGCGTTCTTGGTCGGATTCGACAGCTTCAGAACTGCCGAAGGGATGACCTTGCGCAAAGGTAATTTACCTTGGAAAACGTGCCTGTATCAACATCCCAGTCGCATGGGCTCGGCTCCAACGGAAGACTATATCATGCAGCATGATATTTACAGTCTGGGAGTCTGCCTACTGGAGATAGGGTTATGGGAGAATTTTGTGGACTATAACTCTGAGAATATATTTGTCGGAGACGATGGTAGCCCTATGGGCGAATCTCGATCCGACTTTCTCGGAGCAGACCTTGAGATATCGTCTTTTAAAGATCGACTTCTCTTCCTGGCGCGTGGGGAACTGAAGGCTAGAATGGGATCCCGCTTTTCAGAGGTAGTAGTGACCTGTTTGACCTGTTTGGACCCTGATAATGCCGACTTTGGGGACGAGCGTGAGTTTCAAGATGCTGATGGCCTACTGGTTGGAGCTAGGTATATCGAGAAGGTTAGTGGTTGTGGAACTCGGCTTGAAGATTTGGATACAAGTTCCGCTGACTGTTCTAGATCACGATGCAAATCAATAGCATTTCTGTATGAACGTTTCGGGTACATAATTCTCCTCTAAGCATATGACCAGTACTGCAATGAGCTCTTCTGCGGCCTCACAGGTCATTCAAGTGTCCCTATTTCCATCCAGTTGGAAGATGACTATAGGTAATTTCGGGTGCAGCAACAAGCTCGTCTTCAGGTGGCCAAACAGTCTTATCTTTTGATCGCTTCGTCAAACCAGACTTCTCCGGGTGGTGCGTTGCTCGAACAAATTCCATTGTGACTCGGTCCTTCACATAGCGATGACTAGTCACATGTGTACCCCGAAGGAGCTGATCCTCATCTTTATAGCAGAGAGTAGCGTGTAGCCCCAACGGATCTTTCGTTCATATGCCGTTAATAATAGTGGTAGGGTGGACATCGGACCTACCATTTCGTTAGCACGTAGTCAAATGAACAACTTCTGATGGCCCCATAAAAAAATATAGTATGAGCGGCCTTGAGATCTCAACCTGCCTGATAAGGATTGCTTTGGGGTACATGTTTCTATCTCTTGCAGTCTGGTAGGCCAAGGTCATCAACTGGCGTGTACGCTTTTCGGTTTTTGGGACCAGGCCTGGTAAAAGTAGTATTTGACCATGTTGACAGTAGACAGTTCGTTGATGGGTTCGGCTTGATGAAACCGAGTAACAGATATCGAGGCGTGTTTGGGAGATAGTTTTGATTTTCTCAATGAATAATGAACGAGGAGATTGAATGAACCATCAAATCCGCTCTGGAAAGTACCTGGCTTTTATAAGAGTTGACGAGAGCACATGGAACTACCTAGGCCATTCTATGTAGCGGATTTCCTCTGCCGGGCGGGGCTTTCCTATCTAAGCTGCCGCCGCTTTTATGAGGGCGCTCAGAGTCAGGCTCACTGAGTAGATTTCAGTCCGGACTCCGGGTCACTGAGCTGCCCAGAGCCATCACGTGATAAATCACTGATGTCCAATGACCGCGCACTGAGCGCTCACTAAGTGCTCACTGTCCGCTCAGTGATTACTCAGAGGATCATCAGAGGCATCTACTGAGCACTCAGACCATGCTCAGACCATACCCAAAGGAGCGCTCGGGTCCCACAATGCTGTTTATCTTGTGTATTTTTTTTCTTGATGGCCCTAATCATACCCTCATTTCTTTGAAGTGGTCTAGGTATGCTCCAGCTCACCTCTTTCTTCTCGTTCTCCACCCACCCTCACAAAAGAAACGCGTCAAGAAAATGATGACGCAAAGTCACAGATACAGCTTTTCATCTGCCATGAGGTGGATCATGAAAAAGTTCTTGTTGCTGCCTGTCTAGAGTTGCTTGTGCCTTACGCCCAAAATATAAATTGAAGCTTGAAGTCCTCTCTGGTCAATCCATTCTGCTCACCTTCTCTCTTCCCATGCTTTGACATCTGTGTCCTATCGTGACGCTCTCTTGAGTTTCCAATCTGTGATGGGTAGGCGACAATTTTTTGCACAGCGAGACGAGTTCGCCAAGAAGAAGCGCCGTGAGCGGTTGGAGAAGAGCGGATATGTCTTCGGAGCACATGCACATGAAGATGCGATTCGAGACAAAGACAAGAGGATCGAAAAGACCAAGAGGATGTACAAGGAACACGCTGAACTATGGAAGGAGTAAGGTCTTTCAATTGTGATGCCACTGATCCCAAATGAGTCGAGCAAAACGGGATACGAGGCCACGGAACGGGCGCAAATTCCAGCCCTCCGAGTCATAAGCTTATCAAGGAGTTTGTGCGTTGGTACATTCATTCCGCCCAAGGACGACTCAGTAAGAATGGACGACCAGTAGCAAAATCTGTGGTGTCGTTCGCGGAGCGATTTTTTGGTGGCCTCGAAGAGGAGAGACAAATGAGCGTTGCTCTGGAGGATCGGAAGGAAATATTTAATGTGAGGCTGATTCTCTCTCCTTCTTTCTTTGGCACTAGTCAACACTAACCACAAAGCAGTGGATCAAGAGGTCATTGACAGCAGAAGGCATCATTGAAAATATCGAGTCCCCAAACCATTCCTTTGCCAGGAAAGATTTCCTCAGAACGGTTGCATCTCTGTGGCAGACAGATCATCGCCGCTTCATACCAGGGTTGCTCAAGGTCATCATCTTATTTACTCTCCAGCTGTACCTCTTCACCGGAGCAAGAATCGGAGCTGTCGTACCTGCCCACGAAGATAAAAAGGAAAGAGGACTTCGATACAAGGTAAGGGCACTCCAATGAGGCTTCCTTTGATTGAAACTGATTCTTGTCATAGCACATCGAACTTGTATTGAGTGCCAGGATATGACGTCGTCAGAACCAAGTGCTCCGAGGTTGGAGGGTACAGCCATGGCGATGGAAAGGAGCGGAACCATACGAGCTTGGAACAGATACCAAGCAGAATTCCAGTCTTGGGTTCGACTGGGAACCCAGTGAAGCGCATTTGCGTCGATAGCCTTCGCGGCGATGGCACGGCAGAGGTAAGCCATTTGCTCTTCTGTTTGCATGGTGCTGTGTCCTTTCGGATCTCCATACGCCTTGTACAAGAGGAAGCACCGGGACAGCATTAGGTGGAAATTGCAGTACCTGTTGCGTAAAAATTCGCGCGCTACGGTGATACGAGGCGGGGGCATTAATGGTCTCTTTTGATAGGAAGATAGTGACTAATACCACTCCTGAAGTTCGTGATCAAGACTTTAAGCTTCGGATATGTTAATACTAGTGGATTATGCGAAACGATGCTGGAGACGGTTGCTGATGTGACAGAACTAGGTACTAGCTCTGAAAGAGGCCGCAAGATGATCGTCGGTATAAGAGAGAAGTGGGCAATAATGTGTTCATCGCGCTACTATCCCAGCGTCCACGCATTGGCTACCTGCATATTTCGACATCTATGTTGTTTATCTGGCTATTCTTTCCTCCATTGTTAGCCTTCCCTTCGCCTAATCGCTTTGTGTCAGAGTACGATTGGAAGATTTTAGTGGTAAGCAATCATCACGCAGCTCTGGAGTATAGTTATGTTCTGTCGAGACTATCACCATCGATCCTACCTGATGCCCTCAGATTAACCAAGGTGATGTAATGATAGCACGCCTGCGTTGCCGATCCTCGCATGGGGAGCCCTTCCGGGCCCGGCAGTGATCCAGGTTCCGACCCAAAATGGGTTCTGCAGAAGTATACTCCCTACGTTGGTCACTCAATAAAACATGAACGAGAGTGGCACTTCTAGCCTTATCGAGAATGTCGTGGTCACAACTTGGAAGTTAAGATCTAGAGTGAAAACTAGGAATTCATATCAAATTGTTCAATTGAAGACTAGACTACAGGGTAAAAGAAGAGCAATAGAAGAGGACTTAATGGGAGTGGCTTTCTGCCGCCGTAGGCAGCTGAGTTGCCGTCCAGTGACCGGACCGGAACACCGTGTTACAACTTGGCAAACGTTGTGGCCACAAAGGGAATAAGAAAAAGAAAATATAGTCTCGGCGCAATGCAGAGAGACCAGGCATAGGAGCATAGCGATGAACTGGTAGAGCCGCCAATAATGAGCAAATACAGGAGCATAGCGACAAATGACTTCTTGCGTGGTTAGATCGGGTCCTAAAACCCACTCGTCTTTGAAAGCCCGGCGGCGGTTCTGCTGGTGGTTGAAGTTGTTGCCATCTGTGTCCTCGGGCTTATCCATCCTGGTCGGATCCTGTTTAACCCTCTTGCTTTCAAGTTGCCCCTTGTCACCATCCGCGGGTCGCTTCTCGCCTTGATGGTCTGGTGGGGGTCGACTGCTCCGGATGTTGACTAAATTGTTTTCTGTCGGCCGGAAGTATAGATCACGAAGTGTCTGCAGTTGATTGACTGTTTCTTCGTCAAGGGAGGTGATCCTCGGACTCCCGAGGGCCATAATGCCTCGTCGCAACGTTGCAATTGGTGCCCCATGCCACTGTTTGGAAGTCGTAACGCCGAGCTCCTCCGGAGAGATAAGGCCTGGGTGTAGGTAATCTTTAAGAAAAATTCGACGGTAGAGTCCACTAGTCGCACCTTCTGAGATCTTGTTGTTCTTCATGAAATGGTCCTTGTACATGACACTCGTCGGGACCTTTCGATCAAGAACGCTGCTAGTGGTAGATCTCCGCTTTCTATAATCATGTTCAAAATCGATAAAGTACTGCAAGTCGGTCGGTATGAATATGACACCTGGGTCGTGATCTCGATCAAATTGCATGTGACAGCTTCCACAGAGCGGGATCCCATTTGCTGCCGACGTCAAGCTGAAGTCGATAAGGCCCGCGTTCAACCAAAGGTCCACCTATCCAAACATGGTTAGCCATATTCCAGCTGAACCAGCAGCAATAGTATCATGCACCTGCTTGTCTTCTTTTCGATCACATGGCAGATCTGAGGGTCTGTAGACTGACACACCCAGCAGTAATTTCCAGCGAGCCGTTTGATCTCAGTTTTTGTGGCAGTCGAAAAGACGTCAGATTTCACACAAGACTCAGTTGATGCCAACGACATGGCAGAGGAAGAATTTGTGTGCCTAGATGCAAGTGACCTAGCGGTATGAGGCGACGTGAGGGCGAACTGAGCTCAGATGATTGTCTTCGGCCGCCTGGCGAGGGTGGCGGTGGCATTGCCTCACGCTCGGGATCTGGTTCAGTCATATTTTGGTCAGTTGTGTTTTATCGAGAGGGATGTGTTTGGAGTAACCTACACCAGAGAAAGGGGGTTGGAATGGTTTGGTACACAGGTCGGTCCTTCCTTGAAGCAAGTCATGATGGTGAGGTAGTCGCAGCTGAGTGAGGGACAGAACCACGGTTCCGAGGCCGAATATAGCCCTTTTTGGCTTATGTTATGCCCGGGGAGTCCAGCAAGGTGATGTGCTCACCACAACACAGCAGGAAGTCGCTATTCGATTTTGGGTTCTAACGATTGGCACCAAATGTTAGAGCCCAGAGTGGAATACCGCCTGAGCTTTTTGGACCCACTCGTCGTCAAAGCTTAAAGTAATACAGTGTACATCGATATGATTGACCCGTATTTTCTTAAGAACAGCAGGTTCCGATACATAGATACCCGCAGACCTTCAATAGCAGTAATAGCTACGTTTGCATGACCAAAGAAGATTTGTTTCTAATTGATCTGCCTCTTTTTTTCTAATTCAACAACGTCTTATTGACATCGCTGAACGCTTACCGCAATGGCCCGCAAAATGGATGCTTCCAAGTCAGTATCTCCGCCGCAATCTCGTCAAACATGAGGTACATCATATTAAAAGAGACAGTCGCTTCAAACGTAGCCCGATATCTATTTCTACCTATGCTAAGACTTCATGTCTGAGACTATGGTCTGCTTGAGCCTGCCGGAACTTCGTTGTTTACTTTCAGATTGTATGACCCGGCTCTTCTCTCCAGGAAGTTCGCGCGAGACAGTTCTGTTCGGAGATCCAGACCCCAACCGAGATTCGTTGAGCGGTTTTTTGGAAGCAAATATGTCGAAAGAGCAGCCTATCATTTCTGCTGGTTCAGGCTCTGGTGTATCTGCTAGAGACTCAGAGCCAATTCGTTTTGCACGTGTGTTACCCTTTCCTCCTCATTAACATCAATCTCTAACCAAAAAAGACCGTGCGAATTTGGTTTCCCCCAATGGACTCACACTTATGGAAGACATCAAAAGAAGGGGTCTCAACGATGGAGTTTTTGATGCCATTGCTCTTCAAGACCTTCGCGATCAGTATCAAGCCCAGGGTGACCATGGCATCACGAATGAAGCATTCCTAGTGGATCTTGCGGTGCTTGAGGTCGGTATTTCAGGGGTTTTGGGGAAGTATGGATTACAAACTTCGTTCCTCTGAGCGGCGATGATCCGATTATTTTGCAACAACCGGTGGAAGATCTCGACTCAAAGAAAGCGCTTTGTTACCAGCACCTTCAGCCCAAATACCTGCAGGAATATGCAAAAAGGTGCAAACTTGCGAAAGTTCTCGGATATGAGATCCACAACGTTTTAAAGGACTGGTACAAGGGTTGTCTCGAAGATATTTGTAACCGCTTCAAAAAGCTCGGTTACTGTTGAGCAAAGCAGATATAATTCATTTCATATTTCTCACTTGCACCGATCACTATATAAGGCTCAATTCAGGACGAGCAAAAAGTCGAAGTTTGGAGAGTCCATTTCACACATTATGCTTCGATATCGAGCCCGTAGCATTCTCTTCACTTCACTATCGTAAGGCCATCTCAAGAAAATAATCAAGCCCTGTGATGCTTCAGAAGATGAAGCATCAAAATGCCAAGTCATCAGCGCTAGCATCAGGACACTACCATGACTAAGACCGGGTAATATATTTCTCACGTGGAGGTGTAAGTCATTTTGGAGACAAGGTTCCTGGGGTCTTCTGCTTCTCAAAGTGTTGGAGACATCTAGCAATATTCTAGCATCTTGGCTGAGGTTTTCCGAGTACCTCCGTTCCAAGAGTGACGGAGATGCAATTCTCAAGAAGAGCATTGCCTCCAAAGCAATTTTTGCCGGACCGTACAGGATTTGGATAGGAATCGGGGCGGGCTTCTGATGTGAGCATACCATCGTCACCAGGGAGAGGGGCGGGTACTCACCATGGCTAGATCTTTGGTAATGACCAGGCGCAATTGATAGCCACCTTGGACAGTTGAGATATGTCGCTTTATAACCTCCTGGGTTGAATGAAGAAGCACCAACTTAAGTTCGAAACCTCTCCATTGATGCTGTTACCACGTGCTCGTCTATATGATTTGAATTCGTTTGGCAAATTGGCCCCATGGAGTGCTTCTCCCCTATCTCGCTTCTATTGCTTCTACCAAGCTACGTGCAAGCATTTTTGGGATCCAAAATCGAAATAAACGAGGACCTAGAGCAAACGACCCCGACTGCTGCCAGCTCCTATAGGCTGACTGAACCTGCTGTAAATGAGCCGGAAAATACTAAACCAGCGGCTGGTTATCACAGATGAAGCACTAAAATAATCAACAATCTATTCTGTCAGCGGGTATTGTACATAAATGATTTTGAGGGAAAAAGGAGTAATTCCAATCACCTTAGATCAATTAAACGGCAATCTCGCGGCGTTGCCTAGACCTTTCGTCCCCCGAAAGCATGAATAGATATAATTCTCCTCACTCTGCACCTATAGTTCCCCAAACTACTCTATTTGAATTTACTCTATAAGTCCTCTTCCTCGAGCCATATAAATCAGCAAAAGTCTCTTCTCAACACAAAAAGGTCTTGCCGGAATGTCCTCACCTTCATTCTTCAACATTGGAATTATCGATGTTAATCCAGAATTCAACCTATTTTCTGACGTCCCAATGGCCAACCTAAACTGTGCTTTCTTCATTTTCGTTATGAAGCCATGCATCCTGTAGTAGCTCCTTCGTCGTACTTCGTTCTTCGGGTTTCCATTTGGTCATCCGGTTGACGAAGCTAATAAACATCCTCTTTTCTTCCCCATCAAACTTGGAGACGGTGCTTTCAAAGCTAAAGTTACTAGGGACAAGGTCTTCCTTTTTGAGTGTGCCTGAAATGTAGTGTTAGTAATAGGGATAAGATAACTATTCAATTGAAAGATCCACTTACCAGCAGTCGTATAGAACATTGATGTCCTCTTGCCGCGGCAAACAAAGTCTAAGGGGCAGGACCCAAAAGCGACGGTATATATGCAAGATGCGTTTCTTCATCAATAACTTCAATCGTGCGTGGATCAATTGATTTAAACAGTGTTCGTCCTTCTAGAAAATCCCATAGCTTCATTTAATGGTTAGTTGTCTGTGCTAGTATGTTGTTGAGGGGGAGACACTGTGTACCATAACTCCCAGACTCCATATATCAGCACTATACGTGTACCCTCTGTCAAGGATGACCTCTGGCGCACGATATACCTCCGCCTGGATACAGCCGTCCTGAAGGTTATCACCTTGGACTGCTATGTCAAAGTCGACGACTTCAATCAGTCCGATAATGTCCTTAAGCGGTCCATAGTCCTTACGGGATAGATAGATGATGCGTCCATCGCTGCAATGCTTCTGAGGTAGTGGGGTTTCAAAACTCATCTCGAGCATTCTGGGATAAGAGGTCACGATCTTCCAGGCGTACCATTGTGTTATCCGGTTTTAAGTCTGTTTCTTCTGAATGAGAACCATATTGTTAACTAACACAAATAAGAATTCTTACCGGTATGAATGATATGACATTCAATGTGGAGATAATCAAGCGCTTGGAGTATTTCTTGGAGTTTTTTTTAAAGATCTCGGTGGCATCACGCGATCTTGCCATCGTTGGCAAATTTTCCCAGTGACTCACGTAAAGCTTCGAAGACAAGACATACATGACTCCCTCAGATTCCCTAAACAGAAAACGAGTCAAGTAATTTTTGAACGAAACGCCAACCCTCATGTTGACGGTTCGCTCTCGTTATATGCTGCAGCACCTCCAGCTCAGCGCCACCAGCAGCAGTTTATCGTGCGTGGGAATTATTGGAGTTAATTCAAGAGCCACATATCGCTCGTTCGACCAGCGCCGCCTGGACCGTCAATACGTACCTCAGAATGTGATTAGGTCAATACGAACTGGTGAAAGTCCCTTGCAAGCCACACACTCGATCTGCTTCCGTGGCCAAGCTTGGCCGGAATCTGATATCGGTCGTTAAGTATTTCACCGATCCCCTCCGGATAAACAATAGGCTGATTTGTAGTAGGGAGAGTTCTCTTCGATCACCAAGGACGGGTCGATTCGGGATGGAAGGGCGGATGGAAATGCCCAGGGCGACTGGCGAAACGCCGTGAAGGGATGCATGAGAATATTAGGAAGATTCCGCGTCAATATTCTGCACAAAGCCAAAAAAAGAATGACACAGGTTCATATGGCTTTTATGGAGAGAAGGGGTGTAGTCCGAACTTCGAGCGAATATGGCTAGTTTGGAATCCCGCAGGGCTTCGCGCCGCAAGTGGGACATTAAGGAGATTGACTGGCTAGTCACATGTCGCAATATGTCTTGTGCATCAGCGCAGCGCTAAAAAGCAATGCGGGTTCCAATCTCTAGGGAGCTCAGGTCAAAATCGCGGCAAAGGGCCCAGCATCAAGTAACTTCAAAAACAACGCCAGGACCATCCCTATCAAAATACGAAGCACTTCAGGATACAGGGGCAGAGTGCCCATCCTTTGAACAAAATTCTGTTGGGCATGTCTGATAGCAGCGTAGTTTGGTGTTCTTTTTGACTCGGTCCTAATCTCGCCATCAACATGCTATTATATCAGAATAGCACATCATGCAAGCGAAGATATAACTAGAGCATTTTACTGATCAACACACTTGAAAATCAAACAAGGCTTCCTTGTACAAGTATATCATATTTACTGATTTCGTTACTATCTGGATCTCGTGAACCGTCCCCCGTCGCTATATCACGCACCGAGCGTCTCAAGCAGGGAGTGTATGTTCTGCCGACTAACCGGTTTTTTCAGATAGATATCGATTCCAGATACATATGCCTCCCGCTGAGCATCATCACTATCCAACCCTGTCAAAGCCACGATGGTCACCGGGTACCAGGCTGGCTTTGAGGAAGGAGTTGATTTGAGATGATCCCTTTCAAACTGCCGAATTCTTTGACTGGCTACAAACCCATCCATGACTGGCATCGAGAGGTCTAATCTTGTTAGATAAGGGTTGGAAAACAAGGGAATGTTGACATACCTAGAAGAATCATTCCAAACTTCCCAGGACTAGCTTCAAATTCCCGTACGGCCTCCAGTCCATTCGTTGCTGTCGTGTAATTCAAATCTTCTTTCTTCATATAGGCAACAAGGATTTTCAGATTGACAGGGTTGTCTTCGACCAGTAATACCGACGGACGGCAGCTGCCTGATGTCTCCTCTGAAACAATCCCCGAGGACGAAGTTTCTCTCTGTGGGGCAGGAACATCCTTCTCAATTCGACCTTTGGAAGAGGTGTTAGAGCTTTCGTTATCCTGGTTTACTATGATATCTTCCGTAGGTCGTTTGCTGATTTTCATTCTGCCGTCTGGTGCGGTTCTTGGTCCAATGTCAAGCGGTAGGTGAGAAGATTCTGGCATTTCAACCCAACGCGTCTCCTCGGTGTTGATGGAACCTTGACCATCCAGTCGACGGATACACAGCCCCAAAGCCTTCGCGAGTTTGCACGGTCCACAAGGCTGGCTTATGAACTCAACAACAGATTCTTGGTTTTGGCTCATGGCACGCGCGCACAAATTGTGCGCAGTCTCAGGAGACCGAGAGATTATCACCAGCGGCGAGAACTTACTCGCCTGATCAAGAATGAGCGACTGGTTCTCTTTCACGTCTGGACTGTCGAGATCAGTATGCACCATCAGATAGAAGTCACAGGGGGCGGTATCCCCGCCCTGAAGAGACACCTTCTTGACCGTGAGATGGAACCAGTCATGGCAGAGTCGCTCCAAAGAACTGTAGAGAGTGGCGTCTTGCTCGCATGCAGGCGATGAGCCAAATCCAACCAGACCGATTGTTTTACCTTTGGCTTGATCCCTGACGAAATCGTACGCTGCGCTCGGTGAAGATCTATCAGACGTATCTGGTATTGTGGCATGCCTCATAGGAACTTCGATGGATATCTCAGTTCCTCGATTCTTCTCGGAGGTAACTTCAATAGAACCGCGAAGAGAAGCAAGCGCTTGGCGAACAATGCTCAATCCCAGTCCAGTTCCAGAGGCCAGGGCATCCTCTTGTGAGAAGGGTGTGAATAAGCCGCCTCGCAGGTAATTCGCATCAATGCCCTGGCCTGTGTCTTTGACGGTCAAGGTGACCATATATTGGCTATTGGGATCTTCAGACTGAGCAGAGTCCTGGCTTCCTGGACGAGGTACTTCGGCAGCCTTCAGCCCCACATAAATGAAACCTGAAGTGGTATAACTCAGTGCATTGCTGAAGACGTTCATTAAAACGCGGCGCCAACAACCAGACTGTGTGAAGAAGTTCCATTCTGCGGCCTCATGGATATCCAAAATGACGGTCACTTGCTTGGATGGAAGGACAACTGTGTCTGACTCTTCTCCCTTGTTCACAGACCGAGGCTGTGCACGTTGGTGATGGTAGAAGCTATGACCCGCAAAGACGCTCTCCACCACTTCCTCTAAAATAACATCTAGCTGGACGGCCGCATAGCCAATCTCGCAACTGCCGCGCCGGTTGTGCTTCAGTTTTACTCGATCCTGACCTGGATCCTCGCCAGGTCTATGTGTTGTTCCATAATTGATCTTGGACTTTCTAATGTAAGTGAAATCGAGCAAGTTATTCAAAGTGTCAAGGAGGGTACGTCCACAAGACTCGATCGTGTGAACCATTCCTTGTTGAAGTGCATTCATGAATGTGTCGCCTAACAAGTCTGAAGTTCCGAGGATGCCATGCAGTGGGCTTCTCAATTCATGCGAGATGCTGCTAACCAGGTTGGTCTTGGCTTTTTCCGCCATCTCCACATCCAGTCGGTGGACCTCGGCCATGACACTATTGCCAAAGGCACGAAGGTACGCGAGTTCGTTTTCAGATGTAAAGAACCGTTTGGGAGAACTAGTCCAGATAAGAATACCAGAAATCCATCTCGATTTGTGGGAATCCCACAGAGGCAAGAAGATAATGCTCCGGGCGCCCTCGAGCACCTTGATCAGATTATTGGCATCCCGTCTGTGGTGTGGCTTCTGTATTCTCTTTTTGGTTTCAGACCCCGATATCTGTGTTGAGGTCCCGGGGGAATTGCCACTGCTGCTGTCATCGGATAATACCCCACTCTCGTTGTAATTGAAAATTTTACCATGGGGGTACCTATTCAACATAGCTTTCAAGACAGACCCCCGAAGCGCACATTCATTACCTGACTTCGAACCAAACCTTGACTCATCATTAATGGTGGAGGATTGTGAAGTTGAAGAACCCAGGGTCTGACAGGTGGTAGTGTCTTTCTCAGAACTCGGAGCAGAAGGAACCCTGATGCTTGGCGCACTCTCGCAACCTCCTGAGTCGGTGCTGTCCGCACTGCTTGCTGTCTCATCTCCTGCCCGCGCTTTTCGCGCTTTACCGCGCTCATCCCCCACACGCCCACCGTAAGAGTCCATGCTCGCATCGAGGAAGGCAACGCCTTCCGCTTCAAGAGATTCTCGAATCAGGTTCGCCGCTCGAGAGAATATCTTCTGCAAAGAGACTGAACCCGTTTCATCCGGTATGTTGTCGCTCGAGACAGAGATTCGGAACGTTGCCTTCTCTTGTTGATTCATATCCGTCTTCGGTTCACTTTGTTCCAAATATCGTGGATTGCTGCTGGAAAATTTGGTCACTGAGACGGGGGTTGTGGCCGCCGAGCCGGGACTCTCCACGGCATCATGTGAGATATGGGGAAGGTCCGGCAAATGCCCTTTCTCAAAGGGGCGATATGGATGTTGTCGGGATGGAGAGTAATCTTGTGCTTCTTGTAGGTCTTGCTGTTCTTTATTCAACTGTCCCTCCACAATCTCGCCAGATTGTTGACCTGTAGAAGCATCTTGCTCATTTTTTGCCTCAAGCCATGAATCGCGGAGCGTAGTCTTGCCTTCTACGAAACTCCCCAGACCCAAAATCATTCTTTTAGCCTGAGTATGCTGGCTTTTCGCTTGCACCAAATCCAAGTATTCCATGACGGTCGCGGCCATTCGTTTCATGAACCTTATCGATGGTTCGTCGAGCCCGGAGTGCCGAGGTTGAGTATCGAAGATGCAGTATGACCCGATTGTGATCCCCCTAGGACTAACAATCGGTACTCCAGCATAGAACTGTGCCCTAGAAAGACATTCCGCCAAGCTGGAGATTTCGATATGCCCACTCTCCTTCATGTTTGTTATTACGAGGGCGCTGCCCCCAATAATCGCAGGATCATCCGAAGGCTGCGACAGTGGGAGAGCTGCGACGGCCCTACAGACACTATTCCGGTTAGGCAAAACACAGCATCCCAACCATAAGTCGTCGTGACCATCGAGATCCGGTAATCCAGTAGCCTCGGCTAGAATATACTGATGGGTGCGATCGAAGAGCGATATCATTGCCCGTTGGGCGCCTAGCCTCATAGCACTTAGTTGGGCGAAGGATGTTAAGGCATGGTCTTGCGATGGTTGCGCAACGAAATTCTTCTGACTGGCGTCATCGAACGGAGCGAAGGGATATGCGGAGTGATCGCGCGGGAGATATCTTGGTGAGTTAGTATGAAAACAAAGGCCATCGACGCACTGCCAACCTGTATAATTCGCGCTCGTGCGCCATATTGAAAGATGACTGCGCACTGGTCTGCTCGGCCAAAGTCATTGTGTTGGATGTTGCAGAGGAAGAAGATCTCTAAGATGTGTTCTGGTGATCGATTAAAAAGTTGGGGCAATGAGATCATCCTCACGCCTACAACGTTGTATGTCAGTTCAGTTGCGACCTGCGTTCTATCCCTATTTAACGTTTGGGTCACGGTTGAACAGCAAGGTAATTTTCAACTACCCTGCCCACCGCCTTCCAGGCTTTGCGAAGGCGGTGGGCATTTATTATGCCGGGTAGCGATGTACAGTGGTGTTCCAAGAGTATTTGACCTTGGGTACTTCCGCCGCCTAGATCCCGCCTTTCAATATTGCCTGGCGGAAACGTGAAAAGAGTGCTGAAATGACTTCAAACACAGTATATACCAGTGCGTTAGGATGCGCGAGTTTTGAACAACCAGATATAGTAGGCACTAGGCAGTCTAAATCGCGGCCAAAACCTAAAGTGGGCCAAAGTACCCAAGGTCAAAAACTCAGTGGTACCAGTGGCTTCCTGCCTCGGGTGCTGAAAGGCGGGGTAATCGGGCATACAATCAGGTCATTTAATACCAAAAGTTCAAGCATTCTCAGCCATTCTGTAACGTGTATCCTGATTGTTCCGGCAGCCCGGTCATTCCGGCAGGCACGTCAAATTCTCTACTCCTCACCATACCTCCTATTTCCAAACGCCTAGCATGCCGCCAATCCGTGGTAAAAAAGCTCAGAAATCAGTTGAGCAGGAAGGCAGAATCCTGCTAGCAATTAAGGCCATCAAAAATGGCCGGACTACCTCCATTGCTGCTGCTGCGAAAACCGTGGAGATCATACCCCCCAGACCGTTAGCAAGAATTAGCCAACAGAGTACATCAAAAGACATCCCCAACTTTCTAGTCGATTCTCTCGTAAATATGACTATAAACGCGCCTTGCTGGAAGATGCAAATACCATCCTTGGGTGGTTCAAGCTTATTGAAAAAATGATTGCTCAATATGGCATCATCTCGGATGATATCTACAGACAAGCCAGTGTTTGCGATGGAAGCGAGTGCGACGGCAAAGATCATTACACAGTCACTCTACACCGGTCGGAGGGGCGTTTTGCAACCTGGCAATCGCGAATGGTGACTGTCATTGAAACAATTTGCGCCTCCGGGCGAGCGCTCCCACCATACATTATCTTCATAGGCAAAAACTTCATGAAACGATGACTTGGCTACCTTCCAAAACATTGGACTCTTAACGTTAGTCCAAACGGCTGGACGAGTAATGAAATTGGCGTTGATTGGCTCCAAAGACACTTCGTTCCGCAACTGAAATGGAAGTCAGACGAAAGGAAAACATTGTCTTTTGGTCCTTGACGGCCACGAAAAGTCATCTCACCGCGACATTCGACAAAATTTGCCAGGAAAACAACATTGTACCAATCTGCATGCCTCGGCATGCCTTTCATCTTTTACAGCCTCTTGATGTTGGTTGTTTTGCGGTGTTAAAGCGCTCTTACGGAAGGCGGGTTGTGGAATACACCCGATTAGCCATCGATTCTATCGAGAAAGATGACTTCCTTGAGATCTTTCTAGAAACTCGTAACGATTCATTCAAACACTCTATAGTTCAGAGTGCCTTCACAGCTACTGGTTTAGTGCCATTAGACCCCGATCGGTTGCTGTCAAAGTTGAACATTCGCCTTCAATCTCCGCCTCTACCGGATCGACCAGTTTCGCAAGGTTCGACATGAGGTAGCAATATCTCTACCGGTATGCCTCAGATGGCTAGGCAAGGCTCGTTCTGGTCTAAGTTCAGCTGCTGATAAGATCTCTTCGCCTACAAAACGTGATCTTCAACAGTTCTACAATATGTCAGTCAAACTAGTTCATGAGAGGATCTTGATGCGGGATGAAATCAAACTTTACGGGAGGGGAATAGAAAGCAGACAAGCAAGAGGGAGAAATCAAAGAAGCAGATATCCCACAAAGGCAGTTTAACAGAGCTTCCGGATCCTACTCCCAATGTTGGTGGCGAGGAAGGTGCCAGTGTGAGATATATATCTGATCCTACACCCGCTCCAGAACCCGATGTTGAACACACATTCCCTGTTTTACCTCCTGTGCGTCGGCAAATCACCTGTTCTGTGTGTGGTCAGAAAGGGCATTCCATGAGGAAATGCTCCAAAACCTAGTTTAATGAAATTTATGGTGTTCTGGTCGTTTAATTCGCGTTTAAAAAATGTAGAAAAGTTGGAAGTTTTGATCGGCGTTGAAAAAGGCGAACAAGATGGGAGAGGTCGAGAGTGGTGATCCTTGCGCCAGGCCTGCGTTCGCCCGGGGCTGTGTCTCGGTTCAGAAGTTGTCAAATCCCATGTTGGCGTGCCGATAGCTCATGAAGCTGGCAATCTATTTCCTTGCTTGATATTGGGGTCCTTGTCACCTGTAGCGAGGCATCCAGACTTACCCAGTTCACCCCGTCGAGGGCGCCTTTGATGTCGAACGAGATCAGTGTCATCACTTTGTGTCTGTACCATGCTTTGTCGATCGCATTAGATAGCACTAGTAAGGCTTGCTCCGTGTTCTGTGATCGGCTTCATTTATGATGTAAATTCACATCAAGAAAGGGGCCTACCGTACCGTAACAGCTAACTTATCAATTTTTTGTTGTGGATGTATCAATTCCCTGATCAGATCAGGCCGCTCCGAGGCGTGCTCAGTTCTACCCAGTGAGCGAAAAGCGGCAAGGTCTGAGCACTAAAACGGAAGGGGAAAGCCAAGAAGTGGCAGAGGAAATCCGCTACATAGGACTGTGAGGGAAGGACTACGTTGTCACATGATGGACATGATGGGAGGAACTGGCTGTAGTGCTCTTGATCTCTCTCTTCTGTTTCTTTTCTCTTTTAGTTTGTCCCCAGTCTTGTTGTTTGAGGCAAAGGAATCGATTTATTTTTTCTGCACTACTGCTCTTATGTCTCACTCTCCCAAGGATGATTTCTCGCATCACCTTTATGAGTTCATCGAAGAAGTGGAAAAGTTAGAAAGCTATTGCGTGGGAGGCTATCACCCTATAACAATCGGTGATTCTATTCATGATCGCTATCAAGTGGTTCAAAAGCTCGGCCACGGCACGTACTCAACCGTCTGGCTAGCCCAGGATCAAAAATTTGGCAAATACGTCGCTATCAAAGTGTGTACCGCGAATTCGAACCCACATGAATTCAGCGTCCTTTCGGAACTTTCCACGCAACAAAGCTCAAGCATTAGCTTAGGAAAGGCAATGATACCTTCGGTATTAGATAGATTCGAGATTCGAGGACCGAATGGTACGCACCCTTGTTACGTGACAATCCCGGCGAGAATGAGTCTTTCCGATGCAAAAGATGGATCATATAACCGCCTCTTCCAGTTAGAGGTTGCTCGGGCCTTGGGTGCACAGCTAGTCCTTGCAGTTGAGTACGTCCACTCTCAAGGGTTCGTTCACGGGGATCTTCATTATGGAAATGTTCTCGTCCAGCCACCTTTCGACCTAAACCAACTCCCTGTGGAGGAATTATACAAAAAGTACGGAGAGCCGGATTTTGAAGCAATACGACGGTTCGATGGGCAACCGCTCCCACCAAATATCCCATCACGGGCCGTGTTACCAGTCTGGCTCGGTGAAGCAAGTGACAATCTTAAACTCTCAGGAGCCAAGATCTTGCTCAGTGATTTCGGAGAGGCGTTCTCCCCTTCCAAGCAACAGAGATTTGAGTCCCACACTCCGCTTGTGGGCCGACCATCTGAGGCTCGGTTTGAACCACATAAGCCTCTGTCCTTCCCATCAGACATCTGGTCACTCGGATGCTCTTTATGGGACATCATAGGTCAGAGCTCACTTTTTGACGGCATGTTTGCCACCGAAGATAGCATTACTTGCGAACATGTCGATACACTTGGTATGCTGCCCCCGGAATGGTGGGATAAATGGGAGGGGCGACATGATAGTTTCACGGAAGATGGCAAACCGATCAATCGGAACCCTTACCGGTCGTGGGAGGACCGGTTCGAACAAGATATACAGGAGCCTCGACAGAGGAACGGCATGCCGCGCATTGAAATGGCCGAGAGAGATGCTATCTTTAAGATGCTGAAGTCGATGCTTGAATTCAGGCCTGAGAATCGCTCTACTGCGAAGCAGGTTCTCGAATGTGAATGGATGGTCAAATGGGCTTTGCCTGAGTACGAGAAGATTCGAAGCATATGATTACAGCAAAGCACTTCCGTTGCATGAATCGTCTGCGTACCGCCTCATACTGTGACTACCATGAATTCCCTCTCAACCATCATATTCCTCATATCGCTGGTCAGCCTAAGTCACTTTCAGTTCTGTTAGGTTGTTACCTTCGAGATGTGGATGCTCAATCCCACCGGCCGGAGTTGTGACTGAGGCATTATCTGGCTAATGATTTTATGATTGTACGATTAGACGATGTTATGAGATATGATTCTATGAGTTAGAATGTATGATGTGTTTCTTTACAAGCTATCTTCTGTCCAAACGTAGATGTAGTACAATAATGATTCTCGCTATAGATGGGGAATTGGCAAGACACGTTGCTGCAGATGTAATACCTCAACGTCCTGCCAAAAGACCAAACAGCATCTCTGTCCGAGACCAGGACTCATTTGCAAGCTTCTTAATCATCTCAACAGTCTCCGCATTGCAACCAGCACTCTTCTGAGCTCGCTCGATATTAGCGAGCTGATTCTTTTTACCGAGCATCTCGGAAAGATACAGAGAGTCGAAGAACAGCTGCACCTTCCAGTCATTAAGTCTTTCACTTTGATCTGAATCAGTGCTCTCAGACGTAGTCTTCTTCGAACCCTGCTGTTCCTCCTCGTCACCGCTAGTGTGTTGATCATGCTCCTTCTTACTCTCGGTTCCACTGGTATCTGCACTATCAAGAACATCCAGCGAGGACGAGAACACAGACCCAAGCTGCATTTTCAAATCCTGCTTCAACACCTGTACCGTGGACGGATCCCACAGATCCAATCCACACGTATTCATAGCAAAAGTAAGACGGCGCAGGAGCTTGAAGCTTGAAACCGATGGCTGAACGGGTATAGCGGGTTCCCCTTCCCAGAGTGAGCGACCTGGTAAGACTTTGATTTTTCCTGTTTGTGGGTGGTTCAGCGGGGACGGAACGAAGCTCGGCGGACCGGCCTTGCTCATGACTTCTGTTGCTAGGATTTTCTGTAATTCCGGGACGATATCGGACGAGAAGATGAAGTCTGACGATACGAAGGTGGCAGAGATATTTCGTCGGATGAGTCGGATGAGTCTAAGTAGGAAAGTGGCTTTTTGGCTTGAATGCGAGGGGCCGAATGACTTGAAGGTGTCGCTGAATGATGTTTGTAGAGCGCTGAATGCCTCTCGAACTGCGGAGTGCAGGGAGTCAGACAGATGCTTGGGATCATCCTCGTTGAGTAGAGGTGTGATGTCAATATCATCATCGTCGATCTCGGTGCCGATGAAAATATCAGTCCAGCGCATGCGACGGAGAGAGTCGATTGACTCGTTGACTTCTTCGATTGAGGATAGCCATGCTTCGTATTTCACGAGTACGGTGGATACGTCTTCATCACGGCCCAGCAGTCTGTCTGCCACAGTTCTTTTGAATGTTTGTGCGCCATTCATGTATTCTGCAGTGGTGAGATCGGAGTCCCACAGAGATCCGACGGAGGTGTGGTCGACTTCCTCCCACTTTGATATTAGGGTTGAGACTTGAGTTCCGACGTCGTCTAGGCTTTGGGCTTGTACATTCAAGATTCTTCTGAGATGATCATTGAAGATATTTCGAAGTCGATCAAGGACATCCACTGAGCCGTGTATGATAGTTGATCCCCAAGATGAGAGCCACAGCTCCACAGTCTCGGTACGCAACGAAAGAAGTTCGGAGAATTCAGTGCTGTGAACCAGGGTCTTTTGGCAGCCTTCGGCGAATTTCTCGAAGGCATGGAGAGACCATTCTTTGATCGATTCGATGCCCTGGCTCCTGCTTAGTTCACTCAGTTTAATCCATGGGGTAAAGTTGGTGACATCTGGAGCTACCCAGCGGCCCAGAACTTCAACTTCCAGGCCATCTAGGGTCTGGATCTCGGGATCGGCAAGCAGAGGTCGAGCCTTGAGCTTTGAGAGAACGTCGGCAAACTGACGGGATCGCAATACCTTTGAGACCTGTAGCGTCTGAACAAAGAGTTTGAGAGCCCTGGGTATGTTCTCACGAGACGAATCCAGCTGGCTGGTTATAACGTCCAGACGCACTTGATGGAAATGATGGATGGCATCATCAGAAGAAGAGCTCGTTGCAAGGCAGTATGCAGCCAATGATTCGATAATGACATCCTCTGTGGCATTGGCAGATGCAAGGCGTTTATCAATTCGTTTGAGAAGGGTTCGCCGAAGGGAAGCCAACTGATTGCGGAGATCGTCAAGGAACGGAGGAAGCGATTCGTGTTGTGATAGTGTCTTGTGTAATAATCGAGAGACAACCAGAATCTTTGCAACCAACAAGAGAGATGTGCGACGCCGTAGCAGCCGGCTGATGGACGTTGTGCATCGGTGAAGGAAAGAAAGCTGCGCGCCAAACGCGTGTTTTTCTGCGTCTGTAGGCCCAATATCAGCCACAGCTTCCTCATATCCTCCAAATAGTTTCTTACCTTTCTCAGCATCACCAGTCTTTATTTGCCGGACATGGACATGCTTCCTCTCCACGAGTCGGGGATTGCACCGACGTCCCACGTCGGCTAGGAGGCTTTCCACGTCCTGAATGTCGCGGTTCATAGCCACAATTGTCTCGGCAGTCCCGACTAGCTCACGATATCTCGTCCTTCATACAGATGATAAGTTAGTAAAATCACACCTATCCCGGGGATCAATGACCTACCCTACAAGAGCTCGGAGCTTCTCCTTATTGCTCGCGATGTCCCGGCGCAGCTCCTGTTCCACACGGCGAACCGTGGGAATCGGGTATTGGAATGCATCGTGCCACGACTTCAAGCTCTGAGGATCAGGTGCCTCAGGAGCCATGCTGGCGGGATAGGCGATGAGACCGTGGGAATAAAGAACAAGTAGATCAATGCGACGCGGATGCCTGAGCGCCTTGGCCTCCAGGGTTACTCAGCCTTATCGTTATCGGCACATGATGGCAGAAAAAGTCCCCCGCCACCGAGGGGGACATCGCAGACGTCTGGAATTTGAGACCTCACACAAATCTATATACAAAATGCCATTGCTTGAGTCTGAGCCTGGTCCAGCGGAGTCATCAAGTGATCTCCCAGATCGCCTCCCATTCCCACCTACTACCTACTCCCACATCTTGCACTGCTCTTATCATGACTGGCATCAGCGGTATGCTACCATATATGACTCAACACCAAACATATCTGACTAAAAGCATAGTTACCGCACCCTCGTTCCCAGATCGCGTGTGATCCCGTTGACTAGACCCTTTGTCGAATACCTCCGCGCCGACGGCATTGTCCTTCCACCTGAAGCCGTTGCCCCCACCGACGATGATAACCTGGACACATTCTCCGATTCGGGCGAGGAGGAGCCCGACCCATCCACCGAATGGAATGAGATTCACACCCAGATCAAGAACACGATTGCCGATTTTGGAGGCATCGTAACCCCGAAACTGAACTGGAGCGCCCCGAAAGATGCAACATTCATGGCCGCTACCAACGACACCCAATGCCGGTCTCCAAATGACATCTATCTCCTATTGAAGAGCAGCGACTTCGTTACCCATGATCTAGACCACGCCTTCGACGACTGTGTGCCGGACACAAACACCCCATCTACCGTTGACTCACCATTGCCGGAGATTCCGTATTCCCTGGTTCTTCGCAAATATGTCAACTTCAACCCGTCTCTCGAGTTCCGTTGCTTCGTGCGCAACCGCGTGCTACTATGCATAACTCAGCGTGATCAAAACCACTTTGACTTCCTCTTCCCCATGCGCGATATGCTCCGGTCCCGGATCCAGTCATTCTTTGACGAAAAGCTCAAGACTACCTTCCCGGAAGACAACTTTGTGTTTGACGTGTATATCCCGGCACCGCATCAGCGCGTCTGGTTGATTGATATCAACCCATGGGCGCAGCGTACCGATCCGCTGACCTACAGCTGGCTCGAGATTCTCCAGAAGAAGGATCCGATTGGTGTGCAAGAGGAAGATGACACGGCGGAAGAGTTTGTGAGGATTTCTCTTCACGATGGCAAAATCGTTGACACTGGGGCGGCGGAAGAAGAAAAAGACGGCGAATCAAGTTCTTCCGACTCGGAGGGAGAGAACGAGGCCGCAGAAGGGGATGACGAACAGGCTCCCTTCCTCCCGGAGTTCCGTCTGATCAAGAAGGACGATCCTGAGGCGTATGCATTCAGCTCTACGCAGTATTCGGCTCACAAGGTGCCGAGGGAGTTGGTGGATGCTTCGCTCCAAGGACCTGGCGGTATGAGTGAATTCATGGGCCAGTGGCATGAGATATTGAAGAAGCAGGAGCAGGAAGATCAGGCCAGCAGTGATTCTGAATAGGAGAATCTTGGTGGGCGTTAAGTTTGATAAAAGCGTGTGTGAGGTGATGGCGTTTGGAAATTTGCAAATATTGGGAATTGCATCATGGATCACGACATGATTTACGCAGTATCGGTGATTCAAAATAACGACATGGATACATTCAGATTGTACAACCGAAGAGCCCATACCACATGTGTACAGTGTAATGAAGGCCCGATGGGCAGCTGTATTCTTATAGCTATATACGGAGAGATCCGACCACTTTAACCTCCTAGAGCTTATGTCTCTTCTCACCAGACGCCAACCGCCTGAATTCCTCCTGGGGATAACCAGCCAAGAACCGCTCAAGACCGGCAAAGGCCTCAATGCCATTCTGGCGATCCAAAAGCTCCCTCTCAGGCCGTCTAATCAACTCCTTAATGCCGAGCAAACTAGTCTGGTTCAAGTGTGTACCAAGACGATCCTCAACCTCGGCAAGCACCTTCTTCAAGAAACCCTCGGAATCATCCTTCTTCCCGGAATCAGGCGTAATAACCTTATTAACGAAGCCCGCAGCAACAAGCTCCTCACAAGTAATCCGCTTACTCATGATAAGAGCCTCGTTGGCCTTAGCAATGCCGAGACGCTCGACAAAGGCGCGGCTGGCGCCGCCCTCGGCAACGAGACCGAGCGAGGAGAACGGGGTCAGGATGAAGGTGTGCGGGGCAGCGTAGATGAAGTCCGCATGGGCGACGAGCGCAGCAGAGAGACCGACAGCAGGACCGTTCAGCGCGACGACGAGGATCTTGGAGTGATTGTAGAAAGAGCGGGTGACGTCGACGTTGTTGGCCACAAAGCCTTTGACGAGCTCGCGACGGACGCTGGAGCTTAGGCCGCCGGTGCCGGGACGGGTGCTATTTACGTCTGCGCCACTGTGGGAATGAATGTTAGATTTGCTTTTCATTTTTCTAGAATTTCCACAATATGATTGAATGATAGAAGGAATGACATACGCCGAGAAGAAACGACCAGTTCCAGTGACGACTGTGATGAAAATATCCTTTCGTGCATCGATCTCGCGCAGGCGCTCGCCTAGCAGGTAGTACAGATCGGCATTGAGGGCGTTTAGCTTGTCGGGCCGATTGAGGGTCACGATTGCTACGCGATCCTGGTAGGAGACGGTGATGATATTCTCGTTTGACATTTTGGGAATATTCAAGGATGGAAATATTCTTGACAATAATGAAAAAGAAGGGGATGCAGCTGGGTTTATCAGTGGAGCTGTTATGCGATACCCGGTCATCAAGCGCCGAGCTGGTGGCTTTGCGGGGAGCCGAGGCCCGCGGTGATCAGGTCGATGACATATCTTTCAGGCATCAATTTATGTGGAGAAATGAAAAGCATCAACTACGGAGTACACAGTAGCGAGCCTGGCCGGCGCGTATGCGGGGTCGATGTTATACGCGTATTTCCTGGGCATATCAGGTTCAGTAACGAATACGCAGTGCTGCGTATTCCTGATCCAGTCAATTGCGATGCCATGCCTCCATAAAAGCGGATCAATAGGAGAGCCCACTGTACTGCGTGCATAAACAATGCCCTTATGACTATGAGTTATGACTTATGAGACACTTTCATACGACACTCTGAATGAGAATACCCTATAAAGATGCTAGTGAGAAGACTTCCATAAATCTTGGTCCGCTTGATGCTATCTTAACATTTCCAATCAATAAGAAGATTATCGCTTTTGCCTCCCTTGCATCCCCTCTCCGGTAATTTGCTAGAGATGACGGGAATACGTAGATATCAGACTCGCCAATTGGCACGTGCATTCAATCTAAGATTCAAACAAATGCATCAAGTCGATAGTCGAACCTGGGTCGGGTGTATTATCCACGAGACTTCTAGACGCCAGGATTACCTTCTGTAAACAGCGGTATAGTCATGAATCTAGTACTAACTCAGAAACCCTGTATACCTGGAGCTTGCCAGAGCGATACCACAACAACGCCATCGTCAAAATCAGTAAAACAGCCCCAGGCCATGCGAAAGTTGTTTCTTTCTTCTTCTTGGATATCATCCAGCGAGGACCTGAGCGCTGTGGTAGTGGAATGAAGGTCAACGCCGTTGCCTTATCAAGAATCTCCATAGCTCTTTCAATCGGGTCATTTCCAGAGTATGGCACGTAATACCGCAAGACAAACTTCCAAAGAAGGTTATCGCGTGTCTGTAGTTTCACCACCATGCGTGAAGCCTTGTAAATTCCCGCCATACGACCAACTTGCAACTTATTGAATCGGGACAGGTGGTAGTCAATCTGCTGATCAGAGAGGCTGTGGGGGTAGCTTCCTCTTTTCAGAGCGTCATATAACACGTTGGCCAGAGAAGCAGCATCTTCAATGGCGCAGTTGGCACCCTGTGCGAGGTTCGGCGTCATCTGGATATGTGTTAGACTCATAGTTACTGCCAACTGATGACTGGGCCGTACCTTGTGCATGCTGTCGCCGATACAGACCATCCGTCCGAAGTGCCAATTTTGAAAGATATTTTCTTCCAACGGAGTCATGGAGTATGTCTGTTGCCTTTCCCATATCTGCGAGAACTGAATATCCTTCCATATGTACATGTCCTTCAGCTGTTCGCATATTAAGGAAGCATTGGTGGACGAGAAACGGGGTGCACTGCCGTATGCGTATGTCTTATCCAATTTCAAAACCACGAACCAGGAAAGCTGGCCCTGAAGCCCAGGGGCAATGATGAAGGACTTCCCGTCATAGACGCTGATATGCAGGTTGCCAATGTCCAATCCAGGAATCTCCGTGGAAATGCCGAAGATACAGGCATAACTCACTGTCATCCCTGATTCAGCAACATGTTAGCCTCTTTACTCAGATGTTATGAGAATGCATATCAGCCTACCGTTCTTTTCGTTCTTCGGGATGGTGCCTGGCCGCAGCGTATCGGCGAGGTGCCACATTTGTGTCCGCACACAACTATGGACGCCGTCGGCCCCAACGATTAGGTCACCTTTATAAGATCGTCCATCTCGAGTATGTACCTGTACCCCACTGGAATGATGATCAATCCGAACAACAGTCTCGCCCACGTGTATCTTGGACTTGTCAGGAAACCCATGATACAGAATGTGGAGTAGCGCCTGCCGACTAATGAAAGCCATTGGGAATCCGAAGCTAAGAAGACAATCAGTCACCTATCCGAAACACAATATCCTGCACAACATACGCTTCATGCATAGCCTCGGGGTACGGGTTGCTGAAATGGAAGCCATCTGGATAGCGAACATGGGCTACACGCATAGGCTCGATGAGCTTCTCCACGGCGTCATACATGCCCAGCTGCTTCAGGATTCGGCCTCCATTGGGCATAATCCCAACAGAGGCCCCTTCATGGGCTGTAATCTGGGCTCGTTTCTCGAGAACGGTGCATTCGATGCCTGCCCTTTGTAGACAATGTGCCAGTGAAAGACCCGCAATGGACCCCCCGACAATAATCACCGTGAATTTGGTCTCATCCATATCTTCGCAATAGCAGCTTACACCGGAAGGTGACGATTAGCTGCGAGGTGTAGGATAAGTAATCATATTACCAGAAATCTTCAGGGCCGTAGTTTAGGGAGCTATGATCTCAAATAGGAAGCTACAATTTCAAATACAAGTTTCTGCTTCTGTCCAACTGCAACAAGCAAGCTAGATTACTCACTATGACACCCGTGTCCACTGCGATCCTACCTTGCACAGCAAGCTATATGCATCTTAGTGACCGATTTGGCAGCTTTGTGAGAGCCAGCCAATCGGTTTGCGTCGGTGCCGTTTGCAGTCCAGTCCGGCCCCGGAGCCATGGTAGGCTATCGATTTAATCTCCGAGTTGATCTGAATGACAGGTGATAGGCAGATTAATTTCCGATTTGGACAGTTGGGGAATCGGGTGAAGTTTGCATAGAACTCTATACGCACTCCTGATTCTACAAGTTGTGCGGCTCTAAAGCAAGTATCTTGATCAAAAGTTGATTCATGACTATGTGATTCCTGCTATGACACAGCGAACATTTCATTGTACGAATATTGCTCCCAGGTCTGGAGTCACTTCGGTTCCCTTTTCTGGAGAGCCTCTACTCTTCGCTCGTACTTCCGAATGTACCATAAACATCCTCCATATGAGAAATCCAACACAAAAAAGGCCGCACCAGCCCACCAACCTATGGGGTTGTGCCATACAACATCAGAATAGCCGTACTTGTATCTCAGTATCTCATGCGGCAGCGCAAGGACAGTTCCCAAGAAACGGCTAATCCTACAACCAGAAAAGAAGTTGTCAGCATCATATACCACTAATGCACGAGAGGTTGTTTCTTACCATATGAAGAAAGAAGTGCCTCGCGAACTTCCCCTAACAACAAGTTGACAAAGCCCACCGGCACTCAGAAACAGCTGACAAAAGCAAGAACTCCATCCCGCGGCCGGAGTATGTCCAAAGTGAGCGACCAAGGCGAGATGCGCCGTAAACCAACCAGCAATACTAACTCCAAATATCAAAGGCAGATTCCTCTGTACCAGGGGGGCATGAGCCCACTCGTTCGGAGCAAATTTCATGGCCGAATACATGACCATGAAATTGAGGCTCAGCCAGGCGCCGAAGATGTACGGCCAGAGCGGTATGTTGGGTGGGTAGAGCACGCCATAGACGAACTCGCAGGCGATATTGCAGCAGAGAGGCATCAGTGCCATTCCATAGGTACGGTCTTGGAAGGATTTGTGGATCATTGCAATGTAGTTGGCCAACCACCCTATACACATTCCGAGCCCGAGAATGGTGAGGGACCAAGGGTAGTCATTGCCGAGGATTGCTGGAGACTCTGTCTGCGAGTGAGACATCTTGCTGCTTGGTGGAAATTAGGGCACAGTTGCTGCTATGTGGCAACCTGTATACAGTTGATCGTTGAAGGTCCAAACCTGCGATTAAGTAGCTTCATGATGTTGCCACCTACACACCGATGCGATCAAGCCACTGCCATTCTTTTCTCTGTTCTGAACACGATACCGGATTCAAAGATGCAGAATCAGGGATGGACCAGGGCGGTTGTTCACTTACGGATGGATCCGGCAACGCCACACCCCCTGAAGGCGCTGGAAGACCGATTTCTGACCAAGGTTACTTCACCAAAGAGCTAATCCGTAATTATTTCTGTCAACATTGTCAACTGGACATTTGCGGCGAGACGGATAGGACATCCGCCAATTTCAAGCTAACGTTCCTTTTATCTCATTGAGCTATAAACGCTTTGGGCCTCAGGATGGCCAGTACACCCTGTACATTCTCTGTCTCAGAGCTTTACAGGGCCTAAAGGACTGTTTTGAGCGCAAGTCCCGCGACGAGCCGTGTATTTGAGAATAAGACTCCCTGGCCCACATTTCTCGGCGAATACCTCCGGCCCCCCGGGGACGGCCCGGACGGGGTAGCTAGGCAAAGCTAACTCATTAAGATTAAGATTAAGGTTGACACCAGGTAGAGCAATGACTAAAGCTGAGCTTAATTATACAAAACCAAGATATGAGGATGACTCGAACGAATCACCGCGAACCAGGTGGTAATAACCGCCACATCTAGAACCAGGGGGATTGTGATTTGGAAGGCTGACCACCCACCCCCTTGCGATTTGGAAGAAATACGATGTACCGTACGGTCTATGGTGGTATAGGACACGTCACGAACACAAAAGACCTCGCTCTTGAACCAATCATCAGCTAAGATTCACTATACACCCAGTAACAGCGGTGCAAGAGGGCGCATCATAGAGAAATCTCCGACCCATGCGCTGCACTTCATGTAGCGCTCTTTGTGCTAGCTGGTGAATAGGGACCGTAACCTTCACAATGCGATACCCCAGGCTCGAGGGCCTAGATGGCATTCCGTGACGGTTACATTCACCTGCGCAATTCAGCTGTAACCTAGGTAACAAACCTTCTCATCTCCTGTTCACCTCTCAAAGTTTGAATATTCTGGACTAGCTTAGGACACTAGGAGTTTGCTATAGGAGAGTTAATGAAACGGCAACAAACGAAATATTCCAAACGTCATCAATGACTGCAAGAAGCTACAGCAACTTGGTTATATTCGACGAGATCATCGCCATCAAAAGCAAGTTTCTGATCCATGCCAATCTGATCGAAGTACCATACCCCTTGCTTCATTCTCTTGCAAAAAGAAGTCCTCCGCCAGGACAATGTCGCAGACAGACGCGATTACGACGCAAACTACAACGCTTGTCGGCTGTCCCAAAGATGAACTCTTGCTATCTCGAGTCAAGCACTCGCTCTTACTCGCCGCTCAGCACAGCAAAGAGCAGATCAAACCAGACGGACACTGGTGCGGCGAAGTGAAAACAAACGTAACGACGACTGCGGAGTGTGTCTTCCTATACTACTCGCTAGGCATCGACCTCACGAAGGACCGTGAAGCAATCATCCAATGGCTCCTTTCCGAACAAAGACCCGACGGCTCTTGGAGCATTGCCCCGCGCTATCCAGGCGACATATCACTAACAGTAGAGGCTTATCTTGCTCTGAAGATCCTGGGTGTCCCCCAGGAGAGCCCGGTAATGCAAAAAGCGTGCGAATTCGTTCTAGCAGTCGGTGGTGTCGCCAAAGTCCGCATCTTCACCCGCATATACCTCGCCATGTTCGGTCTCTTCCCCTGGGCAGTTGTACCAGAGTTGCCTCCCGAGTTGATTCTTGTGCCTTCGATGTTACCCATCTCGATCTACCAATGGGCGGCTTGGGCACGGGCTACAGTTGTCCCACTGCTGATTATCTCACACCATCGTCCGATCTACGCCCTACCCAATGGCAAGTCCGAGTCGAACACGTACTTGGATGAACTGTGGACGGACCCTGCAAACAAGATGGCGCCCTATGGAGCTAGTGTGTTCACATCGTGGAGTTCAGATGCCGCTGTCTTCGCATTCACCCTCCTTGACTCGATTCTACATCGCCTCAACGGACTGAGAACGTTCAACCCCGTCCGTCGATATGCAGTACAAAAGTGTGTGGATTGGATTCTTGAACACCAAGAGGCGGCGGGTGATTTTGGGGACATCATGCCGCCACTGCATGGGGCTATGTTCGCACTGAGCTTGGAAGGATACGCTCTAGACTCGGACCCTATGCACCGGGGATTAAAAGCGATCGAGCGCTTCTCATGGTCTGACCAACGCGGGAAGAGGATTCAAACGACAGTCTCTGCTTTCTGGGATACTAGCTTGATGGTTATCGGTCTCAGTGATGCAGGGGTGCTACCAAAAAGCACCTTCCTTGCAAAGTCAATGTCCTGGATACGCCGCCGACAGATCTCCAGTGACCACGGTGACTGGAAAGTCTACAACCCCAGACTAAAGCCCGGCGCATTCAGCTTCGGATATTTTAACACCTGGTATCCCGACGTGGACGACACCGCAGCGGCCGTGGTCTCCATGATCAGACAAGACGCTCATCCCATGCAATCCCCCCATATCCAGGATGCACTGACATGGCTCCTCGGAATGCAGAACGCCGACGGCGGCTGGGGCGCCTTCGACCGAGACAACAACAAACTCTTCCTCAACAAGATCCCATTCAGCGACATGGAGGCCCTCTGTGACCCGTCCACCCCAGACGTCACCGGTCACGTCCTCGAAGCCTTCGGCATCTTCCTCTCAGTCATCCGCCAGCATAACACGCAACACAAAGTCCAAACCGAACGAGACGACCTCGTTGACCGATTAACCTCCGCCTCCCAGCGAGCAATCTACTACCTCTCAGACGCACAAGAATCTTCCGGCGCCTGGTTCGGCCGCTGGGGCTGCAACTACATCTACGGCACCAGCTCCGTCCTCTACGCGCTAGCATACTTCGTCGGCACCCGCGAAAACACGAAGTGGATTGAGCGCGACGACAGCATCCACGACGGCGTCAACTCCGCAATACTCTGGTTGGAAGCTACTCAAAATGCCGACGGCGGCTGGGGCGAGACACTGCATTCCTACAAGGATCCGCTTCGGGCTGGCACGGGTCCTTCAACAGCGTCGCAGACGGCTTGGGCGCTCATGGCGCTGATTCCTTATCTGGAACCGTCGAGTAGGGCGGTGCGGCAGGGGGTGGAGTATTTGCTTCGCACGCAACGGAAGACTGGTGGACAAGGGGCGACTTGGCCGGAGAAGTATTATACTGGGACTGGGTTCCCGAGTCATTTCTATATTGGGTATTCGTTTTATCCGCATTATTTCCCGTTGATGGCGCTTGGGAGGTATGCGAGTTCGTTGGGTCATCGGCCGTTGAGTCATTTCAGTGTTGAGGATTGACTGTGCTTGGTTTCTAGCATAATATACGAATGCTTCATCAGGCTTTTCCTTCCATATTGTGATCTTGTAAAACAGACCGCGGAGTAGATGAAGCTGTTTTTATTCGTGCCAAGTCCGCATGCACACTGGTACAGTCATACTACTCATTTCGTCTTCCCCTCTTTTGAGGCTCAAATAATTACCTTCTCTCAATGTGATTGGTCAATTTGACTGTTGTAGGCTAAATCCAATGCATCTAGTTCCTGGCGCTAACCGCCAAGCGAGCACGCCGGCTCCCTACTCGTCGGGCTACCCTACTACTAGTACTCTTTAAGCATCTTCGCTAATGAAATCTGAGACAAATGCCAATGAAGCTACCTAGAACCCCATGGCTTACAGGCCAAGGCTGAGCTAGTGAAGGAAGCCTGTCACGTTGTGATTAGGACAAACAAACGACTCAAAAAGGAGATGTTCCCCTTGAAATTGGTGGATTTCTTTTTTTCCAAAAGAACCATCCACTCTTCTTTTCAAATAAACACATTAAATTGTTCATTCCTTAAAATCCACAAAAATGCGGGTAGCCTCAATTCTCACCATGGCAGCTCTAGCCGCCGCCGAAACCACCACAACAATCGGCTTCCTCGGCGCCGACTTTGTCGACATCACCATCCCATCCTACACGAGCATCGCCGCCAGCATCACCGGAATCAACGCGTTAGCCACCACCTACGTGGTGAAATGTCTCAAAGACGCCCCGAAGTCCGACTGCCACATCGAAGACCCCTGGACCATCATCCAAGGCCAGAACACCATGAGCTTGACCGGTGTCTACACTGCCTGGAGCACGGGGGATGTCAATGCCGTAACTGCCACCCGTGACATCCAGTGCTCTTTTACTGCGATATCGGAATCCGTGTCTTGCTCGATTAGTTACCAGATGACCGGCACGGTCAACGGTATGTCGACTAGCACTTCGACTTCCACTTCGACGAAGACTATCCCGACAGATAAGATCACCTACTATGGTCTGGCGGTTACGGGTGGCATAGAATCTTTCACTGCTACTGAGGCTACACACACTCCGAGTGGTGCTGCTGGGGCTCAGAAGCCGTTGATTACGGCGGCGCCGATGGGTGTTGCGGCTGCTCTTGGTTTGGCGGCTTTGCTTTGAGTTGACCTTTTGGTTGTATATGAATATGATTTGTTTAATATGGAGGATCTGAATATGTACATCTGATATGATAGTCAATACATACGAGCAGTCGTCTATCGCTTTTGTTTGTGTTACTGACAATTGGGGCCTGAACCTATTAACCCTGTCTGCTCGCGCATTAATGGCTTTTGCTAGTCGATAGTCTCCGTCTCCTTCTTTCCTTACCCTTGGCAAGTCTGTAATCAACTTGATTCAACAAAAAGCTTCTGTCCAATGGTCAGTATCCATTTGCATGATATTGGTATCAAACCCGAATAAGCGCTCTCCGTGCGCCAGATTTTGCAGAAATGTTATACATGGAGAGCAATTGAAGAGAGAGAAGCTAGCAAGCACGTACACTCCCCAATACTCTGGCGTGTGTGCTGAGTTCCAGACGCATTTTTAGCGAGCTCCCCGCTAACTGACAAGCCTCCAGCCAACTGGTAAGTCTGCCGCCAACTGGCAAGGCTAATGGATATCATCATATATGATATCCCTACAAATTGCCCCTAACCCCGCTGCACACGTGCCTTTAGTTATGGCAAGGCCAACATGGGATATTGAGAAGAATTTGGAACCTCGTGGTGTCTATACCTCCAAGGATCCGTGGAAGATATTTGCAGAGTAGCAGAACTACCTCTGTATAAAGGAAAAGCAAAGAGGCCAGCTGCTCCAACATCATATGCCCCAAATGCAATGCGTTCTCAATACCATGGAAGGACATATGATATAATATTTCCCATAATAGAGCTTGTCCTTGTGTCAATATACACAGCGGAGGAAGAGTACGTACAAGCTCGATACCGGATGGCCTCGCTCCTCTCTCCTCTCTCCTCGCTCCTCTCTCCTCTCTCCTCTCTCTCTCTCCTCTCTCCTCTCTCCTCGCTCCTCTCTCCTCTCTCCTCTCTCCTCTCTCTCCGCTCCCTGTCTCTTCTCGCCCTTCTCTCTCCTTCTCGCCCTTCTCTCTCCTTCTCTCTCCTTCTCGCCCTTCTCTCTCCTTCTCGCCCTTCTCTCTCCTTCTCGCCCTTCTCTCTCCTTCTCGCCCTTCTCTCTCCTCTTTCTTTGGCCTTCAGCTGCTATTCCTATGATGATATGAGGGCCCCTCCCACCGGAAGGCACACGCTGATGTCTAAACCGGGACTGGGGAGTGGCTCTCCAGGCGGTTGTCAGGACGTTCAATGCATGTTCAGGGTCGTTCTTTACCCAATCTTGCAGCTCCTGGAGGGTCGTGAGTTCCGTGGAGTTTTCTTCATCATCGGTGTCATCTCCTTTTTTAAAAACGAGAGTTGTTCGTGTGTTCTCCGTCTCCTTCTCCTTGCGGAGGCGGGAATTTCTTCTTTCCGGGGCAGACATCTTCTGCGGTTGCTGGTTCGGTCGGAATTTGTGTTGGTTACTATGTTACTGTCAAAAGCAAAAAAGGGAAAAGAAAACAAGAAGGAGATCAACCCGATGCTGTACTGCATACAAGGTAACAAGTCTCATCTTTCTTATTTCAACAAGCGTTCTAGCTGAGTGACGACTGTCGCCTGACGATAAGTCAAACTACCTAAGCGCTTACCCAACACAAATTCCGACCGAACCAGCAACCGCAGAAGATGTCTGCCCCGGAAAGAAGAAGTTCCCGCCTCCGCAAGGAGAAGGAGACGGGGAACACACGAACAACTCTCGTTTTTAAAAAAGGAGATGACACCGATGATGAAGAAAACTCCACGGAACTCACGACCCTCCAGGAGCTGCAAGATTGGGTGAAGAATGACCCTGAACATGCATGGAACGTCCTGACAAAGCAACTAAGCATGAGGAGAGAAGGAAGGAAGGAAAACATCTCCGCCAGGACGTGCTGATATCCTGTCCGATAAGCAGCACGTGCCCCTCCCTTATTGTTAGATTTGTTATGTGTCCGTTGTCCGTCTCCCTCAAGTCACATGCCTCATAGCCCCAAGTCCTCCACGACCTGTAACACAGGCGCACGCTGTCCGGGACCACCTTGGCTATGTTGAGGCGGATACTCAGGACACTGTCTGGCTTCTGAAGATATTCTTTCCCTTTCACTTCTCTCTGTTCTCTTCTCTCTCGGAGACACAGCTTGGACATGTCTTGTATCTACCGGCTAGGCATACTGGCTTGAATACAAGTGCACTTTGCCATATGAGCTTTCTTGCAACTCTGCTTCAAATAATTCCAATGTTTCTTTCTATATCAACAGGACAAGTGTACATTACCTTTCTAAATAAAATATCAGCAATAGTCTTCTGTCCAGTTGTCAGTATCCTTCCCGTCAACTGGTAAGCCACCCGCCAACTGGCAAGTCTGCCGGCAACTGGCAAATCTATATCCCTACGAATTGCCCCAATAATCCCGGCACTCCGACACGTGCCGCGTCTGATCTGTTATTTAATTATATGGCGCGGAGTAAGGGTGGCTACGGACACCACCAAATTATAGACTTTGGGACGTATGCATGAAAGGCTCAAACAGCGACATCAATGACAAGATCCGGAATCCGCTGGCGAGAGCGATATTGCGAAAGGCGTCAGGTCCGGCTAGTCTGGAGAGTCAGAATAAGGAGTGACAATGGACAGATGGATGAGAGGGATGATATGCTAAGTCTCAGGCACCCGGGAATCAGTATGCCCAATTGAACGATTCACATAGTCTTGGAGTTACTTGGGGTTTGGGATTCTTCTACAACTTGCTATCTCAAGTTGGTTTCAACGCCAGACGTAGTATTAATATTATCTACGATTGTAACTTTTAATCCCAGGATCTGTCTAAGAGACAACAGACATCTTGGCTTGAACCTTTATTACTCCACCATCAACCTTCTTCAATCTAGTTTCCAGAGTTGTCGACGGCGATGCACTGCCCAATCGTCAGTTATCAAGACAGCACAACTAGGTAATTTCCAACTCACCTCCTTGGTTCCCTCTGGGCAGCAAGCAATGATGTTCTTGCAGACGGGTCCGGTCTTGGTGTTCTTGACCTGGGCTATTCACGAAGTCAGCGATCCCTTCTCCCGCAACGATCAGAGACATATCACATACCAAGCAAGTTCAACTCATCAATGAGGCTGGTGCTAGCACAAGCAGAGTTGGAGTTGCCGAGCAATCCGTTCAACAGACCGCCAGCAAGGAGATTACCGAGGATACCATCGGCGCTAATGTTCTCCGTGGAGTCACAGCAAGAGATAGAGCCAGAGCCACACTGGGACTTAGCGCCGTCCATGGCAGGAGAGGCACCAAGCTTGTTGGCCATGGCGCAGCCCATGGTCAGGACGAAGGCAGCGGTTCCGATGAACTTCATTGTGAATGTGTATAGAAGGTGGTAGAAGGTGGTAGATGTCGTGATATCTGATTATGTTGAGGAAATCCCAATTTTCCACAGAACAGCGGAACTACTTTATAGCCCGCTGTGCGCGATTTGATGCAACTTCGATCACAGTCATGTCAAGTCTTAAGATCATGGCCAAGTCGAGTCGAGTCGAGTCTTAACCGTTTGCGGGTGGGTGATAATATGGATCGGAGATCTCCAGATCGATCGGAGTGGGGGCTTTCATTGCTATCTGCCCAACGTGGTTGGTGTTGCATTCACTGATTGGATCGGGGTTCTAAGGGGATGACCCCCAGACCCTGGGGTGAGGTACTCGATTGTACTAAAACAGCTGGGCTGACCATTATCCACATCCATCTAGCCTTTAGGCACACCAGGGACCATTGAAGTGTGGCAAATTGGACACATTCCCCCTTGTCCCTAGTTACTATGGAGGGGTCAGTGTTCAATTTGATCTCCACCCCCGATGGGGGTCATGTCAGCCGGTCAGCCCTAACCTAGCGACTAAAGGTATGCAAAGACTACGAAAACGAGGGTGATCAGACCACCATACTCGCATGTTGCTCACACAGCTGACAGCATATGAGACACACGTTTCTAGACTATTCGGATTCCTAGCAGACAAGAACCTCCCAAAATCAGCTGAGAATGTGAATGAAAGATGTTCCTCTCGAGAGGTGAAGTCCGAAAACAGCACGCTTAGTCATCTTGACGTCATGGATCACCACTCTATCTAGCCCTACCTCACGACTGTTACATTCGAATCAGATATCTCTGGATAAATGCACTTCGCATATAATAAATGTCGATATGAGTCTTTTATCTATACGAAAACAAAAACGAGGGGTGCTCGGCTCTTTATCTGCATCATCCATCGCATAACACAAAGTCATGGATATGTCACTTGTAGGCAGTCCCACATATATAGTAGGTAGACGGGAGTCCACTTGCAACGGTTACATTTTCCTTTCCATGGTGGATTCAACTATCTAGGTTCCATTGGACCTCTATAGGTACGCAGTAGGTAAATGGTTGGGAATTTCGGAGTGTGGGATTGTCTCCAGCTCTACTGTACGAAGGCATTGAAGTGTTCTCTGAAGGCCCATGCCTAGGTTGGTTTCTAGAAAAGTCTATGAAGATGTAGTCGTAGTCTTGCTCGATTGTCGGCTATTTTAGCCCTATGGGGCTGAAAATATTCATTCGAAGGCAAAGTGCGAAGATTTGAAGCTGGCTTAGGGCTTGTTTCGCTGCTAGATAATACTCCTCGGAGTCCTACCCAGGTAAAGCAAGAACAGAACATATGGAGCTACGATTGGCCAACGCGACAGAGAATTCTACTGTGTACTAAAGTTGATACATCCAATATTATTGATTAAGGATAGAGTATACTCCTGAAAACCCTGTCTGACAAGCACCCATATATTCCACAGCCGTAGCTATTGAGGTCGACATGTTTCTGCACGCCGACACATCCGTTGACAAGCTTACTGGGAAGAATCGATAGCGGAGCACTGGTTAAATTGGTCAGTATCAGCTCTTTAGCTGGATATGGTTTAACGAATGTTCCGTTACTTACCTTGGTGGCGCCGTGGGGGCAGCAAGCAATGATGTTCTTGCAGACAGGGCCAGCCTCGGAGTGGTCGGAGGAAGCTGTAGCAAGTTAGCATGGAGTCTTAAGAGACGAAGCACACCATGGCGGGAACATACCGAGAACGTTGACATCGCCGAGGACATCAGTCTTAGCGCAAGCAGCGTTGTCGTTTCCAATGAGGCCGTTGAGAGCACCCTTGGCAAGGAGGTTGCCGAGGATACCATCACCGGAGATGGTCTCCTTGGAGTCGCAGCAAGCAATGTCGCCGGAGTCACACTGGCCGGTGGCGCGCATCATGGTCTCCATGGTGTTCTTCATGGCAGCCACGGAGAGGGACAGAGCCAAGAAAGTGGAGATGGTAGCGACCTTCATTGTGAGAGAGTTTAAAGTTTGTTTAGGGGATTAGATGGAAGTTTGGGAGAGAGATGGTACGTGAATGGCGAGGTGATAGAACGAGTCTTTTATATGCTGGTGTTCAGCCCTTGATTTGCTACTCCGTGACGTAGAACGAGGTAGATCTTTTCAACGGGGATGAGAAGATATGTGATAGGCAAGATTCTTGTGGTTCGGAAGGTTTAGGGTCCAATGACATGAAGGGGAGAGTTTTGCCAGGCCCTTTCAGGAATGTCAATCCAAGAATTTGGGATCTGGAATGTTAACGTACCACCACGCTCGGGCCTGAGGATGACTTTTAATGGAGAACAGCTTTGTTCTGGCCTGTAATAAGCGCAGGGTGAATATGAACCACGGAAATTTTAAAAGATATGTGCAGATAAATCTCCGGGGGCTTCGCTTGCGGCTCGCGGCAATGGGGCTGGTGGAGGAGGGTTCACCTCGATGAGCGTACCTGAAGGATCATTTGCATCATAAGGGGTCATAGGTTGAAAGATGTGAACGTTCGCAACCTAGTCTAACGCGAACGGCATAGGGGAAAAGACCGTGCAGTGAAGGCAACCGAGGTTACCTACAATCTACTCCATATAGAGCCAAACATTGAGCTACCAACACCCCTTCCGCCATGGGCTCGCAGATGACCAACAAGGAGTCATACATATTCGCCTTCCCTATTGACGAACTCTCTGGTAACGGGCTGGGGTCTCCAGCCTCCCTCGAGTCTGCCAGAAGTTTCTCGACAATTGATTGACCAGATACGAAGTCGTATTGGGAAAGATTCAGCCAATAGCAGAGCTGATGGACCTGAGAAATTCGACAATCTGTCTATCTTTCCCAAATAATAAAACAGAGATACTTCTCATTAGACGTGCGTACCTTATGTACTCCTTGCGCGATGGTTTTGTTTTCGAACTTGGGATCGTCTCGCGTATTTCCTATATAATACTGCGTATAGCTCTATCAAGTTGATAGGACTATCTAAATATAGCAAATCAACTCAGGCACACGTACATTCATAGACTTTAGCCTATTGGTAATGGCATCATGGACAGGGGTACTTAAATGGATGTAGGCAGGCCGATTATGCCCCCTTTAGATTGGATCGACCGAGCAACTCCGGTGACATCGATAGTTGCAAGACATGCAATCCATAAAGCGAACTTTGCTCTACTATAAGAGACTTGTATGATTCATTGCACCATCTGACACCAGGGTACACGCGATTCGGACAAATTTGTCGGCCCAAGCGCAGTATATTGCACACATCATCCGAGTTCCCACTTCCCATCTGAGAATGACCAGATATTAGCTTTGGATATTAGCTTTTGGAAAGCAGTCATGAGATAGGATCATAGGACATAGGCTGTCCCTTGAATGAGACTCGACATTCTCAGTTGAACGTTAGTTGTAGGTGGATGGAGAAAACAGAGAGCAAGTGGTCACGGACGAGTAAGGCATCAAATTGTATTTCTGTTCTGCCCCAGGCACCAAACCAGAATATTCTCAGTCATGTGACCATGAACGAATCTTCATGCCTAAGGCCTCAGTGTTTGCCCTGTTTGCTCCAATCCAATAACCCGCCCGTGACTGGTCGACAAGCCATGGATGGCACCACTCAAGATTTGAAGATCAACCTCCACACTTCGCTGCTGCTGCCTCTCAACAACAACGGAGTAGCGCACTTAGGCAAATCCAAGAACCCAACAATCTCACACCCGACCTATCCTACAGCGCAAACCCCAGACACAAAAACCAGTATCAAACCCACACCATGTCGCAAATCTTCCGCAAGCTGCAAGGCGGCAACCTCGAAGTCCTGAAGGTGCGTATTCCACACTCTCCAACCAGCAATGGCAATTGGCGCATCCCTGGCATCTATTAGCTCAAGACTCATGGCAACTAACACTCGACCAGTTTGGCATGTACGTGCTCTTCCCAATCGGCTGGATGTACTACTTCGGCACGAACCTCGATGACCGCTTCGCGACAAAGGGTTTCTGGCCTACCGCAGAGCAATCGCATAAGATCCCGCTGGACAAGGAGGAGATTGACAAGGAATTGGCGCGGATGCGCATGGCTGATGCTGTGAAGCGGGAGCGGAGAATCGCGGAGGCGGAGGCCGCGGAGCAGGCTCGGTTGCAGGCTCAGGCTCAGGCTCAGCAGAGTCAGGCGACACAGAGTGAGCAATGAAGGGCGATAGCTGTTGCTAGGTTTCTTTTTCTGGGCTTGTTGACTGAGCGCGGAATTGGCATCGCGGTGTGGAGTTATTGCCGATCATGGAGCCTACTTGTACAATACTCTGCTTTGGCATCGAGGGCGTTCTGGGATTTGCTTTCTTTTTGTTTTCCACCATCTACACTCTCTGTATATCATCCAGATGGAAAAGTGTGCAAATATCAACTTGAACTCATGATCACGTTTCCAATGACACAAATTGGTATTCATTGACCACAGGACTCTGTCGAGAGAAGAAAAAGAGACAGATATATAAACAGCCTGTGATGCGAAAGACCCAAGGAAAAGAAAAAGACAAGAATTAATAATAATGTAATCTGCCGCATTGCGACAATGCAAGTTCATAAGGATGCCCCCAGTTGCCAGAACACAAGAACTCCAAACATGCGCCAGCTGATAGGAAGAGTGGATACGAGGTATCTCTCAGGAATTCAGGATGCATCCTCCAACGGATGTTAACCGCTTCCTCACTCGGCAATAATACAAAAAGCAACCATTTTCCGCGCGCTTCATATTCACAGTTCAGCCATGCGTACGGTAGTGGTAGTAGCGGACTGCTTCGCCGTCTCATACACCATACCGCCAATCTGTGTGGCGACCCCGTTCTCGCCGAAGACCGAGCTGATCGACAACCGGCTGGAGCTGAACAAGCGCTCGCCAGCCCAGTAGTAGTAGAGACGGCCGCCGATGGCGCGGAGGTGGTCGGGGAGGTAGATGTAGGTTCCCATTGCGATCATGGAGAAGAGGCCAAGGAGCAGGGTGTCTGGAAAGGAGTTCATGGTCAGTTTATTTTACTTGACATGTTTGGGATGGCGCAACGTACTGAAGATGAACTTCTCAATCGGTGTAAGCATGTAAAGGGAAAAGGTCACTTCATATTGGTAGACCTTCAACCGCATCCAGCGAAGGATACTGGAAATGGCCCAGATGATAATATCTATCATGGTGGGGGTATTCGGAGGATTGAAGGAGGTCCTTATACTGGAATGTGGTGGTACAGATAAAGGAACGAGTGGACGGATTCCCAATCAACACGGCTCGGACAGGCGGTAAAGAGTTGAAGTCGCCGGAAAGCGCGGGGATATCAGCGGGTAGAAGAGGTTCGTTAGGATCGGTATTGAGGACGGAGACGTTGAGGTGGATCGGGGAATAGTCTAGAAAAGAGAGCGGATAAGAGTCGCGAAGCTGGGGAACTGCAAAACCCTTCCCCTTTCCGTGTTTGCCGTCGGCGTTGTACCTGCTACCCGTTGCCCCACCAATTGTCGCCGAGGTATCAGGTACCAGGTACTTTATGTCAAAGTATTGGAATCGGTATAGTTAAATTGAGAGTTGCTAACTATTGATTTGTATACTTTCTCTTCCACCTATATAATCAAACTCTCTCAGACACTGATCTACTGTCCGTCGTGTGGTCTCGACTATGCCTTTTTCATGCCTGATTTTGCAGGCAAATACGAACCGGAGTCAAACCTAAAAAGGTTTAGCGTAGTCGATTACATGCGACGACCTGCAAAGATATCAAAAGATTGACGAGCATTTCCAATACTGTGTAGAGAGACTGTTGATATGAAGTCCTTTCATATCGGACATCCAATGTGCACATAGTCAGGCATCGGATTGATTCCGAGAAGCCAAAATACCTACATCATCAGCTTATCTTATCAACATCTCAAACCTCATCCTTAACAAACCACAAGCCCAGCCCTACAACCATGATCCCCTGTCTACGTCGCTGGACGACACCACGGGCACTATCAGCCCCAATCCGCCTCTTCAGCGAAACCCCCATCGCCCCCTCCAAGCCCCTCCCACCACGTCTTAAAATCAACGACGAAGACATATCGATATCCTACCTAAAAGGCACCGGGCCTGGCGGACAGAAGATTGTACGTTTCCCAATTTCCAGAATCAAATTGAAATTCCCACGACATTTCAGACTAACGACAATCAGAACAAAACCAACTCAGCGGTGCAAATTATCCACAAGCCCAGTGGGGTGGTAATCAAATGTCAAGCGACGCGCTCGCAATCGCAGAATGCCAAGATTGCGCGATCCTTGTTGGCTGATAGGGTTGAGGCTAAGGAGAAGGGGGAGGAAAGTCGAATTGGGATTAAGGCTGCGGCGGCACGGAAGAAGAAGGCTAGTAAGATGAAGAAGGCAAGGAGGAAGTATCGGGAGCTTGAGGATGGGGCAAAGTCGAAGGTTGAAGAGGAAGATGAGATTGAAATCATTTGGGACGAGGATGTGAAGCCGGAGGAATCTAAACCGGCTGGTGACTCGGGGAAGACCTAGGTACCTAGTGGATGATGTTCTTGCATATTGGGATCTTGTATATTATGGCTACTGCATACATGAAGCGTCTTTTTCGGAGATCTACATTCTGATGGGTATGATTATGGTAATACTAATGGTAAAAATCAAACGTTTAATTCATGGATCTAGGGTCTCATCGCAACATGCATACAATATATGGTGTAAAGGGGGAATTGGGCAAGGGTGGTCTTGCGGTTTCAAACAATTTTTTCTTCAAGTTTTCAAAATAAGGAAAATGTCATAGCAAAGCTCTAAGACATGTAGCCTGCGAGCACAGCCTTTGACTGGTCATCCAGACGCTCATTGGCAAACTGCGACACGCGGCCATTCTGCGTCTTGTCGGCCTCCTTGAGGTATGTGCCCACCCAAGCCTTGAGATCGGCTCCAGTTTCGGGCCAGGGGTCCTTCTGCTGAGCACGGATTGTGTTCAGAGGCGTGAATCCAACGCCGAAGGACATGTCTTCGATGTCAGCCTCGTTGATCACATCATCTCTGCCGGCAGGCAGCGGCGGAAGTTCAAGGAGCTTAAGCAAGGCTGTGCAGGTGAAGCCCCATCCCTTCTGGCTGTAGCGAGTGGCGAATGCCTCCGAGCCGGCAATGGTCCTGGTGAAGGAGACGATCGCCGTCTTGCGATCCAAGGGACGGGCAAGCTTCTGAGTCTCGGGCAGAATAACGTTGATATAGACAGGGGTGAACAGTCTAGAGAAAAGTTAGTATATCACCAAATCACATGAGGCGGGTAACGACACATACCCTGCTTGAACTTCATCGGTGACCTTGATGAAGAAGTCGACATTGTAACCCGTATCACTCCGGGCCGAGACAAAGTGGAAGAAGCGGACGAATCGGAGAGTCAGGTTCTCAGTCTTGGAATTCTGAAGACGCTGGAGAATGATCTGCATGATCATCTTGAAGTAGTTCTCAAGAGCAGTTCTAGCGAAAACAGTGTTAGCTGACCATCAAATCGACCTTTTTCAACATGGGAAACGTACGGTGGGAAGCTACCAACGACGGCCTCCAGGAGGTCAAATCCGAAGCTCTCGTTAGCCTTGGTGGAAACCAGTTTCTGGAAGATACCAAGGATGGGCTCAAGCTGATTGTTCTCGAAGATGAACTTCGAGCCACGAGGAATAATCGAGGTAAGCAGTCGGACCAAGGCAGGGATGTTTCCCTTGGAATCCCACATCACGGGCATTAGGATAGGACCAATAAGCTCCTGGTAATAGGTGGGGAGCGTGGCTGATGGATTGGCCTCGAGCAGCGCAGCGAAGAGCTGGAAAACATAGGGCATGAATTCTAAAACATGTCAATTCAATGGTTCCGAGAGACGTAGGCTTCCGTCGATTTCACTCACCCTGCACATCGTTCTGGAGAATACCGGCAAAGGGCACATAGAGAGCCTGCTCAAGCTTATCGGGATTGGCAGGAGCAGCGAACCTATCACGAAGTCAGCCTCTGGCGCTTGGAAAGGGAAGATTGTGTGAAAACTCACCGGATGAAAGCACCCAGGGCTTCGAAATGGAAGTAGTAGAATCGGGGGTTACTTGGGTTTGCGCTGATGATTTTGGTAATGTCGATGAAGCGCTGGAGCACGAGGTCGGTGAAAGGCACTACGCCATCCTTGATGACGACCAGAACTCGCATCACGCAACGCATGAGGAACTCGTTCTCTTGCACCTTTTCAGGGGCCGGGTTGCTTTGGATGAGCTTGAAGATGTGTTCCAAAAGATCCTTAGCGAGCGGTTGGATATCCGTCGCTGGAATGACTGGCTGTCCTTGGCTGTCGCTGAGGAAAAGCACTCGCTCTAAAGCAATGGCGGCGTAGGTGTACACAACAAAGTTGGATGACCCCAGGTGCTTCACCAGCACAGGGAGAACCTGCTGCCACTGTTCCTTGGTGATGATACTGCGGAAAGTGTACAGATACTTGATGGCGTCGACCTTCAGGATCGGGTGTACGCCGTCCTCGTTGATCAGATCCGCGGCCAGGTTTTGCTGGAAGTAATCTGTAATGCTGACCAACTGGTTCGTGGCAGTGACACCATGCGAGGAGGTCGCGGTGCCCTTGGCGGCGATAGCAGAGTAGAGGTATGTTGCTGTGTCCTTGGCCTTCCAGTTAGAGGAGTCCTTGGCATACTCAGCCAAGTAGTGCTGGGTATACTTGAGTACAACCCGAGTCACTGACTCCTCGAATTTCTCTGCCAATTTGCGGAGGAAGTCGGTGGCAGCGCGTCGTCTGGTCTCGCTGTCGGATCCTTCCAAGTCCCGTCGAATGAACTCGATTGGTTCATCCTCAAAGAGCTCCTCGTCCGATTCGCGAAGGCTGACATTCGGCAAGATGACCTTCTCAACAATTTGAGCCAATGTTTCCTCGGCTTGGAAGGCAACAGCATGCTCGGGCATGCCCGCGACAGACGTCAGGAAGTGCAGTGCGCGGCTGACCAAAATATCATACTTCGTCTCCTGGCCAATAGTTGTGAGGAAGTGCCACGAGCTTTCAATGAATTGGCCAACGTGAGGCTGGAATACATCCATGTATTTCTGGACGTATAGGGTCAGAGCCTCAAAGATTCCGGCGCGAACGTATTCCAACAGACCAGCATCTGACTCATCGTCGGTGTGGAGTAATTGGTTATCGTAAGTCAGATATTTGAGGAAGATTGTGGCGATTCCGGAAATGTTATCCTCAAACATAGGAGGGAGATCGTGGGACGACAGGTCGTAGAATAGCTTGACCATCAGATTTAGTTGAGTGAACCCTTGTGCCAGATTCTCTTTGTTCGTCTTGTTTTGTTCAAGATAGTTATCTAGTGCCTAAGAAGTATCAGCATATGGCACTTGATGAAAATAGGTAGAAAGTTGTAGATACCTCAAACAGGGCCAGGAACGGAGTACCGAACTTGCTGAGAACGTGGTTGATCTCAGTGTAGAGCGCATCAGACTGGAATAAAGGTCTCCATCTCTTGAAGATCGAGTGCGCCACTTGCAGCACACCGATGTTGACGGTAGGGTTTTCCGGTGACAGCTTCGAAACGAGATCCTAAACAAAGAAACGTTGTCAATAATAGCAAAACAATGCGTTGTCAATGGCCAACACTTACATCAACCAGAGTATCCCAGCGCTCCCAGAAATCACTGTCAGCGATAACACTGACAGCCTCTCCCAATTGACTTTGGATCCCTGGCGGGACTGCGATCATCAAGGAGATCAACTCGCGCTTGAGAGTTGCAACTTCTTCCTCCTGCAGCTTGTAGTTTCCATCCTCGTCGGTCCAATTGCGCTTGATAAAGTTCTTGAAGCATAGAGCACTGGCAAGACGGGTGTTGTAAGGTGTCGTCTCCGAAGCGGTGATATGAAGAAGCTGTACCGAGAATCCAGGCTTCTGTTCTTCCTGACGAAGAGTAATCTCGGCTGAAAGGAAATCCAACCTGTGTCAGTGCCTTTTTCCAATGATTTGAAGCCAGCACATTGGACTTACCGGCCTTGTTCTGCCTGGGATCCAAGCTTGCCTCTAACAGAGCTCCAAGACCCTCCGCCATCTTGTTACGTGGGGTATCAACACGAGGGAGGGGGATAGATGAGGATAGGTAGGAAAAAATGGAAAGATGGTTTGAAGAAATGAAGAATAAGTAGTTCAGAGATGTCAAAGGGAATCAAGTTTGTTGCAAAGACAAAAGGAAAAAAGATAGCAGATCCAGAGCTCAAAGATGATGCGAGCGCTCAATAATTGTAACAGCCCACATAAACACAGCAACCACGCTAAGCCTGAAAGGGTTAGTATGTCACATGCTTGAGCATCTTTCTGCCACAGGCGGTGAAGTCAATATTCTCAGTAGCTTGGGCTGATTGAGAAGGGTACGGAGTCCAGATACGACTGTTGCACTACAACAGTCAATACATAGGCGTTACGATGACTTTAAATAATATGGATTGGTTTCTATGTAAATCTCTATAATCATATGCTTTTCGTGACAAATACAAACTCCTGTGGCACCATTAATCGGAACCATCAATGCTTAGACAACGATGTTGCTAACGCCGTTAGCCAACTCGACCTCTTTCGCTTGGGACAAGGCCTTGACCTGGTCGAAGCAACCAGCCGCAGCAGAAACAAATCCGAGGAATGGCTTGCTGGGTGCAAGTACACGGGAGAGATACTCAGGGTGGAACTGAACACCCACGTACCAGGGGTGCTCCTTCAGTTCAACAATTTCCATGCGCTCACCCTGATCATCCTTGCCGATGAAGTGAAGACCGGCATTCTGAAGCTGGTCGATATACTCGGGGTTGACTTCATAACGGTGGCGGTGACGCTCATCGATGGAAGCACGGTCCAATCCGTAAAGGGAGCGGAGCTTGGACCATTCGGTATCCTTCTGGAAAAGAGTAGGGCGGGAACCAAGACGCATAGTACCGCCGAGGTTCACCTGATCAATCTCGGGCATGTACACCACGATCGGGTGGGAAGTGCGCTCGTCAAGTTCGACAGAGTTGGCGCCCTCGAGGCCACAGACATTACGAGCATATTCGATCACAGCAATCTGCATACCCAAGCAGATACCAAGATAAGGCTTGTTTTTGGTGCGGGCATGGTGGGCAGCGCGCATCATTCCAAGGGTGCCTCTGGTACCGAAACCACCTGGGACCAAAATTCCGTTGGCAGTGTGAATGTCATACCAGGCCTTGTGGTATTCCTTAGAGTTGGTCTCCTCCCATTCAGGCTCAAGGTGAGAGGCATCGACCCAAATGATGTTGAGCTTTCGGCGGGAAGCCATGGACGCGTGTTCGAGCGACTTGATGACGGACAGGTAGGAGTCGTGGAGACTGACATACTTGCCAACCAGGGCAATGTTGACGGTTTCATAGGTATGCTCCTGCGCAGTCGTAAGGGTCTTCCACTGTTTCCAAGTGGACTGACCATTGGCCAACTGAATCTCAGAGATATCCATTTTCTTCATGTTGAGAAGGTCACCCAGAACGCCAAGGAAACCTTGCTGCTCGAGAAGCAGAGGAACATGGTAGGTGGATGTGACATTGTGCACGCCAATCACCTGCTCCGGCTCGACCTGGCAGAACATAGCGATCTTATCCGTGGTGGCCTTGTCAAGGGGCTTTTCGCAACGGCATGCAATGAGATCCGGGCTCAATCCAGCTGAGCGAGCGTCCCGAATAGCCTGCTGAGTAGGCTTGGTCTTCAGTTCGTCGTGGATGACAGGGACTAGGGAAACATGCTGGGATTGAGTTAGCATCATCCGAGGTAGAACACACAGTTTTTTTGGGAGTAGACATACAATCTGAACGAAGTTGTCCTTGCCAGCGCGACGACGCAGCTGACGCAGAGCCTCAACGAAAGGAGCACTTTCAATGTCACCGAGTGTGCCACCAAGCTCGATAACACAAACGTCGGGCTCCTCATTGCTATCGTCTGCGGGTGTTCTAGCCACACGCTCAATCCAGTCCTGAATGGCATCTGTCAAGTGCGGAACGATTTGCACCGTACGTCCAAGGTAGTCACCGCGGCGCTCTTTCTCGATCACATGCTTGTAGACCTTTCCAGTTGTGATGTTGTTATCCCTTCCAAGGGTAACTCCAAGGTATCTACACAAGCAAAATCCATGAGTCTCAATTCCTCAACATCCATGTAGAGACGAACATACCTCTCGTAGTTACCGAGATCGAGATCGGCTTCACCACCGTCGTTCAACACAAACACCTCTCCGTGCCTTAAGAATCACAATCAGGAACAGTTATCACACACAGGGCTGATAAACCACATACTCGGTGGGGGCCATGGTTCCCGCATCGACATTCATGTAGGGGTCAATTTTGATTGAGGTGACTCGGGCACCCTGTGTCTTCAGCAGCAATCCGGTACTCGAGGCTGAAAAAGCATTAGAATGAGCGGACATTTTCTATTTCTGTTCAGAGAGGTGTACCGATTACGCCCTTCCCGATGCCACTAATGACACCTATAATACACACGAGTCAGCCACTGCTTGTTCATAAAAGAGCGACTCAGGATATATACCTCCAGAAACCACGACATACTTCATCTTGGCGATGAGGGGATAAAAAGAAGGCGGAGAGGGTATATGTGAAATTTGAGACTGAATTAAAGAAGGAATCACCAGAATATACAAATACCCTCAAGATAAAAAGAAATGTAGGGTGCCGTTCCTGGCTTCTGCCAAGGGGGAAGAAAGAAGGGAAATAATTTTTGAAGCCGCCCAGATGTGAAGCGCCTTTCTGTGGTTACCGCCCCCCACTTGATTGACTTTTTCTGCCCTCCCGATAAAGTGGTCAGTCATGTGATTCAAGCTATCAGAAGGGCAGGGAGAGGAGACAAGCACGAATAGTATACAATGTTGGGAGAGAGCTGAAAAATACGTGTCTACATTACATACACTACTCTAAAGGTAGCCATATCTGACCCTAATCTAATCACACTTCAACACATGTTCGCTGGTTTCAATCTGGCTGAACTTTGAATCAGATTTGATATGCTCCTCACCGCCCGTTTTGCCCTATCTACCTCGGGCGGTGTGTGACATCAGGACTCAGGTAGATCAGGTGATTGGGCTGAATATCTGCCATCTCCTAAAGCTTGATCGATACCCCCTCAATCCACATCTCAATATACTTGTTGTGTCATCGATCTGGTGGGTACTGGTTCCATTGATATTCATCGTCCAACCCAGCCGCCCTGGTCCAATTCACATCATCCGCTGCCGATCAGTGTCAGTTTGCGCGGAACGATCGATCACCTCATACCCACCGTTGGAGCTTGCTCGGCATCGTACCAGTGCCCGTATGTGCATTTCTTAGCGGAGCGTTCATATATGTGGTTATAAGTATTATTTTCAGTTCTTAAAGAGGTAAGCATACTTTATTCGCATATGCGTCCACGCGCCGTCGTCGCCGTCGACTCGGATCTATCATGGATGATGCGATACCTGTACTAACTTGTTTGTCCAATAGTTCACGTGCCCTGTCCTCCTGACTCTTCTTATCTTCTGCCGTTGGGCGGATGTCTTCCGATGATGTTCCACCATTCTCACAGCACAAGCCCTCGTCAACCTCCTCAACCAGCTTCGCAGATGTTTTCAAAACTCTAGGTGTTGGTCGACCTAAATCGCATTCCCCGGTCTCTTTACAAGAAAGCAGCAGCGAGTCGCTGTATCACACAGACAGTCGCGTAATACATCGGTTCATCTACGGACTCGAATCAATGCATCGTGGTAGCGTCGTGTCGAGTTCCTCGGACACCCCCAGTGGCCCGGACTTCGAAACGTCACTTCACAATTTATCGCAGAGGCAGAACTTGACGCAGGCGATTGAGGAAGCGGACCTGTTATCAAGGGCTCTTCCATGGTTCAGCTCAGAACAGTCAGTGCTGCTTTGGGAGGCGGCGGAGTACCTTTTGCATCATGAAAGCTCTTTGGACGCGCAGAAAAGTGGCTCCAGACTATTAGAAGCAATTGCAGCCCGCCAAGATCTATCTCCATCGGCTAGGCGCCTGGTTTTCGAATCAATCGCCTCCCCATCCGAGCCCGACGTGATTGCTGGACGAGTGCAGTCGTTGATTTCTCTATCCGACCATGGCAGAAAATTGGACTTTGCAGGTTCCTCGCTTCTTCACATCATTTCCTCGTGGATTGTGCCCTTTTATGAATCTATTGCATCCGCACGTTTAAAGGCCAAGAAAGCAAAGGTGGCCAAACCGCATGGCCCCAGTCACGATGAAGCAGTGCTAGGAGAACTGTTCCAATTCGCAGTCGACCTGATCACCTTGCAGCGAAAACAGCCAACTACAGAGGAAATCGAACTGCTTCTCACAGAAACGTTCACCACCTGCAGGCGCACCAGTGTTGCAGCTGATATCAAGAACTCTTTAGCTGTGTTCGACGCAGTCATCATGTATGCCGATGTGCCTGATGCAAGCTTTCCAACTCTTTTGGAAGTCCTTTGCAGCATTCATGCATCAGTCAAATCCCTTTCTGGGCCCACATCGCGCGCAGTACGCAATTTGGCTAAATCACGGCGACAGGCGGAAATGGTGAACACCCTCCATCAATTTCTTAGGGATTCGTGCACTGTTGAACAAAGCCGAAATTTGAATGTTCTCCGCGGTACCCTTTACGTGTTTTCTGATTTCATCCGTGCATACAACCAAGAGGGCATGCCCCAGATCCCCTTTGACCAACTGATGGAGTCATTAACGGTCATTGCCCAGAAGGATGAGAGCAAAGTGGATACAGATCTTTTGGACCTGTGTTTGAATATTCTAGAAGGAGACTATCTTCGTATAGCCTTAGAATATGATTGGATGACATTCGCCAACCTTCTTATAACGTGCTCTCGCAGGTTGGTTGACGAGTCAGCTCCTTCCCCGACTGGTTCCGCCGGCACCCAACCCAAACCAACCCACGACGAAACCAGATCTTACATTCTGGCAAATCTCATCCACATCGCCTCTGTGCTTGAATCGCAGTGGGAGCAACTTAACCGGGAGCAAAAACAGCATACGGTCCGGTTCCTCATGAAGATCTACCAGCACATCGAGCCTCCGCAGGCTGAACTCATCATCCATTCCATTCGAGAAGACCGACTTTGCTACCCTTCCGGGAACCCGAACTGGTCTCACCATTGCCGCCAACTCGTCCAGCGTTTTGTTCAGTCTCGAGATCAGCCACGAAAGCAAAGCTCTGACATCCGCATTTTGGCTTTGGACACGTTGAAAGAAGCTCTTTCTGGTCATGAGGCTCGGCTCTTCGCGCCTGAGCACGGTCTTCTTGAACTTCTACTGCAAGATTTCTCCGCCGAGCATGATCTTCTTTTCTTGGAGTCGCTGGTCTCTTTGTTAACGGACCCGGCGATACAATACAGCGACGATGACACGTTCAAGCTTTTGGTCGATACCATTGGAGCACCGATGCAGGTGGATTCAGCCCGAGACGAAGCGCGCGAGCACCCACCTAGCCAGGGATCCCAACGTCGAACATCCACCACGAGTATTTTGGAGTTGAGCTTAACAAACGTATGTGCGGTGGGCCTTGTAAAGATGATGCTGCGTGCTTTGAACTTCTCCTCGTCCAAGGCTGTGATGGTATTTGCGGCACTCTTGGATATTGCTCAATCACCGAGTCGACCAACAGACTCTCGCCTGACCGTTTTGAAGCTACTTTTCCGTCTGCGGTGCGACTCCATCGGTTCAGTGACAGTCATATCCACCTCAGAAACTGAGTTCTTGATGGAGGTGCTTGGTCGGAATCTCGATGGCGGCTCTAAGCTACAAGCCCCTAGCGACAGCCCCGCCAGCGAAGTTCCTCATGATAACACCCCTGTTTCACCTACCTCAAAGCTTCCAATAAGGGAGCCTGCGTCAACATCGGCGTCGAAGTCGGCTCCGGGACGTGGCTCTATATCAGCCCGCGGATCAAAGCTGACGGCTCCTGTGTGGACATATGCGCAACCACAAGTGCTTCCCGAGCAACCACCTGGAGAGTCTAGTCCTGTCGTGTTTGCCTACGCCCACCAGCCTGGATCCTCTCCCACCGAATCAGCTCCCACAGATACCAAGCTCCCTGAGGTGTTGAAGGTTAAAATGTGGGTCGAAGTTGTGATCACTTTGCTGCAACGAGAAGCAGATTGGGATGTATACAGCTATATCCTTACTCATCTCGGACCTCAGCTCGGCAACAAAGACTTCTTCCGGGATGCCATTCCTCAGATCACGTTCCTTCGCAGCATTTTGTGTGATCAGGTGAAAAATGGCACTTTCCACGAGCCCCCCGAGACTACCGGATTGAAAAAGAGCGATGTGGCCGCTTGTATCTTCGATGCGCTTTGCATGCTCGTCAGCTATCATGATCACTTTGCCAAAAGTGAAGAAGATGACCTCGTCCGGGCATTCATGCAAGGTATCATCGGATCGTGGGGCGGCACATCCCGTGGGTGCATTCAAGCGCTGTCGCTCTGCTGTCATGAAATTCCCCTGTCGGTCACGAAATCGTTGAACAGTATTCTTGACAGAATGTCAAAGGTGATCACCATGTCCAACATCGCGGTTCACATCTTGGAGTTTTTAGCTTTGCTTGCACGGTTGCCCGATGTTTATGTCAATCTGCGAGAGGAGGAGATCCGCACTGTGTTCGGCATCTGCATTCGGTTTTTGCAGACCTCTCGGGAGCAGCGGTACAAAGCTTTTGAATCTACTCTACGTGCCCCTCAACAACCTTCTCCAAGACCCAGCGCCGGGGCAAAGGAGATTGCTTCCCATGCAGCTGAAGCTATGGAGTCCTCCCACGATGGCATGGGCAAGTACATCTCCAATCTGACCTACCATGTCATGGTCTTCTGGTTCTTGTCTCTGAAGCTACAGGATCGACCTAAACACGTGAATTGGATCACCAGCAGGCTCATATATCACGATGAACATGGCAAAGAAGTGGTGGAAGAACAAAGCCAAGTCTTCATTGATCTGATGCAGCGAGTTGCTTATTCGGATCTAGGAGATACCATTCCATTTGAAACCTTCCCCCCTTCCCCCGAGGATGGTCCCGTTGTGAAGAAGTCCTGGGTCGTCGGCATGAGCATTGTCACCGTTGAGACTGCCGGGGTCTCTGGAATATCTCAGGTCACGAAGCGCCAGGCATCGGGGACGACATACTCTGTTTACCAACAGAGGACGGCCCCAGTGCTGCCGCATCAAGTCCCTCCAACTCCAGATGCTCACTTGCATTCAGACTCTATGCGAACGGCAGTCCTCCCGAGCCACATCATGCTCCAATTGACTGCTACAGCCTTCCCTACGCCTACCGTCATGCAGCCCATTCCTGTCCCCGAAGACGATATCACCCGACGTGCGATCAGCAGTTTCGACCGCACCGACATTGTGGATGGTCACCGCATTGGCATCGTCTATGTTGACAATGGCCAGACAAAAGAGGCCGATATCTTAGCCAATACTGGTGGTTCCGCAGATTATGAGCACTTGCTATCCGGGCTGGGAACTAAAGTGTCACTCCGGAACCCTCAGTTCAATCCGCAGGGGTTGTACGCTGACACCGACGGAGAGAATACTTATGCTTGGCGAGATCGTGTGACGGAGATCGTGTATCACGTTGCAACAATGATGCCCACAGACCTTGACCGTGACCCGGCCTGTGTCAATAAAAAGCGAAACATTGGCAACAACCATGTCACTATCGTGTTCAACCGATCCAACTTGCCCTTCGACTTTGACACCATCCCATCCGAGTTCAACTCGGTCAACATTGTCATTACTCCGTCATGTCGGATTGCCTACGACGAAAATGGCGATGCCAAGGGCGAGACCAACCCGCAAAAGCTTTACTACAGCGTGCAGGTCCTGAGCAAGGCCGGATTCCCTGACGTCTCACCAGCTGCGACTCCGAAGATCATTTCGGGCAAGAATCTTGCAGCTTTCGTTCGCATTCTGGCACTCAATGCGTCTGTCTTCGCCCTTGTCTGGAACAACAAGGGTGGCGAGCATACTTCGTCCTGGCGCACTCGTCTGCGGGAGATCAAAAAAGTCCGCGAGCGTGCTCTCACGGCCCAGGCCCAGGGTGCGGAGGCCGCTGAGGGTGTTTACCCAGGTCTGCGACGGAATACCAAAGCCAACATTTTCTCAGAGGAGTTGCCGTCTCGCTCATCTCAAGTGCAGACCGACTTCGCCGCCGAGTGGAATGCTGCTGCGGACACGAATATTCTCCAGAATCTGGATTTCTCCCGCTGGGCTCGTTAATCTAGCACCTTGCTTGAGCTTCTCTTGCTCTCTTTTGCTTTTACTCTTTGCTCTCACCACTCTTACCATCCATCACCCCCATTCCCTCTCTATTCTTACGCCCCTTTTCCCTAAAGCACAAAAAAAAAGAACAACCCTACCTCCGACTCCCCCGCCTCAACGACCTATGATCCCTGAAACGACTTCATGTACACCAACTTGTGTTTTTGTTATGATGCAAGACAACTGTCGCATTTGTGAATACCCCTTTTCCCCAAAAGTTTTTTGTTTATTCTCACGACAATGTCTTGCCTGTGACTGTTGCGAATAGTTGTAGTGGAATCAATGATTGTTTTCATATTGACCTGGACACTACTCCATATTCTTTTCTCATAGTTTACTCCGTCCGTACATCCGGTCATACGGTCCACATGAACAGGGAGGTGGAGCAAATTAAGGCTGAAGAATATTATCACTGATTTTCACCCCCTGGATGATCTCTGCAGATCAAGTAGTCCAAGAACATTCTACTAGAAACTGTGCAGCTACCTGATCGGGCTGGTTTTGCATCAACCAGTCGGTATCTCATCACCTGCATAGCACAGGTAGGTTTACTTCGTAGTAACCTAGGTTACCTTGAAATCGGACACTGGATACCTATACCATACCTACAGTAGTAAATGCATCTCCAGCGCTTCAACCTTGCCTAAGTCTTGTCGCCACATGGCATCATGGACCATGATTCCATTCTCCAGTAGGTCCACACATGACGCGTGGATCGACAATTCTCCTGTCGATCGTGGGGATCACGGATCACGCAAACAGGTTCCGCAATTGCTAATTGATTCGATATCAGGGGTAAATGGGCCCTGAAGGGCTGGCAGTGAAGGCGTTACCGAGGTATCCAATCTCCAATCCTACTGTACGTTATGTGTCAGTACAACCTACCGGGCTATATCCAAACTACTGAGGTGTACAGGGCAGCAGGGCTGAACTAGTTGACAAGCACGTTCTTCGATAGATCCATATCCGTACACTACGCCAATAGGTTGAGTATTATGGCTGTTAATGGTTGAAGGCAATATATTTTCTTCATATAAATACAATAGGAAGTACAATGCAAGCTCCAGATGCCAATCAAATGGATCCAGTTGATCTCATCACTTCCATTCCAAGAGATGATCAACGTTTATTTGCACTTTCCAATATCGGCCTTGGCAGGTTGCTAGAGTAATTGTTAGCATCTGAGTCTCCCTTTAGGTATATTGAATATTCCACGTCTCCAGAAGATGGACATACAACACAAATCTTGCTTTCACAGATACCAAGGCTTCCATCCTTCTTGCACTTCTCGCCGGAGGGGAGCTGTAACTTGATTAGACAGTACTCGATCAAAATCAAGGAGACTGAAGACATACCGTCTTAGCACCCATAGACAGGCCGACAAGGGCGAGGGTAGTAAGGAGAGTGAAACGCATTGTGATAGGTGTTATTGGTTGTGAATGAAGAGAACTTGACGATGTGAGGCATGAATCAGAGGGGTATTTATAACTTTGAGGTGTCCTCAGGGGATTGATGTAAATATCGAGATCTTCTGGGATGTTTCTTTGTTTGGTAGGGGATGTGTTTATCAGGATATGGGTTTATGGGTCTGGGCTTGGCTTGACGATCATTGGGATGGAGCTATTCATGTGAATAGTTATTTTAGGCTCAGGGGATATGCGGTCATGACTTTGTAATACTGTACGGAGTAGGTAGACTTGCTGGGTCACTTCTCCACATGACGTTGATACAGATGGGAATACTGGCCAGGGGCTCTTCTTCGGAGATAGGCGGTAATGAGTGTTCGAATGGGAAGCATATGAATACATGTAGGCTTGTTTATTTGATACATAGACATTGAACCGTGAGTCTTCATAATGGAGACAACTCGGACCTGAAGGGAAAAGAAAAGAGGAAAGCACGTTATACAGACAGTCGCATATACAAATGCGAGAGCGAAGGATGATGGGGAGGTATGCTTGACGTGGTAAGTGGAAGAGTGAGTGTCAGTAAAACGAAGGTGATGAGAGTGGGTAGGGAGAAGACATCTTAGGGCTGCCTAAGTATCCATGATCTAAGTTATGTGTCCGAGCCATCACCAACCGAAAATTTCACCAACACTCAGAGTACTCCAGCGCACACCACCAACAGCAACTAGCATCAAGACAACATCGACAACAGCCAGAACAACGGCACCCATCATGAAGCGCGGGCTGAAGATACGGTAGAGCATGAGATGGCGACGGAGATGGCCGGCCCACATAGTCGTGGCAAGGTTGATAGTCGCCAGATAGAGAATATGAGTTCCAGCTGCCTGGACGACATCCGAGACAATACGTGTGGCGGGGTTCTTGTTCGGATTGGAGGCGGGGACACGGTCGTGAGTCTGGAGGGGTCGTTTCCAGAGAACGGTGAGAGGTACGGCGATGGCAGCGAGGATCTGCGCGCCGAAGGTGTTGAGGATGACGAAGAGGGGGGACCAGGGGTATTGGATGGTTGAGAGGGGGATGAAGGCGGTTTCCCACTGGATGCTGGAGAGGGTAGCTTGGTGGCCGGTTTTGAAGTAGTAGAAAGAGCCGAGCACGCCGAGGATGACCGGGCCGATGGAGGAGTTGGACATGGTCAGGCTGTTTGTGTCGAGGATTTCCAGCAGGGAGAGGATTTGCCAGAGGAGAAGGGCGATGGCACCTTGGCCCATTGGCTTTTGCAGGAGGATGATGGCAAGGGCGAAATTGATGACTAGGAAGCAGAAGCGGGTTCCGTAGACGTTGCCGAAGCCGAGGATTGTGACTGTGGTTCTCGGTCCTTGTTGCTGACCGGCGATGATAGGGGCCGGTGGGCTGTTGGGATCTTCAGCGGGCTTGCTCACGCTGATGCTGACGCAGGGCTTAGAGTACAGGTATGCTCCAGTACCTGCTGCGAATGCCAGGGCGAGAACGAGCTGGGCTAGGAAGACGCGGACGGACTTGAGGGTTTCCTTGCTGACGGAGAGCCACTCGCCATCATCGGCACTTTCAAGCATCCAGAATACGGAAGTGATGAAGAGACCAAAGCGGAAGGCAACGCCGATCCATAAGGACGCGGCGCCTTCGTAGGACTTGGAACCGGCGTAGAAGGACCGTACGACGCTTGGGAGGAACATCGTTACCAGGAAAGGAATGGCAAGCTGCCAGGGGGCAGAGATGGAAGAAGTCGAAGAAGAGTAGTATGTGGAGCGGCAGAAGGGCATCTGTTCTTCACGGCAGAGGCGAGAGAAAGACGCAATTCGGCCAAGAATCACAAAAAGAATAGAGTGGTACACACCCAAGACACGGTCTGTGGTTTGCTGCTGTCGCATGGACGAGACACCCGCACATACGCCGAACGTAGTGAGGAAGAATAGAAGGATTTCGTCCTCCCAAATGGTGTAGGAGTTCGAGGCGAATCCGACCGACTGAGAAACTGTGAAAAAGAACGCAAGCCAGCCCCACATGCCATTCGGAAGAGGCAGAGTCAGGTTGCTAGGCTTCTTGGCAATCACTGGAATAGCTCCAACGATACTGCCAGCTGCAGCCAGCAGCAAGGTTCCATTGACGACACCTATATCGGTCAAGCCAGTCAAGCCGAACGCAAATCCGGACACAGCACCAACGCCAGCCCCCATGCCCGCAGACTGAAGCAGACGAGTAGTGAGCAGGGTCCGGTCCGTCTTCAAGCCCCGTGCATACATTATCAAGAAGACAATGCCAGCAAAGAGGATGGCAACACCTTGAATCATACTGGGTACATCAAAGCGAGCCCACTGCGCACGGCAGATATCAAGAGTGTGACGCTGGTACTTGCGGAAGAGTTCATTGCTGGCTCGAGCGGAGGTCGACTTGAACGAGGCACGCTTGGAAGCAGACTTCCACTCTTCTTCCGCGGCAGTCCACAGTAGAGCCGACTCTTCATTGTCACCATCACCTCTAGCAAGTGCATACTGGTGCTGATATCTCTTGACCTGGGCGGCGGTCAGACGGTTGACAGTTGCCAAGTTTGCCCAGTCGTCTCCGCGTGCGCCAGAGAAAGCCTCTTCGATAGGCGAGCCCAGGTTGTTGAAAGGAATGGGCATTCCGAGAAGCAAAGACAGTGTCGGTACAAGGTCAATCTGGGGAACGAATCTATCGCGCGCGAATTGCGGCGGGAGGAGTGTGTCCTTGCTTGTGCGTCCGAAAATACCACGCTTGGAGTACATCCACAAGGCGGCCTCGATCTCGTCATCGGACTCGCCGCCGTGGTCACCCTTGATGTCCATACCATGATCGCCCATGACGACCAAAAGAGTCTTATCGTCGAGCGCATCAATGATATCGCGAATGACGCGGTCCATTTCCTGAAGCTTAGACGCCATGGCAGGGTGGTTAGGACCATAACGGTGTCCCGCATGGTCCACACCGAGATAATGACCAAAGATAACATCCCACTTGGTGCTGTTCTCCGGCCGGAGAAGTGGGAAGAGATGCTCGTTGACACCATTGTCGACGGTGTGCAAGTCCCAGACGTTGAATGAATCATACGCATGCGTGAGATTGGTGTCGAAGTAACCCGGGAACAGCGCCTGCCATGTGTCATCACCCAGGTGGACCAAGTTCTTCCCAGCGCTGTGCAACTGCGCAACGAGATTGTCCTCGTCAATGGCGGTTCCAGCGAAATTAGAGCCTGCCTCGAGGAAGGTGGGGAGGGTTCCGGTGGTCAGGCCTTTCAGACGGTTCAGAGTGGTGGTCGGAGGATCCGCGATGAAGGGCAAGAGGAAAGCGTTGGCAGGGTTCTGCACAGCTGTCTCGTAGAGGACAGGAATGTTGTTGTGGAAGAGATGAACAGTGTCAGTCTCTCCCTTCGACGCGAATGGTACAGTGAAGTCATAGCGGAGGGCGTCAATAATGATGACAACAGCCTTGTCAAATGTTTTCTCGTGCCAGCAGCCACTCTGCTGTTCACTCCCCAGGGCCGTGTTGTGCGACGGGGCCAGAATGTCCTCAAAAGGCAGTACGTCGCATGATGATTTATTTTCGAGGACCATGCGCGTGAGAAGGAATCCTTTTGTGAAGAAGTATATACCCACGACATGCAAGAGTCTGTCATGTAACCACCGTTAGCTCAAATTTATTTTCTGACACGTCAGCCCCGCGAAGGGCCTTTGAACCTCAGAAGCTTTGCTAGGCAGGAAACACTCACAGTATCCACGCCAAAACACCCATTACCCCAAGATGCTTGGACTTGAACTCATTCTCGAGCTCCATCGCCTTCATATCAATCACACCAGGTGGTTTCCGCTTGGTCTGCCCGCCAGGCGACTGAGGGGAGCTGCGAGGGGGAGCAGCTGGAAGACCGCCTTTGGGGCCATTGGGGTTCAGGCTGGTCCCCGCAGTCCCTGCAGCTGATGTGGCTACCATTTTGTAGGGATACCGTATGGTCTCACGTCGAGATCGGAGGCCAGCTGGCGCGCCGAGTCGCAGACGTGTCTGCTAAAGGTCGAAGGGGGGTCCGTGGACAATGAACACGGTAGTCTGTTTTCAGGGGCAGGGAAGCCGGGAGCAAGCACAATCGAGCCGATTGAACCAGTTCAAGCGAGGGCCATCGAAGTCGAGTGAAAAAGTATAGGCCCGCGGAGGGCGGCGGAGGTTGCGGAGGTTGCGGAGGTTTGTACCCTTTTTGTGCTCTGTCGAACGGCTTCCCTTTGTATCAAGTGACTATGGCATGCACATAGTTTGGAACAGCCGTATACAAAGCTCGATCGGGGGAAGCTGTTGCAGAAAGAAAATCAAGTCGAATTTCTCTGACGTCGCGGAACCGACGGTTGGGAAGCTCGGTGCCGGGGTTTCTCATTGGCCGGTGGCTACGTGCCTACACCCACTCTACAGAAAAAAAGGAGGGGATAAAGCACACAAAGCATGTAGGTGATAGATTTGCTTAAATATGCTTAAATATGGCGAAACATAGGAGGACTAAGTACATACATTATCCAGCTGCCGGGTACCGAAATGAAAATGGCACATAAGAAGAGAAGTGAAATAGAAGGGGCCCCAATGAAACGTAAAAAAAGAACCCCATAAAAGGATGTGAAGAATAGAAGTCGAAAGCAGGAATAATAACACATGTACATCGAGCCCTAGGAACGTGGCAGAGCTGAAGCAAACATGATACCAAGCTTAAGAGAATCAAACGCCAGAAAGCAGGAGAAAAATCGGCAGGCCCTCGCTATGGACAATTCAGCTTCAAGAAGCAGATTGAGGATATCGAAGCAACGCGGAAACCCAAGAGCCTGTGTAGAGCTTTGGGATTCCGACCGTATACTTCGAGGCCAAGGAAACTGAAAAGCATATGTGCAAGCCATATAGGCCAAGTCGGGGAGAAAGGTTATGTAGGAGCGCAAGAGATATTCGCCAGAGTACTCGTCACGTTTTGAGAAGTCGTTGAGAATTTAGGATTGAGCCGCCTGCGGGTGTGATGCACAATTGGTCAATTAGGCAAGTTGGTGATCGCCTTTATTTGTATGTATTCATCTCCCCCTTCTCCTTCAATCCACCCATCCGGTCAATGTCCAGGGATTGGAAGCGACCGGTGTCGGTGGTTTGATAGGGCGGTAGCTCCTCGTGACAGGGTTCCAGACCGACGCTACCAGCGTCACTGATTCGGACAATGACCATTCGGCCAGAGGTACGTTTGCCGCTCGCATCTTCTTCCTCGGGGAAGGTAATGCGGATTTCGGGCACAGGGCTAGGTGGGGGGCTGTCGGAGTTGGCCATGAGACTGCGCTTCTCATCGTACACGACCACGGAATCAGACTTGTTGGTAGAGATAGTTAAGCGGCGTTTATTGACAGGGGACTCTCCATTGTGAACTGGGAGTAGGTTTTGTTTCCGAGATTGACGCTTGCGACGGAGGACCAGCAGACCACCGACCAGGGCGAGGGAGAGCAGAACAAGAACAAGAAGAGCGATCAAGAGATCAATCATTGCATTTGACAGTCCACCATTGTCATCGTCATTACGAGCAACGATCCGAGGAAATAGGTTGTTCATCTTGTGGATCGTGGGGTTTTGGGAGGTTGGGTTTTAAGACCCAAGTGGTATTGTGGTTATGATCGGAAAGCGATGGAAAGAGACGTGATCGGCGATTCCAGATCCCAAAGAGTGCTACGGACTGGATCCGGATAAGTAAAACACTCGCGGAATGTACCAGTCGAATGGCAGTTGAACAGTCGTTGGGTCGTGTGGGTTGTCGAAAATAAGGCAAAAGGGGTCGAAAACGAAGGTTGACCGATTGTTAAAGAAAGAGTGGACAGCAAGGTGAGCCGCTGAAAGAGTGAAGCTGGCTCCTGCGTGAAAAAGAATGGAGGGACTGAAGGTTTGGAGAATGAAGGGAAACAGAAAGGGGACGAAGGGAGGAAGAAGAGGAGAAGGACAGCCTAGAACGCTTCGCTATTGTTAGTGTTAGAGCTAAGCTGTTCCAAGCTTAGTCTGGTTCCCTGGTTGCAGCTGGGGCCTCTTGGCTGCAGGGGTTGACCAATCACAGGGCTTTAGTGCCTGCAGGGCGGGCCCTTTGGAGGCTGTTGGCGGCCTCTGACTGGCCAGCTCAGTCCACCCAACTATGCCCGTTTATTTTGGTTCCCCTGAGATCGTAAACTCGTGCGAGACATTGAGTGTAGCTTAATTCCTTCGATATGGGGTAGATAGGGTAGAACTGATGATAACCTGGTGTAAACAGATTCTCTCTGGTCGCACAAGAAATTAATCCAGTCCCAGTTTACGGCGCATAAACACAGCCCGTTAATCCTACAGTAGCAAGTTGATTTGCTCTTGCCGGGGTCCGATGCTCGTGGGAAATTACATTGATGTCAGCAGGAAATGAGTGTCTTAAAGATCTGTCGTAGCAGATTAGATCTCATGTACCTGACCATCACAACAAACAAAGCCATAGTACGCGTCAACACACAGCGTCCACGAGTGTAGCCATGTTCATAGAAGCAAGGAACAATGTGTTGACTTGTTGAGATTGCCTTCATGGTGGTTGGCTTGGTTGTTGGGACTATCGAGGTCACATAGTCAGCTAGGTACATGTAGAGACCTGGTCAAAGACCAAAGACTACCGGACAACCTCCATAGATATCACATTTTTCGTAGGAACTTCTATAGCTTTCAAATATCTAGCATGTCTATAAAATGCTCATAGTTTTTCGGAAGTTCCATGCTTACCTAGCAGAAAAAGTAAATATCAGTTTCTTAAACCCAGTCTAGAGATATATACTGTGTAGAATGTAGTCACATGTAGGAATCACATGGAGATACCATCAACAACCCTAAATCAGGTCGGTAGGTACCGGACTACCTAGGTACAGGCATAAATATATTCGGAACAGCCAAGTGATCAAAAAGAAATCCAAGATGCAAGTCTCTTAAAGCCACTGTTTGCCACATGCTGGATGTATCGCCCAAGCTGCAAGTATGCTGCTCGCATGGATTTACAGCCACCGCGGGAACACACAGCACGCGGCCCTGTGCCACAAACGAAGTGTTCGTTGGCAATCGTTGCAGTAGAGGTCGAGCTGCAACTTCTTGAATTTGAGCGTAACTAGAGCTGGGCTCTTCTCCAGTGCTAAGAAAATGGGTTCTTTGTACTCCATCGCCCAGTGGCAGATCTACAGCGTGCCCCAGGTTGGTTTAGGACGATACCTAGTTCTTAAGATGCTCCCTCCCGAGTCCCAGCGGGAGCTTTCTGAGGAAAGTCACTTGTACTTACAAACTGCAGGTGGGTGTGGGGCATCCGCCACGGTGTTGTTGTCACCAGCCCGACACTAATGGAGAATGTGCTCCGGGAGCAATACCTATATATTGTCGAAGGCCATCGAATTCATCTCGCAGACGACAGCAGGTCTCTACCCTCAAAACCGAAGAAGACTCAAGGACCAGTTTACAGGATCTTAGTCTGTCCGGACTTCAAACACCCAAGAGTACCCTGGTTTGTACTGATCCCACCAAGACCGACACTCGAGATCAAGAACACAACTAGCCCTGCGTCACTACCAGAATTGCCCAACTGCATTCACGGACAGGTCCTTCTGTCTCTTGGCATCGCGGACAGACTCTGCATCTCTTATAATGCGGTCAGGGGACGCCAGCACACCGATTTGACACCTCACAAACCGGAGAAATAATAAGGGCAAAAGCAACAACTTATCCTAGAGACTGGGAACACAACCAACGCCGAGTAGCCTTGAAACTCGGTCGGTGGTCATCGGCGTTCGGGTCCACTTAATGTGAATAAGCCTACGGGAGTCGGACGCAAGGCGACAATCACCCTTAAAGATCAGATCTGGGGAAGATTTCTGCGAGTGATGGCCTGACACTTTCCCTGTACGACCCCTGTGCAAGGACCCAAAGGTGAGTATCCTTGTCGTCCTGCGCGCTGTATGACTCTCCCTTCGCCGGTCGATGTCTCGGCCCTTTTTCCAATTTCGCCTGGAGGAATTACACTGCGATGACTGGACCCCGCGAATTCGACGGCAAATGTTCAATAGATACTGCCAGATGACGACCCTTCCTTCTGTGTGAGTTTCGAAACCGGGGGAACAAGCAACTGGATCTTCCAAGGCTGTCAGTTAGTCGGATGGTGCGTCCCGCACTTCCCCTACAGATCAAATCCAAGGGTCAATGTGACGATGAGCCGAAGCAAGGGGCTGGCCAAGTCTATAGAAGTCTACCCAGTACGAACCTGCTTTTAGGGACTGATTTTGGCTGGTTCTACTCTTTAAGGGCCCCAAGCGTACCTTTATCGATGCGCGCGAGACTATTGCGACTCGCAGTGGTGGTTGACTTGATCATGGCTGGATCTATTGGGGGGTCCAGCATCAAGGGATTAGGCATTACCAGTCCCCGCGCACGGCCTAAACAATAGACAGAACATCAACAGAAAAAGAAAATACCCCAAACAAGTCAGAGCATCAGTGCGAAACAAATCCCCTCGCCCCGTTGGGTTCTTGACCAGGCGGAGAAGTCAGCCAACGAGAGACGCCTTGCCAATCCTGGAATGGCTGGTAATCCACAGTTAGAAAGGTGGCGGTCCTTGGCTCTTTTCGGGCGTTTCTTTGTTTTTCTTTTTTGTTTTTTTTTGGGGCAAGAATGTTCCGCTCCGAACTCCACCGGACGTTGTACGAGAGAATAAAAGAACAAGAGCATGACTACCCCATACATAGGAATATTGAGGGTCCGAGATGGTTCTGGTTCCATATGGCTGTGTATACGCAGTAGACTGAGTAAGAGTCACTAGAGTGTACCTTACTTGGGGTTAAGGCTAAAGAGGGTCTGAGTGGGCCCCGATCGGATTCTTTAAACCTTCACCTTAAAAATCGATAAGCTCGGGGAAGCTTCACGACATCTACATTACCTCAAGACTACACACAATATTTCCGAGGACTCTGTCACTCTGGGATCTTGATTCCTTCCGTATTCCCAATTCTTTCTAGTGAAAAGCTTCTGTTATATTGACTGTCAGGCACCCGGCTCCATTCGGGAGTATAATGTGGGTTACCCATGGTCATATGACACATACCAGGGAGTTCTCTACTACAGTGGATAGGAACTCTTGACCGAAGCATCAAATCGCCTCCATAGTGACTTCAGGTTTGCCCGTTCACCTCATTGCGCGGCCCTTTCGGTACTGTTCCAGGGACTCGATGTTGATGTGCTGGGCTGGGCCATGGAAATCGATATAACTTTTTCCTAATGAGTACAGAAGTGTAGAGTTCAGTATATACTCAGATCATAAGAACATGTACGGGGTATACAAATTGTAATAGACAATGTAATGAAAGAAGTTTGAATACAATTGCAGCTATTGCACTTCTATGGAGAGCTGTCAAACGAGTTAAGGACAAAGAGATGGGGCCAGGCTAAAAAAGAAGCGCCGGGAGTTAGATCGCGGTGACAGCCTGATACAGATACCATACAAAGCTAGCTGCAAGAATACTTAGTTCCCCAGCCAAACTCTAATACAAACATAAGTACCTCCACCTCTCAGCCAAGATCGACCTGTTCAACTGGTCACCGTATTACAAACCAATACAGCGGCTGATCTACGAAATCATCATTTTCTTCTTGTTATCTATCCAATCGACCTTGTTCTGTTCGTCTTTTTTCTCTTTTCTTTTCTTCCTTTTTTCTTTTTCGTGTGACTTCCTTATTTTCTTCCTGCTATTTGAATTGCTCTTCTTCTTTTCAATTCTCTTTCGCTTTTCCCCTCCATCACCGCCTCAATACCTTCCCCAAGCCACACGAAAAAAAAAATAAACCACAGCCCTGGGCTGTCATGCTGGCGCCTGTGTGACAGCTGGACTACTTTTATGCTGTGTCCTGTCTCTCGCCCACATTCCCTTCCATCGATCTACTGAATCCCGGATTCTCTTCTGAGTGCGCGAGCGCATTCCGTTACTCTTATCCGCTACTCGAAAATCCTCCCCCTCCCTCCCCTCAGACATCATCCCTTGCCTACGCCAATCAATCTAGGGTCCCCCCCAACGCTCTGATTGCCATTCTCGGGGATCGACTCTCCACAAGGTACATGAGGACGATCTGCAAACTGGGAGATTCCTGGAGCATGCACGGAGCAGAGTAACGTCGCGACGCCTCCTCAATTCAGAACCCTCCGGCTACCAACCTGTTACCCACCCCACACAGCTGCAGCAAACGGAAGGGTGAGAATAATCGTTCCAATTCTTTGTCACCTTGCATCTTCCATCGCTGTCAGGCTCGATCGACCTTCCTGCCACAGTCAGCATTTCTCGCCTCATTCAGAGCTTGTAGCTCTTTCTCCCTTCCCTCTCCCTTCCTCTCTCCAGCTCCTGTATAATCTGTACATGTCCTGGCTTCCACGCTGAGCAGTACAGAGGATTACATTCGTTCTCTTCACTTCACTCTTTCTTTTTCGCGATCCCCTTCTATCCCCTCCTTTGGTGAGCCTTCCCCTCAGACACTGGTACACCCTAGGAACCCTTGGACCTTCGATGGAACCTGGCATACCAATGGAACATTCACCCAATATGGTTTGAACACGGCTAACAGGGGTATTTTCATCGCAGTCATATATTCCTTTATCTTCGCTGTTCCTGGTGCCTGGTGCCCGCTTGCAAATACAGGCCGACACAGCATCGGTCGATAGTCTCAGCTCTGTGATTTATTATCGCGAGACACATCTTCGAACGACCTCCGAATAATCACCTTCCCTTCGAGTACATATCGCTTCATTGTTGTTACGCCGATCGGATAGTTCCTGGGATGGCTTCTACGATGGCCGCAAATGCAACCGGCGCACACAACGTGAGTGGGAACATGGATCTCGATCGATGAACGCGGCGATACTAACAACCATCTAGGTGCGTTCGAATCGGGCTTCCAACATGGGTTCATCTGGGATCAACGAGCGCTCCCGCGGATCACAAAACAACAGTGTCGGCAAGGGTTTTGGTGCTGGCAAGTCCAGCTGGAACAACAACATCTGGGGTGATTCTAACCTGGGTGGATTCGGAGACGGTAAGCGATTGGTTACATCGATTTTCAACCTGGGACACGCTGACACAGCTTGCAGATCAACACATTAGCGAGACTGCATTCGAAGGAAAGTCAGGATCAGGTTCACTCTTGTCTACATCGGAGTCAGACGGCTGGTCGGGACGTGCCACCCTGCCATGGAGCACTGTCAACACCAACCCCTCTTTCCAGAACCGAAGTCTCGCTACATCGCCTATTCAGACGCGTGCAAACGACCGTAGCGCTCCTGCTTTGAACGAAACCAGTGACAGCTCCTACTTTGCCCTACCGCGTACCACGGGCATGAGCACCGCCGCTGGCACCGCTTCTCACCGACCCTATCTCAACGCTGCCTCCGAGGGAGTATCACCATCCGGGGATGGCATTTCGTTTGGTGGGTTCTCTGGTCGACGCCAGATAAACTCGAGCGGTCTCGGTGGCAGCCCCGTGGGCGCCAACTTCCCCGCGAAGCCTACTTTCGCTAGCCAGCTCGACAGTGCAGGCGGTGATGGAATGGCGGGGTCCATGACTATGCAGGTGGGAACACTGGCATCGGGCATGTCTGAGCACATGTCTCCCCCTCCTGGGCGCACCGGCCTCGCTCACGCCTCCCACAATTCCGCTTCTTACGCCACACAGCGTCCTGGCCACTCCACACACCCTTCATTCTACTCTGATAACCAAAGTATTGACGGCCGCTATGCCAGTTCCTCGATGGACCTCGGCAGTAGCTTCAACAAGCTGCAACTTAACGATGGCAGCTATGCTTCGCAAGCAGCCCAGCGACCCACATTCGTTCCTCACGCCTCCTTTGATGGTAGCTTCCCTCGTGCGAAATACCAAAACAATGAGGATGCATACCAGACACTCGGTTATCCTGTGGATGGGCCTCAGGAGATGCAGCTCGCTTACCAGCAGGCACGGTCGCGTGCTGCGAATACTGGGTCCATCTCGCCTTCTGACTATGCCCGCATGGAGAGCCCCCTCTACCCTGGTGTAGAGGGGTCGGCCCAGTTCCGCAACGTTACTGGAAATGAAAGCCACACAGCAGCCTTTGAGCGCAGGCTTCGAGCTCTTCAGGAACAGGAGCTTGCTCAAGCTTCTTCGCGGATGCAATATCCTCCCACGTACGACTTCCAAGCTTACCAGGCGTCTCGTCTGAATGCGCTCTCCGGCTTCTATCCAGTCGCCCATCTCTCCGGCCTCAATGCCGCTGCGCTTGTTGGGCGCACTCAGCGTGATCACGACCCTACACAGGTTGTTCGCAGCCCGCTCCTGGAGGAGTTCAGGGCCAACAGCAAGGGTAACAAGCGCTACGAGCTCAAGGACATCTACAACCATGTCGTTGAATTCAGCGGAGACCAGCACGGTTCTCGTTTCATTCAGCAGAAGCTTGAGACCGCCAACAGCGACGAGAAGGAACAGGTGTTCCGCGAAATCCAGCCTAACTGCCTACAGCTGATGACCGATGTCTTCGGTAACTACGTCGTCCAAAAGTTGTTCGAGCATGGCAACCAGACGCAGAAGAAGATTCTGGCCAACCAAATGCGCGGTCATGTTCTCGCTCTGTCAACCCAGATGTACGGATGCCGAGTCGTCCAAAAGGCACTCGAGCACATCTTAACTGATCAACAAGCTGCTATGGTGAAGGAACTGGAGAACCATGTCCTGAAGTGCGTTCGTGACCAGAACGGAAACCACGTCATTCAAAAGGCTATCGAGCGTGTTCCTTCAGAGTATGTTCAGTTCATTATCAACGCCTTCCGTGGCCAGGTCAATCGCCTTGCCGCTCACCCTTACGGTTGCCGTGTGATCCAGCGCATGCTTGAGCACTGTCAGGAAGTTGACCGCCAGTCCATCCTGGCTGAGCTTCACGCATGCACAGCCAACTTGATTCCTGACCAGTTTGGCAATTATGTCATCCAGCATGTTATTGAGAACGGCGACGAGAAAGATCGCACTCGCATGATTGACATCGTGATGGGTCAGCTTCTCGCCTACTCCAAGCACAAGTTTGCGAGTAACGTGGTCGAGAAGAGCATTGAGTTCGGCGCGGAACATGAACGCAAGCACATCATTTCCACTCTGACCTCCGCCAATGATCGCGGCGAGAGTCCTCTCCTTGGCCTCATGCGCGACCAGTATGGCAACTATGTCATTCGTAAGTGATTTAGCCACCTCCACCTCGTGCGGTGATACTGACCCCTTACAGAGAAAGTGCTAGGCCAGCTGAAGGACGCAGAACGCGAGGCCCTCATTGATCAGATCAAGCCCCTTCTCAGCCAGCTGAAGAAATTTAGCTACGGCAAGCAAATTGTTGCTATCGAGAAGCTCATCTTTGACCCCAACTCGCCCGCAACCGGCCCTCTTTCTCACGCCACCTCGACCACCCCCCTCACTCGCACAAGTCGTCCCCGCAGCCTGCTAAGCGCTCCACCATGGAGCAGCCCCGGGCTCCGTTCCTGGGTAACGCACCCCCTACACCTCCTCCGACGGATCCCCAGACCGTCGACAGCACCCTTGAGTCCAAGGGCCTTGCCAAAAGCACAGTGACATCGGTTTCGAGTCCCGAGACAGGCAGCACCGGTGTTACCGTCCCGGTCGATGTCACTAGTGCCCACTAATTCGTTGCACACTTTACCTTGCTCGCCCAACATAATCTTTCTAATCCTGAATTGATCGAGCCGAATGACTTCTTGTCTTCTATCTAATACGGGGCGTATACATACAGGGGAATCCGGCGGGATATATGCTACCAACGTCTATGTGATTCCCCCAACTTTTACCATGGTTTTGAGACGGCGCAACTGTGGGGTCCTGGAATGTTTCTATCTCTTATTTCCTTCTCATGTATTGATCTCGATCTCGATCTCGGAACGACAACTTACTTCTTATCTACCTCTTCTTTGTTCTTGTTCCTTTCTTGACATGTTCATTATTCTTACGATTATCCCTTGTGAATCATTGTCAATGCTTTCTCCTTATGAGATCCCGATCCGAGAATCAATACGGCTCCGGCGTCTTTGCGTTTCTGTTTCCTTTCCATTATTTCTCACTGGCGGGATGAACGGGCTGGGCTGTCTTTCAAACACTGAATGGTCCCCTGTTTCGCTCTTCACGATACAGAGCGCATATCCAGTCGCATGGAGTTCAAATGTCGACATTCCCCTCTGGTTCCTGCAGAAAATACGAGAAAAGAATCAACACTTGCACAGCATTCACCTTGTGCCATGACATCTGCATGATCTACAACTTTCTTCGTCCACAAATCTTTTTCACTATCGCCATGTGGCCGATTGTTCGAACCAAATATTCCAATCATGCCTTTCTGATCTCTGCGATACGTCCCGGTTTCTTCTCGCATCAAGGTGTTTCTGTCACGGTGATCTTGCTTCTGTGCTTCCCGGCGACATGTGCTATCTTCCTGGTCTTTTGATACTTGTCACAGCTATCAGCCTGGATGCCATGTTGCTTATTTCAGGGTTGCCTTGCCGTGTTGATATTTCTCTCGTGGTATTCATTTAACCTTGCTAGTGGCTGTATTATCAATGCATTATGACTTGATTATCATCCTTCCATATTATCATAGAGTACAGTACAGTAACCTTAGCCAAGTGGTCCAGTGTCGATGGTATGGTATGGCATTCATTAACGTCACTTAGGCCTCTCATGGACATAAGCTGTTCCTCAGAAAGCAACACTCTTTTCTTGAAAGATCAGTTCATACCCAGTTGACTGCGTTCCTCGCCCGACATCCAGGCTTCACGTGGGAAAAAAAAGAAACGTCCCCGGGAAGGCTTGAACTTCCAACCTCCCGATTAACAGTCGGACGCGCTAACCAATTGCGCCACGGAGACTTGGTATGGAGTCGATGGCCCGGTGAAGGGTAGATACGAGTACACGTGATGTGGCATATGATACCGCACGTGACTACTGTCCCGTGATATCTGATAAGGCGCATTTTGACCTACTCGGATCAACCCCATCTACACTTCCACCTGAACAAGGTGATCAGCACTCCCTCACACCTGGACGGAGATTAAGCCGCACCATTCAACCATTCACCCGTCTCAGCTCAACCTCCAACCTAAGCACGAAACGACCGACACATCCATACACCCAGACCAGCTCCGAGCTACTGCATTCCGTCAAAGCAGACACATCCCAGCATAACCTAACATAAACTACAACTATAACCACATACGACTCTCACACAAACACGCCCACAAAATCCAACCAAAATGTCCTCAAACGTCGGCCTCAGCACCCCGCGCGGCAGCGGCACATCAGGCTACGTGCAGCGCAACTCCGCCCTCCTCAAACTCCGCAACACAGGCTACGGCGCCCCTACCCACCCGTGTCCGGCGCAAACGGCAGCGGACCCATGGACCGACCATTCAAGCAGCGCATGCCCGACAAGCAAATCCTCGACCATGACCGGAAGCGCGGGATCGAGGTGAAAGTCATGGAAGAGCGGGAGAGGCTGGAAGAGGAGAATGAGCGGATTGAAGAAGAGCAGAAGAAGAGTTCTAAGACTGTCAAAGACAAGGCAGATAAGGAGGAGGAGGAGAAGGAGAAGGTGCTCAGTGAAGAAGAGATTGATGAACGGTGTGATGCGCTGAGGAAGAGGTTGCTTGATGAGCTTGAGGTGGAGATGCAGAGGGGTGAGGCGTTTAAGAGGCCGCTTCCCGCTGGCAATGGCAAGGATAGACGGAATTTGAAGTCTTATCAGGTTCATGAGCTTGCTGAGGCGAAGATTGAGGAGACGGAGAGGTTGAGGAGGGCTTTTGGGTTGAGGGAGGATAGGGAGACGGGGGTGATTTCGAGTTCGAGGGATCGGTATCGGGAGAGGGAGAGGAGGGATTGAGGTCTTGTTTCTACCTTTGAAAGTAATGTTGCTACCTTTGACAGTGATGTTGGGCGTTGGGGTTATGCGGGTGGGAATCATTTTCTTCTTCTCTTCTTTCTGTCCATGTTATGCTGTACAATCCTTCAAACCAAAATGAAACAAGTGGATATCATAATCTCATCTATAATACACATCCAAAGTCAAGCTTACGCCACAAACTTCTCAATAACCCACCCATCCTTCGCATCCTTTTTCTGCACCACCTTCTTAGCAGGCAAAGGCCACCCCGTACTCCCCGAATCCCCAACAAGCGACGGAATAACCCAGCAAGACCTACGCGGCGGCACACCCTCAATAGCATCCGCCTTCCCAATGGGCTTCCCATACTCAATCAACGGCGTACCATGCGCAATAGCCGACAGCTGCAATCCACTGGGCGCAACAAGCGGGAACATCCTGATCTTAGCCACCTGATCTGAAACCAGCGACGCCGAACTCTGCTGCAGATGCGAATAGGTAATATACTGCGGCATTTCCTTTGGCGAAAGCTTCGCCAACAACGACGAAGGATGGACATACACCGCTTTCTCCTGAATTTCCTGGATCTTTCCATCCCGGGAGCGGAAAAGAGTCAGATACGGCACGTCGATTGCGCGACGGGGTGCGCGCGGGATCTCAGGCGGGACGGGGGCTAGATCAGCGCGTATAGCGACATTGTCTATGAAGCCGGCCGTGACGATTTGCTTGAGGGCTTTTATTTGTTTTGGAGATGGCTCTGGGAGACGGTGTTCGTAGGCCGGGACGAGACCGGGGTTGTTTGAGCGGACGATGTCGGTTAGCTGGCGACGGAGCTGGGTTGCTTCTTTGAAGGCCTTGGCGCGGAGGAACATTTTGTCGGCGAAGGCTTCGCCGTCGGAGGCGTAGGCGTAGGCGCAGATTGCGGAGAGGGATTTGAGGGCGTCGGAGGTTTCGTCGTGTTTGCTGAAGAGGCGGTGGGCGCGGGCGTGGGATTTGGCGCGCTGTTCGCGCTCTGTGTCTTCGAGGCGGTCGGCGTTTGTGTAGACTTTTCGGGTGTCGACGTCGGAGTCGGAGTCGGAGTCGTTGGACTCCTTCTTTTGGAAGGGGGAGGGATTGTTGGGGTCGAGTTGGTTCTCGGGAATGAAGAGGTCGCCGACGGCTAGAGCGGCGACTAGGGCGATCACGTAGGGCATGCAGCCGTGTTGGTGGCCGATGTGGAGCATTTTGCTGAAGCGTGGTGAGAGGGGGTATGTCGAGAGACGGCGGCCGATTGGGGTTACTTGGCCGTCGGCTGTGAGGGCGCCGAGGTTCTTGAGGAGTTTCTCTGCCTTTGCGAGACCTTGACGGCTTGGGGGTGTTGGGAAGGGGAAGTTGATGACGTTGTGGAGACCCATGCTCTTCATTTGGAGGACGACACCTTCGATGGGGGTGCGCAGGATCTCGGGTTCTGTGTACTCGGCGAACTCGCTTTCGTAGACTGCGGAAGAGTACAGTCTGTAGCAGTGACCTGGCCCTGTACGACCGGCTCGACCGGCTCTCTGGTTTGCGCTCGCCTTGCTGATCCAGCCGACTTGGAAGCTCTGGACTCCGGTGAAGAGGTCGAACTGTTTCTCTTTGGATCGGCCGCAGTCAAAGACATACTTGATCCCGGGGATGGTGAGGGATGTTTCGGCAACGTTGGTTGCGAGGATGATCAGCCGGGAGTTCTCTGGCGGTGCCTCGAACACCTTCATTTGTTCTTTCGTAGGGAGCTGCGAGTATAGGGGCAATACGTGAACGCGGGTGGATGAATCCATCGCTTCTTCACCTTCAGCTAGCTCGAAGCCTTCATCTTCCTCGGCGTCGTCTAATCCTGTGATCTCCATATCACTGTCATAATCATCGTGGCCCGGATTTTCCATCTCAGTACCACCCAGTTCGAGATCCTCTGCCTCCAGAGGTGCTTCAGTAGCCGAGAGTTGCACCTTTGCATTTGTCGTGTCATCCCGCTGGGTAGGCTTGAACGCCTGCTTCAGTTTCTTTGAAAGTTGACGAATCTCCATTTGTCCAGTCAAAAAGACGAGCATTCCACCGGCAGGCAGTTTGCGGTGTCCGCGTGAGACCTTACGGAAGGCATCTTCGACGTAATCGCGCTGTGTGCGACGGGAGAAATGGACTGCGACAGGGTACTGACGACCTTCGGCTTGGACCAAGGGAGGAGGACCATCGCGGAAAAGACTTGCATTCTCAGTGAAATCCGAGATACGGAGAGTGGCCGACATGATGACGACCTTCAACGGCTTGACAGACGGGTCCTCCTCGCTCAGACTCTTACGCAAGCCCACAATACGACTGACCATTCCAATCAGAATATCAGTGTTGACACTGCGTTCGTGAGCCTCGTCAATAAGAATGATAGAGTACTTGCGAAGGGCAAAGTCATCGGCGATCTCTCGCAAAAGAATACCATCAGTCATAAACTTGATAGCCGTCTTCTTTGACGCCGTAGACTCGAATCGAATCTGATAGGACACCTTGTCGGCATGTTGACCCAATTCCTGGGCCACACGGTTGGCCATACTGACGGCCGCGACTCGGCGAGGCTGAGTGACACCAATGAGACCTGGGTTAGGGCTACCAGGGGAGCCGAATCCGGATTCGAAGAGGAACTGGGGTAGCTGAGTGGTCTTTCCGCTACCAGTAGCACCCCAAATGACCACGACTGAGTTGTTGTGAATTGCTTCCATGATTTTCTGCTCTTCTCCAACGACGGGAAGTCCAAGACGGGCTACTTGGATTTCTTCCGAGCGGTCGACCGCGACACTGTATGCCTTGCGGTTGGGATCGCCACTGGTGACCTGAAGCTCTCGAGGAAGCGGTTCTTCTTGGATAGTATTGTGAGTTGCTGGCAACTTGGACGGGTCGAACACTTGCTCTTCCTCTGTCACTGCTCCTGCACTCGGTTTGAAGCCTGCGGCCTCGTTGATCTGCTGTACGGCCCAAGATTTGAAGGCCGACTCGCGAGTCTTGAGCTTTGGGCTGTCTTCTTCCTCGTCGTTATCTTCCTCGTCTTCCTCATCCTCATCAGAAGTACCATCAGACGAAGTATCGTCGTCTTCAGAGCCCTCTTCGGAGTCCTCTTCGATATCACTTTCAGACCCGGCGGACTCGTCGTCCATATCTTCGTCGTCTTCGTCATCTTCGCCTTCCTCTTCGTCCTCCTCACCCGAGTCAAAGCCATCCCATGCAACCTCGGCTTGTACTGGTTTCACGACAGGCTTCTTCTTCTTCTTGGGCGCACGCTTGCGCTTCTTCAGAACAGGGAATCCATCCGGCCCGAGCTCTAGAGGCCGCTTCAATCCACTTCCGGCAGCTGCCTCTTGTTTCAATTTTTGTTCATTGGGGTCTGTCGAGGGATCAGAGGCTTTGAGGTCGGCGTCCGAATCGTCAGTGTCGTACCCGGAAATATCTGGAGCCTTGCGTTTCGGTGCCGCATCGGCGGCCGGTTTAGGCTTGTCTTCATCCTGTTTTTTGCGCTTGAAAAGATCTCTGGAGCTTTGCAGAGAAGAAGTGTCGACAGATGCCGAGGCTAGCTTCTTCAACAATTCGATATTTTCTTCCTTCCTGAGTTTGTTTTCCTGTGATTGTCAGCGCTGTCTCGCTGTCTTTCATGGCTTTCCACATACAATGTATTTGTCTAAACGCTTTTGCTTTTTCGAGGACATGTGGGGGTTCTGCTCCCGTAGCTCTCCTTGCAGCTTCTGTCGTCGCAACTCTTTCTCATCCTTCGAGACGGGCTGGAGCTGTTCGACATTGGTATCGGCCGACTCGCCAGCCGGGTTCGCCCGGTGCCTCTGCTTTCGTAGGCGAGGTGTGAACTTGGGCGGCATTTTGGATTTTTACAGTCACTTGGACTGAAAGATAATTGGCTAAGTAGACAACATTGAAGTTTGACGCTTCAACTGTTTCTTGCCCGAAAAAAATAAAGGCGGTCGCATATATTGCTGGATTTATCCAGGGCGGTGAACGTGACCCTCTCCCCCACCTAAGAGGGGACCATCTCCGATACCTTTAGCTTGCCTGTACATTTTATGCTACCTGTGTTTCTCGAATTTGAAACCTGAAGGCTGATCTGGCTGAATCTGCACATAACAATGTCCACACCTTTCGATATAAGTTCTCCAGACAGCCTCAACCTGCCATTCCCTGCCTCTACCAGGCAAGTTACGGGGCTGGTGAACGGCATACAAACAGATGTTTTTGTAACCAGCTTCAGCGATAAGATCATGGTCGCGATATCGCAAGCAGGACGATTGGCACACTGGGTATGTCTTAGAACCACATCCACTGAATGCTACTAACATGTGTGAAGTTACATGTACCAATGGAGAATCAGAATCCTGGCACCGAGGGCATGCACACGCTCTCTGAGGGCGATGATGCTCTCTTGCCCCTTAAAACCCTGACTACAACTACTTTGCTGGGTGGCCATTCCCCCGGACAAGATACGACTGGTCAATTGCTTGCTCGTCAAATTGCTACGGCCATCGCAATGAAGACACCTGATGAGAAGAGACTACTTCTTGTCGGTCTTGGACTTGGGAAAGAGACCGCTGACCGAGATTCGTTCTTTGCTATAGTTGATCTTGTTTTGCAATGTCTTTGAATTTGATCCTGGGATAGTAACTGGACGAAGCACGTGATAGTATCTCGAGTCGGGTTCCTGATGTTCCCAGAAGTTGATCCTGTCTTGATCCGAACTTGCTCGATGTCAAGAACTCCAAACTGAGAGTTTTCGGACATCCATCAGTGCGGAGGGGAACCAGAATCTCACAACGCGCCGGGCACGAGGTAGACCCTAAGTGCATCAAGTACCTCACAAAGTACTGCCACTACTTCCACATGAAAGGCAATCACCATGACGATTCAAAGTTACCTCCAGCTTGAAAGATGATTAGCTCTACCCGGTTATCATTGACATTTTGTCCCTCGAAGGAAAGCTCGTCCTACAGATCATTGATGCAGCTACTCATCTTTCAAGCTGGAGGTGAACTAGAATCGTCCTGGTGATTTGACTTTCATCTGGCAATGATGGCAGTACTCTGTGAGGTACTGAATGCACTGGAAGCCTTTCGCGGTCCTTCATCTTTCCCATCGAGATTTAGCGTATAGTTCTAATTCTAAACCGTCTGCATGGTGTCTCCGATGAAGTGTGTATTCAGGCAGTAGATATAGAAAAACAACAATAAGTATTCACAGGAGCCAAGGACTACCAGTTTTAGTTGAAGCGCCAACTGGTGAATTTGCTTTTGATATTACGAGATGGCCAGCCACGTGATGGCTGTTGACAAACAGGGGTTCCAGATGGAGACAACAGATAGAACGTGATAGACGAGCAGCCGCAATTCTCCTATGATTTAATGATCTAACTATTCTACAGGTCCCGAAGTCCTTGATGACTGATGTGAGCACATCGCGCGTTCTTATTTTGCTCTTACCGTGTTGGGTCACTCGTGACTCTTTGAGCCCCATACTCTCCACATCAAACCGGTGGAGGAATCTTACATTATCTTCTCTTGTCACCCGTTCTACATCTTTTATCCTTTCTTATTTCAGTATCCCCGACCTCAGCTTCATACTGATAAGTTTATTGTCGCGGGCTCTGCATGATGGACAAGGACTCGCAGGAACCCGAGTTTCTCGAAGCAGTCGAGGTCTCTCGCCAGACAACTCGCCAGACAACTCGCCAGCCACAAGATGGCCCTTCCTCATCTCAGCCTTCTCAACGTGATGTTGTCGATCTGACAGGCGACCTGGACAGTGGCTCAGATGTTGAAGAAGTCTTCCGTAAGTCTAAATCTGTCGTCAATTCCGAGACGGAGGACGAGGATGAAGATGAAGAGCTGCGACGTGCTATTGCGATGTCCCTGAAGTCAGATGTCGAAGAAGTCTTCCCTAAGATTAAATCTGTCGTCAGTTCCGAGACGAAGGATGTTGATGAGGATGAAGAGCTGCATCGTGCTATTGCTATGTCCCTGGAGGCTAGCGATAGCCCTAACCCCACCACAGCTGCCCCTCGTGAACCACCTGTTGCTCCCGGAGGGATACTATCCAGTTTGAACCGCAAGCAGATGGAAGAGGAACGTCTCGCACGTGCCGCCAAGCGCAAGTTTGAGGGCTCTCCATCCGCTCAGGAAAGCCGAAAACTCCCTCGTCCTGAAACCAACCCAGTACGTCCGATTGCGCCTGTATGGAAGACAACTCGGACTCTCCAAACCAGCAGTCCCACGGCCAGCTCTTCTCAAGCACGGACTCCCCATTCGCCTCGCTCGGAAGTTTGCCGTCGGGTTGACTCAAATGCCCCCGACTCCGACGTACGTCCGACATCACGGTCTGTACCCCAGTGGCCTCTTGGTGCCGTCAAGAAGACGCACGTTACCGGATCTCCTCGTACTGGAAACGACATCACCATCGAAGAAGTCATCCAGCGAGATGACCTGGAATTGGGCGTTTTCAGCTCGTTCATGTGGGATCTCGACTGGCTCTTCACTAAAATCAGCGCCCGGTCCCGTATCATGTTGATCATGCAGGCCAAGGATGAGACGACTGTTAGTTACACGATGTGACGAATTGACTGACACGACTAATATGACTTTATTTATAGAAGAAAGAGCACCTCCGGGATGCCGCGCACATCAAGAACCTACGCATCACTTTCCCGCCAATCGAGCCACAAGTGTTTTCCATGCACTCCAAACTCACTCTGCTGTTTCACGCTGAATATGTTCGGATCGCAGTTCCAACGGCCAACCTTACTCGGACTGACTGGGGGGAGGATAGACTTATGGAGAATGTATGAGCTCTCCATTTGTGCCCATGGGCTCAGCAACTAACCATTGGCAGACTGTATTTTTGATTGATCTTCCCAGGATGGCGGCCCCTAGGGCTGGAGAGACCGCCTTTTATGAAGAACTTGTCTACTTTCTCCAGGCCTCAAATTTACACCCAAATATCATCAAGAAGCTAGAGAATTTCGATTTCAGTGAGACGAAGAGATACGCATTTGTGCACTCAATGTATGTGCCCATAGTTCCATGATGTGTCACCGGCTAACAATACAAGTGGCGGATCAAACATAGGAGATAAATGGAGACGCACTGGGTTCAGCGGCTTAGGCCGCGCTATCCAAACCCTCGGTCTGCAAACGAATTTCCCCATCAATCTTGACTATGTCGTGAGTTCCACCTACAGAGCCTAACCAATATGCCGATTACCGAATTGCTAACGAAGGAATTCAGACTTCATCTCTGGGAAGCGTGAACATTGATCTTATGCTCTCCATCTATCTCGCCTGTCAAGGTAAGCCTGCACATCCCGTGGAAAACCAAACTCAACCAACTAATCGAACCTAACTGCTAGGCAATGATGCCGAGCTGGGATACGAGCTGCGAACCGCACGTAAGAAAACAACCCCCCTGGGCCAGTCTGCAGCGGCATACAGTAAAGAATGTCTCGACCACTTCCGCATCTACTTCCCATCTGAGCAGACCGTGCGAGCTGCACACGCGAACCCGAACATGACTGCAGGGACCATTTGCTTCAATCCGGGCTTTTGGACGAAACCCGGGTTCCCGCAAGCCTCACTGAGAGACTGTGTCAGCGAGCGTGGAGTATTGATGCATAACAAGGTGGGTGTTATCAGCCTGTGTCCACTTACATGGGTTCTTTTGCTGACATTGCTTCTGGTACAAAGCTGCTCTACGCTCATCCTTCCACTCCGATTGAGATGCCGGATAACAAGGAATGCCGGGGGTGGTCATATGTGGGGAGTGCGAATATGTCCGAGAGTGCATGGTGCGTAAAGCCATATCTGATCTGTTTCAAAAATGCATTAACAACGAACAGGGGACGTCTTGTCAAGGACACAAGCACCAAAGGATTGAAGATGAACTGCCGGAACTGGGAATGCGGTGTCATCGTGCCGATTATCACTGAGAAGACTGATGTCAGTGCCCAGCAGGAAGGCAAGGGGAAGAAATCAGAGGGGGCGACTTCAACTCCCCTTCCAGTTGAGGTTTACAAGGATGTCGTTCCTATCCCTATGAAGTTACCGGCTATGCCTCTGTCGCAGGAGCGGAAGCCTTTCTTCTTTGGGGCTTAGATTGAGCTGGATGTGAATACCTATCGATGGCAATGAAGCTTAACCCATGTTTGTTGAACACCTTCGCCCTGCAACTTTTCGTGACATTTCATGAATATCTTGCGTTCCATTGGTTCCACAGGACATTGCTTAGTTGTGTGCAACCTCAAGTCTCCTATAGATGGATGATGAACGAAAGAGATAGTTACGAAATTCCACCCACCTCATCCAACGTTTGTCAATTTGAACACCTTGCATCCCAAACAAATCCCCTCAAATACTAACTCTACAGAGACGTCAGTATCTAGAGGCCGCAAATCTCAATTCGCGGGGATTATTCTGACCTTCGCTTTCGTAGTCACTCTTTCCTTCTATAGGGCCTCGATGCTTCCCGAATTCATTGACTGTGGTATCACACTTGACTGGATTGTCCTCGACATGTTCTCTTCGTCGCGGCTGTCGGCTTCAAGTTCCCAAGGCCTAGCAGGCGAGGTTCCATGATATCGGTCCCGAATGTCTCTGAAGTCCTCCATCAAAGTTCGCGCGCCCTCATTGTTTACGCCCAGTTTCCAGGGGGGAAATGAAGTAGGAAACTCGACTTGCTCAAAATCGAGAACCATCACTTTACTTGCGTCAGATCCTCCGTTGTCGCAGTACATGAAATTATCCAACTTTTGATCCCAATATATGGCTCCGCGGGTGGATAAAGATTTGAACACTGCCGTGAGTTTATCCTTCATGTTTTCCTCATCGACAGGCTTCTTACTGCGAGCGAGATCAAGCAGAGTGGTGCCGACAACCTCCGAGAAGACCAGTGCCCGGATCCCATCGAAATAACCCAGGCCGAAACATTGAGGAATCATGTCCCCTTGAAGGTCTTTCAACCTCCCATAAGCTTCTTCTTTCTCGAACTCGTTAGACCATCCTTCTTTTTGTTGTTTAACAACAACGGCTGGTGGAAGGTCGTTGACTGGTTCAATTTCCAGCCGGTATACTGTTCGATTCTGATCCAGCCACTTGACGTCCGTCACAGTGATGGCCTGGTCGCCTAGTTTGAGCGTCTGGTCCTGCGTGAGCGCAGCTCCTCATAGGCCAAGGAATTCCATCTTACCGGACAAATTCGGACACTTCGTGGAGAGCGAATACTTTTCATTGCAAAGGGACACTGGAAGGATGAGGGACGTCAACAGGGAGAGAGATTGAAAGGGATAAGGACCGCTTTCTTCGCCGCCTCCTGGTCAAGCTTTGAGATTCACAAGTACTGCTGCGGTACCTACACTTACTATGTAAACTACTAGCAAAACTAAGTCACTCGGTAGTCCATAGTTATCAATACCCTATGTACTGTGTAAATAGTATGTATGCTTTTGAGCTCCAAAACAGCACGCTCCGTGTAAATGCATAACATCACAGGCGAACAAAAAACAACAGAAATCTAAGAAACAAAAAACAACTAATCACTCTCACTCTTCTTCCCCTTGAACAACCCCTTGACACGATCAATCATCAAGCCCGCAGCACCAAACAGCGAACCCATACCAAAGCTCCAACCCCTAACACGAACAGTGTAAATGAAGAAGTAAACCAAAGCCCAGTTAATGATAACAAAGGCCAAGAAAATGCCAAAGCACCTCCACTTATCACCAACATGAACATTCAAGTTGGCCATATACTGCTCGCCATTGGTATACGGACAGTACTGACAATCCTCGGTCGCCCTCGGATTAACCAGATACCCGGCCTTCGCAACAGAACTAACAAAGTCCCCAGCATAAGCCGCACAAGTCTGACCAGGCGGGGGATTGAAATGCGTAGCTTCCAGCTCCGTACAAGAAATCTGCACCTGAGGCAGGACAGCCGAGAGCACGCCGCGCAACCACCAAGTCACTGGGTTGACGTAGTACATCCAGTACTTCCAGAAGACAGGGTAATCAGCGTACGGACGGACGATACCGTTGAACAGATTGACCATGACGAAGAAGAAAGGCAGGACGTTGGAGATGACCGTGAAGGAAGGCGCGAAAGCGCAGATCCACTGACCCCAGGAAGCCTGGAAGAGGAAGAAGAGCATGGACATGAGGAAGACGTAGCCGGCAGTAGCGGAGTCTGTTGGGAATCCGACGGGGTAGTACCAGAGCAGCCAGTAGATGAGACCCGAGATGATGGCGGCGGGGATTTCGCAGACGACGTTAGCAGTGCAGAAGGCGACCCAGCCGTAGATGCGGGAGGGGTATTCTCTAGCTTCCCAGAGAGCGCGGTTGATGTAGAATTTGGGAACGATGGAGTTGAGGACGATGGGTGGGATGAGGATGATGAGGAAGACAGAGAACATGCGGTTTTGCATCGATGCGACTGTGTTGGGGAGCATGTAGAAGGTGAAGCCGTTGAAGATGCCGATGATGACCGAGACGAAGAGTTTACCGTAGTAGTAAGAAGGATCGCGCCAGTAGTTCCGGAAGAGACGTTTGGTGAGCTGGAGGGTTTGGGTGGATGTTGGGGCTGCGAATTCATAGCCGGCAGAGACAGAGGTTTCGATGGGGACTTTGGAGCGCTCTTCGCGGATGCGGTCGATTTCGGCGAGCATTTCGCGGTTTTGCTCAGAGTTGCGCCATTCCTCGTTCCAGTCGACTTGTTTGCCGTTGCGGTGCGTTGCTTTGGCGGCTGTCTCGAGGATGAATTCGGCGACGTTCTTGGAGGGTGGGCAGACGAAGCCGCGGTCACCGAAGTATTTGATCACGTCGGAGCCGTCCTTGCCAACCGGGCCGAAGTAGAAGGTGTTGCCGCCTGGATTGAGGGCGAGGATCATGTCGAATTGCTGGATGAGCATGGAGGAGGGCTGGTGGATTGTGCAGACGATGGCCTGGCCGGCTTGGGAGAGCTTCTTGAGGAAGCGGACGATTGAGAAGGCGGCTTGGCTGTCGAGACCGGAGGTAGGCTCGTCCAGGAAGAGGAGGAGACTGGGCTTGGCGGCGAGTTCGACACCGATGGTGACGCGCTTCTTCTGCTCGACGTTGAGAGAGCCGATGATTGCGTCCTGGATGTCCTCGAGTTCGAGAAGCTCAATGATGCGGTTGACATAGTCGATCTTCTCCTGGCGGGAGACGTCACGAGGCTGGCGGAGAATGGCCGAGAACTCGAAGGCCTCACGGATGGTCGCGGTATTGTCGTGCAGATCCATTTGTTCACAGAAACCGGTGCCACGCTGGAACTCGGCACCCAGCTTGTGGCCATCGACGAGCATGTCACCGGACACAACGCCCATCTTCTGGCGCTGGGCCAGAGTGTTGAGCAGGGTAGTCTTTCCAGCACCAGAGGCACCCATCAGAGCAATCATGACGCCAGGCTTGGCGAATCCGCTGACATTGTTGAGTAGCTTGCGTGTTCCGTGGCCGTAGGGGACAGTGTATTCAACATTCTGCCAGGTGAAGCAGCGCTCGCTTGAGGAGAGACGGTTGAAAGCGCCCTCGTCACCGGAAGAGCCCTTGCCACGGGCAAGAGCGGCACTGTCGTTTGCGTCGATGACCTTTTCCTCGTCGTTGGCATCGGTAGTCTGTGCAGCGACCTGCTTAGCGCGCTTGGACTTCTTGAAGACCAGGGCACCGCCGCCACCGCCGACGAAGGAGAGGATCTCCGAAGCCAAGACCGTCACGAGGATGTAGAGCACGGTGAAAGCAATGACGACACCAAAGTTACGCCAGAGGTGGCTGCGCGTGAACTGGAAGTTGGCAGTCAAATACTGCGCGCCAGGAAGCGAAGACTCGCCCAAGGTCGATCCAGTCAGAGCACAGCCCTGGAATTTCGGATCAACCCCAGGACCTTGGGGGACAAGCTGGGAAGGACTGCACTCCATCACGCGGTCGGAGAACTCGTTTGACAAGACTGCCTCGTAACTGTAAGAGATCGGGTTGACATAGAGCAGCCATCCGAACCAGATGGAGTCCGAAATTAGAGTCTGCTTGGGAATGACATAACCGACGTAGAGAATGAGCAAGTTCAACGCAATACCACTGAACCGCACTGCGTCATCGATGGTCGGCGAGAGCGCGGCGAACATGCGATAGAGCGAGGTGATGCTGAAAGTGGTCGTGTAGACGAAGAGGAAGTAGATGAAGAACTTGGATGCCGAAACATCAAGACCAGACATGAAGTAGACAATGATCGTGAACGGAACAACCATACAGAAGATAGCAGGGAAGTCAACGACAACACGGGCAATTGAGACAGCAGAGGGACGGTAGAAAGCGTAATCCTTGTGACGAGCAACGATAGCCCGCCCAGTGACAGCAGGCATCAGCTCGGTCAGTTGCAGCCAGCCGAGGAACAGAATCGAGAAGAACAGAGCACCGCCACGCGAGAAGGCGCCGCTGGTATCCATGGATTCTCCGTAGAAGAGAGACGAAACGATAAGGCCGTTGGAGACGATGATGAAGTACTTGGTGTAGAGGGAGGTCTTGTCGCCCCAGAGGAGCCAGAACTCGCGCTGCACGCAGGCCATGACCTGGCGCACGAGGGAGACGGTGTAAGGCGACTTCTTGGAAACAGTCTTGGACTTGGACTGCGCGACCATGGACTGGAAACGGCGGGTGTCTTCTTGTTCGGTGTCCTGGAGGCGCTTCTCGTAGCTGCAGACATCCTCGAAGATACGCTTGTGGGCCTGGGAGTTCTTGAAGACGGCCTCGAGTTCCGCGGCGGTCTTGGGGGTGGAGGCTTCACGGCCGGGCTGGAACTCGCGGGCATTGGGATCACAGAGCGAAGTGAGGAAGTCGGCTGTGGTGGATTGGTTGGGACAGTGGAAGCCGAGATCGATGAAGTATTGGCGTGCTTCGTTGGCGGGGCCTTGGTAGAGCATGCGGCCCTCATCGATGACCATCACCTTGTCCATGAGCTCGTAGATGCTCTCTCCAGCTTGGTAGAGGGTGACAAGGGTGGTGCGCTTGCTGATGTCGGTCATGATGCGCAGGGACTTGGCGTAGTCCAATGCGGTGCTGGCGTCCAGGCCACGAGTTGAATTGTCCCAGCAGACGACAGATGACTTGGTGCTGAGGACTTCGGCGATACTGACTCGCTTGCGCTCACCACCGGAGACACCGCGAACATACTCGTTGCCGACGAGGGTGTTCTTGGTGTGGCTGATACCGAACATCTTCAGCAGGGCGTCGATGATCACGGGGATACTCTCACGATCATGCTTGCGGGTCTTGTTGATGAGGGAGAACTTGAGGGTCTGCCAAACAGTGAGTGAGGGGAAGTGCTGATCGTCTTCTGGGTTGTAGTTGACTTCTCCACGGAAGTACTTGTTTTGCTCCTCGGCGGAAAGTCCACCATAGCTGACCTCGCCCTCAACACCAGCAAAAGCACCACGGTCATTCGCAATAGCCTTGAGGAAAGTAGTACAACCAGCACCGGGACGGCCGAGCACAAGCATCATCTCACCCTCACGGACAGTGCCACTGAAATCATGAATGAGGTCGCGAACAGGAGGCTGCTTCCCGAACCGCAGCTGCGGCACAAATCGGCAAACGAGATTATATAGATCCGGACCGAAGGTGCCGACCACGGCCTGGGGAAGAGTGCGCACAAAGGAAGCGCCAGTCTCCACACCCTTGACGGTGAGGTTCTTGAAGACGACGCCGACCTTCTTCGCGGGCTCACCAGCAGTCGTACGGCGTTCCAAGGTACCACCGATCAGAAATTCACCCAGGTCAAAGTCAGCTTCGCCCTCGGCCTCTTCCTCGTCGAGGCGACTAGTGCGGGACTTGAGGCGGCCCATGCCCTTGGCAGTAGTCGAGCGGGTGCGCTGCAGACTGAGACGAGTGAGTTCACGGCGCATCCCCTCGATCTCCTCCATGGCGCCGCTACGGGAGACGGGCTTGCCCATCTCCTGTTCACCCCATCGGCCATCGGCGCTGTTCAGGGACGAGCTGGCGGTCGAACTAGCGGTGGACATCAAATTGATGGGAGCTTCGGTAGCATGCTGGGTCTCCTCGGTGGGCTGTGTGGAGCCAGCTTCATGACGGACGTTCTCTTCATTTGGGGGTGGCATGGAGGCTTGGGTATAGGCTTGGGGCTCTGATACGGCGGGTTCAGAGGAGCCCTCCATATCGGTGGGGCTCGGAGGGGCTTTATTCTCCGGAAGCAGTCAATGGTAGATACAGATGTATTAGACAAGCTGGTATAGGGGTATATACAGTGATTCGAACGATTGATAAGAATAGGAGGCGAAAAGAATGGAAACGGATTCTGCAAGAAGAAGTTATGAACAGAGAACTGGTTTATATTTGAATAGGTAGTTAAATGCGTAAATCCGAGCATTTGTCAGACGCTAAAACGGGCCTTTCAGAACCCTTCAGAACCCATAAAACTGGCGTCGAATCATAAGCGAGCTGATAGCGTCAATATTGATAGCGAAGAGCTATTGTGGAGTCTTTTACGAAGAATGTTGGTGGAGAACATGAGTCAGAATGATTCTTTTGGAAGTCGCAGAACTTTCGTTCCATTTCTTTTTTTTTATGCACCGGAGATAAATCTAAGACCCGGAGTTTAGCCGATGCAACGGTTTATGATTGGCTGTAAGGAATGTCTTCAGCGGAATTACGCACCCTATCAGACCCTTATCGGCACGTGGGATCCACATATCTGGCCGTCTTCATAATGAAATTGCTTCTTCTCCTCCCCCCGGTTCACAGCTGACGGCTTGGCTGGATTACCAATCCTTGCTTAGGAATGCTCTTTCATATGAAACTTGCTTATATTAGAGCCCCTCTGATACGGACCACCGACCAAATCTCTCCGTATGCGAAATCCAGATTCCTAACAACGTACAGGTCCGTGCTGCATGGGCAATGCCGACTCGGCATGATTCATGTTCCCTGTTTATCCAGTCATAATGAAAAATTTCGGCGACTTTTGACATTTAAGCTTGACCCACTCGGCCAAAGAGAGACGCCGACTCGAGATCTTGGTAATCGGATCTAGACAACTTTAAGTCCGGGAACCCATCGGTACCTTAACGCCATTTCCACTACCGAGAGGCTAGAGCCGACTCCGTAGTAGTACTCCGTTTCAAAGTTTGAATACGCTAAGGTTTCACTACAGAATTTTTAATCTTCTTTATTTCTTCGTCGCCGTTGTTTGTTGATTTCGTTTATGCTTTAAACTCTCTGTTTGCACAACTTTCAATTTATGCCAGGGCTCCATCAGTATGAGTAATAGGTAGTCAAATTCCACACCGTCAATCTCTACATCTTCATATCTGACAGATCACATGTAAACACGATATACTTCCATAGGCATCCTCCATTTACTCGCATATCTTCTGGGATAAGACATACGCACAAATGCCCATTGGAAGATTCTAGTCTGATCCATGCAATAACCCAATATTCAATACTATACAAAAATTCCACAACTAAATCTAGATCGTCAGTCACTATTTACGCTTAGCAGCTGCTTGCGCAATTCGTTTCTGGATCTCTTCTTTAGAAAGAATCTTCACCGCCTTGTTAGAGAAGACGTAGCTGAGTCCAGACCAGATAGTAGTGCCGGCGACGAGGTACCTAGTAATGTTTTATCAGCAAAAGAATTGAGATGAAATCGGGACAGAATGGGCAATGCAAAAAAAAAGAAAAACAAAAAACATGCAACAGTGAGGATTCGCTGGTGGTCACCCACCCAACTACTAACTCACCGGCGTGTGGCTTAAGTACGGCTGAGCGGACGGGAAGCCCTGTTTTCCACACCCTATGGTCGCATGTGGTAGAACAAGAGTGGAAGTGCCTTAAGCTGGCCACCGAAAACATGTGTTCCGCGGAAAAAGAAATGGAGAATGGTAGGAAAGACAGAAAAACGCAAATTGGTATAAAACGGAAGAAAAAAAACTTACTGGAATCCAGTCATGGCCTCGCTCAGATGCCAAGCGCTAACAAACGCGTCAGGGACTACTGGCAGTGCAATCGCACTACCCACCAACACAAGCTGCAAAGCGGTATTGATCTTCGAGATCTCAGTAGGCTTGACTTCCGCCGAGGGAAGCGAGAAATCCCAGTACCGGGCCATAGACTTAGGCGCAGGCAACGAGATCCACCGGTAATACAGAGCCGAAATCATCAAACCAACATCACGACCGAGGATGATCACGGCAAGCCAGACTGTTCAACGCGTTAACCCATGTTCATGTCTATACAGTGGTGATGCAAATGAACTTACCAGGAAGCGAGCCATTCACGGCTAGACACGCAACACCGATGGTCATCAGCAACTTATCAGCCATGGGATCGATGATGGTTCCAACCACCGTCTGGAGGTTATATCGGCGAGCGATATAACCATCGACGAGATCGGTGATGCCCGCATATGCGAACAGGGATAGCGCTGCTGTGTGGTAGTTGTTGACGAGGAGGTACCCGACCACGGGGGCAGCTACAAGACGAGTGAATGTGAGAATGTTGGGGACTGTGTAGATGTTCTCGTGAGAAGAGGTTGGCAGGGGAATTCTTGACAGGATTGATTTTTTCTTGGGATCATCAATTCTACCTTAAGTCAGCTGTTGCTCCACTTGATCCATGTCCTGCAACGTCGAGCGGGGAGGCAGTAGACCTACTTCGTGGATGTCTGGGTTCCTTTGTTTTCTTCGGGTGATTTTGACCCGGACCATCTTTGCTGGCTGAAGAAGGACGGTGAGATCAGTTTAGTCTGGAGACAGCGGGTTTTCAATCGTCTGCTGATCAATTAGAATTGCACATCCCATGACACAGGGGACATACGAGGTCGGTAACCGATTCAACGTCAGCTTGGTCGTTGATGATATACACCGAGATCCATTTCTCCTGAGAACTTCAGTCTTGAAAACATTGGACCGAGCAGGAAGACGTGTGCTCTTCAATAACACTTGAGATCCCTGTCTGCTTGCCCAAAGTGACGACTGGACTGCGCATGAGCCAATCATGGTGACACAAGCAGGATGTGACGAGAACAGGTGTTTGAAAATTGAAACAAACCAGCACCACGAAAAAGCCACGAGTTTCAATCAAGAGCTTCAGGTTTGCATGCCCGGTCACTTTTAGCTATGCAATGATGATTCAGCCCGATAGACCGGGGACCGCTAAAGGCAGTTGAGTTGCACAACACCAGATGCAACTGCAAAGTCGAATGAGATATCAAATGAGATATAACAGTTTGACAAAGCAGGAAATGCGAAAATAAAACAGCACGCTGTATAGTACAGGGAAAACCTGGGTGTTGTTAGCTAGTCATCTCGGAAGCCGGGGCAACACTGCGGGGAGGGCATAAGTACAAGAATATTTCAGATTGTAATTGTTCTATCCAGGAGATCCGATATACTAGAACTGAGTAGCTCTAGATCACAGTCGCCTGAAGTTGGATAGACGTTGGAGATTCAAAGCACCTCGGCGATGAGTTTCTGGTCGGGAGTATAGTTTATCCGGTCCGGAATTATACACGACGCTCTCCACACTCCACACTCCACATTCGACAACTACTCCTGTTACCTGTACTTCTCCTCCTCTGCCACGACAGAGAACAAAGACTATGACAACACTTCCCTGCTCTGCTGATTGAACATGACAATATCAGCTCCAGGTCCGCAGCGCCAGGAGCCGCGTCACATTGATCAGAATGATGAAACATATGCTCACCTGACAGCATCTGCTTCCCCTGTGACCAGGTGTCATTCTCCAGATGATGAGTAACATCATCGAACGAAAAGACAACAATGAATGAGGTATGAGTAATTAGCTAACATGCTATATAGGGCACACATGCCACACATTTCAAGTCAAATTAGAAAGACAGCCGCGTCCGCGTCAAGAGCAACCAGATGGCGGAGCAAGTTCATGATTTTGAAACTGTGATTTGGTCGCACTCAAGTACGCCACGATGTCTAATTCCGCCCAATATGGACCTTCTTCGGACTCGCGCTCCTTGACTCCCGTCTGCAGAGTGCCACCCCCAAGACATACTAAACCATTGGACCCCAACATGGCAAATCCACGGCTTATTATCAATCGCCCTCTCATTTATGAGCGCCGACTGCCTGGTGATGCGTACATAACAGGTCACGTCCAGCGACTGCAACACGGCTACTACTCAACGGATGCTGTATCCGACGAGAGCGCCGAACACGTTGACTTTCTCGCCATTGCGTTCACCTTCCATTCACCGCACACCATCACCCACCGAATCAAGTCTGCCGTTATCAAAGTTTCAGTTCACGGAAACCGTGAGAATTCTAGTTCAAAGCATTATCCTTACGGGCATCCACCAGGCAACCCGCGCTTTCTTATGCATGCGCCGCATCTGATTTACGGCACTGTTTCTCCAGAGACCTTGGAGTGGACATTCAGTCTTGCTGGGTCTCTTGGGGTAGCGGAGCTGCCCGTTAGCGCAAGCGTGATCCCTTCTGGGAGTGTCAATGGTCGCTATAAACGGTACGAGATGATGCGCGTCCAAGGCTCGGCTCGAACCTTGAGAAGCCCAGCTGGGCGTAAGTTCGACGTCGAGTGTGGCCAAATCGTCTGGTCGATGGAGGAGAATAACTTCCAGCGGTCCGGGCTGCCGCGCGAGTTCACCTTTGTCATGCTAGTTCAGAAACCCTCGGCCAAAAGCAGGATATCTCTATCGATCGAGGTCGATCCCGTCATCGACGCGATGCTTGGCAGTTACCCGTCAGTGATGTTGAAACTGCCAGAGTACCAACCTTTACCACGTCGGGGCGTCGATTTTCAACGAGAAATTGGACAGAGATTTGAGCCCGCAGACCCGGATCGAGGGTTCAACTTTGCCAAATTGGGAAGCATGTTCGATGAGTATATTGCTATGCCGGGAAGGAAATTCAGCCGCCAGGTATGCTTGGGAACGGACTAGGCGTAAGTGACAAGAGTCTAACAGATGTCTCAGATCCAGATTCCAACTGAGACCGACACTCCGGATAATCACTTCCAGGGCACCTACCCAGGCCGATACGGGCCCTTTGACCTGAACTCTTACCAACAGCAATTGCAGACCAGTAATCTGTTTTTGCAGAATAACCTCCTTCAAACGACCCTTCAAACCTTTTGGAACACTCCGTGCCGGGGGGATAACACTCAACCTCTTCAGCAGCAAACCGTTCCTTCTCATGAACAGAACCGAGATCACGACGCTACCAATGCTCGACGGGATGTCGTCGGGGCTTGTCGTGCTTTCCCTGTTGGCGGAAGTAGTAGCTCTGCGTCCATTCCTCGACAGCGAATCATGAGCATGGCCAACTTGCCTTTGTCAGCGGAATTAATCTCGGCTCTATCGGAGGGATGAATACCGCGCTCAATGCGCAACCGTTTGATGACGCTGACGACCTCTGTGCTGATTTTTCTACTCAGTTTGAAAGTCTGCTGAGCGATTCATTTCAAGATCTGGCCTTCATGGATAATCATACTCCGTTCACAGGGGACTTTGCTTCATTCATATCGCCCCCACAAGAATTCGCTCCGCCAGACCCCTATCACAATTCTGTCCCAACCGGTTTTTGGGAGTAGAATTGGAGGCGGACGAGGCGGACTCATTCTCAAGACTGGGGTCACGATTACCCTCCCTGCAACCAGAAGCGGACATACCACAAGCTCCTCAGATTGATCGGGCCCCAAATCTCTTTGGAGTTAGCACGAAGACTCGCGGCATTTTCGTTGCTAAGGTAGAAGAATTTGCTTCAGTCGTGCCTGAAGTGTTCCAACTGCCCTCTCGGCTAGCTTTATCTCGATATCTCACAGCCTATGTCACTTTCATTGGTTGATGGCAGTCATTGGTCGTACTTGAGAAGATCTCCCGCCAGCGACGTCGCTAGCCAGCTTCTCAAGGCGAGGAGCGGGAACTGACTGGGAGTGTTGAGAGATCTGGTCGACAGCCCCAGTCAGCTCCCGTTCCTCGCCTTGATAAGCTGCCTAGCGACGTCGCTGGCGGGACCTAGATCTGCTCGACAGCCTCAGTCAAATCTTGATCCTCGCCTTTTCGAGCCGTCTAGCAGCGCCGATAACAGGATAACTTCTCGAGTACGACCAATCACTGCCATCAACCAATAATTCCGATCTGCGGCGTGCATATCTGATAGATATTCATATAACGGATGTGGATGAAGAAACAGTACGACTGGCACCATCATAATATTCACTTCAATGTCGGCGACAAGGTTTACCTGAGGCTCGATGAGGGATACAACATCCCCAACGAGGTCCTTCCTCGCTGTCTGGCCCAGCGATACGTGGGTCGCTACACAATACTCGAGCGAGTGGGAGGACTGGCATACAAGCTCGACCTTCAACGGTCATCTACTATCACAAACTGCCACACTACATCAACACATTATATAGCCCGAAAAACGATCTGCCCAGGGCACATGAGCGATTCCAGCTAAGGGACAAGATGACCTAGGTATATCTAGTTACATACGGGCTCATTACTCAACTACACTTTCATATGCTGCGCAGGCGAGGTAGACGGGAATAACATACAGAATGCCATAAACTCGGGCACTCGTACTAGGAGGTTGTCCCTAGTAGAGACTCGGTAGAGACCCCCCATTCTACACCGCAACTATACGCAAACCTAGGTAACACTGAAGTCTATGATAGAAGACATACTCATATAAACCTCGGATGTTATCTGTAGCTCCATAACAAAAACCAACCCGACACATCTACTGCCAGGCATTGCATTGAACATGGAAATGCAAAAGCCACCCTTGCACGGCACGTATTCCATAGAAGGAGTACAAACATATACGTATGAACCAGAAGATTGGAGAAGAGAAAATATACGTAAGCGTAAGCAATATTGACCATTGCATAATGAAAACGAGTAAAGCCTGCCTTGTGGGAATCGGATAGCACAGTGTACTGCAAAGAAGCAAGCCGCCAGACTAGACCATAACGACGAAAAAAGATAACCGACACCGTTCGTGAAGCAAAGGAGAGACAGATAAAAGGTATTCCGAGGGAGAGGGAGAGGTAAGAGGGAGGGAGTTAAGAAAACCAAGACCGGTAGAGAATTTAGAAAAAAAAGGGAAGAAACCCATTTTGCCGGTTGTCGGTGATTGATTGCATGACATCGTGAAGAATAAAAACGCCACCATCCGGAATTCCCAGAAACAATATCAGAGAGCCGACCGAGAGAAGAGCAGGGGTAACAGTGGGTAACAGTATAGCAAGACGAACGTAAAAAAAGAGCCACCCTCCATAAACCGGGAAAAGCAAACGACCATAAACCATATTAACAAAGACACGAGAGACGAATACAGCCGCATATTGAGATACAAGCAGCAAGAGGGTTCCTCTCAACCCCAATAAAAAAGCGTAGGGGTCTATCCCCAAGAGCAAAAGCCAGGGGAATGGGATAAAAGCAAAGGAAAGAATAAAAACCACCGACTCCCACGCTCCATGGCTAAAGCAACCAAAGACACGAAAGGTATCAAGATTAGATTTGAGGCTGCGCCATCTGCGGCTGCGTCGCGGCCGTAGTTGTCCACGTAGACATGGACTGGGTACCAGCGTAAGGCGCAGGGATGTAGTATTGGGAGCGATCGGCGGCGTAGTAAGACGGGTGGATGGAATTGGATTCGCGACGGGGGATGCCGGGATCCAGACCGGGCATGTTGCGGTCGAGCGCGGGGTGAGGATTCTCCATCTGTCCGGGCATGCTGAAGCTGCCGCGGGAGTAAGCAGTACCCGGTGTAGAAGGATCCATTGGTGAGGTAGCGTCAGTAGCTTGGCTGCGCGAGGAGATAGAGGAATTGCGATAGGCGGAGGGACTGTGGTCGGAGGTTGATCGGTTGCGTTCGTTGAGCGAGCTGGATAAGCCCGGGTTCATGCCGCCGCCGGGGATGGAGGCCATGCTGTGCGAGCTGATCGAGTCCATGCTGCCTCCATAAGGGCCGGTGCGGAAAGCGTGGTAGTCGTCCTGCTTTAGCTGGTTGCCGGTCTGCCCTGGGTTGGGGAGGTACTGGTTTGGCGCGGGTTGAGAGGGCATCGGGGCTCCCATCGCGTAGCCTGGGATCGGGCCTGGCTGGGGAGGATGCGAGGCGGCGTACGGACTCGGGTGCATGTAGTATTCGCTGGACGGGTTGGGCATGGCGTAGGTGGGTGGGGCCATCATCTGCGGGCGATATCCGTACAGAGCAGCGTGGGAGGGCTCCTGGGAGTCGACGGCGGTGGCGCCGTCCAGCTCGTCGATCGGTGCTCGGAAGCTTTGTTTTTGGGTGAGTTCGTTGCGGGGTCGGATAAAGCGCAAGGAGTCGACCATCGAAGGTGGGTTGAGCACACCGCGCATCACATCCTCCACACTGTAGTATGAGACTAAATGGTGAGTCACGCCGGAAACCGTCACGCTCATCGTCTTCTTGACGAGTCCGGAGTCTTTGAAGCCGTAGGAGTCGACGAGAGACCCCACCAATGCGCGCTCCACCTCTGATTGATGGGATGAACGGTCCGAAAAGGGTCCAGAGCTGGGAGATGTTGGAGAGTAGCCTGGAGTACTCTCATGTCGCTGATAGGGCTCCCCAGGCCGGCCAGTTGGGACGGGTCGTCGAGTGGCCTTCTTCATGGCGCGCTTCTTTTCCCCGGGAGGGAATGGCTTGTCTAATTCGCGGTAGACGAGGAAGTTCCCCAGAATGCGACTCGGGCTCCAGGTGACTCCATCGGTCCATCGTTTGATACCCGAGGCGTTCTCCTCATAGATAAAGACGCTGCCGCTGCGCACGAGATGACTCCGTTCGCGGTCGTGAGGTCGGCGCGGAACGTGATGTAAGACACCGGTTAAGCATGCCTCAAAGAGGAGGAGAGCATCTTGAGTGGTTGCGACGTAGCCGGTGAACGTGGGCTCCAACACGGCGGCGGTCCCGTTCACCATGATGTAGAGTGTGAAAGGAGATACAATCCCAGGTACAAACCCCCCGGGTTCTTGTGAGTGATATATTCCCCGATCGAAAGTCCTAAGCAGAAAGGAACAAAAAAAAAAAAAAAAGAATTAAGGTAGAGATCGACCAGGGTATGGAGAAGAGGAGGTTTTTGAGTTGGGACCCCTCAGTTTGGATTAATGGCCAAGGATCGACCGAAGCACGGACCTCAGTCGAAGTCAGCGAGTCAACAGGTTGCACCGATTCGATCGCCAGAAAGATGGGGATCTACTGGACCCCCGTTCCATGGTTTGGAGTTGCGGCAATTCCAAGCTTTCTCCACCGGATACTGTAGGCACTGCACAGTAGGTTGTAGCCTTGTAGGAACTGATGATGAGGGGGGAAGAAGGGGGAGAGGTCTGAGTGGTGATATCTCCACAATGGAAATCATGGTACGGAGTACACTGTGATAATCATAGATTATTGATTATTAGATTGATTTGGGCGACTATCATTTTCATTTCCTCTACATATTCAATCTGAACCGAATCTGCACAGCTGGTAGAGTCTAACGGGCTTAATGTTAAACGTCTCAAACTCTCGGAGGGTTGCGGGGGGTGAACCGGCGAGTAGTTGGGTGGTCGACGCCAAAATGCTGAGGCCTGGAGTATCGATGACAGATATGACATGCGATATTATGTTTGGGGATTTTCGATTTTTCGATTTTATTTTATTTCGATTTAATTCCGAATTTATTCGTGATTTTCCATATGTGGCTTAGTGGAGCCAGAAATTGAAAAGAAAAAGAAAAGAAAAGAGGAAAGGAGACCGCGGTGGAATTCGGGGGAGCGGAGAAATACGGGAGAGTCATCGAGTGGTGATCTCACCAAACAAAACCCTCCGCGAGAAAGCAGGTACCGTTTCACATTGAGGTAAGTGTTGGGTGCTATATTAGAAGTGCTATTACAGTGTATCTATATATAAGTCTATATTAGAGTATTCCATGCAGAAAGAGTTCAGCGATTCAAGAAATCGAATAGGTCGATAGGTCAAGATATAATCATCCCCGTGCCATGGGTGATCCTGGTGGAGCCCGTGGGTTGGACCGGAGGGTCTCTTGACTCCGTGACATCGAGCTTAACGATGTACGCACACCCACATAGAAACCAAGGAAGCGCCAACAGCCAAGAGCAAAACGCCAAGGCAGGAGCTCAGGTAGTCCCGAGTAGATCTGAAGCAGAACAACGGACAATATACGAAAGTCTACCGTGGAAGAGCACTCAGCACTCGTACGATCTGACTCAGCAGACACCTGCCGTATTTGGTCGAGAAGAAAATGATACGAGAGAAGAAACGAAGAACGAGCAGATCCCTGTGCCTCACTGCCTCGGGGGAGATCGAGAAGACTTGAGACTCAGCTTCTTGTAAAGGCAGGTCAAGGCAGTCAGTATGGACGCAGTGCTCTGGCGGCTGCAGCCTCAACTGTCACAAGTCCATCTGATTGGCTCTCGCCTACTTACCCCCACTTTTCCCATCTAAGGCAAATGATTGTCTCAGACGGTTTCAACCTTAGTTAATCCTCGAGATTATCTCCCCATCCTCCCGAAGGTGATCTACTTTTCTAACATCTTCAGCTCATACCCCCTTCCAACCCGCTAAGGGACCAGTACCACGAATCCCAAGTCAGCCAGAGCGGAGCCATGACATGGACAGTGCACCCAAAACCGAACTATTGAAACATGGACCTCTCCACCTTCACAGGATGGGTCAAGATCATCCAACGGCAATCAAGGATGAGATCCTCCACGGTCTGGAGCAGCCAGTCAGATGTGGGCCAAATTCCCTCAGTTTATTACGATCAATTTCCCTATTTTTCCCTCATTCTCGTGTTCCCTTTCCCCGGCTCCGAGTACCGGTGATTGACTACATCGCAGCCTCGAATGTTGGATCTGCTGTGAAGGGAAGGGGCGATTTCACACAACGAGTGTGAAAGAGGACTGAGCGCGAGGTAGATCTCCGTCTTGGCTGCTCTGTTCAGCATACCGAGTCCATACATGCCCGATTATATAGAATACCATCCTGTGAGTAACGTCAGAATAGTCGGAGGATACCGATACCAGCCGTGCCTGAATAAAATCAACCCTATCCCACAGCATCCCAATCAGCAGTCTCGGATGTGCAGAACCGGGACGGGGATGAAGAAAACGATGTAAACAAATAGAAAAGAAGGTTAGGCTTCCGGGCATGGAAGAGAGTTTTCGGTAACTTCATCGTTCGCACTTATTTGCCCTTTGACTTTGAATTTACGTTTCACCTCTACTAGCAAATCTCAGGGCTAACTTCTATTGAAACTTTACTAGAGGGAAAAAAAGAGGACCGTCGATTGCCTCTAACCAACTCCCGTAAGACTAAGAACAACCGCGACTGGGGTTCGATTGAAATGGACAGAAAGTTTCGCGGGAGATCCTCAGCAGATCCAGGCCACACTGCCACGCTGACAAGTCTCAGCCTAGCCAGCACCTGGGACACATCCTGGTCAGCGTCAGCCATTGACATGTGGACTATGCACCCCGGTCGAGGCTAAGGGATCGGCGGTTTCGTTTGTGAGTGAATTGTTTCTGGTTCATCTTCTTGGATCTTGTCATTATTACCTGTAGGATTTATCTACTCCGTATTGTAGAGTGGTTGGTTGGATGAACAACGGAGGACTGTGCTCCGTTTCATGCCCAATCACCAAGGGAAGGAGGAAAGAAACGATCGTTGGAAACGTGGAAACTCAATTGGCGCGAAAGACAGACGTCAGTTAGGATCCAAAAAAAGAGACAGGAGACGCGAGATATAAGACCAGTAACGGTAAAGTATATTGAATGAGGCGGAAATGATGTATCATGTCTATCCCTAACGGACAATAATCCAAAAAAGAACACGAGAATGCAATTCGGTCCCGGACAACAGACAAGATAAATAATCGGAGACAGAATAGTTCTGGTAGACACGAGCCTGGACCGAATCTTCGACGATCGATTATTCTGCACAGCCCATCACAGGTCCAGGATTCTGCTAAGCGCGCCCCCAACACGAATGGGCCGATGCAATTACGAGCTGTGCGGGAAAGAGGTTAGCGTTAGCGGATAGTATGGGTGTCCAATCAAAAAGGGGTAAATTAATGCATTATTTACGGAGTGAAGAAAAAGAAAAGATGGCCAATCTTATTACCCCACAAAGTGTCAGCAAATCAGTGGCGAGTGAGATGGACGGATAGGCGGATGCGGTGCCTACAGTAGGGATGCAGCTGGATATTGGGACGTATGTAGTAGGGTATGAACTACATATTTCATGGAACTACACAATGTCTCAATTCTGTCTGGATGTATATCTCCGTCGGTGTTTTATGCTACGATTGGCGCAATGAATCAACCCACATCCACGGACAGTGCACCCCCGTACCAGACACTCGGGCCAGAAGCGGATGGGTGGATCACTGGATTGGCTGTCATTATTTCATTATATAATTATTCATTATAGTAATTAATTACTATAATTACTTAGCTTTCCATGAACGCTTGAACGGGTAAGTCCAGAGCGAGTGGACTGTTTCCACTGTAGACGTTGTGATCACTTACCAAGATTGGTATATGCTGCCATGCTGCCATGCTGCCATGTGCTGCCATCCAGACTCCTCGATACTGGGAATATGTAAATGCACGTATCTAGAAGAACTACTGTAGTCTACAGCAGACTAGTGCAGTGGCGTCGACTATTTTTCCCATTGGGACGATTGGGACGAGACTAAGAAATCCCGCAAAAGGGCAGAGCCACTAAGGGTCGATCATCATTAGGCCAAGACGATCCGGTTTAGACCGATGCTGTAGTGTCGGGGAAATAGCAGTAACTATATCATCTAGCAATCTCATGTTTATATTAAACAGTAGACTTATCACCATTCGATTCAACGTTGACATTGGAAGGAGGTACAACCAAATAGGCAGAACCCCGTACTCCGTACTACCTCCCTAATTCGTCTCCGGCGCCGAGACTGTTTTTGGGACCTGAGGAGAACAAGTACGCCCCTGACTGAACATTTCCTCGCTGTCTATTGGTTATACCATATTCACGTTCCCAGCCTTGCACAATCTGGATCTTCGTTATCGTTCTCCTCGCCACTGTGGTACGACAGGTGTCAGTCTGTCAGGGGAATGGTTATACGACTATCATGGTCTAGTTCAATAACTGCACAGTAGTCATAGTACGGAGTAGACAGAATAGTAAAGTAGCTCCGGGTCGGGTCAGTGAGATCATGATCATCACGATCGTCTATTTCTTCCCTTTAGGTAGTGGTGGGGATATGCGATCGTGTCTGTGCTCGAAATAGAGAGGCAAAATGAGGCAACTCAGACAAGAGGCGAAGAAGCGAGTCTACGTGCCAGCCGATCGGGTCGAAAGAGAAATAGATTTCCACGAATAGATAATGTACAAAAATACAAATTCCAGCGCCGTGGTTGACTCGTGTTGTGTACTGCATCTACGCAGGATTACTATCGTACATTACTATCGTACATAGATTGTAGATCCCCATGACCACGCTGATCAGGAAGATAGGCGATCAGGATCTACTAGCCAGACATCAGTTCAGCAGCTTATGCAAGAGAAGCGCGCTAATAAGCAAGGGAAGAGCCCCTTACGCACAACGAACCGGTAAACCATCGACAGCGTGGCAGACCCCTCACTACGTGCGAGATGATGTACAGCAGACCTGTGAGATGATAGATCGATTGCAGTTATCTACATATTTTCTCTTCAGGAATCTTGTCCGATCAGCGTCACATAGTAGGTTAGGGATGAAGAAAAAATGAGATCAGATTGACTATGCGTACGGAGTACACAGTATAACCTTGGAATACCTATGTCCTGCCTTTCTACTCGGGCTCATGCACGCCACTTCTTTCCCTTTGTAGACAGGTACAGTTCAGGATCCAGACCTGTTTATATGATCCAGCCCTAAGACTCGGAGACGCACATGTACTCGGCCTAATTCAATCCTGTCAGGCTGTCACTTCCTTACCTACATTATACATACATGGGCATAGGGCTAACTACGACGGGCTAATCGCTGAACCCCTAATGAAGAGACTACATCTACGTTTACACATACAGAGTACATACAGAGTACATACACCAATCATATTCCCCCCTTCCCCTCTCAATCTGTCGCTCACCCAATGTGATCATAGGTACGACCTGGACCCGGGGGCTTGGGTACTCGATCCCTGTCTGTTGATTATGGTTGCGCCCTTGCTTCCCTGAAGGATTGTGACTGTGTTTACACTGTACATAGTGGCTGATTTTCTTCTAGTGCAGTTGGTTATGAAGGTCGGGTGACTGGAATTCTGGATTGAATTGGATTGAATTGAACTGGAATGGATTCGAGAGTAGACTGGGGATATTGATTGTTGGGTGAGATTTGAATTAGGGCTGGTCGAAGCTGTGAGGTTGTTTGGACCGTTTACCCATTCTGGATGGTACTTTGTTGGTGGCTTGGAGAATAGTTGTATACACAGTAACTAGAAGACAAGTGATATTGTACAGTCAAACAGCGCCGCACGCTATGCCTATATCATAATTTACAAAACAGTCCAATCATCTCCATCTCCCAAGCTAAACCGATCGAACCACATCATCGACATCAGACTCTTTCACTACAAACCCCGTGCTCTTCCGCACATGCATCAACAACCGCAACGCACCGACAGGCGTAACGCCCTCGATTCGCTTCGCCATGCCAACGCTAACAGGCCTTACCCGCTCCAGCGCCTGTCGCTCCTCATTACTGATACCAAACACAGTCCCATAATCCAAATCCGGCGGCAGCAGCAGATTCTCATCCTGCTGGAAGCGCATCGCCATCTTCTCCTGGCGTTTCAGGTACGGCGCGTAGCGGCCTTCGATAGCAACGCGGGTGCGGATTTCCGGCGCGAACGAGGACGGGCGATATGATTTGCCCGTGGCTTCGATTTCAGGAATCAGAGTGTCGATGTCAACGCCCTCGACGCAGAGAATGTCCAGTGCCGAGCGGACGGAGGTGTCGGAGCGTAGCTTGAAGCCCTTTCGAGACCATGCAGAGGACGAGAGGCGCGTGTTGCTGAGCAGTGTCTGCAGCTCGAGAATCTGCGCTTCGGTATCGGTGAAATGGCTCCAACGCTTGTCGGAGACGACGCCTGCATCGCGGGCCTTGCGCGTGAGTCGTAGGTCGGCGTTATCGGAACGCGTGGAGATGCGGTATTCGCTGCGTGTTGTGAACATGCGATATGGCTCGGAGACGCCTTTGGTGATAAGGTCGTCGATCATGATTCCGATGAAGCCGTCGGAGCGGGTGAGGGTGAGGGGTTTGCGGTCTTGCGATTCAAGGCCGGCGTTCGTGCCGGCGATAATGCCCTGTCCGGCGGCTTCTTCGTAGCCGGTTGTGCCGTTTATTTGGCCGGCGAGGTAGAGGCCGCTGATCAGTTTGGTCTCGAGGGTTGGTCGTAGGTTGCGTGGGTCTATGTAGTCGTATTCGACGCCGTAACCGGGCTGGAGCATTTTAACGTTCTCGAGACCGCGGATGACTCGCAACATGGCGTATTGCGCATCTGCAGGCACGGTCATGGAGATGCCATTAGGGTAGATGACGTCGTTGGGCGCGAAACCTTCAGGCTCGAGCCAGATCTGGTGCTGGGTCTTGTCCTTGAATCGGATGATTTTCGACTCCAATGAGGGACAGTAGCGAGGCCCGCGTACCGTCTCGCGGATGTGGATGGACTTGTCCAGATTGGCGCGAATGATTTCATGGGCAGCTTCGTTCGTGTGCGTCATCCAGCAGGTAAGCTGGCCTTCGTCGCCAACGTCTACCGTCTTGTTCAGGTACGAGAACGGATGAGGCGGCGAGTCGCCCTTTTGGACCTCCAGGGCGCTGAAATCAATAGTCTTCCCGTCCAAACGAGGCGGCGTGCCCGTCTTCAACCGTCCCAGTTGGAAGCCAGCTTCACGGAGGGACTTGCTGAGACCGTATGTGGGAGCCTCACCCATGCGTCCTGAAGGGAAGACATCCATTCCAATATGAATCTCGCCACCCAGGAAGGTACCCGTCGTGATAACCACACGGCCAGTTGGAATGACCTCCCCAGACTCCAAGCGCACTCCAACAATCTTCCCTTGCGCACCAGGGATATTCTCAATACCATCCGTGGACAGCACGATATCAGCCACCTTTCCCTCGACAATACTCAAATTCTTTGTGCTCGCCAGCTCCTCAGACATATGTCTTTTATAGAGATCACGATCGATCTGCGCCCGCGGTCCCCAAACAGCAGGACCTTTAGACCGATTCAACACCCGAAACATAACGCCCGCTTTATCGATAATGCGACCCGCAACGCCGTCCATAGCATCAACCTCACGAATCATCGTCCCCTTCCCGATACCACCGAAACTAGGATTGCACGAGCAAACCCCAATATTCTCTAGGGAAGGCGTCACCAACGCAGTGCGCGCGCCTGAACGCGCAGCAGCAGCGCAAGCCTCCGCTCCAGCATGTCCACCACCGATCACGATAACGTCGTAGGGTCTGTAGATATCGATCAGCACCAAAATCCCCAACGACAGTCCAGGGGAAAGAAAACCCACCGAGTATTATCTGTAACAGTCGCAAACCCACGACTTCTACCCCATAATGAGCGGATTCTACGGCCCTGACGCATCATCGCTCCTGAGCGTACTCGAAAAGCCATGGCGGGCACAAAAGTGCTATTTTCAAGAAAGAATGGTAAAACAGGCCTAGACCTGAAGATCAAATCCAATCGATAAGGGAGAAATATCCATCGTCACGTGCTGCCTTATATCCGCTATCCCCGAGGGCGGTCACAGTCACACAAGTGACAGGATCAAGTTACGCCATCGGCCAATTGCGGGGCTGCTGATGTTCAGCAGTAACTGATCTGACTCTTCGATTCCATTCCTTTGCTCATTCAAGTGTCCACCTGATCAGAACATTCACAATGAAGGCCTACTGGTACGATAATCTCGAGGTAAGCACGGCGCCATTGAACAGACTAGTAAAGTCAAGCATTTCCAACCCCACCCAACTTCACAAGAACTTTCCTAGGAACAACAAAACTAATATATCCACAGGGCGACCAGCGCGAACCCCACGACTCCGGCCGTGCAGTCTCAGAAGAGAAACTCGCCTCTCTAGGCGTGCTATACAAGCACTGTCCGACGATCGAGGCAGTGGACACAATCGCCGCGAGCCGGGGATACCGCAACCGCGACGAGGTGTGCGTATCGCCTCAGACGATGGGCGCCGTGTACGAGGAGAAAGTCAAGTCCTTCTTCTCTGAGCATCTGCATGAAGACGAGGAGATTAGGTATATCCTCGATGGAGAGGGGTACTTTGATGTGCGTGGAAAGGAGGACGAGTGGATTCGCATTGCGCTTGTGAAGGATGATATGATTATTCTTCCGGCGGGGATTTATCATCGGTTTACTACGAATGAGCAGAATGTATGTTTTTGTTTTTCTGGACTTGAATCGTGGACTGTGGACTGTGGACTGACTTTGGGTGAAACAGTATGTTAAGGCTATGCGGCTTTTCCAGGATGAGCCTAAGTGGACGCCGTTGAATCGTGGTGCGGATGTTGATGGGAATCCGCATCGTAAGTCTTATGTGGAGAAATTTGTTGGGTCTACTGCCACTGCTTAAGGAAGGTCACTTTGACCGAGGTGCTTTTTGACTGGATTCTTTGCATATAACATGCACCTTTTCTATTGGAAGTGATCTATTGGGAATGGATATATCACGCAATGCTTGTGCTTTTTGAATGTACACGGGGATAGCTACCCACAGTAAATGTTGAAATCAAACGTACCTGAAGTACATGCAGAAACATTCAAATACCAGGTGTCCCCAACGGCGTGCGCGCCGGCATGGCACCAGGCATCTCAAAATGATCACTCGTAGCACCACTGTCCTGCCTCGTCATACTCGAGCTACGCAAGCCACCCATGTCAACATTGAAACTACTATTGCGCGACCCGGCACCAAGCCCTAACCGTGGATCCAAGCCCCCACGGAACCGCAACCCCTCCGGCTCCCGAGGATGATCGTCGAACCGCGGCGCAGACGCCTCGGTCGAGCCAGAGCTTCGCGGTGGAGCAGTCGACCCGGCATCTGAGTCCTCGCCTGTTCGGACCCCCGTTCGGCCCATGCGGGGCCACAGGTCTGGAAGACCAACGACTTGCACCCGGGGTTCGACGACGCGCTCTTCGAACCATGCGTGGACTCGCGCCTCGACTAGCTGTGCTATCTTTGGTACATCCTGCAGTCGGCTGCGGGACCCGATGAGAGAGCGCACGGATAGGTCTAGGCGGTAATCAGGCAGGAAGGAGAATGCGACGTTGCTCTTTGGGCTGCTTTTCGGTGGAGTTTGATCCTGCGAGAGTGGTCGTCCCCCAGGACTAGCGGGTTGATTTCCGGCGTTGCTCCCGAAGTCTGATACTGGCGGTGGGGGTGATGATGACCCGGCAGGGGTTTGGAGCGGTTCCGGTGGCTCCGTTGAGGCCGGAATCAGGGAGATGCAGAGTGTTCCCGAAAATCTCACGACTGAGACTGAGAGTGCTACTGGCAGGATGGCAGAGCGTGGTTTGGGATAGTTTAGGACCATTGATGTCTCGACGGCAATGGAGAGGTTGTCGTCGCTGAGGTCGACGTCTAATAAGGCCTGTAGTCGTCCGCCGTCCGACATGGGGTCATCCACAGCGATGATGCGGCAGTTGCTGAAAATAGGGAACTCCTCTCCCAGCGAGATATCAGTCACGTTTATCTTGTCGATGAAGGATGGTTTCTTCTCCGGATTGTTCATTGCGGCCGTGAGGGAGCCGAGGATCGATGCAGTCGGCGAGTCCTTGAGAGAATAGGCTGTCTGCCTGTACTGAGCGATTGTCTGTGCAATGAGCACATTGAACCAATCCAGTGACTCAGGTTGATGTGACGAGTGGTGCATGCGGTGTCGGCCGTGTTTGCTAGTGGGGTTGGTAGGAATAGCACTGTAGTATGTTTTGCGGAGGATGGAACGGGTGTTCGTGGAACTAGCAGGTACGGGACGAAGAACGTTGGATGTGGACGGTTTTTCTCGTAATGATTTCTGGCCGTCTTGAGGGGGGTTGTAGACGGAGCTGTAGCGGCGGTGGGTGGTGCGGTTTGACATTCCCCGGGAGGGAGGGGGCGGCGCTTCACCGAAAATGAAGAACTTGATAAAAGCACCTATAAGAAGTACTACGGAGAGCTGGCCGAGGAGGAACCCTTGAGTGAAGGACAAGCTAGAAGGTGTTAGCGAGCTCATATAGATCACTCCACGGGCAGAGGGCGTACGAGGACTGAGGCGCCAATGGCGCGGGCTCATCTGTAACATTGTCAGCACGTCAGTTCGGAAGACTTGATAGAGCTTTGCTCACGTTGTTGGAGCGCCATCGTCAGTGGCTGTCGACAATCCTTGCTTACAGTGCCATCCCCGGATGGAATGGAGTGCCAACTTTCCGGTCTGGCTTGGCAGAACTGCTATCACTTATCGTTGATGTGCCGCCACCGACCGCCTACCTTTTTACTCTGCAAGCTCATGGATCCGAATGCAAACAGAGCAAACAACCTTAACCTGCAGATCTCAATCTGGTCTCCACCCAGATCAAGGACACGATTCAATATCGACGCCACCTATTGAGTCATACTCAGCATTGGCGCCTAATTACCCGATATTGAATAAACCAGCATGAACCACTAACCACTCACCCTAAACAAGCTCAAAACAACACAACGCACAAGCAGAGAGCTATCTAGCCGTCCACCACAGCAACATGCGCATCCTCCCCTCACTAGCAGCCGCAGCTCTGCTCCTCATACCCCCAGCAATCGGAATTCCAAATTCCACACCACCAGGCAAAGATGCCATTCTCCTCTCAAACGTGCAAACCCTAACCCTCCGCGCCCACCGCATGACCAGTTCACGACGCACCGCGGCAATCCCGCAACTCAGCTGCGCCGGCCCCTCAAAACAAATATGCAACCTCTACCAGCCCGAAACAATGCGCTGCACGAACCAAGGCTATGATTACGACGCCGAAGACGTGCAGTGGACGTGCACGGCTAATCTGCCGCCGGAGTTCAAGCTCGGCGCAACGGACGTCATATGCGAGGGGTATCGGAGTGCAGACGATAAGTGGGTGCTGAAGGGGAGCTGTGGAGTTGAGTATCGACTGCTCTTGACAGACGCTGGGGAGAAGAGGTTCGGAAAGAAGGGCTATGGGGATGAGGAGTGGGCTTGGGGTGCTGCGAGAGGGTATAAGGGTATGGCGGGGTACCGGAAGATCATGGCTGTGCTAGGTGATTTGATTTTCTTCGGGTTTATCTGTGCTGTGTTTGTCATGATTTTCTGGCCCATGTTAGCTCGGCTTCTCGGGTGGGGAAATCGTGGTAGAGGCGCTGGCCGCGGATGGGGAGGGTTCTGGGGAGGAGGCGGCGGCGGCGGAGGAGGAGGTGGTGGTGATGATCCCCCACCTCCGTACAGCAGTTTCGATCCCCGTAAAACCGCCGCACGGCAGCAGGGCTGGTCACCTGGGTTCTGGACTGGAGCGCTGGGTGGTGCGGCGGCTGGTTATCAGATGGGGAGACGAGCGGATAGTGGATCACGATGGGGTTCGTCGATGGGCAGGTCTGATCGCTATGACCCGGGCGAAGGTAGCTCGCGCTCCCCGCCGCAGTTCTCGTCTACGACTGCTAGTACTGGCTTTGGGTCGACGAGGCGCAGGTGACCATTCACCAATAGCGCGATTTACATGTCTTGTTCGGACTCTTCTCTGCCTACTCGAACAGATGGATATAATGAACAAACATGGCCATAACTGCTCATTTGCTGGTAAAGCTTGAAACCAGTATGTGTACAATAGGAGTATCGCAATATTAGCGTGGACATCAAATTAGTTGCAACAATTAGCAGTACATATAGCGAACAAATCAGCCTGAAACTCCTGCCTTGAATGTGTATCCTGTATACTTCCGACCAAAACGCCGTCATTCATTACTGCCTGCTCAAAACGCCATTGTAGCCCCATCTTAAGACATGGGGAAATCATCAATCGTTCCCAGAACTTCCTCTGTGCCACCTCCTAGGTTCTTTGCAGGCGCCTTTTTGCGCGACTTCTTGGGAGCCGTTTTGTCATTCTGGTCTTCCTTGGCGTTGCCAGTTGGATTGCGCAGCATATCCTCCTGCATCGCCTTCTCTTTAGCGTGCTGAGCTTCAATCCGCACCTTTTCTTCGTCAAGTTCTTGTTGGACGACTCTGGGGTCATCGTAGACAGTGTTCGTCATCTCTGAGTATGTTGCAATGTCGATTACTTCACGCGGACCGAAGAGGGTATCTTTAATCCGCTGCGGATCACGTCGCTCCTCGTTGTTGAACTTCAGCTTTATCTGTCGGCGTGACCGGCCCGGGAACAGTTTGCTGATTACCATGAAATCGGTACCAAACATCCGGAGCCCGCGGTAGAACAAGTCAGTCATTTCCTCATCCCATCCTTCTGTTTTTGAACGCCTGCCGTATGTGGCCTGGTTGATCTTCCGGGTTAACGAATTTTCCACCACATCTTCCAGATCGCCGACTTCTCGTGCGGCATCTGCGTGACGGTCAACCTGCAAGGATTCACTATCCAGCACGATCTCGCCATTCACGATGCGCATTTTTGGGCCTGACTGAGGTTTCCAGTCGACGGCTTGTTCAGATCTTTCCTGTTCGGGCTCATTTCGTTTCACAGATGATCTGGGCCCAGGAGTCTCGCCCTGTTTCTTCCGTTCCTCTTCCGCCTGATCGATCTTGCGTAGCTCTGTCTCGCGCTTAGACTTCTTTCCGGTTCTGAGATCTTTGCAAAGCTCAGACATTTTCACCACATTTGGCAAAATTTCCACTGTCTCTGCGCCTTCTGGGGTGGGTTCGCGCTTTTTGCGGACGCGCTTTGGCTTCTCGCTACCCTCTGGGTCAGAGGTCCCTGCCTTCGAGTACTTGCGTTTCTTTGGTTTGACGGGATCGGGAGTGAAGAGGTTGGAATCAGCCGGCGTTGCACCTGAACCTTCGATACTGGGCACAATTGACTGGGAATCCCGACGGCTTGTCGCTGCGGATACAGATTTCGTCCTGGCTGGAAACGTGATGGTTGTAGTAGAAGACTTGCGCGCGCTCTTTATGGGCCGACCCTCGGCTGGGGCAGCTCCTTCGGTTTGAGGTGGTTGGGGAGCTTCAGTCGTACCTACAAGGTGTTCTGCGGCCCGCGCTGTTTCGACCCTGTCGTACTCTAAAAGGGCGGTCTCTGGCCCATGATCCTCGGCAGATACAGGTTGGCTTTCGGTTGCGGTGACGTCGGTGCGACTTGGGGTGGGTTGAGTAGGAGGCGGGGTAGGCGGAGCGGCTGCGGGAGGTCCAGGTTGCGAGATAGAGGATTTGCGATGTTGCGGGCGGGGAACTGGAGTAGGCTTCGAGATGGGAGTCGGCTTGGCGATTGCAGTCGGCTTTGGGATTGGAGTCGGCTTAACGGTAGATTTGGCGATAGGTGTGGAGACAGGACTGATGGCCGAAGTAGCGACAGAGGTAGCTACCGGAGGGATAGCTGCATTGTCCGAAGAAGTGGGTGTTTGTTCTGCGGTTGGGGCCGCAATAGGCGCTGGTGTTTCCTTGGTGATTGCGGGCAATTCCGACTGTGCTTCCAAAGAGGCTCTGTCCTCCTGAGGTGCAGGCTGCACAGGCCCCTCTGGCGACTGTTGAGCAACACTGGGTCGTCTAGTGGGTGCGCCGCCTGGTCCATCTGGCGACTGTTGAGCAACACTGGGTCGTCTAGCGGGTGCGCCGCCTGGCGCACGGCGGACTGGCGCCTTTGGCGCGAACTTCTTGCCAGTTTTATCTGCAAGACACAAAGTCAGAAATTATGCAGACCTTGTTTGGGGTATAATACCACGTACTGATTACAGAACTGCTGAAGGACTTCATGGCTGCCCATTTCTGTAAGGTGTGGAGGATGAAGATCTTAAAAAGTTCCAGGCTGGGGAAGTGGGCAGTGGAAGCACGTGACTAAACTAGTGACGCTAAACCTCGTTGAAAATCCTCCCGTCTTCAACTCCTCGATCTCTGCCAATCCCACCCCTTCTCACGCCAGCCAACCCACCTTTACGTAACTACACGTCCTTCGATTCTTATTTCTCACTACCTACTCTTCTCCCGGACTCTCCCACGACAGAATTGGACACAGTCTCGAGATCTGCGTCTGGCTGACTGACGGACGGTCCGGTGGTAACAATAGCCCTCTTACACCAGTTTAGCCACTGATGCCGGCCGTTGAACCCCACGTCGCGTCTTCAGAGTCCGGTCTTGTCAAGATGGAAGACCGGAAGAGGCCCGCTGCCGACAGCAGCGACACGGGCCCACCCTTAAAGAAGCAAGCAACTACCGTTAATGGTGGCACTAAGGCCCACCCCGATGCCGATATGCCTTGGAAAGATGACCTGGAGGTGAGTCTTGACCTGGATCTGTTACGCGATTCAGATGATATGTTTGATGGCCTCTTCTTGAACATATGCTGACTAGTCTTTTGCGATAGCGATTTCAAAAGGAAGCGATTTTGCGTCAGATGCAAGAGTACAAGCGGGAGAAGTCGTCTCTTGAAGCACGCTTGAGTCAGATGTCAAAAGCCGCTACATTTCACAATGATCATCTGCGTGTAATCGATGCCTGGTTCAGACAGGTGGGTCCATCATTCCTTTGTATCGGTCGACTTGGCGCGGGGACCAAACTAATTCGATAACAGTTGATTGACGAAATGAAATTACTACTCGGGTCGCCACCAGCAGAATCCCAAGGTCCGTACATAACCACACTCCTGGTCTACGGTGCCAAGACTGACTTGTCGCCAGAACACCAATTCAAAAGCGCCTTGCAGTTCGAAGATGTCGAAGAGTTTGAAGCGCACTTGAAATCGCGTTCGGAGGATATTCGCACAATAATATCCCGGCTTCAGTCAAAGTCCAATGATGCGCCCCCGGAGGTGTCAGAGATACAAAGCCACCTCGCCAAGAAGCTGGCGGAAGAAAAAGTGACAATCGCCGAACTGGAAAAAGCTCTAGCGGAAAAGCAACAGTTAGAGGAAAGCCTCGAGGAAGCCTCGTTGCGGTACTTGGTGGCCGAGAAGAAGCTTGACCGTGCAAAGAGTCTTACGGTTGCGAAGTTGGAGAAACAACAGTGCATGGGTATCCAACGACCGGGAGAAACATCCCAATCAGAGCGAAAAGCCTCCTCGCCCGCAAATGGTGGAACCCCGGCCGGAGACCGTAATCCGGAGTTGGAAGAAGCCAATAAAATGCTTACAGCAATGTCCGAGAAACAGAAGGAGCAGCTCCAAAAGCTGGAGGCGGAGAATGCCAGCCTGCTCAGCCAAATCACCGAAATCAAAGTCAAGGTCAGACACCCTACCATTCACTTCCTGCTTCATAGCTTACATTTTATCACAGTCTTCAAAGTTCACCGACGATGATTACGCCCACACGGATCTGTTCAAAACCCTTCGATCTCGACATGACGATGTAGTTAAACGCGTCAACCATTTGGAAGCTATGAATGTTCAACTTCGCGAGGAGGCCGAGAAATACCGCGCGGAAAGAACGTCATATAAGATCCAGGTGGAGGATGAAACACACGGTGAGGTCGCGGAAAAGGAATCCCAGCTGATGAGGGCTGAAGCGGACCTTGCTCGGATACGAAATGCCCGTGACGAACTTCTGGCCGACCAACAAATGAGGAAGGCAGCACAAGACCAGAAAAAGACCGCCAGTGTGAAATTGCAAGAATTGGCAGACGCCAGAGAGGCTCGGATCGCCGCCTTAGAGTCGGAAACTCAAAGACTACGCCTGCAGATCGAGGGATCTAAGTCGGGCGATAATGTTAACGATATGCCATTGGAGGAGCTGCGCGCCAAGTACACCAGCTTGGAAAGTCAGCATTCAATGCTCAACACCGAATTGACATCCATGCAAACGGCCTATACGAAGGTTGCCCCCCTCGCGACGCAGAAGGTTGCCGAATTCGCAGCGATGGAGGAGAAGGTGGCGCGATTAACGGCGGAAAAGTCCAAAGCAGACCAGAAATTCTTTGCTGCAATGAAAAGCAAGGATGCCCGAGACGCGGAAGTTCGCAGCCTCAGAATGCAAAACTCCACGACATCCGGGATTGTGTCTCAACTGAAGGAGGCTGAGAAAGCCTCTCGTTCATTGGTTTCTAACATGGACAAACAAGCCAGCGAGACCAAGGAAGCACTGAATGCGACCATGGCCAAGTATCGCGCTGTTCAGCAGCAGTTGAATGAGAGCAACATTCTCACGGAAGGGTTGAAAAACCAAGTGACCGAGCTGAAAGGGCTCGCAGTTTCTAAGGATTCGACGCTGGCAAGCACCACTGCTGCTCTACGACAAGCCGAAACAGAGCTGGCTGGCCTGAAACAGTCGCTTGCGGATACAAAGAAAAGTTTGGACAATTGGAAGAACAAAAGTCTTGGCAATTCGTCCTCGGAGTATGAGATGTTACGGGTATGTTCAACTTCTAAGTTCGTGGACGGCGCAATGCTAATGCTTTCCAGACGCTCGCCCTGTGCACCGTATGTCGTAACAATTTCAAGAACACGGTGATCAAAACATGCGGCCATGTGTTCTGCAGAGATTGTGTCGAAGAGCGTGTTCAGTCTCGCTCTCGGAAGTGCCCTAACTGCGGCAAATCCTTCGGCAACAATGACCACATGCACATTACCCTCTGATCAACCTTCGACACTCTGTACAATATCTTCCTTTCGATTCCTCCCTCTTTTACGTTTATCCCTTTTAGTGTCACATTCGGACGGGTTCATGGGGTGGTGTTCACTTTGCGTGGTTTAGCAGGTCTGGTTTGGGCCGGTGTTTTAACGAGTTACGCTCAGCCCTTACCCAGGGCAGGTTTTGTTCTTTACCCTTCTCCTTTTTGCTCATTTTATTTCATGTTCCACTAAGGCCAACCCAATGGCGGGTGACTTAAGGCGCAGGGCCGCCTTTGTTCATCTTCTCTCCAAATGGAGAGGCCGGCGCATACTTTTCCCTCGAGGTTGGACTATGCTAGCCTCATGTAGTAGTACGGAACGGACAGATGAATGCAATGTGAGGATTTTCTAGTCCCCCAAGTGATTTGTAACATTGAATTTCATATTATTAAGAGTTAAAGATCCGACTATACAGCAACTCATGCCTCCCAACCCAAAGATCCAACGCCGGCACAATCTGCCCAGCCTCCTCCACTGGCGTATCCCACTCCCTTGCAATGCGCTTCGTAATCATATCCTGCAGACTCTGACTAGCAAGCACATTCTGCGCCTGATAAGGACCCATAACACTCGCGCGGACCGCAGCACTCAGCACCGCCTTCGCGTGATTCATGACGAAGACATACGCCGTCTGCTGCAAGTCCAACCCCATCGCCCGACAAACAACCCCCCAAAGCGGAGCAAAGTGACCCTTCGGCCCCAACCCATCATCCTCCTCTAAACAAGACTTCAACGCATCAGACAAGTCATCTATAGCCGCGACCGCGCTCTCCGCGTCGCTAGAAACGGGACTCCCGGGCCCCGCGAAGCTAACACGGAATGCGCGCTCCCAAACACCTATGAGAGCGCGGCCTTGCGCAATACTTGCGCGCTGTGCGACGATGCAGGGCGTCGATGCGTCGATGTCATTGTCTAGCGTGTCTAGGGTTTCTGGGTGGCGGTAGCCGGCGAGAACGTAGGGGAGGGAGGTGCTTGCGATTGAGGCGATGGATAGTTTGAGGAACCGGTGGAAGGAGGTTATGGGGGATGTGCGGGAGGGTTTGTTGTGTGCTAGGTAGGATTCCAGCCCGCTGGAGTATGCGAAGGAGCCTAGGGGGAGGGCGGAGTCTGAGAGGAGGAGGAGGGCGTGGAGGGGTGTGTGGATTGTTGGAGATTGGGGTTTAGATTTGATATATGGTTCTGGGTCTTGTTAGCTGTGTACTAGCTAGGCATTGGCGGAGCGGTGTAGATTGCCATACCTTTTACGGTGTATGAGGAGGGGGGACTGGGGTATTCGGAGGCTGCTAGTTGGGCGCGGGCATCTTGGAGGCGCGACTCGAGGAGAGTAACTTCGGCTTCGAGGTCTGTGTTGAGGAGCATGCTGGGCATTGTATGTGGTAAATGTATATATCGGTATATGAAGTAGTATAGGGTATAAGTACAATATGAATAATTAAATAAAGACTCCAAGACAAGTCTCTGGGACTTGAGGGTGTCTTAAGTCTTAACTCTTAAGTGTCTTATCTACAATCGATCGGCAAAAAAAAGCGGGCTCGGCCAAGTCCGAAGACTCCCTATCAGTCTCTTGACTGTGCACAATTATTCACACTTTTACTGTGTACACAGTACAAAGTGAACAAACAGTACAATTCGGCCTGCTGTTTGATCTCTTTGTTTTGATTATCTCTGACCTATTACGATGAACTAGGCCTTATATCATATAACAATGTCAGGCAAGCGTCTGCTCGACGCCCTCCAATTCCTCAATGTGTCCAAGACGGTCGCAGCCAAACACCTAGCTATCCGCCAACACCAGCTAGATGTCTACACACGCACATCCTCCCTAACCAAGGGCATCAAAGCCCAAACGGAAGGTCTGATCCTGACCGCTAAAGCCGCCGCCGCCCTAGCACGCCGATTCGACGATCCCTCGCCACCTCCGCCGAGCGCGGCGGACTCCCGCGACAAGTCAACGTTCACCGATAAGCCGGCCACTGCTGCAACGTCACCCCCGCCCGACCAAGCGCGAAAGCTGCAGCGTGAGGCCGAGTCACAGATCCCGGCTTCGGCAGCAACATACAGCGGCAGCGAGAAACCAAATGGCTTGAATGTGAGCCCGCAGCAGGAGGTCTTCTATGAGCCTTCGCTGCAGTCGGGGCCGGATTTTTCGAGCTTGCCGCGTGTGAAGCTGCCCAAGGCTGCCGGTGATGCTCAAGTCAGTAATGATGGGTTGAACGCGGATGTCTTCCACTCATCAGCTGGGACGGAGAAACCTGCCGCGGCCGAGCAGGAGATGTCCGAAGAAATGATCCAAGGACTCTTCCATAGCCCGCGGGTATCGCGCATGATTTCCGGGAAGTCGCCTCCAAAGAGGGAATGGAAGCAGACTGCGAAACCTCAACAGGCAGTCGCGGATGATGTCAAACCTGCTGTCCCGGAGGCACCGAAATCTGAGGCCAAGGAAATGGAGGAGCTGGCCGCCAGCGTCACGGGAGACGTAGGGTCCAAAGCGGATATCGTCGATGAAATCAAGAGGGAACAAGCGTATCAGATGCTGGAGTCGCGCGTGCCATCCTCGCGACTCGGCAGGCTGTGGCAGTACGGTGGCCTGGCGACCTCGATGGCTTTTGGTGCTGTCGGGGAAGGTTTCCGCAGAGCCACCGGCAGCCAGGACAGTGGCTCGATTATGTTTAGCGCTGGGAATATGGAACGCATGGTAGCCAAGCTGTCGAAGATGCGCGGTGCGGCTCTTAAGCTGGGACAGATGCTGAGCATCCAAGGTGCGTTCCCCTCGCCCAGGTCAATGACATAAGCTAATATCGCTAGACTCTAACATGCTTCCCGAGCCAATTCAGCAAGTCCTGCAGCGTGTGCAAGATCGCGCGGACTACATGCCTGCCTGGCAACGCGACAAAGTCCTGGCGGACAACCTCGGACCTGACTGGCGTGACCTCTTCACGACCTTTGACGATGTGCCCATGGCAGCAGCCTCGATCGGCCAAGTTCACTCAGCCGTTCTCAAGAGCACCGGCCAACCCGTCGCTGTAAAAGTGCAATATCCGGGCGTCGCCGACTCCATCGACAGCGACCTCAACAACCTCTCAATCCTCCTAACCGCCTCCCGCCTCCTCCCCAGGGGTCTCTACCTCGATAAAACGATCGCAAATGCCCGCACCGAACTCGCCTGGGAATGCGACTACATCCGCGAAGCAGAAGGCGCAAACCGCTTCCGCGAACTACTCGCCAACGACCCCGTCTTCGTAGTCCCAGAAATAATTCCCCACGCCTCCGGCAAACAAGTCCTAACCATGGAAATGCTGCACGGCATAGCCGTAACAAAAGTCACAGACTTCACACAAGCCCAGCGCGACTGGATCGGCACCCAAATCATGCGTCTCTGTCTCCGCGAAATCACCGAATTCCACTACATGCAAACCGACCCCAACTGGACAAACTTCCTCTACAATGCCTCAACCAACAAACTCGAACTCCTCGACTTCGGCGCCTCCCGCGCCTACCCAGAACAGTTCATAACAACCTACGTCCGCACCCTCGTCGCTGCATCCCGTAACGACCGCCAAGCCTGCCAGTCCCTCTCCGTCGAGCTGGGATACCTGACTGGCATGGAGAGCTCGGCGATGGTCGAGGCGCATGTCAACTCGGTTATTACCCTCGCTGAACCGTTCATGCAGTCGTCGCCTGATCTGTATGATTTCAAGAATCAGACTATTACGGACCGTGTAAGGGCGTTGATTCCGATTATGATAAGAGAGAGACTTTCGCCGCCGCCGGAGGAGACGTATTCTTTGCATCGGAAGTTGAGTGGGGCTTTCTTGCTTTGTGCTAGGCTTGGGAGTGCGGTTCCTTGTAAGGCTTTGTTTGCTGAGGCTATTGAGAAGGCTAGGGGGAAGGGGTTGAGTGTTGAGTAGGTGTTACATAGACCTCTGGGAATGTCGTGTACGATAGATGTTTTGTATACTGTGTACCATATTATAGAAGCAATATGTAGAATCTTTTTGGTCTTCGATCGAGAAAGGATACTTGTACACAGTATTAAAAGAAGCTATTTCATCCAGACCAGCTGGGAGACAAAAGATATAGGCCAGATGAAAAGGCCCAGCTCCGACCAGAGACCGTCTAACCAACAATCCGCAAGAGAAAAACAACAAGTAGGACATACCCAAAGACAAGCTAAGAATCAATTCCCAAACACCGCATTCCAATAATCTTTCACCCCATCACAAATCCCTTCATACTCAGCCCAACTCTCAAACCTATCCTCAAGCTCACAAGCCGTCCAAAGAATCTCCTCCCAAAACCCACGTTCAACATCAACCTTTGCATTGAACTTCTGCACCACATGCTCGGGAATCGTCCAAGCACGCGTATAATTCCCATCATCCGCAAACGCAGGATTAACATAATGTTCATCAAAGACGGTAGCAGGATTGAACTTAGGAAAGTTCGCATGGATGAAGAAAACACCGGGGGAGCACCCTCGTCACCCTTCACGCGCCAGACACCATTACTCGTCAGCGCAAAGTCTTGTATCGGGTCGAACTGCGCCATTGCAGAGCCAGCCATTCCACCTTCAGCCGCGTGTCCGAGGGCGCAGATAGACTCGCTGACTTGGTAGAAGGATTCGCCCATGGCTGTTGCCGCTGCGATGAAGGTTTCCTTGTCTCCTTCGCCGGCGGCGCCTTGGGAGAGAAGCGGGTAGTAGTGACCCGGGCCGTGGAAGTTGTAGTAAGTAGCGAGTAGCAGGGATCTGGCATGGGTTTTCTTGGAGAGGAGAATTTCACCTGATTCCGTTGACTGGCGGAGATCCATTGGAGGGGGTTTCTGGCCTGTGATATCGTAGAAGACCGGGGAGGCAGAGGAAGCCCAGAAATCTGGCCATGTGAGGAGACCGTTTGAGAGGTAAGGATCTTGGGTGAAGAGGTGGGCTGGGTCTTCTAGTGGGAAGGCATCTGCGTCTAGGAAGAGGATGTCTTCGAAGGAGGAGAAGAGCATTGCGAAGGGTTTGAACTGGTATTTTGCGATCTTGGCGGATGATGTGGTGAAGATGCGGGAGAGGACGACGCATCGCGCGTTCAGGGAGGGGAGGACTGTGTCGCAGATGTAGGGCTCGTATTCTTCTTCATCTGAGAGGAAGATTTCCATGGGCAGAGTTGAGCCGGTGCGACGGAGCATGCGGAGGGAGATCACTAGCACGGGGAGGTAGAATCCGCCTGCTGTTGAGACTATTCCTTTTGTCCCTGGGGTGTAGGGGAGAGCTGGTGGTGAGTCTTTGATTGCGCGTACGAACCCGGCGTGCGCCTTTTTCATGGCCGCTATGTCTTCCTTTGGCACGGAGAGTGTGTCCGGGCGCGGTGGTGCATTTTTGGCATTGAACCCTGCAGTGGGCGCCTTTTCTTTCTCAACAATCGGTGGTGTATTGGGTGCGTGTTTCTTTAGCAGGGTATGGAAATTCCGCCAGAAGTCACCCTGCGAGGATGATTGCGCGGTGCTTTGCTGCACTCCGGCGGGTTTGGGGAGGTACGCGTTGAGATTCCATCTTGGTATCGTCCAGACGAGTAGGAGAGCGAGCACGAAGGCAGTGAATACCGTTCGTGCACGCAGGAACGATCGTGGGATCATCTTGAAGTGAGTTGTCAAAAGGTGAGGATCTGAAGCCCCACAAAATAAGAAGTCAAGATCGACGCGCTAAGATCGACGATCACTCGGATGAAGTAATCGTGCAGATCGGCCGGATACGGAATTTTTCTGTTTTCTCTTTTACCCAATGCAGAACTGTCATTGTTTTGGAGTCATTTAAATTAAGATATGTGCCGCTTTTGGAATGTGAGGTTACTCTTCTGGCATGGACTGTGTCCATCAGTGCATATGAGTGTCACCCAGCCTTACTACATACACGACGCAAGCAAGTGAACAATTGAAGAAGTAATCCCACTTCTATTCGCCAACTCTGCTAAAAGCGGATCCGGACTACTAGTACTAGTAGTATGTGGTGAAACCAGGAGAAGTCAGGTGTCGACTGTCGAGGAATATGGAGAGTGAATATACGCTAGCCTGGATACGGATTAGCGTGTGGCGTAAGCGAGGCACACATCGTGTTCCCCCCCCTCCGCTTTGTGTCTACTTCTCTCTTCAATCAATCATCCATTGACCTCGGATTGGTTCCCCTTGGCTTCTCTAGATTCCATCACTTGTGCATTTCCGCTGTAACTCCCCTTCACATCAGGTTTTCTCAGATGCAATTGATAAACAGGTGTGGACTAGTTGTCCTAATTTCTCAATATGTGTCGTTGACTACCAGCAATCCGGACTGGGACGAGATCACGGGCTAAAATGGATCGCCACGGTGTCCCCACCCAAAAATGGCGAGACTGACCAGACTTGATCGCTCGAGTCTTTTACATCAAGCTCATGGCTTTGATGCAACTTGTCGCCTTCACTACAATCCTGCCTGCAATGCGCGATAACCCTGACAAGGCGTCCTTCTAGTATCTACATGAGGCGGGCTGGACGGGCAAGACTTTTCTTTATCGAGCTTGGGGTGCTCATCTTCGAGACGAAGGCAAGATTGTCCTCTGTGTCACATAAGCCGGCATTGGTTCTTTACTTCTCCCGGGTGGCTGAACTGCCCATCAGCGCTTTCATTTGCTTCAAGGTCCCGACATTGACTCTGGCTACGGTGGCGATATCGCACATGGCACCCAATTGGCTGATGTGATGCGTCAAACCTCCTTGATTATCTGGACGAGTTCACCATGATGCATAGGAAGCACTACGACACTCTTGACACTTTGCCTTGAAGATGAGCAGACAACGCGCGATAAAGGAAGGTCTTGCCTGTGCCGCCCGCGCCATGAAGATAGAAGGACGCCTTGTCAGAGTTACCGTCCATTGCAGCTAGCATTGTGGTGAAGGCGACACATTCCATCATTGTATCGAAGGCGACACGTTGATCAGCATTCAGGTGAGACTGGAGGGAACTGGCCAGGTGTTGTTGGGCGACATGCTTCTATGCTATGCTCACTTGACATTCGTTTCACGTCCTCGCGCCTCTCCCAGATATTGGCTCCACCAACGGCCTCGGTGAACCAGTGACCCATCCCCGCGATCCGACGCATTCTTACCGCTAAGCAGAATAGGTACTGCCTACCGTGAAGAAAGGGCAGAGCCAGACCAGATGGTCTTCCCAAGTATGAATAGTGGAATTCGAATTCTGTCCAGAAAGTAACTCCAAGCAAGCTCGCAGCCAACAAAGATTAGATATGAGGCCATACTTGAAAGTGACCTCGGGATGTCGAAGAGATGAGTCAAGACAGAAGAGGGTGCCCCGGTGTGTCGATAATTATGAAGGATGGCCATACGATGTCGACCTCAGGGGTGACCTGGTGGCCTTGGGAAGCAACCTTCCAAGGTTCCACGGCTACAGTAGAACGGAACTCAAATGAAAGCTCGGGATGGCGAAGGCCAATGGCTTAGCCTCTTCCGAGGTGATGTACCTCTATGCAGGTGGGTAGGTACCTATATGTGTGTGGACCCACACGGGACGGCCCGCTTTGTTTGCTTCAATGACAGCCTCATTATTTGCGTATGGTACACTAAACTAAATAGTAAGCAGGAACATCTTGTGGCAGGAGCTATCGGGGGGCTAGCTTGATTTACACCAATAAAGAAGCTTATTGTCCACCCCACCAGTATGGCCAACTGAATAGCCTGAATAGCCCGGCAGGCATGTCTGACTCATAAGACCTATAAAAACCTCTCTCTTTCTTTCATCTTCATCCTTCTTCTCTTCTTCATTCTCTTCTTGCGATTAGATTAGAACAGTCTGTTATCTCTTTCTTTGTCCCTTTCCTGCTTCTTGCTTCTTTCATCCTCGCTTGGTCTCATTTCAAAGTTTTCATCCTGCATTCATCCCACTCGCAATGGATCACCTCAAGAGGACATTTGCACGATGCCAAAAGGAAGGCCGCCCGGCACTGATTACCTATGTGACGGCCGGATTTCCCCGAGTCGATGAAACTCGGGACATTCTCCTGGGCATGGAAGCCGGAGGCGCTGGTGAGTCATTTCCACAACACTTGAACATACTCGAACAGAACACTCTGTAGACATTATCGAGCTCGGTTTGCCCTTTACCGACCCAATCGCCGATGGCCCGACCATCCAAAAATCCAACTTGGTGGCGCTGCAAAACGGCGTTACCATCTCGTCCATGTTGGATACGGTCCATGATGCCCGCCAACATGGCCTGAAAGCACCCATCATTCTCATGGGATATTACAACCCCATCCTAAGCTACGGTGAATCCAAGCTCTTCGCGGATTGCAAGGAAGCCGGAGTCAATGGTTTCATCCTTGTCGATCTGCCTTTGAAGGAGGCAGTCCGATTCCGCGAGGGCTGTGTCAAAACAGGGTATGTGAATGAAATCCAGAGCTAGTGATACATGCTGACATCTTGAATCTGACAGTCTCTCCTACGTGCCACTCATTGCACCCTCCACCACTGAGGAGCGCATGAAGACCCTCTGCGAGATCGCTGATTCTTTTATCTACCTTGTTTCTCGCATGGGCGTGACCGGCGCCACTGGTACTTTGAACACTGAGCTTCCTGCTCTCATCAAGCACGTTAAGGAGCTGTCGGGCAACGTTCCTGTGGCCGTAGGATTTGGCATTAGCACACGGGAGCATTTCTTGAGCGTCACTTCCATCGCTGACGGTGGGGTCATTGGAAGTCAGATAATCAATGTGCTAAATAGTGCCCGAACTGGTGAGGCCGCGAGTGCAGTCAAGGACTACTGCTTCAAAATTACACACCGAAAGGTTGCTCATGATGACTCAATTGCTGCAGATGTGCAGGCTCCGGAGACCAGTGTGCCCTGCCCGGTTGCCCGGGAAGAGGCGGTTGCCCAGGAAGAGACAGCTACTCTTGTCGATGGTTTGGGACGATTTGGAGACTTCGGTGGCCAGTATGCTCCAGAGGCTTTGACAACCTGTTTGGATGAACTGAACGCCGGGTTTGAAGCGGTGCGAAATGATCCAACCTTCTGGGCAGAGTTCAAGTCCCACTACCCTTACATGGGTAGGCCATCTAGTCTGCATCTAGCTCCGCGACTCACCGAGCACGTGGGCGGGGCCAACATTTGGCTCAAGCGCGAAGATTTGAATCACACGGGATCTCACAAGATCAACAATGCTTTGGGCCAGATTCTTCTCGCTCGTCGACTCGGTAAGACTGAGATCATCGCCGAGACCGGCGCAGGCCAACATGGAGTGGCTACAGCTACTGTCTGCGCAAAATTCGGAATGAAATGCACTATCTACATGGGTGCGGAGGATGTTCGTCGGCAGGCATTGAATGTTTTCCGGATTCGCTTGCTGGGTGCTACCGTTGTCCCTGTCGAGTCCGGATCGCGTACACTCCGAGACGCTGTGAACGAAGCTTTCCGTGCCTGGATTGCCCGCCTAGACACCACGCATTACATTATCGGCTCGGCCATTGGTCCTCATCCATACCCGACAATGGTTCGCACGTTCCAAAGTGTGATCGGAAATGAGACCAAGGCCCAGATGCGTGAGTTGGGTAAGACCCCTGATGCCGTGGTCGCATGCGTGGGAGGTGGCTCGAACGCCACGGGGATGTTTTACCCCTTCTCTGACGACGCTTCTGTTCAACTAGTTGGTGTCGAAGCTAGTGGGGATGGTCTGGACACGGCACGCCATTCCGCCACTCTCACTGCCGGTACAATCGGCGTTCTGCACGGAGTTCGGACCTATGTCCTGCAAGATAGACATGGTCAGATCTCGAACACCCATTCCGTCTCCGCAGGTCTTGATTACCCAGGCGTAGGCCCGGAATTGGCTCACTGGAAGGACAGTAATCGAGCTACATTCATCTCGGCCACCGATGCCCAGGCTTTTGAGGGCTTCCGACTGCTGAGCCAGTTCGAAGGGATCATTCCCGCACTGGAGACCTCCCATGCCGTTTGGGGGGCTATCGAGACTGCCAAGAAGCTGGGACCAGGCAAGGATCTCGTCTTGTGCGTTTCTGGTCGCGGCGACAAGGATGTCCAGAGCGTCGCTGACGGTTTGCCCACCCTGGGCCCTCGCATCGGTTGGGACCTGCGTTTCTAAACGCTGGTCCTTATTCTTAAGTCCGTACAGACCTCACTTACACAACATCAATACCCGACTTGACATGGTTACAATTTACTCTACATTATTTCTCTAGTTACTCCATATTATGTCTCTATTTACTCCATATCATTTCTCTACATTACCTATTCCTCTACATCATTTCTCTACATCATTTCTCTACATCATTTCTCCGCAACGATGCCCACATGGACATGGATACTGAATCGCTGGTGGAGAGGAGAGAAATCACAGGCATATATGTATCTACCGGATCTATGGCACTGATGAATACGTGCTGATGAGCTTTTTAGACTTCAAGGGTTTCTTAAAGTTATCCCCCCGTGGATGCCAGGTGTGCAAGACATACAAGCGGCGGAAAGGAGCCCGATGGCTCATGGAGTCATGGGCACCGCATCGCCTACCGCATGATTCGAATTGCGCTGATACATTCAGTATAAATCTGCGCCTTTTCACTTCTGGAGAGACTATTCCGGACTCCAAATAGCTTCTCTCCGGGAACCTTCTCCAGCAGCAGGATGCTGCCTTCGGGCAATTGGGAGGAGCAGATTATGTCCCCGAAGAATGCGGGGCAAGTGATGATACCTTGCCCATTTGGCTGGAGCTGGCAGAGTCTTTCGTACACCCGGTGTTCATTCAGCGAGGTCACCCAACTGACCCAAGCTCTATACGAGCGGTTCTTTTGACCAAGAAGATCTACGGACTGTACCTACCAGAGGGACCGGATAAGCTGCCTATTCCTGAGGTGGAAACACTGCTAATTCCTGGTCAATATGCGATTGCGATTCAATGCGAAACTAGTTTTCGTCCATTATGTGATGTTATGTGATATTGTGTACCATGCTCAATCAATGACGATGTGGCCATCAATCCGACTCATGACTATTTTCTTCCTCTTCCAAGATCGTCGAGTAGGGCAAGAATTTGCGATCCTCCGTCTGCGCCTCCAGGTAATCGAAGGGCGGATTGGGGGGTGCAGGCTCTACGAGCTCCCGTTTCACACGAGGTCGCTGAGACTCTTCTGAATATTCAATGCGCAGAAACTGCGAAATGGTAGTTCCGCTAAAATGTAGGATCATGCCGACAGTGGCTCCGATGAGAACGGCGCCCGTCATGAAATAGATAAATGCCTATCAGAGCTTAGTGAATGCGACCACCGAGCTACAGTATACCAGATACGAGATAGTACATATGCATCTCTCGTAACATACCTCTAGTTTCACTAGGATCCGTAATGGAAGCAGAGCCAGGTATAATACGACATGTCCGAGGTAGATCACTGGCGATGCGAGGAAAAGAAGTAATGACAGCAAGTAAGATAGTAGCTGGAATGCAAAGCCAAAGATGAATGACACAGGGTACGTGAGAACTGAGAGCCAACCCATCTTTATCATAGACGTTCGTCTCAAAGGATCTATATGCACCTCAACTCTTGTTATGATCTCGAACACGCGCCAACCAAGCCCTAAGCCCTAACTGTCCGCTTTGGGATCCGGCGTCATCGGCCTTTTGCCGTACTTTGACAAAGTACTCGAAGTACATCACTCGACTTTTATTATCGAGCCCCCCGGCTGCCAATCCTTACTCTGAGCTGGCATCGGAAGTGACTTTCCCCAGCCCGCCATTGTGACTCAGTTCAAACCCCTCTACTTCTCGACTTCTGCAAAACCTCAACCCGAATTCACTCACACCTTTCCCCGCCTTCGATGGGCAACAACCCTTCCAAAGGCCCGGTGAGCGATGCGCCGCCGGCTCACGCTCACCACAGCTCTGCAGGCGACCGCAAAGTCGCCCGTCGGTCCTCCCATAATGCGATTTCGGCTCCGAAGGCCGTCGCGGCCGACCCCTCCGCCACGAAGGAGACAGCCGCCGGACAGTCGGCAGCATACGAAAGATCCGTGCATCAGCGCCTACAGTCACGCAATGTCCCCGAATCCACGCCCAAAAATATAGAGAAGCCTCAGCAACATGATGCAGAGAAAACCGGCCCCTCGCCGATCAGAGACATCCCATCTCGCGACCCCTCCAACCCCGTCCAGGTCCCGGTTGCGCGCCATGTCCCGGGGCGCGATTCTGTGGCACCATCGGCCCCGCCCCTCAACTCGTACTATAGCGCATCGGCACACCTGCAACGTCCACCGCGGCTGCCATTGCCAATTGGTGATGCCAATACCACGCCCGGATCGCCCATTGCCGGCCCCGAGGACTCGCATATCCAATCGCTCCCCGCTGATCGGCTTTTGGATGAACAAATGGATGCGACTACTGCGGCTTCCGGTCATACGACTATCGAAGACGAGGAGTTGCTGGACGAACTACAGCCATACACGATCAGTGGAGCGGGCAAGGCAGTCCCGGTGCTCATCGAATGGACCGCGCCTGCTCAGAAGGTCTATGTTACGGGAACCTTTGTGAATTGGGAGAAGAAGTTCCGCCTGCACAAAAGGTTGGTTTTTGCCCTGACTATGGATATGAAGACCTGACTGACTCGATACAGTGAAAATGGCTCCGTTATGTCCACCACTCTGAACCTTCGTCCTGGTACACACCACCTAAAATTCATCGTAGATGGAGAAATGCGCGCTTCAGATAGCCTACCTACCGCTGTGGACTTTACCAATCATCTAGTCAACTACATTGAGATCAGTGCAGATGATGCTCATGACAAGGACTTCGCTACTCAGTCGGGGGTCCAAACTCCACAGACTCTGCCAGATTCCTCCAAGCACAATCATTCAGGAGTTACCGACGATCATCCTCCAGAGAAGGAGGAAACCGAGGAAGAAGTTCCACCCGGTGACTTTGGCAACGCTATTCCCCAGTTCCTCGCCGATCTTGATAAAGAAGAAGATAGCCCGGCCTATGTGCAGGCGGCCAATGTCATTGGAGATACAGCCACGCCACCCAGTCTACCTCTCTTCTTGGGCAAGTCAATTCTCAACGGCACGACCCCTATGAAGGATGATAGCAGTGTGCTCAATTACCCGAATCACACTGTCCTTAACCACCTGGCCACGAGTAGCATTAAGAATGGTGTTTTGGCTACGAGCGTGACGACACGATACAAAAGAAAAGTAAGTGACTCTTATGTTTCTCGGGGGATTTTGCTAATTCGATTCACAGTATGTCACCACGATTTTGTACAAACCGACTGGCGACATCACCGGATAAGCTGTCCAAACATATAGGTGGTCTTCGATTTTATGCACACTTTTCACTACTCATGCCTTGGACATGTTGTGGTCTGTGCGATCTAGCAGATACGGAAGATTCACCAGCACTCTTATTGCCTTGTCTAGTGCATTGGTTGCTGGTTTTCTTCCTGTCTGCGTTCGTCCAGTGTGGCTGGATTTGTCTCGACAATGACGATCGCATACTAATAGACCATATGGTCTTTGACTGCAGGCAACACATAGGAATGCCTTGAGGTTCCCATCAGAAGAATTTATCACATATTGCATCTTTTTCAGGCGTTATTGTCGTGTTGGGTGTTGTTAGAGGGCTTTGGACACTTGATGGGCAAATCATCCGGCTGCGCAGGCGCTTGAATCTTTGCAAGGATCTTACAATTATCTGGAAAGGCTAGTTGGAATGAACTGTGAATGTCATGGAAACAATTATTTTCTCCATCTTCTCTGACCAATTCAAAGGATTATTGGACCCGGTTCGCTCAAATCATAACACATAATATTTTGTTCTTGAGGTCAGGAAACAGATCAGATATCAATCCCGCCACTTCACAAACACTTCATCTGTCCGGAATCGCTGAGTACAAGTACTCTCGCTTAGAGGGGTCCGGAATCCGGTCCCATATGCCAGCATACCAGCCTGTGCGATCATAATACCATTATCGATGCAGAAGCGCTCATCCGTAGCATAGACACTTCCACCACGGTCCCGTGCCATGATACCCATCATCTCCTGCAACCGCTCATTCGAGCCAACGCCACCAACAATAAGAACCTGCTTCGAGCCAACATGCGCCATTGCGCGCTCAGTTATCTCAACGAGCATGGAGAATACAGTCTCCTGAAGGGAAAAGCATAGGTCTGCGCGCGTGGGCGTGCTATCCGATGAATCAACTGCCGCTTTCACATCAGCGGTTTGCATTATATCTTCGCGCGCCTTTTCTTCCCCACCTAGCCCCCAGTGCTTAGCGAGGCCATCAATCGCAGCCAGAATGCCGGAGAATGAACAGTCCATCCCCTTTACAACGTAGGGCAGATCGACCAGCTGCGTTCCTTGCTTTGCTAGTTGTTCAATGTTATAGCCCGGTGCTGGATCGTTGGAGATATGCAGTGTGCGCGCGAACCGGTCCAGACAATTCCCTACTGCCATATCGAGGGTTTCGCCGAAGATGCGATACCGTTGTGAGCTGTATGCAATGACTTGTGTGTTACCGCCGGAGACGTATAGAACGACTGGGTTTGTTGCGCCGGTGATCAGGCGGCCCATTTCGATGTCTAGCGACGCAATTGTGTCAGCTGTCTTATTCCAATTGCACTCCCATCCACGAGGGAAATATATGGCAACTTACGTCCGACACAGTGGTTTACTCCAACCAGCTCCTTGCCCCAGAGCAAACTCAACATCCGTGCGGCGACCACCACACTCTGGAGCGGGGCACCCATTCCCGGTCCCTTGGTGAAGCAAATGCAGTCCACATCGTCGACAGAGACCTTGGCTTCTTTGAGGGCCTGTTTTACCAGCTTCACAACCCAAGACCGGTGGTGTCGCGCTGTATCCTTGGGCAGGAAGCCCTCTCCTGGCGGGGAGACGTAGGTGTGTCTGATATTGGCGAGGACCTGCGGGGGGCTTCCGTCCTTGGGGTGCAGCATGATGCCGATGCCCAATTTGTTGGCGGAGCCTTCCATACCAATTGCGATCATAATGGGCGGTATTGTTGGGTATCAATAGGACAATAGAAGTGGCAAGTCAATAGAATCGCATTCAAGGCATGAGTCCCTCATGAATATGATTTTCCTTATCGTTATCGAGGAAGCCCTTAAAAGCGGCACCCATCGCTTGGCCGAACTAAACCCGAGCTACCCTGTCGAGTTTAGTTTGCATACTCCCGAGTCTCTCTTCTTTCCCCTCTTCTCCATATATTTTCTCTTGCCCTAACTACAGTGTCCACTTAGTTGGGTTGGTTTTGCATTTCTCTTGTGTTCTTCCTACTCCCTCCCACTAGGGAACCTCTCCTACAATGTCCTCAACAACGCACTTCCCCGACGCCGAGGGCTTTCAACAGCAGTCTAACAACTTCATGTCATGGCTGCAAGCCACACCAGGAGTGCAACTCAATCCCAAGATCAGACTTGCAGACCTTCGAGCCAGTGGAGCCGGACGCGGTGTTGGTAAGTATTCCAATCATATTTTCAAGCACACAATAGCTGTTCACGGAGAATTGCCCCAAAAGAGATTGAGGGGCCCATAAATATCACAGCCAGTTTCTAACATACTTTCGGGAGTCTAGTGGCACAAAGCAACATTGCTGAAGACGAAGAACTTTTCTCGATTCCGCGCGGAATGGTCCTCGCCGTGCAAAATTCCGAGCTGGGGTCTTTGCTCGGGCAAAATCTGGAGGAGCAGATGGGTCCGTGGCTTTCTCTGATGTTGGTCATGCTGTACGAATATCTACAAGGCGAAAAATCCAGATGGGCTCCATATTTCCGGGTGCTGCCCTCTCGTTTCGACACCCTCATGTTTTGGTCGCCGGCTGAGCTGCAAGAGCTGCAGGGTTCTACCATTGTTGAGAAGATCGGCCGGGCAGGTGCTGAGGAGTCGATCCTGGAATCTGTCGCTCCCGTCGTGGTTAAGAACCCTACCCTGTTCCCGCCACCCCAGGGTCTTGCGTCTTGGGAGGGTGATGCTGGCCGTACTAGCCTAATTGAGTTGTGCCATATCATGGGATCCCTTATCATGGCGTATGCCTTTGACATTGAAAAGCCCGAGGAGGAGGGCAATGATGAAGAGGCCGACGATGAGAGCTACATGACTGATGACGAAGACGAGCAGTTGCCGAAGGGTATGGTCCCGCTTGCCGACCTTCTCAATGCAGATGCGGCCCGGAACAACGTAAGCTTTTCAACTTTTTTTCTGCTGCAAGGCGAATTTTAACTCAATTGAATTAGGCTCGCCTATATCAAGAAGAAGGCACATTGACAATGAAGGCAATCAAGCCAATCCAGGAAGGCGAGGAAATCTTCAACGACTACGGAGAAATCCCGCGCGCAGATCTCCTCCGCCGATACGGCTACGTGACCGATAACTACGCCGTGTACGACGTGGTCGAGCTGTCCCTGGAGGACATCTGCCAAGCCGCAGGGCTATCAAGCGCCAGCCCGGAAACCGAGCCCCGACTCGAGCTTCTCGACAACGTCGGTGCCCTTGAGGATGGCTACGTGATCCCCAGACCTGTCAACGACAATCCGTCCTTGAAAGACATCCTGCCAATGGAATTGGTCGTTCTTCTTACTACGCTCGCTCTCCCCACTGCGGAGTTCAATGAGCGTGCGTCCAAGAAGAAGGCTCCCAAGCCGGCCATGGATGCCAATGCCGCTGCCATCTTGGTCAAGGCCCTGCAGAACCGACAGGCGCAATATGCTACATCCTTGGCCTCGGACCTGCAGCTCAGGGCTTCTCCCCCCCGTTGCCTTCGTCTGGAGACGTGGATGAGAGCGCCCGTCGCGCACGGATGGCTCTCCAGGTCCGCATTGGTGAGAAGGAGGTCCTGCAGGCTGTCCTGGGCATGCTGCAGCCCGCTAGCAACGGGTCATTGAAGCGATCGGCCAATGGTGATGACGGTGAATTGCGACAGTTCAAGACTCAGAGGATATGAAATCCTGTCGACTTTGTCTCTACACACCGATCATTCTGTTCTACTGAACCCAAACAGGACGCGAAGGAAAAAGTGCTTTTTGCGAGTGATTAAATTGTTTTAAATTTTCTGAATGTTTTTGAGCTACCTTTTTTGGCCCTCCCATTCGTCGCTTGCATCATAACTTCGGTTATCCATCATACAAAAGGCTGCCCGCCACCAGCCAACACCACCGACACGGGAGAGAGAAGAGATACTATGTACACTAACACATGCAGACACGCTGGGGCCATAAGTGGCTCCAGCGTCGAAACAAATGTCGAGGAAGAGATGTGGGAGGGAGAGGGAGGCGGCAAGCGGACGGGGAGCAAAGAAAAGAAAAGAAAAAGAAGAGATATCAGGCTTGGAACCAGCACTCTTCGCCGCCCGCGGGAGATCATCGAAACATGAAAGGTGATAAAACTACAAGGGAGGTAGAGTAAGGAGGCGGAATAGGAGGAGGCGAAAGGAGAAAATAAAACCACGAAAACGCCCGCCAAATGCTGTGAAAGAGGTGGAAAGGAAAGAGAAGAATAGTGGCTCATGTCTCTGCCACTGCTGCACCCGGGCCAGGACTCGGGCCCTGATGTTGACCAGATCGGTCCTGCAGTCGTCGAGCTTGAGCTTGGGCTTGAGCTGCCTGTGCCTGCGCCTGCGCATGAGCCTGGGCAGCCACTGCAGCCTGTTCCGCGCGTACCTTGGCCATGGTGATTGCCCGGTGCTGCATGATCTGAATGCTATATGCATCCGTCTCATAGTCAGGCTCGTCGTCTGAATCTTCTTGGTCGAACTTGAATCGGTCAACCTTGAATGGATCCATATCGACTTTACGGGCTCCCATGTTTCGACGGTCGATCATCAATCGGCCACCACGTCCAACTCGTCGTCGGAAAGAGGGCATACGGTGTGGCTCTTCGTGCAATTCTATGGCGTGCGAGGCAAGCTTTTCTTTGGGGAAGGTGAGGTCTAAGGAGGTTTCCATCTCGCCAGATGCTTCAGATGATGGAGGAGTGGGCAATTGTGCCGTGAAAGCAGGGCGGAAGGAGGCCACGTCGAAGCTTCTCTCCGGGGACGGGGAAAGGGGAGCACGGGTGTGGTCCACGTATCCCTCGTTCCACTTGATGTGCTTGACGATGTTCTGCTTGATATCGCGCAGAATCTCGTTCTCCTTCTCGGCCTGGACTTCCTCCAGGAGTTGCAGATCCTCTGCACCCTGTCCAGCCTTCAATGGCATACGCAGTTGAGGAACATTCGGCCGTTGTTGCGGCATATCGAGCACTCTCTTCTTCGGCTGTGCAAAGGTCAGCATATACAGCTTGTGACGAACCATGGCAACCGTGCTTACCTTTTGGTTGATGAGGTCTTCATCATCGTCCTTGATGTTGAGCTTGCGCTTCATCTCCTTAACCTCAGAACGTTGCTGGAAGAGGACCCGCTCCATGACGAGCATTTCCTTCCGAGCGATCTCACGCTGGCGCACCAAAGCGACGAGCTCGCGAGCATCTTCCAGCTCTTTGCGAAGCCGTCTGAGCTTTTCGGCACTCTGCGCATCTCTACCGCGGGTTTTGCGAATCTGGCGTACCTCCCGTCTACGGAAACAGACAAATGGATCACTGTCATCAGTGTCTTGACCAGTTTCAAACTGCGACGATGTTAGTGTCGATGCATATACAATAGTAAGTGTTGAGACAACGTACCTTGAGCTGCGCTACCAGTGGGTTGTTCTGCACCGCAGTGCGACGCGTCTTCCAGTGCTCGTAGATATCCTTGGCGAAGAGCTTCGCATGATCATCCAATGTGGCATCCATCATGTCTTGCATTTCCGCAAAAGACAACACTGGTGGATTGTCGATTGATGCGTATGGCTGCTTTATCTGCGCCGTCTCTTCAAAGAAATTCATGACCTCTTCAAAGATGTCTTCCGAGCACCGTTCAGCAGCTGGATCGCGCTTCTGGTTCATGATCTTCAGGAAGACATCATCCTCCTCCGTCATATTATATGGACATCCGCAGCAATCCTCAACAGTCGAGGAGAAGCGAATGTACGTCGCAGGCTGCGAGAAGACAGGGGGTAGAGTTCGTCATATTGGAGATTACTGAGGATGGTCTCGGGAGTGGGAATATGTGCCTCATTTACTTTGCCCTGGGCAGTGGCATTGATTGCGCGTTGCAGATGGATTTCCTAGATACGATCTGAGGTCAGCGCGAGCCATTTGATATTTGGTGAAAATTTTCGCGTCACTTCATCACGTCATCACGTGATGTGGATAGGGATGAGGCTAAATTTAGTGCATAGGAGGAGACTAACCGATTCCTCGGCTTTTTCCACGCCGGTTTCGATCTGTTGTAGCGCGCTCTGGGTGTCATCGTCGATTACATCGATTTCTGACTCGCGGACGACGGGGATGGATGCCTTGGAGGTGAGCTTTTTAGGGCGCGTCCTCCCCAGGCCCCCGTACCGAGTCATAGCGTCGGGACGCGCAAGAGGGCAACGACCATGGGCGTAGCCAGGATAAAATGGGAATCAAAATAAAGGTCTGACCATGCGCTTTCACGTAGACGTATTTTCGAGATGAAATTCGATGGGAGGGGGAAGATATTGACGATGGAAGATGTGATGATTCACGGCTCGCGGTTGGGTTGACGTTGTAATCTTAGCCGGCGGTGGCCTGTTTTGGCCGGGTGCACGGGCTCAGGGGCTCGCTTGCCTGACCGCATATGGTTAGTGCGGGGCTGGGCGATATCAGATTCCCTGGGGCCCTTGGCAATAACAACTCTTCCGCCTCCTCTTTTTGTTATCTTGCTTGTCTGATCTGTAGCTTTGGTTTGATACACTTGCTACCTTTATCACTTGGTTTATCACTTGATTCTATTGCATCACTTGCCATCCCTTCCCTTGTTCCTGTCTCCTTCCGCCTATCATGGACCAATCCTCCTCCTCCAACGAGCCCAATGCCGCTGCTATCTACGATGCGCGCAGACGCCGCGGCTCCGTGGGTACCACCCAGCTCTTCGATAACATTGTGTCTACCTCCAACTGTATGTTTTCTACGGTCGCATAAGGGTGTTAGGGCGATGGGTCGGGCTGTGGCTGACTGAGCGACCACAGTCAACCGGGATGAAGTTGATCGCCTACGGAAACGCTTTATGAAGCTGGATAAGGTCGGTTCCATGCGATAGGAACAAATAAGGCGTTATCGCATACTCAACGGCTTACAGGATGCCTCCGGTACTATCGACCGCGATGAGTTCCTCTCCCTTCCCCAAGTGTCTTCCAATCCGCTCGCCACGAGGTTCGTTACTCCCCAGCACATCCACCCCAACATATTCACCTCGATGTCCACCCAACGCCGACGATCTATATGCGGAGAACTATGTCTTAACAACTTCCTTCCATGACAGGATGATCGCTATCTTCGACGAGGACGGCGGTGGCGATGTCGACTTCCAAGAATTCGTGACCGGGCTGTCGGCATTCAGCTCCAAGGGCAACAAGCAAGAGAAGCTGCGCTTTGCATTCAAAGTGTACGACATCGACCGCGACGGGTACATTTCCAACGGCGAGCTATTCATCGTGCTGAAGATGATGGTCGGCAACAACCTGAAGGACGTGCAGCTGCAGCAGATCGTCGACAAGACGATTATGGAGGCTGACAAGGATGGAGATGGAAAGATCAGCTTCGAGGAATTTACGGACATGGTGGAGAACACGGACGTGAGCCTCAGCATGACGCTGAGTATGTTCTAGAGATTGGTTCTTGGCCCCACCTCTTTCGTGCTGACGATCTGCCAGATCAAATCTGATCGCCCCTCACTGGTTGAGTGGCGATATCGGTGTTTTTCTTCTGTCTGGCGCTTCACTTTGTTTTCTCATCCGACTCAACATGATATGACTCAATGATCAGCGACGTGTTTGTAGTTTTCTTTTTTTCTTCCTTTCTTCAGTCCCGAAATGGGAAAGATATCAATCATGGACTTTCACCTCTCCGCTTCCTGGGTAAAAGCTCCCTCCCTAACTACACAGTACATGTACGGAGTCCACACACGGTCCCTAGCACTTATCCCATTCCCGTGCAATCAGGTCAGCACAACCGAAAGTACCCAACGATCCCAAAGATCAAACAATCAGCCGCACGGGGCAACAACCCCCGTTCCCATCTGGACCGTCCCTAGAAACGAACCTCGGCAAACCCACTTCCCCCTCCAGATCCTCTTCTGGCCCGCAGTCTCGTGGACCGCCTCCCAAGCAACGAGTCGGGTGCGGGTGCAGCCACAATACCAATCCTTGTCGGGTTGCCCAGGCTCGGGTTTGTGCTGCGGACCTGCTGTGCGTCGAAGAGAGGGTGGTTGTGCAGTTTCCCCGATCCCGGCTTGTATTTGTTCCTTGTCGGAGGTACACCTGTACACGGGGTGAGGTACTAGTTCCATTACTCTCGGTGTAGTTACTGGTATAGTACATGGGTTCGGGGAGGCTATGTACGTGCTTTACTTTCTATCAATACGAGGTACTTGTATACATCTGCTTTTCTAATATAAGTATCTACACATGGGATATATATAGGTTACAAGGTTTCCAGCCCGTGAAGATATACCTATAGGTAGGTATTGCTTTGGATACCTAATATTCTGCCTCGGAGATATATTGCTTGGTGTTTCCCGCCTACTGCCTGCCATTTCACTTGATACCTATTGCCGGACTGTATTCACTGCACATCGGACTGAGAGGGCGAGGTGAGACGCAAGTTCGGAATTCCGAGGCACTGGATTCGTTGGGTCTGCAGTCCGACAAGGAAGTCGTACAACCTAAAGACTGTGTGTGGTGTCTTGTTCTTATGGTATTGTATTCATAGGTAAAATCTTTGATATGTAGGTATGAACCTATGTGGTTGAAGAGTAGGCAGGAGAGTATATGGGGAGAATATATACTGTACCTAGAGAGCGTAATATCGGAAAATACAGTGAGAGGAACCTACCTTACCTAAGAAACAAAAAGGAACGACGGGGTGTAGTTAATGCTAGGTAAAGTACCTCGAAGTACTCCAGGTCCATTGGATCCAGTCAACCTAGGTTCTCTTCCGAACTGTCGCAAGTACAGTAAGTTAGGTAACTACAGTCATGTCTGATTTGTACTGTGCATAAGACGGGAAAATATGTTTCAGCTGGGAGACTCGTACCAGAAGCCAAGCCCTTAGGTCATGGGATTATTCCTCTTTTAATTCTGTTGAGTTCTAAGATTAGCTACCTAGTCGGTCATTGCAGGTGTTTCGTCCTGTTTGAAGAGATGAAACGAGTGTCATTACCCACCGGTGTGAGGAAGCTTTCTAACCTCGGATAGTGAAAGGTCGATTGTTCCCAGGTTTCATGTAATGACAATGTACGTTGTAGTAAATCTTGTTCTTTCGTCCCGTTCCCAATAGCCATGCACTTCCCTCATGCTCTCACCCATAACCATTCCTCGTGTTTTGTGCGACTGGTCTATCCAATGTGTCGGGCTATGGCAACAGATGTAGGGACAGTCCGAATTGTTCGCAGGTTAGTAGTATTTACATTTTGTGTCGTGCATCTGCAGATTGTATCTCTGGTTCGTAGCTTAAGCACAGGACGAACCTTGGAAGTGTTGGGGTTAAGGTTTAGCCTTTGGGAGATCCGTGGATCAGATCAGAGAAGTATAAACATTCGACCCTGAATACTACAAGGAATGTGGTATATACACGGTAAAATCTAGAATAGAAGATAAATACAAACGAGTCCTCGGTAACTGAGTCTAGTCCATAATTGCTTTTCCCCGAGAGCTGAGCAATCAGAAACCCGAGGAAAAGGAAACGGACGTATGTAGGTGGCCGTATTGGAAGAGATTTACCATTTACCATTCTTTCTTACACATTGGCATAATCTGACTCGGATCTTACTGTTTCATACTCTCTCTTATGTATATCATGTTGTGATGTTATTATGTCCACTGATTATCTCTTTATAAAGTACTCAAGTACATATGAATCTATGATCATCTCAGCCTCAACCTTGGAACCCAACCTGCATCTCGTTTCCGAAGGTCCAGCAGCTGCCCGGCTAATCTCCCCGGAATGTACAGTCAAACCCCCTTGGGACTCTGTCAGTTTGTCATATTTCATCTCTTGCTTTTCTACGCAAGGGGAGATTGTCTCATCTTTCTCCTTCATTAATCGCGTTACACGTTCGAGAAAAAGAAAAGAAAGGTTCCCACCTGACCTGGGAGCTGAACCCCTTACTATTATAACGAGAAATAAGAAATAAATCCATAAATAATAAAATGATCGGCCAAGAACCATTGCACCGGGTCCCCGGGCGATCACAGCGCCGAATGGAGTTTAGGTGTAGATCTCTTCGATTGAGTAGAGCCCTAGGATATTAGTCGTAGTAGTAGTAAGTCGTAGCAGCAGTAATTGCAGCAGCAGGAGCAGTAGATAGTAGTATTATTATCAATTGTATACACTGCCCTAGTTTCTTATTTCTTTCTTCCCCCTTTGGTTCCCTGGGGCCCTTGTCTCCCTTCTTTTCTTTCCCTTCTTCTCCTATACTATGCCATACTCTACTATCCCATTCAAGACTCGATCTATCGACCTGACTCCCAGACCAGCTCTACATCTGCTTTCAGATCCACCCTTAATTCCGACCTGATTACCTGTTTTCATGCCTAATTGCATTTAATTCTTCCTTCCTTTCCCTGCTGCTTTCCCCCCAATATCCTGTTAACACTCTTGCTCTGTCTGTTACTTACATCTGCATCGGTTGCGTCAGAGGACAGGATCTGAATGTCTACTTGAAACCCCAGCTCATATCCCATCCTTTCACACTATCTCTTACCCCCAACCAAAAGGTCAATTTCACTGCGACACAAAAGTATCCTGCATCTGCTGGACCTGAAACCATTCAAGCTGGCATCCTACGCAAGCCCACCGCTGTCCCCCAAGCATTGGGCCGAGCTTGATCTGCAGCGATCCTGGGACAGCCTAATGGATGGCGATCAACGGATGAAGCAGCATGAAAGGTCAATGTCTCGATCTGGAAATGGCGCTCGTAGAGCACCTAGTCGTGCAACCGATTGTTTTGACCCTGCTATACAAGCCCGTGGAGATCCAACGGGAATGTCGCAACCTCCGGAGCAAGCTTCGATGTCCTACAACTACGGATACACAGGCAGCTCCTTCCACGGCGGTTCCCTGCAATCCAATGAACTGCAAGATTACCAGCACCAGGACTTTGTACGGGGCCAACGACCTCAGCAAGCATCTCTTCAACCACAGCGACGACGTACGCCCCAGGACCCGGCGGCATTCTCCTATGACTCGAGCATACTGTACGGATTCGGTCAGCAGGGACCCAGCCAAGGACCCTTTGAGGCTGTTCCACAGTACCAGACACGACAGTCTGCGGCGATCGAACTGTCGAACCAGTTTGCCGTTCCACAGTACTTTGCCCCAGAGGATTCGACTGGGTCGGGGGTTGCAGGGCTGTCGCCTTATCTAAATGCGCAACTCCAGTCTTATAATCAACCTAATCCCCAGCGCCCGAATACCACCCAATCCTTTTCTGCAACCATTTCTGATTTCAATGCAATCGGGTCTGGGTCTATGAACCGATTGGATCCGGCGGAACAACGACAGCAGTCGGACCAGCCGAGTCTGGAGGAGGCCGTTGGACGATATCAGCGTATTCTGCGCCGCACTTTCGATCAAACGCGAGCGGGAAGATTGGTAGAAGCTGGGGCATCACTGCTGGAAATTTCCGAGTGGCTTGTGACCAATGCGCGGGATCTAGGTAAGGTCTTTCATTGTTCTTCCCCTTCGGTAGACAGGGTTACAGGAATAGGTACACACCTACTACGTCCATGGCAGTTGCACAGAGATCCCCTCTGAGATGCATCATGAAAGCATCATATGACAGGAGAGCTAATCCAAAGTGATAGGTCTACTCCACGACGACAGCCTTCATTACCGTGACCGACTGAAGCTCTGGCACGACTTCAACCTATGCTGGTTAGCCATCTGCCAAAAACAGAAAGATCTGATACTGGAGATGATCGCCACCAATCAACAACCTTCGCACACCAGTCTTATTCGACGAGAACGCATGGAAAGCATGGGAAGAGACCTGATTCAGCTTTGCGACCAACTCGAACCACACGGCTTGGTCGATTACCAAATGGGAATATGGGAAGAAGAGATATTATCTGGTGAGTTTCCTTATTCCAATGCGCTGATAGTGATAGACCCTTTCTAACGCAATAAACAGTTCTAAGCCAATGTCTTGATCTCATGGAAAGTCGACCTGAGCTCCAACAACAACATAATGCTATGCTTGAACCCACTGCCGTGCCTCGACCATGACCGAGTCTCATGCGCAAATAGCAGTAGGAAGAAAAAAGAATGAAGTTCCGACGCCATCCAAAATTTGGATCAATGATCAATTCCAAATCAGAAAGATACGGCTGGGCGACGATCGGAGACCCGGCGCATTGCGCCAATAACCCAAGCGCCGCCGCCACGGGCAAGGCTATTGCCTACTAGGCTACAAGCGTCGCGCCAATCTGGATATATGACATTTGACGTCGCTAAAGACGAACCTGTCACTTTCTTGCTGAGATCGACTTGCCCCTCCTTCCGTCTTTGGTCTTTGGCCTTGTCTGGAGGAAGATCATTATTTGCGAGTTGGCCAATCTCGACTATATCCAATGTGGCTGGATTATGGGTCATCTTGATCCTGTCATCGCTAGACTACATGAATTTAGCGTCCTAATTATGAAGTTGATGAGTTGTACATAGTCTTTGGATTTGGGTGGCTGCTCTCCTTTTATCATTCATTCTTCTTTCCCGGCCTATCAGTTATGTATCTGGACAACTCTGCATTGGGTGCGCAAATTGGACGGCGCAGAATGGAATGGAATGTTTGGGTTTCTGATTCCTTGGTATTGATGGGAGTCGGTCTTAATATCGATATCATCTGCTTTCTTCGGTGTCTGTTTCATGGTTGTGAGTTGTAAGATAGTACTATCAGGTGCCCTTCGTTGGAGCCGTAATGTTTTCACTTCAATCTAGATGAACCATCGAATCAATGTAACCTTGGAATTGATTGTATGCATTGAGAGTACAGGATATAAAACAAGTCGCGAACTCGGTGGAAATAATACATGTTGAAACAAAAGAAATGGAAGCCTGAACTCGACCATTAACGCTTGACCCAGGTAGGCATCTTGCGAGCCTTGACGCGACCAGGCTTCTTTCTCTCGACGCGACGAGCATCGACTGTGATAGCACCAGCTGAAAAGAAAAGCAAGTTAGCAATTGTACCATTACACCCAGAAGGAGCAAAAACATACCCTTCCTCAGAACCGGCTTCAACCCAGGCTCATGCAACAGCAAAGCCCGACCAAGAGCCAACGTAATAGCCTCAGCCTGACCAGTAACACCACCACCCCGCACCGTAATCCAAGCATTGTACTTATCCAAGCGCTGCGTACACCGCAACGCCCAAAGTGCACTTTCCCGATCATGCACGCGCTTGAATACCTCCACAAGACTCTTCCCATTAACCAACACCTCTCCCTCGCCCTCAACAAGCTGCACAACAGCCGTAGATTCCTTCCTCTTCCCCTTCCCGCGTGCTCGCCCATGCTCATCGACAGTCCGCGGGATAGTCTCCACCGCATAGGGATTACCCGGTCTCAAGAACGCAGACAGCGTAGTTTGCACCTCATTCGGCCGAATCTCCGGCTGGATACGGTTCAGTCGCTGCAGGATCTTGAGCAGAGATTTGTATTTCTTCATGGGGACTGGCTCGCCGACGTAGTCGCGGAACTGGGGGAGCTTGAACCAGGCCATGCGGGGAGCGTCGCTGGTAGCGACCGTTGGCAGCGAGGCGTACTTCGCTTGCAGGGATTCCAGCTGCAGAACATGGTCGATGAAGCGGGGGCTGCCGGAGAAGTAGGATGGGGAGGAGGGGATGATGCGGGCGGGCTTTTGGGTGAAAGCTTCGAAGTTGATTTCCGGTGCTGCGGCGGCCGGCACGGAGGCGGCTTCTGCTTCTGTTGCGTATGTGCGTGAGAGGGAGGGTTTGGGTTTTGAGAGGGTGGGTGTTAAGCGGAGGGAGCGCATGGCTTGCGCCAGGCTGGTGGATTTGTGCCACGCCATGACTGGGGCGCAATTGGCGTGAATTGGTGATTTCGGGGTTGAGGCCTTGACGGAGTCCTTCGATGGTCTCGGAGTTTGGGACATGTTTTTTGTTGGTCATGTGACTATCGGCAATAACGGTTCCTCCGGCCACCGAAGGCGTCCCGCCAGCACAAAATTCTACTCGCCCCTCCATTTTTCTTTTTCTTTCCTTTTCTCTCCCACTTTTCACCCCCTTACATTCAAAATGGCCTTCGGAAAGCTTTACGGTCTGCCTGTATGTTTTTCTCTTCATCTTTGATTCCCTTTGCTCTGGCTGACCTTTCTAGGACAACGGTCGCACCCTCTCCATCCTGGTCGCTGCTAAGCACAACGACCTGGAGTTGGAGCTGGTCAACACCCAGGCTAACTCTACTGCTGCCTTCAACAGCAGCCCTGAGTTCACCAAGCTCAACCCCACTGGCAAGATCCCCGCCTTCGAGGGTGCCAATGGCTTCAACCTCTCTGAGGCTATTGCCATCGCCGTCTATGGTATGTGATGCTGTTTTTTTGTTTGTTGCCCCTCGGTCCAGATTTCGCCTCTCTCTTTATGATGAGATACCATTAGTTATCCCTGTCAGAACAACCCTTTGTTACTACAAAGGGACCACTGTTGAGAAGAAACAACTCTGAAAAAAAATTGGCTACCCCGCTTTGCGGAAAATTTGGACTCGATCACCCCTATTTTGATTTTGGACATATTGTGCCATTGGCGCCTCTTATTCCTCAATTGAATCACACAGCACCCACACATGAACTCGACTAACATGTCTGTTCAGTGACCTCCCAGAACGAGAAGACCACCCTCCTCGGCAAGACCAAGCAGGACTACGCTTCCATCCTCCGCTGGATGTCCTTCGCCAACGCCGAGGTTCTCCCCAAGTTCGGTGCCTGGTACCGCCCTCTGCTCGGCCTTGATGGCTACAACAAGAAGACCGTCGATGAGGCCGCCAAGGCTGCCACCAAGGCCATCGGTATCTTCGAGGCCCACCTCACTGCCAACACCTACCTCGTCGGTGAGCGCATCACCCTGGCTGATATCTTCGCCGCCGCTCTCCTCACCCGTGCCTTCGCCACTGTCCTCGACGCCGCTTGGCGCCAGGCCAACCCTGCTACCACCCGTTGGTACAACACCATCATCAACCAGGACTCCTTCAAGGCTGTCTTCCCCAGCCCCAAGTTCGCTGAGGAGGTGATCAAGTACACTCCCCCCAAGAAGGAGGAGAAGCCCAAGGCTGCCCCCGCTGCCGCTGCCGCCCCTGCTGCTGCCGCCGCCCCTGCCGAGGCCCCCAAGCCCAAGCACCCCCTTGAGGCTCTTGGCAAGCCCACTCTCATCCTCGATGACTGGAAGCGCAAGTTCTCCAACGAGGACCCCCGCACCGTTGCCATGCCCTGGTTCTGGGAGCAGTTCAAGGCCGATGAGTACTCTCTCTGGAAGGTCAACTACAAGTACAACAACGAGCTCAAGCTCACCTTCATGGCCAACAACCTGATCGGTGGCTTCCAGGCCCGTCTTGAGGCTTCCCGCAAGTACCTCTTCGGTGCCCAGTCCGTCTACGGCTCCAACTACGACTGCGTCGTCTACGGTGCCTTCATGGTCCGCGGCCAGGAGTGGGAGCCCGCCTTCCAGGTCGGCCCCGACTGGGAGGGATACGAGTTTGTCAAGCTCGACCCCTCCAACGAGGCTGACCGCAAGCTTGTCGAGGACATGTGGTGCCAGGACGTTCCCGTCACCGTCGACGGCAAGGTCCAGGAGTGGGCCGATGGCCACGTCTTCAAATAAGCGTGTCGCCTTGATCCCTTCCTCTCCCAATCCACCACACCTTAAAAATTACATTCCCCCAATACCCCTATGGACGTGTTGTGCCTAAAGACACTGTACACATCATGTCTATTCTTCTCTCCTTTGCCTGAAACCTTTTGGCATTTTTCCGAATATCTTGACCTATGGTCTTACGTGTTGATGTTGAATCACGGTTATGAATATGTTGCGATGTGGAATGACGAACGAGCGAGCCAGTTGGGTCTTGCTATTATATCCCAGCTGGTGAGGTCGCTGCTAGTTTATTTCTAGCAATGAAGACAGAGACAGTTCTCTGATTCTGTGTTATTATCCTTCATATGTAGTATTGTATATATTTAGTCTTAAGAACAAGGGGCACTACTAGAAACCTTTGACCCTGGAGTCCGTGAGCTAGGCCGGCTTGACGACCCTCCATCGCCTGCAAAGTAGCCTTATTCTTCGTCCACTACACTCTCAACCGCCGTTCCTAGGTTATATCGACAACCTAAAGTACCAACCTTGTGGTAAATACAAACATTCTACACTACTACTAGGTAGGTTCGTATGTACTCAAGCTCAGCGCCTGACCCGGGCACAGAATCAGAATCCAGAATTCCATCTTAAACAATCCAGTTCGAATAAGAGACATCATTACCAAGTAAATACATAGAAAAAATGATAAAGAAAAACCCCCAACTCCTTGACCGAAAAGTTGGAGTTGTTGAAAAAGCCAGATTTCCAACTCAAACGGTTCAAAGCTTCCGCAACGAGGAGCCATCATATAAGAATGGTAATATCCACAAAATCATCACTTATGCATCCCAAGCCCAACCTCAAGCCGATCAAGCAACGAATTATTCGATCGAACAGACGCAGCAGACGGCGAGCGAGGCCGACCCGCTTTGCCGGTACTGACTTCAACAGCAGCATCCGTATTCACACCGATATCCGCTCGCGCATCGGTAGGTATGTATTCAGGCGAACCTTCCTTGGAATACACCGTCTTCGTCTTCGCAGCTGTAGCGCCACTTTCAGAGAGTACATAATCAGATCCAGATCCAGATCCAGTATCCTTCGAAGGCGAAGACATTTCTCTGTCTATGGACTCGGAAACTGGATTGGTAATAGGATGTTCATGCTCGCCTGAGATAGCTAGAGCTTTCCTCTTATTGGCTTTCTTTTTGCGATGGGAAGGCTGCTGAGCTGGTTGAGGTTTCTCTGTGTCTGTTTCTTTTGTGGTTTGTTCGCTTGCGTTCTCACTCGGTACCGGCACAGCCTTAACTTCGAGGTCGGGTTTCGATTCTGCAGTGTTTCTGGCTTTTGCTTCGTCTTTCCTCGCTTTTTTTCGCTGATTGCGGGCGAGTCTGATCTGTAATTTTCTGTCTTCGCCACTTGGATGTGGCTGGGGCGCTGTTGTGTCGACCGCTGCAGTGGCTGCAGCAGCCGCAGCATTGGCGGCTGCCTTAGCCTTCGCTTTCGCCTTTTTATTTTGCTTCTTTTTCGGCGTAGGTTTGGTGATGTCAGGGGCATCTGGAGTATCCGCTCTGTCAGGATTGAGCTGCTCGGGGAAAAGAGTCGTGCCTCCATCCTCGTAGTCATAGTCCTCTTCTTCTACCCCGATATCCAAGTCTAGAATGGTGCCCTCTCCCTTCGCAACACGATCATTCCATTCACGAAGGACCTTGCTGACATCATCATGTCTCGAAAGGAAGTCAAGACGAGCAAGCACCTTCCCGAAAAGTTTCGACTCGTCGATATTCGGATCACCGAGGAATTCCGGGATCTCAAGGATATTAAACGGCTCACTGGAAGCCTTGAGCTTGCTATCGTCGATGAGAATGGTATTCGATTGATCCCAGCGATGACCAGGCCGCAGGTTCGCAGCATCTTTCAAATGCTCGTTTCCAGGAAACGCAGCCTGGATACTCGGCTCCGCCCAGACCTTGCGCAGCTCCTTGTAGACCTGCAGCTTGGAATTGTATTGGGCAGCAGTGAGGCCGAACTTGTCGCGGCCCCAGCGGGCGACGAGGGCGTCGTGCATGGAGCCTGGGAATAGCTGCTCGCAGACTGCGTTTACAGTTGCTGGTTGAGAGCTGGACCAGATGATGACTTTGTATTCTTTGATTAGCGTTGCGAGGAAGTAGTCTAGTCCTGCGCGCCTGGCGAATTTGGGTGGGAATTTGCGCAGTTTGCGGAAGATGAGAGTTCCGTTTAGATCTAGGATGATGAGGAGCGGGCGTTTCGCTGATGGTTCGGGTTTCAGTGAGGCTTGTTTTGTGTATTGTTGGGTTGGGAGGGGGACTTTGATTGGTGGTCCTGGCGACCCCCGTGCTCGATGGGAAGCAGAGTCGAAACGGCCTTTTGTACCTTGTGACATTGTGCTCATGGGGCGGTGACTTTGTTGTTGTAGTGGGGTGTTCATGTCGAAGGGGAAGAAAGGGAAGGGAGGCATATTGGGTATTGAGGCATCGAAGGGGGGAAACATCCAAGGCATGTTCTGTGACATTTGGAAGAAGTTCGGGTCCAAGGGTGGTAAGCCCTGGAAAGGATCGAAAGGTGTTTGGTTCTGTATTGAAGGCGTGTGGTGTTGGCCATGTGACATGGGATTCTGGCCTTGGGATTGATAACCGTGAGACCTTGGAGTGGCCTGCCCCCCATTTTGGTTCATATTCAGCATAGGATTATAGAACGGCTGCTGAGTGGTACCCTGCATAGGATAGGCCCCGCCTTCGATACTCCGATGCACGTTCCGAGGCGCATTACGATCCGCACCGTACGAGGAAGCCGCTTGGCCGGATCTTCGTCCATTCCAACGTTTCTGTGTCGATGCAGGATCCATCATTGTATGTGAGCCGGTACCAGCATATTGAGTGTTCGAATTCGACTGGTGATCGAAAGCCGCGGCGCCAGACGCACGCTTCGTGCGTTTATTTGCGCGAGACAGTTTGAACGATGTTTGCCGTGACAAGAGGAGAGTAGAAAAGCCCAGGCGGGTGCGGTGGAGACCAGGAATTGACACTGGCAGACGCTGTTTACAAGCCAGGTTAGCTACACAATGCAATTGCTAAATGTTCTCCGCGTTGCGGCTGGTGTAGGTCATACCTGATTGATTACGCTGGACAAAGGCTCGTGGCGCAATGAGCGAACTGGAAATGGGAGACGAGGAAGGTGAATATGCTCTCTACCACGCAGAAGCCATAAGCACATTAGGGAAAGACACCAGAGTGGCTAATGAGCTTTTCTGGCGACATTGGGGAGATCGCGAAAATTACTGCGTACTGCGTACCGGATAATCTCTGGGCTAGACATTTTATTTCCATTTTAGGATTCACCTCTTGCCGCTTTATGATCTCTGTGTAAAATTGAGCACGCCCCTGAGAGTCACCTGACATCCTTATCCACTGAGCATGGCCATGAGCCAATGACTCCATGAGCTGAGACGATTTGGAGATGATCGAAAATCTCCTCACTTTTCTTTTATTTTTTCATCTACCTCGTGAACGCCATCTGCGTGCCCTCGCACAGCGGTCTTGACGTTCCGGTAGACCACCGAACCAGAACCGAACCGAACCAGAACCAGAACCAGAACCAGAACCAGAACCAGAACCAGAACCAGAACCAGAACCAGAACCAGAACCAGAACCAGAGAAAACGAAAATGTCAACGACGCGACCGGGCAAGAGAAGAATACGGCCCGACGAAGAACCGGAGGAGATCCACGAGTATGACGCTCCTCTGCCGCAGACTGAAGAAGCAACGTAGCCTTCCTTTTCCGCGAGATCCACGCCAGTACCGGGCCCGTCCGGTGTACCGCGGCAACACTATGAACTCCACGTCCGTACTCGAACAAGGGAAGCGTTGACTATCCGTGACGAGGAGGCATTGATCTCTTGGATTCATGCGGACTCAAACCATGCACTCGCATACCTGACGTTTGTCCAGCAGCAACGTCAAATTCTCACGGAGAGGGTACGCGAGCTGGAGAGAAACCGCTTTCTCGCCCGCCACACAGACTTCGTCGGGAGAAGGGAAGCGCAGTGCGAAGCTGCCAGACGCCCCAATTCTAGATGACGGCGTCAGTGTAAAGTTTACGCCCTGGCGACGTGCAGTCGAAAATAAGTTGATGCTGAATGCCGACCACTATCCGTCGGAGAGACACCGCATGGCGTACGTCTCTACTCGCTGTGCGGGTAAAGCTCAAGCACAGCTTCAACCAAGACTAGACCCCACGGTCTCGAACCGGTACAAGACCGCGGTGGAGATGCTCGATCATCTCCAAATCGTCTTCAAGGATCCCATGGAACGACAGATCGCCAAGGGACAATATGAGAAGTCGAAGATGAAAGAGGGTGAGAGCTCTAACCTCTTTTACGGGGAATTCGCCCGTCTGGCTCTCGAGTCGAAGACGGACGAAGAGCTCCAGAAGGGAGACCTTTTCGAGAAACTAGTGCCGGATCTCCAGACGCTGACGGTGTCGGACGCGTTTAATGACCGCGTGACACTCGAAGACTTTGTGGACAGTTGTAGACGCAGCGCTCTAGGACTGTCAAGGGGATGACGGGGGAGGAAGAACTAGAACACCTTAGTGAAGTGCGATTGGAGAAGAAGAAGAAGAAGGATGGCGCCATTTAGGAGTGCAGTGCCAGGTCCACTGTACCCCCTTGATCCAATCGCACTGCACTAAGGTGTTCTAGTTTTTCCTCCCCTGTCATCCCCTTCTTCCTCGCCCAGCGCCGCGGGATCGACTGTCTCGAACTGGCCCAGTAGACCGGTCTTGACCATAAATTCGGCCACAGTCGTGCGGGCCTCCGGCCTTGTCAGGAGCTCATTCCGATGGAGAGTTATTCCTTTGTCGGAGAGAGCGCGTCTCATCCAGTCCCGCTCGTCCCGGTGCAGGGGACATTCCAGCAGGACGTGTGCAATCGTTTGGTTGCCAAGATCGCAATCGCACCGTGCAGATTCTCGTCGGTTGATGCGATGTAGGTAGGCGCCTAGGCCAATTCGACCAGTTCTGAGTTGTATCTGTCATGAGTATTGTCCGGGTTATCTGAATCGCTGCTTGATTCGGTGGCATCTGGGTCGTCGACAAACTCACGTCCTACCCGTATTGAGCGTGAGCGTTCCGGGCATCTCCATTCAACAGTTGGCATCTCTAGTGGCCTGCCGAGTTGTTGTAGAACCTTTAGAAGCTGCTTAACTTCATCACTGTCCTAAGTAAACAGCACCACGGCCAATTCTTGTCACCATGTGACAACGTACGGAAAACATACCCTATGGCCATCTGCAATCCTCCTTCGGATCTTCACCACCCTAGCAATGTTCATATATCACTGATCGGTATCATCCAAGGGATCTGATTCTTGTTCCTCCGGCACCTCGGCCTCGGTGGTTTCCCGTCTCGCATCAGAATCAAATGACTCTGTTGCGTCCGGTTCTGGGAATGGGTCGAACATCAGTGGTCGACGGGCCAAGAGTTCACCGCGAGCTTTTTCTCATTGCTGACTGGTAAACGGGCCTCGGCAAAATCAGACTGGACAACACAAGTATAGCGGGGATCTTGGACCATGGCGTCCTACCACTCCACAATTTCATTCCAGAAGCGGGTTGATAATTGAGATTGCGTCTCCGGGTCGATGTCCAAGTATAGGTTTACTTGGACAGCGACATTGGCCCAGACTTGCTTCATATACCACTGTCCTCGGGCAGTGGATCGTGAATAATCGACTTTGGCCGCTGCCCAAAAAAAGACATAGTTGAATTTCGAAGCGTCAAAGATGGAACAGAAGTATCGGAACAGGCGTGCCGGGTCCTTCTCACGGGCGAGTGGCTCAGCTCGCTGGTTGGTGTACTCTATTTCATCGGTGATTTGTTTCTTCCAAAGTTAGCATTTCTATCTCATCATGATATCATTGTCTGTGATCTCGCCCGGATCACATATACTTGCTCGAGTTCACCTGCCTGGGGGGTGGGGGATCCTCCTATGGTATGCTCTCTGCCCGTTTGCTTCGGGAGAATATTGCTCTTGTTCCTCCTCAGGTTCATGCGGCGCATAGCGTTCTTCGGGATATTGTAGAGTAAGGCTAGGGTCGACAACGCTGGGAGCGACGCCCACGTCAGTTGCAAGAGACGTGCCACGGCCATTATAGGAGGGTCCCCCACCTCCAGGCAGGTGAACTCGAACAACTGTATGTGATCCCGCGAAAGGATCTTCGCGAACATTGCGTGCGGTACTACTTGCTGAATTTCAACATGGACCGCATCATTCAAGTCGTGGAAGAAGTCCTCCCTCCGGGTGAAAGTAAGAACTCATGGCGGTACACCAGCACATTGGGATGCCCGAGATCTGTGTCGCTCCTTCAAGTGCGAGTCTTTGAAACGAATGAGGGCGAGATCACAGACAATGATATCAAGATGAGATAGAAATGCTAACTTTGGAAGAAACAAATCACCGATGAAATAGAGTACACCAACCAGCGAGCTGAGCCACTCGCCCGTGAGAGGGACCCGGCACGCCTGTTCCGATACTTCTGTTCCATCTTTGACGTTTCCAAATTCAACTATGTCTTTTCTTGGGCAGCGGCCAAAGTCGACTATTCACGATCCACTGCCCGAGGACAGTGGTATATGAAGCAAGTCTGGGCCAATGTCGCTGTCCAAGTAAAACTATACTTGGACATCGACCCGGAGACGGAATCTCAATTGAGAAGCGGCTTCTGGAATGAAATTGTGCAGTGGTGGGACGCCATGGTCCAAGATCCCCACTATGCTTGTGTTGTCCAGTATCATTCAAGTCGTGGAATAAGTCCTCCCTCCGGGTGAAAGTAAGGACGAATAATTGCCTGCGATGGCGTTCGCATGGCTGTGGACATTGTTGAGATAGGCACGTCCACATTTGGCCGTTGATGCTAGAGGAATCATATTAGATCTCATAGTGATATCCGGTGTTTTGAGTCTTGACTCACCGCAGGGCCAGAGGGGGAAGGAGAGTACATGGGCCCAGACGGGTGTCCGGCGGCATGTGCTCGATTGGACTGCCGGGTTCCAGCCATACTGTGTAGTGTCAACTGATAGTAATAGTAACTTAGTAAGAGATTGGTACAACTGCTTGATTGTATCGCACCGGAGACTTCGACATCGAGGTGGGCCGTGGGACTTTATATAGTCATGAGTACACTGTAACGGCATTCTTCAGATGTGATAGATCCGAGGAATGTTAAACGTACATATCCAAAGGGGACGCATTGCAGGATGATTGGATGCAGGATTTCCATGGGCACTTCACCGTACTTCCAGGGCATTCTATACGGTTCGCTTCATGTCGACCGACAACTGATATTACGTACAGAATCATTCCCCCTGTGAAAGGGAATGAGTGGCGGACGTAAGGAGTCGTAACCTAAGATCTCAATCATCTCATTGAAGCACGGCTGCACGACGTCTGAGGCAGCAGTCCTCCCACTGCAGAGTACATGTATATCTTGTGGAAGTTTTCGTTTTAAATCAACTACCCTAAGGTGCATGTAGCCATGTACGTCAAGGGTTCCACGATCATATGAAAGTTGTTGTTTAAACTATAGAGCTGTGAGAGGTCACGTGACCTCGCTTCCTCCTGCAGTCCCTTGCTCCCTGCACTGTCACACATCACTGCTAGCCTCACATGTTGATATCTCTCCCTCCAGAAGCATACAATATTATTCCAGAGCACTCTAGTCTCTACAGTTCCACAGTAGACCTCCTTTATCAAGAGGAGCTAAGATACAATCGATCTCTTGGCCAAGATGTCACGCAGGTTTTTCAAAGGGGTCAAAGGGCCGTTACTTCCTGCATTTACCAGTTCCAGAGACGGGAACCCAATTGGTAGAGACGCCAAGGTCACGGGCCGAGCCAGATAAGCGCTCAAGTTGAGAGTGCGCTTTGCCTACCTTACCCATTTACATTAGGCGCTGCTACGAACTAAACATCACAAAACGTTAGAACTTAGGGCTATTCCAAATCGTGATCTGCGATAAGTGTATCAGTCAGCAGGCACGTGACGATCTGAGCTCTTCACCTGTGCTGATATCTACCCAGACAGCCCTCATCAAAGCGGCAGCCCAAACACACAAGAAAAAAGGAAAACCCGATACATACGAGTACAGATACAAGTACCTTATCAGATCTTATCGCTGACCGCCCCAACCGGCAATATTTTTCTTTTCAGCTCATTCTTCGTCTGCGCGGGGGTTGTCCGACAACAACGCCAAAACCAAAATGGCCATTACCGATATGCTCAATCGGCGAGTGCGAGCTCAGCCAGAAGATGAAGATGTCTACGACGAAGTATCAGGCTCAGACAATGGTTCTCAGGATGACTCCGATGCCGAATCCAACGGTTCCATCAACTCAAACTCAGTAAGAACAAGTAACGGCAACATATACTAAAAGCATAAACTAACGAAACCCCAGGAAACCGACTCCAATGCTGAAGAAATAGATGCAGAATCCGATTCTGAAGCCAGCAATCCCGACACCGAAGCAGAGTCAGAAGCAGAATCAGAAGCCTCCGAAAACAATAACGACGACGACTTCAAATCCTCACTAGCCGAGATCTCCTTCGGCGCGCTCGCCAAAGCACAAGCCTCCCTACGTGAGAAAAAGCGCAAAACCAAAACCCAAGAACCAAACGCAAGCAACACAGTCGAGGAAATCCGCAGCAAACTCCGCGAAGCACGCGAACAAAAAGCCGCCGCAGAAGAAAAAGCCGCACGCAAAGAAGCCAAGCTCAAATCCCGCAGCTCCAAACACGCACCTATGGTGCTATCCTCGAAACGGGCCGTAACGCGCAAACGCACGGCAGTGGAATTACCGCCGGCGCCGCGCTCCCGCGACCCGCGCTTCGACGCAGCGGTCATGGGCCACAGTGGTGTCGGCAAGCATCCGCACGGCGGGAAAGCGTATGCTTTCTTGGACGAGTACCGGGCGTCTGAGCTGAAGGAGTTGAAGGAGCAGATGCGGAAGACGAAGAATCCGGAGCAGAAGGAGAAGATTAAGGGGGAGGTTAGGCGGATGGAGGATAGACTGCGGTCTGCGGCTAATAAGAAGCGGGAGGCGGAGGTTGTGGCTGAGCATAAGAGGAGGGAGAAGCAGTTGATTAAGGAGGGGAAGAAGGCTAAGCCTTATTATTTGAAGAATTCGGAGTTGCAGAAACAGGTTATGGAGAAGAAGTATGAGGAGATGGGGTCTAGGGAGCGGGCGAAGGCGCTTGAGAGGAGGAGGAGGAAGATGGCTTCGAAGGAGAGGAAGGAGATGCCCTGGGAGAGGAGGGGGTTTGAGGGTGGTGGTGATCAGGATGGGGGTGTGCCTAATGGTGGGAAGAGGAGGAGATTGGAGTAGGGGATCTTGTATTTATGGCGTTGATCTGGTAAAAGCATATGCATATTGACTTATCGGGCAATAACTGAAATATTCGTCTACATGTTCATGGTATTCGCGTCAAGGCGTAAGTATTAGAATTACGGCATAGAGGTGAGGGCAGAAGCAAAGAGCGAAACAGGCCAATATATGAGAGACAGACTCATTACCATAATGCTTTATCCAAGCAAGTTCAAAAGGTATATTGCGAAACATGGGACCCCCAACGCCCAGAGCAGACTTGATGCAGAAAAGAAACCGAACACAAAAGTTTTACAGGGTGCATACCCTGATGTCGTAGCATAGATAACATGATAATGATGCAAGCATCGAGGTGTAAGAAGGGTTTCGCGATTCGATCATCCAGGATGAATCGGGAGTATAGGGGACATTCACAGCTCAGACATGCCAGAACCAAACAATTGCCTGGATGACACCTGAGGAGGATCTTCCAATAGGATGACAAAGTCCTCGGATGCGATGATTTGAGATAGATGACACTCGCAAATGGATTCTTAGGGCAGTGGCTGAGGCAGGCTCAAGCAAATCTCATAATCACTTGATACTTGTCAGAGCTGACCCAAAATCGCTTTGCATGCCCCGCTCTGATGAACAGAGCGGCGTATCACGCGTATCACGAGTGGAACAAATCCCAAGCCCGTGCGCAGAGACCAAGGAACTCATCCTTCTTTCTGCGCTGCGTCTCTGGCGAATCCCTTCCGGCACCAAAGGGTCCAGAGAACGAAGCATGCGGACCGGGCGCCGTAGCTGGGTTGGAACGGTGAGAGTCAGGTCCATGGCCCAGAGGCGGGCTTCCATTGTCGTGTTCGTACTCGCTCCGAGGGCGGCGGCGCGCTGTGGCATCTGACGGAGCGAACATGCCAAAGGAAGCAGGAGGCGGTCCATGAGGAGCTTGGGGTTCCGGGGCAAGAGGCGCAGTCTTGGGACCTGCGTGGGCCATCTGTGGCGATGGCGGGGTGGGAGGCTGGTGGCCTCCATAATGAACAATGCGGGGCAACAGCTCATCTCGTCCACCTGTCATCTCCTGCACAGCCTCCTCAGCTGAGCGGTACTCGCGCGGTCGGTTGGGAGTGTGGGACATGCTCCCTGGCAGACCCGGGGAAGGCATCGGAGCTAGATTGTTCGATTGGGAGGAGTTGTTGCTCGACGCGTTGAGGTGCATATTGCCAACGGCGGGCTCCCGGTCACGGCCCAGTGTATCGGACCCGAAGACGTCAGAGAGCGGCGGGAGACGATTGTTTGTTTGGGTCGCGGGTAGCTGATGCATGTGGGAGGTCGAGCCCAGGGTCGGACTTTGGTTGACGACATGGCGGGTCAATGGCTGGGGCTGGTACCGACCAGTGAAGGTCTGGTGTAGCGGCGCAGATTGAATGACCCGCTCATTTGCAAACTGAGAGGCGGACGGAGGAACGATAGATAGACCGGGCGGAGGTCTGCGCTTTGCGGTCTTGGGCATACCCATACTCGACTCGGAAGGTTTGACGCCGTCCGGACCATCCTCTTTGGCGGACCGCTGCATGCGCTGTTCGATAATCGATCGCTGCTGATCACGTACGGAAAGGCTGCGCTGCAGCTGCTCGCGCATGACCGGATCGTGGGTCTGGAATCCAGGCGACAGACACGCCAAGCCTACATCTTGCATCGAGGCGGTCAAGGGTCCTCCCGGAGGTCGAACCGTCAGGCCACTGGCGCTCGAGGACGGCAGACTGGTCGAAAGGTCTAATTTCCGAGGCCGAGGCCGACTTTGCATCCGTGGGGACGAACCCGGTTCCTTCTTGACGGTGATCTGTGGGCCGCCGCTACCAGCTTGCGATCTGCGGACAGATGTCAGTTATGCGAAACTCCGATAGTGGACCAGTCGACTTACGGTGAGGCCGGACCTCTCCTCTCGGTCGGGGAGCCATTTGCCGCGGATGCCTGCTGAGGGCTTTTGGACATTCGGGGTGGAGAAGAATTTGACGGGATAGTATTCGGAGGCGCCAAAGCCGGGAGATTTCTCGGACTGGGGTTGCGAGTAGGGTGTGGTGAGGACAAAGGGGCGGCTGCTGCGGATGCCACTGCGGTGGACATGGTCGATACGGGCTTTCCGGAAGGTATCCAAACACGAGGGCGCAAGCACTTCAAAATGTTGGATTAAATTTCCTTGAGATGCAAGGGCATCCGGACGATGCGGGCGAAGTCCGGTGGATCTAAACGTGGGATCGCCCTCGGTTGATATGTCGGAGAGTACCAGAGGGGAGGATGAGAGTCCAGAATGACAAGAGAAATGGACGTGGGAGGGGGAGAGGGGGTCTGGGCCCTGAAAGGAAAAGAGGAAAAGCAGAAATGCGATCGACGGAGCTATCCAGGGGGATTTGAAAAGATAAACTCAAAAGTCCAAGTACAAAGTACATCGGTTGGAGGTTAAATAAAGAGGGGGAGAGAGTACCAGATACTCAACTCCACATCTGAGACACGATGTGTTTCTCTTTTGGCTCCACCGTTCACGTTCCAGTTTCATTTTCTAACAGGTACTTGTATGTACCTACACAGTAGTTATTGCTGGAACTCATAAATGTACTTATTGTACTTGTAGTTTATCTTCAAAATACTGAGATACTCTCTACTGAGATATCACAATGTGACGAAAACCAACTATTACCTCCTCATCCAATAGTTTCGGACACTGACACTTCCGAAACCCATCCTATCGAAGATAATCTGAGATCCCCCGTCTATTTGCTATTCTCGGTGGATCCCTGGCCCTTCTCTGACAGTAGTATACCACCAGATCCAACTAGCACCTCCTGATACCCAAATTATCGAATTACATCTCCACTTCAAGACAAGTCACATTTCGTTATATGTCAAACGTCAGCGCTTAACCAATGGATATTCCAGGTTCCAGTGATCCCATGCACAAACTATCTAAGGAATACCAACGAGAAGATAATACATGAACTATAGTCTATAACTATCCTGACTCCGTCCGAATTGCGACGAAGTCATCTCTCGTCTCCAGGGCTGTCAGGCTGTCAGGCTGTCACGACAGGGCTATGCACGGACCCATGCCTGGGTTCTAGAGGTGAGATTAAAGTGGCTTAAGTTATATCAGATCCATAGGGTTAGCACTGGGATAATTAGGGCTAATAAGGGCTATCTCCCGGCTCGGTGCTATTCAAGAAGGGAGATTTGGCTACATGTGCTTTGACTTTTATTGTAACTACCGACATGCAACCAAGTTAGAAAGATATGCAGGTTATGAGCATAAGTAATGCCCAGCCAGGAATGGGCAGTACACAGTACACAGTTTGAGGCTGGTTATGGGCCCATGCGAATGTCCATATCCACCACCATACCATTCATTGTTGGCCGACAGAGAACACGAGTATATCTTCAATTAAACACACATCCACAGCACTCTAAATAAAATAAGTCTTTCCAAGAACATAAAGAACCAAGAGAAAGAGAACGAAATAGTATACATACCACAAACAGCAGGCGGTGAACGCGACTATCGATAACCCACCTTTTTTTCTTCGCGATAATCCTCAATTCAAGATCCAGATCGGCGCAAATTTCCTACTATCACCACCTCACCAGCTCAGCGATCGCAGACAATCTCTCCACACAACCAATACCACAATACTCAAACCCCCCGAACCAACCACCCATCCCTCACGCCAAAATCCACCCTCCAACCTATACCTCACCACTCAACATGCCCGAATCCGTGCACTCCCAAGACCAAGACCAGTCCATGGTCGACGCAGAGCTCATTGAGCAGCCTCAATCCAACGACCCAATTCTCGAAGAGAAGCAGATCGTCGTGGTAAGTTCCCATCCATCCACATCTTCCCTCTACAATAAATCAGAAGTATGAAAACAACAAGCTAATACCTCCTCCAGCTCCCCGGCGCCACCGAAACCGCCGCTTCCTTCCAGTTCGAAGGCGAGGGCCATACTATGGGTAATGCGCTGCGGTATGCGATTATGAAGAAGTGAGTTTCCGTCTGAGATGGACGCAGTCTAGCGCTGGAGCATATTTCAATCCCGAGAGAATATTCTTTACTAACGTCATTTTCCGTAGTCCGGCTGTCGAGTTCTGCGGCTATACTATTCCCCACCCCTCGGATCCGAAGATGCATGTTCGTATTCAGACGGATGGTATGTACCTGCTGCGCTGCTGAGGAATAGATGGATGGTTGCTAATGCCTATTCTAGATACCACTACCGCTCTCGAGGCTCTGGAGAAAGGATTCAATGATCTGATGGATCTTTGCGACGTCGTTACTGAGAAGTTCACTGCCGCGCGGGACCAGTTCAATGCTGAGAGTGGGAACCGTATGGAGGCGTGATTTTGGTCGTGTGAATCTTGCATGTGTATATCTGGCGTTTTGGGGTAGAGGGAAAAGTACATCATCTTATCTGGCCATGATAAGTGTCTTTTGGTTTTTTTGGTACATACATTCATACGTGTAAGGCTACGAGGCAGATTTGTGAGGGTTGAGGATATCGATATCAATATGTTCGTGCTATAGGCGGTTGCGAGATTGATTGACCTGCACAATTCAGCAGAGAAATACAAGAGTAATGGAGAAAGATAATGGAATGGCTATTCAGACAATATTTACACATCATGTCTATCGATGGCGCAGTTCCTACTGCCACATCGCGGACCGGAAACAAGAACGAAGAGTAAGAAATGGAGAGGTAGATATGCAGAACGAGAGTTTTAGTTACGGCCCTCAAGGAATCCAGAGATGAAGTTGCGGGGTAGGCGCGCGCCAGGGTCTTCTTCTGGGCGGAAGTACTTCATAACGTGAGAAAGCTGCTTCCAGTAGTTAAGGGTTTCCTGCAAACGATATCAGCATTGGTCCTGTCTTTGGTGTCTGGCATGGAGATCAGAGGACAGATAAAAGCAATTGCTTTACCGTCTTCATATAATCCGTCGGATAGACAGCTGATATACACCCCGACAGAGATAGGCGAACTAACCTGATACTCGGCATGACTCTGGTACAGCAGCACGTCGACGACGTTCAACTGGCTGACGTAGCGGTGCTTCTCGAACTCCTGGCGGATCTTGGTGCGGATGGCAGAGACAGGCATGCCGAGGGAGTACATGGTCTGGATCTCCGGGGACTGTATTCGATATGACGTTAGCTGGTTGTTGCGGGGTAATATTGTGATATTTCAAAACAAATTGACCACTTCAATCCTGCACTCTTTATCCAGCTTGAGCACTAGAAGAAGAGCATATCGAGGGAGAAGCCGTCATTGGCGTGGGTGATATTGGGGCAAACTGACCGCGCGGAGCCATTCACGGTACGACTTGAGGACTCGGAATTTCGCATCTTTCCAGTTGACAGCTAGAAAACAAGGCATATTAGCATCTTTACTCTAGTGGGATAGACACAATTGACGATCCCGCCGGGTAGACGGCGGAAGGCATCGGGCGCGGGAGGAACGTACAGGTGCGCGTGCGCTGCGCCAGGTAGGTAGGGTTGATAGTCATGTTTGTGAAGAATTGAGTGCACACTCAGGTCAGTGCAGATCAACCAGTGCAGAAAGACGTGAGGAGAATTGAACGATTGAACGTGGGATCCTGAGCTATCGAAGGTGGAGGTTTCGGTCTGAGGTTGGTGGTGGACTGGGCCCGTGTTCACCGCCTGCCTTTTCAAAAAAATTCTTCTGCGAAGTTGGGGATTGGACTTGCGCGACGCTTCTTTGCTTTTATTTTTTTCTCAGTCGGATTTTCTCAAAAGTCTCTGACTCTATTGCGGAGATATTTACTTTCCCTCGAGTTGTTAAAGTATTCTCGACTCGTCTCTGTCGCACCCTCGATCTCTGCATTCCCTGCATTTTCAATCCGCCTCACCTCGATCGATTTTCCACACCAAGCGATACACAATGGCTCCCACTAAAGGCTCCTCCAAGGGGTCCTCCAAGGGTCCCTCTGTTGGAGGCGCAAAGGGCGCCAAATCTTCCGGCCTTGGGTCTGCTGCCACGCGCGTCAGCAAATCGAGCAAAAAAGATGGACCCAAGCGTCCCCCACCCAAGGAAGTGAAATCCAAGCCCCGGACCGTGCAAGAGAACCTGAAGAAAAAGAAGAAGAGAGTGTATACCGAGAAGGAGTTGGATTTGCCTGTATTGAACCAAATCACACCTGTCGGAGTGGTCAAGCCCAAGGGCAAGAAGAAGGGAAAGACTTTTGTCGACGACCAGGTACGTTTTGCATTCACACTTTTTGGTTACATTATCAAAGCCCGGTTCTAATGCAGTATACAGGAGGGCATGTTGACGATTCTCGCTATGGTGAACGCCGAAAAGGAAGGACAGATCGAGTCGAAGATCATGAAGGCACGCCAATTAGAAGAGATCCACGAGGCTAAGAGGAACGAGGCCGAAGCGCGCATGAAGGAGAGGAAGAACAAGCTCGAGGGCGTCAAGGATTCCCTGCGGAAAAAGAAGAAGGGCGGAAACAAGGAGTCTGAGTCGACGAGTATCAAGGAGACTATGAAGCCGTCGAGAGGAAAGAAAAAGACGGTTGCATTTGCTTGAACAAAAATCTGATTTGTGTCTATACTTTGATTATGTATCTAGATGTGGGGGTTTGGCGTTTTCACCGGTTTATCAATCTATATCTATCGGAACAGAAACATATGCAATGGCGCCGGTAACGCTGGGTCTTCCTGTCGTAGACCATGGGATATCGCTTGTCGATCATAGTAACAGTTGGGGGTTTCCATTTACAGTCCTAGGGGTAGGTTGAGTTTGCGGCGCATTGCGCTGAAGTCGGGCTTGGGTGCCATGTCGGGATCTTTGTGGGGGGCGCCATGGCTGGCAATGGTTCCAGGTAGTCTGTCGGGGTGTTCTACCACACCTGGAATGGTGGTGTCGATGTCCCTGGCCATTGCGTTCAAGAAGTTTGTCACCTAAGGAAATGTCAGCACAAGGTCAAGCTGGCTCTTTGAGTGCCAATGATAGATTGCAGGATACGTACCGGCTTAACAAACCACCTGGCTCCTCCCAACTCGAACCAACCCAGATGACCACCCCATGAGGTGGTCAGCATGACTCCATAGGGCGTTTGTGTCATTTCCTGGTAAGGCAGAGCCTCCCGGCAGGCAATCTACATAGTCAAGTCAACAGCGAACGCACGAATTCAAGTCTGTCATAACTTACGGGATCATCCTCTGCTTGAATGCTAAGGAATGGAATCCTGATAGCCAGCATGGAATCGGTGGAAGTGGCATCACGGTAATAGGCTCCCTCGGTGGGATAGCCCCAGGTAGGACATTGCAGAGCTCTGCTTCTGTTAGAACTGCCCTTGTTCGAAATGCAGGAGATGTGGCCATACCGGTCAAATTCATGAAGATAGGTAATGCTTCTGATCGCCTCAACATCAATGCGAGGATTCTTGGAGACCTGTCCAACATGTCTGCGTGCCATCGTTAGTTCCATTCAGTCGCAGCAGAACAACCAGACACTCACGCCTCAAATAGCTTCTTCATGCTCGTTCCCATGGTCCTGCTGTATACCTCCTTGCCGATCCAGGTACTTTGCAACACCGTAGAACTGACATCCAAGTTCCATGGGCTGGCGCAAATCACCGCCGCCTTCAATTCACAAGCATCTCCTTCCTCTCCCAAATACTACACAATTTGTCAGTAACATGCATATAAAACCAGCCATTCGGGATTCATACATTGGTAAGGATATTGGCACCAAGCGAGAAACCAATGCCGAAAAGAGGGCGATTGGGGAACTTCTCCCTAAGCAACCTCACAGCCTGACGAACATCCCATGTAGCGCGAGCATTGTAAAGAACGCCGGTGCTAATTTTCGTCTGCGCACATCCCCTCGAATTGACAACACAAGCCTCCCAAGATCCATCCTTGACAAGCGGCGCCAGAACATGCCGCAAGTATACTTCATGCGAGCCACCACTCAGCCCGTGAAGCACTACAAGCATGGGCTTAGTATCATCCGAAGGCAGAGACGCAAACTCATCCTGCGTGAAGAAAGACGTGCGAGACGGCAAGCCCGACTCCTGGGTATGCTTCCTGGCAGCATCCATCAGTTCTGGGTCGTTAGGGAGGTCGTAGGGAGCAACGACGTAATCCATGGCGAAATGGCCCGTAAATGCAGGGCTGTCAGACTCGACCATGCTACGTTTGTAGTAGACGGGGACATTATCGTGTTTCAGGGTCGTGTAGCAGGTCTGCAGATGACCGTTGAACAGGAATGGGTTTAGGTTGCATGTTGCTGGTGTGGCAGAGCGACAGACATCCACGAATGTGGTTTGCTCTTTGGCTCCTGAGGCGCCGACCACTTTGGTCAAGATTAATTTATTGTCCTTGGCGTGGTGGAAGGCTATGCGGCCTTTTGGCCGGAGCCATGTCAGTAAACCCATGGCAATCAGTCCTGATAAGAGAACTGATAGGGGGAATGAGTTGAGGATTGTTGCGGCGAGGTCGAGCATGGGGGTGTATATGTAAAAACAAGGTCGAGTCTTTGATCAGAATGACTGTTTCACTGTGGTTTAATTTCAGTATGTTATTGTGATGAAAAGATTGACTTGGAAGGCAAGAACGCAAAAATAGATCGAAGGTTTCATTTTCTTATCAAGATGGACCTCGGCAAGATTGTGTACATAACTTCGCATTTTATGCAATCACGTGGGTTACACAGGATATACAGTCATGTGACCATATCTTTCTACACTGTGCTTACTGCTTAAGTCGGGAATCGGGATTAGAGAACCCTGGACCCGGCTGCGGCGGGTCAACGCCTCAACGGGCTACGGCCTACGCCGACGGGCGGGCACATGGACATATGCAGGGGGCATTGCGCGGGCTGCGCCCGTGTCAGATGCCATGGCCCATGCGGCCCCTGCAGTAAGGTCACTTGACATTTCCTGGCGCATATGGAACTTGATACATGGGATAATGTCTGGCGCCGCTTTAGGAGGGTCATTAGGCTCTGCATCAACGGGTACTGCGTTAGCGTAGACGTCAGCACAAGCTCAAACGGATTGGTCAGCCTCATGGGGGTAGCTCCCTGGGAGTCCTGGGTCCCTGTCTAGATTTGGCAATGGATTGGTCTAGTAGGGATATGGAAAACCGCATTTTCCCCGGGGGCACTGATACTCTTTTTCACTATTCTTCCGTATTCTCGCTGAGCTCTCCAAGTTCGAACTTGACTTAAGGCCACACTGAAAGAAGAGGCTCGCTTTGGCCGTCTGTCTTTCGACCTATTCGCTTTGGTTTGTTCCCTTGCCATTGGGTCGGTGACCGCCGGTATCTCTGACATACCGTTAGGAAAAGTGGAACAGCGAGGTTGACCCGATAGGGAGGAAGAAAGAAGAAGCAGGAGGGAAGCAAATACACTAGGTACCTACTGGTGGTCCTAGATGGCCGAGGTGTAAACCTCCGACAAGCCATTTCGACGCAGACAATCAGGGCTTCCGGCAGATTAAGTCTTTAAATGGCCGCACCGCGCATGGAAACAACAATATGTGATGGTTTGGCAAGAGGAAAGCACTGCAATTGCAGTGGGCTAAGCTAGTTAGGTATGTGGAAGAACAAACATCGATAGTGGTACTGGCGGTTGCCGAGTGAAGGAGACCAATCATTGCGGTGGATATATGCCTTGGAGGGTGTATTTGCTCAGTGCTATTCATTCACTGGAATGCAAATCATACCTGGAGAGTCATTGAGATGGCTAGTCATCAAAGGTCACGGGTGTCCTCCTCAACGCTGTCCAGAAATGCCCTCCATGGATCTTTAAAATTCGGATATGGTATACTGACGCTCTGGTAGAACGCCAAGTTCGTCTCCGGCCAGCTGTCGTATGCAAATTCCACCCCTGCGTCGGCAAACAAGGACATTACAACGTTTTCCGCATTCAATTTGGCTGCTCTGTCCCATCTCACCTCCTTCAGATTCTTGAACTGTCCTTTGACGGCGGCCTCGGCAAGACCAAGCAGACTCTTTTCCAGCCGCGGAAGGTCCTCGCCACTCTGCCCAGCAAGGTGCAGGGAGCTAATGCCCGAAGGGAGAAATTGGACTAAGATTTGCTCATCCGTGCAGCGCGGCATGAAGAACCTGCTGTGGAACTCGTCCAGATTAAGAAAGAGGTGCTTCAGGGCGGTTAGCTCTCTAAAGCTGAATGAGCTCGGGACGGCCGGGTCGCCTCCCCGGTACCGCAGGTCAATATGCACTGATTCTAGTGTTTTATAGTGGCGGCTGAGATATCTTGCAGCATTGCAAAGCTGGAAGTGGTCGCTGCAGTCCCATTCATTCTCTGGTAACCCATTGGATGGGTTAAAGAAGGGCCTTTTCGCCTCGTACACGAAACTGCACAAGCTGTCACAAGAATTAAGTATGTTGTCAAGAGCTTGCTCGCTAAGACGACTGCACATGACTCGAATATGCTTAAGGCTTGGCAGAAAAGGTAATGCGGTCTGTTGCCCGGTCCCATTGCACTTATGGAGGTTAAGCGTCTCAAGGCATGGTGAAACTTCAAGAAGGGCCCGGACAGTGCAGTCGAGTTCAAAGTCCTCGTCATTCTTGCGTAGAACTGCAACGTTCAAAGTTCGCAGCGGCAGTCGGGAGATCCCAGCAGCCGAGAGTGGTTCAGAGTGAACAGCACTCATGACTGGAGCGGGACCAACGAAAATGCCGCAATGTTCTAAATTTGGTAGTGCCGCAATCAAAAGAGTAATCAAGTGTTTTGCTGATAGTCCCTTTGGCTTTTTGGTTCCTAATGCAACGGCAACCTCGTGGAGAGTGTCATGAGCCTCCTCTTCCAGGATGGATGTCCTCAATCCGGGCCCCTCAGACTCAATGGGTTTCGTGAATAATCCATGACAATCTGTCATATCAGACCATAGGGAGCTCATGCCAATTTGCGGAGGAAGCAGCATCTGATACTTTTCCAGATCCTCGCGAGATGCTTGGAGCAAATGCGGCACTATACGAATTCTCTTCACGAATCCAGCCAGGTCTCGTCGCCGAGCGACGGTTCGCAAGAACGAAAGAAGTCGACCGTCCCATGTATAAAGCTTTGAGCACCACGAGTCGCCACACCCAAGCATAAATTCTTGATACAGGATAGGTTGAAAGACGTTGCACAAGCGCTTGGACACCAGGCAAAGGGAGAGAAGCGGTTGCAATTTTAGGGAGTACCAGGATGGCTGATCGGGCGTCTGAGAAAAGCGATGAGGGGTATCTGGCGGCTCTAATTGATCTGTGTGGCGACATTCGATGCCTAAATGGGCGAGTATCATATGTAGAATCTCAACCGGGAGGTGGTCCAGTGTCGCCGGCATCTTGTCTATGTTTGGGAAGTTGAGTTATGCTGTTGGGGAAGAAACTTCAGAAGAGAAGTAAGAGAAGAGTGCTAGAACGGTGCGACAAAATGTAGGAGTTTCTAGACAAACTCTGCGGTTGCCTGAAGGAGGAAAGAAGCTGTCAAAGTTGTACTGAGGCTACAGACTGAGAGAGCTAGGTGCAAACAAGAGAAGTCTCACATCCCTGACTAGTGCTACTAGCACTGAGTGGTCCAGATAACTATGCCTTGGCGCGGCGCGCGTTAATATCAGAAATCCGGGCAACCTTCCTGATTGGACAGCTGAAGACCCGGCGGGGCTTAGTATCTCAGTTCCCCAGCCGCCAAATTGAAAGAATACTTACATCCACGAAATTGACGAATGCGTAACCGAAACTAGAAGAGTGAGTATTCGCAAGAGATCTTTGGGAACACGAAACTTACTTGAGGCGCGATCGCCTTCATGCTAAAAATTAGTTTCCAATTCAAATGAATCGTTCAAGGAGTGTTCACTTGTTTATACGCAAGAACAAGAAATCGTATGCTTCACGACTAGTTCGATTCAAGACTTCGATCACTTTGTTCTATGGGGGGGGCATTGTATTAGCATCCACAAGACCTAGCAGAGATGCGATCTGACTTACGCAATTAAGAAATCTCGGAATGTTTCGAATCATGATCTGTGACGATGCATTATGTGAGATGTTGTCATATAATAGAGGAAGGGGGCTAACTGACAGTGACCGTGGTGGGTTCATCGATTCCATGGAGAATTCGATCGAGGCTGATTATCCGCTCATTGTAGTCTACCGTGTCCTCACTGATAGTAGGCAAAGTCTCAACCCCACCGCTGTTGCCTTGGTGAACCGTCAGACGGCCATGGTCACTAAGGGGTGAAAATGGCGAGGGTTGGAATTGAGGTTGGACGCGGCTTCGCATAGCGGAAGAGGCGTAGCCGGTACGAACCTCAATACCAAGGCAACAGCAGTGGGGTTGAGACTTTGCCGACTATCAGTGAGGACACGGTGGACTACAATGAGCGGATAATCAGCCTCGATCGAATTCTACATGGAATCGATGAACCCACCACGGTCAGTTAGCCCCCTCATCAGTTAGCCCCCTCATCAACTTCAATTGCATATGGACGATCGACAGGCTGGGGATGGTTAAGTTTGTAAACCTTTTCATTGTCAGCAATGATCTTTTGCGGTAGAGGGATGGTGAACTCGAGCAGACTCGGAGGGTAAATAATGCAATAAGGTGTATAATGCAGTAAAAGTCGAAGGTATGCAGTTGCAAGGAATTTTGGAAGTGAAGAAGGCCTCTAAATAATACGATGGGTGTAAATAGCGCTAGCAGTAGCGCTATTCCGTCTATGGACTAGCGTAGATGTCTATTTGCGCGTGTACCACGTGGTTAGGATATGATTGATGATATCCTCATTAACCGTAACCTAAGGCCTCCGTACATCGTGTAGGCTATCTTACATTGACTAGACAAGTAGGCTTAAGTTCTAACACCCCCTTGGACTCACACACCGCACCGCCCCTACGCACCAATGCGGCAGTGAGCAACAGGCAGATGCATTTCTCCGGCTTCTTCCATTGGCGTTTTGCGTTCCAGCTTTCACCTCCCACAAAAGTAACTGGACTAATGCACTGGCAGCACTGCCTACCGGAGATTTAGGCCTGGACCCTGACGATAACCTATGTATTCCTATGCCGCAACGGTGGGCTATCAGCCGATCCATCCATGGGCGAGATCGCAGTCCAGCATGGACGTATCGCTTTCGATGGCCAAGATAGCAACAAGTTCTACCCCTTTGCTCTATTGGTGTCTCAATGCTTTGGACGCAGAGGGGATACTGGGTGGTTACAATATTGTGAAGCTTTGTGATCACAGTACGGTTTTGTGCGCTTTGATGGAGCCCAGAGAAGCCAAGGGGGGCCAATTCAAAATGGATGAATGGATTAATTGAGAAAAGCAGAGACAAAGCGAAGGCGAGGACATATTGTGTGCCTTGCTTACACAACGCCACGTGAGATCACGGCATCTGCTAAGTCGTATGACTTGCATTGTCTATAGAGCGGAGAGCCTCTGCACGCATGGCGATGACGACCGACAGAATATTGTCTTCCATATCGATACCCATCTAGACCACTCATGTCTCCACATGTTGTATATCCATTCCCGGATAATGATTCATCATATAAGTTCAAGGATAGCTACTTCCCGTCGGGCCCGGCCTGCTTCCAGAACAGTGACATGCATACTGTGTCTGCGTCCCCAGGAAGGATTTTAGGGTGTGTTCATGAATCATGATTCAATTACTGTGCAATCTGGAGCTCATTCACAAGCATCAGTAATTTGGCTGGGCTAATGTTATTCTGAATAGTGAATCCCTCCATCGCGACCAATACCAAGCCCAAAAAAAACAAAAGAGCCTCCGTATTCATCAGCCCTTCCAGGGGCGTTCCTTCAAATCATTATTCCCACTGTATGTGTTTCACTTGGTCTGATGGAATATCTTCAAATTCCGTTCACGAAATTTGATCTCGAAGACGGACAGCTCCAAGGAAGACCATACCAGGTAGCGCGGTCACGAACACGGTGGGCGCTCTCCCCCCTATGGAGGCGGAGAAGAAACTTTGGTGTGGACTGTGGAAAGGCCCGGCTGAGTCCTTCCTGCTCTTTTCCCGGGGAATGCAGGATATTCTCCGCGGAGTCCAGGCTCAGCTGAGAGGCCAGCTGCCTCCGACGTGTCATCGAATGACTCTGCCCGTGGATACAGAGATCATCCAAGCACCCATAGATACCGCGAGCGACGTCACCTATTACCACCTTCCAACGCAGCACTGGCAAAGTCGCTCGAGTCGCTGTTCGATTTGGATGAGCCAGTTTCCACCGGTATCCCCCTAGACCAGCTCAAAATTCAGAGGGGGCCGGCCGGCCGCCGGCACATTACTCAGGAAGCATTTTTCAATGCGGTCGCTTCCAGGGGCCACACTGTGCGGCAGACAGACAGCGAATTAAGGCGGTCTCGTCCCATGCGTGGCTGGCACAAGTTTCATACCTGATTATGAGGTACACGCATCGTGCGAAGTCCGTTCACATTAAGCAGCAGAATATGCGGGAGCGGTCCAAGGACTGGGTGATGGCTACCGAGCTGGTGTTGGGCAGGTTCAGTGCCCTGCTGCACTATTTGGTGGATTTTGCTCTGGGCTGACGAGTGGCTGTCATGGCCACAGGCCGCCCACAGCGATGTCGGTGAGGGCTTTTGGGTGAACCATCTCGCAAGGGTCGGCAGATGTATGCCTCTTGGGAATAGCGTCTGCGGTTACTGTTACAACGAAGCCATGCCGGGTTTCCGATTGGGCATCTGCGAGCCTCACCCCCTCGGCACGCCTGAATCCAACAGGTTAGCGAATCACCGACGTGGTTTCGTCATTATGAGATGTAAGTCGCTTACCGGGGACATGATTTGCTTCTCGCCAGGATCCCAGTTATATGCCGAGAATGCATTTGCTGTTTGCGATCCGGCATTTGCCAAATGCCCTCACCACTTGCATCTCGGAGAGGGACGGATCGGCCATCCATTCCTTGAACAACGCTTCTGTCGCTTCATGTAGTCGCTATGCCAGGCCCCGTCGGAATGTTTGTAAAAAAAGGTGTGGTCCCGCAGCTCGACGGGGATTCTCTGGAGATCAAGCTCCACAGAAAGCCATGCCGGCCTTCCGATGGGGAATCTGGGAATCCCACTCCATCGGCACGCCTAAATCAAACAGGTTAGCGAATCACCAACGTGTTTTCGTCGTTATAGGATGTCAGTCTCTTACCATGGAACATGATTTGTGGCATTCACCACTTGCGTCCCAGGCAGGGACAGATCGGACAGATCGGCCATCCATTCCTTGGACAGCGACGTTTTTTGAGGGAGAAGAGAACACGTCCTTGATGGGTTGAAAGAAGATGAAGAGATGAAGGAGTGTTTGGAAGAGATGAAGGAGTGTTTGGAAGAGATGAAGAAGTGTTTGGAAGAGAGTCCAAGAAGTCAAATGAGCGATTGAGCCATGTGAGAAAACAAACAACGCAGATGCCGACGATGGCGACGATGGTGACGATGGCGACAATGTCATCTCAAGGCGAGAAGGTGTGAGCAGATTAATCGCGCAAGTTATGCGCGCAAATGCGATGCTGGTTAGGTTACGATGCTGGACGGGAAGTTCACTTGCTATCCTGACGCCTACCAGAGCCACATCTAACCAACTTTTGCGCTCACAATTCGTGCGACTGATCTGCTCAAGAACCCTCGCCCCGAGTGGCCAACTTTGTTGATTCACTTGAATCACTTCACGTTCCAATCATTGTCCTCACTTCTAGAAGTCTTTTACAAACACTTCTCCATATTCATTCTTATTCTTCCCATATCCAATGGGACTGGAGGATATTACTGTGTCATACGGGATTTTTGCGTGGTAGCTGCGTGCACTACCTATCTACTGATCTTGTCACCAGACTTATTTCGATTGCGTGTGTAGTGCACGGCAACCACCCGAGACTCTGATACACGCATGTCCCTACATGTAGTTATGTAGTCTTCATGTATTACCTACTAACTATATACACTCTCTTCCGCTTTGCCATCCATCTCATTTGCTCTCACCTCCCTCCCTTCTTCCAAGGAAGAAAAAGCATGTTAAGCAACCGCCGGCTGCTACCCCAACGCAGCCACCACTGCCCACTGGTCAATTATACATACATTTATACTACACACTGGCTAGGAATGTCCGGTTGAAAGGTAATCGTGCTCAGGAAGGACCATCAATGAGCAGTCTGGCTACTACAAGATCATTCCAAGTTCCCTGCGGTGAATTTAGGGCATATGAAGGGTTACGTGAATTTCCGCGGCAGACGAGCCGACTGGTGAACTGGAAGTAGTGCAGAGGCTTGCTTCGTACCCTTCAGCATGGAATCGCATACGAAAAGATAGGTTTCCTTGGTTAGGTATGTCATGTGACTACACATGACCCAGCCAATAATAATGTTTGGTCTGAGCATGCTGAGGTAACCTCGAAAAAGCCGATTCAAATGGTGGAAGAGGCAGGCGGTGGAATGAGAATGTCACCGCCGTTTTTGTGGGGCAGCTGAGGGAGGACTGGCTGCAGGTTGGCCAGGTGGGGTGGACTGTGGAACCGCAGTTGTACACAGACTACTCACAGTACATGTAGAATGAACTAGACGTTGTAGTTTACTACTACCATGGCTTTCCTAAATAGCCTGACCCCCAACCTAGTACTTGACTACTTGTCACTACTTGATCCTAAATCTGTCACGAGGAGAGGACGACGTATCCGGGCGTGCTCAGTTTTACTCATCGGTCAAAAAGCGGCAACGGTTAAGCACTAAAACGAGAAGGCACTTGCCAAACATTATCCTTTCTGCTTCGTATATGAAAGGTCTGAGCTCAAGCTTGATACCGGAAACACCCTTTTATCTTTTAGTCACGTGCAGTCGAAAGAGTAGGGGCATTCCGCCTAAACTCGAAGTGATGATGGTATGATGCTCAATGCGGCTGCTGTCCGCATGCGGAATCCCTCCCCTAACTCACTTCCGGACGAAGTACAGGGAGAAATCTCCATGGTTTCCGGTAATGGCTATATCTGATAAGAAAGAAGCAGGACGAATAATGAAGGGGGAAAATGTCGGAATATCCGGTGTTTTGCATGAGGATCATCAGACAGAGAACGGGCTGAACCACCGATCACCTGGCCGCTTCCTCTCTGCTTAATATAATGCTGATAGCATAGACGCCTCATGTGCGATCTAGTCCCATGGTCCGTTTCCGTGCAAACTTTTTTATCTTTCAGACTACTTCAAGGTCAAGAGATCCAAATCTTCATCTCTTTTTCCCTTTGAAGGTGATGCGACCTGTCTGTCACGCGATGCCTTTGATCTCTACTAAATCATGATATCACAACATCAGTCGAAACATCATCCACCTCATTGATTCAAATATATCTCATGCGCCCTGGTCACCAAACACACTTGTACGACCGATGCTTCAAATAAAGAACCGCCGAGCCTCCATGACATTAATAAGAGACTTCCCGTCCGAAATGTCCGATCGTTTATCTCGCGTCACGGAAAAAGTCAAGACCATAATTAAAATGAGACCCTGGTCCCCAAAGCGAGCGAAGAAGCAACAGGAGGAGGGCCCCCGCCGTTGCTACCTTATGGAATTACCCACCGAGCTGTTGTTGGAGATCATATCCCATCTGACAGTCCTCCCGGAGGCTGCGCTTGCGCTGACCAACAAGCGCATGTTTGCGATCTCAGGGGAAATCTTGTTTTCAAAATCCCTCCGATTCAGTCGCGACTTCGCGCCGCTTTTCCACCATTACCGCAATGGACACAACTTTTTCACACCTCGGTGGTCATTCCTCAGCTTGTTGGAGAACAGCCGCTGGAAGCTTTGCTCCAAGTGTTTGAAGCTGCACCCTCGCGCTGCGTTCCCATCCAAGGAGCTGAGACGGAAGCCGGAGAATCGCACATGCAATATTGGAGAATTGGCAGGGGTTGTCGATTTGTGCCCATGCAAGAAATTAACGTTCCGAGACAAACTCGATCTAGCGGATCAGGTTAGGGTGCGGCAGGTGACCCTGAATGCCCTGAAATCAGAATTCGGAAATGCCGTCAGCGACCGCTACTGTTGGCATACTTGCACTGAACAGTATGGTCCAACCGAGCTAAAGACATCATTGTTTCCGGAACTCAATGAAGACAACCAGTTGGTTATTCGCACAGAATACCAACTCACCACTGAGTCAGGCCAAGTTGGAAAGGAAGATTATATGACGCCGCGCTTCGGCTGTGCACATCGATCGATGGACCTGTGGCTTTCGAGCGTCCACCAAACCACCGTATGCCGACTTTTCGACTCGTCCTGTTCATCTTGCCAGCGTATATCTGTTTGCAGCGCATGCGATACGACATTGAAATGCCCACGAAAATCGCCTTTCCATTCCGAGAAATCTGGCAAAGCGACATATTCATTCTGGACCCAGAGAAACCTCGGAGGTACGGGCCCAGCTCCCGACCAGGCTTGGGCAGTACAAAGAATCCATCCAGCGGAGCCTTCAGTCGGTGTCGAAAACTGCAACGAACTGTGTCCTTGGACGATCCGTGAACATCCAGCGCTCTCATTCGCGCCCAGTATAGAGCAGGAAATCATCGATCCCGGAATAGGTAATCAACCCATCAGCGAACTTCATACATACCTCAACATGATTTAACGAAAGTCAGCAGCTGCAAGAGAATCATTGGGAGTTCTGGTAGGAGCATAGAGTTGATCCAATTAGGGCACATCTCTCCTTGTCTGGCGTTTCTGACTTTGGTCAGTGTATAGTGATCTGGTTTCAGTGTATTCGGTCAGGTTTGGACAGCATTAAGGATATTGCCCAGGTGGTATATAGTCCATCTGACCATTCAGACAAGAATGGACAGCCACTCGTTGGCTCTTCTGGTGTCCTTTGTGAGATTCTTTGCTTGGTTTTCTGTAGACTTCTCTTCCATCGTCCTATGATGGTTCTTGCTGGCCAAAGAAGCGACCAAAAAGAATATGTAAACCATCACACGGGGCAGCGACTTCGGAATATTAGTTAGATGCAATAGACAAGTGTAGTTAGGTGGAGTGGTGGGCATCCAAAGCCGCGGTAATCGCAACATCCCTTATCAGCTGACCGCCCCGGTCTTTCTCCGGTCCGACACGAGACTACACGCTCACCATCTCGCGCGACTTCAGACGACTCAAACTATATGAGCCGTGTCTGTTTCCCGGGGCGATGAGCTTCCCACCACCTGGCTCCGGCCAATATCCACATTATTTGCCGCCGCCGCAGTATCAGCCCGGGCAAATCCCCCCGCAGGTACTTTACAATAATGCCGTTTCTCAGCCATCTGCCTACGATGGCTATGGCAAACCGGAAATGTACCCTCAAGGCATGATGCCATATCCTTCATACCCATCGACCTATACCCAACAGCGGCAGCTGCAGCCGCAACAGCAGCCGCAACAGACACGTCCTCCACAAACTCCCCCACAGCAGCCTCTCCAACCATCACCACAAACCATCCAGTCAAGGCCTCGGCCAGCACCACAGCTGCACCATCAACTACAATCTCCTCCACCACCTCAGCCGCCTCCGCCGCCTTCTTCTGCCCCGCCTCCACCCCGGATCCAACAAGAAGAGCTGCAGCATCAGTTTGTCAATCCAGCTCAATTGTTCGTACAACAACCGCTCCCTGCCGCTCCGCGCTCACGCTACACTCAAGTCTCCCAGTATGGCGAACCAACTTTCAACCCAACTACTAGTCCACCTCAGATACCCCCGGCTACTTTGCCAGCTCCACCGCCAGCCATGCCTGTTCATGCTGCACCTGCTCCGGTGCCTATCAGTCCCAGACCCAAACCAAAACCGAAACCCAACACCCAATCCAACAAAGGACAAGCCAAAATCAACAAACCGCAAACACATCCTATCGTCAAAGCTGAACCTACACCGGTCAAGATCTCTCCCAAATTAAAGGTTCAGCAAAAGCCCTCTACACCTATTGCGACGCCGAAACTGTCCCAGCCAGCCCCATCTCCGGTGACATACGCTACACCGCAAATCATGAAACCGGCTTCTTCACCAATGATTCAAGCAAATATGCAAATCCAGACTCCGAACAAACAGATCCAATCACAGCATATTGAGAAAAAGAGGCAGTCGATTCAACCGAGCGCTGATAAGCTCGGGAAACCCACAACTGCAAAGTCGACGAAGCCGCCAGTTGACTATCAGGTGCTGTTGTTATCCCTGGCCGATGAATATTTGAACGCCGCGCATTCTCGTGGCACGACGACTTCATTAGCTGGGCGTGAGTCAGACGTTGAGGAATATTATAAGCTAGTCGCTACCGGGTTGGGATGTCTAGAAGCGGTATTGAAGGTTCGTTGCTGCTCGATTGGATAATGGTTGCGTCCATGCTAAGCAAACGGTGTGATAGAACTGGCGATTGCAACCTCGCAAAGAAGCCCTCGTTAGGCTTCGCTATGCGCGTACATTGTTCGAAGAAACAGACAATGACATCGAAGCAGAGACGGCATTGAGCAAAGGCGTAAGTATCTGATTCCACCATCTTATTCGAAACTAGTCACTGACTTCTGCAGATCGATCTTTGCGAACGAGTCAGTCAACGAAATCCCGATAGCAGACTGTTCTTGGTCACTGACCCTTACAGAATCGAATGCTTGACTTGAAATATAGCATGCAGCACCTTTTGGCACGAATGCTCCACAAGAGCAATCCTAAAGCATCCTTGAAGGCCGTCGATGGCATGATCCAGGACGTCGAAGCGTATGTATCATTCGCCTGCTGCTTGATCACACCGCTAATGGCTATAGTTACCGCCACGCTGCGTGGGAGTACGCATTCCGCTTTCTTCGAGTTTCACTCTCATTGTCATCGCCATCACATCAAGACTCCGTACAGGCGTTACAGCACCTCCACAAAATCACGGCTATGGCTGGTCGTAATGGGGACAAGGCCGTCTCAGCAATGGCGGCCGTCATTGAATCACTTGCACACTTACAGCAAGGGACAAACTCAGATTCTATCGAGCAGGCGCAGCGTGCCGTCGCCGCTGCGCGAAGCCATCAGCTGAATGATGAACTCCGCCATATTCCGCAACTTACAACCTTGATCCAAATGGTCGATATCTGCTGTAGTCTATTGGAGTACGACGTCAACCAGTCCGGACAGAAATTGAAGGTCATGCAGGCTTTGATGGATGAGACACTGAGCGACAGCAATTGGCGTCCCGACGGGTCGTTTTCTATTCCTCTCCACGGCAAATCCGCCGGGCCATCATCCATTGACACGGGTGACATCTTGCAGGTCCATAACGGAACGTTGCTCCTGAGCTTTAACTGGCTTCCTCAGCATGATCTTTATGCGCTGTGCTACTTCCTCAGCTCGATCACGCTTAGTGCCAAGAACTCATACGACGGCCGGAAAGCAGAGAAATACCTTGAGGAAGGGCTCCGAATGGTTCAAGGCAACTTCAAGGCCCCCCAGGAAATCTCGGAATCCATGGCCAATGCGAACCGTCGAGTTCAATGGCGCCAGTCACTTTACTGTAACTTCCTCCTCCAACGAGTCTTCTTGGCCTGTTCTCGAACCGATTGGGATCTCGCCAGCCAGACTCTTAACGACCTCCGACAAGTCTTCCAAGAGCTTGGTTCTGGCCTTCCAGAAACCATCGAATGCTTGATAGAATATGCCGCTGGAACCATCGCGCAGGCGACTGGCGATCTCAATACCGCGCTGAACATATTCCAGTCACCACTTCTGTTACTTGATCCATCAACCAGCAGGACATCACGAAACGACCCATGTCGTGACACACGCATTCTCGCCGGCCTCAATACAGTCCTCATACTCCGCGATCCCACCCACCCGTCACACTCCATCCTAAACGGCGTTCTGTCGACCCTCGAGCCCTTCTGCCAAGCCAGTCCAAACAAGTACATACAGGCAGCCTACTTCCTAGTCTGCGCCACGGTTCACTCCGAGTCCACCATCCAGACAAAACAATACCTGCAGCAAGCTCTGCAGTCAGCCACGGCAATCAGCAACAGCCAAATCACCTGCATGACCCTGACATTCATGAGCTGGAAGTATTTCCGCGGCGTGGTCGGCGAACAAGCCGAGAAAAGCGCTCGCGCTGGCCGCGCAATGGCCAAACGAGCCAACGACCGCTTGTGGGCGAGTGTCACCGATGATATGCTCGCTGAGACTCTGGAGCGCCAGGGCAAGGGCGAAGAAGCGCAGAGCGTCCGCGAGGAGGGCCAGCGTCTGGTCTCGGGTCTTCCACTGCGTCTGAGACGATCGGCTTGATTGACTTTGTCTATTCCTATTTCTATGACCATGATATGATGTATCCCAGTTTTGTGCCTTTTACCTTACACAGAACTTTTGCCCACTGGTGCTTGTTTACGATACCAATTGATGGCCACACTTCCAATGCCTTGATCATACAGATTTGCTCTCATACCCTTATCTAGCATTATTGATTTGACACCTCGACGGATTGGACTGAGGAAGGCTGAGGTATATCAACCCACCCCTAGGAAGATCATGAATTTCTTAGCTCCCTATAATAACATAGACACCCGCCATCCATGCATAGATGTACAAACACCATGGTATAAACCAGCCCGCAGGCGCAGGAACAGGCAAAATCTCCAGCCGAAGCTAGACAAATCGGAAAAAGAAGGAAAAACATTACCACCCAAGCCAACTCCAACCCCGAATGCGCCGCAGAATCCGCTCGACCCCTCTTCCACATGCAAAACACGACAAGAAAAAAAAGACAAGCCCAATAACACGCGCAGTATTAACCCGAAGGCGTAAAACAATGTGAAGAAAAACGCCGGACGAAAACCAGACAAAAATACAAGCTAGCCAAGGCCACCCCACACACCACGAATTCTCCGCGCAAGCTGTATATCCTTCTGCATAATCGTCACGCGCTTCGCATGCAGCGCGCAGAGATTCGTATCTTCAAAGAGGTGAACGAGGAACGCCTCTGCAGCTTCCTGTAGAGCCTGGATAGCATGCGACTGCCAGCGCAGCTCGGATCCGACGTCTGCAGGCAGGAGATCGAGCGCGACTTCGCGGACTAAGCGCGCGAAGGGCAATTTTGCAATTAGGAGATCGTAGGAGCGTTGGTAGCGGCGGATTTCTTTGAGCGCGACGGTGCCGGGTTTGTAGCGTCGGCGGCGGCCTGTTGGTGCTGGGTCTCCGGCTGGGACATTGTTAGAATGGGAAGTTTGAAAAAGAATTTGAGGGTAGGGTAGGGCTAGTGCGAGAACTGGCCGTGGTTTTTGGGAGGGTTGGACATACGTTGGACGGTGGTGGAAATTGGTTGTTTTGCTGCTTTTGCTGTTTTGCGCGCTGTTCCATCGGCTGTGGCTGGTGCGGTCGCGGGCGCGCCGGACTTGCGCACTTTGCGCTTTTGTACGCTCCCTGGTGGTGGTTGGGTTTTTCTTGGAGACATTGTAGAGATGAGGTAGAAAAGATTGTGGTTTTTTCCCCTTTGGTGTAGTGGGGGGGGTGCTCGAAAGAGAGCAATTGGGAGCTTTGTCTGCCCTAGCAACGGGGAGAATTGCAGCTTGCGTTCGAGATTACCCCTTGCAGGAACCGTATCCGAGTACTCGTAGGGCGGTGTCAGTTATTTTCCTCACGGTGTTCCGTCGAAGAGGTTGGGATCAAAAATCGCAATGAGTTATGAGCACAATCTTTGTGAAAGACAGAGGTTGGGAACCTGTCAATATGGACTATTCGGGCCTTAGCGTCCCAGCCCCCGTGATTTTCCTGCTAACAGCCTAACACGCGTCTCGTGTCGCGCACGTGACTAAAACACGACCCCGCTTACCGGCGCTTAGCCTACAAGTGCAGTCTGGGGCATAATGGGAGGTAAACCCAAACCCTCAACCACCACAACCGAAACCAATCACCAATGGCAGCCTCACATGGCAACAGTGAAGGCAACAATCCGGTTCGCGGCAGCAACTAAGAGACTAGACTATGTCCCTCCATCGGTCTAATCAACCATCCCCCCCTCTCAAAAAAAAAAAAAAAAAAAAAAAATATGGTTCCCCCATGAGAACCACGGTGCATCGCCCGTGTGCCCTATTCTCGAGTGACTACTCCTGTATTTGGCCTCGGCGGTGCTCCTCCCCCCGGTAACCTGTCCAAAAACCCATCAGTGTAATTACATAAGCGATAAAGAATTAGCGGGAAGGCTACATGTGACCTTAAGTTACGAAAAGCCGAACGGATTTTCTCTCTCTCTCTCTCTGGGGCATAACCTGCCTATGTCCGGCCTACATCATCCACCGCATCAGAAGTGCCGCAGGAGCAGGGTTAGAGGATATTGAGGCGATTTTATATCGACCTCGGCATTATTCGCTCACATAAGTCTGAAGCTACGGGAGCTAACTAGTAATGTCATTATTATCATTTCTCTCACAACTGTCCAGGCGGATAGCCGGCTCGCCCCTGTGGCTGTAGGCAAGCAGTCCCTCGGCCCTCCTCAGTTCTCAGTTCGAATCACGCACTTAAGTACATCGTACGGGGCGCTCGCGCCTCCGTCCGCAACTCCCAGCGTTAACCTCAATCCAACGGTGCTAGACCTCGTCCGTCCAAAGCTAGCAATGTACCCAATTCAAGATTGAGGAGAGCTTTCTACAATGCAACGCTAAGTCTTGCGCTTACCTATTTTTAATTCCAGCACATGTTCATGACATGATCGAGCTGACAATTGAAAGAGAAAAGAGGCTTGCTAAACTGTCATATTCTCACTCGCTCCAGAAGGAATGGGAGTTGTTTTTCAATCATGGCAATCTGATTTTTGCTTCCAAAGCCAGGAAAGGAAATAGGACTTCATAGAATAGCTTAAAGTCGTTTTCACAGTCTTCCTGGACGTAGTAAAGCCGCACTATGTAAGACTGCTGAAACGTATTGGAGCTCCTGCGATGCTAGATCGGGCCATCGAATTATTACCCTGCTAGTGGCTTCGTCTTGCTGGAGAGGCACAAGAGGAATCCCTCCGTTCTCCTCCTGTGTGCAAAATCAAATAACATCAAGCGTATCGCCGACAAAAGTCGATTAGTCGAAAGGATCAGCACCTGGCTGCTGGCCCCTGAAGGCTTCTGGACCTTTCGAGTGAAATACTGTGTAGGACCATGCCACTCCAAGGTGGAGAGAGTAGGCCAATCGAGGACTCGAATATAGTGTTGGAACGAAGGGCACCTAAATCGTAGGCCTGTGGAATATGATTGGTTCCTGACTACTCCGTACGGAGTACGTACTCCTTGCTCCACCTTGGGGAAGCCCCAGACTACTACATCGCCTCCCGGTCTTTATGTGGGATTTCGGGCGGAAGCCTCTGCTTTTTCGATATTCGTGTATAAAAGACAAGTCTTCAGCCACTAGTTATCTAATCGGCGATTCGGCATTGTTATTTCTATTTATGAAAGTCCAGCTATTCATGGTATTCGGGCAACATCTATGATGAGAACGCATTTCTTCAGTTCGAAAAGCCACGGGTCCTCCAGTTCAACATGTAAAGGATCGAATGAGTTCGCAAGTGCGGTACCAGGCAATCTCGTCATCAATATCGAGAAAACGCGATTGAAGGGCTCATTGGGGTGCTCTCCGCAAGATAAAACCTTTGGAACAGGCATTCCGGCAGCCCGCGCCATTTGCATTGCGACGGCCTCCTCTATGCTCGTTCGATCTGTCCACTTTAGGACCAACCCGAACGGCAATTGTACGATATTGGCGTCGAAAGGTATGTCGCACCACGAGCAGTACCAGCCTGATAAATCGGTACAATACTTCATGGAATATACCGCAGGCTCTGCGTTTTGCTTTGCCTGGAATAGGTGGCAATTTAGGTGTGACTTCGCATATCGTTGACTGCATCGGTCGGGGCCAGGTGAAATCCGGCCGCAAAAAAGATGGCATCCATGATCCGTACATTGGATTTGGCGCAACAAGGGAAATATGATGCTAGCGTATATGACAACCCTAGTCTGGGTCCTTCTCGTGGGAAGAGGTATTATTAATGCTGTGACGGCGTAGTTAGTTAGTTACTGCGTAGTTACTCATTGGTTTTATATAGGGGCTGGGGCTAGGCCCCACGTGACACCTTGTTTGGGCTCCGGGGTCAGGAGTCACGACTCACGGGTGATTGACGCGTCTTACAGTCTTACTAGTAACTAAGTTAGTTTCTACTTTCTCACTTACTCTTGTGTCACGCACGTGACGATAAACTGGTCTACCTGGTCTTATCTCCGTTGAGCTACCCGGTCCCCGAGGCCACCTGGAGCTCTGTGCTTGTGGTGATCAATCGCTCTTACTCTCCGCTTACTTGGATTCTTTGTCTGCACCAGAATCTCAACAACACAATACATAATGGCCGCCCTCTGGGAGAACAATGGGCAACCAGGCCAGTTCCCGCTCGAGCAATGGTTCTACGAAATGCCACCAGTCACCCGGTGGTGGACGGTAGCGACAGTAGCAACCTCGGTGCTGGTACAATGCCACGTCGTGACGCCTTTCCAACTATTCTACAGCTTCCGCTCGGTGTACGTCAAATCGCAGTACTGGCGACTCATCACAACATTCCTCTATTTCGGACCCCTCAATCTCGACCTCTTATTCCACGTCTTCTTCCTGCAGCGCTACTCCCGCCTTCTGGAAGAATCCTCCGGCCGCTCCCCAGCCCACTTCGCTTGGTTGATTTTCTACGCCATGACCTCCCTCCTCGTCATCTCTCCTTTCCTCTCGATTCCGTTTCTGGGCAGCGCCCTCTCGTCCAGCTTGGTATACATCTGGGCCCGACGCAACCCAGACACTCGCCTCAGCTTCCTGGGGTTGCTGGTATTCACGGCTCCGTATCTGCCCTGGGTGCTGATGGGATTCAGTGTGGTTGTGCACAAGATTGTGCCGAAGGATGAGATGCTGGGTGTTGTTGTTGGTCATATTTGGTACTTCTTCAATGATGTATACCCACCTCTGCACGGCGGACATCGTCCGTTTGACCCACCTCGTTGGTGGCGGCGACTTTTTGAGCCTACGCCTGCACCCGGTGGGATGGCGACTGGTGCGGCCAACATGAATCGCGAGTTTGCGGCCGCTGCGGCACCCGAGGTTCGATGAGGGAGGTTGTGGTTCATAGATGTTGCATTGTCGGGATGAGCTTTTACCTCCCTTGTGCAGCTTGAGTGATACCCTAACCTGGGCCTTATTCGACGAACATAAGATCCGAGTGCGATGAGCTCGGTGAGGGCCTTGGCTCTCTTTTCAACGCTGGCTTTGGGCTAAACTGCGAGCCCATGTAGCGAGCCTGGATTGGACGCAGGCCGGTCTATTGGTGCTTGTTATCGTCCGATTATGTTTCCAACATTATTTTCAGTGAACTTTGTATGAGATACTGTTGAACATGGACTCATGCAACGGCCGATCAGTGATCCCACGACATCCCGCCAAGTGACTTATCTGGAATATGTCTTTTCTTTATTCCCTGATGACGTGAAACGTTCCCCTTGCACAATCTCCTGGCTATGAGATGCCTCGAAGCCAGGACCAAATTCGACTTTCTTTTTCTGTGTGTTTACAAGAGCGTGCATACATCTGTTTATTACATCGAAATAGCCAAAGATACCCTATCATTCATTTCAGTCATTTTCATTTACCTCTTGTAGCTACTGTTACCTACAGAGATAGAGCAGTAGGTCCCGTGCTGCCCACGCACCAGGTGACGAGGCAGCGGTACGCCAGAGGCATGACGCAACGGTAGACCCGGGGAAAAGTGCGTGGCCATGGCCACACTCGTGCGTGTGTGGATATGGCGTGGTGCAGCCAGTTTCGGCCACCCCAGCACAAAGAGGAATTCTTTTAGAGTAAAATAAAGTACATGGCATCAAAGTGATCGCATGCATACGACATATTACCGGCCTTCATTCAAATTCTTTGATGAGGACAGCTGTACCGCATGATCGTGCTTGGACTCAAGTACAAGCTTCGACGTGCTTATGTGTAGTACTCCGTACATATCAGCAGGTTGGCAGACCGTTAGCATGACACCATCTAGTCAGCTGTCATCTTTTAAAGTTGCCTGGAGGATGCACCGATGCACAGTACTGTAGTTGGTTATTATTAGAACGCGACTGAATCTGCACGTGTAAAGTTTGTAACTTTATCAACGACAAACTACGGAGTAACTAGTGACGTCAAAAAAATAAGAATATGCCACGAGGCAACTCCGGCGCCCGTGCATGTTCCAGGTACTCTCATAGGATGTTACCTTCATAGCCCCGATCTTCCATACCCAGTACAAATTAACTACATCACTGCAACTAGATCGACCTAGCTGGAGCCTGGCCCCTGGGTGTGAGCCATGTCGACGGCAGACTAAGCCTTGCCAAACATATCTGAATGTCTTCTCAATGCTTGATAACTATGTCTACGATGTAGTTATCAAGAGCAAGAGTCCATGAAGAACCGCCTCTCTACAGAGTGTCTACGGACAAGACCCGCAGAGGGTGGATGTCCGTACCTGGCCAATAGCCATCACCAGCCTCGCACTCCGCGACATCGCAAAACTCCTTCCCAGAATGGGTAGTTCATTCCCAAAGAAATACGAGCGATCTGAGCGATTCGCGCTGGTGGATATGGTATGGCAGGCGATCTGCGTGCTCGTACAATCATAACGAATGTATTGCCCACAGGTCACAGCGCGACGAGCGGGCTAGTTATTTCAAGGAGTACACAGTAAATACTGTGGTGCCATGATGTAGCGCAATGTAATAAATTAGGCTAAAGCCCCTACGCTGAGCGCACCTTCCCATCACCTTGAACATTGGGGCATATTAAACATTGGGGCGGCCAAGCACCACCAACGTCACATTTGACCGCTCGACGATGATCCTGGAATGAACGTGGAGCAGATTGGAGCTATTGCCGATCTTATCAGAGATGGTATCGATGACATGGAGCAAAACCAATGAATAGATTGGTAGAAATTAATTGTACAGTACGTAGTTGGTATGTGCACGTAGCCATCAGAGAAAGTGTTGAATCGAGATGAACCGTGGGTTCGGTGAGTTTGGTGTGTTTGATGCCCGGGCTTGGTGGGTTGCCTAGGCTATGACGAGAGCCCTGGGGCGTTGATGGGCATTAAATTGGGGGAGGGCAGAGGAGGCGGAGGGGCCCATGGGAGCCTGTGGGGAGTGTTCTCTCACACATTCAGGAGTTGTAGGATTGAGTACTTCGTTCCCATGGAAAGGGCTTGGATCTTCCAAGGTTTTGTGGAAGGGGAGGGTTTGGAATGGTCACGTTATCCGCATCATCGTCCATATCAATTAAACATTCGATAACCACTAGTACAGATGTATTCCGTACTGTACGGAGTAGAAGCTACAAAATGATACTATTCCAATAGAATCAATAGTATCTCCTCACCGATCTCCATACATTCTAAACGAATACGGCCCCAATGGGGCGGCCAACAGAGAGCTAAACCTGCACCGTGCACGCCCCCGTCTGTGGCACACAGTGGCGGGTCGCTTGGCGAATCGGTGCAAATCCCTACCTCTTCGTACTGGTAGAACTCTGGCCGAGTCTGTGTCCAAGGTGTGCAACGTCTTGCAACTCTGGTTCTCTGTCCTTACGCGTGGGATATATTCATGTCTGGTCATGTCATGATGGAAGTCTTTTCGAGAAACCTACGTGGTGGCCACCACCAGTGTGGCGGTAATAAAATTACACTATGTATCCCGCTCAATGTTTACAGTTGTATTGTTGAGGCCGAATGTGGTAAGTCTGCTACCCGTTTGTACTAAACTGCCATAGTAACGCACTAGCAAAGTAACGGCCTTCCAGACAGCTAATAGCCTCGGCTTGACTTACATTGAAATGGGTTTGGTAGGTCCGAAGAGGTTTAGTGCAATTCGCTGAACTTAGCGTTGGCGTGGGGACTTTTTTCCCCACAGCGCTCGATTTACGGTACGGTTACGAATCCTTGCGCAAACTGGGATTAATTTCGCGACTCGACGAGAGTGAAGGACACATCATAGATCTGAATATATTGTACGCTTTCTGTGCTATGGCTGTGTCCTATCTTACGTGCTATTTCTGTGCTATCTCATGTATTGCCCCTATGTACGCCTCAACGCGCATACAATTACGCGAGTATTGAGTAGGCACCCATGAACCAAACCCATGGCCGACACCTTAAACAGAAAAAAGGTTAAAATCTCCCCTTATTTGCCCCACTAAATATGTTGCGCACCAATGACAAGACGACCAAGCCGCTGGTTAATCTGGCAACACTCAGCCACCCCTCGACTCAGCCTCGTAATTATTCTCAACCTTTGGCCCCTGTGTATTGTATTACTTCCCCCTATGTCAACTCCCCATTCTTTTTTTCTTTTGCCTCAAGATTTCTCTTTTTTTTTAAAAACGCTTCCTTCTTTAGCGTTAGTCTCTCCACTCGTCACTCCTTATTATCGTCAACTAGTGCTCCCCTTTAATACTCCTATTCTCCCGCTTTATCGTCCCCTGGCCTACCACTTATCGGAGTTCATTGTACCTCTTTCAACCAAGCTTTACCTACCCTACGGCCTCAGGGTCTATGAACCAATTGATACGATTTTACGACTTGAATAGAAAGAACACAATACGAATTGGATAGGCTCAATTGCTTGTGTTGCGCGGCTCCTCTTTGACTTGCGTCCGTATTCGTCCACAACGACCTTCACGATGCGGCGCGGTCTATTGATCTTCCTCCTCGTCAACCTCCTCATCCTCTCCTTCCTCGTTCGTAGTGTCTCGACACTGCTGGCACTCTTGGTCGAAGATGCCGCGGCTGATGCTATTCACCGTGCGGAATTGCCATCACCGAATTCGAGCTTGATTGAACACCGCCCTCAGATCATTCCGAAGATCATTCACCAAACGTACAAGAATGAGACTATTCCAGAGGTCTGGCAAGATGCCCAGAAGAGTTGTATTGAGATGCACCCTGACTATGAATACATTGTACGCCAACTCCCCAACCCCCCTGCGAGGTCTGGCTCAAGATCCTAACTTGTGCTATTAGCTCTGGACAAACGAGAAGTCGCGCGACTTTATCGCCGCCGAGTACCCCTGGTTCTTGGATACCTTTGATGGCTACACCTATCCCATTCAACGCGCGGATTCCATTCGGTACTTTGTGCTTGCGCACTACGGTGGAACATACATTGATCTAGACGATGTAAGTATTTGCCGACAAACATTGGTACCAGGCTTAATCTAACGAGACGAATAGGGCTGCAATCGTCGTCTGGATCCTCTCAATGCTTATCCCGCGTGGGTTCGCCGCACTGCTCCCACCGGTATCTCGAACGACGCCATGGGTTCCGTCCCGCAGCACCCCTTCTTCCTCCGCACAATCGAGGTGTTGCAGCAATACGACCGCCACTGGCTTCTTCCTTACATCACAGTCATGTACTCGACTGGTCCGCTGTTCTTGTCCGTCATCTGGAAGGAATACATGCGTGATAAGCCGAGCGAGGCTGGCCGCGTGCGCATCCTCATGCAGGACGAGTACAACAAGTTTTCCTGGAGCTTCTTCACCCACCACCGGGGTAACAGCTGGCACGGCAAGGATGCGCGCTTGATCTTCTGGGTAAGTGATAATCCAGACACAACTGAAAATGCAGACCCATGCTAATGTCTCCCAGATGGGCCAACACTGGGTCTTCCTCACGGTCTGCGGCTTCCTGATTGCCGGCGTTGTTGGATTCTGCCTCTGGTGGAGCTACGGTCGCATCATGCTTCTGGGAAGCAAGTACCGCTACCGCTACAGCAAAGTTCCATCCATCATCAGTCCCTCCCGACTCTCGATGTCGCCGACCCGCCGCTCACGCCTTTCTGTCCCGACGATCCTCCGCCGCGTCAGTTTCAAGGAAGACGAAGAGTGCGGCGGGGTAACCGAGACCTCATACGAACTCGGACGCCGCGATGACTAGAGATCGACATGCCGACTCTCAACTTTGCCATTTTTTGCTAGCCTGTTGTATTTGGCCTGTATCAACCCGGGCCTCGGACATGCATTTCCACATCAGCATTTATTGTACAACGTTTGCCTTTCTTGTGTTTAGGAGCGCATTATGCATGGTGTCTTCCATCCGGTGACGGGATCCTGGATCGATTCACCTGGAGCAACTGGGTTTGCTTTTGGATATGTGCGCAGATGGTTTCTCCCTGCGAGTAGCTGTGTCTCGGTCCTGATTTGGCTGTTTTCACCTCTTTTCTTTTATTTTCTACTTATGATTTGTAAACAGGTTAGATTTCGCTTCTTAGAGGTGGATTACTTATGGACATGGCTCTATGTCGGGATATGATCCGAATGACGAAATAATCAATGTCTTCATTATTCTTTATCATTATTCTTAGAGACAATTAGAGTAAATCGAGTTCTAATGTTCTATTCTTGGTATCAAAGACTGCTTTCTGAAGCTGCTGGTTATCCCCAAACCCTAATTTCTCCTCCAATGACAAAACTCGGGTGCCTTGCATACAACGACTAAGCTTAAATGACTGTCCTATCATAACGGTTATTCAAAGCTTCAGTCTTCAAACTGCGTATAGAAAATACTAGGAAGTTAGTAAATACTGGCAGACTGAAGTCAGTTCATTCTGGTGTTCCTTGATTTCAAGGCCGTCATCTAACATGCTTCAGCTCCGTTCCGCATTCTCCGCGTCCAAGCCCTGCACATACTGTCAATGACGAAGTATCTTCCTCCGCCTCCTCTTTGTATGTTCCAGCTACATTGGACAATGCAGCCCTTGTTTCGAAGTCCGCCTCTGTGAGACACGTAGAAGTCTTATAAAGACGATCTATCCCCTGTGATCCTGGAGTCATAGTTAACAAAGACCCAACTCCTCCCTTAATACTTATAGAACTCACCACCTGGTTCTTGAACCTCAAATCTTCTCATTGCCAGAGTCCTATCTACCATTAACCACAAAATGCATCTAAAAACCATCCTCATCTCTCTAACTCTAACTCTCACCCTCCAAACAACCGCCACCCCCATCCCATTCCTCCGCCACTTCCACTCCAAAGCAACAACCCTAACAGAATCCCAAATAACAACCATCGCCCCAAAATCAACCTCCTGCGCCGACGCCCCCGCAGAAGGAGAATGCGCAACAGCCAAACAAGCCGCAAAATACACCTCGCAATCATTCGAAACATACAAAATAACCTCCAAACCCGAACAAGCAGCCATCCTCAGCCTAATCGCCTTTGAAAGCGATGACTTCAAATATAACAAGAATCATTTCCCGGGTGTACCGGGGCAGGGCAGTAAGTACTAATATCCAACACACATACATTTACTCCGTACACATGAATGGATGCAGGAAAGTACTAATGTTTGTCCAGCCCGAAACATGCAATCCCCCGCCTTCAACAAAAAATACGCCTCGTCCGTCCCAGCGCTGAAAGACAAGCTTCCAAGCGTAAGCAACAGTCCCGCAGACCTGCTGGATCTACTGCGCGCCGACGGGGCGATTGATTTTGGTTCTGCGGCTTGGTTTATGACGACGCAGTGCTCGGATGAGGTTAGGAAGGCTTTGGGGGATGGGTCTGAGGAGGGTTGGGCGAGGTATATTTCTGATTGTGTGGGTACTTCTGTTACGGACGAGAGGAAGGCTTATTGGGAGAGGGCTGTGAAGGCGCTTGGTGTTTAGATTAGGTTGCGTTTTTTTTAGGGCCCCAAGGTTGGGTAACTTGGGTTGGAAAATTTAGCGACTGTTATCAAGAATCTATCTTATTTCATTTGTATCATATCATCTCATCCATATCTACATTTTTAGAACGTCTACAAAACACCCTTAGTACTAACCACATCCCCAGCTCCAACATCACCCGCAACCCTCCGCTTGCAGGCATGTCTGATAGCAACAGCAAGAGCCTTGAATGCACTCTCCGCCCGATGATGATCATTATCACCATAAGTGCACCCAACATGCAACGTCACACCCGCCGCCTGCGCAAAGCTCTGCAATCCATGCGTGATCATCTCCGTGCTCAGATCCCCAATCTTCTCCCGTTTGAACCCTAGGTTGATGACCGCCCACGGACGACTGGAGAGGTCAATGACGGCCCAGGAGAGGGCTTCGTCGAGGGGTGCGTCGCCGCGGCCGAAGCGCTCGAGGGATTGGCGGGCGCCGAGGGCTTGAGTGAAGGCTTCGCCGAGGGCGAGGAAGGTATCTTCTGTTGTGTGGTGGTCATCGACTATATGTTATTAGTATGAATTGTAGATTAATTGTGTTGTTAAGGGTGGGTGACTCACTGTACAAATCACCCTTGGCGCGAACTGCCAAACTCATACCGCCGTGCTTGGCGAGCGCGTGCAGCATGTGGTCCAGGAAGCCAATGCCGGTGCTGATGGTGATTTGCTGGGTGGGGGTGAATTGAGTGGCATGGCCGGCGTCCTTGGGGGGAACAATGCCCTTCTTTGCGGCTTCGGCTTCTTGGGGGTCTGTTGGGGCGGGGAAGTGGGTTGATGGTTCGTAAGGAGGGAGGACGCCGCCGTCGAGGGAGAGGGAAATTTGGATTTTTGTCTCGTTTGTGGAGCGAGAGATTGTCGCTGTTCGTGCGGAGAGAGACATTCTGTCTTTTTGTTTGGTGCAATTGGGACTGCGAGGAGTGTTTGGGGAGTCGGAGATGCGGGTGATAATCGGACTTCTTTTTTATCTGAGTCGCCGCCACTGTGGAGAATCGTTGATCCGTGATTGATTAGCTTGCGGCTGCGAGGTCGGCAGGTTTCGTGGTTCAATCTGTAGACACTGGCTGGTCCAGGATTTTGATCTTGATCTTTTTGCTCTTCTTTTCTCTTTGCTATTACACAGTACGGTCCGAAGCTCTGGGGTACGTCTTCGCTCGGGGTCGTCATTGTTTATCTCGCCGACCTCGGCTTCGATAAGGATCAGACCATCTCAACTGGATTTGCAACTTCGCCCTACACAGTACACCACACCACACCCGCAATGCCATCACCATCAAACCAAAGAAGCGGCGTCGAGCCCCCGGAAGAAATTACCTGGGTCGCCGCTCAGGGCTTCATGACTGGCGTGTTCCGCGTAAGCTACCAGACCTGAGCGTCACACGAAATTCCCAGTTCAATGCTCATACTCCCCAAGTTTGGCTCCGTCTCCATTCTGGCCCATATGATTATGGCTCTCCCTCATCCCTTCGTCTTCTCCGCACCAAGTCCGCCCGCACACCCAACGGCCCAACCCCGTCCGCGTCCATCCATCTTCTCCCGCGACTATCTCCGGTCTCGTCTCTTCCACCGCCCGCTCGAGGGCTTCTCAAGCTGGATATCCCCGGGCTCCCGCGTTTACCGTGGTCTGACGCCGCAGTTCAAGGTGTTCTTACAAGTCGCGGCCATGACTCTGGGCGGTTGTATATGGCAGGAGAAGCGCGTTACGGAATACATCGAGCTGGTCAGAAAGCTCAAGCGGGCGGAGCGGGTAGAGGCTGAGAGGGCGGAGGGCAGTCGGCGATACTGAGCACCGTCTGCTCGTGGAATCGCCGGATGAGTCGAACTCTTCGTCCTGCAGAAAGAAATGAAGGCCGTCACCGATGACGCCAGGCTCCTGGAAATTTCCCCCTGATAGCCACGGTGACCTACTGTATTGGGATCTCCCTTCGCGTGGGCCCGAAACATTACTTTCTCCCCTAGAAGCATCAGAACTGTGTGCGGAGAGCCGTAAGGGCCGATCATCCTTGGTGGAGTCGGCCGAGGGAGGCTATGATGCTGTGTTGTCAACCCTGGTGTAGATCAACCAAGTTTTGGAGATAGACCATGTGGCGGCATAGCTGGTTTCTACAGTACATATGTACACAGTATTTCAATAGCTGCACTAATCCCTGCTTTAGCGGGGATGCACTATAATGTCTAGTAGCGGTGGAGTATGCGTCTGACGTGGCTATATGTACATTGTTGAGATCTAATGCGGAAGCCATCTGATCTATCGCGAATGTGTTGAAGGTGTACGAAGGTGTTCGTTTGTTGACGGTGTAAAACGAGCGGATGGCTCTTCTTCACTAGGAGGACGGGTATCGAATACACATCTTTTGCCTCATGATCAGTCTTTCAGTATGATTCTCGTCAATTCTCAGTAGGTCTTAGGACGTCCCCTGCTACTGTCTCCTGGGCTGCAGTCCTTCCATCGTCCTGTCTGCGATGTCAGACCGCCTTCGCGCTCTTCCCACTGTTAATTCTACAGATGTAGGATTCAGGATATACATATCTTGTGTATTGGATGGATTAATCAATTAATCAACTAGAAGCCGTCAGGGGGCTAGAGAGGGTGTTTTGGCCAGTGCACGGAAGAGTGGTTCTTCCGTGCCGATCACATGCCGTAGCCTTCAACTCAACACCCACTTCAATAGATATCAATCAGTAGTACGTCCACTACATAGTAGCCCGAGGTACATGATTTTTTTATATTTTTTTTCAATATTATGGTTAAATTGTATTAATTTCATGAAACTATATGCGTATCATACTTTACTACTCGAATACGGTATTAGAAAATGCTTACCCTAAGACTTTTCTGGACGGTATCTTTTTAATGCAGTATCTTTTTGACATGCCGTATCTTTTTGACCCCAGGTATCCCAAAAGATAGTATTATCAAATATTTAATACCGAAGATCTATGGTATTATTACTGTATTTTTGAAACATATAGTGAAATTACAGTATCCTAAAGTCTTGGTCGGCCGGCATGGAAGACTGGTTCTACTTCTGCCTTATAGTTCAATGAGTACGAGATTCTGACGTTAAATAGCAACTACTACTTCTACTACTAAGAATCAGTATCTCTTCATTTAACAATCTTCAACTCACATAATCATGCTTGCCAGTCTTACAAATATATTCACCCGCTCTACCAGTCCTTCCGTGCTCCTTGTTATCGGCAAGTTTGGTGCCACAATCCATGTCCTTCATCTCCTACCCGAGAACGGCACTATTGAACGCTTCAGCCTCACAACCCCATCTTCCACTACCACCTTCCGCCACCGCGGAGCCAGAGAGCAGGCGCGCGAGCAGATCGGCACAGTCACACTTCATGTTGGAGATGGCGAGACTGCCAACAGCTTCCTCGACGACGTTGAGACACGAATCCGTACGCTGTGGAATGATTCCCTGAGCTCGAGCCCGGCGCAGCTGCAGACAGGCAGTGTTGAGGCGACTCAGCTAGTGCAAGACGTCCTCCAGCCCGCAGCACTCGATGCGATTCATGAAAGAGAGAAGCGAGATCGCTCTATGCGCGCGACGCAGACGTACCCTGTTTTTGTTGTTTACATCATACGCTCGAGCGCAGGGAGGAGCCTGACTGAGCTGACAAGCTTTCCTTAATGAGATTCCATCGGTTCTTGTACTCAAGATATGAATAGTTAGTAGTTGTGGTGTTTTGAAATAATATTACATGCACAGTAATACATTGACACAATTTTTATTCTGTATGTGGCTTGCTTTCTTAGAATACTGTATGAATAAGAGCAGCAAAGCATGTAGTGCAGCTAGTCAATAGAGTAATAGCATGCAATATTTAGTCCCTGTATCAATGACCATTGAACTTGACGCAACTAAAATGCCCGCGTCATGCATGTTCTTGACTCCACTCCTGCTCTTTAGATGAGCGGCTGAAATCCCTTTGCAGCCAGCGCATCGAATTGTTCCTGGGTGATCGTCCCATTGTTAACAAGGCGCTGCAGAATCTGACTGCAGAATCTCTGACAGTTGTTGACAACAAGATCGAAGGGGCGGTTCTGCACCGCTGCACGGCACTGCACGTCAAGCGCATCAACCGGAAAACGTCGTCCACCATTGACACCAGGTCACCAGCTGCCTCCACTCAAAGGGGGAGTCAGGGGTCTGGTAGGGAATGGCTCGACCTGACCGGGAGTCATGGCTTGAGGGTCCAATGTCTGGTCCAATGGCTCATGGGAGGGCATCCAGTGGACAATGTTGAACAACGATGCCGAGTTGGGCATACGCTCGTTAGGCTGGTTGAAGCCCGAAGCATTAGCTTCGTGCTTTCGTAACCCCACGATCTGCCAAGCCCGCGGAGACTATCCGAGACCAACATGACGATGCCTGAGGGACTTGCAAGTTGCTCACGGGTGCATCCGTAGTGTCCCAGTACTGACTATCGACTGCCTCCTTTGCATCGTATTCATCGGTGAGCATAAGCCCAGAGGCGATTTCAACTGAGGCTTGAAGCGACCTGGAGACTGCTGGGTTTATATTTGGTATCGGCTGGTAGTCCTGAGTTTTTTTTGTCAGTATAGTAAAGCTTGAGAATGATAGATAGGTGCATACTGTCTGCCCGCTTGTCAGTGAGTCCTTACTGGCATGGAAAAGCGTGCCAGTTGCAGCGCGTGCATCCCAGAGATAGCTGCACAAATATTAGCATTGATAAATATTTCTCTAAGCTTGAGTCTTACAGAAAGCAAGAACAATCCGAAAACAGACGAAAGGCCACACTTACATCTCGATTCGCCGCGGGATTGGAACGAGGGTCTAGATTGGATGTGTGCCAATCAGACATCTATGAAGCCGCCTGGCGGCTCACTGATCCCTGCCACCGCGACCGCCCCATTCTCCCGCTAGATTGAGCTCTCCGATGCTCAAGCGGGTACATCTCCGAAGGATGGTCGTTCTCCTTCTCCGGCAGAAATTATGCCTATCGTCGGTTGCCCGCGACCAGATAGTCCTCACGCGATGTGCAATGCGTGAGGACTATTCGTGATGCCTGTCTTTGTGATCACAGACACCAAGGCATGGTAAACACTTCAAGGTGAAGAAGAAGAAGAAGAAGAAGAAGAAAGAGGATCCATGGAGACGAAGGTGGTATTTATCGACGAGGTCACGCGACATCTCTACAGCTCTGAGCCTCTGAGCCGTATTTACATGCCACCAAAGACAGTCACGTGACATGCACGCGGTACCCCCTATTACAGATTGCTTCGCTAACGCTCAGCAATGAATAGTAGTTGTGGTGTTTTGAAATAATATTACATGCACAGTAATACATTGACACAATGTCGTCCATTCCCGTGCAAGTCGAGCGTCAACATCAGGGAGGATGACTAACAGTGCTAGGTGGGTGCAGAATAGTGGTGTTACAGGGCAGTGGGCGGTCAAGGGGGGGTGGAAAGGAAGCCGTTTCTGGCGTCAAAAGTGGTCATTTTCGTCATTTCACAGGTCCTCATATTCTGTGTGTAAATAAGCGATGCTGGAAGGCGAACAGATGTTAACTACCTATGAAATAAGAAAAGCATAGCCGTTGAATAACGCCGAAGATCAACCCTAAGATAACTAAAAAAACAGGGCATTCGGCATCGAACACACGAGAAGCACAAGTCGGACAGTCGCTGCATCCGTCCATTCCTCAACTTTCCCTCTTCTCTCTCCTATCGAGGGTCAATTCCCCGTCTCAACTTTCTACTGTTTTCATATATTTCTGCGTTCGGGCTCAAACAATTGAGCTTGTTCCACTTCGTCTCCCCGGATTAATCACTTTAGCCCCAGGGAGATCAGGAAGAGATCGGCAAACCTGATCCTTGTCCGGCTCTAATCCTGGAGAAGAGGGAAAAAGAGAAAAACCGCAAACCTATCAGATCGATTCTCGTCCTTTTTAGTTTGAGGATCCTCTTGGCCGTGATATCATCGCATTTCCTGCCCCTTCCGGTCACCTTCCAGTGCAACCTGCCTCTCGCCACGTTGACAGGTACCTGAAGAGCTTCTTTTTGATATATCCACTGGGATCCACGTCGTTTCTGCTTTTTCCCCTGTGGAAATCTCACGTCAATTGCTTCCCATGGCGCTGTGACAGTTTGCAGTATGTGCTACTTTCCCCCTCATTCTTTCTCTCTAAGCGGTTTCTCTCTGTGTATAATGAAATTTCCATGTCTGCTTTGAACTTTCCGAATTGTCGCTAATTGACGCCAGTACGAACGACGTTGACGTCGTCGATGAGTTAAGGTTTTTGTCTCAGTTCACCCCGGTCTCTCCAACACCTCTCGTTTCTCCTCCTTCTGTCTCACCTCCCCAAAACCACGATATGGCTGAAATCACCGGCAAACGTGAGCGAAGGAAAAGCCTGAGTGTGTTCGGTCCGTCCCTCACAATTTCGAACCCCATCCGACCTCCGCTCCATGAACGAACACCCTCGGACGATACCCTGACCCGAGATAAGAAAGCCCGCCGTAACTCCGGTTTCTTCGGGCGCTCGCATAGTCACAACAGAGGGTCCAACACAGCACATATCCGACGCCCTGGAACAGCAGGGTCTGATACCGCCGGCTGGGCGGCTTCAACAGTCAGCAACGAGACCCCTCGGCCGCGGAGGAAGTCGCTACAGAAGAAGAGAACATCGGTTTTCGGATCTTTGAGGTCACTGCACTCACATGAGGATGATGACCCTCTGAGTGCCTCCCCATCGGTGGGGGACGAGCAGTCCATGAACGGTCCCCGAAATGGAATTTGGTCGTCTGCAATCCTCCATCATGGCGAAGTTCAAATGACTGGGGGCATGTGGAGGAAGAAGAGTCAATACTTGGTTCTCACGGACACACATATTATTCGCTTCAAAAATCAGAGCAAAGCCGCCGACGTCTTTTCTTCGATCCCCGTTTCCTACACCCGGGCCCCGGCCGCCCATCGCCAATCGGTGGCATCAATCAGCTCTCTGCAGGATATGCAACACATGGCAACTGGTGACTCGTCCGCTGGCATTCCGTTGAACAGTATCATCGCGGTCTACATGCTGGAGGATGCGCGATTGTCCCCTTCGGTCGAGGTGGCCTATCTCGATGAGCGCACACACAAATCCACATTGGTCCAGATGCAAACATCTGATTTACAAGAATTGAACCTCTGGATGGTCGGGATCCGCCAAGCTGCCCAGATGGCGAGAGCCAACTTTCCAATGGCATTCACGAAAGGCTCGGTCGAGTATGTAACTCGAATGCTGGAACACGAACGAGATTACGATCCGGAGGTATTCCGCATGTTCCGGGTTATACAGATTGCATCCAGCAAGTCGATCACCCGCTCTTCGTCCGATGACCTGACCAAGCTGTCGCCTACTGGCTGCTATCTTGCTATTGGCGCGCACAAACTTCATCTACTTCCCATGCAGAAGACAACGAATCGATCTTCGGCGGTCTCCCTATCAGACTGGGAGTCTGGCACTTCTTTTGGTCTGATGAATATGACTGGTTTGTCGATGGAGTACGGTGATGATAGCTTGCATCTGACTTTCAGGGTTCCGCTTAAGAAATCATTCAATGTGTTCCTAGCCTCGGTTCATTCCGTCGAAGTCGCTTGTTGGATCCGCCAACATACTGAATACCTGCGCCCACTGTGGACACGACAGCCATATGAATTTTTGGTCCCGAAAGATTTGCAAAACGACGACAACTTCCCACCTGTTGAGTTGAATGAAGATTACGGATGCTTTGACCGAACGCTGGTTGCCTACTCCGCCAGTTATGATATCGATACCTCAAACATTCGATACACTATCGATTCGGAATGCGAGGATGCTCCATGCTTCCGTCTTCTCAAGCCCGCCTCACCAAGGGCCAGGTACCAGGCTTTGGAACTCATCGCGGTGATGCGCGCACTTCGTTACAATGAATTCTTCCGGTCAATATCTTTCCGCGGCATCAATCTTGATGCACTGCAGGGCCTCCGTGATGCGCACGGGGTTGACACCGATGTCCATCTCGACCGAGGAGGCTGCTTCGTGCACATCCCGGGCCAAGCGGATCTGTCTGTTCTCTCACAAGAGGTGCGCGCTTTGGCTTTGAAAAGTAAATGGCTGCGCCGACTAGATTTTTCATACTGCCTTACCCGGGTACCAACACAGACCCTCGACAAGAGCGTTCGCGACCCTGGCTGCGGGATTCCAGAGGCGATATTCCCCGTGTGCCGCCGAGAACTGACCAGTGTGGACTGGGTTGTGCTCAATGGGATTAAGCTGGGTGAGTCTGATTTGGATTATCTCGTCGATGCGGCATCGCAACGGCGCAGTCACCTGCGGGCTCTGGAAGTCGGAGACTGTGGATTGTCTGTGCATGACCTCGACCTCATTTTGTCGACTATTATCGCTCAAGAAGCAACGCTCGAGGCGATCAACATCTCGGGCGTACAAGGCCGCTTGAATCCCGACGTGCTGCAGCAATACATTGGCTACTTCGGACAAATTCGCAAAATCAACCTATCTCGCATTTCACGCACGTCTGGTGATGACCCGCTCATCACGGCTGAAATGTTATTCAACTGGCGACTTGAAGAGCTGGCTCTCAGTCGGACAGCCGTGAACCGCGAAACTGTGGATGCCATTGCCACTTACCTGGCCAGCGATCGCTCTCGCAACCTTCGTGTGCTTCGCCTTGATCAGTGTGGTCTTACCGGAGAAGACGTCGCTATGTTTATGCACTCGATGACCGACGGTCCGCATGCCTCACGTAGCCTCCATTTGCACGTCAATGAGAACCGCCTCGACACTGGCTGCTCCCATATCTTCAATGCTATTACGAAGAATCAGACCCCCTCGCATTTGTCCATGCGCATGATTGACTTTAAGAAGGAAGATCATTTCCGTCAGCTGGTGGAATCCGTTCGCACGAACACCACTCTTAAGTTTCTGGATATCTCGAAGGCTTCTCTCCCGTACGATGCCAGTCCTGAGACCTGCCGAGCCTTGCAGCTGATGCTCGAGGAGAACAAGACTCTCGAGGCTTTGGATATCAGCGGAGACAATGCTCATCTTGATGTTGCACGCTTTGGCATTGGTCTCAACCTTGCATTGACTGGCCTGAAGAAGAACACGTCTCTCAAGGTCCTGAGGATCGAGCACCAGAAACTCGGTCTTCAAGGTGCGAACACCCTCGCCTCTGTATTGGAAGAGAACGACTCACTGCGTGAGGTACACTGCGAGAACAATGACATCAACCTTCAGTCGTTCACGGTGTTAGTCAATGGGCTTCAATGCAATCATTCCCTTCTCTCACTTTCCTGCATGACTCGGGATCGAGTCATGTCGCTCGACAAAGTGCGCCGGGAGGTTGACAATGTCCGACGTGAGGCTAGTAATAGCCACCAGACTTTGACCGGAAATTCGATCCGTCGCTCTCTATATGCAGCGATGAGCGTTGGTCAAGGGGCGCATGTGCACAAGCTGAGCAAAGCACCGCCGCCTAAGGTCGTCTCGGCCCTGGAGAACTCGCCCTTTGCCAACCACAATGTTGAACTAGTTTTGCAGTCTCTCAACCAGAGATGGGACGCGGAAGTCGCCCGACTCAATCGATATCTCTTGCGCAACTACAATCTCGCCCATGGCATTGAGAATGTTGAAGATGACGATGCTGCCAGCGATGGACGACCTGCAACAGCAGCGAGCCTGGGCACAATGCTCGACAATCTCAAATTCGAGGTGTCCGTTTCGGCAGATGAGATTCGCGCGTCACCACCGGACGAGTCACCTGCTAGTCTTCGACTTTCAGAGACGTGCGACAGTCAGTCCCCGCCTTCCCCAACCGAGTCCAGCGAGTCCAGCTTAGCCCTACCAACCCGTCTTCTATCCAATTCCCGTCGCCCACAAACCGCCAGCGCTGCACAAGTCCTTCCATCCGATCATTCCTCTTCCTCTTCCGGGTCTCACATAGCCCTCCCCGTTCCAGCTGTGCCATCGGCAGCCCGCAAAGCTGAAAGTGTCCGCAGCGGACACAGCTCCTACAGCAGCGCTTCAATAGGTGCCGGCAGCACGCGCAGTGCCTACGGAATGGCGTCATCGACGCTGAGAGGCTTCCTCGGCAGCACCGCAGTGAAAGAACGTCGCCGAGCAGATGCAATGCGCGCCTCGCCTGTATGTGTGAACAGTGATAAGCCACCTCGGCTAGACTGGGCGCCTCCTAAACTCGACTTGCAGGAGCTCCAGTAGTTCCACATCCCCGACCTTCCCTTTTCTTGTACAGAAAACACAACTCCTCTCCCTCGATGTGAAATCGAAGCCTGGCCCTTGCTGTGCATATATACGACGAGCCAGGCTTCATTGCACATCCTCTCCCTTTTCATCCTCTTCCTTGTGACTCTTGTCCTATCCTATCCTACTCCCTAACTCACCATTCCGTCTGTCCCTTTATTGAAACGACCAGTCGCGCGACACTGATACCCTGGCGTTCTAATTCTTTCCATCGAGAACACCGCATTCTCAGGCGTTCATCCTCATTTCAGCAGTTTTCACGAATCAATACCTCTTCCCAAGCAATCAATACTCGTTTCCTTCCCGTTCCTATTTGATTCCCCGTTGCCTTGACTCGCTACGCTTTGCCCTCATACTCTCTTGTTCTCTTGCTCCAGTTTAAGGCGTCATTCTCGCGCGTGTTCCTGGCACGGCGCATTCATGCATAATGTTAATCTGGGGGTTGGTGGACTTGTTATTCTATTTGATGATGGTTTTCTTTGTGGCTTGTATCTGTCGGATATCCCATTAAAAGCATTTCTTCCGTATCCTTCTACTCCTGCCTCGTAGGTTAGAACCGTTAGATGAAACTCGTAGCTCACGAATACCTAGGTTCCTTGGGTGCAGTAATGTGCAGTAATGCTACGGCTAGAACATATAATTGAGCAAGGCTGTCAAGGTCGTCTTGGGGAATGGAAGTGATCACATGCTCCATACAAGTGTTTTGGGTCCGGATTGAAAAGGGAAGGAACCATCCACGTTCCTTCTCATCTAAGAAGAACTGCTTTCCAATTCCTTCCTCATTCAGTTCAGCTAGAGGAAGGGTATAAATACCCCCTCCTCATCTTCTTCTCTCTTTTTTCTTTTCCTCCTACACATCTCTTCTCCTTCATCATTGCCATCCTTCCTCAGGCATCATACCACCTCAGGCACCCTCCACACATAAGGACCTCCCAACCTCAGGCCACCTACCTTAGGGTCCTTCCACCTCTGCATGTCATGGCATGTGACACATGATGAAATGTTTGTTGTGATGGGTCGTGTCTCTCTACCTTGACTACTATTCCTATCCTCCCTCATCTCCATGTCACGCTGTCCACAACTGATGTCTCTCCACCTTCTACTTCTACTCTTATCCTCCCTCAACTCCATGCCATGCTGCCTCAACCTGCCTCAAGCTTTCAAGTTGCTTTGACTCTTCCATGGCTTGCTACTCTCCTCCTTCGGCTACTTCATCCACTTCGTTTTCCACACGTCAATGTCATCTTATCCACCTCCATTCAACCACTTCCACTCATCTATGTTCAATCTCACCGTGGCGGGCTTCGGCTTCAGGACAATCGGGAGATTGGATATAGGCAGTGCAACCACCCCACCGCAACCGCATCCACCTCGACACACCTATGTTCAGTCTCACCGTGGCGGGCTTCGGCTTCAGGACAATCGGGAGACTGATATAGGAACCGCAACCACCCCACCGCAACCACATCCACCCCACCGCAACCGCATCCACCTCGACACACCTATGTTCAGTCTCACCGTGGCGGGCTTCGGCTTCAGGACAATCGGGAGACTGATATAGGAACCGCAACCACCCCACCGCAACCACATCCACCCCACCGCAACCGCATCCACCCCCATTAACCTATATTCAGTCTTACCGTGACGGGCTTCGGCTTCAGGACAATCGGGAGACTGATATAGGAACCGCAGCCACTCAACCGTCCACTCCACCACCTCCACCCACCTATATTCAGTCTCACCGTGGCGGGCCTTATGGCTTCAGGACAATCGGGAGATTGGATATAGCAACTGCGACCATCCAACCGTCTACTCCAGCACCTCCACGCACCTATGTTCAGTCTCACCGTGGCGGGCTTCGGCTTCAGGACAATCGGGAGACTGGATAGGGTAAACAGTTCCACTCAGTCCACGGCTTCTACCGAGGCCTTCCCAATTTCGCCTTGCCATCAACCGTCAGCCATCAACCATTTCCACTGTCGGTTCCACTCTCCATCAAGACACTCCTCCACAAGGTCTTCAGACCTCCTTAGCCTTCCAGAAACCATCAACTGTCTCCCTCTTCTCACCGATAATCAACAACAATTTACTGTCTGCTACGCCTCCGCCAAACCATCTTGCCATCTTACTCTACGGGCCCTTCAATGTCGCCTTCACATCAATATCTTCTCTCTCGACCATCTGCTACTAAATGCAATCCGCCTATCAATCAATTGGGGCTTCCCATATTGACTCTTACACCCACCATCATATCGACTCTCTCAACATGCTGTCTGCCATGCCTATTGTCATAGTCATCTTGCCATCTTTCTTTGTATTCAACCAACCGCCATTAACCACCGTCTACCAAACTGGCCATTCAGGCCTCCAAATATTATCTTTGACCGTCCACTACTTAAACCAATGATCCATCTACCATTATCCACCAGCAATCTGATACTGCAATCGACGCACTCGTCCATGGCCTTCATAATCGCCATGTCATCTACAACTCACCACCACAACCAACCAGTCTGTCCACACCGGCCTTCAATCATCCACCCTGTTCATCAACCGCCTTCTCAATATATCCTTACCACCACCCACCCACCATTGGGCATTGACCGTCCGACCACATCTTATCCACGTGCCTACGAATCTTTTCGACTTGGCCTTCCTGGCCACTCACCTATCTACTGCCAACGTCATTGACCAGCAAGCCCTATGGCATCCGCATCGACTGCGACTGCGAGTAATTCACACCGTGAAACAAGGTTCAATCTTCTTACCATCCTGGACACCCGCGACAAAGCACCGAGAAGCATCATCTTCCTCCTGAGAACCTTCTGCATTCTAGCAGCCACCTAGTTAATATTGGTTGTGCTGCCGCCAAAGAATCTCTACATTCCGATAACCGGATAGAACAACGATCATCCGCACTCATGGGCCTCCCAGTATCATGACTACCTGTTGTCTACTACGCCAGCGATGACTCTTTGACTCCTTAATTCTTGCATCTCTGCTTATCTTGACCACCCATCGCCATTGGCCATGCAACCCCTTCATCACTATCGACCATTGACCTTTTCTTTTCATCTTCGTCTTTGCGGGCTTGCTCAACGCCATCCAGAAACACCATCGCTCGATGGCTACCCGCGTGTTGATCATCATCTCGATAAGATGCCCTGTGGGCCCTCTACCATCCGCCGTGCCTCCGTGCATCATGGCACCTATAATTACCCACCACGCTGCAACTCTCAGGGATGAACCATATCCTCAAATCTCAAATTTACTTCTTCACACAACAAGCCACCAAGATATGGTCTCACGAAGCGCCTGGTCCACCGCTGTCTACCTGTCAACCCATCACGGTCAAACCAGCAATGAAAGTGACCTTCATCGAGTCACATTCTCAGGTTCTTCATACGGATGCCTTTTCCTCCCTCCACCTCCCTTTCTTTCGGTGTCTCTACTCTCAGGAGATCTGTGCCTACATAACAAACTTCAGGTAGCCGAATAAATCATACAATTTACTCATTCCATTATCTGCTATTACAGTGTATTGGCTTTAGACCACGCAATTCCGACTTGACTAACTGTATATCCTGATTTCAGTCTTGTCACTACCTCAGTAACACAAACTTTCATATCATCAACGACCATGTCGATAGGTTCAATGGATCATGGAAGCCATGCCCAAACCCGTCCTACCTTTCCATTGACATTACCGCTGTGTCATTGAACAGACCTATAGATGGAAAGGGTTCACACAGCAGATAAAGATCTAAACGAACGCATCCAAATCTCAATTCCCAACTCCATATATAGACCAGATGACAGGAATAATAGTACAAATGCAAAGAGCGGAAAATGCTATCTAGTTTACATGCTTCTCTCCTCCGACTCACCCCTTCACCTTCTTATTAGGTCCCTTCCCCTTCTCCTTCTTCCAATTCCCACTCCCACTCAAATCCTCATAGACAACAATCCCCTGTTGTCTATCCTTCCTCCTCTCCTTCTGTCTATGCATCCTCCCCTGCTTCGCCATCTTCTGCAATCTAGCCAAATACTCCTTATTCCTCGAATTAACGCCCTCCTCATCCTCCGAGCGCTCGAAAATCAACCGTCTCCTACGCTTGCACATGCGCAGGATATCATTTCCACGCTTGACATCCATCTCATCGAGCTCGTAGTCGACCGTCCATTTATCCTGCGCGCCTAGACGATTGGGACGTTCCACGGGCTCGCCGTTGACTTTGTTGGTTATTTTCAATGTCATGGCGAGGAGGTCTTCGAAGTATTCGTCTTGCTCGGCTGGTGTGTCGACTTCGGTTTCTGGGGAGGTGGATGATTTCTTGGACATGTTTTCGAGGTACTCTTCTAGTTCGATGCCTTCGGATTCGTGGGTTTCAGCGTCTAGGTCGATTTCGGCTGGGGTTTCGGGGTCGAGCTCTGATTCGATTTCGACTTCGTGTTCAGCTGAGGGTTCTGCGTCGAGGTCGGATTCACCTTCTGCGTCGATGTCGATCTCGGCTTCCTGGCCGGCGGAGTGTTTATCGTATTCTGAATCCATGATGGGATCGGCGACGGGTTTGTCAGAGTCGACATCGGATGATTCCTTTCCGGCTTCAGTCTTTTGCTCCGGGTCCGGGTTGAAGAGCTTTTTCTGAATAGCCTCGATCTCGTCCTGGTTCTTTGTCTGGATGGCGTGGATTTCCTCGTCGGTAACGGGCTGCGCGATAATGTACATATAAGGCTCTTTTCCGTCGCGGGTTTCGAAGTGGAAGCGTAGTGATTTCTTCGGGAATTTCTTCGTCGCCTTGTCCATGATCTTCTCCCACAGACCTAGCGATAGGATGAATTCCCTGTCGCCGAGGTTGGTGGCCGATTGGCCGTGCAGACACTGGTCCATTTCCGGCAGACTGATATATTGGAAGCCGAAGATGCGCTCGATGTTATGGTAAGCGACGAAGATGCCGTCCATGCGGCCGACGCGCACTTGCAGGGAATACTTGAGGAAGGCGGAGCGGATCATGTCGAAGTACTCCCGTTCGAAGGACTCGAAGAGCCCGTAGCGGGATTTGATTTCGTAGCCCATTCCTCGCTCGTGGTTCATTGCGTCCATGCGGATGGAGACTACCGCTCGCGTTTTCAGGTCGAACATGCCCGTTCCCGGTAATCTGGGGTCGTAGGCGTCGAGCTGGGAGCGCATGAGGAATTTACCCAGACCGGTGTAGTGGTAGGACTCCGGGACGGTTTCTTCTTCTTCGGGTGTGATCTTGTTTTGACTTGTGCGGCGGTAGCGCTCGAATTCTTGCTTGGGCAGGGTGAGGAGCTTCTCCATGGATTTGCCTAGGTTCATGAGAATGTTGGCGCTGTCGTATTCCTTGTCTGCATCGATGGCGTAGACGCCCTCTTTTTCCTTGTAGTGGAGGAACATGGCAGTTGGCGCGCGAAGGAGACGGGTGTAGCTGCGCAGGTTGTCTGAGAAACCCTGGGAGAGACGGCGAGTGTCGATTGGCCGCCAAGCGGATAGGAGGAAATGGAAGTGGGAGAGGACGGAAGTCATGCTGGAGGACGAGCCGTAGTACTTCTTTTTCTGCTTTGCGGCCATTTCGAGGGCGATAACGTCTTTGGACGAAGTAATGTACGGCTTCAGGGTGTCAAAGTCGAATTCGGACACGGGCATGATTTTGTCTAGATATGGGTCGAAGTTGTACACTCGAGACCGGTAGTCACGTAGTTGATAGACACCGGGACTGTGTTGTATTAGTATCAACAGCCACAGAGGGAGGAAACAGCAACTCACTTGAAAAGCACGCGGTCGAGACCAAAGGAGACGTTCGGAACAGGGGACATGGGAGCATCAATCGCTTGAGTAGAAGTTAGCTAGAGTAAATTTGAGGGTGGTAAGAATGAAACTCACGTTGCAACGAGTGTTTGTCTGCGGAGAGACACCCGCTGTCCTGGGGTATCTTGGCTGCTTTCTTGGATGCTTTCTTGGTCTTGGACGGCTCAGTGGGAGACGTGGTTTCCGAACCCTCAGGGGCGTCCGTGGCGAGCTTCTCCGATCCTGCTGATTCTGCTGCAGAGTCTGTCGAGATCTCGGGTTGGGGTTGAGATTTACTCTCCGACGTTCCAACATCAACTTCGACTTCCGGTATTGCTGCTTTCTCGGAATTGAGTGCTCTGGCTGCCTCCAGCCTGGCTTCTTTTTCCTTTCTTGCTGCCTGTCGCTCGGCTAGACCTTTTAACCTCGCTGCCCGCGCCTGTTTGGTTTCGCTTCCCTCTCTCGCTGCCAGCAGCTTCGTATGGGCAAGTTGGGCGTTTTTCCCTACTTTTGACTTCGATTTCGACTGCCAAGTCTTCAAGAACTCTTCTTTCTCAGACTGTGGTGCTTCGGACGGTACTTCGGACGCAGCTTCAGACTGTGCCTCAGACGGTGCTTCAGACTTTGCTGGCTCAGACTGTGGCTCTCCCGACTCTGCCGATTCTCGCCCTTTCGATTTTTGTTTCATCCACCACGATCTCGCCTGCATCTCTGTGTGCCTTGGCGCCAGACGTCGCCTTTCCGGGGATCTATGTTGATTCCTGAATCTCTTATACTCATGTTCGTTCGTTCGCATCCATTGGAGCTTTTGTGATTGAGTTAAACCATCCCATGTAGCGAGGTCCATAGACTGTTTCTTTCCCGGAATATCGGCATGCTTTTTCTCTGGGGTTTGATCCTAGAAGACGATTTGGTCAGCACATGCATTCGCGTCGAAGAACTGTGAAACAGGACGTACATTGCGCGGTACTTGGAACGGAGGCTCGTTCGACGCGTCAAAGGATTCATTTTCCGGCTTGCTCTCACTCGTATGGACACGGAGCGCAGGTAGATAATGGAACTGGCGCAGGATAGGCGCCCCGTGGCGAGCTATACAGGAGAGGCAAACATGGCGGCGCGAAGGGCCTGAGACAGACCGCAAAGAGGCCCGAAGCATTCAGGCTGTTCGATAGATTATAGGTGAAGGGGGTAATGGTATGGCTGTGCAATATTAATCGAACGAGGAACAAGAACAAGAAATCAAGAAATCATGGACTCCATCAGAATTACCGGGGCCAAATGGCGCCTCCGTTTTTTTTTCTGCCGGAAGATTAGAGATACCGCTTCCTTATCTGGCTGCCTGAGGTGTCAATACTAAAGATGAGACTAGAAGAGATTGAACGACTATTAATGGGGCGAAGGTGTGATATTGTAGTTCTTGCGATTGAAATAAGCCGAAGTATAGGCAATAGGCATTGTATAGGTATCAGCAGGATATAGGTAGGTTTCCTCAAGTGTTGGGCTGTGAGTGTCCTACTTAGGGTTATTGACTACTGCGTAGTACAGTGCATATCTCATGGAATAGAACTACTATCTTCCAATTGCATTGAATAATGATAGTAATGATATATGGAATATCTAGACATGGTCTAATCGGCAATTGACCAATTCCCAGTCCCTTATACTCAATGCCCCGCCTCAGTCCCGAGATCGCAGGAAATTCTGGGGTCGGAGAAACGCCCAGCCGAAAAAAAAAGTTGAAACTTTAACATCTTCAACTTCTTCAGTTTGCTTCAAAGTTGCGCATTTGCTTCTCAGGTCTCTGCAAGGTGAGTAAGAGATTAGGTCTTTTTGATTTCTCAGGCTATTTGGTTGTTTTCATCCCCATCCCATTGCCCTCTGCCTCACTCCCATGGAGGGGCACTACATACCCCGCGGAAGTTTCACAATACTAATGCTAATACCTCCATAGTCGAGACGCTGCTCTAACCATGGCTTCCGAACAATTGCGCATTCTCATTGTTGGCAATGGTGGCCGTGAGCATGCCTTCGCCTGGAAGCTGAGCCAGTCTCCTCTCGTCGACATTGTCTACGTCGCACCTGGAAACGGCGGGACTGGCCTTGGTACCAACAGCAAGATCACCAACGCCAATGTCAAGGGTGACGACTACGCGGGCCTTGTGGCATTCGCGCAGAAGAATCAGGTTAACCTCGTGGTGCCTGGTCCCGAGGCGCCTCTCGTCGATGGCATCCAGGGTTATTTCCAAGCTGGTGAGTCACTCATGCGATTTTTCGCTACGCCCAATTATTCTAACATTATGTCTTCAAACAGTCGGCATTCGATGCTTCGGTCCTTCCAAGGCTGCTGCCCGTATGGAGGGCTCCAAGACCTTCTCCAAGGACTTCATGCAGCGCCACCAGATCCCCACCGCCGAGTTCGGAAACTTCTCTGACTACGAGTCCGCACGCCGCTACCTCGACTCCGTTTCACACAATGTGGTCATCAAGGCCGATGGGCTGGCTGGTGGTAAGGGTGTGATCATCCCCACTACCAAGGAGGAGGCCCACAAGGCCTTGAAGGAGATGATGGTGGACCACCAGTTCGGCAGCGCTGGCAACGAGGTCGTTATCGAGGAGTACCTCGAGGGTGACGAGCTGAGCATCCTCACTTTCAGTGATGGATACACTATTCGCTCTCTTCCCCCCGCACAGGACCACAAGCGCATCTTTGACGGTGACCAAGGCCCCAACACTGGTGGCATGGGCTGCTACGCGCCTACGCGCATTGCGCCGAAGGAGGTTGTGGATGAGATTGACCGCACCATCATCCAGCCTTCCGTCGACGGAATGCGTAAGGACGGTACGTTGACACAAAAGCAAATTGCGTGCCTGGAATCACGTTGCTAATTTAGAGAACTTCAGGCTTCCCCTTCGTTGGTATCTTGTTCACCGGTCTCATGATGACCAAGAATGGACCCAAGGTCCTTGAATACAACGTCCGTGGTGGAGACCCAGAGACCCAGACCTTGCTGCCTCTGCTCAGCGAGGACACTGATCTGGCTCAAATCATGGTGGCTTGCGCCGACCACTGGCTGGACGGTGTCTCAATCAAGATTGAGCCCAAATTCTCCACTACTGTCATTGCCGTTGCTGGCGGTTACCCCAATGCCTACGCCAAGGGCAAGACCATCACTTTGGCCCCCGAGCCCGCTGGCACTCTCATCTTCCACGCCGGTACCACTCTGTCCGGCAACGAGCTGCAAACCGCTGGAGGCCGTGTGATCGCTTCTACCGCTACTGCCTCGACCCTCGAAGAGGCAGTTGCCAAGAGCTACGAAGGCATCAAGACCATCAGCTTCGAGGACATGTTCTACCGCAAGGACATTGCCCACCGCGCATTCCGCCAGACCGCCAACACCTCGCTCACCTACGCCCAAGCCGGAGTCTCCATCGACGCCGGCAACGAGCTCGTCAACCAGATCAAGAGCTCCGTCCGCCGCACCAAGCGCCCCGGCACTGACGCCGTCATCGGTGGCTTCGGCGGTCTCTTCTCCTCCCCCGCCGCCAACTCCGCCTACCACCCTCTCTCGCCCACTCTCATCGGCGCCATCGACGGCGTCGGCACCAAGCTTAAAATCGCCCACTCCGTCGGCATCCACGACACAGTCGGTATCGACCTCGTCGCCATGAACGTCAACGACCTCGTCGTCCAAGGCGCCGAACCCCTCTTCTTCCTCGACTGCTACTCCTGCGGCCACCTCGACGTCCCCACCGCCGCCGCCTTCGTCACCGGCGTCGCAGACGGCTGCGTCCAAGCCGGCTGCGCCCTCATCGGCGGCGAAACCGCCGAAATGCCCGGCCTCTTCATCGACGACTCCTACGACGCCGTCGGCGCCGCCGTAGGCGCCATCAACACCGTCGGCGACAACGCCCGCGCCATCCTCCCCCACACAGAGAACATGCGCACCGGCGACGTCCTCCTCGCCCTCGCCTCCTCAGGCCCCCACTCAAACGGCTACTCGCTCGTCCGCAAGATCGTCGAGCGCGCCGGCCTCTCCTACACCGACCCCGCCCCCTTCTCCATGCCCGGTCTCGATGCCGGCGTCTCCGTCGGCCGCGCCCTCCTCACCCCGACCCGCATCTACGTCAAGTCCATCCTCAAAGCGCTCAACACCCACGGCGCCTCCATTAAGGGTCTGGCTCACATCACCGGCGGCGGTCTCGTCGAAAACATCCCCCGCATGCTACCGGATCACCTCACTGCCCAGGTGGACGTCAGCACGTGGCAGCAGCCTTCTGTTTTCACCTGGCTGCAGCGTGCTGGTAACGTCTCCTCTGTGGAGATGGCCCGTGCCTTCAACTGTGGTGTCGGCATGATTATCGCCGTCGACCCTGCCTCCGAGGCGGATATTCGGAAGACTTTCGAGGCTGCTGGTGAGGAGGTTTACCGGGTTGGTGAGCTTCGTGCTCGTGGTGAGGGTGAAGAGGGCTGTGTGCTTTCTGGACTTGAGTCTTGGTCTGCGTGATATATGATTTGATGCTTTCTTAAAATTTGTTGATGTTTTATGCTAGAATGGAGAAAATCATTCGGTCTGGTTATCTATAGAATTTTTCTGGTTACAATATATTTTATTCTCCTGCTTCCAATCATATCCCCGTTCGGTCTGTTCCAAGCATTACACGATATTGTTTCCGAGGCCCTATTACCTAGTATAGTCCCTGCGTACACCATATGACGAGGGGAGGCATTAGGTTGAGAATGCATCCCAAGAGAAGCCGCTGCGTTGGACTTGGCTGAATATCCGAACGTCATCTTTGGGAATGCCCTGTATGGCCACGGGGTAGCCTTTGGAACTGGCGTTGCAGGGAGATTAGCCACTGTCTTTATGCCCTTTGCCTCTAAGGAATCTCTGCACCTCGCTGCGGAACCCGGGACCCTTACCTTATCCATGAAAACCCCATACCTGCAAATTACCTCAGCTCTGACCAGATTCCACCCAGCCCTCATCTTCCCTGTTGGCTTTCCCTTCAGAGCCGTGGCCTCTAACCACCCACTCAGAGAGCACGTGCCTGGACCATTCCAGAGTGACCCCAGACCCATACTCGTTTGGGAGTTGAGCAGTACCAGTGAAAACGACGTTCCAAATGTGCTGTACGCGGTTTTGGAAAGCCACGCCCACTGAAGGGAGAGCCAACAGGGGAAAATGATGGCTGACAAGCTGAGTGGATCTGGTCGGAGGTAATCTGCAGATATGGGTTCGCCACGAGAATCGACAATCGTCATGGGTAAGAGTCCCGGATTTCGCAGTTGCAGAGGTTCTTACAGGCAAAGGGCATAAAGAGAGTGGTCATTTTCCCCTTACAACGCTAAATCCTTGAACAACCTAGTGAGTGGCCTTCCAGGGCATCTAGGTCAAAGGAAAGGCATGCTGACTCGGTGTAGGCTGTAGCGACAGCCATTCTCGGCTGGGGAAACCTGTCTAGGACTCTTTCCCACTCTTATCTATTGGTGTGTGAGATATGTAGAAGGATCAAGGGAGAACGGAAGATATCAGCATAGGGCGGAGCAATGGGATCATTGAACCCCGAAGTATACATCTGACCTCGACCCATATCTAACGTGAAAACAACAAGCTCCTGAAATGGTCCAGTTGATACCTTCATTGCTACACAGTACAAGATACATGACTGCAAATAAAACAAAAGCCTTAAAAGACTACAATGGACATAATTTCGAAGTTTGAAAATACAACGCAATGGTCGGCTAGAACAAAGACAGATGTCGGCAAACGTCGAGGGCGAAACGATACACAACCTCAGTCCGGGGCCATGTACATCCTCACCCTACAGTCACACCGTTGTCGGCAAACAACCAGAACAAACGGGCATTGGACTTTGAAAGGAGAAAAGTGTAACGAAAAGCTTCGAAGCAGAGATGGATGGCGAAGAAAAGAGTAAGGCAAAGAGTAACAAAAAGAAAACGACCGACTCTATTCCACTAATATCGAGGTTCCATTTTCAGGCTATCCGCTTGATAATGCGAGTCCAACAACGCTTGCAATCCACCAGTGCCTCCATCCTGCCTTTTGATACACCAGTAAAGTACGAGCGAGACGAGTAAAGTGCAACGAGACGCTTAGAAGCACTTGCGGTGAACGATCGAAGGACCGCTCTCGTCGTACTCCTGCTTGGAGATCCACATCTGCTGGAAGGTGGACAGGGAGGCGAGAATGGAACCACCGATCCAGACGGAGTACTTGCGCTCGGGGGGAGCAATGATCTTGACCTTCATGGAAGAAGGAGCAAGAGCAGTGATCTCCTTCTGCATACGGTCGGAGATACCGGGGTACATGGTGGTACCACCAGACTGGAAGGAAAAAAGACAATGTTAGTCGGGATCTTGCGCGATTCCAGGTGGGACTCTTCTTACCATGACAATGTTGCCGTACAGATCCTTACGGACATCAACATCACACTTCATGATGGAGTTGAAGGTGGTGACGTGGATACCGCCAGACTCGAGACCAAGAACGTTAGGCTGGAACAGAGCCTCAGGAGCACGGAAGCGCTCGTTGCCAATAGTGATGACCTGTCCATCGGGAAGCTCGTAGGACTTCTCGAGGCTGGAGCTCTGGGAAGCGGTCTGGATCTCCTGCTCGAAGTCGAGAGCGACGTAGCAAAGCTTCTCCTTGATGTCGCGGACGATTTCACGCTCGGCGGTGGTGGAGAAGGTGTAACCACGCTCAGCCAGGATCTTCATCAGGTAATCGGTCAAGTCACGGCCAGCCATGTCGACACGCGAGATAGCGTGGGGAAGTGAGAAACCCTCGTAGATGGGCACAACGTGGGTGACACCGTCACCGGAGTCGAGAACGATACCAGTGGTACGACCGGAGGCGTACAGGGAGAGAACGGCCTGGATGGAGACGTAGAAGGCGGGGGCGTTGAAGGTCTCGAAAACGATCTGGGTCATCTTCTCACGGTTGGACTTGGGGTTGATAGGAGCCTCAGTCAAGAGGATGGGGTGCTCTTCGGGGGCAACGCGGAGCTCGTTGTAGAAGGTGTGGTGCCAGATCTTCTCCATGTCGTCCCAGTTGGTGACAACACCGTGCTCGATGGGGTAACGGAGCGTGAGGATACCACGCTTGGACTGTGCCTCATCACCAACGTAGGAGTCCTTCTGACCCATACCAATCATGATACTGCGCAGGGGTCAGTATTTTGCTTCCATTGATATCAATTGGCTGGAAATGTTGTAAAACAACAGCCAAGAGATACGAAAAATAGGGGGGAGAATTTACCCATGGTGACGGGGACGACCGACAATGGACGCTATTCGATTTCGTTAGTTACTTGATACTCAAATTTACAGCTTTTCTCCAGCCAAGCAAAAGAGGGGTCGGACGCAAGGGTTGGTGGGTTGGTGGGTTGGCGGCCTTTGCATGGAAGGGAGGGGGGAACTCGTTCGGTGGGGGTAGACTTACGGAAGACAGCTCGTGGTGCGTCGTCACCGGCGAAACCGGCCTTGCACATACCCGAACTAAATCGCAATTCATCAGTATCATAGTCCAGACAGTTTTTTGTTCTAAAGCGCCGCCTGGCCGTTGTGGAGGGTGGTGGAAGGCCGTTGGGAGGAAACCCCCCATCTTGCATCGTGGCCGATTAGGGGGATGTGGCGAACGACCGCGACCGAGCGATTTGATGACCAAGGCCAAATACCAGCCAGGAGCTCTCGGGAAAAAGATCTCACATACCCATTGTCAATGACGAGAGCAGCAACTTCCTCTGTGATGAGAATTATGGGTTAGTCTTGCGCAATTCAACAAGGCTCGAAGCTGGGCCAGTTAGGGGGGCAGCTTCCGGGGGAAGCTGATGATGTGGCCACAACATTCAGAAACGACATACCCTCCATTGTGACGGATTAAACAAGGAACTTTGGGGGGAAAGAGAAAAAAAGAAAAGAAAGATGGAATGAGGTTAGAGGGATATAGTTGGGATTAGGGGAGAGAGGGAAGAAGGAAGAGAGAGTGAGAGAGAAGTGGAGAGGGGTTTGTGATGGCTGGGATTGTGCGCTGCCTGAGGCTTCTCTTATGTTTTCCCCCCTCCGATCTACAAGTGTTGAATTCTTCTTTTTTATATGTCAAATGTTTGTTAAGGCAGAATGATTTCAGTCTTGATTTATGTATTTTATCCCTTCCCCCTCTTCAATCTTGTCAACCTAAAAGGATTGCGTGGACAAGCTTGGGAGATGAGCCTCCAGACTGTTTTGGGTACGGGGAACACGTAACTGAGTTAGGCGCCCTCTTTACTGTATACACAGGAGATAGTTGAAATGTACTATGAACCGTTGTATTACGCTACAATGCATACACAGTGTCAAGAGAGAAAGCATCCAAGACATGCTTCTACTGCGTATTATTCCCATTCCTTTGCTGATGACCCAGGTGGCGTACACGTTCTAAGTATAGGCGCCCCATCACCCTGACCCAGACTTCAACTTTTGGGGTAAATTTGGGTGGACACGTATTCGTATCCAGAGAGTAATCAGAGGGTACAGGGTTAGGTATCCAAGTATAAGGGCGTATGAAGGATTCCTCTATCTCGTAGGAGTTTTAGACTGAAGATCAAGAATCCGTTACCGCCATTTCCCTTCACTCAAGGAGGCTACTGGACCTTCTGGACCGGTGAACCGTGAGGCGGTGAGGTGGATACGTATCACGTGCTGTCATTTCTCTCTCTGCCACTGGCACTCTGCGACACGTAGGATATCAACTCGCCGATCAGCAATGGCATAAGAGCTACATACTGCGTAAAAATTGGTCTACATGGCCTTAGTCCAATTCGTATCTAGCATGCTATCTTCAAATTTGCTAATTAAATGCTTTGTGGTACTAAGTTATGCTGGTTATATCCACTTGGCTTCGACACCATATCACAACTAACATACCACACAGTTCAGTTATGAGACTGCAGTATGCACAAGGCGATGTCCAAGGCTGCGTAGGTTGTACTGCGTAGTCTAGAACTCGGTCAGGCATTGGAGAAATTCAGGTCACATGATCGAATGCCTCCGAATCGCCCAGAGCCATCCACCGCTGTCCCGCAGTCCCGACGTCAGAATATTATGTCAGCAGCTTTTTTTCCTTGGATCTATTGATAGTTGGAAAACTGCGACTGAACAATACTCTTTAATATACAGCAAAAATAACCTCAAATCTGCAATTACAGTTTCAATCACTATCATTACTCACTACTCCTCCCCGAAATTAACCGCACTACACACCTACAACACCACTACCCCGCCAGCCCACCATGAATCCCGATATGAACAACCTCCTCAAATGGGGTGTCGCCAACAGCCAGGCCCCCGGCACCGAAGGCAAAGACAGAACACCAGACCTGAAAGCTGCTGCATCGCAGCTGACCCCGCAGATGATCAACACACTCTTCGGCGGTCCTTCAGAGGCCGACCTTATGAAGGCAGCCATGGAGGTGCTGCACGATAACGAGTCCGACCTAGAGAACAAGTTGATCGCCTTCGACAATTTCGAGCAGCTGATTGAAGGCATCGATAATGCGAATAACCTCGAGCCATTGAATTTGTGGGCGCCGCTAGTCCAGCTGCTCAAGCATGAGGAGCCCGAGATCAGGCGTTACGCGGCTTGGTGTGTTGGTACAGCAGTGCAGAATAACCCCAAGGCACAGGATAAGGTACGCAGAGGTCCAACTTACTTGAGTGATAGAATGATAGAACTGACATATTCGCTAGCTTGTTCAAATGGATGCGCTCCCCACACTCGTTTCCATTGCTACCACGGAGACCGACAATGCAATTCGCAAGAAGGCTATCTACGCTATTTCCTCAGGAGTCCGCAACCACCAGGCTGCCATGGACGAGTTGACTAAGAGCCTGCCTGAGGGCTATCCCACCGATAAGACCGATGCCGCTGATATGGAGGCCATCGATGCTATTATGGACAAGCTGCGCTCCCACCTGATTGAGTCCTCGGCGTGAAGGAAGCCGGCTGTGACTAGACTGTAAAAGTCAGAATACGTTACATACAGAGGCGGCAAGATGGCCGTTGAATGGGCGCATACCCGCGGGCTGGCGTCTGACATGCCAGCACTTGCATTGTGACAGCTAGCCTGCCACGAGCACTTCGACGAATGCTAGGCCTCACTATTTGCTGGTAGCCACTGGCGATCACCGGATGCATTGGCAGGTTCTTGAATGGTCGGCGTTGGTTATATGGTTGCCTGAAAAGTTGCATCGCCATGGTCTTTACTGATATTTTGCCCTGAGCATATGAATGAATCCTACTGTACATACCCAGAGACTTCTGTCTCACTGCTGAAAACTAAATGCCATTACGAGTTTCCACCCAATCCATCTGCTATGCTGTTATATAGTCAATGATCCCGGGCATGGACAGTCAAAGCATGGCCTCGGTACAGCCTATACAGTTCTAATCTACTACTATCAAGATCTATAAAACAAGCAAAGGAGAATAAAGAAATAATAGGCCAATCCCTGTAAATGCACCTATGAATATTCATTTCGACCCCAGATATAGATACACCGGAACAACATTAATCCGTCCAACATCGTCATTGCACCGACCAGCCCGAGCTCTCCCCAGCGCGCAAACACCCCTCACAACCACCACCTCTTACAACCACCAAAGATGGACTCCTCAAGCAACCGCCTCTTCCGCTTCTCAAAGCCAGAATGGTTAAACAACTCCTCCGTCCGCAACGGCGGAGTCTACGTCGCCGGCGCCCTAGTAAGCACCTCTCCAACCCCAACCCCCATCCAGCCGCAACTCGCGACAGCGCCAATCCCAGCCTACAACACAGCCTATGAAGCATTCCTACATAACACACACCCCCAATATAACCAGCTAAGCTAACTGTTGAAACCAAAGTTCGCAGCAGGCTTCTTCTTCCTAATTGACGTCGCCTCATTCTCACGCAGCCCTCGCAACGGCTCAGACGTACACATCAAATTCGTCGACTGGATCCCCGGCATCTGTTCTGCGCTCGGCATGCTGGTTATCAACTCAATCGAGAAGAGCCGGCTGCAAGCTGATAGTTTCAGTTATAGTGGCAGCGGCGTCGCGTGGAAGGCGCGATTCGTGCTGTTTTTGGGATTCGCGTTGTTGGCGGGTGGGCTTGCGGGTAGTGTGGTACGTACTTCCTTTCTTTTTGTGGTGACCTTTGTGGTGATGAGGAGAGGATTTGAGTGGTGTGCTAATTGGTATCTGGTAGACGGTTTTCGTTCTCAAATATCTTATCAAGGAATACCCGGTTCAGACGCTTTACTTTGGTATTGCGAATATCGTGGCGAATGGGTTGGTTATGCTTAGGTATGCTGTTGTTCTGCAGGTGTGGGTTGTGAGTGTGTACTGACGGTGCTATGTCTAGTTCGATTGTCCTTTGGGTCTCGCAGAACATTGAGGATGATTACACCTACAATCTGGCGCTGTAATTGGTCTGGTTGGTGTAGCTCGTGTTTTTATACTTTATTTGATTTCCTTCCTGTGATGTTCTGCCGCTTGCGTATATTTTGCTGGGATTGGCGCTGTAACATGAAATCATATGCATTTCTTCTACATATGTCAGGTCGAGGCGTAACTTCCATGCTTCTGGAGATTACCTCTAGGTAGTAAAAAAAGCCCATTGGGATAGCTACCTCACGAGGTACAGAAGTAAATTATCAAAAGTGCCATTGCAATTTTGCATAAGAGGACGCCTAAGAACCGAACCCACAGAAGCCCCAAACACCTCCCATATATGCAATCATTAAATCATAAAACCCCCATTCCCTCCCCTCAATGCTCCTCACAGAACAACCTCAACAACTCATCAATACAAGTCATAGCCTTCTCCTTCTCCAAGACCGAAACCGCAACCCCAGGCACCAGCTTCAAATACCTTCGTAGTGCAAAAGCCGCAGCCTTGTACGTCGCATGGTACATAGCCTTAAACTCATCGTCATCAGCACTGGCACCAGGCGCCGGCGTCTCACGCATCTCCGGCGCAGGCGTCGCACCAGGAAGTTCAGATTCAGCGTCCGCAGCAGACTTATTCGTCGCAGAGCGCGGATTCGCACGATGGAAGCCATAGAGTCGCATACACGTCAGGATAGTACGGGTGATGAGATTCTTATTTTCCGCAACGACGGTATCAGGATCCTTAGCCGGCGAGCCAGGCGCGGAATGCTCTTTCGCGTCAGGAAGTGAAGAAGTCGCCTGCGGAGCTGGTGTACGGCGCGAAGAACCAGAGGCAGAATCCAAGAATGGATTTGGCGTTGGGGCACGCTTCTGCGGATCTACAATCGGCCCTGGCGTTGCGCGGCTGCGCATGGGGCGGTGCAGGCTTGTTCCGATTGAAGCGGAGCGGGCGCGATGCGGGACGATCTTGTCGAGGGGGGATTCGTCTTCTTCGCGCTTTATGCGGAGGGATTGGAGGTTTTGGGATGAGGAGGTTGGTCTTGAAGGTGCCATGAGTTGGGAGACGGCTTCGCCGCCTCGTTGGCGGACGCGGCGGTGGTGTTGGGCGGCTACTTCGAAGAGAGTTGCTACTCTTTTGCGTTTTGGGCTTGGGGAGCTTGTGTCTGGGAGGAATTCTGCGCAGCGGGGGGTGGTGGTGGGTTGCGTTATGGTTGAGGGTGGGGGTTCGTAGGATTGGGCTTGGGCGAGACGGGCGGTTGAGAGAGGTGCTGCGTAAATGCGTAGTTCGTAGGGTCGCTGCTGGGGGTTGCTAAGGCCTGGAAGGTCGGAGGGTGATGAGTGTGGTGGGGTTGGTGGGCGTGTGCATGATGCGCTGGATAGCACGCCGTAGACTAGGAGGGTTGTTGCGGCTTTGCCGGTTGTTTTGGTGTTATTTTCCACAGAGAGAAGAAGGCCTGCTGGGCATTGGAGAGATTGTTGGAGGGATGGCCCTTCTCCGTTTGCCCAGAGGGAACCCGTTAGTTTGCTCTGCAGCCATTTTGATGTCCCCGCGTGCGAGGTGTGCAGTTCGAGGTTGGGACCGGCACGCGCGTGTAACGGAATGAGTGCTGGATTGACGAAGCTGCGGAGACGCAGTTGGGACTCTTTGGATAACTCGGACTGCCCGTACGAATGGGGATCGACCAGTCGAATCCCTAGGCAAGTTGTCAGCGACGAACAAGATTCGATGCGCGTTGGGCTTTACCTTCTAAGCTGGAGCCCGACTTGAGCGGAATTGACCCCGACCAGACAATCATCTTGTTATCTGGGTTTTGGTAGGCTTTTCATGAGTTCTGCATGGTGATAGAAGTGTGCACTCGTGTGTTTGTTTGGTCAATGTTGGAAATGTCGATCTGCTTTATCTCCGCATCTCCACAGACGCGCTCGATTCACGCGCGGTCACGTGCGTCATAGATCAAACAAAGTAACGAAAGGAAGACCACAGAGAAAGTATTAGGGGAAGTAGCGGGTAGACTGTAAAGTCATTGTGAATTAGCTTTATTCTGAGTGCATCTATGTTCATTCATTCGGCTGCAATGTAGGCTGGAAAGATAGGTATTGAAAGACTGGTCGGCGAGGGTGTGAGCCTAGAATATAGATCCCTAATGTCCTTCCAAGTCAAAGGCTGGCCGAAGGTCTTTCCATGTCTACCAACAGTCATGAGGCTTAGGGGTCGCAGTATATTTGCAGACAGCCTCCGCTACGAATACACCAGAGATTGGTTCAGTCTTGAGTTCTCGAAACTCTATGTCCATTATATTGTGGGCCAACCAGTGTAGCACAGTGAAGTGTCAAGGCGGCTTGAATAGATGTCCACCGTACAGGCTCACTCATACATAGCATACCAAGCATACGCTGGAGTCAAATAAAACGCAGCAAAACAAATTCATGAACAAGGCTTGATCAAGCAAGCACCACCGGGCAAAATAGCCCTAGCCCCGCGCCACCCAACCTTGGCGATCAGAACTCCTCTTGTTCCTGGAAGAACATAGAGAAGCTGATAATCGTGCCGTAAATCAACAGACCTCCGAAAATCGACATGATCATTGCGGGGATCTCGATCGCGCCGCTGTGGGCAAGAACAACGGGAAGTGCTGGTAAATATATTAGTTAACGGTCATTAATAGCGCAATGACGATGCAAAATCCAAATAGCATGAATAACATATAGCCTGAACACCAAGGGCTGGCCAGGCATCCGCGTAATAATGCGCCCGCCCCGCAGAGAGGTTGTGACAAACCACTTACCAATGCCAGTAAGAACCAGGAAGCCAGTCATGAACCGTCCAAAGTCCATTGCTGAGTTGCTTGAGCTGTCCATAAAGTCATCTGGATTTGCGCATCGTTGGCAAATCCAGTTGGGGAGTGGCGCAACAACATAGATGCCGACAACCAACAATGGCCAGTACTTGTGCCATAACGCGGAAGAGAGGATGACGAGGAGGAAACCGATGGCAAGGACCTAGTGGAGTGTTAAAAAAATAGATATTGGACGGAACAAAGCGCAACGCGGCATACAAAGGAGAGCGCGATAATGGTCTTCAGTCCAGCGGCCATGATTGCGGAGGTGCCGAAGCCCAATTGAAGAGACTCGAGGTAGGAGGGGTAGGGTGGACTGCGTTAAGTCAAGAGGTAAATTCGAGAGCAGACCAAGTCACAGCCCCATTGGCCGAGCGTAGGAAATTGAAGAAGGAAATTAAGGAAGGACAGCACGTCAAGCTGGAGCTGGACGCGGAATGAGTGACGTTGGCGTCGGAAGGTCACTGGATATCGTCGCCTCAGGCACTAACAGCTCATGCTTCACACCGCGTCACTTTACTGCCTGCTCCAGCTCCCCCATTCTCCCTCCATCGCCGGATAATCCTTCAGATTCTTGTGCTACAATTCCTGTGTCTTTGATAATCAAGAGGGGTTTTCTTGCCGTTTTCGCCCATATATCCATTCAACACTTCCACGATGTTCAGAAACAATTACGACAACGATGCCGTCACCTTGTAAGACCAGTTCCCCGACCTCCCTCGATCCTATCAGAATGCTAACTTGAACCACAGCTCTCCACAGGGTCGGATATTCCAAGTGGAGTATGCACAGGAAGCAGTGAAGCAAGGATCCGTCGTGGTGGGATTGGTGAATAAGACACATGCCGTGCTGGTTGGACTCAAGGTTCGCAGACCTAGATCACGAATCGATAACGCAGTCGTCAAAAACTAACATCACTCCAGCGCAACGCAGAAGAGCTCTCCTCGTACCAGAAGAAGATCATCGAGATCGACTCGCACATGGCCATCGCCATCGCCGGCCTGGCATCAGACGCCCGCGTCCTCTCGAACTTCATGAAGCAGCAGTCCCTCGGCTCGAAGATGACCTACGGACGGCCCATCCCCCTGGACCGGATCGTCAGCCAAATCGGTGACCGCGCGCAGACCAACACCCAGCATTACGGGAAACGGCCGTACGGTGTGGGTCTGCTGGTTGCCGGCGTTGATGAGGCTGGCCCGCATCTGTTCGAGTTCCAGCCCTCCGGTCTGACGCAAGAGATGGCTGCCTGTGCTATCGGTGCGCGGTCGCAGATGGCGCGGACGTACTTGGAGCGGAACCTCGACAAGTTTGATGGTTGCAGTCGTGATGAGCTGATTCAGCATGGATTGAGTGCGCTGAAGGAGACGCTTTCTCAGGATAAGGAGCTTACGGTGGATAACACCTCCGTCGGTGTCGTTGGTGTGACTAATGGCAAGAAGGAGAGCTTCAAGCTGTACGAGGGTCAGGATACCGCTGCGCTGCTGGAGGTGCTGGAGCAGCGCGAGTCTGCTGGTGCAGAGGCCGAGTCCATGGAGGTTGATTCATAAATTTCCTTGGTTTAATGATTCGCATAGACATGAAATCCTGATTATGCTTTGTCTTGAGTGTTTACGACCATCTCAGTTCCTCGATCATCAATCGTCAATTCATAATTTTTTTCTTAAAGAAACTATCTACCGGTCTATGTTTACATCTCCACTGAAGTCTGCGAAGGCCAAAAGAAAACCAAACCAGACTTCAGTCGAACGCAGGGACACCGCTGTCTATGCATCCATGCTGCAAACCCTCTAAACATCCGCTCACTCCTGTCCCCAATTCAACTGCATCCGCCCATTGCTGACCCGATAAGCCAGCAATTTAGGCCAAACCTCCGCAACATCCTTCGCCTCGGCCAAAATCTCCCCATTATCAACACTAATATACCCCTCCTTAACCGCATTCCTCACCCAAGCCAACAGTCCATCCCAATACCCATTAATATTCAACAAAACAACCGCAACCTGATGAATCCCCAACTGATTCCACGTCGTCATCTCCATAACCTCCTCAATAGTCCCAAACCCACCAGCCAGCGAAACAAACCCAGACCCAGGCCCACCCTCCAACACCTTCGTCGCCATCAACTTCTTGCGAGTATGCATATCAGGCACAACCGTCGTAATCCCGTACTCAGACTCGGGAATCCCGTTCTCGTCATCGGGATCAATGATTCGCTCCGCGGCTTTGCCGGCTTGCGTGGCCTCGGCCTGGCCGTTGCGCGTGCTGCTGACGGTTGCGACTTTGATGAGCGCGCGCGGGATTATCCCGTGCACGGCTTTGGGGCCGGAGAGGGAGACTAAAACCCGGGCTATCTCGCCCATTAGGCCTGTTGTGCCGCCGCCGTAGACTAGTTGCACGTTGTTCTTGTGGAATTCTTGCGCTAGGGCTCGCGCTGCTTCCATGTGCACTGGGTTGGTGCCTGGGACGGAGCCGCAGCTGTGATGGTTTGGTGAGCTTGGTTTCTTGTGACGGGTAGATCGGAGGGATATGGTATGTAGAGGTTTGGTGGTTGCTCTCATTTCGTAGGTGGTGGTGACTCACAATACGCAGACCACGGGTGGTTTGGTCTCTGGGTTTACCATGTTGATTTGTAGGTGGTACTCGGAACAGAGAGAGTAGATGAGAGGTCTTGGAAGTAATCTTGTCAAGAAGGAAGACGAGTGGGAAGATCAAGGAAGTAGGAACTTGGGAACGGACAACCTTGAACCGGGCACCAACAGAACCCCACACCGATAAGAGATAACGGAGTCTCCAATTTTCCAGGTCCTTGCAAGGCTTGACGTAACTACTTTGGACTTGATCCAGGCTATGTTTACTGCGTATACGTTTCGATGTATTTGGGCTACTCGAACAGACTAACAGTCGAACTTCCATTGAAGGCTCGGAGCAATTCAGAGTACACTGACTTCCGATCCCAAAGAACCGCAAGGATAGTCGGTGGCCTTGGTGGCGGTATCATGGAGTATGATTGTTTTGAGGTTCCTGTTCAATATTCCGGTCTGCAGGAAAGAACCAGTTCAGTGACTTGCTATGTGTTGAGGGCGCTATCGCTAGCCATTCGTACCTAGAGGTATACGACATCAGGGACCTTGAATAGCTCAATTCTTACCTCACACGGAAGACATATAAATTATGTGCTACCCAACTCTCTCAATAGCAATAAAACAGAAATCCCCGTAAATGAATGCCCAGCCGTTATAATTGCGCCAAGTGATGCAATCAATTCCAAAAAGAGATGGGTATCAAGAAACAAACTCAACTCACAACCCGACTTTTCTTCCTCTTCCCCTTATCACCACCAGAACTAGGCGGCGAAGCACCCTTCTCCGAGCCCTTAGGTGTCTCAACACGCACCTGCGGCGTCGGAGCTCGAACCGGTAATGCCGCAGGCGTCCCGGTCGCCGTAGCAGGAGCCTTCGTCGTAGCTTTACTGGTCGTCTCGCTGCCAGTGCGCGATAAGATGAAAGAGCCCGGTTCGCCGACGAGGGGGTTTTCGTCCATGAACTCGTCGCCGAACCGGCTGAATAGATTGAACGATTCTGCCAGGTTACGGGTATTCATGAAGGTGGATTTTGATGTGCTTGTGCTTAGTTTGGTCGTTGCTTGGGAATCTGCGCTGGTGAAGGATGTGTCTGGCATGGGGGTTGCTTCTTTGCTTTGCGGGGCTTGATTCGTGCCGGGTAATTCTTTGGTGCGGGCTCCGGGTGGCATGTATGTGTGTCCGGAGGAAGGGGTGAATGTTGGTAAGGTCGAGGCGGCCTTCAGGAGTTGAGAGAGGGATGTGACGGCGGATAGCTTGGAATATTTGTTAGAATGATTCGAGTGTATGGGAGGGATCAGGGGAAGACGAAGGCAACATACAATTCGGTTACCTACTACACTGGCAACTGAGGGAGCCATGTAGATGCAATCGCCGACAATGAAGTACGTTGACAATACAGTCACCTCGTCGTCCATACCGTTTCTCTTCCGCCGGTTCTGCTTGCGGATCACCCAGACATTGGAGGGTTCGTGGGCGAAGCGGTTGTCTGTCTGTGCAGCTGCTTGTAGGGGATCGTATGATACGACAAACTCCAGACCCTGCATTGTTTTCAGGCGGCCCTCGAATGCTTCGCGCGTCTCGACGAAATGTCGGAAGGAATCATTGTAGTTGGCTTGAATGGCGAGTGAGGCGTTGTTGGAGGTCGGGTCGAAGAAAGGTGATTCGGCAAAGTAGAAAAGAACTGATTTGAAGAGATCAATATCATACCAGGTATTGGCGAGGAGTGCGACTTACCATTGTTGGAGTGAAGGTATCCCCCCATCATTTGGACGTGCGGGGGAGACCGCCAGAGGATCTCCTCCATTGAGGCATCTTGACCAGCCATTTGGAACCGGAAGTATGGGCTAGACCAAAAGGTATCTAGCCAAAGCAAATATGAGCTTTAATTATTGTGAATCTAGTAAGATGTTGAAAGGAAAGACGCAGCGCGAAGGTCGAGGCCGCGGAGAGGAAATTGTTTGCTTTTGTTTGCACAGTTTGGCATAATGACGAGGAAGAGACGGACAGCTACGAGTCACGAGTTCTGATGAATTTTGATTTCTATGTTGTTGTGTATGAATTATATAGACAAAATGCAGATTGCAGGTAAGTGATATAAGATATTGACAGAGTAAGGACCAGACCCAAACGCCAACGCTGAATGTTGAATCGAATCCCAATTCCAACGCATAGATCCGAATGTTGAAAGCAAGGAAAAGCGTGGACCATGATGCACAATAGTGACTGTCAGCATGGCCGAAAAATAAAACCATAAACTAAGAGCTGGCGTCGGATTTTCCGCCTGCGTCAAGCGGCCTGAAGACATTGCAAACCACACGAAGTTTAGTCAACATCTCATCCCATTCCCCCTCCGCAGTGCTGAGTGTAGTAATAGCTCCACCAGCGCCGATTCGCCAGGTCTGCTGCCCTTTCTCAATTTCGTCCCGACCCCCAGAGCAAGTGAATGCCGAGCGGATCAGAACCGAGAAGCTTCCACCTCCGCCAAGGTCAAGGAATCCCATAACACCAGAGTAGATGCTGCGCTTGCGATTCTCAATTGTGCGCAGGTGCATGCAGGAGCGTTCCTTGGGTGCACCGGTCATGGAGCCCGGCGGAAGACAGCGCTGGAGGGTGGTCAGACCGTGGACGGACATGTTGGGGGTGTTCAGATGAGACATGTGTCGCACGGCGAAGCCCGGGTGGTTGGGGCGGACCTTGCCCTTGATGTGGGTGATCATTGAGTAGACACGGCCGTAATCTGCAACTTCCAATAGCTTCTCGACATGGACGCCGCCTGATCCGCAGATACCGTATAGATCATGGCGGATTAGATCTGCGATCATGAGGTTCTCTGCCATCTCTTTTGTGGAGCTGAGGATCTCGCAGGCTTTCTCCATGGTCATGTCTGGTGACTTTCGGACTGTGCCTTTCATTGGCTTCATTTCCAGTGTTGATTCGCGGTCCCAGTTCAGGAAACATTCTGGGCTGCTGCTGGCGATCTTCGTATCGCCCAAATCTGCGAACGCGCTGAACGCAGCTGGGTTGTATGTTTTGAGTCGTCTGTAGAGCTTCCAGGGGAACATGAGGCGCTCTGATTCCACCTGTGGAATAGGCAAAGTGATTGATGTTTCGGACGTTAGACACAACTCGTAAGATTCACCTGCTGCCAGTTCTGCTTTGCAAGACTCGATCTCTTGCTTGTACTTCTGTTCTTCGGGGAACTGAATCTTGCTTTCCCTAAGGATTGAGTCCAAGTATTGATCTGCAGATGAACCATGGCCACCGTCCGCAAGATCTTGCAGCTGGCGCAGTGTCTCGTCAAGCCAGCCAGAATCATCTTGGCGAGTGGATTGGATGACAACATGACCAGTAGCGTTGTCAACAACGATGCTTCTTTCACACCACAGAAGGCTAACATCAGGTGGTTCTGCGAAAGGAGAATGAGATGAGGAATTCTCAGTGGGCTTCGGTTGCTCAGCAGCCTGCGCGGAGCTGTGGTGCGGAAGACAAGTAAGGCCCAGCTCATAAGAGAAATACCCCAAAAAGCCACCCCAGAATGGCACCTGAGAGTTGCCAGAGTCGACCTTCTTCATTTCCATCAGATACCGCAACGCATCCCACAATTGAACAACGGTAATACAATCATTGACCTCTTCGCGATCGCCATTGAGCTGGATCAAGCGAAGCTTATGTGTCTCAACATTGTATTCTAGTCGCCATGAGCCAGGACTCGGGACCGAGGCAATGCTGTATCGGCCATTAGATTGAAACAAGACAGTCGGCGAGCCTGGTTCGTTGAACAATTCACTGATAGACTCAGCGGACAAGCCAACTCGTTCAAAAGATCGAGAAAGTGAAGATCTGGAAGTTGACTTGCTCCACTTGAGCATTTCGTACGCAGCATCAGGAAACGAACTAGGCGCTGTGTGAGGGCTGATGACTGTCTCCGGGAGAGGAGAATATCCACCACGTCCAGTGATTTTGTTGAATGACAAAGCCATCTTCCACCAGTTCGTGAGAAGTGCCTTGCAGGCATTAATTTCTGATTTGCAGGACTCCGGGTGGAATTGGACGCCCCAGAATGGTTTATTAAGGTGACGGACTGCCATAGGTATCTGTGCATCCGGGCGATCTTTTAGAGACAACCAGGCCAGGTACTCGAGTTCAGGCGATGTCCCAGCCGCTGCATTGGCATACAGTGAATGGTAAAGGGTCACCTCTACCTCCGACAGGCGTTCAAAGATATCCGTGGATGACGTGGAAATCTTATGAATCTGACCATGAAGCGGGTACGGAAGACGCTCGATCGGAACACCGTGGTGAAGACAAAGGCTTTGGAAGCCCAAGCAGATACCGAAAACTGGCAGGAGATTCGAGTCTTTCAGATTCCAGATGTCTCTCATGATGCCAACATCTGAAGGCACGTTCGGGTCTCCTGGTCCTGGCCCAAGAACAATGGCCTCGTAGTGCTGGAGGAATTCGGTCATGTTCGACTCCGGCCATTCTGAGTCAATGGTAATGACCGTGACTTTGGCGTCGAGGGTTTCCTCCAGCATGGCGACCACATTGTAGGAGAATGAGTCATAGGCATCGACATAAAGAATGCTCTTGGGTGAGGAGCCCCGAGCAGAATTTGGAAGTATGTTCTGGCTGCTTGAAGCATCCCAATGATCTAACATTGGTGCCATGATGATGGGTCTTTTCAGGTCTTTTCGTTTTGATAAGCTGACAGTGGGCTGAGGTATATGATCCCAGATTCCAATGGTCCGCTGAAACGTGTTTGTTATTGACTGAAATAGGAGCTAGCAAGGTTGATCTGCATCGCAGATCTTCCAATTTCTTGAGGTCCTTTAGCTCCGTATGCTAGATCGGTGAATTTGCCGCTTATCTGATGGAGCGGAACGAGGGCTTAGCGTGCCCAGGTGGCAATGCAAGAAATGTGCAGATGGGGTATTGTTTGAAGATGGAGCGTCAAAAGTACAATGTCATGCAGCGTGCAAGGATATGGGAGAGTTAACAATGCATTGTGCCCTGAGGCGAGGCAAAAAACGGAAAAAGAAAATTAAGGTTGGCGATGAAAAAGGCCAAAAGCGGGTACCAACGGAGCGGCTCCACCGAGTGGCAGAGTGGCGAAGATTGGTCGAGAGCCTCAACGGGGAATTGATAGCAAAGTACTCCGTATTATTGTTACAATTGTCTGGAATCATTCGGTGATCGGCCTGGAGCTCCGTATCCTGGAGTTTAAAGTAATGGAGTAATGCTCAAGAGTTGTCGACAAGAGAGCCAAGATCTATGGTGGCATCGAGGTAGACGATTGTCTCAGCCACATCCAGAGCTGGAGGGTATCCAAGGACTAGAGTGACATTCACTATCATGGAAGATACTTCTTCAGGAGATTTGTTCATGAGAATCGAAATATTTTCATTGAAGACGAACTGGAATGCAGTACATGGCTAACACAAATGGCACGAAAAAAGCTGAAGGGTATTCAACGCTGCAAAACATCACGACTGTCCAGGATGGGAAGCCTGCGCAGGCGCCGACAACGAAGCGAGTTTGACAGCAACTTTAGGGAAATACTGAGCCACAAATCCCTCAGTGTAATAACTATGCGCAGAGCTGTGATCCCCGACCAAGTTGTGCGCCAGCTCATGACACAGAATCACCCACCAATATACAATCGCCTCGGTACGATCCGAAGTCGCGCTTTGGAGTAGCTCCTGCTCCTGCAATGTGTGGAAATACCAGTAGTTGCAGAAGATACTGCCCGCCCGGTTGAATGCGATCGTCTTACCGCCTGGATCATAGAAGATAGTGAGACTGTCGGATCGCATAGAGAAGATGGATCCGCAATCAAGGAGGATCGAAGCGAACAGGTTGAAGCCCGCGCGGTTTTTAGAGAGGAACGCGGATCGCTCGGTGACCGTCTTTGTGAACAGAACGTTCATGCCGGAACCGGGGAGTGTGGCAACAAACTCCAAGTCGTGGCTTGGTCGTTCATCGCAGTAGGAATCGCTCTTCTGGATTTGATTCGTTTCTGGACGACTGTACACGTCGGAGGACCCGTGGGCTCGGCATGCTTGAACAGCGGAGAGAAGCTCGGAGTTTAGTCGGTGTGGCGAGTTGGCGTTTACAGGTTGCTCGGGTCGCTGTTGCTGCGTCTGGGGGTCATTGGGGGAGTAAGGCGGCGGCGGTGGAGTGGAGGACTCGGGAAGCAGAGACCGGGATTGCTCTTCAGAGCTCGCTGAACCGGATTTTCCGCTGTCCAAGCCAAATCGTTTTGTCAGATTGGCAAATAAGCCTCGACTGGGTCGTTCTGGTACGGGGCCCGGAGAAGCGGCATGCGCTTGTTCGGGCAACGCCTTGTGCTTCGGCGACTCAGGGAACACACCGGGCATGGCATTCGCGGCCTGTGCTTGAGCCTCTGCTTGAGCCTGTGCTTGGGCACGCTCTTGCTCGGCCTGCTGAGAGTCGCGCTGAGCTTGACCAGCTGCCCAAGCGGCTTCTCTCTCCTGCAAGATCCGTCGCTCCTCTTCGAGTCGCTTTTGGCGTTTGTCTTCTGCAATCCGAGCCTCTTGGGCCTTTTGTCTCAGGATACGTTCCACATTGTAACCGCGAGCCCGAAGTTCCAAAAGATCAGTTTTCAACAACATTTCCAGTGTCAAGGTCGAGTGTAGCTTTGGTCGTTTCAGGATGAGATGCACTAGGGACTGACTAATCTCGTATAAGTCGTATGGACCTGGGCGAATACACATGCCCCAGTCCGAACCCAAGCGTGCGACAATCGCTTTTCGATCCTGGGTGTGCGAGACACGTCGACCTTTGAGGGATCTCGTGAGACTGATCGAGGTCACAACCTGAACCTTGAAGGAATTTTCCAACCATCGGGTGCCGTGTAGGACAGAGTCTGGAGGTTGGTCATGCAAGAAAAGTCGTACACGTTCGAGAATGAGTTTCTGCAGTTTGACTGCCGAGGTTTGATCGCTGGACCTGCTACCAAATCGCGCTTGTTCTTCAACAAGACCGCTCAAGGGGATGGCACCTAGAGCAGCATAGAAATCCTCCAATGTTTCTTCTTGGGGGGCAGCGAGAATGTGCTCTTTGAACAGATTGAAACTTTGAAAATCGTCTACCACGACAACATCTTTGGCGGAAGCCAAACTCCATTCCTTAATGTCCATATCATCTTCTTCATCATGGAGGTCCTTCCCAGCAGGCTTTCCTTTGCCGCCTTGATCAGAAGCATTAGGCGGGATGTCGCGACTAGCAAGGAGGAACTTCGCTCTTTTCATCTCAAGGAAAAGGTCTTTGTCTTTCTTTAGCACAGAGATGTGCTCGGCGAGGGTTCTGAGGAGCATGAGATATTTCTCTGAGCTTTGGAACGCCGCAGAAATGCGAGCTGGCTCTTTGACCAGCATCCGTGCGATCTCGACCTTAGTGGGTTCTCGTTTGGAACCTATGGCCATGAGAAAGAGGTTTGCCTCCTGTCCAAAATTGACAAAGTCAAATATATCCTTGTAGTCCTCACCGTCTCCGAGATAGCATAGCCTGGGAGCCACAAGTCGGACTCCAGCCCCTTTGTCCGATTGATTACGGATGGGGATCGGAATGATTGGTGTCTGGCTGATACGGTCTATGTCTTGCTGGCTCAGATCCGTGACTCTGCCTGCCAGATACTTGAACATGATCCGGGCATCCTTTTGGGTAGTAGGAGGGTGCTTGGAAAGAACTTGAAGGCAATCTGCCATCGGAGGATGGGGTTTTACCCCCAGTTTGGACGCATGGAGATGCAGATTATGTCTGAGGAGCTTGAAACCAAACAAGGTCGCACCTTCATCGGTGAAGCATTTCTTCGGCACGCTCAAGATATCGGATCCTTCAAGAGGTAGGAAGGGCACTGTGACCGCGCTGATTTCGAACGAAGCATAACCGTTTGTGTAGTACTCGCCGAGGAAGTACGACAAAGCTTTGCTAGCTCGACTGTCTTTCTCCGTGCTCCCAGCTGACATGAGTCGTACGAGTTCAACAGCTGATGGGAAGCTTTTGAGTCCCATCATCGTGAGGAATCTGCCCTCATTGCTGCTGTTGATATATGTACTTGGCCACTCGATGATCGGTAACCCAAGAGCTCGCAATGCGTCCTTTGGTTCATAAAGTTCAGAGATTTTGTACCGCGTGCTATCCGACCCTCTCCCACTTTCGGCGGTACAGATCTTGGTCCCCTTCAACCTCTGTATATCGCTTACAGGAATATCCTCTCGTACAGAGGCGAGGTATCGGATCAGGTCGACGTGATTCCATTTCCGAGGGCCGGAGCCTTTTTCGTCATTGGACGGCGGAGAGTTAATCAAACGATCAAAAATCACGCCAAGTTCGACAGTTTTGCGAACGCCCAGTGCGACCAGAATTTTTTCCTTGACGCCATTCAGACCGTGGACCACTGGTAGGTCGTCGAAAAGGCGCACGGAAGCAAAATACGTCTGCGGGGGTTGCTTCATCCCAAGTTTGGTGGGTATCACGGTTTGGGGCCGAAGAATATCGACAACGCTTTGCTTCGACGCTTGGCTCAGAGTTTCCCATTGCTTGGACAAGACAGGCAAGACCTGGCCTGAGAAAGCTGCCCATTGTGTGATGTCTTGATCTATTGAGAAGATATTGCGGTCCCCGGAATTATTGACAATCCAACGAAGCCATGGAACGATGTGCAGCTCGGTCCAGCCCAGCGCTTCCAGCTCTTGCTTGCCCAAAGTCTTCGTGAACCTGAAAGGTATCACACTCGTCGGCACAGGGAGGTCTGCTGGTATACGTTGAGGATTCAAGAAACAGGTAATATCTGCAAAAATGATCAAACGAGTAGGCGCCCCCTCCTTGTCCTCATCGTTAGCCACAGCTACCCGTAGCAGACTCTGCACCGATGACCTATCAAGCTGGCCGGCCACCGTTTTACGGCCGAGCCACGATATGAACTCAAGAACTTGATTAGATCGCAAAGTACTGGACTCTAATTCGCGCTTGATGTCGGATACCGTGATTTCCGTAACTAGACCGAAATCTGTAAGCCGTTTGACAAATTCCTTGGAGCCTTGCACGAATTCTTCGGGCAAAGCAGGAATTGAATCCATGAAGCTGAGATCTTTGGGTGCGATTCGCGTCTGGTGGCTGGGAATGACACCACATGTAGACAGGATGTCAATAGAGGCATTCTTGTTGCACATCCAGAACGCATCCTCAATTGTTTGTCCCAAAACAGAAGAAGGGGTAGATTCGCGAAACACGAATTGATTTGCGGTGTGGATAGCCTCTGGCAACACATCCACGATGTCTTCTTTCCGAAGCTTAGATGAGCGAGATGGTCCAAATTTGAGAGCGAGTTTGGATTTAATCGCGGCCATCTCTGCCGACCAAGCAATCCGACAAACAATACCAACTGCTCGTAGCATTTCGAGGTTCCACTTGCTGATATATCGAGTGTTGAGATCGATACTCTCTCGCTCCACGGTCGGGATGACAGATGGAGCAGATACATGGGCATTCAGACCAGTTGTCTGTGCGGTAGGGAAGCCAATAAAGACCCTTCCGGCTTTCGTAGGTAGAATTGATGAGAGAATCTCTGACTGTGATGACGCTCCGGTGGTCGGGTTGACATCATAGGAAGGAGTCAAGATTGCAAGAGTTGCTCTCTTAGGCGGGGGTTTTCGTGTGGCTCGTTCCAGCTCTTTGCTCAGGTCTTTCCTGATAGAAGGCTGAAGCGACGCGGTATTGATATGCAGAAAGACCGATGCCGATAGCATGGTATTCATGGTGCCTGAATCCTCCAACCGCTCAGGTTCCTGTTTCTGAGCAGCGGACTGTTTATCTGGAGTGCTCTGTGTAAACTTAGAGAAAAAGCTTCTCAAAGAGCTGGTTGTATCTCGAAGATTATCAAGGCGGAACATGCTTGCATTTGGATTCCATTCCACGATTCTCATCCACGAAGCATCAACCTGGGCAATTTCTCGAGTGACATTGATGACTTTCATCAGACCTTCGGCAGTCTTAGTGTCAATATCTCGAGGAATGGGAACGTCGGCACTGGGGGCTGTCTTCTTCGATAGTTTCAGAAGATTCCAATCATCTAGCCATAATTCTATCTCCTGCAGAGAGACAAACGTTAAACTGCTCGACAAAAACTGGCAAAGCTGCAGTAACGGCGGAACCGGGGAAGAATCATTGCGGTAATCTAAAACAAAGGTAGTATCCGGACTTGCAGCTTCACCGAGATCCAGTCGGCGGGTGAACAGTCCATTCCCTTTCCAGTAGAAGGCCATGGCTTGGCTGCCGGAAGACACAAACGGCTCCTCACAATCATCAAAAACGCTGTAAAAGCCCACTCCGAATGCGCCGATTTTCGTTTCATCAGGGTTGCCGTCCGCGATGCGCTTCAGTCTTGCCCAGTCCTTTTCACTGAACGCAGCGCCATTGTTTGATATGAGAAGACGCCGTAGAGTGTGATTTGTGATAGTATGCTTCAGATGTGCGGTGGGGTCATTTGATGAAGGAGATGGCACAGTGGTTGATGGAATAGTCTCGAACTTGATAGTCACTTTCGTTGCAGAAGCATCAGCGGCATTTTGAATCATTTCTCTCAGGACCGTCCTAAATCAGGTTAGCACTGACCCCGAGACGTAAGTTACAGTTGCTCTTACCATTTCCCAGAATAACGAGCAAGTACTTTGGAGATCAAGCCTCTTGTATCGACCGTCACAGCCTCCTCGTCGGCTCCGGACCCCATAGTCCGCGCCTTTAAGGCGTTGAAATCCACGTTCATAGCCATCTTGTCGTGTACTCGTTACGCTGAAAGGCTGTCTTCAGTAGCCTATCTCGATATCGTTGTCACGCCCATCTATTCGCTGCACAACTGCCAATGAGAGTCAGACAAACAAGGTCGAGGGTGGCCTAGGCTGCCGTAAGTGTATGCCTCGGATGCGCCGCTACCGTAGATCGTAAACGATGCAATGGTCGCCAGGATAACAAAGGTTGAAACGATGACTCGATGAGTACAGTCTATAACCAGAAAAGGAGAAAAGAATACAAAACGACGTAAGAATGATAAGGGAGAGAATGTCAAACACTCTGCCCTGACTCGGAGACTGCGGAGTTTACCTTGGGCTTATCTCTTATCGGACTGCTCCAGAACTGCCAGTCTCCCCCGCCTTTACCGATTCAAGTACCAGTACTTCAGTGCTTACACAAATAATGCGGGCATAGATGTACTCAAAGTACCATTACGGGGAGCCACGTCACCCATCAACGCAGCATTTGTTGTTCGGAGCTACTCGACTCAGGAGTGCGGAACGGAACTGGCAATTTGCTGGGAGGCTTTTCTTTTCACGTTCTTTCAAAGACGTGTTCCACGTCGGGCGTGCTCCTCGTTTGGATTCTCACACCCGTCCCTAGCCCATGACGGCCGACACTTACCAACTTGTGTGAATGCGGGCTTGATATTCTCCATCGCCTCAACAGCTCTCTACCGACAGGATGGGTGTCGACCCTCTGTCTCCAATTGCGCCTGTTCGGCTTAGGGCGCTCTTGCTTCCCATTGGCAGAATCAAGCGCTCACGCTTTCTGAGCTTTGCTGCTCGACTACAAGCTGAGAATGTCGTTCGGCTAGGAGACATCAGTCCCGATGCGCGGCCAAACAGAAGTATGTCCCACCCCCTGATGAGGTGTCGCCATTAGTCACTTTCAATTACAATTTATACTGACCACATCATGAAGACATGTTTTCACCATTAGCTTTCCCTACTGGATTGATTCTTTACGACCTTTCGTTCTCGGTACCCCCAACTTCGCACCTCGAACTATTTCCTTTCGAGGTATATAGAGAGCCTCTGGTGATCATTGCGATCGCAGATGGGACCGAACTGCCTGAAAACACTGGCGACAAACAGAAGCACCCGAGTCCGGATGGACTTGATCAGTTATTGGAAGAGCTCAATGGGGTGAAGGAGAGGAACCCCCGGGCATTGGTAAACCAACTCTTGGTTTTCGATCATCCGGGCTTGGACAAGGTCACGAACGGCCCGGATAATGTCCTTTGGGTCCCACCGCCCCAAGCATCCAAGGCTACCACAATGAAGACAGTCCTCTGTGATATCACCTCGGTCTTGCTCTCAGAATTGGATGAGTTCGCAAAGACGATTCAAAGCATACCCTCGATTGAGTCACCAAAGGCATCCTCTTGGGGCCCGCATCGGAACCCTGAATTACGACCACGGCCAGTAGATCGACTATTGAACCGTATGACTCTACCTGCACAGCTTCCGTCCAATCCAACCGGCACACCAGATGGCGCCAGTCCATTCAGCTCAAAGCCCGGCTCTCCAGCTCCCAGCGATCACGAAACCCCTACAACATTTGATGAGATCACTCGCGCAATTCACCTATCGAGTCGTACAAACTCAGGCAGCAGGACACCTTCGGTGGCATCACCTAAGGAGCATAGCCGTGACCGTATGTCTGTTAGTGGTATGAGTGCCACGGACAGAACTAAGAATCGAATTAAGGGCCGAGCCGGGGTGGTGATTGGAACACTTTTCCTGCAGGCGGGAAGGTGGCCCGATGCCCTCAAGGAACTGACTGAGGCGGCGAACAATGCTCGGGCAAGCAGCGACTACATTTGGCACGCTAAGGCCCTTGAAACAATTCTTCTTTGTCTGCTGATGTTTGGATGGGCAGGCATGGACTTCCAGGTATGTGAAGAGATCAATGCTATCGTGTGTCCATGCACTTGTAGCAGTTCGCTTACTTGCCCACTAGATTCCGGCAGTCCTGTACCCTGCTGCGGATAAGTCCTCCAAGCATCGCGACTCCATGACCCCTAGCAGTGCCGGAAACAGGGTCATTTCTCTACAGAATCTGGCCAACCTTTTGCCGGATCTCTCAAACAACATCTTAAACCTTTACACCCGCGCTGCTAATATCACTGATGAACCTCTTCCTCAGCTGGTATTCTCAGAAACTGTGATTCGATTGGCAAGGCTGATGGTGTCAGCGCGCGTTCGCGATGGAGCTTTAGATGACAATGCTTTAAAGCACATCGTGATGAACGAAAGCCTTGTTCCATTGCTTCAACCAGAATTACCCCGGGGTACTGTTTTGCTTCGAAAGGCCGAAATTGCCAACTTCCTCTATCGAGCGCTACCACTTGCTCCTGGCGCGGACTTGCCAGCGACTGACGCTGTTCCTATCATCGTTGGCGTTGTGGCTGTTCTCAACACCCTTGACTTGCCACGGAAGAAAGCATTTATCATGCGTGAGCTTCTATCGGTAATGGTTCCGAGCTTAGTACAGGCACGCAAAATCGGTGCTGCGGAGGTGGGTATTCATCCTGCAGCTGGACTGGCCTCTCTCAGTGATACCGCATTTGACGTGAATGCCCTCGACACTGGCCCTGGGAACATGGAGTCAAGTGTGCGCCTTCTTCTTTCAAATATTGGAGAAATCTACGGCGTACAGCCATCGTATTTCTGTGAAATCGAAAAACGACAAAGCCAATCCTCCGCTGTGAGTGGGGCGCGGGATAACGCCGAGCATGATTCTGTTGCTGGTATTACCGAGCGGACATTCCGACATGTAGTCCTTGATCGTTACGGTGATCTGAACTTGAAAATCGATGTTTTGAAGGCATGCATCAACTGCTGCGAAGCTCTTCCAGACTTCAACGGCGTTCTTCGTTTTACGGTTGAGCTTTTACGGACTATTCGAGGAGACATCATGCTTGGTGAAGGCTACAAGTCCCCACCGTATCTACCTCGGGATGAACAAGTCCGTTTGTTGAACAACATCAAGCGTACAGTGGGCGCAGGAAGTAGACTAGGTGCTTCCGACATGGTCGCAGAGTACTGGGATGATTTCTTAGTACGCGACGTCCAGCTACTGTCTCTATCCGACCCCAAGAAGCCCGTTCGGCGGTCCAAAACGGAACTGGATGCAGTCACGACGAGTTCTGACAAGTTGAAAAAGGATCCGTTCCTGTACAACCCTTTTGCCAAGCCCAGCAGCAAGGCGCTTGAATTGCTCGCTGTGGCCGATGAACCTGCGTCGTTCCAAGTCACTCTGCAGAACCCCTATGAGTTCGAAATCGAGATTGAAGTCTTGCGCTTAGAAAGCACTGGTGTCTCCTTGGATGCAGTAGCAGAGAACATTGTTATTGCTCCGCTCTGCGTGCAAGATGTTATCGTTCCTGGTGTCGCGCATGGAGAAGGCAGCCTGCAAATCACGGGTTGCAGTGTGAAAGTGCGGCACTGTCGAATGCGAAGTTTCCCCGTTTTCAAGAAACTTTGGAAACCAGACCCAGACTTCAAGTTCAAGCGAACAGGTCTGGGAGCAAAGAAGCCGCTCACAGAACGCCCAGTTTCCTGGAGCTCAACGACCTCCATGGACGGTAAGGTGGATTCCAAAAAGGCCCGGAAACCTCAACATGCGAAGTCAAGGTTATTGCCAAACAGCCGTCACTTGTGATTGAGTCTATGTCTCTCTCACAGTCAGCGATAATGGTCCTTGAAGGCGAAGTCAAAACATTCACGATTTCGCTTCTGAATGCTTCCCAGTGTCCCGTGGACTTTGTGTTATTCACCTTCCAGGATTCCACAACCAGACAGTTGCAGTCTGCACTCAGCAACAAGGATTTGGCACCGGTCGAGATCTACGAGCTGGAGCTCAAATTAGCCAGCAAACCCGCTTTGCGGTGGCGCCGGGAAGGCCAAGACCCCAGCGACTGTTCAATTGCTGCAGGCCAGAAGGCAAGCTTTACCGTTGATGTGCTTGGAAAGCCTGGTTTGCAAGATACAACAGTGCAAATCGATTATTCCTACGTTGGCGCAGCCCCGGGCGAATTGCCTGATATCTTCTATACCCGACAACTGTTTGTGCCATTGACGGTCACAGTCAATGCCAGTGTAGAGGTCGTTCGCTGTGACATCCTTCCATTTAGTGGCGATCTTGCCTGGAAAAACCATATCGAGCCGCCTGTTGACTCGATACAACAGCCGGGGGCATTGCTATCGACCACTGAGAAGGATCCATTTTCCCAAGTCCTCGCCCGTCTCGGTAACGGGGCCTATGGACCAGATCACTGTGTCGTGTTGCTTGACCTACGCAACGCATGGCCGAGTCCTCTTTCGGTCTGGTTGAGGGTAAGCGAACAATCAATGGCAGGTCCCTCACCCGAGGCGGTGACCAAGGATGAGACTGAGGGCAAGTACTCGGTCGACGGAGACCTTCAACCGGGCCAGGTCTCTCGGTTTGTCCTTGTTATCCCACGCGTCTACCTTGACAACCAACATGCCCCTATCCCCGTTGTCAACACCGGTACCCGCAGACAATTCGTTGTCAGCGCCAACAAACTTTCCTTCGAAGCAGAGGCGGCCTCGCGCGAAGCCTTCTGGTTCCGAGAAGAGCTCCTCAAGAGGATTCTTGGAGGCTGGAAGGAAGCAACCGCAGGTCGCGAGGGATCTATTGACCTTCGAAACATCCGATTAACCAGTCACATGGTCGAGGCCATGCGTCTCGAAGACCTCGAGATGACTTTCTCTTTGACCTCCCCATCATTATCATCCGAGACCTCCCAGGCAGTTGAACAGACGGGCCGCTCCCGCTTCCGCGTTAAAACGGATGACCTCCTGACTCTGAACATCACCGTCCGCAACCGTTCCTCACGCCCTATCCATCCCCTCCTCCGACTCCAACCTAGCCTCCGCCACCAACCCAACAACATCGCCCTAGACCTCACCCGTCGCCTAGTCTGGACCGGCATGCTCCAGCAAGCACTCCCCATCCTGCAAAGCGGCGAGTCCACCACCGCCTCCATCGGCGTCACAGTTCTCTGCCGCGGCGAGTATGAGTTTGGCGCTAGCGTCGAGGAAGCCCGGCTCCTGCGTCAGTCTTTCGGCCAAAACAAAGACAATACAGCTGCCGGCGATTCTACTGTTCACCGCTACAACGACGACGGCATCATGGACACATTTGGGACGGATGTTGTCCGCCGGAGACGCATTTGGCATTCGAAGGAGCTGTGTATTATTCATGCGAACGACTGATGATTCTCATATTTTATTGTTTCGGCCTGCTCCGCTCGTGTCACTTGGCAGTGGGCATAGACATGTTATATATAGACCCTGTCTAGCGTCTGTCTTTCTTTCAGCTAAATTCGATGATGACCATGTAGCATACTCCCGGCCTTACCTCTTGTACAAAGATGTTCCTTGCATGATTTAGGATAAATCCTTAATCCATATTGCGCGGGGAACTGTCTCCAGTTTCCCCGGCTTCTCTTCCAAGGTTTCCATAAACAAACCTTTTACTTCTTCAAGTCGCCTTGTCTCCACAACGCTAGAAGCTCGTAGCAACCGCCGTCGCCGGGTTTCAGATCTTGGACCTCTGGTTTCAATTTTTGCGGACGACGTCCCACAATACCTAGCAAGTCGTATCAATCGAATGTCAGTAGACACGGTGAAGATCGACCTGCTAGGTGGTTGTTTACTGAAGACACTGTCAGTACCCGAAGGAATTGGGAGTCTAGGAATGACGTCCTGACCGCCGTTTGCCAGCACGATGGATACAAACATGTAGCCCATGTATTCGCGCATACAGACATCGACCCTTGTCCCCAATGCATCATGTCCGGGCCTTACATCGGAATGATGGGATAATGGGAATTGGGAACCTGGAATCAGGAATTGATCTTGTATCAGATTCCATGCTGAAGAGTATGAAGCAAGCCTCTGCACTATGGACTGCCAATCCACCAGTTGGCTCGTTGCCGCGGAAATTCACGTGACCCTTCGTATGCCCTAAATCCACCGCATGGAATTCGGAATGATCTTGTAGTGGCCAGACAGCTCATTGTTGCCCTTTCTGAGCACGCTTACCTACCTTTTAACTAGGCAATCCTAGCTAGTGTGTAGTATACATGTATGTATAACCTATTGACAAGTGATGGCTAGGCCGGGCCGCCGGGGTAGCAGCCGGCGGTTGCTTTTTCTTCCTTGGAAGAAGGGAGGGAGATGAGAAGAAACTAGATGGATGGCACCCTGCAGGCGAGGGTGGGAGATGCATATAGGAGTGGGGTTATGTATTGAGACAACTTACATAACGACACGTATGGACATGTGTGTATCAGAATCTTGGCTGGTTGCCATGCACTACACGCGCAATCGAAATGAGCCTGGTGACACTATCAGCAGATAGTGCACGCAGGTATCATGCAAGAATACCGTAGCACACAGTAATATGCTTCAGTGCCATTGGATATGGGAAAATTGAGTATCAAGAAGTGGTTGGAAAAGTCTCCTAGAAGCGGGGAGAACGATTGGACGGTGTGAAGTGAATCAACGAAGTTGGAGACTCGGGGCCAAAGTAGTTGAGCGGATCAATTGCATAAATTGTGCGCGTAAAGGTTTGCTAGATGAGACTCTGCTAGGCATCGGGATAGAAAGTTGAACTTCCCGTCCAGCATCGTAACCTAACCATAACTTGTGCGATTGATCCGCCCGCACCTTCTCGCCCTGAGACGACGCCGTCGCCGTCGGCGCCATCTGCTTCGTTTGTTTTCTTCACATGGCTCAATCGTTTACTTGACTTCTTGGATCCTCTTCCAAACACTTCTTCATCTCTTCATCTTCATTCATACATCAAGGACGTGTTCTCTTCTCCCCTGAAAAAGGTCGCTGTCCAAGGAATGGAATGGATGGCCGTTCTGTCTCTGTCTCGGATGCATGGAGGTGGTAAACCAAATCATCTTCCCTGGTAAGACACTGACATCCTATAACGACGAAACCATGTTGCTGATTCGCTAACCTGTTGGATGTAGGCGTTCCGAGGGAGTGAGGCTCCCAGGTGACCAATCAGAAACCCGGCATGGCGTTCTGTGGAGCTTGATCTCTTTTCCCAAGCCGTATACCTCGGGGGTACAGCTCAGAGAATTGAGGAGAGTCAGGAGACAATGGGTAATGATGCTAAGTTGATTCATCTTGCTAATACGTGGCTAACAATGTATTTCCTTCACAGTGCCTGACCTGATCGAGTCTTACAACCGCGAAGCTAAGGGCATCCCGATTGGTCGCGCCGCAGAGGTCAACTTGAGGAATAACCATTCTCAGTACATATTCACCTGGTAAGTTAGATCCATGTTTTCCACTCGAGAACGTAGCTCATACTTTGCAGGTATGGCCTGTCTTTGGCCACTTCCATCATGCTGTGGATGGTTGTGCGCAAGAACCCTAACGAGGCAATGCGCCGAGTTTGCCAGAACCGAAACTGGTAGTCGGTAGGGATTCCAACATTCCTCATTGAGCTGTGAGGCCAAGGATTTCTTCACAGACGTTCCGAGAGGGCCTGGCGTAGGGATTACATGAATCGTTGTCCAAGGAATGGATGGCTGTTCTCCCTCTGTCTCAGAGGCAAGTGGTGAATGCCACACATCATGTTCCCTGGTAAGAGACTGACATCCTATATGGATGAAACCACGTTGGTCATTTGCTAACCTGTTTGATTTAGGCGTGCCAAGGGAGTGAGGCTCACAGATGCCCAATCGGAAACCCGGCATGGCTTTCTCTACCTGGTAGGGTCATCTGCTGAGTGCAGGCATAGCTGAGAAACCAGCCGCCTCCGACGTGTTAGCGGATGACTCTGCCCATGAGCACAAAGAGCCTCCAGCATCCATAGATGCCGCGAGCGACGTCACCTATCACCATCTGCTAACAGCAACGGTAGACGGCATTCCCATGAGGCAAATATCCGCAAACCATTCGGAGATGATTCATTCACAAGCCCTCACCGACATCGCCGTGGCCATGACAGCCACTCATCAGCCCCGAGCAAAATCCACCAAACAGTGCAGCAGGCCCCTCAAACACGGTGGGCGCTCTCCTTCCCTTGGAGGCGGAGAGGAAACACATGGTATGAAAAGCCCGGTCGAGTCCGTCCCTGGGAATGCAGGGTTTTCACCTCGGAGCTGTCTTTTCGAGATCAAATTGCGTGAAGGGGATTTGAAGCTATTGCATTAGACAAAGTGAAAACGTTGGTCACGATGGAGGGATTCACTGTTCAGAATACCATTAGACCAGCCACATTACTCATGCTTAGGAACGAGCTCCATATTGCACAGTAATTGAATCATGAACACACCTTAAAATCGCTCTGGATACGCGGAAACAGTATGCATGTAACTGTTCTGGAAGGAGGACGGGCCCGATGGGAGGTAGCTATCCTCGAACTTGTATGATGAATCATTGTCCGGGATTGGAGATACAACATGTGTAGACATGGGTGGGCTAAGTGGGCATCGATAAGTAATTATTCTGTCTGTCGCCATTGCCACGCCTGCACAGACTCTATACGCAGTACAAGTCATGCGACTTAGCAGATGCCGTGATCTCACGTGCTGTTGTGTAGGCGAGACACACAATATGCCCTCGCCTCTGCTTTGTCTCTACTGTTCTCAATTAATTCATTCATCCGGTTTGGATTGGTTCCCTTGGCATCTCTGGGCTCCATGAAAGCGCACAAGGCCATACTGCGATCACAAAGATTCACATTAATCTAACCACCCATTATCCCCTCTTCGCCCGAAGCATTGAAACGTCAATAGAGCAAAGGGGTAGAACTTGTTGCTATCATGGCCACCGAAAGCAATATCTTCATGCCGGACTGCGATCTCGCCCATGGACGGATCGGCTGATAGTCCACCGTTGTGGTGTAGGAATACGTAGGTTATCTTCAGGCCTCATTCCTGGTAGGCACTAGGCAGTGCTGCCAGTGCATTAGCCCAGTTACTTTCGTGGGAGGTGAAAGCTGGAACGCAAAACGCCAATGGAAGAAGCCGGCCGCATCGGTGCGTAGGAGCGGTGCGGTGTGTGAGTCCAAGGGGGTGTATTGTGTTAAACCTAAGCCTACTTGTCTAGTCACTCTAGTCAATGTAAGATAGCCTACACGATGTACGGAGGCCTTAGGTTAGGGTTAATGAGGACATCATCATATTCTAACCACGTGGTACACGTGCAAATAGACATCTACGCTAGTCCATAGACGGAATAGCGCTATTGCTAGCGCTATTTACACCCATCGTATTATTTAGAGGCCTTCTTCACTTCCAAAATTCCTTCCATCTGCATACCTTCGACTTTTACTGCATTACACACATTATGGCATTATCTACCCTCCGAGTCTGCTCGAGTTGACCATCCCTCTACTGCCAAAGATCATTGCTGGCAATGAAAAGGTTTACAAAGTTAACCATCCCCAGCCTGTCGATCGTCCATATGCAATGGAAGTTGATTCTATGGGGGGCGGGGATTGTATTAGCATCCACAAGACCTAGCAGAGATGGGATCTGACTTACACAATTGAGGAATCTTGGAATGTTTCGAATCATGATCTGTGATGTTGTCAGATAATAGAGGGAGGGGGCTAACTGATCGTGGTGCGTTCGTCGATTCCATGCAGAATTCGATCGAGGCTGATTATCCGCCCACTGTGGTCTACCATGTCCTCACTGATAGCGGCAAAGTCTCATCACTCACTCTCAACCTCACCGCTGTTGCCTTGGTATTGAGGTTCGTGCCGGCTACGCCTCTTCCGCTATGCGAAGCCGCGTCCAACCTCAATTCCAACCCTCGCCATTTTCACCCCTTAGTGACCATGGCCGTCTGACGGTTCACCAAGGCAACAGCGGTGGCGTTGAGACTTTGCCGACTATCAGTGAGGACACGGTAGACTACAATGAGCGGGTAATCAGCCTCGGTCGAATTCTCCATGGAATCGATGAACGCACCACGGTCAGTTAGCCCCCTTCCTCTATTATATGACAACATCACAGATCATGATTCGAAACATTCCAAGATTTCTTAATTGCGTAAGTCAGATCCATAACAGACGGGTACTTGAGGATGAGAGCCGGCCGACGTGCAAAGGTTATGGCACTTATCGAAGCCAAGGCACGCCCCCGATTGACATACGAACCGCAGGTATCGATGCAGGAGGGCGCTCAGATTGTGGCGCTCTTGAAGGACAAGAAGCCACCAGCGGGAGAGTAAGTTACACAGTCAGCCTGATGCCTATTTAAGGTCTCAATTACGCGGGTTCACTCTAATGAGGATCGTTCAATCCATTCTCGAAAGAATGGAGCCTAATGGGAACCCGCTACTGGGTTGTAGTAGTATTCTTTGTCGTGCGTCTCTTCTTGTTTTCTTTCTTTCTCTTCTCTACTTAGCTTCGTTATCTCGTGGAAGTGGACTCTGCTTTCCCCAGATTTAGTCTGTCCCACAATCCGAACAAAATATCCCCAAGGCACTCCAGGAGCGTCTTGCAAGTGCCATATCACGTGGCTTCACACATGTTGTCTTCGAGAGCTCTCCCGGTCATCATTCTCTCAGTCTCGTCTCTCTCTTTGTCAAGAAATAGAAATCGCGCCAGGACTCGCATTGCCAAAGATTAAATTCATCAGTGACTTGTTGAGAAGAATCACCGCTTGGTCCTCTACCAACTACATTAGCAGTCGACTTGGTTTGAGATGTTGAACACGCAGCCGGAGATTGATGATAGCGCAAAAAAGTGGTAGTTGTAGGTATGGTATTGCATATCATGATATCACTAGATTTCTGTCATATCATCGCCCGTAGCAATACACAGTAAGAAGCTACAACCCTTGCTCCGCCCACACGTGTTCTGAGATTTCTTCCAATCTATGCGGTGATATTTGAATGTCGCCTTCAGGCGGGACTGGTGGACGACACAACAATTCCTCAAACGGAATGGTCAGAGGTACTGAGGGCCTGATGGAAATCTGTGAGTTTGGTTCGTTTGCGTTGTGGGATGCTGTAATGGTCTGCCGTATGTATGGGGCGTACCGGGGCCGCTGCAGTCGCAAGGAGTCGACGGTCGCGTTCAAAGCAACAGTCTCAAACCTGACATTGGATTTGGGGGTGGTTCTGCTAATGGACACGAGAACTACAAGCTTCACATCTCCCCTTGAATTTGTTAGCCACCAATCCGCATCCGCCCGCAGCTTTCGATATGACTCGGACGCCCCCACTTCCACCACAACGGTCGGCCATTTGGGACTGCGACCTGGAACAGGTTGTGCGGGGCCATACGTCGCGTCGGCCTCCTTTCTGCAAAATACGCCATGGATGGTTTTGGACCCTAAAGGGCGAATTGCCTTTCCGAGCCCCATGTTGTACATCTCATGTTGCATTGCACCACCCAGGCCACTGGCAGCTGTTTCATGGGCCCCAGTTAGGAGCTTGATGATCATGTATCGAGTACTGGGACTGAACATCTGCCGGGTATTGCATCGAGAAAACTTGTCGGCAACGGCTGGTGGGACATTTGTGAAACGTATGTACTTCAGCACGTCGGCTGTGTCTTGGTTGTCTCTGATAGTCTTCCGCACGGCATTCTCCGTCAACCCGGTGGCTTGGGCTGTGTCGTTGGGCAGCGCCGCGAAGCACTCGATGTCTGCGTGCTCGACGTCCGAGGTGCCCGAGTCATCAGACATTGTTGAAAGTTTGGTCTTTGGGGCCGACGTAAAAATTTCCGAAAGGGAATTCTCGAGGAGAGAAGGTGCAGGCATCCCGGCGGCCGAACCTTAAGGTTTCATCCGACTCCTGAGCGCTATCCACCTGCGTAGTCATCCGTCCAAACTACTGAGTCTAGCAAAGGGCGGCCGCCGGCGCGGCGTGGCCCGTGAACGGCTGAATACCTTGTCGTTTGCATCTATCTTGGTATTTCCTTTCAATCTCTGTCGTATTTTTGAGAACCTCGTTTTGACTACCTATCCCAGTCGGCGGGAATGCAGAATATAACTTGCTTGAAGTAAAGCATCCACTAGGCGGCTAATATGGACGAACTGTGCGTATACTGTATAGTATATCAGTTGCCGAGGAACCAAGGAGTAATTATACAAGCCATTGGCCCCGGCCCCTGCAGCATGTAGAATGTCGTTTGATGCATTCACCATAGATCAAACGACTGTTTTCCCCTCCGATCTGCTGCTGGTCTGAGACTCTGAGTGCTCTGCCGGGCCGTCTTTCGGCGTCTACTTGGGTTTGAGATGGATGTCAGTACGAAAAGTGCACCCCACGACTCACCGGGACGCATTTCACTTTGTCATAACTCATGGTTGACTGAAACCATTCCATGGCTCTTGTAGTTGTTCTCAATCGATTAGCAGATCCACCAGTCAACCCAGGACACTCCATAGTCCCATGTGTCGTATAGGTAGATACCGGAGTGAAAATGGGAGAAGACTAACCGTTTGACAAAAGGAATCTGGTGAGTTCTCCACCTACCTTGGACCATTGTTCAGATACGAAGGCCAATGGATATGATGTCGTCGTGAAGTGTGACCCGCAACGCAACTCACAGCATGATGCGACACAACCCTCCAATGCACTCGCCTAAACGATCCCTTTATGTCTAAGGTATAGTAGGCGCTTATGTCGTTCCAGGTTGCCATGTTGAGTGCTCCCCATGGTTGCTCTTCCGGTTTGCTGGTCTCATCATGTGTCGCGTGAGGTGCCGTACCCTCCCTCCCTCTCACTTTATCTTCTCCTTTCTCAGTCTATCCCCCATCAACCTTCATCCCAAGAACAATCAATATACCTACCACAACGAAGGTCCTGGTTGATCTGGTCTGCGGAATCGGTTGATGAGGCGCCTCATGACGTCCAAGTAGAAATGAAGGGCCCAAGCGCGTCCTTCCCCCGGCGGCCGCGCTGTCTCGACGGGGATTCGGCGGCCTTGATGCCTCGACGGCCTTGATGCCTCGACAGCCTCGCTGCCTCGGAGGGGACTTGACCCCTCGTCTGTTGGTAAGCATCCCGCCATCACCTTCCATGCTTTCTCATATCCCTTCATCTCCTTTCACCCCTTTTCATATCCTTCATCTTCTTTCACCCCTTTCCATGACGAAAGCTGACACTGATGACTGGAGCCAACACAGGGACTGAGCAGGCATCTTCTGCTCGCCGACCATCCACGAGGAACGCTCCGATCGTTGTCCGTGTGAGCAGCAAATGATGGGATTCGGCTCATCTACTCGACGCCGATCCCACGGTGGCGATCGGGTGATGCATGGACTCGACTGAACACCTCGGTAAGTTATCGATACCCATCTTGACTGGAACGACATGAACTGTTTGATGGCTAACGTGTTTGCCCTTCGGTATGACAGGTCGGGATAGCTATCCCTCGGCTGAGGGCAGCCATCAAGGCTGCGGCATGCCCTCCGCGTTCCAGTACAGTTCGCAAGCCAGGCGGGACCCACCGAGACTCGTCCCGTCACCGGATCTCATAATACCTCGTACCTGCTGATTTCCTTCCTCCGGCAACTTTTCCAAGTGCCGCAAAGGTCTCTCGTATCCTTTGTCGCCCTCGTTCTCGGATGAGGGCCCGGTCCTCGCCGAGTCGAGCGTAGGCCAAACAAGTCGACCGGCAGACGCGCAAATCCGGTCGAAGAAGTGCAAGAGAGGGTTCTTCGGGGTACGAGATCTTCCTCGTTCGGTATCGAGTCCCTCCCTGGTGTGCATATCATATTTCCGTCCGTCTCATTGATGGAAATGTATGCCAGAACAATGGGCTTGTGGAAGAGTTCGAAGTCGTCGGTTTCGTCAACAGAGCATGTGGCGGATTCGATGTATGGAGCTATGGATTCCCTCTGCTATGCTTTATGCCCCGTCTGTGTTCTCTGATCTTACCCCCGTCCATTTTATCAAAGACGATAAGCACTGGCGCCTGGCCTTAAGGCTGGTCTTTGCGACGCCCTCTATCATGGTGCCCATATTCAGAGAAGATCGGCGGAGAGTGGTGGAGGCCTCAAGAAGGGCAGGAGGATGTCCTGAACGGCAGAGATCTTCTTCTCGGAAAGCAGGATCAGGGGCTTCTCGAACTCGACCTTCTGGGACTTAGGGTCACCGAGGGTATGCCCTTCGACCGTGGTTACACTTCCCCCTACTCCATCACCGACCTCCAGCTCGTTCTCAAGAGTCTTGCCCTCCTTGAGCTGAATGGCCTTGGCGACACTCACACCGTCTGAGCGATGATTAGCTTTGCCCTGGTCAACGTAAGTTGAGTGATGGGAAATGCTTACCCTTGGTGATCTTGGGAGAACCGTCCTCCAGGGCAAATTTGAATTGGTCGACTTTGATTCGCTCGTCCAGGTAGGCGGGCGATCACCATGGTCAATTGTTGCGGAGAGGTTCGTTCGGGAAACGAAGCCGTGAACATCTTGCTTCACTTCCATCCCCTTGCCGGTGTCGAATGGGCTTTCAGCACTCTCACGAGTCAGGTCTCAAAAGTCAAAGGGACTCCGAACCATCGAGAAACCATCGAGAAACAAAAAAGATCATCCCATCCAGTCTGTAGTCACCTGGGGTTCATAAATGCCATGTTGGTTGAAGAATTACAAGTTCCCGAAGACTTCCACCAAGCTTATGTGTGGAGCACGTGGAGTGGGAAAACGTCGATTGGCGGGGGATCTTTACTTTTGAGTTTTGACCCCCAACGAGGGGAAGTTGGAATGGTCTGATTGAGACGGGCTCCTTCCTTCAGCCGAGTCCTTGCCATGGCTGCCTCTCAATTCCAGGAAGGACACCGCGTTCCAAGCATAAGGCTTTGTATGCCTATGGCTTGGTCAACTGAGAAGAATGCGCTATGAGTCGGACTCAACTGAAGTCCATCATATTTGCCGTCAATAGTGCCAGCAGCAAAGTGATTGTTAGGCGTGACTCCTCGTCTTGACATAGCTGCGGCTCTGGTGCCTGAGGATGCAGGCAAGGACGAGTAAGGATGTCATCACTCATCCCCAACCTCATGTTTGACTTTCTCGCTGCCTGGTACGAATGAATGTACGTAGTTCTCGATTGGACAATTATCCTACAATTAGCGAGTTGAATTCACGATCCCATATTCAAACTCCCATTTTGCATACACTACCTTAAGAGAAAAGACCCAAAGCCTAGATCGTGACACGAATGCCTCATGCATCGTCTATCTCCGCCATACAAACCCCTTTACGTGGTACACTGATACAAATTACTGCCATTCTCCCTGAATACGTGTCCTTCCAAGTTGCGATGTTGAAACAGTTCTTGTGACGCTCGACCAGGCCTAGGACTTGAGGGGAAGAAGCCATTTTGTATATCAGATCCATTCCTTTTCTCTCTAGGTCGCCTGTGCAAGATAGTCAAATCAGCAAAAGTTCACATAGATTTGAAACGAGTATGACAGAATTGTGCCGCAAGTGTAACTCAGAGACCAATTGTTTAATGTAGATATGACTCTGGTTCAACAAATTCCTTTGCAGAAAGGGAAGTGGTCGATCATCATAGAGGGTTGTTGCGGGGATATTGCCATGTTGATATTCAAAGGATGTCTTACCTGGTCTGGTTGGTCAAGTCGCTGTTCCATGGTTCCCACTAGTAGGTATGAGCCACGGCCGCCATGTGGCGGGAAGTTACCATATTTGGTACTTGGGAAGATTGTTCCTGGATTTGCAGCGAGTCAGGTGCTTTTGGGTTCGGTCATTGCTTTACAGTGGCTATGATCCCTGTCTGTTAGTTGTATATTCAATGGAGCGAGGAATGAATGGCGTTTTCGTATTCCGTTGTGAAGAGAACGGGAATCCTATGCCAGGAAGAACATATGACTGAGATGATCCCGAGTTAAGGGTCTAGGTAGCCTTCATGTTCAAATCACGATGGCCCTGAGTGACTTTAAATACGATCGCTAGGGGTCTAGGGCATCGGCCCTACATATTTGAGAAATAGGATTTTATATGGAGAATGTTGTCATTGATGGAGCCATATGACGATGCTGTACCCACCTACATCGTATAAAAATGTGACATTGTGAAGTCGGTATACCGACGGGCAGCAACGACAACGAGACATCCATATTGGTTTTCCATTGTTCTCCTGTCCTTCAGCGGTCTTTCACTATTGCTGGTCGAGGAATTGTTTGATCCTGAAATAAACCTTTGTGTGCGCTGGGTCCCTTGCGTTGAGGTGATCTGCAAAGGATGCTTAGTGGGTGTGGGTTCAACAATGCTGAGAAATACATGTTCTGGGCAACATCAATCACACGGTAACACTACTGTAGAGTTTGGTTTGACTCACCCTTTGGAAGCCCAAATAGTTATGGTGGCCCAGTGGGCCTGACACTGAGCGTGCTACAAGAAAAATAAGAGCGGAATACTCGGTAGCAAAGCCTCGCTCGATCAGATACTGTCTATCCAGTGACAAATCATCCCAAATATCAGCAATGAATTCTTGCTGGTCCACACGTCCAACGACAATGCAATTTTCTGACACGTGTTGGCCAGCAAGCTGGTCAGTTGTTCTCTGCACTGATTGAATTCAGCTTCAATTCGACGACCGTGTGACGAGAGCACATAGAACGAGGACTAGGAGGAAGGAACGTATCACGTGATAGGAAGATCTCGGCTGTATTCTTCTTTACCCCTTTTTTCTCCTCTCTTCTTCTCTTTTCTTTCCTCTCTAGTCTTGTTGCCTTAGGTAAAAGGAATTGAACTCACATTCACAACCTTCGTCATCACAGACCGAGGGTCCTTCGGGAATTGAGGGGCAGTGTGACCCCTGGAATGTCGCGGAAAATTTGTTGAAACGCTGGTGACTCGATCGCCGCAAAAGCCATGTTGTCCAAGACGGTCCATCGTAACAAGTTTCGCTCCAGCAGTTTTGCTATTCCAACTGCTTCCCCCTTCCTGAACAGGCCAGCCACGGAAGGCTGCTTCACCTCACCATTGTCAGAACCGTCAGTGCCGGAGAGGGAAATGTTGTGTCTCCCAAGATGCCTTTTCATATTAGACGTGAACATCTCCGATTCCGCGAGGCAAACTTCAACGTCTAATATGAAAAGGCATCTTGGCAAACACAACATTTCCCCTCCGGCACTGATGGTTCTGACAATGGTGAGGTGAACCCACCCCTACAATTACAATTTACTTCGTTGAAAGGTGCGCAGGTATACGGAGTACTACAGTAATTCAAGACAGCCTTGGTTAGATCAATTAAGGGGTAGGGCTGTAGGGCTTATCGTAAGAGCCGCATTGAGGTGGAAGGGCAGAGACTGAGAGATTAGTTTAGGCCGGAAAGCGCCGAAACTACGCCGAAACTCTAATTTTGGAGCGGATCAGCCATCAGGGTAGTACTACTAGCTAGCCGTAGATCTATCAGCTTCCCCAGCATTGACTCTTGTCCGATAATGCTTCTTTTCTCTGTGATATTTCTGGTTAAGGTGTCTTTGATGCGCGTGTAAAGTCGACTTCAATGCTCAGGTCTTTTGTTTATCATCTCATGACACCCGGCTCAGGTCCTGCGCAGGCCCGGCCCAGTTGCTTTTACTTCCCCGCACTTGGCCACGGCCAGCATTTAAATAGACCGCCTCCATTCCCTTGAACCAAAATATTGTAAGACTTCTGGAATATCCTCACTTTCATCTCCAGTAGCTCAGATACTCTTGACTAGACATCATGGCTTCCGACACAGCACTTCTGACCCTGAATTATAAGAGCGGCCACGACAAGCCCGATACCATCTATGATGCCCAGAACTTCATCAACAACGAACTCGTATCGTCCAAAACCACTTCCTGGATCGAGGTCCATGACCCTGCAACAAACCATCTCGTCTCTCGAGTCCCCGAAGCAACCCCCGACGAGTGCAAAGCCGCAGTGATCGCAGCCCAAAATGCCTTCCCCGCATGGCGAGATACCAGCATCATGAAGCGACAAGAGATGATCTTCAAGTTGACCCACCTGGTCCGCGAGAATATGGATAACCTAGCACTTTCAATTGTTACAGAACAAGGCAAGACCTTGGCCGACGCGAAAGGTGACGTTTTGCGCGGATTGCAGGTGTGCGAGACTGCCTGCGGCATTACCACGCAGCTTCCCGGCGAGGTCCTCGAGGTGGCCAAAGATATGGAGACTCGCTCCTATCGTCTACCCCTGGGCGTCGTTGCGGCTATCTGTCCCTTCAATTTCCCCGCCATGATCCCACTATGGAGTCTCCCTATCGCCATCGTCACTGGCAACTGCATGATCCTAAAACCAACCGAGCGTGCACCTGGAGCCACAATGATCATCGCCGAGCTCTGCAAGAAAGCCGGTTTCCCACCGGGTGTGGTGAATGTCATTCACGGGTCTAAGCCCGCTGTGGACTTCATCTTGGACGCACCAGAAATCAAAGCTATCTCCTTCGTCGGCTCAAATAAGGTTGGCGAATATATCTATGACCGCGGCACCGCGAATGGAAAGCGTGTCCAGGCCAATCTGGGAGCCAAGAACCACGCAGCCCTTCTCCCAGATAGCAACAAGAAGCACGCTTTAGGTGCCATTGCCGGTGCTGCCTTTGGTGCGGCTGGTCAGCGTTGCATGGCGCTGAGTGTTTTGGTGACGGTTGGTTCGGCTCGTGAATGGATCCCCGAGTTGGTTGAGAATGCCAAGGGATACCAGGCTGGCAGCGGTTTCAACGCGCGCTCTGATCTCGGTCCATTGATTACTCCCCAAAGCCGTGACCGCTGCATCGATCTCATCACCAGTGCAGAGAAGGAGGGCGCTACCATTGCCCTAGATGGTCGGGACTTCAAGCCCGAGGGCTTCCCTAATGGAAACTGGGTGCGTGCCTTCCCTTACCTAAGACACGGCCCTACATGACCAGACTCGATGTCGCGGGCGATACATCTCATTGATTTTACTAACATATCTCCTGAAAAGGTCGGCCCAACCGTTATCACCGGCGTAAAACCCACAATGAAATGCTATAGGGAAGAAATCTTCGGTCCTGTACTGCTCTGCATCGAGGCCGATACAATCAACAGCGCAATCGACCTGATAAACAGCAACGAATGGGGCAATGGCGCAGTCATCTTCACCCAGTCAGGTTCTAGCGCGACACACTTCCAAAAGCGAGTCGAGGCCGGACAGGTTGGAATTAACGTTCCCATTCCCGTCCCTCTTCCGATGTTCTCTTTTACTGGCAGTAAGCGCAGCGTCGCAGGAACTGGTCTGCTGAACTTCTATGGCAAGGACGGCCTCCGTTTCTATACGCAGTGGAAAACTGTTACATCGCTTTGGAGGACGGAAGATGCGACTGAGCTTGAGAAACCCACATCCATGGTCTGAGTTTGCTGGGCTGATTGTTAGAGATCCTTAAATGTCATATTACATATGTCCTGCATCCTTTTATGGTATTTGAAACGCATTGCATGCGGAGCATTAGGTATGATGTTGGAGCAACCACTTTGCCTTTCCTTTATACAGAGGTAGCTTTGCGAATAACTATCTTCCACAGACCCTTGGAGCCTTGGAGGTATAGATCCCACGAGAATTCAGAGCCTCTTGAATATCCTTGAGCCGTTGCATGTTGAGCTAGGTTGCCATAACCGTGGGATTATTGGGGCAATTCGTAGGGATATAGCCTCGCCAGTTGGCGGAAAGCTCGCCAAACATGCGTCTGGAACTGGGCTCCCTCGCCAGGGTATTGGAACATAGGTATACGTGCTCACAAGCTTCTTAAGTTCTCACTCTTACTGTGTATAAATTAACTGCTCTCCATGTATAACTAGACATTTTCCAAGAACTTGGACACGGAGGGCGCTCCCTGGTAGTACTCCGAAAAGCGGAAGCGGGTCGGTCCGCGACGCGCGACACGTGGGTCGGGATCTACCTACGTCATACAGGAAACATACGTTGACAGTTGACAGTTGACACTACGAAAGACCGCTGAAAATCTTCATGCGTTGGAAACAAGACCAATAGGCTGGCAGCGAAGCTACGAGCCACAAAGATCCCTTCTCCGATCCCGTGCCACTGGCTCGAGGATTGATGAAAAGATGGGCCCCTCATTAGGGGGGTGTCTGGGGGAAGTGCCAAAAATTATGCCTATCGTCGGTTGCCCGCGACCAGATAGTCCTCACGCGATGTGCAATGCGTGAGGACCATCTGTGGTGCCTGTCTTCGTGATCACAGACACCAAAGCAGCGGTAATGCCAAACACTGAGGAGAAGGAGAAGAAGAAGAAGAAGAAGAAGAAGAAAGAGGACGGAGGCGAAGGCGATATTTATCGACGAGGTCACGCGACATCCCTACAGACACTGTGAGTCTGTGACACAGTTATGAGCTGTCCACGTGAGTTGTCCACGTGGGACATAGGTATTTGTCTCCAGTGTTATGTGTAGAAGGAGCTGAGTTGTCTTCGTTCCTTCCCTCGACCACATTGCCGGTTTTCCAGGTGCTTGAATGCTCTCCCGGCAGGGTGTCACACTGCCCAGGTGGGCGCCCGTCAATACCGGTTTCGGGGTTCGACAAGTATCAGCACCCTCAAGCTTGAAAGACAGCCATAACTTCAACATAAGGACAATGGTAGGAAGCCCGGGGCTGGTTGCATTATAGGCATGATGCTATTCGGTTATAGAGCTTGGGGTTCTTGGTTGCACACCGTCCCGTCCGATGTCTTTGAAATGCAACTGGTTTATTAAAGACACTGTACACATGCCATGTTCACTTTTGTATGCAGTTAACACTTGCAGATACACGCTTAACGTGTTACCTGGGTGATTTGTCTCCCACCGAGCCGCAGGCCGGGCTTGAGTCTTCTATGTACAAGTTCTATGTATATCCATATTCTTCCAATCTATGTAATATTCGCACAAACGTCTATACCGCACCTTGGCCAGTCATGCTATGGCCCGAGACAGGCAGTGGAGCACGCTGCACTCCCCAAGCCCCCCTGCGAGCTTGTGCGCGTAGAATCGAACCAGAAGACCGACGGAGACTGGGCCAATGATGGTATTCAAAAGGATGGCCCAGACGCCAGTATAGAAGCCTTCGTCACTGACGTATGGAGTTTCGTTGTGTCCGATTTCGATGATCAAAAGCCCAATCTCACCACGTGCTACCATGGCAGATCCCAATAGCGTTGCGGCCAGCCAGACCTGTTGCCACGTCTTCCCATTCTCCTGATCGCTATGCTCTTCATCGTTTGGGTCGGAGACATCATTTTTTGGCTCACCCTGCGGTTTCTGCTCTTCGTGTGACTCTTTCTGAGAGTTTCTACCCGCTAGTTGCCATATGGGGACCCAGATTCCGACGATGCACTAGATAGTTATGTTAAATTCAGTCGCCACAAAACCAACTCTTAGGTAAGGGTATCATACCTTTGCAAACGCCATCAGGAGAGTAAAGACTACCCCTTTCCAAATTCGTTCCCCGGTCCACAGCTTCAAGAACGGAATGGCGAATCCGATACTTGAGAAGAACATCGGTTCCATTAAATACTGCTGGGGTCCCAATAGGTATTTCTCAAAGGTGTGAATGAAAGTGGGACTTTTATCGGCCTCGCGCTCGCCTTGTTCGCGGCTTAGAACGACAAATGGTCCCTCGGGGTGCTTGCTCGGTATGTATGTAAGAAATACACCCGCCAGGAAGGCACCGAATAAGACGGATGTACCTGTAAAGCCAGCGATGGCAACAAAAGCCGAAAGAACAAGCGTCATAAGGATGATGTTGGAGATATGGTCGAAACGCGCAAAGCGGTATTCAATGAACTTTCGAAAGAATGGCGCAAAAACCCATTTAGTAACGATAGGAGTCATGACGGCCATGCCTATCGATGCCACTATGGGACGCCCGATGAGCCATCCCAGGTTGACATCACCGTCACCTGAAAGTTTGCCCAAATCACCAATCACACTGTTTAAACGGTTAGCTAAAAACCATACGCCATACCCTAGTGCAGATAAGTAACACACCTTAACATGACAAGTCCTACAACATCGTCGATAACAGCCGCGCTCACCAGAACTGATCCTACTCGAGTCTCGGCGAGGTTGACTGTGTCGGACGCAGAGCTGATCACAGCAAAGGTGGTTCCTAATATTTATCAGCAATCGAGACATACTCAACCGAATTGCTAGGAAGATAGCTTACCGAGTGAAGTAGCGGAAAGAGATGCGCCGATGATGAAGGTCTCGACCGCACCTAGTCCATGTTAGCCGTTTGCTGTAGAAACTGAGGCAGATAAAACCAACCATATCCGAAGCCGAGAAAAAGCAAAAGGTATGAAAGACCAATAGGAAATAAAACTCCAGTTGCGGCGCCGATCATACTCAAAGTGAAGTTCTGCTTGAGCAAGTCCACACGGGCGCCAAGACCGCCTAGAAGGGATGACATCAGTATCAGGAAAAGAAGTGATGCCAAGCAACCAGCCAAGAATGCCAAGATGAAATTTCCGCTCACCCTCAAAAATGATCAAAATGAGACCGACATATCCAAGAGTAACGAAGGTCTCTTGCCAGTGATGTTGAAGGATATTGGCCAGGGGTACACCGTAGATGATGCCGACGGCGATTTGACCTATGATTCCGGCCTGGATTACCGTTGCGGAGACCCATCTTGCAAGAGAAAGGAAAAAGAAGAAAGAAACGATAATGAGGATATCGACAGCTGCAGGGATTGATCAGTGAGGAAATGAGTCGAGGTCAATCGGCATATGCTTGTGTACATACTTCCAGGTTCGTGGTATGGGAGGAAACCACCGGCCATGCTCGACGCTTTTATTTCACCTTGTAGGAAGGAACAAGATTGAAGAATGAAGAAGAGTGTGGCATTGAAGAAGTGTTGAAGAGTACAGTACGGAGTAGTCCATTGCAATCGTCGGTGGATTCGAAAACCTAAGCCACAGGATTACCAGAAACGAAAGGCAAAGGCTTGTACCCACCAAGGTATTTGCCTTACACGGTAATTACGAGTAGAATATGTGGACCTGTGAAAATGACGCCGAAAACGTTACCTCAGCATGCATGCACCTCACTGATTGGCTGGATCATGCTCACATGACCAACCTAACCACGATAGGGTCAGCCACATTGTGTTTTGAGTAGTACATACACAGTAAAAATTGGGTATCGTCACAGACCTCAGCAGTGCCACCACTCGGTGCGTTTAATTTCGCCATCAATAATATCTCAACAACCACAGACCTGACCATGTTCGATTGTAGATATGAAGTGGAAGTTATGTATGTCTTTCCTGTAACCAACCAAGGTACTCTGATCATCAGTCACGTGATCTGCCTGTCACCTGACCACTACACACTATCCGGATTCCGGAGTTCTCCCACAAATACACAGTAGCTAGTTTTCCTTCTCCTTTCTCTTTCCTCCTTAACGCATCTGAGATTACTTGAATCAATATACTTTCCGACTTTCGTCAAGTATCTCTCGACAACCTGCCTGTCGATCACTCCCCGCGTCGTTCGCAAACAGCGCCGCATGATCTCCCAAACAATTACCCCTATGCCCGCGGGTTGTCTGATCGGGAAAGGGTTGGTATGGTACTTCAGCAGATACATGAACAACATCGCTGGGGCCTCAAATTCCTTCTTTACCACCTGATAATGGCGCAGGCTGAGGAGAAACATGCTTGGAGCTTGCTCAGTTTCATAAACCCGAACTTGAGCTCGGCCAGTTTATCATAGACGAGACACTTGATCAACTGCATGTGCTTCACGTGTGCAGTCCCATGCTCCTAACTTGAGGAATTGCCTTGTCTGTATCATGACACAGCAGCGCCCGAGTGCTCGGGATACATCTCAGGTCTGTTCCTTGACCCCCTTCTCTTGGGCTTCTTGTATGATCTCCTGTGCCTTGATGATTTATGGCGAGGCCAGGAGTAAAGCAGCTTTCAGCCCAGAGTCGACAGTCCTATGTGGATGTTCAGTTAAATGAACTTCAGTTCACGAAAGCTCTAGTCGATACTGGTTGTATTACCTTTGCGACTATCAGTATTTCTTTGGGGCGACGCAGACACAGTCGCCTACGCGTATGATAAATTGGAGGTATTTGACGGAATCTTGTTCGAATTCAGACTTCGCGATGTCACACTGTAGGCCCGCGCGCTTGAGCTTTTCGAGCACCTGCTTCACTTTCTCTCGGTGGTCTTCGAGGGAGCCATTCGAGTAGATACTTATGTCATCGACGTAAGCTGCCCGATACAAACTCATCGAGGTGTCCTTGCAATACCTGGTTGATGTACCTCTGGAAGGCGGCGGGGGCGCCAGTGAGGCCAAACCTACGTACATCGAATCATTATGCGAGCCGGGCTGCCGAACTGGATGCTTTTACCAATAATATACCCTTATGAAAGCATTGCAAAGGTCCATTCCATTTCAATAGGCTAAGAGATAAACGGAAAAAGAAACTAAGGGACAAGACACTGAGTGATCCTCAACGAGATCAAATCTTCAATCTTCCTCGGCAAATTCCCTCTGAAAAAAAAAGAAAAGCTGAAAAACGGAAAAATTGAAATACTGGAAAACTAGAAACGCCTACTTGCCTTCCCGCGTGGAAGGAGAATCCTTTTCGGTCGAAGATGACCACTGGGCGCGACGTCGTTGCGCCCAAGAGCGAATGGGTTGTCCCCAAGAGCGGTAGCCTAGGCGTGCGACCGACCCCCCTGAGGGGGAGGCAGGAGCAAGGGTCTGGGAAGCAGGAGCAACGTTCTGGAACAATGACCGTGCCGTAGAGGGGAGCGGATCGCGCTCTGTTCCAGGGAATGGGGAATCAAAACGGATGTGCCCAGGCAAAGATCGTCCCACAGAGGGGCGCATGGTTGGATTGCCCTCCCTGGTTATGGAAAAGTCCGCTGGGATACGCTGGGGCAATGATCCTGCAGCAGGATAACGGGTAACACGACTCGATGGCCGAGGAAGCAGTCTCTGATATGGGTTCTGCACATTCGAACTATTCCGGGTGTGTGGTGGCGCAACTGTATCTTGGCTTTGAGATTCATTGTTATCGACACCTGTGAGAAAGGTCAGATCCTTTTTTTTTTGGCCAGGAGACAGGAGCTTTACCTTGCTGGGTGGTGCTGGTAAGGGCGCCACGCAGGGAACTGGCGGCGTCCGGGCGAGGAAATGGTGCCTGCGAGCCTGCAAAGCGACCGTTAGTAAAGAACACCTGCAGTCAGTCAGTATTGCCGCTTGAAGGGGACTAGAGAGGCATTCGTTGATCGTACCTTGGGTCGCTCCTCAGGAGGTCGGGTCATAACTGAGTTCTGGTGGCATGAGTTCACCAGATCTTCCTTTCCTTGAACCACTTTTGAATCCTATCAGATACCCATACCTGATTATCACGACTGGGGGCACGTACCGGCATAGCAGAATTTCACTGGCTCCTCCGCATATTGACAGCCGGGCCTATAATGGTTAGCAAGCGGGTATGTAACTGCTACATTCAAGAGAAAGATACCATTTTTTGCCCTGTAGCTCAAGGTGAAGATAAAAGGAACCGGTCAGCGAGCTGTCAAGGTATCACAAGCTGGACAGGGGGTAACTCACGCGAATAATATGCAAAGGCTATGAATCGTGTTAGTGAAAGGTCGAAAAGAAAGCAATATTGGGACTGAAAAGACACAAAATCGGAGAAGCGGAAGACATGATGATAAAGAGAGGAGAGGAAATGGGATCAAATGGGATCGAATCGAAAGAATACTTACATCCACAAAGTTGACAAATGCGTAACCGAAACTAGAAGAGTGAGTATTCGCAAGAGACCTTTGGGAACGCGAAACTTACTTGAAGCGCGATTGCCTTCCTGCTAAAGATTAGTTTCCAATTCAAATGAATCGTTCAAGGAGTGTTCACTTGCCTATACGCAAGAACAAGAAATCGTACGCTCCACGACTAGTTCGATTCAAGACTTCGATCACTTGGTTCTATGGGGGGGATTGTATTAGCATCCACAAGATCTAACAGACATGAGATCTGACTTACGCAATCAAGGAATCTCGGAATGTTCTGAATCATGATCTGTGACGATGCATTATGTGAGATGTTGTAATATAATAGATGAAGGGGGTTAACTGACCGTGGTACGTTCGTCCGTTCCATGTAGAATCCTTTCGAGGCTGATTGTCCGCCCACGGTACTCTACCGTGTCCTCCCTGATCGTCGGCAAAGTCTCAACCCCACCGCTCTTGCCTTGGTGAACGGTCACAGGACTTTGTTGGCCAAAGTTGGGGGGCAAGGATGACGAAAAACTCCCCCCACGCGAGACCTCGAAACGGAAATCCTGTGGAAACGTTAGCAACTGCTTATATCAAGTAGACAAGTAGATCAGGGAAGGGATGAAGGGAGTACCTCAAGGACGTAATGTTGGGGTCCCTCGGCGCCTTGGCCGGTGCGAGAGTTGCCAGGACACATATTAGAGATGATGGGGGGAACCAGACTGGGTTGTTCCTGGCATCGCAAAGCGGAAGAGGCGTAACCGGGTGTGAAGTGAATAGGCGTCGGGCTTGTCGTTGCCCGCTGCTCCGTGGGCCAAGGCCACCGCGACAGGTACCAGGCCATGAATTCTGGCCACGGTTCACTGGCGCAGAAAAATTAACAACGATGCTTTATATAGATTTACCAATGTTGATGAGTGACTTACTCGACAGCAGGGACGACTTCCTGGTCAGGGGAAGCCTCCAGACGCGAAGGCTGTGAAGCTCTCGTAGAGTCAACCACAGCCAGACCTGCAGAGGGGGAGCCTTGGGTTGAGGAGGCCCCCTGCGCATGCACATTAGCCTGTGCAGCCATGATGTCTAGTCGCGCACGGTCACCAGATGTAGATGGAGATGTGAAAAAAAATTGAGAAAATAGGTCACAGGAAAGGGCAAAGGCACAGGACACAGAAATGAAGGAAAAACGGAAGATAGACGAGAGAAGAGCATGAAAAGGGAAGAAGATCTTGCAGAAGCACAGAGATCTTGACAATAATGAATAAACCGCTTGTGGCCGACGACAGCGACGACGGCGCCGCAACGGGCGGCATAATCGATTTGACAGTGTCGGATGTCAAGTCGACGCCGTCGGCGATGTTGGATGTGAGCAACGGCAGTTGCGGAGATACATTGCACATGTAGCACCAAGAATGCCGCCGACGACTTGCGGAGGCTGTCCGCTACTACCAAGGCCTCCACTGGTATTGGGAATGCATACCAGTGGCTCCTGGAGACTGATTGTTCATCGTGCTTCTGCAGGGCAAGATCTGCAAAGATCTTCTTTCCTTTTCATCGTCTTCTTCCTCGTGTATCTTCCTTTCTTCCTCCATTTCTGTGTCCTTTGCCTTTGTCCTTTCCTGTGACCTATTTTATCAATTTTCTTTCACATCTCCATCTACATCTAGTGATCGTGCGTCACTAGACATCATGGCTGCACAGACTAATGTGCATGCGCAGGGGGCCTCCTCAACCCAAGGCTCCCCCTCGGCGGATCTGGCTTTATTTGACTCCACGGACCACGCGAGCTTCACAGCCGTCACCTCTGCAGGCTTCTATTGAACAGGAAGTCATCCCTGCTGTTGAGTACCTAAGTCACTCATCAGCATTCGTGAATATATATAGAGCATCGTTGTAATGTTTCTGCGGCAATAAATCGTGGGCAGAATGCATGGAGTGGTACCTGTGGCGGTGGCCTTAGCCCACGCCGCAAGAAGCAACCGCAAGCCCTTTCATCAACTTCCATTGCATATGGACGATCGACAGGCTGGGGATGACTAACTTTGTAAACTTTTTCATTGTCAGCAATGATCCTTTATGGTAGAGGGATGGTGAACTCGAGCAGACTTGGAGGGTAGATAATGCAATAAGGTGTATAATGCAGTAAAAGTCGAAGGTATGCAGATGCAAGGAATTTTGGAAGTGAAGAAGGCCTCTAAATAATACGATGGGTGTAAATAGCGCTAGCAGTAGCGCTATTCAGTTTATGGACTAGCGTAGATGTCTATTTGCACGTGTACCACGTGGTTAGAATATGATGATGTCCTCATTGACCCTAACCTAAGGCCTCCGTACATCGTGTAGGCTATCTTACATTGACTAGACAAGTAGGCTTAAGTTTTAACACGTCCTTCGACTCACACACCGCACCGCCCCTACGCACCAATGCGGCAGTGAGCAACAGGCGGAGGCATTTCTCCGGCTTCTTCCATCGGCGTTTTGCGTTCCAGCTTTCACCTCCCACGAAAGTAACTGGACTAATGCACTGGCAGCACTGCCTAGTGCCTACCAGGGATGAGGCCTGAAGATAACCTATGTATTCCTACACCGCAACGGTGGACTATCAGACGATCCGTCCATGGGCGAGATGGCAGTCCGCCATGGAGGTATTTCTTTGGATGGCCAAGATAGCGACAAAGTCTACCCCTTTGCTCTATTGGTGCTTCAGTGTTTCGGGCGCAGAGGAGATGATGAGTGGCTAGCTTATTGTGAAGCTTTGTGATTACAGTATGGTCTTGTGCGCTTTGATGGAGCCCAGAGATGCCAAGGGAACCAATCCAAAGCGAATGAATGAATCAACCTATTGAGCACGCTAGAGACAAAGCAGAGGCGAGGGCATATTGTGTGTCTTACCTACGCAACGGCACGTGAGATCACGGCATCTGCTAAGTCGTATGACTTGGATTGTGTTTACTGTCTAGAGTCTCTGCACGCATGGCAATGTCGACAGACAGAATAATTACTTATCGATGCCCACCTAGCCCACTCATGTCTGCACACTCTGTATATCCATTCCCGGATAATGATTCATCATATAAGTACGAGGATATCTACCTCCAGTCAGGCCCGTCGTGCTTCAAGAACAGTTACATTCATACTGTTTCCACGTATCCAGAGCGATGTTAAGGTGTGTTCATGATTCAATTACTGTTCAATCTGGAGCTCATTCAAAAGCATCATTAATTTGGCCGGGCTAATGTTATTCTGAACAGTGGATCCCTCCATCATGACCAACGTTTTCACTTTGTCTGATGCAATATCTTCAAACCTCTCTCACTCCTTCCTGACCAAGTTCTACAAACCAAGGTCACCATGGGAAATTCAACCATTTTGAGCATTTTCCAGGCCACTGTGCCAACAAGCTTCTTGGGACAGAACCCCAACTACCGTGAGGCAACCCGTGGCTTGCCCTTCACGCAATTCATCTCGAAAAAAGACAGCTCCAAGGTGAAAAACCTCCATTCCCAGGGACAGACTCGGTCGGGCTGTTCCCGCCAAGAGTTCCCTCTCCGCCTCCATGGGAAGGAGAGCGCCCACCGTTTCCGAGGGGCCTGCAATATTTGGTGGATTTTGCTCGGGGCTGACGAGTGGCTGTCATGGCCACGGCAATCTCAGTGAGGGCTTGTGGATGAATCATCTCCGAATGGTTGACGGATATTTGCCGCATGGGAATACCGTCTACCGTTGCTATTAGCAGATGGTGATAGGTGACGTCGCTCGCGGCATCGCTGGATGCTTGGATGCGCTTTGTGCTCACGGGGATAGTCATTCGATAATACGTCGGAAGCAGCTGGCCTCTCAGCTATGCCTGGACTCAGCGGATGACCCTACTCAGTAGAGAAAGCCATGCCGGGTTTCCAATTGGGCATCTGTGAGCCTCACTCCCTTGGCACGCCTAAATCAAACAGGTTAGCAAATGACCAACGTGGTTTCATCCATATAGGATGTCAGTCTCTTACCAGGGAACATGATGTGTGGCATTCACCACTTGCCTCTGAGACAGAGGGAGAACAGCCATCCATTCCTTGGACAACGATTCATGTAATCCCTACGCCAGGCCCTCTCGGAACGTCTGTGAAGAAATCCTTGGCCTCACAGCTCAATGAGGAATGTTGGAATCCCTACCGACTACCAGTTTCGGTTCTGGCAAACTCGGCGCATTGCCTCGTTAGGGTTCTTGCGCACAACCATCCACAGCATGATGGAAGTGGCCAAAGACAGGCCATACCTGCAAAGTATGAGCTACGATCTCGGGTGGAAAACATGGATCCTAACTTACCAGGTGAATATGTACTGAGAATGGTTATTCCTCAAGTTGGCCTCTGCGGCGCGACCAATCGGGATGCCCTTAGCTTCGCGGTTGTAAGACTCGATCAGGTCAGGCACTGTGAAGGAAATACATTGTTAGCCATGTATTAGCAAGATGAATCAACTTAGCATCATTACCCATTGTCTCCTCAATTCTCTGAGCTGTACCCCCGAGGTATACGGCTTGGGAAAAGAGATCAAGCTCCACGGAACGCCATGCCGGGTTTCGGATTGGTCATCTGGGAGCCTCACTCCCTCGGAACGCCTACATCCAACAGGTTAGCGGATCAGCAACATGGTTTCGTCGTTATAGGATGTCAGTGTCTTACCAGGGAACATAATTTGGTTCGCCACTTCCATGTATCCGAGACCGAGACAGAACGGCCATCCATTCCTTGGACAGCGACGTCTTTCAGAAGAGAATCCAACACGTCCTTGATGGATGAATGAAGATGAAGAGATGAAGAAGTGTTTGGAAGAGGATTCAAGAAGTCATGTGAACGATTGAGCCATGTGAAAAAAACAAACGAAGCAGATGGCGGCGATGGCGACGCCGGCGCCGATGTCGTTTCAGGGCGAGAAGGTGTGGGCAGATCAATCGCACAAGTTATGCGCGCAATAGCTGGTTAGGTTACGGTGCTGCACGGGAAGTTCACTTGCTATTCTGATGCCTAGCACTGTCTCATCTAGCAAGCCTTTGCGCGCACAGTTTGTGCGACTGATCTGCTCAAGTACTCTCGCCCCGGGTCGCCAACTTCGTTGATTCACATCACACGTTCCAATCGTTCTCCCCACTTCTAGGGGTCTTTTCCAAGCACTTATTTATATCCAATTATCCCATATCCAATAGCACTGAATGATATTAGTGTGTGATACGGTATTTTCGCATGATACCTGCGTGCACTATCTACTGATCGTGTCACCAAGCTCATTTTGATTGCGCGTGTAGTGCAACGCAACCACCGGAGACTCTGATACATACATGTACAAAAAGGTACCTAGTACATAATATCTACTAACTATATGCATCTCTCCCCCTCACTTTCCATTCATCTCGTTTGCTCTCATCTCCCTCCCTACTTCCAAGGAAGAAAAAGCAACCGCGGCCGCGGGCGGCTCCCCCAGCCCAGCCACCACTGGTAGGTGATACTTACATGTATACTGCACTGACTAGGAATGTCTAGTTGAGACTTGAAATGTAAGCGTGCCAAGAAAGGCGGATCGTTGAGCGGTCTGGCCACTACAAGATCATTCCAAGTTCCCTGTGGTGAATTTAGGGCATACGAAAGGTCACGTGAATTTCCGCGGCAACGAGCCAACTGGTGAATTGGAAGTAGTGCAGAGGCTTGCTTCGTACCCTTCAGAATGGAATATCATAAAAGAAGATAAGTTTCTGGGACCATGTGAGGGATGAGACATTGACGACAAGAGTCGATGTATGTATCCGCGAATACGTGGGCTACATGTTTGTATCCATCGTGCTGGCAAACGGCAGCCAGGACGTCATTATTACTCTCAATCCCTTCGGGTACTGACAGTGTCTTCAGTGAACAGCCAGTAGATCGTATTACCATGTCTACCGGGCGACATTCAATTTTCCAACTCCTACAGTCACTACCCCGGTTCGCGGGCGACAAGGAGTCCGATATTGAAAGCATATGCAACACAAACCATCAGCAATTTGTCTCATCTGTGAACTCACTGCTCTAGATTTGAGGATGGACAGTGGGACTGGCAGCGGAGATTCTGAATTTGAACCAATCTGTCCAGACCAGCACAGAGCCCTTAGCGGAGCAGAAGAAGGCACTGGTGGAATCGCCTGGCCACCGGCAGAACATCGACGAGACCAGTGGCGCTATAGGGCTGCCTGGTGTTGCGCTTAGTCAAACAGTTGGTGAGAAAGAACCACTACACAGCGCTGCGCGCCCTGGAGGAACTACACAATGTCTACTTGAAGGATGTGAGGCAATGTAAGATTGCAATCATGATTCAACGCTCATTTCCCGCGGCGGAGAGGGCTACCAAAGGCATTAACTACGATGTAGGGACTTTTCAGTAAATGCTATAAAATTTGGGATCACCTCATTCTTAAACCTGGTGACTGGCCTCTCTGTCAAATAGTATTATTGTGTGTTGACATACCCATAGTCGGCGTGAGGTAGTTAGTTCTAGCGTGCTCAGTATAGTACTAGGCAGACTATTGCAACAACCATCGGACAGGGCGGTCCGAACCTTTCATCGAGTTTATGAATCCAAACTCCACTATTCATCTCTCTTCCACAGTTCATCCTCTGTTTCGCAATTCATTCTCTCTCCGCAATCCATCTCTCTTCCACCATCCATCTTTCTTCCACAATTCATCCCCAGTACCTACAGATATTCACAATCTCCAGTGTTGATATTCAAGTCTTCGAGTGAGTCTTTCTCGTGATGTGTGCGCTAAGACTATCGTATCCTGGTAGCTTGTTCCCTGGCCTGATTTAATGTCAGGCCAGAGAAAGCATTCGTTAGGGTTGCTCTGGGATTTCTTCCAAGTGGGTCAACTGCGGGTTCTTTCTCGCTCTGCGACGGAAGTAGACTCGCTTAGCCCACTTCCAAGCTTCGACTCCGATGAAGAAAAGGACAGCCTCGACCGCCACGATGCCCCATTCCCAGGTAATAGGCTTGTGCTTGAAGACGACGTCGTTCAAAACGGGGATATAGAGAATAGGAAACATAGTGATCCATCCAGCCATGACGGACCAGAAGAGGAACTTGTTTCGCCAGACGTCGTACATCCACTGAGTGAAGTATTTATTGGATTTGGGTTGCATGCGGAAGAACGACCGGCGCAGGTTGACCATTTCCCAAGCCAAGAACAATGCGAACCAAGTCAAGCATACGAATGTGGTGGCACGTGCTTTGAAAACCAGTTCGCAGTCATTGATCTCTTCAGACCACTCTTTGTTGCAGCCGCGGGCCAGGTTACCGTCGCCGAATCCCCACACACGGATAGAAAATGCGGCCAGGCAGAGAGCTGCAGTCCAGATACCATACACCAGAATGTCGATAACCACCTCCCAGGTGAAAATGCCTTGCTTACTCTGGGGAGGACGGTTCATGATGTCAGGGGCAGCAACCTCCATTCCAAGACCCATATCGGGCATACCCGATGTAATCATGATAATCCAGAGAATTTCGACCGGTGAAAGAGGGAAGACGGACTGGTTATCAGCATCTTTGAAAGCCAATCCGATGAGCAACGTGCAAGCCTGAGCGATGTTCTCTGACAACAGATGAAGCACGAATTTCTGAATATTATCAAAGATACGACGACCCTCTTCGACGGCATTGAGAATCGAGGCGAAGTTGTCATCCGTGAGGATAATATCAGACGCATCCTTGGCAACGTCCGATCCTGCTTGTCCCATAGCGATACCAACATCGGCATGCTTAAGCGAAGGAGAATCATTGACACCATCTCCGGTCATAGCTGCAAAACGGCCACGGCGATGAAGGGCGTCGATCATACGCACCTTAGTCTGAGGAGCACAGCGTGCGATGACCAAGGGAAGAGTCGGTAGCTTATCTACCTCTTCATCAGTGAGTTTGTCGAATTGACCAGCAGTCATGACCATAGCGTCCGCGACATCAGCAGCCACTGCATTGAAATCAGCAGGAAGAATTCCTACTTGCTGAGCAATCGCTTTAGCAGTGCCAGGGTGATCGCCAGTCACCATGTGGACAACAATACCAGCCCGGTAGCATGCCTGAATGGAGCCCGCCGTCTCCGGGCGCGGAGGGTCATATAAGCCGATCAGACCCAGGAAGCATAGATCCTTCTCTATATCTTCACGATTGAGGTCTGCGCCTTCGAGCAGTTGTGTCTGGGCAACGTATGGGCGATGGGCCAGGGCCAAGACCCGAAGTCCCAGCTTGGCGAGTTCTTCCATGTTCTGGAGGATCTTTTCGCGGTGGTCATCGGTCATTGGGACGGGTGTAGAGGAATCCTGGTCCCATATAACAGAGGTGCATGAATCCACGATGCGCTCGACGGCACCCTTCGTGAAAACCATTGTCCGGGTCTCTTCCGGGGTGATTTTGCTGAAAATCACAGACATTTTCTTGACGGTTGAGTCGAACGGGAATTCAGCCTGTTGATGCCATACTGTACCCTGATCCTTTTTGACCCAGCGGTCGCGGTTCCAGTTGAATCTCGATGCAAAGACGTGGATGGCTATTTCTGTGGGTTCACCTCGTGCACTCCAAGCGCCCTCTTCGGACTTATACACGTGAGAGAGATTGGCCATTGAAGCGACATCCAGAAAGTCCTCCAGCTGGCGATTTCCCGACACCAGGCTTTCTGCGTTCCCCGTGGCGGTATCTTGTTTCTCATGATCCAATTGTGAAGGGGGCACAGGGGCGAATGTTACATCTCCAACGGTGGGATTGAAAGGCTCGTTGGATGGGCCCACGGAATATGTCCCTCGAGACGGAATCCATGCCTTTTGGACAACCATTTTGCCCTGAGTCAATGTACCAGTCTTATCAGAACAAATATCCGTGACAGCACCGAGGGCTTCCAGTGAGTCTAATTTGCGAACGATGACGTTCCGCTCGACCATGCGTTTAGTACCCACTGCCATGGTGATAGTAAGCACGACCACCAGGCATGCAGGAATCATACTGATACCAGTCGCAACAGCATACATGATGACCTCGGTATTGCTGCTAAATTCGTTTGCAGCCATGCAGACGATGGCGAACACAACGGCAATTCCAAATAGCAAACAGGCTAGCTTTGACAGCTTCCTCTGCAAAGGCGTTCCGATATTGACACCGAGGAATCGACCCACGGCGTCTGCCCAGGTGAGACTCCAGGCTTCAACGTACCAACGCTTCTTGGTTTCACCGTTGGGACCGCGCCTGACCTCACGACGCTTGTTGCCGCTAGCCCGCAATGCGAGGGCAATTGATCCGATCTCAGTGTACATGCCAGTGCTGACAACCACACCACGGCCACGGCCACGAGTGACGGTACTAGAACTGTAGGCGATATTGAGGCGGTCTCCGGGACCAGTGTCTTCTTTGAACGTCGAGTCGCATTCCTTCTGGACGGGAAGAGACTCGCCAGTTAGGAGAGCTTCGTCTGTCTCGAAGTTGACGCTTTCGACTAGGCTGATATCAGTTAGCAATTTGGTCGGAAACTTCTCCGACAGCTTCTGGATCGTAGATGCACAATGATAATAAAGAGGAACTCACCGAATATCAGCTGGAACGGTATCACCGGTTCGAAGCTCGACCATGTCACCCGGCACGATGTCCGACGACGGCACCGAGAATGTCTGTCCGCCTCTGGAGACAGTTCCAGTCGGGGATGAGAGCGAGTGTAGCGATTCCATTGTCTTTTCCGCGGCGTACTCCTGGAAGAATCCAACAACGATATTCAAGATAATGACGGCGCAGATCACTCCGCCCTCAATCCACGACTGAATACCAAAGCTGACCGCCATGGCCAGAATCAAGACCTACATCAAATGGCTAAATCAGAATTGGCCAAATTTCTTTTAACCAGTTTTCAAAATGTCATCACGAAAGATAGCGGTCTCTTACTAGCATCATTGCGTTCGCAACTTGGCGCACGAGGATTTTCAACACCGACACTCCCTCCCCTTCGTCGAGTTTATTGGGGCCATATTCCTGGAGACGACGAGTCGCTTCTTCAGGGGTCAGACCCTCGTTCAGCTCGGTGCTGAGTTCCTGAATCACATTTTCGTAAGGTAGCGTGTGAGCTGGCTGGCTCAGTGGGCTGCCGCCCGACCCGGAGTCGAGGGCGCTGTTGGGCTTCTCGTCAACCATTGGTATTGTCTGCCGAGAAGTGGCTAGCTGGGTCGCTTCGGGGTGAATACGGAGACGTTGCACGTTTAACTCTTATTCTGAATTCGGGTAGGTCTCTGCGGTGGGGGGGGGAAGTGTTCTCTCTTAAGTGTTAGGCGAACGGCCCCCATCGTGGGGAAATCGGCGTGGCGTCACAGGTACTTCGGCCTATCGCGGGGTCGCCAGGCAGGTCGGCAGATTTTAGGAGACCGTTATTGGCAGAGAGGCCAGAGATTGAGTTATCATCTTGGCGCCGAGATGTTAGGCTGAGTCTTGTAGGCCGATCTCCTCCATCATCGGGCAAAAGTGGTGTCAAGAAGGCTAGCACCGAGTGGCCTTGGCACGATCAATTGATTCTAATTGACAGAAGTCCAATCGCAGCGACACGTGTCGGGCGTCACCTAAGGACGGCCATATTGCCAAGGACCCCTCCATGTGCCAAGAGTGAGTTTTGTACTGGGTGCCAAGAGCGCCAAGGATGCCTTTCCGCGCAAACGAGAATTGCCAAGAATAAGGATCAGGAACTCGGGATTTGCCGGATTCAGAATTCGATTCTGAGCAGCTGGTAACTTTACCTCGTAAGGCGTAAATGCAGCATTATGCAGCGCACAGATCTACTTAGATCCATCTCCCGGCTGGCCCAGCAAATTATGAAGGAGCAAATTATGAAGGTGCATCAATGTACGTGGCGTTAGTCTATTCGCATCCGCGACCATTGTTTCGGAGTTGGCTGATCCACGACGTAAGTACTGTGTATATATATGCCTTAGTGTCTTACTTTGGTCAATAGTTATCACTTGGACAATATCACAAATTCTTTTGTTCTTGCGCGGCCGAATGACAAAAGGAATGGAAGTGCGGGGCATGGAGCGATCGCGACCCAAACCTAGATGGAAGAGACCCGACCCCAGTCCCTGTATATATCACGGCACTTCCATGTCATAGCCCATAGGTAGGTTAAACCGCCGCATAGAAACTTTATCCTTGGATGTGAAGACATAGTTTAGCAGATAATATGCGTGGTTCCCAATCTTGGATTCCCTGATATTCAACAAATTGGCATGAGATTGTGGCAGGGCTCAATGCCCGTGAAGATAGCCTGCGCTAGTTATTTATACGCACCAAAAAACTTAGGGTAAGGTACAGATCCGGTTCATAAAGTCAGAAAGTCTTCGCCCTTCAACAGCCCGGCCGGGCTAGCTCAATCGGTAGAGCGTAAGACTCTTAATCTTAAGGCTGCGGGTTCGACCCCCGCGTTCGGCTATTCCTAAAAACCAATCCTGAGATTTCTTTTTTTTTTTCGACTTTCTGGATGGAAACTGCAAAAGGTTTTCGGCCCCACTTTTAGGGCTTGTCCGACCCGGGCGCGGTTGGCACAGCCTTGCAGTTATGTTAAGCCCGAGTCCCGACCCGACAACGCTGGCGTCTGGAATTGTACAAATTGGCGCGTAGGTGCCTCTACGTATTGGGGGTTTGGCTACAATCATTTATGGTTGAGTTTTGGAAACGCGTAAACGTCGAGGCATCATCACCTGATGTCTTTGACACTTTAGATGGTGTTCCAGGGTTAGTATCGGATTTTAAGGTTCTGCATGGAACACTTCTGGAAGCTCTTAATTATGGTGTAACAACCGTAGCCAACACGTATCCCATCATGACATGCGTAATCGCATGTTACTCTTCAATATGGTTTAGAACCTTTCACTCATCATTCTTGAATCTTGGTACTTCAGCGCTAGAAGGACGCCACTTGAGTGAGAGTTGGTCAGTCCGGTGGCGGAAGTGTTGTTCAGTATGCAACCCTGAAAGAAATAACAATCGAATTCTAGGTACCTAGATCCACATGGATTGATCCATCAAGAGCGCATTGCCCGGAGTAACCTCTGCCTGTGAGCAGAATTGGAATAAGGGAGGCTGTAGACAGTAGGTATGGAGGTAAAGTACAACTGAGCTTATATCTGTGCCTTTGAGCTTTCCGCACCCTTCGAATAGGGGTGGGTAAGCAGAAAGGCACAGATACCTCAATAGCTACGACTTTGCGATGTCTAACGTTATCCCCAACGAGTAAATAAACAACTCAAAGTATCCCCTTCGAACCAAGTTCTGTCTTTCCTCCAGCCGTGGACAATAAGATCTCTGCCTACCTTCACAACATCCTCAACCTGCTGGGGGCTACCCCATCCAGGGACTCGACTACCCCAGCAAACAAGATGAGCACCGACGTGGATGGCAGTCCTAAACCCAATCTCATCACTCAAACTCCCGTATCCCTCAAGGAGTCCCTTAATGACCCACACTCCGGCGTCGACATTCCTGAACAGCTTTGTTTCGTAAAGCTCCGCAATCATCTGGCCGAGATCCAAAGCTCGGCTGCCAATGTGCGACATTTCCCAGTCAACGACGAACAACGTCGTCTCAGACTTCCCAGTAAGATGAACATTGGGGATCAAAACACTGTATATCACGTTAGTTTCCTCCATCAAATACAACAAGACTGGATCAACCCCGCCAGTCCAAACATACTTTCCTGTCCAGAAATCACCGTGGATAATTCCATATCCGTCATCATGGTCTTCTCTTGTCAACTCTGCCGCTGCAGAATCGCCAACTTCCTCAAACACACCGCGACTCTCCTCCAAAAGTCCCGGGAAATTCTCAACCGTGTCCATCAACATCGTGTAGTTGATGTAAAACTTCAAGTCTTTCATCACTTGATGCTTTCCAAGCACGGATTTCAACTCCGCTTGCTCTGCCTTGTCTGCCCAACTATGGAACGACCGTAGCCAGCCTCCAAGGGTGCGACCGAGGGATTTTGCTGTCGACTCTGACACATCATTTGAGGTTTCCGAGAGAAGATAATGCTTCAAGTCAATAGAATCCGGAAGATCCTCTAAGACCTGTGTATTTGTTTTGCGATCAAAGTGAAGCAGAAGAGGCGGTTTCACGGTGAGTTTGTCCTCCGAGTAGGGCGATAAGCCCTCAAGAGCTTGAAGGGTAGCTGCTTCGAACTCCTAAATTGAGATTTAGTATACCAAGTCTATGATCAGCCCATTATTGATAACGAACACATCGCGCCGCATCCAGTCTGAAGTTCACATTGGAAGCCAGGTAGTCTTTTGTGTGCTTAACTACGACAGTACTCGCAGTTGCCGAGGAGAGAGCACCTCGATAAACGAAATTGGAGACGCCACCGGACAGCGCGGTTAAAGAGGAGCATTCAAAAGGGGTATGCGAGAGACTTTTGGCGATTTGCTCGCGAATATCATTTTCATTTTCCATATTGAAGTGTATTTATGGGAAATCTTCGTGAGCTGAACAGATTATTTGTAGCCCGGCCGGAAGGCGCTAGTACACATCTGGTCCCCGCAACAGAGGGAAACACGAACCCATTGCCCGTCACCCGAGTAATCTAGCCCGAGGGGGAAATAACCTACTCTGTATATCTGTACCTTTCGGCTTACTCACGCCATAGAATAAAGAATTAAACACGTTTCGATGTGGGATTATTGGGGCAAGTCGTAGGGATATGGCCTTGCCAGTTGGCGGAAGGTTAGCCAGTTGGCTGTGGACTTGCCAGTTGGCGGGAAGCTCGCTAAATGCGTCTGGAACTCGGCACCCACAAGTGGATACTGATAACTGGACAGAAGATTTTAGTGATATTTTATTTAGAAAGGTAAGGTACTGTACACATGTCCCATTCCCTTTTTGTATGGAGTCCACATGATCTTCTCGTGATGCATTAAGATATGCTGCGACTGCATCCAATTGTCGCCATCGGACTTTTGAAAAGGACGTCTGCCTTTCTCTGTGTGTTATACGGTTTATACTGGTCCTCCTTCTTCCAAGAGTGCTCCGCCGTTGTTACTGCCATTTTCTGAATCAGGGTCTTTTGGTGCTGCATATTCGGGTGATTTATCCATCGCCTCGCCTCCGGGCCGGGGTTGGGTCTTGGACTTTTGTACCTATTCTTGACAAACGGAGAACGGACTGGAATGTCGGCGACATGGACAGAGTGTATATATCAGACTCTATATTCCCGCAGACTCAGGGTAATAACTAGAATATTGAAGAAAAGCCTCGTCGATCTCCGGTGTCTTGCCACCAATACGACTCATCTCCGCATAGTTGAAGTTGCCATTCATCGACTCCTCGGATACCGCTTCAGAAGCTACCGCAAGAACATGATCCAATTCACTTCGCTGCGTCGGAGTCTCAGTCGAGGCAATAGCCACGGTGGACGGGCCCGCATTGGTAGAGCTCGCGATGGGCGGGATAGGTTGGAGATTGAGATGAACGGTGATAGGCTCTACCATTGAAGGTAGGGTTTGGCCTATTTTAGTAAGTAGAAGGGGAAAGAATCTCCGTCGTCCTCCTGGAAGATCATGGATAAGAGTGAAGAAGTGCTTAAGGTAGTCTTGAGGACCAAGCTTGAAGCCCGAAGAACGAAGTCCGGCTGCCGAGAGGCACGCCATGACATCAATCAAGGTGCATGCCACTTCAAATATTTTCTCAATCTGGATGTCGTCAGTAACGATTATGCCGGAAGCAAATATAAGCACATACGAGACCTATCCCATGTGTCTCCATACTCTGTCTCGATAATTTCCACGTTGCAAGGCAAAGATCCTGGGCAATCAGCAGAGGGTAGCGGAAATCCATGCATTCATGGGTCGGGTTGGTCGACAAAAAGCCCGCAGTCGTTGAGAGCTGCCATATCATAATCCGCAGCCACTGCTGAGATACACGTAGATCGGCCATTACTATGTCGGGCAAATCAAGATCCGCCGGAACTGCGTTTCGAATGCGCTCCTCGAGCCGGACCAGCGACTCGATTGAGCATGTTGTATTTCTTCCATTCCAGTGACAGAGGAAGGTTTCATCAAATGGGCGATAGAGATCTACCAAGCACCGAAAGCCAACAGTGGCCGTATCTGGGTGGGGATCGTCCTCCAACTGAGGGCTTTCGGGTGTGACCTGTAGGGTGATCGGTCTATGTCGTCGGATCGCATGAGCTCTGCACCATCTTTAGCTTGATTGCAATATAAGGTACATAATCAAAAGCCTTACCTCTCCGAGATCACCAACAACCAAAACAATTTACCTGCCAAAGAAGGATCATCGTCATCTGCCTGGGCCGATGAGGCTTGGCTTTCCAGCGCACTGGCGGTATAGAGTGTTGTTGATTCGCGAAGAAAGTAATAAGCATGTCTTTGGTTCCCCAATCCAATATGGCAACCATATAGAAGGAACGCGATGATGATACTTTGGCGCACAGGCTCTGTAAATGGATCAATGTGTTTTCGCGCCTCGGTCGCTTCTGCAATCAAAGAGCTCCGGTATTCTTCGGTACAGAACCTCCCAGAGGATTCATTGGATGAATGCTCTACGGCGAATCCAGTCTGAGTGACCACGAAAGCGCAAAACGCCGTGACCAAACAGTATGCGAGGGGACAGTTGTCAGCGAGGTCCACCTGCTTTTGAAGCCCGCCGGGTTGCAACACGGGCACTGTTCCTCGCATGCGCGAAAAAAAATATTCTGAACAGGCATTGACGAGTTCGGAGCTTAGAAGCCCTGGATATTTTGAGAACTGACACCTTCCCGTGTTTTGCAGCGGCAGGGGTGTTGCTAGTGCTACAACTTCCCCATGCCTGGGAACTGTAGATGGCGGAGAAATATTCGTCTCAGCTTCTTTCGTCCGGAGTTCATTAAGTACTTTTGCGGTCTGGCCCTGTCGGCCTTTCTTCTGTCGCTGAATGGTCGTCCGGCATTCCAGGCCGGCAGACCGACACTGCTCACAAGGTCGTGGGGATGTGCATTTGACCTTGCGCCGGCGACAAGCATCACATGCTTGCTTCGCCGATGGGCCTGGCATTGACCTGAAAAGCCAGACAAGTATTTATCCCAAGTGACAAGCGGCCTGCGAAAGTCCGGGGATGCGGAGGGAAGTCGGAGAGAAGCCGGGGAAAGAGCCTCCGGAGTGTAGTGGCCTGGTTTCTCAGGCTCTAAGGCTCCAATCACCTTTGACCAGTTGGTTAGTGTCCCTCGAGAATTCGGATGGCATGTTCTCGTTTCACATATAACCTCAACTCTGGCAAGTGGGTTGCGTGGCTGAATGAAGTCACAACGGCCGATTTCCTCGACTGGAACCCTAGTCTCAACACTAATCTGAGCTTATGTGCCATGCAGCCAGGGTACAGTTATTGTGCTGTTCTCAATAGTTCTTACAGTAAGTGATCTTGTTGCGCCTTATGCCTTTTCTCCCCGGATCTTATTCTAATGCCACGTTTTTTCTTTTCGAAAATAGCAACCAGCAGTGACAGCGGACTTGGCTCTATCTGCTTGTCCCTCAATGCCACCGAGTCTACCACTGTCTCAAACTGCAACTGCTTCACCGGTGTCCCTGGCTACTATAAAGGAGGTATGGATGACAACGAACAAAAGGAGTGAAGGAATAGGGCACTCGCATCTCATGATACTGATTTTGCCTAGAATACCAATGTGCACATATTGAGGAAGACTTCGATATCACGGAAGCCCAACTCCTTACGTGGAACCCTTGGCTCGGCACAGACTGTGACACAAATCTGTACGCCAATCTTAACGATACCGATACTCGTGCCGTCTGTATTGGGGTGGGTTCGAGCACGTCAACTACTACCACCACAACCCCTAGTAGTACTACCGCTACTGCTACGTCGGTAGCCCCAACACAAACTGGATACATCTATGGGTGCCAGGAGTTCTTCACCGTCGAGTCGGGAGACGATTGTTCGACAATGGAGACTGAGTTTGGAGTTACTCTTGCCCAACTCTACGAGTGGAATCCCAGCAGTAAGATCCCATTCATCAAGACCCCTAGAGACGAGTCAAGCTAATTCCGAACTATAGTTGGAGAAACATGTACGAACCTGTGGCTCGGGTATACCTACTGCGTCAAGGGTCCCACGGCCACAGCGAGTAGCTCAGCTGGTGCGCCTGCACCGACTGGCATCGCGTCCAATTGCAACGAATATTACACGGTCGTTTCCGGGGACTCGTGCGCGGCGGTTGAGGGTGCGTTCGAAATAACATTCGCGCAGCTGTACGAGTGGAACCCGGTGATTGGGTCAGATTGTCAGTATTTGGATGTTGGCTCTGCCATTTGTGTTGGCGTTTCCTAGACCTGTACCAAGACCAGAATAGCAGGGAAAGAAAAGATTAGCCACAGTAGAGGTAAAGAATGATCAGTAATATACATGATTCCATCTTGTCCAGAAAATACATCGCTCGGGCGTTGGGACCGGTCTCCGCTCAAAAGACAAAACCAATTGCCGGTGGCCGTCGATACTCAAGGTCCCAACTCCCATCAGGAGTCATGAGTGAGGAGGCTCCAGTCTGCGCCTGACCATATCTAACCTTCATCCAGCCAACCTCGCCCAACGTACAGCCGTACACTGGCTCGTGACCATCGTCTAGCCCCCCTCCTGCAGCCAATTCTGCAGCCAATTCTTCGGGGTCCCACTCTGGGGACCACCTCCCATTGATCAGGATCACAAATCCAGTAGTATTATACTGTTCCAAGTCCTCGGTCGGTATATCCAGCACAGACTGTAACGCCTCCTCGTCAACCATGATACACAGCCGATATCGGGCCGAGTACGCCAACTCCGCACGTTTGTATGGCACCCCATGCTCCGTCTCGCAAGCCACCCTCGCCCACTCCTTGAAAGCGTCCCGTATTTGATCAGGCGTGGCCCCGTCAAAGCGGCGCGCGTCTTCCATCACAACAGGCCGAAAGGAATCCAACATGTATGCTACGTTCTTTCCGTGATGGTTGCCTTCTCTAAGCTCGATAGGCAGCGAAATGCATTCAGAATCACCTTCATGCAGACGTGATACAATGTCCGGTGCTACCTTCGTTCAAATCAGCTTTTACCGGCCCTACTGAGAGCCAGGATGTTACCGTGCCCCAACATGAATTGATTCTTAAACAGGCAATCGTAGCACTTGTAGGAGCGTTGGTGGCTTGTAGACTAATTTCGAATTGCACAGTCAAATGTCCAACCCCAATGGAAGCGGTCGAGTGAAATCGTGTAATTTCGACGGAGACGAACAACATCCTATCCAATGGAGCAGAGACCAACCGTCCCAAATCCCGTGTCCCCTCCCGTGTCCCCTCAGGAGGAGTTCGAACTGTTCAACAATTACATAAATCCTTGTCTTTCCTTTGTTGATCTCGTTTGATCCATCACGAAATCATCAGCATCCTTCCATCGCAGCCTGCTTGTCCCTCCTCTTCTCTCTCATCATGTCCAAAGCTAACTACATCCCGTGGTCACCATCAGAAGAGCAAAGACTTCCAAACTGGCTATCCCGACACCAGCATTTATCGTGGGAGAAGAAATCGATAGAATACCGTTGCGATACTGGTATTGCACGCGGGCCCGAGTCGCTACGTGGAAAACACAATCAACTACTAAAAGGTATCTACCGGCGGCGTTCGATATCTGCAAGATGTCGCCGCAAGAACGCTCAGGCTGTAGGATGTCAACGACTGGCGCATATGCCTGGCATTCCCAACTCGCCACCCGCCTTAAATCTGAGGGCTCCGGATCTTCAGGCTCGCCAACTGCTCCGGCAGTTCAATCCTAGAGAATCACTAACCAGAGGCCAACGGCGATCATGTGAGTACAAGCCTACGAAAAGAAGATAATGCGGGTCAGAACTGATTTAGGTTGCGCTAGATGATGCAATACTCAGGATGTTTTCCCTCCAACGCCGACGACGACACTCAGTCCCGGAGAAACTTTGGAAAATATTGGACCAGGTGCTTGGGCAGTGGTGAAAGATATTACAGCTGCTATCCAAACAGTACTGAAGGTTCAGGGCAGATGTCATTTTAGGGTACAGGGCTGTAGAGACACTCCCATGCGTTCGTCCGTAACTTCTATTTTTTACCGTTTGTCATATTTTTTTACGAGTAATTGTGTGTTCTCTTACTGTTCAATGCCTCAATCAAAGCCTGTGGTCACAATCTGATTGGCTAGTGTTGCGGTACCAATGCGCGCGCTAGAGCACAGGAGCTTCGTCAGTGCGCAAGACGCTGATAGAAGAAAAGACAACCGTATCTCTATCTACCTTAAGTAACGTCTGATCGAGAGAGCTCCTGCGGCCTGCCGCGCCATGCTATCCGAATTGCAGATAAATTCCCAATACTAGAACTGGAAGGCCAGGAACGGGGAACGCTCTGAAAGGAAGATCGCCACGGCGTAAGAACTTTGTTGGTCAAGCGATCCGTACCAGTCTAGCTAAAAGTGGCGGCTGTACACTCCCGTGTTAGCCGTTTGCGCTGAGCTGTATTGCCGGTGGCTTATTGTGACTCCGTAGCCAATGGAATTAAGTTGGATACCAACGGAACTAAGATCCGCAAATGTGGGGCCGAATTTTGTACCAATTTCCCGCGCTCGGGCGTACCAAATAAAAAGCCCTTCTCTACGACGTCACCTTTAGCTGAGCCTGAGCCAATCCGACCCCACCTAGTCCAGCTTGCCACTGTTGGTTCTGAACTCACGAAACACATCACCAACATCTCTTTGATTACCAGATGATAGGTTACTAAACCATGATGTTTCTCCGAGAAGCGCTCGTCTTGCCCAAATAATGACCTTCCGGTAAAATGGGGTTTTCAAGAATCCATAGCTATTGCACAGGACATATCAAACAGCGCAGGATAATGTTTGTCGTTGAATTACTATCGCATGAGTCCCAAGTGTAGAATAATTTCGCCCACGCTCAATATGGCTTTCAGTGTAGAGGACTTATACAGCAATCCTGGGTCCTTCCCACAGATGATAGTGAGCTGCATCGGCCGCGTGGGCTACTGAGCGCCAGACAGGGGTTTAGGTCTGGATCGTTCGGGTATCGTCCGACCAGCGCTAATTTAATCTAATCCACCGGTGGTGTGCAATTCACAGTCGAGCCGCGCTCCCAACGCCGCCACCGGGACAGTTAGACCCCTGCAATCAACAGGCTCACAGAGTGAAGAGAGAAAGGTGCTTCAATTCAAGCCATGGATGACAGGAGTGATGAACCACAAAACCGAAGTGGTTTTACATGTATAACGGACGGAGGTGGAGCTGACACTCTATAGCTCCAGTTGTTCGATAGCCTCGGACCAATCACGTCTCGTAAACGCCTTAGAAGAGCCCCATTTTTCTAGTTCACGAAGTAGTGCAATTGGTGGTTGTTCGCCCCTATTCTATGGAAATTTGATATCGCGTGCATACCATACCCTCCCAAATTGCATTGGGTACTGAACGCCTGGCAAACATTGACAAGATAGACGTTGGTTTCAGGGAGGACTGGGGGAGAGAGCGCTAGAGAGAGGGGTATCTGACGTGATAGGCTGGAGTGCTCATTATAGGGACTGCGGTCCCTCAACCCTCCGTCCCCCCTTCCAGGTTAGGAGAATCAATTGCAGATCGCTGGGGAAAAAGCCCTTGACCAAAGCACGGCAACTTCTCGGGATGGGGCAGCCCGATCCGCCCGCCCAGTATCAACAGGACTCATACTTTGGACTAGATGATACGGTCGAACCGATACCCCCACGGCCACATAGCATACAATTGATTGTTCTTATATGAGCTGATGTGAACACGTCGTTAGCCGTAGAGCGACATCGGTCCGTGCCTGTCGGTGTGAGTTTAGAGTTGCATGACATGAATGACATGCATAGAAAGCGCCTGTGGAACCACTTTGAAGGGAAGGCTGTATGGTTGGAGAGATAGGAGACTCTTGTCTGCGTACTGAGCTATGAGCTACAGTACACCAGCTCCGTTACCAATACGATCATTTCATGCTTGCTATGACACGCGTGACTAAAGTATTCGGTCAGCGAACAGAACTGAGGTCATGACTAGACAAAAACAAAAGACCGTGGGGTGTTAGACAAAAGCTAGATCTGGACCTGTTAAGGTCGCAGGTTGGGTTTCGACCCTTGACCTGAATACACGTAACAGTATTTATACCACCTGTAATGCTATTATATGTGTCCTACCCAGATCGCCCTTGCTGTACTGTAATATACGGGCACGTGGGTTCTTGGCTTGCGTGAAGGCAGAATCAAAGAAAGACCAGGCTCAATTATCTTAGTGAGCGAGGGAAATCTAATCATGGCCTTTGTGGTGACTTGGCCCAGCACAACCCGCGGACAAATTAGATGTTTGGCATGCCGTCCTCTTCAGATACGGGAAACATGGTGGCCGGCATCCCCGCAAAAGCCCCAGAGTCATTGATCACATCGAACGCTTCCGTGTCGAGCCAGTCGCCCGTCACATCTACTCCCGGCAACTGACTGAAATTCTGCGCATTTCCGTTTTCATCCATCTTGGTTTCGTTTTCGTTCATTCGGGTTTCAAGATGGCTCATGAATGACTGGCCAGCAGTATGAATATCCTCCAGTGTCTGCTGCAGGTCACTTCGCGAGAGCAAGTTACGGGCATTTGAGTTGGCTGTCTCAAGAAGTGTCTCCAGCCTAGTAACTTGTCCATTTAAGCGTTGTATCTCCAGGCGGTACTGCTGCATCTTGGTCCTCATCTCGGATCTTTCCCTGCTAAACCACTGCGCATTGGCTGCGATTTCACGCCGTTTCTCATTAAACTGAGCTGCCAGCTGTCGATTGATTGCGTCGGCGTTCTCGATGGTCTTTTTACAATTAGAGTGGACGATCTCGAAGTTTCCGTCTCTCTCGTCTTGATTGGTTCTGGATGCGTGGGAAGTTCGTCCCTATCAAAGTATATGTGAGTAAGACTGCACGCCCCGTAGCTATAGTAATAGAGAACGGACCGGTACTTCTCGAACATTCACTTGCCGTTGCGACGTCGGTCCAATGCCACCGGCCTCGCTCCCAGGCAAAGTCCCTATGGGCTGCGCAAGAGATCTTTCCGCCCCTGTCGACCGGCGAACCGCGCGTTGGGGCGGCACCAATGGGTTTCTCGACGTTGTCGCTGCCTTGGGCATGATAAAAGTGAATCAGATGGAAAATGAAAGATCGACAGGTTCTTTGCAAAAGAAGAAAAGAAAGGAAAAAATTTCTTATCAGAAGGTTGTTCGAGGTGCGAAAGTGAGTAATTTCTCTGCTAGCCTTTGAGAATCCGCCCGACGAACTACGAGACGTCTAAAATCTTAGTGAGCGATCTCAACCCCGTTTTGTACGGCCCAACAGAGAGTAACTGGCCCAGTGACTACTACATTGGCAATTGCACACCGTTTAAAGTCTACACGTTGGCTACGATGGCTGGACTGTCCTCGGACTTGGCTCCTCTGGCAACGGTAGGAATCGCCTTCGTTGAGCAGATAATAGTAGCTCTTGATAATTTGTATGAGAAGTGATTAGACCTGAAATTTCCAGTCGGTGTCGACATTTCTGATACATTATCTGAGAGCTTCTAAAGAGGATCATGAAATTCTTAGCGTAGATTCGGCATGATTTCAAATCCGCGCTGAACGATGATCTCCAGACACACCATTGGATACAGCACTAGATCTCTTGCTCAAAGACTCATGTAAAACGCTAAGGGCCATAACTTTGATGGCCTGGTAGCATAGCCCTCTGCACTCTGCTTCTGAGATCCTGACTTGCACGTAAATCTGCTTGAGCTGTCGTGGAAGCCGTCTTCTCTCCCTTCGCAGGCCCCGCAAGAATACCGCCGCTCGTGACTGGCTCATTGCGGCCTCGGTGTAGCCCGGCGGTCGCATGAATTTTCCAAAGGGGATGGCCTGAAAGACGAGACCAGCAGGACTAAAACAGCACGGCTTCTGTATAGCCTGCTATGATGTTATCACTAGGAATATTGCACTCAATGTGTATGGAGGCTTAGACGTCAAAAACTCGAAGTCGAGCGCGGTCTTATGAGGACCCACGACCCGACAAACTTCGCTACGCCACCAACATCTGAAACTAAATCTGCTTGGTTCCCGGCGTCCAGGATGAAAGCCAGGCTCTGTCGCCTGTTTATCTTGTGATGTTCTAATATGCTCCGCGACCCACTTCCACAATTTGACGCCCCGCTCTGGGCATGTGGATCCGAATAGGGAACCGGAGTTTGTTTCCTAAGGCTCAGCCCCTCTTCCAAATCAGTGAAATCACCCCTGTCGATTGAAACGGAACGGCTTCTGTGCGGCCTACTAAGAGCCACCAATCAGGTTTATCACACCCAAATCTAAAATCTTACCAACGATATTTACCTTGTCTGATGGTGTGGAGACTACGGGAGACGTCTCGGAGAAACTCGAAGTCAAATGCAGCTTTATGAGGTCCTGTTGGAGTCGACCGATTTCGCGACGCCACCAACATCTGAAACGGAATCTGTTTGGCTCTAGGCGTTCAAATTGAAGTTATCCCCCCTCACCTGTTTATCTTGTGATTTTTCAATATCGTGATATGCTCATGTGAATGGCGGCCTACTACTGCAATTTATCATTGGTGACCCACCTTGGGATGGGGTTTGGGCCCCGGCACGGTCGATCCGGAAATGGACAAAACAAGGTTTGTGTATTTTGTTTGGCGGCTCGGCCTGTTACTGTATTTTATATACACCTGATAAATAAACAGCACTCATGCCGCCCTTGAATGCTTCGGCTGTGGTCCGCTACTGAGAATAGAGTTTCCAACATCTCCCCAAGCAATGTATCCATGAAGCCAAAGGGATAAGGAACGAGGCCGCCGTCCACTGGTGGATTCTGCCCGTGCTAGGGAACGCCGGTAGTAAGTGACTTATGGGTACCGCACGAGGCAATCTCGCCAGGCTTTCAGCATGTCAACGACTGGCATGTTTGAAATAATCGCTAGACAAATTTGTCTTGAGGGAGAGAGAGAGACAGAGATTCCAGACAGACCCGTTGCTATGGTTATTTCACACACGACTAACAGAAGACTCGTTCACGATTCTTACCCAAGATGACACAAATTCCGTATAGCTACGTTTCTGCTGTTTCTTCGCCATAATGCACTATTTGGGTCACAGTGTTGTACCTGCGAAAGCGGGCCTTGTGGTCGAAAAAGAGGCCAGCCCCAGCAAGCGTGGATCATACAGCCCAAATCACTCTTCGCTTAGCCCAGCGCCACATCATCGACGAATTATTATTGTGGCTTAAGCCATGTAGTTCATGTTTGGTTAGCCCATTTGTCATGACAATACAAATTTCCGGATAAAACGGCGCTCTCAGTTAACTGCGCGTTGATGCGTAGTTCTAGGACCTGCCGATTGGGAGCTGGACGCCAGCGCTGGGGTTAAAGCCCCATTTTGCGTTATTGGCATGTACAGGGCCCCATAGGGCCCAGCATAAAGGCAAGCCCTCCACCGTTGTTTCCTCTTCTCCTTTTAGCCCCTCGTTTGAATGTGGCTACTAGTGGCCTTCTGCTCTGAGCCCACCCATCGAGGTCGAGGGTATGGCAAACGGTAAACCCACTGTAGTACGAACCCAAATCCTGGACCAAGTACCAGGTAAGAAATCCTGAGCTATGTCCCTTTACGGCTCAGGTCGGATTCAGTTCCATACGCAGACCGCTGGTCTTGCACAAATCCTGGATCAAGTACCAGGTACGAAATCCTGAGCTATGTCCCTTTACGGCTCAGGTTGGATTCAGTTCCACACGCAGACCGCTGGCCATGCACAAATCCTGGATCAAGTACCAGGTCGGGTTGCGATGAGATTTCTCTTGCCCGCCCTCCAGCAAATGACAGACACCTCTTCGCGGTGCTGGAGACTATTACTCGGCTTTAATCTGAGCCGAGGAAGCCAAGATCTGCCCTCAATTTTTACACGGCATTTTACACAGTCCGTGGAACTGGCAAGAACTATTCAAAATCTCAAAACTGTCAACATTGTCCAAACACCCCGTGTCCGCGCAATTGACACCGCCTTTAAATGGCATAGGATACCTGAAAGAGGCAAATAATCATCGCAGAACGACAAGATATAATCTCGCCTACGCGATATCCAAACCAGTATAGTCAAAGTATAAGATCACGTAGATTTGAGGCTACACATTCATTCAGTTGCTCGAGCTTTAAGCTGTTTAATTCAAACCTGTTTAGCTCAGATCAGGTTGGCTCAACCTAGAACCTGTTCAAAATGGCCATTCTATAAGTAGCCAAAACTTTATCTTCTGCTTGACCATATCATTTACACCTTTAATTTCTGTTAGAGAATCCCCCTACGGCAAAAATACACGCAGGCGCGGATCGTGTTAGTCTTATCCTCAATGGAAACATGGGCCAAATTATGTTTATTTAACTGGTAATAAAGACTTTCCCCAGCCTGTAGGCCGAGCGAATTGTAGACAAGGCTTTGATTAATTAGTGGCTCCACTAAATACTAAAAGCAAATCATGGTAATGTTCGTTCATGATACTGTTATAATGTTCGTTTTAAGATACTGTTCGTTCAAGACAGTGTTCGTTCAAGTGTTAGTCAGATTATGAAGTTTAAGATAGTGTTCGTTCAAGTGTCCGTCAGATTATGAAGGTCAATATACTGTTCGTTCAAGACTGTTCGTTCAAGACTGTTCGTTCAAGACTGTTCGTTCAAGACTGTTCGTTCAAGACTGTTCGTTCAAGACTGTTCGTTCAAGATTGTTCGTTCAAGTGTCCGTCAGAATATGAAGTCCGTGTCTCAATATTTAGTTTTTCTATGCACTCACTCTCTGACCCTGCTGCTACCATCGGAGATGTTATGCTTCGTCGTCGACGAACTCGACTTGGAGGTGCTCTGACTTCTTCGAATAAGCGGAAGCCTACCTGAAACCGTGGTACTGGCCATTCGTCCCTCTTATAGTGCCCCGCTGGGCGATTAAATGGCCGTAGGACTATCGTGAGGCTTTAACTACACATTTGAGACTGGACTTCTGATTACGTTATCAGAGTTTGTAAATCAGAGAGTTCAGATGTGACCTGCTTTGTGGATTGAATGTCATAGCCTCTCGATCTCGTCAAGAACCCAACGTAGATTCTGTCGCCGAGTTAGGGATGAACATGATCTCCAAGGGTCTCGAACACGCCCTTAATGTTATGAAGACTGAGGCAGGATTCGACGATATGAACATCATTACATTGTCAGGAAATTATTGTACGGACAAGAAGCCTTCTGCTTTGAATTGGATCGATGGACGCGGCAAGGGCGTTGTGGCCGAAGCCATCATCCCGGCGAACGTTGTGAGGGATGTTCTGAAAAGCGATGTGGATAGCATGGTTCAACTGAATGTGTCGAAAAACCTGATTGGTTCCGCCCTGGCCGGCTCAATTGGCGGCTACAACGCCCAAGCGGCCAACCTCGCGGCCGCCATTTTCATTGCTACAGGGCAAGATCCGGCGCAAGTTGTGGAGAGTGCTAATTGCATGACTCTAATGAAAAAGTAAGTCTAAAATTGCCGCTTACTTGGACCATTCCCTAACTATGCCTTAACAGTCTCCGTGGCTCACTTCAAATCTCTGTCTCCATGCCATCTATTGAAGTCAGTACCTTGGGCGGTGGTACCATACTGGAACCCCAGGGAGCAATGCTCGATTTGCTTGGCGTCCGTGGATCACATCCGACCCTGCCCGGTGAGAATGCACGTCGGCTTGCGCGCATAGTCGGAGGCGCTGTGCTGGCTGGTGAACTCTCCCTATGTGCTGCATTGGCTGCCGGCCACCTTGTAAATGCGCACATGGCGCACAATCGTTCTGCCCCAGCATCTGCAGCCCCTTAAGAGACCCCCTCTGCAGTCTTTTCCCCGGGCGCGTCACCTTTCGGCGGCGCCAGAACATCACCTTGTCTTAACAATGGACCTGGAATAGATGCTACAGCTAAGGAGTGGACTCGATCCTTATGAGATCGACTCTCTTGGGCAATGGCCGATGAGGGTTGGTGGGACCATTTGAAAACAAGCATGATGTGCGGTGACGGACAAGCCAGGGAGTGTTACGTTTGGGAAGGGTAAATGGTGTAGCTAGATGGCACTAACCTAGCTAAAGTAACCAGATTACATATAGAATAAATGGCCCTGTGAAATGACGCCGATAATGACAGCTTCTAACGCCAGAGACGGCGCCTTTCCATCGTAAGTTTCCAGCGCGTCAAGAACTTGAAGAGCTGCCGGCCCATCTCCAGGGCCTTTAAAGTTGGCATATACATGTGCGTAGCGAGACATCCTTTGTATTGTTTTACTTTCGGGGTGTTCTGACTCTTCAGTCACGTCGTAGCGCCAGTCAGTTAAAATATGGAGTGTAGTGATACATTCACATTTCGTTCTTACTAGCGTAGAATATAGTAAATGACATGGACTACTCTTAGGTACTGTCATGAATAAGCAGTGCCCTAACCCTAACGGGATCCGATTGGAAATTTCCCCTCTTGGGTTTTACTAATTTGACGGTTAGGAGCGATATGCAATTTCGACTGGGGGTGGTGCTACAGTGGTCGGAGATAACCCCGTCTTCTGGGTGTTAATATCTTGGCGCACATGGACAGACCAAATAGTATATGTCTAGCGCTGTCAGCATCCGTTGTCCGCCCCAAGTGGGAGCTGGCTCAGCACTAGATATTGACTACTACGATATCTTGTTGTCTCCCTTGCCTCAGAAGCTAGATACATTGACTGCAACACACTTCTTCGCTCCATCAGTTAACTCATTTTACTCTTTCGCGTCCGGATCCAACTCCCAGAAATCAGCCTCATACCCCTTGCGCGAGCTAACATTCAGCCACAGATCATTGCTCGGCAAATCCACCGCTGCGGCAATCGTATGCCCATGGGCGCCTGGGAACTTCCACTCGCCTCCATTGTCCACCGGGACGCAGTCACTGCTCATGATAAATAGCGCCAAGGCCCCTAACATCTGGCTCATGGCTTGATGCCGCCCGGCACAAAGACTCGCGCCTCCTCCGAAAGGGCGGAAGGCGCCGCGGGCAGCCTTTACCTCAGCAGAGCGTGGGTCAGCGAGAAAGCGGCTGGGATTGAAGTCGCTAGCTGTGGGACCCCAGTAGGCCGGGTTGGAGTGCAGAACATTGTTTGGCAGTTCCATAATAGTGCCCTTCTTGAGGAGATATTGGTCTTTGAGGGTGACATTTTCGGACACGAAGCGGGAGGAAATGCCGCATGTGCGGTGGCGGAAGGTCTCATTAATGGTGGCGTTCAGTAGAGGCGCTTTGCTTTTCAAGTCGATGTTCTTGATTTTCCAGGAGCGGCTACCGCCTTGGGAGCTGTCTGTCAGCGTCGCAATCTGGCTAATCTCCTCTCGGAGCGAAGCCAGCAAGCCGGCGTCGCGGTAGACGTAGTACACGGCCCAGAAAATGGTTGGAACGGTATTGGTCAAGATGCCAATGATCATGGTGACCTCTAGCTTGCCAATGTCGAGGTTCGAGAGGCCGCGCTCGGCGGCGTGGCGATGTCGGGCTTTGACGAGTTCCGAGCCCTGCAGATGTCCGTTCTTCTTGAAGTACTCAGCAAAGCCAGCCCATGCATTAGCACGCCCGCGGTCGCCAGTGGGACAGGTCAAGCTGGCTTTGGGAGTGATCAGCAGGTCGGAGATATTGTCATCGAAAGCCCTGCATCGATAATAGTGAGCACTCCGGATGCCTAAACCGGTTGATAAGAATGTTTACCAGAAGCCTTCTTCCACCTTGGGGTCTTTAAACGGGTTCTCAGGCCCATAAATGCCATTCGTCGAGCTCATGCCCAGCTCATGCCTAAACCAATGCAGCAGATTCATCCGTGTGGACTTTCCGTGCAGCTTCTTGATTGAATCATTCAAGTCGTATGCGACCCGCGTGGTGATGGCCTCGAGCTTGGGCCCTGGGGCTAGCGTCGCGTGGATATCCAGCATCACGGCATTCATGTATCCCTCGAGTTTTTTTGGGCCCATAGTCTTGTCGAGAACTGTCCGTGAGCCTTGCTTTGAGAGACCGGACAATTTGTCGATGACAAGTGCGGCAATGGGAGCGAAGGCAATAGCACTGGGGTTCTTGTCTACGTGCGAGAGAAGCTCTGGAGTACTGACCACGGCGATTCTGCCGCCTGGCACGGGAATCAAATAGATCGGAAGCCCACATTTTTTCCTACAGGATGGTAGCAGTTAATCACTTTTGTATCCAGAGATATCGAGTCGAACAACTCACGCTATCCACACAAAATGCCGCGAACCCATACGGTAGATATTGATGGCATGTCCGATAAGGGGAATGCGAGGCTTGATCAGGGTCGGCTCCCGTTGATCATGATCAAAGACGAAAAGTAACTTGTGTACAAGTAAGAGCGCAACAAAAGTGATGGACAAGGCCACGCGATGTTCATACAGCGTGTTCCACAGTTTTTGCTGCTCAAACTCCGACTTGAATCTGGCGAGCATGACGGTCTTGGTGGAATTCATACTGGGCGTATATGCCTGTCTGAAAACGCGTAGAGAGGTCATCATTATTCTTGGCGGCGGCGACAGAGGTATAGTCAAGGACAAGAGGGTATGCTCCGAAGGCTGACTAGTGGCATTTCCAGAAGGGGAAATTCTCCTTTTTGATCGACGCTCAATTAGGACGCTGCCTATGGACGGTAGTAACACTACCCAAGTCTGAACTGATTTACGATAATAGCCTTGGAACGAAACAGCGTCGAGCGTCTGCTAGAATGGATCCAGTATTCAGCAGAGGCCTCGGTGTCAGCATGAATGATTGCACGATAAGTTCTCTAGGGGTAGCTGTATGCCTCATCGTAAGTATCTCCAGTCTTCTACTTCGATCTTACCAATTGATCTTCTTACATATATGCAATAGGTCTTCTCGATCCTGGTACTGCAGGCGATTTACAGAATCTACTTCCATCCGCTTTCGCACTTTCCAGGGCCCAAAATTGCCGCCCTTACAAATGTACGCGTCTTACCCTCAGACCCAGCTCATACCAAATGAAGACTAATGGACTGTCCAAAGTTACCATATAGTCTCTCCTATCTGTCCGGCCGCCAGCCTTGGGACCTGCTCGCGCTCCATCAACGTTACGGCCCCGCAGTCCGCATTTCGCCCACCGAAGTCTCTTTTTCGTCCGCGCAATCATGGACTGACATCTACGCGCCGCGAAAAGGGGCCGAGTTTATCAAGTCCCCTTTCTACGATGGCGGCAACTTTGCGGATAAGGCGCATAGTATCGTCTCGGAGCGAGACCCGGTCAAGCATGCGCAGATGAGGAAGTTTTTGGCGAGAGCGTTTAGTGAGCAGAGCCTGAGAGAACAGGAGGGAATCATTGATGGCGTTATCCAGAGATGGGTGGATAGGGTTGGAGAGGTCAGCAAAGCGGAGGGAACGGTTGATTTGACGAGGTGGTTCAATTTGATGACCTTCGGTAGAGTTGCTACATACTTTGCACCTGGGTCAGATGAAGGGTTTGGCTGACCGTCGAATTGGCAGATATCATTGGATTACTGGCGTTTGGGAGGGATTTTGGGGGAGTAGAAAGTGGTATGTCTGAATCTCAGGTTGAACGCCTGAAATTTATGACTAATTTTGATCCAGGCAAGACTCACTTCTGGATTTCCGATGTCCTGGGTAGCATGTCACAGGCCAGTCTTTCCGATACTCTGGCACGCTTCCCTTGGGCTGGTAAGATCTACATGCTCCTCCGACCAGGCTGGCTGAAGAGACTTATGGCCGCATCGCAGCGTCACCAATCCTACACGATGAAAGTGACCACGCAGTAAGGCCGCGCCCACACTCGGGGTTTTATGTGCTCTTGTTCTGACGACTACCCCAGGCGAATATACGAAAAGACTGATCGCAAGGACTTCATGTCTTATCTCCTATCCGACCGCGAAGAAGAAGCAATCTCTGATGTCCAACTCGCAGCCCATGCGTCTGACTTTGTGATCGCCGGCTCCGAAACAACCGCCACAACCCTGGCCGTCTGTATTCACCACCTATTGCTCAACCCATCCATCCTCCAGAACCTCACCAAGGAAATCCTCTCGAAGTTCTCCACATATTCCGAAATTACGGCTTCCTCGAGCGCACGGCTGAAATATCTCCACGCCGTGAGCCTCGAAGCGTTGCGTATTTTCGCTCCCCTCCCGTTGGGACTACCGCGGGTCGTGCCCAGGGGGGCGGAGTAGTTGATGGATGGCCTGTGCCGCAGGGCTATATTGTGAGCACGAATCCGTACGCGGCGAGTATGCTTGCAGAAAACTTGAGCAACCCGGAGTCATTTATTCCAGAGCGATGGCTTGGAGAGAATGGGGGTGACATTCTTGAAGCCACCAGGCCATTTAGCATTGGGAATAGAAGCTGCCTGGGGCGCAGTTTGGCATGGCTGGAACTGAACTTGACATTGAGTCGGTTGCTGTTCAGATACGAGATTGAGGCGGTCAGATGTGTGAATTGGGACACGGAGAGCCGGATGCATCTGTTGTGGAAGAAGCCTGAGTTAAAGGTCAGGTTGACGCCGCGGAGGATGAGGCAGGATAGCTAGTATTTCAAATGGTAATCGAGACAGAAGGCACTTCGTAGCATCAAGCATAGGGGCTACTTAGAGATGCCAACGAAATGGCATTTGGTCTATCAATTTCCTCCTCACATCAACGGTTAGATTTGATGAGAAAGGCCTACGTGTAAACTGGCATCTCTTTTAGAATCCGACATAATGTGAACGCCCAGGCATGTAGTGAGGTGAAAGTGAAGGGAAAGAAGAAAATCTAGCTGTGTGAGGTAAAGGAGGTAAAGGCAATAACTCTTTTTTGGGTGCAGTTGGAGCATAGATGTATATCTCCCCCTCAGTTCAATCTATCGGCGAGCCGCTATTCTCTCGTATTCAATGCACACTGTCCAGTCTACCTGTCTCGTTAGCAGTACTGGACTTGACAGCGTATGTTCGTCGGTACTGCTCATCAATATGCTCCAAATAATACACTCCGTCTCCGATGCTGGCTAGATCACCTCTTGGGGTGAAGTTCGCCACGCCGTATCCAGCTTCGCGCATTTTACATGCCTAGTTAGCGAGCGTCAGCCGATATCAAGAAAGAATTATCACAGGAGGTGATTGCGACAAAGAGAAAAGGAGGACCATACTTGTTCATACCCCTGCGGACTCGCCACGCGCCTCGCCTTCAGTCTTGCAAAAAGGTCAATGTTGTCGATAATACTGCTCACGTCGCCCACAACCTGTAGTGTGAAAAGAGTACTGGCAATGCCGCTGCCATAGCTGAACATGCCAATGGTCTTACCCTGCAGCGCGTCGGAACCAACATGGGATAGAACGCTGATCAAAGAGCAATACAGGCTCGCAGTGTACATATTTCCACACATGCTTGGTGCACGGATGCAAGACTCGACACGGGATATGAAACGCTGTTTGCTAAGTTCAAGGAACGTCTTTTCCAACTCCTTGGACTTGAGGGACTCTTCGTAGGACAGATCTCGAAGGGGCTGGGGCAGGCTGGCAAATTCCGCGCTCGACTTGTCATTCAAAAAATCGTTGTAGAGCAGCCGCCCGTATGACTTGCTGACTAGCTTACAGTTGGGTGTGTGGAAGGCCATGAAGTCAAAGACGTCGATCAGGCTCTGCCGCTCTCTAGCCAGAATAGCAACAGCCTCTGGATAACTTGTTTTGGCGCTATTGGCGAGGCGCGCGGCGTTCTTACGCAGCTCTGCGTAGCAGCCATCAAGCGCGGACATGTAGCATGAAATAGAGAGATGGCCGTTGACCACGGGATATTCCGATTTCATGTCGGGTTTGTAGAAGTCATACGCATGCGTCATGTATGTACCGCGCAGCCCAGGTACAGCAACGATCGGGGCATTAGGCCCGACAAGAATCGCAACGCACCCGGCGCCTCCGGTTGGCCTGGCGGCAGCCTCCTTGTATATAGCAATGTCAGAGGCAACAACAATAGCATCTCGGCCATCCCAAGAGCGGGATTCCACCCAGTTTATAGCGTTGAATAGCGCGTTTGTCCCGCCATAGCAGGCGTTAACCGTGTCCGCGCCTTCGAGAGAGTGATTGTCGGCAAAGAGTTGGGTGAGAACCGTCTTGACTGATTTGGCCTTATCGATGGGAGACTCAGTCCCGACTTCAAGTCGACCGACTGATCGCGGATCTATTGAGTATTTCCGGAGAAGTGACGAGACAGCGGTCAAGGAGAGAGAGCAGACGTCTGCCAGGTGTTAGTTATTCAAAGAATAGACGCTTAAAATCACAGCGTTCTGGCCCAAGACTCACCTTCACGGTCGGTGCAAAAGTTCATGGACTGCAGGCCCAAACCGATGGTGTACTTGCCAGCAGAGACTCCCTGGTAGCTCTCGAACTTGCTCTGATCCAAGGTCTATGATTAAACATCGTGAGCGACTAGTTCCCCGTAGTCAATGGGTTGGACGTCCGTATACATACCTGGCTCGGGACATAGATCTCGAGGGCCTTAATGCCCACGTTCTTGGGGTACGCCATCTGGTTTCCTGTAGTCAGGGATATTGCCACGAGCTGAGAGTGGGACGCATACCCGCGGAGGAGATATATACGGGTGGTGAACGGAAGTTCCGGATCGGGTTTAGTTTTAGCGGATCCTGTGGGGATCGCTAGAGGCATCCCTGTTACCTAATTAGGCATAGCATAGTAATTGTTTATAGGACGAAATATGATATTTGGCATCCTAGGTGCACAAGAAAAATTTAAAATGGCCTTTAGCTACTGTTTTACCTAGATGGAAGTTTAAATCGCGAACGGAGCAGGATTCAGACTTTCGGGACGCCGTGTTAACTACCATATAAGTAATACAAATACTATGCTATACCTATTTAGGTAGTATGCGTGTCCCTGGAGCGATTCCGGATCAGAGTTTAGTAGGCTTGCCTTATTTGTCAATTCGCCTCCATTGGGTAACTTGGCTCCGATTGGACACGTTTGGATTATCGCCGCCCACGTTGTATATGCGGCTGTATCAGAATGGAATATATTTCTGCTAGGTAGGGGCAGAAAAATAGAAGAAGAAGGAAAAAGCAAACGCATGCCGAGATCCTGTCACAACCCTCCACAACCTTGTACTACCGCCCGCCATGGGGGGAACCATTGAGACATGCACTACTCCTTCTTCCTGGTTTCCAGCAACCCATCCATTGGTAGATTCCATCAGCACTGAAGTGAATAGTTGGTTCCTCCAGCATTGGCCTTTCCCAAACGATACAGCGAGGAAGAAGTTTGTGGCCGCGGGCTTCTCCCGCGTCACTTGTCTATACTTCCCACTCGCGCGAAATGACCGTATTGTCTATGCCTGCCAGCTACTGACGATTTTATTTTTGATCGATGGTGCGTCTTCTATGGATCATATTTGCTATGATAAATTAAAGCTAATTGGGGGCCGGCAAGACCTTCTCGAGGACATGTCCCTAGAGGACGGCAAAGCATATAATGACAAGCTCATGCCGATAGGTATGGGCGCTGTAACACCAGACTGTAAGTTTCGCAACGGCCGCGAATCGCCGAGTCGTGCGTTTTATGGCGCTATGGGTACTGACCACTTCCAGCCTCCATTCCCGTAGAATGGATGTTCCACGAAATCTGGGAGGGCATGCGTTCACGGGAAACTATGCTCGCTAACAGTGTTCTCGAGCCATGTTTCGTCTTCATGAGGGCGCAGACTGACAAGTCACGCCAGACTATCAACGAGCTGGGCGATTACATGATCTACCGAGAGCGCGACGTGGGTAGTGCTCTTCTCTCCTCGCTGATGCGCTTCGCTATGGACCTGTGCCTCTCGCCCGACGAGCTTGAAGCTGTACAGCCGGCGGAGAAACACTGTGCGAAGCATATTGCCATTGTCAACGACATCTACAGCTGGGAGAAGGAGCTTGCGCAGTCGCGAAAATCCTCAGAAGAAGGCTCTGTCCTGTGCTCTGCCGTCAAAGTCATGGCGGATAACGCAGGCCTGAGCATTGATCCCGCAAGACGGGTGTTGTGGAGTATGGTGCGTGAGTGGGAAGCTAAACATGAATTGCTGTGTGCGATGCTGTATACGAAGGATTCTACTGATGCGAAGGGTCTGTATTTGAAGGGGTTGCAGTATCAAATGAGCGGGAATGAGCTGTGGAGTAGGACAACACCGAGGTACCTGATGGTAGACTAGATCGAAGAATGAGGACCGAATTGATTTTCTGGATACGTCGGGCGACAGTAGGTAAAATAACATAGACCTTGTAGGCCATGCACCGAAACAAGTGAAATCGAGCCGTACAAGGCACAAACCGGGACACTAATAGATGTGGCTACGGGGCCGAGTAATAAATTTGATGGACCCGACTCCGACTCCGACTAGCCTCTATAAATGTGTCCTTGCTTATTCCCTCTTCTCCATTCTCTCTACCTCCGTCGCCTGCCATGGGTCTTGCAACACCTTCTCCTACATTTACCACCCTCGGGTGCATGGACGATATCATGCCGGACATTGACCTTCCTATGATTCTCTCATTTCCCTGCCCAACTTCGCATCGCGCCATAACCCAGCAGAGACTCTATCTTTCTTTCACGGGGTTATTGGATAGAGACCCTTGGTTGAGGGGATACATTCACAGTAACGTCACTGGGGTAGACGGGCGTTATAGGAGGGGAACGAAATTGCTCATTCACGGCTCCAGTCTTTCTTCGGACTTTAACTATTTGAACGAGAAGGACGAGAAAATTGAATTCCAAGATCTCACCTCGCATGCGAAATACAAGGACAAAACATACCCAGAGCTCGTGGCGGAGAACATGCCCGCCGGATACCTTTCATCAACGCTCCTAGTTCCTGATCGAGCGACAAAGCACGCAAACGTGAAACATGCGCTCCTCGCAAAAGTTTCTTTCATTAGGGAAGGTATCTTCGTCGTGGTGAGCACAAGCCATGCGCTTATGGATGCTACCTCTCTGGCTGCGATATTCGGTGCATGGGCTGCCACAGCGAGGGGAGACGTACCAGCACCACTGCCGCATGCACCCATTTGGCAACCGGAGTATGGGCTCGGGGCTAAAAGCGGGGAAGACACACACACAGGGGAATCAAAGGTTTCCGATAGCCGAGGAGAGAGCGAAGATCTGCGGGGGACGTACGCAGCCTTGAAAGGGGAAAAAGAGCTGTGGCATATGCTTGGCTTGGATTACCGGCCGAAGGAAAGCGAGCAGTGCGGTTTTGGCCCAGCGGATTCCGAGCCGGTCGACGGTGACGGCGGTTTTCAGGATTGGAGCGGAGGCACTAGCTCGATTGAAGGAAGTCTGCATCACACAGGATGGAAGGAAGGAGCACGGCAAAGGAAATGAATGGATTTCAACAAATGATGCACTTGCAGCACTTCTCTGGAGGTGCATTGTCCGCGCACGAATGACTACTCCCGATCTGCGAACCCGCACAAGCAGCTTGATGTACGCGATGGATATGCGGAACTCTCCTGTCATGGCTCCTGGAGTCCTTAAAACAGCAGACGGGACCTCCATGGCGAATACGAGACTCGCAAACATTGTGTTTTATAGCATTAACAGAGCCCGAGTACCCGTGCTCTTGGAGTCTATATCACTGTCAGACACAGCACGCAGCATCCGCACTGCCATACAGAAATACACCAGACCGTCGATTATTACCAGGGCTTTGCAGCTGGCGGCGGCCATTCCTGATGTCTCAGCACTCGGACTTGTTTATCCCACGTGGGTAGAGCACGATGTGGTTATCAGCTCGCTATCACGTCTTCCACTGTACAGCACGTCTTGGGGAGACACGTTTGGAGAGGAAGTAAGCGGCGTACCGGATATCGTTCGCTGGCCTGACGGTGTCTTTGAAGGGATTACTTTTGTAATGCCTCGCCGAAGGAACGGTAGTGTTGAGATAGTGATTACTATGAGGACGGCAGACATGCGGGAGCTGGAGAAGGACGCAGAGTGGATGAGTTATGTTGAGGACAAGATTGAGATAGTGTAGAATAGGTATCAGGCAAAAATGTCGTTCCATCAAGAATATATAGGCGGTCGGGAGTATATCAAGCAGAAACCGCGCAGTCCCCGTGTTTCTGACGCTTTTCATCTGTACTTTCTGTCGTCTGGTTCTCCTCTTCAGCGCCCTTTCCACCTTCAACGATAGCTGGCGTTGTCGGTTGCCTTATATTGCGCATCTTCGATCCAAAGCTACTCAAAAACGCCGCACCAGCACACGCAATGCCCAAGACCCATGTTGCTCTTAGACCCGACATGTACGCATCTTGGATGTCTCTGAGCTGGGTGCCTGAAAAGTGCGAGCGTAAATCATCAGCTCCTTCAGATATAACCTCACTGGCATTGTAAGTCGAGGAGAAGGAGAGTAGTTTAGCGATGAGGCGGTTAGTAAAGACGGACTGAGCGACAGATAAGAAGATTGTGCCTCCGAGGGTTTGAAAAACTGGGGGAAACAAGCATGTTAGCATCAATGATCTTTTGGGAAGGAAAGGACCAGCGACAAGGTAAATAGAAAAGAAACAGGCTTACAGAGCAAAATCGCCGTGATGGACGCCGTGTCTTCCGGCTTCGCAAACGCCTGCCCCGCCATGACTGGCACCTGCAAGCACAGACCCGAGCCAATACCAAAAACAAGCTGGGCGCAAACGTACTTGGCTACGTCGAGGTTCAAGGCAAAGGTATAGAGAATGCCACCGGCGACTATGCAGAGAGCGGAGCCGATCCACAAGAAGATATGGAAGTAGCCAAAAACCGTGAGAAGAGCACCTGCGACAATGCCGAATACAGCTGTTTTTGGGGCAATGGTCAATTGTGTCGGAGCACCACAAGGAAAGATGATGCTTACACGAGCCGACAATGAGCGGAAGATTGCGGACTGCGCTTGCGGCGGCAGACAAGGCGCCAATAGATTGGAAATAGATGGGAAGATAGTACACAAAGGTGAAATATGACCCCGCGAGACTAGAGCAATGTTAATTCTGCGGAAGAACAAGCGAGCAAAGGAACGTCGCCATACAAGCAATTGAAGAGAGAGAGAAAATGTGTCGCGCTTCAGAAGAAGACGGGGGACCGACATTGCCCTCTCGCCCTGCCACCATTGTGTTCCAGCGAAGACGATAAAAATGACGACAAAGCCTACAAGGCAGCCGATGACTGCAGCCGAACCCCAGGCTCTGGTGATACCGCCCCATTGTAGTGCTAGAAGGAGGCAAATCAGAGAACATGTGACGAGGAGGACACCCAGTGGATCCATCAGCAACAACTTCTCCCCGAGAGTCGCGGGCTTTGGTGTTGCGACAGCCGGCGTTTTGAAGAACAAAAAGAGAAGGAGCAAAGAGAGTCCGCCGACTGGAAGGTTGATATAGAAGCTTCAAGGTGTCAGCCTTGAGAGCCAGTACTACAATTTCTCTCTGGACTCACCACCACCGCCAAGATACATTTGTTGTGAAAGCGCCGCCTACGAGCGGGCCAGCAACACTAGCCAATCCATACGTCGCACCGAGCACACCCGTATAAGCAGGTCGCTTCTCAGGTCTAGCGATGAAGGCAATGATGATGTAACAGCCATTGGTGACACCAGCACCGCCAGCACCGCAGATGGCTCTCCCGACAACGAGTGTCCGACTATCCTGAGCAACGCCTGCATGAAATGTAAGGATCGTCTCCTGTTGAATCTGACGCAGGCAGGGAAGGTAATACCGCAAATCAAGCTGCCAATTTCAAAGATAAAGATCGCCGTTATGATAACCCACTTGAGGGGAAAGTAGGTATACGCCTTGCCCCATAGTTGCGCAAAACTAGAGATAGTTAGGAAAAAGGCGGAACCATACCATCCAATATCGTCCAGACTGTTGAACTCTTGAGTGATACGTGGAATGGCCGTAGCAACTATACTCTAGGAGGATTTGGGTTAGATGGGTTCCACTGGGGTCGATGCGGAAGACTAACCATGTCCAATGCCACCAGGAATATGCTGACTACGAGTGCCAGAACTGGCAGCACCAGCTTCATACCCGCAGGGTAATCATCTTCAGACGCCATGCTATCGGGAATAATAATGGCGTTAGTGTAAATGCCAGCTTGTAAGGTTGGGCAGGGCTGTTGTAGAGACGAAAAAGGTGAGGGAAAAGAGGAGACCCGATTGTTAGAGAACGGGACAAGCTTTCGACAATAAAGCGGCTAACAGAATATTTCTCGAAAGCATAGGGTAAAAGTTGATTGACGGGAGGCGTTGGGTATAATGTCGGACCTATCCCAATGGAGATGTTCCTATTTCAGCATAGGCCCTTTGGGATAGCGTATGGAATGGCCCCCGCCAGAACCCACAGCGGTCTAGTTTATCTTCAATAAAGCCCATAGGCTATGCGTATTCTTGTATAGCCGTCCCCCATCTACACCACGATTCAACACGCTTCACCTCCTCGTTGTGTACCTTACCGTCCTTCCCGTCTCTTCAACGCTAACCGCTGCCCTTCCAACGGGGCAAGCGTAACTTTGCCGGCGCACTTCAAATCCAAATCCCTCCTTGCTTGATTCTTATCTACGCCTTGGGCAAATGTCACTTCATATTTGTGCAGTAGTACCGAGAAGAAAGCCATGTACTCTGCTTGCGCGAACTTGCGGCCCAAACAAGCGCGTACCCCGTCACTGAACGTTAGCAAGGTGCCGCGCATTTGCCGCGTTTTATCGGCGGTGAGAGCGGCATTTTTAGCCTGGGGGGCAGAAATGGGCACTGCTGTGGCACTCTCGCCATTTTTTTCGCTGAAGGAATATGACTCAGACCATCGCTCTGGCCTCAGTTCCCTCGGACTTTCCCAGTAATTTTCATTGTAGTGGACTCCGGGAGCGGACAGATAGACGCGGCAGCCAGGCGGGAGGATGTGCGAGGTGTTTCCGACACAAATGGGCTGGGCTGCGTGGCACATTTTCGTAATGAGTGTAACGCCTGGGTAGAGTCGGAAGGTCTCATACTGGATAGATGTATCAGTGTGGCCCAGACTGGAATGTGGCAGACAGCCACAGAGGAAGTGAGAGAAAGAGAAAGAAAGAAAGAAAGAAAGCGTGAGATCGGGACATGTCTAAGGCTTGGAGACTCACCATGAACCCATACATGTATTGCAGCTGAGGGAAGTCGGATAGATAAGTGAGTTCATTGCGTCCATCGGCAGCTGCACGCGACCATACGGCGTCAACCTCAGCGGCGACGCGTGTCTGTAGTTCTGGCTCCAGAGCGAGCACGATCAGGCCGTATGCAATGGCATTCGCTGTGGTTTCGTAGCCTGGAGGCGTTAGTTGATTAGAAAGTAAACGGAGGCGCCAACGGACAGGGGCTCACCGGCCAAAAGATAGATAAACAAGTTTCCCAAGACTTCAGATTCAGTGAACGCGTGTTTCCGACTTGCCCCAAAGCAAGCTTCTTTCTCCCCTTGCTTTGTCTCCTGCGCAACTTCATACGATGACTTGAGCAGTGTCTGAAGTAAGTTTCCTTGTGGGCCGCGAGACTCAACGCTCCCACCGCTGTTCAGCGCCTCCCGCTCCTCGCGGATCATGGCACGAAGGTACTTGTCCAGCTGTGTATGCGCTAGCCGTGCCTTTGCCAGAGGAGAGACCCTCAATAGCCACGCCGGAAATACCAGAATAGAGACCATGAAGGCCGTGGTATCCGTGATGGCTTTCAGGAAGCTCAGGGTATATCCAGACGGAATGTACTGGGACTGGCCGGTCAGGGAGTCCAGTTTCTTGCCAAAGCCAGCAAGAGAAATGACTGCGAGCGTCAGGGCGTTGACGTCCTCGTGCAGATCTCCGGGCGACTCTTGCTCCCATTTACGGAGAAGATTGCGGGTTTGGCGCATTGTTTCCGTCCAGACAAGCTCATTAACGCCACTGCCATCTGACAAGGGCGGCGCAGTGATACGTAGATGAAAACGGTGCTCGGCTCCTTCGGCAGTTGCCACGTTTGGTCCGTAGAGCTCCAGAAGTTCTATTGTTTCCACATAGGGTAATCAGAATCGAGGCTAGAAAGGACCGGGATCAAATACTGAACTGGATGAACCCACTATATTTGTCTCGCGGCCTCGTGAAATCATATCGCCGATTCATCACGTCCCAGCCCATCTTTGCATCTGCACTGTAGCATATCATGCCCTCGGTAGATACCACGATGAAAACATCACCATATTCCTCGTGGGCGAGCCGCTTGTCCTCCCATGACCAGTCTTTTATCATGAAGCGGCACCATCGAGGCCATCCTCTACCCTGGTCTAAATAGTTGAGGTACATGATGCGAAGGACGGGAGTCGCAATCTGCGCCAGAACCTGAGTCTCCAGCAGCGGAGCGATGACGACGGGAAGGCCTGTTCGCTTCGCTTGCGTATAGTTTCGCCATAGCTTCGCTAATTGAACAGCGGCGATGGTGAGGCCCAAGAGCAGCAGAGCGCCCAGGGTACCTGTAAATTGCATGGAGGACTCAGTCTTGTATAAACGCCGACCCTTCGTGCTGATGTATATGGGCGCCCGAAAACTCGGCCACGGGGTAAGCGCAGAGCTGAATAAATCTACTATTTGAACCATATTTGTGGCGACGTGCAGCAAGTACTCTTAGGTCTTCCTCTTCGGTTTTCTTTTTCTCCCTGGAGTAATGACCACATGTGGAATAGCGCGTAAAAGTCCCCTCATAGTTTGAAAGCTTTAAAGGTCCATATCAGGTAAACAATTATCGCACAATCTTGGGCGACGGTTTGGCAGTGGTTCGTTTCCACAGTAAATCCACCATGACTAGCCTTCAGCTCACGTTGGAGGATATTCCCTCGTTGGAGGGTAAGGTGGTGGTCCTTACAGGTTCGTACTTTTGACAACTCGCTTTTGACAAATCCTGCATTGCATATTGGTTTCGAATTCTCAAGTCGCCACCTATGATAGGAGGTGCGTCTGGCATTGGCCTGGCAGCTAGTCGGATCTTTGCGCACAAGGGAGCACAAGTCCACATTCTGGATATTGTGCCCATAGACGAGAGTTTCGACATATTTGAAACCCCCGGTCGGCCGAATAGTCACTCTCCGCAGCTGACTCCGACTTCTGCCGGTTCCATCCAGTTTAGGCAATGCGATATTACCGACTGGAACTGTCTCCGAGACGTATTACTTTCCTTCGAGCACATTGACATTGTTGTCGCCAATTCAGGCGTATCTCAGGATCCAGACTACTTCAACGACGTCCTGGATGAGGACGGCCAACTTAAAGAACCGGATCATCGCGTTGTCGACGTCAACTTTCGCTCCGTGTTGAACCTGACGAAACTCGCTCTCCGTCAATTCCTGAACCAGGAACCGGGGAGCAGCCTTGTCATCACCGCGAGTAGCACTGCGTATTCGCCGGAGCAGAGCCTACCAGTTTACAGCGCCACTAAATCTGCCGTACGTTTTGTGATCATCCCATTGTGTACTGCTGACTGATTTCTTTTAGCTCATTGGTCTAATCAGAGGTATCCGTCCCATGGCGGAAGTCTACGGGGCCACTATCAACGGAGTGGCGCCAGCTGCTACAATATCCAAGCTCTTGCCAGGGAATCTCGCCGCGCCCATCAAGGCTGCGGGAGCACCCATTAGCAGCGCATTCCATGTCGGCCTCGCGGTAGCATATGCGGCTGTTGCGCGGCAGGCTCGCTCCGTCGAACTGTACGGCAGGGATGATCCCGCAAAGGTAACATCGCCTGGCCGGTGGAACGGGCGGGTAATCGTGACTCTGGGCGACAGGTGGACTGAGGTGGAGGAGTCGATTGCAGCGGCGCGGTCGCAGTGGTTTGGGGATTATAACACGGAAAAGACTGCACTGCAACAAAAGTTGACCGATCTGCGCAAGATGTAGACGGATCGATATTTCCGATTACTGCACATATATCATACTTGTAACGGAGCGATTTCCGGTGGAGAACACATGCGTTCACGTGCCTAGACTGCTATTGTTTACCTTCTCAGCTCCAAATCTTCTTCTTCTCTCGAGCTTTTGGATACTTGCAGATGGCGATGCTAGATTGAGTCCAATTCCGGGTTTAGCCCTTCACATTCCAAAGGCCTCCTCTTCCGAGGAGAATGCAACGCGTGAATTTTCTGGATAGCTTAGTGCAGCAATTGGGTCAGGACAGCGCTGCACAGGATGAGAGGATCAAGCAATTAGAAAAAACGGTCCATCAGATGAACACCGCGACCCTGGGTTATCAACTTCGACATAACCAAGAATCGAAGCCGAATCGAAGAATAAATGGGCGATAGATGTATTCATCGCTGTGGTAGCCCCAAGGACACCTGATCTTTCTGAATTAGGCAGACATCAGGCATTTTCCTTGCATGGCTTTAGTTTACCTACCGGTTTTTATACTCATTTTAGTATAAAAGATTACCACTCTTAGATAAGCTACCATTATCATAGGTAATTATAGGGCTTCGTACTCCTTTTTAGATGATTTAATCCACTTCTATGAGGTACATTAGATTAATGTATCTGTAGATATTGTGATTAGTAGAGTGGTTAATAGAGGCCTTGATCAATATCCTTGATCGAAGATACATATCTGAAATAGGCGGCAACACTACCGCTTTTCTTTAAGTGACTTTCACTTTTCAATTAAATTTGTATCACTTTCAAAGAGGTTGTACGTAGACTCATAGACCGTTCACTCTATATCTAAATCAAAAAAGGAAAAATTTTATAACCTTTCCTTGATTAATGGTTTAGTATATGGCCACGGATTATTACCGTATGAATACAAAAAAAGTACAAAATCTTGGGAGTGGTTCTATCAGGGTTGCTTTTGGCCTCACGTGATGTCTACACCGACGTTACTGAGGGTCCTCCTCTTACAACTGCCCCACGAGAGTCAAACAACTGACTCTGTGGGTAGCGCGTCATCTCCCACGCTATCGAATCTTGATTTTGACCCCCACGCCTTCCCTCTGTATATAAAACCCACTATAACAGACAATACAGACACATTGCTTCCCTACAAGGGGCACGAACAGGGCCTATCCGACGCTACGGTCTACGACCGCAGCGACAAGTGACCCGTTATGGCTAAGCTACGCTTATTTCGCTCCTCTTGACTGCCTGAGCTCACTGATAAATGACTATTTATACACGCGCTAGGCCGTAGGACCAAGGCTGACTAGTCCCTAGTCCCATGCCGCGTCCCGTAGATCCCATGGACGGGACGGGACGGCCCCATATGGGACTTCCCATTACCGTCAAAATCTAGACCGAGGTTCGTCGCCCCACGAGCACATCTTCCAGATCCAGCTATGTCTGCCGGAAGCGTAGCCGATTGGCCGCCGTGGAAGATCACCACAGAACCTAAACTCAGTTTAGACAAGCCACCTACTAGCGGCCCCGAAAGTAGTTTGGCTCAATTTTGAGAAATCGACCAATAAGGCGACTACTCAAACCCACAGCGCGAAATCGCATGAACAGTGCGAATCACAATTTTCCTATGTTTGCTCTGTTTAACAACCCGCCAGGTGCCCGTTAAGGCCTCCCGGGTGGAGGCAACCCGTCAGCCGCCCGCTCCGGGCTGAGGCGACTTTTATTCAAGAAGCCCTACGGCAACTATGCTTGACCAGGATGCTATCTTTTGTGCACAACGCGGCGCTTTTAGCGAAAGAAGTAAGCGGATTATGCAGTACAAAGATCCGCTAGACCTAAGCGGTAAATACAACACAAAAATTGGACCGTTCTGGTAGGCCTAGCGCTATTTCAGTGGGCAAAAAACACTACAGAGAGTATTCAACACATGGGCCGTGAGCCTGTTAAACTAGCTCTGCAGGCCCTGCCGAGGCACCACCAAGGTGTAGTGGGTTGCTGGGGAACTGGCATTAGATTGACCAATTCAAAAAATTGTCGTGAAAAATCAATTCAAAAATGTGGTGCTGTGCGGCGGTCCTTTCCTCCACTAAAGACATTACATAAGTTGGGATTAAATTAACTACCACTCACGCATATTGTGCCTATAGCAAATACCACAGTACGGAGTATACGGAGTATAACTGATAACGATGTAACGACGGAGGGGCCGATGTTTCAGATCCACGAGGCTAAAGTAACATACAATTCACATCAACACACTATCAGCCTAATTAGAAATTAGACGCCTCACAGCAAGTGGGGCCACTAGGTAATCACTCCGCTTCCTATGTCATTTTGGTTAGCGCCAGATCAGGGAATCTGTCCCGTAGCGGCGTTTGCCTACGGCTGGCGAGTCGGAGACACGAAATGGATAACAGCGAAACAACATTTTCTAGAGTTAGGCGTGCGAATCCCTTGAGGACCAATCACTATTAATACGACCACCGCCCTACCCTAATGCAAAGCCAGGCTTGCCCCTGGATCCAGATTCTTGAAAGCTCTATTTACTCTCTTATAAGAGGAATCGAGATGTTCGGCACCCTCTCATTTCCGAATAAGAGCCCGTCGAATAACCTCGAAACCTTGTCATTTTCCCACAGTGGCTCGGGGAATTCCACGCGAAAGTTTGCATGTGAAGCCTGCCGGGTTCACAAGGTAAGGGTCATGCGCAATGCAGCAGTAGGTCCCCCATTATTGAAGTTATGAAAACTAAGCCGCCATCAGGTTAAATGCAGCAGCGATCGGCCTGGCTGTGCACGATGTGTTGGGCTAAAAATAAAATGCGTCTACGACAGGGACAGCAAGCCCAATTCACGACGGCCCCAGACATGCCGGAGTATGACTTCCATTGCCGGCATGGAATTGAGCTGGAGAATCCATAGTCTTAACAAGGATGGTTCACCTAAGCTCCACTATAATGAACTTCCTCCGGTGCCGCACAAGGACAGCGATGTCATTTTTGAGACAGCAGACTCGGTTGATAAACCTCAGAATGAGCTCAGTTCTCCGAGTATATCTCCTGATTGGCTGACTAGCGCATCCACGGGCGAAGAGCACATCGCATTCCCAAGTGATACACTAAGCCCGTCTCCCCAAAATGGCGATGGCACCGCCATGGATTTCATAGATGGGGACTTTGCAGATTTTGACCACATTCTTGACTGGACACATGAGAACAATAAGCCCAGGGACACTCCCACTGATCTGGTCGTTTGTGAGTCAACCTGGCTTGAGCAGTGAGCGCCGACTGACGCAACCGTGAATCTACTTAGTACGAGGTACTTCAGCCCATGACAACGGACTCCATTCCTCTCCAGAACCCGCTCCCACTGCCGCTGCAACACAGCAAGACGATTCCCTTGCCCGGTCGTTCCAACCGTCCGAGACACTCGAGAAGCCAGCGTCTCCCCCACTGAGTGCCTGCTCCTGCTCTGGTCACCTCTCGGCATTATTATTCAATCTCAGCGGCCACTTACGCCGGTACTATCACTCTCTCTTCCTAGGTCCTCCCGGCGGTGACAGCATGCAACTAGGGCGGAGTATGTCTTTTATGTTCGCCTACCATGCGGGTGCCGCTCGGCTAGGGGATGACCTGATGGCTTGTGGATCTCAATGCATGGCGCAAGACTCAAACACTGCCCAACTGGTCATGCTAATCGAGCAACTTGTGGACCTTTACGCTGGACTCATGGAGCAGCTCCCCACAGTGTCATACGCGACAGAGGAGCATATCGATGCCAGCGTGGGAATGGCGATACCTGTGCTCGTGGGTGAGTACATGGTTGAGAGTGTGGTGGAGAGAAGGAGTATAATCGCGCTACTAGTGCGCGAGAGGTTGAAGGCCACTGCAGAATTTACGGCACGAGTTCGAGAGCGATTACGGAACGTACCAGGACAAGCGGGACAGTGCCGCGAACGATTGCATGTGGCGATTCAGAGGTTGGAGTTGCTAAAGGAGGGGTAGGGTGCTGAGAAGGGTGGTTTGAAGTCGCCAGGATTGCTTTTTTTTTTTTTAAGTACGAGGGAGCGATTAGAGATAGAAAGGTAATACGAAAAAAAAAAAAAAAAAATAGAAGAGCGAGCGTACGGTACTGCTTAAGACTCTTGCCACCATGATATTAGCCAAGCAGTCGTTTCGTGTTCTTTGGTCGCTGTACAGCCATTGACGTTACAGAAGCGGCTAAGAGTCTCTTTGCCATCTTTCTGGGGGGACAATCGGGTGGAAAAAGCGTAGGAAAAATCCGCTTGCGTAACTACTCCGAGTTTCCTAATGAGGGGCAGTAGACTATCCCTTTGGAGACAAAGCCCGAAAAGGCCCCCCCGGGCGACGCATAAACTCCGATTCAAGGATGTCCAACATGGGTCCATTTTATTCTTTATCTACTTGTCAGGCGTAAAGCAGATAGCTTGCAACATGTTCACCGATGGTCGATTCATTTCTGCAACTGCAGAAAGGGTGATGTCTGATACCACGACCCGGGCATCAGCAGCAGCCAACTGGATGCCTGTACTGGTGTGCTTACTAGCGGTGGGGTGTCTTTCCATAAAGGCAGTATACAACGTCTTTTTTCACCAGCTGGCGAGGTTCCCGGGTCCACTCTTAGGTAGAGCGTCGTTGGTATGTTGTTCTCCGCCGTTCGCTGGGTTGGAAAATATGGGCTCACACTTTCCCCAGCTATGGCGATACAGTAACACCGCAACTGGCAAAATCCATATCGCGATCGAGAAATTGCATCGGCAGTACGGTATGCCGGCTACACTCTACCATCCTTTTGCCGAGGAACGGACTGATTCCCGCAGGCCCGATTGTTCGCATCTCCCCCAACGAACTCTCCTTCGCATCGGTGGAGTCCTGGAAAGCCATTTACGGGCATGCCGGCCCTGACAAAGCCATCGCCATTAAAAGCCCATTCTATGATGTCTTCGGGGCGGGTTTCAGGAAGTCATGCATTGGCAGCGAGCGGAACCCAAAGAAGCATAGCGAGATGCGGCGCATGCTCTCGTCAGCCTTCTCCCAGCGGAGCTTGCTGGAACAGGAGGATATTGTTGCGCGGATCATTGACAGATTCATTGAGATCCTTGGAAAGAAGAGTGGGAAGGGAAGCCAAGGGTTCAATATGACAAAGTGGTACGAGATGGTTGGGTTTGATATTCTTGGGGAGATGGCCTTTGGGGAGTCGTTTCATAGCCTCGAGGAAGGTGAGACGGCTTCTTTTTGCCAGCTAGATCAATTGGCCTCTGCTGACTGCTGGTAAACAACAGGAAAACCCCACTTCTGGTCGGAACTCGTTGAAGATCATCTATACCTCATCACATTGATTGACAACTTGAGCCGATTGCCACTTGTCGCCACGATCGCAAAGATCATTTTCCCATCAACTTTGGTTGTTCAGAACAAGAACTCAAAGTACAGCAGGAGGCAAATGGAAAAGTGAGTGCGCTCGATAGGGAGGACGACCAAACTAACTGCTATCACAGGCGCCTAAGTTCGAAAACAGGGAAAATGGACTTCCTCTCTTCCCTGGTCGAGAGAGTGCGCAACGGCGAAGTTGACAAGGAAGAGATGACGGCCCATGTGTCGACTTTAGCGTGAGTAGAGATAATTGCGCGTGCTTTTGTATATCTTGTGCTGATGTCTCACAGAATTGCTGGTGGCGAAACAGTTTCGACCTTCCTGGCGAGCACGACCTTCTTTCTTCTCAAGAATCAAGTCGTCCTAGACAAACTCACGGCCGAAATTCGTGGGGAGTTTGGCACCTTTGACGAGATAGAAGCACAAAAAGCGCAACAGCTTTCGTATCTGCAAGCGGTAATCAATGAAGGGTTGCGCCTGGATCGCAGGGGTTCCCACGCGTGTCACCAGGTTTTGAGTTGCATGGTGAATTTATCCCGCCAGGCGTAAGTGACAATCTCCCACCTTTCTAAAAGAAAAGGTCTAATATGGACCCCCTATTAGACAGAGATATACACCAGCGCGTGGGCGGTTACGCATGATCCGAAGTACTTCGAAGACCCAATGCAATTCAAACCCGAGCGATGGATAGATCCCCACACTCGGGATGTCAAGGAGGCTAGCCAGCCTTTCTCTCTGGGGCCAAGAGGCTGTTTGGGACGCAAGTAAGCCAGAGCCTTTTGTCCGGTCGTCCACTTCAAACGCGCTCGAAGCTGACATGGAGACAGTTTCGCGTACATGGAAATCAATTTGTTGTTGGCCAAGCTACTATGGATGTATGACATGGAGCTGGTTAATGAAAATCTGGACTGGTTGGAGGAGGGCAAGGTCTTTGTGATGTGGTGGAAACCAGATCTATGGGTTCGGTTTCACAAGAGGGCTTAGTTGGCCGTTTTATATACGGGTTTCTTCAATCATGAGAACTTGGTGAGCAGGTGCAGGGATGCTGTTGAGTGATTTGCGCCTTATGCCAGTTGGGTGCGGTCTATGCGGGCTTGCCCATGTGGCCGAGCATGCCTTCGCGCCTGGTGATGGTGGCTTGGAGGTGGGAGGCACCTTAGGTTAGGTATTTGATTGCGCCAGACATGGGATTCAACTGCCCTGGGGTCTAAACGCAATCCTTTCATCACATCCAGATTCATCAATGTGAATAAGGTGATACGCCGGCCATGTGACTTAGACCTGGCTAGGCTGCGACAAAACCCGCGTCAAATCGAACCTAACCCACTTCGGCCACAAGAGTTGTCACCGCCCACTGCGAGGCCAGTTCGACAATACCCGCTTTTTTGAAAGACCAAGTCGAAGTTACTGTACTGTAGAGACCAGAAATCATATGACCCCAAGACTGAAAAAGGTGCAGAGTTTCATTCAGTCCAGTTGTATAGAGGGCATTCCCATTTGATACGGCATGGTATACGGCAAATCCGGCGAGACCACCATTTGCCTTGATCTACCGTGCGCATAATTGCCCTCGGTGAGTTTGGAAAGGACCTTCCACGCTTTTAGTCCCTGAATTATGAATTACAATCAACAGTTTGGAGGCCCTGCACAGCTCCGGAGAGAAACATACCTCTGATATTTGGCCAAATGAATCGGGTGTCTGACTAAGCCCTAGATGAATATTTTTCTAACTCCGACGATTCTCGTCGTGCTTTGTCACTTTCCCTCATGCCGGAGAATTGGCTCGACGAAATTTCAATATGGCGCATTGCTTGGCAAATCATAAACGGGAACAGATGACGCCCGTGGAGCTGAAGTCACGGAAATGGCCAACCGACAGGCTCGAAGCAAGACCAATCGATTGTGTGTTTACCTTACCGAACTTTGTTTAGCACATGTGAAAGATAGCTCCCCGGACCAAAAGAATGTTCTCAAGGGTAAATCAGGCTCTCATATTTGACTTCTCCTGCCCACGGCCGCATTTTTGGAACGTCGTCTACAATTCACACCAACAGCACTGCGTAAGGCGAGTGAATCTACTTTTCCGCTTAATGAGCCGCTTCTCGATCTCATATTTCGCTGGGTAGATACTACTTTTTTCTCAATTAACCCTCATCCGTGCCCTGTCTCGAAAGCTTCAATATTAAGTAGTGTTCATGCAAACAGTTAGTCCCTATGTAAAGTCATATTGCACGTCCTAGATACAGCGATGACGATGAAGATGATGACATTCCCCCAATATAGCTCGCTCCAAAAGTGTACGCTGCTCGGGAGTGCTGTCAAACCGCGAGATAGTGGGTACCGGCTAATGAGACACTAATAGATACCCTCACTCGGGTTCCCGCTTGCTTTTCCGAGATAACAAAATGTAAAGCAAAGTAAACAAAAACCCTCCCTTGAATTACCTTTGACCTGTTCAAGTGGCTGGACACAAGCAACACGCGCTCAAGCTGTAGGTGGTCCCAAATCCACGCACTATTCCCAAAAGGGCTCTGATCCGCGGATTCACCCGCCGGAACGTGCGGATTCTCCACTATCTCCACTATCTCCACTATGTGTCTCAGCCTTAAGCTCGGACATTCGATGAATATCAATTTCCGATCAGTGGGACATTTTCATCTGAGACATTTTGATTCTCTATTTTGGAGACCTCTTATGACAACCGCGAGACGCATCTTGAAACCTAGGAAAACATTGACAACATGAAAGGCCTGGCATACTTCGCAGTCACTGCCTCGGTGCAGGCTTCAAAATTTGCGCACCAGTCCCTCCATCGTGGGGCTACCAGTAGTCCGAGCTGTAACACCTACACAGTGAAGGATGGAGATACTTGTGCAAAAATTGGCAAGTCGAGTGGAGCCACATGGGCGCAGTTGCTCTCATGGAACTCCGATATCAACCGCGAGTGCTCGTATGTGATCTCAGGGACATCATGATTGATGATAGAATGCAGCTCAACGCATGATTTTCTAGGAACCTCGGTGACTTCTCTGGTAAGGATATTTACATCAGCAATCCTGCGGGAGACTATGCAATTCCTGTCCCTAGTTCCACAACCTCAAGCAGTGCAACCGGCTCGCAGAGCATTATCACCACTACTGCGTAAGTTCTCTTGCAAGAACAGAAAGACGATTGGCACTCTCATGCTCATGGAAAACAAATCAGCTCTATTCCCTCGCCAACGGTTTCCGGAACCAACAGCAAGTGCGCCCGATACTATAAAATCGGAACGGGCGAGACATGCGACGCTGTGGTAAAGAAGTCGAGTATCTCTATATCTGACTTGTCAGTCTCTTTGATCGCTAGAAGATGTGACGCTGATAACTGACAATCGTACAGCCTGTTCCTGAATCCAGAGATCAACGAGAAATGTACAAACCTCCAATTGGGTGTGTACTACTGTGTGCAGGCCGTCGGATACATTACAACGTACCCTGGCTATGGCGGGACCTCAGATGACTATACCAAAGTGTCCATGACCGCCGTTCCTTCATCCGTTCTGAGACCAGATTACCCCGGAGCCTTGCCAAACAATTCTTATCCCGTTATTCCCCTTGCCAACGGTACCAGGAAGGACTGTTACGAGTAAGTGCATTTTTTTGGTATATCAAGGCAGTAACTAGCTAATGCTTGGATAGCTACATGTGGCTGAGCAACACCACGGATGACGCGCTCGCGGATTGCTGGACAATGGCCATGACCAACGGTGTCTCTGCAGAAGTATGTTCTTTCTTCCCTGGTTGGGTATGTCTTACTCTCTTTCAATACAAGCTGACTCATCTAAGGACTTCATCATGTGGAACCCTTCGCTCGAAGAGAAGCCGCGTAGGAGTTCCTCCATAGCTTCAACCGCCAGTGCTAGTGCAAGCTCGAGCTCGAGTGTTACCCCAGACTCGTACTACTATCCTTGCACGCTGCGAGCCAGCTCGTCATACTGTGTGATGCTCTCTCGGCCTAAGAAGACCAAGGCAAGCGGGTCGCGAACCACTTCATCAATTGCTGCGTCGTCGACCCAAAGTCCGAAGCCTACATCTAGTGAGTTTCTAAATATCAGCCCTGGATACTAACCGGGTTCATATCTGCTAACCATATTTGTTAGGTGCCTAAGTGGTGAACAATGCGCTTGGGGGAAGGGCGAAGTAATTGTACTAGTGTAGATGATACACGCATATCTGTCTCATTTCCTCTCCTGTGGGCAGTATTCCTACTTTATGTATCTATTAGCCGGAATTTCTTCGCTTCCCAATTTCAACCTACCATTTAATCTATATACTCCCGTCGTTGTAAAAGACTTATTGGCCGACAATGGACCCTTCCGCACATGTGAAAATCAGTATTCATTGGCGTAATAATCTCCTTGCAAATATTCATCTGTATCAGAGTACCCATTGGTCATATGGATGTTCAAAATCGGGCTCCAATGCATCCCTTATAACACCAAATCCAAGTCGGATGTTAAGGGGACGATCCTCCTTAAAAGGATTTCCTCCTTCACCGTAGATGAAATCCTCTACCTCCTTTTCAATCCATATACCGTGTCCATATGTAGGGCTCGCGTCCGCGATTGGCACGCCGATCGTAATTTTGGGTCTTGATCCCGCAACCCGGCCTCCCCATAGCGTGCTCTCCGATACCATTCGCTTGATTTCTTCCAGCATGCTATACCAGACTCCATCGCCAAGAAATTGCAGCATACTGAGTTCAATGGAGCGAACGGATTTTGGTAACGTCTTGAGGAAAGAGACACAGTCATCCTGTGAGATAACAAAGCCGGAGAGTTCGAAATGGCGCAGTTTCGACCACTGTTCCACAGGCACAATGCTCCCTAATGGGATCAATGGATGTTCTCCGTCAGGGTAGAGCTCATCATCAAATGTTGTATGCAGCCTGAACTCTTCCATTTCTTTTGCTTCACCGAGTGCCCGGCGCAGACGCCCATTAAGCAGAGATCGCCAGCATGCTTCGAGATCTTCCTCACGCTCACCACCGAGAAGTAAGGAAATATCCAGACGGCGGAAGCCCGGCTTCTTAAGCACGGTAGCAAAATGATTGTACTCTTCGCAGGGCTCGTCGAAGATTGTGCAGTTAATCCCCGTGGGGATAGAGTTAGAAGTCATCACCAGCTCAGAAACAGAGTTGGGTTCGTTGGCGAGGACACGTAGTGCCGTGCGGAACCCGCGGTACCGACCTCTGAGTTCTAGGTATTGATTCCACGGATATGGAGTAGCGGGCGCCATAGTGGCTCTAGGGTACAACCAACCACGAGGAATGGGGTAATTAAAGCCTTTCGGGAAAGCACGAATCATAGGGGTCGGGTAAAGCGGGTTGATGAGGTTGCCGTGGGCTGCAGGTGTGATGGTCACTCTCTTCAAGGCAGGAAACCGCTTGACGCCAAACGCGAACGCTTCCAAATCACCCCGACTGGCAAGAACATCCTTCTGTTGACGCAGCAACTGCAGATAATGTTGCCAGGCCTCCCTTAGGGAAGGCTGAGCGAACACTTGTTCTCTGCGCGCGATATGGTCGGGCCTATCCACATCACGGAGTTCCCGGTATTTTAGAACGTAAAGGTTTTCCTCACAACCGCTTTTGAACCATTTAGGACACCCTTCACCCTCTTCAGACTCATGGCGCTCGGTAATCTCCTCTCTGTAGTGAGTGTAGTATTCCGCAGCCCATTCTCTGTTATTATCGGGTTCATCCTCGTCCGAGAGCAATTCATGTCCCTCATTGGTTTCAGCTATTCGTGCTGGACCCCGATGCAAGCGCGCCTCATCCCAGATAATCTCGTTGATCTGATGGCGGAACTTGTCGTGTGATGCAATGTTGCGGAAGACCTCAATGTTGAGGGGGTTGGCGGATAAGAAAACACGATCGAGCCGAAGAAACACTGCATTGTTGAATTGCTTACATGTCAGGCGCAAAGATTTTATGTCGGCATTGGATAGATGTGACTCAATGCAGTCCCAGAGCTCCTGGGGGAGCGCGGGTGGACTGGTATAAGCCATAATATGATATTGTAGAGTTGAACTTGAGACTTCGTGATAAAGTGCGTTTTACACGGTACAGTTAGCCGATTTGTTCCTCCCCACTGTTGACTGTACTAGGTTTAGTGTGGAGAAGATATGTTAAATTGAGGCAAGCAACAATTTAGCAAATGTAGCCTTGCTCTATTCGATATGAAGGATGTGGCTCGCAAGTGACCAACTAAACCAAATAAAATTTGTCTGTCTGAGCCTCTGAGGAAACTATCTGGATATGGAGGTTTTCTTCCATTTGTCTTGTCCGGAACATACTAGTGCCGTTCCTGACACAGGATCAAGTCCGATCACGTGGCTTGTCTTGGCAAGGAGCGACCCTCCTTCGGTAGTCCTGCAATTGACCAAATGGCGGTTGCTACTCCGTAGAGCCTTGGGAAAAGATAGGCTTGGCATCGCCGCCTGATTCATCCAGGAATTTCTGGCTGAATTCAACAAGATACACTCCAACAACCTAGACCAAACTAGGCGAATGATAAATTACCCAAGTAACACTTTAAGCGTGTACCTGTAGTGCTAATGATATACAGGAAGTGAACAGGGCATGTGTACAGTACCTTTTTGAATAAAACATCAACAAAGATCTTCTGTCCAGTTGGCGAACTTCCCGTCAACTGGCAAACTTTCCGCCAACTGGTGAGCCTCCTTCCAGCCAACTGGCAAGGGTATCCCCACGAATTGTCCCAATAATGTCCCCAGATTTGGGTTCATGCCGTTCAACAGAAGCGCCGCGTTAAAAGTCTATTGGGAAGAGAAAGATCGTCATTTAAACAATTTGCAGTAGAATATTGATTCCTCGGCCAATCATCGCTTGAATGCAAGCAAATTCTCTACACTGGACAATTTCGTTTATCTGAGCGGGGATCGAAAACGAAAAACCCTCGAGACAGGCACGCCGCTCGAGACAAAAATACTCTGCGTGAGATGATCTGTATTCTGCAAAGAACGGAGGTATTTGTTGTCGTCTTTGCCTACAGCCCCACTTCAGTCTATATCTGACTTAGATCATCGTAGACTGTATGTAAAAAAGCTATAGATCATGGGTCTTTCTTCGACTGACTACACTAGAACTAGCGTCACAAAAAATAGAGTTCCATGAAACCGCAAAAACTGCCCTCTCCCCCGGGGAAATGGTGAAATTGATTTCGATCCGCCCTGTAGCATTCGATGTCTAGTAAAATTTTGTCATGCTCGACGAATGGGCTTCACTGAAGTTAGACAAAGAAGCAGGCATTTAGTAATCACATCGAAGTTCTGGGATTATACAGGTCCCTTCTGATCCACTATGAGAACATGAGCCTAACATCAGAACCCTTCGTAAAAAGGCTATACTGACCCTGTAAGTCTCCAAACGACCCTCTTCGGCAACCATATTTCCTGTAGCCGTCTTAAAGCCATTGAAAAACCTCTCGGCGCATGTCAAAGTATTAATCACCGTGGGCCTTCCATCTGGCCGAGGACCTCTCGTAGAAAGCGTATACCAAAGAATAAATTCTTTGATCAGAGCAATGTTGGGGTCAGGAGATCCCTTCTGCAGCTCATAGTCATGTGGGGCTATCCTGCATACACCAAGAAAACTGAGAAGTCAACAAACACGCAAATTGGAATAACATATCGTGGCTACTCACTCGATCCAAAGCCAGAAATACCTCTGGTGAATGGCTTTGACCTCAACAGCGAGCTTATGTCCATCATGAATGGTACCCTCTCGGGGGGATTCCTGGCTGGATTCAGTAATTTCGTGTGGCGGATTTTGGTTTTCGCTTGATAAATCGAACGTCCGAAGATAAATTTCCATATCTTAAGATTGAAAAGGACGCAGACTCAGGGCAATACAATTAGGAAGAAAGAGCTGGTTTGTTGTACTTGTGATCTCCTGCGAGATTTCCAATATTTTACCATCGGTAGGGAGTTAGTCAGTTCTTATAACTCGTCTTCGGACCCGACATCCGACGCAATCGTCCCAACTGAAGGCAAATGGTGTCGATTATTGTTCCCAGGTTTAAGGTACAATGCGTGGCTGTGATTGCTCCCAGGAACGGTTGATTAGCTCCCAGTTACATGAATGCCTTGCGTGGTAGGAATGATACTATAGGCGATCGAATAAGTTCCTGGGAACATAAATTGGATACAATAGTATGGCTCCCAGGAGCAAATAAAGCGACTCCAGGAGCTTACAAATAGGCCAAGATATACCTACACTGGTATCAGCGTTGATATGAAGAGGGAAAAAAATAATAGTTCGATTTACTTGTAGTTCCGTGGTACCGATAAATTAAAATAGTCGTGGTGTCGTATCATACAAATAGAAACATTCAATTACGTTACATTACATACGGTCAATACTTCTTGGGTTACCTGTCCGAGTGTGGCGGTGCGAGCTATGTATGTAATATTAATTGTAATGTAACTTCCTTTTGCAGTGTGACAAGCTGGCTGTAATCGGCTTTCGTCAAAACACGCTGCAGTTCACTCGCCATCCTCACGCAGTGCGAATATGATCAACTTCAAATCTAGCACAAACAACAGCTTCATTTTCGACTAAATGGTTTCCACAAAAACCACCTCACGGGATTATTACAAAGATGTGCTTCATATTTTGTTTCGCTGGGGCGACGAGTGTCTGTCGTTGGAATCTTGAGTGGTGACATTATGGCATTACAGGCAGTGATTTGGTTTGGCAAAGAGCTCAGTCTCTATTAATCTCGAAATGTAAATAAACTTAACTTATGTACAAGCAGGTTATAGTTGATGCAAAGCATAATGCTCGACCAATAAAAAATGTCTTAGCGAGCATAGTCACGACGGGCCATTCGATTTGCCCGTGATCTGGTGTATCGCCGAGGAAGCTCCATATCCTTCCAGCACTGTCGCAGGAAGGCCGTATCTACGTCTGCGAAGAGAGGCCCAATCTGCCTCAAGGTCAGGTTCTGGCCCTTGAGCTCAAGCAGCTTTCGCTTTTCTTTTGTGGTAAGCTTCCGCCGATGCTTGCGAGTACCCAAATCAACCGGATGACCCAGAAGCGGCTGTGATCTTGCCTTTGCTCTCGTGAGCGGTCTACGGAAGTTGCTGACATCAGCTTGATCATCACAAGAGGGGTTACCGTCGGGTTCTGCCTGCGTATGAGGGTGTTCCTCGCACTTATCATCTACCGCGACAGCTGTGTTGCTGGAGGGGGTAGGACAATATGTTTCCAAGCCCTACCAATGTTGTCATTGACTTCATTGGTACAATCTTCACGAGATAGTTTGGCAGGGCTCGGAACAGGAGGTTTTGGGTCTATCGTGTCATTTAACTCCTTTGTCTCGAGTTCACCCAAAGAATGAGCATTCAGCTGAATAGGCTCCTGGTCGTAACCCGGGCAATCATCCTCTATGTTGAAGCCGATAGGGACGAGAATTCTAGGGTCAATGACATCAAGACCGGGCGTCGTTGGCTGCGAGCTGAGGCGTGAATCGGCATCTGAGACGTAAGATGCAATTGAACTACTCCTGCTGCTCGCGCTGGCCCTATCACTTCTAGCAGAGCACTCAAATCGTCTTTGCTGATCCTCGACAAACGAGAACCGAGCCGGTTTGGTGATACAAATGTGGTTCGAGGGGTATTGCTGAGATTCAGGGCGTGAAGGCTGGTATTGGAAAAATCGGGTTTCCTTCTTCCGCTTTTTCTTTGACTCCATTGAAGTGTATTTCGATTCCACCTTGGAAGTAGATGGCAAGCCATGATTGTCAGTCCGAGCTTCTTTGGCGCACCTTTCGCTTCTCTTCTCATTCCCTTGTTGCTGCTCCCATGGGAGAGCTCTTTTTTCCCCACGTACGCAGATTACCTTTGTAGCCTCGTCGTCCTCATTGTCCGCATTTCGCGATTGCCAGATACCCTTTGCCAAGCCATGTACATCATACAAGTGATGGCAGAAATCATGCGCGTTGTCAAAAGACCGTGGACAGCCACACAAGGGATCTGTAGCTGGCCATTTCATCCCCTGCAGATGAGTTTCCTTGATATGGTCCCGAAGTTTCTTGCTATGGCACCAATAACGAAGCCTTTTCTCCGCATCAAGAGACTCATCGAAGAGGCAACATGGACAATAACCCGGTCGGATGACAGTATAGCGGTAAATGATGACTTCGCAATGGAGCCTCCCCCAAGATAGCAAGTGTTTCTCACAGTGTTCTCGCCATTGGTGCTTTGTATGAAACCATTCCATACATTCGTAGCAGAATTCCATGTCGAACTTCCTCACTCCAAGCTGGGAAGCTTTATCGCGGCGGACGCATTCATGGATATGTCTACTCCGGCTGGATTTCGCCAGTCTGCACAAGTTAGCGATTAGTTTTCAATACCTGGAAATAGGTACTCACGAGTCAACGTCTTCCTGGCAGCTTTCAATCGGGCATTTGCCATTGATAGGTGCTTCATTCGGCAAGTATATTATGTCGTATTCCCGCGAGCACTGCTTTTGTAGGTCCTTCATGAAGAGGAGCTTCTCGTCAAATGACATAGGCTCTGTGGACGACATGATTGCCGCTAGGCGGCCGATTTCGGGCATAATAAGAGCAAGGGCACGTGTGCAAGCATTCTTTTCTGGGTCATTGGGTGATTTCTGCCCTCTTGACAAAACCGTCCAGTCTCTCCTATCTCGAACCCATTTGGTCCGGTAGTTTGTAAGAGCTGAAAGGCGGAGGCGAATATGGGTATTCCTGTATTGTAATCTCTCGTAATTCCCCCTGTCTTTGTCGCCTATTGCATCTGCCAAGCCAATGTGGCTTTTTTATTTCGGCAAGTTCATCGCTCTCCAGGACAGATTCTTCGATCCCAGCGGGCAGATGACTAGGCAAACCGGTTTCACGGTATTGCTCATGGCCTTGCCAGTATTCGATATGGCAATCGTCTCCCTTCTCATCAAGAACACAGTCGACAGTATTAATGGACGAGCAATGGGCAAGATAGCTCGTTGGGTAGGTTTTCCCATCTTTATGACCGTATAATTGTGAAACTAATGCTGAGCCGTATCGCCCTATGGAGAGTAAGTTTATGTCCGATGAAGTGTAGGATATCAGAAGGGCCTTACCATCAACCTTTTTCCAAGTGTTCGGCGGATATCATGTATTGTGGGATCTTCCCAATACCCTGCTTTCCTGAAGAGCTGGCGAAGGAAATAATAGAACCTTTCTGTCGTCAACACCAGATCCTGAGCACCTTGCGCAGTCACGTTCCTGAATACAAGCTTTTCCTTCGCGTCATCCTTCCAGCGCAGGGGAATTTCATTCTTCCCTTCGGGGAACTGCTGTTGGGCCAAATCTTCTATAGTGTTGATTCCGTAAATTGCGCCTTGGTCGATGGCAATGACGGCAAGAAGCAGTCCCGATGCAAATTGAGGCCTGCTGTCATCACGGATGCCTATGCCAAAGCTGTCGAGCGAGTTAGTGTTTGCGAAAAGAAAAGGAGGAATTGGCACATTTTAGGAACGAGGTAATTGACTTACACGGTGTACTCCGGGTTCCTATTTTTTTTTGAGCCACTGTTCATTGACTCGCCACCCGATCTTCCATGGCTCGTCAGAAGAATCAGAACGAAATAAAACTAGGTCTATGTGCTGTTAGGTGTCAGTAGCCTGAAAGAACATGTGCATGGGTTGATGTACCTTTATAACGAAGACCTCTCTGGTGTCGATGTTTATTTATGGGAATGAATGCCCCAACCCTTGCACCAGTGAAAAGATAAAGCTGTAGGGCGAACAAAAGGAAAACTTTCATTGTTCCGTGGATGAAGACAGGATCATCGACCGTCCACAGTGAAGATACGGCATGGAGGTAGTCTGTCTTGGTGAAATTGAATTTGCCTTTTTCCATGTTCACGATGGCATTCTCTTTGGTCAGAGTTGCTTTGATCCACTGTGATATGGTCAGCCGCAAGCATCCAAAGCATTCGCAAAATGGACTATACTAACCCCGTAAGTCTCTACACGGTCCTCTAGAGGAACCATGTTTCCAGTAGCTGTCTCAAATCCACCGAAAAATCTCTTGGCGCATGCCAAAGTCGTGACCGCCGTGGGTCTTCCTTCTGGGTCGAGACGCCCTTTGGTAGAATGCGCATACCACCGAATGAATTCTTTGATCAGAGTAATTTCGGGTGCCAGGCATCCCTCTTCCAGCTCATAGCCTTCAGATACTCTTCCACTTTCAATCAGAAACCTAAGAAGTCAACAAACACGGAAATTGGGAAAAGCGTTGCGAGGCCACTCACTCGATCCAGAGCTCAACGTACTGTCGGTGAAGGGCTCTGGACTCATCGGTCCGCTTATGCTTACCACGTGTAGCATCATCCTCTCGGTGGGCTTCCGGTTGGAATCCAGTTTCTTTGCGTCTCGCGCGGCGCCGTTCCCTTGCTAAATCGCAAGTCTGGGGCTTTATACCCATGATCCAGGATTGGAAAGGAACGTTTATACACTGGGACGAATCATGAAGAGAATAAAAGAGGTAGTGAGCTGCAAGCCCTTGCGAAGTATCTGTGGTTGACTACCCATGGGGGATTTCGCTGTATTTATAGCTCGACTGGATGTTAAGTACTTCATACAAACCATCCCGGCCATAGCAGGGATTGGGCGAAAGGCACAAGCCATGTAATTTCACACGTCATCATCTCTCAGAGGGGCCGAGAGGGCATACGAGTGAATAACTTCCTGGGAGCAGGGGCTATCAACAGAAAAAGGATGGTCAATGTTAGGTGGATTTTTAGTTGCTGGCGCCAGCATCACAGAATAGATGGCTAATAAATGATCCACATGTCACGTGGTCAATTTGTTCTATCTCTGCCTTTATTTTCAGGCCGAGAGTGTGCACTCAGGTCGTGCTCACTGAGCATACCCTGAGGGCTCACTGAGCATACCCTGAGTGCTCGCTGAGCATACCCTGAGTGCTGACCGCTGAGCATACCCTGAGTGCTCGCTGAGCATACCCTGAGTGCTCACCGAGCAGACCCCGAGTGCTCACTGAGCATAACCTGAGCATTATTTTGACATTACTAAGCATACCTCGAGTGGCACTGAGTAATCACCCTGTGCTGTGAAATACTCAGTGAGCATGACCCTGAGCCCCCTCATAAAGCGGCGGCACCCCGATCGGGAAATGCGCATCCGCGGCCCAAAAACTGGTACATACAGGTACATCTGTATGAGTATTTCCAGTGACATTGTAAGTGATCACGTGATCTTACGTTACAACAAATTACGCGATTTCTGAAAGGAGCTAAATCAATGATGGACTAGCGTGTTTCAAGGTAGGGTTCAGGAAAGATCGATGTAAAAAGAGTGGTGAAACTGATTTCGATCCACTCTGTACTCCCCCAACGGGCCAGAGAGAGACGTACAGACAGGCCTCACTCTACGCATTTTCGATATAAAACTGTTGTGGTTGTGTACCGAGCGGGAGCTAACCCCGGAACGATGGCGGACCCACCCACGGGAGGGCCCGAGCCCCCTCCCACAAACACCCAAGAAACCCAAGCCAGCTTCTCAGTTGAAGACTTCCAGCCTCGAGTATCGATCGATGCAGGCCAAATCATAGGGAAAAGAACGAGAAATGGCGAAGCTTACACACCCGCGAGGGCACAGGCCGGATTACCACCAGAGAGGTGTGGAAGCTCATCGACAACCTCAAGGATATCATCCATCGCCAAACCACGCTCATCGAATCCACCAAAGCCGACCTAGAAGAGGTCAAGCACGACCAGAACGTCCTCCGAGAACAGAACGACAGGCTTCATGAAGAAGTCAGGGCCCTAAGAGCACAAATCGAAACCAGCCCACAACCAAACCCGCCTAGAACTTAGGCAGCGATAGCAGCCAGCGGTACCCGTGACCCGCAACTAAGCCTCCAACGACCCGAAAATGACCGGAACTGCGTCCGCATTAGCACACAGAGATCATCAGTAGATCCGAGAGATAATGAGACTAGAGAAGGGAACAGTTTCGGGAGGTACCTCTCTACCGACTCGGCTAACACCTATATCCGCTCAGCGCTGTTAAGCGTACCCTCGACTCAAGACGCACAAGTTGCCGGCATTGGTACCACGAAAACGGGATACATGTAAGCTGATAATAAGCGTCTCAGTGACATTTGGCATCTGTCTGCCTTTACCTGCTATCTCCTAGCAGAAAACTACCGTTTGGGTAGCCTGAATGCTCTACAAAGTATATCCATCAGCGCTTCTAACACACTCCGACCGGCTGGTATGCAGTGGTGCCCAACGGCGAGACTAGCTGGGATTGGCAAAAACTCCCGGCGGAGCCAACTTCCAAAAAGGACGCGCTCTTGGCTAGCCAGGTATTTGGCTCATACTCCGTGTCATCTTTTGAGCAGTAACTAGCGTTGGAACTTCGACAATGACTCCACTGTTTCATGCACTCGAGGAGCCCGCTCTTTCCTCTTTGGTAAAGTATGATAGGTATGTACCAATTGATAAGAGCGGCTTGGTAAAAACGAAAGCTGAGCACCTTCTCTGATCACAACTTCAGCAGCCCCAATGATGCCACCATACCACAAAGAACACGTGTTGTCATTTCTTCTCGACTCATGCAAGTCACGACTCGCGTACACGAAAGCCACATACTCGAAGAGACATCGCATGACACCCTTGCACTTGCATGCATGAGTGGCAACATTGTTGTTTCCCCTCACTAGAAGGTCGGGCTTCCTTCAGCTTCGAAGGTGATGGGCACGGAACGAGCGTTTTTGTGGACGAGATACACATTTCCTAGACTTATCCGTACTTTTGACATCCCAGAGGGACAGTCATGAGGGCTGCTTTGTCACACAGTCGCACGCTCTGTCCCAAAGGTTTATAGACTCAGACCCCAGACTCTCTTCGATATAACTAGTTTTTCCAGATCCAAAATGGTTATCTGCGTTCCATGTGATCGGTCATTTCCCACTCAACGTGCTTTGGAACAGCACCTCCAGTCCCCAAAGCATACGTAAATATATATATACCACCTGTAATGCTATTGTATGTGTTCGTATCCCGATCGCCCTTGTTGTACCGTAATATACGGGCACGTGGGTTCTTGGCTTGTTTGAAGGCAGAATCAGAGAAAAATCAGGCTCAATTATCTTAGTGAGCGAGTGAAAGCTAATCATGGCATTTGTGGCGACTTAACCCAGCTCAACCCGCGACAGATTAGATGCTTGGCACGCCGTCCTGGTCAGATGCGGGGAACATGGTGGCCGGCATCTCCGCAAAAGCCCCAGAGTCATTGATCACATCGAACGCTTCCGTGTCGGGCCAGTCGCCCGTCACGTCTATTCCCGGCAGCTGACTGAAATTCTGCGCATTTCCGTTTTCATCCATCTTGATTTCGTTTTCGTTCATTCGGGTTTTAAGATGGCTCATGAATGAGTGGCCAGCAGTATGAATATCTTCCAGCGTCTGTTGCAGGTCACTTCGCGAGAGCAAGTTACGGGCATTCGAGTTGGCCGTCTCAAGAAGTGTCTCCAGCCTAGTGACTTCTCCGTTCAAGCGTTGTACCTCGCCCGACTGCTTCTGTATCTCCAGGCTGTACTGCTGAATCTTGGTCATCATCTCGGATCTTTCCCTGCTAAACCGCTGCGCATTGGCTGCGATTTCACGCCGTTTCTCATTAAACCGAGCCGTCAGCTGTCGGTTGATTGCGACGGCGTTCTCGATGGTCTTTTTACAATTAGCGTGGACGAGCTCGAAGTTTTCATCTCTGTCGTCTTGATTCAAGGTTCTGGATGCGTAGAAGTTCGTCCCTATCAAAGTATATGCCAGTGAGACTGCACGCCCCGTAGCTATAGCAATAAAGAACGGACCGGTACTTCTCGAATATTCATTGGCCGTTGCGACGTCGGTTCAAGACCACCGGCCTCGCTCCCAGGCAAAGTCCCTATGGGCTGCGGAAGAGATCTTTCCGCCCCTGTCGACCGGCGAACCGCGCGTTGGGACGGCACCAATGGGTTTCTCGACGTTGTCGCTGCCTTTGGCATGGTGAAAGTGGATCCTAGAAAAATGAAAGGTCGACTGATTCTTTGCCAAAAAAAAAAAAAAAAAGAATCCTTGCCAGAAGGTTGTTCGAGGTGCGAAAGCGGGTAATTTATCTGCTAACTTTTGAGAATCCGCCCGACGAACTACGGGACGTTTAAATTTTAGTGAGCGATGGTATCAACCCCGTTTTGCACGTCCCAACAGAGAGTGACTGGCCCACTGACGACTATATGGGCAATCACACACCATTTAAAGTTCTCCATTACAGAAATATCATTTTCGTATTAGCTGAAATTTACTGAGACTATCTACGCTTCGGCTGCGATGGCTGGACTGTCCTCGAGCTTGGCTCGTCTCACAACGGTAAGAATCGCCTTCATTGAGCGGATAATAGTAGCTCTTGATAATTTGTACCAGAAGTGGTTAGACTCTGAAATTTCCAGCCGGTGTTGACATTTCTCATACATAATCTGAGAGCTTCTAAAGAGGATCATGAAACCCTTAGCGTAGATTCGGCATGATTTCAAACCCGCGCTGAACGATGATCTCCAGACACACCATTGGATACAGCAGTAGATTTCTTGCTCAAAGACTCAAGTAAAACGCTAAGGGCCATAACTTTGATGGCCTGGTAGCATAGCCCTCTGCACTCTGCTTCCGAGATCTCGACTTGCTCGTAAATCTGCTTGAGCTGTCGTAGAAGCCGTCTTCTCTCCCTTCGCAGGCCCCGCAAGAATACCGCCGCTCGTGACTGGCTCATTGCGGCCTCTGCGTAGCCCGGGGGTCGCATGAATTTTCTCGTGCCCTTCATTGTTGTTTGCCTTGCAAATTGCGATCGTATCGTGGACCGTATGAATACTGAGAGCTGCCTCTCTGTCACTGGCAGAGTATCAAAGGGGATGACTTGAAAGACGAGAGCAGCAGGACTAAAACAGCACGGCTTCTGTATAGCCTGCTATGATCTTATCACTAGGAATAATGCACGGGGCCCCATAGGGCCCAGCATAAAGGCAAGCCCTCCACCGTTGTTTCCTCTTCTCCTTTTAGCCCCTCGTTTGAATGTGGCTACTAGTGGCCTTCTGCTCTGAGCCCACCCATCGAGGTCGAGGGTATGGCAAACGGTAAACCCACTGTAGTACGAACCCAAATCCTGGACCAAGTACCAGGTAAGAAATCCTGAGCTATGTCCCTTTACGGCTCAGGTCGGATTCAGTTCCATACGCAGACCGCTGGTCTTGCACAAATCCTGGATCAAGTACCAGGTAAGAAATCCTGAGCTATGTCCCTTTACGGCTCAGGTCGGATTCAGTTCCATACGCAGACCGCTGGTCTTGCACAAATCCTGGATCAAGTACCAGGTCGGGTTGCGATGAGATTTCTCTTGCCCGCCCTCCAGCAAATGACAGACACCTCTTCGCGGTGCTGGAGACTATTACTCGGCTTTAATCTGAGCCGAGGAAGCCAAGATCTGCCCTCAATTTTTACACGGCATTTTACACAGTCCGTGGAACTGGCAAGAACTATTCAAAATCTCAAAACTGTCAACATTGTCCAAACACCCCGTGTCCGCGCAATTGACACCGCCTTTAAATGGCATAGGATACCTGAAAGAGGCAAATAATCATCGCAGAACGACAAGATATAATCTCGCCTACGCGATATCCAAACCAGTATAGTCAAAGTATAAGATCACGTAGATTTGAGGCTACACATTCATTCAGTTGCTCGAGCTTTAAGCTGTTTAATTCAAACCTGTTTAGCTCAGATCAGGTTGGCTCAACCTAGAACCTGTTCAAAATGGCCATTCTATAAGTAGCCAAAACTTTATCTTCTGCTTGACCATATCATTTACACCTTTAATTTCTGTTAGAGAATCCCCCCTACGGCAAAAATACACGCAGGCGCGGATCGTGTTAGTCTTATCCTCAATGGAAACATGGGCCAAATTATGTTTATTTAACTGTGCTAATAAAGACTTTCCCCAGCCTGTAGGCCGAGCGAATTGTAGACAAGGCTTTGATTAATTAGTGGCTCCACTAAATACTAAAAGCAAATCATGGTAATGTTCGTTCATGATACTGTTATAATGTTCGTTTTAAGATATTGTTCGTTCAAGACAGTGTTCGTTCAAGTGTTAGTCAGATTATGAAGTTTAAGATAGTGTCCGTTCAAGTGCGTCAGATTATGAAGGTCAATATACTGTTCGTTCAAGGCTGTTCGTTCAAGACTGTTCGTTCAAGACTGTTCGTTCAAGACTGTTCGTTCAAGACTGTTCGTTCAAGACTGTTCGTTCAAGACTGTTCGTTCAAGATTGTTCGTTCAAGTGTCCGTCAGAATATGAAGTCCGTGTCTCAATATCTAGTTTTTCTATGCACTCACTCTCTGCCAAAGTGAACATATTCGGCTGAATAAGTAAAGCAACCTCACTTTTCACCCACTATGCTAGTTTTGCTATTATCTGTTCGCAGACTTTGCCGGGGTTACTCAGCACTAATTGTACGTCACCGTCCTGTCCCCAATTTTATCACAAGATTCTTCGGTGACCAATAATTCTTCATCGCTCGCGTTTATTGTCGACTTACACAGCACAAAGGGGCTTTCAGCGGCCGTTTAAATTCCCCGCGGTCTGTTAAGCACTAGCTACTTCAACGTCTCGACACCTAAAAGACCGCCTCGACCTGAATACTAGGGTATTGCAGTTTACGATCTATTTTGGTCCGCTGGCGATAATTTAGCGTATGTGAAATATTTGCTCGGAGGTCGTAAACCCCCGCAGATTGATCTCTAAATACCCAGGAGAAGTCTACTGTTGACTGCTACCCGCCTGGCCTAAATAGCGGATCAGAATAGAATTAGCCGCGGGTAAACTTGGCCGAACGTCCCCCGTGTGCATTTAGACTCTAGTAGCATAAGAAGGAGTCATTGCAGTTCAGAGTGCACTAAGTATGGCACTCCGATTGTATCTCAGTAAGCAGCGAGAGAATTATCTGAATAAATCAGACTAAAAGTTCGTTCACAAAACTGACACTGCCTAGGGCAGTTTAACCTTGTTAATCAACCACAGCCCTTAATAAGGTTTAAGAAGGAGCTCCACATCAAGACTACCAATTTCAGCCAATCAGACCTACGCTAGCTAAGGGCACTCTGGCCGAAGACAGAGTGTTCTGAAGCAAGATGACAATTTCTCCGTCTACTATAGTGTAGGGTCCTTCTCCGCTGACCTAATATTTCGCTGGGTCCTTTCTTATTACCGTAGGCAGTCCGGCTTGATAAATCATATGCGATATAGGGGTATACGTTCCCTTGTCCTTTTCCAGTGCCCGAATCTCTCGCGCCGCTGAACTTCCGTCGTAACAGGCATTTCCTGATCCATGAGAATGCAGTCAAATGAATCGTGCTTCCACGCGTCAAGGGCTTCCTGCCCATTGTTGGTCGTGGTGACCTCAAATCCCAAGACTAACATGAATTGTGTAATTCCAGCCCTCCGCATTTTCCTACCAAAAATTATATTTTCCAGCTTCCTGGTCACATTCTTGACCAGAGAAGAAGCTAGCCATGCTTTTGTTCTGATTTTATCTCTGTGTATTTTCTCAACTGAGGCGTGTTACCCATGCACCTTGGGCAGCTTCTATTAAAACAACCGTCTTCTAAAATCACATGGACCAAAGTGACTTCTGGAAAACGGCGGGTGTCAAATTGAGGGTGGAAACTTGAATGAGATCAGTAGGCCCATTCACCCAACAATGTAGTGGCAATTTCGAGCCAGTTTGTCCTTTGATTTTCAGCGTTGCTCAATAGTTAGAAGAATCATGGCCAGTAAATAAAGCACCACTTTTGCAGAGACACAATAAGCAAATTAAGTCTTGTGCCTGCCTCATTAGTGATCTCTCCTATAAGTCCCGCGACCATAACTACAGATCAAATCTGATCCACTATGAGAAGGCGGGCTTCAACATCAAAAGCCTTGGCAAAATGGACTATACTGACCCTGTAAGTTTCCGAACAGTCCTTTGCAGCAATCGCGCTTCCCGTTGCTGTCACAAAGCCCCTGGAAACCTCGTAGCACACGTCAAAGTAGTGGTCACCGTGGGCCTTCTATCAGGTTGAAGCCGGCCTCTCGTAGAAAGCGTGTACCACCAGATAAATCTTTTGATCAGAACAGTGTTGGGGCGGCAGATTCCTTCTCCAGCTCATAGCTTTGTAGAGCCATCCCGCCTACATCAAGAAACCTTGTAAGCCAACAAACAGGGAAGCTGAAATAGCATTTCGCGGCCACTCACTCGATCCATAGGTCGACGTACTTCTGGTGAAGGACTTTGACCTTACCAGCACATTTATACCCGTTATGGAAGTCAGACTCTCGGAAGAGTTATTGGCAGGACTCAGTGGATTTGCGTTGCGACCCGTGTCTTTCGCCCGCTGAATCGAGAGCCTGGAGAAACATTTCGATGTCTCAATATTGAAAAAGAGTGTAGAATGAGCTTGAGGACTCAGCGAGAGCAAAAGGAAAGCCGACTTGTTGTGATGGTGGTTTTTCTCCGGTTCTGATAACCTGATATTTTATGGAAATTCAACCAGTACTTATAGCTCATCTTTGGAACTGGTGTCCGATGTGTCCGATGGAATAGTCCTAACAACAGCCAGTCTTGTAGAGAAGGGAGCATACAGCGCTCCCAGGATCACCAGGTTGATGCACATGCCCCAGAACGCATGCGGTTCGTCCTAGGAGCAATACGCACGATGTGCAGCCAAGTTTCCAACCCTGCTTCCACTGAACGCGCTTCATGGGCTATGATCATTCCTAGGAACAAACCAAAGGTGCTTCCAGGAGCTCATGAACAGGCTATCAGAGATCGAGCATATATAGTATCTTGGCTGTTTGGTCGCTGACCAAACATTGTGCCTTTTTGGCCAGATGGCGTAGTGGTAAAACCCAAGCATCCATGAACCGTCACACAGGCAAAATGGGTCATCGCTTGCTCCCAGGAACCGACCCTTGAATTTGAGGAATATGCTACTGAAGAGCCTGCTGTCGAAGAATCCGCTGCCGAAGAGCCCGCTACGGCACCATACGATAATAGTATCATACAGAATCATACCTGTTTCATGTAACTCTCAGGTTACAGGTGTTTTAAGTATTGTGGCTTATCTGCCTTAAAGCGGTGGCTGTGCAGGTTGGACAGAGCCGCTGTAATTACCTTACAGCGGTAAATAACAAGCGGTTGTATCGAATACGGGCCCAGAACATCACCTACCAAGCTGGTGACCGAAATGGCCCGGCTATTGATTAATTGAGCCTCGAGGCGTAATTGCAGTTTCTGTGAATTTTGATTGTCTAAGATTTAATGTGTTTCAGAGATAATACAAGTATATGGGAGTAGGTTGTCGGGCCTTGTCCATATATCCACCGTAAGGATACAAGATGAAGTCCAACTGGTTTTCAATGAGCTCATTCATTCCTATAGATAGTACATAATTAAGCGGGTTGGGTCCTAATCTGCAAATGCCTCACTCAAATCACAACATTCTAAACCTGTCATATGGTAATCCAACCGTATCGACCTGGCAAACATGAACAATATAATAAGATAAATAAAAACTGTAATCCAGATCTGCAATATGGAACCTGGAACGCCGAGGGCATAATGTAGAATACGGCCTTTCGGTTATCAAGTCCGAATAGGTTGAAATTTCCACAGAATTTCTGTGTCACTTTTGTTCGGTCATTATCAAGTGCGCTTCATGGCAGCGAAAGCGGAGACCCAATGGAGCGGATTGTCTTGAAGAAATTGAGGATCATATTGTACGCATAAGCATTGAGTGTAGAAAGCTATACAGTTGATGTTGGCTTTGCTGGATGCGCGTCTCGGCTCCGATAGATTAGTTCTCTCAAATATCATGACTCGACTGAAAGCTTTTAAGTCCTACTGCCGGAAGATGTAGTACTCTACTTGGGACCTTCCCAGTTTCCGAAGTAGTAGTATTGTGACGTATGAATTTCATCTAAATAAGTATCAGTTTAGGCCAATTCTGTGAAAGGTTCAGTTGTCTCGCTGCCATTGGTCTATGTCGATGTCTAGCAAGATTGAGAAGAATGTGCATCACGTACATCTCCCCGTTTGGCTCTCAACCATATATAACGAACTCAGAGCTCGGGCATACGCAGGAAACGGCATTGCAACTCTCATCGGCTGTGAAATATTGGATATCGATCAGGTTGTCGGTTTTCTTTGCGGCATCAGACTATCTGCATAATAGTTAGGCTTTTACTCTGGCTGAGGGGTTGAAAAGAGACAGACCTGGATCACTGAAGTTGCTAAATTTATGAGCAGATTTTATGAGGGCTTCCATGAGGAGGGATCGGTGTTTCTTTATATACTTTGACTCTCAGCATTAGCGGCACCAGTTCTCGCGAATGGGTACCAGCACTCGAGCTCCTAGGATCTATCCTGTCTCACCAATCACATTGTGGCGGCACAAAGGTTCTGGAAGCTCCTAGGAATACCTGCCAGGCTTCTGAGGTGTTTTATTTGTAGTAGTTAGAATATGTCGGGCAAATGAGGGGTCGCGAATGCCATTATGAGAGGCTAGACCATCCAGTAGACATGGCCTATACGTCTAGAATGGTTTTGCAAATGTTCAGGTCGCTATAGTTGAAGTCGTATTCCTAGGAGCAAGCGGCAAAAAGTGCATTGGATGAGGCTAGCGCGGTGCATTTTATTGAGGAGAGCTGCTGACTTAGTTCTTCCGCTTCGCTCAGGTCGCGCTCAGTGAGCAAGACAGAGCGGTCAGGTCACGCTCAGTGAGTGGGATCGGGGTGCTCAGTGAGCAAATCAGAGCGCTCAGATCACGCTCAGTGAGTGGGATCGGATTGCTCAGTGACGGATCATCTGGCTTACATAAGGGTCAGGTGATGCTCAGTGAGCGAAAACAATGCTTATATAATACTCAGGGGTGTGCTCAGTTTTACTCAGTGAGCAAAAAGCGGCTTGGGGTGAGCACTAGAACGGAAAGGGAAAGCCAAGACTTGTCAGACATTATCCTGTATATATGCGCAATCACCAACCAAAGCAAAATGCACTCAATTGAGCCTAAACTCCACCGTTTATGCCAAGTACGCCAAGATGAAGAATGAAGAAACCTAATGAACATCTAACTACATGTACCCCGCAATGTCGGTGCAATGAAGCCCGAAACGCAAATGACGCTATCGCGCGTCCAATATTCCTCTGAGAACAAAAAGACATCTGCGCATCCTGGAACAATTTCCCAGATCAAATCACCAAGATGCGCCTTCTAAGCCCCCTCCTAGCCTCCCTCCTGGCAATTCCAGCTTCAAGCAGATACATCGTTCCAGGCGGAAGATGGCTAGACACGAATGGATCAGTAGTCAACGCGCACGGCGGCGGCATCACATTTGACGAGAAGACCGGCAAGTTCTGGTGGTTCGGCGAGCACAAAACAGAAGATTCGCCCGAAGGCGGCGGCGTATCTGTTTATAGTTCGGAGGACCTTGCCACCTGGACTCCGGGGGAACTGGCCCTAGGTACCTATCTTTCCTTGTCCGCGTCAGCAGCAGAGTCTAGATCTGATTCCCTGGATATCTACAGCGCCAGTGGGGGGTCACCCATACATATCTCCGGACAACGTGATCCAACGACCCAAGGTAGCTTACAGCTCCGAGACAGATGACTATCATGTAGGTGCTATGTTTTCATCTCACCTCAACTCCACAGCGGATCTAAAGTGAAACAAATCAGATGTGGTGGCACGCCGATAATTCAACCTACGGTCTCCTCCTGCAAGGCCACGCGGTCTCCTCCACAATTGGCGGACCTTATAAATTCGTCGACGCAACCGCTCCTCTCGGAAACTGGTCTCAGGATTTCGGACTATTCACTGACTACAAAGACGGCCGCTCTTACGCGCTCTACTCGAACGGTGATTCGAAAGACGGACGCGACGTGTATATCACAAGTATGAACAAGAATCTCACAGGACTGGAGGAGACCATCTACCGGTTCCCGAAATACGACCTTGAGGCGCCGACGATCATGCAGACGGATAAGAGCTACTGGGCTCTTATGAGTCATAAGACTGGATACAGGCCAAATAGTGAGATTGATTAATCACTTTAGTCAGAAATTTTAAGCTAATTATCACAGATGTGGTCGCGTTCCGAGCAGACTCACTCAGCGGTCCGTGGTCCCAGCCGTTTATTGTTTCGCCACTGAACACGAGGACATTCAACTCGCAGTCTGGATTCACGCTCAGAATCAAGGGATCGAAAAAGACGACATATCTGTATATCGGAGACCAGTGGGACTCGAATTCTGTCTGGGACAGTCGGTATATCTGGCTTCCTATCCAGACCGATGAGTCGAAGAAGACCCTGGAACTGGAATGGCACGATGTTTATGATCTGAATGTGTAGGTGCTGCCATTTGTGTCCACATAGTGCACCGACTGCCTTGGACATTTGAACGAAACATTGACAAAGTCTAGGAAAACTGGAGAATGGAAACCCATCAAGGGGAAGACATACGGCGCGAAACAGGCACTAACACACGGTGATGCATACAAGCAGGAGGCTGTGAGTATACAACCTACAGCTTTTTACCACCGCAGATACCAGATTAATGTTCCTAACCGGTCAACAGAACTTCGCCACGGACGGCATGATCCTCACCGGCATCTCCGGCAACGAAAGCACAGTAACCTTCACAGGCATCGAGGGTACCGGAAAACCACAATTGGTTTCATTCTACTACCAAAGTAAGCTGAAAATCCCACAATAGACCTTCCTTACCTCTTATTTTAACAATACCAGACACCGACGACATGGGCTTCGGCGACCAACGTAAGTGCCTCCCTGTTTCTCCCCTTACTGCAACTCCTTAGCAAGTACCCCGTTTCTAATTCCCGAATAGCAGGCGGAACCCCCGACCGAATCGGCGGAGCATGGCAGCTACGTCGGATCAGCAGCGTCGTGGTCAATGGCGATCCCGCGAGCATGCAGACTCTGTACCAGCGGGATACGCATAAGGGGATAATTCTGTCTACGCCGTTGCAGCTGACGCTGGAGAAGGGGAGGAAGAATACGATTACGATTGGGGGTCTTGATAATGGGTTTGGTGTTCGGGGCGCGGATTTGGATCGGATTGTTGTGTATCCTTCTGAGAAGTAGTTGGATCATTATGATGGGAGGGCTGTTGGGGAATGGTGAGTATATATGACCGTGGAAGGGAAGAGGAAGACAGAGCTCCAGCTGGATGGCGATGGGATAACCTATTCAATCCACTAGACGCCGATATATGTACCTCGGTTGTGCCGGGATCCATAAGACCGGTAAAGATTTCGACCATCGCCAAAAGCTCCAGCTTGAAGCAGCGAATATAGATCTACACTAGGTGGCGAGAGAACAGCTTGAAACGTGCACAATCCAGGAATACATATACGATTCAAGAACGGTAGGAGTACAGCATCACTGGGCAGTTACCTCTCACCTACTTCCTATAACAAGAAACCTAGGTAAAGCGCGCAGATACACGAGCACAAAGTGAAAAAAAAGCCATAAAGACAAATAAATTGAACCAAACCGATCGCAAGTGAGAATCAATTGCAATGTTCAGGCTATCATAAGCATGCAGAACCCTTCCATGCACATCTCAACCTCACAAAGTGATACCAGAAACAATCAAGACAAAAATTCAAACCAGGAAACCTGGCCACGCTGCCAGGCTCCGTGCTATCCCAGAGACGCTCGAAAGACAAACCCAAGCAAATAACAACAAAGAGAAAGAAAAGACTGATAGACAAAACACATCAGATTTCACACCCACCGTGGCAGGAAACATGAACCATAAGAACGCCTTGCGTAATTTCACACACGAATAGCATGTGGCAAGTAACAGAAACAGGAATGAAATAAAGTCAGGAAGACAGGAAGACAGAAAGACAGAAAGACAGAAAGACAAGGTCGCGCGCACTGGGTATAGGTGATAATCAATCTTCGTGATCCGGTTCGTTTCTGGGCTGTGCCCAGAATCAGAACCAGGACCAGGAGTGGAAATCGGTTGATGGAGCTCGAATTGCAGGTTTCGGCGCTGGTCGGATATTGAAAGACCTTTGCAAATTCCACGTTTCAAGCCGCCGGCAATCGTAGAGAGAAAAGAAACAGAAACAGAAACAGAAATGGTCGTACAGTACGTAAGACGTAACAGACGGGTAAGTCGTGAGGAGTAATAATACAATGAAGTGAGGCGGTTGGTGTGGCCGCTGTTTTGTAGAAAATGACCGAAGAAGAGACCGGACAGAGTGAACGACACTCGGGCTGACTCTATCGGCCGAATTGAGACCAGACGGTGCTCAGCCAGCCAGCAGGAATGCCGATCTCCGAAGGCGCGAGCATGGATAGCTGGGTCCATTCGCATCCATCTAGGAAAGAAATCACGTCGTCTCCGCTGAGGCTGGTGGATAGCAGGGTGGAGTCTGGGCCGTCGGTTGAGGTCAAAGGCGGGGGAGGGAGCCAGTTGAGCGACAGACCCCGGTGGGGGGAGGACTGGGATATTGTGGGAGGTAGCCGCGTTGATGGGAGGCAGGGATTGGGAGTATGGAGGGGGATGAGGAGCCTGCGGGCGGGCCTGGTGCCAGGTGTTGATCGGGTTGAGGCGATTGCTTGTTGCCGTGAGGTACTGGGATGGGGACTGCGTGGTTGCAGATAGGGAGGGGAGTCCGCTGGGTGATGAGGTGGTGTAGATGGGACCGTCTGGATGATGTTGCTGGAGAGATGGTAGAGAGTAAGGCGATCCTGACGGCATTGGGCGGCTGTTGGGAAGTGGCAGGCTGGGACGGCGATCGCCTTCGTGTCCGGGGAGTGGCAGACCTGAGCTGTTGACGGGCACCCACGACTCACGGCGACCACTGGCGCCGTCGAGCATCTGGTCACCGGGATCACCGGTTTCGCTCCGGACGGCATTGCTTCCGGCGTCGCTAAGGTTCGTGCGCTCGTACATGGACTCGCTCGCTCCTGGTACTGCGATGCTATCCTCGTCCATTCCTGGCTCCGCCAATTGATCCTCGATACTTCCGAAATCGAGGAATAGCTTCTCAAGCACCTTGAATTCCTCCAGACCACCGCCGACAGCGCCTTCGCGGAAAGAGCGAATACCGTTAGAAGAAGCATGGTCAGAGGCATCTGACATGCTATCCAAGCGATTCCGTGAAAGTCGACGGTAATCACGCTTCACTTTGGTGAAATAGCTGTGAAGACGGTTCAGGGTGCGGAACCAGCCCACAGCCATTCTGAGACGGGGTCGCATCTCGCGCATAATATCTAGAGCTTTGCGTGCCTGCGCGGTACCCAGCTGATGGCTATCATGGCTCGCAGGAGGTGGCTTGGTTCCCAACAGTCCATCCGGATCCATGTGTGAGAAATGCGTTCCGTAAATACTGATGAAGGCGGCGTTGTAGATGGCAAATCCAACCAAAGGGTTCTCAACGAGAGCACCACGGGCTTGACAGGTAACCACAAGGTCGATCATCTGGCGCGCGGCCTTGAAGAGCTCACGAGCACTATCCCGCCAGAAACCCTCCGGGGGGCCATTAGCCTTGTCAGTAGGGAACAATGGCTCGTCCAAGGGACCGATAGGCTCATTGCAGCGGAGAGGCAGGAATGGAATGTAGGCTCGGTGCAGAACAATCACCGATAGGAAGTAGACAACGTGCATCACAGTATATGAAGCCAACGTGGTCTTGTACATGATATGCGTGTCGGTGTTTCGTAGGGAGTATTGCAAGTTGCGGGAAAGACTATCCTGGAACTCGTTCAGCCGCAAGCGAAGCGAGGCAAAACGAGATTCGGGATGCCAGGGGGGATATTGCTCGGTGCGTCGTCCTCCGGCACAAGACCATTGAGCGATGCTCCCCCAAATACGAATGATACGGATGACTCGGCTGAGCACCGACTCCTCCGCACCAACCTCCCATCGATCAATATCATCCTCACTCGAGTCCTTGCGACGCGAGACAGGCGACCAAGACATCCCATCTGCGCCGTTCGAGGTTGTGGGTTTTTCATCACCAAACCCGCCAATGCTTTGACGAATGCCCGGGATTTGCATGCCTTGGGAGCCAAAGCTCTGTGGGCGCCGAACGGTTGGCTCACTGAGTCGCGCCGTTCGTACCCGCTCGCCGAAAGCGAAAGCGTTGTCGCTGGGGAGCTGGATACCGAGTTCCTTGACCTGGATCATCCGGGGGCGGTATTTTCCACTGCTAAAGCATCGATCAAGAATGAAGCAAGCCCAGAATGTCCGGCGCTTGGTCTCTTGCGCAATTACATCATCAGAAGTTGGCTCACGGGGCTCTACACGACGGGGCACGCCGAAATGATCGGCCTCTGTCTTCAAACCAGGGGATGAGCGCGAAGGATCCCGTGCTGGAAGCTCATTTTCGAGTTCAAATGGCAGGCCCATCGCCTGCGCGAGCCGGATTGCCATTCCGACATACACCCAAGCGCTCTTTCCTCGGCACATCCCCCATTCATGCAATGCCAGCATCAACAGCGCCTGTACGCGCGCAAGATCCGGCTGCGCGAGACTTGCGCCATCCAAACCGGCCAGCCGGCTGCGGAGGGCTGCCGCATAATACTCCGACGCGGCGAGAGGATTCGAAGAGTGACTTGGAGACGCTGGCGAGTGGGCCGCAGCCAACGGAGGGTGGAACCGAGCCGTCAGCGCCAGTACGCCCAAGGGTATCAAGGAAGAGGACGGGTCTGTCTTGTGGATATGGTTTCGAGGATCCTGTCCATCGTGAGTCGCGGGTGGTGCGGGGGGAGACGAGAGCTGTCGAATTTGGCCGAGGAATGTCGCGGGATGTAGGAAGGGTAGTAGGGTCGCGAAATGCGATTGGAAGAGGTCAAAGACGGCCTCCCAAACTTTCGTCGTGAGTATCGAGGAATCCAACACATCCACGCCAAGCTTCGAGCCAGCCGCTGAGCCGGGGATCCCCGACACTTTACGCGATCGATGTCGTTTCGGTCCGTCCCAGTCGCCATTCCGATCCTCGCCTTCTGCCAGAGCTGCCAGATCTCGTTTGGCGCCGCTCACTCCGATTGCTGGGGTTGGGTAGACACATTCACGGCCGGATGACTCGCACGCGCGACAGGTGGTGTCAATTCCGGCATTGACACATTTGATTTTACTGCGCCGGCATCGAGCGCAAGCGATGCTGGACCGCATGATGTATTGGGCAGACCCGAGGTCTGGACTTGCGGCGAATCGATTTGTTTCAATCGCGATTCTCCCATTTACCGTCGGGATAGGATGAGCTGTCGGTTTCCCTTCCTCTTCCTGTTTGCGGGGGGCAGAACCTCGGGGGATTAGGCGAAGCACTAGAGGTACTGCGAACTTCCCTCGGCTTCCGTATCGTCAGCATTGCATACGCCGAACGGCAAGAGGTTCAGGCTTACCGAATATATATCGACAAAGGAGTGCGATAGTTGTTTCTAACCTGGCAGCCGCTCTGTCCACGAAGTACGTCAAGAAAGGAAAGGTTCAAGGAAGAAGAAGAATGAACGCGGAATTGGCGGAGTGTGGGGGAAACTCAAAGGGTCGGGGCACCGGACCGGGAGAAACACAAGTCGGGAGGGAACGGGGGAGATGCCTCGACCGGGAAAAATGGGAAAATGTGAAAATAACCAGTCATTTCACGTTACGGATTTTATGGGAATTTACGAAATAAAAAAGGTAAATTTTCAAAATTAGAGAAAATGGGGCCGAAACTCAGAGCCGCTGGAAGAATTGCGGAGGGCCCAAAGTATGCAAGGACGCGCTTCTTCCTGGAGGTGGAGTCCCCCCAGTTTCCCGGCTGCCGAGCTACGTAGTTGGGATAGGTATTTTACCCTACTCCGTATTTTGCATGAGGAAATTGGATTATTACTAGTATAAAATGTATAAAATGTACAAGATAATAGCTAGACTACTCTTGTTCTCCTCAAACAAATTGTACCTCCTACTTTCCCCAATATTTTATGAATATTTACGGTAAATACCCCTCGGGTCGGGAAATGACAGTTAACCGACCTGGGGCCTGAGCGGACTAAATAGGGAATCAACCCTATCCACCCCATTCTTCTGGTCCCATGATCGTCATCTCGCATCTCTACCCGACTCGGGTTCAGCTCACGGTCCGAAAAGAATAAAACTAGGTGGAACAGATGCAATAAATCTGGGCTGTCAGGTAGGTCATTGTCTTTTCCACTGGCCCAGATTCAGATTCAAGATCACTCAAACTGGCTGTAATGACAATCTCCATCCACTCGCCGGCCGACCGTCCTCCGGCCACTTTCCGGCATTTTTTGCCTGCGACCCGGGGCCGTGAAAGATAGTCCAACAGTCAAATCTGGGGGAATCGGTGGAATTTGGGGAACACCATCTCAATCCTGGTTCCATGGCTGTCTTGGTCTGGAAGGGACATGGATAAGGACCTAGGTAAATGTACCCTGGCCTAACTACCCCAGACATAGTTAGTACCTAGGCAAGATCAAGGTCTACCCCATGTTGGCAGCTGATGTCCGATCGGCACCTGTCTGGGAGATTCATTACATCGTCTCTTCCCGCCTCGGGAATACCAGAATGGGTAAGCGGGAGAATGGAGAAATAAATCAGACATCCTGGAAGGGAGTGCCCAGACGTGGGCGTTCTCGGAGAGTACAGCGAGAAAACATCCATGGAGAGTCGTACCATTCACGGGGTAGCGAGATAGAACGGAAACCCGAAAGGACTCCACCAGCAGTCGGACCATAAGGGTGCTTTCCACATGGGCTCTCTCCAAGAGGGGTATTTCGGGCCATTTGGATTCCTCGGGTAGACTAATGCTTTCCCCCAGAACATGGATGTACCAGCCATCCGCCCAACCTATTGGGAGGATCAGACCCGGGGAGGGGGGGCCGCCAAGTGAGGCGCATCCAATCGAGAGTCTACCTGACCACGGTACCCCCGGTCGGAGCTCCCCGCAAAGAAGCGAGATCCCAGATCCTCACGGGAGTCAAGTTACATGGACAGGTCGCTTACCCTGGACCTTACAATGATTGGTCTCTGCCGTGACGATGACTCCCCACCATATTTGACGGGTCTCCGTGTGACGCTCCGACACTGACATTGGGGTTGAGATTTTTTCCTATTATGTATGCTGTTAATTCCAATGTTGCCACCCAAGAGGTTAGAACAATCGGGGGTTCAGTTCGCTCAGTTCGCTCAGTCCGCTCGGCAGAGGGTGGGAATGAGAGAGGTCGTCCCGGAAGAATACGCTTCTTTCACGGGGATGGCAAATTGGACTGACTCGACCATATTATCCGCTTCTATCCTCCAGCTCCCAGATCCTAGATTGGTCCGCACGGTTGTACGGTGCAAACGACCCTAGGCCGACTGCATTGGCGATCATATTGGTTTCACTCCCTTACGGTGTCCTGCATTCCGAGGTTATACACATGCTTTCAAGCCCAGATGTCACAATTTCGGGAAAAGCCATACACCGAGTTTTGTCCCCATGGTCACATCTCGGCTCTGTCCGATGTAGCGATTGGCCCGCAACCTCCGAGGTCGACACCCCGGATAACCCCGCATTATTATCTGTTAGGTAAATCAGAGTGGGTTTGCTTTGGGAGTTTTCGTCGGTGACGTTGAGGGTTATTGGTATGTAGTACTACTCCGTATTGTACCTAGGCTCAGGGCACCAATGGTCATGTGCCCGTTGGCTACTACTTAGTACTTACCACATGTTCTACGTCTCTACCTCCTCTAAATCTCCGGGTTCTTGACTTTCAGTACTGCGTATGGCGAAAAGACGGGTAAGCATGAAAGAGGAAATTCAAGTAGCTGAGTTTCCCATGAACATCGGGAAACATCCGCCACCGGAGTATTTCAGCAGATACTCCTTGGTTTTCCACCGAGGATCCCTTCCATATGTCCCAATTCCTTAGCGAAGTTGGCTCTCTATCCACATTTAGACAGGATTCCCCTCCCAGCCGGCACGATTAATAAAAAAAACGTCCTTCTTTGCCCATTCTTTGTTAGACATTCCCACCCCCCAACTTCTGTATCTCCGTATAATATTCTGATCAGACATCCCGTGCCGCGCTTCGGATTCCCGCTATTCGGTTATGCTAATACGGTGGAATCCATAAACACGAATTATCAGACAAGCCTCGATGGACTCAAGTAGCAGCTGGCAATGGCATAATCACCGTTGAAAGCCGACCGTCGGAATTGGCCGTTCCTTTTTTCCCCCTTGGATTATTTCGCCTCACCATTCAGGGCACGGAGTTGGTGCCGACCCCATTTGATTTAGATTCACGTGGCACTCGGCTTCATACTGACACAGATAATTCAATCAAATAAGCTCTGCTCCTGCCCACTACCTACGATGCACAAGCTGTATAATCCATTAACAATCCAATCCAACCCTCAAGTTCAGACAGAAACCCCCACGAAAAACGGGTATTGTCCACTTGAAAATTGAAAAAAAAAATCGCACCAACCCAGGAACACCCTCCCCACATCGGCTCGGCGAAAACACCGGGGGGATACCGAGTCTGCCGAGTCCGGATCTGGACGTCAATTCCTTTAGCCCTTCCCGGGGCAATCCCGGGTTAATATTACCGGGCCCTGGAATGTTACCATAGTGTCCTTCTACATTAGCATAATTAGGAATCTGCTAGTCCGCGTTTAACCTGGACAGGGCTGCGTGTGCTCACTCTAGGATCGGGGATTTACATCCCGGGAGAGGGCTGGCATTTCCGCCGGGGAAGTGCAGATACCGGATTAGTCAGCATTTTTCATCTTTAGGCTGATCTGGGTACAGGGATCTGGGGAACGGCATTGGAAAATTGTGCCGGCTATTCTTGCTGGTTTTGGATAGAGGATTGCTCAGATCTTGATGCTATCCATCCACATTTTAGGAAGGTATGAGAGAGAGGCCAGGGAAAAAGTTATAGACATGGAAAGCACCGTCAAAATGGGTATATTATGAGCGATCATGATACGATGTATAATCCGAGAAGTAGCAGCAGAGAAACATGATACAGAGAATGGAAGTTAGTGGGCAATGAAACGCCCCAGGATCGGGGGTTGTAGGTTAGGAAGGTGGATGGGTATCGTCGACGAGGACCCAACTCGTTGATCATAATGAGAGAGGATTAAATGAAGAACCTATGTCACTGCGGTTAGTCGTCATAACTTCAATGTTTTCAATCAACTGTAGTGTCCACGTACCAAGCCGCAATGGCGACAATCAGATACATCATCATCAACAGTACTCCCTCGAGCCAGTGAGATTTGCCATCACCGATGAGATAGTTCACCTAGACATCAATCAGTATAGGCACATAATATAGACCATTCTCATGAGCAACTCCGCTTACCAAAAGCACAGACATGAAGAGAACAATCACTTGGAAGCCATCGAAGTTGAGAGTCTATCGCAGTCAGTCAGTATCAGCCCCAATCCCTTGAATAATGCACGTCAAGGCTTGCACATACCATATCTTCAACACCAATGATCCACCCAAGCACAATAATCAACGGCAGCACAAGCAGCGCAATCTGCATACTCGATCCGACAGCAACACCAATCGAAAGATCCATCTTATCCTTGATAGCGACCGTCACAGCGGTAGCGTGCTCGGCCGCATTACCAACAATCGGCAGCAGGATCAACCCGACGAACGTCTCGCCAATGTTACCGGTAGCAGTCAAAGCATCGATGGATTCAACCATGAACTCAGCGCAGGCAGCAACAAAGGCGGTCGAGATGATCAGCGTAAGGATAGCAGTTGGGACAGACAACTGCGGCTCCTCGCCCTCATCCTCGGAATCTTCCATCTGCATGTGCTCTGGATTTGAACCGACGAGCGGCGTAGCGGTCATTTTACCGATCTGTGCGATGCCGCGGCTGGCGTCGCCTTCGGTAACCTTTACACGGCGCCGTTCGACTTTCTGGCTGGGTCGGTTGTACATGTCGGCGTGCGACTTCAGCTGGAAGAAGAGATAGCAGCCGTAGACGATTAGGAGGAGGACGCTGGTGCCTGTCGTGCGGGGTTAGAAAAAGAACGAGTAGAGGTAGGAAGGACTTGAGAAGTAACATACCACGAGAGAGAGCGGCGGTTCCATCTGTCTTTTCAACTAGAGGGCGAGGCTTGGGTCAGTCTCTTGGGTTCAAAGGGATGGTCAGGGATGAGGTTGGGACTGACGATTAGACCACCGGTGGTACGCAGTAGGAATGATCAAACTGCTGACTGCCAATGCCAGCATACTCGCAGCTGTCTGGGCAACGGTTACGTTGAAGTGCTGCTCCACGCGATCGATACCGCCCAAGAAGAAGCACATGCCTAGGACCAGGAGCAGGTTGGATAAGATACTCCCGATAAGCGAAGTCTGCACGATGAGAGTTTTGCGTTGAACCAGGGCGATGATTGCGACGATCAGCTCGACGGCGTTACTAGAGGAGTTAGAACAGGCGTTGTCGGGGGAGATAGAAGGTAATGTAATACATACCCAAAAGAAGCATTCAGCAGACCACCGATCGTTTCACCCGTGCTGGAAGAAAAGTGAGAATTCATCCAAAGGATCAAGATACATTAAATCATACCGAAGGGCAATCTCTTCCGTTGCGAAACTGAGCATAGCGGCGAGGGGACTGTTCATTTGTAATTAGCCATCGAGTTCAACAAGACCAGCACCTCATTGCAAGACGCTTACATGATAGCAATGAAGTTGACCACAAACACTACAATCGGATTCACCTTAGCGGCCCACAGCGCAACTGTACGTGATTAAAGTCAGCACATGTCCATGATATCAAATCGAGAAGAGAGAATAACATACTTCCAACAGGCGCAGCGATCAAAAGGACATTGATCCACGAGTTCAGCAGAGTGGCCCTTAGCTGCGACGCAAAAGTAAATTTCGGTTCCGAATGTGACTTCTTATCCCACTCCTCGTTATCGTCGCGATGTCTGAACTTGCCCAAGATCCCACCCTTCCGCTGACGCGTTTGCGAGCCAACAGTCTCGCTATCAGCCCCGCGCGGCGTGGAAACATTGATAGGGTCCTGGCTAGCCATGGACGGTTCAAACGGCGTCCTGGGTGTCCCAAGATCGCCGCCAGCACCATCTAGCGGGAAAGTGCTCGCGTGCTCGGGGCTATCGACTCCGCTGGCCATGTCCCGTTGGCGGTGCTGGTCTTCTGATAGACTGAGGTCACCTAGACTTCGAGTAGCTAGTCCACTCTCGAGTCGAATTGAGTCCGATCGGTTGAGTCTTTTTGAGGCTTTCTTGTCAGACCGTGCTGACTGGTGGGCATATCTGCGGATTCTATCTGTTCGTGGTCTCAGTACAGTGACCAGATGATGGAATGAGTGATGAGGTCGGACTTACGCATGTTGGTGATGAAACAATATTAAGTGCTGTGGAGATGGAGTTAGGTGCATGGTCTTTCAAGTGATATTTAAACAAAACGGAAAAGCCAACGGTATAACAAAGCAACAGCGGTTAGGAGTAAGAAAGGCTGCGATGCTCAATTCCATCCAATTGGTTTGAGCCACGCGTGGTGTGGCTTGGGCTTAGGCAGATAGCATATGAGAAGGGGCTATGAGAAGAAAGACATACCCGCTAGTGAGACTCCAAAAATAAGGCACCACGGGAAAGTGAAGAGTCGAAGCGTATAGTGTATGAAGTTTGAGCGTTGAACGGGGATGAGCCTCAGTTACAGCCACAGAGGATGAAGGATGGACCCGCGATGTTTTAAGGGGACTCGAATAATGACACGCGCACAGCAGGGGGACGGTGAGAGAGAAATTCGCGCCTAAGCAAGGGGTAGATGGAAACCAACAAGTATCAAACGAGCGACAATTCCCACGCGTGGAGGACGAGGAGAAGAACAAAAGAGCGACAATGGACTGAAGGGATAGAATTTGGATGGTTAATTTCCTGAATTTCCTTAGAAGAGTGAACTTCGCGACGAGTACTCAGCCACAATAATGGAACTAGGTGGTCGGGGCGATCGCGGTAGTGCGGATTGTGGATTAAGAGCTTGGCGTGAAGAATGGGAAGGGCACTGAGATCCGAGACAGATAGTTATGTTGATTCTGTTGTGAGTGGGAAGTTAGCAAGGACCAGGATGCAATATATTTGTTTCACGCCCAGTCAAGTTGGCAGTTTGCGCCATACTGCATACTTCGTCGATGCCCTGACGTCGTTGGAAACACGAAACACTAAAGGCGCTCAACCTTGGAACCGACCGAAAGTTTCCGAGGCGAAGCTTTCTTGCTTTGTGCTTGGTTTGCTTGAATTGTGCGTTGCTTGGCATAGACTTGTCTTGGGAACACCCTCAGCAAGACCCCAAATTGTACAGTAACACTGCATGAAGATCGTATTGGATTTATTGGGCATTGCTGCAGATGTTGACGTAGCAGTAAAGCCATGGCGGGACAATGGCCACGATATGAATGGGGGAAGAGTGTCCAGAACCATTCTAGGGTGACCCGCTCTTGGCATGTTTTTGATCAATCAAAGCTCGAGAAGCGGGCCTTCACAAGCTTAGCGCGTGGTCAACCCCTTTTATTCTCTTTCCGCCAAGTCTTTGAGTCAAGAGTAAGACGCATTGCAAAACGGTCACGTGCTGGTGTCGTGGCTGGTCGTCGCTGGCTGAGACCAGGTAACGTTAGGCGCCTCGAAGGACGAGAGACCCGTGGCCTCATGCCTCCAAGGAGGCACTATTAGACCGGAGACCCGTGATTAGACACAGCAGTGTCTATATTGACACCGTTATAGACAGGCTCTTGTGATGAGGCCATGATGAGGCGGGCTTCGGGCAGGTATCCGTCCACGTCGGTGGCTTAGGCTCTTTGGCCCCTGCAAAAGTGAATGGTCATCATCTCGAGAGAAGACGTGCGTCCGGAAATCATAAACGCGCATCTGCCTGGCCAACGTAGTTGGTTGTCGTTGCGCAAGTCAGTTCACGGGCCCTTTTGTGGTGATTGGCGCGCTCGGGCTATATAACAGCCCGGTCAAGTAGGATGGAATGAAACACCAAGAGCGCCAAAAATGAGAGCAGAGTCTTCTTCACAGAGTTGTGGAAGACGAATGACGATGGAAGGATGCAGCCCTGTCGCATTCTAGCCCGTGGATGACCCACTGCGGCTCAAATCATTGCTGCCTTGCGATTGCCTAAGCCACATAGAGGCTGACTTCGAGTCCCTACAACATATGTTCATGGTCAATTTCATATCCGTGTTCTTGTGCCTGAAAGATTCTAAACCTAGGAGCGAAACATCAAGGGTGAGTTTGGATGCGGTACGGATAAAGTCTTGGGTTCTTTGCTCTCCAGCTGAGGCGTATGGGTATGAGGCGGTTGCGTTGTCTGTTAGATGTTTACGTATATAACGACCTAGCCAGTCCAGAATGACAACTGATGATATGAATCCATTCTCCGTTGGGAGTCGTGCAAAACTTATGAGCGTTTGTAGACAAATTGACTCTCCGCTAAGGCCATGCAGCCTCCGCGAGTCTCGTTCGTAGACAAGGTAGAACAATCTGCAGCCTATACCTCGCGAAAAAGACCCCGTGTGATGCCAATAATCGCCTCAGCAACCATATCGCATCGCACGATCCAAAAGTCAGCTCAGAGGCTTAGCTACACACAAATGACCCGTGGGCATGTAGGCAATATACTGACCCCGTAGATATTGATCAAAATCCCCTTAACCCTCTCATCTTCTTCAGAATCCCAAGGGTCTTCGACAAAGTCTCTGTCGTCGCCGCACCCCAACATCCAAGGTATTTGTACACTCCCCCCAAACAAACTAATCAGATCATTCGTCGCCATCGCAAGCCCAGTCCCGTCAACAATATTCCCAATATTCCCATCAAACAGCACATACCTAAGAAAGCCTCAACTTCGAAGCCTGATGCTCCTCCTCTTCCTCCGGCGACCGTTCCTCCAACCTGAACATATCCTCCTGTCTCCACTGCGCCACATTACCAAACTCGAATTTGAATCCAGACAGACGAACATCCCCATATCCCCTTTGCTCCAGCCGCCCAGTCTTGTCGGCTACCGCTCGTGTGTTCGCTTGGAAGTACAATGAATCTGGCATTGCACTCCTAATAGACGCCATCATTTTTCTTCTTCTTCTTCTTCTTCCTCGCCTAGTGCCATTGGACCGACTGTCTGAAACTGGCCCAAAAGACCGGTCTTGACCATGAATTCGGCCACAATCGTGCGGGCCTCCGGCCGTGTCAGGAGTTCGTCTCGATGGAGAGTGTTTCCTTTGTCGGAGAGAGCGCATCTCATCCAGCCTCGCTCGTCCAGGTGCACGGGACACTTTACCAGGACGCGTGTTATTGTTTGGTTGTCAAGATCGCAATCACACCGCGCTATTTCACGTCGGTTGATACGATGTAAGTAAACCCCTAGGCCAACTCGCCCAGTTCTGAGCTGCATCGGAATCCATGCCGTCGCTTTGCGCAAGCCTAACCAGTATTCCAGGGTCTTCTTTGTCAGTATCTCAATTAGGCGTTTTGTCGATCGACTCGTCGTCTCCTTCGCCCACATCATCAGTTCATCACTCACTCCAACTTCGTTTCGCTGCGAATTCAATCGGACAATGCGCAAGGATAGAGTTGTTGGGGACCTCCTCCTGGAGCTGATAAATCCTCACCTTTGCAGCCGAGCAATAACACAAGCCGGTCTTGAACGCACTGCAAATGACGACCTGCTCACGCCAAGCACGGACATAGGCTTCCAGGGTGTCAAACTGGCAACGGGGCATTCTCCGGAGTACGAGCAGATAACCGGTTTGCTGGAGGTCACAATTGGAGGTCGTTGAAATAATACCTGCATACGTGGCGTCATCGCTCTTGCCCCTGGCAATCACAGCGTGACTGTTCTCTTCTTCTTATGCTGGCTGTACCACATCAGAAACACGAACTGCGGTTGGCCCAGATGGGTAGATCTGCTGTGAACATTGTACCTGGGGAATGGTTAGGGTCTGCAAGTGCCTATTTCTTGTTTTTATACGAGAGGCCTGCTGGCAGCCAGTTCCCGTGCTTTGATGCTAGACCAGGCACTATCCAGTATAACGATGCAGTATCGATGAAGTGAACTATACATGCGTTGTTGTATGCAAGATCTTGTTGATTTGGGCTTGCTTGGTACCTTTTACTCAGCTGTGGTACAGCGAGCATAAGAAGAAGAAAGCACTTCAAACACCTAGCTAACGCGATCCTTCACAAGTGTGTTGTCTTCTCATCCCGGCTGTCACGATGGCGGTCAATGGATACTATTTGGTCTTCATACTTTCTCGTTTCCTTTCCCGCCTTTCGTCCAACTTTGCCATTATCCTACTCACCTCCTTTCCTTCGAACCGTTTCTCCAAACGTGCCTTACATCATGGCCTGGAGCGGACTCAAGCCACGAACTTCCCTTCGACACATCACTCTACCTCAAGTCAGCGACCTTGGGGATCTCTTCAACTGGCAACGCAATATCGAGACAACCCTTCAGCACTTCGGTCTGGTGCAACTCATTTCCCAGCAACTCAAGGGACCAGGTGCCGATCATCCCGACGTTGACAAATGGGGCCAGTGGTCCGTTATCGTGCCCCAATGGCTCCTGAATACTATCTGTAGTATTGAGCCCGAGCTCCTCCTATCGTTGAAGAGATATGCGCAGATTCTTATCTATGCGGACGCCTCGTGTACAGGTATCATTTCAATGACCTCCAATCACGACCTCCACCGAACTGGTCATCTGTTCGTACTCTGGAGAATGCACCGTTGCCAGTTTGACACCCTGGAAGGCTATGTCTGTGCTTAGCGTGAGCAGGTCGTCATTTGCAGTGCGTTCAAGACCGGCTTGTGTTATTGCTCGGCTGCAAAGGTGAGGATTTATCGGCTCCAGGAGGAGGTTCCTAGCAATTGTATCCTTGCGCATCGTCTGATTGCCTTGTACGATGGGGATAATGCGACCATGAATCGGGCTCAGTTCGATAAGTTTGTCGAGTCCCTGATTACTGGTGGCATGCCTTTCTAGTTTCGATTGCACGGCTGACGAGCTTACCTATGTCTCAGTTTTGAGACTATAACCGTGGTATCTAAAATGGTTTACTTCGATGAATACACAAACATCGACCATTCTCCCTTCTCTTCTATTCCCTTCACGACCTATAGCGGCGGTAGCTCGACCGTCAGTGGTCGATACGTTAGTCCTATGCCTGAACCAGACTATACCTATAAGTAGCTCAGGTGCAAATCCAATTTAATTTCTAGCTGAAAACCAGTAAAACAGATATAATGCTCTCTTGATATTGCTACTCCACATCCTCCGCAAAGCACAAATTCCTAGATATCAACTAAGCTCCTCGCCCCGAGACCCCCAGCTCAAAGATCAGTTGACTTCCGGAACCTTTACCAACTAAACATATCTAGAACTTCTTCCAGGGCCCAAACTCAGGCAGCTCGTCAGTCTTCTGACTGGCATCAGTGTCACACTCGTACTTGCAGCTGTACTCCCACTTTCCAGTAGGGAGATCAACATGCCAGCCTTGCCAGCCACGACTGGATGATTTAAAATTAGCTTTGGGTACTATGAGCCTCAATAGGATGGCAAGAAACATACGTATAGAATCCGTCAGGACGTTCAGTCTGATCATCACGGTTAGGCGACTTGCATGTGCGGCGGACATAGCCAACAACCTGAATGACTTGGTAAGATGCAACGACCTTATGACACTTCTTGTCCTCCCTAATTAGAAAGTCAGTGAGAATATTTTTTCTTCGGGTGATTTTCATCCTCACCATTGACAAAGATAATTATCACCGCTGGTGGTGCACTCAGAACCACCCTCTGACTCGGTGGCTTCCACGCCAAGGGAGATAACACCATCCGTGATACCAGCGCTAAATCCTGTGGTACTCTCCCATGTTCTGCATTCTTGCAGGGACTCGAGGTGGGTAATGGAGCAAGTCGGCGAGTTGGCGCAGTCCAGGTTGGCAGAGTTCTCCTGCCATGGTTTCCACTGGGTCTGGGCTTTGGTCACGTAGACATCGGTCCAGCATTCGCCCTTTCCTGAGGAGCCGTTGTTTCCGCAGGAATCGACGTACGAGCCCCAGCCATCATTGTCTCTATTTACTTGGGATGAGGTTTTGCCTGAGGCATCTGGGCAGTCGCCGTCGCGGCGGGCTAGATGTTCCGCAATGTCGCGGGTGGTGAGGGTGACATTGTGACTCTCTAGAGTCTCACGGACAGCGGCCGGCATGGCATTGGCAAACATTGGGAGCATGGCACATAGGGCCAGCAATGTGTTGGATGGGACCATGTTGATGATAGGGGTGGGGATATTGGTTTCCTACCTTGGTAGGATGGATTGAGTAGATAAAATTGGATTGAACTGTATGAGAAACTTGAGCTCGTCTGGACGGCCATACTTATATCGTTCATGCCAAGCGATCACGATTATATTCGAAGTATCTTTCGGTTCATTCGGGGCCGTTTTCTCGCTCAGCCCCTTCTTGTCGAGTGTGAATTGACACTGATCGACAATGAATAAGTTCAATGAACATCCAAAAGGTGTTGACGTTCGTGCTTCTGATGGGATAACTATTTTTGGAATATCATGAACTTCATATGCGGATTTCTTGGCTGCTGTTTATGACGTAGGGCACTTCAAGGTGGCCCCTGCCAAGACTCAAAGCGTGTACTGTGTAGCACTTGATCTACATAGGACTCCATACATTGCGGGTCTACCTAAGACTTCTTCTGATGATTTCGAGGCGCGTAAAGCTCCGAGTGATGGTGCCGAACTAAGCGACAAAAACAACTTATAGGGACATCAACAGCTCAGAGCCGGATGAGAGCAGGTCCCATGCATGGCTGTAGAGAATGCCGAAAGGAAATTGAGAAGGCAGTAGTCGGTGCATCTATAAGACTATACCTAATAATACCAGGTTGACAAAGATATGTCTGTCAATCAGTAAATAGAGATTGGGTACTTTCCGATGAACTATGCAGAGTGAACTTTTAGAGATCATCACGATCGTGCCGTGTCAGCCTCGTCTTAATCGGGTTAGCTATGTGGGGCTGCGGGTGTGGCTGTGGGGTAGCGACCCGTGCACTCGGGACCCTGTCTGAAATGGGGCCAAATCAAAACCTTACTGGGCTCACAGCCCTGGAGCGCATGGAAATACCCAAATAGGTATTGCACTGGCACAAGATGGCTGATCAGAGGTATTTATTAGAACTACTGAATTGATATGCCAAGACTGACCAACGGCTCACCCAATATTTGGAAGACGAATAGCTGCCATACTGGACTTCGATCCTGTGCACTGGTCAATTTGCCAGCGTAAAGGCAAGCCAACCTTAAAAGCCAAAAAACCAACGACAAAATGAGCCATGATACTGGCCGAAAGAAGTGTGAAACGTGAAGTCTAAAGGGAAGCCAAGTGGACGCCTAATCCTCATGCTAATGCAAGGTACTTTGCCCGCCAAGAAGTCATATTCCATGATTCCATCAGTAATACACCATATGCGGGGAAAGTAATTCAGTACATGGATAGCACGGGGGCCAAGATAGGTTATACACCCCCAAATCCCACAGAGAAGCTCGCAACTTGGCAAACACACTATGAATTTGGCAATTAGGTATCAGGCCAGCAAATGTCTCACATGTTCTTCCATTTCTGATCACCAATTGAAACCAAGCGATTGAACAATGCGTCTCGCTCCGGGATCGCTGTGAACCTCCACGTTTTCCCTTTCTCGTCATCTATCTCCAGACTTGCTAGCAACTGCTTGTCCGACGAGGCCGCCGCCACTGACTCAACTGTCGAACTCACAAAGGCCATTGCCCTCTTCACTCGCTTCATATCCTTCACGGAAATCTCAAACACCGGCTCGATATCCTTGACGCTCCTCTGTCTTGGGTCATCGTGAGTGAATAAGAGGCTCGGGCCGGCAGACTTTCTGATGACCAACCATCCATGTTTCCCCTGGAACCGACAACTATATTGGCTGGGCCCGGTGTAAATGAGGTGTTCTGTCTTAACCATCACGCCTAAATGGCCCTTCGCAGTCTCCGATCCGGCTGCGGCCCGGACGTGATCAATTGCGAGCTTTGTCTCAACCACAGATCTGGCATTGCCCTTGAAGAACCGGACGACCCTCGAGAGATGTTTGTGCTTTGGTTTATCGGTGTCTTCTTCGTCGCCATCGGAATTTGCATGAGCACCAGGCGTCGCCGCATCAAGGATATCCGTGTGAGTGGCACCGAGAGGGATATCTTCAGCGTTAATAATGTTCTGATGATCCGTATCACTAGGATTGGATGTGGGTACAGGGGGAAGAGGCGTATTATACGCCTCGCCGATGCGGAGAAGGGTGATTGCTTTCTGGGTGTTGGTAGGAACGCCGCGAAGAAAGTTACTGTTTGTGATCAGCAAAAGACCAGGAATAGTAGGAATAAGTGACTGACTTCTTAGGCTGTACAAGCTCCTTGTAATTAGGCACGTGTCGCTTGAACCATGCAATCGCAGGTCTCAGGATTGGATCGCCAAAGATGACGAATCCAATAGCAAACCCAGTTCCCTTGTAAACCATGTAATAGTCAACAAAAAGAGAAACAAGCAAGATGGGAGCAAGGACGGCATCAATTCTGAGAAACGAGAACCGCGAAAATGGCGGTTTTGGTGAAATTGCGCTGTAAAGTTGCGTCAGTCAACGGCCTAACTGAGACAGAACCAAATGCGACCTACTTCGCAAACCTCTCCCAATTATCAGCTATTTCCCCTATCACATGTGGCAAAGTCTCAAGGACCTTGGCAATAATTTCTGGGTTAACTCCAGACCATATGATCTCCTCCATTGGCCGTTGAGTTTGGTCCATATTCTCAGTGACATGCCCAGGTGCAGAACCTGCCTCATGGACGGTCTTGAGCGCTGACCTGATAGGTTTGGGAACCTTGCCTTCCAGCGGCTCCCCTTCCCCTTGGGGACTGTCATGCATACCGAGAGCCCTTTGAATGTTGTGGCGGACGTTAGCGACAAAATTTGCTGCCTCCTCCTCGACGGCTTCACCCGGCTGTTTTTCAGGGGCGCCAGTGAGTGTCTCATTGGTACCTAGTTGACCAGCTTGGGGCTTCTGAATCCCGCCTGTTCTCATGTTCACCAGAGCACGCGGTGCCGGAGGAAAGAGGGTGGTACGAGCTCGCCTAGAAGATACCGTCGCAATCAACGTTCCAATAGCAAGTGGCACTAACATGTCAAATATCCATGCAATGAAGTATATCTTCTTTGATGTCAGTGTACTATTTCTTTGGACTTCATGACTCGAAGATGGATCAGTGGCCAACGTACCGTGCAGAACGCCGTTGTACGGCGAGTTTCCTTCCAGGAACGAAGTCGCGAGACATGCTTTGCAAAACTTGCGATACCAAGCACAACAGACAAATAAACTCGTTGTAGATTCAGAGTCACCTTGTCCGTGATGCGATCTTGAGCCCACGCATCATTGAGGTCGAGACCACTTGCAATTTCAGCAGGCACAGCTTTCACGTCGAAGACATCCTTATCAGTAGAACATTAGCGTAGCAACTAGCTTGGTTGGACGGAGAACGCCTTACCTTGTTAAAGCGTCTGATGATCGAGAAAAGCTCTCCATTGGTATAACCGCCAATCAACGGGTCCGGTATCTCAACGTTAGCCTTATGCCAACCAATATCTCTCACGAGCTCGGCATTGCCGCTGGTAGGGCTATTCGTCTGAATGGCGCCTCGGACCTCCGGTGTCTTATGCGCTAGCTCGTGGCTGTCGGCAGTGAGGTTCTTCTTAACGACTTCTGCCGGACCTTCGAGCAGTGCATAGGCTTGATCTTGCAAGGTGGGCGCTATATTGTTGTTATTATTGTTGTTGTTGCTGTGAATGTGGCTGTCTGGCAGTTTCTGATCAGTCGCCAGGGTAATGGCATCCGAAAGGCTTTCGACGCTTTCAACGGGACTGTTGTTAGTCGACATTCTGAATGCCACTTTGTAGTCAGCACGTCATTGTTGAACAAGAGAGTGTGATATGCGGCTCAAGTGCAAAACTCGCACTAAATCTACAAGCCTCGTGATCGTCACCCAGGCAGTAGTGTGAGCTTGTAGACAAACAGCAAAATCTTGCAGAGATAATCTAACGGTAACAACAAACAAATGAAACAAATCTTACTTTGCCCCATGTTTTTATCGGTGACGCTTGAGGGGCATCAGTGGCGATAACGTCATTCATAACATCAAGGCATCCATGTGCAACCCAAGCCAGGCTATGAGGTGATACATAGCAGTAGCAACCTTGGAACACAGGGCCATATCTGGCACTGTTGACTTGGACCGGTGACGTCCCACGTGAGCACACACTATCTTGGCCAGTTACAGCCGACGCCAGGAAATTCGCCCCACCTATCCCAGGTGGCTTTTCACTCTGCCAATCACGTCCAGGGGTTGTATCAGGGGATAAACAGGTACTGCGTACGGAGTACTCCGTACTGATCCTGCTACACTAGGACGGTGATGCAAGATGGAATAAATGGAAGTAATGGATTCTGCCTGATAATCTCCAAAAGCACGAAAGCCTCCATCAAAGCATGACTCGGTCGCAAGTCCCCTTCCAGCGCGGTGCAGAGCAGACATGTCACATCATTGGGCAAGTAGTGGAAATCAAGCAAGGAAACAGTGGTCAAGGCACACCAGGTTATCCATCCAAGAAGCTCGATAGAGGGGAGGGTAGAAACAGAACACAGCCATTAATTATTGTTTGACCTTGCCCAACTTGTCAATTTCCTCACGGCCTTGCGTTATGTTGACATAGTTTGCAACGATGCCCAAGCCAAAGAGAAGATCGAGAGTACGGCGCCCTGCCCCGTTAGATTGTAAATGCAGGCCGAGCGATATTGGAAATTTGTTGCACGTCTGAGGAGCGAAGGCCGATGCCAACATGACACAGACCATGAATATACTGCCCTGATAATCCTCGGATGTATCACGAGCGGTTGGGTGCTGCGGTGTCATAATACTAACAAGCAATGCCCACAGACAAGGAGCAGCAGCCTGTACACGTGAAGCCATCCCAGGTATATCCAATTGATCAACCGGCTCTTCTGCATCAAATTGACCGAGCCCGACCGCGGGACTGCCAAATTGAGAAAGCTCCGCCTGGACGTCAGCGACCAGCCGCGTTGTCATGAATTCATTGGTGCTAGCGCTCTTTGGGACCTTGCGCAGCGCAGCGAGCACTTCGTCCTGCTCGTATATTGTCTCAGATAGCTTCCGTGTCCGGGACTCGGTCTTCGCGGCATGACTCTCTTCCGGCTGTGCGGTCACTAGGTGATGTATGAAGTTCTTGAGAGACATACGATGCTGCTCATGCATCTGCTTAAGTATTAAGTCGACCCTTTCGCGATCTGATAGTCCGGGAAGATATCTCTGGGCGTCGGATGTGTCGGGAACGCGTCGGCTCGCACACGCGTTTTCGAGACATTGCAGCGAGATGTTGAAAGGTATGACGGAATATTACTATAAAGCATTAGATACGCGTAACTCACTAACGCCATTGCCAGTCATCTGAAGGCGTACCTGGTCAAAATGGTCGAGTTGGTAAGGGGCTCCCGCAACTTGCATACAAAGCGCATGTTCAGCCGCGTCAGACTTTACGGAGTAGATCAGGGAGCAATCCGATTAGGTCTAGCGTGCGATAGCCGGCAAAATATTGGATCATGTGATAAGGTCTGAAACCTGAGAGGCTGAGTAGCTCAGCCAGGATCAAGCGAGGTCACGTGATTTTAACGGCAGTACATGTTCGATAGCTCTCTCCTTTCCTTCTCTTCCTCCACTTCTCGTGCGAGACAGTCAATACATACAGGGTTTTCACTATTTATTCTCCATTTGTATCGCATCTCTGTCAAATATTGGTAGCGTTGCCTCCGCCGTTCTTAGCGCTGTCCGGTCATGTTTAAGCCAACAAGCCTTGTCTCCGAGGAATTGAGCAGAGGATTTGCATGGAAGCCCCCATTCTTCTGACAAATTGCAGTCATTTCTTTGTTAAGCTTGCACTGTCCCGGCAATCACCATTTGGGCCCAGAAATATAGCGCATAGCCCACGAAGATCTCGAGCCACCCACGGCTTTTCGGCACAGAAGATCTCCCGAACGCATTCTTCGCAACGAAAAGGTCGCTTAAAACAAACATCGCAGCTCCCAGGGCTCGCGAGTGCCACCAGTCGGTCGGAACGACCAACGGGGACGTAGAAGTAGCGGCAGCAAACATTGTGCCAATGATAACGGCATAAACAGCAACCAACGGCTTCATATCCGGAGCAATACCGAGGTCCAGTACGTTGGTGCGGAGTGAGGAATGAGGTCGGGGATATATGACACCCATCCAATTCGCGACGCCCAGAGTCCCTATAAACGTGGCGGCAAAAGTCACAAAAGAAGTCTCGCGGGAATCCTGCAGGAAAGCTATAGTGTAGGCTATATGAGCCACCGCGAAGGCAACGATGCCGAGTTGAAAGGATATGGATATTTTCTCCTGCACTTCCGGTTTGCCGGGTGTTGGGATCTTGCTGTCCAAGCCATGGAATTCACGTCGCGAAGGAATGAGGAAAAAGTCGCCTAGCATGGAGAAGCCCAAGCCGATCGTGATGAGACAGCGATAGTCGGACCACTCTGTGGATGGTAAGAGCAATGGGCTGCTAATGAAAGCGACTGAAGAGAGCATCTTGAATACCCCGGTAACCGTGTGTGATCTGGATTTCCATTCTGACAAAATCAGTAACGGCAGCGAAGCCAGCAGAAGGCACGCTGGAGTCGAAATTGACATATCCATGGGTGTGTGGAGACCTCTCAGTTACAGGATGGAGTTGAATGGGCGTTTGGATATGCGGATTATTGAAATAGGCTCTGCTGAGCCATTCATGGATGTCCATTGTAATTTGTGCCTCACATAATCAAGTAGTCTCTTGGCGTCAAGCCGAGGCATCACATTTGCTTGTGAAAGTGAGGTCGCGGATTTGTCGGCCTTCATAGTTCTTGTTTAGACAGATCACCAAATTATGCTGTACACAGTAACTATGCAAGAGCCATTCATATTTCATTTATTCATGAATTTACAACGCGTTCAAGAAATAGAATGTTTAAAGGCTTGGAGACGGCTGTCGCCTGTTGGGGCAATTCGTAGGAATAACCTTGCCAGTTGCCGGAGGGCTTGCCAGTTGACGGGAAGCTTGCTAAACACGCGCCTGGAACTCGACACTCAAAAATGGATACTATCAACTGGACAGAACATTTTTGTTGATATCTTTACTCCTCAAGTTATCGGTAGACAGATTGTCGGCCACACCCAGTTGTATCAAGTTCTGTCTGAGCCCTCCACAGACTCGATGTGCAGATCGGCCAATACTGTGGTTGGGATGCGCCCATGGACGCCTTATTGCGACAATGGTCTACGTAAAGTCGTCCTTGGTTGAATAGTTCGCTACGAGGGAAAAGTGAAGGCTGCGTTAGTGGAGGGTATGTTGTAATAAAGGTGAGGGCGCTAATAGACGGGGAAGCTCGGGTGAGAGGGCAGTGGATACGGTACGGTCGGTACCTGGCCTCGGGAGGTCCTCACTCCTCCCCTAACGTCATGGCCCACACCCAAACCAAAGTACAGTAGGAAGGGGGCATTATCACGACATAGACATGTGGGTCGAATCAACCTGTTCTCCTGTTCTAGGCCTCCTTCTTGTTCAATGCGAGTCTAAATTTTGAGTTGAATTTCAAATGGGCGTGACGTGAGTACGTGCATAAGATGGTGTTTCAATGATCGAACCACAGCTATGTAAGCTTTGGCCAGTTGCCATAGTGGAGATCGAACGTTTCTTCCCCTGATCTTCACCCCTGGGGCTGTGGAGTTCCACTGCTCCTAGTTGATATCGGGAGTCCCCTACAGGTAGATTTTGTGAATCGAACAAGCTCCCGGTGTCATCGTGGTTGAACCCCGGACATTTATTGGGGATAGCAGGGCATCACGAATTGTGAAGAAACGGCCTCGGAACGGCAGCGTACGGAGTAAGGTTGCCGACGTTCGTCGGGTCGGGGCCGCGGCGGCATCGATGATCCTCTAACTAGTGACGATAATCATCCGGTAGCGCCCGGGGCTATGGATAGTATCTTCTCCATCATAACCGATGCACCGCCGTCTTCGCTCAAACGGCACGTGTTTATCAGATATTTCTGATTCGTTGATAGTCGTTGATCGACATGATTTCTGAAGATCATGCTCCGGTTGTTTCCCCTATCTCGACCCACCCGACCGAAGTTCAGCGGTCGTCATGAATCAACCTCCATCGAATATCCATATACTGTGTAGGCTACCGAGCCTGATATATTAAATACATACTCAATCCTCCCCTCTGTCCGGTACCTACTCTGATTGCTATCAACCGCATTCAATAAATTGAAGATATACGCACGGGCAATACCAGCAATTCACTAGTCTTTTCCATCGACAAGTGACAGGAGCTTAGTTCTCCCAGCAGCCTGATCCGAAAAACTCGCGGAATTGCACCATGACCGCCACCCTGGCAACTCGGGCGCTGCTCTGGGCAGCTGTCTTGGCAGTCTTAATACCCTACTGTCTTGCATTCCGCTACAGCAAGTCTGAATATGGGGTAAGGAACGCGACGGACAAGCAGGACATTTATTCTGCGGAAGCCGATGCGATGATACAGCACGACAAAAGCGAGGAGGGAGAGGTAAGTAAGATCGATTGGCTGCCACCATGCCGTACCAGCTAACCAGTTGACACCAGGACCACGGCGACATTGACGTCCCAGATGGCGCTAGGTACACATCATTCATCGTTAATGACGAAGGCAGCGAGGAAATCCCGGGTTTCATCTCGAAGGATTTGGATGACAAGACCATCGAGCATCTCTTCATTGTTCTCCACGGGAGACTAAGGGATGGAAACGGCTACTGGAAGATGCTTAACGACGCAATCAAGCATGCCAAGGCAGACAACTTCACCGGAACGGACCGCAAAATGGCAGTGCTCGCCCCGCAGTTCTTCTCGAAAAAATACAACTCTGGTCAGTACACGAAAAGCCAGCTGGCCTGGGACGACTTGAACGCTTGGCAACCAGGTGGCCAGGCCGTACATCCCGCAAACACAACCCTCACCTCTTTCGATGTTCTGGACGGCCTCGTCAAGCTCCATTCAGACAAGGAGAGATACCCCAACTTGAAGAACGTCACCGTCGTTGGCCATGGTGGCGGTGGTCAGCTTGCCCAGCGATACTCGGCTCTGGGTAACGATCCCCCTGAGAATGTCCACGTTCGATACATCCACGGCGACCCATCTTCATGCATGTACTTCACCGAACACCGTCCTATTCTCCCAGACAGCGATTATTCCAAAGAGACCTGCGACTCCTACAATGTCTGGCGATATGGCTTTGACGAGTTTCCCGGCACGGGAGGCAAGCATCTGACGCCGAAGGAATATTTCACGCAGTACGTCAAGCGCGACATCGTCTCGATAGTGGGACTCCAGGATACGGGAAGTGCCGGTGATACCAGTTGCATGGCCAACCTGCAAGGAGGCCAGAATCGGCGAGCGCGCAACTTGATCTGGTACCGGTACATCAACACGCTTGCGCGTACGGACGAGGACTTGGAGGGATTCCCTGGTTCGTTTGAGGATCTTCCGGATTGGAGCGACACGGTGGATGGAAAGAGTCATGTGCGACTCGTTGTTGTTGAGGATGCCGCTCATGATGCGGCCAAGCTGTTCCGAGGAGATCTCGGGAGGGGGGCGCTCTTCAGTGATGATAAAATCGAGGAAGGCTGGCGCCCCAAGAAGAATGCTGGCAACTAGATGAGCGGTTATATAGAACTGAGCTGGTTTAGATACCTTCCTTCGTCAAGCGAGCCCCTTCCAAGGCTGATACCAAATAATGATAGTGAGAAATTCTGACTGGATCGACTGACTCATCCCTGTAGCGCGCTGTAAAGACTCCGGTGGTGTAGTAGGTAGCAACGCCATCATCTCCAGCTGGACTTCAATAAAGCGTCCTCTCAATTTGTCTCCGATCAATAATACAAGTAGAAGCAGTGTGAAGTAGCAACGCTGCATCAGTGAGACTACAGGTCATCGACATTGTAGTTATCAAAAGGGCAGACAAACACATATGATTAAAGCTGGATTTGCGAATAGTATATGTCCTGACACTTTGCACAATAGCTGGGGTTCATTGGGAAAAAAAACTTGAGCCAAAGAGGGTCCACTAGTAGGCACTAAGGCAACCAACCCCAATGGTTCCAACGTCGTGGCCCCGTTAATTAATATGGGGCTGCGCCTTCCCGTGAGAAGCCGCCGAGGGTTTTCGGGGAATCGGGGATATTGCATGTGTTATTCGTAGGGTCCCTTATAACCTCAGCTGCTCCCGACAAGGTCAGTCATAAATGTACAAGAGTAGAATTTGACGCGATTCTACTTTCTCGCACCTATGGCTGGCTTTGTTGACAGATTAAACAAATCACGCCTACAATTGTCTTATTTGGTATCATTGTTCTCAACGGCTATCATTACTATGTTGTTCACGAAAGCTGCCATCATGTCGATCATCTACTTCTTACCAATTTCGTTGGCGGCATATATCTCGCCTTTATCAATCGAGGGCCAGTCCGTACCGGACAGATGGTTCCACATGATTCTTGATGAGCCCGTGGCAAACACCAGCCTCAGTGTGAGTGAGACTCGCTCTGATCTTGAGAAGCGGACCCCCATCACGGCATGCGGAGCCCTTCAAGTGACCACCAACTGCCTTGTTATTGCCAACATTGTTCTTCCACTTGTCAAAAGTATTGCTGGCGGCATCAAGGAACTCTCCAACCAGCATGACTGCAGAGTGATGAGCGGCCTCATCGATGGAATCAGCTGGTCTTACCACTCTACGGGTGCACATTGCGATACCACCGCGCAGCTTGATACTATTGCCGGTGCTATCAAGAAGTATCCTGACAAGTCCGAACACTACAAGGTGTGCGGTACCCAATGTTTACGTCTAGACCATGGTGGCACCTGGAATGGATGGTTAAAGTTTGGTCCTGCCGAGGGTTTCAACAAAAATGCCTACTGCGGACCGGGGCTGTCATTCAGCGGTTGTATTTCTGGTGGCAACAACGACATCTAAACTAGTGAGTTTCAAGTTCAATGGGATGTGCCAAGTTGTCCGCGTATGTTTGGTGATACATGATGCTGATCTATGGTTTTCTTGTAACTGTAGCCTGTGCGGTGAACTTTGAAGAGTTGTAGTTGCAACAGAAACTCAAACCTAGTTCTCGGACACAAGTTGTACCGTTCCGAACTATATCGCATGCCAACTACAGCCCGAGATACAAATGACAACATCAAAATGAAAGGCGACAAATTGAGCTTATGAGATTTTTCAGGCATGTGAACTGTAGTACTGGCATCGTCACACCTGTGACCGCGGGAGGTCGAGGATCGAATTTCAAGCCTGTCTCTTAAGCACCGGGTACTTAAGTTGGACGTATGCGCACCAGCCGAGTGGTTTCGGTTTACCCTTACTGTGGTTGCAAGGAACGCCGGAAATATGTTGTATCATTCATAGACTCGGAACAAATACATGGAAAGATAGTATCTCTATCTCTGAATTGAGGGGTTTTGAGTAGCCCACCCCTTCTGAAAATCAAAGTTTCAACTCTCAAGTGTTGCTGTGTCCACGCGCCTAGGTAGTCAAGCAGAAATAGCAATATACCAGGTCATTCAGGTTCCTTTAGAGACTCAATTTAATTGAGAGTCCGTTTGTGACTCGAAAAATGCATTTGATATTGGTCAATAGGTCAATAGTCTATTACCCCAGTGAGAACCGGTACGTTTCATTTGGTCTATGTCTCTACTTTGTCCATTGTTTCCATCTTATTGTTTACTTTCATCCGTTTGAATAGGATTATTTCACAAGCCCATTTGACCATAGTACATATTGACTATTCAAACTCTGTTGTTGTGGTCCTTGTTCAATGCCAGCCATATAGCCTCATATCACGGCACCACAATAGACTCGATATCCTATACTTATGCATTGATCTGAATAGCCTCGCAATTGCAGTCACACCATAGCAGCCTAGACCTCCAGGTATGTATAAAAATACCCAAGTTTGCGCTTCATCGAATCCTTTTCCATCTCACTCTATTTTATTCCTCATACCACTTCTCTATTGCTTACCTCTCAAAACTTCTCTCGTTTCGTCGCAATTGCTATCTTGCTGGTCGAGATGGCTTTGGCTAATACCAACCTCCCGAGCTTTCGGGTGCTCTTCTCGAGCCGCGCGGACTGGCTCGCGAAACTTGCCGTTCTCGCACCTGTGGAGCCCTTCAGGTGCGAGCCATTCGACCTGACAGTCTTGGAAGGCCTCCGCTGGCTGGGACGGGGTGATGCCGTTCGTGGCGGTACAGCGCTCAGAGCGGCTGTCGCTTCTCCCCCGGCCTCTTCTCCCCCGGCCGCTTCTCCCTCTACCTCTTCTTGTACCCCGGCCGCGTCTTCTACTTTGGCTGCTTCTACCCCGGCTGCTCCTACCCCGGCTGCTCCTACCCCGGCCGCTTCTCCCTCGGTCGCTTCTCCCTCGGCCTCTTCTCCTTCGGCCTCTTCTCCTTCGGCCTCTTCTCCTTCGGCCTCTTCTCCTTCGGCCTCTTCTCCTTCGGCCCCTTCTCCCCCGGCCCGCGCAAGTCCGCAGAGGGCTGGATGTCGCCGTTTCAGGGCGGATGGGTGGGAGAGCCCGCCAAGGAAGAGAGTCCGCCAAGGAAGAGAGTCCGTCAAAACTGGCGTATTGACTGGAGAAAGGCGGTGGTTCGTAACCGATTCTCTCACTCTCTCGTGTTGCTCTCGTTCTGTCTCTCCCCTTCTGTCTCTCCCCTTCTGTCTCTCCCCTTCTGTCTCTCTCGTTCTGTCTCTCTTGTTTTGCCTGTTTTGTTTTGTTTTGTTTTGTTTCTTAGTTTCTCAGAATCCGATTCACTGTTTGATGATTCCTTCGTTTTCACTGAAACCACATGTATTCCTTAGATCGGTATAAGTATTTACTCTGTCCAGGTCGAGCCCAGGGTCAGTGCACCGGCATTTACAGTTTTACAACTACCACACGTCTATATAATAGTATTGAAACGTAATCCTGGTACATACGACCATAGGGTGTGGAAAACAGGGCTTCCCGTCCGCTCAGCCGTACTTAAGCCACACGCCGGTGAGTTAGTAGTCCGCTCAGCCGTACTTAAGCCACACGCCGGTGAGTTAGTAGTTGGGTGGGTGACCACCAGCGAATCCTCACTGTTGTATGTTTTTGTTCTTATTTTCGGGACTTTAAAAACTAAAATGAGTCCTGCGGGAGTCATAATGAAGTCAAGATATTTCTCAATAGAAGGATTTATTTATTTGCCATAGAACTGCATTGTCGTGATGTTCCTAAAACCCGTGGCCAATATCATCTGGGATGCTCACGGCTACCCCAAGCTGGTCACGCCCGTGGCGAACGTCTGCGAATAACAGGCCCGCGACCGTCCCGTCCTTAAGCAGCACAAAATATCCCGAGTTCCCACCGGGGAGCAATCCACGACCCATGTAGTACCGTGATGCCGTTGTCGGAGGAAGATGGTTTCTTCATAATTCGAGAGAAAGCCATACATACACCCCAACTCTTTCATATATCTGAAAACCTGGCCCACGAAGACTCAAAAATAAGAATTTTGGCGGAAGGGCAAGGCCGTCTGCGATAGAAAGAGCAGCTCCTCGGTTCTGGCAGTGGCGGGGGCCACGGCCCCGGCCCCAGGCCAAATTGGTGGTCGTGGAGCCCACTCCCGCGACCCCACCAAGAACCGACCCCTATTTCCATCAGTCACTATGATTATTCTGGGTTTAAATCTGTCAAGGGCTTCTTACAGCAATGTTGATCACGGGAACTCCTTGCCCGGTATTGGCGCTGCCTTCCATGGGCATGTCGCCAGTGCTCATGGGTGCGGTGGCCGCGCATACTGCACACACCTGGAGCGACCCTGTTACCATATAGCAGTAGCTAGGCACGTGACCCGTCACCCCATCCATATGGCGGGTGCCCCTCTAGCAATACCATCACCTTTTGCTTCCCCAGACCTCTAGTCGGTAGCATATTGGCTCTGTACAAGGGCCAGTAGCGTTGGTGGCATTAGAGTCGCGACGTCGTGCACTGTCTTGCGAGCGGGCGGAGGCCCTCGGTTGAAGGATTTCGGCATCCGTAGTGCGACGTAAAGGTGGACCGGTAGCCGATGAATGGCTGCGCTGGCGTCGAGGCTGTGGCGCCGAAGGCTCCACTATCGGGCTGATGTAGGCTCCTGGTAGGTTCAAGAGACTGGCCGTCCGTCTTGGCGTCCGATTAGGCCGCGTGGTAGATGCTGCCTCAGACGTGCTTATTGGTGATGAAGATGCTGCCGCTGCAGGTGTGTCTGCTGACGGTGGGTCAGGTACCACGGGTGGGTCGACTGTAGTTAATGGGTCGGCTGTTGGTAGGTCGGCTACACCTGGGTCGAGTGGATTAGGCAGGTGGATACGCCGACACAGACGAATGAAGTCCCTAACAGCTGTACGCAGAGGGGCGGGTCTGTCAAGTCCCCAGTCAGGTGGGAAACGGTAGGCGGTACCTGGGTATGTGACGAGGACCGGCGGGGGGTGATTTTCAATCAGATATTGCTGGTACTGGCGGACTCCCGGGGTTAGGAGCTGCTGATGTGGTCTAGTACTATCGGCGCAGTACTCTCGTAGCTCATGGGCGAGTGTGATCGCCCTTTGTGTCCTCTCCCAGTCCAGGTCCAGTGGCATCTGGCTGACAGAGTGGTTCAACTGCGATGAGGGGGGTTGGATGAACAGCGGCAACCAGCTGTTGATGGCGTTTTATCACTCTAACGCGAAAACCAGCTGTTAGAGGACGAGGGCGTGGTAGGGTGGTGAGGGTTTTTTTTCTCTTTTTTTTTTTTTTTTTTGTTTTGTGGGTTTTCTCTCAACAGCGGCAACCAGCTGTTGGGCTCCGCAGGTGGCAACCAACCTGGGGCTAAATATGTGATAGAAAAGGTCAGAAAGTCACTGGAAGGACCAGGACATGCTACCAGACCCCGGTAGTGTTTCTACCATGAGTTAGCATCAATATATATGAGTCGTTGCCGGCTTGCATACCTTTTGGGAAGCGCCCATCCCGACCGGAAATTGTGGCCCCAATGCTCAACCAAATGTGCCTCATCAACCGCAACAAGACGGATGCGCCCAAGGAACTGTGGATGGCAGGCCACAGTGCGAAATTCTTCCCCAACTGCAAGTTCAGGGCTAAGCAGAACATGCGTATATTTCCCTGCGTTCTCGTGACCGTCCAATCATCTGCCGCTTTTCAGTTCAGCAGAGCAAACTGGCCTTCGGCGACCCGATATCCTGATGTGCCAGCGTATTTTCCCGGTCCATTTTGGCAAGAGACTCCATCACAATTTCTCTCATGTGACAGACAGGGGAGACAGGCGAAATTCCGGTACGATCGAAGATCCCAACCAGTTCATAGGGAGGAGAAGGCCTGACGACATGGTAGCTCGTTAGGAAGCCACAATTGGTGTGACTGCCAAGAGGTACTCCTCGATGGTCATCTCACCATCGGTTTCCTCCCACTCTCGAAGTTGACGGGGGACTTTGGGAACCTGGAGAATACGGAAGGATTGGAAAGGGCCGGGTAAGAGACACTGTAATAAGAGTAAAAGCAGTAGAGCAGATGACTCGATGAGAGAAAAGAATTTGATGAACCGTTGATGAAAGGACGATGGATTGATGGAGGAGTTGTGACAGGTGGGTACGGATACTTATAGTAGTACATACTAGTTGGATGGAACAAAGTTTGGGTCATGTGGGGCCCGGGGGATGGGGGCGCGCGCTGATCCTTCGGTTCGTTCCTGGTGCGGGTCAAATGGTCAAGCAGGTGGCGCATACTATACCTCATTCGGTAATATGGGTCCCTGGGAACCCCGTGGTGACTATGCAGGTACTGTACCTGCATAGTGGGAGACTGGGAATACTACTGTACTACATCTAAAAATCATGTGATGGCCTAATATGGTATAGCGCTGCGTGCCAATTTAACTGGAAGTACCCTAACTTAACTAGTGCAACCTTGGAAACCATAATAGCAGCTTGGGAGCAATCTTGGAACTGACAACCATCTACTTGGAAATGCGACGCGTTTCTAGATTTTTTACTTCTTGCTCGAAGTCATTACCCAGTAGGATGTCCTCTATGGGTGGTAGGCCTGATCTATTCGAGTACACTTCTGGGCGCTTTTTGTGAGTCGTGACGGCGGTTAGGTGTTTAACGTGTCAATTGCGATAAACTGATATGCTGCGTTAAAATAGATTTAACGAAGAGCTCCGCCGCGCTGAACGCCGTATTCAATTTGACGTGGATGCTCTTGCAAGGGCGGCCTGCCATTCTGCCGGTCGACATGTCAACGACGTGGCCTCGATCACAAAACTCGCGGAGGGGGGCTTTAACCGTGTCTTGCAAGTAACCTTCGAGGACGGATATGCGGTTCTTGCAAGGCTACCTTACAAGACGACTGTTCCAAAATACTATGCAGTGGCTAGTGAAGCTGCCACGCTAGCACTTCTGGGCGCTCATGGGGTTCCAGTCCCCAAAGTCCTTGCGTATTCCCCAGACCAGACAAACGCTGTTGGAACCGAATACATTCTTCTTGAAAAACTGGAAGGTACACCCTTGGGCGACCAGTGGTTCTCTATGGATACGAAAACTCGGGTAAAAGTAATGAGACAGATTGTTGATTTGGAGAGACAATTCATGAGCATCCACTTCCCAGCAAGTGGAAGTCTTTATCACCGCCGTGATCTTGACGGCTCACAACACTCTATCCTAGTCTCGGACGATATCGTCGTCGGCCCAACTGCACAGCTTGAATGGTGGTACCGAGAACGGGCCTCACTGAAGGTTGACCGCGGCCCATGTAAGTCTTCATCCAGGAGTGCCTGTTTTCTTTGGGGATATTGACTTTGAGCCAGGGGATACCTTTTCTGCATGCTTCGAAGCACCCGCCAAGCGCGAGATAGAATTCTGTAAAATATTTGGCAAACCACGCCTACACGTCGAAAGATACCTACGAGAGATACACGAGTTCCGAAACCTTTCACCTATTCCGTACCAGCATCTTCTTACCAATTATCTAACGTTAGCGCCCGACCTCGACATCCCATCCGGCCACCCCATGTCTCGCCCGACTCTTCGTCATCCAGACTTTTCACCTAACAATATCCTGGTGAACCCGTCCAACGACGTGGTAGGGATCATTGACTGGCAGCATGCAGTCATTCTTCCCCTCTGTCTGTGCGCTGGAATCCCCGATCATTTTCAGAATTGGGGCGATCCATTGTCGGAGACATTATCTAAGCCAGAGGTCAGATTGCCAGAGAATTTTGATAAACTCAGCAGTGAAGAACAAGCGACTGTCCAAGAGACGATGTGGAGACGAATTGTCCATTTCTATTATGCTGCGTTGACCATGAACCCCCTGCCGGACCATTTTGACGCAATCAGAGCCGAAAATTGTATGCTTCGAGAGAAGCTTTTTCATCATGCACTGGCTCCCTGGGAAGGGGACTCCATCTCGTTGAAGCATACCATGTCATACGTCCTCCAGAATTGGCCTCTATCGCTAGAGGGGGTACTAACGAGATCTGTTGAGTGTCCGATTCAATTTTCTGAGGAAGAGATGCAGAAATGTTCGGAGGATTATCGCCAGGAACAAGAGAAACTACAGGAACTGGGCGAGATGAGGGAGGTAATCGGGACAGATGCCCTAGGCTGGGTTCCAGATGAGGATGAGCTTGAACGGTGCAAGGCTATCATCCGGGGCATCAAAGATGGTTTGCTGGAACATTCAAGCACTGAGATGGAGAAAATTGCGGTCCTTTCCCATTTTCCTTTCGATGATCATGAAGAAATTGAAAATGCGGGAGACCTTCATATCGACTTTGGTAGATAGTATTTCATACCTGTTCATATGTTCTTACTCACTCCAATTTTCGGGTCTCGATAATGGCTGATAAGCGCAGGTCGCACTGGTGACTGGACTTCTCGCCAGTTGGCCCGGCTGGCTAGCAGGCAAGCAGGCACTCCGTCGTGTTAGTTCGCCAGTTGGCCCGAAGGTCTGCTTTCCTACCCCTAGGCTAAAGGCTCTTAGTTGGTATTGTCAGACAGGAATGAGGCCTCCCTGGCCTATGAACAGGAACCTTGGTTTTTGTAGGTTATAGTCTAGTGGTAAAATAGCATGTACCTATTATCTCCCACAGATATACCTATGTATGCTAGGTGGTATCTGCTGAATCGACCCATGTGAAGTACAAATTTCTTAGTAAATTCATGCGCTTCAGGTGTCTAAAAGTGCAGAATGGGAGGAGCTGAACTATTCCCCGGCTTATGGCTCCGGGGAGTATCTCTACCTAGTACGTGATCTAAGGAAAAGAAGGGACACAGCTACCCTACACGTACGGCCTAGGTTTGCAATGATTTGCGCCTAACTCAAGGATCTTTCTTTGGCCAGGCTCACCCACATCACTTGACCAACAGCCCGAGCAAGTCAGTGTCAAATGTCCTCCCTGGTGCACTGTCGCCACGGGCCCCGGGAATCTTGGAAAGAACCCAAGTTGTTAAATCCCATCGGATATAGGGCGAGTCTCGCTGTCTCCGAACAAAGAGAATAAATGCCGTTGTTTACCTTTCACTTTGCTCGCAGAATCGACTCATGCCTCTATAAGCAGCCACTGCCCTCCAGGGCTACATGCATATAAGAGATGGCAATTCGCGACGTTTATGAAACCCAACAGTCACAGGATCTGCCCTCGTTTTATCTGAACGTAGCTCAGTATAGGCCACTGCAAAGGAAAGAGCAAGCTAACGACCTCCCTGTACTCGAATACAGGGAAGGTGCCACGGTGACTTGACTAGCAACCATCTTGTTTACCTCCCCTCTACCTTTTAAGCTGCACATATTGGTACCCACGATAAAAAGCATCATTGCTTCAAAGTGCTTGTTTTGAATTTAAAAACAAAGCAAAGTCTACATACTCAGGATATCAATTTGCAATATTATTCACGACTATCAACATGCATTTCAGCGGCAAGGTACGCTCTCAAACTCCGATGACTGAACTACATGAACACTCACATGAACACTCACATGAACACTCACATGAACAGGTTCCATTTGAGGAACACATACTAAGGATTTGCTCCGCCGGGAAGCCTTTGACTGGGTCGAGGATGTTGAAGAGGCTCTGGTCGCTGCTAATCAAGCCACCGCCATTCCGCGCAACATGTTGACTCCACCACCTGACCGGCCATGTGGGCCTGTGCTAGTGGACTCCCCATTACGGAGACGGGGCTCCTCAATGCTGGATGTAGGGCTAGTGACATCACTTGAGCCTGACCAATCATCTTCGGTAGCGCTGGTGGTGTCAGAGTCCGTAGCTTGGACCTCACTGTTCGAACGGCCATCAATAGATTCCTCTTCCTAGAGAGATCCACACTTTGATGACTCCTCATCCTCATGGAGCCTCAACAACCCCATGTCTGAGGCTTTGCCGTATGCCTCCCATGACCTCGAGCTAGCCCGACCCCCTGGCTTTATGACACGATTCGGATTCCACGAGCTTTTGTCGACCATTGAGGAGGAAGGGGAATATATTGATGGCCGTTTGAACAGTGAGGTCCAAGCTACGGACTCTGACACCACCAGCGCTACCGAAGATGATTGGTCAGGCTCAAGTGATGTCACTAGCCCTACATCCAGCATTGAGGAGCCCCGTCTGCGTAATGGGGAGTCCACTAGCCAATGCCCTTCCGATACGGAAGAAGCAGCCGCTGCAGCACTTGCGCAGACCAACCTCACCTCCATTTTCGCGGATCGGCAGCTAGGGATGGACTTTGACAGGGACATCCATCACTTCAATTGGGTGGGACTGCGCAGCTACACGAATTTATCTGCCACCCCGTCGGAGTCACTTGCGATCATTCTATCGAAGCCAAAAGACCTACAGGGAAGTGACAAGTGGAGGAGGCAAGCAGTCCTAAACCGAGCCATGCATCACATTGACCCAGTCATTGTTCGTCTCCACGGTGCTGATGACAGCCTCCTAGATCTACGAGGATCTGCGCTGGCCAGGGAGTCACAGGGACGGGTTCACAAATTTTACTCGCCTCATGGAACGTGGATGAATGACGAGAGGGATATGACAGATGCTTGCATCGATACTGGAAGCGTAGAGATTTATGGTGCTACTAGCTTCGCCGTTGGAAACGGTTTCGTTGAATCAAGTTGTATCCTCGCAATGCATGAATGGATGGAGTCCAAGGCTGGGGTCTCCGGAGGTTTGGGATCTCTTCCACGAAAATCGACATGGAAAGCTAAGCCCTCCCCTTTGAGGCGTCACCACTCTCCAGGCTCATCTGCTGGACCGGCTCGGAGACGTCGCCCCATCACGACGTGCGTGCGTGGCGCTCCGCCCGGGGTGTATACCTCGTTTCTGACTCATGTGTTTGGTCGCCGGACGGGGATCAAAAGGCTCTGGGAGAAATCCCAGCATAAGTTGGCGGCTGCGCTATCATCCGTGAGGAGAAAAAATAAGTAAGACTTGAATCGTGTTACTTTGGAGCATCTTGGCCTGGGTTTACTCTTGGTTCTTGTTGGCCAGGTTGGTGTGACCTTTTTCTGGGGTTTTTTCGAAATTTTGTAAAGATTTAAGTGTTTGTGGTTGGTCGAGCCTAGGTTCACATAGGCAGTGATCTGAGGTACTGAGGCAATTCATTCGGCCATGGGAACTTTCTTTCCCGCCTAGCAGCATGTATGTAAAGCGAGCTAAATCGGGCTAATGAAATCATCATCATCATCATGGAAACTTTCAACTTCCCCTCTCTCCCCTTACCGACCACCATCCCCACCTTATCTCCTCGTCCTGTTCTCTGATACATTTATTCTGCTCTGAAATGAACTCGTCATTGCCTCCGGAAGAAGTGATCCTTATCTCTCCTCGGCGGAGGTCTCCAGAGGACGCTTCTCTGAACAAGAGGCGAAAAGTCACTCCATCCCCCGAATCCTCCCTTTCCAGGAACTTTCTTGTCATCTCTCTGATTAGCTCTGTTCGATCTCAGCCTCTTTTTGCCCCGTCGGATTTCTCCCCCAGTTTCGCGGCAGATCTTTTCCCAGGCGCTGAAGCAACCATAGGTAAGCGATATCAAACCCGTGAAACCCATCAAACATCTTGAGGCTAACTGCTCCTAGGTCTAAGGCGCCCTCTTCGAAGTTTGCCACATGGTGATCCCGAGCCTGACTCTCAAGCTTCCTTGACACCTGGGAACACCCTACCATTTTCTCGGCAGATTATTTTGCCATTTGACCTACGCTAAAATCCCTTAGAATTCCATGAAACTGAAAGCTCTCGGCTCTTGTTCCAAGTTTTTCCTGGCACTCAGAGAGTCGACTTTGATGACCGAGTTCTAGTATATCATTTCGATCAACTGCCAGCAAAGCCATGGCCAAAGAAAATTGCAGGTGTGCCATGTTTTCTCACAGCAGACCCGAACGATCGGGGCCCGATTATTCCCATCCGCTATCGAAGTCGCTCGAAGATTACCGTCTCCGAAAACTTAGATCTTAGGGACAACGAAGCAGCTGTCGGCCTAGTTTTTGACTTGGTCCGTGATTTCTTCGCAAAGACGGATATCTCTGTCACTGAAATACAGTCTTGGGGCCATATAATCATTATCGTCCTGGAAAATGAAGATAATAAGGACGAAACCCTAGGGGCGGTTCCCCGGTCAGTTGCCCAGTGTAACTGTTTCTACCTTTTCGAGTCTATGATGGCTAGGCCCAGCAAGCTATCCGCGTTACGACCTAAGGCAGCTTCCGTGACCCAAATCGATGATTCCCGATATGACACCATGAGACCAGGAGTGATGCTCAGCTCGGGCAAGCATCCCGAAGAGGGATGGGAGATACTTACTTCCTCCGGTGTCCTCGTAAAGGACCCTCTTGGCCATGAGTATATTACGGTTGCCGCTCATGGATTTCCGGGATTTCCATTCGATGGAAAAGTCTATCATCCTCATTCTTCTGATAGAGCCCTTGGCGAAGCCGTTATCGAACTCTCTCACACAGACGTCGCTTTGGTCAAGCTGAGACAAGGCGTGGAGTTTATCAACGAGCCATTTGAAAACACACTTGTGCCAGCGCCTCCCTTCAAACTAGCGGGTTTCGCTCGAGCAGCCGAAACAAGAATTGGCGACGCTGTCTTCCTCGATAGTCCTTTCTCGGGCTTTGTTGAAGGCACCCGAGGGGCCCACTCCCAACTTCGAGTTCCTAGTGACGAACCCCTTGAACCGGAGCAAATATGGATCAGCTGCCAGTGGGATTATATGGGTCAAGACTCGGAGCAAGCTATGGCTGATGGTGTCTGTGGCTCAGCGATCTGGGACCAAAATCACCGAGTTCTCGGGTTTGTTCGATACGCCCTCTCGTCAGGTGCTTTTCTGGATTGGTGCATGAGTATCAGTGCCGATTATCTTCTTGACAAGAAGTACATTATGGTCTAGTCCTATTCTCACCCCTCCGATGAGTGCATGTATGGTTGTCGTTGACTCGTTGCCTCGGAGTTGTCGCTCAAGCCCCTACACTATTATGTTTATTTGCTGACTGGCTTCTGCATATCGTTATGTCGAGCTACTATCCCTCTACATCTCATATTTGGCGCTTACTATTCTTAGCTAACCTGCTATGCGTGCCATCCGGGGGTTTCGATGTTTTGCAATACGGTCAGCCCATGGCCGAAAGAGCGTATTGTGGGCAATACACGTATCGTCAAAATCATACACCTTTTAGCATTCTTTTTCGGAATACGCGTATTCAAATAGAATCTAACCCCTTATTCCTTATTCGCTTGAGTGATCTGTCATTTCGTTCCGTAATTAAGTGATCAAAGACCTATTCTGTACTTGGTGCTACGTTTGGCTAGTTAATCAAGCAATATTCTTCGTAATGCAAAGGGTGAAACCAAGGTTTGTATACAACCTTAGAAGGTTTGATAACTAGATGTCAATAATATCGGGATTGATTTTCTTGCAGATCAAGTTAAGTAACATTAAAGTACGACTTCTTATAACAGCCCGGCCGGGCTAGCTCAATCGGTAGAGCGTAAGACTCTTAATCTTAAGGCTGCGGGTTCGACCCCCGCGTTCGGCTATTCCTAAAAACCAATCCTGAGATTTCTTTTTTGATATTTTTTTGTATGCGAGACTGGAAATGTGTTCGGGATCCACTTGGGGCTGTCGGCTGGGATGAACCTTGGTTGGAGTCTTGGCATCTTCTACTCTTCTCTTACTAGCTATGGCGCCGCCGCGCCCTACATCCATCGATGTACGTCCTGCCAGATATCTCGCAGCCTGACACTCTCGGGTCAATGGATCGTAACGGTACAGTTAATCTCATGACATGCAGAGAATAATACCACGAGCCTGGGATAAGATTAGATCCGCCTAGTGCGAGTATACTGTACAGATAGTTGACACACAGTAATGTTTATAATTTCGATGAACGCCGCTCCTTTGCAATTCTCTTGACAAAGTCCTCCACAACGAACCGACACGAAGCCAAAGCATTCATCTCCTTGTCATTCCTCAGCCGCTCCATGACGACAGCCTCGCCAGCAAACATAACATCCACGTCGCCTTTACCATGAGCTGGCATGAGAGTAATCTCGCCACGGGGGAACTCCCGGCCGAAATATGGCTCACGATACGCCTCACACCGTCCGAGGCCAGGACCCCAGTCCTCAAGCATGGCTGGGGTCACACGCGTGTGATCAGTGACAAGTGCATCGAGCGAACCTTCTGGTACAATTCCCGGGTTCATAGGGTGCATCTGCGCAATCTCGAGCAATTCGCGGAATGGTTCTTCGCTCCAGCTCTTGTTGCAACTGCGAATCATCGTTGCCGCCCTGGTCAAGGTCTCCGTGGTTGCGGATGTGAAATCGTCGGTCTTTTCGGTAATTGGGAAGAAGTCCACGCAAGCCGGCATGTAGTTGAGAGGCAATGGCGGAGTCAGGCGATGACGCACGCTCCCAACATAAACGATATGCGTTGTCTTAGGTGCAGGCTCTGGGCCTGGCACTCCTGGGGCGCATTTAGCCTTGAAGAAACGCTGCCAGGTAAAAGCCGTCAGACAGTCGATAGATGACAATCTGGTGTCTTTAGGCGACGCTCTCTCCAGGGCAAGCTTCAGTTTCTTGATTGATGATTGAGGGAAGGTCCATACACAGGACGAGGGCTGACGAAGCTTATCTTCAGGAGAGACGGCCAGGTCATTGTCTGTCAAACGAGCCTTGGTGAAGAGGCCATCTATCTTCTCGTACATCTTTTGTGGATCGCGAGGGTCGAGCATTGTCCAGTTTGGAAGATTTGCTACACGAGCCGCCAACTTATCGAGATCATGCTCAGTCTGCACATCAGGCGTCATCGGCGAGCGGTCCATCAGATTCGCTGCTACTTGCGGCGGGAGCGGAGGCTCTGGCAGATCCTTTGTCCGCGCAGTGGCAACAGCACACGTGTGACGTGCCCAAGACCCCAACATGTCCATACACTGCACAAGGTCGCATATAGCATGTGCAATGGACATGTGCAACACTATGCCGCCTTTGATGACATTAAATTTGGCAACAACGATGGGATCGCCGTCCTGGGCTCCTGGGAAGACTTCTTGGCGCAGTTTGCCCAGACCATCTCGATCACCGTCAGCGAGTGGCCAGCCGTATCTTTTGAACTCGTCATAGGTAGGCATCTCCTTTATACCCCGGAGGTCGTGGAACTCAAAGTCGACACCGGCATACGGCGGTGGCCGAATCTCGATCGAGTTGCGTCCTGTTTCATCCTTGACGATTCTACCAGCAAGATGTGGGTGCTCGTATAAGTATCGAGCGAGGCCACGTTTGCAGTCTTCGTAGAGCTGTCTAGGATCGACATCTGGTTTTAAAGGGAAGAACTCTGTCGGTGAAGGATAGACTGGCGCGGTTAAATTATCCAGAGCAGATAGTTTGATGAGAGAGGGATGCACAGGCCGCGCAGGCTCAACCCATGAGCTAGGTAATGTTTGGGGTTCCATTGACAAGTTAGGCGTCTTCCGAAGTGAATAGGGAAGATTCTGACTCGCATGCTTGGGGGTTCGAGGTTGTGGCACCATTAAGAGCATCTGATTTACGTCACATTGGAAGCGCAAACCACTTAACTCAATAGTGCGGTTAATCTCCGGAGTTGACGTCAAATATTGATCTAACACACATAGACAGTGGTGTCTATCCATGTAGATCGACAGTTGACGCCACTGCTCGGCTGGAATCTGGATGTTCCAAGTCCAATAGCGTCGTGTGCGGAAAGATTAAGGTGGGGTATGGCCCCTGAGCCTTAGCCTCAAGTAGCAATTGAACCCCTAAAGCCGGAATTGGGGCCGTCTTGGGCGGGTTGCCCAGATCAATGTGTATTGGGATGCATCCCAATACTATCGGGTTCGTTAGACGGTTAGGGGATCATTGTCAGGTGAAGTCATTGCTGCTGCTCGTGGTAGTATTACTGTGGGTAAATTGATCTTCTTTTGCCTCTTTTAGAATGTCCACACGAAACAGAACCCACAAGGCGCTTAGGCGGTAATGGCGAGGATGTACGGAGTGCTCCGTATGACCGTAACCGAACCCCTTTTGACCTCGTTCAGCGTTGACGGTCACGTGACCTCGCTTACTCCAACCCCCTGCTCTTTCTTCTTCACGCATCTATCCCATTTTCCAGCGGACTCCACTTTTGCATAGTAGACAATAGTTAGACATTCTTGAGTTAGTTATCATTAAGACTAGTTAGTGGCTGGTGAAGGGTAAAATCCCCCAAAATCGAGATAAAAGGAATCTTATGCAATTGCCAGTATGTCAGCCTAGTTAACTAATGGTTAGACGCCCTGTGGGGCCAAACCGAGTCGGCTATTGGTCGACCACGTGTGAGTGGGTCTCCCGGAGATCTGGGCAAGCGCCTTTCGGGTCGTGATCGACAGGTCCCAAGTTCCTGCAGTCAATCGCGAGCTAGTTATTGCACGCTACTTAGTACACATGGGCACCTGGGCGCGAGGGCATAGCGGCCATGAAATTATCTAAAATCATGATAAGTTAGTTACATTATTGCTCGATCCCTTAATCAATTGGTGTCTGGACTCTGGAGATTGTCCAGCTCCCCTTTTGTTTCCCCCTCGGCCCTTTACTCGGTGGGTTGGAGGGTTCGCACATGGGGGAGGAAGAAGATCTCGTGCTATTTTTATGGTATGTGATTGCTCTGACCCTATTCAGCAGCTTTGAAACTTCTTAACCTTCACCTTAGTTGTAATGTCACCCTGAGCAGATCCTGTTCCAAGCTAGATAAAATGATCGACGCATTGGCGGACGCGGTAATGGCACCTAGGGGGCTGCTTCACGAAACGTTGCTGGAACCGTGATGATAAATTGAAGATTTCGCCTCCCCCTAGTATTTTTTATATCCACCTACCACCTCGTTATACATATATTTGTGCATTTACTACGAAATAGCTCACCCATTCCTCTTGTTTGAACGAAGGGACCCAAGATGTCTGCCATCGCCGAGACTGAGGTCAGTTTTCCGCCAAGCTCTGTCGCAGTCATCAAGCCACACCCACACAGCCACGGACAAAGGGTGAGGCTTTCTGCGATCGATCAAATTGCGCCTAGAGACTACATGTCAATATGCCTATTCTTCCCACTGGGCCCAGATGCAGATAAGAGACGAATCTTCACTCTCCTCCAGGAATCCCTCTTGAGGATCGTGGATGACATGCCGGAGCTTGCGTGCTGCGTGCAGAAACACACCGGTAACGGCCGAGAGGAAGTTGAGCTCGTGTTCGACTCCAGCAAGGGTGTTGAAATCCATTACAAAGATTATACCTCACCTGAGCTCTGTGACCTGTGGAAATTTGGCACGTTCTACCAACTCGAGCAGGAACACTTCCCTCTCAATAAGTTGCCCAGGCACATCGTTTTCGGAACGTCGGCCAAGCTGGCGGACAACGTGAAACTTCCATCACTGGTTGTACAAACCAGTTTCATACCTGGAGGAATGATTCTTGGAAGCTGCCTACATGTAAGCCTTCACCAGATTTCGATTCATCTTCTTAAGCACGGGATGGGACCCGAGGCCAAAACTTTGACAGAACCTGTCAAGTCCAATTCCTTGCAGAGGGCAATACTAACGAAGACATAGCATGTGGCTGGTGATGGCCAGTGTAACTTCATGTTATTCTCTGCGATAGGCGCTCACTTTTCTGCTGTGGCCGATGGACTAGACAGCAAACCTATCTCACAAATCCATCTTCGAGAGAGGAGTGGTGTTGTCGAGGGGGATAAGAATGTTAAGCTCGAGGAATTCCCACATTGGAAGCTTGCGGAGGAAAATACCGAATTCCTCAATCCAACGGCGTACTCGGCCAATGATCCCACATTCGAATATGCTACGTACTTCATCTCGGGAGAAAATCTTGCCCTGCTCAGAACCCGCATCTCGAATAATTGTTCCGGAACCAAGCTCAGCACGGTCGAATCCTTGGGCGCCTTCATCTGGCGTCACATCATCGTGGCCAGGAATATCGATCCTCGGGTGTATCCCGAGGCAAAGCTTTCCATTGCCATTGATGCCAGAGGCCGTACGAAAAATCCCTACATCCCGTCCAACTATTGGGGAAACTTTGCGGAGCCAAACGCAGTGGCCAGGCTACCCGTTGCCCGTCTTCAGGAAGGCATATCATCATCCTTGACACCGAAACAACTTGGGAATAAGCTCTACCCGGAGGCGGCGCTCCGCATTCAAAGAGCGATAGCTGCGGTAGATGATAAGGCAGTCAGGCGTCTTGTCGGTCTCCTCAATCAGATGCCCAAAAGTACGACATTGACGTGGAACGTCAATCGCTATCCTGGCCCAGACATGCTTCTTGTCTGTGTCAATGGTCACAGGTACAATGACATCTACTTTGGCCATCAGCTTGGTTACACCTCAGCATTCAGATGCACTGTGGGCGACACTGAGGGTAAGCCCGATGGCCGTTGTCTGATTCTGCCACCCCGCCGTGGCGACGGCAAAGGTCTTGAAATCATGCTGCAGTATGACAAAAGCACGCTTAAGAGGCTTGAGGATAACGTCGAGTTCGGTGATTATTTTGTACGGAGAAACTAAATCATATTCTCATCAGAAGCGGCCAAAGTTTGCTGGTGAGGCTGACTCTCTCGTGTCATATCGCAGAAAAGGAAGTTATGGATAGTTAATGTCAATGTAAATTTCGTTCTGATTACTTCACACAGTTGATTCAAGAGTTTAGGTTCTTGTTCGTTCCCCAAAATTTCCGCCAGAAGCGGCCGGGGTAGAAGCAGTCGCAGGAGAGATAGAAGAGCCCGGGGGAGAGGCGGCCTCGGAAGAGGTGGAAGAGGCCGGGGGGAAGCATCCTCGGGAGAGATAGAAGAGGCCGAGGGAGAAGCGGCCTCGGAAGAGGTGTAGGACGTCGGAGCAGAAGCAGCTTCAAAAAACGCGCCATGAGGAAATGAGGGCGCAGGCTCGGTACTCGCAAATTCGGCCGGTGGACTGTAGGCTCGAGTGAGGAGATCGAGCCCTCTTCTCTCCGCTGTATGCACAGCCCCATATTGGGGAGGGTCTTGTCTATTCCCCACTTGGCTGTACTGAGCCAGGACCTCTTCCTCATGCACTGCCGGCCTGGTGAGTGGCGCACTGGTTCTACTTATCATGTTAGATCCCGTGCCGAGCAACCACAATGAGAAATTGTACGTACCCAGCATCTGCCGTTCTCAGCGCCACACCGCTACGAACAGCATCGCTCTGCGCCAGCCAATTTCGGCCTTCTAGCAGGGGCCGAAGCCTCTTCAGGTAGTATGGGTCACACCTGAAGTTGTGTGGCTCCATAGGAGTGGGAACGAAACGTCCCGCGAGCCATTCTGGGCGGCTAAGCCCCCGAAGGGGTGGGAGGTGTACGGTGGATGTGCGAGGGCAAATAGAGACAATATAAAGGGGGTCAATCTCAAAGGAAGCCATCTCGACCAGCAAGAGAGCAATTGCGACGAAAGGAGAGAAGTATTTGGGGTAAGAAATTGGGGAGTGGTATGAGGAATAAAGTAGAGTGAGATGGAAAAGGGTTGGATGAAGCACAAGCTTGGGCGCCTTTATGCATAGCTGGAGGTATAGGCTGCTATGTTGTAATTGCAATTGCGATGCTATTCAGATGAACAAATAGGTATAGACTATCGAGTCTATTGTGGTGCCGTGATATGAGGCTATATATGGCTGGCATTGAACAAGGACCACAATAAGAGAGCTTGAGCAATCAACATGTACTATAGTCAAATGGGTTTGTGAAACAATCCCATTTAAATGGACGAAAGTGGACAATAAGATGGGAATGAAGAAACCTTGAGGACAACGGACAAAGTAGAGACATAGCCCAAATGAAAAGGTACCGATTCTCACTGAGATAATAAACTATTGACCTATTGGCCAATATCAAATGCATTTTTCCAGTCACAAGACTCTCATGAGTCTCAATTAATTTGACAATCACTCGACTGCCAGGTGCACATGCGTCGAACTTAGGTACCTTGTGCATAAGGGACGAGCTTGACAATATATACAAGCTTCGTCTGGCAGCCTGGCTCAGTCATTTACAGTGAGAGACAATCACACGGAAAGTACTTTTTGATTTCTGTCGGAGATGAAGCACAGATACCACATCCTCGGCTCAGTCTCACCCTCTCTTCTCCATCTCCCTCACACTGTAAAGAGCAAGAAGGACAGGTATTCACTCAAACGACCCATCACACGCTCCTGCACACGGTCTCATTCTGAAATGCGCGTTTCTTCCCCGTGAGATTGTGTGGTCAGCATTCCGAATTAATGTAAAGAGGAACGGAATCATACTCACATGTTTGGGAAAAGATGAAGCCACCACACGTCCTGCTGCCTTCCGCACATTCACAAACAGAGACGTTCGATCGATTCGAGTTTGGCGACGGTACCCACCAGCCACCTACGGTTGGCTCTCATGTCAGCTCACAGAAGCCTCAGATATAGGAAAGATACTTACCCCCGTCACCATCCAATTGAGCCTCCCCACGCTCTGTTGCCTTCCGCATGTTCACAGACAGAGACGTTCAATCGGTCCGACCCGCAGCAGCGACACCCACCAGCCACCTGTAATCCAGTCCACTCAGCTCTCAGAATCATCAGATATCGGAAGGATACTTACCCCTGTCGCCACACAATCAAGCCACCACACGTTCTGCTGCCTTCCGCACGATCACAGACAGAAACGCTCGCCTTCGATCCTAAATAGAAGTTAAAGGGCAAAAACCCAAAGCAAACGGCAAAAGCCTCGGAACAAGAACAAAAAACAACAAAAACAGGAACAAAAGGGAATTGAAATCATGCCTTACCTTGTGGACGAGGAAGTGGACCCTGGGAATTGGCTATCAGGATCGGGTACATGCCCCAACAATGAGAAGGAACGCAAGTACGGCTGGCAAGGCTGGCGCAAGTCTTGGGAAAATGAACGCCATCACAAACAAGGCCCAACTAAGGTGGCTGAACCAGGCGCGGACCATGGGCCCAACCTGGACGTAGGTCTGGACGACCACACGTGAATGCCCAGCCTCAGAAGGAGAGTTGGTTGTGGATGGCGCAGCCAAGGACTTGGGTACAGGCGTTAGGGGCAATGTACCGGATGACCCATCTAGATCGGGCAGGGCTTCCACCAGCGCAGCCAAGTCGAATGCGCGACCAGTAGCCTCCAGATCAGGGAGTGCATGCTGCAGCCCTGACATATCGAAGGTGTGGCTCTCAGGAAGCGCACTTGTCAATCTCGACATGTCAAAAGCCACAGCATGTGAACCGTCCATGGCAGGTTCAAGGGTTGATCCCTGACGGATGGTCTCTGGCAGTGGTCCGCACTTAGCTGTCGCTGGTGGTTGCCCACGGAAGGAAGTCGCCGCATCAATGGAACAATCGGCTGCCGGCGTAGCCTGGGAACCTTCCGAGGAAGGTTCGAACCTGGGAGAACGGGGTTCAGTGGCATACGCACCACCTAAACGACCAGGACGTCGCACGTGCGGCCGAGCAGAGCGTGCTTTGCGCCTTTGGCGTTTTGGTGGTTTCAAGTTCTGGCTGGGGAACCGATTGTTCGTGATTGACCGATGCAGCGAGTAATTGATCAAGTCCTTCCGCCACTTGTCTTCGGCCACTCCCCCAAGGAGCGGGGGTGCTCTCACGCCAGCAACGTTGGGGGAGGTTTCGGGCTGGAATCACTCTCACCTGAACGAGGTCCACATCATCCGCAAAGTGGATGATGTGTGTTTAGTTGCTCGTTGCCATGGACGGTCCCAAACAATATTTATTTCTCCCATTTCTTCTGACTCTTTGTTTTCTTTTCTCCTTTCTCCTCTCCACTGCCACTGGCTTTCTTCATTTGCTTATAGCATCTGATATTCCCTACGAACCATTCTTCATATCCATTCTTCATATCCATTCTTCATATCCATTCTTCATATCATCACCATGTACTTCACCTATCTTCCTCCCCCCGCCGATCTCATGGTTTGTCAGATGGGAGCTCCTCCAGGTGCTCATCCACATTGACAAGGCAGGACTTCTTCGGAGGGGGAGCGTCGCGGCAGCGGGGGATGAGATCGGCGGGGGGAGGAAGATAGGTGAAGTACATGGTGATGATATGAAGAATGGATATGAAGAATGGTTCGTAGGGAATATCAGATGCTATAAGCAAATGAAGAAAGCCAGCGGCAGTGGAGAGGAGAAAGGAGAAAAGAAAACAAAGAGTCAGAAGAAATGGGAGAAATAAATATTGTTTGGGACCGTCCATGGCAACGAGCAACTGAACAGGAAGTGACATCAAACTGAGGTTATACCAAGGCAGGTGCGGTGGTGGTCATGGAAACGCCATGGACGAGTGGTTAGGGCAAGGAAACTACGACTTCGCCAGGGCAGGAACCTTCCAAGGTTGGAACATCTATATGAAGCAACGATGAAACTACAAGATAGATGTGAGTCTGCTCATGTGATGCCATGAGAAACAGTAACTACATAAAAAAAGAGAAGTCGTAGTACATACTTGGGTAATGATGAAGCTATACAAGGTGTGAGTGTGGTTATGGCAACGAAGTGGTCAGGGCAAGGTAACAAGAAAGTACGACGTCGGCGTCTCCAGGACAGGAACTCCCGTGTCACATATCTCAGTCTTCAGGTTCAAAACTTCACACACCTGGAAAATTCCATTAGCTCAATTTGCAGTCTTTCATTCTGGTGTTGTCGTTTGTATCGAGGGTTGTAGTTAGCATGCGATATAGTTCGGAACGGTACAACTTGTGTCCGAGAACTAGGCTCAAGTTGCAGTTGCCTTAGGCCTTCAATATCTCCAGACGGACTCCAGTCTAACCCTAAGAGATAACCAGCGTCTCCCCAGCAAAGGAAGCGAGGGTATCTGTAAGATTTTGAATAGTTATTGTTACGTCCCTCTACCAACGAGTGCCTCACAGAGGACTTGGACCTGGATTCTGCCAATTCACGTGGCGGTCGGGCTTGATCAGGCCACGTGACCCTGCTTGGGCTCTCCACAACAGAGACTGCTGGTCAGACTTAAGACTCCTTAGCGATTAGTCTGAATACAGGAATACCCCTTAGGACTTCTTCACTGTAGTTCTAAACCTAGAACCCCTCATTTGGACCCGCCAGTACGCCGGTCCTAACAGTTATGATCATCAACAAATGCTCCAAGGTCGCTCTCTGATGGTATTTCACAGCAATGTAGATGACAAATTACTATTAGCGATAGTTATGTATGAACGTCGAACGATAATGAATTTATTGCCTTTCATACGGAGCCACGGGGTAGACAGGAATCACAGGATACAATTGCAAAAAGCAGGCAAAAGCTAGAAGCAAAAAACATACAACAGTGAGGATTCGCTGGTGGTCACCCACCCAACTACTAACTCACCGGCGTGTGGCTTAAGTACGGCTGAGCGGACGGGAAGCCCTGTTTTCCACACCCTATGGTCGTATGTACCAGGATTACGTTCCAATACTATTATATAGACGTGTGGTAGTTGTAAAACTGTAAATGCCGGTGCACTGACCCTGGGCTCGACCTGGACAGAGTAAATACCGATCTAAGGAATACATGTGGTTTCAGTGAAAACGAAGGAATCTTCAAACAGTGAATCAGATTCTGAGAAACTAAAAAACAAAACAGAAAGAAACAAAACAGAAAGAAACAAGAGAGACAGAACGAGAGCAACACGAGAGAGTGAGAGAATCGGTTACGAACCACCGCCTTTCTCCAGGACTTCTCGAACGCTGTTGCGGAGCTCGGAGATCGACCTGATCGCCGACTTCTCTGCCCTCAGCAAGGCAAGGATATTCACAGCATCGTGAAGATGCTGCTTTATGGCCGTATCGGGGTTGCTGAAGGTTCTGCCCCAAATCACCGTGCCTAGCTTGCGCCAGGCAGCCAGGACAAAACTCGAGCCAGCAGTGGTACGGCCGAAGCTTCCGTACAGCTTGCTGAAATTGTCGAACACCAACTGGTACTGGCCAAGCTGGTCGTAGCTGAAGTCGGTCAGGGCAGGCAACCTTCTGGCACGACGATCCTCTTTGATCCTCTTGAGAGAGTGATCTGTGATGGCCATCGTCGTGGGCCTCCATCAGGAAATGGTTGGCAGCTTGAGAGATTGCACCCTCAAGCTGCCCATACCACGCAGCCTGTTGCTCGCTGCTGGTAGACATTTCCTGGGAGGCCGAAGTGCTTGCCTGCCCGTCCTTATTGGCGTTGGTCGATGGTCCATCCGCCATCGTGTCGTTCCCAGGGTCCCTCTCCTTGCCCTTGCCGTTGCCCTTGTTCTTGGCGTCCGTGCTTTCCACTGGGGCTGCCATGTCCTGGTAGCCGGCAACGCCCTGGCCAGGGGCCGCCACCACAGATGGTACGACCTCCTTGGTGGTAGACGGGCCAGCAATGACGGGGGAAGGACGTCTCGGAAGAACACTGGCGACGACGGGCTTCTCTTGTTGCGGAGGGGTTGGCGTACGTGACATCTCCACATCCTGACTGTCGATTTGATGGGCCGCGCAGTCGGTCATTGAAATCTCGCTTTGCAGCGAGGAAGCAGCAGGGGATGGGACATCATCAATGGACATGTGACTCCCAGGGGAAGAGCCATCCTGCATCTGGATGTCATTGTCCGGAGAAGGAGCATCCTGCATTGACATATCGCTAGGGCTAAGTGGGGACGCATCGGCGATCGAGATGTTACTGTCGGCCGGACTCGCGGGTGAGCAATCCCGAATTGGGTAATTGTCAGCTTCCCAATCATGTCCGTCAATACGCCAGTTCTGACGGACTCTCTTCCTTGGCGGGCTCTCCCACCCATCCGCCCTGAAACGGCGACATCCAGCCCTCTGCGGACTTGCGCGGGCCGGGGGAGAAGAGACCTGGGGAGAAGGGGCCGAAGGAGAAGAGGCCGAAGGAGAAGAGGCCGAAGGAGAAGAGGCCGAAGGAGAAGAGGCCGAAGGAGAAGAGGCCGAGGGAGAAGCGACCGAGGGAGAAGCGGCCGGGGTAGGAGCAGCCGGGGTAGAAGCAGCCAAAGTAGAAGACGCGGCCGGGGTACAAGAAGAGGTAGAGGGAGAAGCGGCCGGGGGAGAAGAGGCCGGGGGAGAAGCGGCAGCCGCTCTGAGCGCTGTACCGCCACGAACGGCATCACCCCGTGCCAGCCAGCGGAGGCCTTCCAAGACTGTCAGGTTGAATGGCTCGCACCTGAAGGGCTCCACAGGTGCGAGAACGGCAAGTTCCGCGAGCCAGTCCGCGCGGCTCGAGAAGAGCACCCGAAAGCTCGGGAGGTTGGTATTAGCCAAAGCCATCTCGACCAGCAAGATAGCAATTGCGACGAAACGAGAGAAGTTTTGAGAGGTAAGCAATAGAGAAGTGATATGAGGAATAAAATAGAGTGAGATGGAAAAGGATTCAATGAAGCGCAAACTTGGGTATTTTTATACATACCTGGAGGTCTAGGCCGCTATGGTGTGACTGCAATTGTGAGGCTATTCAGATCAATGCATAAGTATAGGATATCGAGTCTATTGTGGTGCCGTCATATGAGGCTATATGGCTGGCATTGAACAAGGACCACAACAACAGAGTTTGAACAGTCAATATGTACTATGGTCAAATGGGCTTGTGAAATAATCCTATTCAAACGGATGAAAGTAAACAATAAGATGGAAACAATAGACAAAGTAGAGACATAGACCAAATGAAACGTACCGGTTCTCACTGGGGTAATAGACTATTGACCTATTAGTATTGACCAATATCAAATGCATTTTCCGAGTCACAAACGGACTCTCAATTAAATTAAGTGTCTAAAAGAACCTGAATGACCTGGTATATTGCTATTTCTGCTTGACTACCTAGGCGCGTGGACACAGCAACACTTGAGAGTTGAGACTTTGATTTTCAGAAGGGGTGGGCTACTCAAAACCCCTCAATTCAGAGATAGAGATACTATCTTTCCATGTATTTGTTCCGAGACTATGAATGATACAACATATTTCCGGTGTTCCTTGCAACCACGGTAAGGGTAAACCGAAATCACTCGGCTGGTGCGCATACGTCCAACTTAAGTACCTTGTGCTTAAGAGACAGGCTTGAAATTCGATCCTCGACCTCCCGCAGTCACAGGTGTGACGATGCCAGTACTACAGTTCACATGCCTGAAAAATCTCATTAGCTCAATTTGTCGCCTTTCATTTTGATGTTGTCATTTGTATCTCGGGCTGTAGTTGGCATGCCCATGTGGACTCTCCCCGTCTGAGTTACAAACCTATGTCACTACCTTAGTACGTGACATGTGCTTTCAATGCTCATTTCGTAGCCTATGGCTGTAGTTCAGTCTGAATTTGTCCTGACAGATTTACATGGAGCAATATGGATATAAAGCAAGAATAGAGTGAACGTGCCACCACCATTAATACATCATTAATCGAAGCTGTGACTGAATAGCCAGAGACGTAGTTCAATCTGACGTAAGGTACAGTAGTCTTGTTGATAAAGATGAAAATATTGTGTATAGCCTTGCCAGTTGGCGGAAGGCTTGCTATACGTCTGGAATTCGGCGTGCATGCCAGAGGACTGGAGAGTGTACTTACTCACTAGTTTCTCCCGTTTATGAATTAACTGCTCTTTATGTATCCCATTTTTTTTCACAAGAACTGGCGCACGGAGGACGCTTCCTCGGCTCCGCTGAAGCTGCATGACGAAGTGGATACTGACAACAGTATTCGATGGAAAGAGAACTTGAGACCAACCCTCGTAGCTCTTTTTGCAGTAAATTATTAAATTATCCATCTGTTCCTGCCATTTTTGGAAAGTATAAATGACTACCGACCCGGGCAACAGCACTCTCCCATCAATCAACTTTCAGGTATGCCCTCTCCAAGTTCTCAAACACACATCGCTGTCAGACATATCTACTATATAGTCATTCAGAATGCCCATTTCAGCTCCGGAAATCGAAGACACTGGAGAACTCCGTACTTCGATCCTCGCATCTATTCATGATCTCGCTGCCGATATGCAGTACTGCGACACCCTGGCGGAAAGAGAACCTGAGGACTACAAACGATTGTGGGCATATCTCTTGCGGAGGAGAACTAAGCTCGAGGAAAGAATATTGAATGTGCCAAACGTCTATATACAACACTCCCTTCTGATGGCGTTCGGCCACTTTCTCGGATAACTCTGCCACAGTCACCAGCAACTATCGAGGCAAAACTCCATCACACTGTGGAGGTGATACTCGATGGAAATCGACCGCTGTTCGACGTCAAGCAGAAGTAATATCAATAACTCCGCACATATATCGAGAACGGGAAAGCACGCCGGTCCGAGGGTGATCTCTTTGACAACATTTGCCCACCTCGAATAAACTCACTATCTTTACCCACGATAACCATGAAAAAGGTGTTGTCGCATTGAGACAGTTTTAGATGGAATTGGAACCTTGTCCCGACACGAGGCCGATGTACTTTATCGAGTAGTCCGGTCCCGTTGGACGTGCGGCTTGACTTGTTCTCCTTTGTTGATCCTCCGTGACAGTGATGGTGTCTATCTTTCTTTGTGTGCGTTGATATCGAGTCGTCTGACAAGTTATATGCCCTTGAGTAGACCAGACTATCAGCAATTCATCCTGAGCAGCCGAGGGTCTCATTGGGTGGTTCCTCCTGGTCACACTGCCAACTGGTCAGTTCTGTCATTCCTCGGGTTATGAGTCCTTGTGACTTGTGAGGGCTCTGACTGGGCCACAAGCACTTCATCCTTACTGGCTACGGGTACAACCGGATGATCCCCAGGGCCACACTACAATCCTTCGGTCGACACAAGCGGACTCCTCAACGATCGTGTGTCGAAATAATGCATTTCAACAGCAGATTAGTGATATGAAATCTCTCCCTCTTCTTCCTCGCCGAATCACAGACACACTAGACTTTCAGGCCTTCCTGACCAGGACAATCAAACCGCCCGTATTAATCGAGAACAGACATTGAATCACTTGACCAAGCTCATACTTCCTTCCATTGGACAAATATGACAATAGCCCAAGACGCCTAACTCAGAACAAAAAGGTATCAAAACGAAAAAAGAAAGAAAATTTAACACATATTCCACACCCCTAGACTAATTCTTCATAACCGCCTCCGGCGGCCTAATAGATCCCGGCGCAACAATGACCGGCTCTGGGGCCTGCGGCGAAAACTGCCGTACAGTTGCCTCATGCGGAAACGTAGCAACCTGCGACCCGCAGTTCGTACAGAAGTGGTGTGTATCACGACACATTTCCATACAGTAGGGTAGAAAAGCTCAGATATTGCCGCCGAAAATACACCAGCAGATGGCGGCCATGCTGTTAATCCCATTAGCATGCGTCAGAATCGCGTGGAACTGATTGAGAGCGGCAGGGTCAGATACTCATGATGTAGAGCCGTTCAACTCCTTGCTTATTCTGGTCAACGCTTCTCGATTGCAGAATGGACACTGGACGCGGCGGGGGACTTCGCCTAGTTGTGCTGTTGGGACAACTTGTAGCTGGGAATTGACGAGACCTTGGCCTTGCGGGCTGGCTGGGGGGTTTTTCTGTGCTGGCTCTAGTGGTGCTAGGGCGTGGTTTTTGTGTCTATTTACATTAGCTTAGAGTGTTCAGTTTCGCTCTTTTTGGAATATGGGGGTGGTGGAGGGAAGCGTACTCGTCGTATTGTGATGGTGGTGCTTCTGCGGCTGGCAGGATTGCCCCTGGGTCGTCAGTTGGTAGTGATCTCGTTGCTGTCGGTACTGTCTTCGGTGCTGTATGCGACAGCGTGGAGTCAGTTGGCGAGGATACTGTGGATGCTTGTTGTAGGATCTGTATTGTTGGACGCTGGTGGGCTAACTAACCACCGTGGATGCATTATTTTGCTCCATGTTGAAGAAAATGTTTGGGTCAGCAGTCGCTAGGCAAGGAAAATAAGTATGGGACGTCCCGTCGTCGACGAATTAGTGGCGATCTCGTCCGTGTTATATGTTGATGTCCCGGCTAGCACGGGAGGCGTAGTCGAAAGAGACGGGCGGTCCAGATGAGGCTTAAAACCTACTCTATGTAGGAGAAAGACCAGTAAGGAGGGGCCTTGGCAGGGCGCGGACATTAGGCTGAGCATTACAGCCAATCAGCATCCTGATCCTTGAACATCACATGGTCTGGGCGGCCTCAGCCTTGTTTGCGGCTTATCATGTGCCTTTGAGCTTCCCACAGCAAGGGCCCAAGGCACAGAAGAGGCGGGTATGCTTCGAAGCTACGAGATCTTTCCTTTCCGTTTTAGTGCTCAAATAGTGGCAGGATTCGATTACAGCTCATACCCTTGATCTACGTAGCAATCTATTCTCCACATTATGGATGCCGGCAAGCCGAACTTATGGGTCAAATTTGCATTCTGGCTGCAAGTGGAGCAGTCGTATCGTTATCTGGTGCGTCGGACTACAGAGAAGACTTTCTGCATTTTGTTATAGTATGCACATGATCATAACGGGATTAGCCTTCCAGTGCCCCACTGAGCTTGAATATCATGAAAACAGCATCAAAGTCCGGATTGAAGGTCTGTGTGGCAATGTTTTCGGACTTCGGAGTTCCAATCCAAGATATGACCCAAATCTGGGCTACATGGATTGTCTTCATTTGGAGGATCATGCCGGTCAGCATTGTGAAAAGGATCAACGATCCAAGGATGATGCTGTAGTTGCCTAATGTCTTCAATTTTCGAAGTTCCATCATCAAGCCAAAGACCATCATCGTGATGTCTATGCCAATTAAAAAGATGAGATGTTGCGCTCCGGGATTGCTCGTCGGCATCTTTGCGCCATTTGAATTCCAGACTTGTATGTCAATATAGAGTAATAACAGCTCATGTAACTTCAACTCACCTCAGATGATTATACCCAAGCGTGTCAAACAATTGCGTCTGAAAAACATCATATCCATAGTCATATTGTTTGCTGGCCCGAATCTTTTCGCCTGAACGTAGAACCCAAAAGTTCGCCCATGATATAGGCAAGTGTTTGTGTTCGACATGGGCGAGAAGCTCAAGACTGAGGTTTCTCTTTGTAGTAAACCCGAAAGGGGGGCGGCGACCCAAGGCACCGATGCTTCTGGTCGGCAATAGAAAGACATCTGGAACTCCTCCGCTCGGGGAATACCTGTTTCGCTTGTAGATTCGGAGTGGTAGATCACTTGTAGAAATGTTTGGATTGTATTTGTCCAAATGGCAGCAACGAGGCAGATAGGAGGTAATCGTTTGAGTGACATATTTAAGATTGGTGAGGCCTGATCATGAACCACGAGAGAATACCATAAGAGGCTCAAGTGTGGTTTCTTCCAGGAAATCGCATCCAGCAGCTTCTGGTGATCTAGTTTGGCGTCTGAACTGATAGCCTCTTTAATACCAGAGGATGCAGATCCAACCAAGTTGCATGGTATAGTTGGATCAAAAAAGCACACTGCATAGCAACGAGTCAAGGGCATCTTGGGTAGCACTCAGGGTTATACATTTATCAATCTTTCGGAAGATATCATGGAATATGGTAAGATTTGTTGGAAAGGGGGTTGGGGGCCGAGAAATAATCGCAGGTGGAGATAGCTTTGGGCTGGGTACATTCCGTGATGGAAGTAGTAAGACGGAAGCAAAGCCAACCAGCATTTCTCTTTCGAGACCATCTGAAATGCAGAAATTCAAAAGGATATTGAATGCAACTGATGGATTCGGTAATGACGGGACCCATTCGTAGCTGTTGGTGCACCATATCAGTAAAATCGAATTGAATACAGTGCTGGCATCGGTACCGTTTATTATGACTTTCATCTTTGTCTCGTAGCATCCAGGGCGAGTATGAGCTAGCCCGTCCACTCTTCACCCGAGCTAGCCAACGGCCTTGTGTGATGACCTCCCAAAAGTTTTCGATTGGCGAATCGCCACTATCATGGAAAAGGGCACAATCCTTGCCACCAGACTGCAGTATTTCAACCCAGCGAGAAGACAAAATATATGACCAAGCCAAGACAATGCTTGTGAGATATGCGGGTTGTAAATCCTGTGTTGCAATCGTGACACTGCATACTGGTTGTTCGACGTTGGTTTTATAGGCTGTGGGCAGCGGAAAGCCAAGACATTGGAGGTAATCAATGGGCTTCCATTGTTGGCTGCAACCGGGGTGACCCGTCGTCTGCAGATGCAATGATGATTTTAAGACAAGCGGGAACTTCGTTCCACCTGTTAAGTCAATGTTTTTGGGCGGTTTGTAGAAAAAAGGGGGGACATTGTCCAGCAGACCGAGGAAAGCCTTCAAATGAATATCTAGCGACTACTCGCTCCGTCATGACTCAATACTGCTTGACTCCAGGAGTCTAGACTGGCTTGATAACATGATTGAAGCTGAGTTTCTGTCGGACAAATACCGTCACCAGGACACCAGGCTTCATCATCGCCGCTCTGAGAATCTGTTATAGAGTCTGACCGCTCTAGGTCGTAGTATTCAATAGAGTGGCTATGCTGGCTTTGAGATTCTGGTTCTTCCATTTTCCTTTCTTGATGTGAGAATTAACGAAGAGACCAGTAATAATTGAACGGGAAAGAGCTTAGGATATAAAGGTGACAGGTCGTAAAGGCGGACCGGCGGTGAACTGGCGCGTAATATAGTAGGATTACGAACCTTGACGATACGATTTGAATATCGGCACAGATACTCACATGCATCTCTCGATTCTCTGCCAGACAGTGCCCACGTGACTTCTGGGTTCATTCAGTTTTCGAATTTCGAAAGGCGACAGTCACATGGTCCCGGAACGTGTTCCTCTATATCTGCCGCACGTGTTCGCTTCTTCCTTTTTCTTTTTCTCTTTCTCTTTTCATTTTACCCGATGGTACCGAGCTGCCTCAAATTAATCCGCACCCAAGTGCGTCTCTCATCATACTTTTGACCGATCGGTCTCACGTTAGTCCGACCACCTCCGCGCTTAACGCCGGAACCCGAACACCGGAAGACCAATCACTCATCACTCGATCCCTGCCCATCCGTCAGGTGCTTCAGAGAGTGACAGAGACAACATCCGGTCTCACATTTATCCGTCCCATGGGGCCATGATCACTCCATCCTCATCTCACGGTCCCACGTCATACTCACGTGCATCTCTGGCAGGCAGAGCCCACGTGCATTCTGCGTTCTGTTCATCAATCGAGCTCAAGATAGTCCGGTCCGACTAATCTCCGTTGCCATACCAACCCTCGCGCGCGGCCCGCACACGAAAGTCACGCGATACTTTGATAAGCTGCTTATCAACATGGCCGGCTTCCGGTACGCCGTAGGGATTGTTCGAAAACGGCCGTGAAAAGGTCCTGAGAGGCCACGGAACTACCGTGGCGAAAGCCAGGAAGAAGAATCTGGTCCTGAACCCCTGGAACTGGGGACACTGGACAGTTTCCATGCCCTTGAATTCACGCTGTTTATAAAGCCTGGATAAACAAAGGGGATGGCAAATTGCCTATGAGAGCTTGAGTCTGCAAACACAAAGACTGTAAGACTCACAAAGACATCCCTTTGTATGTCAGGGATGCGGCATGCCACAGAAGGCCGCAAAATGGTCCCCTTGCGGTCGCTTCCTCTGAAGACGTCGAAGGCGATATCAGCAGACAGCCAGACGCCATTCGCGCCCTCTGAAGGCTCGCAACATGGTCCCCTCGTGGTTGGTTCCCCTGAATATACCGACTTCGATTGCGAAGGAAAGGAGGTGCAAGTTAAAACTAGACGTTAATTGCACGTCTCTAAGCTTTCAAGTGCCTCCTGCCTTGACTCTTTCATCACCAACGAATATCGGAGAGGCTGAGACAGACAGACGCTATTCGCGCCTTCCGAAGGCTCGCAACATGGTCCCCTTGCCGTCGCTTCCTCTGAAGACGTCGAAGGCGACATCCATCTCCTCCGACTTATCGGAGAGGCTGAGAAAGCCAAAGGCCATTTCCGCCTTCTGATGGCTATCCACATCCGGTCTCCCTGGATCGTGAGGTTCCCGCCCAATCCTCCGCTCGACTCATAGGGAGGGTTATACGCTTTCTCGCGACATCTTATGTGACATACCCTTTCTTCACCGACGCATACCGGTTCGTCGCCCATCATATTCCTTATTTTTGTACCCTCACTCGAACTCGCCTCATCTTCACTCGCCTCATCTTCACTCGCCTCATCTTCACTCGCCTCATCTTCACTCGCCTCATCTTCACTCGCCTCATCTTCACTCGCCTCATCTTCACTCGCCTCATCTTCACTCGCCTCATCTTCACTCGCCTCATCTTCACTCGCCTCATCTCCACTCGCCGCATCTTCACTCACCGTCTATACTTCTCATGTTATTCCGGCATAGTGCGGGGCCGTCCATGGCGATGGATGACATTTGTTTATGAGCGCCGGCATCAGCGGTGTGAGAAGTTGGGAGGTGAGAAGTTGGGATGTGAGAAGTTGGGAGGTGAGAAGGTGTGGAACTGAGAAGTTGTAGGAAAGCAATGTCTGTCTCACCTCCCAACTTCTCAGTTCCACACCTTCTCACCTCCCAACTTCTCACCTCCCAACTTCTCACCTGCCAACTTCTCACAAATAATGCAATGATAGAATTAGAAGGGCATTATATACCTGGAAATTTTCATTAGCTCAATTTGCAGTCTTTCATTTTGGTGTTGTCGTTCGTATCTAGGGTTGTAGTTGGCACGCGATAGTTCGGAACGGTACAACTTGTGTCCGAGAACTAGGCTCGAGTTGCAGTTGCCTTAGGCCTTCAATGATATTAATATCTCCAGACGGGCTCCAGTCTAACGCTAAGAGGTATAATTGGCGTCTCTCCAGCAAAGGAAGTCACGAAGTGAGGGTACCTGTAATATTTTGAATGGTTATGATCATCAATAAAGACTCCGAGGTTGCTCACTCATGGTATGTCACAGCAATGTATGTGACAAATTAGCGAATGTATGTACTACGAACGTCGAACGTAATTTATCACACCTCTTCCGTTTCATACGGAGCTACGGGGTAGACAGGAATCATAGCATACAATTGCAAAAAACAGGCAAAGGGCAGAAGCAAAAAACATACAACAGTGAGGATTCGCTGGTGGTCACCCACCCAACTACTAACTCACCGGCGTGTGGCTTAAGTACGGCTGAGCGGACGGGAAGCCCTGTTTTCCACACCCTATGGTCGTATGTACTGGATCTTCTTGCGAGCACAATTATATCCTTTAATGTTTTCTGATTCCAACACAAAGAATGGCCACTGTCGTCCGTCATACGCCCTCCAAGGACTTAATACTATCAATAAGGAACACAAGGCAAGTGCTTCTCTTCTAGTCAAAAGGATAACCAAACAAGCCTCAATACTCATTGCAAACCACCATGGATATGCAATAATGCATTGCCCGACTCAATAATTTCCCCTCTCATCACCATTTCCATGCACTGTCGTCATCGTACCAATCCGTCCGGTCAGATCGCTTAGCCAATCCGTACATGACATAGTCTGTTCTCCGAAACTGTTGGTTTGTATCGCACTCAAGGGCTGCCATCCGAAACCCGGAAATGTGCCTATTAAATAATCAAAATGAGAGTCAGTGCCCGCTTAAGAATCTTCGACCATGGATAAATATCATATACATCTTGCCAGTAGACTCATCATATATGAGCTTCGAGGTGGTGGCCATACATGGCTTGACGCCGCATCCCAAAAGCTGTCTATTTGAATAGTCAGTCTCTTATTTCTACAGGTAGGGGCTGAGGATATGAACGTACTGGTAGACCCGGCGAAATTCTTCGCGGATACTACCGCGCTGCTGTTCGTTGAGACTCCAAAAGTAGTCCTGAGACAGGCTCTCCCGGAACTTTCTCCCAGACAATCGAGATTTCATACCCACCAGGGATTTCGTGCTCCCCCTGCGTTCCTGCTTGGTAACCTAGGAGTTGGGGGACGGCAGGACATGCCAGCTCCTTCAGTGTCTTGAATGCCACTAATTCCGTAATCGTCTCTTTCTTAATTGCGTGGCTAGCTCGGATACTAGAAGGGGCAAATTCGAAGCCACAGATACGGATTTGACGATAGATTCGGATATATGCTAGCTTTCTGGGGTCGTCCTTCGGGTGGCAGAGAAACTTTGCGGCAGCGGATCCGGGCTCATGACCATAGTCGATATCCTGTTGCGTCATGAAAAGCGACAGCTCATCGGTTGGGCGAGTAATTGCCTGGGTTCGTCTTCTTCATCGGCGACATCAGCTAACCTGTGTTGCTCGATCCAGGAACTTTCAGCTCCCCTATAATCTTTAGCTCTTTATTGCTGCTCTTCAAGTTCACACCAGGTACACCAGCGTATGAGCTTCCTAAGCATTTTAAGTCGGCAAAATATAGGTCGATCGATTGCACAGTAACACTGCCATGAAGGCATCTGGATGGTCTCCTGACATGGATGAAATGGCTCAGCAGCCTCGCCACGGCCCCAACTACAATTAGTTGCTGCACCTTCTCAATGGCATGAGGTTTGAAGATATGCCCCATTAAAGAGCCCAGTGATTGCTGGAAACGGCCCTGAAGCCCGTGCTCGTCACCGAGCTCAACTGCCTCATCATCAAGGCGTTGGGTCTACTTGAGTACTCTTGAACTCAATGTCTGCGATTTGCTCGTTGCTTCCACGGCCCGTAGAAAAGTAGACCAGCGAGAGAGACGGCTCGGGAAATAGAGGCTGTGGAGAGCACTAGATTCCATGTGGTGCTGTCCAACCAAAAGAGTGGGAACGGTGGCTGCCGTGGCATCTTTGGTGTAAATCTTTCGACCAGGAAGATGTGGCATGTTGACAGGATCTGTGACTTTCATCTGGATTTAGTACGATGCACTTCATGTTAAGATGAATGTGGGAGTGAAAGACAGTACCGTATGAACCTTGATCGACTTGGAATGACTTTCAGTAAGTCGTTGTTTGGATGACCATAAGTTAGGTGATGAGTTGTTGAGAGGAAGAGGGGTGGGTAGGTGAGTGAGGTGAAAGGTTAAAAGAGACACTGTTGCTTAGTTATGTTCCGAGATTTAAACGCAGTTAAGGGAAGGAGCGAACCATACCTAGGAGGGAAGGAGCGAGCACGGAAGAACATAAAAAGGTGTTCGTCTGCCCAGCTCTTCTTCTTATTTCCTCTTCCCTTCTCCAGTTCTATTACCTTCTCAGCACAGGAACAAGTTATCTCTTTTGTTCTTTATACTTTCGGTCCGTGATATGGGTTGTTATATAATCCGCAGCAACTAAGTACCACTCCACATCTCCTGAAGCCGCGTCCCCCCTGCCTCTTCCATCTCTCCCGACGCCGCTTCTCCCCGGGCCCGCTATTCCGCAGACGGCTGGATGTCGCCGTCTGAGGCGGATGGATCGCAGAGCCCCCCCTCCCCCCGGCCCAAGGAAGCGAGTCCGTCACAACTGGCGTAATGACGGACATGATTGGGAAGCTGACAATTATCCAATTCGGGATTGCTCACCCGCGAGTCCGGCCGACAGTGACATCTCGATCGCCGATGCGTCCCCACCTAGCCCTAGCGATATCTCAATGCAGGATGCTCCTTCTCCGGACAATGACATCCAGATGCAGGATGGCTCTTCCCCTGGGAGTCACATTTCCATTCATGATGTCCCATCCCCTGCTGCTTCCTCGCTGCAAAGCGAGATTTCAATGACCGACTGCGCGGCCCATCAAATCGACAGTCAGGATGTGGAGATGTCACGTACGCCATCCCCTCCACAACAAGAGAAGCCCGTCGTCGTCAGGGTTCTTCCGAGACGTCCTTCTCCCGTTGTTGCTGGCCCATCTACCGCCAAGGAGGTCGTACCATCTGTGGTGGCTGCCCCTGGCCAGGGCGTTGCCGGCTACCAGGACATGGCAGCCCCAGTCGAAAGCACGGACGCCACGAACAAGGGCAACGGCAAGGGCAAGGAGAGGGATCCTGGGGACGACACGATGGCGGATGGACCATCGACCAACTCCAATGAGGAGGGGCAGGTAAGCACTTCGGCCTCTCAGGGAATGTCTACCAGCAGCGAGCAACAGGCTGCGTGGTATGGGCAGCTTGAGGGTGCAATCTCTCAAGCTGCCAACCATTTCCTGATGGAGGCCCACGACGATGGCCATCTCACAGATCACTCTCTCAAGAGGATCATAGAGGATCGTCGTGCCAGAAGGTTGCCTGCCCTGACCGACTTCAGCTACGACCTGCTTGCCCAGTACCAGCTGGTGCTTGACAAATTCAGCAAGCTGTACGGAAGTTTCGGCCCTACCACTGCTGGTTCGAGTTTTGTCCTGGCGGCCTGGCGCAAGCTAGGCACGGCGATTTGTGACAGGACCTTCAGCAATCCCGATACAGCCATAAAGCAGCATCTTGACGATGCTGTGAATATCCTTGGCTTGCTGGAGGCAGAGAAGGCGGTCATCAGGTCGATCTCCGAGCTCTGCAACAGCTTCAGGGAAGTCCTGGAGAAAGGCGGCAGTTCCTGCCCGATTCTCTCTCACTCTCTCTTGTGTTGGCTCTCTCATTGCCCTGAGCATTGTTCTGAAGGCCACCAGTTAGACATGCGCGCGGTAGGAGCTTCCCAATGCGTCCTTCGCTTCCTCGTTCTCGGTAGCCACTCCGCAATATCCAATAAGAAGTGATTAAGTGATCGAGAATATATTCTGTATTAGGTTGATGCTATGGACATTTTGCTAGTCAATCAAGCAATATTCTTCATATGGAATGCGAAGGGCCAGACCTACCAAGCCTGCATACAACCATGGAAGGTCGGATAGACGTTGATAATATTGGCATTGATAGGTATCGTTGCAGATCAGTCAAAGCAACGTTTAGTTTCCTGGCCATGCAAGCTAGCCATACCTATATTTCTAGATTGGCCAGTTGACGTGGCGTGTCCGTATTCGCCCCAGAACGTCTTCGGTTGAATTGGGGGTTGGTGGTCATCCGATATTGCAATTTGCAAATAGTCTTCGCCGCCTGTTCCCTTGCCAGATTTGCTGTCTCTGGAGGTTATTTCGTCGTCGTCTTCTGGCTTTGGCTCGGCTTCTTTTTGCCGGAATTGGGATCGCGTCGTAAGGAGCGGTCGCTCCAAGATCTGTCCATGTTGTCTTTATAATTAGATTGAACTAAGATTCCAGTACATACGACCATAGGGTGTGGAAAACAGGGCTTCCCGTCCGCTCAGCCGTACTTAAGCCACACGCCGGTGAGTTAGTAGTTGGGTGGGTGACCACCAGCGAATCCTCACTGTTGTATGTTTTTTATTCTTTCCAATTGTCAGGATCGTAGTGCTTCACCTGGTATCGAAGAGTTTACATTGTGCTCCACTTTGTCGGATCACCTTTTCTCCGAGGTCAGAGGGATATAAACCCCCCTGAATCCCTCGTGTACTCCGTAGTTATCATATCATGGTTTTCTCATCCCTTCCTTTCCTCTCCTCCATCATGGCAGCCTTTAGTTTCGCTGTTGTACCCATTGTTTCACAGCCCCAGTTCCAGGCTGTTACCAATTTATTCATATCGTTGACGTTTTTTCAGGCACACACACAGAGAGAGAGAGATATTCATTTGCCCGCGGGTTCTTTGTCTTTCAGCCCGCTCAACCAAATTCTTCGGCGTGAGCTTCCTGATCTGGTCCCGGCTCCCCAACCTTGACGATGACCTCTCGGTCCTCGCGGGTTTCGACCTCAGGTATCCCTGGCGGCGATGTTGTGTTGTTCCGGTTTACGGAAGCTGGAGTGGTCGCTTGGTCTCTGGCGCGGAAGCTGCGCCATGCCGCCGCGGGATCCGCCGCGGGGGCGGAAATGGTGGTTTCAATCTTCTCAATCCTTTGATTGAGGCGTTCGGTGTTGGCGTTGATCTTGGTCAGCGCCTCAAACACCTTGGCCATCCCCTGGCCGTCGCCCCGTTGGGCGTTCATTGCGTATTTTCGGATGGACCGAATAAATCCAGTGACATATGGATCCTCCGTACCACTGTTCTCAATGTGGTGGAGCACCCGTAGGGCACCTTCTGCGATCTCGTCCATGGTTCTCGGCGGATCGGCGGGGGTCTTTGATTTCTGAGGTTGACCTCCTCCAGGGGGCAAAGTTTGTGCGTTCGCACCCGTCGCAACCATCGCTGGCATCCTTCCTATAAAATAGGTATCGGATAGTAGCGCTTCGAGTTACGGTCAGCATGAACTAATTCACGAGGCCGTAGGTCCTCTGGTTGGCGAGATATCTCAAGAAAACATTTTTGCCGGTGCTTGAGGCGCTGATCAAGATCAACATCAACACCGAACGCTACATGGCCCCTGAAGGAGGACAACCGCAAAAACCGAAGACCCCCGCGGATCCGCCCAGAACCATAGATGAAATCGCGGAATGTGCCCTACGGGTGCTCCGCTACATTGAAAACAGTGGCACGGAGGATCCGTATGTCACTGGATTCATTCGGTCCATCCGAAAACACGCCATGAACGCCCAACGGGGCGACGGCCAGGGGATGACCAAGGTGTTTGAGGCGCTGAGCAATCAACACCAACACCGAACGCCTCAATCAAAGGACTGAGAAGATTGAAACCACCATTTCCGCCCCCGCGGCGGATTCCACGGCGGCATGGCGCAGCTTCCGCGCCAGAGACCAAGCGACCACTGCAGCTTCCGTAAACCGGAACAACACACCATCGCCGCCAGGAATACCCGAGATCGAAACCTGCGAGGACCGAGAGATCATCGTCAAGGTTGGGGGGAACTGGGACCTACTTAGGAAGCTCACGCCGAAGAATTTGGTTGAGAATTTGGTTGAGAGGGCTGAAAGACAAAGAACCCCGAATGGCCACCAACCATTGGCCGAACATGCCTCATTTGTCGCTGCCTGAAAACTGCCGTCCGGGGATGTGGCGATGATCGCCAACAGTGCTGCAGGGGCACAAGCCCTCCGCAAGCAGACCGCCTGGTTGAGCGCCTTTGGACCAGGCTCGGTGGTCCAAGAACCCTCATGGGGAGTGGTAGCGTACCATATCCCCGTACGGTCCATAAAGGTCTCTCCGCGGACGATGGCGAATATTGCGAGCGAGCTACTAGCTCAGAACAACTGAGGTGAAAACGCCAAGATCCAATATCTTGGATGGATGACCCGCCCGGGTGAGAGAGCGGAGGGCTCGATTTTTTTGATCGAGTTCACCAGCCCAGTCGTGGCCAATCGCGCCATCGCCTCGGGAGTCGTCTGGGGCCGCCAAATCCACCACGCGGTCCGATTATGCCGTGAAGGGCCGATAAAGCTATGCAAGAAGTGCCAGAGACCTGGGCACATCCGGTCGCACTGCTCCAGCGAAAGCGGATGCGGTCACTTTGCCGACGGACACTCTCAGGCCAGCGAAAGCAGCGCAGTGGCCGCATCTGCTTTCACTCGAGCAGTGCGACTGGATATGCCCAGGTCTCTGGCACTTCTTGCACAGTTTTATCCGGCCCTCACGGGCATAATAGGACAACTCTTCCAGACTGTCTGACCTTCCGCTGAACTGCCGATTCTGCCGACATGCCGAACCCCTCGCTGGACATACCTTCAAAACCATATCAAGTGTCTCTTTTCTCTTTATCCTACCGAAAACAGCACCGCCGCTATGGATCACCACGAACCTGCGCCACCAAGTTACGAATATGGCAAAATCTTCATGTGAAGAGCTGGAGCAAAACTTGAATGCAATTTCCCTAAGCCAGATACAATCTTGAAGAAACATGAAAGTACAAACAGGGACGCAGTAAGAGTAGGCCGTAGGGCACGTGCAAAGGGACGCACGACACCAATCAAGTGCGCCAATTGTGGCGAAGGGCATCGCCCTACAAGCCGGGAATGCCCGGTGAAGATTAGGGCAATGGAGGAGGCCAAGCAAGCGTTCGCCAATTACGCTGCTTATCACCGAATGCCTATGCGCTTCCAAGCGACGATGGACGCTGGGAGAGGAGCAACGGCAACCAGAAAAGAAACCACACAACAAGAGGGACTTCCATACACGCTCCGGAGGGACAACGGTGTGGAAGAGCCGCTGCAGGTCCCCCAGGACCAAATCACCGAACCCACCCAGTCCAAGGGAGGCCCTGGACACCCTAAAGGGTCTGAAAACAGACAGAGGGCGGAAAACTGGCATCTGTGCCGCTGGCGAACCAAAGGACCACGAGGCTCCAATCCGGCTCGAAGAGGCGTCGCATAGGCGAACCACAAGATACCATGGACGAGCAGCCAGACGATGATGCATAGTTCAACATTCGACCCACTTCGACCGATCGCCCTCGTGCAGAAACTCAGCGAGATAGCACGGAGACCACCACCAAGGACGCCACGAACCACCTACAAATGTTCATATTCGGATCGTCCCCGCCGGCTTCTACGGCGGATGCAGCGACAACCGAATTGGACGACTCAAAGGATGACCCCAATGACGAGGTGTGGCACGAGGCCAGCGAAGGGAGCGAGGATGAGCAAGATCATCAATGAAACCATTTGAGATCTTGCAATACAACGTACACAAGCGTACATTCATGTGTGTCAGAAACATGACTTGTGAGATAACGGCATAGGCACAAAATTGTGGATATATACACGCAGGAACAGGTTTATCAGAGACGGAAAAAAAAGAATTCTATATGTACTAATCAGAAGGCAGTAGCAACGCCTTCTCTATCAAGACCGAAAACAGCCCAGGGGAAGTGCTCCATCCTGCGGGTCTCTCATGTAGATTCCGCAACATCCGCATCAATCGCAGGCAACGGCAGGTATTCCAAATGAGGCCCACCTCTTGAGAAACTGGCATACAGTTTGGCCTTGAGCTTGTCACTGACCCAGGGGACAACGTGACGGGCTGCAAATTTGAGAACCCAGCTATCCTGCGCTTCATAGCGCGTGATCTGGCCCGAGATATCAACGACGGTGTCTGATCGAGGTTTCTGACCGGCAAAGTACTGATCAAAAACACCGGTCAGTTGTTCAAGGGATGGTATAGGGCTCTCCCTTAGCAAGGGTACGAGTCCATTGGTCAAACGGGCAATTCCTTCATAAGCCAAGTTGCCACCCAATCCGGGGTTGATGGTAGCCTGCCGAGGTCGAGAAAGTGAGTATAATAACTTGTCGAATGTTTTGGGGCATTCAAACCTTAGAAACCGAGTCACCCATCAGAACAACCCGATTGTGACTCCATTTTTTGATGACACCTTCTTCAAGGGGCACCATTGTGCCTTTGACTCGAGCGTCCCAAAGGTCCTTGACAGTGTAGCCAGGGCCTACCTGAGAGCTTCCGTACTTCTCAATCGTTTTCTCTGCATCTTCATCCGTGAAGCGCGGGCAATTAGGAGTTCTGGTGACTTGGGCGGCCTTCACGAAAAGGAACCAGAACACAAGCCCATGCACACCAGAGGCGGCAACTGCAGAGTGTTTGTGGTAGTACACGTTGTGAACCATGGCATCTGGCAAGAACTGTTTCTCTGGGTCGTTTCGAGAAACAGCAAAGATGCAATTGTACTCGCTTGTGAAAGCTGCACGGCAGTTTATGTTACTTAGACAGGCGTCAGGGCTAGCAAGGAGATAAGTACGAACCCTCGTTGATCTCTTTAGCGAGAGGTGCATCTGTTGCGCTGATCTTGTCGGCCATCAGCTTTCTCACTTTGCTGTGAATTCCATCTGCGCCTATAAGAATGTGGCCGTGGTGCTGTTTGCCGTCCTCAGTGGTGACGATGACACCATCTGCGGTTTCTTCATATCCACTGACAGCCGTGTGGTCATGCAGCTTTGACTTGTCTTTCACATGGCTGTATAGGACCTCCAGTGCCTTACACCGCTCCATGAAAATAATGGGGCGCTTGAGACTGTAGAAACCCCCAAGGGGAATATGCCATCAGCAAACATCCTTTATGGGCCATTAATCCCTTAAGCCACACAGACACCGTTTCAATTCCTCTTCCATGACAAATAGTGGGGTTATGTATGGTTTAGACCTACATTTCGTGGATGTTGACTAGCACATGTGACTCCTCAAAGCAGTAACCATTGCCGTCATAATGGTTCCGATCCTGCAGAGGTATCACCTGCTTCTCAATGTCTCCCCATACTCCCAACTGCTCTAGGATTCTTATGGTATGCGGGTGAATGCCAATAGAAGCTCCCAGTTGCGTTGCGAACTCTCCTTTCTCAAAGAGCTCATAGTCGATTCCGGCGCGCTCGAAAGCTAGGGCTAGGCCGAGACCCACGAGACTCCCGCCAGCGATGAGGACCTTGAACTGGTCTATGTTTTGATTGGGCGAAGCCATGAATGGGGACGTTGACAGTAAAGATGATTACCCCAAGCGTTAAAGAAGTGATCCCTTTTATCACGCAAATCCTAAGGCATAATCTTAATGTATTATCTTTTTGGCCCCTTTATCATTCACAGCCAAGTCGGCAGTAAGAAAATTGCAAATAAAAAAAAGCGGAGAATACAAGTCACCTCTTGACGCCGAGTGCGCTAAGCGGCTGTGCCGCTGTAGTAGCGGGATTGGACGTCTCAATGGCACGGGTCAGATTGCAGAGTCATTTTTATCTTTTCTTTTCTTCAAGCTCACCCTCCAAAACCACCAGATTAGGAGCACCGTTAGCCTAGTACTATTCTTCCTTGGTTGCGAGTCCGGGGCAATGAACCACAATATGAAGAATGAACTGTGGGCGGGTCTGTGGCTGCCGTGGTCGGATAAATTTGCAGGGGTCACTGAAATGTGGTCTGGTGGCTGAAACTGACAAGGAAGGCTAAGGGTTAGGTAGCTCCACTACTTGAAGTTGATAGGCTGACGATTATCGACTGACCTTCTCCTTTGGACATTAGTCTTCATAAGTTCATTCCCATATTGACCCAAATATACGGAATACGCTAAAGTATAGGGCCCAGGGGTCATCAATGTCTACCCAGTAGAATAAATAATCATGCAGCCACCGGCATGGTTCGATCCTGTCGAGTCCCCAATCCAAGAGACACCTCTTGGCTTACCCCTAATGAGAATTATTCCTTGCCAATCCCAACAGTAACCAGGTTTTCCTAAACACTCCATGGAGGTTAGGCCATATTCAGAGGTCTAATATCCACACTGGATGGGGCGGGCTCATATCCAGCGGGTGTCTTGATATACTCGGGTTATGCTCGGAAGAGCATTACTACTCCGTACTGGGGATGAGAAACGTGCATGGCGCAAGAAAGCAATTGTATGGCGCTATATAAAAAACAAATCGTGCTTTTGGCACAGTCAGGTGATGACATTGTTTAGCTTCAGATCATGGCCTGACCCGAGGTCCCGAGTCATGTCCGAATCTAGAACAAACTGCCGTTATCTATCTTGTGTTGACCAAGTGCCAAGAGCCCAAGACTCGCTAAGGCGGACATTCTGACAGCGGGGAGCAAAAGTACATTGAAGCCCGGACTGAACCTGTCACATTAATGTACATAGCTTGTTTTTCTTTTCTTTTTTCTTCTCTTTTATTGGATCCTTCGTCTCCCACTTGAACTAATAAAACACGCCTCGTCCGGTTCTTCTGCTCGAAATCCGCAACTCGTGTATCCTACTCGCAATATGCAGATGAGCATCCGACCTTCATAATCGCCCATCATGTCTTCTTCACAACCCGAGTTGCAAATTACAGCAGATGAGCGGTATCTACGATCGCTCATATATGGTTTGGTCGCCGGTACGGCATGTTTGTCTTTGATCGTCTGCAGCTTGAGAGTAAGACCCCATCTGGAGAGCTCTTCACCACATTTGATCACCAGGAACTCACGTACTAATCACTCTTACAGCTATATACAAGAGCAGTCGTTATCAAGGTGTTTGGATTGGATGATATTGCTGTTTGCGTCGCATTGGTTCGTGCTGGACTTGTCCCGTCTTCCAAGGCAGTCGGGACGCAAAGACTAACAGTCATTCAATAGGTCATCACGCAAGCTTTCAACGGTCTAGCAATTGCTGTGGCCTACCACGGAGAAGGTTACCACTTTGAAAATGTGTCTCCAGAAGATCGGGCAATCTGGATGAAGGTATGATCAAAACATCTCCACCTCCTTCGCCCTTCGAGCATCTAGCTGAGATTGGACCATCTAGCTCTATTACGTGGCGATGTGCCTGTATCTCTACGTTTCACTGGCAGTGAAGGTGAGCCTACTGTTGTTCTTGCGACGGATCTTCATTAAACGTAAGCTTTCAGTCCGATACGATGGATACCCGGCGCTGACCACATTATTCCTGTTTAGCCTGGATGAATTACCTCACTACGGGCATGATTGTCTTCCAAGTCCTGTTCTCGTTATCCGGCTCTTTTGTTTTGGCTTTCCAATGTACCCCTGCAAGGTATATGGAAGCTCCTATCCACAGCAGTGTCTGTCTATAATACTAACTACCATGACAGGGCCGCCTTTGACTTGACCATTACGAACGCCAAATGCTACACTCAGTACAAGCTTTTCCAAATTACCCTATACCAAGCGGTCCTTATCTTCGTATGCGATGTGATCATTCTGGTTGCGCCACTGATCATTTTGTGCGGACTTAACATGCCCACGCGAAAGATCATTGCTCTGATGGCGATCTTTGGATCAGGTTCGTGCACACCGTCTACTATCTCTATTCCTTTTACCAAAATTGCTAACTTTGACCTGAGGTATAATCGCCTGTATCTCCCCCGTCGTCCGCTTCAGCACCTTAGATTACCTGCGCAGAGGCACAACGGATCTGACTTGTAAGAATGTCCTACTGGACCCTGTCTTGGCTCATACTAACCATCAATCACAGATGACTCGGCCTCATCTCTCTACTGGATGGCTATTGAATTCAATCTTGGCCTCGTCGCCGGCTCTCTCTCCTCTCTAAAACCTTTGCCATTCTTTCGCCGATTCGGATCGAGCACAGACTCACGATACAAGGTCACAACCGGCGGCGATACGCCACACGAGCTCCGCAACGTGAGTGGCAAAGACAACCGAAGTAAGAAAAAGACCATCGGTTCGGGAATGGGGACCACGATACTACAGGATAGTATTAACGAGAGCCAAGAGCGCATCATCCACGTGTGTCAAGAGCGCATCGTCCACGTGACAAAAGCAGACCAAGAGCAAGGCGTGCCAGAGAACAGGTGGTGACACTCGAAACATATGTTATATCTGGTTAGGGACTCAACGTCGACCGTTTTGGCGGGTGTTAAAAAAAATTAATCATTGATTTTGTTCTGAAACAGCCGGGTCCGCTGAGGCACTGTAGATACTCTGAAGACCCTGGGTCGTTACAGGCTTACAGCGGCGTCATAACTCAACTGAAATGGCTTGGAAAGATCCAGAATAGATCAATAGTCTGATTCAACAGAATCACTGAACCTCCTCCTTACCTAGAGTGATAGGATTCGGCATGAAATACCTATGTGCCGAGGCCTGATCTGTGCGTGTCGTGTGCGTGGAGCCATGTGATCGATCATACCTAGATTGGCCTAGTGGATAGCCGATACGTACCTATCCAAGGGTCCGGGCAAGGGAGAAAAATAAAGTTTTGTTTCGGCCCGTCCCTTCATTCACATCATCAGCCTCCTCATCATGGACCTGCGGCGTCTACTCGACACTATCGACCCGCCACCGTCCGTCTCCCATTCTCGACATCGACATCCATCCCCGCCATGGATCTCCGCATCTAATCCTACGAACTTGTTCAGGCGTACAAGGCCCACTCTTTCACCTCTATCGATCTACGCCGTTTTCTGGTGAAAAGGCCGCGCTTGCACGTCGACCGACCGAGCTGACCCAACTCCCTTGGACTTGATTATGGACTCTCCCTCAGTCTGAGATGTCCTCCGGCAGTCTGGGTTCTCCCGTACCGGAAGCGCAATTTGACGCCTACGCCGCTGCCCGAGAGAAGATGTTCATTGTTCGCTAGGCTAGATAAATATCAATCGCTGAATGATGATGACGATACGGTCCATTTCCTGAGGTCTGTCTTCCGATTTCTCCCAACCCAAGGCCAGGCCCACTTGGCCAACGACGTAGAAGACTGCAATGACGACAGCAAACTGCTGCAACTGGCGAAGCACCTGGACACAACTTTGCTGAAGCCGATGTTGGCCACTGGTGGAACTACGCCAGCGATAACACCATCCCCTCTTCCTGGTGTGGAAGACCCTATTGGGGAGCTACTGTCCCTGGAATTCGACTCGGCGACCCTGCGGCAGAGCGAGATACGGCGAATATGCCTACAACGTGACAATTACCAATGCGTAGTGACAAAAGCCTGGGAACATGAGCACAACCCCCCCCCGGTGCACGTACCGCTGACCTTGAAGCCGCTCATATCATTCCGTTTGCCTTTGGGAGTTTTCCGGAGGATGAGCGACTGCGTCATGGGTGCATTTGGCAATGCCTCTACCGCTATTTCCCAACTATCCGTGACCTCTTTCACCGCGGCGCTGAAGACGTCAACCGCATCGACAATGTGATGATGATGGCATCACCCTTACATCGTGAGTTCGGTCGCTTCTCATTTGTCCTAGAGGAGACAAGTGTTTCTGGTCGCTACCGCGTTAAAAATTTCCCCCGATTTCGAAACATCTACTAACCCATTATCCCTGACTTCACGACAATAGCAAGTCACGATCCCCGGTACTCCGCCCCTCATAGTTCTCTGCTCGCCGTGCATGCGGCCGTTAGTAACATCCCGCACGCGACCGGGCGCGGCGAACTGATCGCGAAGACCATGCAGCACCTACGATGGCTAGGCGACTGGATCACTCGTTAGGTGGTTGATTTTCCGTGCCGGGGGGCCTGGACCTAATATAACGAGGATACGTTTCCTTGCGGACAGACGAACGATGGCTAGGATTAGTTACCAGTAATGAAAAAACGTTCGTCTGTCCGCAAGGAAACGTATCCTCGTTATATTAGGTCCAGGCCCCCCGGCACGGAAAATCAACCACCTAACGAGTGATCCAGTCGTCGAGAAAAACTAGCCAGAAGACAAAAGAGACAAGAAAAAGCAGCACTTAGTATCTTAGGACTCTAGAATTTTTACCGCCAAACATACTGTGGAACATAATCGGGACTGTTTTCCGACGGAAATTTCCCTTGGACTATCGGACGGTGCTCATATATTCTTAGGTGAAAAGATACAGGGACAGTAACACATTACTCAGATAGAATTCATGAACATACACCTCGTCAGTTGAAACTTGAAAGCCGAACGCCGAAAAACTCCAAATCTCAAAAGTAAAGTGCTGATGCCAAGCATATGACGGTGGGCCTCTCGGCCAATCATAAAAGAGTAAACGTCGCCCAAGTCACGAGCGCACGACGAAGTCTGCGCCAAGTTCCATAGGACCATACTTGTATGAACCTGACAATACAAGCATCTATCTGGAACTTTTCTATGATTCAAGATCTACAATCTACATATAATAACACGTCGTTACGTGGTACGATCTCATGGACTCGTCAGATCACCAGGGTCCAAGTCAAAACCCGTACCCATACGACACGAGCCGCATCAGTGAACTGCTTAAGCGCAAGCGCCGCACTCGGGGCATCAAGTCATGTTTTCCCTGTCGGCATAGGAAAGTCCGCTGCGATGGTAATACACCATGTTCCAGCTGTGTGCAGCGGCATCATCCAGAGCTATGCTGTTTGCCCTCCTCTAGCTCAGGGCAAGAGCCGCCTGCTTCCGAAGGGAAGGGAAGCGCTTCTATGAATGGGGATAGGGATAATGAAGTCCACAACCACAGGTATGAATCACGAATCGTGTCTCTTTGCTTTTGGTTTCTTTTTTTGCTATTGTGGTACCGCGGATGGAATAATAGCATTTACTATCTTACCTGATATCATCTGCCTTTGAGTGAAACGCGCTGACAAAATTACTAGCAATAATCCCAGAGGAGACCAAAGAGCATGGTCAAGCGAAAGTGCTAATTATCCCCCAGGGATTGATCTCATCCTCAGCCGACTGGAGAAAATGGATAAAGAGATATCTTCTCTCAAGGCCGAGCTTAGGCAGACCCAGTCAAACTCCGGGTCAGGCACAATTGTGCAACCTAATCCGGCATCTACTTCACAAACCCCGTATATGCGGAAGGGGTCAACACTTGCGAAATCGCCCGGAAAGCACTTCGTCGAAGACGCTACCGGTGCCACCATCTTCCTGGGCAGCCATTCTGACCCGCCAGTAGCTCTGGGATGTCGACAAGCTGGGAGTGGCTCAATGCTAGATGATACGATGCTGCTGGATCAACTTGTTCCACGGACATATCCCTTCACGAATTTGTGGAAGCCGGAGCCTGGGGCAGGTGAGATTTATGAGACTTTACCTGACGAATCGGATATTATTCGGTGTGTACCAAGCCCGGAACTATTCTTGTAACTGACAGCATTTTTGTTTGGATACCTGGACTCACATTGGATGTCGATGCTGACTGAATGATCTCAGATACTGGCAAGTCTACCAAACCAGCGTACATCCTTTTTATCCGGCATTGGTAACATATGAGCAATTCAATATCTCGTTGTTCGGATTCCTCAACAAGCGCTCTAGTACTATGCTGGAAAATGAGACCTCGGTGTTAGACGACACGGATTCCTCTTGGCTAGCACTGCTTTTTGCTGTCCTTGCATGTGGAGTCCAGTTCTCGAATGATCCAATCAAGGAACGAGACCTACGCTGTAAGGTATTCAGTAAGTCAACCTGAATTACCTATACCGAGGCTGCTACTAACCGGTCAGTTTGCTCGTCTTTTCAATGCCTCCGGGCCTCCAATTTCTTCAACAACACCAACATGGACCAAATCCAAGCGAAGGCGTTGATCGGACACTGCCTGCGCAACAATCTCGATACTAACAGCGCCTGGATATTGATGGGTAGGGGCATCATGCCCCTAAATGAAGAGGACCAAGCCATGCTGAACCGCTTATAGGGTCAACGATACGTCTTGCGCAGAGCATCGGACTCCACGAAGAGACCGCATCAGACACGCAAAGCTCCACCTCGGAACAGTTCCAACGAAGACGCCTTTGGTATGTGCTTAACTCATTATTGACCTCATAAAACCACCCCTCTAACTCAAACCGCAGGTGGATGCTCTTATGGCAAGACACCTTCCTCTCCTTCACCTACGACCGCCCACCAAACGTGAACAATCTAAGCACCAGCATCCCCCACGACCCAGACGCATGCCCGGGACTATCATTCGCAGAATGCGTCTGCACCCTATGCCAGATCCTTCTCGAGCGAGCACGGCAAGAAAACACAGAAACAGTCAACGAGATATTATCCTTCAAGGGTCGAATGGCCGCGATCTTCGAAACTGCCTCCCCCTTCCTCCAGGACAAAATGAACTGTCGCAGTCTGCAAGAACACCTCGAGCGTCTGGCCCTGAGTATCCATATCTGCTATGCAATCTGTCGGCTCTGCCGGCTGGTTCTGGAGACTGCGGAGTACGCAGCTCATAGTACTGGTGTGGATGTCGATTCTATCAGGATGGAGTGCATCGACCGCGCGGCAGAGGCTGTCGAGAGTTTCTTGGATATGCACCGTCTTGCAGCGACGGTGTGTCGCTCCTGGGCGTTTGTTCATAATGCTGTTAGCTGTGCGCTTACGCTGCAGGGCCTAGTTGCTACTGGACCGCAGCGGTCTCATGCGGATATGCTTGTTAAGCGTTTGATTGCTGTACTGGAGCGCGAGGAACGGCAGTCTGTGTGGCAGGATACGGATACGAATGTGCGATATTTTGGTCCGTATTCACGGGCTCTCAAGGCCTTGCATGAGACTAGTGGAGGGCACTGAATGGTGGGGTGAGCGAGGTAAGACGGGGGAATGTGACGAATACGAGGTACCTACTGAAAAGGTTAACGGCTGATTTATCAGGATGTTTAGTAATCTCTTTGCGATCTTCTCATGTATAAATATCGTCTATTCCTGTATGGTACCTGAATTTCGCTTGAGGTGAACTTCATTTCCCGACCTTCATTACCTCAGGATGTCTACACTTCGCTATTACATCGTCGATGTCTTCTCGTCAATTGCCTACCAAGGCAATCCCCTCGCAGTGGTCGATACCACATCCTCAACCCTCACCGATACCCAAATGAAACTACTAGCACGACAATTCAACCTATCCGAAACAACCTTCGTCTGTCCCCCAGAAAACCCAAAAGCGACCTGGCGCCTGCGATCTTTCCTCCCCAACGGCGTGGAGGTCTTCGGCGCCGGCCACAACTCGCTCGGCGCCTGGTGGTGGATTGCACATTCTGGGAATCTGCCGGAGACCACACAACATGCACCAAATCGACAGACCTATTTCCAGCAACTGGGCGACAACGTCCTTCCAGTTGCAGTGGCGCGGTCGGAGCAGGGAGATCTTGCTATTTCTATGCGTCAGGGGGAACCGCGGTTTTTGAATGAACATGCGGATCTTCAATCCCTTGCTAGATCGGTCGGGATCGGTGCATCTGATTTAGGTCTTGAGTACTTGGACGTCGCGCTCAACCGGGCCGTGGTGGTTACCACATCGCCTGCTCGCCATCTCTTGGTTCCGGTGCGGAGTGTTGAGGCTTTGAGGAGCGTTAGCTTTGCTGATAAAGAGGCGATTTTGAAAGAGCTGGATAGTACTGGGAGTCATGATAGTGGTGTTTATGTTTTCAGTTCTGCGGAGAATGGTTCGGGGTCGAAAATACCGAGATTTGAGGCCCGATTCTTTAGCCCCGGGATGGGAATGGAAGACCCTGCTACAGGCTCGGCTGCTGGGCCTTTGGCTGCTTACTTGTGGGAGAATGGTGCGCTGGGTGTCTCTGATGGAGGAGTCAAGATTGAAGTTTTGCAGGGGGTGCAGACGGGGAGGAGATGCTTGATGAACGTGGGCATTGAGCCGGACCGAGGGTCAATTGGGATTACGATTTCAGGAACGGGTGTTCTCGTTGCAGATGGCAATATTGTGATTCCTGGCTCTGGAATTTCCTTTTGAGGGGTTGATATAAGGTGGATGCGATGTGAGGTATAAACGTGTCTTGAATTCTTTTGTACATAGTATTTGCCATCTCATAGTCTAACAACCTAATAACCGTTTCAACGCCAGGCCCAATCAATGATCCACACTCTAGGCAGTGGGATTTCTTCTCTTGGCCCGAACATAGAAGTTCAACGGGCGAATCAACTGGAACTCAGGATCATACTCGACAGCCTCAAGACCCTCGCGGGTAAACTCGTAACGCGAGACAAGCTCCGACAACAAGATCTTGACCTCTAGCAGCGCGAAGTTGAACCCAATACAGCCACGAGGGCCAGTGGCGAACGGAATATAAGCGCAACGGTGCTTGTTCTTGGTCTCGTCGGTAGTCCAGCGATCAGGATCAAAGCGGAAGGGATCACGCCAGACTTCAGGGTTGGTGTGGATGGAATAAAGGTTGGGAACGAGGACACTGTCAGGAGGCAAGCGGTACCCGCCGGGCAAGACAACGTCAGTTTTCGTTGTGCGGCCGGGCTGGAAGGAGGCGTTGTGAAGGCGCTGTGTTTCCTTGACGAAGGAATCCAGGAATGTCAGGCTGTGGGCAAACTCGGGCGTCCATTCGACATCGCCGTTTGCAACCCCGCGCTCACACAGTTCTTCGTAAAGGCGGTCTTGGGCGCCTTCGTAGGTAACGAGGCAGTAGAGGAGCCATGACATCAGAGCGGAGGTAGTTGTGAATCCGGCACCGGTGACAATGAGCATGTTGGCGACGATCAGGCCTTCGGGGAATTTTTGGCCTTGCTCGTCGACTGTGTTGAGGAGATAGTCAACCACGCAAGATGCCTCGGTGGCGGCTTGAGCCATGGGCATACCCTCAATGCCCGACCCCTTGACGAGATCGATCTTTTCCTGAAGCAGGGAGTAGATGGTCTTCTGGACGAGCTTGAGACGCGCAGGGTCGCCGAAGGGAAGATGGCGGTACCATTCACCGCGAGCGGTGATCTTCTTATTGAGAGACAGCAGGCTGGCGATGTTGGTAACGATGGGGTGCAAAGGGGCGTCGACATGGGTGAAATGTTCGAAGTCGGTGTTCAGGGAGAATTTGCCAATGGTCTGCGACGCAAGCTTGATCATGTACTGGTAGGCGTTCCAGGATTTGCCTTGAGCATCAAGTTCATCGAACACTGCAAAGGACTGGCGCGCACACTCTTGCATCAACGGGGTATAGTGACGCACTGCCTTAGGACCCATTGCAGGTGGCAGGAATTTGTGGGCCAACCGCCAGTTCTCGGTTTCGGTATCTCCGATGAAGATGGCAGTGTTGTCCTTGACACCCCAGAGAGGGTGGTTCTCGTTGATCTTCTTGGTCATGTAGACTGATTCAGAGAGGGCGACAGCTGCCACTTCCGGGCTATCGGTGAGGTATGTCGTTTTGCCCATGTTGGTGGTCTTGATAACATGGCCATATTTGCGGAATAGTCGGTAGTGGTTGCCCAGGTGGTCGGGGAAGATCTCATAATAGCTACCAACGAGGGGCAGGCCCTCGGGGCCCTGGGGACTCTGAACTGCCTGTCCATCGACGCGGAGACCGATTGGTGTAGTTTGTGATGAGGGTGTGCTGGAGATTTCTTCTACTGTAGAGAGCTCCTGCTCGTTTTCACCGTAGTGGAAGGTCAAGCCTGATCTGGTTAGCGAACGGCCTGCATTCGCAGAGATATCCATACATACCCATTGGCTGAGCCACATGAAACACTGCTCCTACAGCGCGCTTGACATCTTCCAGCTTCCACTTGGAATCAAGTGTTACAGACTGGGCCGTTGACACTTCATCTCCGATCAAGTAGAAAACAGGATCGGAGGTCTGTGGTGATGCTAGTGGAATAGGCATGCTTGCTTTTGTTAATGTGAAATGTCAAATCTTTCAAGACCATCGCACGAGCTGCTCTTAAATATCTGGACTCGGGCCGAGCTCATTGGCAGACGGCGGTATCCGAGATATCCAGCGCCGCTGGCCGGTGGAGCCCATTTGCAATTCAGCAGTAAGTAGGATATAAAATGATCGACAATGATAGATCCGACGTCCGGGCGAACTTCGCACGAGAACGGTTGTGGCAGATCGTCATTCTGGGCCAGGGAAAAGGAGGTGATTGGGTGAATCTGAGTGTTCCGGGTAACTTGCCGTTTTTCACTGGCTCGGTCGAGGGATGCCGAGTGGGGCCCCGAGCCCTGAGCCCGAGGGAGTCCGAAAACAAAGACGAGACCCGGAGGTGGATTCGTTACATTTATATAAATGTTTTGGTTTCTTCATTCGACGGGATATAACTATTCACATCAATATTTCAAAATGTACACTTTGGAAGAAGTACAGAAACACAATAAGCCAGACGATGTCTGGATTATTCTACACAACAAAGTCTACGATGTGACCAAGTACCTCGAAGACCACCCTGGTGGCAGCGCTATCTTGATTGAGGTTGCTGGTACAGATGCTACTGAGGCTTTCGAAGAGATTGGTCATTCTGACGAGGCACGCGACGAGTTGGCTCAATACCACGTCGGTGACCTTCCTGATGAGGTATACTTCAAGCCCTATCTCAATACTTAGACCAGTCAACTGATCAGATGTGAATAGGAACACGCCGAGTCCATTGAGGTCTACCGCCCGACATTCGAACAAGTAGCGCAGACAGCTGTCATCCAGGTCAAGCCCACACCCAATCGTGCTCGCTCTGTAGCCCTCTCCGCGCTCAAACTTGGCCTGGTTGGCGCCCTGGGAGGTGTGGCTTTCTCTGGCTACACCAATGGATGGGGACAATTTGCAACCCTGTTCAAGAAGTTTTCAGACAATGCCTCAAATCTACTGCCCAGCCACCCCAACTCATCCGGCCAGTTCTGGTCTGGCTTCGGTATCGCCAGTGTCACCCAGATGACCCTCACTCTCGGTTTGACCCTGTGGATCTCGACCAAGCTCGACGTCCAGCAAGAGTTCACTCATCACGTTCCTCACCGTATCTCTCGTTCCGACAAACTACATATCCGCAAGAAGGTCTCATCAACCAAACCCACCCCCAAGGCTATCGCACAACCTCCCCTCGACCCCCGCCAATTCAAGAACTTCCCCCTCACCCGCAAGGAAGTCGTCTCCCCCAATGTGTACCGCTTCACTTTTGGCCTCCCCAACCCTAGTGATATCCTCGGTCTCCCCACAGGCCAGCACATTGCTCTGCGCGCCACCATCAACGGAAAGAGCGTCTCCCGCTCCTACACACCCATCTCTAACAACACCGACTTGGGCCGCATCGAGCTCCTGGTCAAGGTCTACCCTCAAGGCCTGATGACCAAGCACCTCGAGCAGATGGAGATCGGTGACACAATCGAGATCCGTGGTCCGAAGGGCGCCATGCAGTACTCCACTTCTTATGCCAAGCACATCGGTATGATCGCCGGTGGTACCGGTATCACGCCGATGTACCAGCTTATCCGTGCCATCTGTGACGACAAGGAAGATACCACCAAGATGACCTTGCTGTATGCGAATAACACTGAGGAAGACATCTTGCTGCGCAAGGAGCTGGATGACTTTGCTCGTGAGAACCCGGACAAGTTCTCTGTCCAGTATGTGCTGTCGCAGCCTGGTGAGACCTGGACTGGTCACCGGGGATTTGTCTCTCAGGGTTTGATTGAGACTTACTTGGCGCCTGCCGATGATGACAATAAGATGCTGCTGTGCGGGCCTCCGCCTATGATTAACGCGATGAAGAAGACTCTCTCTGTGTTGGGTTGGAAAGATCCTAGTGCTGTTTCCAAGGCCACAGATCAGGTTTTCTTGTTTTAAGGAGGTTGGATTGGAGGGAGGCGTTTGATATGGTCTGGGAAATTGTACAAAAGTTTGGTTGACATAGAACATGGAGATAGACAGAATACCAACAATTAGTTACAGTCACAGTGATACTAGTAGCCTCCCACTCATTTCGGTATATCCTTTCTTCGGATAATCCTTACTGTGTACTATTTAGGGCTATTCATGCAAAGTATGCAACTTGGATGCCTCAGGATAAATCCGATGACGTCGACTCTCAGCCACCAAAATGCTTGTTCCAATTAAAACTGTGGCTTGTTCCACATTGCTTCTAGAACCTTTCACATACCGATCGGCCTTGGCGAAATGTTTCGACATAGCGGAACTCAGTCATACTGATTAGTATCGGACTTAGCTTGTGGTTGGCGCAAGTTGCAAATTGCAATCTATTTGTCGATCATCAACATTCAACGTGGAACCTCGCTTCCGTCTAGAATCCTCAACAATAGAATTCAGCCTTTCCTGCCTTATATTGGTGTTCGTCAATTCCACCACTAGACAGACATGTTCTGCGGTACTTGAGTGAAGAATCTCTTCCAATGAGACATGACGCCAACGTGATACGGAGTACATTCTTATCTCTTCCATTGTGGGGTTTAGGGCGTTTCCATCTTCCTCCGAACTGAGTCCGTAACATCTCCGCGACTCCGAGCCGAACTCACCAGCCGAATTGATTCCGATACAGTGTAGGACCCGAGTCTACCGGTGATTTTTATTGGAGCAGAAGTGTTGCAGCCGTGATATCCGCGTCTATCTCCATGATTTCCCTGCTTATAACTCCTTATAATGCCGGGTTCCGGTGGCGGAGCTTGAAGGCATGGTGAATAGCCCTGGTTGGCGAGAAGTATTGTGGCCCATACACCGAGGAGCTCTTGATGGAGCTTGTTGTAAATCTCGATCTGGAATCTTGGAAATAGAGAGAATATATAAGGGAAGCTTACAATCTGCTGTCACCCTGGTGATATACTATTTCCCCAAATAAAGTCCTTCGGCTCCCACGTCATATCGATATACCTACCTTTACATACATCGATACCATCTCACGAGCCTCCTTACCATTACCATCCATACATCCCTCCACCCCAAATGACCATCAAGCCCAGAACTGATCGTCCCGTCGCGGTCATCGGAGGCGGCGTCCTCGGCCGCCGCATTGGCTGTATCTTCATCGCGGCCGGCTACAACGTTAACATTCGGGATCCCTCGCCGGCGGCTCTCCACGATGCCGCAGATTACATTGACACCCACAAGGTTGAGTTTTCCTTGATGCCGCGCATTCACAAGGATCGCGAGAGCTCCGTTTCCCAGGTTGCTCAGGTTGATCTCGAGACGAGCACCTCCGCGCCGTTCGGCATCTGCAAGACTTTCACTGAGATCGAGCCGGCTGTTGCCAATGCTTGGTTGGTCATTGAGGCTGTGCCTGAAATCTTGCAGTTGAAGATTGATACGCTGGCCGAATTGGATAAACTCGCTCCTAAGGATTGCTTGATCGGCTCCAACAGCTCGTCGTTCAAGTCGAAACTGATGCTTGTGAACGTTGCTCCCGAGCGATACGATAAAGTCTTCAACATTCACTTCACTATGCCCCCTGCTATCCGAACTGTCGAGCTGATGACCTCCGGCCACACTGATCCCAAGGTGTTCCCTTACTTGGAAGACGTCTTGGGCGAGTGCGGCATGTTACCTGTGACTGCTCGTCGCGAATCCACCGGGTATGTATTCTTTCCGGGTTGTTTCCTGTATAGACCAGCAAACTGACTCGATGGCATATAGATTCATTTTCAACCGCCTGTGGGCTGCAATCAAGCGCGAAATCATGCACATCCTCTCTGAGGGTGTCAGCGACCCCAGAGAAATCGATCTCCTCTGGGAACATATGTTCAAGAACGGCCCCCTACCCTGCCAACTGATGGATCAGATCGGCCTCGACACCGTCGCCTTCATCGAAGACAACTACATTCAAGAGAAGGGATACGACGCCGGCCCTACCGTTGACTGGCTGCGCCGTGAATACATCGAGAAAGGACGAATCGGGAAGAAGAGCGAAAAGGGCGGCCTCTACCCTCCCCTCCCCAAATCCTCCGAAGCCAACCCGGCCAACTCTCCCAGCGCCAGCGCCGTCAAAGACATCTACCTCCTAGACGTCGGTCTCGGCGGCAATGCCAAAGACGTGTCGCAAGTCCACTCGAATGGCAAGATCCTGCGTCTGAACCTCGCTACCCAGAAATTGACACCAGTCATGGTCGGTCAGAGTCTACCTGACGGTATCGACGTGTCACCGTCGATGAAGCGCATCTTCTGGACGAATATGGGCCGCAGCACGGCCAGCTGCGATGGGTCGGTCTGGTCGGCTGATTTAGATGGCGGTGATGTCAAGTGTCTGGTCCCCGCCGGTGACGTCCACACCCCCAAGCAGATTGCAGCTATCGAGTCCCGGAAGCAGATCTACTTCTGTGACCGGGAGGGCACCGGCATCCATCGCTGTGATTACGATGGCGGCAACCATGTCGTCCTGGTGCAGCGTCGTGTAGATCCCGGTACGAGCTTGTTGGATCAGATGACGAATTGGTGTGTGGGTGTTGCTGTCGATGACCAGCGCGGTCTCATTTACTGGACTCAGAAGGGTCCTTCCAAGGCTGGTCGCGGCCAGATCTTCTGTGCTAGTCTGGATATCCCCGCTGGTGAGACTGCCGAGACTCGTACCGATATCAGGCATCTGTTCAATAATCTGCCGGAGCCTATTGATATCGAGCTTGATACGGCGACTCAGACTTTGTACTGGACGGATCGCGGTGAGCACCCTCTGGGTTGCACGCTGAACCGCGCTTATGTCGGTGGTGAGGATGTGGATATGGAAAAGGTTATCTTGGCGCGTCACTTCCACGAGCCCATTGGTCTCAAGTTGGATAAGGCCAACAAGGTTGTTTATGTGGCTGATCTCGGCGGTAGCTTGTACTCGGTTTCGCTGGAGGATGGAGTCAAGACCGAACTTGTGCGCAACGATGCCTGCTACACTGGTCTGACTCTTGTTTGAGAGAAAGCGTACGTAAATGTAAATAGAATGTTGGACAGAGTATAATTGCAAGCGATTCTTCAGCTCAAGTTTACCCCAACATTGCAATGATCCCCCCACGCAGTATGGGGTAATGAAACCAAGCTAGCGATAAAATGCTACTCCGTACTTTATTGTGCATATTAATTGAGGGGTAATATGCCCGATAAACGCCCGAGGAGACTGAAGAAAGAGTTGAAGCCCGAGTTGATACAAACCGGACTCTAAAGACATCACCACTGACCACTCCCAGCCCTAACTCGACCCTCAATCTCAAATTCCGGGGAAGCCAAGAAGTCTAACCGACGATCAGGGCATCATAACATTGAGTCCGATTGAAACATCTCCAACCCATTGATATATGCTGTAGCCTGTAGACCTGCATCATGCATGTACATGTACCCAAACAAGATGTAAAACACTTCAACCGAAATGTTTGCCCCTTCCAACCGCCAACCCCCCACGTACTACACAACTCCACCAAAACACGTCGATCCATTCCAAAACAACACGGAGCAATGACCTCGCACGCGAGGTTACATGTAATAAATGCCATCTTTTCCTCCTTCCTCCCTAACCTTCTACTACCAACACAAGATACAACCCATGAACTAAGACCATAACAACGCCACGGACCTCCTTACACAGTCCTCAAAATGCACATCCAAACCCTCCTCCCCTTCCTCACCATCCTCACAACAACACTCGCCAAACCAGCCCATCTCTACGCAACACACTACGACGGAACCGTCTACACCCTCACTCTAAACACCGACAACAATGAGCTCGCCATCACTCAGACTCTCGATACCTGCGGCGACATGCCAAGCTGGTTAACCCTCGACCCGAGAACGCGGACAGTCTACTGCTCCGATGAAACGGGCACGGCGGATCCGTCAACTCATGGCTCATTGACTTCCCTGCATGTCGCGCCGGATGGATCGCTACATGAGATGGCAGTTACGGAGGCGGTTGGTGGTGGTGTGAATAGTGTGATCTATGAGGCGGACAATGGGGGGAAGTTTATTGCGATTGCGCATTAGTATGTTGTCCTTCCTACATTATTCTTAAAGAAAGGGAAAAAAAGAGGGAGAAAGGGAAAAATGCTAATATTTGACACAGCGGCGGCTCCGCACTATCAACCTTCGCACTACCCATTGAAGCAAATCGACCAGCTTTACAAGAATTCCACTTCAATCTAACACACCCAGGCAAAGTAGCGCAACAAGACGCCTCGCACCCGCACCAGGTCTTCCTCGATCCAACCGGTTCATTCATCCTCAGTCCAGATCTAGGTGCTGATCTGCTACGCGTGTATGCGATTGAAGATGGTCCATCGGGCAAACTGTCAGCCTGTCCGAGTTTGAACGTGACATTCGGCAGTGGGCCGCGACATGGCGTTTTCTGGACTGACGGTACGGATGGATCTGCCGTTAGTGGAGTTACGCATTCGCGCAAGATGGCGGCTGTCGGGCAGACGATGCTGTATCTTGTTAATGAGATTGGTGGCACGATGATGGTGTATGATGTTTCGTATTCGCGGTCGGGATGTTTGTCGTTTGAGAAGACGCAGACGGTTGTGCCGTATCCCGGTGGTGTTATGCCTGAGGGGGCGACGCCGGCGGAGATTCGTCACGTTGGAGATGTGCTTTATGTTTCTATTCGGACTGATCAGGGTTTTGCGCCGAGTGATTCGATGGTTGTGTTGGATCGGGATGCAGAGGATGGGTCGGTTACGGTGCGGGACTCGGTGTCTGCGTTGGGGAAGGTGCCGAGGACGTTTGTGATTAATAAAGCTGGGAATTTGGTTGCGATTGGGAATCAGGCTTCGGCGAATGTTGCTGTTGTGAGGAGGGATCCGGAGACTGGGGACTTGGGGGAGGAGGTCGCTGTTCTACAGGTTGGAGAGCCTGGGGAGGTTGGGACTTCGACGGGACTTAGCAGTGTCATCTGGGATGAGTAGATTGGCAGTATATAAATCAAGATTGAAGGGAAGGTTGTGCCTGACTACTCCTATCATCCCTCTCTATGAACAGCATAAAGCATTGAAGTACAAGTTCGCATCACACAGATATAACGGGCATCAAACAGCATGTACCTCATGACCAAAAGACGGGTCCAAGCCCCATGCGTAGTGAAAGAAAAGACCTCTTCGAACCAAGAAAGAAAAACCAGCTTCTTTAAGTTTCTGTTGGCTGTCGGAGACCTGCACCGATACCAGGTCTGGGGGAAACCTTGAAGCAACTCCTGCGACGGTGGGATGGACTTGCCATATCGCAGTTGAAAAAGGAACCAAAATAAAAACAGTATAAGAATGAACGTGTATAAAACATCAGTCGTAAATGCGTAAAGCCATATGCAGGCGGTCTTGAAATCGTTCATTTGATATCAATTTGGAAGGCTTTCCATTGCCCTCCCACAGTTCGACATCGTGGACATCCACGAGGACCAGGGTAACTTGTCGGCCCTTGAGATCCATTGTTTAAATGCCCGTTTCCTGGAGTCCGGAATGAAGAGGGCGGACTGCCAATGAACGCGCCCACACATTCGCGACAAACTCCACAGATGCACTCCGTGCACGCATAGCATTCATTCAAAGCAGAAGGTCGTTTGCAATTGGCGCAGAAAACTTGGACCTCTTTGTTGCGGAAGGACGATGGAGTCGGATTAGAGAATCGGTGGTGTGGACGTTGGATGGGTGGTATAAGATTCAGGACTGGACTTGAATCCGAATTCACGGACGGTGCCACTCCTGAAACCGAGGAGGCAAAGTTCCTGCCGGATGCTGAAGACATCGAGTCGAGTGATGATTCAATGGATGGGAATGGTTCCAAATCGTTGTCACGACGGTGAGTATCGAACGGCGGTGGAGTCAAGGCTTTGTGCAGGGGTGAGGCGGCGTAGGAATGCCCTGGGAATTGCCGATGTGAAGAAATAGGAGGCAGTCCCGTGGATTGGAAAGCGGGTGGTAGCGAAGACCGATTTTTCACAGAAGGAGCCGACGTCACGTTGGAGAGTAGTGGGGCAATCGTGGGAGACGGACCGGCCTGCAGAAATGGCGCATTAGCACCGATTTAAAAAAAAGGTTTAACATTGCTTTCAACCCACCTCAGAATAGCGCTCATCATCTGCTTCGGTCGCTGACGTCGCAGCTTCAATCAAATCCTCCCAGCGCTTGCCTTGCGCCCAGGCCGCGGTCTGCGGCTCTGCTGAAAGCGCTTTGCGGTCAGTAAGACTGGGTCGCCGTCCGAACTCCTTGGACTTGGGCCGATCCTGCTTGGGTTTGCGGGCCGATTGACTGATCGACGATTTGCGCGGACGGGAATATTTGTCTCGTCGCTGAATTGGCGGTAATGTGGATGAGCGACCGGGCGGAGAGTGATTGAGGATGGATGGAAGAAGCTCGCGAGGACGGGGCGAAAATTGCGGGAGAGACTCCTGCTTGAAATGATCACGCAGCGGGGGCAGTTCAATTCCGCGCATGCGCGGATGACTCAAGTCGGTATCAGAATGGGTATCCTGGGGAAATGCGGGTCAGTGCCACCGTGGAGATACTTAGGGCTGGAAGCCCAACACAAGTCCGGAGTGACAAACCATGTCTGTGTCCCAGTCAGAGGCCAGTCTATGGTGGTGCAATTGTGCCAGCGCAACTGCCGCGGTGGCCGCCGCTGGGTGAGGTTCATCAGCTCGAGGGGTAACCGGAGAGCCGGCATCAGCGACATAGATGTCCCTTTCCGGCGCCACATCTGTGGGTAGCCGTCAGTATGGCGCGGAGAGAGCAAGAGAAAAATCGCTCAACACAAGCAAATCAAAAACTGACCGTGAGGTCGCCGGGGTTGGGCGGGTTCTGGCGGAGATAGCTGCACACGTTGCTCAGGCGGGGTGTTCACCATCAGCAGGAAGCTCTCCTCGGTCGCCGGGAGCTTCGGGATGTAGTGATTCGGATGCGCACGTCGAATGTGCTCCTGCATAGATCGATAGCGTTTTTCCTGGAGCACCAACCAAATTAGTTTTGACTCAAAGTTGCACGGGGTTATGCCGATAGCTTTCGCATCCGGGGGGTGATAAGTGGGGGTTCGGGCAAATCACTCACCCCTAGACATCGCTTGCGACAATTGGAACCGTCGTTATTCTTCAAGGGACAGACGACCTCATTGTTGGCATCGGTCACCGAGAAGGAGCTAGTCAGTGAGCTTCGGGGAGGCATGGTGCATAGGTCATCCGAGATGCCGGGATGAGTCGAGATTGAAGATCAGAGAAGAGGGGCGACAAAAAGGTCAAGCACAGACAGGGTTTATGTGAACAATAGGATATGCAGGATATGTTCAAGGGCAGAAAAGAAGAAAGTGAAGATCTGAAGTGGGAAAAAAAGAAGAAAGAGGGTGGCTCATACATTCAGAGTACTTCGAGGGCCCTCCGTCCGTAGTTGTGGGTGAAAGTCACTGGGGTGTATTACGGGTAATTACGCACTTCGCCTCTTAAGGTTATTCTTGTCCTTTCGAATTTTTCTTTTGGGGGATTTTGTGGTTTTGCTATTTTTATGATTTTACTAGATTTAATGTCTTTTTCTAGTCAGGAACAGTTTGCTTGAATCTGATCTTACTATGAATTTTACTTTACTGCATAGTTCGAGCTCACATACGTGGCTATCGTCCCTATCGAGTATCGATAACCAAAAAGAGGGGCTTGCATCTGAAGCTTCCCTTGTAAGAAAAAAAGCCCCCATTCTTGGAATGTTCCACGCTAAACAAGGGGATTCAACTGAAATTAACGGAAGAAAAGGAAAAAAAGGAAAAAAGCCAGTGGTACGGTAAAGACAGGTATTAAATACAGCCGAATAGCACAGCCTTTCGGAAACCCCGGTGGAACACCGAGCTCTTAGCGATGCTCACCTGTCTGAGTACATTCATTGATCTTGTGATTTATTTGAAAGTGATTTTTATCTCGTACATGCTTACCAGTAGTATTGGCAATGATTTGCAGCTTCACGGGGGGAAGAGATAGAGATGAAAAAGAAAGAATCGCGATAGGCGCTATCAGCGGCCCCTCCAAAGCTCTCCCCAGCTCCTGAGCTTCTGAAGGGAGGGGAGCTCCGAGTGGCAACCTCCCGCCACGTTACAGTGTAATGTGACGTATTTACCGTTTTATTCTAGATTTTTTGGTTTCTTCTAAATTTGAAGCTTTATCGTACTCGACATGGACTTTACACAAAGTAGATCATAAGAATATCAAATATGTTAAGTGAATATTCAATTAATATTGGAGTAAAGAAATGACTGAGAACAAAGTAGATCAGATATCATCCACGTCACATTAAGTATCTTGACGTACAAAGAAGTTCAACTAGATAACCTAAGCTCGAGTACCTCTCAAGTACTAGGTTGTCCCAGCTCCGGCCTCCTCCGTTCACCGTTAACTCTAATCCAGAGTGTAGCTTGATCTCAATACTCCGTACTGCAATACCCATACACTGTCCTCCGTATAACCGAATGCCGATGAAGAGCATCCCAAAGCAGCCTGATTGGCCATCCAGCCCCACTGAGTCACCAATTGCTTCCATTCTCATTGGCACTGACTCCACGCCATGTCGCTTTGGGGTGGGCGTGCAGGCGATCACCGGAAAAGTTGGAGATTTTTCGGATATTTGATTTTGATATGCCGTTGCATAGCTCTGTTTTATCGTGTTTATAGATCTGAATGTAGATGCAGTACTGAGTATAGTATGTACCAGAATAGTACAGTACACAGTAAGTCTGATCAAGCTTACACAAAATTGCATATCCTTACACATCTTGAAATGTCAGTGTCACGCTCCACTTAGTACCCAGACAAAGTGGAGAGCTTGCAAGTCGAGGCCCATCTTTGCTTCGGATTGGCTTTAAAAGCTAGGAAAATTCTTTAGCGATAAGCATCTAGCTTTGACAGCTAAAGCCATAGCCCTACTTCAATGAACATATATCTCATCTAATACCCATCTCATCCTGATCCATCTGCTAGACCGCATCGATCCCTTCCTGCAGCGCAACATACCAGCTGCGTCTCAGCCATGCAGGGTCCAACACCCTCAAGGCAACCGAGTTCATCGCCACTACCGAGGGGTGGATGACTGGCCCCGAACTATGACCGGCACACGCTCATACAACAAAACCTCATCGCAAACCCTTGCTGCGGGGTCTGCTTCCAAGGGATCGAAGATGAATAACCGACGAACCGTGCAGACAAATCAGTTTACAACATAGACAGGAATTGCCGGCAATGCAAAATGACGAATCCACAAATCTATTGGATCAGTTGAAAATCCAGTAAGGAAAATTTAAACCAACGGTGGCGTAAGCATGCCATTCTCAGCACCAACTGTCATAACCCCCACATCCGCCCCGACAAAGAACAGCACAACCGCTTCGGCAGCTGCCTTGGCCGAATCATCGTCTTCCTTTCCAGGAACCCGGGAACGGTTAATCAGCTCCAAATACCTTGCCACATCAGCCGCCGGCCAGTTCGCCCGACGCCCGAACTCCAGCGCAAGCTCTGTGTTGACGAATGTATCGAACTCGAAATGGCCTTGGTATGTCAGTACCCGGCCTGGGTTATAGAGTCCCTGGGTAAGGCACTGCGCACTGCGTCCGATGCTTGACCACGGCGTGGGCAGCTGGATATCGCTCTGATGCGTAGCTGCAGCTGCAGCTGCGGCTTCGGGCGTTGGGACGACCTCGTCACCGTGGATGAGCTGGATGCGGAATGGATGCTGGCCCGCGAGAGGCGGGAAGTGTGCTGTGAATGAGGGATATAGGGTGATGGGCTGGATGCCCATTTCGAAGCCAGCGGGCGAGGGTGCGACGTGGAAGGTTGGATGAGTTGGGTCTGTTTTGGTACTGAGGAGGGCTTGTGCGATTATTTGGTGTCCGAAACAGGACCCGAAGAGCTTCACGTGTGGGTAGTCGGTGTGTACTGTTTGGATAAAGGACTTCATTTGGTGGATCCAGGGGAGGTCCTCGTAGGCTGAAGATGCTGATCCTGTGATGAGGATTGCATCTATCGAACCCAGTCCGCCGAGAGGCTCAGCGGAGGACCGGGGTTTAGTTCGTAGAATCTCCAGGGGTGGGAGGGATCCTCCCACGACGTCGAAGGCCGTTACATGGATGGCAATGTGTGGTAGGGATGTTTCTGTGTCGTTGTTCAGGCGTTGTGCAGCTGCTTGGAGGAGAACTCGGAATTGTGAGCTGTACAGACCCCGCGCTTTGTATACGGAGAGACAGGGAATGTCGGCATCTAGGGCGGCCACGTGGATGTGGGCCATTTTCGGGCTTCAGAGGAATTTGTACACAGTATAGAAGGAGGGAAGATAATTTCTAGCAGATACAGAATGAAGTTGTCGAACGTTCGCATTGGCATTCCTGATAAGGGTTTTTGTGAGTAATCGGAGGTGGAGTTGAATTTCCCCAACAGGCAACTTAGTCCTTGTCTGCAGACGGGTCTCAAGTGAATATAAAGGATGCACCTGAACCAGACTGATATGGAAAATGTCATAATGTAGAACCTAAGAACTCTTAGCCTCTTAGCATATCCCATGGAAGTAGTAGCACAGGCCGGAATAATAAGGAAGTATGATGATGGAATGGTCGAGTTAGTATGAGAGAACGGATGGCATACTGTGAAGGAGTTCAACCAAGAAGAAAGACCTCTCGCCCGAAAGATGAAGTAGGTCGGGTTTAAGTAAATCCATTAGGGTTTCTTTCTATCGGCCGAGATTTGTATTTGTGTTGTTTGTTATAGATCGTAGTTACCCCGGATTTGGGATAAGTTATGCTCTTCCTACCTCCCTCTACCTATGCCATACCTATATCTATAGTATTCTATGCTATCTATGCTCATAACACTCCTCTATACGTATACGTATACTATACTATACTATATAATAATCTCAATCATAGGTATAGCCATCTAAGATCAACCGGAATAATTCGTGATCGGCCTGTTCCATCACAACATCGCACCCCTCAAATTGCGCCATCACACTCCACTTCTATACGGCCTCAAGTACCTACAAGGATCAATATTATAAGAATCTCACTGCCAATTATTCTTAGTAGATCAAAATATCACGCCATATCCTCCACTCTAGTGCAAAGACAATCTTCACATCTAAATCAACTATAAAAGCCCATCTAGACCTACATCAACATCTACACAGTACATTCACCTCAAAACACAGTCAACATGGCTCCCGCTGCTACTGCCTCCCTCCCCACGGCCCCTCACAACCTCGGCCCTATCTCCCGGGAACTATTCCCCGATGGTCTAAAGACTACCGGCCAACACGCCCCTCTCTACGACCACATCCTTCCCTTCGAGAAGTTCCCCAAGCAAATCACCGGCCCTACAGTCTGGAAGGCTGAGGAGTACCGCGATCACCCCGAGAAATGGACACACACTTTCACCGAGGAGCAGATTGCCGAGCTGAGCACTGCTGCTGATAAATTCCTCGCGTCCAAGACTCCGTTGACTGGTATTGAAAAGGTGGGCCCCTTATACAAACATAGTACTCCTACATCTGCAAGTGCTAATTATGATCATGTATAGTCCAACTTTGAACTCCCCACTCTCGCCGCTTACCTGCGCGACCTGCGCGCCGATCTCATCGACGGAAAGGGCTTCATCCTCTTCAAGGGCTTCCCAGTCCAGAAATGGGGTAACCACAAGTCCGCCGTCGCATACATGGGTCTCGGTACATACCTGGGTTACTTCGTTAGCCAGAACAGTCGCGGCCATGTCCTCGGTCACGTCAAGGATCTCGGCGAGGATTCTACCCAGATCGATAAAGTGCGCATCTACCGCACCAACGCTCGGTGAGTTTCTTGCTCATTCCTTGAAAAAAGAAGAAAGAAGAAAAAAAAACTAACTATTCAGCCAATACTTCCACGCCGACGACTCGGACATCGTCGGCCTCCTCTGCATCGCCAAAGCCCTCGAAGGCGGCGAATCCGACCTCGTCTCCTCCCACCACGTCTACAACGTCCTAGCCGCCGAACGGCCCGACGTCCTCAAAACCCTAACCGAACCAATCTGGTACTTCGACCGCAAAGGCGAAACCTCCAAGGGTCAAGAAGAGTACATCCGCACCAGCGTCATCTACCTCGAGCGCGGCGAGAACGGTCGCGTCTACACAAAGTGGGACCCTTACTACGTTCGCTCCCTGACCCGCTTCAGCGACGCCGGAATCATCCCCGCTCTCTCCGAGGCACAGGAAGAGGCTCTGCGTGTTCTGGAGGAGACTTGCGTCCGTCACTCCTTGCATATGGTGCTGGATATCGGTGATATTCAGTTCTTGAGTAATGCGCATATTCTGCATGCTCGTACTGCGTACAGGGATCATGCGCCGCCGGCGCCAAGGAGGCACTTGATGAGACTTTGGTTGGCGACGCCTGAGTCGGAGGGTGGGTGGAAGTTGCCTTTCTGGGATAGTAATGAAAAGAAGCGTGGTGGTATTCAGGTTGATGATCAGGTTCCTGTTGCGCCGATTGATGCGGAATAGGTGTTGTGGTTGTGACGATTATAGATTTTGAATGATACCTTTTTTTTTCTTCTTCATTTCATTTCTTGCTGTAGTAAGTGGTAAAACGTCAAGTTCATACATAAATCATATTGTCAAGGGTATCTAGTACACCTCAGAAACGCCATAAGGGGAAAGAAGAAAATACCCTGTAATGCTAATGCACGATCTTGTAGTTACCCCCATTAACAATTTCCAACTTGCCCTTCGAAACCATACCACCCAAGAACTCCCGCAACTCCTCATTGCTGAACGGGAACCCACCAGGGACCGCAATCTTCAGCATCATAACAATGCGGTCCAGACCCATGGCTCCTTGATTCGTGAGCATACCAACGATGAACTGCCAATGCACATTCATCTTCTCCATGGCAGCCGCCTCGGCAGATTCCTTGGCTGCAGCTGCGGCCGCTGCTTCCGCGGCTGCGGCTGCATTGGCCGTATCGCCCGCTTCGCTGTCGGAGGCGTCGGTAAACGTGCCAGCTCCGTGGGTATGGTGTTCCTCGTCTTCCGTCGGGAGAACCTCCAACACTCGGTAGGTATCGCGTTGCACTTCGGTGAGGACACGCTTGCTAACCCAGAAGAGACAAGCACTCCGTACGAGAGCAGGGGTCATCTCGAGTTCTTCGGCAAGTTCGGGAACTGCTTTCGTGGCAGGTTCATCCGAGTCAGATTGGAAGGCATAGATGACCGTGGCTTGCCAGGTCGTCACTTCGTCTTTGAACGTGTGGTTCTCGAACTCCAGCTCGACAGTAACTTGGCCCAGCGCGTTACGCCACCTGAGCTTGCGTGTGTCCTTGAACTTTTCAAAGCAGGTTGCGTACCGCTCTTGCAGTTGTTGGACTTCGTCGGGAATCTTGAATTCTTGTTCCTGGAACTCAGGCCAGAAGAACCGTGATAGAATTTTGGCATGAAGTCTTCCGGCACCTGCCTGCTTCCGATAGCTGGAGAATAGCCGGTCATTTCGTACCGCGTGGTCCAGACGCCTCGAGTCCGCGATGTCTTTCAACATCACCTCGCATGCCTGTAGTGCGGAGTCACCGAATCGGACCTTGAGTAGCTCCAGTACGGTTATCTCCTGGTCAAAGTCCTGGCGTTTCTGCATGAGGCGGTCTGCAAGAAGAGTCTGCATTTCCTTCACAAACGTCTCCTTTGAGTCGAAGAGACTGACCAGGCTGTCAATGACATCCACGCTCTTCGACTTTTTGTAGTCCGGAGCAGCATCGACAGGATCTGGTGTCCAGTACATATCTTCAAAGTCCAGTTCGCTCTTGTTGTTCTGCATAGAGTGGTGGTGGACCTTGGTTAGCTCGGCCGCCAGTTCAGCCAAGGTGTCACCGGCAGCCTCCTGCCCGATAGGGTCAGCCAAGAGACCACTGACAATCACCTTGACGGTGTCGTCACGGTCTCTTAAGTACCGCCGGATTGGCCTAGCAATGCGATCCAGCAGCACGCCCTTGGGGTCCAACATATGGAAAGCCCGAATGATCGAGATATACACCTGCAAGATCTCGACCGTAGAGGCACCGGGATGCAACAACCGTAGGGGTAAGATGGCGGAAAACCCATTCGCCACATAGAGCCGCGCTCCGGATGAGACTGTAAAGTGTCGCAAGTCCTCCACCGCGCCGCTGCTCGCGGGCCAGTCGACAATCACATCGAATAGCTCGCTAACTCGGAGCTTGCCAAGCCGGGCAATCCCCATCGCTTTCCACTTTGCCACATCGGGAGCGCTCACATCCATTGCCCCAGATTGGGATCCCGCGGGATCGGAATGAAGAATAGCCAGAACTTGCACTGCAAGCCGGGCATAGACATTTTCAACCCATTGACCCAGATGCTGGGGCGCACTTGAATGCGGCTCCCATTCACCGGCGTATGCAGCACGAACAAAATCTCCCATCATCACGTTCATCACATTGGCGAACACCTTCTGGGCCTGGTCGCCGCCGAGGCCAACAAGCTGCAGCCCGTTCAGGAATGCCAGAAGTTGGTCCCTTGCGATGGTCACCCGGCGATCTTCGCCCTCGACCATCATATGGGCCTGGGATTCGGGGGATTCTAATCTCCAACGTCTGTATGAAACGGAGTATGCTCGTTCCATATCCGCCTCGTCGATACTCATCTCATCCACATCGGAGTCTTCATCCAGGGTGTCAATGCCGAGGATAACCACTGCATCCTGCGTGAGCTCTCGGGAGAGGAGCGGTGAGATTCCCGCCCACGGTAGGCTGTATGAGACCACCGTGTGAAACGCACGCTGTAATTGGGCCAAGAACGCTCCTTGGTGGTTACCTATTAACGGAAACAAGTAATGCACCACAGGAGCCAGGTAGATTCGACGTGCAAGCTGTAAGCAATCGACGATGATCCGGAGCAGACCATCACTGTCGAGGCACATTAATAGCTATTTGTGACATTAGCACGAACAGACTCTCACTTCCGAATCGCACACAGCGGCCATACCTTGGAGAGACCAGTCCGAAAATTGACCAGAAAATGCCTCCGAATATCATTCGCATACCAGTCGAACAATGACCACGGGGATGTCCGCATGAGATGTCCCAACGCCTCGGCCGTTGCCTTCGACGGAGGGCTGAGCCGGTTCCATTCCTTCAGCGCCTCACTTCCATCGGTGTTCCGGAATTTGTAAATCAGGTCAAAGCCGAGATTTGGCACAGAGAGAAATTCTTTCGCCGCGAGCCGTGCCTGGTTTAACGCGCTCTCTTCCGGGGATGCGGTGTCGGTCGATCCTCCAATTGTCGCAAATGAGGTTGCCTGTGAGTCTTTGAAGGTTGACGAGGAGTCGGTAGATTCGAATGATGCTGGTGTTTGGTCATGCTGGAGAGTCGTGGACTTTGTCGGGTGGGCTTCGAGAGTCGCGGGGGAGAAGACTGAACCGAATACGCGCCTACGGGCCGCGTGGAGGGGTACGGTTGCAAGCATTTCGTTCAGGGAACATCGGGCATCATGAGATACAGCTCACTGTTGGTACTTTCAGCGTGCTGCTCGAGTCGTTCGATCGTTGCCTTGTTATGTTTCGCTTCACTTGAATGTTTGTTTGGAGATAAGTTGGAGATAGCGGGGTCACGTGTATGACTTCCTGGAGCTCCAGTTCGGTCGTACGTTTATGTCCATTGCGGTATTGATAAGTCATTTTGAAGGTTCTTTGACAAATGTATTTAGACAGGAACAGTATGATGCTCATATGAAATTCAAGGTCGAGCGCGAGCTGCTATAAATCGCACCATCTACATAGTATGGGGTATCGCTCGGAAATAAACAGAGGGCATTGCGCGAATATGAAATGAAACCAAAAAAACCGAGTCAAGATTCCAGCCAACGCACATGAGCGGCTAGCACATCATCTGTGCCACCATCGGTGCCTCCTATGCGTTCGTTGAGAGGTCCGGAAGCTGGAGAGCATGTAACGTGCAACCTTGTTCCGCCAAGGTCTGCGGTGTAGATCTTCAAGGCAGATCATCCAAGGTGTGTACGCTGAGGGAGTTTCCTGTGCCCTTCAAGTCCAAAGGTATCCTCAGGACTGGGTATCATCGACCTTCTCCCACTCGCTGTCCGTGCCAGACGCCTCACCACCCGTGCTAAGCCGCTTCTTGGGGTCTCGTGCAGTGGGCAGCAACCCAGACGCTGCACTCCCAGTAGCGATAGCACCAGATTTGTCCCCGGTCCTTTTGGCGACGAGTGTTTCTGTCTCCGTTTCGCTGTCGGGACTCTCTCCTGCCTCGGGAGACATCCGGCGCGTCTTCACGTTATCATCCTTGGACTCTTGTTTTTTCTTCTCGGCTTCTTGCGCCTGCTGAGCAAGTTGCACCTCAGCGGCGAACCAGTTTATGGCATACCATAGTCCACCGCTGATCACGGACAGGGCGACGAAGTGGAGGCTGTAGGTGGCTAGGAGGAGGGCGAAGAAGATAAGCTGGAGGGCGGCGAAGGCAACGTTGGTCGCGATTAAGAGGGTCGGGGTTGGTCCTGGAGTGAAGATGCTGGACCATAGATCTTCCACGAAGGAAGCCATGATGAAGTTGGAAAGTTGAAGGTGGAGAGGTTCGGGATATGAAATCCGCGGGGAAAATGGTTGCCGGAGACTCAAGTACTAGCGTCGGGCGCCAACTACGTATGGACTCAACGACCTCGGGATGTAAAAAGGTGGGCAATGAATTCCGATTTATAACAAAATCACTTGATCTTCTAAGATCTGCTCTGAATGGTCTTGATCTGGCATAAATTCAGTCAGATGAAGGAATCAGGGCCCGAACATATCTGAGCATCACGGGATAGATCGCTTCCTATATTATCCTAGAAAGTCAGCCACTCTGTATGCATTCCCGGAGCCTGCCCGCAGCCCGTGAGACAGAAAGACAATGTTCTTCGGCCATTCTGTTGACATGCAGATGGAGCGAATCGAGAAAGATGTGGCTAAGGGAGAATATATCAAAACTGAATGCTTCGTAGGTACTAGGTTGTAGGTAAAGATGCATCATGCAGTGACCTTTGACCATGTGACTTCGGAGGTATTTATTATTCCCCGAGCTTATACTCTCATCATCTCACAAGGTTGAATGAATATCTCAAAGGCCGACATGGAACATCCCTGGATGATCTCAATTCTCAATAGCCGTCGTAGCCGTCAACCTTGGAATTGACGACACTGGGCTTGCTCCCCCACACTTGCCTTAGTGCCGATCTTCCCCATTGCTTCTTCCCCAGCTCCACTGATATCGTGAGCGATGTATATCACTTCGGATTTGGGCTTTGTCTCATTGGATTGGGGGCCATCCCCCGGACATCCTTCAACCCGTCATTCGTGGAAGGAACGAACCTTGTACGCAGTATACCTTTGGAGCAACAGGGGAAGAACAAGTATAAAGATGCTCGGAAATGCTCCGGAGTAACACATCCCTATTCCTATTCTTACTCTACTTCTCTGGGTTTATTTCATAACCACCTCCCCCAGTCTCCCAGCCAAAATGGCTGATGATATCCCCATTACCAAAGACCCCTCCCATGAGTCAGTGGTAGAAGGCTTCTCCCACCATGCAGAAAACATCATCACCACAGATCGCCAGCCCTACGGCCCACCCGGGTTAAAGGGTCTAAGCACTAACCCGTTTGTCGTTCTATGCGCCGCTTGCTCGACCCTAGGTGGCTTGCTTTTCGGTTATGATCAGGGTGTGGTGTCCGTGATTCTGGTGATGGACCAGTTCCTAGCCGAGTTCCCGCGAATTGAAGAAAGCCATCCGGGCTCAGGCTTTGCGAAAGGTCTGTTGACGGCGATGATTGAGTTAGGGGCTCTGATCGGTGCTTTCAACCAGGGCTGGATTGCAGATAAGATCTCGCGACGGTATTCGATTCTAGTTGCCGTTGCGATCTTCACTCTTGGCTCTGTGCTCCAGACTGCCGCTTATGGGTATCCTATGTTGACGGTGGCCCGGTTGATTGGAGGAATCGGAATTGGCATGTTATCTATGGTTGCACCATTGTACATCTCTGAGATTAGTACGTACTCTGCTTGTTTTTTTTTTCACTTTTTTACTCTCAATCGCGATGATGTATGCTCATGAGACGCTCTTCTCTAAGGTCCCCCGGAATGCCGTGGTACCCTCCTGGTTCTCGAAGAATGGTGCATTGTTTTCGGCATCGTGATTGCGTTCTGGATCACCTATGGCACACGGTACATGGCCGGCGAATGGGCCTGGCGTCTTCCTTTCTTACTTCAGATGATTCCGGGCTTTGTCCTCGCGGCCGGTGTCTACGCCCTTCCTTTCTCGCCTCGATGGTTAGCTTCAAAGGGTCGAGACACAGAAGCACTTGAGAGTCTCTGTAGACTCCGTTGTCTGCCGGCGTCCGACAAGCGCGTTCGCCAGGAGCTTATGGATATCCAGGCCGAGCTCCGGTTTCACCAGCAGATGAACAAAGAGAAACATCCCGACTTGCAAGGCGGTGGTACCAAGAAATCCATATTACAGGAGTTATCGTCATGGGCCGACTGCTTCAGGAAGGGCTGCTGGCGTCGTACTCACATCGGTATTGGACTGGGATTCTTTCAACAGGTGAGTCGGCTGAGTGACGATTTCGGAACGACACATGTTAATGACATATAGTTCATCGGCATCAATGCTCTGATATATTACTCACCCACGCTATTTGCGACAATGGGTCTTGACACCAGTATGCAACTTGTCATGTCTGGCGTTCTGAACGTGGTACAATTGGTTGGCGTCACCACTAGTATCTGGACCATGGACGTTGTCGGTCGTCGCAAGCTGCTTTTAGTTGGCGCCGCTCTCATGGCCATGTCCCACATTATTATCGCCGTCTTAGTCGGCATTTTCTCCGTGGACTGGCCATCACACAAGGCAGAGGGGTGGACTAGTGTGGCTTTCCTTCTGTTCTATATGCTCGCCTTCGGGGCTACCTGGGGACCTATCCCCTGGGCAATGCCATCCGGTATGTATATTCTCCCTCCCGTGAATTAGATACTGCTCTGACAATGTCAGAAATATTTCCTTCCTCACTTCGCGCCAAGGGTGTCGCTTTATCAACCTGCTCTAACTGGCTCAACAACTTCATCATTGTATGTCATCCGGCACATTTGTGCAGTCATCCAACGTGCCCTATAAACTCACTTTGCTTCTTTGTAGGGTCTCATAACTCCACCTCTCGTTCAAGATACCGGCCACGGTGCCTACATTTTCTTCGCCGTCTTTTGCGTTCTCGCTGCAGTGTGGACCTACTTCTTTGTACCGGAAACCAAAGGCCGAACGCTCGAGCAGATGGATCATGTCTTCAAGGATAACTCTAGCGAAGAGGAAAGAGCTATGAGGCAGGTCATAGAAACCGAGTTGATCCGTGCTCAGTACGAGACTGCGCATCGGGAGTTTGCGTGAACCATTCCTACATACTGACCTTGAAGATACCATTCGCGCTGGACGCGCAGTTTCACTCCATTAACTGCTTGGGAATGAGAAATGAACATACTCCGTACAGGACATAAGACCGGCTTTTCATTGTGCCTAGATCGGACGATGTTTCCAGTAAGCATAGAGTTGCGCGATGAATCACAAATGTTTGGACCATTGAAATCGTGAACATGTATCATTAGAAGCAAGAAGAAGATAAAACAACTATGGTATCTTGTAGGCAAGTGTAAAGTCTCCCGAGCTCCCCGAAACGCCGCAAATGGCCAGAAACATCCGCGAATGTAAAATGCAAGCCAAGGAAAGATTATAGAACACCATGGCGAGCCTTGAAAATGGCCACCTTCTCGTCGTAAAACAGGATCTCTTGCAATCGGTAGCGAATTCGCGAAGCGCCCTGTTCCTCGTCCGGTTCGCTGTCGTAATCGTCCCGATCACTGGAGAGCAGGTCTGTGTCAGCTGTCCCCTGGTCATCATCGCCTTCACCGCTGTCCTCATCAGATTCGTTGCTGGGATTGGCCCATCCTTCGTCCTCGTCGTCGCTGAGCGCCGGGAAATAATCGGTCGTGGGGTTGTCATCGAAGTCTCCTGGGTTGTCGTCATGTCTGGCTTCGAGGATCTGATAGCATTTGACGTGAAGACCAATGTAGGCAATTTTGAGTTCTGGACGGATGCTGACGATGTCCAGAATCTGTAGTGCCAGTTCTTTGAAATCACGATGGATGGTATGATGGATCTGCGGTAGATACAAAGCGTGAAGCTGGCGCATATTGGGCAACCTCTGTAGGAAGAAATGCTGCAATATTATATTAGCTGAAGTCTCGGTGAAATCAAACGGCAGTGGATCTCCTACCCAGTCGCGATAATGCATCGCCATTCCCAGCTCCTTCAGCAGCGGCATCTTTCCACTCGAGACAAATGATATCATTTCGTGGGTAAACATCCACTTGTGCCATCGTGTACCGGAATATCTCGCCCCGGTTGATCGATCCGTGGCGTCAATTAGAACTTTGCGCAGACTTTGCCTGTGTCTTCGCAATATATGTCTGTAGATAGCGTCGATCGACACAGTAGATTCGTGACCTGGGGCTTCATGCAAATAAACACTCTCCAGGGTATTCGGAGCCAGCGCATCCTTGATAAAAAGTATGAGATAGGGCGAAACAGCGTCAGTACGGATGTGTTTCAGATTTAAGAAGTAATCGGTTGAGCTAGCGCTCTCTTGGCTGTCTGTTTTACGAGCGCCCTTGGCCGGCATTGAAGGAGGGGTATACTTGCGACGAAGAGCCCTCCAAAGCTTGTCATGATCCTCGCACAGCATGATGGTGAGGGTAGTCAGGCCGGTCCAGTCAATAGTGGGTATAAGTGTGGGCACAGAAAGAGGCACGCGTTCCAGCTCAAATACTTTGAGGCGGAGCAAGTCACGGTCAGATTCGTGAGAAGGCAGGGGTGACTGGCCACCACTGTTAGACAAACTAGAGGTTGGCGGGGACTTATTGTCCTTGGAGTCACTCAAAGGCTGATGTTCATCAATTGAACTCGGTGCATCGGCTCTCTCACTATAGCTTGGCGACCTGGAGGCGACATTTACCGAAGTCTCGGGAGAGGCAGTTGTACGATCGTCATGCTTGTTGCTTGAACATTTCAAGATGCCAGCGAGACCATCGGCTCTAGGCCAACTCTCTAAGGGGTTGGCGGCTTTGGTACACTGTAACCACCCACTCAAAAGAGCGCGTTCTGCGATGCCAATTCGGAGTTCAGTCAAACGGTGACGCGATCGCTCAATCAGAAGTGCCAGCTCCTCCACATATGCGGGCTCGTCTATATCGAGAACAGTGACACTTTTGAGCGGAGGCAGTACTGACAATGAAGGATGTTCCACATGTTTGTACTTCTGGAGCGGTCTCGTTGACACGTCTAACGAGTTGCGCAAATCATTCTCACTATTGTCATGCCATCGCACCCAAATGCGCTCCAGGCGACATTCGTGTCCTGGTCGATGTGCCAATGATGCCAGTGCTAGCCAGATTTCACGAACCACTCCAGTCGGCATGTCCCAAACAAAGGCTTCAAGGTTTACCATGCGGGCAACTGCCAAAGCGACCAGCGTCCCTAGCATTTTCCCCACTTCTTTGGTTACCGAGTATTCTTGTACCCAGCTGAGCGGTCCATTTCCAATAGAGAATGTGCGGGTATATTGTGCATAATGATTGCCTCGTCGCGACCGCAATCCAACTCCGCTACTCGCAGGATCCGAGTGCACCCGGTGATGGGGATTGTCGCAACCACAGTTCACACATTTCGTATCGCAGTTTGGCCGGGGCAATGGTTGTCTATTGAATACATCCTCTCCCATGACTAAGGTGGATAAGCCATAGGACAGCGCATCGACCCCCGTGTAGTCATCTGTTAACGGATTCAGCGACTCGGGCCAGACAATATCGAAGCGCGAGTACATGACTGGGATGGCTAGTGAATGAAGAGTAGAGCATGTGAGGGCGAGTGAGGTCAGATCAGTTGTATGCGTCACCTATCGTACACCAATATTGTAAGCTACCACTTCACGATTTGCGGGTAGGGCATGTGTTACCTCCTTCATAATCTCTTTCAAAACATCCAAAGGCAAATCCAGCAGCTGGAGAGGCTTACGGGCCATTGCAAGTTCTGGGGATGTCTGATTCGGGCCTTCGGTGCGGGCAGTAGGTGGAGTTGTGTCCGGTTCAGATGGATTGTTCAAGTCCTCTTGCTCCAAGCGCAACTTCCCCAAAGCCAATGTGAGATTTTGTTTTGCAGCACCTTTTTGCTCATTAGGGGCAGTGATAGGAGTTTGAAGAATGCCCTCCTCATCCGACGACTGCACGAGATCGGCGTCGGGCTTATCAGCCCACTCCAAGCTGGCTTCCGCCATTGAGGCACGGCAAGACGATCAAAGTTCTAAGATCGCGAGATAACGGTGACTGATATGAGAATAGACATCTCCAGATAAAAGCTGCAAGCTTCAGCAAGTCACAGAGCAATGGTTTTGTTCATATGACTTTGTTCTGAACAAAGGGCAAGGTCATAATAAAGCAAAAGCAATCTGGGGTACAGCCACCAGCGAACTAGCTCCCGGTCCCGTGATGATCCCGGTGTCGTTGAGTCAGCATTTTGGATGCCTCGACACCTGGGCAGTCACGTTGGAAGCTCTCTGCTTTACCTTTTACTAAACACAAGATCGCTGTGGACTAGTGAAATATATGAACTAACACGAGTCACGAAAGAGACAAATCAACTTGTATTTCTTTTCTAACTGTTACACTGTAAGCAAATATTACAAGCATCGAACAATCTTGGGAACAACAAGTATCACGGTCAATCTATAGCTGCCCAGCCCTGGAGATATCCAGGACCATCATAATGCCCCTCGAAGTAAGTGACTGCAAGAGATAGTCCTACTTTGATCCAAGTCTCTCCAGATTTATTGCCGCACTGATACATGCCAGATGACTGAATGCCTGTGGGGTGTTGCCCATCTGCTCACCAGAAATGGCAACTTCTTCGGAGAACATGCCTAGGTGATTTGCGTAGGACAGGATGTTGTCAAAGTGTGAAAGCGCGAGCTTCCACATATTCGCGATTGGCACATCATAATGAGCAGCCTATATATAGCAGGACGAGTCAGCAGGATTCAGGGCTTTGGGGGGGGCGTCGGGAAACATACACGAGCCATGGCTTCAACAAGCCAGAAGGTTACCATGATGAAGGCGCCTTCACCTCCTCCAACGCCTGTGTAACACGGGTGTCAGCATGTATCCACAATACAAGTTCCAGAAATACGAGCGATGCTTACCATCGTTGGCTCTTTGGTGGTCATAACGGAAGACCATCTTTGCACTGGACAGACCCTCCTTCTCAGGGTTCTCCAGGATTCTCTTCAGAGTACTGATGAATCGTGGATCATTGGGCGCCACAAAGAAGACCAAGGGAGCAATCATGATAGATGCATCGAGGACGTCACGACTCTCGTAACTCTGGCAGAAGTGACCACGCTCTTCGTTGTATCCCTTGGTCATGATCTCGTCGTACATCTGATCACGAACCCTGATCCAATCGAACCGGTCGGGGCATGGGAGGCTAGCACGCTTCTCCGCGAGGCGAATTCCACGATCCAGGGCCACCCACATCATGATCTTCGAATAGATAAAGTTTTGGATTTGACCACGCGATTCCCAGATGGACATATCCTTCAGTTGCTGGACACCGACAACATAGTTGATCATACGCCGGATGGAGATCCACTGATCATAGGTGATGGGGTTACCGTGTTTGTTGTACAGATAGATACTGTCCAACAGTTCACCGTAGATATCCAGCTGCGTGTGGAACACAGCAGCATTGCCAATGCGGACGGGCTTGCTGCCTTTGTATCCATCGAGGTGGTCCAATTCCACCTCGGGAATATCGCACTCACCCCGGATAGTGAACATTAGCGGCAAGAAGGGCCGTTTGCTGCTGGGATCAATGTCTTGGGAAGCGTGAGGGAAGATCCGTTCGAAGATGAAGTTGACATACGCTTGCGCCTCCTCGCTGTAGCCCATTTTGAGGAAGACATACAGCGTAAAGGCCGTGTCACGCACCCAGGAGTACCGATAATCCCAGTTTCGAGTGCCGCCAACGTTTTCCGGGAGTGAAAAGGTGGGCGCCGCAACAATTGCACCTGTGGGTTTGTAGGTCAAGAGCTTCAGAATCAGAAGGCTGCGCTCAACTGTCTCACGGTAATGACCACGGAAGGCACACTTGCGTGTCCAGTTGGTCCAGTATTCGGAAGTTTCTTCCTCCATCTTGAGGAGGTAAGCTCCCATCGTGGCCGAACTGGGAACGGCCTTCTCGGGACTGTGCAACACCAGAGAGACTGTCTGGCCTTCGGATAGACGAATCCATGCCACCAATCCCCGACCATTTAAACCCTCTCGTTCCTCCAGTTTGAAAGACGCCGCGGGGAGACCAAGCTTGTCTGGTTCCCAGGAATCAGCAAAGATCTCAAGCTGCAAGCGCTCGGACTCGCTCTCGAAATGGACAGTCTGGAGCCGGTGCTTGGAAAGGTCATTTTCCAGCTTTGCACGTGTGTTGTGCGAGTCTCGTGCATAGTTAAAAGCCGGGAAGAGCTCCACTTGCAGTTCCATCGTGCCACGGCCACACTCCAGCTTTCTAATCAGGCCCGAGTGCTGCAATCCCGACTTGAAGCGGTTAGTCCCTGGTTCGTTGCAGGGACAGTATCCCGACAGCAACCGAGCGGATTGCGCACCCTTTCTAGGGCTGACAGGAAAGTAGTCCAGCATGGTCACGACACCATCCTCGTTGGTCCACCGGGTTTCGAGTAGATTCGAGTATGGGAGATACCGCTGCTTGCTGTGGGAATCGACCACCGTCTTGTGAGGCTCCACAGAGAAGAATCCTCCTTTCTTGTCGTCCAAAAGGCGACAAAAGACACTAGGAGAGTCAAAGACTGGCCAGCACATGAAATCCAGACTACCAGCCTTGCTGATCAGGGCACAGGTGTGCATGTCCCCGATCAAGCCGTAGTCTTCAATGGCATTGTACGTAGGCTCTCCCATAATGGCAAGAGAAGTGAGCTACCGAAAGGGACCCGGTGCAAGATCAGAATACTATTGAGAAGTGTTGATGAAAATCAGATGCTGTTTTGCGGCGACAACCCGAGGAAGGTGGAAAAGAAGAGACCAGGAGAGGTGAAGACCACCCATTGATACTTCATCCGCGTGCTCCGACCTATATTATCGGAACTCATGGGATTAGCCACGACATGATGATGTTGGTCGCTTCTGAGGTCATGGCTATGCCAGGTCGGTTAAGGGCTTCTTCGGCGCAAGATCGGATTGACCAGGAATACACCATTTCAATCAGGAAATGACTCTGCTGAAGCTCCTTGTTGGCAGGTTAGCTTCTTTCTCTGCCGATGACCAGTCATATCAATCTCAGGCCCCTAAAGTAGGGCGGAAATGGTCAACGGCTTTCTGAAGTCTTTTCATAGCAGGGGGCTTGCGGGAGCTTCAAGCCGGAGTTCTCAATCCGCCAATGAGATCAGAACCAAGGGAGAGTCGGACTCTTCAGACCCTTCAGACCTTTCAGGCCTTTCAGGTCCCAATCCAGAATTATTTCTATTTTCCCCTTGGGCTTGACCCCGGATCGACCGGACAGTGGAGCTGACAATGAAATGTGCAACCAATTAAAGGGGACGGTTGCTAAGGGGAAAAGTACCTAACGAACAAAGCAGGGAAATCTTCAGAGAACATCAGCCCAATCTCACCCTCGATTCCTGTAGGGCTCATTTTCCTTTTATTCCTTGATCTTTATTTAGTTCCTTTGTTCAGTTTGTTGAGTCTTTCATTTTCCCCTAAGATAACCTCGGATTGGAGGTTGCCCCCTCCCCCATTTCTTTGTCAGCATCTCCTCCCTACCGCCATCTCGACAGGCTTCTGTTGTCCTCGTGTGACATCTTTCTATACTCCCATCTACGTTCATGGAGCCATTTTTCGGATCCGTTCTTTTCTTTTCTATCTCGTAACTGTCCCAGTCTTGAAAATGGGGCTATCCGCCGGCACCCACCACCGTCGGCGAAGCTCCATGCTTGCCGGGACAGGGCGAGCCTCACAACCGGTTTTTGCAGAGCGCAGAGATGAATCTCATAGATTGCATGACGGAGGAATCCATCGGGAGGAACAAGAGACTTTGATCGCTGAAGGGGACAATGCATCCGATATCTCGTCCGCCGCAGAGAGTCTGGAGCTGGATCCAATGAGTTCGGATGACGACCAATATGACGAAGAAACCGGACTCACGACACATCAAAAACGTCAGCGACGTCGAAGGCGAAAGCAGCGCCGCAAGCTGGATGCTCGAATTGCAGATGTCAAGGGCCATGGTAGCATTCGCGAGATCTTATCAGACCGCAACATTGTCAAGAGGCTACTGATCAACGGCGGACTGATTTTGATGTGGTATTTCTTCTCACTGTCAATCTCAATAGTGAGTGATATATCTCGGTTCCAAAGGTCGAATGAAAACTAACGAGTGTCATGTTTGCAGTACAACAAATGGATGTTCTCCGAGAACGATATCGTCTTCCCTTTCCCTCTTTTCACAACGAGCTTGCATATGGCCGTCCAATTCTCTTTCGCTTCTTTGATCCTCTGGATCTTCCCATCGCTTCGCCCGCAACAGCCGACGGTGTCTGCGTCGACATCCCCCATCGACGGTCCCGACAGGCCACCACCCCTCGTTTCCAAACTGTTTTACTTCACTCGCCTCGTTCCGTGCGGCACAGCGACCTCGCTTGACGTTGGCCTTGGAAACATGTCCTTGAAGTTCATCTCTCTTACGTTTTTGACCATGTGCAAATCATCCGCCCTTGCCTTCGTCCTCTTATTCGCCTTCTTATTCCGCCTCGAAACACCCTCCCTTAAACTTATCATCATCATCGCCACAATGACAATTGGAGTCGTGATGATGGTTGCTGGCGAGACAGCCTTCAATGCGCTTGGCTTCGCACTCGTCATTGCGTCTGCATTCTTTTCGGGCTTCCGTTGGGGTTTGACGCAGATTCTTTTGCTTCGACACCCGGCTACTTCAAATCCTTTTTCAACACTCTTTCTCCTTACGCCTGTCATGTTCATTTCTCTTATCGTCATCGCGCTATCCATCGAGGGTCCTTATGAAATCTACAACGGGTACCTCGCGCTCGCAGCCAAGCATGGAGAATTATTCGGCGCTTTTCTTTTAATTTTCCCTGGAGTGCTTGCATTCTGCATGATATCAGCTGAATTTGCGCTTTTGAAGCGTTCCTCTGTTGTCACATTGAGTATCTGTGGTATCTTCAAAGAGGTAGTCACAATCAGCGCAGCCGGCATTATCTTCCACGATAAGCTCACGGCAGTCAATTTGACTGGGTTGGCCGTTACAATCTGCAGCATTGGAGCGTATAACTACATGAAAATCTCCGGCATGCGCAGCGAATCACCAGACGAGTCCTGGAGTCGCGAGTCGAGTCCTACCTCCGAAACCGACGATACGGAGCATAGCAGTGGCGAGCCAGGGGACTACCGCCGAGTTGCCCCTCAAGACTCCAGCATTGTTAGCCCCGCACCAGGTGGTCACCTTGTCGATGATCACCCGTCGGCCGGTGAGCAACCGCGCTCCTTCCGGGTACGCGCTAGTGGCTCGAGGCGCGGACTTTCGATTTCCACCACCACCATTCCAGAAGATGATGGACCCAATTCCCCCATCAAATCAGCACCTCCCACTATCACTACAATGGCCGAGGCCGGGTTTCTCCTTGGGCCTGATCTTGAAGCGGCACCGGGCGTGCAGTCAAGCTCCGCTTCGCCCATTCGGAACCAAAAAATTGTCTAACCACTGGCATTTCACACTCATTCTTAACACCCTTAACACTCATTCTCAACACTCCTCTCCTATTTCTATACTTCTATATTGTACATACATGTGATGGATGTACGTTACCTGTTTCTTTTTGGCATTAGCGGGTCTGTGACCGACTTGGAAGAGCCATCTGGGCGCCAGTTGGTTTCACATGTGTATTCACAGATATGAATTGGTCTCTGGATTGGCCAGACTACGATTTACTACTGTTTGCATAAAGGGGGCTGCTTGGCTTTGGCTTTTGGCTTAATTGATACCATCAATCGAATTTTACTTGTTTTACGCTCACCAGTCGCCATTCAGTTTCACTTTTTCAGTCGTGTCAGACTAGGATAAGGCCTCCAGTTTGTATAAGGAATGTAGATAGATGTAGCTACCGAAGATGTCGATGCTTGATTTCTCTTGATTCGTAGGAATTATCAGAATACACGTCTACTCCTCGGCACCCTTCATCATATCCATGAGACTTTTCTGTCCCTTCGCTTTGCCTGCCGCCTTCGCCTTCTTCTTCGCCTCTGCCTCAGTCTTGCGTTCATACTGGTCCTGATGCTTTTCACGTTCCGCACGACCCTCCTCCGAAAGTTGAGCCTCGAGAGTTCGGAACTCTTCGCCCTCAGGATCCATCCCAATCAACGACTCAAGAAGTTTAATCTCACGTGCCCACACACCCGGATCAGGAACCGCAGCTGGACCCGCGCTAGCAGGCCTTTTAGAGACCTTCTTTGGCTTCTTCTTCTTTTCGGAGTCGCTCCCACTGCCCTCGGCACCATCCGCATTAGCTGGGTCAGGTTCTGGGACTCGATCAATAGGTGTCTCAAGAACCATGGGTAATCCCTCGAAACGCGGCTCGTTCATTACATTGTGGAACGCACGTAGACCGAGGAATCCTGTGCCGATATTGGCGTGCAAGTCGCGCTTGCTCCCGCGGGGTGCTTTGGAGTCATTGAGGTGCAGAGCTCGGAGGAATTTGATTCCGATCAGCTCATCAAATTCAGCGAGGAAGGCTTTGAATCCTTCCGACGTGGTCAGGTCATAGCCTGCTGCAAAACTGTGGCAGGTGTCGATGCAGATGCCGATGCGGGAGTGATGTTCCTTAGGAATTAACGCTAGTAAATCGCGGAAGTCGGACAGTGCGCCACCGATTGTGTTGCCGTGGCCGCACATTGTTTCCAAGACTGGGACGACGGTTTCTGTTTCGGTGATAGCCTTGGTCAGCATCTCTGCCAAGCGAGAAAGTGCTTCTGGCAGAGGTGTCTGGTTGGTACTTCCTGGGCTTGTGGGACTTAGTATGGAATGAGATGATTACCCAACAGTGGACTTACTGGAAGTTGTAAAGTGTTATTCCAAGGGCCTCGCAACGGCGAAGGTCATCCAGGAAAGATGTGTACGCTTGTTTGGCCTTGATTTTGTCATTTTGGGCCAAATTGACGAGGTAGGAGCCATGAGGGAGCACATGTCTAATGGCAGATGTAAGCGGACACACACGCTGAATAGGGCGTTAGATACTCACTTAGCTGCATCATATCCCTTCTCTGCACAGAGTTTACGAAATTGATCACGATGATCGTCAGGGAGAGCCGGGTTCTCCCATTTGCGCTGTGACTTCAAGAACAAGGCGAATGCATTTCCTCTGATAACGCAATTAGCCTTGGTTTCAGATGAATTCGAAACACGAACTTACCCGATATGCTCACAATTGTGTATAGAATTGAAGACACCTGCGTGAAAAGGCTTGGGTTATCATTGAAACCCCCGGAAAGAAATTGCGGAAGAAACTGACCTTTTGCAGCACTAACATGAGCACCAACAAGCATGCGCAGACCCTTGGTCCGCGGTGCCAAAGGCATAGCCTCGGCCTCTTGCTCTTTCTTAGACTTCCTTGCTTTCTTCTTGGGTTTGATGTCTTCGTTGTCTTCGTTCGACTCTTTCTTGATCGGAGGCTTCGGAGTCTTCTTTTTCTTCGCCTTCGCACTGTCAACTGGCGGAGTGTTTTCGTCAACCTCCTCTTTCAATGCAAGAATAACTTCTTCGGACTCTGAAACTTCCGGAGACGAAAGTTCCTTCAAATTTGTAGTAGATTTCTGGCGTTTGGATCGTCTAAGTGGTGACAGCTCCGCTGTTCCATTGCTGAGATTCCGTTTGTGGTTGATCTTGGATCCAGAGTCTGCGCGTGTAGGCGACTCGGGCTCTTCGCAACACATAACTAGCACTGACTGTGGCGGACTGTAGAGCCGCAGAAGTGAGTGGGTACTCTGATGGAATGCCCAAAGAAGTTGATATTGCCAAGCCTCGGAGATGGAATTTGTGATTGACGTGCTCGAATGTTCTGCAGACTCCCAACTAATGAATCAGAATATATAAAACCTGTTACCTGTACTCATGAGGGACCGAGGGTGGAATTGTAAAGCTCTTAGCCGGATTTCTTCCCGTAGGCTATCAACTTGGGTCTAGCCCAAGGAACCAGAGGAAGAACCAGGTTCCACGTGATCATCACCGGGGCAACAGTCATGTGATGTTTATCGATAACCAAAAAGATTCCCCTTGCAGCCCCTCCAAAGCTGCTAATTACCCTTTTCGAATATTTGGTCTTCAACAAAATCGGAGATCCGTGTGGTCTCATCTCATCTGTCGTTGTTGCTAACATGGCAGCCTCTGACGAACCTATCGATTTCGATATCATCGAGGCACAAAAGGAGAACGTCCAATCACTCCCCGGTGGCAGGTCAGCCAGAGAACTTGCCCGAATTTTTTCGGCCGGCAGCAGCAGCGACAAGATTCCTGCACCATCACCAAATGGGACCAGGACTATCAATGATGCTGTACGTCAAGAATTCGAGAGTGAATTGCAATCAATAGCAGAATCAGACGATCCGCTCGATGTTTACGACCGTTATGTCAAATGGACCCTGAACGCCTACCCTTCCGCACAAGCAACACCGGAGTCCGGTCTCCTGCCCCTGTTGGAGAGGGCAACAAAATCGTTCCTTTCATCAACGCATTACAGAAATGACCCACGATATCTGCGTCTATGGCTTCATTATGTTCGACTTTTCTCTGATGCCCCGCGCGAAACATTTGCATTCCTTGCCCGTCATCAAATTGGAGAAGCTCTGGCCCTTTTCTACGAGGAATTTGCCGGATGGTTGGAGGGTGCTGGGCGGTGGTCACAAGCCGATGAGGTATACAGGCTCGGCATGGACCGCGAAGCACGGCCAGTCGAGAGGTTGGCACGGAAATACAGCGAGTTCCAACACCGATATGATCAACACTCACGGGATACCGGCCCCTCGTCGCCCGCTTTGCCGACTGTTCGCCCTGCGCTGGCCGCCAAGATGAATCCGTTCGCACCACCAGACGCTTCTGCTGATCCACAATCTTCACGCCCCTCGCCTCCCACCGGCGGTGCTGCTAAGACCAAGTCCGGAAAGCCGAAAATGGCCATTTTCTCCGACGCCGACGCAGCTGCGCCGGGCCCGGCAACCGGTGGAGCGACAAAGGGATGGGAAAGCATTGGGTCGATTCGGGACCGCAAGAAGGAGAATGAAGTGGAGGCAAAGCCATGGGCGGGAGAGACCTTGAAGGTTGGGAAGAAAGCCGCACCAGCGCAAAAGATGACTATTTTCAGGGACGAGGTGAGTTCACACTCTACGTGGCCCTCCACTCCTTCAGACCTCCATATATTTACGATCACAGGACTAATTGCTGGCATGAACCTTTGGTTTTTATTATGTATTCAGTCCAATGCAGATCTTCCTTCCAAAGAATCAATCCAATCCAAGCGAGAGCTGCCCCAACACCACGTAAGGGAAGCGGTCAATCCGCGGACTGGCCGACGAGAACGTGTATTCGTTGATCTGGAATCTGTATACCCCGACCGCACGAACCCTGCACATGAGATGAGCTTCGAGGAGCTCAGGGCTATCAAGCGTGGATGGATGGGCAAGAATTGGCGGAAACAAAAAGCGCCTTTGCAACCGATCTCAGGCAAGATTTCTGGAAACACAGGTAATGCCGAGTCTCTGTCAGGAATCTACCACTCATCAAAGGATTTGCCTGAGCATCTTGGCCAAACCCTCAACGCAGCTGCTCAGACACAATCTCACCATGAAGTCGAAGGCCATTCATACAGACCAGGCAAAGCGAGTCGTACCAAGGTCAAAGGGGAAACGACGCAAACACAAACAGGTGAGAAATGAACTGTACAATCTTCTTCGGACAGGCTGAACTCATACCCCATATAGTCAAGATGAACTTTGACTCTCCGTCTAATAATAAGAAGGTCCGGCGCAAGAGTACACGGGAACCAACGATGACTATGCACACTCGTGCAGCGACGGATGAGATCTATAGCATTTTCAACCAACCATTGAAGGCAGAGACTGAAGCAGACGGTGATAGCTTTTGTGGTAGCGATTACGAAGATGATGATTGCGCGAGTACTGGAGATAGTACAGGTACAGGACACATCTCGGCGGCTTCGAGCGACTTTGGAGACGAGGAAACTCAAACGTTCCACAAATCCTACGATGACACTGACTACGCCAACACCACACGAGCTGAGAGTATTGAGGGCGATGGAAGCGATTGGACAGAGTTCAACCCCGATCGCGATATTCCTGAAATCGAGCATTCCGAAGTCACGTCTCAATCCGTCGTCAGCGATGGAGCGGCAGCTAGCTCAACACAAGGGACACCGGATAGGAAAGGCTTCGTACCAGAGATGCCCGAAGACTATGCCCCTCCTTGGGGTCCCTACCGTGACCCTGCAGTCATGGCCCAAAACCGCCTTCCCTTCATGACACCCATTGTGGAGCGAACGGAATCCTCAATTTCTTTGACCGCCGCTCGAAACAGCATCTATAACGCAAAGACGCCCTCTAAGCCTCGATCGCCGGCTAATGATCTTTTGCTTTGTAGTCCACTGGGAACTGACACGCCATATGAGGGAGACCACACTGTTACATCCACGGCTGATGTCCCATTCAGTCCTACGGCCTTCAAGGCGCTTGCGCCTAAGCTCCGGAGACGGGATGCAGTTATTAGGAATGCGCAATGCAATCCCACTGACAAGGGCATTCGCAATACGATTCTCAATTCTCTGGAACCGCCACTTGCGACATACACGGGCTATCATGGCCATGTCGAAGATAGCAACTATGCGTCGATGATCCAAAAGTTTGTCAAGACTAACACCAGACGATCAAAGGGCGCCATGGATGACACGCCTATCCTGGAATTTCCAGGAGCGGAAAGAAGCTACATTATTCGCCGTGAGCTTGGAGCTGGCGCATATGCCCCGGTCTATCTCGCCGAGAGTGTTGACAGTCTCGAGTTCTACAACTCCGACTCCGACAACAGCGGAACACCTCGTGGCATAGGTTCCCAATCGAGACAGCCAAATGCTTATGAAACACCCCGGTTGCCCTTCGAAGCGCTCAAGGTGGAAAATGGACCATCCAGTGCATGGGAGTTCTACATGATTCGCACAGCATACAGTCGTCTGCGGCAATCTCCGGACCATTCTCGTGCCACTGACAGTATCGTTCGCGCACATGAACTGCATGTCCATAAACGTGAAAGCTTCCTAGTCGAGGACTACCGAGGACAAGGCACCCTGCTTGATCTCGTTAACATTGTCCGCAACGAGGCGATCAATCCTACTCACACCTCCGAGGGTGGTCTAGAGGAAGTCCTAGCAATGTTCTTCGCCGTCGAGCTATTCCGCACCGTCGAAGCACTCCATGCCAACGGGGTCCTCCACGGTGACATCAAAGCCGACAACTGCCTGGTCCGCTTGGACGACTCCAATCCCCACGAACCACCCTCGAAAGCCCTTTCTCTCCTTGACCTCGGTGCCGATGACATCGCCTTCGATCACCGTGAAAGCGTCCACTACTCCCCAAGCGGATCCCACGGCTGGCGACAAAAGGGTCTGGCTCTGATTGACTTTGGCCGCGGCATAGACATGCAAGCCTTCTCGCCAACTGTGCAATTCATCGCCGACTGGGAGACCGGTGCCCACGAGTGCAACGAGATCCGCGAAATGCGCCCCTGGACCCACCAGATCGACCTTTACGGTATGGCTGGCGTCATCCACGTTTTGTTATTCGGCAAGTACATCGAATCCACTGTCGTCGACGGCGGTAACGCATCAACCCGTACCTACCGTCTCCGCGAGTCTTTGAAGCGATACTGGGATCGGGAACTCTGGGCTGGTGTTTTCGATCTCTTGCTCAACCCCGGTGCCGAGCGTTGGCAACAAATTGAGCGCGAAAACAGAGTGGATTCGGCTCTCTCGTCGGCGCCTATTCTGCCTGTTTTGCATTCCATGCGTCATGTTCGTCGCGGCATGGAGGAATGGCTTCTTGCCCATGCTGAGAAGAAGGGACTTGCTCTTCAAATTCGGAAGATCGAGGCTCTGCTCATGGAGCGGAAGAAGAAGTTGGAGAGGTGATTTTTTTTGTTGTCTTTTCTTGTTGAATTGCCTTGCAGATACTTTTTTGTAGCTTATACCCCATTCCATGTTGTCTCATGTTACTTGTGTTTCATTTTATAATCGTTAATATTCTCTTTTGAACCTGCAGATATTACACCCCGATGCTAAGTTACCATCTTAGCGAAACGTGCCAGATGTAATTGGAGATCGAGAAGGCCAGCTGGGCTGCCGTAGCCATAGTACTTGCTCACTACAGTCTACAATGGTATGAACTTTTCCTGCTCAATAAAATTTAGAACTTTCTCTAACCTAGTGATGTCGCTTGCGCTGGGTGGCTCATCCACACATAGACCGATCGAGGGCCATCGTAGGATAAGCTGAGAATCACTGGGGACTATGTGTTCAGGACAATGTTACGAGTAATGGAATCTACAGCTCAGACATGGGAGATATGAAAAGATAGGAATAATCAATTGTGCGATCATTTCGATCTAGAGCCAAATCCCATATGGGACAAAAGCAAAGGCAGATAATCAGACGAAAGTAAGAATAAAAAGATCAATCTGCCAAATCTTACAAGCCCCAGAGCGAGACCACAAAGAGTTCTGCCGAAACAGACTCTGGAGCAAAAAGAAGGTCCATACGGCCCGAAGGACGCAGACGAGGCGAAAGCAAAAGAAGAGACAAAAAACACGCAAATATCCAGATGCAAGCCCAGGCACAAGGGGAATCATGGAGCGCAAGCAGAAGCAGATCGTGAATTGAAAGCATGGGATATCTCGTTGTCAATCGAGAACCAGGAAGAATCCTGGGATATCGGGTTCAAGATTGCAAAGGAGATGCGAATTAAAGAAGAAAAATGAGATCGCTGGCAAAAGAAACCAAACACCTCGCTTGCGTATCAGGGATGTCGTTGGTCAACTGCAATATCATGCGCGTTCGTTTCGTTTCGTTCGTCTATGTATTTGCATATGTATCGTTGCACATTCGCGTTTTGTAGGGGTGCCATCTATGTGACAGGCGTCAACATAGAGGGGTGTCGTTTTGTTTTGTGAAGGGTAATTCCAAAGACAGCCATTATCAAGACGTGCTACATCTTCAGGATGACATGGCGGTGGAAGTGTCGTGTGCCATGTCGGAGATGCAGGTGACGGACGGCTCAACAAAGCCGGAGAAAGAAGAAGATAGAAAATGAAATATGGTAGAGAGTGTGAATCGCAATGAAAGCGAAGGGTCTTTTTTTGGTGTTTTGGATGTTTTCTGTGAGGCAAGAGCCAGGTTGACGACAAGGAAATGAGTTTGTGAGTGAATGAGATGAAACGACAAGATCAATGCCGGTTTCATAGAATGGAGGTCAAGAGAAGGTGGTTTCAGACCAAACCGTACACACAGCACAAGACAAATGAAGTCAATGTGTTATGTGCAGATTCCGAATAACCAAGGGCGAAATGGAAAACCCCATCACATGTTTTTGATGTTTTTTGTTCATTGAGATTCGTTGTATTTTGCGTATCAAGCGTGAAAGAGTCGCAAAGATATCATTACAGTCGTGGATGTTGCGGTCGTAAAAAGCTGGAAATGCAGGACCATGTCGGGATCTCGTTCAAGTCATTATGCAAGCAGAAAATCTCGCGGAAATCCACACCATCGAACGGACACTTGAAAAAATAGACGTAAACGCCTAGTTACGTATGGAAGACATGTTCAAGATTTGCCGGCGGATGCGCTCAGCATCAGAAAGACCCTCATAGACATTGTATCGCAAGGGGCTCGCGACTTTTGCAGGATCCTGGGTCGGAGAGACTGTCATTGGAGAAGCGTTGTGACTAGGCGCAATGTTTGAAGCACCACCGCTCAAGAATGGATCCGCAAGTGCAGGGGCGCGTCTACTCCTTCGCTTTGGAGTTTCGCGACGCTTGTTGCCCCCTTCGATGCGGAAGGGTGAGCCCAGACGCTTGATGTTTTCACCAAGGTCCAACAGAGGGTTCATGGGCTTTGCAACGGGAGTGGTCTCTTCAGGTTCAATGGGGCCCGAGTTGAGGGAAGAGGGTGGTGAGAAAAGCTGGTCCATGTCTCTTTGGTTGACGGCCCCAGTGGTAGCTCCACGGTTGCGAACACGAACCCTGCCATGGCCCATGTCTTGGAACTTGTTGTCACGCACATAGCCTTCCAGGCGACGTTCATCATCTTGGTCGGATGTAGTCTTCCTGTTCTCTTTCGCTATGCTGGAGAACACATCGTCGGGATCGTGCAAAGTCTGGTCCAGGTATGTGTTGCGCCGGGCACGATAACCCGGAACATGGACGGTATCACGTCGAGCATTGAACGCCGGAATTTGGCGGTTCGAATCACCCGGGCCCCAAGTACTGTACACAAATGGAGATCCCAAACGAGGGATGCTAGGAGCAGATTCAACACGAAGATGTTGGGGAGTCCGTGCCACTGGTGGCTCAACATTGGCATGCGGAGGATTGTTGAACCAATCGTCACTCACGTGTGGCAGATCCTGCGTAATCTGGGAGAGCGGAGTCGGCTCATAGGAGCTGACAAGAGACATGCCGAGGTCACGAGTACCGTAGGCCGACTGCACGGCGAAATCCTGGATGCGGGAATCCGTAGGAGGGCCGAACATCTGCGGAACGGGCTCGGGGGTGCGAGACTGCATGATGCGCTGATAGTGTGGGGAAATCGAGAACTTGCGCCGACACAGCATCTTCAGACGTCGTCTTGTCTTGGAGTCGGACTTGGGCCATGAAAGTCGGCTGCCTTCATCCACAGCCTTGGGGGTAGATAATCCAGTAGAATCTCCAGATGTCTTCGATGCCGAATTAACGATTCGACTGCTCTTCTTCTCCCATGTCTTCTTAGCACGTCGCGCAACACGCGAGGTGACTCCCAAAGGGGGGATACTGCCGGGTGTCATCTTGAATGGAGTCAAAGTAGGGTCCTGAAGGTAGATTTGATAGGTATTCCACAGGTGGTTGTCCATCTCACAAGTCCAAGTCGTGTGGTTCACCTTCATATTGGATCGCTGCTTCTGGGGTCGCGAGGGCGACTCAATCTCAGGTTCTTTCGCATGCTCCAAGGGGAAATAAGAGTCAAAGCCATCGCTTTCGACACTGGTGCAACTTCCAATGGATGGTCGTGAGGCATATGTTTCGATAGATTCGACTGAAGAGTTTGACGCACTCGAACAGGCCGAGCCTGGGCGCTTGATGAGGTGTGGGCCAGGCGTCTGGTCCCACGATGGCCACGGGTTCCCAGTGTCGCACGAGTCGAAAGGTGTACCACGAATTTGTGCAGGCGGCGTCTTGAATTCCAGTCGCGAACGCGGAGGCGCAAGATAACCCTCATCGTTGGCGAAATCACGTGGAGCAGGCGCCTCGGGTTCAGTGGTCAATACAGGCACTTCGATTGAAGGCAGGGGAGCATCTGCGCCCTGGAACTGGAAGATCTCGCTGTCCATGCGAGCGCAGACATTGGTACCTGCACGAGCCCGGACTCGGGGCAGGCGGGCGCTGGAGATAGAGTGACGTGGGGGTGGTGGGACATCAATCGTTGGGCAAGGGCGCTCAGGCGTCTTGGGTTCATTGTCGTCGAGGGAGAAGGTGAAATTCTTCGGCAGAGTGCGCGAGAGCTGGCGTTGAGCCATGCTGGCGATCTTGCGATTTTATGAATCGCAAAAATGTGGGTCAATGCGACTTCTGGAAAGAACTCGAGGACGTGTCGGAGCTATGGGTAGGTGGGTATGGCGCGGTTCGGGTCAAGTCGAAGCGCGCAGCGTCGCGTCAAAAGGTCGTGAGTCGTGAGAAAGGAAAATTGCAACGAGAGCAAAAGAGGTAGGAAGTAAGAGATGAACGTGAAGAATAGAGAAAGGAAAGAAAAACCGAAGTCTCGGCGTGAGCGTGATCGTGCGCTGAGGAATGCGGCAACTTAGGAATCGGGATCACCAGATCACAGCTGCAGCACCATCCCGTTTAGTTGGGAATGGGGAATTTCGTCATTACCTCAAAGAACACGAAAAGAAAGGAAAAGTCTCCGCAAACGGAGAATAAAGTGAGAAAAGATCTCACGATAAAGATGGGGAAAGCGTGGTTGAGAGAGAAGAGGAAGAAGAAGATGAAGATGGGGGTGTAGAAGGTTGGGCGTAGGGTGAGGCGGGCGGGGGGTACTTGGTACCTATGAGCCAGGTATCGACTGCCCCGTTTAACGCGCTACTTCAATGTACCCAGTACTTGGCCCACTGCGAAAATCCTCTAGAAACCGAAATACGTTGTCTTGTATAATTTCTCTCACTCTCTCTGTGTGTGACTACTCCGTACTGTTTTTATCGATTCTTCTTCAGACTCTCTCATTCTTGTTTGTTTAGATTTTCTCGAGTCTTTCCTATATGGTTGAGTGTTTGGCTGCACCCATCTGGGCCTTACTTGACGCATGCACCGTGGACAAATAATTTGGCAGGACTCTAGAGAGAATCAGCTGAGGAGGTAAGGATACAATTGGGATAGGCGGTGCTTTTGCTTCATCTTCTAGAGGTACACCACATCGTAACCACTAACTACGGACTATTATGGAGTCAACTTCATAAATAAGGAGGCTGGTGAACCCCTAAACCTGGTTTATTTTGGGATCAGGTACCATGTACGGTAGATCGTGGATTTATTATGTGTTTTCGAGACATTGTCTCCAGCCGTTCCCTCCGTAGCTGCAAGGGCTTGTAACAGAAGAACGGCCAGCCTGCGTATAAGAAGTGCAGCTGATATCACCTTGTTTTTCCCTCTTGCTTCCAGTCATGCTTGTATTTCGTAGTGGCTCAGGCCTCTGAAATCAAGAGAAAAATCTTCCTTTCTCTCTTTCCATACTGCGTAGTACTGTGTAGAACCGCTTGTCGCAAGGTAGACAGATAAACCCCATCTTGGTACGGGTACCTGGGTACCGTCGATCAGCGGTAGGATTTTCTCATTGTGCGGTCTGGATCGGAGCCCTGGAGGAGCTACCCAACGAGAACCCCGGGGCCAAAGACCCATATAACCCCATTGGGATGGGGTGATGGTGGAGGCGTTGTGGTTGGAGAAGCTTCACGTTCGTCTTTTGCTCCACTGACGCGCGACGCGTCTAACACGTGTCGAAATTTACCGTATGGTTACACTGTATTTATCAGTCACGTGGTACATGTCCAATGTAGTCGAATTGACTGCTTCATTTTTGTCGCATCTACCAGTATGAATATGTCCCCTTAAATGATAAGCATCCTGCATTGATCACTGTGCTTGATGAATTCTCCGAGATCCCAGGATCTCTTTGTTCCAAACGGACTCGGTTACAAGATCTCATCTCGCTTACAGTGGATAGCCACAGAAAATGTGGGCCAGATGCCAATCAACTCCACTCTCGAGGAGCCGAGTCTAAGCCAATCGACCTTGAAAGACATGGACTTGAGTCATTGAATTTCAACTGGCTCGTCAAATGCAGGGGCATTCGAGTTCCAGCTTGTCCCACAGCTTGTAAATAAGTAACAGATGTCGTTCCTTGAAAGATAGTGTAGACACAAGAGCTAACAAGCTCCAATAAGTAGTTATGGAATGAAACAAGACGAGACCCAGCCTCGGATTCTCCAACCACTTACTCTCCCAGGAAGCTCAGGTCCACCTCGGACTCGCGCGACCGGAACAACATCTGGACTCTTGGGTCGGTGATAGACTCGACACCATTTTCGATGTTCTGGGGCCGTCCTTCGCTCTCCAACTTGAAATCGTACTTCAAGAGCAAATGAAGAAGCATGATCTTGGATTCATTTGATGCAAAGAATCGACCAGGGCAGGCATGGATACCGTGACCGAAGACATAGTGATCGGCTGTCGTTGTGACAAATTGATGCTTGTGTTCGTTGCCGGGCTGCTGGCGTTTCTTAAAGAATCGGTAACCATCATAAGTGGCAGCACCGGGGTAGATGCTGTCATCTTCTAACGTCTTGGTGGAAACGGAAATATTGGCGCCTTTGGGAATCACGGTCCCATCGGAGAGAACGACTTCCCTGTGGGCCAGGCGGGTGATGGAGGCTGTGGGGGAATGTCAACACGTAGTTCTTTCGGCGGTTTCAAGGGGAAACGGTGAAGACATGGAGCACGTACTGAGCGATACTGGATGCATGCGCTGCGACTCTTTCAACACGCTGTCCATCAGTTTCAACTTGAGCAGACTGGTTTTCTTCAAAATTCCATCCTCGGCAGCAACCGCACGGATCTCATCACGCAGCGGCTGGATGTACTCCGGATACGCTGCCAGGTCGTACAAGACATTGGTGAGCAGGTTCGATGTAGTATGAATGGCCGCCAGCGCCAATCCCACTTGAGAACAAGACTGATCGAAATCTAACTGGTTCCGAGCCTCGGCAGTCTCGCGATACCAGTCCAGGGCATCAGCATTGCGAGGGGGGTTCTCTTCCGGGAGCTTGCCTGCACGGATCAATGCTCGTCGGTCTATTTCGCGGTTGATGATGGAGCGAGCCTTTTTCAGGTGCTTGCGCAACTTTTGGGCAGAGGGCAAAAATCGACAGACGATCGGGCGCAGAATGGCGGGCCATCCTCGCAGATCGCGCATGGCCATGAAGGCATCGATAGCGTAGTTCACGGAGACCTCGACCCACTCTGCGTCGTTGGAGATGGTCTCTCCAACGAATATCAAAGAGGAGAGGCGGGCAACCATGTGCGGGATCATAGAGGCGATATAATAGGGCTTCCATTCTGTAGGGTTTCATCAGTGTGAGAGCTTGGTCGGTCCCGCGGGCTTGGTCGTACCGTCAGTGGGGGGCAATGAATCTTTCAATATTTCAGCTGTCTTCTTGGAGAGCGGAATTGATACAGATCCTGGAAGAGGCGTCAGTCCTGGTGCTCAGGGGAGATCTCATAAATGCATGCATACCGAGCGCCTGTGTCAACTTAGTCCGCACCACCTCAACGGTCACTTGTTGAGATGTCCCATTATGAAATGGTTCGAATCCAGGAATACGGTTGTCGAAAAAGGTCTAGTAGAAGTTAGCCATGACATGCTTCATCGGCTCATCGGTCAAACTTGCACTTTTAATGGCGTCTTCAAAGCTCAAGTCGGGGTTGTTCTTGATTTCATCGACATATTTGGGGTGCAATATGATCATCGGCGTGGTAGCACCCATGAGCTGAAACACATTCCTCCCCTACAAAATGTGAGTCGCCATAGATCAGGCTAAAAGCTACCGCGGAGGATTCCTTCGTCTTATAACACACCTGTGTAAAGCCTTCTGCAATCAATTGACGAGCTGATTGCGTAAAGCGTTCCCGGGCCTTCTTGTTGGTGAGCTCCCATCCAGATTTTCCAACCAAAGGAATACGTCTGTAAGGAAGTTCATTCGCGATATCCGCCCAACTGGTTGTGATAAACCACACCACTAAGGCGACACCCACAGTCTGCACCACATATGGGCTGTTCAGCAGTTCCGTGATGAGGGCCATGTTCAAGGGTTCAAAGGGGGAACAATAGAAGCGACATCCCAAGTCTCTGGAAAGAAATCTCGTCCGAGGGGTGTGTCATTAATATATAACCTTAGCATTAAGCCATCCACCAGTCCGAGCGACTCCATTAGATATCCCACGGACCTTCGTCTAGATTGTCTCCGAATAAGGGGCCCACGCGATGGCCACACAGATGATCAACCGGATGTTTTGCAGCCGAACCAGGGTGAATTAAAGCCAAGCATTGCTGCAAAGATATGATCAATACCTAACCGACCTCCTTAACCGGAATGGCCAAGCTCCGGGGAGTAATTTTCAACTAGATTCCACAGACCCAGTGCGAAAATCGCGAGAACGAGAGCTAAAGTGAGCGATCGTTGCCTGAAAGGGCAAGTCTAGGACGGGTTACTGTTCCGTCCGAATGCACTTGCATATGTGGTTGTAGTAAGTACCGGGATGTGGGTGCCGCCGCTTTATGAGGGCCATCAGAGTCCTCCCGAGTAGTTATCTCAGAGCCCATGATGCTCAATGAGACTCTTCGGTTCAGAGAGAGAATTTGGGTGAGAACTGGGGAATGATCTACGTAGTAGTCTTGGCATCAATATTTATACTTTGGAGATTCAAAAAATGTGCAACTTATCCAATTTATAGCCCGACGCTATCAAAGGTCTTGGTACGATCATTGGACGTTCTCCCCTTCCAAGGTTCCTTCCAGGATTGGAAGGTTTGGAAAGGGCGATCCACCCGGGGTTGGTGGCTTCCATAATCTCTCAACTTCAGGTGGCCAGGGCCGGGCCAGGCCAGGTTGGCCAGGTCAAATATTCCACTTTGCTTGACTTCACCTCTTATGACTTTCTCAAAATCCTGATACATTCCTCCTTGTACCTACAGTTGTCGGGAGGTCGTACATCGCATAGAGGCCGAAGCCTCGGAGACTGACCGGTCGTTCGCTCCACATTGCTCCTCACCCCCAGCTTTTGTTCAATCGCCCTCGGTAGCAGGGCACGAGGGGAATACAACTTCATTTCTAACTTAATATATATCGTGACTTAATGCATGCATGTCTTAGCCCGGCAGTGAATCAAATTCCTCTTGAAGAGGATGCCCAAGCGATCAGTGACCGAGCAAGTACACCGGCTGGTCCCCTAATCAGTTTGTGAGGGCTCATTTCAAGCAGGATGGCTCTCGCTGTGTTGCCTCAAACCTAGGTAGTTCCTAACCGCAACCGCTTGCAGCAAAAAGAAATAGTATGTCAGACCCAAAGGTGAATGGAGAACATTGTGTAAACCTCCCAAGTAACATTACGTAGAGTACAACGAGAACCTTGGTTACATTGCCTTGCTTATAGAAGCTTATCGGAATTAGGCTAGTCGATCCATGGACCATGGGTTACTATTCTGCCCCCTCCCCGCATATCATGTGTCAACCTTCCCCGCTCCGACCTGTCTTCCGTTTCAACTTCTCTTGAATAACAAAGTCATTATACAATTGTCAATATGGGTGATTATGGGTCCGCTGGCCCCCTTCTGCATGCCACTCCAGTCGACAAAGATCCGCCACAGCCCTCGGCTTCACGCAAAGAGATATCCGTCTTGGTAACAGGCTTCGGGGTGAGTGATTCGAGTTTAAGTGATCTGCGTCTCGGATGTCGTTCGTATCCGATCCGATCGAAACTAACAATGTAGCCCAGCCCTTCAAGACAAACCTTGTGAACGCCTCGTATTCGATAGCTTCATCCCTTCCATCGTCATTCCCCTTTCCATCGCCCAAAGACCACGACGCGGAACCACGTCGAGTCTCGCTCCATGTACATCCCACACCGATCACAGTGTCATACGCAACCGTGCGAGAGACCGTTCCCTTGATCTTGGAGGAGTTTGCTGCCTCGAATGGTGGCCGCAGACCGGATCTCATTGTTCATATTGGCATCGCCGCTCCACGGGAGTATTACTCGGTCGAGATCCTGGCTCATCGTGATGACTATCACATCACTGATGTTGAGGGCTGTTCTGGCTATGTAGATGGCGAGAAGAGGTGGAAAGAACTGGGTCTGCCGCCGATTCTGACACCTGGTCGTGCTTCAGAGGATCCTTCCTCGGCCTCGCTTTACCGACCTGACGATCAGTTCCTGGAAAAATGGCGTTCTTTTGCTCCCAATTCGGATCTCCGAATCTCCAAAGATGCGGGTCATTATCTGTGTGACTTTATATTCTACACCAGCATGTCTTTGGCCCAGTTACAAGGTCAGGACCGCAATGTCTTATTCCTGCATGTTCCCGGAGCATCAGAAGATGCGAATATCAAGGAAGGACGTGAGGTTACACTCGCCCTTATCAAGACAATGGTCGCGTGCTGGGTTGACAGGGACTCTTCTGCATAGTCAGATCGCGTCATTGTGAACAGATTTCTCTAAGGTCTTATGCCATATAATCATTCAAACACCTACTCGGCTACAAGTGAGGGGTGGCTCTCCATATCCTTATGTGCTTTATTTGGCTTCAGCAGTTGATTTTCTGTATCTTTTGGCCATGTTCGTCCCTTTGCTCGCATATCATACGCACGCGGCGCTACATGTTTTTACCCAATACCAGAACATAATCCAGACTATCGAGATAATCTTTGACCTTTGTTCAATTCAAGACAAATTCGTCTTCGTATGTATGATAAGGCATTCAAGTGCAAATCCCGACACTTCCCACCGCGCAACGAAGTGCGTCATACTGTTTAGAAGGAGGCTAAAGGCGGCACCCCTCGGCAGAACCAGGCTTATCGTCGCGTCTGGATCTGTACATATAGACAACCCTAACCACTAGGGTCCTCTACCCAAGAAAGCAAACATGCTACAATCACACAGCATGGTATCAGCATTGATCCTGGGCATCATCTTCTTAATCCCAATCATCCTGATTCCCCGCATCAAGGGATGGTCCAAATCCGCCAGAACCCCAAGGCTTCTCCGCCTATGGCGCCAGCCCAAACAATCCAGCGAGATCATCTCATTACGCATGTACCCCATAAAATCATGCCGAGGCTTCGAGGTCCAATCAACAGTCCTGAAAGAGCACGGCCTCGATCTCGACCGTCGCTGGATGCTCGTCGACGCAGCTACAAACGAGTTCCTGACTATCCGCCAAATCCCCGATATGACGCGCATCGATACAGCCCTGAGTGCGGACGGAAATGACCTGCTCATCACTATCCCCAAGCCCGGACTCGAGAATCAATCCGATACAGTTCGTATTCCGTCCCATCCTGACACAGAATGGCTGGAGGCAAATACCAAATCGGCGCCGGTTAAGATCTGGCAGACTGATACGGACGGGTACATCTACGGTGAGGAGGTTAATGCTCCTTTCTCGGCGTTTTTGCGTCGTGACGTTGCGCTCGTTTATAAGGGTCCTACGCCGCGTGTGCTGAGGGGGAATGGTGCGCCGGATTTGCTGGGTCGTGTGCAGTCGACTGGGTTTCCGGATGTGCATCCTGTGCTTATTGCGTCGCAGTCTTCGATGGAAGAGCTTAATTTGCGGCTGGAACGTGCGGGTCAGGACATGATTACTGTTGAGAGGTTCCGTCCCAATATCGTCATTCGCGGTGGGGCGCCTTGGAGTGAGGATTCGTGGAAGACGGTTCGCATTACGGGTCAGAAGGATGCTGGCAAGGCTGGTGAGACTTCTATTGATTTGGACGTTGTGGCTCGCTGTGGGCGATGCCAGGTGCCGAATGTTGATCCCGTCACTGGGGATAAGCATAAGAAGCAGCCGTGGGATACGCTTGTTTCGTACCGTAGGGTTGATGGGGGTCTTCCGTTCAAGCCTTGTTTCGGGATGTTGAGTGCGCCGCGCAGTGAGGGGGTTGTTAAGGTTGGGATGAAGCTGGAGGTTTGGGAAGAGACGACTAAGCATAGGTATATTCCTGGGTTCTAGGGGATTTAGATGGGGTGCGATCTAAGATTCAACATACTAGAAGGCTAGTATATGATCGGGCAGTGAAAGTTCGGGTGTAGATTTTCAACACAAAATTGGTCTCGTTGCCTTTCTCCATATGATGACATTGACATGAAAAACTAGCGGTATATAACATACTCCAATCTATACAAGAATCCAGGCACTCTACTTCAGCTGCTTGCTCGCCGAAACACACCAGTTATTCCACTCCGAGAAGAACGACGGCTGCACATGACACTTGGCGCTCGTGAGCTGGTCCTTGCGAGTGGCAGCATAAACATCCACAACACCCTCAATGTTACTCTTATCATGAGCAACGAGCACCTTAACAACAAGCAAACTAGCCTGACTGCAAGCAGTCGCATGGCCCATAGGACCACTGTGGCTAGCTTCCTTGTGAACAGACCTCAAAAGCTCCCAGAGCGCCTCAGCCTGTTCATCGTCCTCAATCTTAGGAAGCGCATTGCCCTTGCATACCTTCGTGTATTCGCGCACGACATTGTTGGCCTTTGTGGCGATTTGCTTCACGCTGGACCGGCGCGACAGCCGGAGCAACGGTAAGAGGATGTCCAGTGCCAGCAGCCGGGAGTGGCTCTTCTTCACAAAGATCTCCAGCAGGTCCAGGACGCGGTTCTTGAAGTTCACCATGTTCTCGCGGGCGTCTTTCTTGTCTTTGCGGTTGGAAGTTTCTTGGCGACGGGCGCGGAAGACTTGTACGAGTTTATCGTCCAGCTCGTCCATCTCGTCGTCGTTCATGTCGGCGTCGGAGTCGGATTCGCCTTCTAATCCGTGGTTGCCGAGCGCGGCGGCTAGTTTGGCTTCGAATGCGGCGACTTCCTGTGCATCTTCTTCGTTTGCTTCTTCTTCCTCTTCTTCGTCGTCCTCGTCGTCTGAGCTGGAGGCGCCGGCTTCGACAACCTCGACGTCACTGTCGAGCTCATCCTCATCAACGTCCATCATATCCGCATCGTCATCCTCTCCTTCTTCTTCGCCTTCGTCGTCTTGCTCTTCGAACATCTCTTGTTGTCCAGACAGACTTTCCTTCGCCTCCAGAATCTAATAAACTTAGTTAGTGAATGTACGTCCCACAGAAGTTGAGGATACATACTGAGGTCAAAGATTCCAGTCCATTCTCGGTGATCTGGTTAGCAAAGGCGCCGAAGACCTGCTCACTCATGCGACGGAAGAGCTGCGATTGCTTGGATGCAAAGCTGAGCAAGATCTCAACCAACGCATCCGACGCATCGCCGGCGTCCTCGGTCTTGGTCTCTTTGTCGCCCAAGAATTTGGTGTGACAGAACTCGAGCTCATCAAGCATGGAGACCGCGTCTGCGTCTCCATTGTACACCTGCATGATCGTCATAGAGTAAAGCAGCTTGAATGCGGCCATGCCCTTTTCCTTCTTCTCCTGTATGACAGTCAGTATAAGTAACCAATGGGCAGTTAAAGGGATGACCATACCCTGCTGGACAATTTCTTCAGTGATTTGAAAGCAGCCTTCACGGACTCAGACAGCTTATCATCGATCGCGATGATAAACTTGCCGAATACGCCAGACTTGGCTGCATCGCGAATCTGCTTCACTACCACATATGGGATTGTAGCTGCAAACTTCTGGTTGGAGATAAGGCTGTTCAAGCAGGAGTTGATGCGATTGCGCAGCAGTTCTTGCGTCGCCGAGGAAACAGCAGGCTCAGGGGCAGTTGAGCTCTTGCCGTCATCCAAGAAGTACGCAAAGCGCACAAAGATGGAAAGAATCCGCTCAAGGATTGCCTGGAGGTGTTCGGCATCGCCTTCGGCGGCAGAGGACTTGGAGCGCACGATCGACAGAAGGAGACCAGCGACAAATTGACGGTTTGAAGCGGCGGTCTTCTCGTCGGTCGTACCGGGTTTTTGGATGAGCTGTTCGAAGAATGGAACGATCTCTTGCAAAGCCTCGTGGTTGGCTTCGGAAACGATCTTCTCGACCGTCTTAGTCTTGGTGGCTTGGTCGAAGTTCAGTGTGCCGCTGGTTCCCATCAACCCACGGATGGCCGCGGCGGCGAATTCGGGCTCTTTGGACACGCGAGCCTGAATCGCCTTGGCAGCTTTGACGGCCATTCTGTGCAAGTAGCGGTCTTCCACGGCAAGTTGGTTCGTCAAGCATCGCGTAAGATTCTTGGTGAAAGTATGCGAGGCCTGCTGCAACCCGCCATCGTTGATGAGTCTTGTGAAGAGGAGGAAACCCCAGTATTTACGCTCGTCCGATGATGCGGCAGCAAACAATCCATCTATGATCTGTCAGTTCCACCGCTTCTATGTATCATGCCATCGGTAGAAGGTACTCACTGTCGACAACTTCAGTCCAGAAATCAGAGAAAGTCATTCGAGACTTCTTGGTCTTATCCTTTGCCTCAACACTGGTTCGCGACAAAACCGCATCCCAGGCGAAGTGAAGTTTGGAGTTCCAGACACCAGAATTCTTCGCAACGTTTGCCTTGCCCTCGCCCTCGTTTGCCGCAGCGCCCGACTCCTTCATGATCTTCGACAAGCTGTTGCGCTCTTTTGTATCCAGGGGGTCATCATGCTTCCAGACATTGTTAGGGAATTTCGCCTTAGGATACAAGTCCTTCGCAGCCAACCAGATAGCAACGCCCTCGGGCGACCGGGCGATTTCATGCGCGCATAGACCTTCCAGCGCAGCCTGGACGTACTTGGCGTCCATCTTGCGCCCGGCGAGATCGTAGACACACTGGTATATGATCCACCCACACTCTTCGCGGATCCATGGCTTCTTCTCTGCGAGCTCAAGGACAAGTTCGACGACCTGAGTCCATTGCTCGAAGGGCACGGTGGGCTCGAACAGAACGGCGGATTTGATGATCGCTTCCGCACCGAAGAGACGGCCGAAGATGTGGTCGCGTTGCTCCTATATAGAACGAAAATAGATCCCAATTAGCGCATGCGACATTACAAGCCATGTGCGGTCACCAACCTGTCTCGTCTCGCTGCCAGCGGCGCTTGTCTGAGTATCCCAGAGGTTGAGAGCATCTGAGAAGCTAAAGGCTTCTGGTTCCCTCGGTGCCAAGAAGACTTGAGTGAGAATCTCTGTCAAAGCAATTGAGAAGCCGACTCGAGCGGCTTTGCGGCTGCTGCAGAGACCGCGGAAGAGTCTTGACAGTGCCTTCTTGATCTGCTCGTCGGTAGGGTTCTTGTCGGGAGTAAACTGCGACACGAGTCCTTGGGCTGCCTTGAGTCGGATCTCATCTTTCTCGCTGGCGAGGTCCTCGTAGAGCTCTACCAGCTTCACGTCGACATTGTGAGGTTCGCGACGGCGCTTCTTTGAACCGTCGGCGGGGGCACCCATTGTGGAGGCTGGGGTGTTGGAGATGGGGGATAGGTTTCAGGTGCAATTAGCGATTGTAATTGTCCGCTCAAGCCCTTGACAATGAAGATCTGCAGACCAAAGGCACGTTCAACCCTCCTTGCGGCTGTCCAAGTCGCTCAGAAAAATTCATCCTCTAGCCTATTTAGTACTAGCGTGTCAAGATAAACTGATAAGCCGATAATCTGATAAGGATTTTGATGGAGGCAAATTTGGACCAAAGACTTTGAACATTGTCTTCTCGTATAATGTTTGAGCTAACTCATACCTAGGTCATGCCCTGGTTAATTGACAATCTATCTGATTGCAGATCTTTGGAAGTAGATGTGGTGGGTGAGCAACGGATGGGCTTTTCAAGATAGTACTTCGGATATATATCGGACCTAAGGACCTGACCATTTCCGCGGAAGACTTTGCTCGAATGATTTCAAGGTGAACTACTATGTGCCGCGACTGCAACAAAAGACAAAAACTACAAGTCCAAATGGATTTCGCTCACCCTCGACTAGGTTCCTGGAATTACACCTGAAGAAGTAAATGCACTACGTAGTACGTATACACCAGGTCTAGATCTCCCATGTCAATGCAGCCCCTGGAGACCGCAGCAAAGTTACCTCAAGACGAAGCAACAGATCAAGAAGCAAACATGCGAATAGCCATTTCAATAGACGAAAAACTGTGTATTCGAAGCTGTCAAAGAGACCGCAAATACACACCGGAGTCAAAAAGGAAAGTCCGCACTAGCTCAGGGGTAATTACGAATCTCAAAAACGAGATCACTGTAACCCGAAGTTCAACCACAGATTCTGACAGTCCAGACAGTTCTGAATGGAGAATTCTCCTGTTGTCAAAGGCAACCGGGAAAGTGGCATCCATTTATACAGTCGCACCGCCGAGACTTTCCGCTAATTGCGCTGGATCATCTTGGGGCTCCGCTTTGTGTCATTTCGCGGATGCAATCCTCCGCTCCGAGTTGATCTGTATACGATAAGTATACTAGACAGAGCAAAGGATCATGGGTCCATGAATGCATGAACTTATCAGATTGGCGTGGGCGATGGCATTTTGTGACATGTTCTGACATTGTGGGGAGAGGCAATTCTAAGTATAAAGTCGGAAAATTACCGCTGTGTCAGAATGATCTGTTTGAATCCGGATCTGCACGGTTTAAGTAGTTTGAGTTAAAGTAGACACGGTCGTGCCTGGTAACATGTGGGAACAGATTCCGTGCGAAGCGTGCAGGCTGTTCTAATGTCGGCGGATGGGTCTCGGAGTGATATATGGAGTCTGGGCGAGCTGGTGGGCCTGGGAGCCCGGGCAACCGTTGTGATAGATGCACCAGGATGGATTCCGGGCCGGGGCGTCGAAGTTTGCATGTTTCAGGGGCTGCGTGGTTCGATTGCCTGATTATGCACCTGTCAACTTTGAACTTGCGTGTAGTGTAGAGGGTAGTTAACTATGGAGTGGAATTGAGCTGACTACTACGAATTGGGGAAGACACGATGAAGTAAGTAAGCCCGAGAAGGGAACACAGGCTAAGCCAGGCTGAACGTAATCGAGAAAAAGAATGTAACTAATATTGTTCAAGGTACGGAGTAGATCCTCTTTCATGCCATCCAAAAGAGAGGATAGACTGGTAGAATGTACAAGTCGAGCCGCACCGATGTAGGCATCTAAATCTGCCGCCAGATCTATCACCTTGATCACCGAGACAGCAGAATTGGAGCTGTGCGATACGGGGAGTCATCAAAATCCCAAAACGGAGTAGGGCATCGCTAAGGACTGATAGCACCACCGGGGCAGTGATAGTGAGGCTGACAGGCACGAAGCCGATGAGGCGTGTGGGCTGGCGCATAAATGGGCCCGGGGGATTCCAATAGCGGCGCAGATCGGCTACTCCGAGCCGGGTGAATACGATGTGTGTAATCAAGTGAGAATGATCGGGGAAAATAAAAAGGGTAAGGGTATTTCCATTACTGGAAGATATAATACCTCAAATACACATCTATCCCAGTTGAGAAGTCGGTTCCCTTTGATGTCATGTGTGATCACGGGATATCGCATTAGTTTCGTGTTCCGCTTTGTTTACCTTTGCATCATGCTTAACGCGTCCATCAACAAGATTCAAGAGCGTGACATCATGACCATAGAGGTGGGGAAAAGAAAAGACAACAGAGGGGAAAAAAAGGTCTAGAAGGAGAAGACCTGCAGGGTATCTGGCAGGAGACACGAGGAGTGCGTGATGAACCCCGCAGAAGTCGGCTGGAGGGCTGACACGACTGGTCCATTGCACATGGCGCTGTGATGCAATCGATGGGTCACATCATCTGAATAGGCACCCGACCCCACTCTGTGCTGCGACTGGGCTGACGCTGTTATCCTGAGAGTTTCGCATCTGCAACTCGATATAAGCCGCAGGATTTGATTCGTGAACTCTCATGCTGATGTTGTGGTCAATGCTGACATCAAAACAACAACAACATGAAACGCGACTCGTTATTCCCGATGTAAAAGACTCATTGACTCTTCGATTTTTGAACGTCATGAACATCGGAACATCAGGTTTGTAGTGTGCACGGGGCACAATGGCTATGGATGTTCAATTGAGATGACGTAGCCCCAAGAGCCAAGAGAACTCTCCGTGCCGCGAAGGTGCATACTCTGCAGGCCTAGGAGGGCTTTGAAAATACAAACGCAGCAGGTTACCTTGACGGATTTGATGGTCAGCACCAAAGCGCATGCGTATCAGATTGATCGGATATACTTAGATCAACAAAGACAAGGGCCCAGATACCGGCGTTTCGCGAGGAGGGTCTAGAATAGCACAACGTGGGGTGCAGTAGTGAGTTCGGACCAGGATGTCCACTCTGACTGGAGGAATGGCGGTCGCCATCAACGAATAACAGGTTCCAATGACAGACAACCTTGAGTCTATCTGGACTTAGTGGCGAAGTTGAGGCCTTTCTGACGCGCCCCGAGATCGGTAATCGGCTCGTTCGATACCCAAACCTGATCTCATGGGGGAGCCGGGGTCACTAGGCTCGGCTAGAGGGTGGATGTTTCGACAAACTATTCCTTCTCCAGAATTCAGTCAATGATCGCGTCAATTGCTCCAATGCAGACGGCAACCTGCTCATCACTACATCTTGCTGGTGGTAAGTGCTCCGAAGTGACGTCGGAAACGCATTTAGCGCGATTCCAACATTTGTTGTTCGTTGAAGATTGCAAGTGTTCTTCAAGTGTCGCGAGAACCGACCAGAGGTCCTGGGATGGAAAACTAAGGTTTCAATAGCCCTATCCTACGATGTAGGTAGGCAATTAATGTAGTCAAACATCCTACGAAGGGGGCATGGAAGGGATGCGCGACATTGAAGCTTCTCCTCGCGGACCCTTGATTAGCAAGAATGCGGGTACAAGTAAGGGTAGCACGGGTATGTACAGAGCAATATTTCCCCATCTTTGACTGCAACAGTCAAGAATGAGATTGTCTACCATTCCTTGCTCAATACTACGTGCCGACTTCAAAGTCAACGGAGTGGGGTAAGAAGAATCACAGATTCCCTTTCGATCAACTCTCGATATCGCCTAATAGAGCAATTGATAGGGCGATGAACGCATTCATCGTCGTCGATAGGTGACGAGATCTTGGACATTCGATATCTGATGGCCAATCATCACCTCGGTAAAGGTCTCCGGGGAGGGGAATGAACGTGATGACAGGGCTTACGTTTTGCTTATCGGGTCTCAGGTCCTCTGCTAGGACTCTAGCGACTATGAGGTGGATCATTGACTATCCAGCTGGAAAAATATGGTTCTGCCTCTTTGGGATATCCCGAGGCATCCCCAACCGGGGTAATTGGCATCCAAGCTCTGGATCTTTGGGGGATGGGGGAAAGCATATCGTGGGTGACGTGCCAAAGCAATAAAGAAGCTCGGAGCTCTTCTATCCTCTCCTTGCTTCCCATCACTTGCAGCTCTTCGCAGAGCCCTAAATTTCTTCCGAAGTGGAACACAGCTCAAAGTGGAGATTCCTTAGATTCGATCTTAGTCTCCATAACTTATTTTTTTTTCAGCTCACCTGTGGTTCGTTTGGTGACGGCACACACGGGATGTTTCGAATATTACTGAGGTGGATACAAATTACAGAAGAACCATGGAAGATGGACGGAAAGCAGCTCGGAAACGTCAGCTATAGGACCACCTAGGTACCAGAGCCATAGTTAAGACTTAAGAGGAGCCCGTGGAAAAAATCTGCTATCTCCACAACCGTTAGAGACAATTCTCCTTCCATACAGCAGGGAGAGGTTAAGCAACATTGAAACCCCAACTTGGTAAAACCGACAATAAGACGTACAGACCACCTTCTCTGATAGGGCCTGGGGGTATTTGAGTGCGGCAAGGGAGCCCCGGCAACCAGATCAGAAAGTATTTTAGCGCCCCCTGGCCAGAGCATGGGATTTTGCTTAGATTCACTGAGGTTACTTACATACATAGGTCTGTCATTTTACTCTGATCGTCGGTAGAACCATTGCAGTAGATCGTACCTGGTTTTCCCTCCGCAGTTTTATGAAAATTCCAATAAATAATTCCCAAAGTAGATCATTTATACTCAATTTACCATACAGACATAATGTTCTGATGAGGTAACTAACCGTTTTGACTCTCATACCCAAATCTTACCCTGGCAACACTTCAAGATCTAAACCAAATCTGGGTTTATTCCTATTTTAAAATATTCAATAAAATAAATTCCCGGTCATTACTTGGAAATCGCAGTATTACCATTCAAGTCGTACTGGACATTCGGAGATCCTCCCCACCTGCGTTGCCCATTGCAACAAGCCCATCCCTTCAGCTTCAACCAGTTCTTTCTTCAAACCGCTTTGTTCCTACTTTTCTCTTCTCTTTCTTCAAGTCTATTACCTACCGACATTCCTCCGGCAATCGACAATTGGGAGTTCAACCTCTTTTTGTTTCGTACTTCGACCTATCGTGAGGTATTGAACCGTTCCCCTCAGTCCTGCAGCACCCACGAGCTCCTCCGGACCCCTCCACATATCTCGACATATTCACCAAACAACCACCGGAAACTTGCCATGGCCCTTTAAACTTCTTTCTCAGTACAAGTCAGCTCTCATCGTTGGGGATTAGGGCCTGGAAACAAGAAGCAATTTCCGTTCGTTTCCGTTGGTGGACTGGTTGTCACGGAGATCGTGGGGACCCATAACGCTGGAAAATTGCAAACGTGGAGACGTTCAAACACACACGATTTTTTGGGAGCTCGTTGTAGCCTAGGAACTGGGTAGACATTCGTGGCAGCGGTCTGGTTGTCTGATTGCATCTGTTCCTTCTATTCCGCAGGTTCCCTTGTCGAACTGTACCACGTCGCTGGTCCAGTTACGATTCGTCACCCAGAGATGGAGCACTCTTCACCTCTTGCTGCTATGCAGCCTCCTTCGGTCATGTTTGGACATTGCTTTCGTTCGGAGGCACCGACGTCCTGTGCTATGGGCTCAATGTCAAGTTTCAGCGGCAACCCGTTCAATTTCAAGGAATTGTCGATGAAGAAGTCTACTTCGGACTACTTCCAAATGAAGCCCATTCGGGGGTCTTCGCCCACCGCCAGTCTGGCTGCTGACCTTTCTCAGAACTTTCATATTGATCAGAGGTAAGTTGTTTATAGAAGGTTTCCATGGGTCGTCGTTTCAAGGCGCCAAAGGGACAAAGCCAAACTGACTCTATATTTAGTCCGCAACTAGCCACCCCACGCCGGTCTTTGTTCACGGCCAGTATGCTGAGCCAGGCCAATGGATATGGTAAGTGGATGGTAGCTACATGAATGACATGGTACGGGTATTGATTTGGTATATAGATGATGTGATGACCACACCTCCGCTGCCATCATCGTCGCCGGCCCCGGCCATGGATATTATGGATATGTCCCCACTGCCTCACAAACCAGCGTTCTTCGTTACTACCGAGATTGAGCTACATTCTCCCACACCAGAGGGGAGTCCTATGGAATCTCCATTAGCATCTCCTTTGCCAAGTCCTTTGCAGGCGTCTCCCATGGAGTCCCCTCTGTGCCCACCTGAGTAAGTGCACGTGACCTTCAGCCAGCCACTTTCCTTTTAGGGTTTGACTAATATAATGACGGGATTGATAGGCGAAAGCGTCCAACCTTCCTGCGCCCCAGTCTGGCCCGGAGCAAGGCTCAGTCATTTCAACTGGGCATGCCCCGGCCGGCACCGGAGAGCAAGGCGCCCCCGTTCCGCTTCGGAACTGGAGCTAAGACTTCTCTGAGCACCTCTACTTCCCTTGAGGACATGTTTGGAGATTCGCCTCCGCGCGAGCGTCCTATCTCCCGCAACAGCTCATCGACCCATTTGGCACCGCCTCGTATGCGGCCATCCCTTCACCATGCCCGTAGCAGCGGCTCCCCCGCTCCCAACTCAATCCGCAAGCCCTCGCATCCTTTAATGCGTCCCCGCAAGCAATGCCGACGATCATTGAGTATGTTTGAGCACCCAGCAGATGTTATTGCCGACAAAGAGGCCAAGGTAGCGACAAATACACCCGTCCGGTCCATTAGTGACATTTCGAGTCCGCCCAGCATGAAGCTGCCTCACTTTATCCCCGAGGATCGTGCGGACTCTCTGCCTCGCATCGACAAAAGCACTCTCCTGGATCTCATGGATGGAAAGTTCAAGGAGCACTTCGACAATATTTTGATTATCGACTGCCGTTTCGAATACGAGTATGAAGGTGGCCACATCAACGGCGCCGTCAACTACAACGACAAGGATCGCCTTGCTGGTGAGCTGTTCAGTGCTCCGCTGGCCCGCACTGCGCTCGTTCTGCACTGCGAGTACTCCGCCCACCGTGCCCCCATCATGGCCAAGTACCTGCGTCATCAAGACCGCGCTATCAACGTGGATACTTATCCCAACCTCACATACCCCGACATGTACATTCTCGATGGTGGATACAGCTCGTTCTTCGCCGAGCACCGTTCGTTCTGTTACCCACAGAATTATGTCGAAATGAGTGCCAAGGAGCACGAATTTGCTTGCGAGCGTGGGCTTGGCAAGGTCAAGCAGCGCTCCAAGCTGAACCGTGCCCAAACTTTCGCCTTTGGTGAACAGTCCCCCCAAATGGAGGATAGCCCAACTGGACGTTGTCGCCTCGATGGACGAAATAGTCATCTGGGTTCTCCATTCTCCCAAAGCCCAATCCCCGCCCGGACTCCCGGTCGTCGGATGCTCTCTTACTAAAAGACCAGTACCTGATGTTTTGGAGTACCTTGTTGGATTTTCCTTTTCATTTCTCATTCTGTTTGTCCTGTTCTTGGAGCGTGGAGTTCATGTCTTTTGCATTCCAAGATGCCATACGGCGGCCTTTTTCTTTTTCAGCTGTTTCGTTTTCCAAGTTTCACCCTCAACTTCTCTCAACCCTTCAGGTCCTGCCATCTGATTCGGGTTGGCGTCAGCGCTGGATCCCGGCTGCGCCATTCTTTCCCCTCTTTGATACCAGTGTATCGTCCTCTCCTTGGCAGACCTACTTCACCTCACATGTCTGTGTTTCCTTTCCACGTCTTTTCCCGTGGCCGACAGCAATCTCGCCACATGTCTCTATGACCATCGCCCCCGATTGACCGGGGCCACTGACTCTCATGACCCTGTAATCTGAGTGTTCCATTTCATATGTCTGTTTACGACCTCGCAACTCCGCCGCAGAAGTCGCCCACGAAGACGCCTCGGCCTACTATCGCCGGATTTCAACTTTTTCTGATCTCTTCCGCATGGAGCCTTTCTGCAACAATACCCAGTCCCAACGATGATATCCATCGAACATTTTGCCTATGACACTCTGGCATCTCCTTTTCTTTACGAACATTCTTTCGACCATATCGCCCTTTAATCCACTATTTGGCCCTTCTCTGTACAGTCTTCTGTGGAATCTCGCGACATTCCTCGCTGTACCAACTTTGCATCTCGATGCTCATTGCCGGCGGACTTTATCAAGTCATGAGCATTTGTAATTGAATGCATCTGTCCTCCGATAATACGACCCTCGCTTTGAACAGTGTCAGGGTAATGTGGAGGACTTTTGGAATTAATGAGTTGGCTGTGCAGCTGTACATAACGAGAATAGCCTGTGTATTACAGGGACTTTCTCTCTGGATGTTTCCTGGAAGATGTAATTGGTCTGGAAAAGGGTAATCGGAGGAGACACCAGTTCAACATTTGATTTTTCCCTTTGTTAGAATAACAAAAATATTCACTTCAATTCTTATCCACTAATAGTAAGCATATGTACGCAAGCGATCGACAAACGGTGGACTTTGAATGAAGATTGTCATTTCGACTCTGCCGCGGAGATTCTGATAGGCGGAGAGACTGGGGAAGTCCCATGTTCAACCCTTACTCCTCCTCTCTTCTCTCCTCTCGGGCTGTTTCATTTCTCTCTCTCTCCCTTTCGCTTCTTTCGCTACTTTTGCTTCTTCTTTTCTTCTTGAAGAGTTCAAAGTGGTTCCGCTCTTTCTTTGGGACGCTGCGCCTCTTGTGTCTCAATCTCGCTCTCTCAATTCGTCACTATTTCAGTAACCTGCTGCCTGTCGAATCCACTTGGAAGTTCATTGCAATCGTCTTCCGCTCATTAAACATCGATTCCAAACTTCCTTTGTGAGACTTCACTTCTACCTGTCTCTATATTTGTAGTCGCAGCGCGCTCCCCCACTCGTTTTTCTTATCTCGCCACTTCGAACCGCGACCCACTATCGTACCTGGTACCTGGCTCATCGCATGCGCTACGATTTGCTAGCACTGCTGGACAGCGTCTAGCATAATTCAGAGATTCGTTTCCGTTTCGCATGTTTCGCTAGGATTGACCCTCGAATGATTGCCCTTCAATCGGTCTAAAATATCCCTATTTACCTCCAATATGAGCCCGGCAAGGATCACACTGTGGGCCCGAGACACTGCCAGTGATCTCAAGTCGGTCCCTTCGACTTTCTCTAGTTGGGACAAATGCATGGCCAAATCTTACTGCAAGTGAGTTCGTCCAGAGGGACTCGCGCTCTTTCCATTGGCATCACATGTCATGATACTAATTAATTCGCGCAAGGTGGCCCGTGATCGTGGGTATTATCGTCGGGTCTGTGATTTTACTTTGCGTGTTGGCATGCATCTTCAATTGCCTCTGTTGCGGCTATCAATGTTGCAAATGCTGCTGTAGCTGCTGCTGTCCGTCAGGCAGGCGCAGAAACAAGCCTTCCAAGCACTTGGACGATTCTCCGTTCCACCAGCCTCCACCGCCTGTTCAGAACCCTGTCTACCAACCCTCCCCAGCTCCGCCCTCATATCGTGGTGCGCCACAGAGTGCGCCTTCATTCCGCGGTGGATCTCAGACCGCGCGCTTCGATGCGCCCAAGACCCCTGTCGCTCATGTGAACGAGGATGCCCTACCTGATATGCCAACATGGGCTGGGGCTGTCGACAAGCACGTTGAAGTCACAGATCATCACGACGACGTCGAAATGAAGCCATTGGATCCCCCGGACCGCAAGCAGGGTGCTGGCACCCCTGGTGTTGCCTACTCTGACTACTCACCCAACCCAGCCATGGCGGCGGGAGGTTATAGAGGCTTCAACCCTACAGATCCGTATGCGCGTCGGTCGCCCGGCCCAGGAGCAGCCTTGAATCCCGCTCAAGACCCGTATGCGCGACGCTCACCGGGCGTGCCTTCCGCTGGAGGAGCGATTGATCCATATGGCAGAAGATCACCAGGTCCAGCAGCCGCACTGGGTGCAGCCGAGGATCCATATGGACGACGATCACCCGGCCCAGCAGCAGCTTTGGCCGCCTCTCAAGATCCCTACGGGCGGCGTTCGCCAGGAGTGGCAGTTCCATCGGCCGCCGTTGATCCCTACGGGAGACGGTCTCCTGGTCCTCCAGTGGGCTATGGTGCTTCCCCGCAAGATCCCTATGGCTCACGCACTCCACTAGCATCCCCCGTCGGCGCACCGGTCCACAATCCCTACGACCAGCAACACTACGAAAACTCCCACGACGAAGAGTCCTACGGCGCCGGCGGCAACGGCTACCATGCTCTGACAGCGCCATCTCCGGTGGCTGCATATAAGCCGCACACAAACTACAGCCCGGTACCAATGCCCTCTCCGTCTTCTGAAGTCGACCACCCGACGCCAGGCTTCCAGCGCCAGCCCTCGTTCGGCTCCAGCCAGTATCCCCCATCCTACACCTCCCAGCCTTCTTACCGCGGCTTCTCCTCTGGTGCGGCTCCTTCCTCAGAGTATACTACCTATAACCCCCATGCCAACTCCACTCTTGCCCCAGAGCCGGACAACACCAGACCTCCGAGTCTGTTGCAGAGTGGGAAAAAGCCTCCCCTCAATGCTTCCAGCAACTTTTGAGTACGACCCTCGTCGATCGGGGAAATTTCATGAACAGAACGCTTTTTCTTTTCTTGTTTTCTGGGGTCGCCATTTTTTACCTATCATGTTTTGATACCATTCTGGGCTATATTTATCTTCGTTCAACTTACATAGTTCTTTACATACCCCTGGCCGAATTCTGGCTGGACTCGAAGGCTTTTTCTTCTCTTTTTTCGGACTTTTTATATCCTCGGGTTGGCTTGTTCGATACCTGTACCAGTTCCGTGGTCAAAAATGTAAATCAAGCCTATAGCATTGTCTGGGACCATATCTGGGCCTTGTCTCCCGGCTGGAGTCTAGCATTGAGATAGATCCGGCGTGAATGATATTTGACGAACTGGGCTTGCCCCGCATGATTCTGATATTCTGCTCCCATCGTTGGCTACAAGTAGATAAGTTACCATCCCTACAGGCCTCTCTGAGTCTGTTGAAGATTTGAATCTCGGCTTCGATTATGGTTTCATTTGTCTCATTTCATCGTACAGTACAGGGAGGAGCTCTTAAATTAAGGTGCTCCCCGTGGAAAGAACCCCCCCAAGCACAATATCACTGATGGATTGATTGATTGATTGATCATGTGAGAATTGTCACATGTTCTTCACTCCTCCATCTCCATCGTGAAATCATGTTTCTTAAAAGCCTCCTTGAAAGCCTCCGCATCATTAGTCTCCTCCTCCTCGGTCTGCGTGCAGTCCTTCCAATCTAGGCGCTGGTCCAACAGGAGCAGTTTACCCATGACCCGACGACCAAACTGAAGATCAAATCGGTTATCCGGCTTGATCGGCAACATGGTGATTTTCTCTTCTCCAGACCCGGTCTTATAAACACCCTTGTGATCAGGCGCAGACCACAAATCGGCTTCACCTTCGCCCTCGGTTTCGGCGTTGCTGCGCGCAGGCGTCCAGATGAAAGCACGGAAGTAATCATCCATGTTGTGCTTGTCGATTTGGTCGGGAGATGGCACGGTCCTGAATTTCTCGTACCCCAGATTTGCGGCTTCGGTTTGGAACGCTGCTTCAACTAGCCTTTTGCGAATCTTTTCTACTGGCATTGGGAGGAATTGCCAGTGCGTGTGGATACCGCCCGAGCGGCTGACTTCCCATGTCACGGAACCGAGTTTGCCGCCTGAACGTTCGTTGAGCATTTGGTGGAGTGATTCGCGGTACCGTTGCATTTCGGCGAATGTTGAGGCTCGGCTTGTGGGGTCGAAGATCAGGTCTATGGTTGGGGTGTGTTCGAAGGGGATGATGAGCATGTGGCCTGGGAAGCCGAGGGAAGGGAAGAAATTGGGTGGAGGTAAAGGTCCTTTGGCGGTGGTGATATAGCTATCATTGCCAATGGAGCCGATGAGATGGGTGGCGATGTTTGGATTGGAAAGACAGAAGAAACACTGCTCTGGGCCTGGTGGAGGAACACGTTGTTTGTGTCGGCGCTTGTGGCCCGGATCTCTGTCTCTGTCGGACGGGGCGAAGCGCTGGAATGATTCCTTTTGGCTTGGTAGCATGTTACGCTTGCTTTGCACCGCCGACCAGGGGCAAATCGTGCAGCCTACAGGGATACTGACTGGGGGGATGGCTGCTGGGTCTAAGTTGAAGGCGTATAATGCGTCTTTCCTTGAGCCGAAAGACGGCAAGGAGATAAAGCGAGTGGTTCGGTATCCATTCTCACCATCTTCGGATGGCATATAGAAGAAGGGCTCGCGCTCAAAGTGCCCACCGTCCGACCGAGAGAAGTGATACCGGGGTTTCAGGGTCGCACAGACATCAGCAAGGCACTGTACTTCGGATGGCACAGTACCCTCATCTCCAGAGACAGTCTGGCTGGAGCCTAGACGGACATCCTTCGGCCACTGGTTGGTGATAAGGATGTCGGTTTTGTGGATTCCGAACAGTGCACGAGCATCGGATTCACTGTATGTCGGCTGGAATTTCCCAATAGCATTGCTCTCCGGCTTGGAGCGTCCCTCGGTCTCCAAAGTTCCCCCAAGGGCAACAATACGGATGCCCTCGGTAGTCTTCAGGGTGCCTCGTTTTCCGAGGAAGAACAGGTTGGGACACACTTCATCATCGGCTTCAATCTTTTCCACCACTTGAGCGGGGAGTGGCCTGTTACCCAGGGTGAAGTAGGTTGGGCATGCCACAGGAATATTGCCTTGTATCAATGCATTGATATCTTCAAGCTCAGCCTCAGTCGAGTTATCACCAAAGAGATCGCCGAGAATGATTGCAAAGGAGAAGTTTTGTTTCGGCTGTAGCTTGGCTAACTTGGTAAATACAGGCCGTATTTGCCCGTTCAAGCTGCCAAAGACAATGCTATACATCCGGTCAGTTACTGCACGTATATACAAGTAAACGTGAAGGCACATACCACTTGGGCACCATTTTCAGGTCGGTCCGATGCGGCTTTGAATTTAGCACAGGATGGTGTTGTAAAGGCGGTATTGGGGCGGTGAGAAAGTACAAGATAATGCACACAAAATTGAGATATTCCAAGCACCCCAAATGTCCTCAGGTGCCACCTCAGTTTAGCTACATGCGACAATTCCCAGGATATTCCGTCGCAACCTCCAAGATCTTGCGACAGGGAGCTTGGACCATCCTTATCACCACGTGATTGTATCTGATATCACTCGGAAGAATAAAATTCCCCAGCCCGATGAACTTTTTTGTATTCCATGCGGAGCAGACAGAAAAAAAGTGAACAGTACCTTTCTTACGAACAGTACTGCTCGTCAGACCCGTCAAGATGGTGGGGACAGGCTCAAAACAGAAGCCTGTAAGGCGCCTAAAAACAGGCACCGAAACCACAAAAAACTATCGATTCGAGGGCTTTTCATCACGCATCTCGAAGCTCAAAATCGACCCCATCCACCGCGTGCGCCGCGCCAGTTTCGGCGAAGATGAAGACGAGACATCCTCATATTTCCGAGCGGCCCTCGATCACTGGTTCGAAATGAACCTTTCTGACAATTTCACACAATTCGTACGGCGTGTCAACCCTCTGTCCGAGAGCTTTGCGCAAGTCTTGTACCATGAGGAAAAGATCATGGGGCTGTTGGTGGAGTTCATTGAGAAGCGGGATCAGCTTTGCATGGAGCCGCTGCTGAGCTTGCTTGCGCAGTTCGCTCGGGATCTGGGCGTCAAATTTGAGAAGCATTTCGCTACGGCGGTGACACTGGTGTCGTCCGTGGCAGCGACACATGCGGACATCGAGGTCGTCGAGTGGAGTTTTACTTGCCTGGCATGGATTTTCAAATTCCTCTCTCGCTTATTGGTACCGGACCTGCGACAATTGCTGGGTATCATGACTCCATATCTCGGCAAAGAGCGACAGAAACCATTTGTTGCAAGGTTCGCCGCTGAGTCCATGTCATTCCTCATTCGAAAGGCCGGCCTTGCCTACTACAAGAACAAAGCGCCCCTCGAGACCGCCATTTCATTCCTTTTCGACGATATTTCGAAAGCCGCCGACGATAACAAAGATACCGAGAACTACAGGGAGGGTCTAATGACCATGTTCTCTGATGCTATTAGGGGAGTCAACAATGGGCTTCACTCCAACGGCATGGACATCCTCAATTGTCTTTTATATCAGCTCCCACCAACGAGTGAGAATCATAGCGATCCTGCGGAGGTTGTATACGGTCTGCTTGTCAGCCTTGTCCATGCCACGACTCCCGATACCTTTGCCCCCATCCTCGACACGGCCAAGGCGTATATCGAAGATCGATCAACAGCAACACCGAACCCTAACCTTACCGAATGCTGCCGTATAATGTTCCTTCTTGTGACAACTCGCAAGGGTGTCAGAATCCAGAATTGGAAGATCGTCCATCAAATACAGGTGTCCCTGCTCCAGCAGGTGTCAGCGTCTGATGTGCCGGTAAGCACGATATCACACCTCCTCACAAGCGTCGCATATGCTCTTCAAATGTCCCCAATGGACGAATTACTACCTTTCCTTCGCCCTACCATGGACCTGGTGTCCACAGGCCCTCTTTCCAAATACTTCCTATTCTTCTGCACGACATTCTCCGAATGGGGATCAGAGCGATTTCAGAGCTTGGTTCTTTCGCCCTTCCAAAAGTTCATCAACTTGTCGTGGCAACAGTCGGAGTCGGAGACTTGCTTAACCTTGCTTCGCCTTCATCAGGCTGGCTGCATCACGCCGGAGGCCTCGCAGCCTGGCTACGTCTCCTGTCCAGATGCCTTCAAGTCTCGCATCACAGATTCATTGGTGTATCCTGCCAAAGATGAAGCATTCCTTAATGCGCTGGTCAAGCTCCCAACGGCTATCTCTCTGTTTGCCACTCCTGCTACATTGCCCAAGATGGTTTCTCAGTTGCATACCAATCTTCTTTCCGCATTCCAAGATGCTGCAGCTGAAGGTGAGAGCGCCCAGTCCAAGGGCCTGACGTTCTTCCTCGGCCAGGGATTCAAAACGTACGTCGAACTCGCCAATAGAATTGGAGAGCTCGATTCGAGTCTCTTGAAACCCATCATCGCCACTGCCACAAAGTTCTCCCGCCTGCCAGTCTTTTTGGAGGGTGCTCTTGCTTTCATCACCTCTCTCCCGGAGTCTGCGGATCTCGAGCATCCGACGCTGGAAGCCTTTGCTCAAGACCTGCTTGTGAACTTGGCAAGCCCATCGCATAGATTGAGATTGGTTTCTCTCCGACTTCTACGAGAACTAATCATTCGCATTGCCAAAGACGAACCTTCACCTGTGGAACTGGCCATCGAGGTTGAAGAGAGCCCACTGACAATGGACTCCGTGAGAACCATTTCTATGCACATTCGAAAGCTCGCCCTTCTCTATCCTCAAATTTCTCAGCGCAGATGGATGGCTACCTTGGTCCCTTACTTCTGTTTCGGCTTGTTCTCGAAGAAGTTGGCCCCACTGTGGGACGACTCTGCTGCTGCATTGAAGACCATTAGCGAGAACCCCCAGGGTGAGAAGATCGTTTCCGACTTGTCCATTCAGTGGCTGGCGGAGCGAGACACCGATGCGCCCAGCGAGGCCCCCGCAGACGACGATGAGAGCTCTTTCGTCAAGAGCCACTTCAAGTGTTTCAACGTTGCCAAGGTCGAAAAGGTTCTTGCTGCAAACACCAAGAGCACAGAAGATCCGCATCAGGTTCTGTCTCAGCAGTTCGAAGAAGACCACACTGTCGCAAACATCCTCCCCGCTTGCCCGCGAACCCATGCACTTCGTGTTCTCAACGCTGCACCGGGTGTTGCCGAAAAGCGCTCGCGCCAGATCGTGCCATTGTTCTTATCCTGGGCGTTGCGTGATGACCAAGATGACGCTCCGACTGCCGAGGCCAAGGCTGAGGATGCTGAGACCGGCGATGTGCAGGTGCGGTGGGGCTTCAGGGATCGTTTGTCCATGCTTACCCTATTTGCGCGTTTCCTCAACCCTATTGTCTTGTTCAAGGCGCCCGAGGTCCATGCAGCAGTGTTGGGCCTTTTGTGTCACGGTAACTCTGACTTGCAGAAGCATGCCCTCAACGTTCTTTTCACGTGGAAAGATCCCAATGTGCTCCCGTATCAGGAGAACCTACTCAACATTTTGGATGAGGCCAGATTCAAGGATGAGCTTGCTGTATTCGTCCACGTCGGCAGTGAAGACAGTTTGATTAAAGAGGAGCACAGAGCGGTCCTTCTTCCCGTGCTCCTCCGTTTGCTGTATGGCCGAATGATTTCCAAGGCTGGCTCCGCCGCCGCCGGTCAAGCTGGCAGACGCAAGACCATTCTCCGAACTATCTCTCACCTGTCAGAGCACGACTTTGGACTTTTCATGCAGCTCTCTTTCGGTCCTCTTGCAAATGTGGGCATCGTGAAAGACAATGAATACGATCCGAGTGTCCTGCAGGAAGAGTTGACAAGCCCAAGGAGACAACTGGGTCTGCTTAAGCTCCTCGGCACTGTCTTTGAGACTCTGCAAACCCGCATGACCGAGTTTGCATCGCAAACGATGGATGTGGTTGTCTACTGCCTGGTGCGAGCATGTCGGGCAATCTACAACGAGGGTGGCGCTGATGAACGCCTTCTGCCTGTGTATCAAAACATTCGCTCGGAGTGTATCCGTTGTCTCAACTTGGTCTTCTCGATTGTCCCTGACCATGATTGGACCCCTTACGTCCGCATCATATTTAAAGAGATGATTGATAGCAGACTTGATCAGTTCCCTATCGAGACAGCTCAAGGTGTTTCAGGGCTTCTACGATTGTTCCATACCTGGGCCTCTGCCCCGAGATCGACATTCTACTTGGTCCAGCACAATGACAAGGTGTTGACCAAGGTTCTTGACTGTCTTGCAGTCGAGTCAGCTCGCGACGAAGTCAAGAACTTCATTTTGGATGAGATTCTCGTGCCCCTGGTTGAGTTGTCTACCGGCAAAAAGATGCAGGAAACCGAAGAGATGCCCGACTTCCCAGCTGAGCAAATCAAATCCGAGGTCCTCTCCCCATACCTTGAGCATGGTCTGTTCCATCTTGGCCGTCTGCTCAGAAGAGGTCCCTCAAAGCCTGTTCTTTACTCAGGAGTCAATGCTCTCTCGCTGATCGCCCCCTGTGTTGAATCCTCCAAGGAAACCGATGGCCTTGTGAGCATTACAACATATCTGCTTCGTCAGCCTGCCGATCGTGTCAGTCCCAGAACCAAGTCTGGACTGTTGAAGATCCTCGAGCACTTTTTGCCCTTATGGGACCCCAAGGCGGATCCTGAGCTTGCTCAACAAGTCTTCGAAGCGGTTTGCTCCATGTTCGATTACTTCAAGGATGACTCGAACAGAGAAGTGCTCTCTCGTGTCTTTGGTGCTCTTGCCACCCATGACGAAGATCTCAAGGTGGTGGCCGACTTGTGTGCCGATTTGAACTCTCGCTCTGTCAAGAAGCTCGAACCTGATTACGCGAGACGTTTGCAGGCTTTCCGAACAGTCAGCGATGATTTGTCTCAAAGTCTGAGCGCGAGGCAGTGGAGACCTCTTCTCTATAACATGCTCTTCCATGTCAGGGACGAAGAAGAACTTGCTATCCGATCCAGCGCTGCTTTTGGCCTGAGACGCTTCATCGATCGGGCATCCACAGAACCGGACGCAGAGTTCGAGACACTCATTAACGATGTTCTATTCCCCTCTTTGCAATACGGCATCCGACAGAAGTCTGAACTCATTCGGTCTGAAGTCGTTGCCGTCATTGGCTACTTTGTCAAACTCAACCCCACTAGACCATCCGTGCAGGATATGCATGTGCTTCTAGTCGGCGATGACGAAGAAGCTTCCTTCTTCAACAACATCCTCCACATTCAACAACATCGCCGGCAGCGTGCATTGCGACGTCTGGCTGCTGAAGCAGCTCAGGGTTGCATTCAGGCCACGAATCTGGGCACAATTTTCATTCCTCTGATCGAACATTTCGTCTTCGAGGATGCTGCTGATGAAAACGCCCACAACCTGATTGCTGAAGGTGTTGCGACACTGGGTGCTCTCTCGGAGTGGTTGGAATGGGGACAATTCCGCGCAAACTTCCGCAGATACCGCAGCTACATGACAAGCAAGCCTGAAAAGGAGAAGAACATTCTCAGGCTTCTGGGTCGCATGTCCGATGCGCTGTCCAGTGCAATGAAGCGAAAGAAGGGAACCGAGAAAAAGCCCGAGGGTGATACCGATGAGAAAGAACCCGAGAATGATGCTGATGAGATGGATATTGTCGAGCAGCCCATGTGCACGCTCGCCAAAAGCGTTCCTTCTCTTGCGAAGGTTGCAACGGAGCTTACCACGAACTTCATTCCTTTCCTGACCAAGTACATTCACCACAAGCAGGAGAAGGAGATGAGTATGCGTCTGCCAGCCTCGATCACAACTGTCAAGCTTCTCATGATCCTCCCCGAAGAAGAGCTGGCCATCCGCCTCCCGCCGGTCCTGTTGGATGTCTGCACTACTCTCAAGAGTAAAGCACAGGACTCCCGCGACACTGCGCGCAAAACACTGAATGAGCTTGCACTTCTTCTGGGTCCTGTTTATTTCGGTTATATCTTGAAAGAGCTCCGCAACGTCCTCGCGCGCGGCTACCAGCTTCACGTTCTCTCTTTCACTGTTCACTCCATGCTTGTGACAACCACTGATCACTTTAAGCAAGGAGATTTGGACTATTGTTTGAAGGAATTGGTTGCAGTCGTGATGGATGATACCTTTGGTACAGTCGGCCAAGAAAAGGATGCTGAAGGATACACCAGCAAGATGCAGGAGGTGAAGAGCAGCAAGAGCTATGACTCTATGGAGCTTCTTGCGAAGATCTCTACTATCAGCCAATTGTCGAACCTGGTTCGGCCTCTGCAGGCGCTTCTATGTGAGAAGCTCAACTCGAGCCTCGTCAAGAAGCTTGATGAACTTTTACGAAGAATCAGCATTGGTCTTTTGAGAAATCCTGATGCCGAAAGTCGCGATATGTTGGTCTTCTGTTACGAGGTCATCCAAGAGGCCTACCGGGACAATGCTCCCGAAACGAAAGAGACTGCGCCCAAGACCAGGTACGAGGAGCGGTTCTTGGTCAGGTTGCAAGGAGCCAAGCGTGGCGAGCACAGGGGCACGACATCTTCTCATGTTTACAAGCTGACCCGTTTCGCGATGGATGTGCTTCGTGCGATTCTCAACAAGTTCAGTGTGTTGATGACGGCTTCCAACTTGTCCGGTTTCATTCCCATCATTGGTGATGCCATCGTCCAAGCACAGGAAGAAGTCAAGGTTTCTGCTCTCCGGTTGTTGTCCACCATCATCAAGCTTCCGCTGCCAGAGATTGACGAGAACTCGCACGTATATTTCACTGAAGCAGTCAAGCTTGTGAAAGAGTCTCCTAGCACCAACTCCGAAGCCGCGCAGGCTTCTTTGAAGTTGATCTCCACCATGCTGCGTGAACGGAAGAACACCAAGCTCCGTGATGGTCATCTTGCTTACCTGCTCAAGCGCTTGACTTCCGACATTGAAGAGCCGGATCGCCAAGGTGTGACTTTCAACTTCATTCGCGCCGTCATGTCTCGCAAGCTCGTTGTGCCCGAAATGTACGAGCTGATGGATCACATCGCCACCATGATGGTGACCAACCAGACTCGATCTGCCCGGGATCTCGCCCGAGGCACCTACGTTCACTTCCTGATCGAGTACCCGCAGGCCAAGAGTCGCTGGACCAAACAGCTCGCTTTCTTCGCCAAGAACCTGGATTACGAGCACCAGTCGGGACGACAGTCGGTCATGGAAGCCATACACACGCTTCTTTCAAAGACTGGACAGGAGTTGGCTCAGGATATCATCAGCACCTTCTTCCTACCTGTTGTCCTTGCTATGGCGAATGATGAGTCGCCAGAGTGCCGCGAGTTGGCCGGCACATTGCTAGGAGAGTTCTTCAATCGTGCAGATCGGGAGCAGATGAAGACTATTCTCACCCCCTTCATTCATGGTTGGAACAGACCAGCAACATGGCTCTCTGCAGCATTGGATTGCAGGCCATGCGGATTTACTTTGATGCCGAGCAGCCTGGGCAAGATAAAGAGGCCCGCTTTGTTGTTGAAATCCTCCCCGATCTGATGCAGCCCGTCCTTGATGACCACGAGAACGGCAACTGGGAAGCGCTCTACTTCGCCTTGCAGCTCTTCACGAAGCTTTGCAAGACGGCTTCCACTCTCGCATTGAGCCCTGAATGCGCCTCCATCTGGACGTCGGTTCAAGAGTCTTTGTTCTTCCCTCACGCCTGGGTGAAGACCTGTGCCGCAAACCTCGTGGGCTTGTGGCTGGCTGATCTGGCCAAGACGAATGCCGCCGCTGGTTATGCCTCCTTGCCTCTGGCTGGCAGCTCCGGTCTTGTCCTGGACAAGCCGGCCATGCTGCAGCTTCTTCGTGCCGGTCTCCGCAGTCTGCGTACACCAGGCATCTCCGAGGAACTCGCGATGCAAAGTGTGCGCAACGTTGTTTTCCTTGGCCGCTGCTGTTCTCAAAATGGGCTGGAACTTCCCAAGCTGGCAGGCGGGGATGTCGTATCAGAATCTGAAGACGAGGATGAGGCTAGTGGCAGTGAAGCCGAAGAGGAAACCGAAGTAGTCAAGGTGGAACGCAACAGATCTGCCATTCACTACGTCTTTAAGCAGATTTCCTCCCTGCTGCGTCGCGAAACTATCTCCGGCCGAGCAAATGCGCTTATCCCCAAAACAGCTGCTATCACGCTCCTTGCTGCGCTCATTCGCCATGTCGAGGTTGACCAGATCCGTCCTTCCCTTCGCGTTATTCTCATTCCCCTGCAGCATCTGACGGATCCTTCGATTCCGGCCCCCGCTCATCAGACGAGACTTTCCAGAATACTTACAAATCTCTCGTCTCCAACTGTCACGAGGTCTTGGATTTACTACAAAAGAAACTCGGCACCACCGAGTACGTGGATCAGATCTCTCGTGTTCAGGCGGCTATCAAGGAACGCCGCGAAGGACGACGGGCTAAGCGTCGCATTGATGCTGTTGCCGACCCGGAGAAGTACGGACGTGAAAAGATGAAGAAGAACGAACGGAAGAGAGAGAAGCGCCGTGAGAAGGGCTTGGAGCACCGTGGAAAGAGACGCGGTTGGTAGACGATGTGGCATTTGCATGTTTCATGAGAACCTAAGGTGTTATTGGCATACAAAAAAAGGCGTTTGGGTGGAATGGAATCCTTTGCATTAGGTTGTATATACCTTTCAGAACAATTTATCTTCTGTACAGAATCGTGGTCTATTTCGTACTTAGTCGTAAACGTAGGTTGGGCACAGTACTCTATGTATTCAAGGGATTGATTTGAAACGAGGTCAGTCAGGATTAAATCCAATGTACATGGATGATCTGCTATTTAGTCTATCTTTCCCTTCGTCGCCTGGATCCTGCCATGCTGAGAGTGGAGAGCCCGCCATTCGCCATAATATACAAGCCTGTCTATGCAGACAAAAATCTTGACCAAACACCGAGATATGCACTGAATCCACCGAACATGCATATGTACACCTCCTCTTGACTTCAAGACGACTTCTCGCCAGGAGATGCTGGCTCAGGAGATTCTGACTCAGAAGATTCTTGTTTAGGAGAGCCGAGCCTCTCATTGCCCTCCAGATCGTAACTCTTCACAGTACCATCATCCCAAAACTCCAAGTTCCCATCTGTACGACCATGAGTCAAGACCTGGCCCTTCTCCTTCAGTAAATCTTCCAGAGTAGTCCTCTTATCGAAGAAGACACCCAGATGGTCACTCATAACATGACGCGAGTTGCAGGAAGGGCATTGGATAAGGACCGTTCCACGGTGGTAGCCTTGCTTGGACATCCGGTGGCCGGAGCGATGGCCACAGGGCTTGCATGTAAAGGTGATACGGTATGCCTCTTCGTTCTTGCGACGCTCCTGGTTCTGAGCTTCCCATTCGGCATCTTGCTCTGCCTGGCTCTTGTTCGAGTCGGTGAGAGGGCGAGGTGCACTTGAGTTGTATCGGAATTGGGGGGTGAGAATGCGCGAGCGAGGGAGTGGCGATGATCGAAGAGTTGGTCGCGAGTGAATTGGGTTTGTTGAGAGGAAACGTGAGGGTTGTAGACGCGCAATCGTGGTGTAGGACTTGGCTTGCGACACGAAGGTATTCAATGGGCGGAGGCCCGAGGTGAATGGGCGCATTGTTGGTGGTGTGTGTGGAATTATCAGAGAGTTTCGAGATTTCAATTGGACTTGAGTATGCACTGAATCCCAAATGAATGTATTGACAAGGCTGTGATAGATGTGAATGTGTTGGAAAAAAGACTCAAGATAAGATGACGATGCTGAGTTAGGCGGAACTACAGATCTTCCGGGTGGCCCTCCGCGGAGAGCGCAGTTCTCCAACTTCACAGTTTCAACAAGATCTCCGTAGTAACGCTATCAACAATTCTTACCTGGCCTTCAATATGGCTGCTATGAGAGCTCGTCATAAAATTCGAGCTCCCAAGAGGGTATGTGGGCACGCAGACTTCTAACGATCCCCCGCTAACTATACTTGTAGGGTGTCTCCAAAAAGACCGAAGACTTCGACTCGATATGGACGGACCTCTCGTCGTTTTTGACTGGCATAAACACCAAAGAATATGCATCTCTCGAATATGAAGATATCTACCGACTTGCCTACAAGATCGTTTTGATGATGCGGGCCCCTGATCTTTACGAGAACGTCAAACAACTGGAACAGAACTGGCTCCAGACCAGTGTTCAAGCCATCGTCACAGATTCCATTTCCGCCAGTTTGATACGTGCGGAAAAATCAACAGATGCCCAGGATCAGTCGAGTGAGCGGAGGGAGGAGGGCGAGAAGTTCCTGACTGCCCTGAAGGTTGCCTGGGAAGACTATCAGTTTGGTATGGGCATGGTCGCCGATGTTCTCTTATATATGGTATGTTTCTTCGGATGTGAGCCCTAATGAAGTTTCTAACGCCCGCGCAGGACCGTATGGTGAGGAGCCATGATCACCCGCCCATCTACGTCGTGTGCATGTCACTATTCCGAGATCACATCCTACGATCCTCGATCCGTCCCAGCTCTAACCTGACGGTTCTGGATATTCTCGAATCTACCATACTGTTTATGATCCAACTAGAAAGGTCTGGACACCTGATTGAGCGGCCGCTCATCCGGCATTGCATCCAAATGTTGGAGGGTCTTTATGAAACCCTAACTGAAGAGGAGAGCTCGAAGCTCTATCTGACTGTCTTTGAACCTGCATTCTTGAATACAAGCAAAGAGTTCTACCGGGCAGAAGGCCAACGGTTGTTGGAGATTGGGGACGCTACCACGTTTTGCCGACTCACAACCCAGCGGATCAGCGAGGAGCAGGAGCGATGCCGTTTCATGCTATCCACCGCCACAGAGCCGAAGGTCCTTGACCTGCTTGATTCGGAGTTGATCCGCGCCAATATCGAAGAAGTCGTCAATCTCGAGGGGACCGGCGTGAGACACATGCTGGATCATCATCAGCTGGACGGACTACGAAATGTATACGTGCTCAATAGACGAGTCGACAACAAGAAGTCGGCTCTGACAAAGGCAGTCCAGAAGCGGATTGTGGAGATGGGCAAAGAAGTCAATGCTTCGTCCATACTCCTCCCACAAGCCCCAGCCCCGGCTGAGAAGGACGACGAAAGCGAGAAGAAGCCCGAGAAAGCGAAGGACAAAGAGAAACCACAGAATCAGCAAACGGTGGCAGCAATTCGCTGGGTGGACGACGTTCTAGCTCTCAAAAAGAAGTTTGATGACATTCGGGCAAATTCCTTCTCATCTGACCAGGGGATTCAGGCCTCGATCGGTGCCAGCTTTGCGGAGTTCATCAACTTGAACCCGCGAAACTCCGAGTACTTGTCGCTTTTCTTCGATGAGAATCTGAAGAAAGGCATCAAAGGAAAGACAGAAAGTGAGGTGGATGCTCTCTTGGACAATGGAATTACCCTGCTGCGGTACATCAAGGACAAGGATCTCTTCGAGTCTTACTACAAGAAACATCTGTCACGCCGACTTCTGATGAAGCGCTCTGCCAGCATGGATGCAGAGAGGCAGATGATTTCTAAAATGAAGATGGAGGTCGGTAACCAGTTTACTCAACGACTTGAGTCCATGTTCAAGGACATGACCATTTCAGAAGACCTTACCGCCAATTACAAGGAGTATGTGGCGCGCAATGGTGATCCCGACCAGAAACCAGTGGACTTGGAGGTCAACGTTCTTACAAGTACCATGTGGCCGATGGAGATCATGTCGAACGTCAAAGAGGGCACAGTCCGATTGCCCTGTATCTTCCCACGGGAGATCGATGCCTTGAAACAAAGCTTCGAGCGCTTTTATCTCGACAAGCACAGTGGTCGCAAACTGTCGTGGCAAGCTAACATGGGCACTGGTGATATTCGCGCCACGTTCATACGCCCTAATGGCAAAGTACAGCGTTACGAACTCAACGTTTCAACCCACGCTTTGATCATTTTACTGCTCTTCAACGACGTCCCAGACGGCGAGTCTCTGACTTTTGACGATATCAAAAATCGCACCCTGATCCCTGACCACGACCTCATCCGCAACCTGCAGTCGCTCGCCGTCGCGCCGAAAACTCGAGTCCTGAAGAAGAATCCCATGAGCAAGGATGTGAAACCCACGGACGCTTTCTCTTTCAACCATGAGTTCCACAGTCCGTTTGTGAAGGTACGCATTGGCGTTGTCAGCGGCGGTGCCAATAAGGTCGAGAACAAAGACCAGCGCAAGGACACGGAGAAGAAGATGAACGACGAACGAAACGGCAGCATCGAGGCTGCTATCGTCCGCATTATGAAGTATGCCTTCTCCACCCCATATATGTGATATAAGACTAACCTCTTGCAGACAACGAAAGAAGCTCACTCACTCTCAACTAATGACCGAGACGCTTTCCCAACTCTCCGCGCGCTTTGTTCCAGATGTGAATATGATCAAACGGCGCATTGAGAGTTTGATTGACCGCGAATACCTCGAGCGAGTCTCCGAGGAACCGCCTACTTATGGGTATGTCGCGTAGACATCCCAGACGATTATCTTCGCTCTCTTCTTTTACGATATCACGGTCCAATGTCCTTGCATCGGTGGTTTGTGTTTTTCTGGGTTTAGCGATTGGCGTCTATGAAAAAGGGATGAATTAAATGAAGTCAATAGACGATTTTTCAGATATTTGACAACCAATACACATCAGTTGCTATGGCAGATGTCGTCTCGCAATGGATCTATGAAGTTTCGAGTCTCAAGTATAAAATATATCCGTAAGTCAAACGCCAGCCCAGGTGCAGGTGAGAGCGAAGCCGCTACTCCGCTATGAAATATCAATGCCATCCCATATCCCGTATCCCCATAACCCATCTCGTCCAATATCAGCCCAATCACAATAATTCCACCTCCCCCTTCCCCCAAGCCGCCTTAACCCCCTCCCACCGAACAACCCAAACATCCCCCATCCTCATCATAACCCCCGTCTCATCCCCGTCCTCCTCATCCTCCCCACCAACGACAACGGGAACCTCCGCCCCAAGACACCGAACGAACACAACCTCCTTCAAATCCGGTCCCTGGATCATACTCGTCCCACCCGCATTATCATCCAACCGTCTCAACTGCCGCGGAAACGCACCCATAAACGAACTAGCGTAGTGTCCCGCCAGCAATGTCTGGTGTGCATGTAAAAACGACGCCTCGGACTCAGAAAGCGGCGACAGATCCGTCAATGACGAGATATCTGGTACGGAGTCTGCGGGCTGTTGGTTGGGGTTCTGGGAGGCGGTGGATTGGGTTTCTGAGGGGTTTTTGTTCCGTGAGGCCAGGTGGACGAGGTAGTGCATGCTGTATTTTGTTATTTTGGCTAGACGGGCCCGTAACAGACTGCGGACTATGTATTGGGTGCGGGCGAGGTCGGTTTGGAGAATTGAGAGGCGGAGGTTTAGGTTCGGGTTGTCGGTTGTGAGGATGTCGGATGATGCGGCTAGGTCTTCAATTGTTTCGATCTGGGAATTTTTGTTAGTTGGTTATATCCAGAGGGCCCCAATGCTGGATGTGAGGGAATGGCTACCTGCTTCCGTACGCGGTCCATTATCCGCTCCATCAGCGGGGCCGGCCATGGTAGGACCTCTGTCACGGCGCGTTCGGAAACCCAGAAGCGCGTGAGGAGCTGGTGGTCTAGCGCTGCGGACTCGCGGCTGGCGCCTGGTCCGTGGTCGACCGAGGCGAGAATGTCGTCGATATCCATGGGGAGGTGGCGAGTGAAAATGCGGTGGAGCGGCGAGGTACATAGGGCGGGAGGGTGCCCCAGGCACTAATTATATTTGGTCAAGTGGATTTTGGTGATGCGATGTGGGGAATGGATCTACTAAGTTGGTCTATGAGATGAAGAGAGTCGAGAGAAATGACTTGACTGTATAAAACTGTTTTGCTGGACATTCTACTCCGACCATCCCCGAAACATAGCAGCATTCGGATTCTATTCAAATCCACTTGGTCTTCAAGATATGTATTAGACAAACTAAGTATGAGAGGACTTCATATCCGCAAGTCCCTCTAGCTTGCAAAAACCCTCAAAATCCAAGTTCCGGGTTCATTCAGTGACATGAAACCGTGAACATTAAGTAGTAAAAAAGAAAAAGAGATATTCACTGTCGATCATATCATAAACAGAAAAATGAATACAGTTTCGCACCCAGTTGACGCCATAAACCATTAGTTTCCGGTGCATCGCGAACGCAATACTCGGAAGATTCTCAAAGCCAGGTTCATTGGCAAACTCTAGCCCTTGCTCGCATTTGGCGGCGGCGGCCCAGGAGGAGGCGCGTACGATCCTTGTGGGGTGTATGCATTTGCAGGCTGCTGCAGCTCGATTCCTTGCTGTTGCGGTGGTGGGGACTGTGCGCCAAAGTAGCCATAGTTCTGAGGGTTAGGGCTGTATTGTGGTGGTGCGTTTTGCTGGTAGTAGTTGTCGCCGTAGGTAGGGTGTTGTCCGTAGATAGGCTGGTTTGGCGGAGGAGGTCCGGGAGGAGGAGCCATCCACCCAGTCCCGGTTATCGGGCGCTGGCCATGGTTTCGTCTGCGACGTGCGTTGAAACATCTGGAGTAATCTTGTTAGGATCCGGGTCATCGGACGCTTGGGAAAAGGAGACTCACGCGAAGCTGAAGAAGAGGAGAAACGCTACACCGACGATCACAGCGAATGCGACCCAGCGACCCCAATGATCCCAAGTGGAATAGTCGCAGTTGCCGTCATAGCTGGGACGGGTCAGTAAGATGTGGTGTCAGGGACTCAGCGGTCTCGGGGGGGATGCCTTACCAGGTGTATCGGGGATATAGAACAGCCATGAGGGAACTTCTAACTCTATCTCAAGGTAGAGAAAAGAGGAGAGAACAAATCTAGAGAGAGGAAGCGGAAGAGGACGATGCGATCAAGAATCAAGAGCTGAGATGATGGACGTCAACGGGGCTGGGGCGGTGGGTCGTAGGTCCTTGGCGCTTTAGGCTGCAAGTTTTGGGTTGGAAATTTGTAGATTTGTAATTTACGGAGATTTGTAGATTTGTAGTTTTGTAGTTTATGGTATTATTTCCTTTGAAAGAATGAAAGAATAGAAGAAGTCAGTAGAAATCAGTTAAATGCTGAGCAGCCAGGAGACTATATAAATGCCTCCCAGTTTGCCGAGGTCGACGTCAGGTGGACTTGTGGGACTGAGGCGCAGGGCTGAGCAAGTATTTGAATTGAAAGAGGCTGTGCAGAGCGTTGTAAAGCGTATGGCCTTGGTCTATGTATTGAGTCTATGAAATTAAGTGTCCTCCAGGACTAATTATACAAATCCTACACGCAGTCGATCAATCGTGACCGATGCTCTAACATGATCTGTAAAAGGTCAGCTAGAACATTCTATCTTTCAAAAGAAAAGACATACCGGTGGTATGGGTGGCGCCGGTACAGTCGGCAACGCGGTGATAATCGACCCGACTTCACTGCGCATATCCAAACTCGCCTCTCTCTCAGCCCCAACTTCTTCATCCAGTGTCATTTGCACTGACAAAACATGGATTCGAGGGGAAAGGTCAGGCTTGGCCTTGAAAGAGTATGTTGGTAACGTTTCAAATGTCTCCTGTATCCAGGACATCTGCTTTTCCAGGTCCGGCCCGGACAAGCTTGTGTTGCCTTTGGTCTGTGTAGTCGATTTGGTTCGGAAGATGCTGCTGGGCCAATCTTTCGTCTTGGCGATCGGGCGTGCACAGCTAGCCGCATTCTTGGATACGCTGTCCCAAGCCTCAATGACGCGATCCGTCTTGAGGAATTGGGAGATTTGATCCTTCATGTTGTCGCGGCCGTGTGTGAGTTGGTCATGGGTTTCCTGCCGCGCTCGGGTCGGCGACTTGACTGTCGAGTGCCCGGTACGAGGCCGTGGCGTGGTGCAGAATGCCCGTAGTTGTTCGATGGAGATGCTGCGCGAGGGTCGTGATGGCTGTGAAGGTGCTGTTTTCGGTCGATCTTGAGCCTTGTCCAGTCTCTCGCTGGCAGCGCGTTTGGGTAAAAACGGTCGGGACAGTTTTCGTTTGACCTTTCCGGGTGTCGATGGTAGGGGAGGTGGCTCATCGCCGGCGCCGGCGCCGGCTTCTGCTATAAGAGCACTGCATGATTTGGCCCGGCTCATAAGCTTGCGCCGAATACCATCGCTCGACTTGGCTGGGTCGGCTGGGTCGACTGGGGTGGGCTGATTAGCTGTGGCGGGAGGAGTGGTGGTATGCTTTGATGTGGTCGGTGTCTTTGGCTTGGATAGCGGGTCGCGAGGTAGCGGCTTTTCCAATGTGGGCTGCCCCTTTTCGAAAAGTCTCTGTTTGATTGACTTGCTCCGAGGTGTAGCTCTGTTGGTCTGCTTAATGAATGATCGCTGTGCGGATTAGCGGAATAGAACGATCAAGTCGGGCCCTATCAACTCACCACATCCTTTCTACTTGCGACGCCCACCCGTCGTTGCATTTCGGTAGTCGCTAAGCCAAGTTGGCTGAGCGCCTTCTGAAGGGAAGTGCCTCGTCGACGAAGCCTGGAGATAGCGACAATCCATCCCTCCATGTTGTCCATCATGGCCTGCTGGAAAGGTTTGAGACTCTCGGTCTCAAAGCAGCCCTCGTCTGCAAGCTTTTGCATATAGAACCACAATGCACCCATTGCCTCTTTTGCCTTTTGCAGGTCTCTGAGAGAGTCTGTGATCGCTTGGGTGAACCTGGCAATAGAATGTTCGATGTGATCGTTATAAGCGACGATCGATAGCCGAAATTGTCGATCTTCGAGCATCTCATCGAAGACCTCTAGATTCCCCAGAGGTAGGCTTAGATATTGAATTCGAATGCGAACGTCTAGCCGCACAATGGAGAAGTCCTCGGTGGTTCGTTCCAGAAAGCCGTCCAGCTCATTTACATGTTTCTGTAAGGTCTTCATCGCCGTGACATCTGATTTGGCGGAACCCTTGGCTAGAAGATGGACTCCGAATACCATTTGCGAGATCAGTTTCCAAATGGGATGATATCTATATCAAGTGGTTAGCTCAGGTGCCAACATCCCAACCATTGATGTGTAATTACTTCTCAGATGTTCGTTGGCGCCATTTCCTCCCGCAAAGTCGCTCATATTCTTCACTCTCCAACAGATCGCGCCGTCGTTCTTGCGCATCAATGTCAACCGTCCATGTCGGTTCGGTGTCGGACGCCTCCACTATTGATTCTTCAAAGGGGCCTTGGAGTTGGGCAATTGGATGGGACGGATAAGGACTGGCTAGCTCAGGAACCGGAGTGGGCTCTTGCTTCTCATTCTCATCCATTGCATCAGGTGCGTGAACGAGAATCGCCGGTGTAGACGCCATTATCCGAATTCACGTGTCCCCAGGTATACTTCGGTCTGGACCAAATTTGAGTGGAGCGGCGATAGTATATACAAACTCGCTCAAATCCCGATTTCTCGCAAATTAGATCGAGTGCAACCGTTTTGAAGCTTGGATATAATGCAATTTCCTGCCTGTATCCATTGGGGTGGTCGGGTATAAAATCACGATCGGAACCGGGCTTAAGAGGCTTCAGTCATGGCTGGAGTGCTGGAGTGCTAGAGATGGCTGGCTTCCAAATCTCATGCAAGGCTGTTGCTCTGCCGTTTTACTTTATCTCGGCTGGGGGTATGCAGGGTCAGAAACCATGATTGAGGGAGATGAGATCGATTCCCAGATCTGACTTACTCTGCAGCACAAATGATCGAGATGGGTGTTGGGAGGTTTCACCAGTGAGACATTGAGAGCTTAAAGATAAAACATCTCAGATCTTCTGGCCCCCTATCAACAAAGAACGGAGGTGACGCCGTGTGAGGAAGGCAAGTCCTCTAGTATTTGGGTTTTTAATTGGGCCATTGTAAACTAGCCAATCAATTCAATTCCTGATACAAAAAAAGAAATGGACTGGGACGATCTCTAAGTCGAGAAGAGGCGAAGCGAGTCTGGCCCTAATTTCGGATTAGTATTTCTCCGGTTCATCCATAACTACACGGCAGTACGGAGTAGTATGCAATAGTTAAGTACAGAGTATTAAATAAGGTGCAACTCGATAAGATATTAAAGATAATGTCGAGTTAACTCAATAACCGATTATCTGCTAGGTACACTGGTACAGTAGTTGTATGCAAAAGGACCTGTCTATGTACGGCTTGGCAGTGCATTCCTATTGGACAATGCTATTCTTTCACTCCGAGTGCAGCCTCAGGATGCTTATCTCCTCGCCTCATAAACATCCTCTCCCATATCGATATGCCAATCGATACGGAGTACTCCCCTTGTTTAAGTTATAGTTAGTCACTTAGTCACTTACCCTAATTATCCTATGGCTATCTACCCTAACCTAAGCCCTGAAAAAGCATCATTCTTTTCAACCTTCGATACATACAATTCCGATGGAACACACTGTGTACACAGGTGATAGCACGTCATTTCTCGGGAGTCGGAAGACGATATCTTTCGTGGTGGCCTCCTCTAGCGACATCCACGTTGCACATGCATCTGGACTCGCCTGCAGCTCCTCACCACTTTTGGAAGGTCAAAGATCTCTGTGAGACCGATATTTGTTTTCGGCTGCATTTCTCCCCATCTAGCGCTGTCGATCTTTCCCCTTAACCCCAACCATCAACACGCGCGCAGGGGCTTGACCTTGGAATCTCTCCAGTCTTCCCCTCACGATGTGACCTTTATCCGGAGCTCCTGCGGAGTTGACTGATTAGAAATGAGAATCTATCTTCTCATAGGAAGTCTTCGCCGACCGTATGCAGCTCATTTCTCGCTAAATCGTACACAGTCCTATCAGAAGCGACGATATGTTTGCTTTAGGCTTTTTGACGATTGAGGATTCCCCTCTTCTAGAGCTATATAAGTATCCCCAGGACCCTGTAAAAGTAGTCTGTCAGAATAGACTCTTATTCATTATGCGTCTCTTCAACTGGATCCCCTTAGTGCCAGCGGCAGTGGCGCTGGCCGTGCCTTCGGATGAGGGCTTGGAAGGCTTGGAGGCCCTACTCCGTCGGCAGCTGCCTGAGCACCCTACCCACGTCAAGACCATCAAAACGGCGAATAATGTCACAATTCGCTATAAAGAGCCGGGTAAAGAGGGCGTTTGTGAGACAACCCCCGGAGTCAAGTCTTATTCCGGTTATGTGGACATCTCCCCCACAGAGCATACCTTCTTCTGGTTTTTCGAAGCTCGTCATGACCCTCAGAATGCGCCGATTACTCTGTGGTTGAACGGTGGACCGGGAAGTGACTCGTTGATTGGATTGTTTGAGGAATTGGGTCCTTGTCATATCAATGAGAAGAATGAATCTTATATCAACGAGCACTCCTGGAACGAGGTCTCCAATATGCTGTTTTTGTCCCAGCCGCTGGGTGTTGGTATGTACATCTCATTATGCTCCCCTCTGAGCCTCCGGCTGACATTACCACAGGCTTCTCCTATGCTGAGAAGGAAGCCGGCTCCTTGAACCCGTACACCGGTGCATTTGAAGATGCGGACTTTGCGGGCGTCGAGGGCCGCTATCCAAAGATTAATGCCACCGCAATTGATACAACCGTACTTGCGGCCAAAGCTACCTGGGAGGTCCTGCAGGGATTCCTGGGTGGTCTTCCCAAGCTGGACGCAAGAATCAAGTCGAAGAGCTTCAATCTGTGGACTGAAAGTTATGGAGGGTGAGTCGATCCTGATATCCGTGAATCCAATTCCAATTGACTGACTCTTTTAGACACTATGGACCTGCCGTAAGCCAATCATTCGTTCGATCTCTGATTCTCTAGATCTAACACTCGCAGTTCTTCGATCACTTCTACGAAGAGAACCAGAAAATCGCCAACGGCACTCAGGAAGGCATCCAGCTTGACTTCAACACCTTGGGTATCATCAACGGAATCATCGACGAAGGAATCCAAGCCAAGCACTACCCCGAGTTTGCCGTGAATAACACCTACGGCATCAAGGCTGTAAGTCTTCGAAAACTTATGAACAGACATACATACTGACAAGGACGAAGGTCAATGACACGGTATACAACTACATGAAATTCGCAAATGAGATGCCAAACGGCTGCCAGGATCAAGTCGCATCTTGCAAGATGTTGAATCGTACCTCGCTGTCCGATTACGCAATTTGCACCGAAGCCACCAACATGTGCCGAGACAACGTCGGTATGTAGATCGGGTACACCTATGGTTTGACGTTTCGTAGCTAACAAACAATCTCAGAGGGTCCATACTACACCTTTAGCGGCCGAGGCACTTACGATATCCGCCATCCGTCCAACGATCCCACCCCGGAGAGCTACTACCTCGAGTACCTCGCCAAAGACTCAGTAATGAACGCCCTAGGCGTCGACGTGAATTACACCCAGTCCAACAACGAGGTCTACTTTGCCTTCCAGCAAACCGGTGACTTCGTCTGGCCCAACTTCCTCGAAGACCTGGAAGATATCCTCTCCCGCCCTGTCCGCGTCGCTCTCATCTACGGCGACGCAGATTACATCTGCAACTGGTTCGGTGGCGAGGCCATCTCCCTGGCGGCAAAGTACAAGCACAGCGAAGAGTTCCAGAAGGCCGGCTATGCGCCGTTCTTGGTGGACGGTGTCGAATACGGTGAGACCAGGGAATATGGCAATTTCTCCTTCACCCGCGTTTATGAGTCTGGTCATGAGGTGCCATACTATCAACCTGAGGCTTCGCTGCAGCTGTTTAATCGCACGCTGAATGGCTGGGAACTCTCCAAGGGTGAGAAGAAGGCTAAACCCGATGCTGGTTCCTCTGGGCCCGTGTCGGCGACTCATACTCAGTCTTCGGTGCCATTGCCTACGCCGACAAGGAAGCCTCTGATTCCACGGGGGTGGTGAAACATGAGGGATCTCTCAACCTTGCAAATAGATGCATTATTGAATCAACGTATATATAGTACACCTAGGTGAAGAGCGGCATGCTGAATGAATAAATGTTATCATTGAAATGTCACAAAACTAGATACAAGTATTTCTACCATAGAGGGAAACTCATTTGACACGATCAAAGATTCCACAGAATGAGAGCAGATATCAAACAACCGGAGCGAAAGTCCTGGAATTCAAGTATAATAACCGCGATAATGTACAATATCATCAAAGCGAACGGAAGTTGACCGACATCGAGTATGCAAAGAACGTTTCAAAAGAGTTCGCAAACAAAGATTGACATGCCTCATAAATGCAGATAGTTCAACACCGTGGTGGGAAACGAAAGGCGACCAAATATAGAATGACCGAGTGGTGATACACATGAGCGGCGGAGACTGTTATATCTAGCCGACCATTTATTCCTTGGTGGAACGTTCATCGTGAGAATCACGGAGCGTCTCCGCAGGAGTGTGAGTTTCGGCATGAGACTTATCCATGCCAGACATTTCAGTAGTATCGCCAAGGACATCGACGGCGGTTTCGTCGGAGAATCGAAGATCGTCTTCAACGGCAGTAGTCTCCTTGACCTTGAAGAAGATCACAGGCGAGGCAACGAGCATGCTACCAACGAGCAGACCCCAGCAAGAAGCAAATTCGGTCATATAAGGCGTCTCCTGTGCATCCAAACTGAAGACTTGTTAGTTAGGTCCAATGTAAAATCCGAAAGCAAGGAATGCTCACCTCCACATTCCAGCTGCGCCAGCAGACTGGATGCCCTTGTAGAAACCAGCAAAGTTGGCCAGTTTACGGCTGTTGTTGGAAAGAGAACCCATGTACCAGTAGGTGCAGGTCTGGAAAGCAGCATCGTAGAACCCGTAGAACATGTACAGGAACATAGGCCCGATGTAGCCGCTGTCGGTGAAATCGGTGCCAAGACCTTCGGTCTCCCGAGTGTAGGTCTTCTGGAAGGCATATCCGCCACCCCAAATGCCCATGGTGATAGCGAGCAAGATGCCGAAGTTGAGCTTGGCACGCCACGGACGGGAGAGACCCTTCAAATCCAGGAGTTGGCCGAAGACGAATGCGCCGACCATCTGCATGAGCCAGTACAGAAGACTGTTCAAGGCTCGAGTGCGAACATTGAAGTAGGCGAGGTTGACGGCGTTGAAGTGATATCCGTAGAACCAGTTGCTGGCCAGGAACATAGGGAACAAGAGGACGATGTACGAATCGTTGATCAGTGTCTCCCACAGTCCCAGGATCTCAGATTTCCAGGTTGGGTTTTTGATCACAATCACGCGTGAGCCATCCTTGCGCTTGACGTGCTTGCTATCTGCCAGACACCAGCAGAGGACGAAGCCGATGGCCATCAGAACCAGGAAGGCAATGTACGTGCCATTGTTCACGTTGCCGGCCGTTGAGTGCATGTTTTGACCGAGAGGGACCTGTTGATATCAGTATCTTGCTCTTCTTTTGGTTTGGGTGAACGTACCAAGCTACCAATGACACCACCCAAATTGAAAATAACCCAGAAAACGGCAATGTACTTGCCCTTCTCGTGTTCATGTGGATAACTCAGCATCACAGCACCCTGCGCACACCATAGCAGACCGGCACAAACACCGAGGAAAGCTCCGGAGAAAATGAGGAAGCCTGCATTCTGGTTGATATTGTACGAAAGGAGAGATGCAACGTAGAGGAAGTATCCAAATCCACCAAAGGATAGTGTGAGCCGGAGGCCAATGCGATTGGCAATGGAGCCGGCGAAGAAACCGACTACTGCGAAGGTACTGTATAGTGCAGTATTGGCATTGTTCACATCGTGGGCATTGACTTGTCCACCACCACCGAGACCACTGACGGCGTTGAACATGCCAGGACATAAGAAGCAGACAAACGACACCAGGTATAGTTGCATCTCTGGAGAGGCAAAGTAAGGAGCCTCCCACTTGCCAATCTTGAATAACGGTTTGTACATCCAGGCCGGGCCTACCACTGCCTGGTCCACGCCCGACTCGGGATCATGAGGAGCAGACGTGGACGACGCATATTGCTGTGTCGACATCTCCGTCTGCTCTGGTGTTTGCTTTTCCGATTCAGCCATAGTTGTAGGATGCAAGATCTACAGGGACGAGGAGATGTGAAAATCAACAAACAAGCCCAAGGGGCCAAAGAATGTTCTCCCACGTGAGAAACAAGGAAGGACAACGAAGAATGCCGATGCAAACGGAATTTCTTAAGTCTTCGGATTCTGCAGAAATCGAAAGGAATTTTTTTTTCGACACAGACGAAGCTAAGTATTTTTAGTATTTAGTAGACCATTAAATAGCCGAAGTCTCATGATTGTCTTATCTCGAGGATCCATTTTTTCCCCCTAGACTGCGACATTGTGACCGGTTTCCACGGGTTGCGATTGCGGGGATACAATGGAGAGACAATATGGAGATCAGCAGTCTGCCCAGTCTGAAGGAAAAGGAAGAGTCATCACGTTTAATGGGAAACGATGAATAATGAGAACTGAGCAGCAGCAGCTTCCAATGCGACCGCGAAAGATGTTGCATTGGGAGGAGACCCGCATGCGGAGTGTCGCATGCGGGGACTCGGGAACTTTACGGTATTTTCGGGATGGAATTAAATTACAGGCCGGGTACGAAATTGCATTGTAAAGATATAATACGGCAATTTACAACCAGTGTATGGCATTGGTACAGCCACCATACCCCATAATGAGCCACGATAAGCCACGATAAGCAACTCTTTACAGTGTCAGCACTGTCAGGCGGGCGCTAAGGTAGCCCCCCCCTCCCCATGTTCTATACCACATCGGCATGCCGAATGTCACCAGGGTCCAATTTGAAAGGTTACATCATTGTGCCTGGCTTTCATCCGGTTCCTTATGTACTTGGCTCTTGTCCCCTGTCTTACATCTTTTCTTTTAGATCAGGCTTACAACAAGAATTTGATCGGATAGGAATCGCTTCCTGTCATATTCAACATGCCGGGCAAAACTTCTACCCCGCGCATCACCAAGTTCACGAACTGCCGCCTGGTTCGCGGCTCGACCTTGGTCGAACAAGATCTCTGGATCGACTCGCTGACTGGCAAGATCTTGAAGGATCAAGAAGCCTTCTATGGATTGCACCTGTCTCCCGACGTCATTATTGACCTTGGCGGCCGTATCCTCGCCCCGGGTATGATCGATGTCCAATTGAACGGTGCCCATGGCTTTGATTTCTCCGTGCCCTGTGAATCAAAAGAGAAATACGATGAGGGTTTGCGCATGGTCAACCGCGGGCTGGCCCGTACCGGTGTGACTTCCTATTTGCCGACTCTCGTGAGCTCCACGCCCGAAGTATACTGGAAGGTGAGCAATGTGCAAAGTGCCTCCCTGAGAAACTCGTATTTGGCCTAAAAGATCATGGAACCTAACATATCCCGTCCCAGGTTCTCCCCTCCCTCGGCCCGACAGCAGCAACGCACAAACCCGAGGATGGTGCCGAGTCACTAGGCGCACACGCCGAGGGGCCCTTCATCAGCGCCGGCCGCAACGGCATCCACAAATCCGAAGTCCTGCGCGCCGCGCAAACCTTGGAGGATCTCCTCCACTGCTACGGCAGCGACAACATGACTAGCGCGAACCCCATCAAGATGATCACAGCCGCACCAGAAGTCGGCAACATGATGGAGCACATTCCCGAAATCGTCAAGCGCGACATCATCTTCTCCATCGGCCACTCCGATGCAACCTACGAGCAGGCCGTCAAGGCAACGCATCAGGGTGCTCGCATGATTACCCATCTATTCAACGCCATGCGGCCCTTCTATCACCGCAACCCAGGTATTTTTGGGCTGCTGGGACAGAGTGAGCGCCGAAGGCCGTTCTACGGCGTTATCGCCGACGGCATTCACTTGCATCCTACTTCCATCAAGATTGCGTACAATGCGCACCCGGATGGGCTCATCTTGGTGACTGATGCCATGCGTCTCTGCGGTCTTCCGGATGGGGTCTATGAGTGGACGAACGGCGAACGAATTGTTAAGACCGGCGCGCGCTTGACGCTCGAGGGTTCTGATAAGATTGCCGGATCTTCCGCTACGCTTATTGAGTGCGTTAACAACTTCCGTCGCTGGTCGGGTGCGTCGACGGCTGAGGCTATCAACGCCGTCACTGCTGCGCCGGCACGTCTGCTTGGATTGGAGGGTGTCAAGGGGTCGTTAGAAGCCGGTGCTGACGCTGATCTCGTAGTGCTGGGTGAGAGTGACGATCCATTTTCTGGCAGTACTTTGACGGTCGATCAGGTGTGGAAGCTGGGTGCCAAGATCCACGATACTGACAAGGCCGCTGTGGCCGCTTAAGGCAGTTCCCGGTCTTGGTTGAGATATTTTTGCTTTGGTTCACTTTTCTGCGGGTTTTCTCATTTCAGCATATTTCGAAGGTCCTTTCATCTCGGTTGCTTTTCACAGGCGTTCTAAACTCGTGGTTTCGCATTGGCGCATAGAATGCCAGGTTGTAGCACCCGCTCCCATCTATCAGGCAGAAATAATATTGAATCTCGAAAAGCCTTCCAATGTCGTTCAATAGATAATCTGGTTGATCGTCTCGTTCAATGATCATTTCTATATGCCAAATGAATCTATGTAATCGAGGGTCTGGCTCGCAGACACTGGCTGGGGACGGCCGAGCTCGAAATTTCCCCGGATCTAAGACGATCCTTCATGTTCAAGTTCGATGGCGCACTGCTGCGCCGCTCGCTCATATGCTATTATATAACTCCAAATAAACCCAGAACAGAAACAATTTTTTACAGGCATGTCAGATTTTGACGCGTCCAAAGCCCCTGCTTTACAGACGAGGCTGGTTGCGAGACCAGCCAGCCTCGCCAGCGATCAGCTCGGCGGCCCGCTCACCGATGGCCAAGACAGTCAGCATGGGGTTGATGGTGGGCATATCGGGGAAAACACCGGCATCAGCAATACGGACGCCCTTGAGGCCGCGAATCTTCAACTTAGGGTCCACAACTGCCATAGGATCGCGGACAACGTCACCCATCTTGGTGGTACCAGCGGGGTGGTACACGGTGTGAGCAACACGACGGCCATACTCGGAAAGCTCTTCGTCAGTCTGCACCTTAGGGCCAGGCGCCACCTCGCGCTTGATCCACTCCTTGAAGGGGGACTGCTTGGCGATTTCACGGGCGGCCTTGAGACCGGCCACGATGGTGGCAGCATCATAGCCCTCGGGGTCGGTGAAGTAGCGGAAGTCCAGCGAAGGCTTCACAGAGGGGTCAGCGGAGGTCAGGAAGAGACGACCGCGGGAGCGAGGACGGGGAATATTGGGGGTCATGCAGAAGGCGTCCAGGGGCTCCTCGTAACCAAGACGAGTAGTGTTGAGGGTGAACGGGATCTGGTAGCAGTGCATCATCACGTCGGCAATCTTGCCGTCGAAGCCGGCGGAGTTGGGCAGTTCCCGACGCAAGAAGATACCGGCGTCAGAGTCCATAGTGGTCATGTTGTGATCGACGGGGCGGTTAAGCTCCCACATGATGATACTTTCGGGGTGATCCAGCAGGTTCTCACCAACACCGGGCAAGTCCTTCACAACGGGAATACCGAGAGAGGACAATTGCTCACGAGGGCCGAGACCAGAGAGCATCATCAGACGAGGGGTGTCGACAGCTCCGGCGGACAAAATGGTCTCCTTCTTGGCACGCAGAGTGTGCTTGACACCTGACTGCAAAGTCACATCCACACCAGTCACGGTGTCACCCTCAACGTTCACCTTATTGACCCAGGCGTTGGTGAGGATGGTCAAGTTAGGACGCTTCTCGTCACCACGGAGAATGGGGTGAATGTAGGCGACACTGGCACTGCTGCGGCGACCATCGTCGGGGTTGTAGGAAACGTTGAAGAAGCCGACACCCTGGGTCAACGCACCCGTGTCCCGAATTTCCTTGTTAAAGTCCTCAATGATAGGAATGTCCATAGCGGTGGAGCAGGCTTGGATCCAGTCCTTGCACAGCTCATTGCGGTGGCGTGCGTGTACCGGCTGGATAGTGTTGCGCAGATTGTCAATGATGCGGGTGAAGGTCTCAAAGTCCCAGCCCTTGCAGCCCTTGGCCACCCAGTTTTGGCAATCATACTCGAAGGGACGGAAAGAAATCAGAGTGTTGTGGCTGGAGCAACCTCCCAGAACCTTTGCACGGGAATGACGGATGTTGCTGTTGCCTGGAAAAGTCAGCACAAGCTGCAGTTTGTATTTTGAATAGACTGTGCCATACCGAAAGGCTGCTCGGTGGTACCATAGTCATAGTCCAGCTCGCCGCCGAGCAAGTTAAGCCATTCCTTCAGGTTCAGAACCCGATCGTCCATGAAATCACTGGGACCCGCTTCAATGACCAGAGTACGCTTGTTTGGGAGGTACTCGGCCAGGCGTGCAGCAATCACGCAGCCAGCTGTACCGCCACCGACGACGATGTAGTCATAGCTATTGACATCAACAGCGGGGAGCTCATTAGTAGTGGCCATGTTGAATACCAAGTGAATATGCACAGTATGTATGTACGTATATATATATATATATAGTGAGGAGGATAATGAAGAAGAGATCAGCTACTTAAAGAGAAATTTCACGAAGGCTAGCAGTGGGGGGTGGTCTGATCGAGTCAACGACTATCAAGCCAATGATTTGAGGTGGATACCAACATCCGTTCCACCCTTTTCGTCTTTTTTTTCTTTTTCTTTCTTTTCCTTTCCCGTTAGCCTCGGGGAACCCGAGTTGTGAGTGGTGACGATCACGAAGAGTGGGGAGAAGTTAGAAGAGTGTCTTAGGTAATGCGTCTTGGAGGTCCACTACGTCCACCGACACTTCAAAAGAGTTTCCCTTAACGGCATATCATCGGTCTAGTTGTAAAGGCTAAGGATGTCAAGTCATGCACATTGAAGTCAAGATAGGCAAGATAGGACTTCCTTTCCGATAACTGGTACCGAGTGACCAGGAGATGTGTAGATAACTGCGTCACTTTCCGCCTTATGGAAGTATTGTGGACTTTTATTCCCAAACAGAGCAAGCGCAAAAGCAAAAATGAGATTAGTCGAATCAACCCCAGACTTGAGTTCAGCCACCTTCAGCCGCTGACTGAATGTACCTGGTACTTGGCAATTGAGTGCATATGCACAGTGGCCGGGTACCGAGTACCTTAAGTGATATGCGAGCTAAGACGCCTCGGTCTCTTTTTCCTTTTTTTTTTTCTCTTTTTAGTAATCGGAGAAACATCACGGCGATTGCTATCCGAAGGTTCATCTACTGTTAACTACCCCAAGATCTCTCTAATCATCTTTATACTGTGTATTCACACCATGTCTGAATCCTTCCCACCCCGTCAGCTCTACTATGGCGGCAAAGTCCAAGCCGCGACCTCCGGCAAGACTTTTCAAACTATCAATCCCGCCACCGCAACCCCACTAGCTGATATCCATATCGCCTCCAATGCGGACATTGATGCTGCCATTACTGCTGCCGACCGTGCATTTCCCTCGTGGGCACAGACGCCATTGATTGCGCGCGCCCGTATCCTCCACAAAGCCGCTGCTCTGCTGCGAGAACGGAATGATGAAATTGCACGTGTCGAGACTTTGGATTCCGGCAAGGCCTTCACTGAGACTAGCACCGTCGACGTCACGACGGGGGCCGATGTTCTGGAGTACTATGCCAATTTCATTGGTGGTGGTGGTCTCAATGGGGAGACTACTCAGCTTCGCGAGGATGCCTGGGTGTACACTAAGAAATCCCCCCTGGGAGTGTGCGCTGGCATTGGCGCTTGGAACTACCCCATTCAGATGTAAGTTCTTCGGTCCATTCCGTTCGGTGTCAAACTGCAGAAACTGACTTGGAGATATCAATAGTGCCCTCTGGAAATCTGCCGCCTGCTTGGCCGCCGGTAACACAATGATCTATAAACCCAGTGAATTCACCCCGCTCCACGGTCAGACCCTCGCGGAAATTTATACCGAGGCCGGCCTTCCCGCCGGCGTCTTTAACGTGGTTAATGGTGCTGGTGATGTCGGCGCCTACCTCACCAGCCACCCCCTCATCGCCAAGGTCTCCTTCACCGGCCAAGTCTCGACCGGCATGAAGGTCGCAGGTGCTGCCTCGGGCGGCATGAAATACGTGACGATGGAGCTGGGTGGAAAGAGCCCATTGATTGTCTGCCCAGATGCAGAGCTTGAAAGCGCCGTTGATGGCGCCATGATGGCTAACTTCTACAGCACGGGCCAGGTTTGCACCAACGGCACCCGAGTTTTCGTCCCGCGCACCATGAAGGCTGCTTTCGAGAAGAGCCTGCTAGAAAAAATCCAGTATGTGCGGGCTGGCCCGCTATTCGACGAGCAGACCAACTTCGGTCCCCTCAGTTCCAAGGCCCACTACGACAAGGTCATCTCATACATTCGCGTCGGTATTGAGTCTGACCGCGCCACCTTGCTTTGCGGTGGGCTCGACAAGCCTGCTGTGCCCAAGGATTTGCAGGCCGGTTTCTGGGTTCAGCCGACCATCTTCACCGACTGCACTGACTCTATGCGCATCGTCAAGGAGGAGATCTTCGGTCCCGTTATGTCCATCTTGTACTATGACACCGTCGAGGAGGCTGTTCAGCGTGCAAACACTACTGAGTTTGGTCTCGCTGCCGGTGTTTTCACTAAGGACCTGAATCAGGCTCACCGCATCATTGACCAGCTGCAGGCCGGTATCACTTGGGTGAACACCTGGGGCGAGAGCCCTGCGGAGATGGCAGTCGGTGGCTGGAAGAAGAGTGGTCTAGGCGTGGAGAACGGCCGGCGCGGTATTGAGGCTTGGCTGCAGAACAAGAGCACTCTGGTTGATATGAGCGGTGCCGTTGCCAGTGTCTTTGCCAAGCTATAATGTTAATATTGCATGCAATGCATGTACGATCCAAATGCAAGGAGCAAATGTACATATATGAGCCATTGGAGCATCCTACCTAGATTGGGCAAGTTGGCTGTATTCATATAGCACTCATGTCCTTCTTTCGTCACCAGATGTCCTACTACCTTGACGCCATATGTAGCTTGGAAAGGTACCTATCCATGGCTTGAAATTTGGTAATATGATTGAATTTTCAGAATAGAGACCACATATGAAGGCGCGTATCTATCAGAAGCAAGTACAAATGTAAGATGAAATTCCTAAGTCAACCTTGAAACACCCATGGAGCCTGTAAGAGCAGATAAGACAATGCAGATATTGTCGAAAAGAAGTAATACCGATGTTCCCACTCTTCCCTTGAAAAATTGAAACCCAAAGATAACCCCAGAAGAAAATGCGAGAAGGATTGAGAGACGCTCACATTCAGAGTGTAGTGATTCTGGTTCCCATACGGTCAAAGATCAAGTCGCTCTTCAGAGCACCGTCAAGACCACCGATGGCTGAATCGACGAGGCGCGAAGACATGCTGTCGGGAGTAAGCTCCTCTTCATCCATCGCGCGCTTCAGCTCAGTGTTGATGCGCAAATCCTTAGGCACCTTCGTAGGAGTGCCATCGGGAGTAGGCTGTTGCGACTTGGTATTCTTTGCCGGGAGTGGGGCCGGAACGTAGGTCCGAGGACGGTAAACGAGAGCGGGGCCTTGGGTACGGGCATCGGTGCCGGCCTGCTCGATCGATTCGAAGTATCGCACGGTCTTGACCTTGAGCTCGAGAGTAGCATCACGATCGCAGACCACGAGTGGGTGCTGGTGCAGCTGCAGAGCGGAGAGAGTCCACATGTGATTCACGCCATCCTCGAGACCCTTCTGCACGGCAATCGCCTTGTGCGCTCCGGTGGCCACAATCACGACTTCCCGGGAATCCAAGATAGTCTGGATACCGACGGTCATCGCCATGCGGGGCACCTTGTCCGTATCGCCATCGAAGAAGCGGGAGTTCGCCAGAATGGTGTCGTAGGCCAATGTCTTGACGCGCGTGCGGCTGCTCAGCGACGAGCCCGGCTCATTGAAGGCGATATGGCCGTCTGGTCCCACGCCACCTAGGAATAGCTCAATTCCGCCGTAGCGGGCGATGCGCGCTTCGAATGATGCGCACTCGGCTGTGGGGTCGGGAGCGGTACCATCTAGGATATTGATGTTCTGCGGCGGGATGTCCACGTGGGAGAAGAAGTGCTTATACATGAAGCTGTGGTACGACTCGGGGTGATCGCGAGGCAAACCCACGTATTCGTCCTGGACTGGGGTTAGTGGTGATCAGATATCTATGTTGATCCACGCATACCATGTTGAAAGTCACGACATTCTTGAAAGAGATCTCGCCGGCGCGATGACGCTGCACGAGGATCTTGTAGATGAGCTCGGGGCTGCTACCAGTGGGCAGACCAAGCACAAATGGCTGCTCGGGAGTCGGCTTGAACGACTGGATTCGGCCTGAGGTGGGAGAGTCAGTGGTGGAGGATGCGCTTGAGCTTTGGATTTGGCTTACTGATTATGTAGTCTGCGATGTATACAGACACCGAGAGAGGATCGTCTCTGATAATGACACGCCTGCCAATGGGATTAGTATAATGTCAAGATTGCCATATACAAAAGGGTCACAAACATGGTTACGTCAGATAGAGTATTTAGTTGAAAGAAAGTAAAAGGAGGAAGGAGGAGAAAGTTGGTATCTAAGGGAAAAGAAGAGCAGCGGACTCGAGTCTCGACCTAGGGGACCATGGGTCTGGTTACAGTCCCAGTTCAATGGGAGTAGGAGTGTACGACAGTGGCAAGATCTCCCACGTCGTATACAATAAAATCCAACCTTCCACGTGCTACCACTATGGATCTTCTACCTGTCATTTGCCCTGATAGCCATTAGCCATAATGATTGGACCAGACCCAACGCCGGTTGACACCTGCGGGTTACCAGATCTTGGTAGAAACCACCGACACGATGTAGTAGCCAATTTTACCTTATTCGGTCGATTCCATTACTATCAATTAACCATTCGGATGTATTCCACGCAAATGACAAAGCCAAGGAAGCCGATGACGCAGTGGGAACGAGAGAAAGAGCATTATAATTGCTCAGGTGGAGTGAGGAAGGGTTCCATTTGGGAGATTTAGAAGTTGCATTGGAGGCCGCTAAGAAGCTGGAGAAAGGAGAAGGAGACGATGATTTCCACCGGTGCAACCCTACAGCGTCGCATGTAGTCATGACGTTACGATATGGTATTGGGGGGCTGGTATTGGCAGCACGTGACTTGAAACGTTGGTTCGAATTACACACATGTACAGCAAATTACATACATGTAACCATGGTATTAAAAATATATTACCTTTACTCCAACCTTTCTGTGTGAGGGTCCCGTATACACTGATACATGAATGAATATCTTGCTGCACAGGAGACAGTCGATGTATTTGACTATTTAACTACTCTGCAATTCTCAAATACCTCCACATTATACTGACTATACAACTATCAGTAGTTAAACACAATGTGTTATGTAGAACATTGGCCTCATCTGAAAGTACACACAATATGCCAAGATCCCGTGACCTGTCCAATAGAGAGTGCCAACGAATCCGGGGGCACACTGAGCCCCTATCAATCTTCTTATCTGGTCCAATTCTTTCCCCGACATTTGCGGCTCTGGGGAGAAAAAGACAAAGCTCCCGTGCTTTTGACTCCTGCAACGTTTCCTTGTCACCTGACTGCAACGTCTGAGACCTGGCCTCATATCCCTTGAGACCTGTCAGCCTAACGTTTTCGGTCACCCTGACTTCCCCCGACTTCCTCTGTGTCCAACCGAAGGGGCCGCTGCAGGCATTCCTCCTCCGGCCATGGCCCGGAAAGAGGACATGCTGCCCCCGGGCTGGGAGGATCTGGATAGGTATGACGATTTCCTTTTTGCATCTCCGCTTGGCTTGCCCTACCCTTCCCCTCGGCCGTATCTTGTGCCTGTCGGAGTTATCTCCCTTCATTGTGGAACCAAGCTGTCGATCTGGGGATGGTCATCCTTTGCGCATGGTTTTCCCCTTTGGGGAATCTGACTGCTCGGGCGCGCTGACATGCTGTAGGCAGATGGGTCAGCTCTTTATGATGGGCTTTGATGGAACTTCGGTCAATCCACAAATTCGATCACTCATTGAAGATTACCACTTGGGCGCTGTGCTGCTGTCAGCTAAAAATCTAAAATGTATCCTTCCTCAAAAAAAAAAAGAATCAACCATCTATCCATATCCGGCAGTTCAAACGTCCAGCTACTAACGCAATTTACAGCGGCCGAAGAGACAACCAGACTGGTTCTGGAGTTACAGACTATCGCACGAGATGCAGGTCATTCCGTCCCTCTGCTCATTGCTTTGGACCAAGAGAATGGTGGTGTCAATAGCTTATATGATGAAATTTATATTCGACAATTCCCTAGCGCCATGGGTATCGCAGCCACAGGGTCCAAATCTTTGGCCCACGAGGTGGCTGTTGCAACGGCGCAGGAGCTAAAGGCTGTTGGGGTCAATTGGATACTAGGACCGGTTTTGGATGTTTTGACCAATGTGCGGAATCAGCCATTAGGCGTTCGTACTGCCGGCGACGATCCCCAAGAGGCATCTCAATTTGGCGTTCAGTTCATGAGAGGATATCAGGAAGCAGGTTTGGTGACCTGTGGAAAGCATTTCCCATCTTATGGTAATTTGGAATTCCTCGGCTCACCGACAGATGTCCCAATCATCACAGAATCTCTGGAGCAACTCAGCCTTAGCGCTCTTGTGCCCTTTCGCAATGCCATCACACAGGGGCTGGACGCCATGATGGTGGGAGGTGTTTCATTGTCGTCTGCTGGGATGAATGTGATGCATGCCTGTTTGAGTGACCAGGTGGTCGATGAGCTCCTCAGGAGGGATCTCCAGTTTCAAGGGGTTGTCGTGTCAGAATGCCTGGAAATGGAAGCTCTCACACATAATATTGGAGTAGGAGGTGGCACGGTCATGGCCAAGAATGCCGGCTGCGATGTCATCCTTTTATGTCGGTCGTTCCCAGTTCAGCAGGAAGCCATCAACGGCTTGAAACTCGGGGTGGAGAACGGTATCATTGGCCGCCAACGAATCGAACAGTCCTTGCGCCGCGTCTTGGATTTGAAGGCGCGGTGTACTTCCTGGGAACAGGCACTGAACCCTCCGGGCCTTTCTGCGCTTACACAAATGCAACCGTCGCATACCAATCTTTCCACCCGAGCCTACAATTCTTCCATCACCGTGATGAGGGATAAGAATAATCTACTTCCGTTGTCCAATGTTATCGAGGCAGACGAGGAACTTTTGCTCCTGACTCCGTTAGTCAAGCCACTGCCAACATCAGCAGTGTCTCACTCGGTCTCGGATTCCTTGCATGGGCCACTGGGTTCCTTATCTTCGGATCGGGCTTCCTCAGTCCTGAGTGGAGAAGGCGTATTCAAAGAACTTGGCCGGTCACTCTCACGACAAAGGAATGGGCGTGTATTGCACACCTCTTATACTTCCAATGGAGTGCGTCCCATCCACGAAGATCTTATCCAAAGAGCGAGTGCTGTAGTCGTTGTCACCGCGGATGCAAACCGCAATCTATATCAGCAGGGGTTCACCAAACATGTCTCCATGATCTGCCAATCGCAGTCTACTGCGTCTGGCGAGCGCCGCGAAACCCCGTTGATCGTGGTGGCGGTCAGTTCACCCTATGATTTTGCCATGGATTCCTCGATCGGTACTTATATATGCACGTATGACTTCACGGAAACCGCCCTTCAGGCGTTAGTCAAGGTTCTTTATGGCGACCTGACACCTTCCGCCGCCCTGCCAGGGTCCATTGGTCGAACGCAGAAGATTAACCAGTCTCGACAGCACTGGCTCGTTGAAAATTGGAATGAGGACCGCGACTCTTTTGGGTTGGATGCTCTGCTTGATACTATGCGCGCTGACTGCGCACCAGGCCAGCAGTCAGAGCTCCTTGGGGCTACAGCCAACAGCTTCTTACTACGAAACGAGGATATCGATGAAGCTCATTTCGTTGTCCGGAACAGTAGCACGCAAGCTCTCTATGGATTCTGCGCTACCTACTTCTTTCGATCAACGGGCACTGGCGTCCTTGGATGTTTGATTGTGGACCCTTCTCGACGGAAACTCTCCATCGGACATTCCCTCCATAGTCGTGCGATTCGCACTCTCCTCCAACGGAGTGGGATGCGACGCTTCCAGTTGGGATCCCGACTCCCGGGAATCTATCTAGGCATCCCGACCGCTAACCCTGTGGAGCGCAAGCGGCTGCGGCAGTGGTTCGCGAACATGGGGTGGAATACGGCGCTTTCACGGCCAGTGTGCAGCGTGGTCCTTCAGAACCTGTCCACCTGGGTGCCACCCGACGGACTCACCGTCGCTCTACAGAGCGCGGAAGTCACGTACGACCTCGTCTATGGTTGGGACTTTGCACGGGCAATTTTGGATCACATCAAGACCTATGCGCGGCAGGGTGTTGCCGACATCTACCGCATGGCATTGGGTGGCGCGCCTAATTGCGGCATCATCCGGGCCAAGCGGCCCTCCGACGGGGTCATACTCGGGAGCATCGTGATCTACAATGAGCGATCTGTCTTGGCGGAGCACATGCCCATGCTGCGCGCCAATCAGGCTCCTGTCGGAGGCATCTCGTCCCCAGTCATTTCTCCTTGTGGTGAAGATTACTCCACCGTCATGCAGGGCTTGATTCTGCTAGCTATCAAGCAGATTCGGAAATTAAGTGCCAATGCCGTGGTCATGGACTGTGTACGTTTTCCCTTTGGTTTCCTAGCTTTTGCTTTCGCTAATTAACAAATCATAGGTCGACGGAGATGGCTCTTTCGATAATCTTTCCACGATGGGGTTCACTATGCTACACAGCTTTGAAGAAGTGAACTGTGACGCAGCTACATGGACGATGATGCATGCGTAGAGGTCAGACTTGATTGGTTACTCTCCCTCTATTACGATTTCTGTTTTTTCCTGTCTTATGATATCCATATCGCATTGGGTTTGGTTTTATATGTATATACTTTTCTTCTCCCTTTGTTCCATTCAATTCAAACCCCTACTTTGTATGATTTCTGTGCCTATTTTTGGTGCTTTGATTAGGTTGGGGTAGGACAGAGTGCAAATCGGTCCACGCAATATAAGATTTCTGCGCGAGTTAATTGAAGGAGTTGTCCTAGGGACCTTTACAGATACCTGCCGGCTGCCTATGGACCGGATGGGCAGATAATTGTGAGCGAGGTCTTCAAAGTGAAGTCTGGATTCGAGGGTGTAGAGCTGTAGTGGACATAATGTGCATCTACTGCGTATATATGAATTATACTGCCCAATTCCCCAGACAAATATCTTACTGGACCGGACGTCCGACGATAACCGTGTAAATTGTACCTCGGTTCTGTCGAAGTGTAAAGAGGAGATGAGGATCGGAGTACTCCGTCTGGGGGGTTTATGGTTTTATACTTTCATGGGGGTGGATTCTCCACGGACTCCGCTCTGGCGCCGAAGCCGAGCGCAACTATCTCTGGGAATATCTTATGGATGATCTCTGCCTGGAGGTAGGATATTTCGTTGGAGTGGCATATACATAGTTTTGCATACATGTATTCTTGATCATATATTCATGAATCTTCTTGCTATCTCCAAAGACGAACAAAGAAAAAGAAAGGAAAAAAGCCGGCACTCGGGCTCGGGGCTCAACTTTGATCCGGTTGTCGAGTCTCATTGGTTCTTTGAGTTCTCCCTCATAAATCCCTCAAATTGTACGCAGTAGGACAAGCCTTCCGCTTTTCTCTTTTTCTTTTATTCTTCTAGTCCCCACATCTCTTATCTACAATCCAAGGAATGGCTGAGATATTGTTAGGATCCCCTTCTCGTACCTGGACTCACGAAGCTTTACGGGATCTTCAAACCCAAAATCTACCCGTTGGGAGGTTTCAGAAGAGATTGGAATCCTCGTGATAGCTTCAGCAGTTGAAGAGATCAAATCGGGCAAATGCACAGACTCTAGTGGTTTTAGTCTTTTTTTGCTTTTTGGTTCACATGCTATTTTTGCCACTTGATTTGCTCACATCCCTGTATGTCCTTCCTCGATTGATTGATCTAGTTAACAGTAGATACTCTATAGTCTATCCCAAATATTCATCTTATTATGATTTTTCAATGTTATACGCAATTACTGTGGTAGAACTTTTATATAGAAAGTCAGGAACTCTGATCGTCGAACTTTGCTGATCCCACGGATTTCGTTGGCGATAGCTCAGGAGAGTTCAATTTGCACTATATTCTCCAAATATGTACTCCATCTATGCCTGCACGTTTAATGCACATTGCAGATTATTACTGCTAACTGCAATTGCAATGTCAAAACGTTCGATACAGACTGGATCATTTAGCGGGGCATTCTTGCCCGTTTCCAGATCGAGTGCATCGAGAGGAAGTACAAGGTCCAACAGAATCCGTCTTTTGAACGACATTTCTTTCTGGGTGGGCCAATTCGATTGGGTAGCGGGGTGGCCCCTCATGCATGTCAGACGATGATCGTCCTTGGATGGGACTGCATTGTACTCCGTACAGGTGGGTATAATGGGGAATTAGGAAAAGACAGGCAATCTATGCTCTTCACATCGAGCTCCATACTGTGTGTACATAGTAAGTGCGGTTCTAATTCCTTTCTTCAGGCCATAAGCGAATAACAAAATGAATCGATTTAATATGTGGCGTTTTCAGGAGGGTCGACCCGAAGCGGGAGTACTCTAATAGGCAGGTGGGGATACTTCAAAGCGAGATTAATTCCGATTGATGGGAGTACTACGGAGTACTATGTAGTTATATATACTTTGTACATATAGTTATACTTTGTACAAGATAAAGATTATGTATATACCTTGTATAGCATCTGTATAGAAGGGGAATATCGAAAACCTGGATCTTCAGGGCCCAGTGAAGTAGGCTTGCCGAGAACCGACCAAATCTTACCCCATCGGAGGGATTTGCATTGATTATAATTGGATCTTTGCGAACGGAAATTAATCCAAATTAAATTTTGTTAATTTTGCATTTTGATATCCAAAGATGACTCAGCGCTGCGTTCGTTCTCCGCAAAAACCGCGGCTCCACTATTCCCCGAATCCGTTGATCGTTTGGATGCAGAAGTCGAGATTCCTCTCTCTCCCTCTCTCTCTCTCCGGCTTTTGGCATCCCTCTCTCTTTCGATTCGCTCTTCTTTTCTTTCTTCTCGATAGCCCCGTACCTCTGTACTTGGTCCATTTCGTGCTAGAATCTTAACATTCCTCCCCATTCCGTCTCAAATGTCCTCTCCGCCTTCGCTCCCGCCTTAGCCTATCTTTCCGCTCCACACGTTGCTTGCAGCATTCCCGGGGTCTTGCCTACTCGTAGGCCTCTCTTCCTCGGGCCTTTTCCTCTTGTCCTCTTCTCCTCCTCACCCTTCTTCTCCTTTTCTCTTCTTTCTCCTCTTCGGCCATTTTGATATAGGAGGTATTCCTTATTATTCCTCCTCCCCCGCATTGCGCGCCTCCGTATCGCATAAGGTCTCTCACCATGGAGGGCTTCGATACCATGGCCATGCCATATTTGGCCAGCCCGTTATCACTGGGTAATTTGCAAGGCACCGATTATCTCAATGCGATGTCTAATCTGGATCTTCCCGACCACCGGTCCAACTTTGAGTCCGAGACCTTCGTTAGGTGGGTTATTAGATCTCCAAGTGGGACGAGAGGGGTGGATCAATCCCATCCACTCCGCTCAACTTCGAGATTGACGTGCTAATCTGATGGCCCTACCACAGTGAGGATCTTACATTCGCGCCTCCAAATATGTCACATCAGCTGAGGCGGTTTCCTTCCGCATACGATGACCCTTTCACCGAGATGGCGGCGCCTTTTGAACCAGCGCCCCAGGAACCAGCCCAGGACTCTTCGATTGACCACAACAATAAGCTCCTGAGCTTTTCACTACCTGTATATCATTTCACGCTACTGGATTATTCAATGCGGCGAACCTCGTTGTCGGTGTCGGCGCAGCTGCACGGGATGTTCTTTCTGGCTGAGTCCCCCTACACAACATCTCCGTCAGATAACGCTCCACCACAACAAGGTGCCGAGTTGACATGTTATCGTCGCAATCTGTTTCAAATCACCGGATCAGTAACCTTGCCTCGCGGGATGCGTTATATCATGACCGATCAAGGCGACCGCATCCCGATCCTTGCTCAGGAACTCACCGTATCGGCTACAGAATCCGTGGAAGGGAACCCTGTGAAAATTATCTCCGTGCCATGGAAAACGCCATCCGCTGCCGCCGCCAATTCTGGCATAGTGCCCGAAGAGAACAACCCTAGTACTGGGGCCAAGGTCGAGAAGGAGCCTCCCCCAATTCCTCTGGATATCATGGCAGGACAGGATTTGGACTCAGATTACGCGACCTTCCCTATTGCTTGGAAACGCCTGCAGTTTCGTGTTGCGACCGCCAACAACGGCCGCCGAAAGGAGCTACAACAACACTTTGTCGTCCGACTCAAGGTGGTCGCGACCTTGTCCACCGGAGCCAAAATCCCCATCTCAGAGGTGCAGTCAGGCCCCGTTATCGTTCGTGGCCGCAGCCCACGTAACTTCCAGTCGCGCAAAGATCTGCCACTCAGTGGGAGTGCCGCTGCTTCACGAAAGAATGCCCAGGCCAACTCAAATTCCACCGTAAATCGCACACCCACTAGCGATTCCGTTCCTCGTCGTGCCAGCGTGACTCCAGCCAAGACAAAACCAGCCGGCCAAAGCAGCTCCCCGGAAACAACGTCCGTTCCTCCGCCTAGCCTCGTGCCGCAGACACAAGCGACACCGGACTGGACTCCCATCCCGCAGTCCACTTCAAACAATGTTATGTCTCACACTCAACAAACCATGTTTCCGCAATCCAGCCCAGAACAGCTCTCCCAGGCGACGGACTCACAACGCCGGGTTAGTTCCACAACCGCCGCCGCTGTAGCAATCAATTTGTCACTGTTGGACGAGGAAGAAGGGGGTGATCCCAACCTTCGTCTTGATTCAAAGATGGCGCCCCCTTTCACCAGTGAGCTGTCACACCAGCGATCCTTAAATCTCGACCAGTCTGTTCCGCCTTCTAAGATGCGCAAGCTTTCTCATGCTGTCTCTCAACCCCCCTCGCGGAGTGTTGCTTCCTCTATGCCTTTGCTGGAGACAGCCAACTTACCCCAGCCATTCGCATCGTCACTCCCCTTCCCAAATGAAAGCACCGATCTTCTATATGAGTACTTCCCCTTGGGACTGGATGACTGGCAAGCTCCCGTCGACGCTGTCTATCGGCCGCACGTGGTGCATCATACCAACATGCCCGAGATGAAATTCGTGGCCTCCAGAGGCCGCAGCAAAAGATACTTTGCTGCCGAAGATGTGTTCTAATTCCCCGGTACTGGGTACTCGGCTAATGGCGCTGGATGGTGTTTGTTTGTTTTCCTGCATCTGCATTAGCTCGCTGGGATAGGGTGTTATATGGTCTTTTAGCTTCTTTTCCCTTTTGTGCTTGTATCTTGCCGCTCTATTTAGACTTGGGCTTTGTGTGATTGGCTTGACAGAACACAAAATACAAAACATGAATGGCTCCTAGGCTGGGTCTGCGACAGACGTGCACAGGACTGATCTCAATCCTCGACGATACCGTCTGGTTATTTGTTGAGATCCGAGTGCAAGGCGAAGATGGCGAATATGGCGTGCTGAGGTGTTTTGATTTCTTTTTGCTGTTCATGGCGACATCCCCGGTGGATTTTTTTTGGGATTGGATGGGTTGGGTTCGTTTGGATTACCCAGGACCTGACTGGGATTTACAATGGGTCTCTTTATTTCCTTTTTTTGGGGGTTGTTGATTTGATTATATCCCACTGTGTTATGATATCACGTTGCGTTTCGATCGTGAGGCTTTGGGCGAGTCGAGGACCTTTGATTATACATGTTCTCGTGCCATCAAAATATTGAAACCTCATTCTAGGCCGACCAGTTTCTTGTTGACGTAAATCTCCTAGATAGTCAGACTAGTCTTCGTGTAAGGTCCATAATGTAATTTCAACCCTGCAGTGAAGCCAGGTCACAGTCCATGTACGTCTACGGGTTATATCGTGACCAGACTGTCGAACGGGCTACAATCAGCATGAAGAATGCAAAGTAAGCGGACTGGTGAATCGATATAAATTCCCTAAAGATAAACACATAAGAAGCCGACTAGATGTCTCTGGCATCACAGATATCCGAAACCATCACCGCCAATAGTTTCCAGATCAGCCTTGATCTCCCACTCCGTCGCTCCGACCCGGCCCGCAATTTCAAACTGTCGCTGCTTGCTCATGTTTAGCCAAAGACGCAAGAGATTGCCGTCAATCATGCCACGTCCCGCAGCGCCATCACTTTCAACGGCCCGGAAAGCACGCGGGTTCAGGCCAGCAGGGTGATCGACAGCATTGACCAGCTGGGATTGGAGTGCCGATAGTCGACGGTATGACTCCTCGGCGACGGACGTCACAAGTGCCAGGGAGCCATTGTGCGAAGCAACGAGGACATGGTGCTTTGCGAAGCTCTCATCCACGTCCATTGCTTCCTCCGAGGACTCTGTGAGTTCTGAGGAAACTGCCGTACGAGGCAGAAGGGCCATCGATGAGGCATAATTGCCCGTGTAGAACTTGCTTCGGCTGAGAAGCCGATCGCCGTTGGAGGACTTGGGGTCTTCGGGGTCGTATTGCAGCACATGTAGGTTGCAGTCGCTGTCAGCGACTAGCATGTAAAGCTTGTTCCCGTCGGGAAGGAAGTCGGCTGCGACCACTTCCAGATATTCCGGGTCTTTGCCGAAGAGGGTCATTCGGTAGGGCTCTTCTGAGTAGCCAGCAAACCAGAGTCCCTTCACGGCATCGCCCAACATGACCATGCCGGTGCCCTTGAGCTCCTTCGCAACACTAACGTAGCATTGCATGTCCATAAAGGCAACTGGAAGAAGGCTTCCATCTTCTTTGAGTCCTCGGACCATACACTTCTGTCCCTGGGCAACGATTATGAATCCCTGACCACCGATCCCAGACAGCGCGGTCACTGCGCCCTTCACCGACTCCTTGCCAATCAGCTTGAGTTTGCGACCAGTCTCTGGCTTCTCAGGGTCTGGTGCCACTTTTATCACGTCGAAGATGTATATCGTCCCACGAGCTGGCATATCTTCCCCCTTGGCAATGGCGGTTCCAACCACAATCAAGTCTCTTCGCTCGTGCGTATTCTCCGAGACCTCAATGTTCACGTTTTTCACCGCTGTCACTTGCTCATCGGAATCCAGAGGATAGCTATAAAGTAAGTATTCGTGCTCGTCAAGTCTCGGTTCATGTAGGGTTGTTCATACCTGTCAATGATAGTCCACGTCTTGGGACTGATAACCTTGATGGTACTTGCTGGGATTTTAGGACAGAATGATAGTTCTTGGATCAAATTAGCGTGAGGTAGCGAGAAGCCTTGGAGTATCTCACGAACCTTCATTTCGCCACTCAGGGTGCAGCTCATCACTATCTGGCAGCTTGAAGTCAGATTGACGGCTGGTACCGAGGACATATGTTTCAGAAGAGGTCGAGTAGGCCAAGAAGTCGACCTGTTCCTCGATTGGAACTTTGCGTAATGTCCACGAATAATCGAACTGAGTCTGCGGAGGTAGTTGGCAAGCCCGGATGCAGCCCTAGGAAAGAATTTAGCAGGTTCACATAAAAACCAGGCTCAAGCAGTAAAGCGGATCTCACCTGAGAATCCACATAAATGAACCCCTTTTCACAGCCAGTTTCGGCTGAATCAAAGCTACTTAGGCAATGTGTAAAGCCTCCTCGAAGACGAATTAAGTGTGGTGTGCTCTTCGCAGTCCTAAAGATGAAACTTGAGGAGGCTCCGGGCATGAACAACGTGTTGAATCCCGAGACATCAGGAAGGACCTTCAGCGGCCTCGACGGCTGTTTCTTCTGTATTTGTGAGGATGCATCCTCGAAGTGATTCTTAGGTAGCACATTATTTGCCTCCCGGACTAATTGCAGGTGATGAGATGATCCAGGATCAGCGTTTGCTGGGACTAAGCTCGGTCTGTAGAACACGAGATCGTCATTTTCGGTTCGAATCTAGAGTTGGTTAGAGGCCAAGGGTAGCGACAAATGGACAAAGAGTACGTACGACCAAATAGGGCGAAAGGCTGAAGCTATCACCCAAATCGGCGACAACAAATTCGGCCAGGCTTTCCCGAGTGTTAGACCGTTTGGGAGGGTCGGCCGACAGTACGGGTGATAAGCAGTCGATGCCTTCAAGGACGGTGAGCAGCTTCATGTCTGAGAGTCGCAAAATCTGGAATGCAAGTCAGAATCAACGTGTCGATTTCTGTTCTGCAATGGCTTACCGATAACTTGCACTCTGTACTCAACAGAAACAGGAGCACCTCGCCCTTCGTTGAGTTGTTGGAGGCTGAGCTTGCAACATTGAATGACTGTGATTTATCGTGATAGAGGCACCCGGATCGCCATTGTGACGAGCTGATCTCAGTTGGAAGCGAGACTTCATCAAGATCGCCACTTTCGTCCGCCTGTAGAAGCAATACTGACGAATCATCTCGAATGATTACAAGATACGGATCCTTGAAGCTTGCGCTCACAGCGATGCGTTCATCACTGGTGTCTTCATCCCAAACGGGGTAGATCTGTGACAATCCCAAGTCTAAAAGAGCTCATCATTAGTCCATGCACGCTTACTGGCAGGTTAGAAAGACTGTACCTATGCCATAGCTTCTGACCTCGTTCCGCAGAACCTGAATTAGACGGGTACCATCTGCCAAAGATCCAATATCAATCGTGCGATCTTCGTTGGGATTGAATTCTGATGCCTTGAAAGGCTTCAGGGCGTGATCTTCGACAACAAAGACCTCATTCGTCTCTTGCTCCGAGTCCGTAGATCGGGAGACGACTATATATTGACAGGAAGGGTTGTCCATGCTAGAACCTCTGTTTTGTGTAATTTTGGCCGACCAAATGCCATCTGCATCATCAACTCTCAGAGACATGGCGGTCAAAGGATCAATTTCCCGCTTGATGACCACCAAGCCACCGCCTCTGTCCGAGCCCTGGGAGGCCACCAGATCAAGCTCGGCGGTAACAGCTTCACTCGTAGCTTGAATGTTGCCATGTGTATTCGGGAAAGCTTTGCCTAGTGTGATGTCCCTCAGCGGACCGATGCTAGAAAGTTTGTCATTCAGCCGAAAGTTGTAGTACTCAGGGGCCGAGTTGTCGGTTCCCATACGACTATTGACTTGCGTTGGTCCAGGCGCTGATGAATAAAGGTCATCATCTTCCAATTGGTCATCGTCTTCCGAAAGATCATCAAACCCGTCAGCTTTGTTTGACTCGAGGCGAGCCTTTTTCGCAGGGGTAGATGAGTGTGACCACTCTAAGAGCACCGAATCGGAGTTTTCGCTGCCGATGAAGATATTGCCATCACCGAGGCAAGTGGAGCATGATGCGGCTGACTTCAATATACCCCCACCTGCATGCACTGGGATTGGATGAACTGTGATACCGGAGACTGACCGACCATCAAGTTTGAATTTGATCAGTGCCATGTCGCCGGAAGCAAGTGCTAAAATGAGATCGCCGCTATCACCACCAAGTCGCTCAACCACACAACCTTCAAGGCGGAATGCCAAGTCGGATTGGTCCGTCATTGAGAACGAGGAAACCTGCCTAGAGAACTCATTGACTCCAACCGCATTGGTCTTTCCAGCTTGGTCCACGTGAACAATCTCATTGGAGCCAAGAAGCAGGGCACCTCCTACTGGGAGTGGAAGTGCCACAACTTTGAAGAGATCACTCGGAAGGCGAGATACCGATAGAAGCGTAGTAGACGCCCGCTGCTCGAGGTCTAGTGTGAACACCGCATAGAACACCACGTCCTTTCTCTCATGAAGAAGGGCAGTGGAGGTCGCAATTTGAGAGTACAAAATTCCGAATGTGGGTTCTCTGTATTCATATAAGAATGCAAGACTTATGGGATGCAGTAATGAAGGATCCATGGCTGTCAATGGAAGGACGAAAGAGGACGAATAAGGTGTTTGGTGTGCCGGTCCTCCTTTGCCCTTCTCGTACTGTGCACCTTCACCAGAGTGTTGATCTGGGCGCTCCCCCTCGAGCTCTGGGTCATAATCATCCATAACCAGGTCATCGCCCGCCTGGTGAAAGGGCAAAATTGCAAGGTTGCGAACCCCGAAATTGTACACCGCACATCTACTGCTTGGGTCCACGCTCAAGATGCTCCCACACCGGCTCAGGTCAGGCACCCAGGGGCTGCGGGTCAGGTCATCTCGTTCATAGTAATGGATCGAGATTGTAGAGATCCCATGGCGCTCAGGATCCCACTCAATCAAACTAAGCTTCGCATTGCGAACCGCGATCAGGATCGCTTCTCCGCCACTCTTAGTGTTCAAAATTTTGACTCGGCTTAAGTCAGTCACGGTTCCAGATAGCGAGTACTCTGTCTCCAGGACCAGTTTCGTTTGAGATGGATCCACCTGCGAGGATTGAGGTTCTGAGCCCTCCTTCTGTGGTTGGGAGGGGATTTTGACCAAAGAGAAAACCTGCAACAGGGAAGTTCTAACAACAATTAGATTGTTCGCGCTTGCTGAGGTGAAAGGAATTGCCAAAGAGTGGGTGACCCCTGTTGGGGGTAATAGCTCCGTATAGCACTGCATTTGGAGATTGTGTCAGCTGTCGAAGCTGTCAAGAGGCTTGGTACAGCTGAAACGGCCAATGAGCTAGATGGTGTTTTTGATATGGTCTGAGATGCACATTGCAATCGCAAATGCCGTGGAAAATTGAAAAGTCTGAAGCTTTGAGAGCACAAAGAGATTCAAAGCAGATGGCAAGTATCGGTCTCCGTAACCACGCAAGGAGTGATCAAGCTTCAGATCAAGCTTGATCTATTCTGTCGCAGTCAAGTTTGTAGCTCCTTCGGGGGCGGAAACAGAACGGAGATGGGAGTGGCAGAATGAAGCGGCCAGACATATTCTGCCAGATAAATCTCACCGCTCCTTCCTGCATATATCTAAAATTGGTTTAGCGTGGAATCAAGAATGACGACACAGGCGACAAGGCAGGTTCGGAAGGGCAGACCGTTTCCATTAATTATGTAGCTGTTACTGTCTCCATCCATATCATCATTCTCTGGTATATCTCCTGGGGATCTTCAATGCAGACCACATCGCCAATGTGCAGATTTTGAACGGCTACCTTACAATATGGCACTTCTTCAGACTTCCCTCATCTGGGTGGTGTATGCAGTGGTGCTAGCTCTTCTGCTAGCAGTGGCATCGATATTTATCTATGTCTATCAGACCCCACGCGACCGTTCGGCTTCGGTCACCTTGACCTGCATCATTTCAATCACCAGTCTTCTGGCAACAGTGCTCTTGCTGCCGGTCGATGTCGCTCTCGTATCGTCAACCACATCATCTAAGCTAGGCCAGCGGAAGGACTGGGCGACTCAGGATGTGGTGGACAGGATCACCTACTCCTTAACCGTCATCTATTATCTTCTCTACTCCTTGGATGCAGTGCTTTGTTTGCTAGTCATCCCCTTCACATATTTCTGGTATGAGGAATATGATGAAGTTGCGACCGACACAGGCGAGCAAACCGTGGGCCAACGGATTTGGGCTGCGTTCAAATACACTTCTCTATTTCTTGTGGTTGTTGTGATCTTATTCCTCGTCGGATTCTTTGTCCCGGTATCCCAAGGCAAGGGCGACATGGACTTAGACTACTTCAGGCGCTTATTGACTGAAAACCGTGAGTATCTAATGATTTGACATTGGGCAAAGATGCAGGGCTGACAAGTCGTACGAAGATGGCGAGCATGCTCTCACTTTTGGTCTTGGATTGTTGATGACGATTGGTATTTGCCTCTATGTCTTGTATACATCTGTGGGACTGGCCCTTCTACCAATCAGCTTGATCAAGTCAGCGCCGTCAATCTCCAGTGCGACCTTGCAAGCAAGCATTACACAACAGTTGGAGACCAATCGAGAGCGCCAACGGCAGCTCGAAGGTCGATGTGCCGGAGATCCAGAGCTTCTGTCTTCGAAGGATCGTCGGGAACTCGATACATTAGTGCGAGAAGAGAGAACATTGATTCGACGCCAGCGTCTAGCCGAAGAATCTCACGGCGAAGGTCGAGCTTGGTTTATGAAGGCATGGCACAAGATTGGGGCAGTGCTCCGTCCCTTCAAACTCCTGGGAGGCATTCTACTAGTCGTTATTGCTGTCCTCATATGGGTTTCCATGCTTTTGACAGCAATTGACAAAGCAAAGAATTCGATTTGCAAGCATCGCTGTGGCTACATCCTCGCACATGTCAACATCTTCAACCCAGTCAACTGGATACTTGTCCAATCCGCCAAGCTCTTCCCTATCGACTACGCCATATTCACCGTGCTCGTGTTGCTGTTCTTCTGTAGTTCTGTGGTCGGGATCGCTGTGGTTGGAATCCGTTTCTTATGGATTCGGATTTTCCAGATCAGAAGCGGCCACACATCTCCGCAGGCTCTCCTTCTAGCTACTGCTATGTTGATGCTGATTATTCTCGCGCTGAACTATTCCATTTCGATGTTAGTTGCCCCCCAATACGCTACCTTTGGCCCACAGACATTCTGTGATCGCGCCCCTGGAATTTCTGGTGAGCAGCCAGATTGCTCGAACAGCAAAGAGCTCATCAAACCCTGCTCCGAGTTGGCAAAGAATCCTTCTGCGCAACAAGTCTGCACACCCAGTGTTGTGAGCACTTTCTTGAATCGGGTAACCTTGAACTACCCTTTCTTTGGGGTGGTATTCTTTTGGGCACAGTTTTTCTTCTTGGGTAAGATAAAACCCCATGATGCACACCGGTCACCGATCATTATCTAACACCGAGACCACAGGCTTGTATCTGATTATCTTCGTCACATCTCTTCTCCGCTCACCTAAGTTGGACGAGGCCCAACTTGACGAGGATGCCGAGGAAGCGGAGGAGGAAGGCCTATTGGCCAATACCGGTAGACGCTTCAATGCCAGCTGGCAAGACATCACAGGTCGAACTTCCCAGACTGGACGTTCTCAGGAATGAGCGTACAGTAGTGATTCGAGACCGCAGCCTTATTCTCGTTGAAGCCGCAGTGAAACCGGCCAGCATTTTCACTTCGCCACGATCGTGATTGAAGTTTACTTCCAACATCTTGTTCATTATGGTCGGGAACTTTCATGATCAGTCTGTTTTGATATCTAATACATTGAATTATGTCTTCTTAGGCCTCCTAAAAGTAATGAACTACACGGTATCAGGATCTTTGCGAGCTTCTCCGGTTCCTGAAGATATAATGCCGCCCCGCTGCAGAAGGGCCCCGTAACATGGTTTCATAATTGGTTCATAAAGGTCGTATCCATCAGAAGGTCAAACCTTCAGCTGTTCATTGAGCAAGGCGAGCGCGTTCTGGAAAGCCTTCACTACTTCCGCATCTTCGGACAGATGAGCAACGAGGCCCTAGTTCATAAAGCTAAGGGAGCATGAGGGGGCTTACAATGTTTCTTCTTATTATCCACGTTAACTTCAGAGTGTTGAACGTGCTGCATCTGGGTCTTGAACCTGCAGGAAATCAGTTAATCGGTTGTTGATGCGGACACGGTCAACTTGGATTGAGGCTAGATCGGCCGAACCTTTTCAAAGCCCTGTTTTCATCTTGCGAAACGGTGGTTTGAGACCAAGCCATGAAAACCTACCATAAGCCTGACTTAGAGATCCATAGTTGTGAGAAAAATGCGCTTATGGGGCTTACCTCTAGAAGCTTCGCTGTTTCAACCCGAAGATTCTCTTCCACTCGGCCGTGTTCCTCCATTGCATCGGTGTATTTCCCTTGGAGCTGCTCCCAATCACAGTTTTCCAGGCCCTGTGTCAGCTGAGAGACAATCTGAAGCTCATCATGGATACGGGCAGATGCAGGAGCTTCAATAGGTGATTCGGGGCTTTTGCTTGCTTCGGAGCTCACATTGCCTTGAGGGCTTTTGCTTCCCTGGCTGACACGGGGTGACATTGTCCCAGGCCGAGGTATTTTGCTGGTCCTATTGGGTGTTGACTGCATAACGAATCATTCAAATAGGGTTAAAGTTGTATTTGTTTTGATTCCCATGTCGAAATATCCCAGGCAAAGATAAGATTAACTCTGCGATAAGGGAAGCATCAGGTGACGTGGATAGGTGCATGTGCACATCATCCCGTCTGGGCCGTCTCTTCTTCCCTCTACACTCTATTAAGATTGCCCGAGGGTATGATGCCAACTTGACACGTTAGGCCTGCATATTCTCTACACAGCATATTTATTTTCTAAGTCATGTGGAATTTGTGTCTCTTTGATGCTTCCCTCTCGCCTCTAAATGCTTCTCGGCCGCGATCCATGTAGCCTCCACAACCATCCTAGACCGCAACATGGAAATACGTCTTTCGCCTCTACAGAACAGCTGAAATACTTTCTGCGATGAGCTGTTCTATATGCTCACGTGCTCCTCATTCCCGCCTGCCTTTCCACTGTCCCACATGTGCCCGCAACCAGCTATACCAACTACGCATCGAGAACACTCAAATCCTTCTGGAGAAAGAAGGACTAGGAAGGCAGATCGAAACAGCCGTTGCCTATAATAGTTCTTTGGCTCCGCTTCCCTCGCACGGCCAAGAAGTATCCGAAGTGAACAAAACTTGCTCGCCCCGCTGGGTCCTTGAAACGATAAGCAATCATCATGCAGAGTCTCTGGCTAGGAGAGAATCGCTTTCCCTTCAAATTGAAAATCTGAGGCTAGAAGTCCAAGCCAAGAAAGCCGAGATTGCTAAGCGAAAAGAGGCCCTAGTACGCAGGTGCTCTGATGCTGAATCTGCCAAATTTGAACTAGAAGAACGGGAGACCGGAATTCTGGCAGGTGTTCAGAATACAAGCAAGCGGGTGGAGCATGTTTGGCATTCCCTCCATAGCAAAACGGCCGAGTCACGTATCTACCTTTGTCGAGAAGTCGCCAATCTATACGGGCTTCGGAAGTCTACAAAGAAGGGTCAAGGGCGGGATACATATGTGCTTGGATGTGGTCCTATCGTCGACTTGAGGGATATGAATGGCGAGTCACACCCTTGCTGCCACTGAGTCATTCGTTTCATGACATACATACTAATAGGACCACTATAGGCATTGCACCAGAACAGATATCGACATCTTTTTCTAATATCGCTCATCTTCTCGTCATCGTCTCACATTATCTTTCCTTGAGGCTTCCCGCCGAAATTACCCTGCCCCACAAGAACTATCCTGCGCCTACGATCTACACTCCTTCAGCTTCATATCGATCGCGCGACCTCGATGGAGCTGATTATCAGCCTTCTTCCAGTCCAGCTCCATCAAGGACAGCAGATGTAGGCAACCACACACCACGCCCACGACCACTTTTCATCGATAAATCGCTACCCCGGTTAGCGAAGGAAGATCCAGCAACATACGCCTTCTTTCTTGAAGGAGCTACCCTTCTGGCATGGAATGTTGCGTGGTTATGTCGAACACAAGGGATCAATTTATCATCAGACTCTTGGGAGGAGGTGTGCGACATTGGAAAGAGCTTGTGGCAATTGCTAGTTGCTCCGCCAGCTCATCCCTCGACTCTCATGCGGGCATTTGCAGGTCGAGACACGCAAACACACATCAAAACCGCCAAGGACTCGCCCAGAACATCAATTCAGCGAACAACTTCTTTTCCCATGTTGGGTCATTATTCCCATGGCACAGCACATTCATTTCTGGGGGCATCGGAAGGAGTCGAGTTCATGCGAATGTGGAAGCTCCCGACCCCAACCAAGGTTGTTGACAGATTGAAGTCCAATCTCCTTGGGGAAATGACGAGTGCGGAATGGGAATTGCTAGAAGAAAAAGAATGGGATGAGGCGGCCATGGAGCATAACCAGTCATCTGCGTCAAAAACCCCCCAACTCATTCTGTCGGATTCTCAATCTGGATCGAAAGCGGAGACTTCAGACAGCAGAAGAACAAGTTCAAGGACACAATCCGGTGGAAGAAATCATGGCGAGGGTGATTTACCACGACCCAAAGGTACGAAAGGCTGGACTAAGGTGGGCAGCAGGTAGACTGGAGTTGGCATCTCGAGGACCTTTCCATCCACATATCATTTATATCAATTGATCATCTTCCTCGTTTTACGTATCCGTGAATGTTGTAACTCTGAAAGTTCACAACAAATGTGAGGCCTTAGATTGCCCACGTGCATTCGTAGATGTCGTGACTAAGACAAGGGGCCCGCCCGGGCCGGAGATCGTCTTCACCTTATCGCGTCTCCAAAGACAACACAACATTCTGCTAGTCTGGCCTTTCAAATTTGATACCATGCCGATGCTTGTATGATCGGCTTACTTGCCGATTTAGCAGCTTTTGCAATTTGCCCTCCCCTATACTCTCTACCTCTGTCGAAAGCAGTCAAATTGCATCTCTTCGACACTACCCGGCCTCCGATCGGACATTCCCTTCCGCATCTAACTGCAGATGTGGCTACAGCTCCAATAAATTTCGACATCCTACCAAAATGCAGAATGCCCAAGATTGGCAGTTTGCAGATGACTTGCCCTCAGGTAGACAGGCCCTCTCATTGCAATTGGTCTTGACTAAAACTGTTTCCAAGCAAACTTGAAGCGAGCCCTATCGGCCATCTCAGATGTGCCTATTGCTGTCTTGAAAGCCGAACTCCTGCGGCGAGATGAGAAGTCGGACGATACACCGGCATGCGGCTCCAAGGATCGGGGAGCCTACAATACCCCACTGCATGTCATGGCATTGTTCCTCATCCTCGCGCTGAGTACATTCGGTATGCGCTGGCTTCTCTTGGATAGTTAGCTCAAGTTGGCAATTACTAACGTTGGAATTACGACAGCATGTTCTTTTCCAGTCCTAGCGCGCCGTTTCCCCGGTCTTCCGATCCCCCGTCGATTCTTATTCATATCAAGACATTTTGGTACCGGTGTATTGATAGCGACGGCATTCGTACATCTGCTCCCTACAGCATTCATCTCACTGACAGATCCATGCCTCCCTCGATTCTGGAGTAAATCTTACCGTGCTATGGCCGGCTTCGTTGCGATGATATCGGTCTTTGCGGTTGTCATCGTGGAAATGTTCTTTGCGATGAAAGGCGCAAAGCATGTTCACGGAAGCGAGTACGACAAACTCATTGGCGAGGTTGGACATGACTTGACAAGCTCTGGGGAACCTGAAAATCCGGATTACTCGAGACTAGAGGCCCGACAGGTTTCAGACAATATCAATCTGAATGGCATGCGGCACAACTCCAAGTCGCGGGCGACGAGGGTTTCAGGTCCATCAAATGATTCCGGTCGTGTCGACTTGCCGGACAACTCGTCATCCGATAAGATGGACGATCTTGACGATCTCGATGATCTTGATGGGTTGGATGACTATATGGATGACGACCGACTCATCAATGGAGAGGCCCAATCCATGCAGCCACACACTGCTCCCCGACATCGAGCACGTGTAAGCGAAAGTCGCCAGCAGCAGACGGATGGAGGTATACCAGTTCAGAACCCCCAACGTCAGCTTCTGCAATGCCTCCTTTTGGAGGCTGGCATTCTGTTCCACAGCATCTTCATTGGCATGGCACTCAGCGTTGCGACAGGCACATCCTTTGTTGTTTTATTGATTGCAATCAGCTTCCATCAAACATTCGAAGGCTTCGCTTTGGGATCTCGGATAGCATCCCTCATACCGGATTTATTCGCTCCGGATTCCATGAAACCGTGGCTTATGTCACTTGCGTACGGAACAACGACGCCCGTTGGCCAAGCTATCGGTTTAGTTCTACATAATCTCTACGATCCTGCCAGTGCAACTGGACTTCTCATGGTTGGCATTACCAATGCTATTAGCAGCGGCCTTCTGCTGTTCGCAGGCCTGGTGGAACTTTTGGCCGAGGACTTCTTGAGTGAGTCGAGTTACGATACCCTCAAGGGCAGACGACGCTTTGAGGCTTGTGTGTCCGTGGCGTGCGGTGCCCTTTTAATGGCATTCGTCGGAGCATTTGCTTGAAAGCGCGGATTGATCGTTCTGGACTCTTACTCTCGGTAACCTCCGTTATAATGTGATAGATTGACGAATCAAGCGACCTTCCATTTTTAAATCTTTTACAGCGAATTAGTCTGTGTCACACACAGCCTATATCCTTGGCGACCAAGAGACTAATAGTTCCCAATAGCCATCCAATTATCTACTTCTTTCTTTTGCTACCCTTTCACGTCTGTCTTTCCATGGGGAACCTAAGGGGTGAGAATGATACCACGTCAACGATAGGTCGCCCTGGCCATATCTTGAAACGGGTCTGTCGAAGTCGATTAAAAGGAGTGACATCCAACTTCTTGACATAGAACTCGAATTTCTCGCCTTCGCTGATGTTGCGTGGTCTACGGATATGGGAGGGTCAATGTATCTTGTCAGATATGACCCTAGTCTCGCTGAGAGATTACTTGGGATGTAGGCACGACTAGCCCACAATCAACAAGTGATCTCTTCACTCGGAATCAAATGTTAAGCATGTTCAAGACACAAGGGTATCTCATTAACTAGTCTAGGAAGATACAGAAAACACATGGTACTGATACTGCAAATAATCGTCGCTGCAAAATTGGCTTTGCTCTGCGAAGCCCGAGTACCTTCCCAGTCAAAAAGGAATTGATAATTCACATGCAAAAATCGAGGGTCGTTTCACATCTCCGTTTGTCATCAAGGGAGTTCGCTCTTTATACTCTTTACAGGGATTCGATAACCAGGGCGCTGGCACCGCCGCCACCGTTGCAGATGCCAACGCAGCCAAGCTTGCCCTTCTTTGCGTTCAAGACACCAATTAAAGTGGATACAATACGGGCACCGCTGGCACCGAGAGGGTGTCCAATGGCAACCGCACCACCGTGGATATTGACCTTCTCCTCAGACAGACCGAGCAGCTTCAAGTTGGCAAGAGCCACCACGCTGAAGGCCTCGTTGATCTCAAAGGCGTCGATGGACTCTTGGCTCACACCGGCATGCTTGAGGGCCTTGGGAATAGCCAAAGCAGGAGCAGTGGTGAATTTGCTGGGCTTCTGCTCAGCGTCACCCCAGCCCAGGATCTTAGCAATGGGCTTGAGACCCAGCTCCTTCACTTTGGCCTCCGAAACCAAGACAACGGCGGCGGCACCGTCGTTCAGGGGAGAAGAGTTAGGGGCGGTCACAGTTCCAGTGCCGGGAATGAATGCGGGCTTCATGGCGCGGAGCTTATCGGGGTTGAGCTATAGACGAGAGAAGGTCAGTCAAACTTGCAAAAGGCGAAAAGAACACGAGGTACTCACGTTCTTGGGCTCATCATCCTGAGAAACGGTCACACCGGGCTTTCCACGGAAGCCGGGAATCTCAATGGGAGCGATCTCGAAGTCGAAAGCACCAGCCTTCTGGGCAGCCTGAGCCTTCTCATAGCTGCGGATGGCATAGTCATCCTGTTGGGCCCGGTTGAAGCCGTGGTCCTCAGCACACTCCTCGGCAGCAATACCCATCAGATCCTGCTTGCCATAAGCATCCATCAAGCCATCTTTCTGGATACCGTCAACCAGAGTCTGGGGGCCAAACTTGGTGCCGCTGCGAGAGGTCTGCAGGTAGTGAGGGGTGTTCGACATGGACTCGGTTCCACCGGCGACAATGATATCGGCATTTCCAGTCATGATAGTTTGCGCACCGAGGATAATGGCCTTCAGACCAGAAGCGCAGACCTTGTTGACGGTGGTGCAGACAGTGGAATCAGTGAGGCCAGCACCAATGGCGCATTGTCTGGCAGGGTTTTGTCCGACACTGCAAAACATATTAATCACAATTGCGGTGCCAGACTTGACGAAAGCAACTTACCCAGCGGACAGGACGTTACCGAAGAAAACCTCCTCAACATCGGAGGCATTGATACCCTCAGCCCGGTCGACAGCCGCTGCAGAGTTGAACTTTAGCATTGAAATGTGTAGTATGGGTCAAGGTGATAAGTACCCTTGATAGCATGAGCACCAAGCTGGGGAGCAGTCAAGCTGGAGAGAGAGCTATGAAAGATATTGTCAGATTAGAGTAACTCGAAAGAATAAGGAGAAAAAAAGGGCGAATGCTCACCCAAGAAAAGAGCCCACGGGAGTACGGGCAGTAGAGACAATGTAGACGGGGGGAAGAGAAGAAGCCATCTTGAAGAAAATATGAGAACTGTGGAGAGGTTGGGTATATAGGAAGATAGATGAGAGAGAGAGAAAGGAATCAAAGAGGGAGGGGCATCTATAAGTAAATAATTGGGGGAGTGAGGAGCTGTACGGTGTAGGCACGAGTACTCCGAAAAGCTCGGACCAAGTGAAAGTTGAGATCCTCAACTTCTCCGGCAACACGCCAGCACCGATTTGGAGCTACTGAACGTCTTTCCTTTTTTCCTTTACCACACTGTACGATTCATTATGGATGACCTTTATGATGAGTATGTTTCTCTATACTGTACTTCAAGTCCTTACTAATTGCGCCTAGGTTTGGTAACTACATCGGCGATGCGGAATCAGAGGAGGAGCAGGAAGATGTGCAGCCTCAAGCCTTCAAGTTTGATGAGGCTTTTGATGATGAGGAAGAGGAAGTCAATGATCAACAATTGATGGAAATCGATGGTATGTTGACGCGTCTGACCCAGTGTCTGAAATCTGGCTAATTTCGCATCTCTTCTCCAGAAGGACCTTCCAATGCGGTCATTTTGCATGAAGACAAGCAATATTACCCCAGCGCACAGCAAGTCTATGGAGAGGATGTGGAAACTATGGTCCAGGAGGAAGATGCTCAGCCATTATCAGAGCCGATCATCGCCCCGGTTCAGCAGAAGAAGTTTGCGATCTCAGAGTCTGACCTTCCACCCGTACATTTCTCTCGGGGATTCATGTCGGATCTCTTGAACTTCCCAGCACAAATAAGAAATATCGCAATCGTTGGTCATCTACACCATGGAAAATCTGCCTTCATGGATATGCTGGTCAAACAGACGCACGACCTGACAGAGCGGTTGGACAAGCGCATAGGGCGGAAGAGAGAAGAACAGCTTCGATACACTGATATACATTTCTTGGAAAGAGAACGTGGTCTCTCAATCAAGACAGCACCGATGAGTCTCGTTCTCCAGGGGACGAAAGGAAAATCTCACTTGATCAATATCCTTGATACCCCTGGACATGTGAACTTTGTCGATGAAGTGGCTGCCTCCATCCGCCTAGCTGATGGCGTGGTACTAGTCGTCGACGTTGTTGAGGGTGTTCAGGCAAACACTGAGCAAATCATCAAGCATGCAGTATTGGAAGACCTCCCCTTGACTTTGGTCGTCAATAAGATGGATCGACTCATACTCGAGCTGAAACTTCCCCCGAATGACGCCTATTTCAAATTAAAGCATGTGATTGAAGAGGTCAACACAATCATCGAGAACATTTTGCCAGGACAAGGCGAACGACGACGATTGAGTCCCGAGAAGGGCAATGTTGCCTTCGCATCAAGCTCCATGAATTGGTGCTTTACATTGCAGTCATTTTCCCGGATGTACGCAGACACTTACCCGAGCTTGGATTCAACAGAATTTGCTGCGCGGCTTTGGGGAGACATCTTCTACAATCCTAAGAGCCGAAAGTTCACTCGCAAGGGAGTAGAGGAGAACGCGAAACGGTCATTTGTTAAGTTTATCTTGGAGCCGATCTACAAGCTGTACTCCCACACCCTAAGCGAGAGCCCCGAGGATCTAAACGAGACTCTGGCCAGCGTCGGCGTCACTCTGAAGCCTACTCAACTCAAGACCGATGCCAAGGAACTACTCAATCTTGTTTGCGAGCAATTCTTTGGCCCTGCGAGTGGGTTTGTGGACATGGTTGTTCAACATGTTCCCTCCCCGGTGGAAGGTGCCCAGAGGGCATTAGAGCGATACTACACCGGCCCCGTGGATACCAAGGTTGGGGCCTCAATGGTCGCATGTGATCAAGACGGCCCTCTCGTCATTCATGTTACCAAACTCTTCAGCAGCACCGATGCTGGAAGCTTCTATTCTTTCGGTAGGATTATGAGTGGCACAGCACGACCCGGTCAGCAGGTTCGTGTTTTGGGTGAAGGCTACACGCCAGAAGATGAGGAAGACATGGTCATCGCGACCATATCCGACACGTGGATTGCGGAAACGCGTTACAACGTGCCGACTGATGGCGTCCCTGCCGGAAACTGGGTTCTTTTGGGTGGCGTAGACAATTCCATTGTCAAAACCGCGACGCTAGTGCCATTGAAGCTCGAAGATGATGAGGAGGCATATGTCTTCCGCCCGATTCGGCACATGACCGAGTCAGTGTTCAAGGTTGCTGTTGAGCCCGTCAATCCCTCGGAGCTTCCTAAGATGTTGGATGGATTGCGAAAAATCAACAAAAGTTACCCACTCATCTCAACCAAGGTCGAAGAGTCTGGCGAGCATGTGGTTTTGGGAACCGGCGAGCTTTACATGGACTGTGTGCTCCACGACCTACGGAGACTGTATTCGGAGATGGAGATCAAGGTCTCCGACCCCGTCACACGCTTCTGTGAGACCGTCGTGGAGACTTCAGCCATCATGTGTTACTCCATCACCCCGAACAAGAAGAATAAGATCACCATGATTGCGGAGCCTTTAGATGATGGGATTGCAGAGGACATCGAAAGCGGCAAAGTCAGTATCAAGGACCCTATTCGGAAGGTTGCCCGATACTTTGAGGACAATTATGATTGGGACAAGCTTGCAGCCCGAAGCATCTGGGCGTTTGGGCCTGATGAAATGGGTCCCAATATACTCCAGGATGATACCTTGCCCTCCCAAGTGGACAAGAAGCTTCTCGGCACCGTGAGAGATTCCATCACTCAAGGCTTCAGCTGGGGTACACGGGAAGGCCCTCTTTGTGAAGAACGTAAGTTTTGACTTCCCTTCTCTCATGCGCCAATGATACTACGATCTCGGGCGCAAACGATAGATGAGACACTGACTTGAAGTTTAGCGATCCGGAACACAAAGTTCAGACTCACGGATGTGTCCCTGGCCGATCAAGCTATCTACCGCGGTGGAGGCCAAATCATTCCTACGGCCCGTCGTGCAGTATACTCATCCTTCCTCATGGCATCCCCGCGTCTCATGGAGCCAATCTATTCTTGCACAATGACTGGGCCTGCAGATGCCGTGGCATCGGTTTACACGGTCTTGTCGCGCCGAAGAGGACATGTCCTGTCAGATGGGCCTATCGCAGGAACCCCTCTTTACTCAGTGCGCGGTTTGATCCCAGTGATTGACTCATTCGGTTTTGAGACCGATCTTCGAATTCACACGCAAGGTCAAGCTATGGTCAATCTTGTGTTTGATAAGTGGAGTGTGGTCCCTGGTGATCCATTGGACCGTGATGTCAAACTCAAACCTTTGGAGATGGCGCCTGCCATGGCCACTGCTCGCGACTTTGTCTTGAAGACACGAAGACGTAAGGGTCTGGCCGAGGATGTCACTGTTAGCAAGTTCTTGGAGCCTGAGCTTTGGAAGGGATTGAAAGAAAGTGGTGTTCTCGACTCATGATCGCTCAACCTTTCTTTATAATTCAAAATGGAGTACGGGCTATGGGGAGTCTTTTGATCCGGTATCATCAATCTCATAAAGTGCTAGCAAAGATCTGTATGTACTTCTAATAACTCATTCCAATGCAAATTATGCAGGATCCAGAGGGTCATTCATCGTAGGCGGTCGTTACACAGCAGAGCCTGGTCCATTTGCCGGTGTGATCTCCCCATCTTTTTCAATCACCAATGTCAGGCTGGAATCAAACTCAACTCTTAATGTACAAAGGGAGTCTGAGGAAATCAGTGGCAGGTCTCCATCATCTTGGCAATGACCCCCATCAACGCGCCATTCTCCAAGGCCGCGGCAACCCGCTCCTTATCGGCAAGCTGCTTGTTGACTTCATCTCCGGTGCTGTGTGTACCTTCCTTGATACGTACGTCCATTCTGAATCGAGACGGGAGCGACTGTTCCAGGCGAACGCGAACTCCAAGACCGATTACGGTTGCCAGACTGCAGTGGGTGATTGTGGGGGTGATGAGTACCGTGACGGTTTGCAACGGCGAATCAGGGACATCTGGGAGGGTTGGCTTGATCTCAATATCTGGAAGAGATACTACAGCTAATTCACCAAGCGAGATGGGGTGTTCCGGGTCGGAAATCGATGAGATAAGGTCTGATCAGTTAGTGAAACGAGCTAACCTTGGATCTCCGAGTTGGCTCTGGGGAGGAAGCTCCCGAGATATCAGAGACAGGGATCATACCGTAGATTTCTTGTTCGTCAATGGGCTCCTCCAACAGATTGTCATCCTCTGAATCCGATGACAGAGCACTCTCATAGTCTACCGGAGCGAGGGGCAGAGCCGATGTGAAGATGCCACCATACTCAGTCTTGCGAGTGGCGGCGGGTCGAAGCCGCGTGGGGAGATCAGCGGCATTGAGGATCGTGGGGTTCGAATTTTGAATTTCCGCCATGGTGAACGGGAGATGTCCAGAGGTAGAGCGTAGAGTGTTGCAAAAGTGTAAGGGTGGGGAGAGGGGCAAAACTTGCCGACGCGATAACGTTTTTTTTTATTTTATCTCGTATGTTCACGTGCTACTACCCTGTACGGAAGCCCTCGGTAGTTAAGGTTGAAATCAATGACAAAACAAGTGAAAGGAAATGAAAAAGAAAAGGATTACAGAATTTGTCTATACTAACCAGTATTGAGTTTCACCTACTGTGTATTGTAACATGGAGGGAATACAGGTGACTAGTGAGACATAGTTAGAAGTTTAACATAGAACGGATGTAGATCACGATTACCAATTATTCTTGAACTATCCCGGGCACTTCGTAGATACAAGATAGCCCCCGACCTTTCTCCTTCCTTTTAGACATCTTGCCGCCTTTTGATCTCGAAGTAAAATTGAGCACGCCCCCCAACATTCTGACCTGAGTCACCTGACAGATCATTATGCTGATCAAGCATGGATCACCTGACTCTCACATGACCAATTTGATCCACTCCCTATGATCGACAGGGCCTGGCAGAGCCTGGCTTAACAACAGCTCGTCCGAAGTTTACCCCAAATTTCCAAATTTGGCCGGCTGTTCTCAAATGCCAAATGCTCGATGCCTAGAGGGCTTCACTACTGTGTAAAGAGAAAATATGTAAAATAAAATACAAGAAACTTGGTTTTCCTACAATTACAAGTCCTTCTAAACGCTCTTTTATTCTGGACCTCGGGACCTATTCAAAGGTGATTGTCTTTGTTTCACTTTCTGTGGCACCATTTCATTATGCTGGTAGATTATACCGTTTTATACGGACCCTGATTAGTACTTCAAGGTCCTTCACGAGGTCTTACAATGCGTGTCTGGACTCTGAATCTGGAGTAGAATGGTCTAGGTACTGCTGGTCTGCTAAAGTAAAAGTATCATCGGTTAAGCGGAGACATTTTCATCCTCGGCCATCCACAGCTTAGGTAGATATTAATTATGGCGTAGGGCTTAGTTATATTCTTCTGACTGTTTGTCCGCTCTCCGCCTCCGTACCAACCTTGTGTGAGATCGTTAGTTATCATGTCAGCCAGATCTTCGAGAAACGAAAGTGGGGCCCGTCCCCATCTATCCTCCGTTTCAGGCCCGTCATCAGTCTTTCCCCGAGAACCCGATGACCTCAAACACCTCGATTACAGGCACCCAAGGTGATTCTGCACCAGAAAAAATTTAAATGGCAGGAACAGACCTGGCCCACTCGCATCCCCTGATGTCGAGCGCAATGAAGAGAGAAGCCACCGGACCCAGACGAGACCCTCGGTGAGGTGATGGCTCGCTGTTGGCCGCGTAACAAAGGAATGGATTCCAGCCAGTTGTTCTTTTCATGAATGGAGTTCCCGAGTCCGATGTACCGGCAGATATGGTTGAGTGGCTGGATGAGGATTGGAAATGCTGTAAGTCCAGCCTTTGAAACATCCAGAACTCTTATTCGGAGTAGCCAGTAGTTATATCTTTCTTTCTCTTACTTATAGCTTGCGTTGGGGTGGTTGGAACACTTCGGAGTCTAGCTTGGCTAGCCAGTCTGGATGAACTCGTTGAAGCTATTGACAGCCCTGCGTACACCATCGTGGATGACATCGAATCATGCTTGATGGCACAGGCCACATGTGGCCAGTTGAACGTCACCTTGAGGAGGGCAAGATCCCATCTCGAATGGTTGATAGCAGGATGTCAGGTCCTGTCTGACTCAGGTCCCGCTGATCAATCTCTGAGTAATCAGTGACCTGTCACGTGATAGATCTGAGCTTAAGCCCGGACTGAAATTTACTCAGACTTGACTCTGAGCGGCGGAGCGCCCTCAACTAAACCTCATTAAAGCGGCAGCCAAGATAGGAAAGCCCCACCCGGCACAGGATGATAACTTATGTACGTACTGGGTACAGCTACGAAGTAGCTTATGTACGGAGTATACAATGTAATAACTACACAGTACTCCGTAGTTATTGTACATTTCTAAGAGTAAATAGAGACGAGATACTGGGATGATTCCCTTCTGTTTCCTTCTTTCCCTCTTTTCCCCTTAATCTCTGTCGAGTTAACACTCTGAATATCTCCCCACCCCCATCTACATAATATAAAATCCAGGACAATCCGGATCGCCCCTCCACTCTGGAAAATCCACAGCGGCGGGCGCTATTGGATCCTCTTCCCAGCACTTGGCACCCGCATTACCACCCCTCAGCTTCTGATCTTCCCTCACACAGCTCTCTCTCACTCTCACTTCTCTCTCTACCTTTTCCACCCCCACTCTTCTTGTACCGGCTAAAACAAACTCAAGTTTCAACACATACTGGAGGCCGATTCGCCCCCTATGTCTCCACTCCTGAACCTGAGTCGTTTTCCCTAGTGCTCGCTTCTTCCACTTATTCCTCCCTCCAATTGAAATATAATGCGCCAGATCTGAATGCAGAATAGTTTGCAAACTCATATTTGGAAATGCATATACGCGAAATCTTCATTTCTTGAATTGTAAGCAGCTCCTGCTCTTCTCTCCCCTCCCCTGGTCGCATTAGCACTTTGTCTTTGAGGTTGCGCTCGGTGTTCCATGTGATCTCATTTGATCTGGACTATATATGTGTGGGAACAACGCTGATCCGCTCTGGACTTCATAGCAGCCGATTTTCTATTGGTCGCATACGTTCGAACCACAAGGACACCTCAATTCTTTTCCTGTGTCCAGCTTCACCTGATATATGTGCTGTATCTGGTCCGTCCAGAGTGCAAGTATTTCACCGACCCTCAACAGCTTCGCAGATCATTCTTTTCCTGGACGTCTTCGCGGAGCCTCGGCAAGTCGATCATAGCCCTGGACGATCTCGAGTCTGCCCCCATACGAGAACTCTTTGCAATCAAGACCGTTGTCCGTTCCGATCGATTTGCCTTTCATCGCGATCACAAAGGTATAGCAAGGGTGTGCATTCGCGATCGATATAGCCTCATCATACCTCCGGGGCATTTTATCTAGCCGCGGTAAAACTCCCGTCTTGCTGAGCGAGGTTCCACATCAGTTTCTTCTCGCATATCGACGCAATATCTCATTCCCCGAGGCAGGTCCTTGCGGATATAACGCCTGCTACAGCCATTTCTGGCACCGAAAAACTAGCTCGGATTCTATCTCCGCGCCTTCACCAAGTTTGACCGTCGGTATCAAACCGACCACAACAGTATGCAAGGTTATTCATTTGCGCCCCCAGCCGGGCCGCCGAGGGAAGGCCAGAAGAGTATGTCCCACAGACACCACCTATTTCGTACAGACATGCGTTGATAACTAATGACCTGGCGGTATAGACTATGTATTTGTTGACGAGCATAATCGGCACAAGAGATTAAAGGGTATGACAAGAGTACTAGTAATGAGTCACAACTGATACTAATAAGCCTTCCGGTTAGTGATGCGAGCCTGTAATGGTTGCCGGAAAAGAAAAATCAAGTGTGATGCAGCCACGACGAATACGTGGCCTTGTTCTGCATGCACTCGTCTGAAACTAGTCTGTGTTCCTCCGACCATTGGACAAGACGGAGAGTTCCTTTCCGATGGCCAAGGTGAATCCAACCTGGAGACAGGAGCACCCTCCAGCGCCACGACGGAGGGCTCCCATACATTTTCAGTGGGGGCTCCAGTCTACAGAGACAACAATCAACCCACCATGAATGCCATACCCTCGTATGATCAAATGAGCATGTATTCCCAATTCGTCCCTCCTCCTCAGGGCCAGCCCAGTATTTACAACGATATTCGGTCGCCACAAATGGCAATGTCACACCAAGCTTATCAGCAGCCTCAAATGTTCTCTGGACCGCAAACTCCAACTATGGGATCATCAGATCGAAACTTGTACGCCGATAACGACCAGTCAACTGCAGAGAACCTCAGTGATGTACTTGGGGAGCTAAAGATTGACGAGAGCGGAATCGGTATGGCATAATCGTTCTTCCATGTGATTCACGGCGATAAACTAACGTTTCTCCATTCTGTAGCCCCATACATCAGAAGGCAACGGACAGATCGAATTGAGCCCGATGCCCCCGTTCAAGACGAGGTGGAAGAGCAGCTGCCCCCTCTCAGTACCGGATCGGGCGCGACGATCCGAATCCCTCCTGAACTCATGCCTGCAGAAGACGACGTAATGGCTTATTTCAAGATCTACTTTGATGAAATACATCCCTACGTTCCCGTCGTATGTCGTGCCCATTTATACTACCAATGGCAACATGATCGCCGTTCGATATCTCCTCTTCTTCTCGAGGCCCTTTTCGCCTGTGCAGGCCGTTTATCTGATGAACCCGCAGAGGGGGCTCAATGGCTTGCTTTGGCCAATAGTGAGTGCATGACTGCAGTTTCGTCCAATTACATCCACAAGCTAACCTTTTCCAGGACACGAGTCTAGTTTCATGGATGTACCACGTCTGAGTACTATTCAAGCGCTACTGCTGCTGTTGAAAGCTAGGGAGTCTTTGCCGAAGAAAGGGTATTATTATCGGTCCTGGCAGACTGTCAAGACCATTGTCTCGATGGCGAAGGATTTGGACATCCATGAACACCACAGCAATCACGTTGAAGGGAAACCGTGTGGTCTCGGTCCAATCGAATGTTTGGTGCACACCAGAGTGTGGCAGGCTCTCTTGGTTGTTGAGGTGATGATTGGTGCGCCTCAAGGTAAGTCCATGTTCTATCGTTCAGCGAACCAGATTCTGATCAAAGTAGGCCGCTCGGACTATGGGGTTGACCCTCAGACGGTGGACATGCGTCCGACGTTGGATATCCGGGGCCTCGATAACTATGAGACCGACCGCTCGAGACAATACGCCTATTTCGTCCGCAACGCACATCACATTCGCATCATCACAGATATTTATCATAAAGTCAAAAAGCAAAAGGATTGGGGCGCAGATGCTCGATTTGTACAGAATAATCCGCTCTTCTCGGATTGGCTCCGCAACCTCCCCTCGGACCTACAGGTCAATTACCCTGCCGACGGCTCTCCACCATGGCTTCCATCTCATTTTGTGGGCAACATGCATTCCCATTGCCACCTCGCTATAATCTTATTACATCGCCCTCAACTCCTCGCTTCCCAATCATTTGCTGCAGGTGGTGAATGGAAGATCCACATGTCACTATGTTACTCTTCAGCTAAAAGCCTATGCCGGTTACAAGAAGCCATCTTGCAAAGGTTCGGATTATCTGGCCTGCTGTACATGCAAAGAGGTATCAACTTTGCTATATATTGCATTCTGACTTGTACGATGCTGCACCTGGTAAGTACTCAACAAGCCCTGGGAGTATCAAGGTTCTCTGACACTGGCAGGTTGCCATTACCTCTCCGGATCCCGAATTCAACTCAGATGCGCGTGAATTCTTTACTCGCCATATGAGAATCCTCGAGACATGCTCAACCGCTTGGCCCATGCCTGAAATTCAAGCCCAGATCGATTCATTGAGACTGGCTTTTTCCGCTGACATGCGCCGTCCCTTCGAATTGAAGCCCAGCTTCCCATATGGGAGCCCCTCGGAACCATACCAGCCCAGTCCACCTATGGATGCACACTACCATCCTCACTTAAATCAAGTCCAATCTAGAGTGGGTTTCCATCCGCTTCCAATAACTCCTCCGATCTCGACTGGTGCTGAAGACTCCAAGTCCGACACCTCTTCTCAGGTACAATCCCTCGGAATGGTTCCCCATCAACCTCCGACAACCCACCCTCTCGATGCCCCGTTAGTCGATGAAAACAACTGGGACCCTACTCGCATCATCACGTATGTACACGACTCACTCCCCTCAATTACACGCTCACTGGACCCTCCTACTGATACATTGCCCTAGTCAATGGGACATGGCCTTCTCCGTCAATCCCTCCACCGTCAGCACAAGTTCCCCGCCGATGCCTATGAATAACTCGATACCGGGTGTACAAATCATGAATTCCCAATATCCGATCCAGTACGAAACACCTAACAAAGTTCCCTCCGCCGCATCTACCCAGTCTCTTTCCCCGCCGCAATTTCAAGCACCCCCAGTTGTGTTCTCAGCACGAGACTGGCAGCAAAGCGTTGCTAGTGTGTATGATCCACAGGGGCTGAAACGACGATGGAATTACTCCGTTGATCTTGACTCCGACAGCATGTCCAAGCGTCAACGAGGGTGAGGCACACATATACCCGGATCGTCCATCACCTCGTTTCTCTCCCTTGCGTTGGCCCGATTCCAACCTAACACCAAGCTTGTCCTGCTGGTGATTATCTAAGTATCTCAGGCAGTCAGTAACATTGAATTATACCATTTTACTTTTCCCTCTATCCATGCTTGTGTGAGTCTATCTTTGTCTACATACGAGCGCCAGGCTGGTCGAGTCGAGGAACCGCTTTGCCGGGCGAAATTTCCAATCATTGAGGAACCTGGGGTGGATGGGCTGAGTATCATGATATCACACCGTCTACTAGCCCGGTACACACCATGATCTTGCTTTCCATTGTGAGATCTGGATTAAGCAAATCTGGAGGGAAAATGACAGCTGTGGGCAATTGTCATTCCCCAAAACTATGGGATCGCCGGCTATACGACTACGTTGCAGACCAGTGGGATATTTCATTCTGGTTTCTCCAATATGGACGATATCAACAAGCCGATGAACATGCTAGCCAACTGTCCATCGTAGGAACAAGTGAGATGCGTTGTGTACTGGCATATGAAAACTTATGTCCAACAGCGTTATGACTCTGCCTCTCGCGCGCTTAGAAGTCACTCGGTTTGTATAGGGGTTCCATAAGATGCTTCTCATCTAGATCTGAGAGAGATGGTGGGTAACGTATTGGACCAAGGACCATGCCCTACTTGTTTCTGGCGTATGGTGAATAATGTGAGCCAAGGAACTAGAACTAAGGGATCAGAATACGGGGACAAGGGTACAAGATATCTCTGGGTCATGTACCTCGCGTTAACTCGATGTTACATGGATTGAGCTGTTCCATGTAGTTGTTGCTAGTGGGACTCGAAGTTCATGCAAGTCAACCACGTTGAATCACACCTATTCTTTCTTCACGGGTCCGAATGATCCTGGCCTTGTCCCCTGGAAGTGGCTTCAACTCATCGCTGGGATCAACCTTGACATTGGAGGTTCCCTTTGTGTGCTCTGGGTTCTTGTTTTCCTCCGACAGTTTGCGGAGTCTGGCTTCTTCGAAGGCTGTGATATCTTCAGAAGTAACAGCAATGGCTGTTGGTTTCCGACGAAGCATTTTGCTAGTTGAAAGTGGAAAATCAAGAAAGTTCGGAGATCATAAGAAAGTTGCTGGTTAAGGGCGGACACTCACGTGACTATAATTCTTCAATCTTTCCGCGTCGAACGGCGAGATCGAGTTTCCTACGAAAACGTCTTCCAGGACATCCACCTGGATCATTCGGCATTCACAAGATGTTCCGACCACAATTGAGACAGATCTCTTTGCGCTGCGAACGGGCAAAACTGGGTCTTTCCACACCTGCTCGCCACTTCTCCTGCGCCCGTCCAGTGGCCGCAGAAGAACAGAATCAGCCATCCGGTACGTACATTTGAGGCATTGGGTGGATATCACCTCCCCCAGAGTAAAAGCCTTTTTTCTCAGTCCTAGGGGACATTCAAGGTCTCAATTCTAACATATCCCCGTTAGACCAAAACAAATCCAATACTCGTCCTTCGACCACATCCTCCCCCCGACCTCGCAATGGCCCTCCAGCTCGCACCCATCAACCCCGGTCTCGTCCTCCGCGGGTGATTGATGCACGCTCTTTTGCGGCGGCACGAGCTAGCGGTGGAGAGCAACCTAAGATAATTCGCAGCCCAAGATTGCGCAACGTACGCAGTGGCAACCAACCCCAGAATCGCAAGCCCAAACCGTCCGCCAAAGCGGGCAAGGGTAAACGAAATGCCCGTTCGAGGAATGCCAGATCTCTCGAGAATGATGATGGCGAAGATGCCCAGGCGGCTGCCATCGATCAGATTCAGCAAGAACAAATCATCAAGTCCCGGCCGACCCCCGTTCGCTATGAGCCCCAGGAGATCACCTACTCTCATCTGAAAGAGACTTGGCCTTCAATTCCTACGGACGTCAACTCTCGCTCGGCTGCCGTTTATGAGAAGCTTTCCAGCCTGGGCGGTCGCATCGCGAATGGCTATTTACCGCCTTACGAGCTTGGACGGCGTCTGTGGAAGGGCCAGAGCGTTCTGTTTAATAGCGAGAAAGAGAAGGCTGAGGCTTTGGAAGAGACCAAGCGACTGGCTCAGCTTCGTGCGGACCGAATTTCACAACGCAAGGGCGATCTTGTGGAGCCTCGCAATGTCGAATTCAACTCCATCGATGCAGAGAGCACCAAATCTCTGATGGAAACATTTGTTCAGGGAAAGTATCCCACGTCCGTTGGTAATGGGCATGCTGTATTGGATGAGGTGACGAAGAACCTCAGGAACAATGGGACCTTCCAAACAACCGGGAAGACCTCCCAGTTCATGGCCAAGCTTGAATCCCTTGTCTCTCCTGGCCGCACCTCCAAGAGTGCCTAGTGACATGTAATTAGGACTAGGAGCTGCTTTGTATTATATCTATCTCGTTGGTTTTTCTATATCTTCCCAGTACGAAAAAGACTTGTTGCCATACAGCCTAGGACTCGACCATATTTTTGATACGTACATACATGTGGCTGGCATGGTGGACATGTTCATACGAAAGCATCACAACAGCTCTTCTTTCCACAGCCTTGTATCAACCTGGCGGTGGACATGGATGTAGTAAGCTTGCATGTGATAGCAAGTTGTATATTACAAGATGCCCAAGTATCATGAGAATGACTCAAAAATACATGGCATTTCCCATATAGAGACCTTCCCGATTATGCCTAAATACTCCTAAATTTACAGATCTTATATTACAACCCATTGCTTTCAGGTAGGAATGTGCCCGGGACTGCCTGTTGAACATTTCATGCCTGTTCTAGGGTCTTCCTGACCCCTTCAAATGCATCCTTGACATCCTTTTGGCCTTGGTCTGTGGCCTTCTCCATCTGATCATGGGCTTTGCGCACGTCATCAGGCCGAGCTAGCTTCTTCTTTTGCAGATCCTGAAGACGTTTGTGCATAGCACCTCTGCTATCACGTACTGCACTGGCAGCTCTTTCATATGCTTGCTTGGCGGCTTGGATGTTTTTGTCCCGAGATTCTTTTGTGGGTGGTGGGATAGGAATGTTGAGCTGGAGTGCGTTGTGGGGATCAGGCTGGGGGGTCAAGGAGAGGTTGGAGGAGACAATTGCCGACGTGAGCGGTTTTATATGCTGTTCAGAATGTATTAGACATGTTGATATGGGACAGGAGGCAACAACGAGAGGGGAAAAGCAAAGAAAAGTAGAACGGCAGAGTAATCGCGTACGATGAACTTACATCCTCTTCGGCCGCCAAAAGCGTTACCATGCGTCCTCCCTTGGGAACAACCTGGGCCAAATCCCCCAGTTTGACTGAATCTTTACTGTCTTTGCTCAGCTGGACCCTCAAACTTTCTAGAAGGGTGGTGTTGAACCGCCCTCCGGCGCGAAGTTTGGACAGATCATCTTTTAGCCGCGCAACAGCTGTGGAGATGCCATTGTGTAACTGGGAAAGATCAAACGGATCTTCAAAAGAAACAGCAGCGTTTTCCTCTTGATCGGAAGTGGAAGCGGAAGCTCTCTTGGCCTTGTCCTTTTTCTTGTATAGGGCTGGCGAATTGGCGAAATTACGCCGGTTCAGGTGACCGGCGCGCTGAGACTGGGACAGAAGGCTTAGAGATGAAGGCTTCCGAGGACAGGCAACTGCAAGTCGAGAGGAGGAGCGAATCAATTGGGTGACAATGCGATGCATGGTGGAAAGTGATGGATGTAGGGACATACATTGGAGTGTACGGGTAAGGGACATGAAACTCCGAAGGTACCGCACCCGTTCTCCGCAACACTAGCTAAAATTTCGAACATTTTCTGTGTACTAGTTACAGAGTATTGAAAAAAAAAGAAAAATTACATGTATCACGACTCGTAATTCCACTTCAGCTACATGTATTCCAGGGCTACACAATCAAGAGGAGGTCATCACAATGTCATTAAATTGCAGATGGCGAACTTCGTCTACAAAAACAAAACAAATCATACTTTTCAAGAAAAGAAAACTGCGCCCAAGTTGCCCGGCTTCATAAGCAAAGCGTGACAGCGACCAACTGTGCCCAAGGTCTAGATGGCGCAGATTTCCTGAGAAGCAGAGTCCCGGGAAAAGGGAGGGTCGTTGGCCGTAAGTCTATGTTCATGTCTTCCCATGTATGCATTTACCGTGTGGCCATGGCCTTAGTGATCAGGCGCTTGAGAGCAAGCTCCTTCTTCTTGAGGTCCTCGGGAGTAGAGTCCTCGATCTCGAGCTGAGCCATGGCGTCGCTGAGAGCGGACTCAATGCGCTCCTTGTTGCCACGCTTGAGCTTCATGGACATACCAGGGTCGGAGACGATCTCCTCAACGCGGGAGATGTAAGACTCGAGCTGCTGGCGAGACTCGAAGCGCTTGGTGAAAGCCTCGTCGCTGCTCTTGAACTTGGCGGCATCTATAGTTTACCAATCAGTATGAAAGTCACAAGGAAAAAACAATAAGCGATTAGCAAGGGAGACGTACCGTCGACCATCTGGTCAATCTCGTGGCTGGAGAGCTTGCCGACAGCGTTGGAGATGGTGATGTTGGCAGTGCGGCCAGAGGACTTCTCGGTGGCGGTGACCTTCAAGATACCGTTGACATCGACCTCGAAGACACACTCGAGAGCAGCCTCACCAGCGCGCATGGGAGGAAGGGGAGCGAGAGTGAACTCGCCGAGGGAGGTGTTATCAGCACAGTTGGTACGCTCACCCTGGTAGACAGGGAACTGGACAGTGCTCTGGTTGTCGACAACAGTGGTGAAGGTGCGCTTCTTAATAGTAGGGACGGTCTGGCCACGAGGGACGACAGGGGCGAAAATGTTGCCCTCCATGGCGACACCAAGGGAGAGAGGGACGACATCCAGAAGGAGCAGGTCAGCGGTCTCGGCCGAGGTGGCCTTACCGGAGAGGATACCGGCCTGAACGGCAGCACCGTAGGCAACAGCCTCATCAGGGTTGATGCTCTATAGCAGAAATTTATCAGTGATCGGGTCCAACTAGAAAAAATCGAGTGCAGTTCTCTTACCTTCTCAAGCTTCTTGCCGTCGAAGAAGTCGCTCAGGAGCTTCTGAATGCGAGGAATACGGGTGGAGCCACCGACAAGGACAATCTCGTCAACCTTGTTCTTGGGGATTCCAGAGTCCTTGAGAACCTGCTGGACGGGGTCCAGAGTGCCAGAGAAGGCCTTGGCGTTAAGGTCCTCGAAACGGGCACGAGTGATAGAGGAGTTGAGGTCCTCACCGTCAAAGAGAGAGTCGATCTCGACGGTGGTCTGGGTAGCGTTGGACAGGGTACGCTTAGCACGCTCGCAAGCAGTGCGAAGACGACGGAGAGCACGAGCATCACCGGAGAGGTCCTTGCCAGTCTTGCGCTGGAACTCCTTCTTGAAGTGATCGAGGAGGTTGGTATCGAAATCCTGACCACCAAGGTGAGTGTCACCAGCGGTGGCCTTGACAGTGAAGACACCACCCTGGATGTTCAGCAGGGACACATCGAAGGTACCACCACCGAGATCGTAGATGAGAACGTTGCGCTCCTTCTCAGACTTGCCAGCGCCGAGACCGTAGGCGATAGCGGCAGCGGTGGGCTCGTTGATGATACGGAGAACGTTCAAGCCAGCGATGGCACCGGCATCCTTGGTGGCCTGACGCTGGTTGTCGTTGAAGTAAGCAGGCACGGTGATAACGGCCTTCTCAACCTTCTTACCGAGCTTGATCTCAGCAACCTCTTTCATCTGTCCAAATCGATCAGTAAGCCATCCCATGAATCTTGGTATCAGTTACTCGTACCTTCATGAGGACCATGGAGGAGATCTCCTGGGGAGTGAAGGTCTTGGTCTCGTTGAGGTACTCGACCTGAACGACAGGGTTGCCACCCTGGTCGATGACCTTAAAGGGCCAGGACTCAACATCCTTCTTGACAATGGGGTCATCGAAACGGCGACCGATGAGACGCCTGTTAAATCCTAGTCAGAATCTAGTTTTGGGTGATAATTGTGGAGAATGCGCATATATCGATATGGGAAACAGCGCAGAAATTTCGAAAAAAAAAACTCACTTGATATCGAAGACGGTGTTGGCCGGGTTCATGGCGGCCTGGTTCTTGGCGGCATCACCAATCAGACGCTCCTTGTCGGTGAAAGAGACGAAAGAGGGGGTGGTGTAGGAACCCTGATCGTTGGCAACTGATCAATAGTCAGTATTTCGACATAACAGTCGGGTTGTTTTGCAAATTTTTGCTTGCTAGGGAAGAAGCATACTGATTTCGACATTGGTGCCCTCGTAGTTGGCAACGCAAGAGTAGGTAGTACCTAAAAATTGAAAACTCCCAATTAGCAGCTGTGCGATCACAATTAGAAGACGAAAAACATACCAAGATCGATGCCGACGGCACCGTCGAAGACCTCAGAATCAGCCATTATGAAATTGTAGATGGGATTTTGAGGGAGGGAGAGGAAGAGGGATGGTGGGGGAAAGAGGAAATTTTTTCTATCAAGCCGAGTGCATATTTTAATCGGTGCCACAAAAAAATTCCAGAAAATTTTTCGGAAGCGGTGAGTCACGTGGATCCGGTTATTTTCCGGGGTCTATCACGTACTCGAAGCATCATTTTATTTTCTTACATATATCAATGAAAAACAAAGAAATCTATTACTCGCTCACAGAGAAATTGAAACTGCTCAACGCCTAACATCTCAACAATCAATATCCATAGGATCGTCATGTGATGATAAGTCCTCCAAGTCTGATGAAACAGTGGGAGGGTTGACAGGGTTGGCAGGGTTGGCAGGGTTGAGATGGACAATAGACTTGTTGCTCTCGGCTCTAGCTCGTGCTCTTGATTCAAGAATTGCCTTTCGAACGTGATCTTTCTCTTTGGGAATCGTAAGGGAAGTCGGTTCGGTATAGAGAACAAGTTCTTTGCCCGAGGGTTTTGAGTCCGATAGAACCGACTGGGGAACGGAGAGCACTTTCGCGGCGAAGGGTAAAAAGATCAATTCATCGGCAGCATCAGCTTCCATTAATTCTTGTTCCAAATTGTGAATGTATGTTGTATGTTTGGTATCATCCAACAACATGGTATCACTTGGCTCTAGGGAATAATCGATATTCTGTTGGTTATGTTGAGGCTGGAAGGGCTGGGTATACCCCTTGGATTCCCGAGTGGAGATTGGCATATTATCTACACGAGACAATAGAAAAAACTTGTTAACTTGACTCGCAACACCTTGGAACATTCTTTATTCAAACCTTCGGATTACCTACCTAGGCGCAAGTACCCAAATCTCTTCGTTAACGGTTGCGCGCCATCGGGGTCAGCTTGGGCCCGGCGCTTCTTCCCGTGACCTTGGAACTCTTCATTGCGCGCCATCCACCCTCCTCAGTGCTTTGTGTGTGTGGGTGTGTTTGTGGTCGTAGAGCGAATTGATTTCCTCAGATCTTTTTAGGTCGTGCAAGGAACCGGGGTCACGTTCATTCCTGATAGGTGCTCGATGCGGGTTTTTGGGGTGGTAAGGAACGGGGAACTGGCTTTGACTCATATCTTTCGCAGAAATCAACCCAGAACCTTCTCTCATCGCTTTGTTCACTCCCTGTCACCCAACCCTCCCACATTCGACAGGATGCCTTCTACAGGTTCGGAATGGACCGCTCAACGTGTCCGAGAAACCTTCCTGGATTATTTTAAACAAAATGGCCATACTTTTGGTGGGTTGAGCCCCGCGATTATCTTTCTCTTTTTTTCCCTTACCCCTCCATCCCACCGCGCCATGAACTGACCCGAGGCGCTTTTGAATATAGTGCCTTCTTCTCCCGTTGCACCTCTGTCGGACCCAACTCTGCTATTTACCAATGCGGGAATGAACCAGTTCAAGTCCATCTTCCTGGGCACCGTTGACTCATCCTCGGACTTTGGAAAGCTGAAGCGTGCAACGAACTCACAGAAGGTATCAAGTCTCTCTCTCTCGGAGATATGCGAAAGTTCTCTGTGCTGATTCTGTTACTTAGTGTCTCCGTGCCGGTGGGAAGCACAATGTGGGTGTGCCTTGATCGACCCTAGAGGGAGCTTGAAAAGGCTTTGATTTACTGACTGGCCTGGCATAGGATCTGGATGATGTTGGCAAGGATAGCTATCACCATGTGAGTGTTGAGAAACCGGCATTTAGCACGAAACGAAAGTGCTGACAAGAACTCTAGACCTTCTTTGAAATGCTCGGCAACTGGAGTTTCGGCGACTACTTCAAAAAAGAAGCTATTACATATTCATGGACCCTGTTGACAGATGTCTATGGTCTAGACCCCGATCGCCTCTACGTTACTTATTTCGAGGGCAACGTAGCCGGTGGATTGGAACCGGATCTGGAAGCCAAAGAACTATGGAAATCTGTGGGCGTTCCCGAATCTCACATTCTGCCTGGAAACATGAAAGACAACTTCTGGGAAATGGGTGATCAAGGTCCATGTGGACCTTGCAGTGAAATCCACTACGATCGGATCGGCGGGCGCAACGCTGCTCATCTTGTGAACGAAGATGACCCCAATGTCCTGGAAATCTGGAACAACGTCTTCATCCAATACAACCGCGAGCCGGATAGCTCCCTTCGGGCCCTCCCCAACAAGCACGTGGACACCGGATTGGGCTTCGAACGACTGGTATCGATTCTCCAGGACAAATCTTCGAACTACGACACCGATGTCTTTACTCCTATCTTCCAAGCCATTCAGGATGCCACTGGAGCCCGAGAGTATCGGGGCCACTTTGGTGCCGACGATGCCGATGGAATTGACACAGCTTACCGTGTCGTTGCAGACCACGTGCGGACTTTGATGTTTGCTATTTCGGATGGTGTCGTTCCTAACAACGAAGGCCGTGGCTATGTCATTCGCCGTGTTCTGCGCCGTGGTGCTCGATATGCTCGAAAGTACTTCCAAGTCGACATTGGAAACTTTTTCGCAAAGCTAGTGCCAACTGTTGTGGGTCAATTGGGAGAGATGTTCCCTGAATTGAAACGAAAGCAGCAAGATGTCATCGAAATTCTGGATGAAGAAGAGCTGTCATTTGCTAAGACCTTGGACAGAGGTGAGCGGCAATTTGAGCAATACGCCCAACAGGCCAAGGTTAAGGGTGTTGACACGCTCCATGGTGCCGACGTTTGGAGACTGTACGATACTTTCGGCTTCCCTGTTGATTTGACCCGAATCATGGCTGAGGAACGTGGCCTTCGTATCGACGATGTCGAGTTCGAAGAAGCTCGCTTGAAGGCAAAGGAAGCTAGCAAGGGTCAGAAAAAGGCTGCTGAAGTCACCGTTAAGCTCGATGTTCATGATCTGGGAAAGCTGGAGAAGATGAACGACGTACCAAAGACGGACGATTCCGCCAAATTTGGCCGAGGCAACATCACTTCTCGCGTCAAGGCCATCTACCATGGGAAGGTTTTCCATAAATCCACCGACGACGTTCCCGAGGGGGCACAGCTTGGCGTCATTCTTGACTGCACAAACTTCTACGCCGAACAGGGTGGTCAGGAAAACGATACAGGCAAAATCATCATTGACGGACAAGCAGAGCTTGAAGTCGGCGATGTCCAGTCCTACGCGGGGTATGTCCTTCACACCGGCTTCATGAAATACGGTTCATTTTCCGTCGGCGATTCCGTCATTTGCGAGTATGATGAGCTCCGACGCTGGCCCATTCGGAATAATCATACCGGAACCCATATCCTGAACTTCGCATTGAAGGAAATCCTTGGCGACGGGGTCGATCAGAAGGGTTCTCTCGTGGCGGCCGAAAAGCTACGATTCGACTTCTCTCATAAGAGCGCCATTTCCGACGCCGAACTTGAGAAGATTGAAGCAAAGGCGACTGATTATATCCGACAGAACTGTACTGTTTATTCTCAGGAGGTTCCGCTCGCCACCGCTCAACAAATATCTGGCGTCAGAGCGGTATTCGGCGAGACTTACCCCGATCCTGTTCGGGTCGTCTCCGTCGGTGTTGAGTTGGAGGAGATCTTGCAGAATGTCAAGGATCCCCGGTGGCAAGAAGTGAGCATTGAGTTCTGTGGTGGAACCCATGTCCAAAAGACAGGCGATATCAAGGATTTGATCATTCTAGAAGAGAGTGGCATTGCCAAGGGCATTCGCCGCATCATTGCCGTCACCGGAGAGGATGCACACGAAGTGCAGAGAGTTGCCCGGGAATTCGGACAGCGTCTTGATCGTCTGAATGCACTGCCACTTGGCGCTGAGAAGGAACGAGAGGCCAAGCAAGTCCAGGTGGACCTCAACCAGCTTTCGATCTCTGCCGTCCAGAAGGCCAAATTCCGTGAACTGTTTGCCAAGATCAACAAGCAGGTCATCGATGGCCAAAAAGCGCAACAAAAGCTAGAATCTAAGAAAGCTGTCGATTCTATCACCTCTTATTTCGAGGCTCCCGAAAACCAGGACAAGTCGTGGCTCGTGGTCCAGCTTCCGATATCTGCCAATGCGAAGGCTGTCAGCGAATCCCTTAACCATGTCAAGTCAAAGATGCAGGACAAGAGTGTCTATCTTTTGGCCGCCGACTCTGAGCAAGGTCGTGTTTCGCACGGTTGTTATATCTCTCAGGTAAGTAGCGGGACACATCAGTCTTATTCCCTTTCTGTTGAACTTGGAGAGGGGCAACAGAGAAGTTTCTATGGTTCTATATACTGATTGCAATATAGTCACTGAGTGACCAAGGTGCTTCGGCAAGCGATTGGGCGGCCGTCGTCTCTGGTGCCGTGGGCGGAAAGGCTGGAGGGAAGGGGCCTACTTCCATTGGCAATGGCACCAATGCTGACAAGGTTGAGGAGGCTATCTCGCTGGCTGCAGACTATCTGAACAAGTTCAAGCTCTAGAGTCGAGAGCTCTGGACCTAGGCAGGGAAGGGGACCTTTCGACTCTTTTGGTGTTCTGTTTAATATATTTTCTGTTGGTGCCGAAAGAAGTTTACATCTGCTCCTACCATATTAACGTATCGAAAAGTCCTCGATATCACTCCGATCTCAAATTGACGTCTTTTCCATATGGATCAAGAAAAATCAGTTCCCTCTTCACGGTACTCAATTCGTAGGCGATCATTCCAACATCACCTCATTCAGTTGTGATTTTACATTTCTCCACACTGCACAATCGTCACATCTTGATTGGGCTTGTCTTTGGTGGTACGGGTATGTTCAAGCATATGAATGATATCCATCCCATCAATCACCTGGCCAAAGACCACATGCTTGTTGTTTAGGAAGGGAGTCGCTGTAGTGGTTATGAAAAATTGGCAGCCATTGGTATTCGGGCCCGAATTCTAATGCTTTCAGCTAAGGATTCGACAGACAGGGGAAATGTTTGGACTTACAGCCATACTTAGAAGACCGGCACGGTCATGTGTGAGCGTAAAGTTCTCGTCGGCAAACTTGGAGGTGCCGTAGATGGTACATGACCCAGTCCCGTCGCCATTGATAAAATCTCCGCCCTGGATCATGAAGTCTTTAATCTGCAGCATATCAGTTCCGTGTCAATATCTGCAGTAAAGTCGCCACGTACCACTCGATGGAATTTGCTTCCCTTGTAACCCTGGGGCTGACCCTTTGGGTTCTTGCTCTCGCCGGTGCAGAATTGGCGGAAATTCTCCGCTGTCCGCGGAGTCACGTCGGCGAACAGTTCCATTTTCACTCGACCTAGTGACTCGCCTATATATATTGTACTTAGCTGCAGGGCTCTAACGGCGACAGGTCAAATGCTTTTTTTAATCTTCCGCAGGTGATATCAAGAGATTTGAACTGACATGCAAAGATAACCTTACTTACCTCCGAGGGCTATATCAAAAAATACAACTGGATTGGGACCAGACATTGCGAGAGTTATGGGAGGTTTTGATTGTGATGAAGAAAGAGGGAGATTTGCATTGGATATCGGTGTCAACCCCTCTCTCTATAAGTGAAGTGGTTTTCGGACGTTGCGGAAAGAAGTTGATAGCGGCCAGTTGGAAGATATGTCAGTGTTGGCTCCGACTCGACTGTGTACTGTGTACATGGAATCATATTATACATATACATCAATTCACTCTTTGAATTCTTAAATATAAGCAGAGGAACTCGATGCTCTGGTAGTTTTTATACTGATAGGGGGTTGTTTACAGAATACAGCATCAAATTGTGTTAGATTATAGATATGTGCAATAAATTCCATGTTACCACTCTGTAACATGGAAAGATAGATTGAACCAGTATGTGAATTGTCTATACACCCCACTCTTGTCGTATGGTGTTTCAAAGTGACCTGAAAACCCCCTCTCGATACCTGCGTAGGTTATATACAGCCCAGTCAATCAGAAGCAAGATTTCAGGTTAGCAAGTACCAAAGTCCCGTGATTCCCAGCCTCAGGTGTCAGTTCTGTGATCCGCATGCATCCATAATTCAACCAGGAGCCTGGCCCTCCCTGCTTTGATCCACTTCCCTCTGTCTCTCTTTGCCTTGCTTGAGTCTGCTTCTACTCTCACTATCGATAATGAGATGAAATCCACCCCTGGCACTCACCTTCTCCTTGAAGTTCTGTGCGTTCTGCTGACAGCCAGTCTTGCGGCCCATCACCTTCAATCTGCATATATTCCAGTCTATCGCCGTATGGGTTACTTACCCTTTGGTCGTCTTGCACCCTCCTTCCCATATACTTTGTCTTGATCTGCCGGCAGTCTAGCGTAAAGGATTACCTACAGGGTCGCCCTGTACCCACAACCCAAGGCATGAAGGATCGAACCCGGAAATCGAAGCCCCAACAATAATACTGTGGTCATCTCCAGAGCGTGACTAGTGAGGCTATTCCCTTGGCCGTCACTCAGAATGTCTCCAACACCGACATCAGCCTCTGGTAGTGCTGCCACCACCAGCCCTAGCAGTGGCGGAGATACTTCAGGTTCGAGTAATGCAACAAGCTCGCCTTTGTTGTTTTTTGTCGCTCTCGGATTTGGTGTTGTGTTCACAAACCTATGGTATGTTGTTTCCACTCCCTGTCATGGCCCACATGTCAGTCTTGCCATGTGTCGAGTATGGTATCTGATGGTTTTCGCAGGATCATTGTTGGGGTCAAATACTGCTTTCGATATAACCAACGAAACCGCCAGCTCCGCAGCGAAGAAGTAGGAGAACCAATAGACCTGACCACTATGCCGCGGCCCAATCGCAGGAGGAGGGAGAAAAGGCTCATGACGATGGATGAAGTCAACGGGCGGTTTCCGCTTGTCAAGTATAAGGTGTGGAGATCGTCTCGCGCCAATCAGGGTCTTTCGATAGAAGGAGGTATCATATCTCCGAATAGCCGACCACAGAGCCTGAAGGACGCAAGTGATATCGTGACGACAGCGATTGACACAGCTGCAGTGCCATCGTCTACAGAGGGACATGAACAAGTGGATTCCAACGACACATCCCGAATTCTCCCCCGAAAGCTACATATCGACCCTCCTGCGCAGTCCGAGGAGAAAGTACTTGGAGTGACCGGAGTGGCTTCCACCCAGGAAAGCACTAGTGCGGAACGACAGGAAGCAAAGTGGCAGCGTTCGTTGGTTAATGCAAACATTGGCATCGATCTTGAAGGGGACCATGGTGATGGCGGTTACATCCGCAATGCTGTTCCTGCTGATCTTCTCCCCAGCCCTGGCGATTCTTGCGCGATTTGTCTAGATCTCATTGAGGACGATGATGACATTCGGGGACTTGATTGTGGCCATGCTTTCCATGCATCATGTGTGGACCCTTGGCTGACAAGCCGAAGGGCATGTTGCCCTCTGTGCAAGGCCGACTACTATGTTCCCAAACCTCGCGCACAGGCTGAAGCACGCTCTGTCACAGAACGCCAAGGTCATCTCACTGTTCTGGCTCACCCGGACACAATTCCAAGACCTCCTAGAGTTGCTTGGAACGGAGGTCGGGTCAGTGGACTGCGAGTGCAGTTGGGTCTGCCTGTTCCAATGGTCCAGTCGACACCTCCAGAAGAGAGCGAGATTTCTCCAGTTCGGGAACGACATCTACAAGGTGGACATGATCGACATTGGGGCTTCCGCCATTCCTCAGTTTCCTCAGGTCGATCGACCTGGTCGCGGTTGATTCCAATGCGGCTCCGCCAGCTTTCCACACGTCGTTATCTGTCGAGAGAATCTGGCCGACCGACTACGGATGGGGCTACATCCTTGGACCCTCTGCCTTTAGACCAACGCACAGCTCGTCAGGTCGAAGCTGGTATTACATGATCGACTTTGACCGTCATCATCCTCACCCAATTACGAAGCGACTTGATTTGCAACTTTTATGCCGGAGCCAACATCTGGAATGTTGGCTGGAGTTTTCTTTCCTTGTCTATGACTTCATATGTGTAATTTATCAAGTTCTGGTTGGGACTGGGGCGCACATGGGTTATCCCACAATGCTGTTTTCTCTTTTTTCTCTTATCGTATTCGTATCATAGTCAACTTCATTTCCCCATGCCCGGGCTGTTGGCTTGTTCAATAGGTCAAGAGACTTATTGAATATACATTGATCTTCCTGGCGCGCAGCACTTGAGCACATGTACATTTTGATGATACATATCATACAATACAATTCTCAACATCGCCTGTAAACCTTCCAAGAAATCAAGTCTGACAAGATGGCAGTTTGCCCAGTCATATTGGCATTCTGGCCCTATAAGCACGATCGAAATATAGACGGGACCAGTCCTGAACAGAAAAAGGCGAAATTGGCTTGTGAATTAAAGAACCTGAAGCGCCCAACCCTAGTAAACAAGGATTACAAACCATGAACATCCACACAACATCTCACGTCCTCAGATCTGAGACTTCGGAGCACCTACACCAGCGCTGATGACACTGGGTAGCTCCTGTGAGCCCATGCTGAACAGCATCCCGATTGCACTACCAACCATGACGATGGCGAGTAGACTGACTCCCGCAACAAGGAAGAAAGGTGAGCTGATATCTCTCTTCTGGCAAGCTGACCCACCCCACTGCACTGTCTGGGTAGTGCCATCACTATTTTGAACAATGGTTTGGTGGCATTTGCAGGCATAGCAATTACCCGTGGTTGCTTCCACGCCTGAGCCATATCTTAGATAGCAAGAACCATGCCCAGAGCAGTTATTGGTAGCCTCGGCACAAGATGAGTTTGAAGCATGGCAAACAGGCGCCAGGGTCGACTGCAGAGAAGAATCTTGCGTAGACCTTCTTCCGGGGATATTACGCGGGGTGAGTGAGGCTGCTGACCGCCTCACGCGTGGGTTGCTGAGGCCTGCTGATTCGACATTTGATGGCAGGACCAGAACAGTCACTTCTCGCTTGCTAGTGGACGATGCCTGAGCTAGGTGAAGAAGCAAGGTCTCCAAGGCAGTGGCTTCCAGGGGAGAATCACTAGGGGCATTCTGCAGCAGTTGACATGGGATCAGAGACAGTATACTATTTGGGCAGAGGGCACTTGTTACCTTGAATGATAATTTCATGACTGACTCTCTTTGATCCTTGGCCGTCCAAGATTCCACCGAATCAATCAACGGGAGGAAGTCATCGACGGGCAAGTCAGGCCCATCAGCAAACATCGGGTCCCCAAATAGGCATTCCTTGGAGGTCTGGTATTGTTTCAGAATTAGTGAAAGATCTGGGCATTATTGGACTCGACTTCGCTACCTGGGATATTGTGGATGTAGCCATGCTGGCATCGTTAGAGTATGTACAGTATTTTCCATCGTCTCCTCTTGTAGTAGGAGCGCTTTCGACGAATGATCTCAACAGATCAGAACCCTGGAATGCTGCGGGAATTTGAGGGACACGCAGGTGGACTTGTTGAGCCCTCTGCATAGCTAGTGCTGAAGGGACATTAGCTGAGGCTGGTCATGTACAAGTATGCTTCCTCTTACCACTTTGTTCGTCGACCCCTTCTAGAACCAAGATGCTTCTTTCGGGAGCAAGCTCTTGAATTGCCCCACCAAAGAGAATGAAGTCATCCGGAGCGAAGGAATTCAACTGATCCACAGTGTCTGCATCCACCGTTCCAAGAACTGATGCTACAGACGACTTCATGCGAAGCTCTAGGACAAGCCTAGCTTCATCCTCTGTTATCGTTTGTCCTTGCGAGCCAACAGTTATGGAACTTGCAATTCTGGGAGGAAAAGTGAAGATCGTAGCATCTAGTGCAATTGCTTGCAATGCACCTGTTAATCCCAGGGCAAAGAAGGCCGACACCCAGCGCATGTTGTTGAATGGAATATGGTGGGGACCAAGGGTATGAAGCAGGACTATTGTGAAAGATATAGCAATGACAACATCAATATCACCGTCTGAGTACTGGATAATTATTGGGTCGGTTGCGCAATGGGAGGAGTTAGAATAGCCACCGACTGCGGACGACTTCCAAGGTGTCCGATAAGATATCACGTGGCTATCTACACTCCGTACAGGGCCGTACTGGACCGTAAGAGTTCGTCCCTTGCAAAAGGCGGTGAATTTAGCCACCCACCGCCTGCTGCCTCCAGTGACGCTGACTCAGCTTTTGGTGGGCGCGGGGGGGGGACAAAGCAATCCGACTAGGTTTAGCGCACCAAAATCTGGCAGAATTTTGGGATCATGTGATAATGTCTGAGGGTACAGAGATAACTTGATAAGGCAGGCCCGTGTCCTGTAGGTAGTTCACCGCGGGCACTTGCAACAGAAATCCTCGTGCATGCCACCAAGGATTCTATCTATTCATCGATCCTAGACTGAGATGATACTCTAGTGAGCCTCTCGTAGGGATTGGCTTTTCCCAATGCTCCGGCTCAGGTATTTGCTTCGAAGTCCTCACGCGCGCCCCTCCCTCTTCTGGCGGACATCTGCTCAGTCCACCCTTCCGAGTCAACAAAATGTACAGCATGTAAGGTTTAGGCGGCCTTGGGTCAGGTAAGTCGTCTGGGTCGAAGACAGCTGGGGGTCTCTGGAAACACACTGATACAGTCTTCCGCAGGTCGTTCATCTCAAAATGTCTTCTGTATGGCGCTGCATTCCACCTCTGGAGCACCTTCGTGCTGGTACGATTCGATGATGATACCGACGATGTCGACGATAACGACTTGTCCACTCCGACCGCTAGTCTGGAACAGGTAGCTGCGTGTCAAACCTCGGGGCAAAGCGGCGAAGCCCCTGCGGATGATTTAGCCAAGGAGGACGCGTTATTCATACCGCTTGCCTGGTCTCGGTTGCAAAAAGGCGAGCTATACACCACATCAGATCCGGAATGGCAAGAATTTGTGAAGCTATCCAACGATAAAAAGAAGCTCCAGCAGCTTAGGGGTGAGGTCTTACTTCTATCTCCATCAGGAATCATTGGCTTACCGATCTAGATGAACTCGCCAACATTGTCCTAAATAGCGCAGGGGCTCAAATCTCGCATGTACTTGGGGCTCCTCTCTCCATCACAGGGTTCTGGCTTGTCCATCAATTTCCAAATCGCGCCCCTCCTGGGTATGTGCGGTCTGGGTAAGTACTCCGAGGCTTTGAAGGCTTGTTTCCATACTAATTGCATGCAGGGTGGAGATTACGAATGATGGTATATCGTGGGTTACAAAGCCAATGGACCCCGAAATAGGTGACCGGTTACAGACCTTCATGAAACCAGTCCATGTGGCTCTGGCGATTAGAGATGCGTACCTAGTGTTATTCTTGAGGCAACTGGACCGGTTCAGGAAACCAGCAGGAAAGACACTGGATGCCTCTGATTTCATCAATATTCAATCCTCCATGTCGGAAAACAGGCGAGGGAGTTGGGTTGGCCAGCAGGATCAGTCTCAGCTACAACAGCCCCTGAACGACGGGCTCGATGAAAATATGCCGCTTCATACGGAAAAATCCAACTATCATCCATCTCCTCTCATTTCTCTTTTACAGCGGCTCCCGCTGCCAGATCTTGGTCCCGGGTCGGATTTGCATTTGGCGTCGGAGGCATTCAAATTACGATTGAACCTTGAACGGGCCCGAGCTCCAAGGTCTGCTCGTCGCGGTGTTTTCTTCATCGCTGGACCCGTTGGAATGAAGGGCACGAACGGATTTTGTCGATTCGAGGTGCGCGGCGAATATGATCCAGCTAAGCCGGGATGGCGAGGGGTTGATATAACCCTCAAGGATATCAACATGAAAAAACAGAGAGCAGTGGGAATTTGATGACGTATCCTTTTGTTCTGGGGAGAGCATTAGAACATACTACACTTTTCCAGATTATCTGAACGTTTATTGAACCTGGCGGCTCTCCGGTTCGCAGTCCCGGCATTGTGTTGTTAGCATGTATATACATATCCTCCGGGACATGGACCTGAATTGATCTAGTTCCATGCGAGCAAATATTCAAACTTGCTATTTGGTTTGGGCTGGTGCTTCAGCCTGGGATGGCCATGATTGACTTAGAACAAAACACTTCCATGCCTCGTGTGTTATGATGCTTAGCTGGTATACTGCTACGTCGTACATGTACCGGGCTGGGCTAGCTTGGCTCCCGAAAATGTATTTCCAGGGGAGTACTATCGATATGTATATATGTACGCTGCGTTTGCCAGGGGTATGAAATCCAGATACACGACCGAAGTGCAAAGCACTTGTCTGCGCAATCTCAAATATTCAGATACACTTTGGCTAGGAACCTGCCATTATGCGGACTGTTCGACAGTCCTAGTCACAGAGGGGACCAGCCTATGATCGCCAATAGCCAAAGAATCCCCATTGATCACTGGTTTCGTTTTGGGCAACGTACACAACCGGGCAAATGTTATAGGTGACGTGAGTAGATGGTGTATGGAAGTTACTCAATTCGCTAATTATGGATCAGCAAAACTAGATATGATGACAATGGGTAACTCAGCCCTAGGGAAAAGAGAAGGTAAGAACCACACCAAGTGGATAACCAAGGTTTGCATTTGCTCGTCAGCCTTTCTGTAGCTACTTGGTCCAGTTGTATCTGATGCCAGGGACCAGGTTCCCATGTCCCTTCACAGGTGCTTTCAATAGAAGGTAGCTTAACTGGATTTTCGGTTCAAGGTGCTGCCATCAAGGCCAGGAGGCGGAGGCGCACAGCAGCAGCAATAACGACCCACCAGTGGGAAACAAATGGCTGGGCCTAAAAACGCGGGTTGATGGTCATGCTAGAACAGCTGGCGTGTCTGGGGTAAGGAATATAGTGTTTCCATACGGCATATCAAAGAGAGCCCGATCTAGCAACGTGTCAATTCAACGGCGAGAAAGTAAGAATGAAACTTCGTCTCATTCAAAACTTCCATTATGAATTTTCCAGGGAATGCTAGTGAGCAATCCCGCAAAAGCATGCGTTTGCCATAAACGTGATGTCTTCTCAACTGCTTAGATATCCAAGCACAACGCTTCCAATCAATGTCCAGTTTATTGTTGTAGTGGGGCTTGATAGTTGAGAGGGCGCCTACAAGATGATCAGTGATGCGTCCAAGGGTGGTATTAGGAAGATACTGACTTGAACAGTAAAATGTGAGGTTCCGGTTCATGCACCTCGTAATGCTCCCATCCCAAGCTCTGTTCGCATGTCAGGATCGATACACACGGCCGAGCTACGCGTAACGTACCTGTGTAATGCCCAAAGCCCGCCATTCTTCTTCCCAAAGCAACTTCAAAGTCCCTTTAGAGCTGTCGAAGTAGTCCGCGGGAATTTTCTTCAGCATGTTCTTCGGAAGCTGCACATGTCGGTATTCGAATTTGTCATCATTATATCTACGTGAAAGAGTCAACCCGAGAGACTACTCCAAGAGATAGGGTATTCTCACCTTGCCGAATAGTGGATAGAATCCACAAACTCGTCAAGCTTCTCGCGCTCCGTCTCTAGGAGGAGACGCGGCTTCTTATTGCGCCTCGCTGGGTCGATGTCCATTGAGATAGCGGAAGGGGAAAAGAGGATAGGCTATGAAGATCATCACCAGACATTAGTTTATTCCGTGGGATTGAATATGAAAAAGCCACTGGATAAGCACCTTGCAGTGTATACTCACAATTGGTTGAACAACTATCGCATGCAGCAATGATTGGGATAGGTGCGCACAAGGGTTTTGTGGGAATCTTAAGCTTGTGTAAGATGAACTGATGGAAATCCAAATCACAAGTGAAGATTGCTGAGTTGGAGATTGGGAAGATGTGATGTGACAGGGAAATCAATAGGTGTGACTGTAGAGACAAACAATCATCGGACTTGTTTCACGGGACTTAGGATATTAGTGGGGGGAACCCCGAAATGACCAATTGTTGCCTCAGGTGTCAGATCGAGTGTTGATGTTCTATCCGTGCACGTGATATGCATTAGATAACCACTCTTGCCTAGATAGGTATAGTGCCCAATAGTATTATGTATGTAATAATGTACATAATAACGACGAATGGCTGCGAGTTTCTAATACACAACACGTACTGGTAATACCACACGATACTGATTGATTACTGGCGCGATGACCGCATCCCGAGGTCGAAGTGGACGCGTCCTGCAAACACGTCTGAGTTGAGGAATGTCTGCACGTATATCTCCTTCACCATATTCCATCACAACATTTTACTTATAGTTCTCTCATTTGTTATAGATTTCTGTCCTTTACTTTGTTCTTTTTTCACTCTCTGAGGCTATCCAAGCTCATATTCCTACCCCTATGTGTGACTCAACTCATTTGGAACTTTATCAGAAGTAATCTAAAGATGAGCTCCAGACGACGATCGGCTGTTACAGCCTTCCCAGATTCGACGCTTCGAGGATCTAAACGTCAAAAGATCTCAGTAAGTATCATTAACTTATTACACTATCTCCATAATTCACTTTCTCCTCGTTACCTGATGGACGGCAATCACATCATCTTGAACTATCGCAGCTAGACCGGCATTGTTCAAACGTATGATTACCGTCCTAGATCATATTTGACACACACAACCTTCTTGCAAATGCCTCATTGGCTAACCAAACCTGCGGGTGTACAATAGGACGACAACCCAAATCGTGCGTCGTCACGTTCGGACCCTGAGTTACCGGATGAACCAGATGGTACCGCGGAGTCGCATGCCGAGTCCGAGGCCGGGTTTGAAGGTGACGATCTTCAGACTGCCCAGGATAAGATCATGTCTGAGCTAACTCGGCTCAAGGATCATGAGTAGGTCTCACTAACAAGCTGTTAGGCATGAGGCTGACGTCTGCAATTAGTGGTCAGGAGGTCTCTTACCCTTTCATTGGGAAACCAGATCGGAATCTTTACCGAGACTATTACGAGATTATACAACATCCGGTGTCTTTGCGGAGCATCCAAAAGAGAGTTCGTGGTACGGACAGCAGGAAAAATACATCCAGGACTACCGCATATCCTACGTGGCAATCATTTGAAGAGGAGGTCAGCTATATATGGCGAAATGCTAGAGACTACAATGAAGATGACAGTGAAATTGCTATCCTCGCGGGGGTTTTGGAAGTAGGCTCATATCCCGATCCTCTTGATGTCTCCTTCAGCTTGCTGACGTTGGAACCCAGGACCACTTCCGTCGACGGGTTGCGGAAGCCAAGAAGGTTGTTCCTGAATCCTTCCAGGTAGATGGAGCCCCTGAGATACCTCGCATCAAATTGAAAGTGGGCACACCTGTGTCCCCAATGACGCAGAGATTGACCTTGACAATGCCTGGGCAGACCACTGATACCGTATCCAAGGACGATGGTCAGCCTACAGACGTGACAGCAGAGGACGAGTCCCTAAGCCGAAGGCAATATGTTGCCAGGGCTAGATCAACGGGTCAAGCTATCAGAGAGTCAGCTGGGGAAGGCTCTCCCAAAAAACATCTCGACAGCTCGAGGTCGAGCACTGCTACCACACCATCTTTCTCCGAGCAACAACACAAAACATCCGTGAGCACGCGGGGCCTTCTAAATTCGGCAAGCACCGAATCTGCCCTTGCAACGACCACTTCCCGCCATTCTCCCAACGTGTTGTTCGAGGCTTCTGCGGAAGTCGCTCGACATGCTTCTTTGGGCTCAGGTACGCTGCGCTAGATGAAAGCATTGTGGTTTTCGCGGTCCCCCGCACAGCCCCTGGTTCTTACTGACGGTTTGTCAGCGCACACTTCATCCCAGGCCCAAGTTGGCTCGTCACCCATGGACTCATTTCTCAGGCGGCCACATCAAGGTTTGAATCCCGCTCTGGGTGGAAGGGCTTCTAGCTAACTACAAGCCAGATCCAAACGTGGCTCTGATTCGCAATGTTGAAATACTTACGCATGCCTCTTTGTCTTTGCGATCAGACTTCTGTCTAGACATCCCGCCCTCGCCACTTGTCTCGCAGCAGAATATAACAGTCCATCTTCCTCCGTCGCATAATTTACTGACGGTCAGACTTCGCTTGGCGGCTAGTACCCCTGACCGGCAGGTGAAGATAGTTGCGTTCGTGGGTACGCAACGTCTTCTTCCGTCTGGCGAGGCAACTATACTTTCATATGATATCCATCTTCACCCCGGCATGATGAAGGTTGACTTTGAAGCTATTGCGGGGCCCGCCAGGGGAATTCCCAAATCCATTGTTCCTGGTTCAGATATTGACTATGAACGTGTCACGCTATTCTTCAACCTGTTACGGTGATTCATTCGGAGAGAGGGGGAAGCAGCGCTCGATAGCTTATTTTAATGAAGATGCTGTGGTGTCTTTTCTTTCTTTATGAGAGAACCTTCTGACAGTTACTCGTGTGAGAAGGTCTGGGAACGTTCCCTTTTACCAGGGACAAGGACACGTCCAATAGTGCTATGCTGGACTTTGTTCGTGTTCGCCGATGTATATACCGCATTTTTTTCTCCGCCTTCCTAGTTGATATTTGCATCACTGCACCAACGCTAATTTCTGTACTCTTTGAAGATTCGAAGCCGTTATTATCTCAGGTACTATTCACTCCTACTATCATCGTGCATATAGCTATACCCGGGTGGAGTCAATCGGACAGGAACTGCAGGTATGGTCGGGTTAGCTCCCGTATGATTTGGTACGGATATCCCTAGGCTGTGGCAAACCCATGGGTACTGAAGTTTGAGCTACGTCTTGTCTATAATCCTGACCAATACTAGTATGTTTACCTGGTAGCTTGGTACTGTCTACCTGGCTGCATGTCTGCCTGAGCCCGCACCTTGACAACTTCACGCTGCATCATTCGATAGTATTTTAGATAAGGGCTTGGTAATGTCATCTGCTATGATATTTTAGAAGCCAGAAGGAAAAAGGAGCAAATATCTCGTTCCTGTGCTAAGAACTAAGGTAACAGAACTGGAGAAGGGGAAGAGGAAAGAAGAAGAGCTGCGCAGAATAACTCATTTTTTATGTTCTTCGGTCATGCTTGCTCCTTCTCCTAGCTATCGTTCGCTTGTCGCATGATAACCACATGATAAAGCCTTAGTTACTGGAAACTGTGCTAATTAGTATCGTGTCAGTCATATCGGCTATCCACCGCCCGCCGCTCTCAGCGGTGCAGACACAGGTCTTGGGGGGAACGTCTGAGCGGCGAATGTTGTGGTGTACTACTTAATATTCGCAGGATTTTTTTCTATAGTTCCCACCAAACCTTGCGGGAGATTTTTGCGCGACGGAATGAAGTTATTCTACACTTTCTCGACGAGTCGCCAACCAACGCAATTATCACAATCGGGCGACGAGGTACCCCAGATACTGAGGGCCTCTACCGGTTGATGGTGCAATTGTCGGAATTTCCTGAGAATAAAGGTCCGAAAGTTGTACTGTACCTAATGTTACTGGCCCGCTGTTACGCCCAGTTACGAATGATGAAGATCGACCAATGTAGTGGCATTAAACGAAGCAACTAAGCATGAGGAGAGAAGGAAAGAAGGAAAACATCTCCGCCAGGACGTGCTGATATCTTGTCCGATAAGCAGCACGTGCCCCTCCCTTATCGTTACGTGTCCGTCTCCCTCAAGTCACATGCCTCATAGCCCCAAGTCCTCCATGACCTGTAACACCTGCTCCGACTTGAAAGACAGCGCCAATGTGAAGGGAAATTATCTCTGAGTATTTTGACTCTTTGTTACCAGGCCCACTGGCCTTGGCTGGGGCATGCGGGAGACCTGTCAAGGTCTCCGGTACTCCGACATTGCTTTCCACCCATTCATTGTCAAGCGTGTCATGACGCGTGTCATGACTTATGTCATGTGAACCTTATCTGTATTAACTAGTGTTTGGTTCGCCTCCCCGGACATCCGGGCGGGCCGTTCTGGATCGTCTCCGCTTGACTGGTGTACTACGTTAGATAGTGAGAGAGGCTTGAAGATAAAGACCCGGACACTTCGGGTTCTTGTTAGAATCTCAAGAATCAATTGATGTTTCTACCCACCAAAAGATATCCTTGATTCGTATCGTCTACCTTATTTATTGCCTTCAGCTACAAAATCCCAGTACTACAACTCATCCTCTTATCTTATCGGTTCACACATCTACTACCTGACCTTAGTCCTTTGCTATTGGGTCGTCCACTACCCATCCAGTATCTTGGGACTCCCCTCCTTACAGCCAAATCCAATATTATTCGCTTTTTCAAACCCAACGCAAATATCAAAAATCGGGTGATGAGTTCCTCTAGATATTAAGTTCTTCAGTCAGTTAACTAGTAGCAAGATTGATCACAGTTCCTCAAAATAAACAACAATTAGTTTTGCGAATTTGATAATGCTCCAACAGAAGGATTATTTGAACAATTATCTATTTATTGGTCTTACTCTGATTAGGCGGTTGGCCGCCTCGCCCCTGTGGGCAAGCAGTCCCTCCCTCATCGGTTCGAATTTAAACAATTATATCCGCCATAATCAAGCATGTACCCGTAGATGTGAACTGGAGCAGGTCGAGGACAATTGCCGCGAAACATGTCGGAAACGCATTCAAAGCTCAGACCATACATCAGTGACCAATCTGATGTTAGGCAGGAGATAGATTTCTCGTGGGTGATAATGAGACGATCAGGCAAAAGGGTGATCAGTATCAGATGCACAAGGTGATATACAAGTGAAGAGGTAAACTCGTCATATAGCTGTCTAGTCATATAGTGACTGAATCTTGAAGAGGTCCAGAGCTATCCCACAAGTCTGGGGTCTTTATCCCTGACGCTCACATCATCTCGACAAGGTCTCGGCTGGACCCCGTCATTCCCAAGTTCTCCATCTTATCCTTCACATCTGATTAGGCCTAGCGCGTCACAAATCCCGCAGAACTTTTGGATCATCTGATAAGGTCTGAGGGCACCGAGGTAATACTATTATCATAGGCCAGGTCTCCTGGAAAAAGAGTGCATTTAACTAGAACAACAACTATGGAGGAAGAAGAGAGAAGAACAAGAAGGGAATCGACCAAGAAGCTATTTATCCCACTCCTTGTCACAGGAGTCAACGGAAATCCGATAGATTGAATATGCAGCCCGGGGTTGATTCATAACCTTATGTTATTGTTAAATAGACCATTAGTTTGTTAACTATATTTATTATATCTAAAAAGCTGGATTCGAACCGAGGAGGGACTGCTTGCCCACAGGGGCGAGGCGGCCAGCCGCCTATCCAGAGTAAGAATATAATAATATACGAATCCAGCTTTTTTTATGTACATCGTACGGGGCATGCGCGCCCCCGCCCGCAACTCCCATCGTTAGCCTCAATCCAATGGTGCTAGGCCTCGTCCGTCCAGCTTGGTGACAGGAGTTAACTAACGTATTTCACTGCCGAGCTGACCACCCTCAAAACCCATAGTAAATGCGATTTTATATCTCAACAACCATGAGTTTATTTTTTGTCTCCTTGCTTCACGATAGCCATTGATAAGAATAATTAGCGTTCTGTATCAATCAATTTCAAAGATATTAAAAGTCGATATCACGGTGATACCAAAGGTTACCGTTCCATGACCCAGATGTATATATCACGCAAGCATGAAGCCTTGGATTTTCCTCAAACTCCCTATAGGTGCTGGTCATGGCCTGAAAGACGCTATGCTACAAGAAAAAGTCTGTATAGGCCACCGTTGTTGAGTTACTGTGTTGTAATTTACCTCTTTTACTATGTGTTTTGGAGTGGCCAGCTCGGTGGGTTGATCAGCTCGGCAGTGAAATACGTTAAGTGACGCAGCGCAAAACACATAGTAAAAGCGATATTATCCTACATTGATATCTCAACAACCACAACTTTATTTTATCTCCTTTATTTCATGATAGCCTTTGATAAGAACACTTAGCGTTCTGTATCAATTTCAAAGATATTAAAAGAATATATTATGGTGATTTCAAGAATTACCGAAAAATACGTTGCCAAAAACGAGATATCTATTTAACACAAGCATGAAGTCTTGGATTTTCCTCAAACTTCCTATGGATGCTAGTTATGACCTGAAAGATGCTATGCTATAGGATAAAGTCCGTAGAGTCCACCGTTGTTGAGATATCATGTGTATTTAGCGCTTTTACTATGTGTTCCGGACTGCGTCACTCGCTTGTGGAATACGTTATTTGTCAATAGTATCTGTTTGTTTTACGTCTTTGTTTGGGATAGACAGACTCATGGTACACAGATTATTTTTCTTGAATGGGTTTGATATACTAGTATTTTTGTGAGAAAGAAGGCCAACTCGCACTGGATGGGTAATGGATGACCCAATGGCAAAGGACCAAAGGTCAGATAGAAGGATGAATGAATCGCTAGGGCTTTAAAGAAGGATGATACGGAGATTGGTTACTGAAGGCAACAAGGTAGATGATACGAATCAATATCTTTTAGGAGGGGAGAGACATCACTTGATTCTTGAGGATCTATCAAGGACCCCAAGTTTATGGGCGGGCCTTTGATCCTCATGCCTCTCTCACTGTCTGACGTAGTATGAATGTCACCGTAAGATCTAAAAATATCAAGACACGTTAACGGACAGACGCCTGCGGACTAACGTTCTGTGAGGACAATGGGGGTTTTCACGTGAGAGCGAACTATCAGGCAAAACGATAGTTATCGATTGTACCAGAATATATCAAAGGATCAAAGGAAGTGGTAAACTTGTCATCAGTTTATTGCCCAGTAATACAGAAAAAACTGAATGTTGAAGAGATTCAGAAATATCCCACAAGTCTGGGGTCTTGTTACGATCCGGAGCCGAGGAGCTAAGGGTAGGTGGTCGGACTTGCGGCCGGACCGTAGACAAGAACAAGAATGCCGAGGAAGGTACCAAGGCTAGACAGGATAACAGAAGAGACAAGAAGGCACAAGGCCGATCAGGACTGGCCAGGTAGGTAAGGCTGCACTATAAGACAGGAAAGAAGTGAATTGTTGCGTGAAGTGAAAATGTATATACAGTAGGGGATGCGTCCTTATATAATTTTCCCTTCTCCCTTCGTACCAAGATTGCAATGCGAAAATTCAAACAGTTAACTTAGCAGGACCGGCAACCAATGTTCGGCGTCGGCCATTGTTCGTAACTCGGCTTCGGCCAGTGTTCGGTGTTCGGACATGAACCATGACAGGAACCAGGGAGGCGCCCTGGTGGCGACTCGCTCGACTAGGGGACAAGGTGGGCCAGGAATGTGCCTGGTGAAGATTCATGACAGGTCTTTATCCCAGGCGCTCGCACCAGTGGCAAGATAGGAGGACACAATGATTAGGGATTCTATGGTTCCAAAACGTGGAGGCAATCTGACGGATCGTCGCGGATATCTGTCACAAGATCCCTTGAGGTAGTAGATCGAAACCATGAAAGCTGAGAGATCTTGACAGGGTCCCGGCGGGTCCCGTCCATCCCAAGTCCTCCGTCTTTTCCTTCACACGTTCATAGATTGACGCGGACGGACAGACGATTGCGGAATCTAGTCAAACGCAGCACATGAAGTGCAAAGATAAATAGAAGTCAAATCCCCCAGGGCCATTAGTTTTACCATCATTACTATCATCAAGTTCTTGCAACAAAATCTCAAAACTCGCTTGACTCCACCATCTTTCTTACACATTCTTCCTAAGAACCTTTTCCTCCAAATCTTCACCGCCACCATTCCTTCCTCTGCCGTAATCCTCTTAGAGTCACCCGCCAGGCGGAAACGATCCAGAACGGCCCGCCCCGCCGTCGGGGGGCGAAACCAAGTACTAATGCAGATAAGGTTCACATGAATCATATGTCATGACATGCTTGACAATGGGTAGAAAGCAATGACGGAGTACTGGAGATCTGTCAGGGTCCCCCGCCTCATGCATACCCCGGCTAAGGCCAGTTGGCCTGGTAACAAAGGAGTCAAAATACCCAAAGACAATTCGAATTCCCTGCACAATTTTCGTTATATATGATGGCATATTTGTCATTGAAAGTTGTCTTTTATGGCATTTTGAGTAATTTTTCGACGCTCAGGAGATTGACTCCAATTTAGGAATATTATACATGATTGATGAAGAATTGGATATTTGTATTTACTTTGACAAATTTTTGCCTTTTCTTGTTTTCGAGGGACGTTGGTTTTGTATTTGTTACCATGATAATATGTCAGTAAACCCCATATTTTGAGGTTCTTGATGAATAGTTTTATTTTGTTATATCTTCCTCTTGGAGGTTTACAGCAGAGGAAAGAATGGTGGAGCCAAATATGATTAATTGGTTTGAATGGTATATGAACTTGATGATCGTTATGATGGTTATTTATTACCCTTGGGATTTGAATCCTTTTTATTTTTGCACTTCGTGTGCTGTGTTTTGCACGTGGTTACACGAGACCCACACGGGGAAGACGCCGAGAAGGAGACGCAGAGACATAGGTCTATAGCTAGCGAGCTGTTCGGAGGGCCCCTACTGCTAAGCTAGGGGAGGAAGGAAAAAAAGAAAAAATAGTGACATGCACTAAGACCTGTCACCACGCTGGACGGACGAGGTCTAGCACCATCAGGTTGAGGCTAACGCTGGGAGGTGTGGGCGGAGGCGCGCGCACCCCTTACGATGTACATAAAAGGCTTGATTCGAACCGAGGAGGGACTGCTCGGCCAACCGCCTAATCGGTGTAAGACTAATAAATAAATAAATATTCCCCAGTGGATAGAGGCTAACGATGGGAGTTGCGGGCGGAGGCGCATGCGCCCCGTACGATGTACATAAAAAGCTGGATTCGAACCGAGGAGGGACTGCTTGCCCACAGGGGCGAGGCGGCCAGCCGCCTATTCAGAGTAAGAATATAATAAATAAATATTCCCAGTTGTGGATGGAATCCTTGGATTACCCATCGGGCTCTATTCCTGTAGGTCTTCTCATCTCTAGGAGGTTTACAGCAGAGGACGAATAAATCTAGAAGAAGGTTGGCAAAGCCAAGTAAGTGTGTTTGATTGTGTTAGAGATCCTTCGGCTCTTTGGTATGAGTTGCGCGATAGCAGATTGGTTTGAATGGTGTGATCTTGATGATAGTTATTAGTTGTGATTGATAATGATGATTCCCCGGGGGTTTCGACTCCATTTATGTCTGTACCAGGCTAAGCGTTGTCCACCGCGAGTGCTGTCTGTCTTATCCGAGTGGCGAGGGCCGAGCCGGCCTGCGCGAGGTCACGCGTCTTGTCTGGGATTGGGACGGATATTGGGATTATTTGCTCTCATATCATCATGATTACTCATGATTGTTTGGTTGTTGTGGGATTTGATATAAAATTTTAGTTTGAATACCCTTTTCCTTTTCTATGGGTGTGGTAACTAGTATGTTTTATTATTGTCCTTTTGAGTCTTGGAGATATCGATAATGTCGTAAACTTTGTACTTTCAATTTCCGACTTCTTCTTTGCATGCCTTTATCCATATTTGGTTGTTTGTTAATCTCGTGGCTTGGTTGCAACCACTGGGCTCAGTGGCTATGGTGGTAGCAATTATAATTTTTTGTTGTATTTGTCATGGTCATTTGGATCAGGTTTTATGTGCCTATTCGTGATATCATGTTTCCTAACTCTTGAGCTGTATATAGTTTATTCATTTCTTTGTACGGGACTTGCACTTTTATTTTGTATAGGCTTTCAGGTAATTTGGTTGATAGCTCTATCTCAGCTTCACCATTTTTATCGTCATTTTACGTAGCGAAAGTTTTCACATACAATAACCTCTTATTAAGATCCTGTATTATGGGTATGAATTGGAAACCTGACCATAGTTGACTAGTGGTCTTTTTGGTTAACGCCTGGACTTACGTTAGGCAGGTGGTGTCGGGCCCACATGCCGTAACGTGGATCCTGGCTGTTTCGGCACCCCGGCTATTCCGGCAGGAACTTCAAGACTTCAACTTTCGTACCTTTTTTAAACGCCAATTAATCAACCAAAAGACCATAACGTATTCCACAAGCGAGTGGCCCAGTCCAAAACACATAGTAAAAGCGATAAAATACAACTTGATATTTCAACAACGGTGGGTTCTACGGACTTTATCCTATAGCATAGTATCTGTTAGGTTATAACTAGCATCTATAGGAAGTTTGAGGGAAGTCGAAGACTTTATGCTTGTGTTATATCGATATATCTTTCTTGGCAACGTATTATTCTGTAATTTCTGTAATCACTTCAATATTGCCTTTTAATATCGTTGAAATTCATACAGAACGCTATTTTCTCCTATCAATGGCTACCGCGAAATGAAGGAGATGAAATAAATTCGTGGTTGTTGAGATAATATATCGCGTTTAGTGCCATTTACTATGTGTTTTGAACCGGGCCACTCGCTTGTGGAATACGTGAAATTTCACTAAACTAAGTTTTGGGGCATCTGTTATAAAAATGGCCTTTTTTACGACACCCAGAACAGGTGATTTGCCGCGGCATAGGGGGTAAAACATGGAGTGTAGGTTCAACATAGGGTTCTAGAGCGGATGTAGGACGAGATATATATCTCACACTTGCACCTTCCTCACCACCAACGCTGGTAGTAGGACCCTAAAGCTCAGTTAAACCGCCTCTATTGGGTACTTGCCTCATTGTTTGTCCATCTTTGTTGTCTGCTTTCTATTCCTTTCCCATAAATGCTCGGTTTCATCGCGCATCAAGATACGCTCATCAACTAACTTGACCGACAATATTCACCCATTCGCGACTGCCATCCTGCAAAACACCCTTCCGACCGGTATAGGATGACTATGTAATGTCCTTTGTCATTGCAACAACTCCCATTGCGAAACCCTAGTTCGTCAAAGTTGTAGATATCATCCGAAGTGCAGGTTTCAATGTGTCGTGGGGTGGCCAGCTCGGTGGTGAATTACGTTATGGGCCAGAGAGGTGTTAACGTGGATCCTGGTCGTTTATTCCGGCAGGAACCTCAATTGTCCTCTCCTCACCAATGTCACGTGCTATGAGATCTAGGACAAAGGACAAGGGTCATGTGATCGAGGAGGTGATTGTTTGTTCGTGCCTGAGGCACGTACCTGATGAGCATAAAGGCTCCTCTCAGATAGTTGCTTTCTTTCTTTCTCTTTCTCTCTTCACCTTTAGTTTTCTGAATAACAGCACTCTTTCCACCAAAGACTTGGCCCACAACAGGGAGATTGATATCCCTGACGCAATTGAGTTATCTGACGATGACCTTCTAATCTAAAAGAGGTATGCCTTCCATTATTCACAAAAGAAAAAACAATAATGAACAAATATTTACTTAGAAACATAAACCAGAGTTGAATTTGCCAATGCGTTCAAAAGATTTAGTGTTCGATAGGATTAGTTTATACTCAACACTCCTTCCTGATACAGTCCCATCGCAAAAGTTTCCGTCGATGCGGCCCCACACCCGCGTTTTTTGGACGCGTGCCAACCAACTCACCTTCGTACTTTTCGTTGGTGTGGTTCAGGTGGAAGAACCAACGGTGGCGCTTCCCTTTTCCGATCTCGACGGAACATTCATCACTCCACACAACTCGCTTCCAGTCATCCCACGTCCAATTCCGGTGGGCCTCAGCCCATTCTAAACGTAGCGCGGCCACTTCCGGAGTCAGGAAGGGTCTTTTTCTAGCTTTCCAATGGCCGTAGCCCGAGGATTTCATCAAACGAAGAAGGGTGTCGTCAGACGCCGTTAATCCGCTTTGTTCGCGAATTTCTCGATACACGATAAAGGGATTGCGCTTAATTAAACGCAGGATCAAGCGCTTGTCACCCTCAGAGAGCATAGGGGGTCTCCCAGATCGAGGGCAGGTCTTCCCATCTGCTCGGGCGTGTTCTTGTTCAAGGGTATATTTGATGGTTGAAGGGGATAAACCAAAGTGTCGCGCAATAGTAGCCGTGGGGATCCCCATTTCAGCTTGACTAGAGATTTTACCACGTAAGTGTGGAGTTAACTCAGTTCCCTTTACCCTGTTTGAATTAATAGGACGTAGGGGCGTTCTGGGAACCATGGTAGGTGTTTGACATGTGATCACGTACCGGAAGTCGAAAGGTCTATCTATCATGATTTGGGGCGCGATCTGGGGTGGTGGTTCCTCGAAGATATACGAAATGGTTCGAGATAAGGCATCCGCCCGAAACGGCTACTCTGCACGCTCGTATCTCGATGTTTTAGAGGGAAATCTACCTCAAATTCTCGATGATACCAACCGCATCTTCATGCAGGATAACGCCCCGATTCATACGGCTCGTTTAATCAAGTCGTGGTTGGATGAGCACGAATATGATGTGATGAAGTGGCCTCCGTATTCGCCGGATCTGAACCCTATCGAACATGCCTGGGCTAAGCTCAAAGAAATGATCGATAGGCTGGATCCGCACCTGGAATCATTTGCTGGAACCCCTTCTGAATTAAAGGAGCATCTTTCCAATTTAATCGACCTGGCGTGGGAGGAGCTAGGCCAATATTACTTTGACAAGTTGGTGAAGACGATGAACCACAAGGTTGAGGCTTTTATCTCCTCTCAGGGGTGGTACACTAAATATTAGACTCTGTAAATAATATTATCTGTCACGGGGTTCCCCCATTGGGACTCCCGCATCCCTTAGCGCTCGGACCTTGTCTGAGCGCCCAGCCGATCTCCGTTGCGACTCCGGAGGATCATGGATCTGGATACTGCCGACCATCGGCTCTCGTCAGCTTAGGGGTTGTACCCCACATTGTCTTTGTTTACCACATCCGATCTTCGGTTGACCATCGTGTCATTTGGAAGATTGTCAGATTGTTTTTGAGGGATTATCACATTGTATGAGGGAATTCCCTCCTCGCTGTCATTGTGTTTGACATGGAGTTATCTGTTTGTTGTTAAATACTTCGGCTTGGAGAGTACCATTTGAGCTCTCCAAGAATCAGTCTCTGTTCTACTGCTGAATCTATCAAGTCTTCTTCTTCTTCACATCTATTTTCTTCTTACCTAGTTGACAGGTCTTCTGTCCTGTAAACAGTCACCCCTAACATTATCAGATTAATCAAGCAATTCCCCTTAAAATTATCCTATTTTTAATGTAATTAATGGTGATGATTGATTTAAATTATTTACTTCAAACTCATCTCATGGGTTCAGATATATATATTTTCGGTGGCGCGGGTTGACGGAAACTTTTGCGGTAGAACTGTATGTGATTTGAATTTTTTTCATACTGTAAGATCTAAAAATATCAATATGACCTAAAAATATCAAGACACAACGGACAGACGCCTGCGGACCGACGTAACATAAAGATACAACACAAAACCGTAACGTTCATAGATTGACGCGGACGGACTGAGGATTGCGATTTATTGCTTCCGGACAGACGATTGCGGAATCTCACCAAACACAGTGTTACGGGGTCCTACCCTAGAACCCCTCACATCTCATGATAGCGTTATCATCTCAAGGCTCGGACTCTGGATGAACATTGTACCTCGCCCGATCATTGGGCTCCACACATTGTTGACTTGGATCCCGGATTGATCTTTGATTGGATCATCGGGCTTCCGTCATCTTGGGACTCGGACCCCGCATTATCTTGTTGGATCTCGGATGATCTTGACCGATCCTGGATGGCCTTGCATGGCTTTGGATTGTCTCAGGAGATCGTCGGATAAGTCTGTGAAAGACCGATGTTGTACGAGGGAGTTTCCCCTCTTTTGCCCCGCTTTGTTGTGCCAATGAGCATTGAGCATTTGTCATTATATTCATGTTAAATACTTCGGCTTGGAGAGTGCCATGAGGGCTCTCCAAGATTCAGTCTCGTTACCGAATGGACTATGCTCATGTCTGAGCCTGCTCATATCAATGAGCCCTACATCTTGCTGTCTTCTTACCTAGCCAATAGTCTTCTGTTTCTATTTACCCCTTAACACACAGCACATGAATTGCAAAGATAAATAGGAGTCAATCCCCCAGGGGAATTAGTTTTAGCGTCACTACTATCATCAAGTTCTTGCAACACAATCAAACTTACTTGACTCCACCATCTTTCTTCCACATTCTTCCTAAGAACCTTTCCGTTACGATGATGCCAGTTCCTCAAAGATAGAAGAGTGCATTTGAACTGAATATTGAAGACAGAGAGGGAAGGAGAAGAAGGAAGAAGGGAAGTGAGAGATGGGCCTTGACATAGATCCTCGCGTCATGTGTTCTCTGGCACATCCCTCCGTCTAGTTCAATGCACCTTCAAAAGCAAACAACAATTTAATAATAAACAGCAAACCTGTCACACGGGACTATGCTTAGGAGGTTGACTCCCAATTCAGGAATATATTAGACATCATTGATGAAGATTTGTATTTATTTCACATAGATTTTATTCTGCCTTTGTCTTTTGCATTTAGATATCCTGCTCCACCTAATTAATGGTTTTTTGTGGGCTCATATGCATGGAATAGCTTCAAATCGAACAACAATTTGTGGCGTGATGTGTAGATCTTTTGCCATGTTCGTAATATGGAGAATTGTATGGTTGTTTTTTTCCATGGGGTCTTTGTTCCATAGATAGTATTCCATGATTTTCGATGCCACTCGCGAGATTCGTCGATCAAATCGGCGAAAAGGACCCAATAGAATAAGACAGGGTCTATTCTCAATGATTGTGTCACGTGTGACAGGTTTGCTTTTATTATTACTTTTGTTGTTTGCTTTTGAAGGTGCATTGAACTAGACGGAGGTGTCACGTGCTATGAGATCTAGGACAAAGGACAAGGGTCATGTGATAGAGGAGGTGATTGTTTGTTCGTGCCTGAGGCACGTACCTGAGGAGCATAAAGGCTCCTCTCAGGTAGTTGCTTTCTTTCTCTTTCTCTCTTCACCTTTAGTTTTTTGAATCACAGCACTCTTTCCATCAAAGATTTGGCTCATAACATAAAACTAAAGGTCATCACAACCCTCACTGAAGCAACGCTGTACAGACCATCATTGTGATTGGTCTCAGCTCGTCTTCACCCCACGTTCCTTGGCACCATACAGCCAAGACTTCCGAACCCGAATCCGACGATTTCCCGAACCGAAGACCCACAGTGCCGACTGTGTTGACGAATCAGAATGGCTCCTCCTAAGGCTGATAAGCACAGCAGACAGCAGCGAGTGAGCAACCCCGATGACGAACCCCAGACACCCCCGAATCCTGACTCCGGCCCTTCCCACGAAACCGCTCCTGATCCTCTCGCCGACAATGATGACGATACTGGCGGAGGATTTGCACCCCAGATCACGTTCAAGGGAACCAGATTGATCAACCTCCAACTGGACTCGCCGACGGTTACCAAACAGCTCCTGAAGATTGATCTCAAGGACCGATATGACAAATTGACCGCGGTCTACAAGGAACTGGAGCAGAAGTTCTACGAACTTGAAAGACTCAACTCTGAACTCCAGGACAAGCCCCGCAATCAGGAAGGAAAAATCATTCGTGAGCGAGACGAGGCGATGGCTCGCTACCAACGAGCAAGAGAAGAGAGAAACAACGCGCGAGCTGACCTGGAGAAAGCGGTCTCTCGAGCAGCCGCAGCTACGGAAGAGAAGGATGCCGCTATTACCAAGCTGCATGAGATGGCCATCAAGTTCTGTGATCTGCAAACCCGCGCACCGATTGTGGAGGCGGTCAAGAAGACAACGCGTCTGCCAGACGCACCCATGCTTAGCGACGGAGTTGACATCCGTTACGAATCCTGGATGACGGGCATCAAGAGGAAGCTCACAGGGAATGCAGACCATTTCCCCGACGCGAACGCCCGTATCCAGTACGTGCAGAGCCGTGCCGAGGGACAAGCGTTTCGTCACATGGCTCCCCGTCTGAACGAGGAATCGCCCGACCCGTATAAAGACTACGGAGATATCCTCGCGCATATGAAGACCGTGTTTTCAAACCCAAACCATGCGGCAGAAGCACGTGCCAAGTATCAGCGGCTCACAATGAAGCCTCGTGACCAGTTTACTAGCTTCCTTGCGGATTTTATGGAGCTCGCAAACGAGGCAAATATCCATGTCGATAACCGCAAGGTTGACCTGTACGAAAAGCTACCCCCGTTGTTGCAAAGCCAGATGCTGGGGGACTCCTGCGAGGATGAAGTCAGTTTCGAGACGTTCAAAGATAGGTGTATCCGACGCTCTCATGCGATCGCCCTCGCCCAACAGAGCAAGACCACCACCGCGACCGGCCGAGGACGATCGAATCCAGTCTCCTCTTCAACTGGGGTGGGATCATCGTCATCGAACACGAAGGTTAAGACAGAAAACCCCACATCGTCGACCTATGTCCCCATGTCTGCCACGGAACGTGCGACCCTCATGAAAGAAGGGAGATGCTTTGGCTGCAAAGAGCATGGTCATATGACGCGCGACTGTCCCAAAAACACGTCGAAGCCCACTGCCGCTCCTACTGTCGCTACAACCCAGCCCGTCGTCAATTTGACAGCTCTCGAGGATCCCGCGGTTGACAACTCGGGAAAAGCTCGTGCCTAGGCGAAGTCTCCCTCCTAGGCGGAATGAAGGTATCACTTTTTGCTTTGAATCTGCAGAAATTACTTGGAAGTCCCCACGATAGTTTAGTTTTTAAAACAGAGCTTATGTTGAATGGACGTTCCTTTTCGATCTCAGCACTTGGTGATACTGGAGCAGACGGATCAATTTTTATCAACTCAGCCCTAGTGGAGTTGCTTGGACAGCATGGCCTTAGGACCCAGCGACTGGACAGAGAATGCCCCGTAAATGGGCTTGATGGAAAGCCTTCTCGGCCCATCACCCATGCAGTGATCCTTTCCATGGGAATCGATGGACATATCCAACAGCAAATTCCAATGCTGGTGGCGGACCTTGGGAAGCACGATATGATCATTGGAAGGCTATGGTTCTCAGAGCATGACGTTTTGCTTGACTGTCGTCGTCGCCGAATGATTTGGCCCCACGAAGTGTCCCTGTTTGAAGAAGTGGCTAGTAAAATAGCACTTCCGACACCCCTCACGATCCTAAAGAATCCCCGAAACCTCACTCACCAGAAGGATGCGGATCGTCGTGACAAATTCCTGGAGCAGAGCATTGATCCCTACCTAGATCGGAACGGAGGACGCTTCCCATCCCCACGGCTTCATCAGAAGGGACAATGGCGGGCAAAGGATATTGAGAAAATGCAACGAAACCTCGACGGAACAAAATCTCCAGAATTATCCGGCACACTTGACATAAGTATGATTAGTGCCAGCGGATACCAGAGACTCGAAACGAGGTCTCTGTCAGATTCAAAAACGGAAGTCTTTGCAACGTCTCTTAGTGAGATTGATAGCATCCTTGAAGTGAAGAGTAGCAGCGTATCTGATGACCCGGAGATGGATGAGATCCTTCGAGTGCTACCCGCTGAATACCATGATTTGGCCGACGTCTTCCTGAAGAGAAAATCAGATGAACTTCCGCCGCACAGAAAGGGAGTCGATCATGACATCGTTTTGGA